CTGGCGCTCCATCTGTTCGCGCTCGCGTTGCTCACGCTCCCGGTGGGCCATCTCTTCCTGGCGCTGGCGCTCGATAATTTCGCGCTCCCTCGAGTCCCGCTCGCGCTCGCGATTCAAAGACTGAGGGGATGCATGCTGCATGGCCTGACCAATTCCGGGAAGAGAGTGGCCAGAGCCGTGAGATGGGCCCTGCGGATGTTGTCCGTAAGTTGGCTGGTGCGGAGCCCCGTGGCTCTGGCTCAATTCTGCCAAACCAGGAAGTGAGTGTCCGCTCGACTGGCTGGCAGGGTGATAAGGACCTTCGAGAGCGCATAACTGTCAGTTTCATGTTTTCCTGCACATATTGATCTTTGGGAATCGAGATTGTTTTGACGTCGGCTGGGGGAGTGCTAACCGCCTGGAGGGGGGAGGACAGGTCCGGAGGGCTGCGAGCCCGGACCTTGATTCGGAGGATTTTGACTATGAAGTAAAATGCAATATTAGCTTTCGAGGTCGTGCAATGGGGCACGGCGATTGGCATACTTGAAAGACCCCAAGGGCCTCTGTTGGTTCATCTGATCCATGCCAGGGTGCGACGGAGGCCCACCGGCAGGGGAGTGCCAGCTATCATTCCCAGAGTTCATGATCTAGTCATGAACTCGGCTGCAGCAGGGAAAAGGGTATCGATAAAAGGTTGGGGCGGAGGTTAGAGGAATAGGGAGATGAGAGTCTGGAGAAGGTAAGCTCCCAGCTGGTTTTTTGTGGCGCGTTCTCTGTAGCAGAGGTTTCAGACTCAAACGGTGGTCATGTCACAGCATGACCCGCACCCTGAAGAAAAAGCGAAGGAAAACAGGCGACAGGTACCACGAAGATAAGGCTTAGGGAGAGTGCGCGCGACCGATCGCGGGCTTCAGCAGTGGAGGCTTTCCTGACCGACTGACGCTAGGGCGTATCCGGTAAGGCGTGTCCTGTCCCGGTCCTTGGTTGTTCCGGTAATCATGAGCTGTATCTTACGCTCCTCCTGTGTGGTGGCCGCCACCGTGGGCGGTTTTCATGTTACTTACTGTAATGTGTGGCCGAGTCATACCCTCCGCTTTCGTCATCGCCTTTGTTTGCCGGCAGAAAAAATACGGAGGATCTGAGCATCCGGAGATTGCGTCCCGTGGATGTCATCGGGACGGTGAGTGAGTCCTTAGTGAAACATCGTCAGATCTCTTTATCAGTCTAGTTGTCTCTTTCCCTCCGATCCATATAAAAGAAGAGTGTTGTACTCATTATTGATTCAAAGTCAGAAAACGCTCCGTACCCCATTAGTCTTGGGGCTTATGTACCGCTACGCGTAAATCCGTATAATGTTCACTCAGCAGAACAACAGGTAGTAAGTACAGTGTGCGCCAGATTCAAAATGAAAAATTACTACATCAAATACGCCTCAAAACAGGCATGACATTCTCTATCATGGAGCGCCTCCTTACAACGCCTTCAGGGGTACCTAAGAAGCTGCATACAACCAGAAGATAGAAGAAAGGGGAATCCAAACTCGACCAGGAACGGGGACTTAGAATGATGCGGAGGCTCAAGGCGAAGGGAAAGTGGTGAGATAACGGAACCTGTGGCATGCTGCTATGGCCATAATCTTTTCGCATGTGGGTTTTCTTTTTGAATTTCGTTCGTTCCTCTTGATCGACCAGCCCGTCCGCCCCATCCACCGTATCTCAGCCCCAAGATGCGCCTGTGCATGGGGAATTGTTATGGTCCTGCGATCACAGGGCGGAAAAGACAAAGAGCTGGGGAATAGTTAGCATCGCATTCGAGGAACAGAAACGAGGACACATACATTGTTCGTCGCGGCGATGGCAATGCTGTCCTCGAAGGGGTGCCAGCTCATGTGGAGAATCTTCTTGTTGAAATCGATCTGGTCGGCATCCGTCTCCTTCCTCATTCGACTGCCCGGACCAGCAGGACTGCCGGACCTCGAGCCGGCCTTCTTGCCAGCGCCCTTGTTCATGGGGGTGGGCACGCCGACCTTCTTAGCTTTGAAGGCCGACTTGTCTGCTTGGAGCACAATCTCCGTATCCTTTTCTTCCTGTGTAGGGTAGATCATGAAGTTGTTGTTATAACTGCCGGTCATGACATTCTCCGCGTCGCCGGAGAAGACGACCTCAAACTTGTCAAATATGCTGTCATTCTCATACGTGTCGCACAGGCGTGGCCGAAGGTGCTCATGGATAGGGATGGTTTTCACCGGCTGGCGTTCCATGTTGACGTCCCAAATCTTCACGGTCAAGTAGTCCCTCGACACGATGTACCGGCCGTCATGTGAGAATCGAACGTCGGAGATAGAGGAGATGATCTCGGAAAAGAAAGAGCGGGAAGAAGCATCCTCTTCCTGTTCAAACACTAGAGGAAGTCAGTATAGAGCAAACAGAAAAACGCAAATTACATACACTTGGCGTGGTCGTCACAAAGAGCGCGCTGTCGCATATCCGCAAGCTTGATAGTGCCCTTGGAGCTGGCGTACATGAACCAGTTACAGCTGACAGGGTGGAACTCGGCCGCCGTGATGACCTCAGTCAGCTCCTCCATGTTTGCCGGCTTGATATCCACGATGTTGAAACTTTGATCTTGGATGTTGAGATTCCACAGATTCACTCGAAGGTCGTCACTGCTGATAAAGGTCTCGCCATCGCTGTTCACCGAAATGCTATTTATATGGTAGGCGTGTGCATTAGCATAGGTTCTCCGCGGCACGGCGGCAACGACAGTATCGTGGTGTGTCAAGCGCGGCAGCTTGAGGGCTGACGCATCCTTGAAGGCTCCGCGCGGTACCCGAGCAATGCCACCACCGCTCACAGCACCGGCCGGGGTCATCTCATTCGATAGGTTGTTCTCGGCGACCACTTTCAATGACTTGTCAAACACCTTCCACAACTTTATGGTCTTGTCGTTGGTCGACAGGAGGAAGTGTGATGCATTCTGTCGGCGACACCATTTAATCTTGTTGATCTTCTCTTCAATCTCTAGCGATTTAAGGTAGTCGAATTCCGGCTCGTGCGACTGGAATTCGGTGTGGAACTTATACTCGCAGGTTTTTTTCTGTAGTCACTTATGAGCAATGCCAGATTGAATTTTGAGCTCACTCGACTTACCGTCTCGTTCCGCTCAAACAGCACCACTCGTCCACCCTTGTCTCCCGTAGCCAAATAATTACCGGTGTGGTCGAATTCAACAGTCGAGATGATGTCCGCTGGCAGGACGGGGGTTGTCAGCATAAGGGCTCCGGATGAATCGACCGGATGAGTGGGGAGGGTACCTTCTGTGATATCTTCTACATCACCTTTATCGCCGAAGCATCTGCAGGGCAGTTAGCCACAATCCTGGTGGCTCCACGCGCGCCCAAGACTCGACAACGTGGAGCAGGAAACCGGCACGCCCTCCCTCCTTGACAAGACTCACTGTGTGAACTTCCAGGTGGGTGTGCCTGGATCTCTGTCTACCATCTTTTCGATCTAGGATCGCCCTTGCTCGCGATGGACAAGGACGGATGCAGAAAGGCGAAAAGAAAAAACAGCTTGGCAAACGAATTTGTCTCCGAGCTCTATTGTGGATGCAGAATCACTCGGACCGAGCCGGTGAAAGTCTTGACAACACAACGGAAGTGTTCAGACACGGACAAGAACACGGCGAAGCTAAAACGATCACACGAGGAATGGCGAACAATCGGTCGGCGATGCTCGATCGGAGATGGCGATGGGTTTGACACCGACGGGCCGCGGGAGTAGAGAGGGGAGATAGGAGGGAAAGAGATAGGCGAAGGGATTAAAACAAGGCGAATAATCCAACTCTGGTGAAAGAGTCGATAGACAGACGTTGGCGATGTTGAAAGGACGGGGGTGTCCGGGATGGAGGGGGTGGAAGCAAACCGGGTGGAGGTTGTTATGAGTGGGCCCGCAAAGCTTGAGAGGGGATCATAGGAGAGGGGAAACCCTAGGACCTAATATTTGAGCCAAGTCCAGGGCGCGACACGTTGGAGGAGAGGGGAGGGGGGGGGGGGTGTTAGAAGGTGAAGGAGGAGTCGTACGGGAAAGGAAAAAGAGAAGTGTGGTGAGGCGGTGGTGGGGAGTTCGTTACGGCGTCACTTTGTGCCCACCAAGCTCACCGTCTTCGCACTGACGGCCGTGCAATCGAGATCGATTTGAGATTTGAGATTTTAGATAGAGTTTCACTCTGATTCTACATTTGATGGCACCTGGGCTTAGGCACTGGCCAGGGAACGTCGAGCTGGAGAAACGCTGACATCAACACTGTCGGCGACTGTAACATCGCTGGAAGCAGGTACTGCGTCCCTGACAGCGGGCGCACGATGATTCGAGGTACTACAGACTATGAATGGATCAATTGAAGCTATCGAGGGAGATCGCGTTGGATATAGATCGCTGTTGCTTCACATTTGATTGCCCTGTTAAGTGTAGTTGGTGAGGCTGGAGCATGTGCCCGATGCCCAGGTGCATCCCCCGCCTCTGTCGTCATCTCGCCCTTTCCAGCTGTGTACAGCTAGGCTTTCCATTATACCTAGGGGCAAAGTGTAATACTTAGCTCCAGGCACCGGGTTACTGTCGTGCTTGAGACCACTATTCAAGATGTCTGAGATGGAAAATGTCGGAACCACCTGCTCAGGTGCTGCCGGCAGATATACAGATATCACCCATCAACCCTATCTGGGGACGTGCTTCATTAAAAGACCAACCTTATTTCATTCGTCACCTCTATGCGCACGTTGAAATATCATCAACATTCCTGAAACATTCAACAACATCCATGGGTATCAAGCTAGCCCACTACAATCCACCAATCCACCTTCACATGCTCCCCTTCCTATTGCAGCCGGCTATTGCCCTCCATTAACCCGACGCCCGCAAATCACCAACCATTGAACCCAATAATGTCCCTCTCCTCCCTCCTCACCCCTCCAAAAAACCCAAGGCCAGGAGTACCTCCCAACCTTCTCTCGGGCATTCACGATGACCGACAACAATACCAACGACCCGGAGAACACGCGGGGTACCCGTCCACCTCACACTCCAGATGACGCCACACCCCAAGAAGCCTCTCTAGCATCCCGAGTCCAAAGCTCCGCCGCCGGTCTCGCGCGCGCATTCCAGACCCCCTCAAATGCGGCGCAAACACTGTCCTCCGCGACTGAAGGCAAAGCCGGTCCATCCAGGTCCGGAGCTGGGACCACCGGGGAAACAGGATACCTCTCAACAGGCTCCTCAGCGCCTCGCACTTCAAAGTCAGGAGCCAGCGAAGCATTCCGCGAGTCCCAAATTGTACGAGATTTGATCGCAGTGCCTAGCTACGAGGAATTCCAGCAGTTCCAGGACAACCCTCTCGATCAACAAGTAGACCAAATAGCGAATCCAGATCGATCGCGACCTAGTACAAATCTACAAAACGAAACAGGGCCCTGGAAAGGAAAACAACGAGCGCATGATCCCGCACAACAAGAATTTAGTACCGCTTGGGACCGCGCGCAACACCCTCCGCACCCAGACACCGAAGCGAGCCACGAACCAAACGCGACAGACGGCATGGAAGTGGTAACGCTCCTCTCAGACACAACCTTCGACCCAAATACAGACCCTTATAACCCAGAGTTTGATCTCGACCAAGACGCAGAAGCTACACCTCTCACATTTGACGAAATCAAGGCGTTGGAGTCCTTCCGGAAGACGTTCTCATCACAGTCGGAGAATACACAGCAGAGAACAGGGATATCAGGAATGAGTCTCATACCCGATATCGATACATTCTTAGCTCAAGATACAAGTACCGGGTCTATCTCAGCCCAGGCATTACGAGATAGTGTGCTTGAAAATCTTCCTGGAGCTGGGGATTGGGTGGGTGTGCAGGAGAGGTATCATGATGAGGTGTGGGGGTATTTGAGGCCTGCGTTGGAGGCGGCGAAGAGTGAGATGGAAGAAGGTGTTAAGGGGGAGGGGCACGTGGAAGGCCCGGCTGTTAGGAGGCTGAGGATGATTTTGAAGCATATGAGTTGAGTTCAGACTTGATTTCCAGTGAGGGGATGTTGGATTGTGTCGATGGAGTGCCGGTATTGCGTGGAATTCTAAGTTTGACATGGAAATATTCCTATTGAATACCAAAAGAGAGAGAGTGAGAGAGAGGGGGCGGGGATGGCCTCCAAGAGCACTTGAACCAAATAATTATCAATAGAGGAATAAAGAAGTCGGTTCCAGATCATTTCTTCCCGATAGATCACAGGTGGCCTCATCGAAGAAAAAAAGGCTCCACAGTCTAATATAGCCTGCCCGAGGGATCGAAAGAGCCAGTTTTAATTCTCCTGTGGGTTATCCGTTTCTCGGCTAAGAGACAATTTTTAAACTTGATCCTCTCTTTATCTCTCTTTCGCTTTTGATTCTTCTTCTGTTCAAGTTGATGCTTCCCATGGGCTGGCTGATTGTATGATTTGATTCTTCGAACCCTAGCGGGTGATAGTGTCTCTTTCTATGCGAGTTCTCTCTCTACGTAAGTGAAAGTGAATCCCGTATTCGATGTCTTCCCGCAAGTAGACATACAATGAAAGAGAAAATTGAAGATGGGCTTGGTAGTTGAAGCTTCAGTGCCTCTACCCTACAGAAAGTTAGGGCAATTTGCTTCTGTCAACCGGTTCAGGGCCCAGTATGTCTACATCTATATTTAACCACTTGGAACAATCTATCGTATTCAAATTTGGTTCATATGTTACACGAAGACCAAAACCCGACTAGGGAAGGAATCCTCAAGCCAAGTCATCATAGAAACTTTCATAGCATGCACATAGGTAAGGGCAAAAGCGGGGTATGTAAAAAAGCACAAAGACGATATCGATATCGACATCGGGACTACAGCTCCAGGCTGGGAGTCTGGCCCTTGACGCGTCCGATTACGGTGTGGCCGGCGTACTTGGGGATGACTTCATCGTCGTGAAGCATAGCGAATTCTGTAGGATGCATTAGTAATGTGTTCACTATTCGGGGATGGCACGAGTGCCGGGGGGGAAATCTGAAGTGCAATTCAAGAAATGTACTCACCCTCGGTAGCATCGCGGCCCATGAAGTTGAACAGAGCATTGGCACCGCCAGGGTGCTCGTCAAGCCAGTTGGTCACGTCGAGAACAATGCCCTTCACAGCGATCCACAGGTCGTCCTTCTTGTTATGTTTGGCGATTTCCTCCATGCTGTACTCCTTCTCCGGGATCTTGAAGTTTGCCGGGTCAGGCTTGGACTGTTCCGAGGCAGGGGAGGCGCTGGAGGCCGGGGCATCGACGGTAGAGGATGATGCACCGGGAACAGCGGCCAGGTTAGGCGCAGACCCAGAGGAACCGCCCCACTCGACAGAAATCTTGCCGGGAGTAGAGGGGTCGATGTGCAGAGAGATCTGTCCGAGACGCTGCTGAGCGGCATTACCACCGGTGAGCAACTTCTGGAAGAGGTACTGACAGGCGGAGTCACCGGCGACACGGCCGTAGACGACACAGCCGAGAAGCGAGGAGCCACCGAGACGGTTGGCGCCGTGAACACCACCAGCAAGCTCACCGCAGGCGTAGAGGCCTTCGAAGGGCTTCTGCTCGGAGTTGAGGACCTGGGCGTGCTCGTTGATTTCAATACCACCCATGGTGAAGTGGAGAACGGGCTCCATGAGAGCGACGTGGAATTCGTCGTCAATGGAGAAGGGCATGTTGTGGAAGAAGCGCTTGTTCCAGGGGTCCTTCTTCTTGCCCTCGGCGATCAGGTTGTACTCGTCGAAGGTCTTCTTGAGGGCAGCTTCGCCACAGCCAATCTCCTTGATGAGCTCCTTGCCGCTCATCTTCTTCATGAGACCACGGCCGGAGTAGTGGCGAGTGTGGAAGTCGAGCACATTGGAGGCCTTGGAGTTCAGAACGAGGCGGATGGGCCACTTGCCCTTCTCCTTCTCCTTCCACATCTGGCCAGAGACGTAGTCACGGTGGCCCAGCTCGTCAGAGAAGCGCTCACCATCGGAGTTCAGGAGCAGGCCACCCTCACCACGGAGAGCCTCGGCAGCCAGGAACTTGAACTTGGCCCCAGGATCCTTGGGGTCGACGAGACCAGTAGGGTGTACCTGGACCTTATCCATGTCGATGCCGTTGGCACCAATCGCCATCAGCATCTTCTGGCCGTCACCAGTGGCATGGGTGCCGTTGGTGGAGGACAGGCCGAAGGTATCAGGACGGTGCTTCTTGAGGAGAGAAGTGTCGCCGAAGTCAGCAGCGTAGCCACCGGTAGCCAGAACAACAATGCCATCAACGGACTTGGGCTCGCCGTTGAGAGTATAGGTAACACCGGTAACGTGGTTACCGTTCTTGTTGATGCTGGTGACATTGGCCTTCTTGACGATCTGAACACGAGTGGGCTCGGCTTCAGCGAGCTCCTCGAGACGCTGCATCAAAGCATAGGTAATAGCCATGCCGGGGAACTTGGCATCGTGACCACGGTGTGTGCGAGGGTGAGTGTGGCCACCCAAACGGGAGACGAGAGTGAGATCGAGGTTGAAGACATCCTGCAGCCACTCCACAGCAGCAGCGGACTTATAAGTGAGGACCTTGATCAGATCAGGACGGGCCTTGTCACGAGCAGACTTGAGAGTGTCCTCGTAGAACTGCTTGACGCTGTCTTGGATGCCGAGGTCGACCTGGGTACGGGTGAGCGCACCGTTGATGCCGGAGGTGGCCTTAGTGGAGTTGCCGCCGAAGAAGGCTAGGGATGGTTAACTTGAGGATCATGCCACTTTGGCGTGATTCGACATACCTTGCTTGTCTAGAACGAGGACATTGCCACCGTTCAGGTAGACGGTGTGAGCGGCACTGAGGCCAGACACTATGATTTCATGTCAGCCGAGATCCCGAGCGGGGAAATCAGAAGAGTAACTTACATCCACCGCCGACCACAATGACTTGAGGTGATGCCATTTTGAATACTGTGTGGAAAATAGGGTAAAGGGTGGAAGGGAGGTGGAGAGAAAGAGAGTGGGAGGCCCAGGTTCTTAAAGATGGGGAAACTGGGGGTTAAACTCAGCTCAGAAGCCGACAAGCTATCGGCCGAGGCACAACGTGGGGTTCACAGTGCAATGCTTCTGGGTTTGATGGGGCCCGGGAATCAAGTGGAGCTCAGTTGTTAATTCCAGTCCGCTGGTTTGCTCCGATCGCACTGATGGCAGTGAACAAATCCTGGGGAAACTATCACATGTGCTATTCCCATGATACAACTACGCACCATCTTCACATGCTTGCTGCATCCTGCGTCATTACATTCCAGCTCGTGGCTAGGATGGGAAGAGCGAGGAGAGAGGAGAGAGGAGAGAGAGAGAGAGAGAGGGCTACAACAGGCCTCTTAGCTTAGGCTAGACTAGATTGCTGGTGCTCGGTCTCCACAAGGACAGAGTATTTTGAAGGGCAGAGTCTCGGCAGAACGCTACGGGGATTCGGTCTGAAGGCCGTGCCGTGAACCTCGGAACTGAGCAAAGTAGACCGAGTGCTGGTGTCGCGTCACGCCACACCACAAGACCAGCTAAGCAAAGACGTATAGAATCCCCCCTGGATCCCTCGTATAGATATGAACGCCCCTCGATGCACTAGATATAGATCCAGAGAAGGAGTCCACCCCAACAGGACCCTCAAAGCGCGCCATCGTGACAGAAAGTGGAAATAGCAGTCGCCGACCGCTGACCTTTACAGGACCATAATTGGTGGAAGAACTGAAGCCGAGCCACGTGATCCGGGGACAAGGTGGAACCAGTGACGTCGTGGAGGAAAGTCTTTCATTTGCCGACGGAATTCTATCTCAGGCCGATTCTGGCGTGAAAGAAGTACAAAAAGAACTCGTTGTTCCCGCTGGGATCGGGCTGGTGCTGCCCGGTGTAGTGTGGCTCCGCTTTCCCATGCTCGGGGTTCTTTCGGCCAGGTCCGCGGGTCCGCGTCTCGGGTTGATGTGGGCCGAAGTGATCTCGCCCGAGATGCCGAATCTAGATTCAAGCTGGTCCTGCGATTGAGGGAAAAGCCCAGCTTCGAACGAATTACTTTTCATAGCTGGGTCACATATACATAGCCCAGTCGATGACCACAGATTCATAAGAAAAGGATCCGAAAGTGTGAGAACCATTTGAAAAAGGGGTACTACATCGGCCACGGCAGTATGATACCCAATACCTCAAAGCATCAATAATATAATCATCACTTAATCCATCCAAGTCACACTTTTAATCGATAAGAACTCATTCAACCCCTCCGCCGCATTGAACCGACCCCATCCACTATTCTTCACACCCCCATGCGGAAGAACGGGCTCGTCGTGGATTGTCATACTGTTGATATGCACAGCCCTGCGTTCGATTAGCAACCACCTCCCATTCAATAGACGGAGAAATGACGAGAGGAAGAAAGGAGAGAAGCTTACCCCGACTGAATTTTCTTGGCCATCGCCAAACCCTTCCGCAAATTCTCTGTAAACACAGACGCCGATAATCCGTACCCACTACTGTTTGCCAGACGGATCGCCTCATCTTCCGTCTCAAAGACCATGCACGCAGCTACAGAGACAAATGCTTCTTCCTGCCACACGGCCATATCTTCTTTAACTCCGCCCAGGATAGCTGGCGCTAGACGTACGCCTGCATCGCCCGGGACATGAGTCTCAGCAGACCCAGAGATAAAGTGGGCACCCGCGGCCACAGCGCTGGAAACCAGAGCCTCGACACGGGCCTTGGAGGCAGTGTTGACGAGTGTCGGGGGAAAGGATGAGCTATCTGTGCCGGATGCGAGGGCAGACTTTAGAGCTTCCGTGAACGCAGGTGCGATCGAGGAGTGCACGAGGATTACGATCTGTGGCCATACAGATTTGACCAGACCACAAGGGATCCTTCGTCAGATGAGAATGGAATACCAAGAGTCATGTTTACTTCCGTTCAAAAAGGCCCCGGCAAGAACTCCCTGCACGGCCGTCGTCAAGTCCGCATCAGCGCATACAATGGAACTATTCTTCCCGCCTAGCTCCATCAAACACGGCTTGAGGTTCTGCCCGCATGACCGCGCGATCTTGCGGCCTACCGCCGTGCTACCGGTGAAATTAATCTTACGGACGGCCGGATGCTCAATCATGGCATTGACTACCTCCGCTGCATCCTGCGAACGACAGTGCAGGATATTCAGACAGCCGGCGGGGAGACCTGCGTCCTCGAAAGCACGACCAATAGCCCAGTAACAGCGTGGTGTCAGCTCCGAGGATTTCAAGGTGGTGGTATTTCCAGCTGCGAGTGCGCATGTAGCAGAGCGGATTCCGAAAACATAAGGTGCGTTCCTTGTACGAATTAATCTAGTACATTAGAGGCAGTGTTGAAGCTCAGAACCTACCATGGGACAATACCCAGAATAACCCCCATTGGTTCTTTGAAAACGATTGTGCTCTGGCCCTCAGCTTCAACGATAGGAACGCTTCCACAAATCGAGGTAATGCGGCTCGCAATGTCGCGCAGCATACTGATAGCTAGTGGGACAACGAAACCCTGCGATGCACCTACATCGGCGCCCATTTCGGTCCGCATGTACTCGGCATTCTGCTCGAGACGCTGCTCTAGTAGGTCTGCGGTCTTGAGCAGGACATCTCGTCTTGTGGTCGGCTTTGTTAGTGACCAGGCGGGAAAGGCGGCGTCGGCGGCCTCAACAGCTCGAATGGCATCTTGTGGGGTAGCTCCAGCTGCGGTCCAGCATGTCTGGTTTGTGTAGGGACTAATCACGTCGAAGGTGGTGGAGGTGGCCTCTTCTTTGCCATTGATGATCAAGGGGACGACGATATCCATTATATTGGGTTTTTATGAGGGAAGGATTGGGAGAGCTGCACCTCAAGCTGGAGCTGAAGCGCCTTCTTGATGATCTTAGGCTTATGATAACCCACTCATGATTGTCGCTCTAGCATGGATCAGTCCATAGTGGAATGAGATTGATCGTTACCCAGGATTGGCACTGAACTATTTATCCACTGTCGAAGATCCGACCTTTCTCACCGCGATGAGCCATGACTAGAGATTTATGAACAACAGGTTCCCACACACAGTTACATCGGCTCATCAGAAGAGCCATGGAACCAGGGACCCCACGGTTCAATTCCATGTGTGACAGACGGCTGAGCCCTTGATGTCCCTCTGGAGCATCGGAAGGAAATGCAGGTCCGACTGCTATCCTTCACATAATAGGATCTCCTCTAAAATTTCTTGCAATGCAGGGGGGATGATCCTTGTTCACCACTTTGGATGGAGAGTAGCAGCCGGACATGCAAAGGCTCTGTGATTTCCAATAGTGTGCCCCACTCGGCGCTAATTCTATTTCCGCATCTTTTTATCTGAGGCAGGATTCTCCACTTTCCTGAAGGGGGTTTGATTCATCACTTTCGAAACCTGACACCTCCACTTCTCTGAAGATTAGCTCAAGAACGAAGTCTATTGGTACGCAAGCCTTCTGTCCAATGTATAGGAGGTTTCCATGTGATCGAATACTTAGGTTAAATATTCGAGACTGTGTGCTACTGTGCCTCATTCACGCGAGTTAGCCACACCACTGGCATAGGATCTGCAATGCCGGGACTTTCAATTGTGATTCAGTCCCTGCCCCGCGAGCATGTGAACAACCTATCCACTCTGCACCCTTTACTCTCCATCACTCTGCATGTAAACTACAACTGCAGCGGACACATCAGCCGCAGAAACCTCTTTCTCCGAATCTTGATTCTTCTGTCCTTCGAAATTCACAACAAATCTATACGCCGAGATTTGTCCTCATCGATCGCAGCTCCGATTCCCCGATCAGACTGATGAACCTACCAGCTCATCAACTGAAGAAAGTAGAATGCCTCCGAACTGATCCAGCAGTAGAAGCCAGACCCGACGCCAGAAAAAGCGTGTGTAATGACTGTCCGCAGCACAGTAGCCTTCCTTTCCGAGCAAGTGATAGACAGCACTAGGCCCGGCTCTCCACAAAAATCAGCCAGCAACAATGTCGTAATCTCAAATTTGCCAGAACCTAATCGGGGCGTAATCGATAGTACCCTCCACTTCTGGGTAAACTCCAATTTATATCGCCCAGCAGGGAAAGTAACCTGCAACGCGCAACTTCAGTTCGCGAATGATGTAGCGCGTTGATTGTCGGAGTGGATGTAGGCTGTGATGCAATGATTGCAGGGCACACCAAGGTGTCCAGGTGTGGTTCACAAATCATGTGTCACTCGCGTGGATATATCTGTGGAGGGTATCCTCAATAAGTAATCGACCGTAGGAGCTTCGTTCGTTTTATCTTATCCTCCTGGTTCAGCTGGTTCATCATGGCTCCGAGTACGAGAGGTTGGCAGATGATCGAGATCATCGCGGCATTGGTTGCTCTATGCTTAATCTCGGTGGTGATGCGTGTGGTGGCTCGTCTCAAGAGAAGAGTTGGACTAGGCGTGCATGATTATCTCAGTATTCTGTCCATGGTATTAATGATCGCTATGTTAACTGAGCTGTGTCTATGTGAGTATTTCATGCGCGCTACTTTCCTCTGAATATTGTCGCTGACCATCCTAGGGTGTTCAATTGGAGGCAATGGTGCCCACGTCAAGACCCTCGATGCCGAGGCCATGATCAACTACTGGAAGGTAAGTATACGCCACACACCAAAGCCAAAGCATACATCTAACCAAAACAGATCTTCCTAGCCAACCAATTCACATATTTTATCCTTGCCCGGCCATCAAAATCTCAATCATATGTTTCTACCGCCGCGTCTTCACCACCCCCAAATTCCAGACTTGCACCTTCGGCCTAAACATTCTCATCGGCGCCTGGGGCCTAGGGATCTTCCTCGCCTGTGCCGGCCAATGCCGCCCCCTCCGCGCTTACTGGGACAGCAGTGTGCTAGGCAAATGCTTCGACGCCAACAAATTCTTCATCGTCAACCAAGCCTTCAACGTCCTGATGGACTTCATAATACTAATTCTTCCAATTCCAATGATCTGGAACCTCCACAGTGCCTGGCAAGATAAACTCGCCCTAACAGGCGTCTTTGCACTCGGAGCATTTGTCTGCTTCGCCTCCATATACCGCATCATCGTCCTATTTTGGATCTCGCCTTCAGACCCAACATATACCGTCTACCAAGCAACCCTAGGACGCACATTGAACCCGCAGTCGGACTCATCTGCTCCTGTCTCCCAATCATCCAAGGTCTTTTTCCAGCGTTGAAACTCAAGAGTCAGTCGAATCGCAGCAACGGCCCGTACCATATCAATACGGACATCAGTCAGTCAAACATTCTTTCAAAATCTAGCCCTCACTCGCCGGATGTGGAGTATGTGAAGATGGAGGCGGGAGCTTACGGTGCGACTATTGACAGAATGCATGGACAATTCCTGGGTGATGATTTGCATCCGCTCAATGTCAAGGTGCAGACTGATATTGCGATGACTCCAGACAATGAGTCTGTCTCATCGTCTATGCAAGAGGCTTTTACACTGAGAGATCTGAATTAATCTGCTGATCTCATATTGATACGATTTGATGATTCATTATTATTTTGCGTTTGTGTAAATGATCTACCGGAACTGAATGGGGTTCTGTAGTTAAAGCAGCTTCATGTCCACATTGGAACTTCGATCTGCATGGGTACCAGTCCCCGAGCGACTCACTTCTAGGGAAGCTAATGCTTTCTCTCAATGAACATTACAAATCTTTGAGTTAATTCTTCTGCTTTCCTTCAATTTTTTCACACTGTTGCTCAACATTATGAGATAAAACTCAATGCTTCACCGTCTTACTCTGAGCACTCAAGTCGAGCCTTCCAAGATCGAATCCGATCTGACGATTGGCTTTCCATTCTGAATCCTGCTTGTAACTTGATCTCTTTAGCATTTGAATCCAGTAACACTCTCGAAACTCAACGTCCATCCTTTACTCAATTATTCCAATTAATATCAGACAAAAGAATCATCGACCTCCCACATAGGTGGAACCAACGGCTTAGGCGGCCAGCCAACCTTCGCATCGTATGCTTTCTCAAAATCATGATACCCGGACCCAACCCAACTCTCTTCCGGAACCTCCTCGTTAACCGGCAAGACTACCTTTGCCTTCGAATTCGGCGGCACGACAAGTCTCAACTTGAACATCCCATCCACCGACTCCCACCTACACTCCAACCTTCCATAAACGGTGTCATAAACCACCTCCGCCCACTCAATTGTTCCTCCAGGAACAGGCTCTACACAATAGGTCCTCCATCCCGGCTCCAAAGCCCTAACACCACCCACAACCCCATGCAACCAATTCACAATCGACCCAAGCGCTTAGTGATTGAAACTCGTCATCTCACCCGGATTCACAGATCCATCAGACCGCATAATATCCCACCTTTCCCAGATTGTCGTCGCGCCGTGCTGGGAACTCGCGGCTTTCTCGGTTGATCTTACAAATACGATATTTCTAAGGCTTGGCATTGTTTTGTAAGAAATAGCACTACTCTAAAGTGGTCTCCATGCAAGATGAAGATGGAAAACGCGAGAAGAATCACAAGTGAGTGGTGAATGGCAAGTCCATTTGCAGTGGGGGGCAAAATGCCCTTGGCAAGCTTACCCCAAGCATTTGCGAGTAATTCCGAGACTAACCAAGTCCGGCTAGACCGATTTGGGTAGTCCAGCTCGCACTCACTGTACTTACACGCCCAATTTCACGCGCAAATACAAAATGCGACATAAAAGGCACTATGTACCCTATTTCTTTAGATTCAAACTCATTCTGACTCAATAAAGACAATAGCGCTTAAATAAGCCCCAGTCCAACTTCAACTTCTTGCTTCCAAGATGGGTGATAAGGTTGCACTTATCTTTGGTTATGGACCCAATGTCGGGTTCGCCATTGCAGACTCACTCGCATTGCACGGCTACAAAGTCGCCGTAGTCTCGCGATCAGAACATCTTTCAGATGCTGCAAAGAATAATCTCCAGATCCAAGCCGGTCTCTCGGTCCCATCCTCAGTTGAGAACATTTTCACTAGAGTCATCGGAGAACTCGGACATCCAACAGTTGTTGTCTACAATGGTAAGTTACTCTGTGTTTATTTCAAGGGCGTGGAATTCTTGAGGGGTGAGGTGCTAAGATATCTCCTAGCTTCTGCGGTCGGCGTCAATCCATCGGCTCCTCAAATCTCTCAATTCGAGTCCGCAAACAATGTCAATATTGTCTCTGCATATGTTGCAGCACAATTCGCAGTCAAATCCTTCGCCCAATTACCACCCGAGTCACCCAGAACATTCATCTACACCGGAAACAAGCTTCCCTTGATGGTCGTACAACCACTCCTACTCCAAGGAGTGGGCAAAGCTGGTGCGGCGCACTTGATTCATTACTTAGCCGAGGAGTACAAAGGCAAGGGCTACAAGTCAATATTCAAGTATAGGCTCTTTCAGGAGTAGGTTGATTAACAAATTCTAATCAGATTCTACTTTGCGGATGAGCGTAAGCCGGATGGAGAGCCGGTTTATTCTGCCATCGATGGGTCCGCTCACGCTCACTTCTACATCCAGCTAGCTGAGGATAACATGCAAGAACCATGGTTTGCAACTTTTGTCAAAGGACAAGGTATGTTTTTTTCCCGGAAACATTAATTCACGATGTTGTCAAATTACCCGGGCCAGCGCAATCATGACTCTCCTAAGTCTCTGCTGATTGGAAACTTCGTGCGTATTTTCTTTTATTATTCTGTGAGAGACATCAAGTATAGCAGTGTTAATTCATTTTTGTGACATACATAGGGGGTCAAAAGTCTGTGTACACACCAATTTCGCCTCTATCTTCCCATTTTATTTTCTTTGATTTCTCCACCATTTTAAAAGATATTCAATTCAAACTGGATGCATATAATAACTATCTAGTATTTCGTATACCAGCCCTTTGCCTTTCGTACCGCGGCAATACGGCGAGGCATAGATCTGATAAAATTATCAATTTTAGCCTAATTAATGCTATCCTATGCGATAACTAGGGCTTTGCGGAATTCATTCCAATCTATCTTAGAACGCCTACGCTGGGCAAGCTGTGGATAAAGCTCGAATAGCTTTAATTTTAGTAAGTTTCAGACATTCTCAATAGGATTTAAATCAGGCGAATGCGGCGGCTATTCTATTACCTATATCCTATGCTCTTCGAACTATTCTTTTTGCAATTTCTGCCACGTGGATACGCGTATTATCTTGCTAGAATATTATACTAGGCTCGTATATAGGTAGGAGCGCTTCCTCGAGGGTATTAAGATATGAATTCGTGGTGTAGCCGTTCTTTTTCGAAAAAGCATCGCGTTCCATAATTATTAACTTTGAGCGACCACTAAGCCAGATAGATCCCTAAACTATCTGCCGGATATCTTTACTATAATTTATAAGATTCACAAGATCCTTCCTGTATCGCTCATTCTTAAATAAGAATACGTATTAGTGGATAGAATTTGACTTACGTTAGACGGAACATTTATCGGAAAAGATCACATTATTAAAATATAGCACACTACCCTATTTTCGGCAAAAGGCGCGTCGAATTTTTGTATCATACTTCTTAAGAAAGATACGCTTCTTGCTAACCTATTTACGGATATTATAGCGCTTTAGGACGCGTTTTAGTGTTAATTTTGATACTTTAAAGTCGGTATTAATCAAAAGGGCTTTATAGCTTATTATAGGGCTACGGCGTACTAGACGGAACACATATCGACGCTTAGAGGGGGTAAGCTTCAGTGGGCGGCCTGATCGAGGGTTTATTTTAACGTGTGCATGCTTTTGGAAGTGGTTTTTGGTGTTGTAGATAGTTTGACGCGACACATATAGATCTTTTGCAATTTGGGTGGGTTTTCCACCCAGTTCAAGGGCATAAACAATAGCAGCACGAGTGGTTTCCGAAAGCTCAGCTCCACGCGGCCGATTACCACTAATTTCGATGCCGAAAGACCTCATAGTGGTGGAGATATGGGGTGGTGAAGTTTAATTAGAAAAGGGGGAGTGGGTATAAATTCAGATATGTAAACAGACTTTTGACCCCCTATGTAGTTTGCACAGTCGGACGCCTGCAGGTCACAGGCAGAATTTTGGCTCACTGGTTGCCTAGTATATATTCATCGAGTGCACTGTGTCTCTATAGTGAGCATTTAGTATCAACTCGATCTAGGTTTATAAGGCAATATACCGGAAGAGGCAATTAATCGACTAAGCTCGGATCAACGGCTTTTCCGCTTTGAAGAGTTTGGTGGGTACCTCGTATAGCTGCTCGAGCAGCCATTTCTGGTATAGCGTAAACACCATGATTAAATATTCAACTTCAGGTTTCATTTTGCCTCTCATGTTGTCAAGTCCTACTTCCAGATTAAGACTAACGATAGTCCAAATCCCCACTTTGTTTAAGGAAAACTGACACATCATTCTGCAATGAGCTCTTTGAATTTCCAAATAAGCATAACCCCACGGCTGACGGCTTGGCGAGCGAGTGGACGGGCCGTGGCTTACTTCCATTGGCTTGAAACACCCCTCATGTTAACAGCTGAACTTAGGCGGTTTGTGGTTGGGCAGCCTTTCAGCTACTAACAGTCGAGAATTATAAACCCGGCAATGCGCCGAAGTTCATGGCGTTTGGTCCCATCCCCCACTTCAGCACTCAGCTCGCATTCAAAGGATTCCAAGCACCACGCAGAGGCAACCGGCATTGGGCAGCTCCACTTTTACAGCCGAAAATATACTTGACATATTGTGCGATGTCTAGATCTGAAGTCAAGGAGGAATATAACCTGCAAGAGGCGTGGGACCGGGTGTGCGCGTCGTTCGCACACACAACCAAAGTTGACCTCACCGTAACGCCCAAATACACAGTTGATGAGGTGCTCGACCAGATTCAAACAAATCAAGATGAGGATGATGAGCGAAACAACAAATACAAAGTCGCGAAAGACGTGATCGGCAAGACATTAACCTTTATCACGGTCCTCGGGGGCATAGCTGCTCAGGGTGCTAGCATGGTCGGTGTGCTTTCAATTTGAAGACTGGTACATCCGCTAATCACTACATCATAGGTTTTTGCCCCCAGTAACTTGTGTTTCAATGCGATTTCTTATCTTATTAGTACTGGAGCCAAGTACAAGCGCATCTTCAGCAGTCTGGCAGAGCTATTCCGGCGCATTTCGGATGTACTTGAGCGCTGCAAAATCTACATGCGCCTGCCCCCAGACGCGGTCGATATCTCTCTCAGGAAGATCATCAACGAGGAATTGGTATGCTTCGTCGACATCTGTGCACTGTCCATCAAAGTTCTCAAAGGTCATAAAATCTTCACCGCGCTCAAAGTCTTTGCCTTCGACAGCGACGAAGGCGTCAGCGGCCAGCTGAGTCGCTTGGCTACCCTTGTTGACCGCGAATCTCAAATGCGAGGAACGCTGGGATTCAAGTCACAAAAGATCAGCGAGAAGTTGATTATCGAGAATCGAGATGGCACTAGGAAAATCAGCGCATCTGTGGATAGTCTTATCAACTTTGAGAAGAAAAGAGACGTGGATAGTGCCGCCAAAAGGATTCTGAAGAACATCGATTCTAATCTTCATACTCCCAGTGAGAGCTACAAGCTTGTTCAGTCAAATTACAGACGCCTTCTGGATGAACAAGTCCAAGGCAGTGGGGCTTGGCTGAAGAGTGATCCATTGTTTACAGCATGGGTTTCCACTCAGGACTCATCCTTCTCTATATTCGGAATCTCTGGAGCCGAAGGATATGGCAAGTCATTCCTTTTTCGCCACCATCGTTAAGGACTTGCAAGAGAAATATGCCCACTCTACCGAGGATCTGACGTGCACCTCCACTGCCTACTACATGTTTGATCACGAGCAGAATGATGCATCTCTGACCAAAGCTCTGAAAGTGCTTGCATGGCAGATTGCCAACACCGATATCGTTTATCGCAAGGACCTGACTTCTGTTCAGCTATCGGGTGTGAATCAGATAGAGAGCCTCTGGGAACTTCTATTTACAAAGTCTTACAAGAGCGACTCAAGGTTCTTCTTCCTCTTCGACGGCGTTGACAAGATGGATAAGGCCCATCTCAAAGATTTCATCCAACTTCTGGCAAAGTTACAGGCAGTATCTGAGACCTGGCCACGCTTCAAGCTCCGTATTCTGCTTTCTGGGCGGGATGATACCATAGGAAATATCAAAAGGCAAATCGGGGATGGAATTTCCGTTGTTGACGTGGCTTCGAGAAACACTGATGACTTACGAAACTTCATTACCGATCGCATGAACAAGATGGACATTCTCAGTGGTTCATCACATCAAATTCTTCATCTGCGACAGGAGATCTTACAGGCTCTCATGACCCAAACGCATGGCGATTTTGTTAATGTTGGTCTGATCTTGCATGAAATCAGTGGAAAGCAGCGCCCGGGCGAGATTCGGGATATTTTGTCTCGATCAGGAGGGAACCGATCTGACACGATCGTGAGGAAAATGGAGCTCTTGAACGAAACATTAAGTGACGATGATATCTCTGACCTTAATAGTCTCCTCGCCTGGGTCGTGCTTGCCAAATGCATACTCAGCCTTCAAGAGTTAGAGGCAGTCCTTTTCCTTAAAGCTCGGGAGCCTTCTCTTCGACCGCTAGCAGAGAAGATCACGAATCAGTACTCCTCGCTGCTTCAGGTCTATGGTGAACCACATCCTATCACCAGAGTCACCCCGCCAACTTCAAACGTGATGCTTGTCTCTGAATCTATCGAGGAATTTCTGCGAACGCAGCCTCAACCAGGCGAGTCTGAAGATGTCCAGGACCTGATCCAATCTGGCGACGTCAATGAGATTGAGGTCAGGATTGTCCGGCGATTTTTGGAGTCTGTATGCGACCCTAAGTTGTTCAATAAATTCGGCTTTCATGAATTTTTCCAACGAAAGCTCAAGGGGAAAACTGTTCGCGTTGGATTTGATATTGAAACAGCGAATCTGAGAATATTGGCAGATTGCTTAGAGGTCATCTGCTCAAGGGAGACGCCAGAGCTAGCTCCATTGCTCGATTATGCAGTCACCTACTTTGCTGAACATCTCAAGGAAGCCGATCCTTCACTGACACAGCCACAAGTCAAAACAGCCCTTGGTACTCGGCTAGTGGAGATATTTGCAGACGAAGCTGCTATTGCGCAATGGTGGACCACAGAAAACACCTGGCTTCGATCAATGTGGATCTATGAGGATGGATTAACCGATGTCGTGTTGAGATGGCTTCAAGACTCTGCCGTCACGAAGAACCTCTCAAATGAGCAAAGCAAGTGGGTGCGAAGTCTGAGTTCCAAATCGGAGCCTGACGCAGATCTTCTCGAACACATCGTCCGGTTCTTGGGGCGCAGATGGTTACAAGAAGGCCCAGAAGGCATCCTCTACCATTTCGCCACGATACATGGGTATCTCACAAAGGTCCGAGCGGCATCATTGCCCCTACAAAATACTTGAGGATATGTTAGCTGACTGGTTCCATAGATTGCAAATCGTAAAGATTCGAGTGTCAAGAGATTCACAGCCACTCCACGGAAGGAAACTATTGAAGCCTCTCAGATCTTCGATGCTGCACAATGGGTACAGCGCCAGATCGGATTGGATGAATTGGGCTATGAAGAGACCCGCAACTTGGCACGCACCCTCCGAGATCTTGGCAAGTACCCCGAAGCCATTAGGCAATTCAAGTTGGCATCCTCACTCCAGAGCGACAACTGGATTTCGCAATGGGGGCTAGCAGACTGCTTTGCCTCCCAAAAGGATTACATGACGGCGATCGAGATCTTGGAGGCCGCGAAGAAGTCTTACGAGTCTGATGAGACAGCAGAGGGTGAAGAGGCGAAAGTAGACCTCATAAACATATCCCGCGACCTCGCCGAATGGAACAAAGAGGCGGGTAATGCAGATCAGACGTTCTCAATTTACAAGAACATTCTGCAAGAAAATCCAGATGATTACGAAGCGGCGCTTTCAATTATGATGCTTCATTACGAGAACAATGACTACCAGGGTCTGCTTGAATTCCTACAATCGCGCCAGGATTCGACGAACGAAACAACGGGACTGGATCATCGCACAGAAGCGTTCCACGCCCACTACAACAACGAGAAATACCATGAAGCTATCTTCGCGCTAGCTTATAAGACAGATAACTTTGATATCATTCTGGATAGCTATAAGGTAGCTGTGGATGAGGCAAAGAAGCGATATACCAAAGGTAGACAGACTGGGGACCTCGTTGAGGAGGAGTTTGGCCGTGTCTGCCAGGCCTTACTCATGCACAGGGCTGCGCTTCTGTGCTACAACCACACTTCCAACACCGTGGAGCATAGAGAGTTTGCTATCGACCAATGGATACTAATTCTGCAGATGGACGAACCCAGCGCATCGTATCTTCCAATCGTGAAGAAGCTAGTACGCAAGAAAATGGCGATTGTTTGTTTTCAAGAAGCTCGGCGAGATATCGCCACTGCTGGGCTATATTTACAACATCTGGAGGAGATGGCGTCTTTGTCGATTCGAGGCTGTTGGGAAGAGGATTTCGATGAGACGTATCCAATGCGGCTTATTTCCCGATGGTACGCATTGCAAGGCGACGAGCAGAAGGCCAAGGATACTTTGCGGGCTCCTATCAAGGTGTATCTTGATCTTCTTTCAGACGATGATCCGCTCAATGACTGGCAGGGCTATCATGGGTTGGCAATGCATCTGATGTTTGCGGGTCAGGATGCCGACTCCCTCGCCGCGTGGTCTTTGATTACTCCACGCGATCACCTCGAGACTGAGAATAGTTCCTCGGAAGCGAAGGGCAAAGCGACGGAGCTTCGGGGGCCAATGAATGACATATGTGATGGGCGTTGTGGGACGAGTTGGACGTTCGCCAACGACATCTACGTTTGTAGGGACTGCGACTATGTTGAGTTTGACGAAGGCTGCTTGAAAAAGCTCCGAGAAGGAACCTTGGGCTCTGAAGAAATATGTGGGAAGGACCACGAGATGCTACACGTCCCAGCATATGACGCAGCCGACCGCGAGAAAATCGGTATTGGGAATGTGAAGGTTGGGGAACACATTCTTTCGGTTGAAGAGTGGCTTCAGCGGCTTAGGAGAGACTGGAAGATCAAGCTAGCATAATCGCTTCGTTGGTATAGCATTCAAGAGCATCATCCTTAGACATGGATACTTGGGAATGCTGAGAATTTCAAATATCACAAAGAATTAATAGGATGATGCTCATTTGTGAGCTCTTAAACAGGTAAGCAAAGCCGAAATGTGCCGTGCATTGTCCGGTCTACATGCCTCTAGTGCCACCACCTTCGAATTGAACGGAATTTACAGATCGACGGAGACATTCGGTGACCCTTAAGCTACCAGACCCGCGAAAGGCCTTGTCAGTCAAGGAGCTGGTAGAAATCATGCACTCTAGACTTCAACCGTGAAAAAAACCCCAGGAACTGTCAATTTAAGATTACATCTCAAATTGCACGTCTTCAATAGTGCTCAGACTGTTCCACCATCAGAACCATGGAAGCGTCGAAGTTGTCATCACTGCTTACGGTCCCGGACTAAGCTCTTGGACCCCACATCGAGGCGAAAAAGATCACTTACTTTAATAGTCAGAGTGTGGAACAATATCTTAAAGTGACTCTGCCAAAATGGGAACCAAAGGCTGTTGGACGTGCAGAGGTACTTTGTGATCAGATGAATATCCACCGCCGAAGCTGACTTGCCTCAATCACTACAGCACGCAAGGTCAGATGTGATCTGGCCCTACCAGTCTGCGGCAACTGCACCAAGGCACAAAAAGCATGTCGAGGCTATGGCATTCAACTTTCTTGGCCCCGAACAGGTGATGGACGGCGGGCATTAGTGCATGACACAGATGCGCTGAGAAGAGCGTCGTGGCGGCGGAAAGGCGATACAGTTACTGATTCTTGAATACCTCTAACTGGGATATTTTACTTTCAGACCTACTTGAATAAAGAAAGAACATCGGTAAGGATTATATCACTGAATCCTGGACGCATGTTCGGACTGGCTAAAATGAGATTGACGCAGCTCGTTATCTGCATACCTTGAGAGTACCACATATACCATATCTCCCCTCCTCTCACCTCGGAGGAGATGACACTCTTCTCCTTCAATACTGTATGTCATTCCTCGAATTTTCATTAGAAGACAATATCTGACAATGTGGTGCAGTCAACGAAAGCAAATCGCAAATATTAACACCCGTCATCGACGACTCATTAGCTCATTTCATCATGAGAGTGGCATTATCCGATTCCTCTCTTTCCTCCAACTTGGTTCTAGAAGGAATATTTGCCATCGCATCATTACAACTTCAAGGTCTCTCGACAAGTAGTGCCCGCCAGCACCGACTCATATCGATGCTACGAGAAAACATCATACAGATCGACAAAGGAAACGTCCTTCGAAACCTTATCGCCACAATGCTTTTATACCAATATGAAGTATCGCCCATCATCTTTCATACAAAATGCGCAAAGGTAGCTGATTTTTCTTAGCTTTGTACTACATCAAGTCCCAAGAAATGCTGGAGTTTCTATCTTTGTGGCGCCAAGAAGATCATCGACGCATCTTCAGCAACAGTTGAACTCTATCATGACGAGAGCGCGGTGCTCATGGAATGGATCTACTACCATGAAGTAGTCTCGAAATTCAGCATTCGGCATTGGGCCGAGGCAGATGCGGTGGACAGCTTCTGCAAGGGTCCATTAGCGATACGGCCCAAAGAGTCATCACTCAATGGCTCTGATGTGAGTTTTCTGATCATTGGGTCCGCTCGGGTATACTGGCTAGTACTCAGGTAGATGTCAAACAGAATTACATGTCCCATTGAAGTCCTTGATCTGCTGCGCGTTATATGCAAACGACCATCGGTATACGACGAAGGCGATCTAACGTAAGACGAATCTGATGTTGCGCACATGCACGAGCTCAAAAGAAGACTTGAACAAGCAGTTGGAGAAAATGGGACATTCCATGATATAGCAGGAGTCTCGTCGACCAGACAAGGGATGCTTGCCTATCTTTATCGGTGTGCGACGTTTATATATCTAGATCGTGCAGTATTTCAGGTATTGAATACTTCATTCCACCACAGGAGGCTAGTGAGGGAGGGAATCCTAATTCTACAAAATCTCGGATTTTGCGAAAGTGCCTGGCCGATGCTTATTCTAGCCTGCAAGGCCAGTGAAGATGAGCAACGCTTGCAAATTCTACAGGCTTTATGGAAGACGGGACAAGAGCCGCTGCACCGATCAAGCCATGTGCCCTTGGTTCAACGCATGATCGAGGCCTTATGGAACCAGAATGACCTCGGGTGCGACAGCAGTATGGATTACTCCAGAACACTACATGCTGTTATTTCGACTGCCCCGGCTTTGCCACTATTTGCTTGAATTTACTTCGCAAAAACTTGGCACTGTGACAGACTGGAACTACTGAGTGGGGAACTGGACATTTAAGTGGCATCAATTCGTAGAGGTATCATGTTATCAGTTCTTTGTTATCATTGAACCATCTGGCTAGTAGCAAAATCCTGTCGAGCAAAAGCAGTCAGTATCGATCGTAAACGATGGAATGGTCTATTCATACCGGGAAGCGCTCGGTGATACTAGCGGCGACACGTTCAACATCCTCAGCAAGTTCCTGCACACCCAGGTCCCACTGTCGCAGGTTGGCGCCAGTCGCACCAGTCGACCCAGCAGCCTCTGTGTCGAATGTGATTATTCCATCAATCTGGTCGATCTGACCACTGAGACGGCCTTGCTCCACCATTTTCGCGGCGTAGTCCTGCGCTTTCTCACCAGCAGACATTTCGGCGGACTCCACAAGGCCCAAGATCGACCCCAGCGCATCAACAGAGATGTTTACGTACAGCTTGCTCGCAGCGACAAGATTGTGCTCAATGACTGCCTTGTCGAGCACAGTGGTGCCGTCAGCAGTGACAGCGAGTTGATGGGGCTGGAGCTTCTTAGCAAATGCAGCAACCTCATCGGGATTCAAGAGACGATCGAGAAACATTTTTTCGAGGATAGAGAACTCTTCTACAGATGAAGCACGATCATCCTTGTAGAGACGGGAGAGAGTACGTGAACGCTGCGGACCCGCAGGTGCCAAAACCGCACAGCGGATGGCAGCCGACAAGGCCGTGAGCCGGTCACTCTCGTCAACACCTTGAGCAAGACTGACACTGAAGTATTCCTGCGCAGCATCCAAGAACCGACGCCGAGCATCGAGAATTCGCGCCTGCGACAGCTGGAAGTAAAGCTTTGCATCATGGTCCTCAAGCTTGCTGGGCAAGTTCTTGATACGATTCAAGAATGCTTCAGCGCTTGTAGTGTCATCATCCTCCAAATAATACCGCACAATGCGGATCCAGAGTCGAGCCTTGGCTGCGTCAGAGACTAGCCGCTGCGAGCTGTCGATGTTGATGCCCGAAAGCGCCCGCGCTGCGGCAGTGTACTCTTCCTCTGACTCGTATGCCTCGGCCAATATTTCACGGATTTGTGAGTCTTGTTCTTCGACTGAGGTGGCGCGAGATTGAAGTAATGTGACAGCGTGTTGACCGACTTTAATCTTGACTTCGGGGTCAAAATTGCGGAGAACGGCGATAAATGAGTCGAGGAGGGGTCGTGTAGCGACAATGCTGATATTTTCATTGAGGATGGAGTCGAGATAGTAGACAATGTCCTGGGCGAGCTCGTCGCCGGTAGAGCTAGCCACGATATCATTGAGCAGGTCGTTGTACTGCTGGAGCTTGGTGGCCTGGTGGGGCGTGGCTTCGATGGCTGCAAGAGCGGAGGTGACCTGCGGAGAAGCCATGATGGGGTGTATAGCTTGAGAGACAAAGGAAGACAAATGCAGCTGCCTGACAGACTCCAGACTGCAGACACGGTGATGTCGGAATGAGCAATGGTGGGTGATGAGTGACGGCTTATCGATAAGGACGGAGAGCGGCTTAGTATACGCCGACTCTTCATAACAACCTCTGTCTGGGAAATTGATCAAGGACGAGTGAAGGAGGAGTAAAATGAGGCCACGGGGTATGGCACGACTCAAAAGGCAACAGCTTCCATCCTGACAATGGAAACTTTGATGATGGAGAGATTCATGCCCGGAGAAGACTCGCGGAACACTTGCTATCGGCATTGCTAGGCCAAATCCCGATATTTACCATATTTTCTTTAGCGGCGGATCCCTGATAACTTTCCTTACAGCTCAAGCCTGTCTATTCTCTTCGATATAAGCTTTCGCATTAAGCTGTTCTCACCGTGGACGCCAGTATGTGAAGTCATCCAAAGAGCCGCCCCTCACCGCCTTGGGCCGACCCAGACTTGTAGCTTCACCCGCCTGTGGCGCACCTCTAACTTCGCCCTTTCTCGTCCTATTCACGAGTACTCGGTCTATTGATACCTTTTCCGTTGTCGCATACGCTAACTCGTATCATACAATCGACGACGGTATCAGCGCCCTGCCTATCGACCATGATGGCTCAAGTGAAGCAAGATCCGGATGCCATGTACATCAAGGATGACCCAGACAGCAAGGACACTGTGCTCGCAGACATCGATGATGAGGACCTCTACGAAGATGCGGGGGATCTGGACTTCACTCTGGCAGCGCAAAACGTGTGGATGTCTCGTCTGCCTCGACAGCTGTGGGAGCACTGGTCGCAACTGGACGATGATGAAGAAATTGAGATTGGAACAGTGAGGATAGAGGGAGAAGTGAATGACTTGAAACGGGTAAGACATGACCAGACTTTTGGCTTCGTCTTCCCAAATCTCACATGTCCCACGTTAGGTCAGCTTGAGGCTTCACGACCGCCCAGATAACCAAAACATCCCGAAAGACTACACTCTGCAACAACAAACGATCAACACAGTAAATGCTTCGCACATGACACAAAATACCTACGTTTTCACGGAAAAAGATATTCCTGGTGCGGAAAATCGGATGGCAACTTTTGGCGAGAATCGCTCCGCTTTGTACGAAGCCATGAAGCGCGAGGCACGGAGGAGAGAGCAGGGCAAAAAATGGGAGCCATATGTGCGGAAGACTGTGCCGAGTATGTGTCGCCGAGACTGCAGGCTCCGAGAAAAACTCACTTACATGAACTAGAACACACGGCACTTGTGGGACAGGTCAGCGAAGAGTTCAATTGCCTGCCGGTAGAAAACGAAGAATTCCGCCGGATTTCGGAGCAACGAGCCTTAGAGGCCCTCAAGCCGAAAAAGGAGACCGTTTTCATCGACAAGATTCCCGGAAAATTCATGCAAAACCGCCATGCCCTACCGGTGGAGAAAAACACGTTCGTGGTATGTTCTCGACATCGTACTCTCCTTACAGCAGCCTGCTTACGTATTCACAGCAAACCACGAAGCTTTCCAAGGCAAAAGCCCAGGAGAACAAATCTACACGTATGCCTCAGAACGAGTTGCTGGACCGCATTTTCGACTGTTTCCGCCAATTCAAGTACTGGCCATTTAAGACCCTCAAGGCCAAGCTACAGCAGCCAGAGGCCTATCTCAAAGAGACTCTTGAGATGGTTGCGCACCTGGTCAAGTCAGGAGATTTTGCCATGACATGGGAGTTGAAGCCAGAGGCACAGCAGAGCAACTATGCTATGATGGCGGCATATGGAGACGCCAAAGCCGAGTTGCCTCCTGGTTTCGACGATGCCTCGGATGATGAACCAACTGCATCTGGCGTTGACGACATTCAATTTGAGAATGTCTAACAAATTTTGAGTATGTGAACCTCCCTCCACCATGTATTAGATTACACCACCACCATTAATGCATATGCTGCGCGGCGCATCTTTTGATCGACTCGATGTATTGGAGTCGCAGATTCCAAAAATCAGCGTCACTGAATATCCAACAGTTCCAGTAAACATTTAACTACAATTGTCAATTCAAAATCACACTTCCTTACTTGTATGTAATCTGAAGTGGATAGATAAATTTATCGACGCGAGGTGACCTATACATGGATAAGATACAGCGTAACGGCGACACTATTCACAAGAAAGAAACAGGAGACAAAGCGTTAAACCCCAGAATAGTCATATCACCTGCATTTACTGTCTTTAACTTTCCTCCAATGTCATTCGATCTGAACGCGCCGAAAAATATCACGTGATGGGACCCGCCACTGTGATCCGCCACCGCGGGCCAAGGCACGACACCGTCATCTCATGCTCGAACTTCCCCGAGCACATCATCACTTTTCACCTAGGATCTTTCTTGTCTGCTTGGCTCTCAAGCTGGAGAACCATCTGCGTCTCACTCACTAATTCACTAGATCCATAGCAAGCCTTCATGACAGAAAACGAGGATTTATTGGCCAAGATTGGTCAGCTTGCGGGTAATGCGCTCGATCTCACTCTTGTTTCAGCGGTTCTAACAATGCGCAGGTCAAATCAACAGACACAAGACCCAAGGTAGCCAGCCATACCAACCATCAGCACATCATTCACAGCATGTTGCGCGTCATTCTCCTGGCCACCAAGGTTGGGCTCCCTACTCGCGAGGCAGAGGCCGCCGTCCTGTAGCTCCGCACCGGCACCGCACACTGGTTCTGAACAACGGAGGCTCAGGGTCAAATGCTAGCGTTACCTCGTCTCCTGGCCCTGTAAGCGAAAATGATGGTGAAGCGCGTCCGACATCGAGCTCAACCGGGTGGATTGCGAAGCGCGATCGCCACATGCAGTTGATCAACTCCGCTGTATATGATAAAGAAACTCAGGCTAGAGCAAGGGCTATGGAAGAGACTCGTAAACTCAAAGCAGAGCGACGTGCTCAACGTGAACAGGCAAAGGTTCTTCGGTATGCGCAAGGTTCCACTGTCTCGACCCATGCGCAACCCTCCGCCGAACACCAGATTCTTGTCAATGATATTCCATTCAAGATTATGCGCGGCGGAAGCAAGCTCGTGCGAGTGTCAAGTATGAGCCTCTTGAAGCCTTCGTTGCCTCTGAGAACTGGCTTACAGTCCATAGATGACCCCGACAAAGCAAATACCACGCCGAAGCGAGTGACCGTAGCTGGCGTGGCCTTTGTGCGCAGCAAAAATGGCAATCTGCACCGCCTCGGAGCGGTTACCTCGAAAAAGTCAGTTCGTAATATTTACACCCTGAACACGACGCTGACACCCGCTAGACATCCAACAGCCGTCAAGAAGCGCGACGAGCTGTGCAAGCGATTCACAACGACTGGTATTTTGATTTCCAACGGACCATCCGCATCGCCCTCCATGCCCTTAGTACGACTAACCAAATCCCAGGAACATGCTACAAAGGACCATCATGTCCCTTCATCCACGATCCAAACAAAGTGGCTATTTGCAAAGACTTCCTCCAAACAGGCCAGTGCAGTGCCGGTGAGAGCTGCGATCTATCCCACGAGCCATCACCCCACCGCTCCCCAACTTGTATGCATTTCCTTAGAGGCCGCTGCGCAAACCCCGAATGCCGTTACGCCCACATTCGCACCACTCCCGGCGCGCCCGTATGCCGCTCCTTCGCAACCCTTGGCTATTGTGCAGCCGGCGAAACCTGCCCAGATCGTCACGTGCATGAGTGTCCAGATTACGCGAACACTGGTGCTTGCCACAAGAAGAGATGCACGTTGCCTCACGTCGATCGCGCCGGACAGATTCGCAAGGCGGCAGCCGCAGCAGCAAAGACCGACCGCTCAGATGACTCTGATCCGTCTAGCGAGGAAGAAGACTATGACGCTATTGATTCTGATGATGTTGACTCTGACGAGTTTGATGAGGAGCTCATTGGAGGTGAGGACAGCGGCGAGATGTCGCGGCAGCAAGACTTCATCCACTTCTAGTTCTAGGACCCCTGGCCCTGTAGTTGTGAGATAGCTTCACCATTGCCCATTCCGTTCTTCATTCATCATCCTTCGTTTCTTTCACTCGGCTTTTTGCCATCGAGTATACCTCGTGCGGTTCTGGACCTGGATCCTGATCCGGATCTGTTGATACCCCCGGACGTGTTTCACGCATTCAAGAAAATACAAAGCAAATTAGGACATCCTCCATCTTTCATTCTCACGACCGTAGCTTCGTAACTCCGAGTAATTATTAGTAGGCGACAAAGAAGAGATGTAGTTCAGGTAGCTCTGCGCAACGTGTGATAGTGACGAACTTACAGGAACTGTCCTGGTGACTTCTACTGCATACAAGGACTTTTCCCTTCAAAGCCAGGGAACCCATCAGGACACGATAAGTCCGTGTGACTGACCGACGGCTCGGTGTTTTCCGAAGGCGTGCGTATCGTCAGCAGCTGCCCAAGTCGAGGCGAGGGTCATAAATGTTTAGGCCTGGATGGTGTATTGGTCAGGGGCAAGGAGGGACATGCAGCTGGGTCATCTATGCAGGAGGACTCGGGCGGGAAATTCGTCAGACTCGGAGGCTGCTTTTTCTTTTGGGCGAGGAGTCCCCGGGGTTGTTCGCTTTTTTTGAGATTGATGGCATGGTTCGTGGGGTAGTTTCCGATAGGATGTTGATTTGGCAGTGAATGTAACCAGATAACTCTGGCACCCTTCGAGGAGATTCTATTTCTTGCGTCTTGAAGCGGCCTCTTACTTGGGTGGATGTAATTCCCTCTGATGAGAGTCTAGATTCCAGTCGACAAAACCCGGCTCAATCTGCCCAGGTGACTGTATAGATCTTGGTTCAGAACACAACATGTACAATGACGTGGCTCGTTCTCTACTGCAATTTTGTAAATTATAGAGCAGCTCAAGTTTTTCGATGATGGACATTGTAGTCTGGCATGCTTTACATGAGCTATGACTACTGCAGAAGGTCGAAGTAATGCAATGTGGCTGGTGCAACCTGCGATGAGCTACGAATACGACGTCATTTGCAGCACCCATTCTGACCACCGGATGACGGTCGAGAACAAGACTAAGTTTGATTCTGTCAAAATGTCATAACAGGAGTCGGAGTCTGTGGCTGGTTCTAGACGGAAAAATAAATGTGGCTTGGGAGCGCGAATCGCCCGAGTACGATGCGGACTATCATGATCTTCCGCATATGATCTGATTCGGTTGCAGCGCATACTCGAAATTGATGATGACTCTGATTTGGAAATGGAGATCCAAATGGAAGCTAGATAACAGTCTATCTAGGCAATGATGTACAAACGGTGGCCAAGTCCGGAAAGCTCAGAAAAGAAGGCGTAGTAAACTGAAGACAAGAGTCCCACTTACACAAGGGCCTTCCGGGGATTCCCTCTATTGTATGCATTCACATGAAGACCTCCAAATACCTCAATGAGTCATACGTCCAGAATGACAAAATGAACACTCAGCAAATCCATCAAGCGGTCTACGGACGCGAACATCAAACCCACTACTTCCGTATTGGGTACAGGGATATCAGACCAAACTTGGGAAAAAGCTAGGACGAAATGTGGAAACCTCTTTTCGAATAGGAAGTGACCCGGGAACTCCTGGTCCAAACAACCGGCCTTCCTTCAGATCCAATCCTGGCTCATGGATCGCTCCTATCCCCAAACCCGGGCCCATTCCCATGTGCCCAACAGAGCCGTGCAGGCCGATCAGGCAGGGACCAAAGTGAGGCTGTCTTGAATATCGGCTTGGCTTGAACGTTTCAGAGCCGTTGGGCAGAGCGCGACCCGTGTTTTGTTTGAGTGGAGCGGTGGAGGATACGCTCTCGGCGTGGGTACTTTGCTAGCGATCGTAGGTCTACGTGAGTCATTCAACAAATTGCTAGATCATGAAGCTCTGAAAGCTTCAAGAGATTAATGTGGAAACAATTTGCAGGTTATGTATCCCGGTATATCAACTGATGAATGACGACTCTTTGCCTGCGTCATCAGCTATACCGCACGAAAACAACATACAAGATCACAAGGGAAGTCACATCATTCCACCAGCTACCTTGCAGTACCCAGCCTCAGAACCTTCAGCTCAACCATGACTAAGTCGGAAAAGGGCACCGATGCCGGACTGGATCTCAATTGGATAGAACCGGTGCATTCACCGCCAGATGGAGGGGCCAGGCTCCGGGGAGACCGACCTGGTGACAGGGCCTATCACGGCATCAGATTAACATGGCTAAGTATAGACGGCGAACGGACTCAGGGGCTGATGCACCTGGATACTGAAGGGAGAACCTGGGACATTGAAAGTGGGCGTCAGAAGACAGGAACAGGCATCCTCAAAGATTTGGCGATGAGCGGTAAGGGTATGGGTCCGGCTTCGTAGATTAGAAGGATAGCAGAAGCGCTAGAACACTTAGTCTGACTCCTTGAGTCCTAGTCTGAGAGTATGTTGTACGAAGTTCAGATGTTCGGATGGGGAGCCCTGGTGGTTCTCTACGACTCTGGGTGTGGACGGATCATGCTATGACGCTCTAGAACAGACTACCTTGAATGAGCAAGAGGAAGATGTCATAGTCGCTGGACGTAGATGTCCGAGCCTGTCATCAGGGAATCCGGGGATTGGAGGGGACCGTCATTCGGAGGGGACGAGTGATCAGTACAGGGCCGTGCATCATTACTGAGAACCGTGGAAGGACGAGTGGATCACCCGCGGGCCGCACCCGTTCCAGAATCTGAGAAATCCGCAAGTGTCAAAACCGCCCATCAACTCGACCACCCAGGACTATCGCCATAACAATTCAGATGGGCTGTCACACCGAGTCATGAACGGTTGGATGAAACGCGTTGGAAGGGCACAGACCGGAAACGGGGGAGAAGTTGGAACCGAGCAGCGATAGCCTATCGATTATCGATAAGCCCCTCCAGTGGGATGTAATTTCCTCCCGGAATATCTATCAACTCTGGACTCTGAGACACCTACTTCTGGCCCTTGGGTCTTGGATCCAGGACTCCAAAGTCTGGATAATCCTGAGGAATGAGAGATCGGGCTGACAACAAAGGTACCAGTCGGGCCCAGCACCAAAAAGGAAGACAGTGATCAGATGCAAGCGTGCCCAAGATGAACAGAGCAGCCAATCGAGGGAACCGACGCAGACTGAGGGGGGCCCCCGTTTCCCGCGCAGACCGCCGTAGGTACACCTTGTATGTAGCGCAGGTACTGAAGGTACTTGTGGAGAGAGTCTAATACCCACGGAAGGCACTTGCACTCGTCCTGTACTTATCTGCCGTCCTCGGCGGAGTGCACATGCGCCTACATAATGCCGTTTCCCCTCTCCCGATCTTGACCTCATCTATCATCATTCTATCTTCATCTTCATCCTCTTTTGCATCTGTTTGTTTTTGCTGTGTTCTTTATCATACCACTTGAAATCCTCGCCCCCCCCCCCGCCCCACCTTCTCTTCACCTACCACACCGCCTCTTCGCTTTCGCGATGGCAAGATATTCTCAGTTTGATTTCTACCAACAATCTCCCACATCACTAGATGTACCTGAAGAGGACGAGATGAGTGTGTTGGACGACAAGATTCTTGACCCAACCTCCCCCGGGCTCTCCGATGCCCGCCGCTCATCCTACGACGCCCAGGATGCCTTCTCACATCGAAACTCTGTCTGGTCTAACTACTCTCACGCCAGTTCCGACTCCCGACAGTCCTCTCATCTGGGTCACACTATCTTGGACTCTACCGGCGCACAGTTCATGCCCGTCGATGGTCCTCAGTCCTATTCACAGCAACCTTGGTCTGTCTCTCGCACTGGCTCCGGCTCATGTACACCTACCGGGTATGAGCAGTATCCCCCAGAATGCGAGAGTAGTTCTGTGCCCTTTCACGGTGGTGCGGTAGGCCCCATTGGTCCGATCCCCATGGGCGCTGTATCGTATCGGAGTGGGATGGGCTTCCAGTCTGGCGGGGTCGCCATGTCCCCGCAGTCGAGCCAGGGTTGGATGCCGGCGCCGATGGATCTGGCTGAGGCTGCACAGTCAAAGACTTCGTCCTATCGAAATGGGTCTCCGTTGACGTTAAGAAGAGATGGGATTCGAAAGAAGAATGCCCGCTTTGAGATTCCTGCCGAGCGGACTTTGAGTAACATCGACCACTTGATCAGTCAATCAAGCAACGAAGAAGAGATCAAAGAGTTGAAACAGCAGAAGCGCCTTTTGCGGAATCGACAGGCAGCGTGAGTTTGTATTGTGTTGATGGGTTGCTCGCTTCCGCTAATCGAATTCTAGTTTGGATTCCCGTCAGCGCAAAAAGCTTCATACTGAGAAGCTCGAGGAAGAGAAAAAGCACTTCACTCATACCATTAGTCAATTGGAAGACATGGTACAATCGCTACAAAAGAGAGAGGCCGACCACCAGCGCGAGAAGAACGAGTGGATGGCTCAGCAGGGCCAAATCACCCAATACATCGAAGGTCTCCACATGGAAAAGGACGAGATGATCCGCGTGCACACGCTCGAGACAGCCGAGTTGCGTAAGAAGAACAATATCCTGATGGAGACTGTTGAGAAACTCGAACGAGGCGTCAAACCCTCGATGGCGGATAGTCATGGCGACTTTGCCGGCTTTGAGAACCTCAGCATGGAAGGCCACCCATGGGAGGAGTTTAGTATGGCCAATGGTCTCTCGATGCCTGAGCCAGCTCCCGCTCCACCATCACAGGCTCTCACTAATGAACGAACATCCGAAAAACATCCATTCAGTTGGAATGCTTTCTATATGTGCCTTCTCTTCGGCGCTTACATCGCATCCAACAACACCGTGCTGCCCGGCCATTCCCTTCCCCAAATGTCGGAAGAATATCGCGCCGAGTCTGCCAATGTTTTGAAAGCCGTGCTAGCCTCGTCTCCACCCGAGCTCGCCAACCCGGTGACCCACGCGTCAGTATCCGCCACGTCAGGTCCGAGTATGACCGGGATGCAGATGGCCCAGATGGGTCCCGCCCCAACTGGTTCCTCAACTCTGGACGAGCTGCACGATACACTAGTCATGCCAACCGAAAACCAGGAACGGGCCCAAGTGTTTGCCCTCAGTGCAGACCAATACAACTCCCTGACAACCTTTGAGGATGATGGCGCCGGATTCAAGCCCCAACAACCCTCGAACCTGCAACAGGCGCTACAAGCCATGCGCAGCCAAACTGCCGCGCAGCAGCGTATGCACGATATCTCGACATCAGACGTCTATTCCCGCTCACTGATGTGGGAGCGCGTTCCGCAGAAGGTGATCCGCGATTTCCAGCGCATGGTTCATGAATACGGCGTTAATCCCATTAAGGAGGAGATAGTCGGCTTCCAGGCGGCCTAACTACAACAAGAATTTCGACAGCTCTCCACATTTTTTTCTTCTCGCGCAGGGTCCTTGCCCTGAAAAATTCAAGAAAAAAAAAACCAGGACCAGCAATGAGCCCACAAAGCGTGCCTCTAGACCACGCATTCTTTCCGTGTATTGATTTATCGACTTCTTTCTCAACATTTGGTTGCTCGGTGTCTTTTTATTATTATTTTATTGGCTGTTAGCGATGTGTTTTGCAGCGTGTTTGGCTCATTAGCGTGGGAGGGGGACACTTTGTCATATCATACGGAAATGGGGATATTGGGGACTTGGGGCATGGGATATGGACTAAAGAAATGAGATGTACAGACAGGTGAAGACAGTGATCGATTGACATTGGGACATGCGATACGAGATATGAAGATCTATCGACTGTTCTGACGACCTCTCGCGCCTTTCTTTTTCTTTTGCGTTTCTGGGCGGGTGCCCTCGATTTATTTTTCCCTTTTTTTCTTCCCTTTTTACTTTGTTCAAGCTACCTTGGGGGTCGCCATGATCCTGACTCTCAAGGTGGTGTGGTCTCGTTTTCAAGAGTCCATTCTAAACCTTTTTGAACTGGCGGCGACGCCTATGATATTACGACCTAGCCCCCTTGGGCAATGCGATATGACTATAAATTTACTACGATCGAATTCCCGCTCATTAGATCATTGAATCATTAAATCATGGAATCATTGGAGGGCTGATGCGATTTACTATTGCTCGGTGTGATTCCGGGTGTGCTTGATACTATCAAAGTACCTCGGAACCCGAATCGCTCGAGGCCCTAGTACGATCTCTACATGTCTCGGAGCAATCCCAGACGGTCGTAGTGACATCTCCGGTCTGCCTCCGTACAATCTTATTTTTCCCGCGTGAATACGACGTTTCCAAGGTTTTCCACCTGTAAGGTTTAACCGAAGGACCTTGGGGGTGAACCATCTCGACACACCCAATCAACCCCGATATAAAGCGATCCACCACAATGTACTGGTCTAAGCCCCCGTAAAAGCTTGGACTGGACTCAAGCACTGACCAAGAAATCCAAGAAGTGTTGACGTCGGCTGGGCGCAGATACTCTTCGTCCTGAGCACGTTGTACAGGGCGCGGGTAGGGCTCGGAGGAGTCAAGATACCACCACCATACCATTGTGGCATAGGGATCTTGCAATTCTCTGTGGCACCACTTCTCGTCAGATCCACTGCGCTTTCCAACCATCACACAGAGGCTAACTCAAACGGCGCCATCTCTCGGGGGCCAAAACTCGCTCGACCAGGGCCACCATCTCCCAAGGTCCCCAATCCCTCGGAGGCACCGAACGCGCGATCTAGAATTTTCAAATATAAAAATGAACAGTCGATCCTATCCAGACAAAGACAATTTCCTTGTGTTTCCTTTTTCATCAGGGCTCCAGATAATAAGTATAAAAAAAACTTTGGATTCCTCCGGTCATCACTTTCCAAAGACCCAGGAGACCTCTGTCGACAATTATCAAAATGACCTTTGACCCTCACAACGTCGACCTTACAACGGCGGACCCAACTGAAGTCGTCTGCTATCTCGATGCCTCAAGCAACGAATACAATGGCCAACTCGGCGCCCGCATCTCCTCGATCTTTGTAATTCTCGTCATTTCATCCGCCGCGACTTTCTTCCCCGTCCTCGCCAAACGTGTACCTCGTCTCCACATCCCATTATACGTCTACCTCTTCGCCAAATACTTCGGTGCCGGCGTCATCATCGCTACAGCCTTCATCCATCTTCTTGACCCCGCGTATGGGGAGATTGGCGGCGACTCCTGCGTCGGACGAACAGGTCACTGGGCCGATTACTCCTGGTGTCCCGCCATCGTGCTCACCTCCCTGATGATTGTCTTCCTCATGGACTTTGGAGCCGAGCGCTGGGTCGAAGTCAAGTATGGTATCTGTCGTGAGGACCCAGAGCCGATCATGGCTTCGGGCGTGGAGGTCCAGCGCGTGAGTTCCAGACAATCAAGACGGGAACTCGAGCACGGCCATAACCATGAACACGGCCTGGCGACAGACAAAGACCAAGACAAGAAACACATGAAGGAACTCGAGAGCCAAAGCCAATTGTCGGATGAATTGAGTATCGAGCGCAGTTTCAAGCAGCAGATTGCCGCATTCTTGATCCTGGAATTCGGCGTCATCTTCCACTCCGTCATCATTGGCTTGAACCTCGGTGTTGCCGGTGATGAGTTTGCTACTCTTTACCCGGTCCTCGTGTTTCATCAATCGTTCGAGGGACTCGGTATCGGTGCCCGAATGAGTTCTATCCCCTTCAAGAAGGATTCCTGGTTGCCTTGGATGTTGTGTACTGCGTATGGTCTGACCACGCCCATTTCGATTGCCATTGGACTCGGTGTGCGCACGACGTATAACCCGGGCTCGTTCACGGCGAACGTCGTCTCCGGTGTTCTTGATTCCGTGTCGGCGGGTATTTTGATCTATACCGGTCTGGTGGAGTTGCTGGCGCGTGATTTCTTGTTTGATCCCCACCGCACCCAGGATGATAAGAGGTTGACTTTCATGGTTGTTTCGCTCTTGCTTGGAGCCGGAATCATGGCTCTGCTGGGCAAATGGGCCTAGGTGTCGGTTGCTTTTGAAGACCTGAAAATGAAGGGGAGAGTTTGTGTGGAATGTGACGGAATTTTCCTGTCATGTTTTAATGATACCTGTATACCCCTTTTTTACCTTTTTGTTTACTAGATGGTTAGCTTGTGGAGTGATGCACTCCAATGTTGTATTTAGGACTTGTTGAAAATAATAATGGGAATTTGAATTTTGGGAAGGCTTCCAACTACGACTTGTCTCGTGGCTTGTAATTCAATCTCTGTATCCAATTTGTGACGAAAACAAAAAACTCCATTGTAATGTTGGTCTATGGTCTATTTACAGTGTATGGTCTATTTGTCTATGTATCTTTGTAAGTCTTCACTCCCATTCCCTCCATCTCCATCTATCTCTCCCCTCCACTTCGAACCCACCCGGATTACCCCGGAGTCAATACTCCGTCCCTCTCCTCTACTCCGCTTTCTTTGAAGCCTTGGTTCTCAACTTCATCAGACCGAAAACCAAAGCATAACCACTGATAGCGTAGAGAACCGTGATAGCAGCATCTCTCCATCCAACATAGTAATGGTTGATGTTCAAAGTCTTCAAGAAGTCACTTCCATTAGTGTACTCGCAAACCTTGCAGCCAGAGGTAGCATCCGGATTGATCAAGTTGACCATAGATCCAACGCCGGACATATAATCCTTCAGGTACTCCGCACAGGTGCCATTGATAGGATCGAACAAGGCGAACTCATCCTCGTTACAGGTGACCTTTGCGTCCCAGATACCAAAAGTCAACATGCCAGAAACGACGTAATTGAACGGGTTCAGGTAGTACATCCAGTACCTCCAGAAAACGTTGAGCTCAGAGTACGGCACAAAGACACCACAGAAGAGAACCAGGATACTGATAATGAGGGGGTTGACGAGCGCAGCAAAAGTAGGGTTGGGAGCGTAGGCTGCGATGAACTGGCCGATACCGGTGTAGATGAATTCGTAGATCAACATGATGAAGAAGGTCGCGCCGGAGCGGTTCGAGTCGTGAGGCAGTCTCCAGACAGGGTAATACCAGCATGCGAAGTAGAGGACCGCACAGATGCAAAGGTAGGGGAATTCGGAAACGATCAGACCGGTGACGAAGGCAACCCAGGAGTACATCTTTGATTTCTTCTCACGGGCATCGTAGATGTCACGACGCTGGATAAAGAGCGGCTGAAGCTGGTTGATGACACCGGGAGCGACGAAGACGAAGTTGAAGATTGTGAACATCTTGAGGTTCAAGGCAGTCACACTTGGCCCGGGTCTCCAGAACGAAAAGCCGTTGAGAAGCGCGGAAATGATATGAAGGGACATCTTGTTGTTGACGTAGTTGGTGTTTCGGAAGAGGGCGACATTCATGCGCTGGGTGACGATCTTGGTCTGTTCCCATAGAGGCATAGAGAACTCAAAGCCATCAGAGACCGTTCCAGGGGGCTTGCTTGCGGCGTCGTCGATCATTCTGTCCAGCTCGATCATCATCGCTTGCTGTTCGGGCGATTCAAGCCAAACCTGATGCCAGTCTTTATCCTTGACAGCCTCAATACCACCAGTGACCACATCGATCATGAACTCGGCGGGGTTGGCCTCTGAAGGACAGATGGCACCGTAGTTGCCGAAATAGTGCTTGATTGTGGATCCGTTCTCACCGATATCTCCAAAGTAGACCGTTTTGCCACCGCGAGCGAGAAGCAGGAGGGTATCGAATTGGGCAAAGAGCTGTGCGGAAGGCTGGTGGATAGTGACAAGAATTGCTTGACCGACATCGGCAAGCTTTCTCAGGAAACGAACTGTGTTGTAGGCGGATTGACCATCAAGACCTGAGGTAGGCTCGTCCAGGAAGATGAGAATGCTGGGCTTTGAAACCAATTCCACGCCGATAGTCACACGCTTTCTCTGCTCCACGCTGAGTCCATTGCCCACGGCACCGATGAGGGTGTCGGCGAGGTCGTGAAGCTCGAGAAGATCAATGATAGTCTCGACGTATTTGAGCTTCTCTGCCTTGGGGGTGTCACGGGACTGGCGCAGGAGAGCAGAGAACTGGAGGGCCTCTCTCACGGTCGCGAATGGCTCATGAACGTCCAGCTGCTCACAATAACCAGCCATTCTTTGGAAAGATACGGGTAGAGGTCGACCGTCAACCAGGATGGAGCCGTTGATTGTACCTGTCAAAAGTGAAGTCGTGTTAGCATAATTGAGGCCAAACGTCGGAATCTGAGCATGGACGTACCATCGGTTTTGCGTTGAGCGAGCACATCAAGTAGTGTCGTTTTACCGGCACCGGACGATCCCATCAGAGCGCCAAGCATGCCAGGCTTGACCCACCCATGGATATTATCAAGAAGAACGCGATCTCCTGTAGGGGTCTTGACGGTGTATGTGAGGTTCTTCCAGGTGAAGATTGACGTGTTTCGAACCAGGTTGTCATTTCCAACCTCGACAGGCTCGTCTGTGGTCGTACGGGGAGCACTTTTTTCGTTGTCTTGGGCTTCCTCGTCTTTGTGGGATTGGTGCTTCTTGAGGCTCTCACGAGGGATGAGAAGGGAAGAGCCACCGCCGGATCCACCGTTCCACAAGCAGGTGTAGATAATGGTCAAGACGGCAAAGAAACCCCACCAAGCCCAGAGAATGCCATAGTTTCGCCACAGTTGAGTGGCCTTATAATGAAGAGACCCAAGGTATTGATCTCCAGTCACAAAGGTAGCACCAGGAAGGGTACCGCCAATGCCTGTACAGGCTTTGTGGGCGTCTCCAACATTCTCATAGCCTGGGCCGTGGGGAATCAGATTTCGGCCGACACAATCAATATGCTGGTCATGGAATTCATTGGCCATTGCAGCCTGGAAGGCATAGGCGAAAGGATTGGTGTAGTACAGCTCAAGAAACCAGTTCTTGATCTTCGGCTTGGGAATCATGTAACCGGCGTACATAACGATAGCCTTGACCGCGGTTCCAGAGATCTTAGAAGCAGCTTCGAAGGTGCTGAATGCGGCTCCGATACATCTGAACAAGGCAGTAATGACCTATTTCTTGGTGGTTAGTAATCTGTTGACTTGAAAAAAAGCAGGTCAGATGTTCAAAGAGATCTACTCACCAGAGTTGTCGTAAAGAGGATAGCCCAGAAGGTGAAGAATGCAGCCGCGGTGTGCTTCAAACCCACCATCCAGTAGATGACAATCGAGAAAATTGAGCACTGGAACAGTAAAACAGGGAAATCGGCCGTAATTTGAGCCAGACAGAACGCGGCCGGGTGGTACATTGCGAAGCTTTTGTGCTTGATCAGGATAGGGCGTCCCTTGAAGGACTCAGTAACCTCGGACATGGCCACAATGCAATTATACAACAGTGAGAAGAACACAGCGCCACCTTTGGTGAAAAGTCCGGCAGAGGTATCAGGAGAGTTGTAGAAGCAAGAACCAGCGATCAATGCCATTATACATGACAAGACTTGCTTGATCAAGAAAGTAGACTTATCACCCCACAGAATCTGGTACTGTCGCTTGGTGCAGGCAATGATTTGGGCCCAGAAACTGATGGTCAGATCACTGCGCTTGGGTAGGTGGTTTGACTTTTCCCAGGCAACGGATTCTTTGAAGGCCTCTGTGCGCTCAGCTGCAACATCGCTGTTCGGATAGTCGTAGTTGGATATCTCGTTCTTGTATGTCGCCGAGTTCTTGTACTCAGCCAGGATGGCATCGGCAGTCCGAGGGAATCTATTTTCCCAGCCAGGCTTAATCTTTCGTTCGGTCGGAACAGTCACACCGGTGAGGAAATCGCCTAGAAATACCCAAGGTTAGCATGTGACGCAAGTGAATACCAGCAAAAGGAAAACCGACCGATATTCGCTCCTCGGTATACATCAAACCAAGATTCTCCATGAACGGCTTTGCTTGCGCAGCAGGGCCGTAGTAAATTTGCTTTCCTTCGTCAAGGACAAGAACCTTGTCGAATAGGTTATAAATGGCGTTTCCGGCTTGATAAAGAGTGACAATGGTAGAAAGTCCTTGTACATCGGTCATAGCACGAAGAGCCTTCGCCCATTCCAATGCGGTACTAGCATCCAGACCACGGGTACTGTTATCCCAGGTGTAGATCGAAGCCCTGGTGGCCAAGCATTCGATAATAGAAACTCGCTTTCTTTCTCCGCCCGATACGCCACGGACAAATTCATTTCCAACTTTTGTGTCGGCAGTATGCGAGATTCCCATAGACTCCAAAAGGAATTGCTTGGTCTCCGCGGTATATTCTTCGACGCTCTTGGCTCCGTCGGGGAGATGGAACGGAACCTTGAGCCTCGTGGCAAAATCCATCGTTTGACCGACAGTCAAGCGAGGGTAAAACAGCTCTTCTTCCGTGTTCATGACGATCTGGCCTTGAAATTTGATTGCTTCGTCGTGTGTCATATTACCAAAGCGCACATCACCATTGATGGTGTGGTATCCTTCACGGCGGTTGGCAAGCATCTTGAGAAGTGTGGTACAGCCAGAACCGGGTCGACCCAGAACAAGTAGCATTTCACCGGGCTTGACACAGCCATGGCTGTCCGACAAGATCGCCTTCAGGGGTGGTTTCCGTCGCATGTCTTTGATGAGTTGAGGAACATTAAATTGAGAGATCATGTTTTCTTTGACCGCGGCTTCGGCTGCAAGCACTTCCACGGTCAAGTTTTGCCAGGTCACTCCAAGTTCGCGTCGCTTGAACCCGGCAGCTTCGTCACGCTGCGCATTCCGGATGACCTGCGGTGTCATGCCCCATTCGGTATTCTTCTTGGGAGCTGGCGTAGTCGGAGTTTGAGGACCGTTGAGGGTTTCGGAGCTGCTGGCTTCGTGGAGCTTCATCTCGGGGACAGCGAGGGTATCGTAGCTTTTCTGGTACTTTGCCTCGCGAGCTTCATCGGTGGGTGATTCAGGGGACGACATTTCGTCCGATTTTTGATACTGCTCCGACATGGGAGCAAGTATCAGTCTGTGTTTACAAATGAATGGGATGAAAAATTATTGGCGATGATACAAGAAGGGGGCCTTTGGGTATTTATAAAATCTACGAGTACCTCGAAAAGAGGACGTGAGACATTAAAAGTTGACATATACCTATTCTAGGCCCGGTGGACCTTGGGCAGTGGAGCCTAGGAATTGGTGCCGGCACTGCAAAATTACTATCTTCGTCCACTAGATACTATCGGCAAAGGTCCCGCTCAAAGATCTATTAGTCAGGTACTCGGAATTATACAGGTATAGGGGCTTGCTTATGCTCCTTTCTAATTCCGCTATGAGCAGGATGGAGGCGCCCGCTAACCATGTTTGGGCCAAGGCTTATGCACGCGATATTTTAAATCCTCTGCCTTATATCGGTAGCCAATTAGATGACTTAACGCATGGATCCAGCGAGTGAAATTCGTGTGCTGAATGGTAAAACTTAGTTCAGGGAGGAGTTGAGTTCGCCACGGCAATGAATGCCGTTACCTCGGTACTGGTCGATCCCGATGTACCCGACCAAAACGGGCCTTACCCGTTTTGCTCCAGCAGATGTCTCGACCGTCCAAGGGGAATATAATGAACCGGGTGGCTGCCTGTAGACCCCCTAATGTGCTAATCTCAGCTTATGGATGGATCCGCTGTGAAGAATTGGTCGAAAGCTGAGGTAATACCGAAAAGGGAAATTACCAGATTTTCAATATCCTGATATGGCAATCACCTCAAATCCTTTATGGTCAATTTGATCAATTATATGCTTTACTCCTATTAAGAATTCCATGCACGAAGCATCGTTAGAACCAGAACCTCAAGATTTCAGCGCCACCGAGGCTTATTCTTGAATCCATGCATAAAATACACCAGCGATGTATCTATCATGACCATGGATGGGCAACGCCAGTGGTCATAAAACCATGTGTTGGGATGGGTCGGGAATTATTGCCCGAAATGTCATCTCTTCATCAGTCGATCCCGATCTAGCCGACCGCGATCTACACTGTCAACCGTGCCGCTGGCGTATATTACCCGAATAGGTAATGAATGATCAATTGAATGTTTGGGCGGCCTGTAATACCATCCCTGTCAGGGGGTCTGCCTTGATAATCCTTATCTATTACGCTGTCTAGCGGGGTCCCTCGAAAGACTTTGTTCACCCTTTTTTGCAAGTCTCTTAGGACGGTGGGGGCTTGCCCTCAGGTCAAGGCCGATCGCTTCCTAATGCAGCTATGTTAATGTCGACCAGCTAAATGACTACGCGTGTAATAGAAGATTCGTTTCATGTATCTCATTGTGGGGATAGCCCGTTCCCGTAGCTGTTCGTAGAGAGTGAAAAGTGGTCCTAAGTGGATTTGGGAAACATGATCGGCACATCAGTGCGTTGCTTTTTCAGCCGGAAAGAAGGACCTTTGATTGGGTGAAGAAACTTTAATTGGAGAAACGAGACATGACCCAACCATTGGAAAAAAAAATTGGAGAAAAAATTGGAAACAAAAATTCAACTTAAGTCGACTTCCCCAATTCCTATAAGCGGCCTCTAAAATAACAAAGATATGAACATGAGAGAATGTAAAATACACCTATAATACAAAGACGCCTCGTAACTGGACATTAAATGAAGAAGATCTAAGACCTCCAAGATCAAAGCTTAGACGGAAGGGTGCTCTGTCGGATTTGTGTTGAAAAACTGGTTGAAATCCTCGTATTCGTTGGACGGAATGGAGCCTATGGGCCCCTGACGGTTGAACATAGGCGACGTGAAATTGTTGTTAAAGGTCAAGCTCGTGTAGTCGGCGGTCATCATCATGTCCATGTCATCCAATAGACTAACATTGTCGAACGAATCGAATCCATTGTTGGGCCACGGTTGTAATCCTAGTGGATCATCGACTCCTCGTAATGGCAGCCCAAATGATGAGTTATGAGAAAGGGGCTCAGACTTGATCGGAGTGCGAAAGACGGGACCGTTATTGTATGTAGGAGGGGTCGGTGGCATCTCCTGATGAGAGAGTGAGTCAGACGAGAAACTCGAGCGAGCAACAGGCGAATTTGGTTCGAGGGTATCATTGGAGGTCTCCTGACGACATGGAATGCCGGGGTTTTCTTCAAAAATTTCGCCTTTAGAGCGATCGAGGACCCCGAGGCGGGTGAGAATATCGTGGGTGAGTGGATGGCCATTCGTCTCGGTCTTCAGCAGGTCTCCGGACCAGCTTTCACCTTCGATCGCACGACGGTACATTTCTTGAAGGCCGTGTACCAGCCAGGACTGTTGCTGTTCAAGCATCTCAACATATCTGCATAGGTATCATGATCAGCTTAGACTCCTGTGTGGTCATTATTGTGCCAGCTCACCCCTTGGGGTACACTTTGTCATGAGGCTTCTTCCGCTCCCCGAAGACACAGACAGCGTTATCTGCTCGACAGCGCGAACATGGACTGGATCCATCACACTTGTCCCGTCAGTATGGACGGCGGCGTCCCCTCCTGCCCTTCTCGAGACATACCTTGGATTTCTTCAAACGACATCGATCGCATGCTTTGCACACACGCTTGCGGACTCCTTCGGCATGTGAATGGTCAGACATTGGTGTTGATTGTCTTGATGACATTTTGTGATCCGTGTAAACATGGGGGAAATGTGGAAGATAAACTACAGCATAAAGTAGCAATGGCAAAAGTTAGTCGGACTATGATTCCCGATTGGGAAAGGCAAGATCGATGTCAACCAATCATGAATTTAGGAAAAAGCCCGGGATGCGCCCCGAACTGCTATAAGCCGATGATCGACTTCTTCTTAATTTTTGCAGGGATTTCCAAAATTAATTGTTCCAGAACATGGGCTAGTTGTTCGAACGGGGAATAGACCCTTTTCAAGCATGTTGATCACGATATCCAATCGGGTTTCACTAACTGTCTATAGAGGCTCCACTTATCGCAGTGCCGATTTTTCCCCCCTGTCATCTTTCCTCTTTGGGCTATGGGGGTGTCGTCGGTGGAGATCTGGAAGTTCGGCATCTCGATGTCACAGATTTCATAGACGCGGAGACGAAGCTTCTACGGGCCCTTCGAGACACTAAATTGACGTATGTGGAAAGGCAAACTTTTATCCGGTCAATACTTGGCCGGCAATTAGAGTATTTGGGGGAATCATTTCATGATTGGACATGATGGGTACTGGAGGTAAAGAAGCTCGCTTGGCGTCAAATGCATAATACCTGATGTGTCTGTCTTGGTGGACCATGCTCTCGGCAAGATTATGCCGTCGCAAACAAACTAAATAAGAAACTTCAGCAACTCACGGAAATAAAATAGATCCTTGACAGGACAATTGGTGACGCGTCAAGGCATTGCTTAGAAGTAAGATAGAAGTAAGAGAAATTGAGACGTGCCACATTCAATCTTGGAACTATTTTTTCCACCAACTTTTAGTACTATCGATCGATACGTCAGGATATTGGTCAATCTGCCGGTATCTCGTTCACTTCTATCGGATGCCTTGTCTGCCTTCGAATAAATGCAGGGCAATATACAAATTTGATAAACATTGTAATTGCAACGAGAACATTGATTCCAATGCCCACCTTGTCGGGTGCACTGAGTGAGCCTTGCCCTGTTGGACTAGATGATGCATTCGAGACGGGCCCGCAGCGTGTGTGAGTTGAGTAAGCGGTAGCTCTGTAGATTATGATCCCTAATAAGTAAGTCCTGTCGAGAGTAAGTCATTACTTTTCTCATTGTGGAATTCTTGTGCAGTAGCTCTGGTCGTTGCATCATGAATCTCGGTCAAAGTGAACTACAGCACGACTTCAAATTTCCGGGAAGCCAGCTTAACCAATACTGGCATGACTGCCCTACTGGGGCAACGCTCGATTGTGATCCCTGCTTGCTTCGCTTTCGTTGTTAAAGTCCATCTTTGATATCTTAATGAACACCTTTTTGGGGTTAAAATGAAGAGACATTCGCCCTCGCGGTGGACAATGTTTATCACTAAATTAACACTGAAATATCCGCCCAGCAACGCATAACCATTCTGTGAAACTTGTTTTGGGCAAAATATGGTGTCAACAGGGCCAATACTGTTGTTAGAGGACCAAAATTTGTCTCGGGAGTCTCTGCTCTGGCGATCTAGTCATCCCAGCAGTCACCCTTTACGTCGGTGATGGTGAAAATAGATTGTTTGGTGGTAAGGTAGGATATATATTTCTGAGTTTAAATTGCCGAAGTACAAATATGCAAGTAGAAGTGAATCATGGATTTACGGTCACCCAAATAACACTTCTCTGGAAATGTTGGAAACTTCCATATTGAGATATTATATAATAGCATCCAATCCAAGTCGCATACTTAGAAGAATGTGCAAAATCTGCACCGTTTAGGGGCCCGACGTGCCGTGATTCCCAGTTCGCGTGTTCCGCTTGGCATTCTGTGGCTGGCGCTCGGAGCTGTTCATATTGACGCCCTGGTGGGTGCTCCCCTCCCCCCCCCCATTTTACAATGCTGCAACTCTGACACCTCCAGGAATTATGCCTGTCCCTTTCAAGAGTGAGCCAGATTATTTTTGGACTCTCTAACTCGGGTTCTGGAGACAGATCTATGCGTTCACAGAGTGAGAGGATCTCACGTATATTGAGATAGATATCCGACATTTAAAAGGCTATGGTCCACTCTCAATACAAGGCATAGCACGTGGAAGCAAAAGGAAGAGGCTTTCTCGCTCTCAGGGAACTAAACGTTCATCCTGATTCCAAGACAAGCGGCACGAACTCAGCACCTTGAACGAACCCAAGACCGGACAACATCGCGGTTGTACAGCTCCGATTATGACACCTAACGAACCTGCTTGAACATCCTCTGGGCAGCCATGCCGTATTTGTAAGACATCCATTTCTTCCTTGTACAGTGGCTAAACCCGATTCGCTCATGCGAAAAATTGAAAACCGGCTCGAAGCGTGAGATACTGATGCGATCATAGGAGGCAGTGGCGTCTTGCATGGAAGTGTTGCGACAAATCTGCTCCGCCAAATCCTATCCGTCCTTCAGCGCGGGATTTGCACCAACGAGTTCAAAGGGACTGAAAATGTGATTGGCATCCCCGATGAAGATGACACCCTTCAGACGGTCATCGTGCTGAAAAGCAAACTTCTCCTTCGTGGGCCGAATGAAGGCAGTGGCCGGACTTGTGGCCTCTACGACTGTTTTGAAGGGTTCTTGGAACATGTGAGCTGTCTTCAATGCCTCTGCCTTTAGGGCCTCGGTTTTTTCTGCACCAAGATTGCTTTTGGCATTTCTTTCGGGACACATTGTGCTAAGTGCCCATGCAACCGTGTCGGAGTTAAATGGGTTGTAAATACAACAGACACCTTCGCCAGAGGACATCTGTAACCCGAAGGCCTTGTCGATAGGCTTAGGTACTCCCCTCGGGAGACGAGAGATTCCACCAATCTGAGTTGCGCCGGTATACGTTGTCTTCATGTCGTCGGGTCGGAAGCAGGCTCGCATGTTACTGCTTGCGCCATCTGGGCGACAAGGAGATCACATTCTTCTGTCTCCCCGTTCGATAGCGTAACCTCTATCTTTCTATTTGCGAGTCGCACCGCGGATGTCGCGGTTAGCCCCCTTTTCAATCTATCAAATCAAATATATACATGACCTAAACGACGCTGGCTTGCCTCTTGATTGGTTGGTGTCGTCCGAGTCGTGTGGGCCTTTCGCTCTCCCGTTCTGTGATTTGTTCGACTATCTCACCGCTTACGGGGTTCTGCCACTCTACTACATCGGTTTTCACGGCCGCGACCGTGGCGCGGCCGTTGCCACTTGTAAACTCCGTATTAGCTGTCTCGGCCTTTTCCACGAGAATACGCTTCAAATCTTCTCGCGTAATGCGCATAGTAGCCGCGGGGAGATTGCCGTATGCGGTGGGATTGATGGACGAAAGCCACTTCCAGTTATCGGCCCACACGCGAATATCACCGCCGTTCAGTATAGCATGCTTTCGAACCTCGTCTAATAAGCCTAATTGCTGGATGGCTACAAGGCCGTCGTCGCGGCTGGCTCCATTGATATTCAAGGTGGAAGAGTCTTTCCGGATAGACAAGTCACGGTCGTCCCGCTCGTACGGTGACTTCAGGGCGCTCGAGGGAAGAATTCCAAAGTTGCCCCAAAGCAATTACGAATGAAAGTACTGCGAAACTTCCACCGGTGACGATGATGCGCTTGCCGGCAAGAAATTGGCCTGCGTATGCTGTCATTTTGGAGAGAGGAAGTTGAATGCATTTTAAAACTTGCGAGGATCATGACATCCAAAGAATTAAAGAATTGATACATTTAGTGCAGTTTCAAGCTAAGCTCGAAGATCTACGGGCAGCTCTTTTCTGGGGCGCATAGATAGCTCGGGGAACTATTTTGCGTCGGAGTTTCTATTGTGGCTATCGGAGAAACTATGGCATACGGAATGTTGCAGCTGCCTTTTGGTGGCATTGAAGCTGCGAGGAACTTCTCATATCGGACGTGTATTGAGAATGCTATAGGCCAGATGCGTAATAAAATTAAGTTTATATGGTATATTTAGATTAATATTACCTTTATTACCTAAAGCTTCTTTAAATTATACACCTATATTTAATATAATAAAAAATTATATACTAATCTTAACTATAATACTTTCACTTAAGAATAAATTTCTTTTTTCTATACCTCGTCAAAAGATAAGACGGACCTTAGCTTATCCAGACACAATTGAATTGATGAGTGCGCCAAGAATAAGTGGTGTGGGGTCCGTAGGATCTCGGGCGCGGAGCACGAAGGATCTCCCGATCCTGACCCACTGTGACTCGGCCTTATCCTGGTCAAAAGTCAGCACTAAGGAATGGTACAGCCATTGTTTACGTACAGTCATACGAGTGTACTGCACGGTAAATTTGGGAGCCCAGTCTCTACCTAGCAGAGCCGTACTAACCTTCTATCATGAATACGTAGGCAAAAATCTCGAGGAATAAGGTTCATCTCCACGGGCTCAACCAGCGCACTATACACGGGCGCTTATTAATGGCGCATCATGGATGCTCAAACAAAGAAAAGTGGGTGACCGTGAATGCGCAGCGAAAACCCGACCCCCCCTTCTTGGCCCCCTACACACACTCTCTCTCTCTCCCTGTTCCACCCCACCTCATGGGAAAAGATAATCCGTCATATACTCCGACACTCATGCCTTTGGCTTCCGACATGGAATCAGAAGTCAATGATGTACCACGGGGTCGGCAGCGACCGGGGGCCGCGTGTGATGAATGCAGACGCCGAAAGCTGCGCTGTGATGGCCAACAGCCTCAATGCGGTGTTTGTCAGGACACGGGGGTTGTATGTGAGGTGACGCAGCGCGGTGTTCGAGGCCCCAAGAAAGGTCATTTGAAGGCACTCAAAAACCGTGTGATACATCTTGAAGCTATGCTCGAGAGCCGCCTCGTCAATGGGCGACAAGACAGTCAGCGTGGATCAAGCAATGATCTGGCGCTGTCGGTCTCGCCCGTAGATGGTCGCGATGGAGGGGCGTGGATTCCTAAAGGGACCGGTTCATCGGGATCGGACCAGGAAGTCTTCGTGTCGAATAGCAATGGTCTTGCCCCTGATCTAGCCCCTCTCCCCCATGAATGGGCCTTTTCGTCGATGATCCCTGCTAACCCCCGCCTGCCCCCATCGGACATAATCCAGGCCGAATTGTGAGCATATCTAAGTCGCAGTGAATTACCTGATCTAATACCCACTACCAGGGATCAGCTTTACTTGGACCGAGTTCATCAGTCTATCCCTATTCTTAATCAAAGGCGATACCTGTCATGGTCCAAGTCGAACAAGAAATCTGCAACATGCCGATGTCTTCAGTATGCTATGTGGACGTTGGCCTCGCTCCTATCCGTGCAGTTCCGAGAGATGATAGAGCCACTCTACCAAGAAACGAAGCAAATGCTCGAGTATCTCAGTGTAGAGAGCGCCGAGCAATTAAATGTCAATACAAAGCTCGGGCAGGCCTGGGTGCTGGTCGTCACCTTTGAGTTTATGCGAGCCTATCACCGTACGGCATGGATGAGCGCCGGTCGAGCCTTTCGCTTGGTACAAGCTATGCGCTACCATGATATTGATAGCCCCATGGACAAGAGAGGCCCTCTTCCCCTCAACGGGGCGACTTTATTGAAGTTGAGGAAAGACGCCGCGTGTTTTGGATGGCCTATTTTCTTGACCATATCATCAGTATGCGGGGCGACTGGCCCATAACTTTAAACGAGCATGTGGTAGGACTCAAGATTTCTAAACCTTCAAGCCAAGCCGGATGACTGATGAAATTCTGTGATTACCAACAGATCTGCACTCGACTTCCTGCACCAGACGGGGAATTCCAGACCGGCATTTTCGAGCTGGGTCCGTTCTTGTCCGAGGCAATGACGGACCTCGACGTCAAAGTCCAGTCATCGTTCAATGAGTGCCTCATACTTGCTACGATATGTGGCCGCAGTCTTCTTCAAAGCCAGCGATACCACATTTCAAAGGCGTATGGTGACATGGCAATGGATGGGTCTGAGCAGAGGCGGTGGCTCGATAGCATTCTCACCGACAGGCTTCAGATTTTATCGCGGTGTTATCCGTCACCGACCCAATCATACGATCCTTTGTTGCTCTTCGCCAACATTCTGGGCCAAGCGACAATGATTTATTTCTGCAAAGCCATGACCGAGACAGTTGCGGATTCCACCGGACCTGACCACGAGAACCCTGAAATTATGAACTATCAATCAAGGGCGTTAGAAGCTTCGACGGCAATAATTCGCCTGACTTCTACGTTGCGCGAACTCCCCTTCACCAAGGTAAGTCACAGACTAAAGCCCAAACATTATACCCACTAAATGCTCTCATTTAGGTACATCCCTTGATGCCAATTCCAATCTTCCTTTGCGCGGAGTACTTGTACGATGAAATGCACAACGAAGCTTTCCAAATGCATATCCAGGAGCTTTTTCATGTCCTTCGCGAGCTGAAGAACGTCAACAATCCAAACCAAAATTACTTGGATCTACTTCCACAGTCTTGCGCTTCCAAAACCGTGGATATATACCGTCACAGTATTGAGAGCACACCAAACATTAAATGACCACAATCATCTTACTAAAACCCTTTTGAAAAAAAAACAAGGATTACAATGCTGGTTGAGAAACTCGTCTGTCAGTCAGCGCAGTCTTCTCTACCCTTCAATTAATTTTATACGCCTCTTCTTATCATTCCAACCCACCCCACAAAATTTGATAGTGCTCCCTTCTATGCTCACTATCCTTGGCAAATTCGGACCAAACCACATGAGACAAGTATGCACTTTCGCACACCTCACCCAATGCCTAAGCATATGCAACAAAAATAGTTCAAATTGAATATCTGTACATCCGTAAATCATAGAAGCAAACTATCCCAGCGCCAAGGCTGCGATCCCTAGGGAGTATATGTTCTCTTGGATATCAGATATCCGGTGCCAGCGCTCGTAAATACGAGCCAACAAATGATCGCCTCGAGATATCAGCTCGGAAAAACAGTCGGAGAAATGATACAGTGCCCAAGGACCCGGCAGCCGACTCACAGAGGCCAAGCCTGCCTCGCCCTATATATCGAACATTTCGCCGAGCCGGCGGTTACGATGTCGAATGTGGCATTTCCCAAGTGCTGACTAGATGTACTGTCTTTCATACGGCATTGCTACCATGATCAGTCGCGCTACTAGGGTCCTTTGTCTTGGCGTCGATCAGGGGTCCCCAGTGCTTCATGGAAGAACAGTAGAATCCAAGTCCAACCAGAGCTCCATCATGCGTCGCCAGCTCCATGCAGAGGAGCATGTTCAGGCCGTAATCGTCTCTACAGCTGCCGGCCCAAAACAGGACAGTCGGTATATCGGTCTCCCGAACTCCATGGGTGCGATGCCCTCAGTCTACGCCCTTGATCTTTCATCTTATCTCGGGTGAAGTTCTATGAAGAGATTCCTTGTTATAAGAAGAACACATCCTCTGTGTGCTGAGGATGTCCAAACAATTTCAACTATCTTGGTCTTTATACACCTAGTCTCTTGCCTATGCCGGCAAATAACTTGGTTAGCCTTTTTTCCATTTCCTAATCCACGCGATGAACCTCACAATGGATCTGTTTGCTCGAGCCAATGATGCTCTCAAGATCAACCCTGTGACAGGGGTTGACGAAAGTCTTGCTGTGCATGGATCGGACTGGCTTTGGGCTGTCACGGCTACTTACGCTACGGCTCTGGTGAGACCTCTCCCATCGACTGCATATCCTGAAATCTGGGACTAACATGTCCAAGTGTGCAGCTTGGTTGCTTGGTCATGTCATTTACTGGAAAAGAAGCCGAGCGGGTATTCCATTACCTCTTCACCTTCATTCTTCTCGTCGGTGCCATCACCTATTTCGCCCAAGCAGCAGACCTTGGCTGGAGTGCAGTTGTACAGACTAACAATCTCGGCAACGGAGGTCGTTCGCCAGATGTTCTGGGTCAAATATGTCAACTGGGTCGTCGCTTGGCCCTCGCTTGCTTTGTGCCTCGGACTGATCTCCGGTGTATCGTGGACAACCATGCTCTGCAACATCGCCATTGCATTGCAGTGGCCTGTCTGCTACCTTGTCGGCGCCTTTGTGACCACGAGCTACAAGTGGGGATTCTTCGCCTTCGGTACCTTTGGCTGGCTTATACTTGCCATGAGTACCATTAATGAGAGTCGCGAGGCTGCGCAGCTGCTCGGTGTTGACAAGGACTACATCATTCTCTCTGTTTGGCTCAATCTTCTGTGGTTACTGTACCCTATCGGCTGGAGTCTGTCCGATGGAGGAAACAAGATCGGGGTTACTGGTACTTCCGTCTTCTTCGGTGTTCTCGACGTCCTGATGGTCCCCGGTCTGACCTTCCTTGTCCTGTTCCTTTTCCCGCAGGTGGGATTACCGCAATCTGAGCATTGCCTTCAGTGATAGCCGTCCTAGCCGCGAGATGGAGGCTGCCGCCGCACTCAAGTCCGAGGTTCCTGCGTCAGCTGTCTAGGGATATATTTGCACTGCCACCTACCCCTCGCCTTCTAGATCATCTCTCCACGGGCGGCGAAAACATGCAGAATTCACCCATTTTCTTGTTAATTTGTTCCTGATTTATACAGGAGAACTTTTGCTTTTTTGAAAGCTCTGGAAGTGAGCTAATTAAGTATCTTCCTAATGCTCTCGTTATTTCAAAGCCTCTTGGACAAATTCATGGATGTTTCAACCCTCGGGTATTTTCATTTCTCCGCCTGGCGCACAAACCCATGTAATGTTAAGCCCGCAGACCTGAGCTTTGAATCGAAACCCCGGTCGGAAACTTGTCAAGAATGACTGACCACCTTGTATGCTTTACATCGGCATCAACAAAGGGCTCTTGATGTTAATTGAAACGCCTGTTAGTCATCTAAACCCTCGATGGTGTAGTTGGATATCACGTTCGGCTGTAATGGATACATATAACCGAAAGGTCACCGGCTCGATTCCGGTTCGAGGGAACATTTCTTTTTTTTTTTTCATTTTCATCTTTCTGATCCAGGACTAGCTGGCCGGCAGTCGTAAAGGGAAACAAATTAATCTCCGTTTCCTCTCCTTCTCCTTTAACTCAACTTACATACGCTTGCTCTTTTAGTAAACCCAGCCGCTCATGTTTTGACCATCAATCTATTCTTGGTGATCGCATAAACATTTGAGTCGGTCATCTTAATAGTAGTACTCAACTCGCATTTACCATGCCAGATTTCTTTGAACTTCTTCAATTATTCAGTATTGCGCCTGAAACTCAGCGCCAATGTACTTCATTTCATCCCCACTCAGTTCAGTATTGAGATCCTCAAAATCCAAAGCTTGTCGCCTCTGTTCCACACCCAGTTGTTTCACGATCATCATCCCTACACCATGGAGTGCCAGGTTTACCACAAGGTATATTCCCATTCGCACAATGCCCCTCACCGAAATTATTGACAGCATCATAGTAGCGCTTTGCCAAAATGTTGCAGCCAAACTGGTGTTGAGGAGGTTCGTGATCGCATATATCCCGCAAATCGCATAAAAAGTGTTTGTCAATGCTGTGGCGGTTCTCCTTTGTACAGCGAGACTGTTTCCCGTAATTACGATAGCCAAAATCATGGCGCTGACAGGCTGGAGTAAAATTCAAACCAAGTGGATGATCGGGGGCATGGGTGCATCCGTCGTCATCCCAGATCAGGTCTTGATGGTGCCAGCATGCTTCCTTTTTCTCCAGGAATTGTGACATGGATGCTTGATACAACAACCAATCGGTGATTCCCTTAGGGGAGTCACAGGCTGGATGGTTCACTGGAGCGGTGACAATTGTCAGACTGCTTTGTCAAAAAGTGATGAGGGCACAAGATCTAGCCATCATAATCCTCTTACCTGGTTCTTCCCTTTGCGCTTCACTGAGTGGAATTTGGTACTTTGCGCCCAAGGCACACCCATTGAGTATAGAGGCGAGCAGAATGTCAAGTGTGAGCAATAAATTAAACAACATGGTGTTCTTCCTGGGTAGTGAGTCTTTCACTGGTATAGCATAGATCAGTAGGTTGCGACCATACGAATGGAAAAGATCCCCAGAGAAATCATCAGGCTATAAGTCGTTGCTCGCCACCAGTCGAAAAATGCCACACGATTGACATTGGTTCGTACCATGAGATGTAATGATGCAATAGTCTTGTTGAAATTTGGCTATCACGAACTCAAGCCATGGTTATGACACTCAAGATAGTTTGGTGAACGATAATTTTAGCCAGGTCTAGATGTTGACTACGCAACGATATGATCCAAACCTTGGCCCGAAGCATGTCACAACCCCGCCTCCGCGACCAAGACCCCACCTGTCTCGGGTCATATTTCGCCACATTTAGTTGATGTCAAAAAGTTTCGTGACCTTGCCCGCAAGGTTTGGAAGCATTGTCGATCACTTTAAATTCGATTTTTTACTTGCTGTTATCAAATGGGTTCCAGGACATTCCGCGCTGCAAACAAAACAATCTTACTCATTCATCATCTAATTTATGCTCAAATGCTTGGTTATTCAATATTTCAAATATCAAATGGGAGAAATCCCTTCACCATCGACAAATCGTAAGAGTTCGAGGACAGAGAAGTTCGGGTACAAGAATTGAAGAAACTATTATCATAAAGGGACACATATATCAAGATCGACTCGCGTATCGGAAGGTTGTCGATGTATGCACACTGAAGCATAGAGGTTCCATCACCATCAAATTAAGATGGCAGCAGAGATGAAGACAGCGAGGAGGGCGCCGGCGAAATTCATCAAGCCAGACTGGGACCCAGCTGCATTAAAAACGGCAGAAACTCCTTCTCCACTACCATTGCTTGGGGTAGGGGCCGTAGTCTCGGGAGACCGGGTGGTTGATGCTGTCATGGACAAGCGTGGAGTCTGGCTAGTCGGGTGTACGCGTCCAGATCCAGCAGCGGCTGAGGACCCAATGACGCTACTGGTTGGTCGGGAGGAACCAGCAGGTGTAGATCCTCCCACCTGTCCAGAGGCACCCACCAGGGTTGCCGTGACAGTCACTGTAGGGGCAGATCCAGATGGGGTGTAGGGGATCGTGCGAGTGATAGTGGAGCCAGTAGGACCACAATGCTTACAGAAGGTCTCAGTTGTAGTCCAAGTCTCCGTCCATGTGTCAGTCGTGGGCAGAGCAGAAGTTTGAACAGCCGCAACGGGATTCTCCACAGGCGTTGTCATCGCAAGGGTTGAGATAGGCTTGGTCAGGGTCACCGTTGTGGGTGTCGCGGCACAATGCGTGCAAACGGTGACGGTGGTGGACCAGCCCTCGGGGATCGTAGCTGATGTGACCGCTGCTCCAGTGGCCGGCACAGTCACACTCGCAGTAGCCTCGGGGCACCAAGTTGTCGTGAGCGTCGTCGTGAGAGTGATCGTGGTGAAGCCAGTAGGACAGATATCAGTGTACGATGTGACGATGACTGTAGTCGTGACCTCGCCGGACGCGGTAGGGGTCGCTGTCACGACGGGTGTGGCGGTAACCAGAGAGGTGATGGTGTTAGATCCGGATCCATTTCCAGTTGCCTGAGGTTGGCCAGTAGACTCTGAAAGGGTCGAGCTGGTGACCGGGTAGACAGTGGTGGAGACCGGGATGGTCGACGTGATAACGGAAGTAGAGTCTGCAGGGCAGTTGGTGACGGTAGCGGCACAGCTAATGACGGTGATCTCGCTAGTAACGTAAACAGTGGAAGTAGTCATCTGAGGGCTGCCAGTGACAGTAGAGGCTCCGGTAACGTTGGGTACACCGGTAACAGTAGAGCTGCCAGGCAAAGAAGATCCAGTTGCAGAAACACCCGTAGATGAAGCAACATCGCTCGAAGAGCTTGTGAGGAAAATGTTGCCCGATGATTGAGATGCTGAGCCTGAAGCACCTGCTGAAGCACTTGATGAAGCCGAGGACGCGCTGGTGCTGCTTTGAGAAACCGATCCTGAGGTGGCTGGCTTGCTGGATGAAGCTGTATGGCTGAAAGCCGGTGTAGGGCTGGATGAGACACCGGCCGATGGAGTGGATCCGTTTGAAGATGAAGCAGTCGCGGCTCCCGAGGAAGAGACCGAGGTACCCGTTTGCATATAGCTGGAGTATACCCTAGAGCTGGATGGGATAACGGAGGGAATAGCAGAGGTAGATGTCGAAGGCGTCGCGGAGGTAACAGAGGATGGCACGTGTGACACAGTAGCGAGGCTCAAGGAGCTCGAGGGAGCCTTTGAGCTTGAGGTAACCACAGAGCTGGAAACAGCGCCTGAGGGAGTAGCGCTCGAAGGCAGCACACTTGAGGGGGCTATATTCGAAGGAGCAGCGCTGGATGGCGCAACACTAGAAGGAATAGCGCTTGACGAAGCAACTCCCGAGGAACAACGCTGGACGAAGCGACACTAGACGAAGCAACGCTGGAGGGAATCACGCTGGACGGAGTAACGCTAGACGAAAAGACGCTAGACGGAGCTGCGCTTAACGAAGCAACACTGGAGGGAATCACGCTCGACGGAGCAACGCTAGAAGGAGCAAAGCTAGAGGGGATCACGCTCGAGGGAGCAACGCTCGACGAAGCAACACTGGAGGGAATCACGCTCGACGGAGCAACGCTAGAAGGAGCAAAGCTAGAGGGGATCACGCTCGACGAAGCAACACTGGAGGGAATCACGCTCGACGGAGCAACGCTAGAAGGAGCAAAGCTAGAGGGGATCACGCTCGAGGGAGCAATGCTCGACGGAGCAACGCTAGAAGGGATCACGCTGGACGGGATACTGCTCGAGGGGGCAATGCTGGAAGGAATAGCGCTGGACGGAACGACACTCGAAGGAACCGCGGAGCTGGAAGGAATTCCCGAGGGCGTGTGATCAGGAGCACTCGAGACCGCCGAGCTAACAGGCGACGAGCTCGGCTTCGGCGTGGGGGTAACAATGACGATAGTCGACGTCGGGCTAGGAGGGGGAGGGGGAGGAGAAGGATCACAGTCATAGAGCATATACTTCATATTCTGAAGGTAGTCGTTACCCAGGCTGTCGACATTATTCTCAGCATGTGTAGCCTCCCACAACATGATACCACCGAAGTGGTGAGGATAGAGGGCCATATAGACGAGCAGAAGATCCTTCACCTGCTCCGGCTCGAGATACCCGGTAGTCGCTGCATCTTTAGCAGCAGGGAGACCGACGAATAGCTTCGTGTAAGGGTTGGCGCTTCCCCTGATGACCCCGATCCAGTCGGCGTAGTTGAAACCTCCGGTCCAGTAGTCCGCTGCCGAGCAACCTTTCGTGTTATAGAACTGGACCCAGAGGAAATCGAATACAGAGCTGGCAATAGCCTCGTCGAGCTGCTTGTCCGGAAGACTGCACTGAGGCGCACCGGAGATGTAGAAGGTCTCATCGGGGTATTGTTGGAAGTTGCTTCGGAGACGCTTGACCACCGTAGCCCATCCTGTCTAGTATTAGTGATCCTTTTTGACAGGTTGCAAGGAAAGAATCTTACCGGTATGGCCACTGTTCTCAATATCAAAGTCGAAACCGTCGACCGAGTTATTGTGGAATGGACGGGGGAACTTGGTTGCTGAAGGGTTCTGTGGACCGAATGAATACCACAGGAAGTCGGCAAACCAGGTGGCTACATCGTCATTCTTCAGCTTTTCATTGGGAGAATCACCTCCAATCGAGAGCATGATGGTCTTTCCATTGGCTTTACAGCTTGGGAGGTCCTCCGAGATCTGGTGGCAGCCGCTGAGCAGCGAGGTGTTGTCGTAAGTTAAACCGTCACACTGATTGCCAAAGTTTGAGCCTGGCCAGGCATTCACCGCAGAAGGCAAGACGTTGATGAAACCGATGTTGATGATATCCGCGTCAGACTCCTCACAGAAATGGGCCAACCGTTTTTGATCGTATCCTTGACCCTATTTCGAGTATCAGCAAATGATGGTGGACGAGGCAATAAGGGGGGGGGAGGGAAATACCCAGTAAACAGCGACGTTGGTCTTCAAATCAACGTTCAGAGCGAAAGAAGCAGGAATCAAAGTCGAAACCGCCGCAGCGAGGGTGAGGACTTTTCCGAAACCCATTTTGAAAGAATGTAACGATTAGCAGCCAAAGATGGGAATTGCCAGCTAAGGGCAAAGGAGTGTGATAGCAATATGCCAGTATCTAATGAAAGAAGGGGACGCAGACAATAGTCTGCTTGGGCTGCTAATCTCTCAAGGACACAAGGAGGTTGTCCTACAGCTACAGAGATATAGGAACAGAAACCAGGGGAAAGTTAGGACGTAGCTACATTAAAGAGGAAAAAAAAAGCCAAGAAGCACCATCATCATACCTCCAAATGGCTTGAGTGGGACCCTGGGAGGCACCGCTGGAACGTGGATCATGGCGCTTGCATCAGGGACGAGGCTCGGACACGTCCCAGTTGGGGCATTCCTTGTTTTTTCCTCAACTATCCTATCAGAGACCGTGAGGTCTGTGTCTAGGTTACTCCACTCTTGATCATCTAGCAAATAGATGCATGCATAAGATTGAAGCGAGACAAGTACAGCGGGGCATTATACTGGAAGCCTTGGAGGCGCCCGTTTTGGCGGTGGCGCAAGTGAGATGTGACCGTAAAATGTGACAACCCACCAAGCTAAGCAATGGAAATATTGGGATGGCTCAATAATGGGAAGGAGGGAAGGCTGTCCGGGCGCCTTGGCGCAATCTTAAAGAGCCGCATGAACAACGCTAAAGGCTTTAGAGAAAGTTAGCCTCAAGGTCGGGGCTCCGTAGTCGATACAGATCATAGAAAGAATGGAGTGGAGCTAATTTCCGGTGATGTTCGCTCGTCCATTGATTGGGCCTTCGCTGGGTTAAATAGCGCTAAGGCTGATAGTCTTGGGCACACCTTGGAACCGAGATGTGCAAACGGTTCCGTCGAGGGTCCAAGCAACTAAAGTCGGAAATAACCCATATGGACTCCGAAAGTCGTGCGCTCGAATTATTCTTTACTATTATTTGTTCCCTACTATTCTCTCTGATCACTGATTGTGTTTGATGAATCCACGAAAGTTAGTGTCTTGTATGACTGAAGTTTGGAAGTGAGATTAATGTAGGCTGCAAGCGAGCCGAACAACACCGGGCTCTTAATGGTGCAGTGATTGGCGTAGGGCTCGGCAATAGACAGGCACACCAATTATCGGGGGCTGAGGGGGGTTTGTCGATATCGGATGGCGTCCGGATCAGCCCGTTTTTCCGGTATCGGTTAAACCCGACTTTTATGGCCCCCACCAAACTACGGTTCCTCGGAACTCTCCTCATGATGCTTTTGTATCTAGTCAGCCGTCTGCCTATTCTTTTTCTAGAAACTATTTCCCCAGGCGACTGCGAGTGTCATGTACCTAGCAAGCCTTGGGTCGTTTTCTTCCTCTACAAGCCTCCTACCCCCACAATTTCCCAAGGTGGCAGACCCTGATACACCAACCTTGGTGCCTGACCTAGCCAGAGTCACTAAACCTAGAAAGGAAATTAGTGCGACTTCAGATCCATTGGCTGATTGCACGGACGGGGTTTCTCTGGACTTAACGAGGCGCACTTCCGTGGCTAACGTAGGAAAATACGCCGAATCGCCTAATCAGTAGCACACGTGCTGCTTATGCATTGCCTAATCTGGCCTGGTGTCCCCGTAAGACGCATTCATTGCACTCGTACCAGCCCGGGAACTTATGTCCTATCATTTCTCGAGGGCTTACTAGACTCTTATGCAGCAATAAGGGATATGCATAATCACAAGCCCTATCATATGCGACATTTTAGATCTCAAATCGTCTCGTTACCCGCAGCAGCCTAAGAAATGCCTGTAGCCCTCCCGGTTGCCTGGTAGTTCGAACTAGAGGTGGATAGAGCTGGATAGAGCTGGATGGAGATGGCTTTGCAAACTGGCGTCGTGTATGGACGAGACAGTCCCTTTGGCCCATGGCGAGCAAAGCCAATCAGATTGTGAGATCAAAAAACACAGACTGTATTCTTTATTTCGCTTCCAAAACAAATCTCGACTTGCTTGCACAATAATCACCAAAGCCCAAGGGCTTATCTTGTGTCCATGCAACATTTGACTTTGCGCGGTAAATTATACCATTCACTCTTCTAACAATTGAGTAAGAAATAGGTAGGGGATCATTCTAGGGAACTTCAATCCGAGCAAGCATTGGTACTTCATCCGATAATAAATACCCACTTCGAAGAATCAGCCTTCAATCTACAAATCTTGATGTGGTCCGCACATACCCCGAGTACCAGTCACAGTCACTAACAATCACCAATCTCACACCCTGAAGCCGGCGCACAGCCCAGTATACAAGCACTCTCCGATGCCGCTGCGCCAGCGATTCCCGCAGTGTTCCCGATAGCCATACATCCGTTCCTGCAGATAGACTCGGCGTTCTAAGGTGGAACGTCTGTCAGCTTACAATCGAGTGTGCGGAGTTGGTGCTCTGGGGAACTCACGCAATCACATCTTTTTTCGAGGGATTGTTGCTTTTGCTCGGTGGTTGGCGTGCCCATGATCAGGGTCGTGAGAGCTAGAATTGTGAGGGTAAGGAGTCTCATGGTTGTTCAATTTTGGTTTGGTGGAGTGGGCTCGATATGAATGAGTACTTGGGTGGATTGACAAAGCGAGACTCAGAGTAGAGAGAGTGATGCGGGTTATATATATCTTTGTTGTCTACACTATTCACAGCGGGATTGCATTCGAGTCCTAAGGGACGGAAGAATGCATGAGCGGCAATCATAATCGTGGAAATTCAAGATAGAGATGATTGACTCCTCGAGGCTAGGGAAGAGGGGTTCAAATGTTCTAGAGCAAGCTTGCACGGTCCCCGACAGCTGACATCCCATGGGATGCATTTGCACTGTGAGATCTTGATTCAGAGACATATGCCTTGAGTGATGGCTAGATAGTCAGCAAAAACGCTCGTGACCGCGTTTCTCGCTGTGAACGATGAGGGAAACGCAAGTGATATCACGCTGCCTGCTGGTACCAGTGGAGGTAGCGTGAAAATGCCTCAATGCAGAGTGAGCTGTTTCACATCGAGCAGCAGCATGCCTTTCAGCCGAGGCTGGATCGTATTAGACGAGATCCAAATTTATGCATCTAGCCGAAATGAAAGGGTCTCGGCCACGACACTGTGGAAATTGCATGGCTATTTTAGACCAGACCTAGCACTTAGACATATATTAGCAATCCGGCTTTTCAAAGCTTGTGTGTGGCATATGAGAAAAGGGTACGATTTCAGAGAGAAGATTAAAGTCGTCAAAGCCTTACACATCGGAAGAAGCATGATGGTATGGCATTCCGACTAAGGATGACTTGAAAGATTTTCATCACGGAAGGATCAATGGAATCGAGAACCCAAAGCCAGAATGACTCACCAGGGTAATTTAAGTGTTTCTCAGTCTCAGCAAAGATGATCCTTTTACCGGAATTCATTCTGTCGAGGTTACAAAGGACAATCAGTCCGCATAGGAAACGATCTTTCGACCGAGATACGCGACATGCTTCTCCGGTTTGGGCTTTGTGGTGTCTTGAGTTGATGCTTCGTAGTCGAGATCAGAAGGAGCATTTTGTGGACGCTGAGTGTTGGGCTTTCGCCCGCCAGCGGAGCGCCGTCTTTTGGAACCAGCAATGTTTACGCTTGCGTTCACAGCCTTCGTGTCACCCTCATGGCTATTTTCCACCCCGTCGTCATTGGCGGCGTGTCGACGCGCTTCGTACTCAGCATCATCTTCTTCAAGCTGTCGCGCACGCAACAGCGCGTGGATCTCACTGTGTCGAAAGATCCGAATTTGCTCGTCAGTGAGGGTCCTTTTCACGCCGTCGGGGTAGTATCCCAAATCCTCCTCTGCCTCGTCGAAAGAACTTTCATCTTGCGCGGGTTCTGTTGTTGGGGGAATCAATGGTTTGTGGGGACCGGGGAAATGAGCTGCTTGGAAGGCTTGCAAGTCTTCCTGAGAGAAAGGAGCCGTTAGATATATTTTACTAGGAGTGTAAAGGAGCTGAAGCGACTTACCAAGGTGACTCCTGGGACCTGCATCGTGGATGATGCAGAGGTGAAGAAGTCATGATTGGCGACGCGGTCCTGGCGCGGGTGATTCTCATCACGTGATTTGACTTTGTATGAGAGAGGCTGAATATGTTTTAGGACTTGTGTGCTATGGGTTTTAATTCGATGAGCTCTATTGGTGGCGTATCAGATGACTATACACCAGCGACTAAGCAGAGAATAAGAGAACATCAAAAGTCGATCGTATGTTCTTCGAAATTCTGTGTCTTGACTCCGTTTGGATATTCTCGGAACAACCTCCTCAAGCAGAGCTGGGAAGGGATATACTCTCCACATGATTGCCAATTTTGGCCTTGATACTATCGAAGCGCACCTCAAGACCCTTTACATCTTTCAAATTGATGGCCTCGACCCGCCCCACGTCCTCCTCGGCAGGCTCGGCCAAGCTCCATGCAATCGAAATATGGAAACAGTCCGAGTAGTCGAGATGCTGACGGTCACGCGCACTCGACGCATGGGGGCGAAGATCACGCAAGGGCGCATAAAGCGGTGGCTGATCAAAGCTTGCAAGGGTGCGATTGGACAAATGGAGCAGATTGTTCAGCTCATTGTTTTGCGGCCTTGCAACATGCAGGACGAGAAACCAGCGAGTCTTCTCGTAGTTGGACACCCACTTAAGGGAATCAGGGAGAACGGAGAATCTGGGGAGATGGTCAGACTAAGTTGGCATGGAGGTCAGGGTACATACGGAGCGATGTGTGAATCGCGGATGGACTTTCGAAGAAGCTCTGTGAACGAGCTCCGCTGCTCGGTGCGGAGGACTACGGGCCGCGAGAGACTAATGTGGAGCGGGAGCTGAGCGCCCAGGTCACTGCGTAATAGACTGTGTACGCTCTGTCCATTGGACTGGCCTTGAGCTTGGGCGATGAGATCTGCAAGGAGGGCTAGCTCGTTCTTGGCTGGGTACCCTGGATCCCAAATTAGCATTGAACCCAGCAACGCGAGGGCTACATACATTCCAGGTAGAGGTGACTCGGCCAGTTGCCTTCCACATGGGGAATGACGCGCTTGCGACCACCATGCAGGCTCGGGTCATCTTTTACGCTGACCCGCGTGCCAGACGCGTACAGGTCGTGGAAGGCTGCTGGGAGTGGGGGCAAGCTGACCCCGGTCGCAAGGTGAAGCTTCTTAGATGGAGGGGAGAGAGTTTCTGCATCTGGTTCCGATTCGGAGTCGGAGTATTGTACCAGGGACATCAATTAGAGGTGCGTGAGCAGCTGTGGTGGTGGTTGGGGTCATGGTGGGGAGCTGAGTTGGGCGGACGCCAAGTGAACACGGTCCATGTGAAGATCATCTGCAGGTGATGGACCTTGCAGAAGTCAGAAGTGCCGGATTATCGAGCTGCGTGGAATGATACTTTTTATTTTCTTTCTTATCTTGTCTGTGCTACCCCGTACAATCCTCGTGCCGCACCCTTGCGGCGCTACCGCATGCAAAGACGTACAATAAGCCCAATACGTGATGATCGGGCGATCATCGGGGGGAAAGCAGCCGCAATTTACAGGAAAAATGTAGTTCTCGAGTTCTCGGTGAAGACCTCGTGACACACCGCATGTCGCACTTTAGGCCATTCTAGTATCTTGGAGGCTTGGGCCCACGCTCGGGTAAGCTCCGGTCCTGCAAGGGCATGCTATGTGATTTTAGACCAAAATCAAAAGATCGTGATACTCAAGTCTCGCTTACTTGATTATGAAGAAGGGAATAAGCTGACAATGGGTGGAGTGGGAATCCCCTCGGAAACTGACGGAAGACAAGTGACTCAAGCTTTCGGGCCCTGATCAGACCCTGCTCAGGTCTAGCTTCCGGGTGCTCAATGGCAGCATGAATGAGTGGCTGTCGACATTCTCTAACATCCTTTCGGTGCCTCGGCAACGATGCTCAAGCGCACCCCTTCACCTCCGGACCATGCGGATCCATGATCTATGCAAGGGGGGAATCAGGTCTCAGTGATGAGACATGATCTAGACGGGCCTGTGTCATAAGGAGATCTCGGATCCTGAGGTGGCTGGCAGGAACTCATCGGCACCATGAGAGCTAATCAATAAGCTTAATCTAGTGCACGGGTCATCGTGCGAACGAGAATGAAACGAAATCTTCAGAACAAGGTTAGCCCCCTATTAACCTAGGGTGTAGGGCGTAGCTATGAATCATCATAGACTGGAGATTCAATCGAGGAACCCGCGTCATCGGGTCAACGTGGAAGTCTCGGATGTGGATGCAACAGTCAAAGCCCCAACTGGGCCGAGGGGGACGCGCGGTTACTAAGCCACGTCCCGGCCATGGATCCCTGGCGCATCCGAACTCAAGTGCCGTGCCTGAACATTTAATATAGAAGAATAAAAAAGTGTGGCCTGGAGGTATGATAGCATAGATGAGCAAGTGGTGGACCTACGATGACATTTTGCCCCTCGGATGATATCACCTGGACGATCAGCAACGGTGCATTGAGCACGATATTCCCCGCAGGGTCCTGGAGCTAACCTGAACAGGAAGGGAAAATTCTAGCGCGTGAGGATGGCCCCACATTCGACTCGAATGCCACACTGTTCTATCGATAAGCATAGGATGCGCAAGTCGTCACGTCACCTGCGGTTGCCTCGGATGTTTTAAGAACTCCCTGCGTCTCGAATCATTTACATTCGACTCCCTACACACTGATTACACGCTACCCGAGCTCCGTGCGATCTACCGTGCATTCCATACGTGATTCTGCCACTTCTCAATCGGGTCTATACTTTATATTGCGCGTGATCCTTTCAAGGGCTGATCCCTTTCGCACATTTTACTCACACACAATCATCTCGGGTACTCCTGGGATCGTCAAATTCAGTATTCAGTACTAAGCCACTATGGCCGTCGACTGCATGCCGATGGCTTCGCTCCATCACCCTCACCATCCCTACAACCAACCATCCAGCCGTCGGACCAACTTTAGCAGCAACAATCCGTATGCCCGTTTCGCTTCACCCTCGGGCTCCCACGCTCCATCGCGGCGCTCATGCTCTGCCTCCGAAACCGTGCGTTCCGCACCTTCCATGTGGTGGGACGGCACAGCGGAGCACTATCCGGTAGAGCCGAAAAAGCGACGAGAGAGCCAGAGTTCCGTACCTCGCCGCAGCAAGTCGCAACGAATTTATTCGCGCAACTCTATGCTTGTCAACCCGGACATTATTGACCAGCTGGATAACGTCACCTCCTACTCTTACCATCATGAGGGTCCTTACGATGCAGTTTGCGCCGAGCGCAACCTTGACAGCAAGCACAGCCCTCTTGAGGCCGTCAGGGAGTCTAACGAAGAGGCACTCCGTGCAACGCCCAAAGACAAAATTACCGACTGTCTGAACAGCCACCGGCCACTGGATGGAACTGCGTTTTTCCCGCCTGGTCACACCGATATCAACGGGGAGACATACGATTATGAAGAAGGCTCGAATGTGGTTCGGAGTGACTATGGTCTTGGTGGATATATGCGCCAGACACAAGATGTAAGTCTATTTCTCATGCTTCCTGGTCCTTTCAAATTCTGAACATCATCGTCCCACAGAGATACAGCGATGACGAAATCAAGAATGACCCATTCTACCTCCGTCCTCTCTCCAACCCCTTCAGCCAGCTGAAGAAGAAGCTGAGCCTCCGCAAGGGCAAGCGTCGCGGCAGTGCTTAAGTTATGCTTGCCCGCCAGCGCCACTTATGATGTTACGACTTCCACATGCTTTTCGATGTCCCTTACCGACCACGAGACCTGAATAATGAGATTTTTGTGAAAATACAGGGGCTTAGAACGGGCTTTTGCGCTTTTTTTTTTTGTACGGACGGCTTTTGCCAGTCCCCTTGCTCAAACGCGATGTATATATATGGATACGGCGTTGCGGATCTTGGTACAATTGGGGTACTTCTGGTCCGACAGGGAATTACTTCTTGATTTTCGCAACCGTCCTTCTTCCAGGTCCTCAAACTTTACTAATACAGGAAACCCCGTAAATGATACGACTACCTCCTTACTTCAATTGGACATCCTTCCAGCGAAGCAAGGGCCTCTGACCTACATGCGCATTATATACTCACACCAAGCCATATCAACAGAGGTCCTCAAATAGAACGTCACATGAAGACTCAAGCCTTATTGGATTATACTCTTCATAGATGTGTCATATTTGAAGAACGAAATGAAGAGTAAAGGTGGTCGCACTAGTTCCGGATGTCTTGTCAAACAAGCTATTGCTCAGTTATGCTCATAAGATTACTTTAAGAACTTAGCCACGCCCGCCTTGCAACAACCTCTGAGCCTGAAGCAGTCCTAAACACCGAATTAGACGATGGCATCCGGTCCAGCGACACCAGTTCCGGCTCCATCTCCAATTCTACTTCATTCCCAACCTCACTCTTCGACCTCGCCCTGACCCAGGGCACCAGATTAAATACACCACCACAAGCAAATATCCCCATCCAAAGCCCCAACTCCGTCCCATAAATTACCACACCAAGGACGTCAATCTTCGGCCCGAACACTACCACATGTCAGCCAATGCCTCATCCAACCCCACTAATTCCAGACCGGTAAGAGAAAATGAGACTCACAAACAGAGATAATCGAAAACAAGTCCCCCGCGGCATCAATCCCAACAAAGAAGAAACTTATCCCCCTAACGGTGCGATGCACATAAATATCCCAATAATGCCTCAATACACCTGCAGCGAGTAATGAAGCACTCAAGACAGCCATGAGCATAATCGGCCATCTAATGTCATGAGTCTTGGCTTCTTTCAATCCCAGGATTAGTCCTGTTTCGAATCCCCCAAAGATAGAGAGAAGTGAAAGGACAAATGTTATGCATTTCGTTATCGGGAATTTCTACGTCGTTTCGAATAGTTAGTTATTCTTGTTTCGCACTTCCAAGTGTGTGTCCAACGCCACAGCGATAGGCGAACGATGTATAACGTACCTTCCCGTAATACAAACACTGGGCCCAAGTGATCAAACTCAAGATAGTGAGTATTTGTGGTTGGATTCGGAGAGCGATATTAAATTCTTCGACGATGTTGTATACACCTAGAGGTACACCTGCTGCGGCCCAGAGGAGCATCATTGAAGGTTGGAGGCCCTCTGTGTTGTGCCGTTTGTGATTTATGAAGATCTGGGGGGAGCTGGTCATTTATTCAGTGATTATGACTTCAAATATGAGATATTAGTCTCAGATTGCGGAGTTGGATACCTGAATGGACCAGCATACCTGGGTTTTGTTAGTTGCAATTGATCAGTGAAATTGGGCGAATTGGGCAAATTGAGTGAGGAGGGAGAAGTGAGCTTACCGCGCCTAGGGTTCCGAGGACATTCTCTGCTATTGGATTGTTCATTATAACTACAATAGGGGAAGGTGTTTAGGAAGAATGGTGACCTGAGATGGTTGAGGTCATTTCGTAGATAAGATCGTGATGGTTTGCACGTGAAGTGGGCCAATTTCCTTGAATTTTGATTGGTTCCGGCGCATTGGGGGATGCTTTCTTGAAGCTGGATGCTCCAGTTCACTATGCGCTTTTGGGGCGGCGCGTTTCCCTAAATATGCTAACCAGGTCATCAGGTTTCGAGCGTTAGTAATTTTCATTATTATAGTGACAAGGGATAGAGCAAATAGGTAGAATGTAAGCTTCTTGGGAGGACGCCCCAGATTAGCCCACGCTGTTAGCTGCTTCTAAACCGTTGCCTATTCATTACTAGGGCCTCTTGAGAATTTTGGAAGATCGAGTTATGATTACTAACTTGAAATCATGACAATCGTAGTACTCTCTAGCCTGATTGTTTGGTCGTTGGATATTTCGAGTCCAAGAGACGTTTCTTCATTTAGGTTTCGGTTATATGTCACACGCTTCCCCTTCGGTAAAATTTTTCGGGAATCTTAAAGACTTAGTCAATGTAAAGGTCAATGGCCGCTCTGGGAAGGGACTGTTTCTAGGAATATAGGAAGAACTTGGCTTTCTAGACTACGCCCACTGTCAATGCGCGAAATCTCTGACGATGAGGGCTGACATTTACTGTTCTATGAGTAAAGATGTGATTCTTCTAGTCTCATTTAAACCTCGCTTCTTGCCTTTGCATCTAACGATAGCTAGGATGGCTCTACTCAGTAATAGTCAAATCTGCCCACTGGTTCTTCTGGAGGCAAGCGATGGCATTACATTGCATCATTTCCCGAGTCGTTAGATTTCTAATACATGATCTTGAGGCTATGTATATTATCATTCACAATGCATCAGCAGGATAATAGATAGCGTTCTAATCTTTTACATAGTTGAATACATGTCAAAGTCAACTGATGATCTGCCGTGTTGGGTTGTTTATCATTCTACATAGCCGGAATGGTGTAGGGATGACCCCGAGACATGTACTTACACACCGACTGTCAAGCCTCCGTGAGACCTGCAATCAGACTGATGACGTGAAACTCAGACAAATGCAGCATCCCATCGAGATTCGAAGTCGTACGACTATAGAAAAGAATAGAATACGCTGACCAATCAGGAATTGACTAAAGACATCAACCCATGGAAGTCTTGGCGGCGATCGATCACCGCCACCGCTTGGAAAAGGGCCAGTCTGGCTTCTTTCGATGTTGACACCATTCTTCATTCTTGATTTTCAACTCGATTTTTCCACATGTGCGGAGTTCTTTCATACACTGCATTCGCCTGATTTTCTTGCATCGCGACCTTCGGACCTTGCGACTCAGGGCTTAAGACGCCACCTCGCATTTCCGGATCGTCGCGCTCTCTTCAATCTACCTCCTCTCCTTTCCCCACACTCTCTGATGGTCGCCAAGATGCGCTCGGCGGCGGGGCTTTTCTATGCGGCTGTCTTCACCTTGATGGGCATGGCCCACGCCCAGGATCATGGCTCCAAAACCACTGACATGGCCAACAAGTGCGCTGTAAGTGAGCCGGAATTTTGCGTTGTCACTATGGCCGTGACATGACAACTAACTTGTACGGATGTGGTAGATTGAACCTACGGCTATGGTATCGGATGCATGTCTCTCATATGGCGCCGTCAATAAACTCAATGACGAGGTCTACTCTCTCCTTCAGGGTCTCACTCAAGAAACCGATTTCTTTTCCTGACTATCGATTGAACCTCTTCAACACAGAATGCCCCTTCTGGAACGACGCAAATAGCATGTGTGGAAACATCGCCTGCTCTGTGAATACTATTGAGTCCGAGGAGGATATTCCGCTTATCTGGCGAGCGGAAGAATTGAGCAAGCTGGAGGGTCCTAAGGCCAAGCATCCGCCTCCGAAAGTTCAAGCGGAGCGTCCCAAGGCACGTCCACTCCAGGGCAAGCTCGGGGAGGGTGTCGGCGAAAGCTGTGTCGTTGAATACGACGACGAGTGCGACGAGCGAGATTACTGTGTCCCTGAAGACGAGGGCTCAGCGGGTAAGGGTGACTATGTCAGCTTGGTGGACAACCCTGAGCGATTCACGGGATATCAGGGCCCTGGTGCGCACATGGTCTGGGATGCTATCTACCGCGAGAACTGCTTCATGAAGCCCATCTCCGAGGAACTTGAGGACCAATCTCTCAACATGCCCATGGGTGGACTGCAGGCTTTCTCCGACTTCCGCGACGTTATCCAGAAGGAGGCTCGTCTGGAAGGACTGCCGTTAGACAATGAGTGCTTGGAGAAGCGTGTCTTCCACCGACTCATCAGCGGTATGCACGCTTCGATCTCTACGCACCTGTGCTGGGACTACCTCAACCAGACAACCGGCCAGTGGCATCCCAACATGCAGTGCTTCAAGGAGCGTCTATATGACCACCCAGAACGCATCTCAAACATGTACTTCAACTACGCTCTTGTCTCGCGCGCCGTCGCCAAGCTGCGCAAGCACCTACAGAGCTACACCTTCTGTACCAGCGACCCTGAACAGGATCTTGATACCAAGCAGCGGGTCAACCAGCTCGCCGACATTCTCTCGCGTCCCCCTCAGATCTTCGATGAGAACCTCATGTTCCAAGATCCCAGCACCCAAGGTCTCAAAAGAGGACTTCCGCAATCGTTTCCGCAACGTCAGTCGTCTCATGGACTGCGTGGGCTGTGATAAGTGCCGCCTTTGGGGCAAGGTGCAAGTAAATGGATACGGAACCGCACTCAAGGTCCTGTTCGAGTACGACGAGACCAAGAACGGCGAGAATCCACCCATGAGACGCACCGAGCTGGTCGCCTTGATCAATACGCTTGGTCGTATCTCGCACAGTCTGGCAGCCGCGCGCAGCTTCCACGAAGCCATCGAGGCTGGTCTGGATAGCCCGGCTCCTATTCAGTTCCACCAGCCTGTGACAGACGAAGAAGCCGAAGCGAGGGAGAGAGATGGAGAGAGTGAGAGAAAAGAAGGAACCAGGGATGGTGTTGAGACGTGATGAGTCTGGCAATGTTTGGTGGGAAAAAAACAGGCGCCGAGTACATCTACGGACGTGAGAAGATGGAGAGATACCCATGGGAGCGACCGCCAAGAACAGCAGATATGGGTGTGCTCGACGAGCTCAAGGCCGAATTCAGTGTTGTGTGGGACACAACAATGTATGTCCTGAAGTCTTGGATGGATATCCCGCGGACGCTGTAAGTTCTTCTAGTCTCTCGAGTCACGACAACGTTACTAATTCTCTGCAGCCTGGAGATCTCTGTCTGGGAAGGTCAGCGTCTGTACTCATACTGGCTCGGTCTGCCCGTCCCTCCTCGCCTCTGGAAACTTCAAGTGCCTGGAGCCGAGGCGATCGGACGTGCCGAGAGGAAAAAGCATGAGACGAACAAGTATAGAGACGAGCTGTGATTGATCATTGCGATATTTCTTGTACATAGCGACTACATTGGTGTTGGCCGGTTTTGGGATTCAGGAGTGGTACATTCTTATTTCTATGCTATGGGAGGTGTATAGATTATTTTGAAATCTGGAATTTATGTGCCCAAGACACGCATTTAATCATGGACCATAATATCCGGGGTAGATTGAGTAAACGGAGTACTGGGGTCAGAGTAAACGGTCGGGAGAATCGGAAATCTTTGGAGCACAGGCCGCGGTCGGGGAACGGCGACAGGTACTGGTTTGCCACCGATGAAATTTCATCACAGAGAGAATATGTAGAAGAGTCTACTGAGTGGGAATTCCACTCCGAGATTAATTGTGATTCATTGTCACTCGAGTCCGCCTGAATACTGCATCTAGCCTACTTGTATAGTGGTGCAACCAGTGCATCTGTTGTCGCCTCTCGGCAAACACCGACCTCGGCTTCTCCACCTCCGGCCACATGCGTGACCTGAGACTTTTGCCTTCCCCATCATCGCTCCACCTCCACTTCCCCCAGTTCACCCTCTTCTTCACCCGGAGCTTCATGCGACTTTGCTGAAGCCAATTATGGCGTCGGTATCGCCGCCAAAACCTTGGGAGAGAGCAGGCGCAGGTGGTGAGTCCTCCCCAGCGTGCGGTCTGGGTCCGCACCCGGCACCCTGATTCATTTCCCATCTCACCTTCCCCAGATTTCTGATTTCTAATTCTCATTTCAAAGGAAACGCACTATCAACTGCGCCGACTGCTGGTACTCCAGCAGCTTCAACCACTATGACCACAACTTCGCCCGCTAACCCCGCAACCTCATCCGCTCCCGCCCTCCCATCTCGCCCTGACACTCTCAACGCCGTCGTCAACAACACCGCCTCTAATTACTCACCCTACGGCGCGTCTCGTTTTGGAACGTCGTACGGAGGTTACGGTGGCTACGGCGGTATGGGAGGCATGGGCTCCTACTCGTCACCGTATTCCCGCTTCGGCTCGATGGGCTCGATGTACGGCGGTTATGGCGGTATGGGGGGGTATGGGGGGCATGTATGGAGGCATGGGAGGGATGTACGGCGGCATGCCAGGGCAGGATCCCAATGACCCCAACAGCTTGACCAACTCGTTCAGCCAGAGCACACAGACGACGTTCCAGATGATTGAGAGTATCGTCGGTGCGTTCGGCGGGTTCGCCCAGATGCTCGAGAGCACATACATGGCGACTCACAGCTCATTCTTTGGTATAGTGCCTCCAATACCAGGACCCAGTACTCATTCTAACCCATCTAAACAGCAATGGTCTCGGTCGCAGAGCAATTCGGCAACCTGCGCAACACCCTCGGCTCAGCGCTGGGCATCTTCACCATCATTCGATGGTTCCGCACCCTCATCGCCAAACTCACCGGCCGCCCACCCCCGGCCGACGCAGCTTCTCTAACTCCCGCCTCATTCGCTGCTTTTATGGGTGGGCGCTCCGCAACCACTCTCCCCGACGGCTCCCCAGCCCCAGCCAAACCCTCCAAGAAGCCATTTTTCATGTTCCTCGTCGCCGTCTTCGGCCTTCCCTACTTAATGGGCAAACTCATCAAAGCCCTCGCCCGCTCCCAGGAAGAAGAAGCCAAGCGCCGCGCCCTTACTGGCCCCGGCGAACCAAACGCTGCAATGGACCCCTCTAAGCTCGACTTCTGCCGCGTCATCTACGACTATTCCCCCGAGACTCAAGAGAGCAACGGTATCGACCTCGCCGTCAAAAAGGGTGACATCGTCGCTGTCCTATCCAAGTCAGATCCCACAGGCAATGCCTCAGAATGGTGGCGCTGTCGCGCCCGTGACGGCCGCGTCGGATACCTCCCGGCCCATACCTGGAGACTATTCAGCGACGACCCCAGCAAGCCATTACTAGTGGAAGCGAGCCCGCCACTCGCACCCACACGATGAAAGGCGACTCGGACCGCACTCAGAGCCTATCAGCCATCTCCAAGTCCACTGATAAGCCACCTGAGCTCAAGGGCAAGATGGGTGATATCTCGCCCGAGAGTTTCCAAAAGAGTACCTTCTATTCTTAATAGACCGGTTAATAGAAGTACGATTCGATTTGATGATGTGATATTTGGTGGATCGACTAAAAGCGACACCCCTACTTCCCCTCCCCCCTTGCTATGCGATGCTGAATTCGAACTATTCCCCCTCGAAGTTGGTGACGATTTCTATCTCTTCTACCCCAGAGCGACGCACAATGATTCTCATGATTTTTGTCCTGAGTTCTCTTTCCCTCTTGTTTTTTTTGTTTTCTTCTTTACTGTTTCCTCTCAGGGTTCCTATCTTCTTTCTGCTCATCAGTATGTAACTGGAACTGGTTTTAGCGTGGGTTCTTTCAATGTTGGTTCTGTATCTAGTTCATGATCTCGCAATTGCATGCATGGAATTCCTTCCATGGACATATTCATGATTCTCTGGTTCATTCACTTTACCTGTAAGTTTCAAAATTGACATCTGAACTGTCGTATAGGAATACTACCTTGCCTACCTTGCCTACCTTGATTTATTGAGTAAGCGCATAAGCAGACTCGGCCAAGACATCGTAGGCCAGACCCCGTCGAATGTTCCGCCTCATCGCAGATGCGAGATCCTGGAGACTGCATCTTTCTCAGTAGACCTCTCACATTTGACACCTGCATCGCATCGTGCACCGGGCAGTTACATATGTATGCATGCCCGTCCTGGGTTAAAGCCCCGACGGGGCGGGGTTACAAGCACTGTGCACTCCAGGTTTGAGATATCCACCAATGTAGGCACATATATGTATATGTGTATGTGTATGTAAATGTAAATGTACATGTATGTGTGTATGCATGTCTAAATAGCACGTGTGGATCTACAAGGGAGTCACGGAATGTGCACAGAATATTATCAGGGAGCTTTTTACAATGGTCTTCTTTCAGAGGGATTTGGGTATGGTACTTTGTCATTGCGTTACCTTCCGGTATCCGAGTAATAATACATATATGATTCTGGATTATTCGTTGACTCTATACTGGTGGACCTGATTATCGACGCTGCCCCACGTGGAGATGGATTGTAGATGGTCAGAGAAACAGATACATCCCGGGTGCTTTTCACTTCTTGTGCTATTTGTCGTGGTGATATTCTTATGATCTGGCGGATGGTGGGACTCGGGCATTTCTCGATGGGATGTCGTCCTCGAGGGTGGATGAGGTTTCTCTGCTTATCATGGCGACATGATGTCCTCGCTCTTGGGTTTTCTATTGTTCATGACTCCAGTTGGATTGCGGAATGCAGTGAGGGTAGAATGAGTTTGTCTTGGTATTCGTGTTGGGGATTGTGGGTATAGGTAAGGGTGTGGGTATCGATGGTGGCGTGTCTTCATTAGTTGATCATTCGGTTGAGGGCGAGGACGAGGTCGACTCAGCGTCATGACGAGGGGAATCGTGAAATGTGATCGGTGTGGCAGAAGCGAGCAAGAGAATGGCACGGAGCTGTTTGAGAATGATATCCGATATTCAAGTATGCGATTGACCGCGTTTGAACTGATGAGTGATAGGTTGAGATGAGATGGGATGAGATGAGATGAGATGAGATGAGATGGGATGAGATGGGATGAGATGAGATGATCGAGACATAGGTTGACCACCCTGGTCATGACCCTTCACTGCTTGCACTTGCACTTGCACTTCCACTTCCAGCCAAGGAAGAGTCTACCTACACATGGTCTCAGTGCAAAAGAAACAAGTTAATATGAACAACGAAGATTGAGATCAGGGTCACAATCACACCCACGACCTTTTAATCAGTACCCGTCCATTCTCCACAGCACCAGGCTAAAAGAACAATGATAAAGAAAGAAAAAAAACGCCCCAACTATGAATTTTTCGATCTCCTTGTCTGATGCGTACGGAGAAAACAAAACCAAAAAAAAACAGAAAAGTAAAAAAAAAAAAGACGCTCCGACGAGAAGAAAGAAACGCTCCAAGGGAAGATGAATGACGAAAGATGGAAACAAAAGGGTAGAACAAGGAAGAAGGGGAGAGATAACAAGAAATGGCCATATACACATTCATCAAGGAAAACGAAAAAAAAACATCATGCAGATCAGTATTCATCACATCCCCAATCCTTCGTGATGAGGAATCTCCTGATTGGGGTCCGCGTCACGCGCCCACTTGGACATCGTCCTGTCGAGCGTATACTGCAGACCCTCCAGTCTGGTCTGGAAGGTATCGAGTCGGTTCCAATCATCCGAGTGCTGGATGACTTCGCCCGGAGCATCGACGTCGTGGCCATGATTTGCATGGCTGTGATAAGAGGGTACATGGTGAGGATGCTGAAGGATTGGTCCTGGAGCGACGATGGGGTGAACTGCGTGTGAGACTGGGGGAGACCTGGCATTGGGTGGGAGGCTGTGACTGAGTCTGGGATGTTGGGGTAAGTTCGGCGTTGAGAGTTTTGGGTTGCGGTTGGGTGGGCGTGGTGCTGGTGCTGGTGCTGGTGTTGATTCGGATGCTGATGCGGATGCGGATGCGGGTGAGGGTGAGAGTGAGGGTGAGAGTGAGAGTGAGAGTGAGGGTGTGGGTGAGATGGGTTTGAATGAAGGTCCATTGAATAGGGAGAGTCGTCGTCGATGACGAGGTCCGGAAGAGTGTGAATTTGGTTTGGGTCTGCGCTTTGGTTTAGTAAAGATTGAAGATGGGGAGTTGATCGACGGTTGGACGTACCGAAATTTATCTGATAATTCGCGTTTGGTGTCTCGCGCATTGGCGACTGCACGTCTGGTGGGGAACCTGGCGTTACTACTGAGACTTCTTCTGCTGGTTCAGGCGTATAGCAGGTCATGTCGGACGGGGTGGCTATAGCTAGTTGCATTAGATCTAAATGTGTGCGGGATGAAGATTAGGGTTGACGAACGCGGCTCAGGACTTTGTAATTCAGCATCTTTGTCTCGTTTTGAACTCCAAGATGATCCGTAGCGACGGACAAAGCGAGCGATGCGCTTCTGATCGACTTCTTGGCCACTGCGGCGAAAGGCTGTCTGTTTGCCACGGGCGGCGCGCTTCTTCTGCTTGCGAATCATGATATGGACTTCTTCGGCCTTGATATTCTTTCGAACATGCCACGCAGCCAGGCGGTCTTTGTATTGTTTTTCACTGGATGAGACGGGTTAGGAAAGAGGTATTCTTAAAGGTAGATAGCGATGACGAGGAGAATCAAAATCAAGATCAAGATCAAGATGAAGCTGACGAAGTAGAATATGGATGAGATTTGAGGGGTTATGAGGATAGTTATAGCGGGGCGAGAAGGCACAAGTATAAAAAGCCATAGAAAAAACCAAGGAAACAGGAGGCATTACGAGGCGAAGAACTTATAGTCCCTTTCCATGATACGTTTCACATCGCGTAACTTCAACTGGTCGGTGCGGTAGAGCTGTTCGATGATCTCGCGGTACTCGTGCCAATCATCGGATCGGCGGGGCCGGAAGACGTTGGACGGTGTCACCGGGGATTGAGGCGAGAGGATGGGAGGGAAAGGATCCATCATGGAGTAAAATGTGATGGAGCAGATTGGGAGGAGAGTAGGTTATGAGGCCCAGAAAAAGAATGCAGTTCAACTTCATCAGAGCCGGGGGGGGGGGCAAGGAATCTCTCAACTACTCTTTGCGGCGAGCTGCACGCGCGGACGCACGAACCCCTGCTTCCCCGGCCAAATCAGCGGTGCCGTTGGTGCATGGCGTGGGCTCCATCGCCGTGCAGCTCTTGTCAGTGCCATGATCGTCAACGGTGACCCTCCACGCAATCAAAACTGGCAGGAGAAGATCTCCGATATCGGGATTTGGAATCAGGCAAAAAGTACTAAAAAAGTATCTGGCCCAGTCCGGACGATGATCCAATAATCACGGGAAAAAACTAGAAAAAAAAAAGATCAAAACGAGGATTATCATAAATACCGGAGTGGAGCTGAAATCGCGTACTTTTGGCTCGGGGCTACTGTACAGTCTAACCGAACTATTACATGCAGTGCACTGGCCGCAAACTGGATGCATTTTCCGCTGCCTTCGTATTCCGATCGTTTTGGGGATGTCATTCATTGGTGCTTTCGAGTCTGTCAGTCCGGATCGTTCACTGAACCCTATACACTCTAACGTCAAAAAAGGACTGGACCCGGTAACCGTTCTCTCTCTCTCCGCCTAGGACTCATCCTGGGTGGGGGGGGGGGGGGAACGTCAAGTCCTAGGATCCTATCGGGAGCGGCCCGAAACTTCCCTGACAGTGTCCCCGATACTAAAATCACCCGACAGCGCGGGCCACCCTGACCATACAAAGAAATTAATACAGCCCTTTGTGTTTTGTTTTGTTTTTTTGTTTATGTTTTCGCTTTTCACTCTGTTGCCTGTTTCAGGTCCCAACTCGTGTCTTTCCTATTCTGGTATACAACCTAGGAGGGGACCCTCTCCCCAGTCTATATACTTCTGGCATGAAAAGGTAAAAAAAAATGATATCAAATATAAATGCAACTTAAGAAATAAAAGACCATGCAAGGGTGCACGCCGTTGGAACCTGCTTCTCGCCGTTGAGAGACAAGTGTCAATCGGCCAGAATATGGGCAGTAATGGCCGATCTAGGGAGGGAGGCGCCTAGGTCACGACTCTCCACGCGCACATTCTTTGCGCTCGCTGACCTTTCCGTTGTGCTGTTTCAAATCTGGTCCTTCGGGGAGGGGCCTTCTACTCCGGCCGAGACTAAACGAAACTCTGACCTCTCGTGGGTCCAGAATTCCCGGGACCTGGGTCCTTGACGAGATACGGTGACGCCGTTTCGTTTCATTGCGAGTGGGGAGCGATCCGGGGGGGGCAAGGCTCGTACCGTTGTGCGAGATGAGAAGCTAACTGCCCTACGCCGAAAGCTAGAACCTAGAACATAGAAAAGAACGCACGGATGGCAAGGTGTCAGGTGGCTAGGCATCGATGGCTGCAGTGATCGCCCTCGGGGAGAGATGCCCCTAGTCTCCCGGGATGAGTCGAGAAAGGTACGGGACGTTTGAACAAGGTACTGGGCAGCGGGGGTGAGCGAGGCAAGAAGGACGAAGGACGCAAAGGTACCTTTGGGCAGCGGTATACTCTTGAGCTTCCCTCCTTTCCCCCCTATGTCTAGAACTAGCTCCGGAGGCTACTCGAACGGGAATTGATCTGTGCGTTCGCCAAGTGCGGGGCCATTCAAGGTTCGAGCTTCCCGTTCCCACTTTTTGCAATTCTGTCAAGCGCTCTCCGACTTGCCTCTAGGAGGGAAAAAAAAAAGGATTCAAAAGATCAAAAGATCGGCCCCACTGGACGGAGAAATCAGCCGCGTCCCACGGACCACCGTTCAGCGGCTCGGATCGCATGCAGGTACTAGGATGTACGCAGACTTTGACGAGCGTATCGCCTCCCTTCAAAGGCTCGATTGGGAATGGAACGGGGCACCCGACCACGAGCGTGATGCATGGATCCGAGAACAAAAGAGACATGCGGGATCCGTGGCTGTGACGTGTGGCCTGGACCCGCTAGACTCGATTCGTGAGGGACCGTTCTGATATCATCACACACGATTGCAGAGGATTGGAGTTGTACGGGATGTTCGACGAGAAATCACGCCCCGCTCGATGGAGTCGAACAATCACCGTGTGAAATCCACAACGGGTCGATCCCTGTCCTTTTCAGGCCCTTCCTCCATCCCATCTCCCCCTTTCGATGACCTGGCTCCCTCTCGTCGTTGACATGTTTCCTGGCTGCCTGCGGACCGCGATTAATGCGGCTTGCATCGACCCGGCGATCCTTGCGAGTATGAATGTATGCTGCAAGGGTGAGTTGCGCAAGCGTACCGGTGTGCTGGCGTTGACTCCTGTGAATGAAGACAGGAATGGACCCTTTCTACTCTCGGTCGTTCGGAGTTGGCTTGCGCGATATAATGGTGCAGTTTGGTCTCGAAGAGAGAAGAAAAACACAAAATATTATATATCATTGCGCGCAGATCGATACAACCAAATTGAGGCTTGGCCAACGCAATTCCGGTATCAGCCCCATACACCAGGAATGACATCCCTGATCGGCCAGGTTTCCAAGAATTACTCCAACGATTGGCTGTCAGGGACTCGTACAGGGCCGGAGATATCGACCGGACTAGAGTTTAGCATCGACCTCGAGTTCGGCCTCGATGACCTGCGTTCTGCACGAGTCAGCGTTCCAAATTTAATTTTCATTAGCATAGGGAGGGTGATCACCGTCGCATCTAGCGTGTTCAATGGTCAACTTGACTTTCCGGCTCTCGCTTCTTTCGTGGTCGGGATAGTTCAACAAGGGAACACAAAAGATGAATTCTACTGCGGAATTGGGCTGAGGGATTCTGGAGACATCTCTTTCAATAATCCTACCGTGGCCTTGGGCACGGGTTCCAGGCTATATCAGCTACATTGATCTCGTCTATCGAGATGCGAGGCGGACTGTGGCGGCAAATGAGATGCCCCAGGGATGCATGGTATCGCTTCACACCACTTCATCTTCATTCTGGAGGAACCCATACTATTCTCTCTTCGGCAGGAGTCTTCTCTTCTGACTTCTTACTCCTGGCCCCCGCTGATTCGTGCTCTGGCCATCGCTTACTTTGGCTGTTTTTGCCCATGTGGTCTGACTCGGCTACGTTCTACTCATGTCAGATGTGAGCGATGGGCGCAGTGGCGTGGAAACCTAAAAACCGCGTGGCCGCCTTCCGCGGTGAAGCCCCGTTCTCGCCATCGCCACCGGCAGCTCCGTGTAGGTTTCTTTGAGGCTGGAGGCCTGAGAGATAGAGGACAAGTCAGAGCGTAGGTGGTCTCCGGTGCTAGTATTTTTTTTTTCTTTTTTCTAGTATCCATTGAAAATGGGCAGGTCTCATCTCGTGGGGGGGGGGCTTTGGCACATCAGGGTATAGTTCATCGAGTCATCGCTAAAAAAAGAATAGGGCGCTAAAGAAACAGAACGCGCCTCGTACAAAAGTCGCCCGAACCAAGGAAGGTCATCGCATGATCATCACAGTTCCATCTCAGGGTCCTTTCGGGACAGGACCGGGAGCCGCGTGACGCGTCTGGGTTGGGTCAGCGGCATTGACAGCAGCCGCAGCTACAGCAGCGGAGTTGCTGGATCCAGCGCCGGCGACATTACTAGCGTGAGCCAGGAGGAATTTACAGCAAGTCAGCGTATACTTGCACGCCCTTGTCCACGTCTCGTCATTCTGGTTGAAGCCAAGCTTGATGCTAGCATCCCCGATGCGATCCCGTCTAATCTCATAGGGCAATCGCAAACCCGCCGCCACCGCGCCCGTCTGACCTCGACGCGGTGACGACACGGGCGCAGGGGTTGTTTCAACAAATTCTCCCAGTTGGCGCAGACATTCGAGAAACGCCACCATACCTGCGTCAAAGCGGCGATGCAGCCAGGGGAAGTTCAGCGGAAGGTCTCCGGACGAGAACAAATCCAAGGGCGTCGTTTTGGGTGAGCCCCGCTCGCTGACAGCGCTGCCGGCTGCCTGCTGCGGGTACTCAATCTTGTCCACCCGCGAGGTGGACCCTAGTGGCCGCAGCCGGTATCCCTGAAATTGAAAGCCTAGACGCTCTGCAATCGTGGCAAGGAGCAGACATGTCTGGCCCCATGCTGCGTTGATCTCGGGCCACTCGACCGAGGGGTTGGCGAGGCGGCCCAGCCGCAGTCCATTGATCGTACCAAAATATCCATCGTGACCAATGCAAAACGCATCATTGTAGACATTCGTCCTTTGCAGCCGCTCCAGCTGCTGGGAGTCATGGTCGTAGCGCATGTTGAGCGCATCTCGCTCGGTTTGAAACTCTGCGAGTGTCAAAGAAAAGCCATTTCTGGCTCGCCAAAATTGATCCTCGTCCGCGTCTAGCTGTTGGGACTCTTCTTCCAATTTGGCAATCTCGTCATCCAGCGTGGCCTTTTCGCGCTCTAGCGTTTCAAGTTCTGCAAAGGCGGCTTCTTCAGCTTTCCGTATTTCCTGGAGGGATTTTTCAGCTGCCTCTAGCTCTTCCGCGGTTGGGACTGATGCATTCAAGTTTCGCAGAAACGTGATATACGCATCGCGCTCCTTTGTCGCCCCGGTCAGTCGTTTCTGTAGCTCCTGTACTAGTAGATCCGTACATTCCACACAGATAGGGTGATCTATATCTGAGCGCGCAGACAAAATCTCGAACAATCGGGTCGTCTTTTCGACTTGACTGGCAAATGCGCTATCCTCCTGACCGGGGTCATGATTCTGGCCGACACTGTTTCGTTTGGGTCGAGAGGGTAAAGAAGGGTCCACAGCAGGAGGCATGATTTGCGAGTCCGTCAGCACCACGAAGGACATATTTCCACTGTCGCCCCGAGGCAGACTCGGCGGGTGCGACTGGCCCGACCGCGGGGCGGGTATGGACCTTCTGTAGACCGCCGACGTAGCATTTCGAGAGCTTTTATCGTATAGTTCTTTCCGCTCTGAAGGATATGAAGTTCGAGTGGAAGAGGATATAGCGCCATGTTCGGAGACGGTCTTGCCCGTGGAGTCTAAAGCTGTTAGCATTCACCTACTTAAATGCAGCTCTGGAATCAAAGATAAGCTTACTAACGAGCACCTCAAACGCAGCCGGATTAAGTGACTCCAGCGAGCCGTCCGTCTTCAGCGGCGTTCGACATTTCTGGCAATACATGGTGTGTGATCAGTTCATTGTGGAGATGTCGGGATGTTCAAGGTGTGGGGAGTTGAAGTCGGAGGTTGGAGCTTCGGGAACGTCACGCCGTTTGTTTTTGAACTCCTACTTTCCTCTGCGCCAAACCACACGCCCGCCTTTTGAGCTCGAATTGTGCTTCACTTCCATACCATGATGCTACGAAACTGTTGCTGGTATCATTGAGTTCCGGTCATGCGACTTTAGGCGCGTTTTACAGCTTGCGTTTCGCGTCTGATCTACGCGACACCTTCCGTAATCTGTGAGCCCAACATGAACATTGATACGGACGACCTCACTTCCTTTCCGATGGAAAGGCCCGGGAAACGCCCGCGCCTATCGTTCGATTCTGGATTGGTAGAGGATATACCGGAGGAATGGGACCTCCAGACCGCACGCGCGCAGAATGACAATAAGTTGAAGTCGATCTTCGAGGGCATCTTTGCGAAATACGGAAAGGACTTTACGGAAGTCGGGGACGAGATTAATCTACAGACTGGGAAGATCGTGGTCGACAATGGACATCTACTAGGTCTGCAGGAGGAGACCGACCCCCGAAACGAAGGACAGCCATGGCTCGAGACGAACGAGGACGCCTATTCCGATGAAAGAGAAGATTCAGAGAAGGAAACAGTCGATTCTCATGGGCCGCCTTTATCAAGCTACAAAGATGACGATATTGAGGGAGACGCCGACTCTGATAGCAACGACTCATTACTGGCTCCAGCACTGACCTACAATCAAGCTGGAAGGTCGGAAGATCCCAAACTAACCACCGGGAAACAAGTCGAGGATCCAGGCCCGAAAGACCCTGTTTGGCAAGCCCCTGCATTGCCGAGATTAATCTCGACGCCTACGGCCGAAACCCGGGCCAAGAGAGTTACGCCAAAACCCCCAACCTTCATCAGGGAGCCCTCTCCACCTGGATCGGGATCCTTATGGACTGTCCCGCGTCGCGGTCGACCACCAGGTCCAGGTCGACCACGCACTGAAGGAAAGCCCAAAGCGTCGCCGAGTGAATTCCGCGCTCGGGCGAAACCCACGTATCATTCAAGCCCGGTGGCGCACAACTGGTCCTTTTCTCAAATACCCGACGGTGACGAGTCAGACGACCCGCTCCAGGAGCATCAGCCCTCTCCCACGCCGTCTAAAATGACGAGCATCCGGGGAAAGCGGATACGGGGTCCTGAATTTACTTTAAATCGATATTTGGAATCGGATCGGAAATCGGAGCAGGGGGCGTTCCCCGGGCCCAATCGGCTACGCCGACCAATTTTGATGACGATGCTGACAATGATACCTCCAAACGAGAAACACATGGCAATTGCCATGTGGCATTGGGTACTTCTTCACAAAGCCGTGCTTCTCAACAGCCGGAGTCTGGCTCCACGCCACGATCAATTACGGTGCCCCGCTATAGAGTTCCGCGGTCATCGTACAGAATTATAACGCCCGACGAAGGGCGGATGATAATCCGCTTGCGACATGTCGAGAACTTGGAGATTAAGGAGATCCATGTTCGACTACCCAATTGCAAGACCACACAGATCTATGCTTGGGATTATCATCACTGGACTGAAGCTCGGCTAGACCCTCCTCAGCTCTCGGCTCCGTGGACTAAGAAAGAGATGGATATTCTGGAGGAGCTGAAGGACACAGACGGTCTTTCCTGGGCCAAACTTACGGCCGAGCTGCCCGGCCGCTCCCGCAAAGAGATCGAGTATGAGCTGATCCGTCTCTGGGTTGGTGAGGATGTATGGAACGCGGAAGAGTGGGGTCGGGATGCAAAGGGCAAAGGTGTGCCTGAACCACCGTCCAACCCCAATAAAAGAAAAAGGCCGCTGGACAATGAGACTTCTGAGGTTGATCCAGAACATGATGGCGATACGGCTTCGCTTGGCTTCAAGATGCTCAGCGAAAATGATTCTGATTCTGATTCTGATTTTGATGAAGACTCCGACTGCGACTCAGTCAAAAGCGAAGCCTTCTCATTCTGTAGGCTATCCGAAATAGGCCTTGAGCCACCTCACAGCCCGAAGCGCCAGGATGCCGGGCAAAGGGCAGGGCCTCGCCGCGTAAGGGTCTTCAAGAGCAGCAAGCACTCTCGTGCGAAAGAATCCCATCTACCATTAATAGCACAAATTTACTCAAAGTCCTCATCACGAGCATTCAGAACATCCTCAAGCTTCGTATCAACCGCACCACCCACATCCCCAGCCTTAGCCCAGAAGCGCGACAGGTGCCTTGACCCAGAATCAGACAACACCGTCACGATCCTATGCCCAGGTCCCATCTTCATCGCCGTCTTAACCGCAGCAAAACCTTGTATCCGTCAGTCATGTCGAATCAATAGCGCAAGATCAAACTCACAGTTGACGGCACTGCTACTCCCCAAGAAGATCCCATCCTTCTCAACCAACCACCTCGCCATCGCCAACGCCTGGGCATCAGTCACTCTCACCGCGTCATCCACAAGCTCTTTCCCAGCCTCGAAATTCGCAGTCACACGATTGATGCCAATACCTTCAACGATAGTATCAACCTGACGCCTCCGCCTCGTCCCCTCCCCTTCTCTAAGATCGAACATCACTCCATACCGGACACGATTATACAGCCCACTCCCTTGTGGATCTGCCAGTACGATCGTGATATTAGGCAATAAGGGCTTCAAATACCTCGCCACACCAGAGATAGTCCCGCCTGTACCAGCACCAGCAATGAAGGCATCCATCTTCCCCTCACACTGAGCGAAGAGCTCCGGACCTGTGCCTTGATAGTGAGCGCGCCAATTTGCCTCGTTCTCAAACTGATCGGCGAAAAATCCCCGGCCGCGGCCCATGCGGTCTAGAGTCTCTTGCTCGGGCTGATCGCCTTCTTCGGCTGTGAGGTTGACGGATTTTGATGAGGCCGTGTGCGCTTGGGCTAGTGCCCGTGCACGATTGACGAAGTTGTCTTTCTCGACGATTGGTGCCGGGGGCACGCGATCCACTATCGCGCCGAGCTTGAGAAGGAGGTTCGACTTTTCAATTGCCTGGTCTGAGGGCAGGCAGCTGGGGTTTGGGTTAGTATGCAGTCCAAGATGTATATCAAGGTATCTGATGCCTACATGTGTGCTAAATAGCCTTTTGCTCGTGCGAGTGTTGCGAGTGAGATACCTGTTGATCCAGACGTGCCTTCATAGATGGTGTCGCCTGAATGGGGCGTAAGGATGTCTTGTTCTTCGGCCTGGTATGGTTAGTTTTGCTGTATCGCTCGAGATATTTTCGAATGTACCAGTTCAATCATGCTAAGTGCCACTCGATCTTTTGAGCTCTGGCCTGCGCCATTTAGAAACTGTAACATTGTCATCAGATGGTGGTCTTCGAGCTAAGGTGGGTTTGCATACTTCGGCCTTGCCTAAAATCTCACATCCTGTTGCATCTGACAATGACTTGATCCGGAATAATGGAGTGTTTCCAATACAGCCTTCAATACCTTCCACTATTGCTGGAGGTCCTGACCGCGCAATAAGCGCATCTGAAGCTGGTTTCTGGGAGGCCGATCTTTCCTCTTTGTGCTGGGAGGACAGCACTTCTTTGCAAACTAGAGCTAGACCGACACCTGCAATGAACGCAGTTCCAATGTAGATCGCCGATTGATCTGGCATTGTCTTCTAGTTGTTGCTCTTTTACTTTCTTTCTCAATTCAAGGTTGATGAAACGTTCGTCGAGGAATCATATGACGCTCATGCGACTGCCTTGATCGTAGAGTCGTATTCGACACAGTAAGTAGAATTGATTTGAATTTATGAGCTCGTCATTGGATTATTAATCGCAATGAAAAGCAGAAGTGTAATGCGAGTGAGTTCCAAAGTAAAAGTTGCAATGCGAAAGATGGGGATCTCTCGCCTCAGGCACGTGCCTCCTGCCTGAGGCCAAGCTTCACCTGTCATCCGCGAACTTCGTGTCTCCAACTCTTGCTCAAGCACCATGGATTCACCCGTGCTCAACCAGCTGTTTCGGCAGCTTTTCCGGCATCCGGCATGTCAAAGCCTTCGCCGACCGCAATCCTCGTGGTCTCGACAGACCCGTACGTTCCTGACCCGGCGCACGCCAGGCAAGCGCAAGCCGCAAGATGATGCGATGCTCTGGACAAAACGAGGCGACTACCCCAAGAATATTGAGGAGGAGTACAGATTATACCCTACAGTCACTGCGAAAGAATTGCGGAATCGGCGCGAACGACCGCGGCAGGTGAAAATGTTGACGCGCGAGTTCATCGATGGTGAGTTGAAGAATACCGCTTGACGAGAGCACTAAACCTGACCCTGTCTGCTTAGACAGTCTCTACAACCCGCACTATGGCTATTTCTCCAAGCATGCGACAATCTTTAGCCCGGGCGAGCCATTTGACTTCAACAATATCGAAGACGGCCCCGCGTTCCACCGCCTCCTAGGCCAGCGCTACACAGAGTTCGAAGACAAGTTGGACGAAGTCAAACCTGATATCGCGCGTCAGCTATGGCATACTCCGACGGAACTTTTCCGGCCGTATTACGGCGAGACGATCGCGCGGTACCTGGTGTCGAATTACAAGCTCACGCTGTACCCTTACCACGACCTAATTATCTACGAGATGGGCGCTGGTAACGGAACAATGATGTTGAATATTCTGGATTTTATCCGTGATACCGATTACGAGGTGTACCAGCGCACCAAATTCAAGATCATTGAGATTTCTCCTGCGTTGGCGGATTTGCAGATGAAGAACTTGATAAATACGCTCAATTCCAAAGGTCATCGAGATCGTGTTGAGATTGTCAATCGCTCTATCTTCGACTGGGACACATATGTCCACTCACCTTGTTTCTTTCTGGCATTGGAGGTGTTTGATAATTTCAGTCATGATACCATCCGCTATGACTTCAAGACCGAGCTTCCTCAGCAGGGTGGAGTCTTGATTGATGCGGATGGCGAATTCCATGAATATTACAACACGAGGCTGGATCCTGTTGCGGCTCGCTTCCTGCGCGTGCGTCAAGCTGCTGCGCGTCGCCCTTATCCTAGCCCTCTTGGCCCGCGTGTCCTCCGCGGCCTGCGCTCTGCCCCGCCATTCGGCAGCAGCCACTCTCTTCCTGAGTACATTCCCACTCGACTGATGCAGTTCTTTGATGTGTTGAATCAATATTTCCCTGCCCACCGTCTGGTATCGAGTGACTTTAATTCTTTGCCAGACGCGGTGCCTGGGTTGAATGCGCCGGTCGTGCAGACTCGGTACAAAAGGCAAACTGTGCCGGTGTCTACTCCATTCGTAAGTTTTTTTTTTTTCACCCAAAAATATTAGCGTGCTTGGCTGATTACGTCCAATAGGTCCATCAAGGATACTTTGATATCTTTTTCCCCACGGATTTCAACGTCGTTGAAGATGTCTACCGCGCAGTGACAGGCAAACTAACTCAGGTCACAAGCCACGAGGACTTTGTGAACCGCTGGGCGTATATTGAAGATACCGAGACGCGGAATGGGGAAAATCCGTTATTGAGCTGGTACAAGAATGCCAGCATGTTGTTGACGGTGTAGATATATATTCCTTATGGACACAGGATGGCTGAAATTTCATGGACATTATTTGACTTGAACGGATAGAGCACCTTCCGGTGTAATTCTTCGAACGGACCTACCGCGAATCTGGGCGACCGTTCACGCCTCTTGGTCCTCTCGGATGTCGCCGTAAATATAAAAGGGGAGGATAAATACAACTTCCAATCACCTGGAAGTTCCCTGGAATCTTTCCCTCGAACTACACTCAGTTGAACCTCATCTGCCCATCTTATCTGATCATGTCCCATTTAATAACCTAAAACCAACATGGACAATGACAATGAAAACTCCCCACTGGAAACGCAAAGTCCTTGAAAGACGTCAAAAACGATACATCTTGATCTCATCTTCCTGGCTCCTCTCAAGAGACCCCCTGTTCAGTGCATCCTCAAGCATAGAATCAGCTTGCACCATTCACCAAGGAAGATTGAGCATGGACCGAAATTACCGATATCAGGCACCTCATCACGAGGTGACAAGCGAGGAACTGAGTACTGCATTTTTGCAAATGGGCGGCTGTTGCACAACAACTTCAATGTCTTGCTGAAATGTCCTCGACTAGACCATGACAAGGGAAACGCAGCTTGATGAGCATCTTCTCAGAACAGAGGATTTGTTTGTGCCGTCGTATTGGGTAGAAGGATCGGTCAAAGATCGATTTGATGCTGAGGGGATGGATACTACTGTGCATACTCATGTTGGTTCGAGAAGGTAAACTTCTACTATAGAGATGGGAAAGAAGATATTGAGACAGATAGTGAAGTTAAATCAAAAAAGAGGAACCTGTTCATGAGATAACTAATTCGAGACTCAATGCTCGACTCTTTCAAGATTCCCCCACCAAAACCCTAAAAACTTAAAACAATGCAGCCAGGCCCTGCCGGTTTCAATACAAATGAAATAAAAGATAGAGACGAATCAAGATGCAGTTCCATCGGGGAATATAACTAGAACTCAAATTCCTTGCGGAAAATATTCACATCCATACCAGACACTACCTGGTCCGCCAGGTCGCGTCTTCCCATCTGACTGAAAACCCGGCGCAGCGTATCGTACAGATTTGTGCTCTGGTTCTGACTGATATGCAGCATCCGCTCGAGACGTTCGTCGTCCAGGCCGTCGGGGTGGACACCGCCGCTGCCGATGATCTCCTTGGCGCGCTCGCGGCCTTCTTCCTCGACGACGCGATGCATAGACAATGCGCCGAGGAGGTGCTGTGCGGCCTCGGGGTAGCAGCCGATGTTGATACAAGAGACGCCGAGATTGTAGCGGGCGCGCACGAAATTGGGGTTGATGGTGAGGGCTTGCTCGTAGGCTTCAATAGCTTCCTCGGAGCGGCCTGAGTTGGCGAGTGTGGCGCCAAGGCGGTTCCAGAGGAGGTGCAGTTGCTCCTGTTGGTTGGTTGAGCCAGATTCGGTAGATGCTAATGCGGCAGAGAAACAGTCAACGGCCTTTTCATATTCCTCGGCGCAGTAGAAGAGGACACCCAGACCGACTTGCACGTCGGGATCCATCTGAGCACCGGAGGGAGAGAGCTGGGCGGCTTGGATGAAGAGTTCAGTCACGCGGTCGTGCAAAAGCTGGCGGTCTGTGAAGCCCAGGTCGGCATCGCCGGAGATTTCGTTCGGGTTAATGATAGATGGATATTTGTTAGACAGCCAACGTTCTAGAGTGCGGTAGGCAGTCGAGTCGTAGCCTTCGTTGGTATATGAGACGGCCAGACCCATCAATGCGTCCAGATTCCCCGGTTCAATCTTGAGCGCTTGCTCCAGGGCTCGAATTGCGGGCAACTCCTTCTCGTTCTGCGCCTGCGCAGAACCCAGCATGGTCCAGGCTTGCACATGCCGCGGGTCCTTCTGGACAGCAGCTTCGAAAGCCAATGCCGCTAGCGACAGATTACCACCCTCACGCATGATCTTTACACCCTCCTCGAACGGGTTATTGACGGACTGATAAACATTGTCCTCCTCGAACATGTAGTCACCAAGCTGGGGATCGCGGAAACGAGTGTTGAGACTGTCGAAACCCTCCCAATCACCCAAATCACCCACATGCACACTATCGGTGACCTGGAAATCACCATCTTCTTCCTCAACCAGTTTTCTGCTCGACGCAGTCTCAGCTTGGGCCCTTTCCCATACGGACTCAAAGGCATCATCAGAAATAGGCACTGACCTGTCGAGCTCATTCAACTCCGCCTCCATTGCCATGTTGGCCTCCTCATCAATCCGCGTCTCATTGCCCGCCGTTTCCATCTCCGCAAATTGCGCCTCCCAGTTCTCATCATCTAGCTCCACCATCCGACCCTTGCCCTTATCCTGCGCCTGCCCCTCCATTGGCTGCTGCATCGATGGACTCTGCATGCCCATAGGCCGCATCATTCCCATTCCACCCATGCCACCCATGTAACCACCACCCATCGCCATCGGCCGCTGGTACCCCGCCATCAAAGGTGGAGTTGCCGAGGTCTGCGGGCTAGATGTCTGCGGCATGCCCATTCGGGACTGCTGTTGGAAGCGCGAGAACTCCGCAGGTGTAAATCCAGCTCCGTTATTCATCATCCCCTGCTGCGCACCAGGGAACGCAGCCTCCATGCGCGCCTGCTCGCCGCCGTCGAACTCCGCAGCCCAACCGGGCGACCCCGTGCGAGGCGGAGCGGTTTGAAAATTATCTAGCTCACGGCGCATGTGCTCCATAGCGAAGGGTTGCGGCGAAGGCCCGTGTATTTGTGGTCCCTGTTGCTGCATGAAATCGTCCATCATCTATGTTTCCCGTTAGTCTTGGCCAATAGCGCAGATCGACCTCGGAGAATGCATGGACGAGGCCTCCCAACCCACCTGATCTTGCCCGCCCATCATACCCCGCGACCGCATGCCTTCTTGCATGCCTGGGCCGCGGCCAGCGAGCCGGTCCCGCTGGAGCGACTTGTCATCTTGGACGTGCTTAGTGAATTGAGTGAGAGGGTTTCCCGCCGTGGAGCATTCTGCGCCACCGAGGAATGACATGGTGAGTTATGTAGTGTGTTGATGTTCGGAAAGAATAAGATTGAGGTGCCCGAGAAAAGTCCCGAGTCAAATGAAGAGGAGAAACCCCGGATGTTCTCTAACGTGGGGTTTGAATCGCTCACTAATGCGCTTTCCGGAGCCGAGGTTCCCCGCTGGTCACGTGTTTGTATATACATGTTATCAATCTATTGTACAAGGTCCCTTCCTCAACGCCGTAGTCTAGGGCACTGCATTGAAACGATCAGAAGGGGATTGGTTATCTTCCATCTCCATCTCCTCTCGTTCCTGTTCCCGTTCCCGATGGGCCTCTCGTGCTCGATTCCGATCACTCTGACCAACCAACAAGCCCACCCGCTTATGCTCGGCAAAGTGAACCCTCAACGTCCGGCCAGAAGGCTTTTGATTCAAGAGAATCTCTTTCGCCTTCTCGGCAGACTCGACATTGAGGAATTCCGCATGCGCAAAACCGCGGATCTGTCCCGACCGGCGGTCCACGGGGATACGCACGTCCAGAACGTTTTTAATGTCCTTGAAAATGTTCTGCAGGTCACGGTCCGAAAGTTCGTATGGAATCCCTCCAATGAAGAGGGTATTGGATGGGTTTTCCTTAACGCTGTGTTTATGAACCTGACTGCGAGCGTACTGCAGGACGACCTGGCGTCCTTCCAGGACCCGATTGTGCAGATTTTGGATGGCATTCCAAGCTCCATCGATTGAGGTGAATTCACAGTAGCCGAACCTAGATTGGTAGCGCATTAGTGTTTGCCTCGAGAGCGTAGTCTGTGATTCTTACCCTTTACTTATGCCTCGGGCATCATGCACGATGTATGTCTTCACGACTGTTCCGTATTTCTCCATATGTTTTCGAAGATCCTCAGCCGTGAGATCATAGAACAAGTTCCCGATGTACACAGTTTCGCTCGCAGCTGGCACGTGGTCCCAGAGGTCGATTTTGCTGTGTCGCTGCTCGCGCTTCCCTTGCTGTATCGTGCTGACCGCCTGTCGTGCTCCGTCCTCCATTGATTTCTCGTTGGATCCTTCTTCCAACGGTTTCAAAGGATCAGGGGACGTGTCTTCCTTATCGAGGCTTTGTGAGTTCCAGCGGACCTGGAGGGCGGTGCGAAACGGGGTGTGTAATGAGACGCGGCGAGAAGAGGATTGGGACACGGCGAGGCATCGCGGTTGGCGTACTGCAGCGGATGTTGGTGATAATGGCCCGTAAATAAGCCGTAACGTAGCTTTGCGGAGAGACTGCCTTCTTCGGGGTTAGCGATGGTCCGTTGCATTAAAGTCTGACAGACATGCCCTCGAAGACCTGGATGCGAACGAGGATTTCGAACTAACATGATGAGACTCACATTGTAAATGTAATGGGACAAGGACGAGAGTCGACCGCCACTTGAAATATTGTGTATCAACGCTGAAGAAATCTTATGTTGTTAAATTTGACGGCGCATCGAAAAGTTTCCGGGATGATAACTGTCACGTGACTGCTATCGCATCGCGGCTCTATACAACACAGACTTTCAAGATCGCGATAGGACAAGGAACCTAATGTATAAATCAGCGCGGAAAAAAAATTACGAAAAAAGGGAGTGCACTCAGGATCGAACCCCTTCCACTGGGCGGCTTGCACACTCGCCACTGTGAGATTATCTGGACGCGGGCACCTTTTGGTGTAACGGTAGGTGATCGGGCTACCAACTACACCTTCCCAGCTTCGGGAGGCCTACTGACTACTCAACCCAATCCTTACTGTGTCCCCATTACGAAAACGATCTAGTAGCATACTCTTTGGGAGCGGAGGATTTGGCTACGTCTGTGGTAGGTACGTCATCCGCAACAAGCGATGGGAGTGTGCGACCCAAATGAACGATATCTTGATAGAGAGGGGTCTGAATATTGGCATGTTCTCAATATGATACAGGTAAGAAGAGAGTAACTTCGTGAACCCAAAAAAAACCAAGCTTTTCACGAAATCCGGACCCGCACAGCGTGTGATCCGGCATAAAGCGGCATATCCAGTCTGGAAACCCTCAGATGTTGTGTTCAAATACACCATTCCAGTCCATTATCCAATAGGAGAGAAAATATTTCAGGGAACAACGCAAAAGAAAGAGAATGATTGCATGATGTCATACCATTAATTTCATACTACAGACCCTGGCTGCCTGAGCTCCGCAGGGTGCTGTTGTTAGTTGAGCCTGACATCGGCGTGAAGCCGGGCACTGAGGAGCCGCTTTCAGGGCTAGTGTTAGATGGAGGGGAAAACGCGTTTGGTGGTCGTGGCGCGCCGTTTGGCATTTGTGGGACTCGGGTTGTACCGAGGGGGCTTGAGATTGGCGGTTGTGACATGCCGACTCCTTGGGGAATTGGCTGGCGCTGGGGGTCCATCATGGGCCAGAATTGGTTTGAAGTGTCGAAGGTGGGATTTTGGATGTATGTGTCCCAAGCGTCCTGTTCATGGTTAGCAATAACATCACGACAGAGAACACGAAAACTGACCCAGTCCAAATTAACTTGCATGTCCGGCATTTGACCGAACATGCTGCTAAAGGGCGACAGGGCACCAGGCATTTCAGCCGAGGCCCCGAAGCTAGTCGGCATTGGCGAGTCTGACATCTTGAGCATTGGGTCGGAGAATGGTTGTGGGCCCGGGTTCATTGGACTCATACCACTGCTCAGAAGCCCCAGAGTCATCGCAGCATTCTGCTTCTCGTCTTGAGGCTCGAACATGTTATTCCCGGTGCCATTTTCAAGGCCTGGAATGGTACTGTGCAGCTTAGCTAGCATGACGCCGAGAACGCTACTAGCCTTGTAGGCCTCCATGCTCTCGTCGCGCATCTCATCCCAGATCTCCTTCGTACGCTGGATGGCAGTCGTCATCTCTTCACAACGCTCGCGTCCCCAAGTGTATGTATCTCCAGACGGTCGGCCAGAAGCCTGCAACTGGTACCCCTGATACAAGTCGAGACACACGATTGTACCAGCCAGTAAGAAATCTGCAGAGCTGAGAGATGTGACAACCTGGCGACCACGCAGGCGTCCATGTCGTGTTTCGTTGTGAATAAGCGCCTGGAACTTGAGCAGCTCAAGAGCCGAGTCGATACATGTGCGGCGGGAGTATGTGAAGCGAGGGTTTTCTCGAGCGCGGACCAGATATGGTCGATGAAGTACGCATTGTGCCTTGAGATAGACAGTCATGACCTGCAGGTGTTAGTCGAGGAAGTGAACGAGACAGCTAGATTAAGAACTCACTGAGAATCGAGACATGATAAGGCTCACGGGATCGACCTGGCACTCTTCCATTGATCGGATTTGCAAGTGATCCGGGATCAAATCCCGAGCACGGCGGAGCTCCGCATCAAGCTCCATGACCTTGTCATAAGAAGTGCCCGCAACAGCCGAAGCATGCTCATTGACACGACCGAAGGCGTACGTTAGACGAGACTTGCTGATCATGTACGAGATAGGCGTTGGCTCGCTGAGCTGACGAGGTGGAGGAAGCTCTTTGCAGTCTTCATCGAAATCATCGTCGTAAAGATTACGCGGCAATTCCGTGTCACTGTCAGCAACGCGCAGCATACAGGGCAGTCCAACCTGGAAGGAGAAGAGAAGGTCTGCTGTGCGCACAAATGACCACACTCGCCGTCGCATTTCGCCTTGGAATGGTGTGATGTTGGGGAACATCTTCGAATCACGGTGATAACCCATTCGCATGGCCAGACGGGCGATCACTCCAGATAGAACCCACACTGAGATGTCGGCTTCCCTGGTTTGTGAAAAGTCGCCGTGTAAGTGGAATACGAGTGCCTCGATCAGGAAGGGGTGCGATTTCGTGTAGTCGGCCAGAGTCAAACACTGCGCAACTGAATTTCGGAAAGAACCAGCCATGTCCATGGCCTTGCCCCTGAATTCCGGTGGCTCGTCCCCCTCACGGTAGTATGATAGCATTGCCAATCGCATCATAGCAAAGAGCATAGCGATCCATACAAGCTCGGTTTGGCTGGGATCCTCCCAATGCTTGTTGTACTGTGCTTGAAATGTAGGGCCGTGGAGGATGTGAGTCGCAGGGTCGTAGCTGTTAAAGTAACGGGCAATAAGCTGATCCGTTGTGTACTTGGATGGCAAAGTGGCCAAAATTTCCGCCCGGCTCAATGGCTTCATCACACCAAAGAGAAGCGTTGACCCTGGCACATCAGTTTGAGGTCGCGCAGCCTTGACTTTCTCTGCTTGTTCCTCAAATTGCTTCTTATGTGTAGAGAAGAAATTGCGCACTTCAGAAATCTATTTCGCTGTTAATCACCGCCCTTTTGGTCCTAGGTATGGGTAAACTCACATCGTTGAGTACAGAGGCCCAGTGAGCTTCACTGATGTAATACGATTTGTTGTTGTCCATTTTCATCACGCCAAAAGACTTGGTGACTTGCTCCGTGTCGCTCTCCTCTGGTCCACCCTCGCCATCCTCATCGACATCGATGTCGATGTCATTGGAAAGCCCTCTTGAGCCTCCTGCGCTGCTATTCGCAGAAATGGCAGCCAACGCCGCCGCAGGTCCCGCAGACTGATTACCATTCGTCATCAGCGATAGAACCAGGCCTTCCAAGCGATCGATCCGGTTCTGCATATCATCTGGCGAAGTCGGTGTAGTCTGCTGGGGCGAGCTCTTCTTACGAGTCGTGATCTGAGCATAGGAGCAGGAGGGGGCGTCGCCTCGTTTGACGCAGTTTTCACAGGGGTGGGTTCGATTACATTTCAGCCTGCGGGGTGTCAGGTTGGCTGTCAAATGATGAAAGGCCGTTTATTCGGTACTCACTTTCTGTGGCGGCAGGGTGCGCACGATAGTGGCACCCGGTTTCGTTTCCGAACAACTCTAAACTCCGGCGACTGCGCACCGGCGCTTGAAGACGTTGTTGAGGGAGGTGTAGGCGTCATCTTGGGCATAGGCATATCTGAATATTTTTTACTTGTCTCGGATATTCGAGAAAGGTTGTCGGGACAGCTCTCGCTGCGGGCGCAAGTTCGAGCCCCCTTCGAGTCGCAAACTACTGTCTGGGTTCAAACAAATGAATGACTGTATCCCCGCTAGTCGAGCACGCAGTTTGTAGATGTTTTGTGCGAAGCGTCTTTGTAGGGCGTCCCGAGTCTGGATGCGCTTAGGGTCGGGGTCCTAATGCAGTATTTCCAAGGACGAGCTTTCTCCTCCCCCTTATCAGAGGTGCGTATGCGCCGCGATGCACGTTGTTATTACCTGGGCAGATTTTGATGTATCTCACGGCTGCCGCCACGTCTTTGCGGAAGCCCGTGAACAATTGCGGTTGGCGACAAATCTTGCGAAATCGCACAGGATGTCGCAGAATTATTGGAGCGCCGTTGGAGCTTGCAGGTCAAGAGGGGGCGGATTAGGCTGAAGCCGCGGAGGTGGAGGCCAAAATGAATGTCGCAAAGGAAGGAATTTGGCGGTGCAGGTTTCCCTTGGCGATGAAGAGGAGACTGAGTGAGATCCGACGATGCTGCCAGTATGGAGTGATGATTAATCCGCTATCTCCGTTCTTGGGGCTTATCACCATTGATGATCTCACCGCATTCCCGTGTTGACTGAGTCATATTGAATCACCGACCCTCTTCGCATTTTTTGTCCGTATTCTAGACCCGAGATGTGAAAATACCTTCAAGAAGTCTGCCTCCAAAAAAAAAAAAAGCTCAATCGTCTGCTTTCCTTATAATCTTATTGGTTACATCTTGACTACGCACCTGTTTTGTGCGGTAGGGAACTTCATTCGCAGTATCTCGCAGTCAATGGGCCGCCAGCGGACAAAAGACCAACACTACGTAGGAAGATAATTCCGATTTTTGAAATACGGCATATTCGTTGGAAGAAACTCCCAACGGTAATTTCAGTTCATCCTCGGTCACTTTCTCAGAGACTGTACTGAATCTACCTACGCTTGAAACATGACAACCTATGATTGGGAGTTATCTCCCTTTCTTATTTTCAAGACATTGCAATGAGGGGATCATATTCTCTCTAGAACACTCTTCAAAATCTTGTCAAGCAAAATAAATATCATTTGATCGAGTGTTCCAATTTGTGTGCATGTCATTTTATAAGATGGAAGATCTTATACCAGATTTTGCCCTGTCAATTCAAGTGAATTCATCTATTTTCATATTGCCCTCTTACCTGTTTCTTTGGGCTACCGCGTCAATCAAGCGTTGGTTATACAAGCGCCTTCGACAATTTGTCCCTGATTCAAGGTTAGCCTTGGAGTCTACAATTAGCCAATTAAGTGTGCAAGGTGTAGCTCACAGATTCCGCGGGACAACAAGCCAGGGTAGCAAAGCAGTTCTGGGCGTTGTCAACAGCTTGGCAGCTCCATCCGTCTATCTGGCCATTGGAGCTAGACCCGTCACAGCATGCCAGCTGTCCTGAAGAGCAGCTACCACCATGGGGCGCCTCAAGGGCCATGACCGCGCCGCATGCTGCCGCGACGAGAGTGAGGGAGATTCCGAAGCGCATTTTGTACAATGTGTGAAATTATCTCAAGATTTCGAAGGTATCAGAAAGTGAATAATTTGAAGGTACATTGTTAAATGATTGAAATGCTCAGGGAGCTCTGAAGTTGCTTGACTCAGGTGCCACTGTGCCTTTAATATACCTTTGATGGCACTGACAACATGACGTCGTTTTTTTTTCCTGTCTTCATTTCGCTGTCCCAATTGGCGTTCTACGATCTATCGGGTCTCACTTCGAGAGTGCGAACCCCCTTGCAGCTAGATCCATAAAGCTGCTGCTGTGGACTGGACTAGGGTATGCCCTCCCCGAGCGAAGTATGGACGAAAGCTTCGGAGTTGACCAAGGCAACACTTAGTGTGGCTGAAAACAGCCGTCAAATCGCACATTGCGAGAATACAGCTTCAGCATCCTATCAGAACGATCTCAGGGCGGCCTATATTTGAGATGAATGCCTTTCCAATTCTTTGGAGAATCCCAGTGTGATCGGCGCTACTGAGAACTTGACTGTATGACCCACTTTGCAGATCATCAAATGTTGCCAGACTGGAGGCGGCATGATTACCAAGCGATTGATCTATCACTTTTGCCAAGGGTCTTCACTGCCATCCAAAACTAGTCAAAATTTGACTGAGTCCCTGCTCGTGATATCTGCCCGGATTGCCCGACTTGACACACTGGATATTCTAGAAGAATGAGAGCCTCTGTGACCACTATGTTCAATTCCATCCTTGAGATTGGCAGTCAATCATCAAATTTCCAAGTTCATGACGTGAGACGAGGAGAGCCCTTGCAGTACATGCAGCCACCGTGTTCAACCTGCCTCAGAGCCTCTGACACAAGATAGAATGAGATTTCCCAGTTCATCACATGCAGATTATTAGTTCGCTGGGCTCAGCCAAGATCTCACTATTCACCCGGCAGCCCTCAGCAAGGAGGGGAAGTGAGATTCTCACCACATATTGCGCTCAGAGATTATAAAGGTACCAGGGATCCGCGGCCCGAAGATTGCATCATTATCATCAACAAAACGTTTCAATTATCTTAGACTGAAGACTGCACAATCAAGCAGAATAAGTACCTTGTTCCAAAGTGCGCTCAACACTACTTGCAAAATAATTCATGATTAAGCACACCAGGCTCCTCCAGCATGAAAATGCATCTACTGGTTGATGCGGGCCACAAACTAGTGGCCATCCTGTAGCGGTATCTAACTAACGGGGACCCGGAAAAAGCTGCCCGGGTTCCAGAAAATCATGACTGATCCTGGGTTCCTGTCAACTCCCACACCTGGCTAGGACCTAGGGCTTCCTGGGTCCCAATCAGCGTCTACATATAATTTATGTAGACCCCTACCTAAATTATACCTTTTTGTCTAATGGTTTAACTTAGGTTGAGCTCCCCACTGCTCTAGACTGTACTATGTTTCTAAACCTCTCTATATAACGGACAGACTTTGATCCATGGTATTATCTTTCAGTGGGATTCTAACATAATAGGCTTTGTAGCTATAAGTACACAAATCGCGTGAGATTCTATCTCATATCCTGTAGAGTACTCTTATCCTTGGGTTGAAAAGAGGCAACCAAAAAGGCAAAACATTCTACTTCGCCACATAAACTATTATATAGTGGGAATTCTGGGTCCCAGCTAGCTTTTTCTGGGTCCCCGCCAGCTGGGTCCCCAGTGCAGCCTTCGAGGGAGCGGGCCTTAAATCAGTTGACGTTTTTGTCTCAACCGTCCGCCGTAGGTCAGGGTGAATGTAGCTACCAACAAAGCGCTTAAAATGCGGGGACTGTTCACATGGCTATTTCCTGGCCCCTTAGGAAGACGATAAGTTTTATTAAATCCAAAATAGTAACTTGAGTCTTATCGTGAAATATCCTGAAGACAAGTAAATTCACAGGATACACACCGCATTTCCAATGTCCCCACAGCTTCCCGTGCGCAACCCAAAACCGACGAAACATGGAGAACCTTGGTCTAAATATTGGCGCAATTGATTGCTCTCGTGTTGGCACGAACAAAAGCTGAATGCGCCAGCGGGCAATGGACACGTCAAGTGCAGGGGTTAGCGAATTGCCAATCAAGGCAAACACTGTATTAGTACGACAAAGAGGAAGTACCGAAATCTTTCCGCACGTAAACAGAGGATCTCCAGCTTGACTGCGTCGACTTAATTTCTTCTCCACATTTCATCCTTCTCTCATCAACACTCGCGACGGTGAATACAGCCCGGTGCTACACAATGTCTGACGCTCCACGTGGCCGCGGTCGCGGTGAGCGTGGAGGACGTGGACGTGGTGATCGTGGTGATGCTCGAGGTGGGGGACGGGGTCGTGGCAGAGGAAATGCGGACCTTCCCTTCCGGCCCTCTAATCGTGGCAGTCGTGGAGGCGACTCTGATAACTATCGCGGACGTGGTGGTCACAGAGGAGATGACTCCCGCGGTCGTGGTGATTTCAGCGGCCGCGGGGATAGAGGCGACTTCCGCGGCCGCGGTGATAGAGGTCGTGGGGACAGGGCCGTGGGGATAGAAGTCGGGGTGACAGAGGGCGTGGCGGAGATCGTGGACGAGGGGGCTTCGGCCCGAAAATCTTCAAGTGAGTTCCAATTTTACACTTTGATGCTATTTCGGAGTGGGGTTTAATCAAAAGTTCCCCTACAGCGAGGGCCAACCTGTCCCTGTACCTGATGCGAACGTCCAGAAGCTGGAAGATAGCCTGGCGGAGAACCTCGTCGTGGCTCGACAAAAGACTCCCAACGGGCCTAAATATCCCACTCGGCCTGGATACGGCACCATCGGGAAACCCGTCACTCTTTATGCCAATTACTTTGCGTTGACATCCGTCGGCAAACAATTGTTCCGCTACCATGTTGAGATCAAGAATGGCCCGGGCAAAGCTGATAAGGCGCCCGTGGGCAGAAAAGCCAGACAGGTCGTGCGTCTGCTGCTGGAGGAGCACTTCGCATCTAACAAAAAGAAGATCGCAACAGATTATCGGAGCACCTTAATCGCATGTGTCGAGCTGTTCAAAGAGGAGAAGGCTTTCGACGTGCGGTACAAGGATGAGGGGCAGGACGATTACCCTGAGAACCCGCGTGTGTACCAGGTCACTTGCCAGCCTACCGGACGGATCAGTCCATCTGCCTTGATGGATTATCTGACGTCGAGCAATACCGATGAACTCCTGGATTCCAAGCCCGAAATTGTTGCCGCTCTCAACATTATCATGGGTCATCACTCAAGAACCATGAGGGGATTGTGTCTGTGGGCGCCAACAAGCACTTCAGCCTTGAACAGGGTGGTATCGAGAAGGCAGACTTGGGCAATTGTCTTGAAGTGCTGCGCGGTTTCTTCATCAGTGTACGTGCTGCTACGGCCCGTGTCCTTCTCAATGTGCAGGTCAAGTACATGGCCTGCTTCAAAGAGGGTCCCCTCTCCATGGTCATTGAGGACTGGCAACCTGAAGCTCGGTTCCGCAACCTGTACCGCCTGGAGGCCTTCTTGAAGCCTATGCGCGTCAAGACCACCCACATCGAGCGCAAAAGCAAAAGTGGCAAGCCCCGCCCAGCCCCTTTCAAGACGATATCCGGACTGGCTGCCAAACACGATGGTAGATCTGGCCAATCCACCCAAAGTAAAAAACCATGGCGCTGGTCCTCGAGATGTATTGTTCTTCTTGTCTAACCCCGACACTCCTGGTAGTGGCCCCCCTTCTGGTCCTTCTGGTGCAGAGCCTGCAAACATTCAAGGCAAGAGCAAGAAAGGGAAAAAGGCACCACCAAAGGCCGGCCCGGCTCAGGCTGGCAAGTACGTCTCCGTGGAGCAGTTCTTCAAGGACAGTAAGTCATCAATTTCTTGTGTATCAAAATGTCATGAATGCTTACTTGTTACGCAGCTTACAACATCACTGTGGATCCACACTGGCCTGTGATCAATACCGGCAGCCGTCAGAATCCTACTTACATGCCGGTTGAAGTTCTAGAGGTCCCGGCTGGTCAGGCTGTTGGCAGCAAGCTGTCGCCAAACCAGACGTCTGCAATGCTCAAGTTCGCTGTGATAGGTCGAAAGCCCGCGGAGAATGCCCTGTCCATTGTGACCAAGGGTGTGAATATGCTGGGAATTGGTGAGCAACAAAATGAGACTCTGGTAAGGACGAATACCCTCGAAGTGAATCTTGAAAGTCGCTTAACATTAGTAGGCCACCTTTGGGATCAATGCTACTCCCAAGCTCATTACTGTCCAAGGTCGCGTGCTGGCTGCCCCTCAAGTCATGTATGGTGGGCAAAAAGCAATTCAAGCCATATTTGGCGGTTGGAATATGAAGAGCATCAAGTTTGCCAAGCCTGCAGCACTGCAGAAATGGTCATGGCTGTGTTTTGATACGCCCAACTCACAACGCTTCGGAATCCGAGACGAGGAGCTTAATGCTGGTCTCACAAATCTGACGACGTCTTTGCAAGAAATGGGAGTTGCCACCAACTCCCCCTTGCCGGGTAAACGTGTCCAATTGAATGGCAACAATGACTCTGAAGTCATTGGAAGGGCTGTGCGTGAAATGCAAGCACTTCACCAGCCACAGTTGATTTTGGGTATCCTTCCCGCCAAGAATACAACTTTATACAACTGCATTAAGCAAGTCTGTGATCTTCACTGTGGAGTCAGGAATGTCAACGTTCAGGCAGACAAGTTCCGCGGTGATCATAGGAAGGGAATAGTTGGCGCTGATCCTCAGTACTGCGCCAATGTTGGCCTCAAAATCAACCTCAAGATGGGTGGTGGCAATCAATCCCTCCGTTCTCCCGATCTCGGCATCTTCGGGGATGGAAAAACCATGCTCGTGGGACTTGATGTTACTCACCCTTCGCCCGGTTCAGCGGGCTCTGCTCCTAGTGTAGCGGCCATTGTCGCGTCCATCGACTCCAGCCTAGCACAGTGGCCTGCGGAAATCCGCATCCAAGCCGCTCGCCAAGAAATGGTGGACGACCTTGAAAACCTACTGAAGTCACGTATTATACGCTGGAGAGCAGCCAATAAAAACAAACTACCCGAGAACATCGTGGTGTACCGGGACGGCGTCTCCGAGGGCCAATATGACGCCGTTGTCAACACGGAACTTCCCCTTCTACGCAAGGCGTGCACGAACACCTACCCACCCAGCGACACAAAGAAGGGTCTTCCTCGCATCGCCATCGTGATCGTCGGCAAGCGCCACAACACCCGTTTCTACGCCACAAATGAAGGCGATGCCGAACGCTCCTTTAACCCGCAACCCGGCACCGTCGTCGACCGCGGCGTTTCTGAGGCCCGTAATTGGGACTTTTACCTACAAGCCCATTCAGCTCTGCAAGGAACCGCGCGTCCAGCCCACTACTTCACCGTTTGGGACGAGATCTTCAACGCCCCCAACCCAGGAAAACCCGCCAAAGCAAACGCTCTCAACGCAGCGGACGTCCTTCAGAAATTGGCACACAACCTGTGCTACCTCTTTGGGCGCGCCACAAAGGCTGTCAGCGTCTGTCCGCCGGCGTATTAAGCCGATCTGGTGTGTACGCGTGCGCGCTGCTATCTCAGCGACCAGTTTGATCCTTCTCTGGCTGCTAGCGTGGCGGACACAGAGAGCGAGGAGCAGGAGGTGAATAAAGGTAGTGTGGTTCTGCACGCTGATATTGCGGACTCGATATTTTACATCTGAGGATGTTTCACGTTGGGCTCGCTCGTTTGGGGTTTCATTTCAGTTCATAAAGAAAGATTGGAAGATCATTGTGAACAACAACAAGATAACATGATAAGGAGGATTCTTGCATAGGGTCAAATTGATGCGGTTTTTGACCCTTGCTTGACCTGATGGTGGAAATTGGATGTTGAGTATTGAGAAGGGTAATGGGACGGTGGTTAACAGTGAGGTTAATAAGGCGAGGGACGGGGTTGGAGATGATGTTTTGGGGAACTTTGGATCTCAAAGAATGATTCGTTGGAGAGAGGGCATTCGATTTTGGCAGATTGACGATTTTTCTTCCGTTGCCCTTAGTTTCGAATTGGATTTCTTGCATTTTTATTTCAGTGAGATAGCGCTCAGTCTCTCTTCAATATAGCTTTCTGAATGTTTCCGAATTTTGAATGATGTATCCAGGGCGATCAACTTCGTCCTGAAAAGACTGCATACAAAAGTGGCAGGAAGGTAATCAAAGGTGGTGAACAGTGACAAAACATTTATAAAACGAATGCATGAAACACTCGCATAGAGTGATAAGAGCACTAGATCAGCCTGAACTCCCTCGAGCTTTTGTAATCCCGGCAATTATTTTTTAAAAGGGCCTTTCTAGGGAGGACCAGAAGACCGCTTTAAAGGGGAAGATCGCCCTGACCCTCCGAAGCCCCGAGAACGTGCACAGCAAGCCAGCGACTGAGTCTTGAACTACCACAATAGAGAGGGATTTATATTGTGTTTTACCTGCGTCTGCATCCTCTCACACTCACTCCTAGATAAAGAACTGATCCACGCGTACGACAGGAAAAGCCTAAGACATTGCGTAAGCCAGCATATGACATTTGGAGACGACAGAAGAGAGCTTGAACCTGAGTGTCAAATTTCTCACCTCTCAGGTTCCAGACTTCAATTTTATCGACTTGTAAAAAAATACATACGAGATAATCAGAACAAGAGGAAACACCCAAACCACTCATCCGAGCTTTGACCCCAGCGGATCGTCAGGGTCATGGTCAGGGTCAGTGGAGCAGCAAGGGAAAGCATCACTGAATTGTACGGACACACCAAGCCAAGTCAAGAACCTCCTTGCATAGCCATCTTATTCAAGGTAGAATCCTTCTCTACCTAAACTCCAGAGCTCAGAATTCCAAGTTCATCAAGATAGTCCCATAGGACAATACAGAACATCCCCGACCCACGTGCCGATAAGTATAGCTAAGATTGGCAGATCCGCGAAGATAAAGGTAAAAGAGGAAACCTTCCCCCCAAAGGGAGTCAAAACAATCAACTCAACCTTCTATTCAGGGGAATCTCTCTCAGCTCCAATCTCTCGGATTCAGAAGACTTACTATCGAGTTTACATCATGAAATCAAGACTCCTCGTCCTGGCCGCTCTGGCTGCGTGTGCAAATGCCGCTGCTATCGATCTCTTATCGGCAATTTGGAGTTATGGGGTTTGTTTGCCTGGTATGTGGAATATTTTCAAAGTCGGGTGGACGAGAGATGGGGGATTTCCATGTCTAACATCATATGTCGCTGTAGAAGGGTCTCAGTGTCAACCTACCAATCATTCCCAGGGTTGTTGCGAGGGTCTGCAGTGCTGGCCTGGGAATCCACTTGGGGGTGCCTCGATTGGGTTCTATTGTTTGGTGCCCGGGAAGAAGACGATGTGAGGTGGATGGTCGGGGATGATATTATCTTATGTTTTACTATTTTGTTTTGGGGGTCGGGAGTTTCTCCAGTTTGTGTTGTGGACATCTTCACTGGTTGGTCTGGGCGTTCGGTCGAGCGATGGCGTATCTCCGAAATGTGTGCATTGTTTTTTTTTCCCTATTCTAGATGAATCCAAATCAGAAGCTATGTACGATAGAGACGGTTATCAATATTCTCAATTCTCAATCCTCATCCTCGGGCGCATCATCGACACTTCGCAGCCATGCACTCCGAGCATCGACGGCGGCCTTGCGTACGTCTCGCTTGGGGTCGTCCAGAGCCGCGCGGAGGGAGCGCAGAACTTGAGCTTTTTCGGACAGAAGCGGGGAGATTGACGGTGGAGGGTTTTTGGACCCTGCTTCGACGGGAATCTGCCTTGTGGCGAGAAGGTACAAGCATTTGAGCGCGTCGGCACGAAGACGGGGAGTGTTTACCCCATTGGTATCGGTCTTGACTTGAGTCGTTTTGAGGAGTCTCTCGACGAGGCTGTGCACGTGTCCGCACTGGTCAATCACAGCCACGCCGTTTTCGCGGATGATCACGGCGAGGGTGTCGAGTGTTGCTGCACGAACAGCGACGGAGTCGAGAGTCTGGAGGTCGAGGGATTGGAGGAGGAGAGGGAGTAAAGTTGGAAGTTCAGGCATAACCAATTCTGTGGTGATGGTAGAGAGTATGCCGGCGAGAGCGGTTAAATGGGCTGGTTTGATGTGATCTGGCTGTGTATGGTCGGCCGTACCAGCGATATTGACTTCGCGGATACGGGATGAGATCATAGGTACAACCGTGGTGAAAACGCGCTGCTTGGAGAGTAGGCGAATGGTGGCGCCGTTCGTCGCAGAGAGAACATCGTCTTCACCAAGGAGGATGGAGAAACTGCGGGCAGTTGCGGCGCTGGTTTGCTGATCTGGAGAGGAGAGCAGGCCCACGAGGGAGGTAAGAATATGGGTGGTGGTCGGAGCGAGACGAAGAACCAAGGCCTTTGAGAGCCAGAAAACGGTGCGGATTGTGCCGGGGTTGAGAATTCCCTTGCCAGAGACTAGACCATCGAACGCCGTCTCGGCAATGTTCAACTCCTGCTTTGAAAGGAATTTATTGACCAGCAATGCCAGGTGACGAAGGAAAGCCACATGAGTCGCAGGTTCTGTGTCGTCAGAAACAGAGCGCATCACCAGATCTTGAAGCAATCCGGAGATCTCAGATGTATATGGAATGCGACTACCACAGTCCTTCGAAAGACCAGCGAGTAGGTAGGTTGACACGATAATGGTGCGCTCTTGGTCAGCGGTAGCACCTTGAGAGAATGGCACGGGTGAGAAGTCGGACGGCGATGAAAAGAGACTGTATACATTTTCCGCAACTTGCGCTTGCTTTTGAATTGACACAGATCGAACCAAAAGATTGCACAGGCGGCCAAGAGTGTCGAGGATAGTAGCGTCATTGAGAAGGCGGTTCTTTGCCTTGCCAGAAGCTGCTTCCGAAACACTACGGCAGAGACCAACCACAACCTTGTCAAAGTATAGATCGACGTTGGGGTCCGCTGCCATGTCTCTCTGTTGCATGACATAGAGAAGCGTCACCAGGATGGCACGAGGGTATCCCATAGAGCCAGGCTGTTCTTTCTGAAGCAGAATTGACATCTTGCTGAAAAGACGACGGAACAAGGTTTCGAAGATGTCTCTCTCAACGCTGATTTGGGCAAGAGTATCCAGCGTGGACAGGTACGTTTTATTTGTTCCATCATCCTCATCGGGAAGGGTCGCCACAAAGGCAGGGAATGTAATGTCCATGATGAGCCGGGGCTTATGCTTGGAGATCTCCGCAAGCGCAGCAATGGCTTCCTTTTTCAAGTCGTCCCGAGCAATCGATTCTTCTTGGAGGAGGATTTCATCCAGGTACTGCACAAAGAGACCAATTTCATTATCTTGAAAGAAATCACGCAGAGTAGACAGACGAAGGAATCCCTTCAATGCTGTGACTCGGAACGAAGTTTCCTCCTTGGCGGCACCCATCAAGGCTTGGCCTAAGACATCCGAGAACTGATCTTTAAACTCAAGAAGGGGGTTCTCAACAGTTATCTCATTCCCACGGGTTGTCCACTTGCCAAAGATATCGATGGCAGACTCGAACAGAACAGAGAATGTTTCCAAAAGAGCTCTCTGCTTGATAATTCCATCTGCTTCTTGATAAATTGTGAAAATAGGAGCGACGACAGTTTGCACAAGGAGGGTAAAGGCAGGCACTGAAGAAGATGATAGAGAACCAAGAATCTGCTGTGCGGGTTTCGCCTGCTTCTGCTGAGGTTCTTGCAGTTGTTCGTTGCATTCTTTGGTTATAGGCTTTAGATACTGCGCCAATGGGAGATCTTGGGTGGTCTCAGTGACGCCTTCTGAGAGCCGCTGTGCAATTCCTTTCAGAGCCTCGAGAGACAGCTCCGAGAGAAATTCCTCCTGAGCATTAAGGATTTCGAACTTCAAAACCTCCCAAATTGTGATGGAATATTTTGAGACGGTGTCTGGATCATATGAGTGGATACAGGCAATCAGAGTATTGAGAGCATCCTTCTTGACATTTGGGGAAGTCGAGTCCAATTTATCCAGCAATGCCGGAATAGCCTGCGGAGCAAATAGTCTGTTTGAAGATATGCAATCCTGGAGTCGGCCCTTCAAGTCTTGCGCAGTAATTCCATATGGATCATTAGGTGGCGGCCGGAATGTGATTGGGAAGTAATTGTATACCGAGTCAAACAACAGCTACTCAGGTTAGCAATATTATCCAACCTAAATCAATACAAGACTAACCTCGACGTGATTTGTGATCTCCCACTCCATCATAACGACTTTGAGAATGGAGAAGACCATCATCAGATTTCGCGGATCTTTCTCCCCTGTCATAAGATCCACAATCCCGATGAGAGACATATCGCCCATCTCAAGAAGAGCTGCTTCAGATGTCAGTCTCAATGTTCAATTGCAACAGGCGCATTGTCGCAAACTTACCCTTGCGATGGTTCGACATCAAATCGTTGAGCAATTGGTATACCTGGAATCGCTGAGACTGTGACCGAGATTGTAGGTCCTGAAAGTTTGAAAACATTCTGTGAATATGTCAGCGTCGCTCTGAATTACCATACCTCCTGTCTCTGCTGGGCAAGCTCAAGACACAGGTAACCCGCACACATATCAAGTTGCACCTACGCTTGGGCAATCTCAGCGGCCATGTCCTTGGTAAATCGGTCCAATGCCTGCAAAGTTCTCAGACCCGCAACGGCACCTCCATCCTCAATTCGGTCCCCGAAGAAGGTCGTTAAAACCTGAATTTGCTGCCTGGACAGGAACCGGGGCGATAGCGACTTGATCACGGAGGTCAGGAAGGACACAGCCTTTCCGCGCAGAATTGGGTCTTCATCGTTGATATATTCGCCTAGTCCCTGCACAATCTCAATCAGGGTTGTTTTCTTGGTTTCGAGATCTGTATAGCACTTGGGTCAGAGTCATATGTTGTCAGTGCGGGGGGCGCAATCACCTTGAGCAACACTTTCCGCGATACGCTTGGCTTCTTCCTTGTCGTGCTCGACGACGAGCATAAACGTCTGGAGGGCCGACATGCTCCCAGTAAATTGGCCAGACAAGCCAAAGCGAACGAGAGCAGTACGTGGAGAGCAACTCTCCCCGCCGTCCAATTTCTTGTGGCCCTTATCGATAACGATCAGGTGATTCACTCCGCATCACGTGCGCCTTTGCGTCATGGCTGGCGACGGCATGTCTGCGCATACAAGGCAGGAAACCATCCAAGATGAAAGACTCTGGAGCCATCAAGTCTTTAGCTCTCCTTTTGACACTTACTTGCTCTACGGCTGCTTTGTGGGGTCTATCAAATCCCATTAATTACCACCAACAAGTCCTCCGCGCTGCGCCTACTCAACAATCAGTCATGGATAAGCTTATCCCCGATATACTCAAACCGCAGACGGTGGCGCCGAAAGAGGACCTCTCGGGTCAAGAAAATGGACCTATCATCTCGGATGTTCTCCCGAAGACCAAGGGAATCAACATCTTCGCCCAGCTGACTCGGGACTTTGAGCCGATCGCTGCCCGCCTGAATGATCCTTCGAAGAACATGACCGTCCTAGCACCCCGTAACAGTGCTATCCAAGGATTGCCTCGCAAGCCGTGGGAATCTCCAGAGGATTATAGCAAGTTTGGGGAGGTGGACGCCTACGAGGGGCAAGATGGACAGGATCGAGCAAAGCGTAATCTACAGAAGTTCGTGGAAGCCCATCTCATCCCAGCGAGCCCGTGGAGAAACGGAGAAGAAGTCGAGACCCTTGGTGGGAAGAAGCTCAGGTGGGAAAAGAAGGGCGATAAGATTTTAGTGAGTTCCTGTGCCAAATGGTAGGTCGACAACAGCTAATTGGTATCAGATCCAGCCGGGCAACATCGAAGTGGACAGTGTCGCTGAGAAGGTCTCCAACGGCGAGGTCTGGGTCTTGAACGATGTGATCAACTACCGTTAGCTACAGGTAGGTAAACATGCTGGTTATGATGAACGATATAATGATGTGAATGGAAACGTCGATTCGGGAAGCTCTGACGATCTTTTACAAATGTAGAGTTATTCGTAGCGGCGCAATGCTTTAAGTTGTACAAATTTTATTGTCTATTATGGAAAGCAATGCCTTTCAGGGCACATATACACACCGACACTAAGCATCAAACCTTCACCAACGGATCATTTAGTTCACAGCAGTGGCGAAGTTCTGCAGGACTCGCTCCTCGATTCCGTTCAGAATGGAGAAGTGCTCCATGACCTCAAGGTTCTCAGCTTCAGCCAAGAACAGCTTGTCGGGGTCCTGACCAGGCTGCAAGGGGTTCATCATAGCGGCAGGGTTGGCCATGCCCATCTGCTGAGCCATCTGGTTGGCAGCTAGGACTTATGTTAGCTCAACTGGAGACAGAAATTTATCTGACTAGTTAAGAGACAAGACTCACAATTATCACTGCCGAGAATGAAGCCAAACACGGATTGCAAGCCCATGAGGTTAAGGAAGTACCATGACAGACTTGACACCCATTGGACATTCAGGTCCCGGGTCATGACACCAGACTGCAGCATGGACTTGAAGCGAATGGTCAAAGGGAATGGCAATTTCACTGCAACAGATTAGCGATCATTCCTCCGGAGCCCCAAGGCCAGCACGTACAGATCACGAAGCCCGAAAAGAAGGCATTAATCCAGCTCATAATCAAAGTCTGCGGGATCATCATCATCATGTTTCCCTTCAGCATGCCCATCATGGCCTCCATTCCTGCGGATCGGTCATCGGGTTCGCCGGCGGCTGGCCACGGTTTTCGGGATTCTTCAAGAACGAGCCACTGCGGAAACCTGAGACCAGGTAGTTCTTCCGTGCCTCAAACGCTTCACGGTCCAAGACCGCGCAAGCATGGTTGCGGAGGTTCACACCGCGGAGGAGGGCGTGACGTTCGCGCGACTCAGCAAGGGTGGAGGGGGACTTCGGGGGCGTGTGCATCAGGACAGTTGCATAGTGGCGTAAGATTCCGGTAAGAATCTATCGCGGAGGGGTTAGATTTAGGATTTCTTGAACTTTAGACGGCATTGAGTCCGGGGACCATACCATAACCACAGTGATAGGGAACAGAATCCAGTAACTGCGCAATCGAGGTCAGCTCGGCTTGCCCGCATGCTGTGGAGGGAATCTCACAAGAGAGCCGGATCCCGAAGGATGGACTGCTCATCCCCTTGGACAGCCATTTCGAAAGGAATACCAGTGGGCCAGATGAGAAGAGTGGACGGGTTCAGTAACGAGGAACCCCAGAGATCTCCGAATGGTTGCGAATGCGGAGAGTGATGAAGCCTGAAGGAGGTGAGGTCGCGCGGGCGGTCATTGGCCCGTTAGCTCCCTCCGACGCAACTGTGTCCATAAACACGCCCTCACCACAATCACCATTGCTCCAGCTCAACAAGACAGGAAGTGGATCTAGCACTGCCTTTCTTGTGCTCCTATCGCAAACATGGCGTCCAAGGTGCCCGTCTACTCAACAAACGGTCAGTAGCTGTCGCTCTACTCCATTATACGGCGCGCTCTCGATGGAACTGTCAATCACTCGGCCCTAGCTAACGTGTATCCAACTTCAAGACCTCAAGTCGACTACTGATGATGCTCTCCTCCCTTACCTGGCCAACCTCCCCGCACCTTTCACCTTCACGATAGACCACACCAAGAGCAACATCCGCTTCCTGCTTGGATACAGCGCCGTCGCAATCGCCGGCTTCACATTCTATGCCGACCGTAAACTAGGCTGGGAAGCGACTACCTCACCTTGGATTATGGCCGCCGTTGTCTCGTACTTCATCTTGAACAGCGCGCTTACATTCTGGATCTGGGCCGTCGAGGCAGGAGAGGTGTTTAGCGGAAAGCGCAAGTCTGGAGAGACTGTACGTGCACAAACAGTCCTTTCATACGCTTTCTCAAGCTCTTCCTCATGCGCAGATTGCTGACAAAATCTACAGATCTCCATTTCCTCATCCGTCGTGAAGAACAGCGTTCCATATAAATTGCACGTGGTCTACAAAGCCCCCAATGGGAAGGTCCTCCAAGACAAGCGTTTCGAAGCACCTTTCACCACATGGTTCTCACAAGACGGCGTGTTTCATCCCGAGCCGTTCCGTCGCTGGTTGGCCAGTGAGGTCGACGTGTTGAGGTTGGCAGCGAAGGAGAACGAGAAGAAGACTGGTGGTGTCTCTACTGTTGTTCCGCCGCCGGGTGAGAGCAGCAAAGATGCCAAGTGATGAGTGTCTTCTGGCCCTGATAAGAAACTCTTATATGAGTCTTGGGATTATTTGGTTGAGGATAAAAGGCATCTAATCATGCCACGGAGTTGCATATCATCGTCATAGTTGTTTTCACGATTTTGAGCCATACTTGCCTGAAAGCTCCCCTTCGTTTGGGTCTATTTTGCTCTATGGACCCATATCTTAAACTTCGGAGCTGGCATTTTCAAGTCCTCCAAGGTTGTCGTCCTCGTAGTCCAAGATGACGTTAGATCCAGTTGACTTGGGTTCACTGGCAGCATGTTCGCAGGCCTGAAATCCTAATGACCGAATTTTTATGACTCAAGTAACAATGTATGCGACTTCAAGATATACTTCAGCTTAAAATGAACGTTTAACAGATACAGAGAAACCCATCATTATTGAACAAGTTTCTGAAGAGATTCCAATTTAAACTCCACCTCACGACCACGCGCCTCAAGCTCCAAATACCCTGGAGCACATCGTTCAATATCTCTCGCCCAAGTCTCCCTATTCCCCCATCCAGCCACTCTGAACTCTCCACGTACTTCAATCCCTTCGAGGATATCAAGAATGTTAGAGGTCATATCCAGCCTAGAAAAGCACATTAGCCATGAAGTCTCCTAAAATTGCCCTTTGACGAAAAAAAGGAAAGGAAACATACGGCTCATTCTTATTGTCATCCCCATCAATATCCATCTCACCCAGATTAAACGGTCTCCTCGCAACAGCAAGCATCGCCTGCCCATTAGGCCCGAACTGAACCAATAATACACGCCCCGAGTCAAGACCAGATTGATCAATGATGAACCAGAGTCTATGTGCCAAATTGTGGAACAACACAGTTCCCGTCCGACTAATGGCAATCATACGGAAATCCGCATTCTGTAGAAACAGCGCAGCAAGTAAATCTTGTCCTGCAACCTCGAGGTTAGAGTCCGCCGCGATGAAAGTCGGAATCTGCGGGTTCGGAGATTCGCCGGCTTTGGCGTGGCTGAATGGGTGGCCTCCTGCGCTTTCTGATAAATAGAGGATGATGAGAATCTTGAGAAGCTTGGTGTAATTGGTTGGGTGGGTTTCTCGGTTTACTGGGGCCGAGCAGATGAATCTCTGTTCAAGGGTTGGAGGCAGTGTTTGGATTTTGGGGGGTGATGATGTTTGAGATGTTGCGCGGAGACCGTAGGACTAGTTAGTTTTGAAAGCTGGGAGTTAGTATAGGCTTGCATGTTGATTAGATCTGCTTTGCATACGTCGCGGAAGCTTTGGTCGGCTGTGGCCCATCTCTCGATCAGATTACGTCGTTGATGGAGATCTTCCTCAGGGTTCGGGAGAGGGTTCCATTGTTCCTTTGATCTTCTCAGCGGAAGTTCTCCCTAGAAAGGTGGGATAAGGAAGAGGGTTTACCGTTATAAATTCAAGCCAGCCCTTGATTTCTTCGTGAATGGATTCCGCCGAAAGATCTCCGCTTGGATGAGGTCGGACACTGGCTGGGATGCTACCCTGTTCAACGGGTATAGTTTGAGACATGTTTCTTGCGGGATTCCGTCTGTGCAGAGCAAATGAAGAAGCAGACGGCGATCCCGATGTCAAGGACGTGCACACGACTGCCTCTCCCGCCCCCACTAGCGTCGATTGGCACACGGGATATGCTAGTTTAGTTCGGGATAAGGTACCCGTATATCGCCACGAAGGCCGAGCGTGAACGCATCACTGAGTGATGTAAAAAGGCTAAGTTATATCTCGAATCTACCCAGCATCTTGGTTTGGTTTCCAGAACCTGTCGGCCTTCTAATGGTGGGAGTATTGCTACAACGTCATTAGAAGGTAGCATGGAAAACGATACATTGTTCAAAAATGGATGTAGTCAAAAAATGGCTAAAAACAACAGTCTATACTAGATTTTCACATAAAGCCTCATCACATCCGTCAGTTGAAGTTCGATGGCTGCACTTAAGCTTCGATAGTGCCAGGGCGTTCAGTAGCCGCGGCAGGCTTGATATCGTCGAGGCGGCGGTTCTGATTGAGTCGCTGCGAGATGGTCAGACTGTGGTCAAAATTGGGATCGGGTTAAATCAAGGCATACCAGCAGGTTACGAAGCAGGCAAACAATGGTAACCTTGCCAATGGAGGGAACGAAGATGGAGGCCTTCTCCTTCACCTCGGGCCCAAAGTTCTGAGTGACGATGTTAGCTACAGATCAAAAGAATGGACCACACTTTACGCACCTTCTCGCTCGAGAAATTGACACAAACAGCACCGTCACGGAGCAGGCTAGTATCAAACTTGTACTTCTCACCCGGAACGCCCGAGATAACAACATCACAAAGCGGCGCAACATCCTTCAACGTAGCACCCTCCATCTCATGAATTTCATGGCGATGCTTCTTGAGCCCTTCACCACGAGTGAATTTTTGAACGCCAGTGATATCAACACTGTAAACACAGGCGCCGTCGTTAGCCAGTAGCGCGGCCAACGGACGGCCAACAACCTCGGACCGGTTCACAACGCAAATAGTGTGACCGAACAAACGGTTGCCGGAGGGCAGAACGGTGTTGTAGATATTAAGGTACTCGAGGATCTTGACAGTAGCCAGCGGGGTACAAGGCAGGATGCACTTTTGGCGCTTGGTCTCGGGGTCCAGGAAACGGATGTTCTGGTACATGTTGAAGATGTAGCGGTGGCTGAGACCCTCGACATCTTTGGAGACATCGACTATTTGCTGCAAGTATTGATCCTGGCGGTTGTTGAAGATCGGGTAGTAGACGATGATGCCGTCGACCTCATCGTCGGTGTTGGCAGAGAGGATAGCGCCTTCGATGTCGTCGCGAGAGACTTCGCGGAGGGAATACTTGAAGCCGCTATTGAGAGAGATGGTCAGTTTGTTTGTTTTTGCAAAGTATCCATGGCTTTGAATGCTGTTCAGGTTGAAGCGATTTCAACGAGGGGCATGGATGAATCATGCAAACAACCCCACCACTCCTCTCGCAGATGAACTGGACTCGATAAGTCAAGGCAAGATGAAATACTCACTTTTCCTCGCAGGTCTTTTTCGTCCATTGCGCATACATCAAAGCCGCAGGGTCATTGTTAGCCAAGAAACCAACCAGGTGCGGCGGCTTGTCGAGAGTCTTGACGCCTTCCTGGACTTCCTTGAGCAGGCCATTAGAGACGTTCTTGGCCAGAACCACCTTGCAGGAGGAGGGAGCTGAGGCTGTAGGGGCCGACATGACGACAGATGTGTAGCTAGACGCAAGTCAGGGACAATTGGGCTTGCTGTTCACGCGGGGTCCGATACTTCACAGGGAAAAAGATTGTTCGCTTATCGATAAGGGATCGGGTGCCGCATTCGGCCTCACTTGCCGAGATCGCAGTTGCCGGCATGCCGCGATAGGCCGGGTAATTTAGGGGTGCATACATGAAGCATGGTTGAGAGAAATGGACGAGCTGTCAATTTGTGGGCAAACACATTGGCTTGGATGAGAAATCATGAGTGCGTGGGATATAGGTCACCTGGAGCGCGTGCTATACAATGGACCGGACTAGGCCGCTACCACGAATTGACGACCATTTACGCAAAATCACCTTGGAACTATCAAATCTTGAGTGTTAGCTCCACAGATGGGTGCTTCTTCGAAAGACAAATTGACGACAAGTCTCGAAAGGGGTTAACCTAACTTACCCAGGTTTCAGCAATCACAATATCTAACCCCACTGCCTAAAATCATTACGGAGGAAGACATTTTAGCCATGCGCTTACATTTTTCTTACGATTCAAATACTTCGAACAAAAGAGATAAATTGCGGATCCAACATGGAGGACATTGAGACCAGACGGAAGAATGGCCCTTCTCCCATCTCGCGCCCTCCAATGCGCGGAAAAATCTAAACGTACAGGATATAATCACATTTTGGTAGCCCATAGATCAGCCGAGTCCCTCTTGCAGGACCAACAGCCTAAGGGCAACAATTGACAGATTTACCCCGGATCAGTAGGACATGTAGATTTTAGATCGCTACATCCAGGGCGTAATCGTGAGAAAAAGAGCCCAGGAGCCGCCGGCACTGAAAAAAAGGAACAGAACGAAATAATGGCCTCAAAATTGTACAAGCTATCTGGTCTATACACATAGAGTCAGAAAAACATAACGATCGCCAAGACATGATCAGTCGATAGTTGTGTTCTCTAGTTCACCTATGCGTTGAAAGACTTGTTGAAGGCGGAGATGACCTCCTTGAGCTTAGCCTCGGACTCCTTGGTGACCTGACCGTCCTTCTCGATGGTGGACTGGATCTCGGGGTGGGTGCTCTTGAGGTGAGCAAGGAGATCGCTCTCCCACTGGAGGATCTTGGCCACGGGGATGGAGTCAAGAAGACCGTTAACACCGGCGAAGATGAGGGGAACCATGTCGGCAACGGCCATGGGGGAGTACTGCTTCTGCTTGAGCAGCTCGGTCAGACGCTCACCACGGGCAAGGGTCTGCTTGGTGGAGGCATCAAGATCGGAACCGAACTGGGCGAAGGCAGCGACCTCACGGTACTGAGCCAAGAAGAGCTTCAGGGAACCGGCGACCTGCTTCATGGCCTTGACCTGGGCGGCGGAACCGACACGGGACACGGACAGACCGACGTTAATGGCGGGACGGATACCCTTGTAGAAGAGCTCGGACTCCAGGAAAATCTGGCCGTCAGTGATGGAAATGACGTTGGTGGGAATGTAGGCAGACACATCACCACCCTGGGTCTCAATGATGGGCAGGGCAGTGAGGGAACCAGCACCGTGGGTCTTGTTCATCTTGGCGGCACGCTCGAGCAGACGAGAGTGGAGGTAGAAAACGTCACCGGGGTAGGCCTCACGACCGGGGGGACGGCGGAGAAGCAGGGACATCTGACGGTAGGCAACAGCCTGCTTGGACAGATCATCGTAGATGATGACGGAGTGACGGCCGTTGTCACGGAACCACTCACCCATGGCGCAGCCAGTGAAGGGAGCAATGTACTGCAGGGGAGCAGCCTCAGAGGCAGTGGCAGCGACAATGATGGAGTACTTCATGGCATCCTGCTCCTCAAGGGTCTTGACAAGCTGGGCGACGGTGGAACGCTTCTGACCGACGGCAACGTAGATACAGTACAGCTTCTTGGACTCATCGCTACCGTTGTTCCAGCGCTTCTGGTTGAGCATGGTGTCGAGAGCGACAGCAGTCTTACCAGTCTGACGGTCACCAATGATCAACTCACGCTGACCACGGCCGATGGGGACCATGGAGTCGACACACTTCATACCAGTCTGGACGGGCTCGTTGACGGACTGACGGGGCAGAATACCGGGAGCCTTGAGCTGGGCACGGCGCTTCTCCTTGGTGTTCAGAGGACCCTTGCCGTCAATGGGGTTACCCAGACCGTCAACAACACGGCCGAGGAGCTCAGGACCGACGGGGACATCGACCTAGGATGACTTGTTAGAACGGGTTGTTGAGGCTTGGATTGGTGGGATCCAATATCAGACGGACCTCCACCCAAGGGGAGGGAACAGGGGGTGACATACAATCTCGCCGGTACGCTTGACGGTCTCACCCTCCTTGACGAGACGGTCGGAACCGAAGAGCACAACACCGACCTGGCCGGCCTCGAGGTTCATGCACATACCCTTGACACCGGAGGCGAACCTGTCATCATGTTAGATTACCAAGTTGGGAAATGCCAAGACTTTGGGGTGCACGTACTCGACCAGCTCCTCAGCCTGGACGTTGGTCATACCGTGAACACGGGCGATACCATCACTGTTCAAAATCATGGTTAGTTTCTTGTTCGTCGTGTAGTCGTATAATGATTGTTGCGGGCATGTTTGGCGAGATCGAATCCGATAATCGAATTTTTCTCATGCGACCCTAGCGGAATAGACGTACCCGACGGACAGAACACGACCGGTCTCGGCAAGACCAGCCTCCTCCTGAACACCACGGATGCGCTGCTCCAGGATAGAGGAAACCTCGGTGGGCTGGGCCTTGGCCTCGGAGGCGTAGGAACGGACCTGCTTGGAGGCGCCGGAGATGGGGCCGGGGACAGCCGCGCGGACCTGGGGATGAAAAACTTGTCAGCGACGACGCCATTGAGACAAAGGCCGACCATGCTATCCTCAATGGGTGGGACGAGGGTTGAGAATGGATCCGAGGACCAATCGAGCTCAAATTCGAGATGGAATTGGTCGGGTTGTTGATGGACGAGGATGGCCAGGATGGGATGAACTCACCGAGGCGACGCGGCCGGTGGCCTGGACGGCCGCAACGGAGCGGCTGGACTGCCGCAGAGCGTTCCTGAACATTGTGAAGGAGGTTCAGAGGATGGGAGGATGAATTCTCTGAAGGAGATATGTAATTGGGGAGAGGAGATCGGGAAGGGAGGAGAAGGTGTGAGTGGGAAGGAGAGCTTTGTCGTCGGGGGCAGGCCAGGATTCTCAGGACTCGCGCTAAGCCTCTTCGGACACTGGCTTCTCCGATGTGGCCCGTCTCCACGCTGGCCATTTCTTGCGGCTACACGGTGCCATACGCGACCCTCCACAGCTACTATATTACAATTTATATCGATTCCCCTTTCTAGCTCTCTCGTTTGACTCCAAAAATTCCCATTCTTTGTGGTTGGGGCTGACCACTGTGGGCGAGCTGGCCACCAAAGCGGGCCAGCCCTTCCCGTTTTTTTCTCTTCTCGGATCTACGGGTTCCCTGGTCAAGTGACTCGCTTAGCTAATGCGTTTCGTCACGGCAACCGTAGCATTTTATACATTGGACCCTTGACTTATACCTCGTACCTACGATAGAGGCATGTATATAATGCATTATGGTGCGATAGTGTTATTATTTTCCACCTCTATCTGTTATGGTAGACCATGCACCTTACCTTTTAGGTTATTCCTTTCTTCGGTAATGCAGGACGTGCCTTGGGCCGATACCCGAGATTCACCTCGTGCCTTTTCAATGCCAATCCGCTAGGGATTTGCAGACATGACAGACCATATCATTCAAGATTTCTTGAAATTATTTCGTTTCGAAACAAGAGAACGCAACTCGACGGACCATAATCGACGGAGAAACAAAGTCGATCCTGTATCCGCATATCCGCATTCGTCCACTGCCGATCGCTCATTTGGCCCGACTCTTTTGCTGCTTCTGCTGACGGAACTTGGCAATTTCCTTCTCCACATTACTGTCGAAGCGCTGTTTCAGCTCCGGGCGATACCCGAAGAAGAACAGAATCTCCATCCACACGAACAAGGGAGCCAGGAGTAGGGCCTGGACAAGGTTGTCCAGCAATGCCGGAGCCCGCCCCTCGAAGATACCGTGTCCAACGAATTGCGCCAGCCAGGACACGACGTGAATCCCCGCGGCCCAGTAGTTCACGATCGTTCCGTACTCTCCAAGGAGGTAATTTCCGCATGCTGCTGAGCCGATCACCAGCGGTGCGATCAGGCCGCCTGCTACCGGTTCGAGTAATACGTAGAAGATGGTGTATATAAAGGCCCCGATCGTTCCGGCATTGGCAGGGAGGTACTCGAAAGAGATGGCATCGGGAACGCTGAAAAGAGGAGGACAGTTGCAAGCCTAACATTCAATCATCAGTGGTCGCTCCTGGGAAAGGTCATGCCAGCTTACCAAGATTATTCCAGTGAATAGCAAGACCGGTACACATGTAATGTGAATTGCGACGTTCACCTATGCAGTTTATAAGTCCAATACTTCTCAATACTCGTTAACCGGATGTTCCGTACTGGGTTGCTGTGGTAGGCTCCATACTGCGGGAGTTAGCCATGGTCCCGGGTAGTCGAGGGACTCAGATACTTACGAAGAGCAGCTGTTTTTCAAGATGAAGCGCCATATTGATCAGATCGCTGATGAGACAGGGCAGGTGGGCGCTCGGATGGAATTGTTGAGGGGTGGAGGCGTGAGACTACATCACCGCGTATACGGTCGCGCTAAGTGGTGCAATGCCTCGCCATTGACCGTCATGTGCTTGGGCCGAGGATTTGTTTTGGTGTCGTACGGCCCACCAGCTACAGTGATGTCGACGGTAATATTGCGTACTGCGTTGAAATTTGATGCTTTTATTCTCGAAAGATGTATTCTGTGCAATCTAAATGCATAACTAGAGCTTGATATGTTCTCATACCCCAAATTAGCTGGTATCAGCTTGCTTGGTAAAAGTTTCTTTCAGTTGGGCCACGATACATATCCGCGAATGTTGAAAGATGATAATACACACCACTCAAAACACTTACTCAATCTACAATTGCGAAGTACTGAAATCCATGCATCATGCTGGACTTTTTTTCGGCTCTCTGAGCTGGAATGATAGATTCTGCAGAAGAAAAAAATGTTGATGCTTCATGCTCACCTAGATGGTTGAACAGACGGGATAGAAAAATATAGCGGGGAGGAGCATGAATCATACGTTAAGAGACCTGTTCATCAAGACTCTGTAGATTGCCCTTTGGTCAATTCAGTGATTGCTGCAAAGATCACTACACCTGCTTGTCTTTCAATTGAAACATAGTTCCATGTCGCCCTGAGCCCTTCAATTGTTCACGATCTCACGTGACCGATCACGCTGAGTCCCTCATCGGCGGAGACAATCTCAGCTCCAGAAAGCGCGCAGCATCGGTGTATCTGCCTTTTCTTTCCCGGCAGATACCGTATCTGCTCCCGAGTGTCGTTCATTCCTCCGTCTACCCCCGTGCAGTCTTTACCCTCAGTCTTGCCTCCCCTCAGGCCATGACCTATCGTCCGTCAACGACCTCACCCTAATTGACCACGACCCTGCACCTCCGGCGCGCAATCCAATCCCTGAGCTCGCTCCTACCGGTCACTGCAGAGGAAAATTCCCACAGAGCTCGAGCAACCTCTGCCGCGAGGCCGCACTCTGCAACGTCGACGACCTCTCACCTGCCCCCCACTGCGCATTGCAGCCGACCCGTCAACCGCCGCAAATATGTTTTTCCTCAAGGAGGAGACTAAGATCATCTCTCTGCATCCGTCCTATTTCGGACCTAATATGCGAGACTACCTGGTCGCCCGACTCAATGAGGAGGAGGAAGGCCGATGTACGGGTGATCATTTCGTGATTTGCGTAATGGACATGGTCGATATCGGCGAGGGACGAGTGATACCGTCCAGCGGAAATGCCGAATACACGATTAAGTATCGCGCGATTATCTGGAAGCCCTTCCGAGGAGAAACGGTACGTAGTGAAGGCCGGTCTCTGCTCTGAGTTTTGGCTCTCAGCTCTGGCTTTGTGAACTCTTTGCTGACAATGAGAATCGTTAGGTTGACGCCGTTGTTACCTCCGTGAAGCCAACGGGTATCTTCACTCTGGCGGGTCCTTTGTCCGTGTTTATCGCTCGAAAGGTATGGGCGGTCAATCCACCCTGACGATTCCTGTCACTAACAAAGCGCGAAAGAACATTCCCGGTGATATCAAATGGGAGCCGAACACCGTGCCCCCGCAGTATACCGATCATGCAGACCAGGTGATCGAGAAAGGAACCAGTTTGCGCCTGAAGATTCTTGGTGTCAAACCCGACGTGGCTGCGATCAACGCCATTGGCACAATCAAGGAGGATTACCTTGGGTGAGACTATAATTCCATCTGTTGAGGATCTCAATGCTAACACAACTCTCCGAAAGACCCCTTTAATGAGACACGAGCCGCGATACATACCCAACCCTCTTACACTACGAGCTATACACAAGACGAGTCCGCAGAAGGCGCGGCGAGTCTTCAAACACAATGTTCTCGTGGAGACCAAAAAGATCTTTTTCCCAATTGGCGCTGCTGGGAGTTAACACGGATGATGATACTTATCCCATCTTTTGCATGTGATTTCTTTGTTTTGAGTGAGCGAAGCCAAAAACGAATGCAGGCCGACAGCAGCCCTTGAGTAGCCCTTGCATTTCAATATTTCACTCACATATGCATGCTATCAATTGATTTGATCCGAACCAAAGAGTTTGTCCCATGTCCGCAGCTCGCAGATCGACCGAAATCTGGATCCAGACATCCGCTATATTTGCACTTTGCTGTACAGTATTTCGATTTGTACAATACACATCTAGAACTTGACCCATCTCCCTGGGTAATTTTTCTGTCCTTAACTTTGAGGAAAACTCCAACTGTAGAGTAAAAGTTCTAGAAAGATTGGCCAGATCACATATCGACACGCGCCCTGTATCCACTGTGCTCTGCACGTAAATTTTATCATTTTGTGGACAATCCATGCAGACCGAACTAGAACTCCACCAACAACCCTCTCATTCTTTAGGTATTGACCTGGAATTCTGAGATTTTCAGCAAGAGTTGCCCGAGGGATGAGGGTAAACCGTGGCTCTGCGACTGGGGCTTAGCCAGATGCCTGAAACACTGGCGCGTTGGGCGGGTTCCCCGTGCGCCTGATTTATTTACCATTCGTCTCGAGTGCCAACGGGTGTCCACTTAGGTAGCCGGTACCTGCGTCTGTATGGAGCAGCTTATACATTTTGCAAGTATCTGATACGTCAAGTCGCGTCGACGCAGGCAAACAGTAACACCTTCCCTAGCAGTTCATCCCGATAGTCAACCTTCAAGTCTCGGCCCCGTAGTTTCCCCTCGGCTTGTTTGTCTCATTCTCCTCCCCCCTGATATCCTCCCGATTTCTCCCTTCTCCCATTTTCTTGTCCGGCACCGTTGGGACTAGCAATCATGACTTTTCTTCAGGATAGCTACAAGAAGTTGCTGAACAAGGGCAATGCACCATTGGCCGCCAATGTGTCGCTAATCTATGTCCCCACCACCACTCGCATCGATGGCGCCGACGCGGTCGCTAGCCATGTGAGGCGTCAAGCGTCAATCGTGGAGAAGCAGTCTGAGGAGATCATCAATGTCATCGAGAGCTCCAACGCGTTATGCCTCGATATCGAGGTCACCCTAAAGTTCAACGGTGGCGGTGCCTATCTTCCCGCGATGGACGATAATTTCCTGGCTGACAGCGTCGCGAACATCTCCACGGTAAATTTCCCAAAATCGCGTTTCCATGGTTTCTCCAAAGTACGATCTCCGCTAATGCAGCTTCCTGCAGCTCCACATCGTCCAATTCAACGCCCAGAACGAAATTCAGCAGGTTCGAATTTACTGGGATCAAGCTGCGCTCCTCAAGGCGGTTCAGGTGATTGGTAAGAGCGCCCGTACTTGGCCCATTCGCGATGGCAAGGAACAGATTCGACTCCTCAGGAACGCTGCGACACAGAATTCCGAGGCCCCTGCCCAGGCGCCGTCGCAGGGCAATGACCTTCCTTCGCGCCCTGCCTCGCCCGGCAAGCGATACATCAAGGATCCGTACGCCGCAGACTCCCTCTTCGATCTCCTGTCCTCCAACCACACCGAGGCTCCTCATGAAAGCGAAGAGGAACCCCGGAAGGCCGGCCATAATGGCAAGCGATACATCAAGGACCCGTACGCCGCCGAGTCTTTAACAGAGCTTATTTCGCCCACTAAGCCGAAGGTTTCTGCCGTGGTGCGCCCCTATGGCGGTGCTCGGCCTAACACGCGCTCTTACGGTGATTTGTTCGTGACAGACGACGATGATGAGATCCCTGGCACACCATCAAAGGCCGAGCGCGTGACTGCTCCTAGGGCTGGTTCTAGATTCCAGGGAAGCCGTATCTTTGAAGACGATAGCAAGGTTGAGGAGCGTGCGTTCTACAAGAGCGACCCCAAGAAATACGACCACTTCCAGATTGGCGCCGACGATGCGACCCAAGGCAAGTCCGAAGATCGTGCGTACTACAAAAGTGACCCCAAGAAATATGACCACTTCGAGATTGGCGCCAACAATGCCGATCTGGAGGTGAAGCAGGAGCCCCAACGTGCTCAATCGCGCCAGCAGGCTCATTGGGACTTTGACGACGTCGCTACCCCCAAGCCCAAATCTACCGACGAGGCACGTTCCTTTGGCTATAGCGGCGGCGAGGCTGACTCCCCACCGGCCAGACCGGCCGTGCACAAGCCACGCCGAGACGCAGACAAGCACTTCGACATGACCGACGACGAAACTGGTGGTGACGCTGACCGCATCATCAGCTCCTATGGAAACCGCGGCAAGGGTCTGTACAAGAACCGTCTATTCGACGAAGAGAACGGCGCGTCGACCCCTGGCCAGTCTAAATCGCAGAATGAGCCTTTAGGCGTGACCGGCAATAACGCCAGCCGAAAGAACAACCTCGACGCTCACTGGAAACTATCCGGCTCACCCACACCCACTAAAACAGAAAGCGAGAAGGTCAAGACCATCTCCTCTGACCGTGCCGCGTCAATCAAACAGATGGAATCATCCTGGGACCAGGAATTCGAAAACTCTCCCGAAGCCATCCGCCCAGCCACACACCTTCACAATCCCAAGGGACACAATCAGCCCAGCTGGACCTACGGCGATGAGTGAGCTCGCTTGCATACGCGTCTCATTTTACCACAACATGCTATGCACGGCCTACCTAATCACGAGCAATGTGTACTGATACCCTCAATCATCAAAAATATCATAGGCCAGACGGGTTGCACATGGAATCTTCTGGCCTTACTTCCTTTCTTGTCACCCCCCCTTTTCTTTTCTTGTCGTCGCGCCAGGAGTGCCTGTCTTTCGAGAGTGTTCCTTATTTTTCTTTCTCCGATTCTGTACGTAGCTGTTGTGCTTGCAGTGGCTAAATTGCTAGGCTGCTTGAATGGGGGGGGTTTTCAATAGGAATTTGACTATGTCATCCTCAGATTGGTGCGTACAGTACCTTGATGTGTAGCATGAGATTTATGTTCAAGATATCGTCGAAGGCGATGGATCTATTGAGACAAGTTCTGAAGGATACACAGTGAAAGTCCACATCATCGTCGGACCAGGAATAGAGCACAGCAAAAGGGATAACAACCGGTGGTGATACACTTCCCATGACATATTCGAGGTCATATCCAAGGAGACATTGGAAAAGGAACAGAAGAAGTCTAAGTAGAGCTCCGTGGCTCCTACCTAGAACGAGGACCTCAGGCTTCAATGAACTGCATAAAGAATGGGAGATTGTATCAACAGGGCAAGATAAACTATCAAAAAGAGCCACCACCAATAACACGAATGCCTATAACGCCGCACATCATGTTGATCCATATCAATATCCAGTTCACCTCAAAATTGCTATGAAGCCCAAAATCCCAATTACGATTGCTTATACCCGTATTCGAGCTACTCAACACTTGGTTCGAACGCCTGGAAGTAGTCCTCGGAAAGATTCCACTCTTTAAGCGCTTGAGTCTCGATGGTGTCTTCAAGGTCATTTGGGCTCTAAGTAGGGGATTGTCTTGCGGGGGTCAGTGAAGGAGACTACTTTTGATATTGAGCTGCCAATGCAGCGGGCTTCTGACGGTGTGAATTGCCTGGTAAATGTGGATCTTTCATATTGCCATCAATCGAGATCAGACCCTATCCACGGGTAGAAGAGATGGAAGGAAATTTCATTAGACCTGATTCGGTGGAGATGATTACCAGGAAACGAAGCTCAGGGAGCGTGAGCGGACGTCGATTGTTTTGGACGGGGCATGGGAAAAACTAGGTGAAAGACACGAAATTCCTATTACCTACTTGGATGTTTAATCTAGAAGACAGTCGACAGAAGGTCATGGATATGTTGAAAGCGCACAGAAAGGTAAATGTATTTAATGTATTCTCTCTACTATGTAAAACCCGGAAATAGAAAATAGAAATACAAAGAATCAATAGAAACAAACAGACCTACTCTTCGAGGCACAGCCATCGACCGCCAATTCTCAAAATGGAAGTATGCAGTGGTCATCAGAACATCGGGATATAACAGGGATAAAAGAAACAAAGCGAATGCTCAAGGCATGAAGAATCAATACCGAGCCTTGCGATGGGTATCTGCGCTTCCGGAACGCCGTGCACCGCGAATGAGGGGAATATGAATAGGGGCGCCGGGCGATATGCGAGTATGTATGTATGTTAAGAGCGAGCGGGCGTAGAATGGTGCATATGGGGGCTGGTGGCATGGTTAGTCTTGGGATGGATGTTTCGGCCTCAAGGGTGTGATACTTTGATCAATGGTTTATTTGCTGGGTTCCTCGTGTTTCTCCTTGTATTTCCGCTGTTTTTCCATGTCGTTGATTTGGATAGCCCATCTCATTTGTGCTTGCACTTCTTTGATTGATGCAAGGGTTGCTTCAATGCTGTCGTTGTTGGCGTGAGAGCGCTCGATCTCTCCGCGTAGCTCATCGTCCTTTAAGGTTTTGTAGTCGGCATGGCGCGCCAGGAGTTTCTCATTCGTTTCTCTCAGATTATCAATCTCGCGGTTCTTTTGCTCGGCAATAACGTCCAGCCGGTCAAATGACAGATGTTGGGTTTTCTGTGCCTGTGCCAGGGTCTGCAGTTCCGCAAAAAGTGTCTTGAATCGTTTGCTGAGTTCGGCTTTGTCGCGTTTGGTCGTACTAACGAGCACTTCGTACTGTGTCTCGTGGAATTTGGCGATCTCTTGCATCTTTGCTTGCTCGCGGTTGTGACTCTCGCGTTCGTCTTGCATGGTCTGGTTGGTCTTGCTGGCGTTGGCATCCGCATCTTGGCGCTTGACCCGCTCATTATGCAGCTCGTTACGCAGCTCCTCCACTTTCTTGTCTTTGCGGGCGATCGAATTGAGATTGGTCTCGTGGACTTGCTCCAGGTTTCGAACTCGCTCGCTCATATTTTGCACTTGAATTTTGAGGGTTTCGTTCGACCGCTGCGTTTCTTCCGCGCGCGACCGGTACATGTTGCATTCTCGGGTCAAGCGTGCGATTTCCTCCTGGAGGTTGTGAATGACTCGTCCTGACTTGCCGGTGGCAGCCGCATGGCCGACGGCCGACCATTCTGTTGGTGCTTCGGTGTTCAGTTCGGGGCTTGTGGGTGCATGGGAGGGCACAGAGGCAGAGCCTTGGGAATCTTTCAGGGATAGAATGAGCATTGGGGCCGAATACAACATAGAATGGGACTGACCTCTGAGGCCATCGGCGGCCGTAGATCCGTCTTCAAAAAAGCCGTTGAATTGGTGCATGTTCAATTGAGTGTCCACATGGGAGAGATTGACTTGTGGGGCTTCTGCAGAGATTATGGAAAACAAGTCAGTAATGCTGTCGAGGCGTGGATGTGAGGTCAAGCGGCGCATGGCACGCCCCAGACTCGCCATGTTGACGGCCGGGGCTCGCTGTTTCCGGAAGCACGATGATAGGCGGGGACCAGAAGAAAGCGCAGGTGGACAACACGAAAGACCAGATCACTTTGCATACCTTTATCAAATGTCAGCTGGGCCAAATGGGTGGTCGTGGCTTTATTTCGGCGCTTAATCATCGCCGAGACTCATTTGAGGTCGCGACGGGTTTCGAGCTTAACGTGACATCGATGAAAGCCTCAAATAGGACAATATATACCAAGAGGGTACTAGTAGTGGAGGGGTGACGCGAAATAATCTAGCGCTGTGCAGAGAGGTTGGAGGTTGAAGGTGGATAATTCATGGAGCTTTGTTTCGGGAACGAATTATTGACTTTCAGGAACGCTCCACCGCCGAGCTACTTCTGGGATAACATCATCGTGAACACCTCGACATGCTTTCATTACCTCTCAACGCCAACCAAAAGCCACCTATCGATATCAGGGGGTATTGGGTTTATATACATGAAGCTCTGGAATGATTTTGCCCATACATTCAACCAATTCACCCTCTCACCTTTACTGGACCAGATAGACCAAAAGACTAAGAGCACCACCAACGAGGCTCATAGAGTACTGGAAGGATGAGGCAGCATTTTGAACACCAGCACTGTGCTTGGCCTTCTTGGGTGTGGGCTTGGCGGTCATCAAGGGACCGTCGGTAGTGACGGTGCTGCTAACAACGGAGGTAGATGCCGGGCTGCTGGAGGGAGTGGCCGATGCGGCGGAGCTGATCAGGGGCTTGCTGGTGACGCCAGTGGTCTGAGTAGCATTTGTGGTAGTGCCGGTGGTCATGCCAGAGCTGGTAGCGGTGTCGGTACCGGTGGTGGTGGCATCACTGGTCGCGGAGGTGCCAGAAGCAGTAGTTCCCATGGTGGTAGTTCCGTCCTGGGTAGTATCCGAGACAGAGGGAACTGGAGCACCAGCCCTGAGCAGAGCGGAGTAGTTGCGCTGACCACCCTGGCTGACCTGGAAAGCATAGGTTTCACCCTCCTTGACGTTCTTACCGGGAGTCCAGGTGAAAGTGCCATCCTTGGCTTGAGCGGTCATGACCTCCACATCACTCAGATTACCGGCGGAGCCCTTACGTAGAGTCAAGGTCACGGGCTATGATATATCAGCATCCATCTATGATATTAGGCACTGTTCATGGTACCTGGTCAGGAACGGCACCGGCCCATGTCAATGTGACGGGCTTGCCAGCCCGGACATCCTTGGGCCAGCTGGTGAAGGCCAAGGGGTCGGCGGCGAGACCCAGAGCGAAGAGGGTAGCGGATACGCCGAGGACACTGGTGAAATGCATGATGCTGAAAAAAAAAAAATTAGAGCTAGAGGTATGATATTAAAGAAAGTAAAAGTATCAGTGCCCTGGGAAGTTGTCGACGAGTCAAGACCGATAAAAAGAAAAGCCAGGATATCAGTGGCGCACGACGATTCTTATCCTCTCGTAAGAAGCGCTGTGATATCGCCCAGGTGATGGTTGCCCATGTTGATACTGACTGTGTACTGGGAGGGAATGTGACATTCCGGGGCGATTGAACCACCATCTATGAGTGGTGGGCGAGGTATTTCCATCTATTTGTTTGGGGAATGCTTCAGTAAACAACTGAGATTCTTCCCATGAGTGTTCGTTGAAAGATGTTAAGACTTGCGATGCCGCGATGGATGGCACCGATTGTTCGGCTCTGGGATGCGGCCTATAGCTTCGCGTGACTGCCCAGTCCGAAAAACAGCATCAGGTAACTACTCTAAACCGCCCAGAGTTGATAGCTACAGAATTGCTTAAATAAGCATGCCATCCCTTCCCGAGTGCCCCGAATCAAGATACCATAGTATCGAGGTATAGGGCTATAGACCGAGCCCGTTTAAATGGGGCCAATATTTTCGTGCATTTCTCGAACCAAGTGTGACCCTATAAATCCATACCAAGGGGTAGCCGAGTCTTGGTGATGGTGAACGTCGCTGAGATAGAGCTTGGTCGATCATATAAGCAAGGGCGGCCATTGACATCTGCACTGTCCACTGCCCGGAGGAGAAATCTTTCGTCCAAATCTCGAGCGAGTGTCTCAATTGAAGCGATCGCGTGCCTATGTCCTAAGATCGACGAGTCTATTCCATACGCTGTTGATGGTGATCGTCATACTTCTATCGGCCAGCATTGAGTTCTATGAATAGTCGAAGTTGACAAGATCAAATCCTAATCATAGACGATGAAACAAGATCAATTCGATATGATGAGAGCATGTTTTGATACGGGATTATCTTGCCCAATCTGGCAATATGCAAAGTTGGATAGCAGCTTCCTTGACCGCAAGTCCACTGCGACTCGAGTTTGACATGAGCTTCAATGACTGCCCAGATACACTCATTGAAGCATTGTTGTTATTGCTAATACCAAGTCTCACATTGAGCCATACGTTCACTCACTACCCCACGGATCAAATTCAAAACCAGATACCTTCTCTATACACACCGATGCCAGACTGCCAACGAGCAAGATCCTCAGCCCCAGAACCAGACACTGATCCGGGCTCAACCTCATCTTTATTCCATGAATTATCCTCAGAACCAGCCCACTTGTCACGAGAAACACGAGCTACAACACTCAGCTACGCATACTCATCCAGCTCAGGTCTAACCTCAACTGTCCTGTCATCAACACCATCCAGCGGCCACTTCCGCTACTACACGACATCACATTCTCCAAATCCCCTCCTTGACCCAGACACTAGCCCCGGTCACTCTCTTCTAACACACTACCACCTCGAGTCCCTCAATCAATGCCGCCTCAGCGCCCTATCCTCAATAACAGTCTGCCACAACATGATAACAACTCTGGAACTTAGTCGCATAACAGCCTCCCGCGTCGGATCCGCCATCTGGTACTCCTTCTGGGACAGCCTGTACACCCGTGAGACCCTGCAAGTAATAACAGACTTCGTCAATCAAGCCCGGCGACGAATCGATTCCCTCTTCAACAAAACAGCAACCCGCCTCCATACAATGCTCAATCTCATCCATACTTCCGTCCGTTTCGCTGCGACTGCGGCGCAGATCATCTGGGAAATGGAAATCATCGAGGAGCACGCTTACTGGGAGCGTGAACACCGGCGACGCAAGGCTGCTAGGATTCTCGAGAAGATGCGCGCGCATATTCAGAATGCGACGTGTTTAGTTATTGATGAGGACAAGTTGACGGATATGAAAAGGGGAATTTTCAGTCTGGATGTGCTGTGTGATTATTATCCACATACGCTTGCGGATGGCCATACAGCTGTTGTGTTGCCGGTTGGTGAGCCTGAGTCGCTGCCGTGTTTACAGTATGATCCGAGTTTGGATCATAGGAGTGGCACCGTGTTGATACATAATGCGAGGCATTATCGAGTCGCGCCTGGGTATCGACCCGTTGGAAATTATTATCTTGATTCGACGAGATTGGTCTAAGTGGTCGTCGGCCAATAGGCATGGAAAAGTTGGGGATGATCTTGTTGATGCTACTGACTTGCACTTCTTCATTCCCATGGGAAAGCTTCTCTTTCTTTAGTAGATAGCTCAGGTGGACTTTCTTTTAATGACTGGCATGTCATGGAACAATGGAATTGTTGTACAGAACCTCAAAACGCCCGTCTAACTCATGGTGTATATGCAAAATCAGAAGTCCCACAGTCCACGCATGAAGCTGCCCGGACCAGAGTCCACACCGCCATCTTCGACAAGCATGCGATCTGTGAAGATACGCTTGGGAATCTGGTACTCCACAACTGGCGGCTTGCGGAGCGGCTTCTCGCCTGTACCCAGCTCTCCGGATAACATGCCCTGGTACGTGTGGTCCAAGAAATCCTCTAGGTTATACGCCTGCTTTGTAAACTGCTCCGAAATAATGCGGGCAATAGCCGCAACATTGGGGTGGTAGTGAGATTGTAGGGTCTCAATTTCCCACAAACTGCTCTCGATGGCATTTGTGTGCAGGGGATCCAACTCCGACATGTCGAAGATATCGTCCATTCCGCGCGCTTCAATATCAGCTGCTAGCTCCTTGTCGCGGATCTCGCGGTGCATCATGAATGTGCAGGTGGGGTGGCTCTTGAAGAGGTTGTACATGAACGGAACAATGACCACAATTGCGGACGGAGGGGCGTTCAAAGCCAGGCGTGAAAGACGCTTGATGAAACTTGCGACGAGGGCGGCAGGAAGATGGGTGGAGGAGAGGAAGGTGTTCAGCAGGCGGAAGAAGCGGGAGCGGTGCTTGGAGTGCAAAAGCTCTGCATCCAGGAGGGAATAGAGCTTTGCGTAGAACTGAGGATAGTCGAGGTTCTTGTGTTGAATGAGGTAGAAGAGACCCGACAGAGCGAGGAGGGAGGTGGCGCCGCCCGCGTTGTATGAGTCCGTCAGGAAATCCATCAAGAGCTCTGGTCGGCTGAGCCATGGCTCGATGGAGTGCACCATGATGCGGAGAAGAGATTTGCGCTGCGCCTGGGAAAGATTGTTGCGGAGGATGGCCAGCCATGCTTCCTGGGCTCGCTTCTTATGGGCATTGACGGAGTGGATGCGCTTGTTGGTGGCGGCGGGCTCCACGAAGAAGGTCTCGAACTTGTGGGTTTCGCTGGGGACGTCGCCGCAGGCGGAGAGGAGAGAAATGAGGGTTTCGAGGGTGGTAGAGCTTCGGCGGGTCTCTGCATATTCACTATTTCAAGTCAATAACCTGTATACTTCCGTTTCCAAAAGTAGTACTTACGATACTTGCACGAAGAAATAATATCTGATGTCTTCGTACTCCTTCAGATACTTTGAAACAAATTCGGTCTGCAAGTCCTGACCATCCTGAGCTTCAACGATAGCCTCGAAGATTTCACTGAAAAGAGTATTCCAGACATTGTGCTCTGCTCCCGGGATATGTGTAATGCGTGCCTTCAACATGCGCATAGCCAAGCTCAGAGCAGTGACTTGAGAATCGATGTCGGCTTCCCGCATGATTGCCATCAAAGCCCTCTGATATTCCAAGGCCCGCTCCTTCAGCCATGCCACCACGATCTTCTCATTCTCAGCGGCACGGCTTGAATCAACAAAGTTGCCCGCGGCAATCAATCTGCTGAACACTCGGCATAAAGAAACTGCGACAGCAAGCTCGGGCTTTTTAGCTGAGGGTTCGACATTCAGCATGGAGATCAGGGTTGCGATATTGTTGTAGTATTTGCGAGACTCCGCAATTTGATTCTCAAGCTTTTCAATTGTAACAGTATCGGCGCCTTCCTCAGCGACCGCACGGCGCTTAGACGAGGGAGCACCATTCTTGGAGCTCTTGCGCTTCTTGGAGCCGTTCAGCTCAACGGGCGCAGGCATTTTGGGCGTGAAAACCAAGTCGCTGGCGTGATCTCAGAACTTGTTACTTTTTTCTCGGCTGCGATTTTTCGAAGATCGGAACCGGGTTTTTCCGCGAGTCTACGCTAGCCTTTAAACGGTTAGTGTTTGCAAGCCCGTCCTAGCCGTCCCGACTTCAAGTCTCCTCTTCGGTTCACCCTCACATATTCAAGACCTCTCTCATCTCCAACAATGGCTTCGCGTCTTGCTAAGAGTGCCATGGGTACGCCGCTCTCGACCTCGCCAATTCGATTCGCTTCTTCCAGATGCTGACTTCACCCCTTAGGCGCCGCCCGGCTGCGGCCGACCATCGCTGCCCGCGTCCCTGCCGTCTCTATTCTGACCTCGACCCGCGCGGCCACCACTCCCGCTGAGAGCCCCGAGAAGAAGGCCCAGTCTATCCTGAACGCCATCCCCGGTAACTCGCTGGTGTCCAAGACCGCCACTCTATCCGCCGCCGCCGGTCTGTCCATCGCCGCCATCAGCAACGAGCTTTACGTGATGAACGAGGAGACCGTCGCCGCCTTCTGTCTGCTCTCCGTCTTCACCGCCGTTGCGAAGTATGGTGGCCCTGCTTACCGCCAGTGGGCTGAGGGTCAGGTCCAGAAGCACAAGGACATCCTGAACGCTGCCCGTGCCGACCACACCAACGCTGTCCAGCAGCGCATTGACAACGTCTCCCAGATGTCTGGTGTTGTCGAGGTCACCAAGCAGCTGTTTGCTGTTTCCAAGGTAACATACACTTGATTTGGATGTCTGTCTGCGGAATCCGGTCTGACTTGTTTTACAGGAAACCGCCCAGCTGGAGGCCCAGGCCTTCGAGCTCGAGCAGCGCACCGCTCTGGCTACCGAGGCTAAGCAGGTTCTTGACTCCTGGGTCCGCTACGAGAGCCAGGTCAAGCAGCGCCAGCAGCGTGAGCTTGCCGAGTCCATCATTGGCAAGATCCAGAAGGAGCTTGAGAACCCCAAGGTTCTGCAGCAGATCCTCCAGCAGAGCGTTGCCGATGTTGAGCGTGAGTTTTCGCTCGTCTTGTAGCTTGATTGACTTGTACTAACGCTGAATAGGCATCATGGCTGCCAAGGCTAACTAAATGGTCACCGGTGGCTCCGTCGGCTGTTACCATTGTGTACAAAACTATAGGGGCTAGTTGCATCTGCTAAGTTAGAATTGCAATACCATTTGATTCTGACTATAGCTGTCTTTCCAAGCTCTCCCGCTCGTATTTGGTTGATGTGGTTCGGGCTCTGATCGATTTGTAGTGAACGCGTAATGACCATCCAACGGCTAGCTTGTGAGAAAGGAGCATGGGTACCCGCCTTTGTACCCGCATAGGACTCGGCTGTTCTTCTGTAGAAAGCCAAGGGTCAGCCTTAGTTTTATACATCTTCTCCAACGTCCTAATGGGACGAAGTTACTCCGAAGCTCTGGAGTGCCTGGTAGACCTGGTGGCCACGCTAGGGACGCAGGGACCGGTGCAGGAAGCCACATGTGGGACGTGCATCATATCTCAAGAACCACGAGTATACATGCCGTGGTTTTTATTACCTACGTGCAATAGAATCTACCGGGGTAGACTCTAGCTTCCATAACCATCCTAAGCGCCTTCACTTAGATTAGCCGCCTGACCCAAGGATCGGGCGTCTCAGCGGCGGCACAGCCCTCCCGTCTTTTTGTTTCTATTCTTGAATCACATCTTTTATTTTGGAGCCTTCCCTTCATCTGAAGCTTTTGCATCCATCGAGCGCTCTAGTCTTTTCCTTTCTCCACCTGAGCCCACCCCCATCCCCACGCCTCCGCATCTCATCTCATCGCATTGCATCAGGATCAGCAATAATAAAACAAACAAAATGCCATCCTTGCGAAACATCCTCCACAAACGCGACGAGCTAAGCTCAGAGAAGCAACCTCAAGAGCCTCAACAAATCCCAACCTCTCCGCCAACACCCGAAATCATATTCATGCGCACGACCACCAATACCCAAGAGATAATCACACCACCAACCCATGCTGACGAATTGCCTCCTCTGTCCCCAATCTCTCCAGAAAGCCGCCCTTCCCTCTCAACCCCTCGCCGGAGCTTCTCTTTCCTCCACCGTTCACCCCGCTCCGGATCCATCTCCAGCCCATCTCCGTCCCGCACCCGCGAGCGCCGCCTCTCGAGCCTGCTACACCTTGATGGCCGGCAGCGAAGTGAATCGCGAAACTCCTCTGCGAATATTCCAGCAGATTTACCGCAGGTTCTAGACGAGCAAGGCGACAAGGAGGCGAGAGAGGAGGCGTGGGAGAGGAGGGCGACGGTGCTTGTCCAGCAAAATCCGCAGTTCGGGCAGCTTTCACCGAGAGCGTCGGAGGGAGACTTGGGAAGTGAGAAGGGGCGGCCAAGGAGCCCGAGTCAGGGAAATGTGGGGGCGCAGGATGATGTGAGCTTTGTAGACATTGCTATTCTTACGATGAAGTGCTAATTCTTGCTGGTAGATCAATATTCAGGAGGCTATTCGATTACACGAGGCTGGAGGTAAGTTTGACTTGGGACGTATGCTTGATATGCGCTGGTATTGATAACACCTAGATCTGGAACGATCAACTCAAATGTTCGGCCAGCTGGCTGATCCCAACGGTGCGAACAACCCCCTCAGTCAGGTTTTGTACGGTCTGGCTCTTCGGTATGCTTTCGTTTCATTGATGATTACCCAGTGTATACTAATCCAAATAGGCACGGCTGGGGCTGCGCCAAAGATGAGACACAAGCTGTTTCCTACTTATCAGCAGCAGCGTCAAATTCAGCTGCCGTCGAATCTGAGGCCTTACGCGCTGGCATGAAGAAAGGCGGCGTTGCTAAAGGCGAACTCGTTCTCGCCATGTTCGAACTGGCAAATTGTTTCCGTAATGGCTGGGGCGTGAAGAAAGATCCTTTCGCTGCTCGGCAGTATTACGAGACGGCGGCTAACTTGGGCGATACGGATGCTATGGACCAGGTTGCTTGGTGTTATCTTGAAGGCTTTGGCGGGAAAAAGGATAAGGTATGAGAGACCGAACAAGCTTGTCGGGGGTTGCTAATCCGTGAGTCACAGTTCAAGGCAGCCAAGTATCTTAGACTTGCCGAGGCGAATAACGGCCCGACAGTTGGCAATTCTTGGTATTTTCTGCCATTTGTCTTTTCCTATGATAAAGGGAGCTAACGAGGTTGAATAGGATCTGGAAGGAAAAGTATAATCCAAAATAAGTGATCATCTGGTTGCAAATCTGAAGCCATTTACTATCGCATTTTCGACCCAATTGTCTTGCTATGGAGAGATCTCATGGGGGGATGTACTTAGTTCATGATGTTTCATTAGTCTTTATTGCACGAAGTATGAAGAATCTACGTTCATGGGGCAGCATATAATGAAATTTCAATGATTGGTGGTCCTACTATACCTCAAATTTCTTTTTCCTTTCTTACATGATGACTTTCGCAGGGCTTGCAGTGCGATAGAGGGCAGGCACACGTGCACAACAGAAGCCATCGAGCGTTGAGCCAAGCAGCAAAGCCCAAGTGCCGCAGGTAACATACCACATGAACTCCACGGTGATGACCAAAACCGCAAGATCTGATGCTATCTCGGCATTTATGCCGCTAATCTCTATGAGATCAGGATTTACTATAATTGAGACTTGTCACCAGATGTTTCCAGCCGGGTAGGTCCACTCAAAGCCCACGCTGGTTTGCCCGCCCTGCATTCCAAAGATAGTAAGCAGTGTGTCCTGATAGACTCACATGTGAAGGTCTATAGCTTCGCTTGAATTTCCATGATATCCCCAGAACCTTAATCGGAGGCAGGACTTGGATGCGCTAAGGATGTTCCCCGCATTTGATACGGACCCTGGCACCTGGCTAGATATTCTCCACGTGATATTCAAACCACCGTATCCATTTGTCATGCCTCTAGGTGATATTGAGCTGCGAATAATGGGTGACTGGTTAGGTATTACATAATTTAGTAAGATCAAAGCATAAATCATGTCTAGACACATGTGAGCGCGGATCGTAGTATACAAACTCCATCGGCGTAGCGATGGAAATTTAAAAACGAAATTGGGCCTTTCGAAGACCCCGAAATGGCTGAAACGCTCTTCAAGAATGCTCAATATGGCGTCTGCAAAAGACGACCTCTTCTTTCCAATTCCCCCCCACTGTGATCGAGACCCTCCTGGTAATCGGATCTCGCCTAAGCCCAGGACGACCAGGGACCGAATTTCTCTACGCCTTCTGCATCAACTTCATCATACTAGCATTATGGAACGTCTTTATCCGACCATGGATTTCATTGCGCAATTGAAGATGGGGAAGAGTTTTTGCATGGATTCGATCGGCAAGGTCGGCCGGTCAACTACGTGCGCGTGAAGATTCATAAGCCCGGTGCTCAAAGTGAAGAGGCTCTAGAAAGATACATTATTCATGTCATTGAGATGAACAGGCTGATTGTGGTTCCGCCGGTTGAGACAGAGGGTATGTAGGTTCCTGTGGCCTCAGTGCAGGAGTTGAGCTGACCTTCATGCGGACTATTGTCTTTGATATGACCGGCTTCTCGCTGTCGAATATGGTACCGACCTTTGCGACCTATGCGCTTCATGGTTGAATTAACATTTTACTCTAGGAATACCAACCGGTCAAGTTCATCATAAGATGCTTCGAAGCAAATTACCCTGAGTCACTGGGCCAGCCATTGATTCATAACGCACCTTGGATCTTCTCCGGTTAGTTTCTTCCAGGCAATGTCTCTGCGAAGAATTACTAACGCCACCAGGGATTTGGAAACTGATTCATGGCTGGATGGACCCTGTCGTAGCCTCCAAAGTACACTTCACCCGCTCAGTCTCCGATCTAGACAAATACATCTCCCGCGACCAGATCCCGCAAGAGCTTGCTGGTGACGAAGACTGGAAATATACCTACATCGAGCCATTAGCTGACGAAAACGCCGTGATGAAAGATACCGTGACTCGTGACTCTCTTATGTATGAGCGTATGATGATTGGGTTGCGCATGCTCGCTGCCACAGCGGCTTGGGTCTCGGCGACTACGTTTAGTGAAGGGACAGAGGATAAAGCGAAGGTGGAGGAATTGAGGATGCGCAGGAATGCGGTCATTGAAGAGTTCAAGAGTAATTATTGGAAATTGGATCCTTATATCCGGGCCAGGGCTATTACTGATCGGGAGGGCGTTTTAAAGCCAGGTGGGGAGGTTGTGAAGGGGCAGAATGGACGTGCCAAGTGAGGATTGTGAGGCAAATGATGAACTTGGGTTTTCAATAGGGACATTGTGCGGCTTATCTGTGAATCCATGTTCACTGTCCAATTATTTAGGTTCATAAATGTAAACTATGAGGGCTCATGCAGTCTCGGCATGTTGAGTGATCCCCTCGTTTTTCTCCTGTAGCGTCGTCCTTGCTGGGCTGTCAGTTGTACCAAGTGCTGACTCGCCATCAAAAATGACAGCCATCTCCTCAAGAGAGTAGCCATGTGTCTCGGGGTAAAAAAAGTAAACCGTGCCCAAAACAGTTAACAAAACGGCCAGAAAGACAAAATAATACTTCCAAGAAATGGCCTCGAAAGCAATAGGGTTAATCATCTGATTGAAAACCAGTGCACCATAATTAGCCATTGCGCAAATGGCTACCCCCTTGGCGCGAAAAGATAGTGTCCAGATTTCGGCTGGATAGGCCAGCATCAAGGGAGTAAAGGCGATGTCGTAGCCGGCATAGTAGATGAACAGGAATGGAATGACTGCAGTCCCCACGGCCGCCGTACCTGTTGTATTAAAGGACCCTGAAAGCGCCGTGATGATGATGTAGCTTATGAGCATGATTATGGTGGATGCGAGGAAGAGCGCTCGTCGGCCGGCTCGATCAACGAGACATGCACCGACAATGCTCATTATTAAGTTCCAGAGCTGGAGAAATCCATTGATTAATGTTTGTTCTGTCACAGACTTGATGCCGATTGTATCCAGAATGAGGGTGAGATAGTAGGAAACAACGCCACTGGAAAAAGGGTCGTCAGCAAAGAGCCTTGAAACTGGAGTTTTCTAATCGAAACTAACCCTCCATTCCACTGGGAGAAGAAGCCCAGCGAGATACTGATGAACAATCGATACCGGTTTCCCGGTGTTTTGACACAGTCGACCCAACGAGAATCCTCATTCACACTCTGCTCAAGCTCAATCGACTGCACAATTTCGTGCATCTCGAAGGCAACAAGCTCAGAGCTCTCATCTCCTCCAGCATGAAGCCGCACTACAATATCGCGCGCTTCCTTGACTCGCTTCTGTCGAATCAACCAGCGAGGCGATTCAGGAACATGTAAAGCCCCCGGTAAAGCAAGTAGTGGCAGAGCAATCTGCATCAGAGACGGAATCCGCCAAGCCCAATCACTATCCATATTCCGCGTGCCAAACGCAACCCAAGCCGACAGCAGCGACCCGACATAATATTGACACATATACATGGCCGTAACGAGAGAGCGATGCGACGGATACGCAATCTCAGTGACCAGGATCACGGCAGCCTGGAACCAAGCCCCTGCAATACCAACGAATATTCGCGATGCGACAAACATCTTCGCATTCGGGGCCCCAACTTGAAGACCAACGCCCAGAGCTAGCCAGCCATAGCCGATGAGAACCGTTCGTTTCCGCCCGAAACGGTTGGCAGACCATGCGCTTACGGGTTGGAAGAGCATGCTACCGAGGGATTGAAGGGCGTTAATGAAGCCAAGCCAGGCGCCAATCGGCTCGTGCATGAAGGATTGCCATTGATGTAGAGATTGGAGGCCATTCATGAGGGAGATATCGTAGCCGACTGTGCTGGAAAAGAGAATGAGGCAGGCGATGTAGCTATTCAGGGTCAATAGGTGAGGGATTTTCCACCAGGCTTTCGGGGTTGTCGGGAGGACCTAATTGATTGAATTTAGAAATTGACATTGGTCGAATGTTATGAATTCAAGGACATACCAATGCAAGCCTCGCTGCAGGAGTCGGGTCAGAGCCCTTCCCCGTCATGATAGGGAGTGGAGCAGTCGGGATGGAAAAGTCGGCCTGGACTAGGATGGCGCTCGAGGACTAGGGTGAGGCTCTATGAGAACCGCATCGTGGTATGTACGCCCCGGAACGTCATGACACACACGAAATGAAAGCTGAACCATCCGGATGTCTACCCTTATGTAGCAAGGCAAGGAGAGAGATTTCAAAGCCGAGACTTAGAGCCAAACCATCCAGGGCTAACGGTGTGGGGAGGGCGTGGGGAAAGCCGTGTGGAGAAAGGCGGGTTTCGCATTTTCACGGGTCTGATACCGTATCAGGAAAAGAGTATTTGATCCGCTAAATCCCGTTGGGTAGTCGGCCCGCCTTATCTTTTGGGTGTAGGCATGTTTCTCTGCGCCTTGAAATGATGGTGCTTCCTAGGAAGTTTGCAGGTCAGGAACCCCGAAACCACAGGGCTGAGGTGAAAGAGACATAATATGATGAATCTTTGTCCTTTTACGACAGGACAAGACACGAACCGAGTGCTATTAATAGGAGTATGCATGGACAGGAGCTGGCGATATGGTTCAATATTGCGAGGCGAATCTCTCCTGAAGAGCTCTTTCCATGGTACCCGACGTATTCGTATAGGCGTCGATTAGTGCGGCTTTGAATAACGAGGGAAAATCCACTTAGCCTTTTTTAGCGTCAGGATCGTTAAAATCATCCAATTGAAGCGACCACCCCTATTTTGGGTAATGATTGACACTTTTGGACCGGAGCTTCGATGTTCAGGTAAACTCGTAGATATTATGGTTCAAGAACACTAGAATGATAAAGCAGCAGTCGCTACTACCCCAACACTTAAAACGAGCGAAGACCGCCCGCATTGGAGAAACTCGGACATGATAATCCGCAGCCTTACTCAGAGCATCAACAATGTTGACTGTCACCCGCATGCGGTAGATGATCTACGTTTGTCAAACTAGGCGCGGCACTTTCCAAAGACTTGTCACTCATTTGAATGCCGACATATAGAAAGACCAGCCCACAGAGGCAATTAAGCTCATTTAAGCTCTTCATCCACTCCGCCTCATTCTTTCCGGAAAACATACCTTTACGTCTCAGCCAGGTATGGTTGATAAATTTTGATTAGAGTCGCAGTGCTCACGCAAGAACTAGACAAGATGAAACTCCAAGCAATCTGCGTCCTTTCCTTCCTGACCATGGTCTTCGCAGACCCTATGCAAACCCAGGTGGAGACGCGGGATGATGCCGGGCTTATCAGTGACTTGCTGGGCGATGGTGCCAATTTGTGAGTCTTTCATCTATAATCCGAAAGGAGCTTTAGGCTGACAGCGTTTACAGCCCTCTTGGACTCGAGTGAGGAAACAACTCAATCCATTATCAATTTCATACTAAACTTTATATTTAGCTTGAGCAGCTTGGCGGACCTGTGAGCCCAACACGACAGACAACAACACGACGCACCGGTGGACAAGAAGGAATTATGACAGCACTCTGTACTCTAGCTATAGATGCTATCTGCTGGACCGGCAACTTCAACCAAATTGCAATGCTTTTTGAGGTCTTATAAGATGTTTACCTATGAAGGGACACCTAGTAAGACGTAGAGACCTTCTCGCTTGATATGTGACTCACCTAGGCCTGGAGGCGATAGATGAGTCGGTTGAAATTTCAATTTCAATTACAAATAAATCTTAGTAAAATGTCTGGCACAATAGGACACATGGCAGACGCAGCTGGGATGATATCTTTCAAATTCGTCGGCTCTAACTACCCCGAGAATAAACCACAATACCGGTCGGCCGCAAGCTGTCTTCTGCCTGGCTTTAATAGTAGCAGAGCTGCCGGTACAGAAGCCGCAGCGAATCCGATCATAACTCTCAGCTGGGTGGTGAAGCTGTCTGCAAGGACACCCTTCACGCCCTCTTGAAGATTGGGGGACAGAGAGTTTATCGCTTTCACATTTTCTAAGAACAAATGTAATTCATGTCTGGTCAGAAATCCGTGTAAGTGATGCGCCAAACGGCCATTAAGAATGTTGGATGCAATGGCCAGACCAACAGCGCCGCCCAGGAAGCGGAACTGAACGACTGCACCAGTGGCAATCGCTATACCAAAGTCGCGTCAGTCGACTGAAGACTCATGTGATGATTGAAGATGACAAGGGGCGACACCTACCAAGATCTCTGTCCTCGACTATGTATGGTATAGATAGAACAAGAATTCCCATCGTTGATCCAAGCCCTGCACCAGCAATGACACCATAGACGATATCAGTGGCTTGGAACCCCTTCTCAGTGGCGATAGTCGATAGGAGCCCAACGCCCACAGTGTGGATTGTACAGCCCACAAGCAGAGAGTATACGAACGGTATCCGTCCTTTTGAGCTGGCAAGATTGATGGCAACCGCAGCAACGGCTGCAACGGCAGAATACCCAATCAGGTAGATGCCGGACTCAAGAGGCGACTTGCCCAACAGGAGCTGGGCTTGCTGGGGAACGTAGACGAGGACGACGTTGAGTGGCGCACCGATGGCAAACGAGCAACTGTAAATATCAGAATGAATCACTATGCAGGATCTGTGTTTATGTGGACGCACAGCAAGATGCCCATCCATGGGCGCTCAAAAAGCCAACGTTTGGGAAAGATCGGATCTTTGCCAGGAATGTCCGAGATATAGCATTCCCAGGAGAAAAAGGCAACCCAGGCAACTGCCGTGAGAACAATGAGAGTTATTGCAGCTCCCGAACCCCAAGGAAATGCCAGGTTCGCTTCATTTAGGACAGTGACAAGTAAGAACGAGCCAGCCATCACTAGAAATGACCCTACGAGGTCGAGGTTGGCGAATGAGCGATAAGATGCTCTCGTTCTGAATGAGGGAGTATGTTGATCAAGGCCGAAGTGTGTAGGCATTGCAAATGCGATTGCGACAATTGCGATGAAGCATAATGGGGCGCTACTAGGTGTCAGCAGATGTTTCATTCTGGAGGGAGAAATGCCATGTACTTGACCAAGAATACCCATCTCCAAGCCGATGCTTGTGCTAGGGCACCTCCAATAATTGGGCCTATCAACGACGCCAGAGCCAGGCAAAGTGACATGAGACCACTGTAGATCGGGAGTTTCGTTTTCGGGGCTATCTCATAGACACATAGTATCGCCAGTGCATAAGCACCGGCACCTCCTATGCCTTGAAGCGCTCGTAGAATTATCCTGTACCGGAAGAGTTAGCCTTCGAAGAAGCAGAATGAAGGGCCTCAAATTACAGTTGATTCACGGTTTGTGCACATCCACAACCTATCGAAAAACCAAGCAAAATAACAAGAGCAGCCAGTGTCGTGTGCTTCCTCCCGATGATATCGCTGATTTTGGTCCATATCGCCATAGACCCTTTGAGAGTGAACAAGTCAGCCAAGCCTTGCGCGAGTCATACACTAAAGATTCATCAGGTGACTTTTACCTGTATATGTGGCCAAGTATCCTGTAATAATCCAACTCCGCTTCTCGAATCCCTCCAAACTGTCAGTGATACTCGTCAGAGAGGAGCTCACAATCGTCACATCAAGATTGGAGAGGAAGAATCCGATCAAAAGCCTATCGAATCACCAGTAAGTTCCACGTCACGACAAAGCCCATAAGCTTCCAGACGCTCAACATCGCACATACCCTATGGTAGTCAGAATCAGCCTCCACCCGTGAGATAAACAATCTCATTGCCAGGCGAGGATGGCCTTTGCCCCGACCCCTTTTCATTGTTCTCTCTCCCGATCCTGCCACCACTTTCTCCCTTCCTTGAAATCGGCTCTGCGAACTTGATATGGCTAGACATGGTAATCGGATCTGTCGACGATCCTGAGTGCTTTTAGGTGTAGGTGGTGACAGAGTTGGCGGCCATCGCTGCAATCGAAGTCAAAATTTCGAATGCGACCACAAATTGCGTAGGACGAGGCCCCGCGTATATTTACCCCAGGGGTTTCCAAAGTGGAACGCGCGAGACGCGCGATGACAGAATGTGAAATAGAAGGGTGATCTTTGTCGATCATTGAACTTTGCACTTAGATGCATGGCTTGGCATGGGCTTGTACGGGGTCTAGAGCTTTATTTCGAGTCTCTTGATGCCTCAAGTATCGAATATTGAGCCTCTGTTCTGCTTCTTAGTGTGGTTCGGTCTGGCCTAGTTTTTTTATGTTGATGGAGGATAGCTAGATGTTCAGAAAGGGGCAAGCCGTCATTCTTGCGGCGGAGGACCGAGAGCTACCACAAGTTTCCGATTTGAGGGCTCAATTGTGTTCGTGAGTTGACTAAGATTCCCTTGTTTCAGGGGTATCTACCCCTAGAATTTTGAACCGGGGCTTAAGCTTGTTTTTCAACAACAAGTAAGGGATTTGCATCGCCACTAGCCATGTTCGGGGACTTGCGGTCATGTGCCTCGGTCCGGAGAAGTTTTGAATCTAGATAAATGTCCAACAAGGGTTTCCAAGGCAGTAGAGGCATTGAAAGCAAATGAACCGTTTGACTGATTAGTGGAAGCGTTCGATAGCCGAGTCGCTAGTTAATGGATCTGCACAGCTATCCCAATACGGTTAGCGTCACCTTATCACGGTTAGATTGAAGATACCTTAGCTGCAGGTCAATGAAGAAAGCAAATCTTATTCTGTAATTATAACTAGAAGATTCTCAATGGACAAGTGCAATCATCAAACTTAGGCATCACCAGATGGACTTGGCATTTTTCCCACGGCTTGTTCCGCAATCTCCAAAAGGCTCTGGACTCTGCATCAATGGCGTAAGGGGGTTCAATTTTTCTGTGACGTGCGCATGGATCTGCTGCACGTTGCTTGTTGTTTCAGGACAACCTATGTCAACGTTGCGAGGCTTTTCCATCAAGTTACCACGGTGAGGGCCAAGGAAGTTTGCCCCTAGCCTTGTTTTTGAGCCGATAGCGGTCAGAAACCAAGTCTACCAGTCACTTACAAGGAGCCGCTTGATCTAAAGAGATCAGAAGCGAGGACGACCCATCGGAAGTTATACTTACCTCTATAAGCTGAGAGGATAGAGAATCCATCGGTATTCGGGACATCTATCTCGCCGTAGCTACAAGAAGCGGTTGGTAGCGACGGAATTTAGCCTATCCCCATACTTCTGCAGGCGAACTTTAGCACCCGCAAAGTATGAGAATGCGGCGTATAAGAATCATCAAAATCACCGTAGTCTACCTCGAAACCATCCCATCACCATGCACGATGGTGGCATTTATCTGATGTCCAGGCGTCCAACGCGCAAATCGCCGCCACGCTTCCACCAGGCCTCGTCGCGGTCTTCGTCGGCGCAACGAACGGAATCGGGGAGTATCCTTTGAAAGAGTCCAGCCGACACGCGCAAAAGCTTCGTGTCTATTTTGTCGGTCGCTCACAAGGCGCGGGAGACCACATCGCGAAGGAATGTCAAGAGTTGAGTCCCAGAGGCGAGTTCATCTTCATCAAAGCGGATGTTAGCCTATTGAAGACAGTCGATGAAGTCTGTCGTGAGATCTACAGCAAAGAAAAGACCATAAACCTTCTGTTTTTGACATGTGGGCCGGCTCTTGCTTATGCTGGTGAGTCCTCCACTCGCCCATCAGTGCCGCAATTGAGACTTAGTACTGGCCATGGATACAAGAGAAGGTCTCCAAATCTTCATGGCACTGCCATATTATGCTCATGCCCGCTTCATCGTCAAGCTGCTACCGTTCATCCGCCTGGCTAAGAATCTCCGGCGAGTAGTGACAGTGTTCGCAGCGGGCAACGAAGGCCCAATCTTGAAAGATGACTTCCAGTCCCGCAAAATACCATTTGGGAATGTGCGCGGACACAATGTCTCCATGACAGACTTTATGCTTGTGCACATCGCGCAAGGTGCCGCTAAAGTCGGCTTCGTGCATGACTACCGGGGCCCTGTTAAGTCTGGATCTGAAAGGGAGACAGTCTTACCAGTATTCTGATGCGTGTCGCGATCACCATTTTCAAGATTCATGGGCCCCTCATTAATATTTCGACCAAGGAGTCCGGGGAAGGCATCTGTTCTTCGCTGCTAGTGCCCGTTAACCGCCACTGGGTGTGAATATTGGAGCAACAGGGGTGGCAGTTTCTGATGGTGCGTCTGTAGCAGTTACCACGAACGGACAGCAGGGGAGTGGTGTGACGCGATCCACCGGGACGGAGAGAGTGCTGGACAGAAATCACTAGGCATTTTGTCAAGAATGCGTGACGAGTGTATAGTTGAACAAGTTTGGGAACACACTGTGACCGAGTTCAACCGGATAACGTGGTCAGAAACTCTGCATATGTGAAGATGGCGAGTGAGGATCAAGTGCAGACTAAAACCAGCTACTTGTATTCGACTTTAGAAAGATGAGCCAAAAATGTCAACTGTGAGCCGCAAACCGTTACTATCGATGTGGCCAGCCATGAAGACAGGGCCTATCCATTGCTGGGTGTCGTCAGTATGTGTGGCTTGTTCCGCACTGGTAAAGTCTTAGAAATACGCCTAGGAAAGTCGTGTATACAATTGAGAATGATCAAAAAGTCATAGTGATGAGAAAAAGACCTCACAGGTTCGATTATGCCGCATGATTGATATTAATATGATGCGGTAGGCCTTAGATATATGCTAAACGCCAGCAAAGTTCAGGCTACGAGAGCCAACGAACGAAACGCCGATAACCCCAACGTCGATTAGTTAGAAGTATGCAACTTTAAGACTAGGCATTATTCGCACACGAGAAGCTCGCAGTGCTGGAACTATCATGGATAGCTTTACCAGATACCCAAAGGCCAAGGCCACACTGATATCAAGTCTTAGTGAATGAATAGTGGAAGAGATCGGATGTAAACATACCAATGCTGCGCCAATTCCAATGACAAGGAAATTGAGCAAAGTAAGTGCGATCTTGCGAAGGGACGAGAACCACTTGCCCCAGTTCATGAACAGCCAGAAAATGCCACTCAGACCGAAAGTGAACCAGCTGGCGAACAACGCTGTCTGTGTACGAGGTTAGCATTGCATAGAGTGTTTCATTCAAAGGTGACTTACGATCAAGCTCAAGAGATCGCTGAAGACAGGAATAGCAGATGAAATGATCCAGGCAAGAATCCACAACCCAAGGGCAATGCTGACCCAGGAGCTCACGGCCACCCAGTCGCGCTTGTGCATCCGATCTGTGCCACGGAAAATCCGCACGTAGACATACTTGAACGCAACATGACCATTAATAACGCCTGCAATGATGATCTGAAGGGGAGTTATTAGCTACCACAACAAGGAAGAAGATGTGGGATAACGAACGGTGGGCAAGGCAATGCCGTAGGCGACCTTTGAGACTACTGGAGATGCAGAGCCAAGTGCAGGCGAGGTAACACTATCACCCGCGTAACGGTAAATCACGACAGAAGCAATGAGATAAAGTGAGATATCAACACCTTGCAGGAGGCAAAGGGACTTGGTGAAATCGCGAGGATCTTTCAGCTCAGCCATTAGGCCGAAAAATGCGGCATGGCCACAGAAAGCGAAGACAATGTTGCAGACGGCAGAGAATCCATGATAGAGATCGGTATCGAGGACAGCCACGACTCCCCTTCCAGGGCTTTCGATGCCAACATCAATCATGCAGATCAGCACAGCAACGATGATACTTCCGAATGCTAAAGTAAAGTTAGTACTCTGTCAATGGGCTCGAGGGTACCATCCAACGTACAGACAAGCGACAACCAAGACATGTTAACGAGAGTTCTTGGAAGAGAGCAAATGAACGAAACGAGCATTCCCACGATACCAAAGACAATGGAACAAGTGCCGTGGTCGGTGATGGTGTTCATCGCAACGGTGAAGGTCAACAAGTGACTCGACATGATGAAGATAAGAAAAGTAATGTATGCAGCTCCGACGATTTCGCGACCCCATTTTCCTCCCAAAACCTCTCCAGCATCGGCCATCGTTGTGATCTGCGGGTATCGCAACTTCATTTGTCCCATGACGTATCCGGTATAGGTTGCCAGGAGGCCGAGGCCAATAAGGAGGATAACGGCACTGCAGCTCAGTATTAGATGCATTATGAGCTGTTCTATCTGCAATCGACTTACGGAACAAGACCCAAGCCCGCAATGGCAGCAGGCAGAGACAAAACACCCAGGGAAACTGTTTCAGCGACCATGACTATGAAAAATTAGAGATTGGAATTAAGTTGACGAGCAGTCCCAAATGAGAACATACGGCATCCGCATTGCCTAGAGAAATAATTAATCAACATTAAGAAACTCATTTGATTCCCACTTTGGGTACATACCACCACTTCAAAACTTTATATTTGACCTCCGCGAACTCTTCATCGCCAAAGGCGTCTTGCTTGTACGCCGGCGTGGTATTCGTTTTTTCATCTCTCTCAAGGTCATCAGGGTCATAATTTATGCTCGTCGAACGCGACGCGGTCTTCATATTATCGACTGAGACGCTCATGAAGAGGTCGACGATTTCCACAAGTGTATAAGAAAGCTCGAATTGCAATTCGTGGTCGATTAAGATGTCGGGGATTTGATCGCGTGAGATTCCAACAGATGCACAACAACGAACCGTGAGTATAACACAGATGCAAAATCACGTATGGCATAGAATTAAAAGCAAAAAGCTACGACGCAAAAAAAAAAGAGCTTGACTCAATCCCCGCCTGAATAAAGTCTCGGCCAGCAAAAAACGGAACGGCGCCAAAGTGGGTCACGGCGTCAGTTGGACCCAGCCATCGGCCCGATTTAACGAATCAAGATCCCGAGACGTAATAGAAATCATCGAAAAAGGCATTCCAATGAAGCCTGAAACTCCTTGGAAAACTGGGGGAACTGAATAAGAATAAAAGTCCGTCGCCGATGCCGGCGTGGCTAAATTGTGTTCCTGGCGCAAGCCTTGAAGATTGTATTATCCGCGAATTGTAGCTATGGCAAATGAAATGTTCGCGCGGGTAGTGTCGATCTCTGCACGATCTGGGCTCAGCCACACAGCTTAATTTCATAGGGCGCATGAGTGACTCTGATGGTGACTATGTATTTCAATACATAGGCGCCATAGATCTGCCATGCCCCCGGAATCGGAGCTGACGGCCTCCCTCCGAGCTTTTCGGTGGCCGGATTTGGCTTACTTCTTCTGAATGAATCATATGGCTTGCACTTGGAAATAGTGTACGTAATGGCCCTTAATGTAGGTGCATTAGCCTCGGTCGTGCCTTTTGCGGTAGAGTGAGGCTGATTTTGGCGACCATCCCATGATTGGCCTAATTAAATGTTGATTCTTGGATAGTTTCGAGACTGCAGACATAAGGCAGTTTCCCATTAAGCGCATATATAGCTGATAATGAACATATGGACCTCTAGGTATGCGACTACTAGGGCAGATGAGGTACAGTGCGGAAATCAGAAAGGGTCAAGTGACGTCATGGGCTCTGACCAGAGAATTTACAAGCACAATCACCAGCCAAGATGCTAGACGGCTACAGGGGATGATGATGCAATTGTCGTATCAGAAAGGACCGCACGATCGCGGAGGAGCGAAATGGAGCGGTCGATTAAGTTAGCGCCTGCAGGTGAAGCTGTTTTCAAAGCCCACCATTCGCTCTGATCTGCCCGTCATACATTCGTTACCCTTGAGTCTGCCTAAAATGCCTCTCTCTATTGTATGAGCTCACATTGAACTCCACCGATACGATGCGCATGATCATTGTGGGCGCAGGCATAGCGGGACTTTCCCTTGCGATCGCTCTCGCGCAGAATAATTACAAGGTGTTGGTCATCGAGTCCGCCTCTCAGTTAGCCGAGATAGGGGCGGGCGTCCAAATGACCCCGCAATCTGTCAAGTACTTCTTTCAATGGGGACTTAAAGAAGACATACTGGCGCAGTGCATTGTGCCAGAAAAACTGAATATTAAGGATAAGAATGGAAGCGTGCTGGGGGCGATGCAGATAGATGCGATGGAGGACTTGTACGGTGCGCCGTATATCGTTATTCACAGGGCTTCACTACATGATATACTTCATCGCCATGCTATCTACGCCGGTGCGGAACTCATATTGGATAGCAAGGTCACCCGATATGACTTTGAGAATGGTGCAGTCGAAGTCAAGGGTGGGAAACGACTCGAGGCGGATCTTGTTATTGCTGCAGATGGTATCTTCCATAATCCTCGTTTGGATCTCACTCTATACTGACAAAGATAGGCATTAACTCGTTTGCTCGCTCCCAGCTTCTAATGTCTTCAGATCCGGGATCTCATCCTACCGGATGGGCGGCTCTCAGAATGATGGCCGAGGTGTCCAAGATCCAACAAAATCCCGCAACAGCGGATCTGGTCAACCTCAAGTCGTACAATTCCAACTTCTGGATAGCACCGGATAGGTCTTGCATGACATACCTGATCAAGGATGCTTCGATGCTCAACATAGTCCTATCCCACCGCGACGACACTGACATGTCCAAATTGAGCTATGAAGATCTTAAGAAAGTCGTAGATGATCTTTTTGGCGACTTTGAAGAGCCGTAAGTATGATCATGAACACCTCGCTGAATAGCTCTGACAGTCTCACAGTGTTCAACAACTCCTCAACCTGTCACTTCCAAAGATTGTAAATTACCCAGTTTATGCAGTCCCACCACTTCCCTATTGGACACATCCATCGGGACGCTTCACACTGCTCGGTGATGCTGCCCATGCTATGGCGTTCTATATGTCTATGGGCGTGAGCCTCGCCGTTGAAGATGCCGTTTCTCTAGCAACAGTCCTCAATCTTGCATGTCCCGATCCCAGAACGGTGCCAGAAGCGATTCGGCTTAAAGATGCGCTGACCGTGTTTGAAGTGGTTCGAAAACGCAGAGCTGTGAATGTGCAGAGAGCAAGTCTTCGCGCAGGTGATTCGCTCCATGTGCCTGACGGCAAGGAGCGAGAAGCTATGTATGAGCTGATGCGGCATACCAACGAGGACTTTTGTTTACTAAAAGAGCAGCTTGATTCAACCGATGACGAGCGCGATGAGATTGATCGGGCGATTGGTGGATTCGGGAATAAGCAAACTCGCGATTGGTGTTATGGTTACGATGCCGTCAGAGACGTGACAGACGCATACAAAGCGAAGCTAGATTAGGAGTCTTCCAAGAGCCGCGTCACATTATGCCTGGGTTATATCCAAAGTGTCGATGGCCGTACGATGTAATACCCAATTGTTTCGGCAGCAAAGCGATAGACGAGGGTGAAAGTCCGCCTTCTTTTGAACATATCCTCGCAAATGGTCTGAGTAGAAGAATGAATGTTCATGTCTCATTGATTACATTCCACTATCACTATCTGCCGGCTGTATAGATCCACTACTTCGCTAAGTCAATAGCCTTGGCAATTTCGCCCCTCCACTTGTCCATTGTGATAATCTCATCCTTCCAGGGCCCCAGATTTTAGGACTTCTTAATCTTCTCCTCGCCCCACTTCGGAATATTGAAGTGACTGTGACTCTTATGACAAACACTCTTAACCATCTTCGGATCCTGTTCACACCTCGAGGTCAATACCACATTGATGCAATCCATACACCATCATATATCACTGGGTGCGTTCCATGTATGTCCGCATTAACAAGAGCATGAGATATTGAACTCTCCGCTTGGTGCCTCGAGCTCCATCATCGCCAGTGTAGTGGTCGCATTGTCAACATTTTCGGAAGGAAATGACTGCGTCGAGGATCTTAGTATACGCAAAGACGTCATTCGACGAATCGCTATCACTGAGAAGCTCCATGGCGATTTTCAAGGTATTGTGCGATGAGCTACGGGCTGCTCTGGGTTCCCGTATAGATGATAGTATCGTGCAGCGAACAGACGGAGAGGGAGGCGCATCTGGTCTTCAGTGACTTGTTCGGGCATGATGTCGGCTATTTGGCGTAGCCATGCGTCCGCTTCGTCTTCTTTGCCGGCCCTCTGGTGGCCTTGGCGTTGCCGAGGTAGATCGTTCCAAGCCTGCATTCTACCTGGAAACAGGCTGCTGCGAGATCCAGGTTCGTGTATGGTACATCTCGGGCAGCATCCTCCAGCAGACTTTTGACAATGTCGATTGGAGCGGGGACCTTTGCTGAGAGGGAGCGGGCGTAGGATTGGCGGAGTGAGAGAGAGAAGAGATATTTCTGATGTTTTGTCGCAGTTTGAATCGCCTCTAGGTAGACGTGGTCCAAGACATTAAAGGCTACAGTGTTTACGACAGCATTTTGGATGTACAAGTGGAATTCGCCGTTAGTAGCTAGTGCGATGACCATAGACTTGACCTTGGATCTGGAGCGGATTTGTACGAGCAAAGCAATCATGCAGCCCCATCGTTGATGCTGGTGGAAGCGCGACAGGATGCCCAGGGCAGATTGGTACATCGTAAGATCTTTTTCGATACACCTCTTGTATCTCTTGAATGCCTCGTCGAACCTGCCAGTCGCCGACGTAGAGCATCTCACCCAAGTATTTTTCGTTTTTCTTCATCCAGGTTGTATCGGCTATGTAATGGCGAACCAAGCTTCTTCAATATTTCAATTGCCTCCAAGTCAGACTCCACAATCTTGGCCAAAAGTAAAGATGCACGCCAATTCTTCTTTTCGAGAGCGAGCGCCGCACGGCAATTATCTTCCGCTTTGGGGGTTTCCTTGCAGACGATGGCACAAAACCGCCATCTGAGTGTGCCACAAGAGTCTGTCTTCCCAACCGCAAGTTTACTGTGGCACCAGCTCTGGCACCAGCTCTCAACCTGGTCCGGTGAAACACTTGTCAATATATTGCCAGCGATTGAAGGAATGGACTCTGGAAACTGAGAATGTTTGGAAAAAAAAATTAGGACTCAGTAGTGTTGTAAGATACTTACCTCGGAGATGAAGAGAGAAGCAATCTCAAAGGTGGCGTATGTTAGGGCCTCGTGCGATTGTTCTCGGAAGCAATACCATGCCATACGAATGGCGCAAGGCTCACTCGGCGTTTTAGCAGGATATTTATCGCCAGTTACACGGATTCTGGATAGCGTCCAGATTTCCCAGCACGTCGTCGGGCTTCAAATTCTCGTCGTAGCTTTTTCTATTCGACAACTTGGCAAGCTCTTTCATCCGCTCCTCCATTTCTCTCCAAAGCGTCGGCGAGCTCTTTATTCATGCCAGCATCTGTCCCGACCGGGACGTTTCCGGATACCATGGCCTGCATTATGGCTGCCCTTCACTGGAGAATCCCTTTTCCCCTCGAAGGCTAGAAGGCTAAGAGCAAAGCCTGTACTTCATAGGTGAGAACGTCATTCCGGGTGGGGTCCAAATCCCAATTCAGCTCTCGGACCGCAACAGTTCATTTCCAGGCCGCGGATCGGCACCCTGAGGCCAATCTCATCTTTGGCCGTGGCGCTGGGCCCGCCGATCCCCTCGACAAGGATCGGTTCAAGCGACCAGGCTTACTGCAGGCGAGTTGAAAAGCCGTGTTGATGGCAGGGCTTGGTCTTGAGATCAGGAACATATAGTTCATAATTCTCAAGCATCCACCAGGAGGTTTCTTCGACAGCATTGTACCGAGTGGACGGCTCCGGACTAGTTGTCGTGGACTGAAGTTGCGAGTTTGTCTCCACAGCATAGCACGCTTGCTGTGCTAGTGAAGTAATCGACTAAGATTCTCCCGTTCAGTATACATTTCTGCAGCTTCGGGTGGGGATCGTTCCTTTCTTGTCGCGGTGGGTGCAGGGTAATTGATTTTGTGCTGCTTCGGGCCTAGTCGAAGGCACGCGGCATAGCAGCAAGTGTTTAAAGCAGACTTTACCGGGTGGCAGAAGAACACCAGTATACGAGATACATCCACTATACTTGAGCTTGTTTGTCACTTTGAAATGATATATTGTTTTCACTACCGATCTCGGTGTACCATGGAGAGGTTCAGGGTACGTGACAAAACAACAGAGCTCCAGGTTAATCGAAACGTCCCGCATAATGTTGAAATCAATTTGATTACGTAGACCATAAGCCCGTTTGGCCAAGTGGTAAGGCGTCCCACTCGTATTCTCAATACTTGAGATACGTGGAGTTTATGGGAAGATCGCAGGTCCGACTCCTGCAACGGGCATTTTTATTTTTGCCCTTTTTTGACACCTGGCTAGGCTACTACACCAGTCATAGCAACTGCGCTGGATCAGAAAATCGGAAATATATAGGACAAACAAAGTCATTCATCTTCTAATGCTTTCTAAAATTATCTCAAATCTGTGTGGCAACATAGTGTGTGCTGTTCCGTCGTGTGGTGGCTTTCTACTCGCTACAGCAGTCTGGTACTGATCCGTTGGGTCATTTATTGATCAAACATGACTTGCCCGTATGGGCCAACAGCGTCCCCCAAGATAGGAAGAAGAAGACTCCAGCAGAGACGGTCTTTGCCATTCCCCTGTCAGTAGAATCTCATCTTGCCGGATATCCCAATATAGTCGAAATGCTATGTCGATGGCAGTACCGGTATGTACACCATGGAACGTGTACTGTACACCTTCAAGTCCAAAGTCCCACACTACTCTACCCTCGACTCACACACAGTCCTGTGCAGGATAGTCTATAACAAGGCAGCCCCCTCTCTATCCCTCGGAAAACCAACCTCTCTCAAAACCTTCACCAGAAGTTCCGGTTTCGCCCTCAAGACATCCCACTCCGCCTCCGCCTTGACCATGAGCGTCCCAGCCAAGACCGTCCCGTTCAACGAAACAACACCCGGATCTACAATATCCCCAGCCTTCTCCATATCAACTGGGACTGTACCCGTCTCCGCCCTTCTCGGAACGATCATCATAGTCGATAAAGTCATCGCTAGATTATAGCTTATATGCGCTGCTCCGCTCATCGCTACATTCGTAAGCGCATTGCCTTCAACGGCGGCGACAGCGGCGCGATAAAGAGTGAGATATGTATTGTGTAACACCTCCGGCGTCGGTTTCTCCGGGACTGGAAGGGCGAAGTGTGCAAATGGGAGGTGGGAAAGGTGTTGGAATTTGCCTTGAGATAGAGGCTGGGATTTGAATCCGTCGATGAGCGGTTCCCAGATATCATTTGGGGTGGAATCGGCGCGCATTGCTTCGACGGGGAGGAATTGGAGGTGACGATGTGGTTGGCTTGCGCCGCTTTCGTCGCCGGAGTTAAAGAATGCGAACAGGCGGCCTGTGTGATTCTGGGTCCAGGCGCGAAGACATTCGTAGGTTGCGTCTAGGTCTGCTCTGTCGAGAAGGTCGGTTTGGGGAGCCCAGGCTGTTGTTGCGAGGATGAAGTGGTTTGGGATGACCGGGTATTTGTTTAGGATGAGGGCGTGAGACGGGTTTGTTGGCGGAAGTGTGGTTATTAGGAGCTCTGGGGAGGGGGTTTCGAAAGGGTCTGGTTTTGGAGCTTTAGGCGCGCTTGGTCTAAGGTTATTTGGTTTCTTTGCGAGTGCTGGGCAGTAACGAAGTTGGTACTGGTGAGGTTAGTGTGTGGGCTGGTTCGGCATGGGGTGCGGTGTCGTACTGGGATGCCCGCGTTTATTATGGATAGGTGCGTGGATGAGAAGACGAGGTGGTTGCCTTCTTTAGCGGCTTTGAAGCGCCGGGCCACCAGGGCCGAGAGGCTTTCGGAGAGACCGAGCTGCATTGTGTATGTTGAGGTGATGTCGTGGGAAACGCCGGGAGCTGCCGAGGTGCGGCGGAGTGGTCAAGGCACCGTATCAGCTTATCAGCCTACGCCACTTTTCCGATCGGGAGAGGCGCTATGGAATCTACAGGGTTCTGTACGCAGATTGGCACGAGGAAAATGAATGCACATAGGGAAGATTATCCTATTGATCGTATGCACGCCATACACCACCCGATGATTACCCGACCAGCAGGACAGGCAAGTGTTAAGCGCCTTGAGCAGAAAACAATGCAAATTCCCATCACAAGGTCGAGCCCGAGGTATCATCCGTAGTCCGTAATAGGACAAAATTGACGCCGCAACTATATGGGAACAAGGTCTCGAAGAAAAACAAAATGGAAAAGAATCAAGAAAATACAACGGTTCCTGAGAATCGATTTCGAATAACAGAGAGATGAGAAACGATTCGTTCACGCCATAAGCTCGTGGATGGAAATTCCGTCAGTCTGGGAGCATAGTTCGGGCAATATCATTGCCGACTGACCCATGAGATAAGGCGAAGGTCCGTCCATCCATGGACCGCGCTCTTCTTCATTCGCGCTGAGGACGCCTTCGGCGCGCTTCATCGTCTCAACGTCCAGGTCCGTGACATAAGCATCACGGGTCGTGCCATCGTTTCCTCCGCCTGGAAAACGCAGACGGACTTCAAACTCGTTATTGAGCATCATCTCGTCCTTCCAAAGACGGCGTTGGCCGTCGAAAACGCATAGCACGCGCTTTTTGGTCTTCATGCTGCTGTTGGGACAGCCCCAGGATTGCGGGTAATTGCCGCGATTGTTGCGGCGGCGGGTTGCGACAGCGCGACCCTTATTCGTGGTATTCTTGGACACGGCGTTGCCGGTACCAAGGATTGGGCGCGAACTGGAGACATTGGCTTTTTTGGAACGGCCAGCGCACCAATTGGCAAGGTCCTGAGAATCTTCGTCATCGTGGGAATCGTTATCATCATAGTCGACGGGTCCGGCCAAGTCGAGCAGCTGATGTTTCTCCATCGTCTTCTTCACATCTTCGTCTGCGGCAACCTCGGCAAGTCGCTGCTGGTTAATTGCCTCTGAGGGCTCTTCTTGCTGCACCACGCGCAGGACGCAGTCGTCCAAATGCTCGTAGAAGTCCTGGGCATTGCTGAACGTCACCGAGCAAGTCGAGCACTTGCCAGTAGCATCAGGGCTGTAGTTGGTACCCTTCTTCGCGGAGGATGGGCTACGCTTGCGGCAGTTCGGTGGCGTCTGCTCGACTCCGTGGACGGAAGTCAAATGGCGCTTGAAGACGTCGGCGCGGTTAAAGCTCTTCTCCGCAGGAGATCCGGAACCCGGGCAGAAACCGCACACCATCGTCCCTTTGTAGTGGGTCAGGGTGTGACGATTCTTGTCATATTTACGCGCGAATCCCTTCATGTGGTACTCGCAATTCGTAATTGGGCACTTTTCTGGGCGCTCGGACAAATGAGTAAGCCTGTGGGCCTTCAGATCCTTGAAGACTCGGCCGCAATCCGGATAAGGGCATCGGCCCTTCTCCTTGACATCATCCTCCGCCTCGATGCTGCTCAGAGCAGGACTCTGCTGTGAACGGCGGGATTGATTGGAAGAAATGGAAGACCTTCGGTCGTAGATCGAGACCGGTCGCGACTGGGAGATGGGCATCATCATGGGCGCATGTTGTGGTACGGGGAGTGAAGGCGACGGCTGAGCCTCCAAATGGTCGCTGTAGGGTACGGGAGAAGCCGCGGGAGAGTGGGGGAGAAAGTTGTGCGGAACGGTAGAATAATTGGAATTGTTTTGTTCAGGATAGGAGATGGTAGGAGTGAAGTCAGGACCATCTTGCACTGGCTGGATCAGATATGGAGCTTGAGTCTTGTCAGCGCAAATCTCCGATAGACAGTGGCGATCAAGTACGCACCGACAGTGGTATATGGTAACGGTAACTTTTCGTGGTAGAGCCCGTCGATCTCCAAGGATGGCCCGGTATATTCATTAGAGAAGTATTGGTCCATCACCGCCGCGGGTAGCCCCAGACCATTTCCAGTGCTGACCCAGTGATCTTGAAAGGCCTGGTGGCCCGAATATGGGGATCCGATGGCGGATGAAGGTGCGCTGGCGATGGAAGCTCCCGAAGCCGCGGAGCCAGTAGGAATTTGAGGGTCTAAGTGCGATGCGGCGACAGAGGGAGGAGTGGCAGGCAAAGAAGCGAAATTGGAGGGCTTGTAGTCGGAATCGAAGAGGACTGAATCATTATAAAACGGCAGGCGAGAGTAGTCCTGGGGATATGAAGAAACGTCGACCGGATAGAACATTTCGGAGAATTGAGGATCCATATTCATGGGGAAGAAGGACCTGGATCTGGGTTCAACCATTGTGGAAATATATCAGTCTTCGAGTCAATGACTCTGGATTGCCGTCAGCTTTTGTCTCATGCTGGATCTTGGAGCAACAAACCGATCCGATAAGGTTAGAATTGCGGCCCGGTTAAACCCAACGTGCGAACCTCGGGACGGAGAAGGCAACGTGCGATAGGTATGCAAGGGAGCCGTAGGTAGGGTCGCATACAGGCAAGCTGTGTCTCCTTACGTAGGCACTTGGGAAGTGCTTTGAGGCAAAGGTAGTTATTGATGTAGTGTAAGGCGAAATGAGAGAGTCATGTCAGGGAGGGGAGGGGGAAGAGGAGGAGTATTATAGACGCATAGTCAGTACACATCGTAGTGTGCAGTGTCTAGTTCGGCATGATGAATTATTTCTCTAAAATAGAAAACGGAAAATGGAAAATAAAAATAAAAATAAAAATGGAAATAAAGAAAATCAAAAACCGAGTTTAATACGGTAAGATATAGCGCGAACCAGACCCTCAAACCATAGTGCTGGGGCAGTGCGCAGCCAAGACAGGGAGCCCGGGCTTAGCGCTGGCCGGGCTCCACAGGACATGGCTAAGTATTTTGGGTAATCTGGGTCTTCCGGGTTGTCTTGGGTGGGGGTAGGTTTTAAATTTTAAATTTTACTTTTTGTTTTCCTAGTATTATATTTCCTGATTGAGACTACTTTCACCAGTTCGTCTCGGTTCGAGCATAATCTTTGATTGTCGTTCGCATTGGTTCGAAAACTCAGCCTCCTGTCAGGCGTCCAGTCCCGACCCTGTAGAGGACCGAGGACCTATCTCCTGGCGAGCGTGTCATTATGACAGTGCTCCGTACCCTTCTGCCCTACAAGGCCATGGTCCATGGCTCAAGCACAGGGCATGGCCTTGACATGGCCCCACAAGGCCGGAGAAATCCCGCCATACAGTCATGAAGACTGCAGTTCAATAGCGTGGAAGATCACGGCATAAATCCGATAGATCAGAATGGAGATGTTCGGAGGATATAGTACAAGTTGCTAGACTCCAGAATAGGGGGTGTCGGGCAACAATCAACTGCAGCGATCGACTCCTCTGAAATGTCAAGGGCAATAACCTCACGACGGGGCCTGTCAGTCGGGATCCATAAACAGTGATCCATTCATTGCATTCCTTAAAAATGGGGCATCGGCAAGTCCGTGTCGCCCTTTCGCTTCGAACAACGCATTGTAGATCGCCTATTCTGACAGCGTTACAACATCGTACATGTCCCGGTAGTTTGGGTCGGATGGCTCGCACAAGGTCTTACCAAGTCACAGAAAGTGAAGAAAGAGAGAATACTGTAAGACCCATTGATAGAGTGGGGTAGATCTCGGCCGCGTCCGTCGCATTTCCAAAACGTGAAAAAAGGTAAAGAAAAAAAAAAATATGAAAGAACAGCGTATTCCCAAGGATCCGGTTGACGATCCCTGACGGGGCTAGAGGAGCTTTCCCCACGCCAGCCAGCCATTTCGGCAGCCCTGTGCAAGCCTTCATTGGGCCGGGGCTAGCCACGCCAATTGAAACACGAAATGAGGTCCCCAGAGGCCGCCCAATCGTGGCCCTACCCTGGCCCTCCGGGTAGGTTCGCGACGCTCGTCCTGTGCGCTATGCTGTCCCAGGTGTAGTTTGCTGGCGATCGTCTTTGCCCGACTTTTGCTGGTGCTCGATTCTCCCTCTAGAGCCGCATGGTTCGATCTGTTGGCATTTGGACTGCCCTAGTCTCCTCTATGATGTCGATTATTACGAAATCGGGGTATTGCTGCTTGTGCTCACCCCCCTCCACTTCACCTGCACTTCACCCGAGAAATATTAGCTCAATGAGTTAACCGAAATCCCAACTTAAAGGATGACGGCAACCCAAGCCTCTGAAGCGCAGTGGGTCAGAGCACGCGGTAAGGGAGCCAAAGCTGTCAAAAAGGGTTGACAGTTGACGGTTGACGGTCGACCACCAAGTGGCTCGGGGTTCCCGCACGTACAGTGCTGACAAAAGTTCTTAATTTTCTCCGGCCTTGGGAATATACGTAAGGAACCCCGATGTAACAATAGACCCGAAAAGAAAGCCTCAACGAATCCTGCGCCAGATACAAGCACCAGGTCAGGAGCAGTGCGCCACACTGTAGCCCTAGTAGCTGCAGCGAACTTGGGGCACTCGGAGCGGCCGTCAGAAATGCGACGGTGATCCGCGTCGGTGAGCAGAGCACGCCAAATAGAAACCTGGGTGCCACGATTTGACCCTAGCCACAGTTCGACTTGTGTCAAATCCAATCATATCTTTGGAAGTGGAGCATTACTTTCCCTAATTCGGCGGTCGTGGGGTCCACTCATTGTATCGAGGCGCAGCAAATGCCCTTTTCACCGCTGGGATCTGTCGGCGATCCCGGCGCCAATGCATGACGGCATAAGATCACCTGGATCTCGTATTGGAGGTATGTGTGTACAAGTGTAACAAAGAAAGCTAATTCCACATCCCTTCTGGGAAACACGGACATCTCCTACTCAAGTCCACTCCCGCATTTGCACCCGCAAGTGCATCCCACAACCCATAACCCGGGCTGTGTCAATGCGCGAAAGGTGACGTCCAACGTTGCCGTTGTTTCGTTGGACTTCGAAACACAAGGCTGAGAATGGCGAGCCAGTCAGAGCCAAGCACAGGCCATTCGAGAAGCGCACGTCGTGATGGGGTTATTTCCTTCCGCCCAATCAGACCCTTTGATGGAGCATCCTCTTCTGGTCCCCATCAGCCTCATTCCCCTGATAGGGCGAAACGTGGCATGACAAAAGAATGAGAAGGAGGATGAAGAGGGTGCGCCATAATCGCTCCACCCTCCGTAACCATGGACTCGGGAATGTCACACCATATCGCGCCGTCCTTTAGGTGCGATCGGCGACTCCGACGCCAGTGTTTTCAGGCCAGAGATCACGAGTGGGGACTCAAAATTCATATTTGAATTCATGTGAATTGCAGGGACTGGAATGAGGTCCTAGCATAGCCAGGTAAATTGTGTATATGACTCAAAAACAGAATAGAAATATAGGGAGTCTGCACCCTGGGGCCAAACACGATACCCAAAGCAGAAAATGGGCCAAGCTCAACCATGGATGACACCCGGGTGAACTCCACGGTGCCTAACCTTACCTCGCTCTCTACCATATGCAGATCACCTGCCTACTTGAGACCGTGCTACTGTCGAATAAATTACATTGCGACCGTAAACGCATCACCGTTCCCGTCTCGGCCTCTCGAAGAATACCGGTACCCGGCAAAATCTAAGAATATGGGCGGCTTGAAAGCCAAAATAACATGGCAAGGAACACAGCCAACAATGGACAAGCGATAGACGCCGCAAATGATCTAATAATACCCAAGGCAAGACTATACATCATGCCGGCTCACGCCGATCCCAACACAGACACCCAGCGCCCATCCAACTGTCAATTCTAGCCCTATCGACCCCCTCCTTCCGAGTGGACGGCCCCTGTCACCCACATGGCCGCGGCGAAACGTACTTCTATTTTGAGACACGCCAAGAATCGATCGACGGCCCCTTTGGCCCTAGGCCTCAGACCTGGAGTCCGGGGATCCCAGACAAGCGAAACCCCTACTTTTTGAGTCTCGTAACCTGCAGCATTTTTTCAATTGTAGCACAGTTCTCACCCGAGAATGACAAAATCACAGATCTGACATTATCATTTGCATTAGCCATTGAGACTGGTTCGCATCTGTTTCAACCCCATGTCCCATCCCTCTACCTACAGAAAAGAAAAGCATGGTTTCAAAATCTGACAATTCCCTCGTTGACAGGGATCTCACAGCCCCCGATGCGTAACCCGAGCAAGGGTGTGCCTCTACTCGGCCACCCCTTTTGTCCATCGTATTCCAAATTACGGCTCCTATCCCTGTCCCTGCTCCTGCTCTGGTGGAGGGTATCTCGGCCTGACAGAAAACGTGGCCGGTCTTTCTGAGTCTAGTGTCATGACACACACACAAGTTGACAGAAAATGCCTAGTCTCCAAACAGCAGGCCTATCGCTATCAGGGTTACTTGTGGATTTCAATCGCCCGTATACCTGTTTCTCACAGAGTGAATCCCACATCACCCAACAACCCCACGCAAGTCAATAATGCCAAGCGGTAAACCCCTACCGATGCCGCCTGAATCCTAGAGTCCGCAATGTCACTTTCCAGGTTACCACTCACAACAAAGAAGAAGAAGACCTTTCCTAAACGAGCGCTCACAATCCACGAATATGGGCACGTTTCAAGAAGCGATCATGGTGTTGCTCTACCGCGCGCCACCATTTATCTAGTGGTTCAGCCCTGTCTGACAGCGCATATCCCAAAATCAGTGGCCATCCCCCATTGAGAAGAAAAAAGATGTAAGATACCATGGAGGTCTTCAAGAAAGCATAGATACTAGGTCTTCATCCCTGATAATATGGAAGCTGTCAGGTTATGTGGAGTATCTTGACCCGTACCCATCTCCGTGTCCGCGTTGGCCCCATCGGAAGTACGCCGGCACTATGCTGACACCCGACGATCCGTTGCTCCAGACCTATTCTGTGAGGATGATTCCCGTCATCAAAGACGTCGGAAGGATCGGCAGTGTTGGGGACTTTGTCTGAGACCATAAGATGGAGTTCTACAAGATAAGAAGTAAGCTGCTTACTCCGTTTTGTCTTAACACCCGCACCCTCAATGCAATCGACTACATCCAGTCCGACCGACCCCCTGAATCTCGAATTTTTTTTTTTCCACAATACGTGTTTAATTATCAAAGAGGGCACTCTCATTTGCGAATCACCAAAGATCCGATTCGCCCAATCCTAAGCGATACACCCAAAGCACCAGTTGCATGACCCTAGATTTCATCAATAATAGGTGAATTCCGTAAAATCCCCATGTCTCAAGCAGGCGCCCGCACTAAAAGTACAAAAGCACCCTTCACAAGCCAAATGAACGCAAATTGGTGTCTTTGGAGTCTCTAGCGTCGGAATCTTCCTAGGGCCTGTTAGGATGTATCTCCTAAGGAAGCTAAAAAAAAAGTAAGGATTTGGCTCTCGATGGCGCTGGCGCTGGCGCGATAGCGTCCATGCACGGATCCTCCTCGGGTGAACCGGGCTTGCGGGTCCTGTGGCTCACCTGGACCCAAGCGGGATGGATGTTGGGCGTGCACGGGATTCGGAGTTACGTGGGCATGACAGGCGAGAACTGCCTCTAAAAGGCTCCTAGCGCATGAGAATGTGCGCTAAAGTATCTCTGGCTAAGACTAAACTGGGTATACTACTTTCAAGCTACGGTATGCTCAAATACTATTCTCTGCAATCGTCTGCCGAGATTAGCGATTGACGTACCGCCATGGGGGGCTCGTCTCGTCGTTCTTTTTGGGGGCCGGGTTCGTATCTCATGCCCTTCTCTGCCTAGGAATGATACTGTACTGCTCGCCTGGGTTAGGGTGTTGGGTTAGGGTGCTGAATTCACCCGGGCACCGAGGGCGCCCATCATCGTAAAAATTCGTCGATCGGTTCTCGTCTCTCTTCTCGTCTTGCCTCTGTTCTTGTATTAAATTTCTGGGTCCTGGATTACTGGCCTTCTGCTTGGGTTTCTGGCCGGTGCATTGATCGATTATTCGGTCAGGTGCTCCCCCCCTTACCCCCTGCATAACACCGGTACACGTCGGCAACAGGGAATCACCCTGTCCAGCCGAAATGAGCCAGAGACTTTCGCCAAGACTAGGCCCAACGGAAGGGGAAGGCGCGGGTTGAGGTCCGATCTTTCACCATGTGGACATGAGCCAAGATCTACTTGTGGAGACCGGGGACCAGGGAGATTCCGATTCAGAGTTCGATTTCGACTCATCGAGATTGAGTGGGGAGCGAAAGCCTTTGAACATCGCGTAGTACGAATCCAGTGTGTAGCATCGAGGGTTTACGAACAGGGACCCATTTTCACGTTCTTGTTCACCTCGTTCACGTTCGTTCCTCTCGGTTCGAGCTCCTGTTGGTCCAGAGAGCAGTAAACAGGTGTCTGAGCGTTGGCCCGGGGGTCAAGGCGAACCCTTTTACCCCGTCCACGAGAGAGAACCCCGACCAATTGTGACTGCGGTGGTTCGCCACAGGTCACACTATTGATGCAAGATAAGCTTTAGGGGAGGAGGTGCCGACTTGGCTTCTTGATTGTCGATTCATTTGGGGTCTCTGGTGTGGTGGGTTCATGACTCAGGGACTAGGCTCAGTGTCTTGGAGGATAGGGATTACCAGGATATTACTTGGAACAGCCCTCGGGCAAAAGCAAAAGCAAAAGCTCAGATTGAATTTTTGAAATTTTTTTTTTTGGTCTCGCTACGGTGACAGCGGCAATAAATCTCGCTAGTTCGCGAAGTCGCTAGTTCGGTCACAGGGGTTGTTCGCTTTTGGTGGACAATGGACAAGGGACAAGGTTACGAAAGCCGACAAAAAGCAACCACGGCTGTGGCTGGTATCTTCGCTTGCAGGAACCTTAGCACATGCACACTGAGACAGTGAGAAACAAGGTGATCGCCGAGATGATATGTGGTTTGGCCCATCTACGAACCCTTTCCGGGATACTGAACGCCACCCGAAGAAGAAATATCGGGGACTTGAACCCGGACCAAAGGGAGCCAGCTGTTACACAGATGTGCGGAACCATCAATAGAGAAAATGCAAGGTCTGTGAGTTAAAGCTATGTCTGCCACGACCGATGATCCCCGAATTTCACTTCCCCGAATGGTAGGAGCCCGGATCAAGGTACCGGTACCGGTACCGAGAAACCTGCATTGCATCAAGCGGGTGACGGGTGACGGGCGATCGGAACTTAGGGGCGATGAGAGTGACAGCGCCTGCCCTCATCATGCATGCCGGCAGAACAGTCTTCGACAAATTGCAAGCTAGATTTCCGGGCATAGTACCAAGTGCAACCCACTATAGTTGAGAGAAATTAGCCTTGGAGGGACCAACGTGCAGACGAACTAGTGAATCGACAGTACAGCTGTCACATCTTGGAGGCCAGTGTCATCACGATGATCTACAACGGGATCTCGGGAGCCAGATTGCATAAGCGCGAGATTGTCGGATCGACATGTGGTGACTGGACTCGACACGTCGCATCTGATGTGTCAATATTCCCTTCGCCACCTGCCTGAACAGCCACGGCTCCTCGGTTATCGAGCATCGCGACAAGCCACGGGTCGGATCAATCGTGAAAAAGGGGTGCATAGCGGATCCATTGCCTAGGTTCCTGATCCACATCTGATCCGAAACTCTCTCAGTCCATCTCGTTCCTGGTGGGGGCTACAACTCTACTGTCTAGTGTCTGCACGGGGGGCTTAGCAAATCCGACTATTCATGGTGACAGTACAGCCCAAAGGATGAGGACAGGAAGGAAATCAAAAAAAAAATAAACAGAGCTTGACCCGCGCTCCACCGCGGCACGCACAGATCAGCCTATCGCTGTTCGATGTCGCCGTCCCCGAGATTCACCTCTCCCGATCGCTGATCCACTATCTCCTTTTGTGCCGCCTCCACCTCCCCCCCCCCGGCGTTCTACCGATGATTGATGACGTCTAGTCAGTGACCCGGATTTTCTCGGCAGGTCGATCTTTATCTCGGACGCGCCAGTGCGATGGATACTGTATGGGACTCGGGGTGGAGGTTTTCAGATTCCCGGTGCTTTGGCTTCACCGGCTTGTGCAGTTCCCCAAATTGTATGGATTGAGTAAGTGGCTGGTGATGGGACGAATTGGTGAGTGGGCGGTTCGTACATCTTGACTAGATTCGGATATGCAATTGGATGAAATCAGGAAATTTGTGCGTCTGCTTTAGGTTCAAAAGCTCCGGTGATCGTGTTCATGCTACAACCGGGTGTACTGACTCCTGCAGCCTCTGATCTATTCCTTGTTGAATTTTGATAGGACAGACCTTCATATATACGGGCTTGTGACGGTAATTTGCAGTACTAGAGCGTTTCTACCTCATGACGGTAGGTCTTGATACCATACAGAGTGGACTCGAGATCCCAATGCAGTTGTTGTTGACCTCATCAAAAGAAAAAGATCTGAATTGTCATCATGACGTATGTAGATCTCGAGTATTCGCCCTGCATGATTCACCTGCATGAACCACATCCTATAGTCAAGGGGCTACGATCATCCAGGGTCTTCCTAGACAAACTGGTTGCGATTGAAGTGTGATCTCCGATGGCTGCATTGCTGACTTCCAGAATTGGGAATGCAGGTGAGATAACTTCAACGTCCGAGGGTTCGCACAAGTATCTGCTGGCAATTCAGAGTAGTAACACAAAAAAAAAACGTCCAGTATACTGTGTTTCTATGCATACTTGTTGCCGGGCCTTTCTTCAAATCAAATCCTAGTCCTGTGGTGCTATTTCGTATATTGATTCCCAAAACAACTCGTCCCACCTAACTTAGCCTCAGTCCTCCAATCCGCTCATATGGAAAATACGCACACCACACCTTGACAACGAAAACCTACTCATCCCTGTCAGCAGCATGAAACGCCCCGGTGATACAAGCTCACCATCGTCTTGCCCATTTCCAAACCCAACAGAAGCTAGCGAATACCAACGCAGGGCTTCAGACTCGCAAAAGTCGCGACGAGCGGGTTACGCAGAACGCGTGAGTGCACACACGCCCAAGATCAGATCCCGAGCTGGACTTTAGAAGTACTCGATCATCACCGAGCAGGCTCCCTGCATTCGTGGGACTTCAAGTACCAATTTAGGGAATCTGTAGATGTTAAGCGAGGTGTCACCGTTAATATTACCAAGGAACCCGGGTGCCTGGCAGTGGGAAATGGAGAAAGTAAGATGTAGTTCGCGGATCTAGATATAGCCTCGCCGAGGTCTAGAGCAGAAGGGTGACAAAAGACTATACTGTAAACAGTCCATCAGCTCGATGAGGAGTGTGGTTGGTAAGTAGCATGATTCAAGCCCCTAAATGGCGATTGATGATTCCACGTGCGTCACGACCGAATCCGAAGATGATTATCATTCTAGCTCTCTTTCTGCAGGGTTTCTTGGCTGACCGGTTACGAACACTTCACTCATCTCCTACGTATTCATGGTTGCCATCAAGATTATTGCATGTTACTCATCTCGCAACCAGGATTGACTGTATCTGTATCTGTCTCTGTATCTGTATCGTGGAAACAAGAAATAGACATGGCTTCGAGCTATGTTACACGACAAGGTCCGAATAAGCTGGACGAATTCTGAAACGGTAGGCCCGTGCTTGTTCGCGTGATATGTGGTGGTACCTGGAATTAGTTACATCCGAGAATAGAAGATCGCTTACCAATGTTGGATTACGTTTACAGAGCTGCCTGGGCGGTAGATCTACTGAGGCCTATCTCAAAGAGTAAAAGCAAGACAGTGCCGAGTTGTAGAATTGTATTCCGATGCTGGGTATCCCCGCCGAAGGCTTCAAAGTTATGTACAGAAGGAAAAGATAAGAGACGCGGAGTTCAATCTTGCTAGTCGTAGAGGATTGGTGTAGAATGACCATGTCCCAAGCAAGAGTTGCCCCATCTTACTCCAATTTAGACTTATGTGATGACAGTCTGGTTGTAGTAGAGATCGCAAGCGTGAGGATGTTGCAGACAGTACTTCGGCACAAGCACGCCAGCCATCACGTTGTTCGCAACGAGATACTCGCGGAAGTTGAGCAAACGTTGAGTCAACTCGGTCGTACGCTTCTGGCCGTCCTTGTCGCGATTACCAGACCAAACTAGCTCGGCGAGAGCAGCAGCGCGGGGCCAGAACTCGCTGGAGATGGTCACATCGTCCACTTGCTCGGACCAGAGGGGTGCTTCGGCGCCGAGGACGTGCTTCGCTTGGGTGGCCGTGAGATTGGTGGTAAAGTCGTAGTCGTAAATGCGTTGCCAGGTTTTATAGGGCGCGCACCAGGAGCCACCGGCGCCCTGGTAGTTGAACGTGACGTCGCCTGAGGGGTTGGACATCACGTCGTAGCGGGGGTCATTGGTTACGAAGCCTCCTTTGCCGCAGTCAAGGTACAAGAAGTCTGAAGAGGAGACGACGACGTCGTAGCCGCGGGCTGTGAGGTTGGCGATGTTTTCGAGACCGTTGTTCCAAGATTGCAAGACAATGTCCTTGGGAACATCATGGGCGGCTTCGGCGGACAGGGCAATGTCCTCCCACATCATAATTCGGCGATTGGAGCCGGAGCTGCGGAAAATGGGAATAGCGTGGTCGACCCAGTATTGGGCGAGATCGTTGTAGGTGCGTGAGGGGTCCTCGGCGAGCCAGCCCTGGACGTGCGTGCTGAAATTATAGCAACCCGGCTGGATCTCGTCGGCACCAACGTGGAACCAGTTGTCTTGGAAAATGTCGGAGAGCTCCGTGTACACATTCTTGACGACCTCGTAGGTCTTGGGGTAGATGATATCCAGCTGGCCCGGGTTCGGCTCGACAGCAGTGTGCAATGGCCAATTATCATTGGACCACCAGGAGTTTGCGCAAGCGACAATCTCGGGATCCACCTGTTGCCAGCCAGAGGCGGAGTGGCCAGGCATGTCAACCTCAGGAATGACACGAACACCACGGGATCGCGCGTAGGCAATGACTCGAAGCATGTCGGAGCGCGAGTATTGCTCGCGGGCAGAGTAGGCGTCCTTGGTCATCTCGGGATAGATGCGCATTTGCATCGGCCATGACTGCGCATCGTCCAAATGCCAATGCAGGACATTCATCTTCGACAGAGCCAGACCATCGATCTGTTCGAGGATCTTCCTGACCGAGATGAAGTTTCGGCCTGTGTCCATCATGATGCCACGGTAGGGATACAGAGGGGAGTCCTGAATCTCGACCGGCTGCTCAATGATCAATCCGCCCTGGCCGTCGGAGATGATCAGCTGTTGCAAAGTGGTAAAGGCGTGCATCGCGCCCCAGATGGTCTGAGCATGAATCTCGACAGAGCCACCCGAATTTGTGACCTCTAGTGTGTATGACTCGTCGACTCCATGCTGTAGATCGGCGTTGGCGTCAACCACGGTGACTTGCACAGTGTTGATGGCTTTGGCTGCGGCGCGCTTGGTGGCTGAACCGGTGGGGAAAGGCTGGAAGTGAGGGATCGGAGCTTCAATGGCAGCGGGGACCCATTGAAGAGTGATAATGGAATCCCAGGCGCGCTCCCAGGCGAGGTTGAGGGTAGCGTACGGTGCACCATGGGAGTCGGTGTGCAGCTTAAGCTGTTTGACGGGGATGGCTCCTGAAGTGCCCCAAGTGATGTTGCGGGGAGCGGGAAGTGGGTTCACCTTCACGGCGGAAACCGTGGTCAAGGCCGCCAACGCGCCGAGAACGGTGGAGAACTTCATCGTGATCAGACGAGTGAAGAGGAGGAGTGTCACTTGGCAGAGCAGGAGGCGATGTGGTTTGTTTATGTATGAGCATGCCGATCGCATGCTAATCAGGTTGGCTTGTGGAATGTGCCTTTGCAATCGAGACTAACTGTAGGAGCTTAGTCCAATAAACAAATCCCTGGATGTTTCAGTTCCATAAAGGTTACATCGATCTTGCCGAACGATCTTCTAATCTTTAATCTCGTATGGTACTTTCCTAATCTCCCAATCTTCTTAACCTTAGAGTCGCCACGCGACTAGTCCTGCTGCGGGTGCAGGGTGCGACCTCCACATACTACATCGGGGTATTTACCCCTAAGAACTAGGAACCACGAACCCGACCTTCCACGTTGCAAGCCCGTAGACCTTCAACGGGCACCTGGAATCAAAGTAGATAAGTGAGACTCGGAAATAAAGTTGATGGCACGCGATGGGAAATGGCACAGTCACATTCCTATCGCCCGTGCAGGTCCTCGATGCTGCACGCTACACCGATATACTGTGTGCGACTGACCGATGAAATGCGGGGTTTAAAATGTAGTGTGAATTTCATTTCATTTCAACGGTCATTGCTAATCTATGCGGACTTCTCCAGCGCACGCTCCATCTCCAGACCCTCACGGAACTCCTCTTGGATGGTCGCCGTGGTCGCATTAGAGGGGGCAACACACGGACGTCGAGGAAGGCCACCGTATCCGCGGTATGATTGCAACCCGCTCTTGACCGCAATGAAGCCACGATTAATCGCAACCCAGTCGGCGCGGGCTATCACTGCTTGCAACTTCTGTGCTTCTTCTAACTTGCCATTACGGTAGAGCTCCATGAGCCGAACACAGGACCGCGGAATCAGATTGGCAGTGCCACCGATAATACCATCACCTCCAGCAATCATGGTCTGCAGAGTGAAGTCGGCCGAGCCACCGAAGGTCAAGAACTCGGGCTTGGACCCGGCAGCGATGCGAGCTAGTTTTCCAGTGTTGCCGCAGGTGAGCTTGCAGCCCAGAATGTTGGGGTGCTTGGATAGTGTCAGGATGTCGTCGGAAGACAAGTCAAGTCCTGATGATGCACCGGGGAAATTATAGATGAGAACGGGGACAGGCGAAGCGTCAGCCACGGCGGTGAAGTGTGCGTGCAGAGCCTCGGTGTCCACCAAGCTCTTATAGTAACTGGGAGGAAGGACCAAGACGGCGTCGGCACCGTGGGCACCGGCGTCCTTGGACAATTGGATGGTCTCACGAGTCGATGCAGCTCCAGTACCAGCAATCACTGGCATGTTCGGATATCCCGCGGCGTCTACTGCACGGCGTGTGGCCGCGGTTATAGCATTGCGCTCCTCGCGATCGAGATGAACGGCCTCGCCATTGCTTCCCTGGGCGACCAACCCGGTGACGCCGCTGTGGGCCAGGTAGGCAGCATGCTTCTCAGTGGCAGCGATATCCACCTCCTCATCGGGCTTGAAGAATGCCACCGTGGGCACATAGAAGCCCTGAGTGAGGGTGTTGCGCTTGATGCTTCCGTTGGCCGACATACTGGAATCACTATCTATAGAGTCAGCGCGTGAATGGAGACGGAGAACACTTCTGACTAACCAAAGCCAACCCGAGAAGAAAATATTGGGACCGCGCAATCTGGGCAATGAGCAGCTGAAATAAGAATCCTGATCTTCACCCCCACGTCCCCCACTGTGATCTAATTAGCCGTTCCTAACGCGTTCAATGCCATCGTGTACCACACTGCCCCGCGTGAAGTGGAGGTCCGGCGCATACCCGGTGATTCTTCTGAACCCCCCCACGCTTCGCCCTATGCGGGGTTGAAGTGAATTGGAGGGGGTGTAGCACAGACGCGGAGTGATCACCGTGGAGTTAGCTGAGCAGTTCACCTCACCGAGAAGATTTCTTCTCATGAAACATAGGGAAGTCCGGTTTAAATTCCAGACTAACACTCCCCCACGGTGGTTCGGCGTGGGGGCCATATGAGTTCGTGGCGAGAGTGATGCGTTCTGTGTTCTTATTCTGTGTTGTGTGTGTAGTGAGATAGTTGTAGACTATTTTCCTGGGAAATAATGTCTGCACATGTGAAGGAGTGCATGCTGATCTGTCCAGGCTGTCCAAATCAAGAAAGACGGGGTCTTTGTTGTGAGGACCTGGTCGCTTCACCATGCCCCGATTTCTCAATAGCTTCACACAATGTAATAAAAGAATAGCAGAATCCCCTTGAGATCAAAGATATCTTGTCCGATCCAGTACAGTCATGATATTCACGTAACCCTCATGCGCTGCCAAGAATCAGGTCTGGCATCACAGCGAGTCTTCGACCCTGCGAACTTTGTGATCTCCGAGGTCCTGCCCAGACTCCCTCGCATCGACACCTAGACAGAACCACCAGGAGCCCCCGCCCATTCTCGGACAACCTCAGCATGACTCAAGACTGAACTCCCCCCCACCTCTCCATTGTCGAGCCATGGCTCTCATGCCACGGCCGTCCCTACGCGGCTCTGTGCGACAGACACCCGACGAGCACTTCGACGACCATCTCACACCACCGGCCAAGAAACAGCGCACTCTATGGGAGACTGGCTTGCGCCGCCGCAAGAGTTCTCCTGACTGTCTCGATACGACGCAGAATGAGGCCCTGAGTGCCGACGCGCGACACGCCAACCCTCCCTCGAAGGCCGCGCGACCGAAGACAGCCAACCGTCGCACTCGCGGAGCCTCCGCCTCCTCCATCGATACGGTCGCATCGAGCACTCAACCAAGTACCTTGGGAAATGTCCATGGAAAAGGCAATGGCGCCGTCAAGGCCCCCCCGCGCGCCCGACCGAGATAACCCCTCCGGAAAAGCCTCTGCAGATTTGCTACGCGGCGCTCGCGAATCCCCCAACCCATTGGACACCATTTCATCAACAGCGAGTAGAAATACCGTCAAGTCGCGTTTACGATCGTCCTCTGGCGCTGCTGAGGCAGAGAAAAAGCTCAATCATTCCCCTATTACGACGCGCACCACTCAACACACAGAACATGAGGCGCAGGTAGCCAATACAGTCAAGTTAGAGCAGCAGCATGCAGCAGAAAACAATTCAACCGATCTAACTCGGTCGCAGCCAACTTGTAACAGCGATACTGTCGAGAGCGAACAGCCTGACCATGCACCGACAGCAGATGGCAGGCGTTCGTTGCGCTCGGCAGATACTGGATCGCGATGTAAGAGTGAGCTTGCGCAATACTTTTACAACTATGAGCAGATTATCAGCCTCGAGGCCCCCAAGACTGGTCGGTAGCTCAAATCCCCATGGCCAACTCGTGAATTAACGTGTCACATAGAAGTGCTTGGTGCGACCACTACTATCACTCTCATAAACAACCTGTCTGAACCCTTACCAATGGCATCTACGCCGAACCCTACACCATTTGGCAATCCTCTCGAGAAACTCTACAATTGTGAGGTTATAAAACTGCCGTCGCCGTCATCGAAGTCGACCGGCAAAGACCCTCTGAGCGAGGAGCTTTACTTCCGCGCCCATCGCAAATTCGAGCGCCAGGAGAAACAGCTCCGAAACATCGAGCGAGACCGCGCTCAGCACAAAGAGCAACAAATCGAACAGCTCCTCGAAGACCTCCGCGGCCACGACTGGCTGCGCGTGATGGGCCTCCCAGGAGTCCATGAAAGCGAGAAAAAGCTCTACGAACCCAAGCGCCAAATTCTCATCCAAGAATTGGTCGCATTAGTTAATAAATTCCAAGCCTGGCGAGACGAAGAACGACGACGCAAACTTGCCAAAGAGAAACCACTCTCAAGCGAGGAAGCTGACCGACGCTCTCGGAAGCGCTCAAGGCCAGCCGAGGACCACGACGCAGATAGTTCCTCCCTCCCCGAAACACCCAGCACACCCGACATCAACGACGTCGACGCACTCGCAGCACATCAGCTCCACCAAGAAGCTCGCTCTGCATCAGATGCCAAACGCCGCAAATCAGTCTCAGAACCTCGCAAGCCTAAACGTCCAGAGGCAGACGAAACCCCGTCCAATGATAAGGGTACCGCGAAACGCCCAAAGCCTCACCCCTCCATGCCTTCCATTCCGGCCCCTTACTACTATCACGTTCCCGACAAACCATTCACATCATTCTTCCAAGACCGGCACGCACGCGACGTCGCCGTCGCCGCTGCTACCGGCAATCGTCGTGGTCGCGCAAACAATGTCCTCGCATTCGGCCAACCAATTCCGGAGGTTGAAGCGGGTGAATTCGAGCCTGATCCCGAATTACTCACTGATGAGGCGATTCAGGCTTCGCGGAGACAAAGGCGTCGATTAAAAAGGCGAAGCGCGGCCTGAGCCTAGCTTTGTGTCTAAATTGACTCGAAGACATACGGACTGGGCTTGTTCTCCTTTAAATTCTGTACTATATTTGTATGATAGCATTGAGGTGTCTGGGCATGGTGTGTACCTTTTGGCTCGAGGGCCTTGGTTCTTGTTGGCGTTTATTGGGGTTTGGGAAGCGTGGATATCCATATGTACATTTGATAGGTATGAAATATGGAAGTGACTTTCTCTCTCTCTCTCTTCTTTGTCTATAGAATTCGACAGTAGACGGGCCATGGTCTTTAAGATTGGTCATCAGCTGTTGGGGCATGTCGCATGCTTGTACGTTCAGCAGTTCCTGGCGGCGAGTTGCTTTTGAGGCTCTCTCATCCTTCGAGATGTCTTAGAGGGATTTGTACAGCTGCGAAGAATGAATTTTGGCATTAATTCCTACGTCAGTCTTTGACGGCTTTCAGTAACCTCATTGCGCAGCATGTGCTTTGTCGATCTGGGTCGTTTTTTGTAGACGGGTATCCGAATATTTCCATGGGATTTCTTCTTTCAGTGGTACTGCATTTGGTTCATTGTCCGATGTACATATGTGCATGCCTTTAGCAGCCAGGCATCACAGGACGGATCGGCGTACACTCTAATGATCCATAGGCGTGAAACCCCCAATCTATGATCTCTCGCTCGCGTTGGTATAGACGGTACATTGACATAGGCTTGACGTCATTTGCTTCATTATGCTTTCACGTACCTTGAATATAAGTTGTTTTCTATATCGGTCAATTGGTGGTAGCCTTAAATATAGCCTCCCTCCATGCAACGGGCGCTGGTCTCGGTCATGAGTTCGCCGTCCAGATATCAATATTACACAGCCGAAGTAATACTTTTGGGTGGCCCTCATAGGGTGAGAGTAACGCGTAATACAACCGCCATACTTTGAAATGAAGTGTAGAAAGCCCTGGATCTGCAGAGTAGTCCACAAAAGAGTGACCAGCTCTCTAAAGATACATTTTGTTGAAGTTGCCAGACCGGTGCTTGGTTACTAATGGGAACTACAGCATGGGAAAATTCTGAAAGATGCCATTACCAAGCTAATACAACAGCAAATCGCGAAGTCAACCTGAACCAACAATCCCCTCGGATAATGTAATACAGTAACTCCATTAGAAGCCACCACCATACCCAACACCGATCGACCACCGCTCAGTCTCAAGCGTTCAGAATGTGGATCTCGCACCACTTCTTCTTACAAGTCGCATTCCCGAATTGATAACTGCCCCCATGATCCCAGATATGCTGCGCAACCTTCTTCCACGAAACCTTGGGCGGACATCTAGACAAACTCACCCCGGACTCCGCGTATTTGGAGACAGCTTGAACAAGGAGTTGGATCTGTTTTCCATCCATTAGCCATGTTTCTCCCGCATAGATACACGCATTGCCACGGTTTTTGGAAAGACATGGGAAACTCACATCAGTTTCCGTCCACTTCGGTTTCCGAACCCGCTGCTCTTTCGCCTTCGTAAGCGTCCGGAACCGGCCTCGAAGGGTGGATTCGGCTTCTTTGAATCCTCCGATTTGCTTTATGTCTTTGTAGGAGAGACCACAGCGTTTCCATTCGATGAGGAGGGCATCCCGGGAGTCGCTGCAGTGTAGGCTTGCCTTGATCGAGTCTGCCGAGGAGGTTGGAGAGGAGTGTTCGCTTTGATTTTGCCTTCTGGGCTGAGCTGAAAGTGAAAGCGCGGGTTGAAAGTGAGGGTGAGGCTCAGAGTGAGAGTGAGGCAAAGTGAGATTGTCGGGCCTTGATGGCTCGGCTATGAGCATACTAGTCTCTCCTCCTGGGATAGATAAGGTTGTGTCCATGTGGTAGGGCAGTCCAGAGAAGGGAATCAGGCTTGAAGGGGCTAGAGGGAAAGGGTTTGACCAGTGTTGCGCCTCAGTTAAGTTGCTAGAGAAGTATGACTGGCTTGAGAGTTCGGGCTCGAAGGTCGAGGGAACCCATTGAGATGTCTGGTCAAGGCCTGAAAAGTGAGATTCTCCGAATTGCATATGAGGGCTTTCGAAAGAAGAGAGCTTTTGGTCAGCTGTGCTGAAAGGTAGACCGTTCAAACAAGGCTCATCTTTTGGAGTTTCATGAAATTCAAAGGACGAGGAGACTGAGGGTGACTGTTCGCTGCCAGAGGCAAATGATGGAGGGTTTTCCCAACCAGGGAAAGCCACGAACCCGCCGTGGTCATGATCTAAAGGGGCCATTGAGGGAGCGTAGATGGAATTCATAGACCCATTGCCCATCCTCAGGCTTGCACTGCCAGAGGCTGTTGTCTTCAAAGCTGTACCGTTCGTACTGTCCAGATATGATCGTGGCGGCTCCACGAGCGCGGAGTTGTAGTAGGGGGTTTTCCTTGTGATGAGATGATGATGGATAGATGAGGAAGAGTGAGACATCTCTCTTCTCTTTGGAGGTGGACGATGCGCTGGTTTAAGAAGGGTGGTTAGATGTCTCTTAAGATGGCGAGGAGAAGCAGAGTCAAAAGAGTTCCAATTCCCACCATCCAAAGGCAAGGAATGTTCCGGGTTTAAAGGAAGTTGAGCAGAATATGAATTGACAACCGACACATTAGGCCATGACCCCGGAAGACCAGGGTTGATCATCACGTCGGTCATGATAATCTACCACGAAGTACTTCTAGTAGATTCACCGCAATCACTTTGTCGTACACGGGTTGTCGCGTTGTGGTATACCGCTAATACATAGGGTCCTTTCAGTGTCTCCGATGCAGAGTATCAATGCGCGACAGTTGAACTGCGCTGATCAGGACGCCTGCAGGCTTGACCGTTATATTAGGCCGGTGTCTCCAAGATCCGGGGTTTATCCGCCAAGATGTGACGATGCTGACCTTGATAGTAGGCGGACTCGCAAGAGCTATCACTGAACATGGCCAATCGAATATTGAATAACAGTAATTGGCAATGCGATGACTTTATAACACCCGTGGCTTCAAATCAATCTGGAGCTATGTTGAGGATTAGGCTCACGGCTAGAGCATCAATGCAATGCTGTCTCGGATCAGTGTCGAAATCGGCCGATGGAGTCGAATATCGAAAAGAAATGACTTGCAGCGCGGCTCCAATGAAGACTATACAACTGACGCCTAGCAGCAAAACAGCCAACCTTCGAAGAAGTCAATCGGGATTGAATAAATCAACAAGTGTGAAACTCAGTATTCGGGGATGAATCAACCCTCGCGTTCTTAAAAGAGCCTCCCATCCCCTTCTCCATCTTGATATTCCGCCTAGGCCATTCCACCCGCGAGACCCGGCCCTCAAAACCGTTGCACTGTTTTCCGGAATCAAAGAAAGAAACTTCCGAATCCACTCCTGGCAACGGCACCCCAGAGACAAAAGGCCCTCCCGAAATGATCCTCAAGCCTAGCCAGAGGGAAATTCTCCGGGGCTCGGATCTGTGATCCACTTGCCGTACGTTTCAGATCTTTTTTTCCTCTATTGTATCTGTCTTGGGCCTCGATACGGCACCTACGAATACAATTGTGTCCGTGTCTGGCTGTGAGACAAGTCGCGGGTAAAGGATTGCGTCTTCGACGGCCCGGTAAGATTCTTGGGATTGCCCTTTTATTTGAGATCAGAACATATAAGACACTACGAAAGTGCCCTGAGTCCTTATTCTCGTCTTTACGAATATGAAAAGCTGGTAGGTACTTTCTCACCTTCAGAAAAGAACCCTATCTCAAGACGGGCTGTAGCAACCCCAACCCACACATCGCTCAGAAGCAGATCAGCCCAGGAACTCCCGTGACCCACTACTGTCCATTTTGACGTCGGCTTAGCCAAGTTGACAATGTTCCATCCTGCCGGATACCCACCTAGGGCTCACTGGAGAGCCTCCCTAACATCCGCGCCAATTATGAATCCCCGCCCAATCCAACCTGCCGATAAAAAGCAACGCTGAAGAAAGGCGGTATGCACGGCCAACTAGGCTAATTTTGGCTCGGGGGTGGCGGAGACATGTCCACTGCGATCTACCGAACGGTTATTCGTGGTTAGGTGCAGATGGAGATCGGATAAAGAGAAGTGCAAGTAAGCATAAAAGTAGTATGACTAGGGTCAGATACCTCTCGCTAACTACCTACTGCGCCAAAGCTCTCCTAGATGGTAATTTAGCTCTATAAAGCAGGTCTGAAATCCACTTATTTCTCTTATGCGACACATCCAGCCAATCTGGCCACGACAAAACTTCGGACATATCCCCGGGACCGGCACGTCTCAGCGATTAGCCCCATTTGAAAGAACCTTTCCCCGCCTGCTTGGGATGGCCTGGGTGGCGATGAAACCGGTAAGCATCCGCAGCAATGCGAACGCACGACGGTTGTAGACCAAGGGTGCAGCTGATTCATTCGGAAAGCTTCCTGGGATCGATCCATCATTTGCTGTGTCATCGATGAGAAGTTTCTTTCTAGGCCTTGAATAGGATCTGAGTCTAGATCGTCGGAATGAGAGTTTCGGCTGCATATACAGGTCAACTTTTTGCGTCTTTGTTTATCGGGTTTTCTCACTGCGCTGGTGCGGGTGTCTGGGCCTAGTTTGGGATTCAGGCAAATCTGGGGAAATTGGGTTGACGGGTTGGTTTTATGTTGGGTTGGTCAAGGGAGCAGGTATTCCATAGTTTCAGAATTGGTTGATTTGAATCAGTCTGCATTTTATCTCCCCTGTTCGAAAGACTCCAGTATTATCCATCTCCATCCTCTCGCTTGGGTGGTTTCGGGGTGATTTTTACAATCGATTTGTGCTGGAAATATGTAGATTGGTAGTATATACTCCCAGTGGCAGGATTTACTGAGTAGTTTGGGTGAGAATATCAACTCAGACACTCCTTGGCATCTAGGCGATCTCAGAATAGCACCCAAATCTGGAGATCGATCAGCAAGTCCTACGGCTGTGGCTAGTCGCAGATCTGCATCCGCAACGCCTCTGGGCTATCTGAGGTATGTAGCTGTGCGCTGTAGCGAGATTCGTGCCAATGGAAGCCAAGAAAATCAGAGATTGTCTCTGGCAACTTCGAACGTTCACTCTAGTCTTTTCGGCCCATGGAACAAAGATCTCTCGGAGCCATCACCAAAAGAGGAGCAGGATAATACCAAAGAGCTTAAATGCCCCAATAGGCACAAAAGCAGAATTCTCATTTCAAGTGACCATCGTAAGTTCCATCTTGTTAAGCATAACAAAAGGTCTCAAATGGGGAGAAACCCCTACAGTCACAACATTTGACCGAAACAAAGCAGCACCGGTCAGAATAGTGCAATCTCGATCCATAACGAGCCACCCCCACGCCATCACATTCTCTCCACGCTCCCAACACTGCTAGCCTCACCCATACGCGTCTCCTCTTCTTGAGACACAGTCGATAACGTTATGATTGGATCAGATCTCTCCGTCGAGGGCGGCCCCATGGCCAACATACTCAAACTCTGAGTCTTGACATCACTTTCCCGCTTCTGTCGGCCAGGTGCGTCGCCCTGGGATGCCAAAATGTCCAAAAGTCGGTCAACGAGGAGAACTAAAAGCCAATCAGAATCTGCCGCACAGAGCACGGAGGAAAGACTGACCAGTAAGGAGAGTTAGAGTGAACGCGTAGAGAATGATCGGCGAGGTCATGAACGCATACGCGAGCGGGAAGTGGCTAGCGAATGAGACTAGACTCGCGAGACAAATAGCTAGAAGGATGCGCACAGCCGTTGAGAAGGTTAGGTGAAGCCTGAGGGCGTGGCGGTGGGAGAGAATGACGAATGCACCAAATAAGGCCATGGAGATGCTGGCGACGACAAAGAAGTATACGTAGACGAAGGCGAGGAGCTTCATGTATATTTCAAGCAATTCTTGGTTGTCCAGCAGGCTGTAGTCTACCTTGTTCGAGGGAATAATGTCCATACTCGAGAAAAGCGCTGCCGTGACATTCCCCAGCAGGTCACTGAAAAGATCCTCCGTGTGAATCCAGCTGAGTGTCTCAGACTCGGACAAAGAGGCTGGTGGGTCAGATCATCCAGAATACTAGAGATGGCGATCCATTCTTGCGTTGCACCTCGACTGAACGGGATCTCCATGTCCGTGATCGTGCTTCGAATGAGCGCAACACCACTACTTTGTGTGGGAACCGGATCCTCGCAGATGAAAGACAGCGTCTGTTTCAGATATTTCAACTTCAGCGTAACATCTAGACTCAACGCGAGGATCTGCGAGCCCTCGAGAGAGAAGAATCAGTGCGACATGAAACGGGAAATGCAACTGCGCCCAGATCTGCTGGGCCAGCTTGCCGAGTCTGCGCCGCGGGGTCATGTCAAAGTAAACCTGCCACAGGAGGTACTTCGTTTGGTCAGTGTGGCTCATCGGGCGGACATAGGAGAAACGCTTACCACATTTGTTGTCACCCCTAGAATGTGGACAAACGACCATTTCGTCCATCCGCCGGGCCGCACCGTCTTGTTAACAATCCGAGTGATCGCAATAACGCCTTCCCCAATGATGATCAAGGTCAAAAGACCCATTCGAATGTTGAGGTGGGTGTCCTGGAATCCAATCCTGGGATACAGACAAGACAACAGCATCACCGCCCACATCTCAAGAGCGAAAATAACAAACCAAACGGTCCAGACCTGGCCACGAAGCGGGTTCGATGGGCTGAAAGCGAGGTACATCTGGCGGTCGGGTTAGGGATTGACTTCATCAAGTAGGCGAAGCAGACTTGCCCAACCGTACACAGAACCTGTGAAGTAGAGAACGCTTGCTGTGAAGGTTACACCAATGGAGGAATGTTTCATCGATGAACGCATGAACGCAACGATGATGGTATATTGAGTGGCAAGGAGCAGTCGACTGCCCGCAAGGATTGCCGTCAAGGACTGAAAAGCCCACACATTTTCGTCCTGGACGTGAGTGGTGAAGCGCGTTCCGGCAGACGCGAATCCGACCATAGCACTGAGCTGCATGGCCTTGCAGATGCGCTCGAAGACAGAGTCTCGGGCGAACCGTATGTCGAACAGGGTGACTTGAAACCATGTGAACCAGATGACGCCGAGAAAGCCGACGTATGAGCCCAGAGCTACGGGCGCTCAACACTTGAAGGTTAACTGGTATCTGAGACTTCAGCGCAGGAGGTAGGCGTACCGTGAATGTTGTTGATTTCATGGGTAGCGGTAAACGTCGAAAGATTGGCAACGAAGAACAAATCGAAGAAGAGCTCAATAGGCGTTGAGTCGGACTTTTGATACAAACGAGGAATCTCATCCGTTTTGTCGATTGGGCTAGAAATCCAGGGCAGGTAGCGATGAGAGCTACAGGAGTGATCAGTAAAATTTGCATAATCGTTCCATGGCCCTGCTGAACTCACTTGGAAGATCCATCAGGATCGATGGTCTTACGAAGAGGAAGACAGAATGTAGGAAAGTGGAAGTGAGGCGCCATATCGAATATAAGTAGTGTAGAATGCAAATATGTAATGGGTATCACAATAACAGGTTTTGACTCCGAGGAACTTCAAGTCCCAGATGTAAGCCTTGGAAAATAGCCAAGGACAATGCTAGAGATAAGGGAAAGTGCAGACCATAAGCTCACACCTCGGTCTCTGCGGAACTGGAATCGGAACTTGCCATGGGAGCACCGATGCTTTCCAGGCCGCGGGACTGTTCCAAAGCTCCTGCCGATGCATTTGCATCCGAAGATGAACCGACGCCGGCTTCCTTCTTGAGCCGCTCGTAGTTGTCACCAGCCTCTTTGATCATTCCCTGAATCTCCACCTCCCGCACGGCGATGTCCGCCTTCTCCTTGCGCAACTCCTCCATCCTGCTGATCATCTGTGTTTTGGCTGTTTCCATTGATGCCAGAGATAAACGGAGTCTCTCCAGAGTATTCGAGAGCTTGGGGAGTGACGTCACCTTAGGAGGAGTGCCCGACCGAACGAGGCCAGAAGGTTTGCCGTGGCCCATGGCAGCTCTCGTTTGAGCGGCTTCATAGGCAGCTTTCTCCTCAAGATCAGAGTCTTCATCATCAGAGACACCTTCAGCTTCATCAATAAGTTCACGCATTGCATCACGGTCCTTGCGCTTCTGATCTCGTTCTGCCTTTCTCCCAAGGGAAATCTTCCCATCCTCGACATATTCATCGAAACCCTCGGCGAAGTCCTCATCGTCACGGACCAGTCGAGTATCCGATAATTCGTCCTTCTCGCCACGGGCGACAGCATCCCAATCGTCATCTTGGTCAGCCATGTGGCTATCCAATGAGATGAAATCTTCCTCCTTTGCGCCGTGCTCCAATGCCAATCGAGCTCGGCGAGCTTTCTTCTCCGGATCTCGGCTTCGCTGGGGATTGCAGAAGGACCAGAGACTTTCATCACCTCTCCAAACTTTGCTGCAACATCGATTGTCCGATCTTTTTCATCGTCCGTGCTGGCCTTTGGGGTTGAGGGAGTGGAGTCTCGAAGCTCCTTAAGATAATCATTGCTGTAGCTAGGTCGGTCCTGATCATGTCCAACTCGAGCAGAAAGTGTTTCGGATGCGTAGGACGGTGTCAGGTTTCGCTGTATGGCGTTTCGTTCCATAGCCTGGCGTCCGAGGCCATGTCGTTTTGGGACAACCACTTCGCTTTCTTGATCTCCGTCATCTGTCATTGACGTCTCGCCGGAACCGAAAGAAAGATTTAATTTCGACTTCTGCTTGGTCTTTGACTTAAGAGGGCGCTTCACGACGGGTTCTATCTTGTATAAGCAAGTGTTCACATTAATGGTCCCACCTATCCATGGCGTTGCCAAGGCATATATCTGCCTTTTGACTTCACACAGCCCGGCATGTCACCGCACAATCCTCGCTCGTCTGCTCGCCGTTGACCGCAGGATCGCATTGCGAATCACAAGATGGGTTGCGCATCAAGGTAATTAGATGTAAACGTACCTGTCTCTTGGCTCTGTCCTTCGTCGCCTCCCCCATCATCGCCAATCTTCCTGGGCTTTCTGCGACTCGCAAAACTCATAACTGACACGGATTTTCTAAACGACGAGGACGTGCATGAAGTGAGGGTCAAGCTAGGCGGCGTCAACGCTCACTTCGAAGGCGGTGAGAGCGCTAACCAGGTGCAGGTGAAGAGATTCCAGCTGTGGCAGGTCAAGAAATGCTCGTTGAGAGGAGAGCCGATGTCGCAAGTGTAGTGGAGAGACAGCCGCAAACTATTCTCTGGAGAATGACGACCCGATGTGCTGCAGGCCAGATAGCATGACAAGAGCTAAGAGATGTTCGTGAACATGAACCATGTCGGTCTTTCGGAACAATTTTCACCCGTCGACATGCAGTTTCTCCGCCGAACGGACTGCTGAGGCCTCTGCTTGGTACGACGCTCGATTCCCGAACATCCTCATAGCTACTCGATCAACATGCCTCAAGCACAGCCTGAGCTCAAGAAGGTCTGGTTTCTCATTGCTACTTCCCTCGGCGCGTGCCTTCGCTGACAATTCCTCAGTACATGGAGAAGCGGGTGTACTGCCAAATCAACGGCAACCGTAAGGTGATCGGTATTCTCCGTGGCTACGATGTGAGTTTGTCACCTTTTTCTTACCCTCGCCCTCTCATCTCCTTCGCAATCTCCCGCGTCATATCGTCGACCAAGCTTGTCCCAAGTCGCGCGCCGTGCATGCATTCAACTCGCGTCCAGCAGCTCGGGGAATGAAGCTAGTTCTGAAGCAAAGTTCCCTTCCACTCCGCTATCGAAGACATATACGAGCAATTGGCAATTATTCAGCGCGCGCTGGTTCTTGAGTTGACGGCGGCTGACTATCCTCTATCTGTCCGATCCCAACGAAACAGACCAACTGACCTCTCCTACTTGACAGGTCTTCATGAACATTGTCTTGGACGAGGCATTCGAAGAGAAGGATGGCGGCGAGAAGGTCCCCATGGGCATGTGTGTACGTATCACTGAGAACTCTTCGCAACCCCAAATCAACTAACCATATCACTACACTGCAGTGCATCCGCGGCAACTCACTCGTCATGATCGAGGCCCTCGAGCGCATTGATACCAAGTGAACATCACGCTTTTACGACTTTTCCTGTTTCTTGTTTCTGCTCGAGGCACAAAAGCGCCGCGCGCTTGAGGACGTTCAAAATCATAATGTTTCTGGGAGTTCTTCGGTCGGTTGCTCATATGAGGACAATCAAAACCTCTTTACTTTTACATTTGTAGCTTCGACTACACTTACACTTGCTGCAATCCTTCTGCTGCCACGGCTTTGCTGGGTGACCTTGTTTCTGCGTGCAAATTACACTGCACTGCTACCGGAGTGTGCTCGTGGGTAGCGCTTTTTTTTGCGTATGGCTTGGCCTCCACACTGGTCTCAGGCATCAACTGTTTGGTGGCTATGACATGGGGGTACCCATTTCAGATGGCATCTAAGCATGTGATATTATCTCTAGTAGATCAAAGCAATGCACCGCCTGCGCGCATCAAACCATGCGTTTCCTTCCTTCCCGTGCCAATTGTGGTCAAGATGAGTAAAATAGTAGAATACATGAACAGGCTAGAGAACAATCGGATTGTGTGGGTTATTTTTTCTGCCCAAACTTGAGCTTGAGTTTCAAGCCGCCGCCGCTGGCTGGCGTGGCTGGTGTCGAGGCCGTAGGTGTGCCTGATGTTGGTGTAGAGGATAGTTTTGGGATGTGCAACTTGGGGAGAGTGGTCGACGAAGGCGTGCTTGGAGTGCCACTCTTCGACTGCTTGAAAACGAGTCGCGGAGGAGGTCCCATTCCCACCTCTTCGCGCTTGCGCTTGGGATTGAGACTGCTCCGGAAGGTTCCCGTGCGGGTGAAGTGGAGCTTGCCATGTCCGAGGTTCTTGACTCGCCAATGACGCCCGAGTCGCAGAGTTATGCGCTTGGAGGTGACTGGGTCGAACAGGACTCGGCAAACGTCCAACAACTCGGCCAACTCGAGAACTCCGATTTGCGTCGAGTTGCATGCGGACCACATGTACTCTTTGATGTTTGGATCATTCGCGAGCTCCCTTTTCAAAGCTTCAATGGCACCGGGAACGGTTTGACGACGAGCGAGATCAGCTTGTCGATTCTCTGTTGATGACTCTTGTTCGATGATCAAGCCGCCCGTTTGAGCTGGTTCCGTTTGCTCAGGGCGTCCAAATGCGATCTGCGCTAAAGCTCGCCCAAATAGCCGCTGACAGTGATGGCGAACGTAAGCCGATGAGTCACTGGTCATGGTGAAGATGAGCCAGCGGAAGAGCTCGGGACTTTGAGAGATATCAAGCTCCACGAGACATTCAAATGCCCTCACACGAAGCAAGTCGTAAGTTCCAGAACGGGTGTAGGGCACGAAAAGCATGATGTCCAAGTCTTGTATCTTGGCCTGCATCATCTGCATCTGGCAGTACAAGGCGGCTCGCGCATAAATGTTCTGGTATGAGCCGGACCATTCATCCATTCTTCTGTATCGGTCGAACTCGGCCAATGCGTCCTTTTCAAGTTGCTCTTCGGCTTGGTTTTTGAGAACACGCTCCATGTCGAAATTGGTCATTTCATCGTCGAGTCGGGGTTCAGTTCTGCCGAGCATCGCATGACAGAGTGAGCGCATCAGGGAAGCGACATAGTAATTGTCCGAGTACTGGTTCAAGGTTAGCACTAGTTTCAAGAAAGGCGAGGGAATCGCATATACCTCATTGTTAGAGTTGTCGTTGAACTTGAGCTTATCGAACAAAAATTGTTTCACCCTAAAAGGTGTCTTGCCACTATTATCCCGGACCTTCGAGATGCAGTCCGGGATGACCTGCTGCAGGAGATAGGCTGCACGATCCGAGAAATCATTGGATCTGGTCATCGGTGAGTCCGGTAGACAGAAAAGCTCTTGAAAGGCCTTCTCTAGATGGAAAAGGCCGATCCAATCAACTTCGTCTTTGGCGTGTTTGATCAACGCTTCTGCTGCAGTCACTCGTATGCCGTGGAAATATCGACTATCCATGAGAGTTCGGACAAAGATAGTTGAGATCAAAGGATGTTCGCGCTGCGCCGCCATATACTGAAGAGACTCCAGCTGAGCAACGACATCTCGGTCTTGTTGCAACTGCGAGAGATACATGTATCCAGGCATACCGAGAGAGAGTTTGCACACCCATTCAAAATCAGCGTCCATACGGATCCACTCGTAGGACTCCTGACCCATTCGTTCTTCATCTTCCTTGGTCCAGTCGGCCAATCGCCACTGAGCGGTCTCTTCCTCTGTCTGAAGGACATCTCCAAGGCAGTAGAGAAGGACTTCCTCCTGGGCATCGGCTTCACCAGACGCGACCGCGCGTTCTCTTTGCTTCTTGTTTCGCTTCAACCGTTTGTATTTTGTGTTGTAAGGGATGTCGAACTTCGTGGTACCTTCTTTAATCTCGACAATGTGTTCATACGGAGTGCCGTCGGCCTCGTGGATACGAAGTGTCATAGAGCCAGTAAAGACGGGCTGAATAGTACCAGCGTAGACATGTCGGACCTCTTCCTTAAGATCGCGCAAGAATGTGTCCTTCCCAAGATCACGAGCAGCTTGTTGATTGGACTGCATCTGTTGGATCATCATTTCCACCACGAGCTTCTTCTTGTTGAATCGTTGTGTGGCATGGAAGCGGGGGCATCCAGCGTTGTAGACCCACTGCCCGAAGAATACGTCGAGTTTGGCATGGCCGAGTCGTTCGCATGTCTTTTGGAACAATGAAGTAGTGACGGCTCCATTAGGGATGTCACCCATGCGCGAGTTCAAGAATAACCGAGATATAATTCGAGACATGGTAGCTTTTCCACTGGCCTTTGTCAAGCGGCGGTCGAGGATGAAAAGAACTAAAGGTGCTTTCAGCGCAATGAACCGGTACTCCGAAGGGTCAATCTTCAAAAAATTGCCCATATCGTAGATAGAGGGCCGTTCGTAGTCCAGCTCGCAGACTCGGTCAGACATCTGCTTGAGGCGGTATCGATATTCATTAGTTCCGCAAAGCTTTTTCATAAATGTATCTGTGATGTACCATGCCACACCAATGGTCACCCAGCTATCCGCAGGCTCGAAAGGAATGATGTTGATTCCTGACCACTGGCAGGCGAGTGCCTGCACGAGAGCCCGAGTTGAGTCGTACATGGGGTCGATAATCTCAGCCGGGAAGAGAAGATGGCTACTGCAGATGGCCATGCATGCTGTAGGTAATGTATCGGCTGCGACATCATCGACAAAGCAGATCTTGTAACTAGAGAACGGGTAAGACCCGTAATTCAAAGAAAAGAAGTCGATGGCTTGCGCCATCAGGAAGGCGGTATTTTGAACCTCATCACCTCGTCCTGGAAGACAAAATGCGTGCAGAGGAATAGCGTTTTGTCCGAGTTGTTCATCCTGGTCACTTTCACGAAAGTCTGCCAAATTCACGTATTCGAATGGACCGACGGCGAAACCGATCTGTTGAGCGGAAAGGGGCGAGTAGGCCGCAAAGGAGACCGTCTTTCGAGTCGGGTCCTTGGGATCGGTGATATCATCCGTCAGCTCACCAGAGCACACCACAGACATGTCCAGTCCCTCATCGTCCGAGGAAATGTAACTTTTCTGAGCCCTCGACCGTGCAGGAGTGGCAGAACCTGTGTCAGGTCCCTTGCGGTGGAAAACGTCCCCCAAAGATGAAGGGCAAGAGATTGAGATCTCCCAAGTGTTGCGCGATGACGGGTCATCCACACAGGGGAACAATGGGCACCCAACACTGGATTCCAGGGAATTCGTGGTGTAGGCATGGGGGTAGCGACGGTCTCCAGTGTCGACCCCGACAAACTGCAGTCCATCTCGAATCCGATCGATTGTGAACTCGATGCTGACCGTCACCGCGGTAAATTGTGGCAGGTTGGCCTCGGATTTGATACCAGCCGGCCCATCGACATCACCACCGGCGCCTTGAAGCGCGATCTGTTCCTGAGCTTCCGCCGAGAAAGGATCCAACTCGTCAATCCGCACGTTCTTCGGAATCGCGATCGATAGCTCGGGCTTCGGGGGTGTTGTGAGGAGGTTTTTGTCAATGTGTGCGGTGAGTTTTTCGTAGTAATGTGCTCCGTATAGATGAAGACTGTCGTAGGGGTCCGTATAATTCGCCGTCGCGACTTTTCCGTTGACATTCACACGCTTGATCTCGCCCTGTCGGAAGCCCAAACGGATCTCTTTCAAAGTTTTGTAGTTGGGATGAATCGTAATTTCCGTGCGTCCCTTCAAGCTCTTGCTGGCAAAGTCGATATCCAGCTCAACTTTCTGGTGCCCGACACTGTATCCCAGCTCAAACGGTTCGGCCGCGGCGGGCATTTCGACGACGCCCGGCATCGCGAGAAATCCTCACTGATGAGTTGCGCGGGGGGCGCTGCTCAAACCATCCAGCTTCATGTCCAACTCAGCAAGCGACCATAACAGGAGGAAGGGCAGCGATTGTCTGGGGCGCGAGGATGGCGTGAACCGAGATCCGGCGCGACCTTGGTGTTCAAGCTCCTGGGCGGATCGACAGTCACCCCGTTCAGGCGAGGGCGGGGGTGGATAACGAGAGAGCGAGCGGTGACAGTGATATGAAAGCAAATAGACCTGAGATCTGAGATCTGGCAATGCGACGCTGAGGCAACAAAACAGACCAAGTCAAACTTGCGACGCTCCACCACGAAAGGCCCTCGCGTCCCGATGCGGAGACTGTCATGTGACTGCGGGCTGAAAATCCCTGTGAAACAATTCAATCTTCGGTCTTGTCCACGCTATTTTTGGGTAACGGCACTGTTTCTTAGAGTTCTGGCCAAGACCGTCCGTGTTTGTCCTTTCACTTCTTTTCTTTGCATCCCGGTCACTTGTGGTGGCGGTAAATATTGTTTGATCTTTGACGGTTCCTGAACGTGTTACGCGACGCGGCCCATCCTTCACTATGAACACGATTCTCCGCATGGTCCAAGGTATGGTCAATCGGAGCTTGTTGGGAGGATATCTGCCATGGTCTTCAGTACTGACTTTATCTTCCGTTTCACCAGAGACCCAGAATTCTCTCTCGGACGAGGCTCTTCTTCCCCTGAAGTCCTATAAGTATTCGGCCGTCGACAAGTCCCCTATATCGAACTATATTTTGAGGCACTATGTACGACCCCTGAAAGAGCACGAGATAGCAAAATTCGGCCATCAAAGCTCATATTGTCTACAGTGGAATGCCTTCGTCGAATTTCTGCCCATGTGGATTGCCCCGAACATGGTCACCCTTCTTGGGTTCATGTGGATTGTGGGCAATGTCTTCTTGATTGAGATTTTTATGCCAGATCTTATGGGACCGGTAAGCGTCCATATAACTTGGTGCAAACTACCTTTGCTAATCTCTCATCACAGGGCCCATGGTGGTTATATTTTAGTTTCGCATTGGGCATGTGGATGTCAGTCAAGCTACAACTTTGAAGATCTTCAGCAAAGCTAATACCCTGCAGGTACTCAACTTTGGATAATGTCGATGGTAAACAGGCACGCCGAACTGGCACTTCCAGCGGGCTGGGAGAATTGTTTGAGTTCGTACCATTCCGGCGCCATCCGCGGGCCTGTCGCTGACGGACTATAGCCACGGAATCGACTCTTTGAACTGCACCCTCGCCAGTCTTTTGGAGACTGCGGCCATGGGCTTCGGTGCGTCGACTCTCGGTGCTTACACTGCACTTGTGCCGTGTCTCGCCATGTACTTCTCTACCTGGGAGACCTTCCACACCCACACCCTGTACCTGGGCTACTTCAACGGTCCCACTGAGGGCCTTCTCATTGCCATTGCCATTATGATGGCCTCCGGTATCTGGGGACCCGGTATCTGGTCGCGACCTATCACCGATCTGGTTAATCTCCCGGCGCTGTTCGGCAATAACTCGGTCAAGGACATTTGGGTACCAATTCTGGTCGTCGGATTCTTCCTCGGTCATCTGCCAGGCTGCGTTCTTAATGTGTACGCTGCTCGCAAAAAGCAGGGTTTGCCTTTCACTCCTCTGCTGAAGGAATGGATCCCCATGATTGTGTTCACCGCATGCAACATGGCCTGGCTCTTCTCGCCCTACTCGACCCTCTTGTCCGATAATCACCTCGTCCTGTTCTGCACCACTATCTCCTTCGTCTTCGGGCGTATGACCACCATGATCATTCTAGCCCACCTATTGAAGCAGCCCTTCCCCTACTGGACTGTTCTACAGGCCCCCCTTGTCCTTGGTGCTGTCCTGGTGAACTTGCCCTACATCGGTCTTCCTGCGCTGGGTTCCTCTTTGGAGCTCTGGTACCTGCGCTTGTATTTCCTCTTCGCCTTCGTGGTGTACTCCCACTGGGCCGTTCTGGTCATCAACCGCATCACCACCTTCCTCGGCATCAACTGCCTCACTATTCGCAAGGATAAGGGTGCAGCCCGTGACAGAGCTTACCGGGAATTCGGTGGCGAGTCATCTGTTCCTCTCAATCCTGATGGTGATGATAACCGTCCTAAGGGTCACTAAATGAGTTTTACTCCATGTCAATTTTTCATGGGGTACCAGGCCTAAATACGTCAAACTGCCTTCCCCTTCAAGTTACAACTGTGACAGTTGATAACGTTGATGTTAATACGCCAATAAGCATTTGTAATTACGACACTATACAGCCTCCGACGACATGCTAGTGCTCACGATCATCGTGAATTGATCAGACATCGCATGATAGCATCCCCAGATTGTGTCCTGGGGTATATGCCACTGTTCTTACCTGCACATATGTACTATGCAACTCAAATGCAAATTATCTTCAATTTTTAGTCCTCGTAGCAATCAACCGATTCATACGTGTGAGTAAAGTGGAGTTCGTTCAAAGGTCTCTCGCTTGGGTCATACTGCACTTCACAGCCCATGCCTTTACGCCGCAACCCTCAACTTCTCCCACCGAGATGTCATGATCCTTCCATCCTTGATGACACCAAGGACATTCTCCTCGAATCTATCCAAAACAGTAATATCCTCCAACGGATTGTTGTCAAGAACCAACAAATCTGCCGCAAAGCCTTGCTTCACCTGGCCTAATCTCTCCTCCTGCATAAGCAACCTCGCCGCGTTCGCCGTAGCACTGCGTAGAATCTCCACAGCAGTCAAGACCTGACTACGCACCAAGAATTCCTTACTCTGCGCGAAATGCATCGGTCCCAGCAGATCCGATCCAAAGCAAACAGTAACCCCGGCGTCAACAGCCATCTTCATAGCCCTCAACCCCTTCGCCAGAACCTCATCATTCTTCGCTGCGCCATCCGCCGGCAGGAAATTCATCTGCTTAGACATGACATGTGCAATAAGAGTCGGCGTCAGGAAACAATTTTTCTCAGCCATCATCTTCGCAGTCTCAGAATCAATCAAGTTTCCATGCTCAATTCCCCGAACACCCAAATTGATCGCCTGCTGAATAGCCTGCGGCGTATAGCTATGACTGGTGACATATGTCCCCGCGTTCCTTGCCACAGTCACAATTGCCTTGATCTCCTCATCTGAGAACTGCACATGGTCAATGCGATCCGTCGGACTGGAAACCCCACAACCGCCCATGATCTTGATGAAATCCGCACCCTGCCGGTTGAATCTCATTTCAATCTCATAAATTCAGTCAAAAAAGGCCTATAGTTCATATATTGTGGTCACCCAACCTTAGTTCCTGGAAATTCACCTTCGATGAGAACATCTAACCACGGTTCCTCAGTCGAGGAGCGTGTGAATGAACCCTCCATTCAATCACAAACCATGCCCACGCTCGACAACAACTTCTTATCCCAAGAGGTTCGCCGCTAAGCCAAGATAGTCGCCTACTCCTTGGGCCTGGCGCTCGCTCTTTCTCTCTTCTCACCGGATATGACACTGTCATCCTCGGCACAATCACAGCAGCCCCTTACTTCAAACACGAATTCGGCGAACTATATAATGGCGATTACATTATCCCGTCATCATGGCTATCTATCTGGAGTGCGATGAGTCCGATAGGTTCCATCATCAGCGCCCCAGTAGCAGGCTGGCTTCAAGATCGTATCGGTCGACGCTGGTCTCTCGCTCTTAGCTGTTTCATCTGTGCCGTCGGGATCGCAATTGCGTTCTGCTCGAATCTTCCCGATAACATGAACTTCCGTCGTGGTGCATTCTTGGTAGGGAGATTTGTACAGAGATGGGGTGTCGGTGGTGTAATGGCCGGTGCGCAGACGTATCTGTCCGAGACTGTGCCGACTAGTCTGAGGGGCTCTGCCATAACTCTGTCGCCGACTTTCATGTTACTGGGAGAGTTAATTGGCGCGCTTGTAATTTTTGTGTGTGAACATAAGACTGGCCCAGCCGCGTTCTTGATTCCGTTTGCGACTCAATGGATTACTACGCTGTTACCGTTCATCCCAACGTTCGTGCTGCCCGAGAGTCCGTCTTACATGATCCGCAAGGGAGAGTACGATCAAGCACACCATGCCATGAAGGCGCTTCATACAGAAAGAGTGGACGTGACACCGCTTCTAACCCAAATGCGTTTGTCGATTGCGAGTGAAGAGGAGATGTCCCAGGAGCTGGCGTATATCGACTGCTTCAAGGGTTCCAATCTACGCAGAACGACGATCGTGGCGTGTTCGTTCATGATGCCCAGTCTCTTCGGCGTCCCGCTACTCGCGAGTGCCAGCTACTTCATGCAGGTGGTCGGCATGTCATCGAGTCTGAGTATCATGATCCTGATTGTGGGCATCGTACTAGGTCTCTTGGCCAATGCTGTGGGAGTTTGGCTCATGAGCCGGTTTGGTCGGCGCCCTTTGCTACTCTGGACGCTGGCGATCTCGACCGTGTTGTGGCTGAGCATGGGAATCGCTGGTTGCTGGTCAGGCAATATAGTTGTGTGGTATGTTTTAGCTTCAAAGACAAGCCTAATTTTTAAGGCGTTGCTAATGAGACTTTTCAGGTGGACGGCGATATCCTTGATCCTTGTCGTCCTGATTTGCGGTATGGGTGCATGGCCCTCGTCTTACGCTGTCAACGGTGAAGCGTCATCCCTGCGCCTCCGAGCCAAAACCCAGGGCCTTGGTGTCTTATGCTACATGCTGTCCAATGTAGTTCTCAATCTTGTGCTGCCTTATATCTACAATACAGACGCAGGCAATCTCACAGGCAATCTGAAGGGCAAGACTGGGTTTGTCTACGCTGGGTTTTGCCTCTTTGCCTGTTTGCTAACGTGGTTCATCATCCCGGAGATGAAAGGTCGCACTGTCCTGGAAATTGATGCAATGTTTGAGGCAAAGCTTACGTGTGCAGAATTTCGAACCTGGTCTAGTCCTATCGTTCTCGAGAAGAAATATGATGCGTAAATCTCAATCATTTTCAAAGCCTTCCCATGATTATGGATTATTAGTTTAAAGAAAACAAAGGTCTAGCACATACGACCATAGGGTGTGGAGAACAGGGTTTCCCGTCCGCTCAGCCGTACTTAAGCCCATTATAGTACGCGGTCAATTCTCAATGCGCCCTGAGCTCTAAAATGGCGTTGTATTTGATCTCCGGGGGAGTGTGGGTGAGAATAGGGCAAGGATTCTCAGCCAGATCACCCAGGCCACCCACCCACTAAACCTCATTTGGCACTGTTCCTAAACCCAATGTAGCTACTTCGCTATACTGCGTACTACTACCTTCCCACGCCCAGCTCTTCGTGCAATCCTCTTAACACACTCAAACCTCACTCCCTCTACAAGATAACTCCATAAATCCACCATGGAAGCCATCAGCGCAGACCAAACCATGAACGCAATAACTCGCGCTGTGAATAATCGCAGCCGAATTTACAACAACTCTTTCGCGCTGAGTGTTCGATGGGAGCGAACAAGACGAATGCCTCTGCAGACACCGACCATTTTCAGGCGATCCTGAGCACACTAAATCTCGACCAAGCTGAAGTTGAGATCTTGGCCGAACAGGATCAGACCCCGGGCTGGACACTTAATGATAAAATTCGGTCCGTTTTCCGACTCGCATCAAATGCACCTGGCAAATCCATTGTTCTTATTCACTATGCCGGGCACGGAGAGGTTAAAGGGGAACAGCTCTTTGCTGTCGAAGGCCTATTCCGCCGAAGCATAAACCTCCAAAGATTCATCGATACTGTGGTGGAAGGAGATGTCCAGGACTTCGACATCGCAGATACAGACGCTGTCTTCGTCCTGGATTGCTGTTACTCGCATGTGGCAACGCGAACGTTAAATCCCACGACTCGCGTTGTCGAAATTCTTTCTGCGAGCGATGATCACACTCCAGAGGCCCTTACACCACCACGCAATACCTTAACTGGAAAGTTGCGGGGCGAGATTGCTCGGCGCAAGCGAGACGGTCACCAATTTGTGATACTTTCGGACGTAATGGCGACTATTCGAGGGAATAGCTCGGTTGTCAAGCCAACACATCATGTCAAGTTAGGGGTATCTGTCTGCTTCCCTTTCACTGGCGTCACACGGATTAACCCAAACATAATTGCCCCTTCGCTACGTGCAGTCTTTTCGGTTCGCATTGCCGAAAACATGACCCGGGAACAGCTGGACAGATTCCTCACTTGGATTGAGACCCTCCCGCCTGGGTTCGCTATAGAACTCGACGGGATCTACACCACAACCTCGACTCTCCTTATATTCCAGAGCGCATATGCGCTGTTCACGAATCTTGCTGGGTATCCCGGTGTCACCTTTATCTCGGATGTGACAAGCCTGAACTGCCGCAAATATCTCGGTCAAGAGCAGCGACAAGAAGCTCCTTTATCTACTTTGAAGGAGAACGTCCCATTCTCCGGACGCTCTAAGCCATGAGAAATATCGTAAGGAATTACGACCTATCTTGGAGGAGGGGCATGATACGTTCCATTTCGGAGATCGCATCGAGGGCCAGTCTTGGTACTTCTTTTTCTATGGAAATAGCTCTTCTTGAGCCTTTCATATTTAATAACTAGCTTTAATTCAATCAATATCCCGCTTAGGCCAACTCTGAATTACAGCTCTAGTCGATGCTTCCCATTCTCGGATTGTGACGAGTCCCGCGTCAAAGTATGTATTCGCTTGCGAGAAGGCCAATAGTGGATCTTGCTTGGCAATCATGATATCTCTCCACTTCAAAGCTTCATCATCCATGCGAGAAAGGTCTTCATAGAACTTACGGCAATTTATAACGTCTGCAGTGCAGCGATAGGTGTGTAATCTTAGTCGCATGCGACCGAGGGAAGGCGTTCCATGTCGGATGATACGGGCGCGATTAACCTTCGCTGTCGGTTTGCCTTGCTGCGAGTCGCAAAGAACTGTGTAGAGACCATTCGCATCTTTCAAAAGATGTCTCAGTGCTCCTGAGCCGTGTGTAAGCCATGGAATGGTAAAATAGTGTAATTTGCTTAGGCGGCTGTGGGATTGAACCCATCCCTTTCTTCTTGTGAGTTCAAATCTCAGACATTTTGATCGACACACCAACCTTCGTAGAGGTGTCCTAAATTTTGCAACCCCTGAAGGCCATCAGTCTCCAATTATAGGTATAAACTATAGACCACTCGCAATAATTAGCTAGGCTTGAAGGGCAATTAAAAGCAGAACATCATGCAATCATCCGGGGTAAGAAGCGCGCGGTCAGTATGGCCGAATAAAGCCAAACCCCTTGAATCATCGATCAAGTATGCACCAACAAGTTCGGCTCTGCATTCGTCGACAATCGTAGAAAGATCCCCGAACATGCTAGTCCACGTTTAGTCAAGTCGTCACCAAGTTTGAATTGGCGCGCGTGTGACAGGGTTCACTGGTGGATTTTCTGGGTTGAAGTTGTGATCTCCTGCACTGGTCTCTGAAAGAAATCTCCCGGTCCCATGGCCGAGGATCTTGCGGAGTACTACCCATACGTAATATGTATGGAACCGATGCTTCTTGAATGTCTGTTGTTCGGACGTATCGATCAAGTGGAGACCCCTGTCCTGCTGGCTCTCTGCCCTCAAGCGACTAACAGAAATGATGTTCTTGTAACCAGTCTCCTGGCGTATATCATTTTACTGCATTCTCTCAGCCCTGACAAGCTCCTTCTGGTACTAGACGATTATCGCTTTTAAAAACTCACATTGGGAAGGTTGATATTCGGAGAAATTCATGCTCGAGCAATGAACCAGGCCTGTGAAGCGTCAATAGAGCTGTCCTTCACATATAAGGATACAGCTTACTCCGGAGGCTGGAAAAGTCTGGGACCTCAAATATTTCTTTCTCAAAAGGCCGTTTGCTGGCTCCATAGCTGTTTACCCATGGAAGTTTGCAAACTAAATCATCAAAACTTTTCGCTAATACATTCAGAACCTTTGATTTGTCCGTATCGAAAATGCTAACAAACCCTTCGAACTCAGACCTAACACCCGACGGGTCTCGATAAGGTTCAACAAATTCAAGGACTGTCTCGACACGTGGGGCTTTATCATTCACCCAAATCCTTTGAGCATCTTGTAGCTTAAGATATCTTCTGTTGTAAAGCTGTCAATTATTTTTTTGAATTATTTCATACTGCGATGAATTAGAGACGTAATCGACGGGCTTTCCGTAAATATACATTGATCTGTCGGAGTTCTCTTGCGTGATCTCCAGTTTTCAATCGTACTGTTTTATTAGTGGAAGATGGAGTGTACGTGGGGTTACATTACCAGAATACTTTCAATTTCCGATGCTTGGAGAATATCCAGAGTTTCGATGCCTTCTCTCGTGGTAACTCTCATGAGTCGTGTGTTTTGCGGGAAGTATAGATAACTCGTTTATAATGTCTGAAACCAGCGATTTATCTATGTGAAAAATCTCTCCTTCAGTCTCAGATAGTGTGAGCTCTGAGTAAGCTTTCCCGGAGACCCTAGTACGAATGGCGCCAAGTGGAACATTGGCCCTTGAATGTGCACCCAGTGGGAAGTTGCGCGACAACCATCGGAGCATGCTAATCGAGCAACCTTGTCCTTGGAAATGGATGGAATGAACTTCTGGTCATCAGATCCCTAAAGAAAGTATAAGTCCAATCATAAGAATTGGAGTGCCCACAAGATACCCCTGTCGCTGGGTAAAGACATAACAAGTCACCAAGGTTGCTCAAGAAGCTGTGCCGCTCTGAATAGTCTTCTGGTACTTCTTGGAGGGCCTCAAGACTGACTTCAACTGCGCGCTGTAGGTTTCGCTGCGAATCCGTTGCTTTGAAGTGGGACTCATAAAGCGTGCCTAGGCCCTGCAGAGCGTTGGCTCTTGTCATGTCATGATCAGGAATCAGTGCTGGCGCTTCACTGGTCAGATCAATGGCCTCGTCCAAGTCGGAAACGTCATTTGATCTGTCAAATAAACAGCCTTGCCGGATACCCAGGGAATAGAGGCAAGCGGTTTGTCCTGGCTGATTTGCTGGTGTGTCTTCCTTGCATTCCTGCATCACATAGATTGATTCCTGCAGATCGACCAGAGATCCTAGCTGTTGGTATCTTTGTAAGAACCGCTGGCTCAAAGCGTATTGTAAATTTGCCGTGGTATTTTGGTCAATTGCAATTGAATCAAGGCCTTCCTTGATGATCGCAATCGAACGTTCGACAGATAATAATGATCCCAAGGCCTCCAATTGGGTCTCCAGTGCATAGCTCAGCTGCAAGAGCGAGTAGGGGCGCAGGGATGGTCCACATCAGCCAGATTTACGGCCTTCTCGGCAAAATGAATGGATTCTTGTATGTCTTCAAGTGATCGTGTCATCTCGTATCGATCGGAAAAATAGCGACTGAGCTTGCAAAAATCTTCTTGTTTCGTGAGACTCTCAGCGTACCCGTCGTCTTATATCCATTGGGTGGGGTTACTTCAATCACGAGATCATTGCTCAGACCCAGATGGAGATATCTTCTACGCAAAAGATTGCTAAGGTCAATAGTTATATCAAGGAGATATAAATCATCTGCCACTATAGCTTGTCGTGCCTTTTCCATCATCTCGATCGCATCTTGCAGGTCATCGATGCTTCCAGAGAACTTGTATCGGCCAGAGAGTCGATGGGCCATGTGGAAGTAGTAAATTGCGCGCTCCTCCTCACTTTGAGTAGAAGTACGGTTGAGAACGTCGCGGGCCATCCCAATGGCTCGAGTCAGGTCGGTAGCATTTTCTCGAAGCTGGGACTTGGATTCCAATAAAACTTCTCAGTGATCCAGAGCCACTACCAGTTTGGCTTGGTCGTGATTGAAAGCGGGTATAACACTCTCTTCGAGACTGATTGCTTCTTCAAGATCGGTCACGCTGTCAAAACGGCCATATCGATCACCGAGAAGCGTGCTAAGGTTATGGCGTCGGTCTGCCAATACTTGTTGGTCTTCCTCAGAAGTCGCTTCTACCACTTCCCTCGCGAGATCTATGGCGCAGGCGAGATCCTTCAGGTACTCCGTCATTTCGAAACGGCTTCCGAGCACATTACTCAGGAGGATGCTATACACTGCTTCCTCGTCAGGATCCTGATTGGTTCCAAATGCTTCAGATACATAGCTAACGGCGTTCTTGATCCCCAATATCACGGACATGGAGCTGGATGCCCCGGAGAGCACGTATAATTCTTTCATTAAGTTTCTTTTGGAAGTCCTTTGGCAGCATCTTCTTTTGAATAGCCGAATGTTAAGAGAATAAGAATAGCAGACCAGATATACGCCCTAGGCTTATATTTATGGCCCGGACTTAAGTGAAAGTGGGAGAGCGGGTAATCTAGGTGAGAATCCTCGCCCTATTCTTACCCGCTCTCACCCCGTTCTCACCTCTATCACCCTAGTCTCTAAACTTTTCACCTATATCACCCACACTCACCCTAAGATCAAAACCTACGCCATTTTAGTGCTCAGGGCGCATTAAGAATTAGCCGCGTACTATAATGGGCCTATATGCAGGCAATAGTCGGGTGGGTGTCGCCAGGGTGAGAAGTGGGTGAGCGCAGCTTTAGCGTCGCGCGACCGGGAGTGAGAAGGGTGAGAAGTTGGGTGAGAGCGGGTGATTCTTACCCTCCGTCGCGCGACCGGCGCACTGACTCACACCTTAGCGTGATTGGCTCACCTCGATCTGGCTGAAACCGCGGCCTCTTAGCACTTGCATTTTCGATTGAATCTCAACCCAGGATTGCCCAAATCAACGGCGAGGCTGACTTCAATGTCGCCTTGGGGGTCTTTCTTTGTTACGAAGACACTCTAAGACCCGTCTAAGGGCCGTTTTGCCCTTTCTTTGTTTGACACTGTGTACAAAATACCCGTAGTTTACTACATGCGAGACGTTAGTTACGCATGGCCCAGAGATGCTATAACGGACCGCAAGCAACAGACAAGAAACCCAGGGTTGGAGGCGGGCCAGGGGTCAAAGACGGCAGATGAAAATAGAATTACGATCGAAAAATTCAAGGGAACCCAAAGTTTGAAAATTTTAGAAAGTTCTTTCAACTTTCCGATACTAATGTCAATGTTGAAGACCAAATACCATGCTGAATGCCAAAAAAATGCAAATGGACAAGAGTTGTTGAGACCTCGTCCATGGCAGAAACCAATACAGCCGTGCAAAGTTATTGACTCTCCACATCCAGCTCTGGATCTTGCATAATCGGCGCAATCTTCTTTTCATTTTTTTCTTTACCCTCCTTCTGGGAGTCGAAAATCCCAAATACCAAATAAAACACCGAGGAATCAATTGTCATCGCCACGGCAAGACTCACATACATCCACAACAAAGCCGGGTTCTTGTATATGGGAGAGATGGCAATACTCAACGACGCGCCAAGTGCATTTGTCAGCGAGAACATGGCCTGCAGAATGGACTTCATGCTCTTAGGTGACAGGAGGAAGGCCATCTCGTATCCTGCCGGGGTCGCGAAGATCTCGGAGAATGCTTCCAACACGTAGACAGGGATCTGTACAGCCACGCTGATGTGATTGGGAATGGCGCCACCCTGTGAGGCCGCGCATTGCAGGGGGAATTCGTAGCAGGGCCCAGAGGCATATATTAGCTTCTGCACGATGGCGGCGTAGGCCATAGCGAAGGCCTCTAGAACGAAACCGAGCGAGATCCGTGTCACCGCGTTGAGGGTGATGCCTCGTCGACGCAACCATGGGTACAGGAATCTGTCAAACAAGGGGAGGAATATGATGATAACCACCGGGTTGGCGTTGTAGATCATGTCGTTGGGGACGCCCGCCGTGTCCATCTGCGCGGCCTGCGAGATTAGATTTGTGCTGAGCTGCACTCGACAGAGCCACAAAATGGGCCACGCAAGCAGCATGCGGCACGCTTTCAGTCCTTGCTTGAGCTCGTCAATGAAGGATTCACTCCAAGGAACCTGGCGTGCGTGGTGTTCGAGCTGATAGTGTGGCTTGGCGTGGTCCATGCGGAAGCCGCTCCTGGAGGCATACAACGATGCGCGTACAGCATCAGGGAGAGCGGACTTCTCTGGAACACACATAGTGTAATTCCGACGACCAAAGACTAGCAGGGCCGCGGAGATGCTCAGAGCGCAGAGTGGAAGGAGGAAGGCCGCCCAGAAGCCAACGTTCCTCTCGAGTAGGGTGGTCGCGATGCCCGAGAGTGATCCCACGTTGAGGCACCAATAAAACAGGTTATAGATAGACTCGATTGTTCGGTCCCGATCAATGACGACCCGATTCCCGTTGCGCATCTCGACAGTACCATCCTCTTTGGTATACTGGTCGCCGATGAAGGCAGCAAGGTTCGCATTTGCCCCCGACATGCCGACGCCAATGAGGATGATGGAAGTAATGAAAACTCCGCCGCCAGATCTACGACCAAGGACCTCAGGAAGGCTGGAGACGAGCAGCAGGAGGGTTCCGACCAGGTAAATCGCAAAGGATACGACCAGTAGCCGGTAGCGACCCAGCCATTTGTCGGCAGCAATAGCACCGAAGATAGGCGTAATACAGGTGAGAATATAGAAGAGGTTAGAGGTCAATGAGGCGGTCCGTTGGCCCCAGCCTAGCGCACCTGGTCGAAGGGGGTCGTCACGCCCATTTTGCATGTAGTTCTGGAATGGTGCAGAAAGTCCATAGAAGGTGAATCTTTCGGCAAGGGCTAAGAGGGCGACGAGCCAAACGGAGAGTGGGATAGAATCTGCAACGCGTGGGAGTTTGTCGACATCAGGGGTTTCAGATGCTGGCTCAGTTGGCTCAGTTGGCTCAGTTGGCTCAGTTGGCTCAGTTGGCTCAGTTAAGAGTGAGTGGGATTTTTCCATTTATGCCCTGATTTCCTCGGAAAGACAACTATGAATGAAAGAAAGAATGTAAATCGCACAACCACCTTTCTTTCCTCCACGGGACCTATTTAAAATCTAAATACTATGCTGTAAGATATGTTACATCCGCTAGTGCCTATTGGTTTTAGGCCTTCAAGCCTGAGCCTTCCAACTTGACGCTAAATCAACCCCTTGTCAATGGTCAATACGCTCAAATACGCTGCAAATTCCACAATCAGTTACTTGTATTAATGGTACCGAGACCGGAGAAAAATAGATAAAAGGCGTCAGAGCCCCTTTCGATTCAATGCCTATTGAGTACTCATACTTTTCACGATGGAAGAATGTAAGTATAGATCAAATGATCCCGAGATCAATTCTAACGTCGACTTTAGCGATCACAAACGTCGAGATTTCTTGGTGTCTGCACACTTTACCCTCCGAGACTGATTGTCTCTCATTGGATTTATTGGTTCCTGCAAAAGGAGGGGATAGGCGCAACACCATCGATGTTAAGCTTCCCAGGTTCAACTTGTGCAACTTGCAGACGCAGGGAGGAGAATCTCAATGGCTTCGGTGTCTACATGACGTGGTCACTGACCATACTAGCCCCGTTCTTGTGAAGCTTATCCTATCCACATCACATGGCTTCGTTCGCCAGTCAGACTTCCTCAAGAGGCGACTGGTTGACTGTCACCGTGTGGGCAGGGTAGAGTCCTTCCTGGTCCCTGCACAGGAGGTCCACCCGGTGCCTGAGAACTACAAGGACATTACTTCCCTAGCTTCTCTAGCAATGGGTGCAGTGGTGGTTCCTTGCGCTCCCACGCAGTCCATCCAAGCAATCTCTCAACAGATCGATGAAGAACTAGCCAAGCGTCTTTCCTTCCCGTGGAGAAGCCCCGTTCCGATTCCCAGGAAACGCCTCGCGCTCGTGGGAAGTCGGAAACTCTCCGCTCTCGAAGGCTATACCAGCGCCGCAGCATCGTTGAACATCAGCATTGTCGTCCTTGATTTCGCTGGAAACTGGATCGAGAGCCCCAAATGGTCGCATCTCCGAGAGGATTTTATACCATTTGACATGACGGCCGACCAAGGGCTGCCCCGGCGCATTGTCGACGCGATCCAGGCCTACCCCAAGCCCATCGACGGCATCATGACCATCGAGGAACATCTCCTCAGTGTGCTTCCCACAGCGGCTGTCATGCTGGGTCTCCATACATCTCCGCCCGACTCGTGCGTGCTGGCCCAGAACAAATACCGCACCCGGATGCTGGACCAAGGCAATCTCATGTGTCATAGCCTGAAGAGCCCATCAGACCTGGAACAAATATTGAGCATAGATTCCCCACGGCTTGTGTACCCTCTCATTGTGAAGCCAAGTCGCGGCTGGTCCTCGGAGGGAGTGTGGAAAGTCCAGAGCGAGGATGAGCTGCGCGAAGCCACCAGCAGGCTGTGGAAAGACTCATTCACAGCGTGGCATGGACACGAAGTTGTGATCGAACCGTATATCGAGGGACCTGAAATCGATGCCAACATGGTTCTGCTTGATGGCGAGATTCTCTTCTTCGAGGTGAACGATGACTTCCCCAGTCCCGGTGACTTGGAGGGCGCACCCAGCTTTGCCAATTTCGTCGAGAGCTCCAACATGATCCCATCCTGTCTGCCAGCAACCGAGCTGCAGATCCTCGAGAGGTCTCTTTACAACTACGTGAGACTGGCAGGCTTTAGCACCGGAATCTACCACATCGAAGCTCGTCTGCGCCACTCCAGCTGCTATTTCGCAGAGACCAAGGATGGCCTGGTCGATCTCGTGGCCAGGTCTGACCCGGTGTCCGACACTAGCGTCTTCCTCCTCGAAATCAATCCCCGACCTCCGGGCATGCAGGAAATTAATGCCAGTGCCCGGGCTTACGGTGTTGACTACTACAGCCTTAGCGTTCTGAACGCGCTTGTGGACCCAGACCGGTTCCGCGCACTGTCGGTTCCATTTACCGGTGGCGCGCAATATCACTCGCAGATAATCTTCATCCCCGCCGAGGTCGGCGGTATTTACACTGCGGGAGATGTTTGCGGTGAGGCATTGCGGCAGTGTCCTGAACTCAAGGACAACGTTTCCGAAAGTATGTGTTTCCTGCAGAATGGGCAGGAGATTCCAGATCCCAAGTCAGGGTCCATGACCTGGGTGGCATTCTTCATTGTTTACTCTCGGGTCAGTCGGGAGGACTGTCTTCGTGTGGGGCAGAAGCTACGCAGGACAGTGACACGGTATATGGAGGAGTGGGCGGCTAGACAAGATTCTTGACGGCTGTGAAGTTATGACTTGTCCTAGATAGGCGCGACAGTTCAACTGTTGATTCTCCAAGGGCTTACGATTCAATAAAGTGCTCTTTTCAGAAATTTTGAAATAATTGGCGTCAATACTATTGAATCCTCTCGTGGGTATCGGAATTTTTTTGTAAGAAAAGCTTGTAAACAACAAATACACAATTCACTTGCTTGCCACACAGAATACAAAATCCAGATAGATATAGAACTCTGGTAATATTTCGTTCTCATCCTCGAGCGACTGGTATAGGTAGTCGACTATATTTCCATTCCGGATGCCCGACGGCCGCTAGCCTCCTCATGATCCACTGTACAGTTACTACAGTATCCCGGGGAAAGTCGCCCTGCGCCAAGCGCCGTTCGCCGGCGGTCGCGCGGGCGTCGGCCCCACCTCCCGAGGGGCCGTATGCCACAACGGCAAAGCCCGCGTCGCCCGACGGCCCGTCCGGGCGGAGTAATTTAATTATCCGAGACAAGACCGGAGCTACACGTGCCTCGGGCCATTCAGGATATCATTCATCATCATCATCATCATATTCCTCAGGCTTTTCACAACCTTAGGTCGTATGTAGCCCCCCTAACTAGTGTTCACCGATATGTGCATTTTATCGCGTTACTACTGCCTGGCTATTGATTCAGACCTTATTCCTCCTCAACTTTCAGGAGCCAACCGACTCGTCTTTACGAACGCTATAACAGCTCTGTAGATCCTGATATCGAGTTTTGATACTCCTCCGTTCGGTTCACTTGCATCCTGTGACGATCAAGCCATCAGGACACCATCAGTGAGTCAGGACACCGATCGTTGACACTACTAACTACATGCATGTGCGCTAGTGAAAGTACACTAACCAAGTTAAGATAGGAAGAGGCTTCTTCTCTCTCTTCTCCTCTCGAGTCTTAATACTTTTGTTGAAATGCTTGAGTTCATCTGATCTACTTCTTGGCACGCAACACGTCCGACACTCTTAGGTCTACCACCTAGTATCTTAAAATGAACCCGAGGCTGGGCAAGATTCTCAATCTGTGTAGTTATGTTTGACCAGTTTCTTGTACTGATAGTGTTTGTTCCGTTGGAACTGTAGAGAGTCGTACGATCTAGAAATTGTTGAAGCTTAGAGGTGTCCCTTGCCTAGGCGATACTACAGTCACTAGAGAACAAGTCTAGCTTCGGTCTCGAAGACGGGTCAAGTAGACAGTCGTCGGATAGTTTTTTTAATCTGTTTTACTCTGGTTTATGTGGGGATAAAACTTTTAACAGGGTGTCGTCAACCATAGAAAACTCTGCAGCAGAGCCCCCGTTTACCCCGCGCAGTGTCTTTTGGCTTCCCCTCCACAGAATAAGAGGGTAGTGGTACACTGTGGTACTGATACCGGACCCCGCGAGAAGGTAGAAATTATCATCTTAATTACTCGACGGAAGCAGTTACCTAGCGTGCTTGCTAGTGGCATTCACGAAATCGGCTAGCACGGTAGACCTCAAAAGACCCCCAAAAAAGTCGAGGCGAGGCGATTCGACTGTGTAATCTCCCGGAGCCAGCTATTGTAGTTTAGAGGAAAGTTGATCCGTTGCTCTTTGTGACGAGGTATAAGAGGCTATAGACAGGAAACGTGAAGTCTCAATTGATTGGGAATCAGTTTGGTTTTTATACAGACAATACAAGAATTATTTCTCATGTTGTGTCTTTATTCCTGAATGTGCACTTACCTTGTACTGTATTACAACACCAGCTTTTAAATATGATATCGTGACCACTGCAGAATGCAGTCAGAAACTATAGATATGAGACATATGATGCAATGCTACGCTGCTAAGATCGCCATAATGTACCTAGGATATATGCTAGTGCTACTGCGGAATATCACTGAAACCTTTCTGGAGTACACAGTCCGGAAAGTGCCCAGCCAAGATATACAGGTCCCATGGCCTGGGCTATCCTCTCTTTGGATTAGACGTTTGTTTTATTGTGTCTGTATAAGATGTATAATCATCAGTTCTGACTCTGTTCAATTGGCTACATAATGATATACCCGTCATCAGTGAGGCAAACGAGTTTTTCTCGTCCCGCCATCTCCATACTCCACAGTTCCATTAAGTTGTCCTTTGACACCTGGGCAAAGTCACATTTAGTAACGGTAACTAGAGAAAATCAGTCAGATATGGTATCTTTGGTCAAATGGGAAGAGGGCTCAGCCTACTGGTCACTCTTGTAGGGTCCAGTGGTCTTGATATCCAGATATTCCGCCTGGGCTTTTGTCAAGTTCGTCAAGGTGGCGTTGCAGTGCTTCAGATGCAAGAATGCTACTTGCTCATCAAGAATCTTGGGCAGCACATACACACCCACTGCCTTTTTTCCGGCCAAGCCGAACTCAACATACTTCCGGCCAAAATCCTCGTCCTCGGCTTTGTACAGCATGATTTGAGCCAGCACCTGGTTGGTGAAGGAGCACGACATGACAAATGACGAGTGGCCCGTGGCACATCCTAGATTCACCAACCGCCCCTCGGCCAGTAAGATGACATGGCGTCCATTCGGAAGCAGAAATCGATCTACCTGCGGCTTGACGCTCTGCACGCTCAAGGCGTTCGCCTTCAACCACGCCACATCGATCTCGATGTCAAAGTGTCCGATGTTGCACACAATCGCGTCGTGCGGCATCACCGCAAAGTGCTTCCCGCAGATGATGTCCCGACAACCCGTTGCCGTCACGAAGATCTGTCCTGACTGGCGCAGCATCCGCCATTGTCACCACCTGGTACCCGCTCACCGCGGCCTGAAGCGCGTTGATCGGGTCGACCTCAGTAACAAGGACGCGCGCCCCCAGCGACTGCAGCGCCTGTGCGCAGCCCTTACCAACGTCACCGTAGCCTGCGACCACGGCGATCTTTCCAGCAATCATGACGTCCGTAGCTCGCTTGATCGCATCCACCAGGGACTCGCGGCATCCGTACAGATTGTCGAACTTGGACTTGGTCACACTGTCATTCACATTGATTGCAGGCACCTTTAGTGTGTTATTCTTGAGCATCTGGTACAGCTTGTGCACGCCTGTTGTTGTCTCCTCCGAGAGACCGTAGCACCCCTCCAACAAATACGCATGCTTCCGGTGTACCAGGGCCGTGAGGTCGCCACCATCATCAAGAATGAGGTTCAATGGCTGGCCAGACGGGAAAGCCTGCAGCTGTTGCTCCAAGCACCACTCGTATTCCTCTTCCGTTTCGCCCTTCCAGGCGAAGACGGGGATGCCGGATGCCGCGATGGCGGCTGCTGCGTGGTCTTGCGTGGAGAAGATGTTGCAGCTGGACCAGGTGAGCTCGGCCCCCAGAACACGCAAAGTTTCAATGAGCACAGCCGTCTGGATCGTCATGTGTAGGCATCCGGCTATGCGTGCGCCTTTAAGGGGCTGGTCACCCGCGAATTTCTTGCGAATACCCATCAGGCCGGGCATTTCGACCTCAGCGAGCTCGATTTCGCGCCGCCCAAAGGCTGCGAGGGAGAGATCGGCGACCTTGTACTTGAGAGCGGGATTCATGGTGGGATGGGTGAGATTGTTCTATTGTTTTGATAGAGAAAGTTTAAATGGTGGAAAAAAGACGGAGCCTTGAAGATATATCAATCTGCGGAGCAATGAAGTAGTATCGGTACAATGGACTTTCGGTTGGAGACCTAGACTGACAATTCAACTGACTAGACGGAGAAATAGTTGGAAGTACCTAAATGTGTCCGCACTCACATGTCGCAACGACTAATCGACCCATGCAATGTAACATCGCTAGCAGGTGCGGCTCGTATCCAATATAGCCTACAAGCGCTGTGGGTCAGTAGCGGGAGAGATGCCATTCTAGTAGACTCATAATCAGTATGTAGTAACCCAGCGAAAAGTAAAATACATTAGTTGTGGCACTCTTCTACTACTCTAACAGGGGTAAATTTGGTCGCCTGTCAACTGGATCTAGACACATGCATGTGCGGTTGGATACCAACAATTTTGGTATTCGAACAGGAACAGGCCAAAACATGCAGATCCACTGGCCATCTCTGTATTTCAGACATAATACCGCTGAAGAGGCCTTTCCACCAGGAAGGATGCATCTCTCCTTGTTAAGCAAAACGAGGCAATGCCAGTCGGATGATATTTGGCCCCTCCGCCATTGCCGTGTCATTATAGGACGATCACGATGTACTGCCTGATTTATCCATTAGTCACTCGAGTTTTCCTCCGAGGAAAGCCGCTTGCATTGTCATCCCTTATTCCCGAATAATACGCTAGAGAATTCTAGCAGCGATTTGAAAGAAAGCCACCTCATCAGTCAGTCGAAAGGGATGGTTTAAATTGCCGACTTGGATCTCGTCTCTTTCCCCAGGCTCGCAAATTCAACACAAGATGGCGTTTTCAACAGCGTCCCCCTATGAGGAATCAAATGTGTCCTGCGAGATCGGCACTGGTGCAAGCCTTGTTCTGACTGCCAGTGCCTCGGATCTAGTGGTCCCTGTCGCCGAGGAATATCATGTCCAGGAATATCTGTCCAAGCGTACGGCGCTTCTGGCAGAAGAGAAGATGCTTAGGCACGGTAGGTTGCATTTCCCTCCAGCTACATCGTCTTGAACTGATGGTTGTTAGACTTTGCATTTAAGTTGTCGATGTCTCCCAAAGTGCACCAAGCCGCAGCAATCGTATCGCGCATCCGTGCCCAAGAGATCCAGAACTTGCGTCTCAATTCTGTCGAGGGGTCTCGCCTTCAGATGATGACCACGCAGCTATACCAGCGAATACAGGACATGCCCAAGGGGGCATTATTGCATGCCCCTTTGGAACAAATGGTGGAAGTGGACTGGCTTATTGATCGCATGTTCACTGAGAATGACTCCGGCAATGCTGCGTCATGTATGGTGATCTTCTTACCCAATGCGGATCGCCAAGAACAACAACATCCGTCTATTGCATTGAGATTTCTCGGCCCAGATACGCTTCGGAAACTACCCATCTGTTTTGCTTCGGAATCTGTATGGACTGAGACTCGTGATAAGCTAGTTCTCTGCCCACTGAAAGAGGCTGCCCAGTACTTTCCTTGCGGCGGACAGACCGGGTTCAAAGCATTCCTCCAGCAAACCTGGGAAAGTACCCTCACCACCCGTGCAGATTCCGCTCCAGGATCTGCAGCCTCTTGTTCTTTCCTCTCTATCCTGCTGTATGACCCGATCCTACGCACAGCAGTGAGGTATGTGTCTCAAAAGCTTCGTCAAGCGCATTTCAGCTACGCAGAGCTCCGATTGACTCTCCCAAATGATGACCTTTGCTCGGACGTGGACAACCCAGTCCATTGGCACCGCATCTGCCATATCATCCAGGAAGAAATTGACATCAGTCAACGAGATCCCACTACGCCTTTGATTCGTCTCATCTGGACCTCCCCTCTGAATCCAAACAGTGAGAACATCCGCAAGGGCATGGAACACTGCATGCTCGCCAAAAAGTCATTCCCACGTTTGATATGCGGGTACGATTTCGTTCAGCGTCAGCACAGTCAGCCCTTGCTGGATTTACTGCCGCTGATCCTCGGATTCCAGCAAATGACGCACAGCGAGCGCGTGAACATTCCACTGGGTTTCGATGTTGGGGGATGTCTGAGACGATGGCTGCGTTGACGACCAAAATCTCGTCGATGCTGTCCTATTGGGTACCAGATGGCTCGGCTGTGGCAGTGGATTGCATCACCACCCCCAACTGATGAAAATGGTGAAAGAGCAAGACATTGCGATTGGATATTATCCATTCAGCGCGGCTGGCGAGGAGGGTCAATACCATTCGTTGTTAGGGCTTTTGTCCCGCGGTCTTCCCGTTGTGCTCCGGGGATTTGGGTCGCCAACACTGACGCATTCCTTTCTCGATCCCGTCTTGTTGGTCCAAAGCATAGGTCTCGATGAGCTGGGGGCCATGGCTGAGTCATCTATCCGATGGTCGAATATTGACGACGTCGAGCCATCGCGGTGGCTACAGAGCGTCCGCGTCCAGCCGGCAGACGCTACCCCTAAAAGCCATGCTCCTGAAGCAATGGCAGCGCGACTTGGAGCAATATTGCGCCCGTCTCATCCGCGAGTCTGCCCAACACAGCAAGGTTCCGGCCATACTGCACAGGCCTGAACCCGTGGAAGCGGATCAGGACCACTCGGACTACCCGCCCTTGCGTGGCCTTCCCTCCGTCGCCAACATCCACGGCACAAAAGTCCCTTTCGGCCCATGCGCCACAGCTCGGCAGGCTGCCTTGGTATACAGCAAGCTGATGAATATCACACACCCATTCCCAGCTTTCTATACCAAGATTAACGAAGAGCGGTCTTACGAGATCGCACGTCTTTACGACGACCTCATCCCAAGTCCGCACGACCCGGAGACAAAGGCATGCTACAGCGCCTTCTGTACCGAGACTCTTCTGCAGTACCGCATCATTCGAGCCACCGGACTGCAGGTCAGCTACACTCCTGGCTATAACCCGTATCCAAACCCGCGGCAAGCAATACTCGACGTGCAGTACAACAACCACCTGTACGTGGAGCCAACAGACCACGCGTTCGGGGATACCGTTTTCGCTGAAGACCTCAGCAACCCGCTGCTCCAGTACACAGACGAACTCATCGACGGGCGAAGGGCCCGATTGAACGATATCTTCCGCATTGTTCACGACTATTTTAGCCACGTGCGAGAGGGCCTGGGGTTTCGCGCCGAGGGCGAGGATAATGCCTGGCGATGCCATGCGGTCATGTACTCAAAGATAGCGAGGAGAGCTATGACGACCGAGCTGAGGGGCCAGAACACTTGGATCAATTATGGGCCGTATCGCCGCAAAAATCGCACGGCTAAAATGGACGAGACGCATTATGCGCCGCAGAAGGTTGGCCTGATGCCTGAGTGGGTGTCGTGGGCTGGAGTCGAGGATGGTGACCCAAAGTAGACAATCGCTAGTATCTGGATCTGGATCTGATCGGTGCTAAAGGCATGAACTTGACACAGAGTATCAGTATCGGGGGTAAGTATGCACTATATACGAACCAAAGAAAACACCCAGATACAATTTGAATTTGAATAAAGTGTATCATTGTATGTGTATTACTGTTACAGCCCATACACCAGAGCACCCTGGATCACTCGTGTCCCTTATTTAAAGGCGCAGCTCTACCCCCATCCTCTTCGCCCTCTCCAGAATTCAGGAAAACATTTATTCATTGCCGGGACCGCACCCAAAATGTCCACCAACCCCATCCTCCTCCTAGACGGAGCGTTAGGAACCGTTCTCGAGAAAGCCCCCTACAACATCCTCTTCAACGAAAACACCCCGCTGTGGTCCTCACACCTCCTCCTGACTCATCCAGGGGTCCTCCAAGCTGTACATCGCTCTTACGTCGATGCCGGCGCAGACATCATTCAGTCTGCTACATACCAAGCAAGTGTTGAAGGATTTGCCAGAACCTTGAATCCTGATGCTCCAGATGCGGATCAGACATACTCGGAATCCGAAGCAGCGCGATACTGCCGTTCTGCGATTCCGCTAGCCCGAGCTGCCTTTCCGCTCCAGAGCCAGCTCCAGAACACGAGGCGCAACCAGCCACGTCTCGCTTTATCCCTAGGTTCCTATGGTGCAACCATGTCCCCGATAACGGCGGAATACACCGGGCTGTATCCGAGTTATATGGACAGCGTACCGGCGCTGGAAGCGTGGCATGGTAAGCGGCTGCGGATCTATGCGGATGATGCTGGCATATGGTCGGGAGTCGAGTTTGTGGCGTTTGAGACGGTGCTGCGATGGGATGAGGTGTTGGCAATTCGCGGGGCCATGCAGAAGGTGCTTTCTGCAAAGGGCTCTGGGCCTGAAGGAAAGAAATGGTGGATCAGTGGCGTCTTTCCGCAGGGCGATGGGGAGGATATCCGTCGCTGGATTGAGGCTGCGTTAGGGACGAGGAATGGCTGGCCTCAACCGTGGGCGGTTGGGGTGAATTGTACGCGCTTGGAAAATGCAGAACGGGCTGTGGAGTTAATGGAAGCGGAAGTCGTGAGAATGAAGTTGTCGAGAAGGCCGTGGCTGGTCCTTTATCCTGATGGAACTCAGGACGAGGTATTCGATCCTCGGACAAAAAGCTGGGTCAGGCATAGTGAGCTGGTGATGAAGCCCTGGGCGGAAAGATGCTGGAGGGTTGTCGAGGAGATTCGGCGGAGGGGCGTCTGGGGGGGCATCGTAGTCGGGGGTGTTGTCGGACTGGAATTGAGGATATTAAGGCGTTGAGGGAGAGGATTGAACAGTCTGGAAAGTAGATGTTGGCAATCATATAGATGCACTGATGTTATGTGCGTTTCTCTAGTCGTTCGAGCTATACGCACTCTTTAATATACTCCTGAAACGGCTGAGGGAATAAGGGTCTTTGCTCAATGATCGGGCTCTGGCCTATTACAGATTCAATCATTCAAGAACTCGGATACTAGCAAAGATAGGTAGTGGGCAAAGGTTCACCCAAAAGTATCACTCTAAAGGGGCAAATTCGTGGGCTACGTGTAGGCTTTTAGTGAAACGGCAAGTGATTCGTCAAACTCCGATGGCTTGCTCAGATTCTATAAATTCAAGAAGGCCAATACCTATTTCCAACGCTCTGCGGTGTCTCTGCTACAGTCTGTGTTATTGAAGGATATCCACTCACCTTTCTCGTCCTCCTTGCGCTGTGATTTCGAGCTGAGGCGTCATTTCACAAGATGGTAGAGGCTCAGAATCCAGGCCACAATGATTGCGACCAAGGCGAGAGTCAAGGTCCTAGATGATGATAGCTGGGGATGATGTTGGCGCCTACTCTTGTGGTGCTGACAGTGGTACGAGTGCTCGTAGTCCGAGTGATTGTGGTGATCGTAGTGATACGAGTGCTCGTGGTCCGAGTGATTGTGGTGCTCGCAGTAGTGCGAATGTTTGTCGTCCGAACGACATTCACTAGCCATGTTGAAATTGAGAGCGAAAAGGTGCAATAAGTTGTTGTTGATGTACCAGGCCCAAAGTGTGAATTCGGGGTGATGATTGAGAGCTAAATCTAGGGATCGATGGTCTTTATATACCTGAGGCTTTACGACCGCGGAGTGAGACCATGTGAGGAGTCTCATACGGAGCAAAGAACCTCGGAAAGGCGTAGATAATGAAGTTCGAATGTCTTTTTCGGGAACAATGAGTAGAGTTGTCAATATAGTAAGCAAATCTTAAATTGATCGCTCAAAACTAATGATGCCTGGAGACAAAGACATTTTTTGTCACGGCTAGGCACATCGCTAATTCAAGTGGACAAAGCATGGCTGAGCAGACTTGGCAGTCTGAAGATAGATCGGGCCAAAAGCCTGGAGAATCTTCGGAATGGGGCCTAGATAGAATCATATTTTTTGGTTTGATCTACGGAAACTGTATCATCATTTTACAATATTCTTTTAGGTAGTCTACAGCTCACAGATTCCCGTGATTCTCAAGGATTGAAGCCTAATAATCAGGCCACAAGCGCTAGCCCAATCTGGGCCGCGGACTCTACCGCGGCTCCCCAACCACACTCTCCTTCGGATGCGACGTAGCGACCATTTTACTCCATAAACCATGCGTACAGCCGATGATCGCCGGTCAAGGTCTCCAGCAACCCCTCGCAACGGCACGCTACAGTCATGCGAGCCTTGTCGGCGGTCGAAACAGCGATGCGACCATGAACGGCCCGTTTGCCGCAGGTGCATCGCAAAAAGGATCAACGGCCAATGTGTCTACCATCCAGCACCGATGACGCGTCGGAGGGCCTCGGACCATGTCCCTTCTAGTACAACTCTGGTGCCTTCAAAAAGATTGACTAGTCAGCCAACTTCCAAGTAAGCATACCAGAAACGTAGGAATCTCTTCAAAGATCTGACCGTCTATTTCAGTGCTTCGAGCCCAGGCTCAGGTTCTCTGAATGGCGGGCGATTATACGCACCTTTAGAACCGCCTTCTGCACTGCCCGGCTATATGGGCTCCACGAGTTTCACCGCGGTTCTGGCTGAGCATCGCAATGAGATTGTATTTGAGCAGGACGAAAACGTGGACTCTTGTCCGGTTTTGGTTGTGGAGCCAGATCGGGTTCAGTCCGGAGCCGAGGTGTTGCTCTTCCTGTACAATATCAAAGATCGCCACAAGCTTATCGACAAATTCTACGTGCGATCATGGAATGTGGTGGTACCCAAGATGGTGGTAGATGCCATCATGGACTCCATCGACGAGATCTTTGGCGGGTTCAACCACAACGATTTGATGCCCCAACTGCGAAGTCTAGCCACTCAGATCTTCCAGAATTCCTCACGAGCTTTGACCACTCACCAGTCGATGACTGTTAAGGAGTATTGCACTTCATTCACCGGACCCAACTTTCGCTGGGAAGCTCTCGGGAATCTATTTACATTGTGCGGCCAGCAACTAGTGATCACCCCTGAAAATGATCCTGCAGTCGCCGAGGGAGACAATCCACGAGCTAAGGATCGACTTTTGGAACAAGTGACTGCAGCCAGTACGATCTGCCTTAATTTCTGCGACCAGGCCTCCGCTGCCAATGAAATGCTGGCGTATCTTCAGTATAACGATTTTATGCTACGAACACAGCTATATGGAGATTCGAGTATGAATTGCCCCTCGCACAGAAGTCTCTGCTCATAATTGCTGACACTTGAACAGGCTATCAAGCATGGCGTCGACTTGGCGATCTCACAGCCACCATTTACGCCGCCGGCTTGCATGTGGACACCGATACCTCAGAAGATTGTCCTTTTTTTCTTCGGCAATGGCGTCGATGCTGCTTTACATCGGCATTCTACATGGATAAAATGATGGCTACATTCGTCGGTCGGCCGCCCTTGCTGAACTATAGATATTGCACATTGACCCCTCCCTTGGATTTAAGCGATGAAGTCCTTGTAGCAGGAGGCGAGGCTCTAAGTCAGGCGATCTCCGAGCTTGACAGTGCAGGCTGGAGCACAAATGGCGCTCGCCATCGAATGTCAACGGGGCGAATTCGGTTCCAACTCTCCGTCTTCAGAGAGAGGACACTGGAGATCGCATTAGTTAGTCATGAACCGCGTGATCTTGTTCAAAAGTGCAAGTAAGTGAAAAAAAATTATCAAACTGCTACGCTGATCTTTCCAAGCCTGACCCAAGAAAACTGAATAGTGAAATCCGTGAGGGTGTACGTGCCGTGTGGGAGTCGACTCCCGATCACCTTCGATATGATAAAAGGCCCAGGGATGATTTCCACTACGGGTGGCTGACCATTGTTTACCTCTATCTCAACTACTTGTACACTTGCTTCCTGCTTCAGAGTGCCTTGATCAAGCATACGAACACCGGGCAAGAGTTGCTCTGCGATATATCGCGCCAGGTTCTGGGAATCGTGAATACCATCACCACCATGCGCAATCCGATGGTGGGCTTTGATCGGCATTATTCCTGGATTGTGTGTATACATGCCCACGGCGAATGTCGGATTTCGGACATGAGTTACCTAATACTAATGGATTGGTAAACAGGCCCTTACATACGGTGTCCCTAGCTCCGGTGTTCTTCTGCTTGAACTCCTACACCAATCCCGCACACCCGGATCTCACAACGTGGTTCTTCCGCGCGCCGAGCTAGTCCGCAATCTGAGCGTGTTCATCTCGATGCTTTCTTGGATTGCACGGCCTGGCCACGGTAACTATCGCACATGCAAAGAAGCTGAGAAGAACCTGTCTCGCATCTTTGATCAGGTACTCGATCCGCAGCCTGTTCATGCGGAGATGGTGCTTGATGTCACGTCCGAACTGTCCAGCTTCTTGAACTGGTCCAATTACAACAGCTGAGGCTTTTAGCTCTGAATACTTTCCTGCTGCGAATGGGTTCGCGCCGTGAAAATGGGATGATTGATAAGTTACGCATGTGCCATGGGCAAGTTTAGTTCATCAATTCGTCAAATTACGATCATGGGGGTTTATGCAATGAGTCCAGGCATCATACCAACGAAGCAGACAGCCAAAACTTCTCTCCACGTCAGAATCTTCACGGAACAACTCTTGATGGGTCATACCATCCATACATAGTCATTCCCAAGAGGATGGTCTGGCACAAAATACGCCCGATGACATAACGGACAGTTAAAGTGGTCTCCCAGGAACCATTTTTTGAGGCACTCTCGACCATGAGGGAGAAGCCGACCTAACCTTGCATCACCAACACATCCTTCGAGGCTATTTCTCTGGATTCTAGTACAATTGTTACTGGATATTCTGATCTTTTACCAGAATTTTGATTACTTGTGTGGTTCATGTAGTATAATGCCTTGAAGTTGGGCTTTCTTGGGCGGGATTGGTGAAATGGATTACTTAATCTTCCCCTTTTTGTCCTCAAAACTAAGCCTCTGTCGATTTAAATCCTCAAAACTAAACCCTTTTGGATGATGACAACCACATTAAGCCCATTTGGGACAGACATCTCCTTAATTCGATAGATCTGAAGATAGAGCCGACGGACAACCTCATAGCCCCTGTTCTGTCTTCCTTTGCGATGCAATACTCACCCTCGTCATTCAGTCAGTGTTTGAAGTAGCTTTAATTACTTTAGCTCGTGATGGATCAACCACCCTCTAATCCCCCCAAAACCCAAAAGAGGTGGACCTCGAAGATACGCGTCTACTGAAGAAAAAAAAGCATCGAGGATAGCTCAACAGCGGAAGCAACGCCAGTCTGCTCGCGCTGCGCAACGCGCCCAGCAATTCGATCAATACTATTCCATCACGGCGTCTCTACCCACTGACATTAATGAACCTCCATCAACCTACTCATCCTCCAGAAGAACCCTCCATCGCCACTGAGGTTGAGCAACTTCTTCCGCCCCTCAGCCCTGATCTTGGGCCATGGGAACGATCTACTCTAGAAGCTCCGCCCATGGATGATGAGCTGCCGCAAGAATCCACGTCTGATGTGAACAATAGGCTTGCCACAGACACCCCGCCAGAAAGTGCACGAAATGATACCATCCAAGACAGCGCTATACTAGAGACGATTGAAAGGTCCATCCAAGTGGCCGACACATTCGGGGATTCAACTCGCCACCAATCAGATCCCTTTGCAACTAACGCGGCAGATAGCATTCATGACCTCGCCCGCGTCCTTAATGATCAGCTCCAACAACACCATGACTGCTGCCGCCAATGCCATGAGCAGCAGGAGCGTGTACATGAAGCACAGCATACAGAGCATCCAGGCTTGGGAGAGTACATGGACCGGGTTCAGGCAGATGGGGGATATCCAGACATTCTCAGCGCGGCGATCTTCATATTGTAGGGATCCGTTTTAGTAGTGGCAGGGATCTGTTTTGATGGCCGCAGGGATCCTTTTTGGTTGTTACAGCGCCCGTTTGTCTCGGCGAAATTCCTTGGGGGTATTTATTTAACAAAATACCTATTACGGTACTATAAAAAGAAATCTAGGCCTCTCATCCTGGGGTTAGCAACTGAAAAGTCACATCGCTCTATAAATATCCTCAGTTCGATACGGCTCTAAAATCCTTACCAGAACTTGTTCTTCCCTCAGAACTATTCCAGCCATCTAACGACATCTATTAAGATAATGCCTGCGCTCAGTGGACTCGACTATTCCTTCGCGGTTGGCCTGATACTGGTAGCCATATCCCGTCCGGCGTTTGCACTAAAGCAAATCAAATTTGGTGACCTGGACATCACTCACATCTAGGCATAGCAAACCGCAGAGATCTCCCAACAAGAGATATTGCTCCTTCTGGGTGCTCCGCCCTGGGACCTAATTATGAATGTTTACAAATCAATGGAACCCCAGGGGAAGCATGTATAGGATGGGAGTTGTTTCCAAATTGCGGGAAAGGATCATTGGATGATCCAGACTGGACCAATATTCAGGATGCAATGGGCGAGATTGTGACCAAGGGTGATGAATTGTCTTGCTCGAATGTAGGAGCGTGGAATGGAATGCTCCGCACGGCGACATTTTCGGATCGTGATACTAGCCTTTTCAACTTTTTCTTAGCACAAATCGATGTGAAGACACCTACAATTTACTGGAGTCGTAACAATGCCTCCGTCCAGGTGACCCGTTTTCCTCGTTCTCCCTAGTTTCTGGAACACGAGATATGAGATGCCAACGTTTTCCAACCAAAGTTTTTCTCTCAGACTTCTTGTATCTATTATATTTCCGATTGTTTGCCAAGAGATGTTAAACGTTTTACGCGTTCTGTGGGAGAGTTTGCTTCGGTTTAAAGTGCGTGCCGAATATGATACAACCACCTACCGTCTTCGATTGACTTCCCTGTTCCTTACTCTTAGACACACTAGTCGAAATTAGTAGTTATTCAGTGTATCCCCATAAGCTGCGTGTGTATTGCTTCGTTAGTTCAATACCAACTCCCAGGGCATTTATACGCAAATTGTACTTGTCGCGGAATGGTTTGTAAGTAGCGCCTACTATTGGTTCTTCCCGAACTGGCTGGCAGCTGTGGCGGTCACCCACGGTCGCTCAGGTGAAACGATCGGACCGCTAGTGTGTGATATGGTCCAACGATAACCATGCATGCACAGGTTACTCTGAGTCCTTTGCAGAGCTCAATGGGACCGATTGTTCAGGTATAGATTATATCAGCTTGAACTTGAATATTGTTACAGTATATTAACGGTTCCTCAGAGCTTAGCGAGGTCGTAAACGGCACACGCAAAGACTACTCGACTCTCAGTATAGGAGTGTGTGGGATCGAAGGCGGCAAAGATGCCGCCTGGATAACGGTCAACCAGACCGGTGAAGTGGCATATTTTCAACCTCAAACAGCCCTCGGCCTGGTTTCGTCGACTCTGTGAGTCAACCGAGGTGCGAGAATGGCTAAAGGAGCAGAAAGAAGATGGGAATGATTTTCATTTCGTGGTCGGGTTCCACACTCTGTTTGATGCTTCTACAGCAGAGGGCTTGGCCCTGACCTCAACTCACGGTGGTAACTTCTCAGTTGCCCTAAGTGAATTATCTACTTTGCCCGTCCATTACTTCATGGATTTTGGAGCGTCGGCAACCTTTAAGAACAACCAAGCTGTCATGAATCGTTAAATTGCCCCCGAGACCAGATTTTTGCCGTTCGGTTGAAGAAGGTTGTGTTTCGTTTTTTGAAACCGCGCGATGTAGATAATGCTCATTTGGAAAAGACAAGTCGATGGAGAATGTCTTCAGACACACGAAGTGCTGGTGACGAATTATCGGAGATTGTGGAGGCTTCTTTGAATGGCTTCTCGTCTACGGATGAATATAACGAAGAGGACGAGAATGATGACGCCCAATTGACGGATGATAATACTGAGTACCATGTGATGGATGGATAGGGTCTTTGTAAAGCTTTCTCGTTGGCCAGCATGCACTTCGTAGACTCGGAGTACTGGGCAGGCTGTACATAAATTCTGCTGGGAGAGAATGAAGATACCAAGTGATAAGAGTGGGACAATCTCTATAATTTTTTTTGCTGTTATCTCAGCACATACGACCATAGGGTGTGGAGAACAGGGCTTCCCGTCCGCTCAGCCGTACTTAAGCCACACGCCGGCAGGTTAGTAGTTGGGTGGGTGACCACCAGCGAATCCCTGCTGTTGTATGTTTTTGTTTTTTTACATGTCTTTGTTCGTGGCGTCCTAATCTCACCACCTCCCCTAGGTACCCTTGGGCTAAGTAGGTGATGCTTTAATGAGTAAGACTCCCAAAGAGCACGCGGTTATATACATATAATCTAGCTCTATTGTCATTTTAGAAGTCGTCAACCTATGGATCGTACCCATAAATTATAAAGTATTATCACAACAAAGATTTTGTCATTAAAAGATTATACAAGAAAGATATTTCTTATAGTTGGTATTAAGGTCAAATAAAGTTAGTTATGTCCTAAAATCCTACTAGACCTAGAACGGTAGCTTTTTGAACATGGAGTCTGAGACAATATTTTCAGTAACTGAGGTCAACTCAAAGGTTGGTGATTCAGAGATTTGGACCACAATAACACTCATAGTAATTCCTAGGAGACATAGCGTCGCAGCATCAGTCATGACGGCAATAAACGTAAATGTGGGTTGGAACTTCGTTCACAGACGTGACTCATTCCGCATGCTCAACAACCACCTGAGCCGTCCTTTTCTCATCAAGCTCCGGAGGGGTATTGCTATCCCCAAACAGCAAATCCATCTGCTCCAAAGTCTTCCCCTTGGTCTCCGGGAAGAAGAACACATAAGAGACCGCGGCAATGATGTTGAAAACAAAGAACACATAGAAATAGCGGAAACCAATACTGGTGAGCGCGGTCGGAGAGAACTGAGCAAAAACCAAATTCATAGTCCAGTTTGTAAAGGTCGTTACGGAGTTACCCTGGTTGCAAATATCGACAGGGAAGATCTCCGCCGGGTACACCCAGGAGATAATACCAATGAAAGTGTAGAAGAAGCTGAACACGAAGTTCATTGCGACCATGGCACGAAGCTGGTTCTGGTTGGTTTCATCGTAGTGCTGGGACATGGCGGCGTTGGCAACGAGGGCGAGGGCCATTCCTGCGGAACCGATGATCAGGGGCTTGATACGGCCGACTCGCTCCAGTGCCCAGAGGCCTCCAGTACAGTATGCAATGGACAGGGCACCGGAAATGCCAATGATCATGAGTGAGGTGTGGGTGTCAATTCCAAGAGACGCGTAAATGCGAGTACCGTAGTAGTTGATGACATTGATACCGGACAAAGGACCAAAGGCTTGCACAGCACATCCGAAAATAAGACGCCGACGCCAAGAGGACTTGGTGAGAATTGAAGACCAAGTGATACGGGTTGAGGCGCGCTCGGCTTCGATGGCATCGCGAATCTCTTGGAACTCGAGTTCGATGTATTGGTCCTTCTCTGGGGTTCCATCACCGTGGAGTCTCTGAAGGGTAGACAGAGCCTCATCGTGTCGGTCCTTCTCCATCAGCCAGCGGGGGGGACTCATTCAAGAACCAAATGCCGCAGGCCAAGATGATCCCAGGAATGCACTGGAATGCAAGCGGGAAACGCCCTAAACACGACAGGGTGAGTAATTGAGAACGAGATGATGGAAGCATCAATGACTTACATTGGAAAGGATTGTTCACGAATGAACACCCATATCCCAACCACTGAGCAATCAGATATCCCCAGCTCAGCATCCACTGCAACAGACCAGACATCATACCACGAGTCGAAGACTCAGCCATCTCACCCGCGTACATTGGCACAATGGATGTGAGCATCCCGACCGCGACTCCGGCGATAAATCGCCCAATGATCAACATAACCATATTCACCGAGCCTGCTTGCAGAGCACATCCGAAGCACGACACACAAGCACCTGCGAAGACTGAAAGCTTGCGACCAAGACGGTCGCCAGTAAAAACATTGATGATAGTTCCCAGAATAGCGCCTCCTTGGAACGCAGAAACGATGCCGCCAGTGACATTATCGCTGGGATTATTGAAATATTTGATGAATTCACTCTGGCCGATGGTCGAGGTGATGATACCACTATCATAGCCGAAGAGGAAACCTGGAAGCTTCGAGATTAGAAAATGAAGGAATCTGGATCTAAAATGTATTTCATACCCCCAATGGCTAAGAAAACGGCTGATAGAAGCGTTGAGATCTTCGTCATCTTGTCTGTGGTGCAGAATGTAAAACAAAAAGCAGCTCGATCGGCCCAAGCTGATCTGCCCACGGGGATATTTTATACGCTCTCAGGAACTTCAGAAAGCGGGACCCAATTAGATATAGAACCATTCATAAATAGTCCCCAGCATATCATGACACTTGCTGCGACACTCATCCTGCCAGAATTCTAGCAACGTGGTCTCCCCACGGCGAAGGAAGCGCATATAGGAGGGATGTTCTTCCTGTCTAACCATTTGTAGCACGAGGTCAGGTCGTTTCGCATCAGCGAGAGTGTTAAATAGGAATCGCAGTCCGATCTCGCCTGCCCGAATCTTCCTATCTGACACATCATCAAGGAACGCGGCCATTACGTCCTTCTTGTGTTCAGCAGGAACCAAGCCAAACTGTAGGGCCATTGCCTGGGCAATAGCAGTGCGGTCGCGAGAAGGGAAGTTATCCTGTGACGTGTAATACACGTATGGACGCGACGTGTCATCATTTACAAGAAGATGGCGGTTGTATACGTCGTAGATCCGCGCAGCCCATACCTTGAACCGTTCCGCTTCTTCCATCTTTCCAAGCTGACGAGCCATCATCCCCACGCATTGGAGACACTTGTAGTAAATTGCCGTCTCGATATTGGCTTGATGGTTTCCGAAGGCAATTTCACGGCCCCAATCTCCAAGGCCATGTTCAATTAAGCCGCCCTTGCGTTCTTTGCCATACATGTACTCCATATACCGCACTGCACCTGGGAATACTTTCGCAATGACATGTGTAGATGCGTAATAGCGCAGGAGAATGTCAGGTAACAAACACAATGCACAGCCCCAAGTAATCGTGTCATGAAGCGGGCCACACATGTACCGAATCTCAGGGGCCATGGTAGGAACAAGGCCACTCGGTTCCTGCGCATCAAGGATGTCGTCGAGAATCTTGGTGTAGAGTGACTCCATGTCTCGGATGTATTGAGTTGCAGGTGCGAGGAGGTGAGTGACTTCCAACCAGCCAAACTTTTCGATTTGAGGACAATCGGTGTGATAGCTGAAAAGGTTACTGCTGAAGGTCCAGTAGAGGGCATTCAGAAGAGAATTCATGTCTTCCTTGTCTGTCTTCATGGTGCCGAGCTTCCTAGCTGCGGAGGAAATGTGGCGACCCACAGCGGAGTGGATGACTGGGAGACCATCGTCTGCATTGAGCGATACCCCTTCCACCTGAATCCAACGCGCACTGGTGAAACAGAAATCAGGCCCCCAGGTCTCTGGCTGGCCTGTACCAGCAAGGTAAATCTTGGAAAAGACTCCAGTCTCAAATTCTTTAAATAGTGGGTCCGGCATAAGATTGGTTCCGTCTTCCTTCACAGTCTCGGAGTATCGGACAACAATCTCAGAACCAGCCGGCCCTTCGACCACTATCTTCACCATTGTTGATGCATTCTGACCAAGATCGAAACACACCACTCCAGGTCTAGGGCTGTATGTGTTGACAGGCTCGAACGTTTCATGAAGCACGACGGGCGGCTGAGTTTGATAAAAGAGATGCCCCCGAGGCCCTGTCAATGGTTTCGCAGGTGTCCAGCTACTGACATCAAATTCGGGTGTGTCCCAGTTTGCGGGGTATAGCCGTCGATCGTGGTTCGATGCATAAATATTCGCCAGTGTTGTCGCGCTCTTCCGGACTGACCAAGCGGGGTCCGAAATCATGGTTTCGTGTGTTCCATCTTCATAGAAGAGATGCAGCTCGCAGAAGAAGCAAAGCTCATTTCCATACCGGACGTAAGTATTATCTTCGTACATCGGCCAGAAAAAGCGATCATCTCCTCCTTTGTCACCAGCGTAAAATCCATTGCCCACATGGGCGCCCAGGACATTCTCTCCGGCATCAAGCCTGTCGGTCACATCGTAAGAGGTGAATTGGACTCTTCTGTGGTAGTTGGTCCATCCTGGGTCTAGACGATGGTTTGAGGCAGGGTTGCCATTAACACTCATATTGAAGTGACCCAAACCAGAGGCGAACAGGATGGCTCGCGTCGGTGATCTTGCAAGCTTGAAACATTTCCGCAGGTAAATAGGCTTATCCCCTCCGTCGCCGATCCAAACGGCTTTCCACCGGTTCGTCTCGTCCTCGAACCATGTGCGGAAGATGAGACTTGAATGCGGCATGTATGTTTGGTTCATGCTATAGGGAGGCAAAAGCCGCGATCGGGGATACCCTGTGAAGAAGTGCTGGATTGAGCTAGAGAAGGGGTGCTGATTCTGGTCCCATATTGTCACTTTCCAATAATAACTGCATGTCGACTTGAAGCCATCAGAAGGTTTGCAGAGGATATTTCGCTGCTCATTACTTTCAATGCGGCCGGAGTCCCATGCGAGGGAGGAGAGATCAGGACTGTCGCATTCGAGACCCTTTGAGTCTGTGGAGAGAATCAGTCGATACGCAGTTTGGATCGCCTGAGCCTGGTCATTTCTCAATGCCCAGTAGAAACGTATTTCATCGGCGTCGATGCCGAGAACCTCATGGAATCCATGAATACCGCATCGAAGAAAATCCATGGTGTCGAGCGATATTGGTCTTAGCTGCTGCAAAAGCTGGAATGGCTGGAATACGAGCCCCCGGAAGCCCAACTCGTGAGATGTTCAACTGGCATCATGGAACGGCGTTTGGCAGATCGGGAAGTCCGAGTGGAGACAGCGCTGCCCGTTGCTCGGAAGCAATAACCCCGAGCTTTGCATTCTTGGCGGGGTTCAAAACGCCACAACTGGCGCCTTGACGAGGCCAGAAACAGTAGCGGCAAAGCGAAACGCCCTTGTATTACCGAAGATCTGCCGTGGTTCGGCCTTCCCCGCATCCCGCATCCCGCATTCTGAACGCTGCGGAATTCGCATCAATTCTCCCCGCATTTTGATTGCATGGCCCGCCGCTGCAGCGACCGAATGCCTCGTAGTATGTACTGAAGTGGTGAGCTTCTTCAGGATGAACTTGATGTCAAGATATCGAAAATGCCACGCAAGCTAGACCTCAGTAGCAGAGAACACAGTCTATCTTTTTCGTGACTTTACGTGGCCTGTTGTACTCCGGGTACAACTCCCATAATCTTGTCAATATTTTTTCACATGAGGAACGGCCAATTCACTCATCTAATTTTTTTTGGCATTATGAATCTCGGGAAAGCCACTTAATGTGGGCCATCGTTCCGCGCGACCGGCCAAAACAGCCCGACATAAAAGCCCTGAGTAGCCATGTAGAATACCTTCCATTATACCAAATATACACAGGCAGACCTTTACAGGTGAAGGCTGATCATGGGAGTTTTCAATTTGTCTTTTCTGATCGCCGCGCTTAGTATATCTACTATACTTGCTATTCCAACCTTCCAGGCGCAACGATCGAAATACACAGACTAGAAGACCTTCAAAAGATACGGTATTGACTTGGGAGAATAGCTCGTCCAAGAATCAATCATTGATACGACTTGGTGTGCTTCGTATTCCGGAGGCGCGTCTGACGAATAGGGTCTCTGCGAGAATCTCGGATCGCAATGTGGGCCTGTCCTAGAGCATCGCTATGCGACTTGGATTACCACAGCTGATATTGACAAGGCGGCTAAGTCAGGAATCACACTTCTGAGAATCCCCACTACATATGTTGCTTGGAGTGAACTTCCGGGCTCTAAGCTCTACTCGGGCAAGCAGACTGCCTATTTGAAGAAGATTGCGACCTATGCTATCGAGCAATATAATATATATATCATTGTTGATGTGCATGGGTTGCCTGGCGGAATCGACGGCTTGGCTATCGGTGAAGCTGCTGGTCGTTGGGGTTTGTTTCACAATCAGACGAATTTCGATTACTCAAATAAAGTCGTTGATTCGGTCCTCTCGTTCATCCAAAACTCGGGATACCCTGAATACTTCACTTTTGAACCCCTCAACGAAGCAGCCGACAATCATGACTTGTCTGTATTTGGTACATCAGCAGCTCTTTCATCTTCGGGTGCGAGCTGGGTCTTGAAGTACTATAAGGCTGTTCTCGATCGTGTTGCCGCTGTCAACCCTCAAATCCCATTCATGTTTCAGGACTGCTTCCAGGGAGAGCTATTCTGGTCGGCCGATTTTTCTAGCAGTGATAACATCGCCTTCGATGTGCACAATTACTACTTTGCTGGCCGTAACACCACATCTCAGAACGAGCCATCTTACATCTGCTCGGATACCAAGTACTCCACAGGAGATGGCAAGGTTCCTGTCTTCGTTGGTGAGTGGTCGATTCAAGCTCTATACAACAACAGCTTCGGGCTGCGCGAGGGAAACTTCAATACTGGAATTGTTGCATTCCATAGATATACACAAGGAGAGGCATATTAGACGTGGAAATTCTATGCAAATGCGACTGTTGATGGCCAGGGCACTCAGGCTGACTATTGGAACTATGAGTACTTCGTCGATCAAGGCTACTTCCATCCCAAATCAGAGGCCTCGTACTGTAGATAGTATACTGCTTTGTGCTTTGAGAAATCCCATATTTTTGCACGCATTTCATCTCATTACTTATCAATGTTGCATTTCCTAGGAGAAGAAGTGGCGCCGAAGGCTACATTTATGCGAAAGAACACTTCACGACTTTGGAACAGGAGGGATAATGGCCCGTAGAATAGTTTGATTTCTCAATTGAAGAATGTGAAATTGAAAGTCCGACTCAATCATTAGTCTCGTAAAGTAAGACAATAGAGGAAGAGACAACATGAAAAAAAAGCAAACATTTTCAAACAGTCACGCGTACACATAGGCTAGAAACAAGCGCAATAGAAGCAGAATCACAATCAAGTTAAAGAATGTTCCAACCATTTTGAACGACGCCAGCATATTCAAATAGATTAATCAAGGTGAATGCTTATTTTCCACCAAGTCCAAGAGCACTAGTCAAGCTACCGAGACCAAGGCCATCGATCAATTTGTCAAGACCAAGGCCACCGAGGATACCTTTCAACAAACCGCCGAGACCAAGGCCATCAAGAAGACGACCAACCAAGCCAAGGACACCGCTAAGGAGCAAGCCAACAGCAGCGATGATCTGGAACAGAGGCTCGGAGAGGAGAGCGAAGAGGGGGTTCAACTTCTTCTTGGCATGGGGCATGTCGGCGATGGCCTTCTTGCCGTTGTCGATGGTCTTGACCACAGTCTCGGTCAACTCTTTGAGCAGCTCAGCGAGCTGGTACTCCTCGGGGGTGGCTTCGCGTGTCTGGGCGCGCGCTTTGGCTGTGGCGGCGATGCGTCCATCGGGATCAAGGCCACGGATCGAGCCATTGCACTCCTGGAGCATACGGCCTCCCTCCTCGAGGAGGGGCTTCACATCCTTGACGAGCTTCTCCTCATCAAGCTCCTCCTTAGGCTTGCGCTCAGCAGAGGCGAGTTTCTAAGATTTATGTTAGTTCAATCCTTGGAAACTCTCAGCGATTCGACACATACCTCTTCGATCATCTTACAAACAGGCTTGACCTGCTCCAGGGTCTGGCGCAGGATGTGGCCCATACGTTCAGCCAGCTGGCGGTCCTGTTCAGCCTTAGCAGCGGCCTCCTGCTCCTCAGCAGTGGGACCCTCCTCTTCAGGCTCCTCAGGCTCAGGCTCGGGAATGTTCTCAAGCAAAGTGCACTCGCCAATGCGATTACCATCGTTGTCAACAACATAGCCGTTGTCATCGATGGTCTTACCGATGAGAGTAGCGAGGTTGCCATCGGTCAGCTTGCCAATGAGCTCTCCATCAGCATCGTAGACTTCACCTTGCTTGTTGACCTTACGGCCAGACATAGGGTTGACATCCCGCTTCTTCTCCTCGGGCTCCCAGCGCTCGGCCTTGCCGACGGTGTTGCCGTTCTTGTCGGCAATGTCACCATCCTCATCGACGGCGCGTCCAACAAGGCGCTTGGCATCGCCTTCGATCAAACGACCAATGATCTGTTCGCCGGACATGACAACACCATCCTTGCCAACAACGGCGTTGTCAAATCCGTAGAAGGGACCCTCAGCCTTTTCTTCCTCAGCGCCGGGGATGAGCTCGGCACGGCCGATGACTTGACCGTTGTCACCCCAGATCTGGCCCTTGGCATCAACCTTGCGACCCGCAAGGCCCTTTCCACCCTCGACAACGCGGCCGAAAACGGCGCCGGTGGCAGGGTCAACGACCTTGCCCGACTTGTTGACAACCTTGCCTTCAAGAACGGAGAGGTCGACCTCGGCGGGAGCCTCTTCCTCCGGAGGCTCGTAGGGCTCAGCACGGCCCTTGACGTTGCCATACTTGTCGGTGATCTCGCCATCTTCGTCAACGGCGCGACCACGGAGCTTCTTGGGGTCACCTTCAACAAGTTTACCAACAATGGAACCCTCGTCATCTTCGACGAAGCCATCCTTGTTCACGAAAAGGCTGTCCATGCCAGCGAATGGACCCTCAGGCGTGCTCTCGAGCTCGTCCTCGGGGATGAGCTCAACACGACCGATAACCTTCTTACCATCGTAGATCTCGCCATCTTCAATCTTCTTGCCAACGAGCTCCTTGGGGTTACCTTCAACAACACGAGCAATTGGGAAGCCCTCTGGACCAATGACATAGCCCGCCTTGTTGCAGGAAAGACCGTTCAGGACTGAAAGATCAGGACCAGCCTCCTCTTCCGGCTCAGGCTCCTCATAGCGCTCGGCACGACCGATAACACTGCCGTGGCGGTCAAGGACTTCGCCATCCTCATCCACGCCGCGACCGAGGAGCTTCTTAGCGTCTCCTTCAACGAGCTGGCCCACACGAGCGCCGTTCTCGTCCTCAACCCAGCCGTCTTGGACGACAACGAGGCCTTCAAGGCCGGCGAAAGGACCCTCCTCATCATTGTCGTCTTCGACCGGGAGTGCCTTGACCTTGCCGAGTACGTTGCCCTTGTTATCCCAGAACTGCCCCTTGTCATCAAGGGTAGCTCCAAGGCGGGAGATCTTCTTGGGATCACCTTCGATGAGCTCGCCGACGGGCTTGCCGGTCGCCTGGTCGATGACGAATCCACGCTTGTTACAGGCGAGACCCTCGAGGGTGTTGATATCAGGGACGCGGGCCTCGACATCGTCGGCGGCGTCTTGGGCGTCTTCAACGGCGCCTTCGCCGGCCTCCTTGATATCATCGGCAGCGTCTTGGGCACCTTCAACAGCACCCTCGCCGGTCTCCTTGACCTCATCGGCATCGACCTCTGGGGCACCGTCCTTAGCCTCACCAGCGGCGTCTTCAGCCTGATTGACACCTTCCTCGGCAGTGTCCTTGACACCCTCGACGGCATCATCGGCATCGACATCGGCGGCATCATTCACAGCATCCTTAGACTCATCGACGTCAAGGTTATCCTCGGCATCCTCCTTGACGTCATTGATCTGCTCAGTAGCACCGCCAAGAGCCTCCTCGATGGCCTTCTTTTGCTCCTCAACAGGAACAAGCTCAACGCGACCAATGGCATCGCCGTCATCATCAACAACCTCACCATCGTCGTTTAAAGTGTAACCAATGAGATCCTCGGGGTCTCCCTCAGTGATCTTACCAACAATCTGGCCAGCAGCATTCTTGATAACTCCACCATCGGAAACAGGCAAGCCTTCGAGTTGAGCGAGGTCAGTGGCAACCTGGTCTTGCAGCTCGCCGATTTTAGCCTGCGCATCCTCGGGAATCCCATTGGCCTTAGATTGCGCGTCTTCAGGAAGGTTCTGAGCCTGCTCAGCGACGTCGTGGAGGATATCCACGCGACCGATCAGGTCTCCATCCTCGTCGACGATCTCCCCATCATCGCCAACGGTCTGGCCAGCAAGATCCTCGGGGTCACCCTCGACAACTTGTCCGACGGGGTGACCTTCCTTGCCAAGTATCTGGCCACCATCGGAAACAACAAGACCCTTCAAAGAGGCCAAATTCAAGGGGACGCTGGGGAGGTTGTTCTTGAGAGTCTCTGCGCTCTGGCTGACGCTATCTTTGGCCTTTTGAGCGGATCCTTTGGCCTTACCCAGAGGGGCAGCAGAACCAGAAGCTTGGGAGACGGCATCGTCGGGAGGTGAGATAGGTCGGCGCTGCTCAGAAGCAGCGGTCTTCTTCTTGGACTTGGGAGAGGGAGTTTCGGGAATAGATTGTTCATCTTCGTCGTCGTCGATAGGCTGGGGAGCCTTGGAGTAAGCTTCTTCGCGGGGGTCTTCTTCAAGGACTTGGAGCTTTCGGCAACACTGGAGGGCTTGGATGCGGCGCTGGATCCAGAGCCTTTGCGAAGCTTGGCAGGAGTGCCGGCCTTTGAGCCGAGCTTGGGGGGAGCTTTGCTCACAGCGGGGGCAGACATAATTGTGTACTGTTTGGGATTGAGTTCCGGAGTGTATTGTGCAGATCAGATGAGAAGGAAATCGTAGACTTCCAGTGAGTATAGAAATTTTTCGTATAGTTCGAAATCAGTGTTCAAGGGCTGTGTCAGGTACAGTGACGTCGTGAATGTCGTGAGATATCAATGTGAGTCTCCGGCAGGGTGGTAGATATTGTACAGTTAGGCCGAAGGTAAGGTTCGAGACTAATGCAAAATGCTGTTTGGAATAGGACAAAGTAGTTGATGGAATTACTGTCACGAGAGAAATTCAACTGTTTAAATGAACACCCAAAGGTTCTGATATCATAGCAAACCTACAAAGCCACAGTAACAATGTACATAGGCAACTTCGTACCAGGCACAGCGATTAGAGCCTACTACGTCATGGGCAGTTGGTATCATGGCTAGCTTCATCCCTCCCTCCAATCCCGATTGATGGTTGATAGTGGTTGATGGATCCATCGTCTGCAGGGTGCACGGTTCAGAGCTGTGTGAGGGGTGGCCACAAAGCCACAGGGCAGCTGTTGCTATCATCGCTGGCATCATCATAGTGGGTCTATCAGGTGTGCAGATGAATGGATACACGCTCGGGGCCGATACCCCTATGCAGCGTGGGCTAGGGCGAATTGGCGTGTCAGAATGGGGCTGTGGCTAATTTGGGGTATGGCTGCATGGTTGAGGTGGAGTACAACATGGTGGTTCGGAGTATAGCATGACGCGGATGCCCTTTTGCTGTACCACCATTCTTCTGGGGCACAAAGTGTGCCCTTGATGACCTGATTGGGGTTCTTGCGTATGATCTGCGTGGCATTTCTCTATTACGATGTAAAACGTCCGACACATAGAGAACATGTACTTTGAAAATCAGACCACTGCGTATTCGCAACATCTCTTGACAGAAGCTTGACAGAATCATGGGGGAGCTTAACGCCGAATATTCAGGTTTTATTGTACACGCGTGCCCTGATTGATTTCTAAATCGGTCATAATTCCACAGCAAGAAAATTCATCATGAGTGCCAGTGACTGGTGGTCCGCAGGTTACAAGCCATACGAGCCATGGAAATTCTCAAGTCGGGCCATCTTTATGAAACATGAGTGACCCAATCAAGGCATGAATAGGGGGTACTTCCAGGGGTCCTTGCTCCAGTGTCTCCGCCTTGATTCGCCTCCGCTCTTACTGTCACAACCTGTCAGCCCCTGCCATTGTTTCCGTGGCTCAGTGCTCGCTGTCACAGACACGTTCGCTGCCTCGACTGGGTATCCCTGATTGAAGATACTTCTAACACAGCTACAGATTTGCGATCATCATTACCTCAGACGCCACAGATGGGCCCTAGGTGTCGGACAGTACGACTATACTTAACACTGTCACTTTCTCGCATAATAATTTAGCGTTCTACCCCGGGTAATAGAGAGAGGGGGGTAAAGGAGAATAACCTGAATGTCCTAGAGAGCCAGGGTAGCACACACGGTTCAAGCGAGCACCGATGACGATATGACCAACTTACTTATAGTATGCTCATTTCCACCAGGCCAAAGGTAGACTACATCGCACCGACCAGGTACCCCCTTGCAAATACCACACAAGCAGAGAGATCGAGGGTCGGGCGCAGCACAAACCACCGGAGTCTTGGTTGGATGAGATCATGATCGTTCGGGCGATTCATCATATTTAATCTATTATAGTGGAGCCGTCAGCCACACAAGTCATCCCGAGCGATAAACTGATATCATCGGTGCTAATTCAAGGCAGGACCAGTACTATCGGTAATAGAAAGTTTTCCACAAATTCCCCGATATCGTGCTCTCTCTATGTGGCTGTCTGGCGGCTCTTTGTATTCGTAGCACAATCTCGATAGCATTGATCTGCGACCGTTGCCGGCGTGGGATGACCCGCTAGAAAATCCCCGAACAAAGTATGGTTTAGCGCTAACGGTGTACTGTAAAATCAAGTTTTGTGGACCGCGCCAAAGGCCCTACTGAATTCAGAAACTGGGGGCGAAAGTCATGAAATTCTAAGGCAGAGTGGAGTTTCCACTTAAAATGTCCAGACCAGCTCCCAATCGGGGCCGCGGATCTGATTCAAGGCTTTCCTGCTCCCGTCACTGGGTCACGTGCATACGCGCTGAATGATCTCACGTGGCGTCAAATCCCACACACGATGTCTACGCTTTCTACATTTCCACGGTTCTAATGAGGTAAAAGATGAATCCTGTTAGCTGCAAATGACAGACCACTTGTTACACGTTGTGTGTGCAAGATACAAGGAACTAACACGCAAGTCATGCCCCCAGGAAAGAATCACGACGGGTCACGTCAATCTGTACCGCGTCTTGACGACTTTCCCGCTTGACTCTTATCTGCGATAAGTAGAACTATCCAGATGGAATGCCAAAAAATTGAATGAGACCAGGTTTATCAAGAAACAAAATAGAAATCTCCGCTTCCTGGAAAGCCTAAACCGACTAAGAACCCCACACAGCATCAAGCACAACATGTCGACGCGACCTGTCAGAATAATTTAACGACGAAGAGTGGGCTGCAGCCCAATACCATGGGATGATGGGTCCCGCTGAGACTGGACTATTTGAATAGCTTCCGGTTCGATAAGGTGTTTACCGACAAGATGCCGAACAAACTCCATCGTCCATTCCTGGCATCTCTTATTGGTTATCTACCCATGTCAGTACATATTCAGATCAGCAAATAATGATTCTCACATCATTGACTGGCGCTAGATAGTTATCACCGATCCCGGGTGTAGGTATCTCAGACGCTGCGAACTCGATTTCTCCTCTCGGGATCCCGTCGCTCTCTTTCACTCCCGATGAAGAATCAATGATTTTCGTAGAGTCAACATGGCCAATCTCAATCATCCTGTACTTCTCCGTCGAATCATCCTTTGGTGCATAGTTACGCTTCAATTCTAGGACGTAGCCTGTCATAGGTGCTCCGACGGCTTGTATCAACGTTCCTCGATCGGGGTGCTCGGCGGCAGGAACAAATATTGCAAAGTGCGACCGCTGTGCTTCAGTATTTCGGGAGCTTATCAAGAAAATATTTCTTGGAGACATTTGAAGTGATCAGTGTGATGTTGATAGAATGAAGCAAATGGACACAAACTTGACGTAATTTTGGTGTCTCCAATGCGGGGTACCCCAACTTTCCTGCCTTCCTCAGAAATCTTCATCCCGGTCAATATAATTTGCCATTTACTTCTGATGCTTTTATTCTTTCGTTTTGATGGAATATTCTTTATTTTTCTTTGTATTCTGGATATTTGTGCGGACACCTAGGAGAGTGAACGCGTCAACGGTATGATCGCTCAGATCTAGCTGACTGCCAAAAGACCGACCAGGCAAAGGTGGCAAATACATTTGAACAGGGGCCATATCTACAAACACAGCTGCGAATTGAAAATATGGTAGTTGGACTGCATCAATAGGCCTTTGGAAGTTGATTTCGATGGCTAATTAGAAGCAGAATGGGCACTGTCTACATTCTGCCAAGCAGAGATCTTGCTATGAGCATGAGCCTACTAAAGCGATAATCACCGGGGAATTTGAGGGACAAAGAAGAATATCTACCATATCTTTGGAAAACTTTAGTTGCCAGGCATTGAAGGTCTCCACTTGTACACCTTTTTGAGTGGAGACTTGATCACGCCGAGGAACATGTATTGAATCGGGAGATTCATGGAAAGGGCGAGTTGTGATGTGACCGAACAAGCAACGCTCACCAAGGCACGTCACGGCACTTTTCCACTTTAAGAACTTGCTTCAAATAGCTCTAGACAATCTATCAAGCAAAACAATCTTCAAAGAATGACCTCGAGATAACTATAGAAAAAGTGGGCCACAAGGACGAGGATCACATGGGAGTAGATCGGCCCGCATTGAGTTTTTGGAAAAAGTGCAATGAGCTACATTTTGACAACACACACTCTTAAAAAAAATCTTCTGCTGCGACTTACCGGAGCGCTAGACTCAGACCACCGCGAAGAAGTTCAGTCCCGACAAGCAGTGCCTTAGGTCTGATTGCAACAATAAAGCGGAGACTTTGCAACGCCCAATATGTCTGAAGCTGAGCGTCAAAGACAGTTACTTCTGCACTCAAGAATGCTTCAAGAGGAAATGGGTAGATCATGTCTACGCGGAAATGTCTTCAACATGAAAATTTAACATTGATTCCAATCAGCCCATACACAGGACGATACACAAGACACAAAGTGATAATCAGCTCGTCCTGACGGCACGCACCAGTAACTTTTGGACACATGGTCTGACAGCGATATAGCGAGCAGACCTTCGCATCTATTTCCAGTATACTCATATACACGCTCTTTCAGATTTTTTTTCCACTCTCCCCGCGGTGGTCTGTACCCAAAACGATCAACATCCCGACTAGGCTGAGGATGGCATTCCAAGGCGAGAGATGCGCTGGAGCAAGTCAAAGTGGGACTTATTAGATGCGACGGGTCAGGAGGTCATGCACAAGGTATGCAGATTAGCTTGAGAGGTCCTCGATATCACCGCTGCGGCAATGAAGTCCGGTGTGACTACAAACTATCTTGATGAAGTCTTCCACAACGCTTGCGTCGAGCAAGAGGTGAGTGCAATTCACCCTTTGTGAAAAACGTCAGATTATTCGGCTCACCGCGAGGCAGACACATTCTTCCCGACTGAGTTCCATCTCACTTCCCCGAGTCATTGTGTACATCTCCGAATAAGATTGTATGGCACGACATTCCCGATTAGCGAGTTCTTGACGGCGACATTCTCAACCTCAAAATTTCTCTGTACCTCGGCGGATATCACGCCGACGTGAACGAGACCTACTAAATTGGTGAAAAGGTCAAAGCGGATTAAGACTCGATCAGACTCATTGAAACGACGCAACAGGCCTTGGACATGACTATTGAGATAATCAAGCCAGGTGTTCCAATTCGAGAATTTGGCAAGATTTTCGAGAAGCACGCAGCCTTTAGAGGGCTTGCAGTCATGAAGGCTTGGAGTGGTCAGGGTATCGATCCGGAATTTCACCCTCCTCCTTGGATCCCCCACTACGCGAAGAACAAGGCTGTGGGCACGTGTAAACCCGGGATGACATTCACAATCGAACCGATCACGGCTTTGGGCAGGAACCGAGAAGTGTACTGGCTAGATGACTGGACAAATGTCACCGTGGACGGTAAATGGACAGCGCAATTCGGTGGGTTCAGACCTTTTCCGAGCCCAGTTGTAGGGTCTAGGCACCAATTTGAACATGATAGAACATACTGTACTTGTCACAAAGACATGTGTCGAGGTTCTGACCGCGAGACTCGAAAACTCCCCAGGAGATCCAATTTCAATACCGGATGCTGCAAAAGGAGATATGAGCAGCAAAATGAAAAACTGGTAATTTGGGAGCCCTTAGTACGGTCAAAAGTCGGTTAGTGAGTGGATGAAGTATTTCTCTTTCCACGGGTCGCTACGCTCATTAGACAAAGGTGGAAGACTAGAGGAGTGAAAGGCAGAACTTGCGGTGAAAATACAAATTTCCAAATTGCCCGTGCACCATATCGTCCGCCATAGGCATCACACAAATCTCACGCTAGACCTGAGTCTTCATGACCCTTATGCTCTGCTCGGTAGATCTCATCCTTCTTCACTGGGCATGTCGAGCAGCACACAACCGGACACTAACCCTTGTGAGACTATGCGTCTGGCCCTAGAGCGATTTCGCACCAAAATGGAGTCCTCTACTAGGCGATTCATCCAAGACCGCGTCATGAGATCGAAACTATTTATTTCTAAACCGAGGACGAGAAATTGAGTCTTATGCGTGTCTACCATTGTGAATTAGGAGTTAAGGCTCGAGTAAGTGGAATAATGCCGCTCCTATAAGCCCTCTTCTGCGAGCTCGCGAGACGGAGGAAGTCATGCACCTGTACAACGTATTCCACCACCTTCCCGCCCACACCGTTTTCCCGCCCACCCCCAAATCCCATAGTAATTGCGATAGATTATAACTCCATGTCTCAATGACTATTGTAGTGGGAGAACCGGTGACATAATAGCATATGTGTGGCCTCAGGCATGATCTAATGTCTGCAGTGCATAGTGTGTCTTTAAGACAGAAGTTGGAGATAGACTAAGCACCTGCCCAATTCAATTCCGGTTACCACCACATTTCCCTGTTCATGATGAAGCTTTAGGGAGAGCCCGTACGGCCTCGACAGGATATCCGTACGGCATCATTTAGGCCGATTGCCTACCCTTTCAGGCATTGTGTGTGTGTGTGTGTCTTCCAGTCTGCATTGCCAGACAGCCATCGAGCCGTCCCCGTTTCACTATCGATTTTTTAAATTACAATCTTCGCCTATAGCTATACTGAGTAATTTCTTTTAACTCTATAAGAAGTTATTAAATATTACCCTTCTTTACTTAAAGTTACACTACCCATGACACTTACGGTGTAGGCACATACACTGTCTTGTGCAATCTCTGTAAAGTACGTGAAGCTTACAGTGAAACCGTGATCCTACTCTGATTCTTTTCTTGCAGAACCCAGCTTGTGTCATACCCCTTTGGAAAGGCAAATGCAGTTGAAGACGCCGAATTTGACCGAAACGTTTTGTACACGCCGCAGTGTAGCTTTCAATTGTGCCGGTACAGATTCAGCTGCTAAATGGCCACAGATAACCCAGAGGAAGTCGAAGGCGCGCCTTGCCATGTCCAGATGATCGGCAGATCTATGAAGGATGAAGGACTCATGCAAGCTGCTCTCCTTGTTGAAAAAGCTATTACAAGGTTAATCCCATGAAGCCGCTTATATGGATACGCACTGCTACTAGCATATTCAAGATTCGGATACATAACGATATCGTAATGTACACTCACTAGTACGTGTACATGATTCACTTTCACCATCTCTGGGAAGGGATCACCAAGATAAAACGAACTCAAGCTCTGTAAATGCTACTTTCTATGATGCCATACGCTCCACACGACGCTGCAGTTCCTTGACCATATCTATTCCGACTTGGGTTGCCTCATCCAGGTTCTCCTCCGGCAGACCAAGCAGCTCATTCTGTGCCTTGGCCGAGCATTCACTGGGATCATCCGAGTAAAACGCCCTTGCGTAGAGCAGCTTACTGAAGCCAGCCATATTACCGCTCTTAACCAGTGCCAGGCCATCTTCGTATCTCTTCTTAGTCGGCTCGTGGTGAATCATCCAGTCCGCGTCGGTGGTACCCGTAACGCGCTTAACGCTCTCAAACATCTCATTTTGGCTGAGTACAAAGCTCTTGATATACAGCGCCTTGTTAAGCCACCCCGAGACAGTAAGACTCTTGTCATTTTCGTCGTCAGGAAGCTCCTTGAGACTCAGCACTCTGGCCACGGCGCGCCCAACCTGCGACAAGGTCGATACCGAGTTCTTCGTGTTGCCATCGTCATAGATCGTTAGGGACCGTTTGTCGAAGTCGAACCCGAATCGCGCCTCACCGCCCGCTAGGCTGTAATCATACCAAAATCCACAGCACACGGTGATCCACTGCATCCCGAGCCTCTCGATTTCGTCCCTGTTGGCCTTGGCCACGGGCCCCAGCATAATCTCCTCGCCGAGCTTGACTTGTTCAATGTCGCCAGCGTAGCCGTTAGGCATGATGTACGGAACACCAGCCTTGGCGGCCGCCTGGACTAGCTTGCTGTGGGTGTCGCGGGGCGCTGTGGGGGCCATTGTGATGATCAAGATCTGTTGGCCCTTGAGGGCAGCGACAATAGTTTCCTCGTCGTCATAGTCAACTGAGGCGACCAGGATGCCCTCGGGAAGTTTGTTGCTGCTATTTTTGCGGGACAGGGCCGTCACTGTGTGTTTTCCGGTTTGAAGGAGAGCAGCGGCGATGTGAGACCCAACAGTGCCTCCAGCCTAGGAGGATTTGTTACTTCTTGTTTTCATGGGTGCTGTTAGAGGGAGTTCACCTACACCGACAATGGCAACTCTCTCAACGGCATTCTTGAAGCCGGCGGGCTGGTCCTTGGCGTACTCAGGCATCTTGGCCCTTTTTGAAGTGGATATTGAATTGATGATCAATTTATATCAATTTTTATGAGCGTGGGGCAGAGTAGATTTTGAGATGTTTTGGCTCTTTTTTCCCGTTGGAGATGGTGGATGTCTATTCCTCCTTAAAGCACAGAATGGCTGTTCATTTATACACTTCAAGACCAGTCTCTCAACACCTCAATAGAACCATAGTTTTGCGCTATTTCTTCTCCATCACAGCCTAGTCACATTTGGTCACATTGGGCAAGTCCGAGCAGTTAATTCCGGACAGCTATTCTCCGCGCAACTCGTATCTCGGAAATGATCTGGCCAGACCATCAAACCTGATTCGCCCAGAAATACTGGCGCCTTAGAAGCCGTGGACCAGATCATTAAACTCTGAGTCAGGCAACGCGTGCATGAATGTCGTCGCAGCTGCACACTTGCGGGTCTGGGCCGCTCCAGAATAGCCGCGGCACATTCGGCGGACATTAACGCCCGTGATATTAAAAAACCCACAGGGCGAAGCCCCCCTATGGACGGAGTTACGTTAGGGACAACTAATGATCGCCCCGCGCTCGGCCGCTGCAGCCGCACACTTCTCAGTGACTAACACGGGCACTACCCGACAGCGGCCTGACTAACTCCGCACTTGCCGCACCGCACCGCACCGCACTAACATTGACGCGGTGTTAAGACAGCATGGCCGATAGTCCCGACTTACGGACCTTCGCGCATACCTCTGCAGTGTCAAGATGTTCAGGTTGAAAATCACTATGCGGAGACAAAAGAGCCTCGAGGCTTGTGCAGAGGCCCTGCTTCGAACCTCCAGGGACATGAAATCTAATAAATATACTACACGGCAGCCTATCAACGCATACATCCCAGGCACAAGTCGACAACATCATCTTACCGGCTGATTTAAGACTGTACTACAAGCAGTCTTACTCTGCGGGATTCCTCGTCCCCTGAGCCTTTGGGTCGCGTCATTGACCACCATATGATCTTTGCAAGAAAAAGACACTATGTCACTTGATAAGGCTCCCTCTGATCATTCGATACAGGGGCAGACCTCCCCCGAAGTCTCGAATGAGGACGATGAGAACAGCGTTGTCAAGGAGGTCCACGACAGCTACCCGGAAGGACATCAGCTTCAGCCCTTTGATTCCCACGTCGAACGCCCGCAGTCCCTCGCCGGCGAGATCCTCTTCGTCGCGATAATCTGCTCCTCCCAGCTGCTTACTCAAGCCGGTCTCGCCATCAGCATTGTGCCCCAGCACATTATTGGTCGTTCGTTCAGCATCGACGACCAGCCCGGCCAGTTAAGCTGGTTCTCCGCTGGATACGCTCTCACAGTCGGCACCTTCATCCTTATTGCAGGCCGTCTTGGCGATGTCTTCGGCCACAAGCCCTTCTTCGTGGGAGGCTACGTCTGGTTCGGCTTGTGGTCCGCTCTTGCTGGCGTCTCCGTCTACAGCAGCCCCAGCTTCTTCATTTTTGCCGCGCCATGCAGGGCATCGGCCCGGCTTTCTTACTACCCAATGCGATCGCTATCCTCAGTCGCTGCTACGACCCGGGGCTTCGCCAGAACATGATCTTCAGTCTGTTTGGTGCAACTGCACCCGGTGGGTTCGTACTCGGCGCCGTCTTCTCCAGCCTGCTTTCCCAGATGGTTTGGTGGCCTTGGTCCTATTGGATCCTGTGTTTTGCGTGCCTTCTGCTCTCCATCTTGGGCTTCTTTGCCATTCCAGCAACCCCAGCCCTGAGCAACTTAGAGCCTGGGAGTCCCAGTATTTGGCAGCGTATCGATATCTTCGGCTCCATCCTTGGTGTGGTCGCCCTGGTCCTCTTCAATTTCGCCTGGAACCAAGGCCCCGTGGTTGGCTGGCGGACACCTTACACCTACAGTATCATGACTGTGGGCATCATCATGTTCGTCATTTTCGTCCTCGTCGAGAAGAGAGTGAGCCACCCCTTGATCCCCTTCGGTGTCCTGCAGATAGGATCCCTCTTCACTCTGGCGTGCATCAGCGCCGGCTGGTCCAGCTTCGGTATCTTCGTCTTCTACTCCTTGAATCTCCTTGAGGTTCTGAGGGGCCAAACACCTCTGCTCACGTCCGCTCAGTTCACTTCGGTCGCCATAAGTGGGCTTTTCGCTGCGGGCGCCACTGGCCTGGTCTTGAGTCACTTCCGCGCTTCGACCGTGATGCTCATCGCCATGACCTTTTTTCTTATTGGTGGCATCATCTTTGCGACTGTACCAGTCCACCAGATCTATTGGGCGCAGACATTCGTGGGTATCATTGTCCTCCCTTGGGGTATGGATATGTCCTTCCCCGCGGGCACCATCATCCTGAGTCGGGCTATGCCGCGGCGGCATCAGGGTCTCGCCGCGTCGCTGGTTAATACCTTTGTTAACTACTCTATCTCCATTGGGCTTGGGCTTGCTGGCACGATCGAGGGACAGGTCAATGATGGAGGAAAAAAAAATTCTCCAAGGATATCGGGGCGCATTTTATATGGGTGTCGGTCTGTCCGGCTTGGGTGTAGCTGTGGCTCTGCTTTTCTGTCTAGTGGAGTGGCACCAGTCCACGTCGCCAGAAAAGGTGGCGCAGGAGGGATATGTTTAGATCATCTTCAATGGCAAGTTTACATAAATGCAATACTGAGTTTTAATAGACCATACCATAGTGTCACGCCGTGCCTTCATGAGTCGAGCCGCCGCTGAGTAGATTCAATCAATTTACAACGCCCTTGCGCTACTACAGCTGGATTTCGGGACCGAAAATTGACTGATATGGCTCGACGAAAAACTGATCCCAGTCCACACCCCAGCCAATGTCCGGCAAGGCGGGGTTGGCCTCGGGTTCCGGCTGCGCCTGCAAAGGCTCATAGCCCGCCTCGACAGCTTCCAGTTGGATGAGCTCCTTTCGTTTCTTTGCTATATTGAGGCTGAGAAGATGCCGCGCTATCGACAATGCCTGACGGGTCAGTCTTGTGTCCACAGCGCCGACAAGATGTTCCAATCCCTTGAAAGCAGCAGGGATGTGAGCGGAGGAGGCCGGCGTGTCGATGGCCAACAAGACGCAGGTATACTGGAAGACGCTGCCTATGACGTTCCACAAGAGACGGCCCTGGTCGGCTAGCTGCTTAGCTGCCTCCACTGCATTGTTACCGCTATCAACGACGAGTTGAATCATCTCATCGGTGATACCTGTCTTGAGCTGATAAATGCGTCTATAGAAACAAAACGCCAGGTCTGCCTTAGTGGCCACCAGGAACGGATGGGCGAAATGGAGTTTACTCAATGCCTTGAGACGCTCGAATAGCTCCTCCCTCAGAGTTGGAGGCTGACATGCGAGCTGGAACGGCGAGTTGGGCGACGGGATGATCTGGACTATCTGCACGAACTGGTCGGCAACGGATCCTGGGATCGGAATGATAGCCTGACAAGTCACAGCCGGGAATGTTACAGCTGAACGATCATATTCATACGACAGCATGTGATGGCCGGCCCACGAAATCCAGAAAATGCGCCTCAGTCGGTCTGCATCATGTCCAAGAACAGCGGCGCCGGCGATGGACGCCATTCGTTTGATGTTCTCTTCCTCGTGCAACCCGACCACTTCACAAAGATGCATGAGAGTGCACGACGCGACCCATGCACTACTGGGCCGGGTTGTGGCCCGGAGATAAAATAATCGCATGCCCCAAGCGATGATATGGTCAATGCTCAGCATCCGCATGGAGGCCGGATCATCAAGAATAGCTTTAGCGTACTGTAGAAGATCAGACTCCCGCGGGTATCTAGTTGGGGATAGGAACGATCCAAAAGCAGCGACGCCGGCGGCTACGGCGCCAAAAGCAACCGCGGTGCTGCCGGCGCCTTGATAATAACTCCGACATCGCTGAGCGTAGATTCTCGGGTCCATGTAGTCGCCGATCGGGCCTATTGCGGAGAAGTACACATTTGAGAAGAAGGCGAGATTTTCCTCCGAGATAATTTTCCCGAGGAAGCCATAAGCGTTGGAAGCCTCTTCAAGGCGGATCCCAAAGTTATAAGCGAACGAGTTGATCTTGGGGGGGCTGTCAGAGCCAAGAGCCACTCCTAAGACATGCGGGAAGGCCATAGCTGCTGATGCTCCGGTGTATCTGGACTTTTGCTCGTCGAAGATACCGGCCCCAGCGGTAGGACTCTTTGTCGATGGGCTGTTAGCTCCATAGGAAGCTCTCGCTGTATGAGATTGGCTGTCTGGGCTGCGCGAGTTGGTGGTAACCCCGCACTCCATACTACTCCCGCGGTCATAAATTATACGCTTGGCCTGTGGTAGAGCGTGCCCGGTTTCATTCACAGAGCCGGCGGTGTCGTCGTCGGCGTACCTGCAGTTATAATCATAGGTGGTGCACGTGCCGCAGGGATACTCCCCGTCGCATTTCCGCTTGCGCTGGTGGCAGGGTATGCATGCCTTCCTTGCACGCTTGCGCTTGCTAATCGTTGTGGACATGACTGTTTAGTTGCTAGGGCATAATCTTGGAGGCTTATTACAAGACAGTCAGGGGTGATTTGATCGGGTGTGGCTATGTTGGTAAGAGCGCTAAACTAGAACAGGTGAGGAATTCAGGACCCGCCTCAGTGCATACTTCCGCTGAAAACCCCTTTGCAGTATCAATCTACAACTCAAGTTTCCTTGTTCTCTCTTTTCTTGTGTTGTATTGTATTTGGCCGGCACGGGACTCGTGAGAAATTATGTGACTATAGCTTAGCGACCACATTCATTAGAAATACACTCCTACTCGTCGCATCTGTACGTAGTCATCTTCCTTTGTGGAGCGACGAACTAACATTTCAGAACACTAAAAAAAGGCCAATGCCATAACTCATCATAAGCCTACAGCACATTCTTTCATGACGTATCACACTATCTGCGGGAAATCTTATACAGATTGCGTGGTACTCCAGAGGAAGGAATCACGTAGTCCTTCAACTGAAAGAAAAATTGTTCGCGAGAATTAAGCGCTACTGGCGACAACTTGGTCTAGGAATCTTTACACCTACTTTTGCGGGTAGAGTTCTAGGACGGCAAATTCTCATGGAATCCTGGATTCGAAGTTTGAAGGTGACTATCCAAGACTCCGGAATTATCGCAGCTTGGCATAAGTCTCCGCACGAAGAATGGGAGTTGTTCAATATGAGTGCTGATGACCATGAGCCGACCGGATAAATGCAGGAGGGTGCCATTGAAGAAATCTAGTGGAAGACCGAGTGGTTAACTCTGGAAATACAGACAACAATGTTGGAAAGGTCAATCTGGTTGAGAATCTGGTTGAGAACCTGGTGAGGAATAAATGGATGGCTACCATTTCATGTCGATGCTTAAGTGGTTGGAACCACTTTGCGCAAGCACTACTTAATAACGGCTGCATGAGCTACGCGACTGTGAACGGTAACATAACAAACTTTTCTCATTCTCACGCGCATCTGGCTCACCACACCTAGGAGGTTAGATGGCGTGATTGCCGATCTTGGAAAAATTACACATGCGACATATCTTAAATTGAAATGCAAGGAAGCAAAACACAATTGCATTATCTCGTGTATCCTATGAATAAAATAGAAAACCCGATAATCTCGGGTAATACATGAATGAAATATGTAGACAGACGCCACTCTGCGCGGAAAAGGTACTTGTATATGCACACCCCAGTCCGTAAACACACTAACATTGCGCAGCATTGATTATGTCCGGAAGCATGTTGTGAGTGTTGTTCCACACCTGGGTCGAGCCAACGACAAACAAAGAACTGATATACCAAGTGTTTCTATGACCCTGGAGACCTTTCATCTTGCCATACCAGCCGCCAGCAATGTCCTTGATCGGAGGGGTCAGATGAAACGGGGAGTAATCCTGGAAGTCGACGAAGTTAGGCTCGAGGGTCTTAGCATTGTTCTGAGTCTGCAGCCACTTAATGGTGCTTCGAGCAGTGCTCTCAATCTCAGCCTGTGTCTGGGCCTGGACCGTGTTGTACCAATAAAAATAGTAACCAGGAGAAGCCGAGGGGGCAATCTCCACCACACCGGGCAGACTGGCGACTTGGTATGGTCTGTCCACGCCGACGTTAGTGTAAGCAACGCCTTCCTCAAGCCCGGTGTTGTTTACGACGCCCCCGTAGTAGTATTTGCCGGAGAGCTTGCTCAGAATGGCCTGCTCCTGCTGATCGAGACCGAAATACTTGGTGTTGTCCAAGACCGGCGGCATAGCAATGATAAGCTGTTTGGCCTTGATGAGCTTTTTGCCAGATGGGGTGTTGGCCACGAGCTGCACGCCGGACTTGCGTGTCAAGCCACGCTGAGCTGCAATGATGGAAGATTCCAGCAAGACATGCGGCTTCAACTCGGCCAGAGCGTTCACGTAAATCTCGGAATTGTCATTATCGGCACTGTGAATAGCAGCTCCCGCAAACTCTTCCAACTCAACGTGATTTCCATCATTAAAAATGGCAAGCGCGGTGGTGTCCAATGGATCGCCAGGGGTTGCTGGCCACGAGAGACCACCCACGGCCGAGCCGTAGGAAAGATTGTTCTTCTTGACGAATTCCGGCCAGGTAAGAAGCAGGTCGGCAGGGAAATTGTTGGGCAGATCAATGAGATTGTCAAGATAAGGATACTTGTTAAGCTCGGCAATGTAGTCAGGTTGAACAGTGCCCCGGGTGTAGTTGGTCAGGGCAACTTGCTTGGTGAAGTCATAATATTGGGGGATGCCGAAATCCTTGAGCTCGACATTGGCCAGAGGTGTGCGCAAACGGGCAAAAAACTCGCGAACGATCGGGTCGTCGAGGTGAATTTGTACGCCAAAGTCGACTTTGGCCCCAGTTGCAGGGTCATGGAAGGTCCTGGTGTGTCCCCCAAGTCTGTCCGAGACTTCGACCAGGGTGAAGGTTTTGTTTTGATCGGCCAAACTGATCGCTGCATAAGTCCCTGCTGCTCCTCCACCGATGATGGCAAAGTCTCGCTCGACAATGTCGTTCGCAGCAAACGCCGACGAATCGAATCGATGAGGAGTAGGGACAGATGCAGCCAAGACTCCCGCCGCGCTGGCAATGCAGAGGAATGTGGTTAACATCGTGCTAGTGAATGAAAGAATGGCAATAAGACTATGGTGGTTGGAAATATTGACTGCACTTTGTTTAAATATGCCCGAATTTCCGAATGCGACAACGGACGTCTTCTCTGACTTACGTTCCTCCGATGCGCTGATATGACACTCGAAGAAACTCCGGTGTCGACGCGAACTTAGCGGAAGGATCCGACGCAGCGGCCAAAATTTCTAGACGCCACATTACATGATGTAAGCTAGACCAACTCCATGATCTATCAGAGTATGCCTTTTTGGCACCGCCGTTGCGTTTGAAGTTTTAGGTTAGCGTGCAGCGTTGTCGGGAAGCGAGTGAGCCACTCCAAAACGTCATTGTTGATACATTTCATGACAATTGTATACCTCTGCGGCCATAGATTCCCGTAGAGTCTTCTTGTATATGTGTGCTCTTCATGTTGAGTCTAACTTGACTTGAAGGCGTCGGAGGTTTTTGTGTCGTGGTACCTTGACAATATATTCAGAAGCTCAACGACGAAGATTATAGTACAAGCTTGGCAAATACTCCTCCCTTACCATCCAATAGACCCAGATTCTTCAATATGATATCTTTCGCTCTTGATCACTGTCAAAATGCAGAATGAGTGGAACGAGCTTGTGATGGTTGAGAAGTCATTGTCTTGACTTATTGCCTTCACTTTAGTGTTCTGAAGTGGCTCAGGCGCTTATCGACTACGTTACAGCTTGTCTTATTTTGAAAAAGACTTTTGCGATATCATTGATCAAGGTGATACTCATTCCCACACATATTTTCAGTGCTGCGATCAATTCTACATTCTTAGCTTGGATCTATCATTGCGATCTTGGTTTCACTGTTTGACATGTTGAGAAACTATTCTTTAATCAGGCCAGCTCCTCAGTGGTCTGAGCTCATAGGTGCTCCATCTGACACATCTTGCAAGACTATCTTATGGGCCCGAGCCTGTTTAATTCAATTGCGTTGAGCTGGATTATCTACTGCTTAGCGGGTGAGCGGCGCGAGAGTCAAGCAGTGAATGGACAATAGATCATGCAATGCGCTATATAATTTGAATGACGCTGCTTAAGGTGGGCGTGAATTGTATCTGTAATAGATTGCTGCTGGAAATGGGGCGGAGATCTCACTTCTGATATAACCCAAATCAATTACAGAATGAGACCTATTTATAAAAATTTGATTGGCTAATAAGAGTGACGGATCCAGAAATGATACTTGTGTCATTTTAGTCCTCGAGCATTTATAGGTATTCAGCTAGCATCTGCTAGGTAGTTGAACCCTCCTTTGATCCTGACTTGCCTACGAGAAACAGAATCACTGCCGCTATGGATCTGTCCGCTTATTCATGTATTTCCCGAGCAAAGTTAAACAAATTAAGACACAATGGCGTCTGGCTATTTCTTCTAAGTAGTAATGTTGCATTGCATAGTTCTAACACTGCATACACGAGGTGTGGTGGGCCTTAGGTACAGTTAGCTGAAAGATAGGTTTCATCATTAAAGATAAACGAGCCCTTGAGTGGGGCAATACGAGTAGCCTTGGTAGTGAGGAGGTAGGCAGGCGCACAAGCAGTGAATCTACTGGTAGGAAAAGAAAGCTGGTGTCGCCTAGTATCGTGAACAACTCGCCTAACTCGACGCTATATGCTTATCAGCAAGAAGACGAGAGACGTGGACCTGGCACAGTTCCCAGAAATCGAGCTCCCGTCGAACAGTAGCTCTGGAGCCTCTATCACGTTTCTCATGAGCAAGTTGTACCTTTGCCAGCAGCTAGATCTCCGCAAAAATCTTCAGACGCAATGTAAGGTACGTGGATACGAATCTTTGTAGAGAGTAATATTTTATTGTTCTCTATACAAGGAAAAAAGTAATGACGGGCTCATTATCCTAGCTTCCTGATTTGCCGAAAATTTCCGTTCTTGCCGCGGGTTCTCCGTCCTTGCCGCAGATTTCCGTTCCTGCCGCAATCGTCCGTTTGTGCCGCACTTTCTGTTTTCGCTAGCAGTGTTCTTCCAAGTTCGTATTTAGGATGACATACATCAAGCTTATCTGTGAGGCGTATCTTTGAGGCGTGAAACACAGGGTCTCTTAGACTATCTTCCTAGCTCACGTGGGGATAGGGGTGTACGTCGTCGCGGTATTGGTCGTAGGCAGCATTCTACTAAAGTTGCTAGTGTCATGTAGAACGACCAACCAGAGAAGAGACTCCTCTGAATTATCATCTGTACGCGAGTTAAGGCCTCGTCTTCATCAAGTCGACCAAAACGAGCAACTTGTTCGGAAAACCTTGTTTTGTTTTTGCCCCCACATCAGATCACTTGCAAAGTACAAAGTGAAAGATAGGGCTATGTCGTAACAGGAGGCCTAGCCAAGGTAAATCCTCGATTCCATGACAAGTACATGCCCTGTAATCTTACTGCGTCGGTATGTCTCTTTGCCTGATATTCCCCCGTCGGTGCTTAGATATTGAAGGTTAAGGCTCGTCGTGTGAGTACGTAAAAAATGACAAGACTACTGACGCAACACGTTGAGATAAAAAATGACTGACCAGCCTTACACTTTTTGATCCTCCTGCAAGGCTTAGTCTATTAGCAACTAAACAGCTGAAAGAGCGTCAAGAATTGAGTTAGTCGAATTGCGAGCATATTAGTGGAGCCAGATAGAAGTAAAAAGCAAATTTTTCCAATATAAGCCTTCCTCAGTCTTGGAGGTGGTGTAAGCGCTATCAACGCAGACTTCTCGCAAGGTGCTCGCTCAACGTATACAGCCCGAGGCAGATCTAAGGCGGACGGGTGATCCGGATCAATAGCAAAAATGCCTCACCTTCAAATACGAAATCATGTTGAAAGGGGCCAAAAGTGAAAAGGGACCCTTCAAAGACCGGGGTGAAGGGGCCAAAAGTGAAAACGGCTCAGAGTGACTTACTGGGCGGAGCGACCGATGGCGCTAAAACGGGAAGGATCAGAGGCTAAGCTGGAAGGGTCAAAAGCTAGATGGAGCTCCACCGTAGTGGTCCGATGTACGCAGTATTCAGTGCCGCCGCACATGGGACCTGCACTCCATACTGTACCCTTGAAGCGGATCCTGGCGCGCCTGGAGATGTACCCTAGCTGACTGCTGATGGAATGGAAATTTGGCGTCGGCTGAAATGGACAGCAAATGAATGACGGTTTCCCAGACCTGCAATCGCCACCATTTCCTTTTCTTTTTGCGCCTCATAAAGATAAGACGACATTGTCTATTTGGAAACTACTTGTATCGACATACTTTTGAGGGATAGCCATTTTTCAAAGACTACAAAGATACGCTTAGAGATCTGACACTCATCCCTTGACATCAATTAAGGATCCTCGCTCCGGAAATTGACATTCTGCAACCAAAAGACCGACTGCGATTAGCTATTTGGGCGGGTACAAAGCATAGGCTGCACACAAGAAGTTATGGCGGGGCAAACACAGCGACAACAACCGGGAGTCGCTGTAAATGATCACCTTCGCCCATCCAAAGACTCTTAATTGCTAACATCTTTTTGACAAGTGCGAAGAATGTCGACGAAAACGAATCCGCTGCGATAGGGGAAAACCTCAATGTATGGCTTGTGCTACCTCCGGGGTAAACTGCGTAGTGCGAGACAGCTGCCCGCCTAGAGGGCCAAAGAAGGGATATCTCAAGACGCTACAGAAAAAAATTGGTAAGAGCTGCTCGCAATTACTCACATTATTTCCGCCTCTGGCTCTTATGCTGACGAAGATGTCCTGCGCTAGAGGACCTCCAGACTCAGCTAGGGAAACAACATGGGGCATCTACTCCCACCGCAGAGACACGCGCCTTCTCGCCCCCCCCAAGGGGAGAGGAACACGGACAACGAAGGTGGAAGCGGTGGAAGCAGTACAGACATTAGTGAAATTCAGAATACTACCAGGACGACCCCCGAAATTACAGATCATATCTCGCAATGGCCGGCACCGGTGGAATTTCCATTTCCCATGATCCACATGGAGCCCTGCGGGATCTTCGACAATTCGTACACAAGCTCGCCTTTTTCCTCGCTTCCCGCACTGGATCATCTTCAAGAGCTCGTCCATGTTCCAATGGAATCCGAACTCTTTATCACCCCTATGATGCACAATGACCTGTTAGTCTTTGACGCTGGAGGCTGATTAAAAAACCAGCGGTGTTAATACTTGCTCATAGAGACCAGCTTTATTTCGATCGGGCTTATGCATTTGCGCCAATAGTACACACCCATCGTTACCGTTCTTGGTCTAAACAACCAAATAAGAGCAAGCAGAAAACCTGCCTGCAATATGCTATGTGGACGTTGGCCTCGTCACTCTCCAGTCAGTTCCAGGTCGATGGGCGTAAATTGTACGCAAAGACTAGACAACTTCTGCATGCGCTCGATTCGGAAGAACCGTGTCACCAAATACCCCTCGAGCAGGCCCAGGCGTGGACCTTGCTTGCAATCTATGAGCTAACGTGCCAAGATTTCCACCGAGGTATGCTTTCCGCCGGGAGGGCCTTTCGCTTGATCCAGATGATGAGGCTATACGAACTTGATGTACCCCAAACACCTGCCACCATGCAATTGGATCAGTATCCAGGGCAACTCACTCTTCAGGGGTCAGTCCAGGATGATTGGATCGATATTGAAACCAAGAGGCGGACCTTCTGGCTTGCATATACAATCGATCGCTTCACGAGTATGGTTGATGGGCTGCACATGTTCTTCGATGAACGGCTGGTTAGTTTGCATCAAGTAATGCCTTACGCGAAAGAAAATATATTGACTTACTGCTAGATCCGTACTCGCCTGCCGGCTCCCGAGGCGAACTTCGCAAGTAGTCGGCCCACGGACATGAGTTTCCTCGCGGACATGATTCCGGTCGTCGGCCTAGAGTTGCCACACAAGAACCTGTCGCCCTTTACAGAGAGCGTCATCGGAGCTGCCATTTGTGGACGGGTCCTAGAACATAAACAGAAGCCTCCGACCAGAGCGTGTCAAGAATTTTGCCGTCGACATCGTTCTCTCCATGCACTGTTGGCGCAACGCATTAGGATGCTTCGGGTCTATGCATCAATGGAGTACCCAGATCCCATCATCGCCTTCGTTGCACTGGCGGCACATATAGCCGTGCTTATGCTCTATGATCTTATCAAATCAAGGCCCCTGGGTACCGACACACAAGGAACGCAGCTGACTCAAGCTCTCTACTCGGAACACAAGCAGCAGTCACTAGATGCCGTAGGTGATACAGCTGTTTTAATCGCCGTGCTTGGCCAGCACTTTCAGGTAAAGAAGTGCCCACCCCGTCATTAGGGCCCATCACAGCGCCAAAGCCGAGTTGCTAACAATCTAGCAGATGCACCCCTTAACGCCTATCCTGCTCCTCCTAGGCGCCCGATTCTCCCAATCCTACCCCGAGCTAGACGATGCCTACATCAAGCTCATGCCCAGCATCGTCACGATGTTGCAAGCTTCGACTGGGCTGAACAAGCTTGCGAAAAACTTTCTCCAATTTCTAAAGCCCCAGGATGACAACTGGTATGGCTTCACATAAGAACTGGGGACGTATCTAGACACATCTCAATGACGACATGTGAAAGGAGTGTAACTTTGCTTGGTGTTAAAATTTGATTATGCGGGCAATCTGTGGAGTTTGGAGAAGGAAGCTACTTGATGTTCAACGCGATCATTCATACATATACATATACATAGACAGAGCAAGACAGAAAATGAGAAGCTCCTTGTACTGTACAAGAGGCTTATTGCATAAATGTGCGTCGGTCTTGTCATTCTGTGCCCGTCTTTTTAATTGGTTGTCAGTTCAGGCTTTTTCAAGTCTCATCTTCGAGTTGTTCTTGCCGTTACGATAGGAATCATCATGATGCATCATACACGACTCGGGCAGGCCGGGAGCCCAGATTCGACGGGGGGGTCTGCTGGCCAATATGGCTGTAAGCAGATGTGCATTGGATCCAAAGCATATCTGAAAATTCCCCTATGCCCTTAGACTAGCCGAGGAGCCGCGTTTGCCGCATATGAAATCGCCGATCTTTGTTGGTTTTATTGTTATCGTGTACGGCCCAAGATCGACACGCTTTTATGAAAGACTGCCTCTTAGGCGCACCCGGGAAGACAAACATGAGGCAGAGAAGCTATGGAACAATTATCTCGACGCCAATTGATTTCATAGAATGAACATTGTTCCCATGACTTGAAAGTTTTCGTTGTAGAGCACCCCGGGCCTTCATGCAATCGCCCGCGCTCCTTTGCTCCTTCTGGTGCATTTTTGAAGCTTCTCTTGCCACAGCGTTTTCTTCGATGGTTCGCCCGCTGCTGACCCACGGTTGAGCGGAATTTGATTTTTTCTGCGAGGAACTTGCCATCGTCCATTGGCCCCTTCCAATATTTGTGTACAAATCTAGATGCTCGGCAAGCTACTGACATAGGCAAGGGAGAGCCCCGATGCGGAGGAAGTCAGCATTTAGACAACTGTCCAAGTCAACCTTGGGACGAAACAACCTGACTGTTTCATCACAAATAAAAAAGATTGAGGAATGTAGAACCACAATTCGGAAGAGAGATTTGTATAGCTGCATCATGTGTCCGAGCGATATATACATGTGATTGTGGTGTAGCTAGGGAATCAAAACACCACGACAAAATTACAAAAGATATCGGTTTAACCATTCAACCAATTGCGCCAACCGCATTACTGATCCCGGTATCAATTTAATGGAAAGGAAAAAGTCTTGATAAGTCTTTTATCGCAACCCAAAATGAAGTCAAGCCCAGCCCCGTACACAGCCTCTACCGCTACTCCCCTCTCTAGACAACTTGCAGATGTCTGCTCTTCTCCGCCACCAACCCCGCTAGCGCAAAAAGGCTTGCCGACTGCAAGATATTAAAGATTGAAATATCCGCCGCAGCCTGCAGGACGAGCATGTTCCTCAACTCCACCGCAACCAGCGAGTCGACCCCAAAGTGTGCCGGGGGCTTGCCGAGATCGATCTCCGCAACGGGAGTCATGAAGATCTCCCCCAACTTAGCCGCAATAGCTGTGCCGATGAGCGCCGCTCCTTCTTGGCAGTCACTCGCCTCCGCGAGCTGCGCGCCGAGCGAGGCGCTGGTGTTCTTGCCATCAGCCGGTCGTGCTGAGGCTTTGCTGCGTGGTCGCAGAGTGGCAAAGCGCGCGTCACGGCCCAGCTGCGAGCGGCCGTTGGCATCCCACTGCGGGCCCGGGGCAGAGTTGAGGCCGACGATGATCTGGGAGCGGGCCCCGAGAGGGTGCAGGATGGCGGAGTTGAGGGCACGGAGTACTATGTCTTCGTCGAGCATGGCAAAGTCACCATCCTTACGCAGGCGCTCAGCGACTTTGGCCGAGGTTGACACGTAGCCTATGTCGGCAATGGGGCCAAGGTCGATCGCTACGCCGGGCAGACCTCGTGATTGGCGCCAGCGAGCAATAGCGTCTTCATAGGAGCCGCCAGCGGCGTAGTTGGTTTGAGATGCGATGCCTACAACGCCTGAGACGGATGATAGCATAACGAAGAAGTCGAGTGAGCCTGGTTGCGAGAACTCGGTATGCAGGTTCCAGGTGCCATACAACTTAGGTCGTAAGCCGCCGCGCCAGTCGTCGAGTGTCATCTGCTCAAAGATAGCGTCGCGCAGCAACATAGCTCCCTGGATGAGGCCGCGCACTGGCGGGAGACCGTCGTCTTCGCACACCCGGAGAGCCATGGTCAGTGAGCTGGCGAGGGCAATGTCGCAGCTAATAGGCTTCACTCGACAGCCCGCCTCGCGCAGTTCGCGGATGAATAGGGCGCCGTCAGTGTTCTTGTTCTCATTGAGGTCAAGATCACCGGCGCTACGAGAGAGTAAGATCAGGTTCGTCGCACCGTGAGCTACCAGCCAGTGAGCGACTGAACGTCCGATCCCGCCCACACCACCTACGATGAGGTATGATGCATCGGGTCGCATTTGAGATTGAGCTGTGATCCCTTTCGGCCGAGGAACCACGTGAACCTGTTCGTCTGTTTCAGCCGAGAGCACAACCTTACCCATCTGTGCGCCCGTCTGCACGAAACGGAATGCCGCTTGGGCATCCTGCGAACGGTAAACAGCGAGGGGGTGGACTGCCTTCACCACCTGCTGTTCCATTAGGCGGGTAATCTCACTCAGCGCGTGGTGGACATTGGGTCCGCAGCGGCGCAAGAGCGTCGGGACATCCAAGGATGTGAACGAGATGCCGCGAGAGAAGGACTCCAGCGCCACTAAGCTGTTGCTCTCGATGTCTTTCTTGCCTATTTCAACCAGATAGCCCAGAGGCGCGATTGCGCTGAGGCTTGCCTGTAGGAGCGGACCAGACAGCGAGTTGAGTACGACGTCGACGCCGCGTCCTTTCGTGGCGGCCAGAACAGCTGGAGCGAAAGATACGTCGCGGCTAGTGAAGATACGCTCGGCAGGTATACTATACTCGCGCTGGAGTAGGTCTTTCTTCTCATGCGACCCGACCGTGGCGTAGATTTCCGTAACGCCGAGGTGCTTGGCCAGCATGATGGCGGCCTGCCCAATGGCCCCAGCCGCCGCGTGGATGAGCACCGACTGCCCAGCCACTAGACTTGCCTTGTCGACGAGGCCGATGTACGCAACAGTATAAGCCAAGGGTAACGACGCGGCGTTCACAAAGTCCATGCCACTCGGCATCTGGATAACGCCATGCCACGGGACAAAGGCACGGCTGGCGAAAGATGTGCCGGTCGAAAGCGCCATGACACGGTCGCCGACACTGTAGCCTTTTGTCTGAGCCTCAGCGCCGACGCGCGTGACGATACCTGCGCATTCGAGGCCCATGGAACGATCCTTGAGTTGGCCCATAGCGGCCATGACATCGCGGGAGCAAACTCCGTAGGCCCGAGGGGTAATTTCAACGAGCTCCGGTGTCAGCGCCTCATAGTTTTCTTTATCGTGGGTGAAAGCCAATGTGTCCAAGTGTCCCGGGATTCCCACTTCCAACTGCAGTGGCCGTTCGTCCTGGAATAGGGGCTCTAGGGGAATGCCGGCAATGGCCTCGATTCTTCCCTTCTCGTCCTTGGCCACCGGAGAGTAGCTCACCCCAGCTCGGCACGAGCGGGCCAGTGACCATATTATTGTATTGTTCGTCTTTGTAGTACCGGGGAACCTGCAGGACACCTTCACGCTCGGCGTATTCGAAATCAGCCGGACCAGCCTCAATGTCAGCACCGCCGAATCCCTCCTCGAGCACCTGCACGATAGCCGAGACAATGACCTCTCCGCCCAAGGACCATCTCTCGGCTGCCCGTGTCGGGTCGAGGTCCAGAGACATAAAGCGGCGGCCGATGTATTCGTTGCGTAGCACACGCAGGAAGCCTTGGTGTACAGCCCGTTCGGGTGCCTCGCTGTCGGCGGTACCACCGGTCGTGACCCATAGCAGGCCGCTGCATTGAGTGACCATGGCGCGGAGGCCTTCCATCTGCGATGCGTCGAGATCCGCCAGAATGGGTTCGTCAATCTCGCCCACAAAAACACAGATCTTTGCCTCATAAGTGTCGGAGCTGCTCTGCTCGAGCACCAAGTGGTCAGGGACGGGAGTCTCAGGGCCGGTCAAAGCCTGAATGCGCCGGGATAGTAGATTGACAAAGCCCGAAGGTGGAGGTGTCTTGCTGCTGGTAACCACGACAAAGCTCTCTGGATGATTAGCCTTGCTCAGGTCAAAATTTTCGTCCTCGACGAGAGGCACCGTGGACATGATGATACTGTTGTTATGGATAAGGTCGCTCTCCGAGTCACGAATCTCAAGATCGACACCACTAAGCCCAGCATCCCGAAGAACGCTATCCCAGGAGGCCGCCGTAAGAGTTGTGCGATCCAGTTCTTTGCCTTGCCACCAGCGCGGCAGCAGACCGAAGATGAAGTCCACATCCACTTGAGACTTGGTCGTCTCCACAAAGAGCAACGTGCCGCTTGGCTTGAGCAGGCTGCGCACATTGGCAAGGGCACTGGTTGTGTCTTTGGTGGTACGTAGAGCTTGGAAAGCCACAACGATGTCGTAGCTCTCTGCAGTAAACTTCTGCTTGGCTGGGCTCTGCTCGATGTTAAGTTGGTCGAATTCGAGCAAATTGGTCCACTCGGCCAGTTGGGCACGGGTATCCTCCAAGGACTCCAAATTTGGCTCGGTAATGTGCCAGCTCGCCACCAAGGGCGTCTTGGGCGTGCTAAGCGTCTCCAGTATGCGACGTGTCGCGCAGGCGCCGAAACCGGTACCAATTTGGAGGACGCGAGCGCCTGGATTCTTGTGTGCAATCTTGCGCAGCAGTGTGGAGAGCTGTCTAAGTGCTGTTGACTGGCGTATCGCATTGGCGTGGTACTCATTCAGTAGGCCACTCACTTCTTCCAAATTGAGCTCACCACGCAGGATGGATGGGAGAAGGGGCCCAAGGCGGCACACCAACTCCCCATCGACGCTTTGAGAGGCCGTAGCGGCTATGTATTGTTGACGCTCTCCAGATTCGTCCAGAGCCAATTCCTTGGAGGCTTTGTCGGTCAGCTCATGTAACCATGCGTAGTACCTAGCCAAGTGTGGCTGTTCCAGCAGTTGGGCTACATCCTTTGGGGCGAGCGCTCGTAGCGCATCATGGGCAAAATAAATGCACAAGCGCGGTAGATTTCTGACAATGTCGGCTTGGGCATCGGAGTCAGTGTGAACTAACTCCTTTTTGATCTGTGCGAAAGCCAGCGGGTTTCGAAGCGACAGATCGGGTCCCCACACGAGCTTGCTGCACACTTCTTGCTCCCACTTGCTGGTGATGGCAGAACCGCTCTTGTTTGCCACATCCTGGCGCGCCGTGGCTCCACTGCCACGCCCCAGAGACGCTAATTCAACGCCCTGGATCTTAAGCACCGTGGCGTCCGTCTGGCCGTCGAAAACCGTGATGTTAGCCATCCCGCTTTGAGCGTCGTCGTGCAGCAGTAAAGTGTCGCAGCGCAGCGTGTGGCCAATTTCGTGGCTGATGTCGCTCGATATCCACATAGATGCGACAGACCGCGGTAGCTTAGGGTCTTCCTGCAGAGCTCCTACACTAGGTAGTACAGAGTAGAACGCTACGACGACAGCATCGAGCGTGATCGGGTGCAGCAAGGTGTTCTGTGCCGCCACCACCGGGTCTGTATCGGATGAAGCTTCGTGACGGATCGTGATATCACATAGGGATCGCGGTTCCCGGCCATCCTGGACGATCCTTGTCGTGTTCTGGAATAGCGGGCCATGATAGACGCTGCGTGCCCTAAGGTTGGCGAATAAGTCCTGGGGATCCGGCTGGCGGGTGTAAGTAGACAACGGGCGGCGCTCTACCGTCTCAAAGGCAGCCGGCGCCCGTTCCACTGTGATCATGCCCCTAGCATGCAGCGTCCACCGGTTTTCCAGTGTCACTGACGATACCTCAAAGCGCCACCAGCCGCGGGCGCCAACTTCCCGCTCAGGGACAGATTGAAGCATAGTTCGGATCTCAACGCCTTCCGCGCTGTCCGGGATAACAAGAGCAAAAAGGAAGTTGACGTCGCGAAGGCGGAATCCTGAAATTCGTCTGCCAGACTTGTCTTTGTCGGCGGCACCGGCCTTCTCCAATTGCCTAACGGCCTCAATTGCAAGACAAATGTAGCCCGAGCCTGGGTACACAATACTGCCTTGCACCACATGATCGCGGACCCATGGGGTTTCGGTAACGCGCAATATACGGCGCCACACGGCTGTGCTGGGGTCGTTGCCGGCGACGGGCATGCCGAGTAATTCATGAGGTGGCTGACTGCGTTCGCGAATGGCCCGGTTGACCCTTGACTCCTGCCAGTGCCGCATACTGTGATTCCAGGGATACGATGGCAAGTCCGTTAAGACTTGGGGGCCGGCGTCGTCATACGCAGGCACCGGGAAGTTGACTTGGTTCATGACGAGGGCCTGCCCTTCACGGAATAGGTTGATGGCGGCCGATCGCATACTGTCACCCGCATGTTCGTCGCGAACTAGACAGCCCCAGTAGGGCAGCTCGATGCCCTCAAACTCGGGCAGGGATAAGATCTCGCGGATGGGGCCCCCCAGCGCAGTATGAGGGCCGACCTCGAGCAATACATCAACACTTCTGCCCGTCGGGTCGTCCGGATCGCCCAATACCATTTCGGTAAAGGCGTCGACAAACTCGACCGGCTGCACCAAACTACCGACCCAGTGGTCGGGACTGGCGATCTGCTGAGGGTCGGTGATACGTCCACCAGTGACTGCCGACGAAAACACCGCCTTGAGTCCTTGCTTGGCTGTCCGCAGGTGCTGCTTGCCACTTTGCACCACATCCCGGGCCATTTCAGATCGAAGGCATTCCCGGTAGGCATCAGCGAAAGAATCCATATGATGTGAGTGGTACGCCTGTTGGACTTTGAGACGACGAGCGAACACGCCATCTTGCTTGCACAAGTCCTCGATCTCTTGAACGGCATGAGCATCCCCAGAGATGGTAACACTCTGAGGGCTGTTGACGCATGCTACAACAGCTTTACCATTTCCCTTCGTTAGTCTATCAAGGTAGGACTGCACTTCCTCAAAACCTAAGCCGACCGCTGCCATAGCACCCTTCGCAGCCCCGGGTGCGCGCTGTGTTTCGTCTGCTACGAGTATGGCGCGGTAGAAGGCCGTCGCGATAGCCTGACGATGCGTAAGGGCGCCCACGGCGAAGGCAGCTGCAATCTCGCCTGATGAATGGCTTGCGACCGCGGATGCCGTGATTCCCCACGTTTCAAGGAGGCGTACCAATGCGATTTGAAGTGCCACGCACACAGGAATGCTGATCATCGTGGTGTGAACCTTTGTCGTCTTTGCGTCGCGCTGTAGCTCCTCAAGGAGTGACCAGTCAGCCCCGAGGGCATGCAGGTACACCCCAGCTTCCTCGATAGACTGGCGAAAGATAGGGTAGGAGTTCAGTAGCTCACGGCCCATGGCATACCATTGCGCGCCCTGACCGGTGAAAATCATGCCTATGCGAGGACTATCCGGGGCTCGACGGCGGGGCTTGAAGTGAGGCGAGTCAAGGGCTGCTATGGCGGCGTCGAGGGTACCGTCCTTCTCGAGACGCACTTGGTGTGCCGCAACCCACTGGAAGAGCGTCCGGCGCTCGCCCAGCGTGTAGCTGAGGTTACGTAGCAGCTCCGCGGAGGCCTCGTGTCCAAGCGATCTGTGCCTTTCCAGGTAAGCCTTGAGGTCTGTAATCATTTGCTGACAGCCCTGCTCGTCGCGCGCACTGAGGATTAGCACTTTGGTGTCGTCAGTCGTATCGCTCGTGTGATAGCCGTTGCCATTGACACCCCCATCACTATTCACACTGTGACTACCATTACCATTAACGGGGTTTAGATCCAGACCTGATGTTGAAGTCCATGGGTCTGCGTTCTCCAAAATGACGTGGGCATTCGCTCCGCCGTAGCCAAAGTTGTTGATCGACATGCGGCGCGGACCATCAATCAGACTATCAGGCCATTGCTCCATCGTCCTCACCACTTTCAGACGCCACTCATCGAGCTTGAGTTTTGGGTTGGGCGTTTCATAATTTACTGTAGGCGGAATCAAGCCTTTCTCGAGACACAAGACACCTTTGACCATGGCGGCGAGACCCGAAGCGGCCTCAGTATGGCCCACGTTGGTCTTAACGGAGCCAATACGCAGGTAGTGCTCCTCATGGTCACGGCCTTCACCTCCGCCAAAGATAGCGGTCATAGCTCCCGCCTCGATGGGGTCACCGGCTGGAGTTCCCGTGCCATGGGCCTCAAAGTATTGAGTGCCGCGCGGGTCGAGGCCAGCCCGGCGGTAGCATTCTCGCATGAGCTCTACCTGGGCGGTGCCGGATGGCGTCGTGATGGTGTCCGTCTTGCCATCCTGATTCAGTGCCGTCTCGCGGATCACGGCCCTAATCGGGTCGTTGGCGGCCAGCGCGTCCGACAGTCGCTTGATGATGATGGTGGCTACGCCTTCTCCGCGGCCGTACCCGTTGGCGCGTGAATCGAAGGCGTATGATCTACCGTCGGGTGACAGCATCCCTAGCGACCCGATCGCCTTGAATGTATCCGGATTAAGCATCACGTTGGCTCCGGTCACCACGGACATGTCGGCCTCACGATTGCGTAAGGTGTGTACCGCTTGGTGCAGGGCGACCAGTGTCGTCGAACATCCCGTTTCCAGAGTCATACTGGCGCCACGGAAGTCATAGAAATGCGAGATACGATTGGATGACATGGGGCTCCATGTGCCCACCACGTTGAATCGTGGCAGTCTATCTTCGTCTCGTATGATTCCCTCCTGGTAGTCATGCGTGAAGACGCCAGCGAACACGGACGTTTGTGATCCCATCACCTGCGAGAGGGGTAGGCCAGCTAGATTCCGAGTCATTTAGATGTCAATGTAGTCGAAAGGGATAAAGCAGTGAGAAGTTACCATTTTCGAGCGCCTCATAAGTGAGACTCGAGCTGCAGCCGGAATTGGGGATCGACTACCTGGGCCATCTCCGCCGAGTAATTGAAAAATGCCGCGTCAAATGCTGCTACATCATCGTCAAGAAAGTGACCACCCTTGACATGTGTCTGGGACCGTCGTCAGTATGTTGTTCGTATATCAATAGTGCGTATGTTTATTACACACCGTGCTGTTTCTTTCGTGGTTGGAGTGGTAGACCCCCTTTAAGTTGTATCGGTCTTCTGGTATTTCGCTCCAGCCGGTTTTCCCTGAAGCCATGAGGTCCCAGAGCTTTTCTGGGTTGCTGGCACCGCCCGAAAATTTGCAGCTCATGCCGATTACGGCAATGGGCTCGGTGGCCCACGCACTATTGTCGGTATCCATTTTATCGAGGTGATGAAGGCCTATTCAAGGTTCTGTAACCACGTCGTGATGTTGAAGTAAATGAGACTTGAATGGAGTAGATGGTGGTCGGGACACTGGGTAGGAGTTGGTGGGTGTTTGTAAGGGGGCTAGATTATACAAGAATACACCATACACCATGGAAAATGAAAATGCGTCCTGTCAATACTTCGTGTTGGTCCCGTTCGCAAACGGTGTATATAGTACCATGGAGATGGCGGGTTCAGATTCATTCAGGGCGAACTCAAAGATGCGGACCGTGATTCACCGGCATTGGCAGCACTCCGTTCATGGAGGGAAGAACCAGTTTACCGAAATGTCCACAATGACCATCAGTTGCGAGCATCTCGGCTTACAATGGGAGACATCGTGGCGGGCAATACTAAGTCCGCCTCAAAGGTTTCCCCGGCTGATTCCAGGTCCGCTTCAGGAAATTCCTGAGAGGGCACCGATCGCGAATTTATTCCCGAACAGCCTGGTATAGTCTGTACCGGACATTGCTTAACAAGGAGCGAATGATACAGCGGGTGATTTGGAGACGTGCTCCACCATTTGATGATGTGGTGTCAATGTCATCACGAAGAGGGTCTCGCGGAACGTGGCCGCAACGCGGAGAATCTCACACGCGTTTACGGTCAGACCCACATTGCTTTCGATCCGTCACATCAATTGACCCAGACGTGAACCGCAACTTAGTTCTCTGTTTACCCAGCAAGACAAATATGACAAAGCTGGCCATGAGTAACTTTTCGAATTCGCTACCCACATTTCCGACATGTCAAATGGGTCTTCTATGACTAATATAAGGGTCCAATGGTGAAGATGGAGATGCATCTGCCTATTAATCTACCTTTTCATGCTCGATGAAGTGAAATTAAATTTACATTGATTGCTTCCCACCCAAACTCATTTTGTACGGAACTCCTTGTCTTCGCCAGCGTTCTGGGCTCGAAAGCCATTGGGGTTGCCAAGAAGTTACAAGCCATCAAGTTGTCCCAAACTTCGTCATGGTGATTCTAGGCCTGGATTGATACTGCCAATCCCGGATGAAGCAAAACAGGCGACAGTGTAAACCTGTGCATGACTGCTACAGCGTCGGGAAGATTCCGGCAGAGTCGCTTTTCGTACATTGATGAGGTTTCGAACGTAAAATGATATGTATTGGCCAAATATACATTGCAGATTTGGAGACAATTTGAACCTGGGACCCTGATTATTAATGACCTGTTGAATCGGCGAGCAGCTCGTCCGCCACGGTTGGGTAATTGCATTCGGTGACGATGAGAGCCAAAGCTAGGGCGCAGCCTTACTCGAAGCTGATGTGTAATGGTAAGGGGTGAGGTGAGCCATTCACGCACGACGGCGTAGAGCTAGAAGGCGCCTTCGGGGGTGTTGTTGGAGGGGCTGAAACCGACCTTGGCGAGGATGCGGTCGCCAACGCGGAAGGGTGTTACGTTTCCTCCTCCGGCGATGACAGTTCCCGAAATAACTTTGCCAGAGAAGGAGAGTCCCGTCGCCGAGGAGTTACTTCAACCGTTCGGGAGGGTTGATGCCTACGGCAGCGTTGCGGACCAGCTAGGCTGCTTAGTCCGCTGGATTTCGGCCCATAAGGGTGTGTCACTGCCATTTTTTTGGTCTTTGCTTGAAGGTGCGAGATTATAGGTTGGCCGCGGTCCAGTACAGTAAGAAATAAATTTAGAGAGACAAACCAAGCGAACGATCTGAGTTGTTTCCCGCGCCATGCCGATCCTTCGGCTAGTCCTTGCTCTTGCGCGGCATGTTTCATCAGCTTGCAGTCGTGAGTGCCGGATCTTGGTCAATCCCCAGGCTCCACGATGCGGGAATTCGCAGTTGAAGCGGACGCAAGGGACATTGAATGTCCGACAGCGGGACACGAACCGGAGGACGGACGAACATCAAGCGCTAAATCCCCGGGTTGGTCAAACGAAGACAGCCATGCTCGTGCCTTACGGGAAATCGATCTGCGAGTGCGGAGGTCGGAAATATTATGAAATCGGAATTCTGTACATGGTGTATATTGTATACTCCGTCTGACCCGATTAACTGTGATATAGTAGGGGGTTTTGTCCATCTGTAGCCAGCAGCATCGACAACTTCTCAGCAGCATCGACATCGAAACCTAGCTTCACCACGCAACAACAATCATGGTACAAAACGGCACACCCCTTCCCGCCAAGCTCGCCGGTCCGCCTCTGAGTGACCGCGACGCCGTCGCGGACGCATGCTACCGCGCGTTCCTGTCCATCGACCAGTCCAGCGAGGAGCTTCTCAAGTCGAGCGTGACACCCGACGTCTACACCGATATTGCCTTCAAAGTCTGCAACGGCTATGACGAGCTCAAGACTAAGGTGTGGGAGAATGTTAGCGACCGGGTCGACACGGTCCACTACCTCACCAACGTGCGTGTTAGCCTCGACACCGAGACCACCGCCCGCGTAACATTCAGCGCTATGGCTGTGCACTGCGTACTCGGCAAGGGTTACGAGCCGGATTCTGTGAAGTTTACCACTGGTGCATTCTACAACTGCGACGCTGTCAAGGTGGACGACCTTTGGAAACTGAAGATGATGAAATCTAGCCATGTTTGGTCCACTGGGGATCGATCTATCATGAAACCACCCCAGTGAGGGACGGAAAGGCATGGATGATCTATGTATTTGATATTGCATGAAGAAATCACACGAGACATCTATCGAGCGCCGTGTCTGATAAGTTGCCTTACGCATGCATTCAATACAAACTTGCGCGAAACTCGTTTCATCATGCCACTCGGCACTTCCCGAACAATTTTCTGGTTAAGACGTGAAACGTATTTAGAAATTTCCGCGAGCAGTTTGCTAGAGAGTTAGTGTTTTTATTCCGCTTCTCATAATAAGGAAAACCCATGGTATCTTTGCACTCTGATCACGAAGCTAGCGCCGGGAGACGTGGGATGTCAGTATATGAGATTAATTGGCTTCGGTCTAATGATCCAGAACACCTACGGAAACGGCGAAAGCTACAACAAGATTCGAACAACAAGCAGAGATGTTTGAAGAAGGACAGAAATGCAGATTCCCAATTTGATATACTGATATAGGGTGACAGTGGTGGTCAATAAGTACGCAACTGTTTTGAATTTCCCTGGCAAACGCTATCTGATTCTCTTCATTAGGCCACTACAGTCTGAGGTAACCGAGATGGCGATTGCTTCTCAGCTCCCGCCGCAAAAGTGGTATGAGAGTCCCTTGAAGGCCACGCCAATTCGCGGATTTCAGGCCGCAACGGCGACAAGACATCATAGTTCACAACCGTGGCCCAATTTTCTTCAAGCTTCCGCTTCATCCGCTCTGGGTCGCGGCCCGTCGGGCCGTACCGCCAATGATACATCTGGCCCATCTGGCGGGAGTGATGATGTATCCACCGGCCACGCTCCAACCTTGCCCCACTGTAGGTCTGCAGCGCGTCGGTCAGCGCCTCTCTCAGCGCATCGCCGCAAAGCGCCTTTTGCTGCACCGACTCCAGGAGCGCGCAGATAACAAGGGCGTCCTCAACTCCGGTGCAGGCGCCCACTCCCAAATACGGGGTGCTGGCGTGCGCGGCGTCGCCGACGAGACAGGCGCGGCCGCGCGCATACGTCGGAGGCGGGTTTTCTTCCAGATCGAAGATTCCCCACTTGACCACCTTCTCCGGATAGAGCTTCCAGATTTCGGCGAGCTGCGGACTCCAGCCCTTGAAAAGTTGCTCGATCTCGCTACGTTCTGCCGAAACCGTCATCTTGTCGGGGTCAGGAAACTCCGAGGGCTCGTAAGCGAATACGGCGATGTTGAGGAGAGTTCCGGACATGACCTATTAGGATTAGCGATCCCGTCTCAGACGGAGGGGTTGGTTGTCGAACCGGATACACCAGCAGGTCCGCGCCTGGCCCCAAATGATTACAGGCGCTCTTCGCAACCTTCTTGCCAAGGGCGGCGATGCCCACATCGATAGGAACCATTGTGCGATAGGTCACGGTGTGACTGAAGCCCGCCCGGCTGGCCGGATGGTCGGGACCTAACAGGACTTTCCGGGTGGTCGAATGGATGCCGTCGCACCCAACCAAGACATCGGCCTCGGCTGTGCTTCCATCGTCGAAGTGGAGAATGACCTTGCCACTCTGGGAGTCATCGTCGTAGCTCACGAGTCGTTTCCCAAACCTGGCCGCCCCGTCAGGCAGCAAGGCCGCCATCCCTGGAGGAATTGCGAGCGCACGCAACCCCAGAAGCTAAGGTTGTTAGTCGGCGTCCGGAAGAGCAGCGACTTTGACTCATCCTCAGCATCCTCTCGAGTCCGCGGGTGGTAGCCGTTCCAGTAGGCGTTGCTCGTGCTGGAGTCCGTCTTCTGGCTGATGCTGCCTAAGAGCTCGACGAGAGCAGGGTCTATCTGCTCCATCCACACCCGCGCTGCGCCCGTGAATGCAAATCCGGCGCTGACCTCGTGCCAGGTGGATGCCCGCTCGTAGATGACTGCGTTCATGCCCCGGCAACGCAGGCCGATCGCCGTCATCACGCCGATTATTCCACCGCCAACAACGGCCACCTCAAGAGAGGGTGCACCGCTGTTGCCATTGATGCTGCTGCTCGCCATGTTGAAAATGTGAATGAATTCAGGTAGTGCCTATATTCCGGTCGATTTGAGTTGAGCTGACTCGGAAAAACCACGCAGGACCAGGAAGGTTATAAATACAACTCAGAAAAGGACAATGAGCTCGCAATAAGCAAGATACTCTCAAGGATATGCTTGAATAAATGAGATTAATATATTTATCAATCTGTGTATATATAGGTCATCTAGAAGATAGACCATTAGGTGTGGTGGCGAAACGGATGAAATGTGAGGCGGAGGCCCGCTCACAGCCCCTGCGGCTTAGTCCTGAGCCCGGACTTTCAATTCACCTTGGCTTGCTCACCATCAATCAGCCAGGATCGAGAGTTTACAGTTTCTGTGGCGATTGGCTCGGCCCGATGACAACGGCGTCGGACGGCGTCGAAACAGCTATTGTGCAGAAGTACCACGGAGTTGCATTCGATACCAAACGCCTATACACTTGTGTTAACATTAAGTCTTTGAAAGTGGATAATGATAACGCACATATGCATCTATTCTGCAACTTGCGGACAACGCCGCGTAGATCGGCCTCATTTTCGACGCATCCTCCATGTGCTTGCCACGTGCATCTCGTCGCCGGGATACTGGGGCCATTGCTCATGCATATCAGAAGGCCGAGAGCCTTCCACGTTCCGTGACTTGCGTGCTATGACTTCCGGCATTAGGCATTCCGTTTGTGCATCGAATTATCAGCGCTTGTCCGTCGTGTTGCCGACTTCGCTGTTATTTTGTTCCGGAAAGAAGTCCTCTGCTGTAAGCTTTCCTTCTGCACAAAGGTTATTGCGGAAAACAATCAGGCCTAATACTTATTCCATACGACAATGGAAAGTTAACCAAAGAAACCATCGCCTTTATTTATAACAACAGAAGATAGACATTGACTTACCTGCGCAGCAGATATTCTAATGAACATACATACCCTCTTTAGTCGTTCTTCGCATTATTTCCTTACTAGATCAATCCAACCTGCACGACTGAACTTTCATTCGTCCACGATTCTTCAGGGTCTTAACAAGACAATCAGTCGCCTTCACACACGCCGCGTCAAGCAACGATGATGGCCTCAGCTCTGCCTACCTCTTTACCAAACGTCCCTGAAGCGACGAGCTTTGTTTTCGGGGACACATCGGGCTACAAAGCAAAAATTCGCTGGAAAAGCACGTGCGGCAGATTGTGAACGGGGCAAATGGAGACTGGATACTGGAGACCTTGGCCGGCCTGCCACGCTACTGGGAAGCTATGACTGAGAAAATCCCCGAAGTGGCCAGCACAATGCAAGGTGCTTGTCTACTGGCCGATCTCGATTCATGGTTTCGACATGGCCCTGCCTCTGTTGAGTCGCTGGCTCCAGATGCCGAGATACCAGATCTTTGGATCGGCGTTCTCATGGTCGCTATTCAGCTGGATCAGTACTGGCGCTATCTTGAGTTTCGATTCAACAGTCCGACTGGAAAAGATGTGGACGACTTGCAGGCAGAGCTAGTGAAGCAGCAAGAGCAATGGCCTGGCGGAAGCAACAAGGTCGAAACAGTTGGTTTCTGTGCTGGCATGATCGCCGCCATCGCCGTTGCCAGCTCCCACAACCGACAGGAGTTTAAAAAGCACGGCGCCGCGGCGTTACGTATCGGGGCGCTGATGGCGGCCCTGGTAGGAGCCACCGAAGAGTGGACTAAGCGTCTCGGCAAAGGCGGGTCTGTCTCCTTGGCTACGGCGTGGAGAAGCCACAAGCAGGGCGATGATTTGGCGCGCATCGTCTCGAAATTGTCTCCTGATGCCTACATCTCTGTCCTTTTCGATGAGTCCCGAGCTACTGTGACGGCGTCGGAGCGCCTCGCGCCCAAACTGGTTAGACAGCTTCGAGCAGCAGGCGTTACGGCCATACCGCTCGCCTTCAAGGGCCAGCTCCACACGCCCACAGCAGAGCGGGGACGTCACACCGAAGCTTTGATCGAATTGTGCCAGTCGATTCCCGAGCTGCAGTTCCCGGATGCCGCCCAACTGGCATTGCCCACTTACCTCGCCCACCCCGAGGGAAAGCAAGTCTCGGGTGATGAAGTCGACTTGATTGGCACGGTGCTGCGTTCTATCCTGGCGAATCAGTTGAATTGGACAAGCACCGTTTCGAAGCTCGCGGCGAACAGGAAGGACATCTCCCTCATTGCATTTGGGCTCGACCGCCCTCTGCCGCCCACCATTTTGCGCGCCTTCGGTTCTAAGCAAGTACACTTCGAGGATGTCGAGGATGAAATTAGCAAGTCAACAGTGCACCCGCTTCGACAACCGCAAAATAATGACGCAGTGACCCGCTCGGACGCTGTCGAACCAGTACAGGTCGCTGAACCGAGTAGACCCAGTGTTCAGCCAGAAGAAGACTTCGAAGATGTGGTTGCGGTCGTGGGCATGTCCCTCAAAGTTGCAGGTGGCAGAGACCTGGAAGAGTTTGAGCAAATGCTCAAGACCGGAGAGTCGCAACACGAGATCATCACACGCGAGAGGATGATGCCAGACATGTTGTTCCGCGACAACGCTGACCCCGACAGGAAGTGGTATGGCAATTTCATGCGCGACGCGGACTCTTTCGACCACAAGTTCTTCAAAAAAAGCCCACGTGAATCGATGGCGATAGACCCGCAGGGCCGACTTTCGCTGGAGGCCGCGTACCAAGCTCTTGAACAGTCCGGGTATTTCAAGGAGCTGGCCACGACCAGCGCGGCTGAGCACGAAAGACGGAAGCACATAGGTGTTTATGTCGGCCTCTGCTCTTACGAGTACGATGTTAACATTCATTGCCATCCGACCAGCGCGTTCACTGGGACGGGGGAGCTGAGAAGCTTCATCCCCGGGAGAGTGTCTCATTATTTTGGATGGACGGGCCCATCGTTGACGTTTGATACAGCATGCTCATCGTCCACGACGGCCCTTCACATGGCCTGCCGGGATCTGCTGTCAGGCGAAGTCCCGGCGGCGCTTTGCGGTGGCGTCAATGTCTTGACGAACCTGCAATGGACACAAAACCTCGCCGCCGGCAGCTTCATCAGCCCGACAGGCCAGTGTAAACCCTTCGATTCTGATGCTGACGGTTACTGCCGTGGCGACGGGATCGCCTATGTCTTCCTGAAGAAGCTATCAACCGCCGTGGCCGATGGTAACACGGTCCTGGGGACCATCCGCTCTACGGGTCTCAATCAAAACCTCAATACCACGCCACTATTTGTTCCCAACGTACCCTCTTTATCGACACTGTTCAATCATGTAATCCGCAAAGCCCGCGTCAACCCACGTGACATTTCGCTGGTCGAGTGCCACGGCACTGGCACGCCTGTGGGAGACCCTGCCGAGTGGGAAAGCATACGTAACGCTGTGGCAGGCTCTTTGCGCGATACTGTTCTGCCTATTGGCTCAGCCAAGGGTCACGTCGGTCACACTGAAGGCGCGTCCGGCATCGTCTCCCTCATCAAGGTGCTCTTGATGATGCGAGGCAATTTCATCCCTCCTCAAGCTAGCTTCAAGAGCATGAATCCCAACATCCGTGCGCAGCAGTCAGACAATATGGAAGTCGTTACGTCGTTGCGGTCTTGGCCAGAGGACCGGAAGCTGGCTCTGATCAACAACTACGGCGCTTGCGGATCCAATTCGAGCGTGGTGGTCGCTCACTCGGCTCACAAGCCTACCAAAACCTTCTTGACCGGAATATCACCGCGATTGCCCTTCTGGATCTCCGGCCTTGACATCCAAAGTATTGCGGCGTACAGCACTGCGCTCGCTCCCTATCTTCGCTCGCACGCCGGGTCTGAAGATGATCAGCCCAAGCTCGCCGATGTATCGTTCAATATGCAATGGCAATCAAACCCCGGCTTACCCCTAGGGTTGATCTTCAGCTGCAGTTCATTAGACGAGCTACAGGACAAGCTTGCCAATGCAACTGTGGCTACCAAAGACACAGCTGCCAGCATCGGCATCGCGCCTGTGAAGCCTGAGCGACCTGTCATTCTGTGCTTTGGTGGCCAGGTGTCGACATTCGTTGGGCTCGACCGCACGGTCTACGAAGGCGCAGCAGTGCTGCGGCATCACCTGGATAAATGTGATACCGCCATCACATCTAACGGCTTGGAAAGTATCTACCCCGACATTTTCTCCTGCGAGCCCTATCAGGATATCGTCAAGCTCCAGACCGCGCTATTTGCTATGCAGTATGCCTCAGCCAAGAGCTGGATGGACTGTGGGCTAGCTGATAAGATTGTATCCGTCGTTGGCCACAGCTTTGGTGAGATAACAGCACTCTGCGTAGCGGGTGTGCTGAGTCTGGAAGACACAGTCAAACTGATTGCTGGTCGGGCTAAGCTAGTGCAGAACGCTTGGGGACCTGACCCGGGTGCCATGATGGCCATCGAGGCTGACGAAGCAGTTGTGCATGATCTCCTGAAAGAGTCAAACCTCGAATCCGACGGATCAGCTGGCATTGCCTGCTATAATGGTCCTCGCAGCTTCACTATCGCTGGGTCGACAAAAGCCATCGACGCATTTGCCACCACGCTAGCTGGAAAAGGCAGCGCGGTCAAGGACGTCAAGAGCAAGCGTCTGAATGTCACCAATGCTTTCCATTCCGCATTGGTTGAGACTATTGTCGACCGCCTCGGGGAGATCGGCAAAGAAGTGACCTTCCACGACGCTACCATTCAAGTAGAACGTGCCACGGAGCATGGCGACCCGGCGGCCCAGCTGGACTGGACCTTTGTCGGCTCCCACATGCGCCAACCGGTCTTTTTCAACCACGCCATACAGCGGCTCGCAAAGAAACATTCGCATGCTATCTTCCTTGAGGCGGGTTCCAACTCAACTATCACCGTCATGGCATCGCGCGCACTTGCTCACACGGCGTCAACACATTCTGATGCGTTCCACTTTCAATCCGTGTCTATAATCAACACCAAGAAGGGTATCGAGAGGCTCACAGATGCAACTGTAGATCTATGGAAACAGGGCCTTCGTGTGTCATTCTGGGCCCACCACCGGGTACAGAAGGGCGAGTATGCGGAGCTCCTCTTGCCACCATATCAATTCGAAAAATCACGCCATTGGCTCGAGCTCAAGTCGCCAATCGAGCAGGCTATCAAGGTAGCTCAAGAAAAGATCGGAAGCAATGGGTTGCTGCTAGCGGCGGGAGAGACACAGCAGAAACAAGTTGACCCTAAGACCCTTGATATATGGACCTTCATGGGCTTCCAGGACCACAAGAGTGGCAACACCAAGAAGAAGACCAAGCTGGCTAGGTTCCGCATCAACACGGCGTCAGAAAAGTACCAGCGTCTGTTCGCGACCCACGTCATCGCGAAGACGGCACCCATTGCTCCAGCCACACTTGAAATAGACATGGCCATCGAGACCCTTTTCAGCCTTAATCCTGAATGGAGACCGAATGGGTTCTCGCCAATAGTCCGCGATATGCTCAGCCATTCGCCGATCTGTGCCGACTCGACGCGTGACTACTATATCGACCTTGAGCCGCTCAACAAGAACGAAACCGAGTGGCACTGGACCATCCACAGCGTTGGCACTTCCCCTGCCGACGACAAGCACGCTGAAGGCCGCATCAACATGTGTTCGCCATCCGACCCAGCCGCTCTCCAAGAGTTTGAACGTTGGGAGCGCGTAGTTACCCATGCGCAGTGTCAAGCGGTTCTGGCGTTGGGCCCCAACGATGAGGGTGTGGAGGCGCTTCAAGGCCGGAACGTGTACCGAGCCTTTGGAGAAGTTGTGGAATTCGGCTCCGTGTACCATGGCGTGCGGTATGTTGTAGGCCGCGACAACGGCGACAGTGCGGGTGTCGTGCACAAGCGTCACGCCGGCGACACCTGGCTTGATGTCCCTAAAGCAGACTCGTACGGCCAAGTTGCAGGCATGTACGTGAACCTGCTGACTGACATCCCCTCGAGCGATATGTTTGTGGCCACAGGGCTCGAGCTGGTGATGCGCTCGCCAAAATCTCGGACTTTAAACGATGGCCACGAGCATGGCCCTGGTGTCTGGCACGTTCTCGCTCGCCACGCGCGTCGAAACGAAAAGGCCTACGTGACGGATGTCTTCATCTTCGATGCCTCAACGGGTGCCCTGAGCGAGGTCATACTGGGCCTGAAGTATGTCCGCATTCCCAAGGCGACGATGAGCAAGGTCCTGGCACGAGTGACAATAGATAAGTCGTTTTTGAGAAGCACCGCAGCGTCTCTACCACCGTCTGCCCAGCCTCTTGCCACCCTTGACAGGCCAATGAATGCCGCTGGTCCAAACTCCAAATCGGCACCACTCCAATCCCGTCCCAAGGCAAAGAAGACCAAAACAAAACCAGCTAGCGAGCCGCGCGATATCGCAAACGAGGTGCGCGATGTGGTCGCCAGCGTTTCCGGCATCGAGCCCAGCGAGATGAGCCTCGACAGTGAGATGGCTGACCTGGGTATTGATTCGTTGATGGCCATGGAGCTGGCGCGCGAGATTGAGAATACTTTCCACTGCACGCTCGACCGCACAGAGACGATGGTAGCCACCACCCTTCGCGAGTTCGTGGCCTGCGTGTCGAATGCTTTGGCCAGGGCTGGAGGTGAGAAGGACTTTCAAGAACAGGGCGAAGAAGAGGACAGCGACGATGACATGGTAACCGGAGAGGGTGATGTCGTGCTCTCAGACTCGGAAGACGAAGACACAACCTCTGATATCTCTACTCCGGACGACGGCTCGGACTTCACCAGCGAAAGTCAGGATTCGATGACTGATTCACCTGTCCCAGTGGAAGAAGTATATATGGGCAATGTGGCAGTCCGCGAAGCAGAGGCGCTGCGCTTGATGGCAGCCTACACGACAGATTGGGACTCGCTCGCACTCAAGGCTGCGGCGAACGGCACTATCAGAACCCGCTCCAGTGCCGGAGCTGTGGTGGTCGTGACGGGCGCTTCGGGCAGCCTTGGGGCGCACATTGTTCAGACACTCGCGGAGCGATCGGGTGTCGCAAGTGTCATTTGCATCAACCGCGCCATCAGTGACATGCCCGCCGACACTCGGCAGGCAGAGGCGCTAACTTCGAGAGGCATCGGGCTGTCCCCAGCCGCACGCGAGAAGCTGCGGGTATACGGTACTGACACATCCAAGCCACAGCTCGGTCTACCAGACAAGGAGTACACCTGGCTCGCGCAGCACGGCACACACATCATCCACAACGCGTGGCCCATGAGCGCCACGCGGCCACTCAAAGCTTTTGAGCCTCAGATCAAGGTGATGCGGAACCTGCTGGACCTGGCGCGCGACATGGCATTAGGTACCGAGCCGCGGAGGATAGGTTTCCAATTCATCTCCTCGATCGGCGTGACCGGCTTCTCGACTGAGCCCCACGTGCTCGAGCAGGCCATGCCCATGGCCGCGGTGATGCCCAGCGGCTACAACGAGGGCAAGTGGGTGTGCGAGCGCATGCTCACCGACACGCTGCGCCGTCACCCACGGCTCTTCCGGGCCATGGTGGCGCGGCCGGGCCAGATCTCTGGGTCAACCGCAAGCGGATTCTGGAACCCAGTCGAGCACTTTGCTTTCGTGGTGAAAAGCGCTCAGGCACTCAGAGCGTTACCCGACCTACCAGGCGTGCTGCATTGGTTGCCCGTGGATAAATCTGCCAAAGTCATGGTCGACTTGCTGAATATCGACAGCCGTGATGATGCGACAGAGGCGTATCCGGTCTATCACGTCGACAACCCCGTTGGCCAGCCGTGGAAGGAAATGTTGACGGTTCTAGCGGGTGCCCTTGATATTCCTCCCCACGGCATCATCCCCTTCAAAGAGTGGATTGAACGGGTTCGCCAATCGTCTCTGCCCCCAGCCGAGAACCCGGCCGCCCTCGCCCTGGGCTTCCTCGAAAGCCACTTTGTGCGCATGGCTTGCGGTGGTATTGTTTTGGACACGCAAAGATCAAGTGAGCATTCTAAAACCATGGCCGCAGAAGGGCCGGTGAGTGCTGAGGTGGTGCAGTCCTATGTCTCGTCTTGGAAGGCGATGGGGTTTCTTAATCGGTAACTGACATGGCATCTATAAAGTTGAGTTCTTGTTGTTTTGGTATGGGTGTTTCATCACTCTGAGTATATAGCTGAATCGAAATTTGCTTCCAAAATTTCCACGAAGAGCATTGTTTTAGAACTCTCCGCCAATAAAAACAATGCAATAATAATAATAGAGGAATCTGGGGTCTGGCTTCACACTACAGTAAGAAGTATAGTCAAATTCGGTATTCACCTAGCCTTATGGTCTGAGATTTTTCAAAATCAAAGAATTGCCATCCACAATACCACGGAGCTTCAATTGGCTGGCTTGTGTATGTGGTCCTCAACTCCGCAGGAAAACAGTTGGTCGAAGAGGGTTGAGGATTACCCCTTCGAGTCGAGGCCTCGCCATCAAGGGTCGCAGATCGACATCTGGAGCTTTGATCTCTGGCGAAAGAAGTTCGCAGTGAGAGTTGAGGTTGTCAAGAGGTTATGAGAAGCCTGGGGCGGCATTTAACGGCAGTATTACGAAGCGAGACCTTCAAGCAATCGTACTAGGGGCTGTTATTGCTTGTCGATCGTCAATCCTAACGCAATCGATGTCAAAAGAGGCATTTCAGAGATCTGTGGAGGTATATAGACATAAGAATAAAACACTTTCAAACACATAGGGCTTGCACTTGCCTCAAGGAACGGAGGAGACCTTGACGATGAAGTCAGGGGTTTTGCGAAGTTCACCTTCACGTAATCTTCATACAACTTGATGGCATTCCCATTATACTCGAGGTTCACTCAAAAGAGAAAAATTCGGCATTAGCGAGTGTCCCGTTACAATGTAATCAACGGATTTGACTGAGGACCGCTAGCTCCCTAGAAATCCCTTTAAGATCATGGTGGTTGTATATGCACCCAAGAGACACTTCCAACCCTTCACCCTTAATCAAATGAAAAAAAATTGAATGACGGACCGCTATATCATCTTTAAATCTAAAGACGTGGATGTCTAAGAGCTTGACCACAAGCCCTATCAGGCAGCCATGGCCGTGATATATCTGAAGATGCCGCAGCTGGCCATCACGGCGTTGTGTCGTATCTTAGTACTCTTCGATCGCAGCACCGAGACCCTCACTCGAGTGAAAAGTATAAGAGAAGGTTCGATTGAGTGGGTTTGCAATGCCACGACATCAATGATGTCGTTGTTGCACCCGGCCCCAAACGAAGAAGTGAAACGATGAGCTGTATGACCAAGTAACACTATATGGCCACCCTGGCTTGAATCATTGATTCACCCTCCTCAACACTCGATCTTCCCTGCGAACACTTGATCCAATGTCAATTGATCGGTGAAGTCAGCGTCAGCATGCGGCCCCCAGGTGATACAGAAGTGCGGATACAACGCGGACTATTTTAACTCCAGCTGACCACCCAACGGAATTGACATTGCCCGCAAAAGGGCAAATAGGGAAATCAAAGCCCATGGAAACGGAGTAACGGCGACTGGCTGCACAGTCATCCAGGCTTTAACTGGCTTGTCGAATAATGGTACGCATCGAAAGACGCACGGTGTACTTTGGCCCCTTCTTTTCAGTCCCTCAGCGCGGCCTCCAAGTAGGTAAGAATGTCAAAATTCCGATATAAGCAACACCATTTCGTGTGACCTGACACATTATGGTCGGGCATTGTGAACGTGCCCAGAGCCCCCCAGTCCACCGGGTTTGAATACCTCTACATGGATATCACAGCAACGATCCACCTGCCGCGCATTCTCTGTCTCCACGGCGGGGGCACTAATGCGCTGATTTTCCGTATGCAGTGCCGTGTGCTTGAGAAGCGTCTCGGATGTTCCTTTCGTCTCGTCTATGCTCAGGCTCCATTCACCAGCGTGGAACCTGGGCCAGATGTAACGTCTGTCTACAAGGACTACGGGCCTTTCAAGGTCTGGCTCCTTGATCATCGCATGTCTAGCGTCTGGAAATCCCGAGAAGTTGCTGCAGAGATTGACGCCGCTCTTGCGCTGGCCATGGCCGCCGACGACGTTCAGGGGGCTACGGGAGAATGGGTAGGCCTACTTGGATTCAGTCAGGGTGCGAAGGTGGCAGCGAGCATCCTTTACCGACAGCAGAGGTGCGGGATGACCAGGTTCCGATTTGCTGTCCTCTTCGCCGGTCGTGGGCCACTGGTGTGGCTCATGCCTGATCTCCCCCAGCCGCATGGCTTGGTCGACGCTGCCACACCGTTCACACACACCCCTCCTGCATGGCTCACTCGGGGCTCCGATGAGCACATGCTGCGGCTACCGACGATCCATGTCCATGGGATGAGAGACCCCGGGCTGGACCAGCACCGAGACTTGCTTCGAGAGTACTGCGACCCGCTACAGGCCACGCTCTTAGAGTGGGAGGGTGACCATCGCATGCCTATCAAGAGTCGAGACGTCGAGACGATCGTCCAGCAGATTCACAAACTTGCACGGGAGACAGATGCTCCATTTCCAATGACTAGCTTGAGTGGCGCGATGGTGAGAAAAAGAGGCATATGGAAGATCAGCCGAGAAAAGCTTTTCGATGCAAAAGATGAGCATGTAACAAAGCATAGTCATGGGATGGCTTAGAAAGAAATAGATTGGATAGCAACATGATTATACACCGGAGAATGCAAAAGAAACAAAATATGACAACACAAAAAACCTTTTAAATGGGTACCTTCAAGCCACCTGCCCGAACTTTCTTTGCTATGACAATACCTTGCAGTTTCGATGAATTTCTTCACAACTCAATTGTTGACCTGGTTATTCAGAGCGCGGTCTCACGCCCATGTCTAGCCCGCCCAGCTGACTAGGAATGATACTGCCTAGGAGGATGCACGAGATCTTCGCACGCATGACCCTGCCTCTTCGAGATCACCAGTATGTACGACAAGAAGGCACCTCCGCCCGGCACTAGTGCACGTCAACCTTGCGCCCCTGTCTAATCGCTACCAGAAAAATTGAAAGGTAGGAGGTTCGCCGTTATCCATCATAGATTGCTTAAAGGTTTGCCGAAATCATGGCTCTATTTCCAGCGCAAGTTATCGTCTCGGCACTTCTACGAACGCTGGCTCTCTAATAACAATGCACTTCCAAGTAGTCAAGTCCTTGGGTTCAATAAAGCTTGTTCATAACCGGAACTTTTGAAGCAAGAAATATGCCAAATATATTTTCAATTGTTTCCTTGTGAGCGGAACAATCATTCTTTACACGCCCAATTTGTTCGACATTTACTTCAGCTCAAAGTTGAGGTAGACGGCGTCTGACCTTAATACTAATGATGAAGTGCACTTGAGCATCACCCAAAGACGCCGTACCAGTTCATCATACGTGAGACTGAATGTACTACCTTTTCAATTCAGAGTATCGTGGGAAGAGAAAGAGATATGACTCTCATGGAGAGATTTCTAGAAGTCCTTAAAGTCGGGATAGCCTCGGTAGCTGAAGTCCATGTTCCACAGGAGGCTGCCAGCTGACTAAAAGCCTGTTCTAGACGAAGCAACCGCATTTTCCTTGCGGTTAAATCGCAGTAAACTCGAAGTTTTGGTTGCGTTAACTATGTTCTGTTTCGATATTGCAGTCGCAAAAACAACCATGATCTGCACCAAAGCAGCTAGAAGAGACAACCTGACAGATCTAATTGGTCAGGTCCATTGATATTAGAAAGTAAAATACGAATTTAATAAAGGAAAGAAGATGGAATGCCCTGTGTGCTGTGCTGCCCAGATTCAGGCTTTTACGACACATACATCATGTAAACACTGCGATCATTCACCCCTCATCCCAGCTTCACGGTCCTCTCTGAACATCCATCGGGCCGAAATTAAGCGGCAGCACTAGCCTGCTTTGTTTCAGAAGCTGATGCTGGTCTCCAAGACATTGATGATAAAATCCAGCCAAGTCAATAAAACTTAAAACAAAGGTGAGCTAGCTGAAACGAGCGTAATTTTCGAATTTTCGAGTGTTCAACGGAGTAATTCAAAGGATTCAAGCGTTAATGCCCACGAACAAACCTTGGCCTGGGGCCATCTACAAACGTAATGTATAGCGCTAGATTGAAGCTATGTAGAAGAAGCGATGTTATATCTATGTCCACTCCAGGAGCTTTTCATCTCAAATAAAGGCGTCTGAGGTAGGTGCAGTGGGTTTTCTCCTTTCCGCTATATTCCAGACTTCGGTTTGTCCTTCGGGGAAACATTTCTGAGGCGGACATTCTATCACCCGCGGGAGACCACTAGACAATTCCAGGGCCAATCACAACATTTTGCTGCGCAAGTATCAAGGTCGTAGAAAATCAGTACGTTGTTCATTGCCAACATGCGCGATTCTCGTGATCAAGGCCGACTTACACCGTCAAGTAGTATTGTTTTGATTCGCGGCGAATACCAGGCTAGTATCTCCGTCGCCTCTATCTGGCGTGGGGCGTATGATACAAATATCCGCCGAAGCACATCTGAAAACTGATAGAATTGCCATTGTCTCGAATGCCATCAAAATGTCTTCTATCACGGCTGATCAGTGGCTCGAAGCCGCGGCTTATCGTCGCAGTGTACATGGACTAGCAGGAACATCCAAGGTCTCGGACGAACGTATCCAAGAGATTGTCTCCAAAGTCCTCTCCTTCGCCCCTTCGTCTTACAACACTCAGCCTGTCCGCATTTCACTCGCTTTGGGGGAGAAGCATAAGGAGCTCTGGGGCATTATTCTCAAGGAGGCTGAGCCGATTCTCAAGTCGATCAATCCAAATCTCTGGCACAAGTTGGGCCCCATGTTCCAAACTCACAAGGCTGCATATGGATCCGTACGTCAAAGACTTTCGTGACTCACGGACACACCATCTAACGAGCTCTAGATCATTTTTTGGGAGCGTGGCCAGACTACCCAAGAGGCTGCAGAGACACATAAGGCGACCGGCCATATGTTTGCCGAGTGGGGTGACCACACTCAAGGCATCCACCAGATTCTTGTCTGGACTGCTCTGGAACTGGAAGGAGTTGGCGCCAACCTGCAGCACATGAACGCTATTCCGCCCATCGAGGCAGCCATCAAGAAATTCGCGGGTGTTCCCGAGGATTACAAACTGAAGGCCCACTTGAACTATGGAGATGAGCAAGCCGCTCATCCCGAGAAACCCAAGAAATTGCCCATCGACGAGACACTGACAATACTCTAATCAGTCCTAGTCCACAGGACATTCTATGAATATTGTCAGCTAGATCTGACAGTCACTCGGAGCACACTCGCGCCTCTAGCGGAAGCCTTGGGCCTTGGTGGGATTGGATGCTTCTGGGGTGTCCAGCGTTGGAAAGAAGGGAGTCGCACAGATCGCCCACTCACCCACTTTCACTGTACTTCGACCATAAATATAGGGCCTCAGGCATTTATCCAGCTTGCTATTCTCGATCAATTAAAGCTATTACATAAAAGGTGCTCTCCAAGCAATTTCTAAGGAAACTCGACGAAAGAAATGCATTTGATGTGTTACTATTATGGGTCAAAAGAGAGATATCTTGAAGCAAACTGTACAAGTCAAGAGAAGTATCAAGACTGGAGAGAAAAAAGGGAAGAAGGAAACCATCTAGCTGGCGGTCTTCTTGATATCAAGCCCTACCTAGTATCTTCCATCTCAGTATCTTTTCCAACACAACATGAGGCCGCCCATCGTCACAGTCACGTGTCTTGACCAGCTAATATCAAGAATTCAACGCTATATTCCTCGACAAACCAGCTCCGGCTACCTCTAGAGAATTATATGATTACAGTCATAAACTAGGTATTGTGTCACCAAGTCTGCAAGCTGGCCGCCAAGCTGACCGCCCACCTTACCTTAGTAACCAGCACATAGCTTAGTGAACGCATCATCTTTCCATCACACACACTCTGTATGTGTACCATATTGTAAGCTATATCTATCTAATGCGATATTGTAGATAGATATAGCGTATAATACATCATTTAGTAGATAGAGTATCTCTCGTAACGAAGCGCCTAATGCTAATTCTTCTAAAGACTAACCTGGTCCTACCCCGTAAATTTTGAAATCCTCTGCAGTCTATATCGTAACAAGAAAAATCTACAATCGTAGAAGTTTGCATATCAGCTTTGATTAGCTTCACGTTAAGATAGGAGCGAGAGACTTCTCGATTTCTGCCGAAGTAGGATAAGTAGGATATTTCTGAGGGTAGGGCCTCTTCGATATCCTTGGTATTAGTTCTTCGGATATATCGGAGTATATTAGACAGGACTTGATTCTTAAATAGAGGGAACTACCAACGAAGCTACAAGAAAGCTTGATAATTGTAGAAAAAATTGACAGTATCCTCTTTGTATTACGCTCAAGCACGAAGGTGTCAAATCAACATTCATGCTGAGCCTCTTCAGCCATTCGGGAGATCGTGGAATATCTTTTCACTACTGCGTGGAGGTCTTTGCGCCCAAAGAACCAAGAGAATAATTATATGTGAATAGGAGTGGTGCGATATAGCGATGAAATGTCTGCTCGACACGTCAATCCTGGATCTACATTCGTCGACGCAGTATTGTTGAACTTGAGAACCTTCCTTCTCGACGGACCTTCCATCTGTTTGCTCTCACTCAACCCCCAACCACGTATCTTTTCCTGGGATATTCCCTCCCAAATGATCTTTCTCAACTGCACCACGTTGACTGCGCTTCAGCAGCCCTGTGGACTCCTCTCTCCAGTTTCATCTTTTCGTTATCTCATGTTTCTCAACCAGTATCCTTTGACCCTATCCTCCCCACCATCTCGCTGACGCCAATTTTCGAGCTTGCTCTAGCTATGGAGCAGCACCAGGGGCAAGCTCTCGAAAATCCCTTCCACTGCCTCGATAGAGCTGCCAAGGAAGCAAAAACTGCTTTCGCTCGCGCCTATATTCGCCATGGCTATATCGGCGGATATGCGACGTCCCTTATTGGTGGAAAGAGGACGACGAGTGTACGCCTTCACTATATCTCGTCACTCTTTAACACGTCTACTGAAACTAATTTGACTTAGGATCTTGATATATTATTGATGCAGACCCAAATAATGCCCGAAACCTGCTTCTTCAAGCTCATCCCGGATTCACATTGACCCAGAGCAACAAACTTGTCTTCATGAGTGGAGACAGGAGCACCGAGATTGAGCTTCTTCGTGGAGGGAAAACTCAACAGTTGAAATTGCCCGACGCAAATACAGTTTCTATTCTCTCTGTTACTGCCAAAGACCAACCAGGGCGTGTTGAGGAGACCCCAAGTTAGTGCCTTTCCCCTTTTTCGCCTTTGTATTCTCTTCTAGAGCGAGCTACAGCTAATCATCCGACTCCAGTCCCTATCGTTGCACCCTCCGTCCTCGTTCCCACGAAGATCAAGAGATGGTCGTTCTTGGCCGATTCCACACGGCCGAAAAGCATCACAAAAGCAGCGAGAGACGTTCAGGACATTGAGATACTCTTGCGTTGGCTCGCCAAAAACGATCTTTACATTGACTTCGAGGGTTATCCGGAAAAGCAAGAGCAGGAGCATCTCTCTGGGGTTCGCAAATTGTACCAGATGCATGCTACAATTCGCCTTTTGCTTGAGATCACATTGAAAGTGGAGAGTTTGCGTTCATTGACAACTGGTCAGCTGCTCAATAGACCGACAGTCTCGAACGACAGATTCAGCAATGCATAGATAGTTACTTCCATCAGCACCCCAATCCCAAGTTTTCATCTCCCTAACTGCATCTTCAAGTCTTTTTTGAAAATCTTCTTCGCTCTCATCGTCGTCGCATTCACCCTCCTTTGTATTCAGCGGCTTGTCGCGTAAGATATAGAAGGAAATGAAAGACAGCAAATCATCTTTGACTCGAAGTCTGAAGCTATCGTCAACTGGGTGGTTAAGGAGATGACGAATCAATGACGCCATATATATGGGAGGTTTGGGTGTCAAGATCTTTAGCGTACGATCAAAAGTGGATGCGACTTCGAAAGTGTCCTGGAGCGCAAGGCCGAGAAAGGACAGTGGGTAGAGATATACTGGACTACTCTCACCCAGCTTGTGGATGATGCAAGCTCGCTCCCATTGTCCGTATCTGTCAGTGACTCCTTCAGATGGTGGCACACAGGGGAAGCCATGGTCTGATAGAATCTGTGAAGAAAGTGAGAGCAGTTCATCGGGGACTGCCCACTCAACAAGCTAGGACTCAAGATATTAGCGGTGCCCAACGACTAGAGTGGCGAACACCACAAAAGTTTTGGTTGCTCACTGCAAGGACGACAGGGTCTCCATGGCGCCATTGTATCTGCTGCCCGTACTCCATCACAGGGATTTTATTGTCAGCTAGGGCTTTCACAGCCACCCTTATGATGTGCGCATGAGGTTGTAGCCATGATGTCTCTTTCTGGGGTGGTTGTTCCATCTTCCAACCAACACCTAAAATCATGCGGCTGAAATGGTGGGACTATTTGGAAAGTAATGTTTTCTTTTGAAAGTATGGTGGGAGATTAGGAAACACTATGTTTTTCGTTACACAAAAAGTTCCAGGAAAGAGTGAGAGCGATGATATTCCTAAAGGGAGCGTCTCCCGTAAACCTAGGAGCCTATGGCCCCTGGTCACCTGACCATCTGAATCACGTGAATTACGTAGCCGGCATTCTTTTTTACTGTAACATGATCGCCATTATTCGAACAGGCGTTTTGTGGTCCCGGTAGGTAGGATATTGTGGCCCGAGGTATTAAAGGGCTACGGGAATACGGTTGGTTGACCGTGGCCACCGTGCGAGCGGTCAAAGAAAAATTACATAATACACGCTGTAGGAACTTAGTACAGGGTGTCCAACGGAAGGATATCGGGGTCAATTAGTAGTCATCAGGGCCGATTGAATCATCCCAGCAATTGATTGTTTGAAGAAATTATCTGTGAGTCCCTGCTCAGGAGGCTGACTGTTTAAATGGGTTTGTTGAGCGCATTTCAGCGCTGCTTCTCCGAGGATACTTTACTACCACATAGTATACAAAACAGGTGACTAGGAGTTCGGTTATGCGCTGAATCATCTTGCTGTTGGCGATCAGATATTCTCCTCTCCAATTGACATAAAGTGTTGCTGAATACACCCGTAATTGGTAGCTAAGCGCTACCAATAGAAGAAAGTCGGACCATCTTCGGTGTAATTTCGAAATCTCGTGACACAAGCAACCCCGTGGGGCTGCGGCAGTTACCCCGCAGATCTTCACACTGCACATATTTTCAACTGCCCCTCTTGAAGTGGTAGCATGTGATGCGGACCAGCACCGATCCCCCTATCTCAAAGATATTCATAATACCCCTTTATCACTTCAATCCTTCGTTGATCTCATCTGATGATATATGAATGTTGACACAGCCTGGAAGCCTCTTGCAAAAATGCCGTTATCTGACTTGGCCTGTCACTTGTGTCGCAAGTAAGTTTCACTTGACGTTCTCGTGACAAGGGGAGAACAGAGCTTATTACGCGTGTTGATGACTAGGCGGAAGGTCAAGTGGTGCGTGACAACTTGAATCAAGTCATTCCGACGTGCTTGTGAAGTAATAGCTGTCAGTGATCGAGTATTTCCGCGGTGCATGGTCTGTGATCAAACAGGCCAGAAATGCATCTATCCCCTTCGGCCGATGAAACCTGGGCCCAAAATCGGTATGAAATGCCCACAGTTTTGTTGTAGGCCCCGGCAATTTGAGTTAACAAGATCCAGGGTCTTTGCAAAAGCAGAGAAAACGCCGACAATTTAATGAGACAGCTCAGAGGCGACAGCGTAGATCTCATTCTAGGCCGCCAGATGGTCATGACACCGATCCACAGGATGGCAATTTCGACATATTGAACTATGGGATGGAGAAAGAAGAGTTGGTCCCTGCGATCCCCGCTGATATGACTATAACAGCTAGGACTGAGACGCGTGAAGACTCGCAACAACGAACCTCGCATTTGAACACTCTTGATCTCGCTTTCATTTTACATCCATCACACGAGTCCACAACCTCCGATCAGGCTCAAAAGCTGAGCTCGAGCTCTCAGAATAGTGGACAGACAGGACTTTGCCGCCAAGCTTGCACAGAGCTAGGCATCTCGCAAGCTGCCATGAATCAAATGTAATGACCTTGGCGCCCTCGCGAGTCATCAAGGCGGAACATAGAAAAGCTAATTGTACCTACAGCATTCGAGTATTTTTCAACAACATGGTCGCCATCAATATCTTTCATGAGCCTTCATTTGCAGAAAAGCTTTCGAATGTCTGTTCGCTCTCTCAATTGTGTGCCCTCCTGGCGGCCATAGCTGGTTATGCCTCACGCTTTGATGCCCTGAAAATCGACAACGTAGCTAGCGGCACAGTTCGCCTCGCGATAACGAGTCACCAACAGCCTGCATACTTCATCAACCTAGCCTTTAAGTACATAAACGATGCGCTCGTGGAGTGTGACGACGAGATGCCACCCCTCTGCGTTTTACAAGCTCTCATTATTGCAACGCATTGTCGACTGACTCAGGGGGTCCGCGGAAAGGCGTGGAGATCTCTGGGACTCTGTGTCAGTTTGATATACGAAACAAACTTGCATATTCTTGATTCCAGGAAGGTCGTGAAAGAGGGGAATCCTCGCCGGTGGCAAGAAGACGAAGAAAAGCGTCGTGCTTTTTGGGCCGTCTGGGAAATGGATATTTTTGCCAGTACCATCCGTCGGACGCCAACCGCCATTGACCAGAAACAAATGGAAATATTGCTTCCAGTTGACAACACTCACTGGTTCTCGGGCGACCCTACTTCAAGCTGCTTTATGGAGACCGACCCAAACCAACGTTGGAAGGCGTTACAGGAGAGTGGCAGCCAGTCACCGAAAGCGTGGTTCCTTATTATCAATTCTCTCATGAAGGATGCCCAAATCGTCTGTGACCCGCAAGTTGTGTGTGCCATGGGTAATCGAGGTTATCACAAGCCAAAGCCAGATGACTGGGTTTCCACACCCGAATCGGCCGTGGAGGCTCATCAAAAACTGGAGACATTAGCAAATGCGGTACGGTGCTTTAATCTGGCCTTACCAAGCCATCTCCATTATCGCGGTCAGTACTTGGCCTTTGGGGCGCCGGTACAAGGGCAGCTGGAATCTCAACGACAGCAGCATTGCTCCATCTACAATATCTTCGTCATGACCCAGTTAGCTCGTTTGATGATCTACAGGTATGACGCGTTCGGATCTCAAAGTCGTCATCGTTCTGGTAATACGGCTGGTCGGGGTACATTTAGCCCGTTTAATACAGATAGTGGAGCGCTTAGCCAATACTACGAGGCAGCTGATCGCATCCTAGAAATAGTGAATCGGAGCTGTGAGGACCATTTTCAGCATATCAATCCATTCCTATCTAGCACAATATGGCTCTCCTCGGCAGTGCAGCTGGTTCGCAAACATTTCGCTCGAGCAAATTCCAATCGAGACTTAATAAAGTCGCGCTTCGACGTTCTCTACTTGACCTACAAGCGATGCGTTCAGTTTTGGAACATTCAAACAGCTCTCCAAAGGAACCTAGAGTTTATCGAAGCGCAACTGGAAGCTGTGTACAAGAGACCGGAGACCCGAGCTTGCCCACCCTTTCAAGAAGCCTCTAAACGAGCATCGGAACACGTTAAATTGATCAACCGGTTTTCCTCGGATCGGAAGGGTCATTACATTGAGCACGATGCGAAAAGAGCGCGAACATCCCCACAAGCCTCTCAATACCTACCCGAAACACCCAGTGTCCCGCTCACTAGCTCAGTCCCGATTGATGACGGATTAGACATTACAGCTCAAAATTATGCGCAACAGCCCCCGGGCGCAGCAGATAGCGAGGCAATGCTGGACTTCATGACTCTTCCACGACCCAATAGCAACCTGATTTCCCCGGACTACATGATGCCCACGAACTCTGATTTCCTCGATTCAATATATCTGGGTGACTTCCAGCTCGATCAGTCCTTCGACTGGCCCACCTTTGACTTTCCAGGTGGTATACATGATATCCTTGCTGGGCGGAGTACATACTAGCCCAGTCTTGTGCTTGTTCGCTGGGTTTGATCCTGACAACGTGTTTCTACAATTGATCACTTCATCCCTCCCAGATGAAGCAATAGGCTTGTCCAGTTTTTGATATGGTGGTGCAATCTTCTCTTGCGTACTTGACATGCATATATTGCTGTTCCTGAAGATACAGTCCTTTGCAATCTGCCTGGGTACCATGTGGGGCCTGAGAATAGCACGAATTTACCGTTTATGAAACCTCTGTACAATCCACTACATTTCTAAACGCACGTAATATCTCAAATACCGTCTAGGAGCTAATTAGATTGAGGTGACCTATAGCAAAAACCCGGGGTGAGCGGATCCCTCGCCCAGCCAGCGAAGGCAAAGAATGATCTAACTCTAGCTCATATGTCAATAATCCAAACCAGAAGAACTGTGAGAGCTATCGGCCTAGAGCCTAATATATTCTAAGGTATCCAATTTCCCCCTTGCTTCTTCCTCTCTTGCTCTAAGCAACTGACCGATGACAGTCCGTGCGGCGTCGGGATAATTTCGTGCAAGTCCGAGACCCCAGCCCCGCGACTACCAATCCGTTAAAAGCAAAGGTTACATCCGCCTCGCATAGCTTCGGGGACATTTAAGAAGGGAATATATCAGTTGAAATTTTTCTATCTCGAACTACGATCCACCGCTCAGCAGTCTTTCCCAACCTTTGCTCAAGAAGAATCCAAGTCTTGACAATGGCAGTCTCAAGAAATGAACCGCGGATCAATCTGGTTCGCATTGCGCATGTCTTCTACACCCATAAGGATATTGATAGCGCCCATCAATTCCTCCTGGACTTTGGATTCCAGGAAGTCAAGCGAGTGGATAAGGATATCTATTATCGTGGCACTAGCTCTGAGCCATTTGTGTATTGTGCGCGACAAGGCGACGAAGATGGATTTGGAGGCGCAGCCTTCGTTGTTGAATCCGAATCGGATCTTCTTGCGGCGACAAAGCTTCCTGAGGCGACTGGAATCTACGATTTAAGAAATGCACCCGGGGGTGGTCGCTGCGTCACTTTCCATGACCCCATCGACAAGTTCCCATTTCATCTTGTCCATGGACAAAAGCCGTATGCCGATGAGAAGGTGCTTCCACAGCTTGATTTCAATTTTGTAAGGTGCTCCTGTGCAGCTCACTCATCCGGCATCCTCTGATCTTCTCCCAGCCAACGGACAAACACCGACCAGGTAACAAAACCCAACGATTTGAAAAGGGTAAGCAGGCACATTCAAGTAATCTTCAGAAGCTGTTACTAATCCTTTAAAACCGAAAGGCCCTGCCCCAGTGCACAAATTAGGCCATTTCGGAATGTGTGTCACCGATTTTGCGAAGGTGTTTAAGTTCTATACGACGCGATTCAACTTCAAACCGAGTGATGTTAGATTCTTCCCGGTTTGACTCTTCATCAGGCTCGACGAATACTGACCATTGCCTTTTTACGATATGATCTAGTTGATTCATGATTCTATGGGAAGAGATATAACCACCTTTCTCCATTTGGACCGTGGCTCTGAGTTGGTCGACCACCATTGCTTCTTCTTCTTTGAAGGTCCTAAATCACACGTTCACCACTCATCATTCGAGACGCATGACTTTGATACTCAAGTGCTGGGTCATGACTGGCTCCGCAGTAAGGGGTATGAGAACTGCTGGGGCGTTGGACGTCATATCATGGGTAGTCAGATCTTTGATTACTGGTATGTCTTATTATATCATTTCTCTTAAGAACAAGATCTAACAGGCATTTTTAAGGTTTGACACCTCTCGTTTCATTATCGAGCATTACGTAGATGGTGATTTGGTAAATGACCAACAACGGACGAATCGATCCCTTGCCACACCGGATAATTTGCACGTTTGGGGTAGGCCAAGAGCATAATGCGGTAATCCGTTGTACTAATCTGTAACTAGGGCCGGACCTTCCTCCCACCTTTCTACACTAGCAATGGTTGAATATTCTTTTCGTCGTCTTGCTTCCGAAACCACCAGGAAGATGACACTTGACACACGGGTTAACATCTTGCTTTACTACAATAGGCGAGTAACATTCTGTTCATTCATAGTTATAGGACGTGTTGGTCAGAGAGCTATGCCGAGTCCGTGATTGGCCTTTGTCACCTTCGATATTGAAAGAGAAACTATAAAGTAAATGAGGTCTAATTTACAATTTCTTGATGCATTCTGTGATTGATCTTTGTAATCGGATTATCAAAATGCGTGTTGCACCTTAGTTGATGGGGCAACATTGGAAAAGGATTGGGTAGAAACCCATTGCTTCAAAAAGAGCCCTCTAGGCATATGGGTTGGGAAACACCATCGTCAGAGAAAGTGAATTTTACTTCTTAAGGTCCATCCCGGATGCGTAAGAGACGGGAGAATATTACCTAAATTACTGATAATTTACAACACAGTTGAATCCAGTTTGAAGATACAGGCAGCCAGCGGATACATTGCGGTGACTGAAACCCCAGAAAATCCCGATGTTATCATATTAAGTCAGTTTGTGGAGGGGTCCTCATTGCAATGGCTAAAAGCGGACTTCATTTGGCCCTTTAAGTGGGGCCGGGGGCGACAGGGCCTCGTGCCATTCGTATCTCACTTCCATTTGTCAAACCCAGCGTACATTCTCATTTGACCGAGAATTCGCACCGAAGATAGTGCGTGCGAAAACACATTTGCACTAGGCTGCAGATCGGCTGGCACCAAGCCGGCCAACCCCGCCACCCCGCCTAACCTCCAATCGCTGTAACTTCATGTGTTCTTGATTCGAGACGGAGTGTAAACCAGCCAGACGAATGAAATTCAGGAGTTGAATTCCGGTCAAACAATTTTCGTGCAAAATGCACTTGTGTCACTCTAGCATGGATTCCGTATTGGGCTACATCTTTCGGGGAAGGAGGTAAAGGTTCTCGTAACACTGGTCTCAAGATACACGTTATTATAGACAGCTTCCCGGTAAAAATTGTCCGAAGTTATTCCATTTCTTCCTGGAATCTTGCAGTAATGGGAGATCGGCATTGGTTTGCCCCATTCATGGTCAGGCCCGAGAAATTCAAAAGGCGCCATGGGTCTTGCCTTACGACTGCCCCGAGAAGAATAATTCTTACCCTTTTTATAACTTTCCAGAGATTATCGAACCTAGAAATTTCGCAAAATGGCTCCCAATTGGACAACTCTCGTCAGATTCATCAGCGAAGAAGATGGCCAAATCCAGTTTGGTGAGGTTGATTCCAGCACGTATCCAGATGTTGGTATCGCAATTCTTAACGGCGAAAGGGTTGCGGTCAAGTTGGTCAAAGGATCGATATTCGATGGCATCGTAACAGACACCATTGTGCACATTGATAGAGTATGTACTACGCATCCTGACACCGGGTATCCAGTAATTGAACTAATTGCTCCGTTTAACACAGCTTCTGGCTCCCATTGGAATTGAAGAAGTGCCCATTATCCGGTGCCTGGGACTGAACTACCGCGACCATGCCAAAGAGGCGAACATGCCCATTCCGGATGTGCCGGTCCTCTTTGTCAAACCGCGCACGGCACACAACGGGCCGTACCCCGCTAAGATTATTGTGCCAAAGATTGCGCAAGATGGCTCTAGCGACTATGAGGCAGAGCTATCCGTCGTTCTGTCCAAGACTGGTCGAGATATTCCCGAGTCAGAGGCGATGGAGTATGTTTTGGGATATACCTGCAGCAATGATGTTAGTGCTCGAACGCAGCAGTTCAAGAACAGCCAGTGGTCCTTCTCAAAAGGTGAGACTCACTATATCTTTGTCTCTCGAGCATACTTGTGTGTCAGGAATCTAGAGTTGACTGCTGATTCGATGGAAAAGGTCTTGACGGATCTTGCCCACTGGGCCCCGTCCTCGTGTCTCCATCCACCATTGGCGACCCTCATAATCTGCAGATTAGAGCTATCCACAACGGTATTGTGGTACAAGACTCAAACACTAGGTGAGCGTACCCTGACAGCCGACCGCTGTGACATGTCAACTTTTCAAGGTAGCTTACATAGTTTTTAAGGGAAATGATCTTTGATATTGCAAAGACCATTGCGTTTCTCTCTCAAGGGACCACCCTAGAGAAGGGGACAATTATCATGACCGGTACAGGTCCCGGAATCGGCGCTATGCGTAACCCCAAGGTCGTCCTGAACGACGGTGATGATATCAGAGTGGAAGTTGAGAAAATCGGGACTTTGATCAATAAAGTCTACTACGAGTGAGAGTAACTTCTATTGATTGAGAAACAATATCATGGTTCTCTAACTGAATATGCACTCTTTTTTCATTTTCTGTTCGCACACATAAAAGTGATAGCAACAGCGGCCTTCATTGATATTTAGATCCCGCATGGGGATGTCTGTCAGTTGGAAGGCTGCCCAACCAGATAATTTTAAGGTAAATTGAAATCGTCCAGTTCAAGCTAAAGCTCTCCAGATGACTGGTATAAGACAAACTTGCTCAAAAAGAATACAAACGGGAACAACTTACGCATAGAGGAGGGCAGCATATGAAGTTTCTGCCGCACATGGGATTATTGCCAGTATAGAATATATTATCCCTGAAGTATAGCCTAATTAGTACTAAACCGGATTTAGTAAGGCAAAGTCTTGACAAGACGTACTACACTCATCTTCGATTCATCATTCAGGTTGAGACTACCTTTGACTACCTTTTATTGAATAATAACTCCATAAGTGAGTTCGTTGCCTATAAAATTCCCCAAGACGAACCGGAGGATCGGCCGACATAGCACAACTGCAGCTTTGCCAATCATTGATAACTACCCATCGTAACTAAAGCGGACCAAGGCCGGCGAGACCAGGTCAATGTGACTGTGATACATCACCGTATCCTAAAATGTATCTCATAACTTCAAGAAGCTTCGACTCGCATGCACCAGCATTCTGGGGAACCTCTGGTGCTCTCCATGCAATGAATCGATCGGGCCGCACCAACACGGCCCCTGATTCTTCCACGCTTCGCAAGTTTTCCCACTCAAAGTAAACGTCCTCCCAGTCCTGTCTGAATCCAATAGTGTGCACTTGTATCGGAACCTTAAGCCTTTCGGCAACACTCTCAGCGGCTTTCTTCCATTGCCCACCTCCGATCCCAGTTAAGATTGTGAAAGCGCCATGGCCAGTAATGTCGATTGTTGAAATAGGCTCCCCCCGGTTTTGCCTTATTGAGCCAGGCATGAGGTAGTCGAGATCCAGGGTATGTGCTTGGTTCATGATACAGGACATTATCTTCGGCCGCTCGTCCGAGAAGCACATAGGGATTGGATTCGTCAGCTGTGTAGACCCCTTGGCTTTCGTAATGTTGATTCATTTCAATTCCAAGGCCATGGAATTCATGAGAGGTATGCTTGATTGCCGCATGCAGGGCACGGCGGCGGTCTGACCCTTCTGGTGTTGCACTCTTTAACTCCTCCAGAATCCCTTTTCGTGCGGACAAGTCAGTGGACAGCATGCCTAGAGCCTTCCAGACGAGGAAGTGATCTCGGTATGCCTGGTTTGCTCTGGTGATAATCGAATGACCTACGGGCTGTCTCTCGATGGAGTAAGTGGATAGAAGAGACGGTGACGCAAGCCCCTTGTGAACATATGCGACCTTCCAAGCGAGGTTGAAGGCATCTTGAATACACGTATTTGAGCCCAGACCATTTAATGGAGGGTGACGGTGCACGGCATCACCAAGGCAGAAGCTAGAAATGACACGTTGATGTTAGATACGGTACGCTCATCGTATTGGCCGAGGCAATACTTACATGTTGCCCTCTGAATATTTCTCTGCGACCATCTCATTAATATACCACGTGGAGATATCCAGGACCTCTGTGGGTGTGTCATCACCAATAAACTCCTGTACTCTCCTTTGATACTCCACCTTAGACGGCTTGCCTTGAGAATGATCATAGTTGTTATCGGGAAACAAAATGAACATCCACTCATTCCATGGCTTTACCATGCGAACAATTCCCATCCAGCCAAAACATGGGTGCTCCCGATCTGGCTGCATCACCCAATGTAGATTGCCCGTTCGGTTTTTGATCAAATGGGAGAGGTCAGCCTTGATCAGCACATTAATTGCAATACCCTGACTAGGTTGGACCGCTAGGGGCAACTTGAGCTGCTTCACCACCTCGCTTCTAGCGCCGTCAGCCCCAAAAAGATATCGGGTACGAATCTGGTAATCGTGGTTTGACAGCTTATCGCGAATATTGGCAATGATCAGGTCAGTCTTCAGGTCGGTAAAGAAAGAAGTAAGTGTGGTATCAAAACGACATTGGAAACCTTTCAAAGCTGCATGTCGAACCAGAAACGGTTCCAAAATTGTCTGCGGCAGATCAAACGGTTTACATGGGCTGGCTAGTTCATAGTCTCCCTATAGCCCACGTCAATCATTTCCCGACAAAAGGGAGGTCCAGCTCATTTCACCTTTCGTCTAGGGTCGTTCCCCCAGGAATGGATGCGTGCGTACTCCTCGCCTGCCATACTATGGCACCATCGAGTGTGTTGCATATGATCTGCCCCTGTGGATCCCAATTTGACTAGTTCGTCATATAAACCAATATCCCGTAGACATTCTAAATGGAAAAATTCAATATGTTAACACTCAATCAGTATTCACTACCAAGGCAGATTACTAACCTAACGCCGCCATATTCGTGATATGTGCGCGTGGGGTGTTCGCTGTTCCTGAGGCGCTGCTTATCATGATGCCATGCAGTCCTTCACATTTTTAGTCCCCAATAGCGACAGCCGTACCAATGCAGATACATACCATGAGAACCGAGAAAGCAAGCCAAGGCTGCCCCAGCAGGTCCCGCCCCGACAATGAGGAATTCCGTATCGACTACATGATCTGAGCCTTGAATAGAACAATTGTGCTGAGCAGTGGTTGCTATTCCGCCTATTGCCGGAGCATCTTCTGCGCCGTTGGATCGGGTCACGCCAGTCCCGCCGTTATCGTTCGTAAAGTAAGGCGTCATTTGCTCTCAATCGTGTGCCACGACAGTGACGTGTTGTCAAATGAAGGCTATGCTTTTCAAACGAAGCCGAGCAACTTTCTTCACGAGCGGGAGGATGATATTCATCAAGTGCCTGTTATAAATGCGGATTTCATAGCGCTTACTGTTCCACATGCCAGGGAGCTGAGGGGCGAGAGGCCTTGTTTACCTGGAAAATTGTGCCGAAGATAGACCGACCTCTCGGCATCTACCTTCTCGGGGAAACCTCGTGCAGATTTCTAAATCTCAATAGTGCGAGACCTTTTTCCTGGGTGCACGGAAAGATGAACGAGATAATTGAAAGCCTCGGGCAGCTAGGTTATAACGGCCCACCCATTATTCGACATCTTCCCGTCTCCCGCTAAAAGACACCGGGCTCGCAGAACTTGCCAGGTGAAGTGCGACACAGAAAGACTTACTATGCCGCACTGAGGTACCTAGCTAGGTTTGCATTTTTCTTCTCGGTTGTCTAACTTTATCATCAATACCACTCGCTCTAAATACCGTACTGTGGTGAAAGGGTACATTTGATCAGGGTCTTCTATATTTGACTGGTGTAAAATTTCAGGATTCCCATCCGCACTATTCCTGACACTCTGTGATTTTCCCATTCATTTGCTTTAAAATATTCTGTGACGGAAACTCAAACCTAGCTGGGATTTTTTGGGTTTGTTAGAAGATAAAATCTCTGCGGAATCACAGAACCCCCGCTGGCTCAGTTACCATATATTCAGGATCTTTGAGTGAACAGTGAGTTGGTGATAGCGAGAACATCAAACGACGCAGGCTCGGCATACGCGGCCACTGGCTACCAGTTACGACCTTTGGTTCTGCACTTCGTGTTTCCTTTTCACCGCCCATGAGATCGAGGCCGTTGTCGTCACCAATCGAGTCGAACATGTATGGACGTTCAAGTATGCCGTGAATTATGGAGCATTCTAGGAAATCTTGATATAGATACCGCTCGTCTTCATCAAAGATTAATATGTAAGAATTGATATTTCCAACAGGGTACTGTCCTTCTTCGTAATTCAAAGGCCGCACAAGGGACAATCCCAATTTGACCCCTGCACCCGCATATCTAGGTAGATTAAGCCATCACATGTGAAACGAGCAAACAGACGTTTGACTGGTAAATGATACATGACCTTAGATATCAAATCGCGAGAAAACATCTCTCTGAGCCACCTCAAGCTCCTTCATTATGGTTGCCCGTCGGGCTTCCGATCTCGGCTTGATCACGCAAGGAAAGTCCTTCGCGCAAACCAAGAATCCTTCGCTATAGCCAGTCTCGGGGCTGAAGTCGTACTTGACCGGTTTGCCACTTTCATCCAAGCCGGGTTCGATAGAAAATGCCCAGATCAATTTGGCAATAGCCAAGAACAGGTTGCGTTCAGCCAGGTGAATACCGGGACAAATTCGGCGACCGGAGCCGTAGCCATAGTGATCGCGGCATTCATAGTCTGTTGCTGCTGCTAGCTCGGGAGCAAGCGCAGTCTGGCCCTTGTAGTGGTCGGGGTCGAAAGTGTCCGGGTTCGGGAAACGCTTTTCATCGTGGTGCATGCCCCAAGTGTTAATAATGACCGTGGCGTCTTTAGGAATGAGGTAACCATCGATCCAGTCATCTGTAACTCTCCGTTAGCTCTAGAATTCTTGAAAATGGCGCAGGGCTTGTTTACCTTCAGCGGCAGCGTGAGGGAACGCGAGAGGCACAACAGGCCGCCACCTCTGGGCTTCTTTCACGATGGTCGCCACATATGGCAGTTGGGCATAGTCTGACCAGACAGGTGTTCGATCTTCACCGACCACACCGTCAATCTCCTTTTGCGCTTTCTGAAGAACGTCGCCCCATTTAGTCATAGCATGGATAAATGCGAGAATGAGGGAGCTCGTGGTGTCCGAACCACCTTCCATCAATACGCCGCCGAGGAAATAGAGTTGGTGGCGATTGAGGTTTATTTTCTCCTCTTGATCTAGCAGAGTATCCATGAGAGATTCTTTGCTTCCCTTCAGCTTGCGGCGCTCTCTAACACGCTCAAGCACACTCGCATATAGCTCGTTCATCTCGTCGCCCACGTTTTGCGATCTCGAAACCCAGTTTCCAAAGAATTTTTGCGGGACATAGTGGAGAAGTGGATAAATATCAACCGGTGGTGTAGCGCCAGGCTCCATTAACTGAGACCAGTTCTCCTATGACGAGGGAAATTGATCAGCCTTATATCCCTACAATTTCAATCCGATTGTCCCTCACCATCATATCATAGAGACGAGTCATATGGGGTGTATCCACTGAGGGCGTCCGCAAGCCAAATACTGCAACAGGCATTAGAACAATTAAACGAATATTAATCCCTGACATCCTTTTCTCGCAATAAACTCACCTAAACTCATGATGATGCTGTTGCTGAAGCGTTTAGGGTGAAGCATGTGTTGGTCAGGACGTACGCACATGTCACGGAGCATTTGCACTGCTTCGGCATTCTGTACCTCAACGTGATGCTTCTCAACAATGGACTCCATGAAATATTGGTGAATTAGTTTGCGGAAAGATCGCCACTTTTGTCCGTACTGCATAACTAGGAGATGGTCTCCAGACGTCATGAGGTCATGAGAGACATAAGAGGCTGGTCTATTGCTATAGTTGGCACTTTTCTTGTCGACAAGTTCTTTGATAATACGGCGATCGGTGATAACGACTGCTGTTGCGGTGCCCAACTTCAAAGAGTAAAGGCCCCCATATTGCTTGGCCCATTCGGTAAACCTGAATCCAGAGGTAAGCAATAGCATAGAGCGGGATAGGCCACGATCGGTTACTTCAAGTAAGACCCCTTCCTTGGAATTTGATGGAGGTTACCAAGAACAGGCAACGTAAGCGGTCCTTAAAATGCAACTCTTAGTCTTATGTTGTCTCAAATCCAGTATTCCATCATTTTCGTACCTGGAGGAAGGCTTTTGGACCTTCTCCCGGTTGTTAGAACCAGGTAGAATAGACCAAAAAGGGCAAGAGGAATGACGACGACACCGAGCATGTTGCAAGTTTGAGAAATATTCGTGAAGTCAGCGCCTCAACCTCCAATCTTCCGAAAAGCCAATGCTCCCAATTATACGTGGGTTGCTCGACTCCAGGTTTCCCCAGCCCACAGAACAGATGGAGCGTGGAGATGCGGGGTCCTATGAGCGAAAGTATAAACGCTCCGCATCAATTTCGCACAAATTTCGCAGCAACTCGCGCTCAATTTGTTAATGTTGACCTAGTAATACATTTCGCAGAATCCTTTGGGACTTTATAATGCGCTATTTGTGACGCATGACTATCTTGAGGCCTGAGGGAGGCCTGAGGGGGAACGTGATCTGGAAGGAGCCGTGGGTCTAACCCGATTTTTGTTTCGTAGATGCTCGTTTCCCTCTTTCTCTCTTCTTCTTCTTCTCCAGTTTAGTTGCTTCTGTTAATGATACACGAATTCTTCTTCGTCTTGGTCGGTAACAGCTTACGTCGCCGGGGAGACAAGCAGAGCCTACACGAGCTGGTCGCCAATTCAAAAATCACTTCGCCCGGTGCCTAGTCAGACACCATTCTATCAAGGGCTATGTGTAGATGCCAAGGTGCTTACCGTTTCAGAAAGGAGATCGTGGCCCAATGATATCCTACTTTCGCTCAGCTAAGTGGGTAAATGCGGCCGTGGCGCGATAGGGTGATTTCTCACCCTGCTTCCCTACCTATTGCGCACTCACCCTTCTTAACCCTGGTCGCGCGACGCTAAAGCGGCTCTCACCCATTTGTCACCCTGGCGGCACCCACCCGACTACTAGCCGCATTTAAGCCACACTAATCTGCTTCATTTCTCAAAATGCCCTTTTGACTAAAACAGCGACTAAAGTTTATTATTTAGAGTGCGAATGAAATGGGTCAAGTATTCTCTCTGGGTGAGCGTCCGGATTAACCTAGGTGTGCATGCTGCTCACCCAGCATGCATGGGCCCCCAGCCCCCAAATCCTAGCAGGCTTTCGCTACATACCCACACACTCCATTTATGATGAGAGTTTCCCACCTGAACACACACTCTCTCTCTGCCTAAACCTCCCCGACTTGTCTTCCAAAATTTACCATTAAACTTGTCGAAATGCCGCGCAAAGACATTGACCAGATTCTACAGGAACGAGCTGCCCTTGCGGTCTCACGAGGATTCACTCTCGAATAACAGAACGAGCAGGAAAAGACGGAAAACACTATTGCACATCGTGAGCTGGCTCCTGCAACTCATGATAAATATGACCACGCTGTCGAAACGTGGATCTTGTATGTTAGCAGATGATATATCTTTTTAGGGATCTTCCTAATGAACTATGCCAGATGGAGGCTTTCGAGAGGCGAGCCTGGAGATACTGAAAGAATGAAAGAGGAGCCGATGCCAACTCCACAGACAATGAAATTATTTGCGGAAAACTACATTGTCACTCGAAAAAAGGACCTCCCGTCAACTGAAACAGTCTGTGGGCATTTTATCAACTTTACCTCGTTTTGGGAACGGACTACCTCTAAGGAGATTCCCATGGAAGTGAAAAAAGATGTTTTAAATGTATGTACGCTCTGGCTGTTGTGAATTAAACTAATATTTGTTTTCATAGCATATCAGAACTGAGTTGAAGAAAAAATATAAGCTTCGTACAAAACCCCGGAAGCAGTTTCTCTTTACTGCAAAAGATATTGAATATCTCTTACGCAGACTCTTCGTTGACGACTCTCATGATTACTTGCATGAAAGGGCAAGAGTACAAACTGGGGCTTCGCTGGCGCTATTTGCAGGCTCTGGGGCTAGAGCTGGTGCGATAGTCGGATCAAGTGCATATCGGCATTCTAACCAAGCCTTGTATTATAAGGTTGGCTTGGATTTATCTCTTACTATCTACTTCCTAATAAATTACTTCAGCATCTAACATTTCACTTGAAATGGGGCCGTGAATCAGGAAAAATCAGACGCTGGGTGACAATCGATCCAGAGTTTCTGAAGGGATGTCGCTTTCAAGATAATATCAAGGTGTTAGTATAACCGACTACATACCTTGCATTTAGCCCTAGGGATATACTAACAATGTCTAGCAGGCCCCGAAGTTGGTTTAGAGAGCATGATATCCTAGGATTCAACTTTGTTTTCTGGGTCATCGTTCACGGAATAGCAGACGGTGCTTTCAAGGGCATCTCTACTATTGAGGAGCTTCTGGCTATACGCCCTCCAGAGGGAAGAGAATCTTGGACATTGCGATGGAGACAGGAAGTGCAGAACGTACCCTTCTTCCGCATGGTAAATTCGGAAGGCCCCAAACAAGATAAAGCTCTAACATTCTCTTCCCTGCGACACAACAATACTAGTCTGGCCCGACGTAATGGTTATAAAAATACTTTGCGAGTGCACGGCATTCGGGGCGCCGTTGCAAACCGGATAGATGGTGAGTACCTGTGGGCAACTTCAATGAACATTTACCAATTTTTCTAGCTCGTGGCTCTGAGGCTACTCGTGGCCAGGCTTTGGACCACCAAAATCCGGATACCTATCTGAAGTACCAATCGACAATAAAGGCTTTAGATGTACAAGCTCTATTCTGGGATCTGGAGCAGGATTTCGAGTGCCGAGATATGGAACAAAGCATGGCTCACCACCGCGATTCCAACGCTCCCGTCTATTTGAATGCAGCCGCACGAGAGGAATTCTTACAGTGTGATAAGGTGGTAGCTATTGATGCCAAGATTGCTATTCTCACCGAGCAAATCAATAGGAGACCTGAGGATCATAGCCAACTCACGGCTGAACGCAACAAGCTTCATATCCAGAAAGCAAACCTGCGTGAGGCTTATCGTTCATCATTTATCTCTAAATGGTGGGATGCCTCCTATGATGAATACGTGGCGGGGAATGAATTGAAAGAACGTGACAGAACTTGTTTGTTTGACATTCTTCGAAAGTATCTCCCAGAACGGGCACGTCTTCGAGATAATCTTTTCAAAGAGGCCTCCCTGGACAGCGATACTGGGAAGCAATGCTTGCATGACATGGTCAGCCTGTGCGTGGGTACTGAAAGTGTGGTTTACTACCCCGGATTGCGCCCTGAAAATGATAAGTGCCCATATTGCTTTAAGGACATTCTTAGGTAGGTTTGCCCGTTACACCTGCATAATTTCTGGCCCCAAGGAACGGCGCTTAGCTAACATGGATGAAGTGTCACGAAAAGTAGTCGTGCAAAGCATATTCTCCAATGTAGGAGAAAGTCTTTAGACTCGGCACCCTATCAGCAGCGTTATAGAACCGGTAAACGTGCACATCGGCGCGTTCGTCGCAAATTCCTGCAATTTTGTTATCTCTTTACAGATTTTTTTCATCATGAATATGATTGGACCGAACATTGCAAATGGCATCTAGATCATCTGATGCCCAGGTGTGGCCTCTTGACCCTTCGTTACACGCTCGTTGCTCCCGGATTGTGCCCTTTTTGTCTGGAGACAACAGCAAGGTCCCCGATGAGAGGTTCCAACAGTGGCTGACCAAAGCTACACTAATGCACCACATCAATGTCCATCTCGATCAAATGAGTTCCGAAACCAATTTCCGATGCCCCCATCCACTATGCGGCGAAAGAGATTATGGCAAGAAGAACAATCTCCGGTACCATCTATTTGATGGGCACTCGATTGAAGAACCGCGACCGAATTGTATCGCTCTCAAGCGGAAAATGGGGAAACAATTGGAATCAGAGGATAATGAGGATCAGAAACGCAAATCTCGAAAGCTTTGAGTTCCCTTTTTAGTTGGTTTGTCAGCCAATGTCTATTTTTTCATTCGCTAGCCTTCGTCAACTTTTGCTAAGTATCCTACTGCTATCCACTGATACTGTCATGCATTTTGCCACTGTAGGCAAGCTAGTTGTTTTATTTTGCTGTATAAGATGTCTTGTCCACCTTGGCCACCTTGATAGTGCCCATCATCCCCATTAATACGAAGCACGGTGCACAATCATTCGTTAACTACAGCTGTTTATGCATCGATGTAAAGACGTCTTAGTTTTTCTGGGTGGAATATAGTAATTCGAGATATTGAACACTTGACTTGGACAATGAGAATGAAAACTATTGGTTCTCTCGTTCGTCACTCAGGATCTTCCGCTCCTCTTTTTCGCTTACCAGTCGTTGCATCGTATTGAGAAATGTAATCATCAAGTTGTGATTGAGATATACCCTGGGTAAGCTCTTTTGACTTATCACCGACAAAAAAGCTGGATTTATCGCCGACGAAAATAAGACGTTCTTTTATCACAGCAGTAATGGCATCCTCAGCCTCGATAGTTCGGAGTTTGTCGTCGTCGAGAGCAAGAAAATAGTGCTGACGGCCAAGTGAACGATCCTCAAGCCAGCTTTTGATGGTTATTAAATCATGTTTGCGGAACTTGAAGTACTCATGGCTTTTGAAAAGATAAAATACCACAACATCTGGGTTGTCCGCCTTTTGTTGGAGCCATTCGGAGAGAATCTGTTTGGCGCTAGCTTGCCGGGTTATTCTGTTCCTTCTATTGGAAGGTGCATGACATGGATTCTCCTCAAAACCAGGAGCCCACAAATTCTCGTTGTCCAACTCCTCAATTTCAGCGGGATGTGGAGGTATCGTGACAACGGAGGCCAGGCGGTACTCTTCTGAAGGAGTCTGAAGGTAGATTTCGCCTTCCGATGGAGTAGAAGATCTGGATGGACCAACATGCTGAGCGAGTGAACGGCGATCCGGTGATGAGTACCTAGACTCTGATCGCTTAATTATAGGATAGTTAATTTTATAAGGAGGGGTAATATATATAGTAAGAGAACTAATAATATAATAAGCCTATATATAGCCTTAGGTATAATTTAATATTTATAGTATATAGTATATCTCTAGATACACTTAGAGAGAGATAAGTTATCTAACTAATTCATTTAGGATTCACCTAATTTCTTCTATCTATAATATAGTATTAAGATTATCCTACACGGCCGCAACAGGGTATCAGTACGGCCTCATCCAGCATCCTCTACACCAGACAGGCAGTGTGTGTGTGTGTGTGTTGTCCAGTCTGCATCGCCAGACAGCCATCGAGCCGTTCCCATTTCGATAACTTTTTATATTTTCTCGTTGTGACACAAGCCCTTAGGATACGCCCTACGATAGGGGATATCACACTAAAACTTGAGAAAACCTCGGACCTTCTGCTACAATTTTCGGCTCTTCCTAATGGTAGTAGTCTTTTCTCTTTGTGAAGGGGTGACCGCGTAGCTGAGGTCACGTTAGTTGCCATTGCCGGCGTACTTGAAATTCTTTTCTGTCCTGCCATGCATCACCTCCACGGTCTGGTTCAACAGCCTGCACAGCCTGGGAGACATCTTGACCGTCTTCAGTCCGCAACTGTCAAGTGGCGCTCCTGTCTACTTACCTGACTACAACCAATTTACCCAAGCCATAACCCGATCATCTGCTTACAAGGCATCCTAGATCGCTTTTCTTTGAAGGATTCGACTGAAAGCTACGTGAAAGAGACAGTAGCTTATCCTTGAGACATGCAATTGCTCGCAGCACTAATCTTCTCAGGTCATATGTGCCAGCAAGCATAGCATTCCATTCATCGTCTGTCAATGGTGGCCAAGGGATCAGCTCACATTGCAATATCATAATTGGCATCGGCGTTTGGCTTCAAAGTTGGGTACTAATTCAGTGGCAGACATGAGCATTCTCAACGCATATCACGGTTTCACTCTGGAGAACCTCTCCATCCAGAAAGTCTTAACCAATTTTCGAAAGAACTAGCTCTTAGGTGGAGATCCTCTCAGGAAGAGTCTTCGGCTGGGTCAAGAGCCCCGTAGCAAATCTTGTCCTCTGGCGCTATCGAGATCCATTCCATCATTTGGCGGATATCCTCCTTGAATCCAGTTCCTACCGCTTTGGACGCCAAATTAGCCCATTCATCCATCGAGATTGGGGAATAAATCGCTGGCTGGCCAGTGACTCGCGTAAAGGTGGATGCAAATTCGCCCATCCGCAATTTCGGACTGCAGACGACGTAATTTTTGTTCTTTGTTTTCGCAATGCCTAAAGCGAATACCTCTAAGAGATACTTTCAGCTTTGTACTTCTCATGGACCATAAGTTACTTCTCTCCAGTATCCCTTTGCAAGGCGCGGGATATCCCACCAGGTCTTCCCTTGGTAGAAGCGACCACAAAAAACTCGTTATCGCAACTTACCTGCAGCAAAGATACCCATATCCTGTACAGGATCAACCCACTCAACTAATTTTGTGGACGGAATCGGGGGACAAGAACGAACGACCCCATTTGCTGCAATAGTTAGAAATCTTTTCCCCGAGGAACTCTCTGTCAGAACTAACCTTCTCTTCGACAGTACTGTGGACGATTCAGGTTGGTGAAGAAGAGACCTTGGAGAATGTTTGGTTATAGCTCGACACGAACGTTTGGCATCAGCAGGGGACTAATCAGGAAGAAGGCAAGTGACCGCAGACAGTTCTTGCTTTGCCCACTGCTCAATGACAAACTTGTGATCCATGTGGAAAAGTTTGTCAAAGCGACCAGAAGTCGCTCGTCTCATGTCTGGCAAGCTACTGAAAACAAAGTGCTGAATGCGGCAAATTCTCGCAGCAGATATGCTGTTCTTCCCACTTTCGAGCTCCAATTTCAGGTCATTCTCGTTTTTCGATCGTTCTTGAATTGGTCTCGCTCGTCACCGCAAACACACCACAAGTCCCAGAAAAAGCATTCTTAAGACTGTCTATATCGAAAATATCTGCAGAGATAAGGCTGAGACGGTGGTCGGAGGTTTGAAAATCATTCAAAAGACGTTGAGCTGAGACGGAATTGACATCCCTGGTGACTGCGCGGACATTTCACAATTCCCGCGAACCGTCACTTAAAAGCGAACTCACTACGCCTTTGTCTTGGTGTCCTGTAGACCCAAGCACAACAATCATGCGGTTCTGCGTGTTTAGTGTCATTTCGATTCGAAAGGAAAGAAAGCAACCTTGCGCGGCCGGGATAGGAGAGAAGTGTGAAGGGAAGATTAATTTTGAATAAGAAACAAATTAATGATGTTAAAAAGTTGCTCCAGAAAAACTAATATAGTTTACTTCTTTCACAGTCTCACTCCTTTCGGCCACTAGGACTGAACGAATACATTACAAATTCAAGGCTGATACGGCCGACGTGGTGAGCGGATGAACCATCTTTCCGTATCGGAGACTTATGATATAAAGTGGAACGGCGGGGTGGTATTTCACTACTAAGGACAGGCTTATTCATTAACTACCCGTTCTCGCTTTGTCTCTGTATTGTAAACGCACTACCTATCAGATATATACAGACACAGTCATGGGCTGAGTTGGTCGGAACGAAATCAGATCTTGCCACGACCCCTCCGATTAGTTGGGAAATAACATCTCACTTCTGTATTGTGGCGAAACAAAGGAAGTGCTCGAATCTGGCAAGAAACTTCTGTTTACGACGCCAGACCCAGATCGATATCCCCTACTGCCCTTTGAGCTTCTCGAGTTGCAGTGGATACTTTATCGTACCGCTGGCCTTCGGGAAGTTGCTGCTTACGCTAACAATGATAGCGACAATAATAGCGAAAGCGACGAAGGTGACTGGCTTGAAATTGCTGAGGTTGAACCCACCGACCTCGAAATTATTCGGTGAACGTCTCATCCTCGAGCCGGTTTCCCGTGATGATTCGAACGCCCGCAGACGCGGGGAAGATAAGTGATTAGCCTTGATCACTCCATCTGGAGTAACGCCGCGAAGCCCTGGCTTGCGGAAGTCGCTCTTGCAAAAAAAAGAGCTCATCGTTGCTCAAGAGTCGATCGGGCAATGTGTCTCTACATTTGCGCGGACGACCGTGAACATGATCGATTGCCGGATTGTAGTGTCTATCATCAACAAAATTTTACTTGAAATGAGCTTGAGGAGTTCAAAAGTCATCGTAGATAATAATACACAAGTAAGAGCAAGCGCGGTACCAGCATGACACGACATGACTACCCACCACTCGTGCGTCCACGCATCACAGCGTCCCCAAACACCGACAGCAGCTCCACATAAGGCACATGTTCTGATGGGTGACGTTCCATGCCACTTTCGAAATCAAGCATGGTCACGGCTCCTGTCTCCCTTTCATACAAAACATTGTGCTTTCCAGCGTCGGGCACGAAGATTGACAAAGACCGAAGAATTTGGATGGCCTTCTCGCACTCCTCACGAACGTGAGTTCGATCGCGGACATTGAGATCATCCCAAATATAGGCCAGGGTCTGTCCATTTTTGTAGGGGAGGACAAGTGCCCTTCCGTCAGGGAACAAACTTGAGCACAGGATGTTCCCAGCGAGTATCATATTCGCGAACACATCGTAGCCTGCAGGTCGTGATTCTGATAGACGCTCGTAGATAGCAATTTTCGCATTCGACCTAGACCGATATATAAAGTGAGATAAGAACCAGGACGATAGTAATCAGTGGTATACGTACGCCCCCTCATGTATGGGACCCCAGCACTTCGCGATGTAGCGGGTTCCCTGCTGGTCAATCTCGAAGATAGCCTTGTCTGTCTGGCGAGGGCCTGAAATTATCCGGGAGATATTCAAGACTGTAAGCGCCCCTCCCTGACCGCTAAGAATGATTGAATTCGGGGTAATATTCCCGGTCATTCCGGTCACTAGACTGCCTTCAGCGGTATAGTTTTTGCGCGGGCTTTGGCGGACAGAAGCTTGAATACCATTCTGACCTCGAAGCTGATAGTTCGGGTTAGTGGGTATATACTGACACACTCTGAATACCACTTACTCGCTCCGCCTTGAAATCTGAAACTTACTCGCTCCGCCTTGAAGTCTGAATCCTCGGTGTAGTTATAGGCCTGGTCGGCAAGAATACAGAACCCCACAAAACACTGCCGGACAGATAAATTGGTGTCCTGGGCTCGAATAGGTCGGGAGACATGGAAGGCAAAATCGGCTGTTCGTTTGACAAATACGGTCCCCTTGTAAGTGGATAGAAAGCCGTCGCGCAACGCAGATTTCCTCATCTGTGCTACAAGCTGCCCTGTGGAGATATCAATGAAAGTAGTATGGCGCTGGAGCGAGCTACACTTACCAAGATGGGGTCCAAGTTGCACACGAGAATTAGCGCTGGAAACAGATAACTGAGCAAGCTCAAGGGTCCAGAATGTTTTCAATTCGCCGACTACCTTAACTTCTGTAATGTGGTCGTCGTTGTCAATGGTCACACCGATAGATACGTACGGTATATTTTCCGTTGTAATTGCGAAGGGTTGAATGTCTCCGATGACCAATGATGGCTGTGATGAACGCGCTAGAACCTTGGCAACAGGCACGCAGACGTTGTTGATGAACCGACCAGATAAGCCTATTTCATTCCCTACCAGGTACACCTCGCTGCCAGCAAATTCCACGTTGGGGACCTGGAAGTTCAGGTGTAGCGGTGTCAGCGCTGATCGGATCTCCTGGTCAAATGTTGTCCAGAGATGCATGAAACTTTCGTGAAGCCACTCGTTGGAGATTGACGCGTGGAGCGTGCCCTTGACATGTCGTATGACGGGCAAAGGGCTTGCGAGAACTTGACTAGCCGTCTGCATCTTGAAACTTGATGGATGGCTAGGTCCAAATGAAGAACCTAGCGGAATGAGGAGAATTAAGTGGGGAAATCGAACAGTCAAGTGGAAGGAAGGAGCAAGATCATACAATTAGCTTTCCGGCTACTAAGCCTATATTGGAATTTAGATGTCATTGCCTTGTCGTTCGGGCATGAACGCAGCTATCTCCGTCTGTCCCGGCACTTAACCCCCTTTAGCCTACCATGTCAGCTTGCCGTCATACAACGCAAGAAAAGTGATTAAGAAGTTTAGCGGCTCTCATCTCAAAGCAAAGGACGGCTTTCTGAGCTGCGGATTCGTCTCAGACATCTACATTTTTCACGAGCTAGTTGGCCGACGCGACTAGACCATAGTGATTTACTCGATTATCCTGTCTCTTAGTACGTGGCTTGAATAGCAATGCCTGAAATGATTCCCATATCATCCGACCTCCTTCCTCCTCGCCACAACGTCACGTGCTATTTAGCGTCGGGGTGTAGCTCAAAAAATTCAGAAGATAGTCAATCTGTGAAATACCGTAGAGGACGAGACGCTTACTCAACGAAGATTTTTAGTGTCGGGGTGACCCGCCGAGCTGAGTCAGCCGGCCTCCATGTTAGCTAGCCCGCTCAGGCCAAGACCCCCCCCAAGTGACGGTCTCACCTACCTGCATCCTCAGAGTCAGAGGATAATAGAATACGGAGGTTATCGTCGCTGATTGATCTTATATTTCCAGTGTCCCAACAATATCCTATCTGGGTGGCTGCGGGGTAAAGTTGACTCCGAAAACCGACAGCCTAGCAACGTCGAAACTCTCAAGCTCATTGAGATATTGAATAATCTGGACAGAGAGCTCCCGGTAAAGCATCATGACTAGTCCAACCATAGCCCCATTCGGCCAATGGAATAGCCCAATCACCTCAACCTTGCTCGGTGCCGACGGTGTTCAATTTGAAACCATCGCGGTATGTTTGCTACTGATCAGCCCCACGTGAGAAACTCATTCCAATAATTGTCTTAGGCGTCTAACGGGAAGATCTTCGTTCTTGAATGTCGCCCCAAAGAGCAGGGCCGAGGCTGCATTGTCGAGTACTCTGGTCCTGGAGGGCGCGATGTTCTACCGATCAAGTACAGGCTAAGAAATGAAAGAAAAACTCAGATAGGCTGATGATTAACAGATATGATGCCCACACCAAAGTCCATGAGTATGGCGGTGCGTCAATGATTGCTTTCAACGGGCAGATCGTGTTTTCCGATCGGGAGACACAGGATCTGCACAGACTCGATCCCTCCACTGGCCAAGTGGAGCGAATCACCAACACTGATGTTGCTCTCCGCTATGTTTGCACATCTGCCTGGGTCGACGAGCAAGGGACCCCTGGATGGTTACTGGCCATCGAAGAAGACCACTCTAAGCCATTGCCGTCAGAGATTCGGAACCGGCTCGTGGCCGTTAACCTGCAGTCCAAGGAAATTGTCAACATTGCTTCCGGTGATGATTTCTACAGCGCTGCGCAGTTCTCCCCTGATGGTAGCAGAGTCTGCTGGACTCAGTGGTCCCACCCGGATATGCCATGGACTGGAGCACGTTTGTACACGGCTAAATGGAATAATGGCCAGGTCGCAGATGTTCAACTTGTGGCTGGCATTTCTCAGAAAGAGAGTGTTTCCCAACCCCGTTGGGGCCCCAATAACACATTGTACTTCGCGGCCGACTGCTCAGGGCACTACCAACTCTACCGTTTGAAGGTTGGCAGCTCCAAAAGCCAAAAGTTAGCCCTTCATGGCCTGGAAGAGGTGGAATTTTCGCAGCCGGATTGGCGCTTGGGAGGGTATGTTCAATCTGGATCAAGGCGATTCTTACAAATTTGCTGATGAACTCTTCTTTTCTTAGCTGCACGTTCTTGAGCCTGAGCCCATCTTCAATGATTGCTTCATACACAAAGGATGCTCGATGGAGTTTCATCTTAATCGATCTGACGAACGATACTTGGCGCGACCTGAACGTCCCGGTATCAGACACAATCATGTTAGCCAATCAACCACTCTCAAGTACAGAAATTGCACTCCTTGGGTCCAGTGAAACCAGCTTCAACACCGTCTATACGCTGGACATCGTTGATACCAAGCTGAACGCTATTAAAGCGGCTTCCGAATTTTCCATGCCGGCTTCGCTTGTCTCCCGACCGGAGCACATCTCTTTCCCAAGAGTCCATGGTGAAAACCGGAAAGGGCTGTCCCATGCTATCTTTTACCCCCCCCAAAACCCAGACTATCAAGCGTCACCTGGGACACTTCCCCCTTTGATAGTGTGTGTTCATGGCGGACCGACATCTCAGACCGGGACTGGCCTGAGTATCACAGACCAGTATTGGACTACCCGAGGCTATGCTGTTGTTTGGGTTAACTACGGAGGTAGCTCAGGGTATGGCAGAGCGTACCAGGATGAACTGAACGGGCAATGGGGTTAGTTTTCATTCCGCAGACTTACCGATTCTCTTCTAATATTTACCAACAACGATAGGTGTCCTTGATACCGCAGATACTGCTAGCTGTGTGTCCTACCTAGCTTCGGCGGGCAGAATTGACCCGAATGGAGTAGGCATTCGCGGCGGAAGCGCGGGAGGCTACATCGTCCTACAAGCGCTGTGCGACTATCCCGATCTTTTCGCCGGTGGTAATTCACTTTACGGTATAAGCAACGTCCGTGCTCTTTGCGAACACACCCATAAATTCGAGAGCCACTATGCTTTTGCTTTACTGTTTGAACCTGGTGCGAGTGAAGCCGAGAAAGACCGCATCTTCAAAGAACGCAGTCCCTGCTTCAAGGCAGACAAGATTACCGCGCCCATGTTGTTGCTACAGGGAGACGAGGATATGGTTGTTCCCTTGGGCCAGGCGGAAGAAATGGTTGAGATGATGGTCAAGGTGGGCCGTCATCCGAAACTTGTGGTCTTCCATGGTGAAGGGCATGGGTTCCGCCAGGCTAAGAATCGGATTATTGCCGTCGAAGAGGAAGAGAAGTGGTGGAAGAAAAGCCTGCTTAAGCTTTAGATGAAGTTTGGGGAGGTTCACTTTCGGGGTACGCAGCCGGAAAGTGATACAGCAAAATCCCCATAGAAGTCGCACTATTTCAATTCTCCCACCTAAGTACTATTTTCCATGGGTTTTGTGCTCCGATTCCGGACAGTCATGCGTATCCTTGATTACATATACATGTTCGCTTGGTACCTGTGGCCGCATCCCAGAGCCGGACTGTCTTGTCGTCCGACGCTGACTATACAAGCGGGCCATCTAGCAAAAAATTGTGGCCTCTCAGGCGACTCACACGAAGTAGCTTGTTAATTCTTCCTGTTCCAGTATGATATTTCCCCCAGCCTTCTTCTTGATAAATTAGAGCCCATATAGCGTCTATCTTTCTTCGAACGTTTCATTCCTTACTGCCACCCCATGTGGCTGTTGTCACCTAGCTTTTGGACCTATAAAAAGCGCATCTGGTCCTTTTCCTCCTTTCCCCTCTTATATCTCCTAGCCTACAGAGCGGAACAAAAAACAATGCCTCTCTAGATTCTTGAAGGCGAGCCGGCTTCCCCACCCCCAGGGGATCAATTCTATTAGAAATCTATCTCCTCTCAGAATGTGAAACAGCTCACCCCTCCCACCCCACGGAGTCCCCCTCAGAACGCCGCCGACGACTTCTACGTTGATTCCTCACATTGGAGAAGAAGGGCAGACTGGTAAATATTTCTCGTCTTGTTCCAAGGAGCAAGAACGATGATCGGCTTGTTGATCAACCTATCAGCCCTTGGCCAAGGCGCAGCTGCCGGAATTCGCGTTGATGTGTCGTTTCAGTTGTATATGCACATCGTTAATGAGCCCTGACAGCCACTCATCAATCTTTCATGGTACCCAGACATTTGGTTAGGATTGTGAGGGGTTGTTCTAGATGACGTTCATATCATCTTGCTCCGCACCGTGGACGAGGGTGATCCTGTGTCGATCTGATCCGTCAGACGCTAATGCGCAACTCTCCGTCCTTGGGCCTAAAGATTACATTTCCCAGTTGGTACGGAAACGCCGTCCGAGCCTGATGTTTGATGCAGGGGATGCCTGAAAGTATAATTGAGTGATAGGACAGACCGAATGTTGGAAATGAAACCTCGGAAAGGTCGATTCATCTTTAGAACCTAATATGCAAGCTATTTACAAAAGCCCAATACCGCGCGCCATGCCGGGTGGAATATTCAAAATCGCTGAATATTCCTAAATATACAAAATGGGATGCAAACCCCTTATAAAAATTATGCGTTATTGAAACGTCATGCTTCGTGATTATGCCGACGGATCGAACTCGTACCGCCGCCAATTATCGCGAACCCACCACTGAGCCGCGCGAGCGGCGTCATGGGTCCATTCCACGGCTTCCTTGCCATGTCTTGTGGCGATGGCAGAGATGAGAAGGTCCAATGTGAATGATTTAATGGGTTTCTCCTCTTGGGGGTCCTTTGCAACGTCGGTGAAGCGCCACTCCACCTCGGGGACGAGGGGCACGATGAGCCGATATTGTTTGTCGGCTGAGCGCATGGCAACCATGGAACCGCCCGTATTCATGACTGTGAACTGCCAATACAATTTGTCGTCTTCCTTCTCGACGATCGGTCGAATGATTGACTGACCCTCGTACATTGGAAGGAGGTCGCTGATCGCGCGGGCGCTGTGTCTGTCCAGGGATCCGGACTCCTTGAGGAGATCGAGAATAGTCGGGAGAATTTGGACGGATGTCACGGAGGAGTTCAATTCAATGACGGGGAGTTTGGGGTGCGCGAAGACGAGAGGAACGTGGAAGTTGGTGACGAGAGGGTTGTCGTAGGGGGTGACGTTGCCATCTTCAAGAAGAGAGACTCCGTGGTCACCGGTCAGGATGAAAAGAGTCTCGTCGGCGACACCTGTCTCTTTCAGGATCTCGAGGACACGTGCATACCATCTGTCGTTGAACGCGACTGTGTTCAAGTACCGGTTCAGTCCGTCATTCTTCCCGCCGAAAGAGTTCGTGACCGATCCGATCATCTCATGGTAATCCACTTTGGGAGGTAGGTCCCAGGGATGGTGCGTAATTCCAGTGAGGTGAGTCACAAAGAGACGCTCGTGCTTGTGCTCGGCTTCAAGGATTGCGTCCTTGAGGTAGCCACCCAGCTCCTTATCGGGGTAGCCCCAGAAGTTATACTTCTCGGTTTTCCAGGTCGTATCATTTGTGTGTTGCTCATCAATGTCTTCCATCGTCAGGATGTTCTCATCACGGAAGCCCAATGCGGGGGTGAGGCGGTCTTGATGGTCATAAGTATCGGTGATGGTCTGCATAAAGCGTGGGCGCCATGGCCAATCAACAAAGTCATTGCTCTTGCTGTTGTTGGTACTCGCACTTAGGACGTCAAGAACGTGAGGCATGCAAGGCTGGTAGATGTGGTGCTCATATTCGTGGTTGAAATCGACCACAAGGGGGGAAAGTCCGCAGGTGGTGGCCTCGATACTTTTCAATGTGAAAGTGCCACCGGTGTACGAGTTAGTCATACTGATACCTCCGTAAGGCTTGACGAGATTGTTGGGATTGAAGCCCGACTGGGCGCCTGTCAGACGCTCGGCAGTGCGTGTCAAATTTGCCAAATGCTTCTGGACCTGGTCAGGAATGTTCTCATCGCCGTAGGACTGCTTGACGCGTTCGTGGAAGTAGCTGCCATTCTTGAAAGGGAAGACATCCTGCCGAGTGCTCTCCATTTTGAAGACCAGAACGTGCTTAATCTTGACATCTCCCTTTGCCAGCACAGCGCGGAGAGGTTCGAGAATTTCTTGATCGAGATTTGAGATATGGAGAGGGTCGTATGATGAGTTGTAGTGCGGATACTTGTCATCCTGCCAATCTCTGAATCCCGGCCATTCACCCTGTGGCATCCAGTCAAATTTAGGAGTTGCAGTCAAGGCCGTAGATTTGCCATCGATCTCGGGATGTTCGGCCATGCTCGCAAGCTTGCCTTTAGAGTCCACTCCGGCGAAAGGGGAGATGACGATCGTTTGGGAAAGGAACCAGTATGACTCGTCGTAGGGCCGAATCAGGCGAAGGAAGAAAATGAGGCCGGTCGGAATGAGAACGAATGCACGTTTGAGCCAGATTTTTTTACGATTATTCTCAACGAGATGAGGCGCCGCGTGATCAAGAAGAGGCGCAGCATGGAGGCCGGCCTTATCCTCCTCTTCATCATAGTCACCGAGTGGTACGGGTTCGTAAATCTTGAGCCGCTCGAAAATCTTTTTTCCTGGGCTCCATCGACTCGCGATCTTGTTAACCAGAGGCTTGCCCCATCGATTAGCCATTGTGTTGGCCAGAGGCTTGAAAGCAGCCGCAAGAACAATGGCCCAGGTTCCAATGATATAGCCCACCACGTTGTAAATATACGGTGTTGTCACTGCGGCTGTAAGAATGTATAAAATTTCGACAAGAACAAGGCCGGTCAGACCGGTAAGGAGTGTGTGGATCGAGGCAGGATCGCGGTTAAAGCCACCAGCCTGGCGCCAGTGAATCTCAGCACCGGTAGTGAAAAAGAAAGAGGTATTGGCGGCGGCCATGACGGAAAGGATGAGGCTATTGTAAACACCCATGTTAGCGCGAATTCGATCGGCAGAGCCAAGAATCAACCAACCTAGCACAAACCACCACGGTTCCCGTTAAAATGCGCGCCCATCTCTGTTGGAAGTTGCGGGTCAAAAGGTGCCCAAAAAGTAAGAAAAGTGCATCCTGTCCAAAGAATGTCGATCCCCAAAGCAATAATTTCCCAATTGGGACGGAGTCGTAATGAGCGTAAATGTGCAGAAGCTTGGCGCCGATGACAGCTACAGAGAGAAAGCCGAACCAAAACTTGCGCGAAGTTTCCCAATTCATTGCCGAATTTAATCCACGCGCAGGCAGCGCACAGCAGAAAAACCCAAGGCAACCCAAGGCCCGTCCAGCGAGCATCTTGGAAGAATTATTCGACCTGGCCCACATCGGGTTAGACTGAGACAACATCTTAAAAAGCTGCTCACGCCGTCATGAGAATAGAATATAGCGGCGCATAGAGAGCACAAGAGAGATAAGGTAGAAAGGACAGAAGGCGGAAAATTTCCAAGAAACACAGCGGAGCCAAAGCACAATAATAAATAAATGTGACGATGGAGAAGCCAGTGTGAAAGAACCAATCGCCAAGATACACCTATGAGCCCCAGTGAAAACCACTGACTGGGCCGAAAAAGCATCATTGCTAGTGGATTCAACCAGGGTTTCATCCTCGGGCTTAGCCTTCAGGGTCATGCGGACCATTTCCTAAATGAGGATGTGGAGAGCACCGACACAACCAGGAGCCGTTCAGAGCACAGTATTCTTTAATTAGGTAACTTCTTGCCAGGGCCAATTGCCTCCGGAAAATGCTTGACTTCCGTGCAAACTTACTCCACACGAGTCTCACCTGTCGCATGCACCGCAACGTGGCTATGGCCTTGAGGGGTTTGGGTCTCTGGTTTAACTTTTCGCCCCTATATAACCGAAGGTCATGTCCTTGCAAGCGTTGCATAGAGATACAACGGTCCTGATCTGGAGATGACTAAAATAGTAGCATTTTCGATCATTCCAGCATGTTGCCTCTCGGGGGTCCCGATGGATCCGAGTCTGAGATCTTTTCAGCCTAAAATTGTGGACTCTTCCCCTCCACGCTGCCCGCAGCTAAATTTATCTGGCACCACGCGAATAAATAGTTCTCGGACTAAGTACGATGCGGGTCCTCGTCGGGCACAAGATCAGTTTCCTTAAATGTGTCACTTCAATGTGGTAGAAAAAAGGGGCGGTGCGGCTCTGAACAGGCAAGGGGTTTTTTCTTTTTCGAAATTCGATATTGTGGACCCTGCATAAAAGAGCTCCACCGCCTTCCGAAATCCCCGGTTTTCCGCTTATTCCTCTGGCTGGGCATGGCTGTGCAGGGGGGGGGCGGGGGGGGGGGTCTCCAATAGTGTAATGACAGAGCGCCCGATGGCACTACATGTGGACGAGTTGGCATTGAGTCAGAATACGAGCGAGGTACCCTAGTGCAGCCTCCCCCACGAATTTCTCTCGTCGCGTGCTCATCTTCCTGGACAGAACCTGACGTCTGACACGTACGCCTTAAAGTCATTCCTAGCGTCCGAGGCTTAGCCACTGCAGTCGACTTTCTGATTCCCTGAGATGAAGGGTCTCAATGCATCTTCGCATCGGAAGGATCAAGAACCCTATGTCAAAGTATTCAAAAACAAAAAACTCACATCGAACCACTGGTAGCGAAAGTTCGAACCAGGCCTATTCGGCGCGCTACACTCGTTGGCATCAATTCTATGCTTTTTGCACGTAGACCGACTAGTTTCAGCCTAAAAGCTGGTGTGAGATAGACCAACACGCCGGGCGAACTATGTCGATCTAGTGGGTTTCGGAATTCACCGCAGAAGCTGAGGGTTCCGAACTTGTCTCAGGGCGGCCCCCAACTACTTTCATTTTATGCGACCCGAATAAGTTTCCGCAGAACGGATCGCTCTCCAGTAGGGGTGGCACACGGGATTTCCTGTCCTAGAAAACACCTTTACGCTTAGCGTTTGTTCCCCAATGCATCTTAAATATCTTTTGGGCTTGATCAAGGGGACTTGCAGTAAGATGCTCCCGTTCAGGTACCATTTCAAAACATAAAGCAATAGTTGAGCTTTTTGACAATTCTGCCTCAGAATTATTGGGGAAATTAATCAAGCTTTAGATAGTCATTGAAATTATTTCAACTTTATTCATGAATTGTGCCACATTACTCCAGGCTCGTACCGAAAAGACGATCTCCAATATCCCCTAGCCCTGGTTTCACGTATCCTTTATCATCCAATTCCGGGTCTGTCGCGCCCACAAATACCTCCGTGCACTCGGGATACGCACTGGCGACGTTCGCAAGGCCCGTGGCACTGCCAAGCAAAGCAAATAATGTGATTTGATCCACTCCCCAGTCCCTATTTGACAAGTCAGCCTCGGTTACAAATCATCTCATCGCTAAGAGATGCACTCACTTTAAAATATCAATCGCTGCTCTTGCGGTCCCTCCAGTAGCCACCAGTGGATCAAGAATGTAGGCTCTTTTAATCTTGGGATTCTTCCGGGGAAGTTTGTTGTAATATTCCACCGGGCGAAGAGATTGTTTCTCGCGGTATAATCCAAGGTGGTATGTCACGACATTTGAATCTTCCGGGAATGCATCGAGGAAAGGCTCTGCCATTGCGAGTCCAGATCGGAGAACGACGATCACTGCGACCTGCTCTTCGGGCTCCGGGGTCTTGAGGACATATTTTGTCAAAGTTGCGGTGAGCTTGGAGACGAGGCGACGAACTACTATGGGCTTGAGAGATTGGTCACGGAGCTGTGCAAGGATCTTGGATGCTTCGGCATCGTTTATTGATGTAAGATTTGAAATTGACATTGTGATATAGGAGACGATGAGGTAGGGAAGACACGAAAGAGGATGGAAATGAGACAGATCAAGGGCTTTCAGGGAGCAAAATGATATATGTGCCGTCTACTCTGAAATCTATACCCCTCAAACTTCGAGTACAGGGTTGATTGACAGTGATATCACTGATGGGCGATACTGATAGACTGATAGACCGATAAACTACAATCTCTGGGACGATAAGCCGATAAGGCCTCTCCGACCCCGGTATCTTATCTTTATCGACGCGATAAGCGGTCGGGGCCATCCGGCGGGGAAAGCTGCAATGTAACTTGTGCCACCAGACCTTGCAGTTATTGCTACGTAAGGGAAATCAAAGCGAGATGTTGAAAAGGTCCTGGTGAAGAGCAAGGCGCAGCAGATGCAACCTCCAAGGAGCTCGGAACAAGTGACCTTTCGGCCTAGCATCCCTGCCAGGTGTACATACGTCCGAGCCACTATGACTGACATTGAATATCTCAAGAGCCTCCAGGCGGTGCGTGAGAGATCTCGCTTGGTCCTTGGAGCCGCTGAGAAGGACGAGCTTACCCATTTCACCTACGATGCTTCGCTCATGCCGAAGGCTGCTGAGTTTGTCGCAGGGGTTATAAATGTACGCTGTATCCTAGGGGGAAATGGAGTCCATACTAACAAAGGCTAGAGAGACTTCGGACCTGACCGATTCGATCAAATCCCACCTCATGGACGATGGCAGCACTTTGATGTTGGCGGTGTGGCGCGGATCGACCAACTCGTCCACGAGTGGAAACTCCAGGGCTTGAATAAACAAGAAACCACACGTCGCTTAATCGATCTTTTCTTCGTTGCTGTGCTTCTTGATGCTGGTGCTGGTGATACTTGGTCTTTTACCGAGCCTGGGACTGGGAATGTCTATGGGCGGAGTGAAGGCATCGCTGTTGCGGCTTTGTATATGTTCAAGGCGGGTGCATTCTCAAGCAACCCAAACAAAGCTGAGTCAGTCGATGGTAAGTAACGGCAGTCGATCAGAATAGAAAATTTAACTGACTTTGGCATTGGTTCACAGGAAATGCTTTGGCAGGGTTGGAGTTTGACAGTTTTCATCACTATTTCCAACTTAAGCCGAAGAACATGATCGTGGGCGAGGCTTCTCGTGTCAAGCTGCTGAAAGCCGTCGGTTCGTCTTTGCTGGCTCTACCCAACATCTTTGGACCAAATGGTAGACCTGGCAATCTCGTTGGTACGCATAGGAGATCATTCACACTTCAGAGCTCTAGAGCTAACACTCTGCCCCAGACTACTTGAGCAAAGACCGTGACCACTCAGAGCCTCTAGACTTTGAAATATTGTGGACGGTGCTGCAAGAGACGCTTCTTCCTACTTGGCCAAAAGATCGCACTCATATCGCTGGTGTTCCGATCGGGGATGCCTGGCCATTGGAAGTCCTGGCACGCATAAATGTCGGCAAACAAAGCCAGAATAACACGCTTGGCATCCAACCATTCCACAAACTGACTCAGTGGATGGCATATTCACTAACTGTGCCATTCATGAGAATTCTACAACGCGAATGGAAAAATCTTGATCTGGGCACCGGACTCCCAGAATACAGAAATGGGGGTCTGTTTGTCGATCTCGGGGTTTTGAAGCTGAAAGAACCGACTCTGAAGCAGGGCCGAGATATTTCAAAGCAAGACTTACCGAGTTTCAATGCCACTGGAGATGTGATTGTTGAGTGGCGTGCGATGACAGTGGCGCTACTCGATGAGCTTCACAAGCTTCTCGGTGATCAATTCTCTGGACAGGGGGTTTCATTGACTATGCCTCAAATGCTGGAGGCCGGTACCTGGAAGGGTGGCAGGGAGCTCGCTGCTAAACTTCGGCCTCTGACTAAGTCTAGTCCCATTCTGATTGAAGGTGATGGGACTCTTTTCTGATTTCTCATGCAATCCATAGCCAGTGGTATTTGAAAAAAAATGCCCAACCGTATTATTTGCATTTCTCACTTCTGATTTATAAACGAATACAACGGATGAGCTGATCACAATCGATCCGATCCCACCGACATGGTTGCGAAGGGTTGGTCAAATGTGTAGTGTAGCTTACGCGTGTTCCCACATATGTAGGCGATATCGACAGAGGCAGCCAGAGGAAAGATCATCCCGATATCCAGTGAAAGCGTGGTTACATTTAAAATAATTGCTAACTCTGACATCCGATTAGCTGCCTATGAATCATTGGTCCCATAAAATCGATCACCGAAGTCCCCGAGCCCGGGGTCAATATGGCTAAAAAATTGTCAGTCTAGATTTTGAAAGTCTACCTATTACCAATACTTACTTGCTTAGTGTCATGTCTTCGTCGATGGCAGCAGTGACAAGACGTATTTGAGGAAAACGACTCAAGAGAGTCTTGGCCCCGTGACGTGATGCTAGAACATTGACGAAGATGATGTTCTCTTCGGGGACGCCCTGCGCCTTGATGACATCGATTGCTGCACATGCAGAGCCCCCTGTCGCCAGCATGGGTTCGAGTATCATGGCCCCTAAAAGTAAAATCGTGGTTAACCGAAGATACATCTGACATTGATGAAGAATTTACCTACATTGAGATGAAATATTAGGCGGAAACTTCGAGTAGAAAAGTGTCGGTTCACATGTCTTTTCATCGCGCTGAATCAAGACCTTCCCAAAGGTTAGGGGGCCTCTAATGTAAAAAAGTAAGCATGTCTCGTCATGGTACAGGGACGTAGCCTTACGTATATCCGCGCCGCATGGCATTCTCCAGACTAGCTCCCGCTCTGAGAATGCTAACGCCACAAACGGGTACCGTGTGCTGTATTCCCTGATATTTGGATCCAGTAGGGCTGATAACTGCTGTTCTCTCGGCTGGTACGAAATCAAGAGCTAGGTTTCCCATGTCAGAAAATACTCGTCGATTTTCTGAACGGTCCACAGAACTTACCGGCAGCAATAAGCTTGTCACCGACACGCTCTGTAGTCTCCACAAATAATGTACTCTTGGTGTTTGCGTCCCGAAGCACGGTCATCAAACTCAAGAGATGGTTTCCTTGCGGTAACACAAACATGCGCTTATGGTCGAATGCATCCTGGGTGGAGCAAGAAGAGCCGTTGTCTTTTCCATTACCGTGATCCATGGTATGGCGATTAACTGCAAGAGCTAGAATGTATGTGCTTCAAAGTTCTGGTGAATGCAGAAATTTTCGTCCGGGGAGCAAAGAATTCACCGTTTGGATAGGTCTCCACTTCTGTATAAAACACGGTCCACTACTTGATCTTTGTGATTATTCTATGGCCACTATCTTAAGCATTCAATCACATAACCAAGGCGCAAATGCTAATTTCGGAGACTCACGAGCCCAAGTCATTATCCTTGTTTTACCCCGTATTCCTGATAGATTGCTCTATATCGATCAAATTCTGGGAAGAGTATTTTGCATTGACTTATCACCCTTGATAAGATAAGGGTCATATGAGAGATTATAGATAAGACCATTATCTTCTCTTATCACCAGAATAATCCGATAAGAGCTCATTCTGAAGGATTTGATTCACATAATACAAGCTTAAGAATGCAAACTCTTAGAGCTGCCATTCCTTTGTGTCAATTAGCTCGGATTACTTGTACCGGAAGGCTCGAATTTATCGCGTTGGAGAAGGATCCACTTTCTTGGACCAAAGTAATCGCAATGAGTAGATCCACCGTCTCCCAGCACAAATCGACATACATCCTCGAATAGGAAGATCTGCGATGCCAGAAGGATACAGAGTCTTATAGAAAATTTCGCTCTCATGGCGTTGGTCGCGTTGCGCATCAATACCTGCCTGGGTCCAGTGGGTTTTCACGAGGCATGATCGCGCGGGTCTTTAACTTCGTGCATATAGGTGACCGCAAGGGAGTGTCTAGGTGACTGCAAGTGTCACATGACTTCGGCCCCCACTTTTCGGAAAAACATAAATCCATCCGCATCTCTTACCTTACTATACCACTTCTTTACCTTCAACTTATTCTATACTAATTTATCTACCCACACAACCTTTATTCTAACTGGTTTATAACTAAATTTCCACTTTCAAAGCCTATATTTAATATAGAAACCCTTAAAGATAATATAAGTGGTCAAATCCCGATAAGAAATAATAGAAAAGTGATAGAAAAGTGATAGAAACTAACGCTATATAGCCTACTTATAAATTTTATCTAAGTAAGACTAAGCTTAATATTTCTGGTGCCTAGCGTAATATAACTAAGGATATAAGTATTATATTTATTAGTTTATAACTAGTTCTAACTCTTTTTTAGGCAGATAATCACTGGATTATCTTCCCCGGAGAGCTTTAGTATCGCTTCCTAGGCTACCTCTATCCTATAAGTTAAAATAAGAGATATTAAAATTAGTTTCTAATTAGTTCCTAGGTTATCTTCTAAAATACTAATAAATTAAAGTATTATATTACCTAAAAATATATAGGTAGTAATAATTCGATAATTAGTAGTTAAGGTAGTCGAACTTCTGCTACTATAATACTTAAAGCTATTAGTAAGTTATCTAATTCTAAATTAGTTTAATTCTAAACTAATTCTAAACTAATTTATTTTAGATAACTTCTATTAGTCTCTATATATTCGTTATAAATAATAGTATATTAGTAATATTAAGTATCGTCCTTCTCTTCCCCTTAAGCGTAATAGTAAAGTGAGTCCCTTATAAATTAATATAAAATTAGTTTCTAACACTAAGAATAGGTTAATATAACTAAAATACGCGAGATACTTTATAAAATAGGTAAAACTAGCTTATATAAATCTTATAAAGCTAAGAAGGCCATTAAATATAAGTTTTAATCCTCTTATCTATCTTTAAATTAGTTTAAAACTAACTTTTTATCTTTAGTTTATTATTATAAGACTTAGTGTTTAGGCTATAATTTCTTTAAATACTTTACCGATATCGAGAAAGAAGATAAAGATAAAGATAGAGAAGATAAGGTATAAGGAACTCTTATAGCTAAGTAAAGGAATTAATCTTAAATTAGTTCTAATAAAAGTGAGCTTAGGCTAAGGATATAAGGTTAATAATATTAGTTTAGAACTAATTCTAAATTAAATTTTTCTTTAATAAAGATTCGTAAAGCGTAACTAATTCTAAATTAGTTTTCTTCTTTAATTTAGGCTAGCTATACCTTAACTAACTACCTTTTTAGTTCTATCTTCGTAAGCCTAATTTCTCGTTCTTTAGTCTTAAGCTCTAACTATTAACGCCTTAGTTATCTTTCTTCTTAAGTATCCTTAATCTCTTAGCGTTTCTACCAAATTTTAAGCTCTTAAAGATTATTTAGATAGTCTTAATTCTATAAGTTTATTATAGTTATACGCCGGAGACTAAGGCTTATAGATATTCTATAAAATTAGTTAGTAAATAGTTTTAAGCTAATTTTAAACTAATTTAATATATACCGAGAATAGCTCTATATAGTCGCTTTAGAGCTTAATCACTATAATATAGATAACCTTAACCGATATCTAATATTAACTACGTAGCTTAAAGATAAGGCCTTAAGGAGGATTTAATTATTAATATTAAACTATATCTGTACTTCTTTATATTAATTAGCCTAGTTTTCCGCTTTTTCTCTTTTTTTAGCTTCGCGCTAAAGATTTCTTCTAAAGCGGGCTTCGATATTATTAGCTTAATAGCGATAATAAATACTAAACTTCTCTTAAGTCTTAAGTTAGTCTAAATCCTATTAATTAAGGTATAATAACCTATAATATTTAGTTAGTAACTAATTTAAAATTAGTTTAAAACTAATATATACTTTATTATAGCACCTAATAATAAATTATAAGTTCTAAGGGTATAAGACTTATTATAGCTTTGCTTAACTATATTTATATATAGCCGGAACCTTAAAAAGAATTTAGGGCTAACACCTAAGTATACCTAATATAGCCCTACTATAATAATTAGGTGTCTCTTATATTAAACCTAAAATTTAAGGTCTGGCTCGTACTTTAGTAACTAGTTAGTAATTAATTATAAACTAATTTAGGTAAGTTATTTACCTTTAATAAGATCTAATAACTTATAATAATTATATTTAGTCTTATATAGTAATAACCTATTTAGCCGCTTACGGTATTCTATATAAGAGCTATTAAGTCGATTTAGGTAGATCTTTAATACTATTTATATAAAGTAAATAGCGTAAAAGATTATAATTCGCGCGAGGTGCTAAGCTAAAGATCGCCTATAATACTTAATATCTTAGTCCTAAAGAAATATACCTAAGCCTTTATATTAGTTAGTAATTAGTTTATAACTAAAGATTAATTAGTTAACTTACTAAGGATCTACTTTAGATATATATTATTAATAATTATCTTAATACCTTCACTATATAGGTAGTAAAACCTAATAGGTCTCCTTATTAACCTTAATATAAGTTTAAAGACTATCCGGAAAATAAATTTATACCCCGTAGAGTTCTCTTAGTCAGTAAAAATATAATAGAGTATTATAATTAGTTCGAACTAATAAGTAACTAATTATAAATTACTTAATAGTAACCTTACTTACTTTTACTATAGTTCGTAAGTATTATAGCGAAGATTACCTTATTAATATCCCTCTTTACTCGCTTATAGGATATATTAACCTTAATAGTATTAAGCGTTACTATAAATTAGAGCTACTTTATAAAAGTATAGAAGATAAAGGTCCCTTCCGAAATTTTATAGATCTCGCGAATATATTCCTAGAGATAACTAGTTAGTGACTAGTTAAAAATTAGTTTTATATTAGTTAATTTACCTTTAATTTAGGTTTAACTTCTATTTAATAGTATAGGCTAGCTATACCCTTACTAAAGGGGTAGCTAAGCGCTTATTATTTCTAGAGTAATACTAAAATCTTATTAATCTTAGTAAAGCTAGAGTAGATCTATAATAACGTATTATATTAATATTACTTATAGAATTCGCGAAGCGTAGGACTACGTAAAAATATACTTATAACTAATTAGTAACTAATTAGTAACTAGTTCTTATTTAAATTTACTTAGCTTAAGGTCTAAGTTTAGATTCTTATAAATTAGATTAAGGACCTCGCTAATAATTATTTATAGAGCTTTTATTAGTGGCGGTAGTAGATAAGAATACGTTCCGCGAGAGTAAAAGATAGTATATAAGTATCTCTTAGGGAGAAGTAGGATAAAGATCTAGAATATTATATTATAAATATTATAGTACTAGATATTACCCTAACCCTAAAAATAAATAATACCTAGAATTAGTTAGTAATTAGATAATTATTAATTAAGAAATAAATCTTACCATATAATAGCTTTCTTAAATTCGCTAATTTAATTACTCTATATATTAGTAATCTAGGCTAATAAGTAAAGGCTAAAAGCTTCTATAGAAGTTCTATATTAAGTAATCTCTCTTTTAAAATAAGAGAAGTATAGAAGTATTCCTAATAGTTCTCTTATATTAAATTCGCGTAGCCTATATAATAGCTAAGCACTTTAGCTATATTCTAATAGCTAGTTAGTAACTAATTAGAAACTAATAAAAATAAGACTTACTTTATAATTATAGTGGCGAAATATAGGCTAATAACCTTAGTGAGCGGATTTATAAGCGATACCTCGAATAAATTTTTTTTTAGTTACGTTATATAACCTATATAGAGATTTTTTATTAGTTTATAATTAGTTCAGAACTAATTTAGAATTAATAAGCTTACCTAATACTAATATATTATAGGTCTCTATAGCCCTCTATAAGCGAGGACTCCGCTATCTCTTCGCATATATTTATAATTAGAGTCTATAGATCTTTATTAGCCTTTATATAGGCTAGATATAAGAGTCTAGGATTAAGAAACTTATAGTACTTAATATTATTATACTTAAAGTGTTTTCGCTCTATTTAGTAGCTAAGGAATACAGAATATATAAATTCTCTTAACCTATACCTACCTATAGCGTACTATATCTAATAACTAGTTAGTAAGTAATTTATTAATAGTTAATAACTAGTTATTCACTAATAGATTTTATTATAGCTCGTAGCTTATCCGGTCTAGATTTCTCGATATTCACGATATAGGCAAACCCTTCCTTATAAGTTTCTGGATACTCTAGAAGTAAAGGCATATACTTAATAATAGTAGCTAATATAAGGTAGGTCGGATAAAAGGTTAATAGTGTTAGAATATAAACTAGCTATAAATAAATTAGTTTGAAACTAATTTAGATCTAGTTATCGTCAATATATATATTCACCTTATCCGGGTCAGGAATTACTGCTTAGAATTCTTGCTAGTCTTTAAACTTATCGACATACTCGCTCGCTAATTCCGTATTAGGTTCAGGATTAATCTGTATAAGCTTAGTGAGGGTACGATCCTTATAGGCCCGCTAGGTCAAATCTATTATACGTTCTATAGTAATTAGGATAATAATAGAAAGAGACTAATAATTTATGTGGGTGAATTACCGGGTTACTAGGGCATACCCTACAATATTACATACTTGCGATGAGCACGGGCCAAATCTGCCAAAAAAAGTCACGTGACTCTTGCAGCGACCTCTGCACCCACTTACGATCACCTGGTTCCTTTTAACTTCGACGGTCTTCGGAAACCATCGCGAAAAGGTGCAACATGCCCCGGGCACTAACGGTGCATTATTATCTAAGTCAAACTCATTGACACTGTCGTACACCATGGCGATGTAGACGAGCGGCAAATCCATCTGCTGGTTCAACTCGCTTCCAGAGCTGGGCCGCCTGAAATGACAGTCTGAATGCAAACTACCAAGCTGATAGCCCAAGTCAATTTCATGCTTGATGAGGTAATGTGTAGACCAGGATGACTTGTATAGTTGCCGTGTTATATATTTTGGATAGATGACAGGCCAAGGGGACTATGGAGCATATTCGTTAAGAGGCAGATGGCTCGGCCCATTCTTCATGTTTCGGTCCTAGAACGCGGATTTTGTATTAAGGAATGAGATGACACCATTTTTTGGGAACCTTATAAAGTGGAATTATTATGCTCACGATCTGAAACACGTCGAAACACATATGTTCTGGATTTTTGAAATAGTCGTTTTTGAATATGGTGTGTATCGACTAGTGCTAAACATCGAGACTCCCCTGTCAACGCTCAGTGTCTACTATAGCCGGGATCGAGCTGAAGGGCGGCGTGGTGATGAGATAAACAACTTAATGTTCTTCCGCTTGAAGCCAGCACATATTAATTTAGCCTGAGTCAGTTTCGCAAGGATCAACTGTGCGTTGGCATCGAAAGTGCCATTTTCGAAGGCCCAACGTCCCTGCTAGTCCACTTCGACGTCACGGTCTTCAGCTGAGTGTAGAAGTTCACACCTGGTTTTCCATAAAACGTATTGGAACCTCCACCTGCAGCACTCCTCTTATTGCCAGTGAACGAGAACATTGGTAGCGGGACAGGAATGGGTACATTGACACCAACCTGGCCGGCCTCAATATTCTTCCTGAATCTTTCGGCATAAATACCCGACGAAGTGAAGACAGCAGCACCATTCCCATACTCGTTCGCATTGATCAGTTCAATTCCTTCGTCGATCGAGGTCACTGTAATGCAGGAAAGCACCGGGCCAAATATTTCCTCCCTATAGCATTCCATAGATGGTGTGACATCCGCGATGATAGTCGGGCCGACCCAATTACCGTTCGGATAGAGATCCGGCTTGAATCCGCGACCATCGAGAGGAATTGTGGCCCCTTCATTGGCAGCGCTTGCGATAAGTTTCTCAATACGTGCCTTGCTTTGCGGAGTCACCACAGGTCCTAGATCCGATTCACTTTCGAAACCTGCGTTGACACGGAGAGCTTTCGTTTTTTTCACAAGTTCTGGAAGCCAGCTTGCTGTCTCTCCAACAAGCACAGCGACAGATAGCGCCATGCAGCGCTGTCCGGCGGCACCAAATGCCGCGGCAACGATGGCATCCAGAGTTTGATCCTTATCGGCATCAGGAAGAATAAGCGCATGGTTTTTCGCACCCAGATTGGCCTGGACTCTTTTGCCATTGGCAGATCCCCTTTCGTATATATATTCGCCGGCTTTGTTGCTGCCAACAAAACTGATCGCTTTGATTTCGGGTGCATTGAGTAAGAAGTTGACTGTGTCGTGGGCACCATGGACCACGTTGATCACACCCTTTGGAAACCCGGCCTTTTCAGCTAGTTCCGCAAGAATCATCGCAGCTCCGGGGGCTCGCTCAGACGGTTTCAGGACTACAGTATTCCCTGTAATTGCCGCGATCGGAATGCACCATAGTGGGATCATGGCAGGAAAGTCTGTGTGGCGCTGTAAGTCGGTAGGAACAGGACTAGAACAGAACTAGCACAGAGACCCACTTACTGAACGGGCAGATGACACTGACAACACCAAGAGGCTCTCTGTAAGTCCGTGTTTCCATATCTTTGGCTACCTCCAGAATCTCGCCTTTCATGTACTCCGGTCCAGAGCAGGCAGCCTCGGCAACTTGGAGACCACGCAGAACGTCACCCTTCGCATCTGCGACTGTTTTCCCTTGCTCTAAGGTAATGACAGCTGCCAGTCGGTCCCAATTCTCGCGAATAAGACCGACATAGCGGAACATGACCTGTTGCCGGGCGATCACGGATGTGTTTCTCCACGATGGGAATGCCTTTTGCGCAGAACTTATCACATCATGAAGTTCTTGCTTGCTCATCTGCGGAACTCTCGTCACCAAGTTGTTGGTAGCGGGATCGTGAACATCGATAAATTTTTCAGCACCGGAGAGTCGAAATTCATTGTCAACAAAATACGGTGTATCTGTCGGGATCGCTATCTTCTTATGAGAAAGAGGATAGGATGTCGAGGTTGTTTCTAGAACAATCTTGTCTTGGGTGGGCTCCGATTCCCGCGTCATCTTTCCGGCAATGTTTGTTGGTACGTACTTGGATTGTTTCCTTCCCGGATATGATAAAATATCAGAAGCTCTGGTCGTCGGCTTGTTTCAAATGTTTTGCTATGCAGCCAAGCTTACCCCGCAACTGTGCTAGTCCAGGTTAGACCCAGAGTCCATAGGTAGAGGAATGATGATAGCACTGCGATAAAGATAAAAGGATAAGGCGATAGATCATGATACCGGCTGATAAAGACTTTTTTGTCTGCTTATCCGTTATCGCGTCGTCCTTTATCGCCTTATCTTGGGAATACACTGATACAATTCAGACAATGCAGCCCCTTGGACAGTGCACACAATTTGATCAACTGAAATGAGGGGAACATCGTTCAGATGTCTATTTAAATATAGACCTCCTCATCTCTGCAGAAGTCACCGTCAAGCATTGTCTTAAACCTTTCCCAAACCTCCTCCGGTGTTTTTCTTCTCAACATTTATCCGCCATGGCTGTCGAACAAGCAAATGGCGCCGCCCAAACAACGGGCAAGACCGCTTATTCAAGCGGAGAAAGAATCATTGTATAGCCAGCACCATGAATATTTGCTCACTTGATCGAGGACCTGACCAGTACATATTTAGTTGACAACATATCCTGGCCAAAGTGTGGTTGATCCCATCCCGTTGGACTGGGGAAATGCAGACCCCGAAGAACGCGGCCCCGTCTTAGTCTCCCGTGAATCAAAAACCCTCGCAAGACGAAATGCCATAGGTGCACATGGTGGGAGTTACTCCATTTACAATGCCCTAGCAGTCGCCGCGGGCGATCTTCCCCCGAACTTCAAGCCAAGCTTTGAAAACACTCAGCCTATCTTCAACTTCCCAGCCCAGCCAGCATGGGGCGACAAGACCAAGATTGTTTCAATGGATCCATTTGGTCACGATATTGTGCGGCATTACAAGAAACATCTCGATGCGGGACTTGATGTCCGTCCTACGATCGCTGTTACGAAGGCGACGATGCGACTGGCGGAGATTACGGAGTCTATTAGGAATGGGAATCTTGAAGTTGACGGAGAGATCGTTATTAGCAAAGAAGGTGATGTGCGAGTTACGAAAGCTGCAGTTGAGCCTGTTTGGTATCTACCAGGCGTGGCCGCAAGATTTGGCATTGATGAGGGTAAACTTCGCCGGACGCTGTTCGAGCAGTGTGGCGGAAGTTTCCCGGAGTTGATTACCAGGCCAGACATCAAAGTCTTCTTGCCTCCGATAGGCGGCCTTACTGTTTATATTTTTGGATCTCCTGACAAAGTATCCAATCCCGATGTCAAACTCGCGCTTCGCATTCATGATGAATGTAATGGGTCCGATGTGTTCCAGTCTGATATCTGCACTTGCAGACCCTATCTAGCCTTTGGAATCGAGGAGGCTATCAAGGAAGCACAGAACGGTGGATCAGGCGTTGTGATCTACTTCCGCAAAGAAGGTCGAGCTCTTGGCGAGGTTGTGAAATATCTTGTCTATAATGCGCGCAAGCGTGGTGGTGATACTGCCGATAAATACTTCACTCGAACAGAAAACATTGCCGGTGTTAGAGACGTCAGTTGCCCATTCGATTGCCCAAGACATCTTGACTGACAATTCTCAAACCAGATGCGCTTCCAGGCTCTCATGCCAGATATCCTTCAGTGGTTAGGAATCAAGAAAATTGATCGCATGCTGTCCATGTCGAATATGAAACATGACGCAATTGTTGAACAAGGCATCCCGATCTTAGAACGCATTCCGATCCCCGACCGTAAGTTGCTATTCAATTCATGAGCTTTGTTTGGCACAGTTCTGACTAACTATGGAACAGACATGATTCCTTCAGACTCCCGCGTGGAAATTGATGCCAAGATCAATGCAGGATACTTCACAATGGGCAAGAAATATACGGACGAGGAGTTGTCACAAGTCAAAGGTCGTGGGTGGCAGAATTGGGAAGATGTCGATCACTAGTATAATTTGATACTTGTACATTGTTTCATAGAAGAAATTCATTTCCCGGAATCGCATATATCGTCGCTCCACCAAAAGGTCAACCACACTCGTAGTTTAACTCGAGCCATCAATGCCTGAATCGTTCACCTAAACAGACAGTCTCAGATGATTGCAGCAAGATAACGAAGGCATTCAATTTGCATCCCCATTCTTTTACAATCCTGACCTTAACCATATCGGACGTCCTTCGAATCATCCGCAAACCAATCTTCTTTTTCCAAGGCCTCCTCCGACGTCGCAAAGTTGATAATTGTGCTCTTCGTGGTAGTATAGGCATTGTATGCGTCCTGTCCATTCTCACTTCCCACGCCGCTGGAGGATTTGACCCCTCCCCAGGGGCTGCTCGGGTCATTTCGGTGGTGAGTGTTTACCCATACAATTCCAGCATCGATCTGCTCCGAGACTCGGAAAGCCTGTGAAAGATCTTGGGTCCACACCCCGGCTCCAAGCCCAAATTCGGAGTCATTGGCCAAACCTATAGCTTCCTCTTCACTGTCAAAGCCTATCACAACGATGACAGGTCCAAATGCCTCCTTGTGCCAAATTAAGGCATTGAGAATGCTTTTGCCTTGCGAGAGAAGCACGGTTGGCTCGTAGAATGATCCTCTAGAGAATTCAAACCCATCTAGTGGACTTATACCGGTCATTCGTCTCCCGCCGGTGAGGGTGACTGCATTGCCGTTCTCGAGCGCCTCGCCGACCAAACTTGCCACATTCTTCAGTTGACGCTCGGAGATGATAGGCCCCATCATGGACTCTGGGTTTTTGGGAGATCCCATTCGACTCGTTATATTCTGAACCTTTGACTTTAACTTCTCGGTGACTTCAGACATGATAGAATTCTGCACAATGATTCTCGTGCTGGCGACGCAGGTCTGTCCGCTTGCGATATAGCTTCCGAAAGCGATACCATTAATTGCCATATCTATATTGGCATTTTCGAAGACGACCAGTGGCGCTTTGCCGCCGAGCTCCGCAGTGTACTTCGCCAAGTTCCCACCAACGATTGACCCGATCGCCTTTCCGGCCGTAGTGCCTCCCGTAACGTCAACTTTTCTTACCAGAGGATGCGAGACAAGAGCACTGCCAGTTATGGCTCCGATTCCAGGCAGTACACTAAGGACTCCAGCAGGGAGTCCAGCTTCATGAAGAATCCTCGCCAGGAGAAGGGTGCTCAAAGGCGTCAGTTCACTCGGTTTGATAATCACACTGTTGCCAGCGGCAAGGGCCGGAGCCAGCTTCTTCACTGCGATGAGCAAAGGATGGTTGAAAGGAGTAATTTGGACCACTACACCCAATGGTCTGCGGTCGACGAAGTTGTGAAGCTTGCCCGTAGTGGGGAGAACAGAGCGTTCTTCAACGCGTAGTATTGAGGCGTAGTATTTGAACCATTTCACCAGCGATGGGACCTGCGCATTCATTTCGCGAATTGCACGACCGGTTTGTCTTGTTTCCAGAAGAATAAGTTGTGGCAATGCTTCCGTTAGTAGGGTCGCGCATTTCTCGAGCACATTGGCGCGATCATGGCGACTTGCTCGAGACCAAACACCTGATTTGAAAGCTTCATGGCCGGCTTCAACTGCTTTCTTGACATCATCGGAAGATGCTGCATTACACCTGCCAACCGTTTAATTTCGAAAATGCATAAGGCAAGGGTGGCCTTACTGGGCAAAGGTCTCGCCAGTCGCAGGGTCCTCTATAGGAATTCTGGAAAATCGTCAGCAATTAGCCTCAAGAATTTCGAAGAGCGCTTACTGCTCCGCATTTCCAGTGACTTGTTTGCCAGCTAGCCACATCAAATAAGTTTCAATCATTATGTCTCGCCTTGTGGAGAAGTGAGGGGTTCTGGGTTGTGAAGACGGACGGTGGTAGCCCAAATCTATCGTGCGCTCTCTTTGTCAAGTCTCCCTAGTAGTACTTGCAAGGACTTTGTGAGAAATAAAGAGAGTTGGTCGGAGCGATAAGGAATCTATCTTTATCAGAATGATGATTAGTATCAGAGAGAGGCATTTGATGACGCCAAGTTCCTGCCATTCAACCCCGCTTTGTTCATGAGTAGCGTTCCATTTGGGTAAATTTCGAGCGGCTATCGCCACGGGACGTATCTATGGATCCGAGGGGCCATGAAATTACTGAAATTGCCTTTCAAGACTTTACAAAGTAATCTGTAGCTCAATTCGTCCCTTTGAACCTGCCAAAATTGTCGGCTCTATGCTAGCCTCCGGTTAGGTAATCAACCGAACGTGAATATTTGTCAGACGAGCGTCCGGACGTATCTGATCCTTACGGAGGTATTTGAAGCTATGAGGAAAGAAGCAGATAGCGCTCCAGGATAAGCTGTAGTAAGGTCCTTGGAAAAATTGATAAGAATCAAAACTCAAAAATCGTTCCCAGCCCTGTCCTACCTTGTCACCGCCTCCTGTGTCAGCGCTCGTCTTGCTAATTGAAGCACGTCCAGTCTAAGGTAATCTACGGACTGGAAAAGTCCACGAACCTCAATACTGAGTTCAAATATCATAATTTGGAAACGTCAACCCCGGCGGTATTGAGGAGCTGAACCCGACTCTGCCTTAAGTTTGGCTCTTCCCCTAGGTTGCGACTAGTATACCTCACCCGCGTATGGAGACTTCCTACCTCAGTGAACATACTTCCGCTTCTGCATCGATCATGTGCCGGCACCGCAATGAAAATCGCACATAGCCCTATATTACCTGGGATCGATGTGGACGGAGACTGTAAGTCATTATCGAGAACAACACGGTTGCTAGTCTGCCGATTAACCTATGCCACGGCCTAGATCTATCAGATCGTTTACCAACTTGCTTCTGTTATACTTCCTAGCCTGCTGCTTACTACTTATGGGCTTCTTTATTGGCAGAGCCATTAATCTTTTGTTAATGATAGTCCGGCGGCTGGTTAAGATGAAGGTCTAATTGCTTTGCGATAGCTTCAAGTCACTTGCACCATAAAGAGTCGCCGTCTGGTGATATAAGTATTGAAATGGGAACGGCTCGATGGCTGTCTGGCGATACAGACTGGACAACACACACACATATACTGACTGTCTAGTGTAAAGGACGCTGGATAAGGCCGTACTGATACCCTGTTACGGCCGTGCGGGATAATCTTAATACTATATTATGAATAGAAGAAACTGGGTGAATCCTGAATGAATTGGGTAGATAACTTCTCTCTCTCTAAGTGTGTCTGGAGATGTACTATGCACTGCAGACATTAAATCATGCCTGAGGCCACACATAGGCTCATTATGTCACCAGTTCTCCCACTAACGTGGTCGGTAAGCGAGCTGCGCATGTAAGCGAGCTGCGCACCCGCCCACTTTTCGGCATCTCCGCGCGTCCCTTCACCTTCTATCAAGCACCATGCCTCCAATTCGCGTCGGATCAAGCCAGGACTCCATCGAGAGAGAGGGCCGTATATCACTTGCTATACAGGCTATTCAAAAAAATGAAATCACGTCTATACGCGAGACGGCACGTCGCTTTAGTGTGCCCGAATCTACACTACGTACGCGACTCCGCGGTACTATAAATCGCGCTAAAACTCGCCCAAACAGTCATAAATTAATACAGATCGAAGAAGATATACTCCAGCAACGGATACTATCGCTAGATCTACGCGGTATAGCCCCTACGCAAGCTCACGTACGAGAAATAGCGAATATTCTACTTATAAAGCGCGGTTCTACCCCTATCCAGACTGTCGGTAAAAAATAGATTTATAACTTTACTTAACGCCGTCCAGAGCTCAAAGCTCGCTTTTCTCGATAATATAATTACTAGCGGGCAGAATAAGAGGATCCAAAGATTATTCGAGCGTAGTTTGACCTCGTATAAGCCACAATTCAGTAATACGGTATCCTACCAGACGATATCTATAATTTTGACGAGACTAGCTTCGTGATAGGCCTCTATATAGCCTAAAAAGTGATCACTTAATCAGAATATTACGGCCGGAGATTAGTTTTATAGCTAGGAAACCGCGAGTGGGTAACTGCGATCGAGTCAATTAACGCCTCGGGGTGGGCGCTTTCACTAACGCTTATCTTTAAAGGTAAGCTATATAATTAAGCGTAGTTTAAAGACTTTCTACCCGACTGGCGCTTCAAAGTTAGTGCAAATAGATAGATAACCGACGAGATAGGCCTTCGCTAGCTCCAAAAACAGTTTATTCCGTTAATAGATCACCGTACGCGTGGCCGATATTATCTTTTAGTCCTTAACGGACACAGAAGTTATCTAACGCCAGAGTTCGATTAAATCTACGCGGATTATAATATAATTCTAATCTATATATCGCCGTATTCCTCGTATCTACTTCAGCCTCTTAATATCGGATACTTCGCTATATTAAAGCGATCGTATAGTAATTAAATCGACCAAAAGATACGGCTCGGGATTAACTATATCGATAAACTTAACTTCCTTTTTATATACCCACAAGCTCGCGTCGACGCCTATAAATTAACTATAATATAAAATAGCTTCCGAGCAGCAGGATTAGTGCCGATTAATCCTTAATAAGTACTATCGAAGCTTAATATTTAACTTCGGACGCTAACACCTCCCGCAAGCCGCGGTAGTTAATTAAGCGCTTTTTACCTATATACGCCTGCGAATATAGATAAGCTTTTAAAGTAAGCATCCTCGATTAAAGCTTTCTTAAAGCGACGCTCAAAAAGTCCGCCGTCGCCTTCGCAAACCGCGTTAAACTAGCTTATCAAAGGCTATTAGATCGCAATACAAAACGGTATACTTCTCGAGCAGGAAAATAAGCAGCTACGTGCCGCAAACGCCGTACAAAGGCAAAAGCGTGCTCGTAAGACTAGATAGATAGCCCACGATAATAGACTATCCGTACGAGAAGCATTAGAGCTCGAGAAGGCTTATAAGGAGCCCGCTTAGGTAATACTAGCTCCACTAAGCCTACTACCGCGGGACACACCAGCACCGAAGACGCGTCGTCCACCCCAATGCACTAATTGCGGAGTGATCGGACATAGAAGGAATGCCTGTAAAGCTAGAGATTAATCAATATAAAGGCATTGTGGTTGATAAAAGTGTCAATATATAGAGAAGAAGTGGGCGGGTGCGCAGCTCGCTTACATGCGCAGCTCGCTTACCGACCACGTTACAGCATGTAGCGAAGAAGATATTAACTGTAGATGAGATTTGATGATACTCTTTCGGAGCGAGTTCCCCTCAATGGCCCCATGCGATCTAACCCATCAGCATCCGTTTCATCTCTTCTCTATAAGTGATTACTGGTCCCAACGGGCTGAGACGGTTTTAGTGGTAGTGAAAAAGGGCCAATACGTCTTCCCTGGAACGTGTCGATCTACCAGATATCAGTGAGTGTACCATGAAAAATGACCCCGCTGCTTACCTCCCATGAATGAGGCTTTGTTACTGGTTCTGACGGCAGGCCCATACGGAGCTAAATCGTCAGTCATTGTATCCAAAAATGTTGCGTATTCAGCATACCAATTAACGGAATATTAATCCCAATCTGTCCCACGTTGACAGCGCGTTGAAAGGTCTTGGCATGCTTTCCGCTGGTTGTGAATAAGGAACATCCATTTCCATCTGTGCACGTCAGTATTGTCCGCAAGATTATTCAACGTGCTTCGACTGGCGTCATCTTACATTTGTTTTGATTGATTAAATCAACAGCTTCTTCGAGTGTGTCGACCTGCATGCAGATAAGGACAGGGCCATAGATCTCGCTTTGGTAACACTCCATATAGGTTTCCACGTCCGTGATAATAGTTGGGCCCACAAAACTCCCGTCAGGATAACCAGGGACCAGAGCATCACGTCCATCACATAGAAGAGTGGCACCTTCCTCGACCGCACGATCAATGAATCCCGTCACTTTTTTCTTCGCTGACAGATCGATGAGAGGGCCGATTTTCGTTTCTTCGTCCCCACTGTATCCCACGATCATGGATTCTGCTATTTCCACTAGCTTCGGTATCCATCCTCGAGTGTCACCAACAAACACAGCAACACTCAGAGACATGCATCGCTGCCCTGCAGCTCCGAAGGCACTCCTGCGATTGCAAATAGCGTCGGCATCATACTCGCATCGTCCAAAACGACACCATGATTTTTCCCGCCACATTCAGCCTGGATCCGTTTTCCCGCTTTACGCGAAATATCGTGAACTTGTTTTGCTGCCGACTCCGAACCAACGAAACTGACAGCTTGTACCAAAGGTTGTAGGATGAGCATCTGGACAACCGAGTGGTCTCCGTGGACCAGGTTGAAAGCTCCAGGGGGGAAGCCGGCACGGAGTACCGCTTCGCTCAAAAGACATGCCACAGAAGGGGCTTTCTCGGAGGGCTTGAGGACCACTGTGTTTCCCGTGGCAAGTGCGTACGGGATTGACCAAAGAGGAGTCATGAACGGGAAACTGAAAGGAGTTATTGTGACGCAGACGCCCAGCGGCTCGTAAAAGGTCTGAAGAATAGTCGGATCGGAACCAAGAAACATGCCCGCCATTTCAGGTCCTATTGAGCACGCCGCATGGATACAATCAATACCTCTGAAGACTTCCGATTCTGCCTCTCCGGCCGTTTTGCCGACCTCGCGAGATAGAATCGCTATCTAAATCCATGGAAAAGCTGATGAGTAAATTCCATGCCCATAAAACAGATCTGCACTCTCACAATTTCATCGGACATTTCTCTCAAAACATCTATGAGCTTGAGAAGATAGTCCCGTCGGCTTTGAAATCCCAATGTCTCCCAGTCTGGCTGAGCTGCATGGGCTGCGCTCACTGCACTTTGAACCTCCTGGTGGGTACAATTAGGTACTTTAGAGATCAGAGCTTGTGTCCCCTTTTCGGACGGAATATTAGCATCTTAAGCCAATCTTGGTCAAGCATTTAGCTCTATCTCACTGGATCAAGTACTCTCGTCCACTCTTTTGAACGTGACATGTAGCATTCATTGTTGATGAAGAGATGCGCAATGCTCGGACGTGGTGGTATGGTATTTTTGGGGGACTGGTTCTGATCATTTTGATTTGTTATAGAGCGAGCCAGGCTGTGACTAGGGCTGAGATGTTCGATATCAGATAGCGCGGCTAGAACAACCGCCTGATCCACCTGCAGTTAATGAGTACACCACATCGTCCACATTGTCAGGATCCCAACTGACCTCGCTCGGATTAAACGTGAAATTATCAAGGGCGATACAGAATTTATATTCCTCGGGCTGGGTGGCACTTGAGGGAAAGGGGCAAATCGAACACGGCGGTGTGATTGTTGAACGGCTCTGGGCATTGTGCTCGTGGCAATGAAAATGAAACCACATCCAAGGCAGGAACGTGCCTTGGATAAACAGCACTAGTGCGGGGCAGCTCAGAGAGCTATATGCACGTACGTAACTTCATACACGAGGCGCGGGGGAGTTGGCATTTCCTAAGCTTAAGCCGCACATCCCGATCTGCGGCCTTTCTCTATTGGGCATTAGCGAGCACGTGACCACCACCACCATCAGTTCGTCCAATTTACTTCTGACTTTTCTTTTCTGCTTGTGTCTTACGCAGTATCGTGAGAAAAAGAAAATGTAGAGCAAAGTCATAGCCGCTACCATCGGAAATGTATATTTGAAGATCTTAAGCAATCTGTCTGAATAACCGAATTGAGATATGCTGTTGGTGGGCACGTTGACGATGTGGGACCTTGCCCATTGTTTTTCTTAATGGAGGCTACAAAAGGCTGCTTATCCCCGCTGCCGAGTCCATGCATACCATATTCCAGTCTGAGTGGTGTTGGCGAAAAATTGTGACGCGGTGTCTACTGCATTGAGTCTACTCTAGTACGTTTCAAATATCAATCAACGATGGTTACAAGAATGCTTAACGTATGTAGAAATTTAAAGGCAGCCTTCGATCTCCTAGGGCGGATTCCTTAAGACGCCATTTTATTGGCAGGATAATTTGTCGCGGTTTGCCGAAGAAAACTGCCCTGCAGTCGTGGTTTGAGTTTATGCAGCTTATAAGCCTCAGATTGATGGCGCCCAACACAAAATCTATAAGTCGCCTATCGACGACATACCGTTCTTCTGCTCCTTTTCGGTGCCACCGGGCATTGGAGAAACTATATTGGGACTGGATCTGGGTAGGCATTATGAACTTCATGCGAGTACATAATTCAGATACACGATGGAAGAAGACAGTAATTAATTACTCACGACAATTGTCGAATTCAGCAGATATCTCGACCATCATTATCAGATAAACATTTTTGACATAAAAAAACTGGTACTCGGTGGAAAGCTCAGGCGTCGATAAACAACACATGTCTACGTCCCAACAATCCAGTCAGTGTCATCTTTTTGCGCCTGGCTAGATTGCTGCTTTGTGTCCGGGTGGCTTTTCTCGCGATGTGGCCAGCCCCAGTGACGGGGTTGTTTCGGGTTGTCAATATTCTCTGCATCGATCCGTTAGTATAAATCAGACGCAGAAATCCATTCGAGAGAACATGAGACTGTACCTGTTGCAGTACCAGAAAAAGCCTCGTTGACGTGAGACTCAGGCTGAGCAGGCTCCGACTGTTGGTTCATTGGCTCCTGCTGAGGAGGATTTGCTGCGTCGGGAGCTTTGGGTGCGTCTGTTGAGCCTGTTGAGCCCGTTGAGTCTTTACGCTGGCGGTGGTGGAACGCGTCAGATGCCCTGCGAAGGAAGTCCGACATAGTGAAATACACGTAGTTTGATAATTCGACTCGGGTGGTCCACAAGTTTGAAGATTTTCAGGGCTTGTTGATAGTTCAGAAGACTACTTCGGTCAACGTCCTTCGCTCACGAAAGCTCACTATTATACTGGGCTTTCGAAAGACGATGACATCATATGACCTGATTAGTGCTAAGTTCTCGTGATCGCTCTTCTTGGTTCTATGGTACTAGTAAATAAGGTAGCTTGATTTCATACGACGACCAATAATTATCGAGAAATTTTTGACGCAGCGAGATGAGCGCATCATATGTGGGGAGCCTCATGGAAGCATGGAGTGGGGCAGCTGGGTCCAAGACGTCCGGGTCCGACGCCTCCGAAGGCAGCTAGCTACTCTTCTGGTCATGTCAGATGATGCGAAATTCATTCGAGACAAAACCTTAAATGTACCTCTATTCTTTGGGATCTGGTTGGTCTAAAATGAGGAACTTGGTTGACTGCCGGCATCCGCACTTTTAATTCTGCGGGGACATTCACTCATCGCCATCACATCCGAGCGAGTCATCCTTGGACGCTTCTCCCTCATTCGTCCGTAGCAGAAGGGTCTGTGGTGTTCAAGGCTCAAAAAGTCGCTCAGTATTATTACGGGCAAGTTCATGGAAGGGCATTAGCTGCCGAAATGCAAGAACGTGAATGTAGCGATAAATGCCTCTTCGTACTATAGATCCGATGGACCAAAAGCATCCATGCTCATATTATGGAGGCGGTCGTTAAGCCAATGCCCTTGAGTAACGGTATCTAGTGCATGATATGATGGGGGTGCCTTTGTGGTGGAGATGTTGAACCTGCCCCTTGGCGGCGAAACCCACATGCTTGTTTGCCCTCGTGATTAAAGACCTCAAAACAGTAACTGATCAACGTTACTTTCTCACCCCGAGCTCTCTATTGAAACCCTCAATATCCCCTGCTACCTCTACACTCATCTCCCGATGAAGCCCACCAGTCACCGGTGGATGTGTTGCATGTTGAACCCTAAGGCCTGGGCGTGGTGAATCCTGATTTGTCCCCCCCGCTTCCCCCTCCCCGGCTATTTATTCGGCAAACCCGGCGAATTCATTCGAATGCCCGGTGTGGAGCGATAAGGGCTGCGAGACTCGACGATAAAGCAGATATGCCTTGTTTCTACTTAAAAAAATCCTATGCGACCGTGACCGTTCGGAGCGCACTCTATGATTTATTTCATCGAATTGCTTCATTCTCCCTCTTGCTTCATACGATATGGGTACCCCGGACATTGCTGGTGTAAGACAGCCGGCGGGCTCTGAGAATCCGGACCCCGACCTTATCAAGGTACAAAATGAAGATGAGTTGCGTCTGGCCCAGATGGGTGAGTTCTGACCCGCGGCCGACTGATTCATGCTGAATTCATGAATCCCAAAAGGCCATAAACAAGAACTCGCTCGACATTTTTCCGTATGGAGTTTGATCGGACTCGCAGCCAACTGTACAATCTCTTGGACCGGTTTGGGTCTGGGTTTGATCACAGCTATCAATGCCGGCGGCCCTGGTGCTCGTAAGACTTGTCTGGATTTCTTCTCGATAAACTTCCCAGTTAACCGCACTCCAGTCATCTACGGCTTCATCCTCGTATGGATTCTCCAATCCTTCGTCGGCGCCTCTCTGGCCGAATTTGTCTCAGCTTACCCGACCGAAGGTGGCATGTACCATTGGATCGCTGCAATCGCCCCGAAGCGCTACAACAGCATATTGAGCTTCGCAACAGGATGGTCCACTGTCTTTGGATGTGAGATGATGCCTGTCGGAAGTAGAAACTGAACTAATTACCTCCAGGGATCTTCACAACTGCCTCCACAAACTTGATCTATGCAACTACTGTAATGGCTCTGATTGCTCTTTACCATGAGGATATGGTTGTGAAGCCGTGGATGACTTTCGTCGCCTATCAAATCCTCAATATCGTGACTTCCGGTATTGTCATGTTCGGAAACCGATTCATTCCTGCAATCAATAAATTTTCGTGTACGGAAAATACATTGCCGCTTCACATGTCTTGGTTATCTGACAGCCTTGCATAGTGATCTACTTACAATTAGCTTGGTTCATTACAATGGTCACCGTGGCTGCTGCTGCGCCCGTGCACAATAATAGCAAATTTGTTTTCCGAACTTGGATCAACAATACTGGATGGGACAACAATGTCATGTGCTTCATTACAGGCTTGGTGAATCCGCTGTATTCACTCGGCGGACTGGATGGCATCTCAGTAAGAAGTGTCCTCGCGAGTTCTCACACGACTTCTGTTGCTAACCAAGCTACAGCACATCACCGAAGAAATGCCTAATGTGAGTAAAAACAGGTCAACCGACAATATATTTCCCTCTAATGATCTGTGCAGCCCGGAAAGAATGCGCCTTTAGGTCTTGGTAAGCCATCTCCAACCATCAATTCTGACCTGGATCTAACAGCAAACAGCTATCACCCTTTCTATCGCGCTTGTCACTGGATTGGCATATCTCCTGAGTCTGATGTTCTCGGTCCAGAACTACAATTCACTGGCGGATACACAGACTGGACTTCCTTTAGCTGAGATATTCTACCAGGCGACTTCAACCAAAGGCGGTGCTTTTGGCCTAGTTTTCATGGTATGGATTGCTCTGGGACCCTGTGTTATTGGGTCGCAACTTAGTAAGTCAAACCAAACATCTTTTCTTACCGCCCGGTCTAACTGATATATAGGTACCGGACGAGTCTTTTGGGCTTTTGCCCGTGATGAAGGCCTACCTCTTTCACGAGTGTAAGACCACGATTCATTATTCTCTCGAGTCTTACTGACTGATCCCAGATGGGCGCGCGTTCATCCCAGACTAGGCTCACCTTTCAACGCCCAGCTCTGTGTTGGTGTGATCATCTCATTGTTGGGCCTTATCTATCTAGGATCCACTACCGCATTTAATTCGATGATGAGCTCTGCCGTGTATGAATGACTCCTCTCCTTGCGCTCGCATCGACCCAAAGTTGACATGTCAGTAGTACCATCAACAACCTCGCCTATCTCGTCCCTATCCTGACCAACGTCATCCTTTTCCGCAAAACAATGCAGAAGGGTCCATTCTCCATGAATCAGATTACCGGAATGACGGTCAATATTATATCCGTCTTGTGGCTGGTATTCGCTATCATTTTCTTCTCTTTCCCTTTCGAGATGCCTGCGACATGTATGTCGAATAATCCCCCACAAGCTGATGCCATATTAATACAAAGTTCAGCTTCAAACATGAATTATACTTGTGTCGTCATTGGCGGTTTCCTGTTGATCGAGCTCGCGTGGTGGTTAATTGCAGGTAAAAAATATTCGCAGACGGTGCAGCGCGCACGGGAAGAAGAATACAATGCATCGATGATTGTAAATGAAGCACAGCCGAAAGCATGAGCGGCGAATGGCTAGGTGAGATCAAATTCTTGGGATTATACTTCACCTTGTTACATTTTGTGGTGTTACTGATCGCCTGATCCAAGGCTCCCGCATTTCGATCAACGGATGTCTCAAAAGTTCGGCCTATGGGTAGCTTAACATGAGTGGTGAGACAATTCGCCAAGATCTCCATGCGGGCCGGTACTAAGCCGGGCCCAAGCGGGGCGCCCGCTGAACTGTATACGTGGGCTGGCGTCAGATCAAGAGTCTCACCCTGGACTCGGCGGTGTGATTTCCCCGCTCACAGTGTAGATCATTGTCTTGAATCATCTCTTTTCATGACCGAAAATTGAGGGTGCGAGACTGATACTTGGTCAATCACGGAAGAAGTGGGTTCCCAAATCTTAGTCAACGGAACACAAATAGAAAACCTCATGCACAATTATATCAAAACTGTCCTAGGATCTTCGCCAGTGTAACCCGACTATTCGCAGTCTGGCAGCTCAAGAATGACGTAGTTTGGCCATTACGGGTGGCTCAATACGTTGGAAACGTAAAACCAAGCACGTCGAAGGAAACGTGCTTCTGACATAAGGATGCTATTTCCTGGTCGCTCTACGATGCCTCAATTGATTCATGCACCTGCCCATTGAGGTATCACAGTGAGAAAACGAAAAGAATTCCAGCGCTGATGGTAGCATGCAGATCTCGGATCTTGATGCAGTCATATTTTAGAGCATTTTGACTTCGCGTGATACATGCTCATGACTATGACTGGGATCACTGCTGCGTTCTTAAAATAAGAGTTATGATCTTTCGTCGATTTTTCGAGCAGGATGAACATTTAAAGATCACCACTTCGTCGACGTCAGGACCTTCGTATCAAAAGCAACATACAACAAATATCAAAATAAACCACCATCCTAGTTTCATCTTCAATATGTACTTCACCTCCTTCATCACAGCCATCGGGGTCTTGGCCGTGAGCGCTAAAGCTGCTCCTGCTCCCGCCGCGTATACCCGGTACGCCCAACTTCGCGTCTACGGAGAGCCCGGCTGTTTCGCGCAGAACCTGGGCGAGCTTGGTATCTACGACATCAACCAGTGTAAGAGCTTCGGTCACACCGACATGATCAAATCTATTTCTTTTGAAGTGAATACTCCTGGATGTACCCGTAAGTCTTGATACCGATTCGAGGATTCAGAAAGAACATACTGACCGACTTTTAGTCCATGTTTGGAATGATGTGGCTTGCCAACTGAATGACCATGTAATGAGTACTACCGGGACGTGTCTTGCTGGTGACAAGAGTTATGGAAGTTATGAGCTGCGCTGTGATTTCTGAGATTCCCAAAAGGAACGATTGAGCTTCTTAATGTGGAGGGTTTTGCGGAGTGACAGATCTATGCTGCAAGCAATGTTACATGTTTTGAGAATTATGAACGTATATGCCGATCTCTCATCAATGACTTTAATGTGAGAGGTACAGTGACAAGTAGAAGAACTGACTCGTACAAGATGAGCTTCTCGTGCTCTGATTTCCATGATGAAATTCAATTTCAGTTTTTCCCCGATCTTGATCATGTAGTTTGGGTGCCATCGGAACGTAAATATTCTTCCGACCTGCACCAACCGTAATGTCTTCGTCTCATTCTCATCGCATGACCTTGCTTACACCTACTTCGTCGAGCTTTAGGCTACTAACCTGGTCACCTTCCCACAGCCGCCGAACAGCGAACCTTGATTCTATTATTTGGTGATATGAAAAATTTTGCAGACCTTATCCAATTTATGCATCGAATCATATTCGCTTTATGCAGCTGTGCTAGACCAAAGTGGATGGGCGCTAAAACAAGAAGTCCGGACCAGTAAAAGTGAGCTTAGACGCGGAGGATTGATTAGCCGAAGAGTGCACAAGCGAATTTATGCTTGAGTCCAAAGATAGGTCGGCAATTTCGAGATCTGATTGGCCGATAAAACTGAGTTGAGATCAAAGTGGAGACACATGCGGGTGTCTTTTGATAGAAGCCGAACTCCTAATTGACTACACTTGCCGATATCCGGTAGCGTAAATAAATATGTTCTGGCAAGATGAAACCTTTCCTTGGCTCTGTAATCGCCGCCTGTTGGATGTTCAAACGGAAACATGTCGAAATTAGAGGCATGCATCATGACTGACGACAGTGAGATCCCAAAGGAACTCAACATCGTTGATTTTGAAGGCCCAGATGATGTGGAGAACCCATTCAACTGGCCTACGAAGAAGAAAGCGCGTCAGCTGGTCCTGATGTCTTTCAATACTTTCATTACGTGAGTAACATCAAGTATCTCGGCAATGAATCGTCCTGTCGAAAGCCTCTCTAACCATCACAGTCCATTGGCCTCGTCGATGTTTACCCCAGGTGTCAGCGATGTCATGAAAGAGTTCAATGTCACCAGTAGCATGTTGGGTTCTTTTGTTGTTTCCGTCTACATTCTGGGCTATTGCTTTGGACCCTTCATTATCGCACCCCTCTCTGAGATTTACGGTCGCCTTGCATTATACCACGTTTGCAATATAATATTTCTCATCTTCACCATTGCTTGTGCTGTTGCTCAAAGTATGCCGCAGCTGATCGTCTTCCGTCTATTTGCGGGTATGGCTGGCGTCTGTCCATTAACTATTGGTTCTGGTACAGTCGCCGACATGGTCCCGAAAGAAAAGCGCGCCGGCATCATGGCCATCTGGGCGATGGGTCCTATTCTTGGCCCAGTTGTGGGTCCTGTCGCAGGCGGATTTTTGGCCGAAGCGGAAGGGTGGCGTTGGGTGTTTTGGGTGATTTCTATTGCAGTAAGTATCTTGCTATTCATTGTCAACGGAGTGAGATTAACGAAGGCAGACTGGGGCAATGATAATCTTCACAATGATATGGTACCGCGAAACTTATGCGCCCGTCCTATTGAAGCGCAAAGCTGCCCGTCTTCGCAAGGCCACTGGGAATCCTCATCTTCGGTCAATTCGTGACACCGGCGAATCTATTTCTCAGCTGTTCTTGTCAGCATTGGCGCGCCCGTTGAAGCTGCTCTTCTGCTCCCCTATCGTCTCCTTGATGGCACTGTTTTCAGCTACCATATACGGCTACCTATATCTCATGTTCACCACCATCACCTCGATTTTTGAAGAGAAGTATAACTTCTCCCCTGGTATTGCCGGGCTTGCATATCTAGGATTCGGCATCGGGTGTATGATCGGGCTCATCGTCACTGGAATTGCGGCAAACAGTATCGCCCGTAGACATGTGAAACAGGGTTGTTTTAGACCAGAGTCGCGCCTGCTACCGATGATGGTCGGCTGCTGGTTTATGCCCGTGGGCTTGTTCTGGTATGGCTGGTCGACACAGTCGGGAGCCCACTGGATCGTGCCCATCATCGGCACTGGCTGCTTCGCCATTGGGCTCATGGCTGTGTTCTCAGCCGTCAGCACCTATCTGGTTGACTCGTATCTACGCTACGCTGCATCCGTTACGGCAGCCAACACGGCGCTACGGTCGCTGGTTGGTGCTTTGCTGCCGCTAGCTGGGCCCTCAATGTATAACGCGTTGGGTTTAGGTTGGGGTAACTCCCTCTTGGCATTCATTGCACTGGCAATGTGTGCAGTACCGTTCATTTTCTGGAAATATGGAGCGAAAATTCGCACCCATCCACGTTTTCAGTTGAAGCTTTGACACTTCACGAGGCAATCTGCATGATGATAGAAGAGGAAGCCGTCCATCCTACATAGAAAAAGGACACGAATCAACTTTAAAAACTAGCTTTGGCTTTGAACGTTTCCAGTGACATAAAAAGATATGCCGATTTGCTAGATCCATTGCATGGAATTGCGATCATATCAGGAGATCCAAGTGAGTTCTAGACTGGAAATTTGGTATCTCTGCCTGCTGTGAAAGCTTCAAGAAAGCGAAAACAGCGTTCTTTAGCAATTTTTTATAGGACATGTTTTCTTGGATATGTGCACTGTCGAGATCATCAAGTTGAGCGATACATCTTCATCACTTGAATGAGGCATTGACAACAGCTAGCGACCTTGATGAAAAAAGGGATAAATGATGAAATAAAAGCCTCCGTCTAGGCGTTGGTGCTGCGGAAAATGTTGACAGCTATCCTGGGAATATCAGGGAGCTTCCTGACTTCTTCGACCAATCGTGCTTCTTTAAAGTCTGAATGGCTTTTTCAGTGGCCCAGAGGTTTCTTCTGACAATCAGCCCTCACAAGGAATTTGCGGGCGAAGCTAGAGATTATCAAGCCTTCGATCCTTCATTGTTTCAATGGTCTAAATCTAGTTAAAGTTGCAGATGAGATTCATCTACACTAGCCGTAGACGTGCGACTTGTTTGAGGTCTTTCTGCCCCAGTTTGTCCCGTTGGCGCTGTACTACTAGTGCGTATTGTGGTAGCGCGTATCTAAAAGTGATCACCGCATGGCCTTGTACACACTAGGGGCTACCTTTATGTAGTCGTCACGTTGGTTTGGCGGCTGCTAGCTCAGATGCAATTTATATTTGTAGGATAATTACGCATTCAAGTAACTCAATCATGGAAACCAATGTGGTGGATATCTGAATTTGAACAAGAACACCTGGAAGCTAATGACTCAAATGTAAATTGAGTCTTGCCATGAAACACAGTACGATGAGTGCAATCGATAAGTGCCTGCTTCGACTACAAGACCTCAAGACGATGCCAATCAGTTCGCTGATATGATTCGATTCAGAATGACAGCCCCGAGATAGTCCTACTCCGTTGAATCAATCTGCTTATTGTATAATGCAGGCCCCGGGACTCGTTATCTGTGTGCTTCAGTGTCAAACAAAAAGAATGAGATCTGTTTACCCAAGAAATTAAATCGGCCAAGGTTTCATAAACAACTGGCCATTCGCTATACGTTGAAAGAACATTGAAGATTCGCCAACACTACGATGCGACTTAGAATCATCGTCACTACATCCCTGGCAGCATGCGTCATCGCCACCCCTCTCTATAGAGTGGTGCGAAGCATCTCTTGTCTCGTGTGCTCCCAGCTCTCTTGCGCTTCCGACCGAAGCCAAAGCCAAAGCGGCTGCTGCCTCTATAATAACAACTTCAGCGGCCTCGACATGCACCGCAGGTGACAACTCCACGACCGATGGCGTTCAAGCAATCCTAGTCTCAACTGGCGCGATCGACTGGCTTGACATCATGTTCCACAAGATGCCAAATGGTGAAAGTGACTGGGTGAATCACATTCGGGAGACTGTCTTTCCTGACCAGGGTGCGTCCACACTCGCCGGGTGCGGTGATATTGGCGGCGACTGTGACCCAGACTCAATGTGCTCGGATTATTCTTCCCTCATGGCCTATTGGGTATTTCGGTCAGTGGGAGTGCTGCACAGCAAGTTTATTGCTGTCCATGAGCAGTTGCTCTGGGATGGCTCGTTGGATGGTCTGTCGATTGATCAAATTGCCAAAGATTTCTCAGGCGTCTCTCCGGATCAATCTCGGGCGAAATGGATCGCCGTCGCGTTCACCATGGCCGGGGTTATTGCAACAGGAATTGACCTCAGCATGCCACTGCGCGGCATGATTGGGTTTGCATCTGCCGGCCTTACTGATGTCTCCCTCACAAGCAGCGGCTCTGATAGTGTCGATGTCAAATCGGTGAAAAAATACCCTTAGAAACATCGTTGGGGCCGCTGGCAACTATGACCGTTACATATCGTGCCTCCGGTAACATCCCTAGCACATACTCCGAAACGACCTTGACCCCCTTGGTCAGGTTCATCGAGTCGCAGAGATAGACACAATTAACCACTCCCGCAATCTCAAATCAGAAAGTTCCTCGCTGTAAAGGTCATCCAAGTGAGGACTTCGACAGCCATAGAACAGAATTGCTCTTGTGAGTGGTTTGTTTAACTATAGCGAAACATTGCAGTCCTGGATAAAGCTCGGGAAGGGGGTGAACCGCTCCCCGCTTGTTTCTCAAATCTGTTCTTCCCTGTTGTCCTCTGTTCTCCTCTCGCGCCGTTTTGAACTCCCTAAAATCTCATTACCTTGCTATCGACCAGATTCAAAGCCGTCTTAAGCGCTGGAGAATGGAAATCCCTGAAAATTTCCGGCCGGGTCTACTGTGCAGCCTATTCCTTGCCTGTTCAAGTGTTTCCATGACAGCCATTGTTATGCGAATTCCAGTCCGGTAAAAATCCGGTATTCGAGGGCCTCATACCTTGAGTCAATATGTTGTACAGCGTGTTCGCTGGTTCGTTAGTGCTGCGGGCAATAAGCATCGACAAAGCCAAGTGACATCCACTACATTAGCTTCATGAGACACACCCCAAGCTGACGGAGACTTGTAGGAGCTGACACAGCTCGATCACTCTAAGTGCCGCATGGAGCGAATTGCGGTGGACCCTTCGGACCATGGAGAACACCAGGGGACTGTAACTTGAAGGCTGGGCAACACCGGCTATTGGGGTCACACTAGCAAGATCAATCGATAGCTGTACGATACCAAGGCCGCTACATCATCGTCCTCGTATGCACAACCATGCTAGGACGGTAATTGTCTTCTGGTGTCTCCAAATATAGCCTTCTTGGCACGCCAGCGTAGAATCAAGGAATCGAGTGTAGCTCCGAGACCCACCACTTTGCCAAGACGACTTCAGGGCCTTGGCGACAGTCATCCTGTGATCCCTGTCAGCCCTGCGCTCCACTTCTATGACACAGAAATTCCGCTCAGGGTCCTTGGTCCGAGTAAATCAATTTGGGGACACGTTTCTGACCAAGAAGACTTCCTAAGTTCGATTGACATCTTCAGCTGCATGAGCCTTTTCCGGGCCGTCTTTGTCGTCTGAAGACTTCGGACAAGACGCAGGTCCAGAAAGTGACTTGACGGCGGAAAACCTGGAGTCGTGTCTCAGACATAGCGGGTGGGGCAAGACCCTCCCGGTCGCGAAGGCCCAGACCCGTACCTGTGGCCTTTCTTCAGCTTGTCGTCGAGCTTTCCGAGTCATGCCGAGAACTTGGAGTCGTGCGTCGGTGGCTGACGAAACTTTCTAACTTGCTTTCTGCCCTACGAGGAGGTCTGAGGTCGAAATATCGAATAACCTGATTGGTCACTCTGTTGGTCAATTGGATCGTTAGGCCCAGTAGTTCGAGTCGAAATCTCGCGACCGTGAACTTCCAAGATTGAGCAGTTGATTTTGTCTGGATTGGGGGACTGCCCAGAGATAGACATGCTATTGTTCAGAATATCACAGATGGAATTTTATTTCGAAATTGATCAAAAATTCCGCAAATGCTATATATACAATGGAAACTCCTTGACAGAAAAGAAATATTGCATGCATGCAAGTCAATATGAACAATGACCCGAAAGGGGGTAAAGAAATGAAATGATAGAATATATGCTTCATGCATTCGTGTGCGTCCTGACCGCAACCCCTATGCAATAGGCATGGCGGTCATAGGCATGTTATTAAGAGGCAGTGTCTCAGCAGACTTCTCATCCTCCTCGAACATAAGCTTCTCCAGCTTCTGGGTCATCCTCGCGCAGAACGGATCGACATATGTCGTCCACAACGTGGCGCAAATGTAGACCAGTACGATCCACGAAGGAATCGAGATCGCAACGACCCACGGAGCACGAATTGGGATCCAGTGCGGGTGAAGCGGCTCCCCATGCTCGTCCAGGATAGGGTTGCCATTGCCGTCGACGATATCGCCGTCCCATGGCTGGCCAGTAATACCGTATAGCATCCAACAGAGCACAGTGCGTAGAAGTGTTCCGTGGACCAAGTAGACCGCGAAACTCTGCTTTCCGAGCCAGAGAAGGAGACGGTTGGCGAGAAAATCCTTAGTAGAGGGTGAGATGTAGATTGCGAAGATGATCATGTCGACGCCGATGGCGGAGTAGCGTTTGCCGATGTTGACGTCCGGTGGGAAGATGTAATGGGCGGCTTTGAACATATAATTTGACCAAGTTGCCCACTCAGGGTGTTCGCCTGGGTACGAGCAGATGAGGAGACCAGTACAAGCGAGGGTTGCTGAGACAATTCGGCGAAGCCATTTGTGGTTTTCGACAAACTCCTTGAACGCTGTCTCGTAGGAGAGGTCGCTGAGGAACATGCCGTAGATTGCCTGCAATTGGAAAGTTTCTACAGAGTGTTAGCGTTTGCGCAGGAGAAAACATAGAGGCATGATTTCAAACGAACCTGTGTTTTTGGCAGCATCCTGGTGGAAGTAGAGGATCATTCCTAGGTAGATGGCCAAACGCCAGCGGAATTTGACAAACATGACAATGCAGAGCATCACATATACCAGCATCGACGCCTTCAACAACGGAAGCAAAGCCCACTGGTGGTCGTCGTATGCCATGTATCCGGTGGTCCAGACGTCCAAGAAGTTCTTGAACAACCGGACGAACTCCTCCCAGAAAGTCGGTGCCAGGTCAGGGGAAGCATAACGGCACCACCAGCAGTCCGAACGGTTGGCGGCGATAAAGGCTCCACACTGAGCCATACCCCAAGAAATGATCAAGGCAATAGTAGCAGGGAAAATAAGACGCGGCGGACGGCGAAATGCGCTCTTGGCTACAGATGTGAAAGAGCCGAGTATGTCGCGATTGCGAGCCTGTTTGAAAGGCTTCAAAGCGCACACGTATCCGGTCAAGAAGGCGAATATGGTGACTCCCAGGCGCCCCTGCCATGGGATTCGCAGGACGGGCCACTGGAGAATGCGTGGAGCGGCATCTTCATTATCGCAGGGTGCAAACAGGTCGTAATCCCATGCGCGGGCAAGGTGAGTAAGGACGACAAGGAACGAGGCGATTCCTCTTAAGCCCTGGTTCAAGTTAGAGGGGAACTTGGCAGTATCAAGAGAGAGCTCCAAGACATACGTCAATCCATTTCACACTTTTCCTAGGGTCACCCTTGACATTCGGATCACCCTTCCAAGGTACACTTTCCAAGATGCGGCTGTATAGGGTTTTTGGCTGGATGGAATGCATATTGACAAATCAACTTAAATGAGCGTGGGGTTGCGGTTCAAAGATCTAGCATCGAGGCATTGATCTCTTAGCCGGAAGTAATATGCGCGAGAGGGACAGTCGGGGAAAGGGCCAGGCGTATAATGTAAACGAGTGTATAGGAGATGCAATCGCACGGCGTCTCTCAAGAAATAGGTACGTGCCAAGACGGAGCGGGTGCACGCCTGGTACAGGCAGACAAGAAAAAGATCAAGACAAAGAAGGAAGGGATACGAGTGGAGGGGGCCTGGAATTATGAATGCGGATGGACTGCGGGTCTCTCGTCACATAAGGCAAAAAGGATAGAAGTGCCGAATCGGGGTGGAGTAAGCCAATGCATAGTCCAGAGTGCTCGGCTTGACAGCGGGCCTGGCGACAGATCTATTGCCACAACAGGATCATCCTACGACCATTGGGAAGCATTCATTCGATAAGATTCCCCCCTGGACAGCCTTGAGATAGGTTGTTTCATGAGATGCAACATCTGCTAATTTCTCACTCGAGATTGCACGAAAAGGAAGAATTTGTATACAACGAGAGAGAGGAAGCTGCCTTTGCCCGGACCCCGACGGACACGTAATATGGGGATATCACGTCTGACACTGCGTTTCAAGATCATACAACTACGTCCGGAGATCAGTTTGACACCAAAGTTGGCTATCAAGGCCGAATTACCTAGAAGAGGACATTTGAAGCGCTTCACGATCTATCCAAATACGACCAGAGCGAGACCGAGGGAAACGAGCTTACGAGGATCGAATCCAGGGCTAAGGCAATCCTGGGATTGCGACGAAGCATCTGGTCTGATTCGACTCCCGCGATGGCCCAACCACTATTCAAAATTGCGCAAGAACTTGGCGCTGATCTCGCCACCAATACGACTTCACACCAGCCCTATGGGGGTATCGTCGCTCGGGGAAACATGTGATTTGTCTGGTGCCAGAGACGTAAGTTTCAGCGGGGGAGTGGAACAATGTTGTCGTCTTGGCGGCGTACTCGTGAGGCGTGCTTTTAATTGCGAGAACGAGGTTCTCGCGTGTGTGTTCCCTTTCATGAAAAAAAAAAAGGACTTCAAAACCCCATTAATTTTTTGCGAATATCAACTCTTACATAATTTTCAAGCAGAAACCTATACGAAACAATGCATGCGGTCGCAGAGTGGCGTCATTTGACCTAATTCTAGCCGCAATGAACGCAATTTGATCGGCGGAGATTGGCGTCTGCGGAGCCCAGGACCCTAGCGGTTTGTTACGGGAGTACGATCTAGTCTTGGCACAAGGTCCCGTTTCCGGAATGCAAGGATCCTGCTTCGGACGAAGGATTTTTCGCCTCTTCGGACTCCCCCCCGATTGACACCTGAGACTCTGGGGTTCAAGAATAAGCCTACTCATTTGCAGGACATGCGCGGGCCTCCAGGCCTCATCTCCTTCCAGCTTACATGGCATCCTGAAAGCCGACGGTCTCAATTGTGGCGTTCCTTGTGGCGGCAAAGCCGTGTTCTCGTTAGATGGGTTTGAGTTCAGGGGGTCCGTCTCTTCGAGTGCAATCCCGTCTCGATCTGAAAGTCCGACTCTGGCCATTTGGTACAGCGGCTGTACCCGCTATACAATAGGGGCACGCCTCATGCATTCCGTGGACCGCCTAGTGGTGTAAAGACCGGAAACAGCTCGTTTCGGACACTTGCGGACTCCGATTCAGCCGAAAGTGGAGAAGTCCCCAGGGTCCAGATAGAAATGATCATCGATGGGACAGTACACAGTACACAGTTTTCTGAACGTCCAGCTGAGTTGGTGTATGATGGCACGTTCAATCGCATGATGTTCATTGAAAATTATAGCATCGTGACGGCGCATAGTGGCCTTTTTTTTTTTTGCGCCGATTTCCGGGGAGCAGGGAATGGGGACCCCTGATTCTTGAAATGGCAACTGTACTAGGCTTTTTGACTCAGGGCTCTGAGGAGCCTGCAGCAAATCAGCATCTCGGCCGGATTATTGGCGCCCTGGGCATTTGCTGGGCGCACGCCCAACTGTACCATCGAGGCCCGTTAAGCTCCACGTCCTCTCCACACTATATGCTTGGCACCAACCGCCAAGAAATCCCATATTGCTCTGCAACTCGTGAGAGATTGAATTTTGACGGATAGTCTCGTATCCTCGGATCCCCTTTATTTTCTCGTTGGAAATCCGCTCGTAAACTGAGTGGGACGTGGCAAGATGGTCTTCAACCACTTTTGTGGCGAGTGGGTACTGAGCCAAGATCACGCCATTATTAGTATTCTTACCACATTCAGTCACTTCGGACACGCGAGCTTTCGGTTGGGAGAAATATACGGTGCTTGTGTTCTTGTGTCCAGGAACCAGAACCCCCACAACGCACAACATGTGGATTGCGAGGTTAGGTTCGGCTCTACTATGGTCGTTGCACGCCACAGCTACCATTCTACAAAATGGTCAGGCGAGGGAGGATCCTTACCCCGGACAAGCCCCGAGCATAGAGCTCGACGACTCCTGGCGCAGCTACAATGCCGATGCAGAGGAAATATCCTACAAGGGACGATGGGATAGCAATCATGTGTCTTGTATGTGAAATCACCCTCGAAGCTGCGATCCCTTGACACTAATGATGTCTCTAGGGTGGTCGTAGGTTTTTCTCCTTAATTTGTCGTTGCACTCGTTGATGTTGATCCTGACTTGCCTAGTGCACCTGGAATCAAGGTCGAGTTTTCCGGTAGTCAGGTAAGTTTACTGGGCATGATAGTCATCGCACCTTTCCAAGATTTGTCAGTGCTGATAACATGCCAGCTTGCTGTAAGGTTTGGCCAAAGTACAACAGATGGTGTCCTGGTCGCATATCGGTAAGTGACCTGGTTCTTACTGTTCACTCTACATTCCTCACACGCATAGCGTTGGCTCGCTCGACTGGCAATTTTCCAATGTGACCGCCGACTCCACCTATCAGTTCGTGGGTCCGGAACTGGGGCTGGATGAAGATCTTGTGAAGCAGCACAAAGTCTTTGAGATGAGAGGTATTACCATTTACCACATAGTCTGAAATTACCTCAGCTAACACTTTCGCAGTGACTAACTGGGGCTTCGGATAAGTCTCTCTTTTACCTGCTGTCGCTTTCACTGCTCACGTCCACTCACAGTTCAGATCGCCGGAGTTTCCGTCGCAAGCGATCAAAGTCTCCAGGTTCCTAAGGAATTTGAAAAGAAGGTGGAAATTATCGGTGGATCGTGAGTCGGTGATCACTAAGCTAAGATACCCCATACTAATTCGCAACAGCCTCGTTGCCGGCCAATTTGCTACTTATGAGACTATTTCATCATGGGGATACCTTTTTGCCGCCGGTCTCGGCAACGCTGAGCATACAATCACAGTAGGCAAAACATACGAACCTGAGAATACACATCAAGGCTTACGCTTCGAAACAGGCCTACCCCGGCGCATGCTTGGTTGATCTTCAGTGTTACGGCGGCAACGCCCACGGCATGGTACGCTCCCGATCACACCAGAACCCCGCCCAAACGTACTAATGATCCATTCAACAGACATGGTACTGGAATCGGGCCTCCGACCCGGGCAGTCGAGCCCACGCAACCTACGGCAACGAGCCCGAGACATTTGACAACAAAGCTGAACAGCCGGCCGACCTCGTCGTAATCCAGATGGGCGGCAACGATCACCGCCACCCTAACGAAATCCCCGGCAACGAGTTCTACCACGCCTACGTCGCATTGATCGATGATATCCACAGTACATGGCCGCACGCCGTCGTTCTCATTGTCGTATGTCTCCTCCACGCCCACTGCCAGTAACACAACTCTAACACCAAACAGTCTCAATGGGGCCAGTGGGTCAAGGAAGGCTTGTCATATGTCCCGACCCAAGTATATGAAGAAGAGACCAAGAAAGTACATGAGCATTTCCGAGACCGTGGCTTCGTTTATTATTTCGACACCAAGGGCATACTGCAACATAATGATATCAACCCGATGAACCACCCTACGGATATTGGACATATCAAGTTGGCCAGCCATTTGTTGCAATGGACGCGACTCGTGCTGAGGTGGAATCTTGAACCTATGGGTGAGGTTCAGCATGGCACGCTCTACTGGAATGACCAGCAGGAGTATTAGACGCTATGCTTTCAGAGTATATATACATGGGGACGTCTCGGTTATCAGTTCCTATTGCGGGGCTTTCATTGTATAATATAGGATGACATACTTATTTGTGGATTCCAATGAAAATATGATTAGAACCTTCTGGATGACGTGTTATACACCACGGAGGCAGCGTAGCTTCTATTGACTAAGCGGCTGGAGGTCCCTTGAATACGCGTTTGAAGCTTGAAGAATCTACATTGGATGCGAATGAAGTTTCACTTACAAGAATCTCAGGTCTGGCCAGCAGCAGTGTCTTCACTCTCCAGCTAACATGGCCCGAAAGAAAGCTTCATTCGGCAGCTATCATGATCAGTCATCATCTTCATCGGTGCAATTCTTCAGCACTTGGAGACACTACTAATGGCAAACCCCGATTGATAAGTCATTGTGTTAGGAAAAGCACAGGGTCTTAAAGACTCAGAGGTGCACAAAAATGAGACTTAACATGTCAATTGCTTTATACAAGATTGTTGCAGTGATCAAGCAATTATGAATCTGATCGAGACAGAGTGGGCTCAAGTACAACTAAGCCCTCGGATGTAGCTTAACATTCCCATTCGAGCTACAGTAACTTATTCAATGTCTTCTTGGCCGCTTAGGTGTCGGCTGCCCGTCCAGCCTTCAATATTTTCTCCCTATGGCATTCACCAGCGATGGTCCGTACTTCAGTGCCGCCCAGCCCATGACACCTAACGACGGCACAGCAATGAAAGTAAGCCGAGTCATAGCTGTAGTGACATGAGGCTTGAGGAATTCCCCTGCGAGGGCCTGAAACCTTGCAGGCTGGTTCCGATCTGGATAGTCCTCTTCGGGAACTGGCACCCCGAGAAATGGACAGATCTCTTCCCAGCCGAGTCCATTCTCGAGGTGAATATGCAACATCCGGTCAGCTGGGACTGTTCGCTTCACCATGTTAATACTGCGACCGGTCAGTCCGGATTCTGCTTTGCTGTTTTGATTTTGGCCTTACTATTCCGCATAGTTTCTGCGCAGCGCGACCTCAAAATCCGGATCTGTGGGGTTGTTGCGGTCCGAGAAACTCCATAGACAGGTTTGGTTGAGAGTAACAAATCGGTAGAGTATGGAGTCGAAGTACTTCAGAAACACAAGAGGAAAGCCATGCAGAGCTTTCATTAGACCTCCCGCGGTATTGTTCAGTGAGGCGACCCATTTCGTCGGCTCTCTCTCCACTAAGATAAACTTCACATCCGGGTCCTGGACGTACGCCTCGATGATCGCCGGGCCTAGAAATGATTGTATTTCAACCAGACACTGGAAGTGTCGAATTATTACAGAGATATTGAATCGTTCGTTGTGAGGGTCTTACGTTGTAGTCAGCAAACCATTTATCAAAGTCCGCCCGATCGTAACGCTTCATGCCGGAGAACCGGTTGTTCTGGGCGATGACAGCCTCTTCGCAGACTTCCATATGATCTTTTCCTCGCACAATGACACATTCAAATAAATGGTATGCCTTGTAACCTAAAATTTGCATTGCTCGATAGAGACCCAGGGTTCCCGATCTGTGGGAGTGTGAGCGTCAATGACTGCTTACTCCATGACAATGCCGACTCACCGACTGGGACTGGCAACAACCACTTTCATCGAGTGTCTGACAGTAGGCTCGGGTAACTGATCGATCTTGCGCGACATGATGTAAGGGATAGATGAGTGTACCAGAATACTCAAAGTTGTGAAGGTTCTCAAGATCCTTGGGGTGGTGAAGGAGGGGAACTGCTTAATTTTATTCATGGAATATATTGGAGATCAAAGAGCGCAAGGCTCGCGCTGTCAGCTTCAACCACACGACGTCCATTTTCACCCTTGTCATTTGTTCCAATTGGGGTAAGGCTTCAATCAAGCTTATACGCAGAAAATGTCGCAGCCATCTGGCTAAATGGCAAGAATAATGCTCGACGCTGAAAGTTCAATGTTGAAGTCCCCTCCCACCACCCACCCTCTCCCTCCCATTGAGACGCGTCTCTGGTCCCGGGGTTTCTGCCAATCACCGCGACCTGGATAAAACCTGCAGCATGCAAGACGATCGCGAAATGGGTCAAGTCAACATTTCGCATACAAGTTTAAGCTTTTCATTTCTACTCGAGAGATTCCCATGCTTTTGTAGTGATATGTCCAGTTGTTAAACTCTCCCCAGTGAGACTGGCAAGACCTGTAAGCATGATAGCATGAAACAAATAGTGCTTTTACGACTGAATTCACAACGTTATTTGTCCAGTTTGCGCCACGCGAAGGGCAAATATATTCTCTCCTTACTTATTTCAGAGACTCAACATCGAGTGCCCCGATATCCACTGGCATGTTGCTTTCCTCTTTTTGCAAATTGATAAGTAGTTCCAGGAATTGTAATATCTTCGAGCCAGCGGTAAATTGAGGCAAATAACCGGACTGAGCATCTTTGTAGAGCTGGCTCAGGGGAAGGATCTTGTCCTTGGCGAACTTAGCCGTCCACTCATAGAACATAGTGTCAGGATGAAATTGCCGGCTTTAATATTGGTCGTGTTCTCGTAGTTGATCTAGGAAATTTCCTTCTCGGACAGTTGCTCAAATACGGATTTCTGGGGCATTCCAGAGTTGCAGAACACCTCTTCATTATTACTATGGCCATGTGAGATACCCGAGGTCAGGTACGCGCGATTGGGGTCTGCTGGGCCCGGGATCGAAGCGAAGCAACGATCAAAAAGTAAATAGTCCTCAGCTATGGCGTTGGTGACAGGCACAAGATCAGGCTCGTAGTAATTGATGACCTTGGTCCCCTCCATCATGTCGTTTTGCAGACTGTACACATAGCTCTGCCCAGAGACTAAGCCGATCATGGTTGACTTGGAGCTGCTTTGTGGATGGTAAATTCCAGATGTTTGCATGTTTACGCCAGTGATTGTGTGGTCGAGATCGACGCGATGGTTTTCGCAATACCAGCCGCGCAGATATCCTCCGTGCTCGGAACCGAGACGTTGGCAGGATTGCAGTATTTTTGGTTGACCAAGCCATCGATATTAGGATTATACGTGAAACCCCCAGCGAGGGTATCAAAAGACCCATTTTCCTGCCCAAGCACGACGAGAATTCTTGATGTTGTACATACCCGAAGAGATAGGGGCTGCGACGGCCCCAAGGCCAGGGCCAAGGCCGAGAACTACGAACGAGAAGCCCATGTCGAAGATACACAGAGTCTGACACCACATTGTGAAACAAGACTCGCGGATTCATGGGCATCGCGGGCGAGTGGAAAAGTCCTAGCCGTTGGGTGTGGCCGTGTTAAGATAGACTTCGGGATGCAAATCAAGCAAGCTTTCGAGACTCATGAGGGAGTAGATCTCCACCTTGAGTCTCTCCTTGCCGATCATTGACCGTCCTGACATCTCCACATCGCTAAGCGGCCAGTGTGCCTCCGTCTTATCACCCTGTTTTCGATTGAAATGATTCCGATGTCAGAAGAAAGAGCGGAATGTTTTCGGAGACAGCTCGCCAAAGACGCACACAAACACGCACACAATCAACAGCGATACATCGACATGATGATTTAGGAGATTAAAAACCCTCTCGCCGTTATCTTACACTGTACATTGCACTGAAGATATCATTGAGGCAACATGTGAAAATGAAAACAACAAGGCCTTACGTTTATGTATCACCAAGTCAGCGGAAACCATCTCTCTGTGCATCTCCCACCAGAACAAAAAGTCGATGAGATCTTTACCTTTTCGAAGATCGACGCATCAATGCTGCTGCTATTAGTATGATAAGGGGTGTGATTGAGTACTGTTTCCTGAAGGTCGTTAACTCCAATATACATGATAGTTTCAAGAACCAAGCCATTATATAGTTTGCAGTTTGTCATTTTATCCATCCCTTGGCTAAAGATATCCATAGTTCTCACCATGCAATTATAATCCAACAACTCAAGTCTTCCTCCGTTTCTCAGGGAGCAGGAAAGTCAGTGCCGAAATGGTACATTCAAGGGCCACGCTTCGAGGCAGTATTTTCTGGTAGTATTTGTATGTTGCCATGTAATCGAGCATCGCATCGAGTCCCTATGACCGTTAGCATACGCAGTTCCCAGAATCACACGCAAGGAGTACGTACTTTCTCTTGATAGAGCGTAGCGAGGACCGCGGTTAAGGTTTTTCCATCCGCTGGGTCAATCCAAGTCCATGTTTTATTAGGCCGTAGCTGCATCAACAAATCGGCCATGGGCGTAAAGGCACTCAAAACAACGATTTGATACAGGAGTTCTTCGGTGGTTAGCCGCTTGTCTGCTGGTACGTCTCGTGCGGGCTGACTGTTTTAAATAAAATTGGGTCAGAGTTAGGAACACAAGAGGAGGGAAGTAGAATGGGAAATGGAGGAATATAGTGTGTACGTTTTCCAGAATGTCTCCTCTGACATCGACATCCAGTCATTTGCTTCCTTCAAAATAGGCTTCACTTCTTCGGCTTGGAAGGGTAAGGATACGTCGATGTCTAGCTGGCGTGCGATTTCGTTGAATAGCTCCATGATCTTTTTCTCGTCGGAAATGTCTTCTTTTTGATCTTGTTTGTCGCTTTCATGATTTGCGGCAAAGCTGTCCATCAGCTGCACATGGAGGTTGAGACCAATGCCGAGACCGATAGACACGCCCAAGGCCAGACAGACGAACATGATGCATGCGATCTCACGTCGGGTGTATCGTCGAGGTTGCGTCGAGGTATTATCGCTGCTCTGCTGGGCTGTTGCTCGGAATCGGTCCATAATCGTGATGCGTCCGCGCATATCTGCGTTTACTGTTTTTGTAGGGGATATTGCTTAGCCTTTTCTCTATACACTTAGTGAAGCTGATCCAGAGACCATGACTTACTGCCTGCTTCCGGGTCCACGTCCAAGTGAGCAGTGGACAAGTCCATGTCCATGTTGGTTCCGGTGCGGACAATATCAGCCGTCCGCATCTGGATCCCCCCATCACTGGCAACGCGCGCCACTTGCTCCTCCGTAATCGGTGCCTGAGGTTAGGTACGCTGCTGTGCCCGATTACGTTCAAGGAAGCCTGCGATGAGAGTACCGGGATCAGCGACTACGCCGCATCTGTGGCCTGCGTTGATGAAGACAGATGTTAGAAAGTGACTGCGACCGCGACTGCGACAACTGGTGACTGATAAAAGAGTTGAAGAATATCCTTACCTTGGCTGCGACTTCTATAAGCAGGGTTGCTCTGGCTTTGTCGAGCGATTGTTCGAGTTACAGCCGTGGCGACCGTAGTCATTGACATTTTGGCTAACTGCGTGAAGCTTGAGGACACCTGCAATTCCTGTTGTGTAAGTTGATGCTGATAGTCATGGGAAAGCCTAGGTAACATAGGTGTTTATAAAGCGTCAGAGCATTGTGAAGATGCCGTGGCTGACTTTCATAATTCACGATAGACGATTGGTCCCAGGGGTAGTGGTTCAGTATGGCGCCACGCAGTGTATAGTTCTAGACTTCTACTGATCCGGAGAACTCGGTGAACATATCCTGATAACCTTTGCTGCAACGAGTTTAAGATTACAAAGATTATTGTGTCTTTATGAGCTGCAGGTGGCGGAGCCGAGAGTCGTACTAGCGCAGCAAAAGCCTATACTTTACAATCCACGGTTCACCTCGTGACTAGCGGAGCTCGGCAACTATATCCTCATCTTCTCATGAAGAACCACTTCTCAAGGTCAGCTCAGCTGAAGAAAGATCCATCTTCTCAACTCAAGACATAGCAGCCGAGGTGGCAAATCAAACAGTAATGGCGACGAATATATCCCTATTTGAAATGCATCCTTCACTCGCATTATATGTTCCTCAAGTCGGCCAAATTAGTATCTCTCGTTGTGACGATTCTCGAAGTCTAGCGAGCACCATCAACAATGCCGGAAATTGTGAACCCGTCTCCTGAATTTCTCGCTGAGCAAGAAAAACGACTAAGAGAATGGGAGGAGGAAAATTACAAACAATTAAAAGACTATTTCGACAAAAAGGATGATCCCCTCGGCGATGACTCCGAGCAGGTCAAGGCGATCGTCTCGGGGGTTCTCACCATCGCGGCGTTGGCAGTTTACTTGACCGGACCGGCGGGCACAGCCATCGGAGTCGCCCTGTCCACCAGCGCGGCCATCGCAACCGCATTCCAAAAACCTAAGGCAAACGACGATGTCAATACGGTCCTGGAATCCATTAAAACCCTCCAGAAGAATGAGAAGATCATGAAACATATGGGCGCCACCGACGCATTTTATAAATGGGTCAGGGATAATCAACATATCCTGAATTCAGTGGAGCATCACCAGGAAGCTTCCATGAAGGTGGGTGATGAATTAGTAGCCTGGTGTGAAACTTCTGGGAGGAATATGCTGATCAGGGAATAGGAGCTGTTAACCACGCTCAACACAACCTGGACCGATCCACAGGGAGTGCTCTATATGAGCACCATACCCTCCGCGACATCCGACGTGCAATGGGAGAACACGGCCGTTCGTCTAGCTGCGCTAGGCTGCGCGAGCGCCTTTGTCGCGGCTCATGCGCTGAAGTGTCGCATCTATGCGTGGCTAGCTATCAATGCGCGTGCACAGGGAAATAGCGAGGCGTACGAATCACACAAGGCGAGTTTTAACAGCGCATGTCAGACTATGGATAACTCCGTCAAGACCAAGCAGGATGATATGGAGAAGCTGCTCGGTCAGGTGCGGGAATCGCGGAAGAGCAAGATTCTCGGGCCGACGTTTGACAAGAAAGGTCAGCTGTGGCCGTCTGGTTTGTATACGGTGGGCTGTAACCTGGAAACGCAGCGGAAGATAGGAAATTATCTCAGTTGGTTTGTGGAGGATAGCGTGACGGGAGATACGGCACTTGGCCACAACAAAAGTGGTATCCGCAGACCTTCCTCGGCTTCAAGCTGACAGCGATTTTGGAGACTGAGCCGCCAAAGGAGGCACTTGAGGCTTTGGATAGGATCCGTTCGAGTGCTCATTATTACTGCTATATGGCTGCGAGACCGACTCGTGCTGTTATGGAGTCTTGGAATGTTGCTTGTCAGGATTCGAAGACGTATATCTACCCAGGAATGAAGACGGATCATAAGCCGGAGAAGATTGTAAGTTCCATTTCGGGTTGATGCTTCGTTGCAGCCGTGGACTAATGGGTTTGATCTTCCAGCGAGAGGAAACTGTGACTTTGATTCATCCGTGGTTGAAAGATGCGGAGAAAGTTGCATGGGCGTACAAATTGCGCACGGCGGACGGGACATCGAAGATGTCGGGTTGGTCGGACGAGTTTGCCGTCCCCGACACGGGTGCCGTGAGTTTGCCGGTCTTCCGCCTTGACAACTTTGGATTCCGAATCGCGACTGAGCGTGTCGTCTACCACAAGAAGCTTGTTCGTGGCACGACTAAGTGGGTTGGGGATGGAAGTGAAGGGAATGATCTGGTTGAAGCAAGGGTTATCAAGGAAGACATATTCGTAGATTGTATGCCCGACCTATAAGGCAGCATGGATGGCGAGATTTTGACTCAATAAGCAATGGCTTGAATCTTCTGTTACCTGCCATCTAAAAGCCTGCCATCTAAAAGCCTGCCATCTAAAAGGTACGGAGTAAAAGCACCCAGATGTGGCATCACAATTGTTTATAATATTTTCCAGTCTTCTTTTCTTCAAAGGTAATGTCAGTCTCAGACAATGCTCCAACATATTCTCCTCTTCTCTTCCCCCTCACGGCAACTCCAAGTCCCAGTGTCGAGAGCTATTACTACTAATGATCGAACTTCTTTGGAAAAATTATACCCTCAATCTTACGTCGACGCTGCCAACTCGGGTCACCGATGACGCGGCCTGTCTTGTGTATGTATCTAAGACTGTCCGATGCCATCTATCAATCCAAGTATGCGAGAGCCTATCATGGTTCTCATAAAAGAAGACCTTTCTAGTGTGTCAGCAATCCTGAACGGTCAGCATCAAATCGTAGTCTTTGATTCGAGATAGACTATGCGAAGTAGTCAAGGGTACGTGAGACCACTTTCGGCCTTCTCAGGCTGGAATATTACGAGTGAAAGATGATGGCGATCTTTGACCTGGTTCATGATGACGCCTGCTCCGTGAGTATTCGCTCGTGACGCGTCAAAAGACTCACCTGGTTTATTCCATATTTTGGCCAATTTACGGCATCGATAAGTTTGACAGGTTGCTTCTTTGGCTTCTATGCACGTGGCTGGCTAAATTTGCATGCTCGTAGTTAAGAGGCAGATCGCCATATTTCAGGTCGATGATATAATTTCCCACTCAGTGATCAGCCGCGATACTTCCTTGAACGAAACAGGCTTCGTCAGGAACAAATTCACTCCTGCTTCCAGCGCGTTGGTTTCGTCGCGCAAGCTGCTGAGTCCCGTGAACGCGACAATTTTCGCGGGAACGCAGCCCTCACGTTCTTTTTCTAGCGCGCGGATGGCGCGAGTTGCTTCTATTCCATCCATGATAGGCATTGATATGTCCATGAAAATTAAGTCGTATCCCTGCAAGTTTCGCTCAACGGCATCAACCGCTACTCTGCCATCGTCGGCCGTGTCCACCACCTTGACCTTCTGGTGCTTCATGAAGGTTAGTAGAAGGCGAAGGTTGATCTCGTTGTCATCTACCAGCAACACCCGGGGTTTGTCTTCGCCTGCAGGTGAAGGTTCCATAGCAGCTGGGTCGCCAGAAGATGAGAGCGTAGCCGAGGGCATATGACCTTTCAGAGGGGCATTGCGAGACATAGCGTGACCGGAAAACTCTGCATCCGGAAGGCGTACAGTATCGTCACGACTGATGGGATATCTTCCACAAGTACATGGGACTGATCTGGCGTTGACTGATATAGAGGTCGATGGACTCAAATGCTCAGATGATGAGAGAGAAGGTTCTTTGGAGAATTGAGACGTGCTTGAAGCTTTTGGTCGCTCTGTCACCTCAAATTCTTTTTCAATACTGCATGGGCGTGGTGGGGTTGGAGCGGGCGTTGAATTGAGACAATTGAGGATCCCTCTCGCGAGTCTTCGTGGACCGCAAGGTCGACGCAGAACCATCAGAGACTTAGCGAGATGAGTCCATCTTGCCCTAGAATCACCAGAGTTGCCAACCTCGTTACTAAAGAGGAGCAGACGTGGTGACTGGATGGGAAACTGCTTCAAATTTCCTTCAGACAAGTCGCGTTCGTCAGCAAACAAGATATCGACATTCTCATCGGCTGACCACGGCACAATCTCTAGACCATACCAGTCTGTGAGGTAGTGGACGATCGAACACCAGAACTGATCATGGCTTAGAAGGGTGAAGTCAACTCCCCAAATTGCAGCCCGCTTCCCAGTCAGTCCTACATGACGAGTCGGACCGGACATGGTAGGTTTCGTCGGAACAAGACTTTCCCTGTCAAGTGTGGGTCGCGGGCTCTTCTCTTTTCCTGGACGTGCAAGGGGAAATGTCACCTTCACAGTCGTGCCTTGCCCCACTTGGCTTTGGATGTTGATGGTCCCTTTGAGCGTTTCCACAATACCGCGAACGATTGACAGACCAAGACCGGTACCTACCGATAGGGTATCCTCCTGTGCAAATGGAGTGTACAAGCGTGTTCGAAGGTATTCACTGGATATGCCTCTACCTGTGTCTGAGACTATCAAAGTGACTAGATCTTGGAGCTCTTGATGTTGGGAGTGACTCCGAGGCCGCTGAGCAGCCTCAAGACTGACAGTCACCAGGCCTTTCTTGGTATACTTCAGGGAATTACCTAAAAGATTCATAATCAAGCGTCGGAGTGATCCTGGCTGAAGTTTGTAGAGCCAGTCACCGTTGCCAATCTTGACGATGACTTCCACTTCTGAATCAGGTTCTGCTTCGTCATCTTCTTCTGCCGGTTTGGAATGCAAAGTTGGCGAATGGTTTCTTGACGTTGATGGCCGTTGTAGATGAAAATGGCCCAGACACGCACTATCGACAACATCTTCTGTCAACGTGGCAAGATCTGTCGACACGAACGGATCCATGCGCGCTAGGGGTTCCTCTGTTTGTCTTCGTCTCAATGGATCTCTTCTCCGACCAGATCTCCGCTTCCGCCTCTCCAATGACATGATTTTGCTGAAATCCAAGACTTGATTCATCGTATCCAAGAGCGTTCGACCGCATGCATTGACCGTCTCGATAAGGGAGTCTTGGAATTCATTTAGATCGGTATCTTCCAATAGCTCGGCAGCAGCTAAGACTCCATGTAGTGGGCTGCGCAGTTCGTGGGAGATGCTACTGATAAAATCACCCTTCTGGCGGTCCGCAATGACTGATTCGACACGACTGTACTCTGTCATGAGAGAAGAAGCGAAACCAAAAGTCGAGCTCAGATCAACAGCGCGACTGAAAATTCGAGTTGGCTGAGGAGTCCAGCAGAAACAACCGGCAAACCATTGGGATTTTGTGGCGTTCCATAGCGGGACAAACATGACCTGACAAGCATCAGGGAAGAACTTGTTCAGTTTGCTAGTTTCTGAGGCTCTAGACCTATTCCGCTGTTTGCGAGACGCGCTGATCGATTGTTCCTCGTCCGAGGTGCTCAAAGTGCCATCACTGTGAAATGACCAAAGCCTCCCTCTTGGGTAACGACGAGTCAATTGGGCTATAAACGCGTTGTCCAGACTGGCTGCCGGCAATGACTCCTTCGACATTGTTCGATAAAACAATGGATCTCCTCTAGTAGACATTGCGAGAATAGGCGCAGGAAAGTTAGATTCAGCAGGGTTCTGACGATTGCCCACCACATGGTCTGGTGAACAGTCACTGATCTTTGAGAACATCACACCACCTGCACCGTTCAGGTCCAGGCTTTGTCTTAAGAGGTTCGCGGCCCGCTGGAAGATCCAATCGTTACTTGTTGAGGAAACAGAGGAATTGTCACCTGGAGGCAAGTCTGGCAATGACGTCGCGGCAGTAGAGATCTCCTTGTGTGTCCACTCATCTGAAGATGGGCTTAAAGAGCGTGTATCGACATCTTGAAGCCGCCCATCCATGTCCTCGGCATGTGATAAGTAAGATTTGAAATCACTCTTGCGAGAGATTGTGCATGGGCTCGTGCGACGGGATGGAGATGCCCGAGAGGCTTGACTGGAACTGGAACTGATCGACCCCGACCTGTGAGAACTGTCGGGGAAACTGGAGTTGCCGTCGACGAAAAGACGGAGGCCCTTTGACAGTCGCGAAGCGCGGCGCCCTTCTATGGCTTGACGGCTGACCTGTAAGTAGTTCATGACCATTGCTGCCGCTGTACCCAATGCATCCTTTTCAATTTCAGACAAACCTTCCCGGGGCGTGGAGTCTAGCACAAAAAAGCAACCTATATTGATATTATCGTCGGTGGTCAGAGGCGTTCCGGCATAAAAGCGGGAGTGGGGCTCTTCTTTTACGAAGGGCAATTGTCTGAAGCGATCGTGCTGCAAAAGATCGTTGATGATCAAAAAGCGATTTTGTACATCTTGTTCAATATCTTGCTTATCCGAAGGAATTTCAACTGTCTCCTGTTTGAAAAAATTAGATGAGATGGGGGAAGTTTCATGGCTAATAGGATGCGCTAGCTGGATGATCTTACCCGACATATGTTCCAGCTTGAGCTGTTTCTCAATGTGGATGTTCCTGCGAACAGTTGATCCCCTTTCCCCGATGCCAAGTTTGAGCCTCCAATGTTAGTATCTGTGGTGGCTTCAGCCAAAATGAACTGGAAATCTCGATTTAATATTCTATAGAAGACAGCAGTTAGCCAGAAGTCGGTTCTTAGAGCAAGAGCTTTACACACGTAATAAAGGCACGCTGCGCGTTCAGACGTAGGGCTGCAAGTTGTGCAAATGACGTCAAAGTCGTGTTCGGGCTAGAGAACCCGCTGGCTTCAGCGGTGACGGAACTGTCGCGGACAGCGAAGGTGTTCGACGTCGACAGGTCTGGTATAGATGCCGCATCATTCCCACAGGGGAGCCATGATGCGTTCAGTGCCGCCGGATTCGCTGGTTGAAAATACCGATAGACTTCGCGAGTCTGCCGGTCGGCATCATGGTCGCGGAGCGTCTGCGCGTCTGAAACGTCCATAGCCTGGATGTGATCGTTATTTTCTTTCATGCGGCGAGTAGAGATCAAATTGCCGGGCGTATTGGCTATATAATGGAATGTCGCGATGGGTGACAAGTGTGCGGGGGAGTCAACATGAGAAATTTGGTTTTTCGCCAAGCCCCTGGAGTCGCAGGTGACGGATTCCAGTACATGACGTAGACATTGGCTTTGCAGCGGTACATGGAGTACAATCAAGTGAATTGTGGTGGAGCTAGTCAGCGTTAGGCTTCTTTGGTGGTCGATCACTGACGCAGCTCCGGGGCCCGGGTGTTGGGGGTGTGCTGACAACTACAGGGCCCTACAGCCCACGAAACTGGGGTCTTCGAAGCACCTCTCCCTATAGCTTTTGTCACAGAACCCCTGTGGACGGTGAACCATGGCTAGATAATCGAATTTCTTGCTGCGGAGCAAAAAGTAAGCGCAAAAAAATCATATGGTCAAGGAAAGGAGAATGGAAGAGCGAAGTTCCTAGACTACTAATTGTACACCATGATCAACCGGGTAAAATTCCATAAGCCTGGAGCATGTTGGCAACCACTGTATCTGTATCTATGGACCAAATGGAAATGACCATCGCCCAGTGGGCGAATCTCACCTATGATATTCTAACTACTGTACTCATGAAAACAATCCAAATGCGGGGCTGCAAGCTAGTCACATATCCCTTGCGGTACATGTTTGCTTTGTTAGTAAGCATCCCGTTTTGAGATGTGTTCCACACGGCTATGACACATTACGGCTGGTCATTGTAAGAATCTCTCATTACCGTATTTCAGCAAATGCTGTCCGGAATCTACTAGCAACGCTGCATTTGACCACATACAATGCAGGGCAATGTTTTTGTGCTTTGGTCGTACAGTGTTGGACCCAGATAGAGTATATGGTACTTGAATAGTTTTCATATGATGGACTCTATATAATGCTTCACGTGTTGAAGAATCACAAAAGTTAGATACAAGGAGAGGCCGTCAACGCCCGTCTTCAGGCTGTCCATTCATACTTCGGCAACTTGTAACCATCAGAGTGAGCAGAAGCACTCCCAAAGAGTTGATTAAAGAGTGATGGGAGTCTGCTCCAGCATATGAACGCAAATATCATGTTTCTCGCCCAAATTCCCCAAGCTGTCTGAGGCGCAATCATCCCCGGAACCAGCGGTGGAATCTTTTGCATCTCGTCAATGAGTGGCCGCATCTGCTCCTCGTAACCCTTCAATCCAGCCGCCAGATCACCTCGATTCTTTCCAATCTCGCCTGCCAGTATATAAGCGCCAGCAATGGCCAGGCTCGTGCCTGTGCCCGTTGGACCAGGCGCGTAGCCAGAATCACCAACCATCACAAATCGACCCTTGTAAAGGAATGGTGTTTTGACTTGCACCCATTCACTGGCGTAAAAGTCATCGGCTTCCATCATGCCCTGGATGACTTCGACGCACTTCCAGCCTGCTCCTTTGAAGTGCTGAGCAACGAAGTCTTTGAGCGCATCGCTACCGAGCTTATTTGCTTCACGGAACTTTGTCATTGCGTTGTGGTCGCTGCGCGGGTGGATGCCCATCAACGTGACGCGATTGCCCCCAGACTGATCGGGACCAACAGCGATGGTACGACCGCCAACGGCACTGTAAGCATGACCGATCTGGCTTCCATTGAGGATATCCTTCTTGATGGAGAAGTAGGCCGCCCAGGAGTTCACGGGTTGAATGTAGTCGCGCACGCCGCAGCCAAGGCCGATTGCCCGAGTCCTTGATGTCGCTCCGTCGCAGGCGACAACGAGATCGTATTCCGCGGCAGGTGTTCCATTCAGGAATTCGACTCGAACAGGTCCACCGGTCTTCTCGTCATGCTGCATGGAGGCAACTTGTTCATCGAAAATGTATTTGACATTCTCGTGACCCTTGGTCAGGTCGAAGAGGATGCGCGACAAGTCACCGCGCAGGACTTCATACTCGGAGACCAAAGACTGTTGATCAGGGTCCCCGGTGGAAGTCATGATTCCGTAGGGCCGGCCATCGTCGCGCACTATGCTGATGCCGTCCATTGGCTGAAGGTTGGCTCGCACGGCTTCCTCCATACCTGGTATTTCCCGCATGACAGAAACACCTGCAGTTCGGATATCGATATTTTGTCCGTTGGTACGCATCTGAGGGAATCGCTCGATAACTGTAACTATTGCACCGGTTTTGGCGAACCAGTAGGCAGCTGATGGGCCAGCGATGGAAGCGCCCACGATCAAGATACGTGACGTTGACATTGTTGTAATGCTAGATACCTTTGTCTGGAATTGATGTCTCTGATGATCATGACGAGAAGAAGGCGAGGGTCGTTATATAGCTTCCGTCCAACAATCTATGATCGCATCAGGGCTGCGAGAAACCCGAAGCAATACGGCCTTTGATTGGTTGAGAGGCGAAAATTGGCTGCTGCTCGGACTCCGAGCACCCGAGCTATGAGCCAATCACATGCGCCATAGCCATAGACTCTATCTCGGGTCCTGATTTGGTCACAAATAGTCTCAGGCATTGTTGTTCGCATGTCACTAAGGTCTAGGCTTGGGGGTGGTCTTGAAGGAGCTGATCCCAAAATACCCAGTCATCCACATCAAATTCAAGGATTTGGCCCACATCAAAGGCAATGCTCCCTGAGTGACTGTCAAACGATGTATTCATGCCGCTCATAGGCGAGGGACCACTCGATGACGCCGCATCAGGCGTAACATACATCGACTTGTCTTGTTTGTTTTGCCTCCTTTCTTTTCTCTCTTGCAAGGACCTCAATGTACTGATGAAGCGTGGTTCTAGGTCACCACTGCTCGATCGGTAGGAATCCCAGGTTTGCAGAGCAAGGCGTCGAAGAGCAACATTCAGCGCCTGCTTACCATCAAGGAGCTCATCGTGGTTCTGATAAAGCTGCGCCATACTTTTCCAAGCGGCATCGATTTGTTCGGGGTAGAGTAAGTCTCGTCTCTTTGAGAGTGTAGTCAGGATGAAGATCAATGAGTCTCGCGTGCCCCACAGAAAGAACGGTTTGATGTGCCACTGGAACCGGCTTGTACCCCCATGAGCATGAACAGCTGCATCAGTCTCCAGGGTCTTCTGCGCTAATTTGAAGAGCTCCTGCCGCTCCTCGTCGCTGGCAGTCTGATCCCTAATCTTGGGAAGGCGAAGCTTGAGTCGCATGGCCGTCATACCGGACCTCGCAAGTCCAATAGTAAGGAAGTGTAACGGATCAACAATGTCACAGTAACGAATGAACTTCTCTTCCACTTCGGCTTCTGCTTTATTAATGACCTTCTCGGCTTCGTGATGATCGGGGAAGCTCCAGGGTGCTGCGCCGTTGATTGGTTTGCCCGACCTGGCCAACCTCTTGCCAACATATGCGCGGGATAGACAAAAAATCATCTCCGTTGCGCCATTCTGCTCGACCGGTTTCTCTGTCATCCCAGGCCAAATCTGATTGTCATTGATGTTGAGAGGAGGTTTTGTATCCCATGCTTCGGGCAGGCTAGCATAATCGATACCTGCCGATTGACTTGCTCTGCCGTCGTGGGGAAAGATCTGATAAAACAATCGTCGTCTCAGCTCCACGTCATATGGTGGCAAACCCAGCTTCTCTCCATCACGATGAAGACCGATTCGCTGTCCTATACGAGCAGATATCCCCGTCAGGATCCAGTACGTGTGCGGATCGTATACGTAACGGCTGGATAGAATGAAAAGATAAAACGCTTGCAAAACGGAGATTTTAGTTGTCCTGAGAAACGATGCATTCACAAGAGCCTGGCGTGCAGCAGAATGAAATTGTTGCATCAGTGTAGATCGCTCCTGTCTGAGTTGTTTCATACATTGGTCATCTGTAATTGAGAAGACGGCGCAGTGGTAGACTGCGAACATTAAGCATTCGTCGGTTTGGGACGCCTTTTCGGGATGTTGCGAAACGGACTCAATCATCTCTGCAGTTGATGGGAGATGTAGAACCTTACAGATGGGCTCCACATTCTCGGTATGCATTTTCCACAACAGCATGGCATTTGCATGACTTGGATGATAATGAAAGAGGTTTTGCTGACAGCCCAGGAACGCACCCGTCAACGGGTCCGGTGCGATACCTCCAGCGAGATCGGCGTTGTTGGGAGCCATTTCATCTTCTTCCTCATCATCGGACATGTGCTGAATTCCGTCGTCTTCGAGGTTGTACCATATATGACTGTCGATATATTTTGATCTTCCCCGGCCAGTCAAAAGCCTACCGGTCTTCGATGCGCCTGGCTTGACATGACTGGTCAATACCGATTCCCGAGCTGACAAATTTTCCACGGCCAGTTGTTCGGTATTCAGTAGTCCATTTTTCCGCAAGATTCGCTCGTATTGGGCTAGCTTTTCGAGTACGTCCTCGTCTATCTTTCTTTTCCGAGATCGTGGTTGTGGTACCACGAAGATGCACTCGAACCCGCCCTTGTGGCACCTGGAACAAATTGGCGCCACTTTGTCGCATTTGACCTTTCTTTTGGCACAGGTCCGGCAGGTGTACGACATCACATGCTGTAATGAGTCTCCTTTGTGGCTTACGTCGGGGTCAACTCGGGTAGGAGCCGGAGCAATGGGGATCGGCCCCATACGTTTCTGCCTATCAATAGACATCTGGGCTCTCACGATCAGAGAGTTCGCAACTTCTGTGTTACTTCAATTTGAGAATTTGTTCATCCAGTGCACATTGCTTCATGTAATGATCTTCATTGCGATGGTAAGGGTTGGGGTCACTACACGCTAAGCCGGGCGGCAGTAATCACGGCCCGTCACCGCTCAGTGACTTCCAGGCTGAGACAGACAACTCAGTGTCTACCCAAATGTGCCTCGATCTCAATTGGAATCGCCTGCATATATAAGTACTTAGAGAGTCTGGCTTTATTATATCCCTACAGGCAAGTGGCAGAGAGCAAAGAAAATGTCAAGACATAATAATCTGGGTAATGCAACCCCAGAATAAATCATTTGAGCAGGCCTCAAGGTCTTACAAAGCCACGAGAAAACGAAGGATAGCCCGACATGTCCTTTATCAGACATCAATAGAGCTTTTATCAGTATGAGAGTACTTTTCAGCTTTGGCCAAGGTCTGTTCCTTTGTAAGCTTAGGATTGCGAGTGCAGAGGGCGAACGCAATAAGCGGAATCGTCAGACAGATACCAGTGATGCAAAGTAGCCGCTGGGTATGCTGGTATGCGAGAATGGCATTGTCGCGATCAGGAGTGCCCACTGGATTGGCCGCCGCGAATACAAGGGGTTGCGCGTAGACTTGCGCGGCGAGGGTTGAGTTTCCAAGTTTGTGCTTCAACTCGGATGGGAGGACCTGGTTCCATATGGCACCAGAGATAGAGTTGCCGAGCGCACTTCCTATATTGTATGAAGCGAGATAGATTCCGGTTACAACGGCGAGGTCTATCTCTCAGGTTAGCTATGTCTTTTCGATGATATCAGGTCACAGGTCACGGAACTTACGCTCGTGCTTTGATACGGCCTGGATACTAGCCTGAGCAGGGTACGAAAACATACCACCAGCTATTAGAAATTTAGCTTCGCTCACTAGGAGAATTGAATCACTTCTCTTACCAATGCCCAAAAGAATTTGGCCGCCAATCACTCCGGAGTGGCTGGAACTCCCAGCACCACCACGGTAATAAATCAGAATGCCAAAGGCTACCATAAAAAGAACTGTGCCAGAAACGATGAAAGGCTTCAGTTGGCGAACCTTCATTACGATGAATCCCAGAATCACGCCAGCGATGACTGATGTGAAGCTGTAGAGTGAGGAAATTCGGGTAGCGCTCAGAATCGACTCGTCAAAGCTAAAGTAGAGGACCGTGTACAGGAAATCACCCTGGAGGTACCAAGCTTACAGGGAATGTCAGCTGTTGTATTTAATGGGAGATGGTCTCACCTACCAGTGTTCAACATCACTGCGATTCCAAGAGAGCCCCAGACAGCACGATCTGTAAGATGCTTAAAAGGGAGCATAGGGTACTGGCACGTCCTCTCCCAGAAGACCCAGACCGGGATCAACAAAACACCGATCACAAGCGGTGTGATGACCTTGGCAGTTTTCCACTGTGCTGTGACACCCCCAGCAATGGTAAAGGGAACGAGAATACATGCAAGCATGGCAATCATTAAAATGAGACCGACGACGTCAAGATGCCAAAACAGTTCCATTAGGAGACGACGACCTCCCAGGAGCTCGAAAGAGCTCTTGTATGGCTTCAATTGACCAGACTTCCTCGCACGACGCTGAACAACGAGCAGAACTGTGATCAAGGGCAGAGTGCAGATGGGGTAAATGATCGCGAACATGCCGATGCCCCATTGCCACGAGGTGACTTTGAGCACAGCAGCTGTCAAATTTCCGCTTATCCATGTGTTAATCTTATTGGGAATCATGGTGTTAGAGAAGGATGATCGGGGCACTATGTCGAGAAACTCACAATGAATGGAATGGCCGGGATGAAGGAAAAGAGCAGGCGGGATCGAGTCGAAGTCACATCGGCTATGAGTACTTCGGCAAGGAGCATGATACAAGTGTATCCGATCTAATGAAGTTTGATTAATGAAACCCTATTGACCTCTCGAGATAGGCACCATACCTGATAGATGACTGCACCTGCGCAAAAGGTTTCCACGATTTTCGCAAATGTCTCAACAATGGTACCGACGGTGTAGAAAAGGATTGAGACGATGATCAATTCAATTCTCCCGAAGACGTCCGCAATTTTGGCTGCCGTAGGCTACGTAATCCTGGGGTTAACCTCTTTGGACCACAACGCGGAACCACTTTCCATACCTGAGCGGCAGCGGCAATCACGGCGCGCAAAACATTGACGGTCGCGAGTAAACTGTGTTGGCCATAGCTTTGAGTGGCATAAGGCTGCAGAAAATCTCACACTGAGCTCCAAAATCCAGGTGCAAGATAATACTTTAGCGGTACCCACCTGGTAAGTGTAGCGAACGGTTCCATCGAGACCGTAAACATAAGCAACCAAGAATACACTAGCAAATAGGAAAATGCGATCAACCAGACCGAAGTGAGACGTGATGATTTCGATCCTCCGAACGCCGGGGCTGCCTTCACCCAAAAGTCGGACATCGGGAACCGACGTGGTCTGGGGTTCGGGGTCCTTCTCCGAATTTTCTCCACTGTGGGTGATGGTGGCAGACATAATTAGCACGCGAGTCAGAGACCGAAACATTCAAGCACTCACGACTGGGAAGATGCGATCTTTTATAGTATCAACGAGGAGGAGGGGCTGGACCTAGCCAAGGCCTAAGCCGCTACCGGAAAAAAAAAAAGTCTGATGGTGCCAGAATCTGGCGCCACTAAATAGAGCATCTCGGAGGATAGTCATCTTATCTGATGGGCCGGTCCATTTGCGATCTGCCAAGATGTTGCCTAGTCCTGCTAGATTTCTAGTTTCATTTCTCGGCCACTCGGACGGCCTATTCCGATCCACCTCGTGTTGTGACCATGTGCTCATTTCAATTCCCGTCTACGTGCCATGGCAGACTCGAGACACTGACAGGCGACATCGGAAAAGGAGTTTGCCAAGGCTTACTGCCTGAGTTGTCTGGAAAATTCGTCCTAGCCACGAGAATGTCAACGCGACATCAAGCCCCAATCTCCGTGGTCAGGTTCGCAAGGTTCACGAAAGGATTTGAATGACCTTTATACCTTCTGACTTCGCTGGAATCTAAATTCCTCTGCTCTATACGCCACTAGTGCCCAGTTCGGAGGGAATTTGAAAAAGAGATAATACAAAATGCCGCATTCGCTGTTGACCCGTTCTGGATAGAGCACTCGAGTTGAGGTATTCAGATATTGAACATGAGCGTCTCACCATGACATCACTTGTTAGAAAGACTTCATCGGGCACTTCTCTCGATTCCTCTATTTGCAAACATTGGGCGTATATATATCAAAGCCACATTGTGCTTTTTTTTTGTAGGGGCTAGGTTCTCTGCTGCAATGTGCGTTGAGAAGATTCGGACTTGGGATGTTTTCAACCACCCTTCTTAAGCTTGGTATACGGAATAACGCACGTCTAGCTTGGGAAGCGGACAGTAAGCGTCCATTGAGAAAAGAGATAAAATTAATCGTCGCTTTTAAGATAGACCAGCAACGAAGTTTTCTGTTGCAGTGAGCCCGGACAAGTAGCCTTCTCCTTGTTATTGTATTATTGCGTAAGAGAGGCTCTTATAGTTGGTTTGTCATGCTAGAATTCAGAGACTCCTTGACATCTCAGATATCAGACAGATATCAGACAGACACATGTTTTGTTCTATCTTAACCTGCTACAAGGCCCTGAGCCCTTGGTCAAATGTAATTAAAGCGGCCACGGCACCGAATATGATAAGTGACCGCGATGCGATGTAGAAGTGGCACGGTCAATTGCCCGAGTGTTCGCGCATTCGCACTACAAAATGACACCGATGCGTGCAAGTGACCGCACTCTAAATGCTTTATTGGCGCGATCGAATACCCGCGTGTCCGCCTTAGCACCTCTTCTCCACGCGGTCAAATACCCGATTGTCTGCTACACTCGCGGTATCAAGTTGCTAGCATCGACACAGTTCCACGGCTTTATCCTCAATCCTTGCCTATAGCCTTCAATGCAGCTCAATCAGGTTGGGTCGTCAGAGGCCCACGTTCCTGAACGTTTGTATTCATGATTCATTCGCCGAATTGTTCGCCTTTCACCAATGCGACAATCAACGCGGCCATGTTCACGCGGTCATGTCTCCGCGATCCACGAAGCGCACCCTGGGGATCGCGTAACCCGCGATCCACATACATCGCGCTTTCCTGTTACGATTCCAATATGCCGCACTCGGAAAACTCATCACCGCCTTCAAACTATTCACAATTTTCTGCAACGCCCTTTTCTCTTGGCTTTTTGAAGCCATTCCAAAGTGTCACCGCAATGTCCATCACCGCTTCTCGGGTCAAACAATTCAACACTTTCCGCCGTCCCGAGCGTGATGCGTGGGGGGCCCCTAACCACTATCATTTCGCGGTGAAATCTCTACCCATTGTCCCCGGAAATGCCGTGTTCTTAGCGAACCCATACAGCGGCCACCATCACGTCGAGGGTCGCGCTCGAATCACCCCGCTGTCGCCCGATGACCAAGCCAAAATCATCGTTCCGCTTCTCCTAGAATCTTTCATCACGCGTTTCGACGAGGGAGATGCGATTATTCATGTCATGCCCATGATCTGATGCCTTGGGCACCGTGGAGCTGGAGCACCACCGACGATGCGCTTGCGCGCGCGGTTTCCGCCCGACTCGAGGCAGTGGGCGTGCGAAGTGAACTTTGCCAGGTTTCAGTCTCAACTTCGGAACAAGTCCACGACTCTGACATTTTCTGGGTCAAGTGGAGCGAGAGTCTGTTGACGCAGATGACTAGTCTTCCGGCGGACATGGGTGCTCAGGATGTTGGCAAGTGGTGTGGCGGGTGTGGGTTTACTCCGTCCTTGGATACTGAACTCTTGCGCTGTGCGCGTTGTAAGCAAGCTCGGTACTGCACCAAGGCCTGTCAGAAAGAGGACTGGAAAATCCATAAGACTCGCTGCACACCCTGCCCGTGAATATTCATCCAAATGAGATCAAAACGGTCATGTACATAAATTAATTTCTAGCAATCTTCAAGCGGAAGTACCAACCCATATCATCGCATCAAGGTTGAACCTGGTAGTGATGAAAGGAGCTTGCGTTACTTCATTTTTCTTGTTCACACCGGTAGTCAGCTCTTTGTGGAGCTGTTGGTCGAAATCGCATACTCTTTCCAGAAACAAAAAAAAATAAATAGAATCCGGCTCTAAGTATGAAGGAATGAGTGTTGAAAGATGGCAGACTGCCGGGATTGTTAGTACTAAGTAATCTGTTCACCGGGCTGAATCCTTTGTAGCGGCAGGGTTATCGACACGTTTCATTGGGTTGACACGCGGTACAAAAAGATCGCAATTGTCGGAACTTTGCCTCTACATTTGCCTGTCTGTTGTAAATGCAGCCTTCACGTCTTGATAGAATTCGTCGTCCATGAGCACTTTCCACCCGGTCATTGCCAAAGCTTTGCCTGCGGTGATCGTCCTGTTGTGCGCCTCATCGGTTCCAGCAGCGAACGTGAACTGGTGCGTGTGATTTCTTGCTCCTTCCTTGACCGGAATCCCGATGATTGCGTGGAGAGCCGGAACGATATGTGAAACATTACCCTGGTCTGTGGACGCGCTCACTGGGGTGTCATCGGAACTCCATATCTGTTCTCCTTGGTCGCCCATATATTCCTGGAAAGCCTTGCATAAGGGTGCGTTCACGACTAGATTGGCGTATAAACGAGTTTCTTCAAGCTCAATCTCGCATCCTGTCGCTAGGGCCCCTGCCTCGAGACATCTCCTCACACGAGCACCCAGCGCTCTCGTCCTTTCAACAGTCGGACTACGAATCGTGTACTTCACTCGAGTCAATTCGGGTATAGCGTTTGTGATGGTCGGCGCCTGTAGGATGGCTCCATGGATTCTCTCCGTGGGCTGAATCTGCTGTCGCAGCATTGAAATGTTATTGTACGCCGACACAACAGCATCAAGCGCATTGACACCATCCCATGGACTGTCGGCTGCATGTGCGCTCACACCCTTGTAGACCGCGATAAGGTCGTAGCACGAGATAGACGAGCGTCCGCCAATTCCATGGACGCCGTGAGCCGTGAATTCCTCCTCGGACACAGGGTGCCTGTGGATGTTAGTCTACCGGACCTGACAGCCTGGAATAAGCCCCCCACTGGTACATACATCATCAATGAAATATCGGGCAGTCTATAAGCTCCGGCCTGGATCAGATCGATCTTTCCCCCGCCATCTTCCTCCGCTGGCGTCCCCAATAATTGGGCTTGGCCAGGCAGCCCGAATCTTCGTATCACGAATGCCAGTGCCACAAACCCTGTGACACTGGCTGTAGCAATCAGATTATGGCCACATGCGTGCCCAATCTCTGGTAGAGCGTCATATTCGGCATTGAAGTTGATACAGCGACCAGGAGTTCTGCCAACGAGGGCTTCGAATGCAGTAGAGAGACCATAAGCGTGGCGGGTTGTCGGTATTCCCTGCGACTGAAGAAAATTGCAGATTACATCGTGAGCCTTGTGCTCTTCATATGCCAACTCTGGAGCCTCATGAATCTTTTCAAGTGAGACAAATCAGATTTATGTGACTAAATTGAGTGTTGATGGGTAATCGATCACATACTTTCTGATTCAACTCTCGAAGGGGCGTGACCAGACTCGAGATATAGCCATCGATCGCTTGCTGAATCTGTTCCTTCGTCGGAAAGTTCATGGTGAATTGTGGATATTACTTTATACAATATTCTCAGACGTTCTCTATCAGTAGCTCTTTGTTACCCCGCGGATACCCCGCTATTTTTACCCTTCAAAGCTATCCTGCGATCGGCAATTACCGGACTTGGATCACGGAATGAAGGCCGCTCCGCAAGAATTTGATGATCATACCGGTGGGGATGACATGACAACGCGTAGAGTGTAGGAATGAGAGGATAGAAGACATTGATTTTGATTTAGTTTTGATTGACCCAGCGGACAGATGCATATGAAGATATTCAAAGTCGTGAGAGAGAAGACCAACCGAAAAATTCAAATTGAGAAAAGAAAAACAAAGACAAAGGCCTATCCAAGTCCGCAGATTCGCGTTTCTCTAGAGAATCGTGCGAAATCCACAAATTTCATCAACCTTCCAAGCACATAAACTCGTCAATTTGCTTACTGAAATTTATTACTGGTCTCCGTTGGTGCCAACATAATCAGCAGCTTTTCTGGCAATCTTTCAGGTTAGAAAAGCAAGCAGGATCATGAGTCGGTCTGTCACCATCGGGGCCTATCTGAGAGACGCAGTCATTGAAGCTCATCTGACAGTTGTTTGCACATCGGATATGAGGAATCCTGTTAGAATCGCATCTCAAGCGACAATTCAGGTCGTTGGTCCGGCATCTGAACATATTGCCGCCTTCTTGACTGCAACATCCATTGCTTTGATTCTCACAGGTCATGTAACACTGAGTAAATTCACTGTTTTGTAGGTCGATTTCTTGATTGTAATCCCATGTAACGCAATCGCCACCCCCCGACCAAGGTATAGCAGCAGATGCAATAACTGCCAGGGTGGATAGGGCACCGATGATAGAAGGGTACTTCATTGCAGGTGAGTTGCAAGAGGTAAATGTGATAGCTTTCAGTCGCCGTCAATGGTAAGTTAGATTTTTGGAATTAAATGAGGTGGAATGATGCCGACTAATGATCTCGGGGCTCTTCTGGCCTTTTGTAATCTGGATATTCCCCTCCAAGCCAGCAATGCCCATGTTGAGACACCTTAGATCCAAGCGCAACCCGTGTGCGTGTCTGGTCTACTGCCCGGGCTCTAGATGTTTAGTCTATTCTTGAGAAAAACGTAAATATCAGGTCACCAAAGCGGGGTTGATGCTTGTTTGGATTGACACAACCTGGTGATGAAAGTGTGCTCATATTGACACGGCGAGTTGTTTGACTTTGCTATTATTAGACTCCATCCAGGAAGTAGGATTCAAACAATGATTTTACAACTCAGAACCTCATGGGACCATCAATAATGGGTAGTAAGATAATCTTCTTCGTGGTACAAGGAGATCCTGACCCGAATCGTAATCTCCATCCGTTTATCCCTATACGCCAGATGTCAGAAAACTTTTCTCATCGAATTGTACATTGGTTCCATCAAATCGTTGTGTAATTAATACTATTTTACAATTTCATTCTAAATCGGACGAGTGAACAGTATACTTTCGGGACCGTCGGATGTGTCATGATCTTCAGCAGGCGTCATCGGCAGTCTCAAGAATCTCTTAGCGTAATCATTCAGGTCGTCATTCATATCTTCCTCTTACTTACGCCTCTAAACGAGTTATTAGAGATATAATCCCGACAATTTTTAGTTACTTACCCTACCAATACACCATGACCCACTTCCTTGATTGCCGGCGTATAGTTTGCAACCTTTCTAACAGATCCATGTATGTCATATCACTTCTCCCACACCAACAAACGTGTGATTCACATCTTCCGCTGCGTGAGCCTTGGAGCTGTAGAGACAAGTCTGGCCGTTTCTCGATGCATGCTCGGGATGTACGTAACGCCGATCAATGTCACATCTCTTTTGTAGCACGTTTAGTAATACATGTTCAAATCATACAATTCATCCTTTCCCAAATCACAGGGACCAAGAAATGGCCCCACCGTGATCACACTCGCTTCTATTTGCGGGGCCTATGGTGTCTTGACGTTGGTAATTTCGGATTGGGCAGCGGAGACAATACGGAAATTGGGGAGGGGAGGATGGACCTGGTAATAGAGTTAGAAACTATGTAGAGTAGCATTGCTGGATAAGTTCCAGAAAGTGAGCTGGATGGTCTCATTCATAGCGAATCTCAATCAAGATTGGGAATGTTTTGGGCTGTTCGGAATTGACTCGGAGTTTTCTCCGGACACAGATAAAGGGCACGTCAATCTGGCTCCTCGCGGTTCAATTATGGAGTATGAAGAATCGTCTTTTCTTTTATTGTCCTACACCACTATTAGAGCACGCCAAAAATGTAATATGTTTCGAAACCTTCCGTGCTTCTTATAGGGGACGCTATCAAGTACAACCACGACTTCTACGACAGCGAGTTTCTATCTCGCTTCAGTGTCATCCAAGCTACAGAAATAGATCAGGAGAGTTTTATTAAGGCCCTTTAAACACAAAAGTAAACCTTTCAATCACAACATGTCTATGGAAAGGTCTGACAATGTTCCCAGATACGGCAATTTCTCTGCCACATTCCGTCCTCACTTCCAGACAGCGACTTTGTGGGCCGGTGGGACGCCGAACTGATCTCACTTTTACCGTAAAGCGTCCGTATCTTTGTATCTGCCGGTGCAGGTTTGAATGGGCCGACGTAGACGCTCTCGGCAAGCCAAGGATCTGGTAAACTAACGGGGCCGGCGCATCAGACGAGGCCGTCTCCGACACCGCGCTTTACATGATTCTCAGCGTGTTCCGACATTTTCACCCAGTCCCAGCTGGCTGCTCGAAGAGTCGGTTCTGAGAAATTCACAGAAAGTCATAAGTCGATTGCGACGATCTCTCATAATCCCGGCCTCCATGTACTTGGTCTCGTTGGGTGGGGGAATATCAGTAAGAAGCTGGCGTTCAAAGGCGCGGGTGGCGCTGGGAATGAAGATTCATTATTTTTGATATTGTCCGAGAGGATGCGAAGGAAGAAGAGTAGTTGGCTGCGGCTTATCATGATTCCTTGGATGGTCTGTTGAAGGTGGCTGATTGTGTCACTTTGCACACTCCACGTAACAAGCATACACAGTACTTGATTCATTCAAGAGCCTTATCCTTGATGAAACCCGAGACCAGGATTGTTAATACGGCGAGAGCATCGATTGTGAATGAGGATGCATTAGTTCGTGCTCTTGAGAGTAAGCACATTTCTGCTGCGGCGCTAGATGTGCATTACCATGAGCCTCAGGTGTGGCCGACATTGGCGAGTATGGAAAATGCTACGCTTACTACGCATATTGGCGGCGGGGTTCTGGAAACGAGGACCAATTTCGAATGGAATGCTATGCGTAACATCATTGCAGTTGTGGGAGCAGATGGTGATTTTGCAGGGGATCCTTTGACGCCAGTGAATAGAGAAGCATTTGCGGCACAAGGATAGCATACTCTGACGCACCTAGCAATGAATGAACGTCCAAAGAATGGTTGATTATGATTCACGTCCACGGCAGAGACCATAATTACTTTGTTTATGTTCAAGCGCGACGAGTTTGTTCGGGATATCAGCGTATATACAAGCGAAAGCAAGTCACGGTTGTTGGATGACGAGTTCCAAAACAGGGAACTGGTCAACTTGCTCTCGCTCAAGTGCTTCTTTCAATGTCCGGTGGCCCAAAGTATGGAATAAAGGCCAACGGCTCGGGCCTATACTGCTCCTCGGCAATTTGGAAAAGGACATGGGTTTGAAGATGATTGATACACGTTACTTTTGTTTGATCCCGATATATAATCATGCCGCATCACAAGAATGGGAAGCCATCAATTACCCTCTTCACCGCCAGGAAGATTGGCTTCGTCTTCTGATCCGGACTCCACTTCAGCCAAAGCTTCTTTCTGAGATTTCCCGGTCTTGTCTTGTTCGGCTTCCTTTATCTCGGCATTCTTCTCATTGGAAGCAGCCACAATTTCCGCCGCCTCGACTCCACCAGAGGTAACATAAAGGAAATAATCGCCAGGGAAGTGATCGATGTGGTTAAAGAACGAGCCAAATCTGCATATCATGTTAAAAATTGTAACCAAGTAAAGGAAGGCGATCACTTACGCTGCGGACTCTTCTTCCTCGCGGAAGATACGATCGTAAATCTCTCGCTGCTTAAACTCCTCCATCTCCTTAGTAAAGTTGTCAAATGCGACACGTTCACGGCCCAAGCCCTCAGCCTTTTGATTATAGCTATCGAAGATCGGGCGTTCGAGTAACAGACCTAAGCCAGGGGCCTTGGGAATGGCGATACGATGGGGACCATAGGTATCCTCGATGCGGTCGGCAGGGCAGCCGGAGCGAACAACCAACGTGGCCATGGCCACCATTTTGCGGATCTGGTGCATCATGAAGCTCTGACCGTGCACTTTCAAGCTCAGCCACTCGGTGCCGTTAATGAGAATCGGGGTCGGGTTGACGTTGAAAGATTTGATATGACGCTTGGCAGACGGATCCTTATGAGTTTTTTGGATAGTATAGTTGTGGAAATTCTTGGTGCCGACGTATTGGTCCAGAGCCTCTTGCAAGCGAGCGATTCGCGAGGAGGAGCACGGTATGTGCGTCTGGCAGCAGTATAAGCGGCCTTGATGGCTTTGATGGTATCGAGGATCTTTCGTTGGCGGGGATCCATGACGAATGGCTTTTTCTCTGTTGTAGACTCTTCAGTCTTTTCTGGAGCTGCTGGCACTTCCTTCTCTTCCTCCTCCTCCTTCTCCTCCTTGTCCATGGGCTCTTTGCTTTCCTCGTCAAGATAAAGGGACTTTTCAACAACCTGACGAATATCCTCGGGTACACTCTCCAGAATGGGCTTGATATACTTCTCATCAACATCCGCCCAATAACCTTCGACATCCGCTTGCCTAGCGTTCACAGCATCCAGGTCGCCTTTCTTCTCGGCGAACTCGACAATCTTCTTGCCAAGATAGGTGCTAGGGTGGGGAGGCAAAAGACAGTGACTAGGCATCAAGTACTCGTAAATACGAGAGTCACAAAGCTGATAGCAACTGAAGCCGCCAGTGGTGTGCACGAAACCCCAGACGCGGATTTGAGGGCTCAATTTGTCATTGATCTTCTGGACGATATCGTGGTCATCGATGATCATTTTCAATGACACAACATTGCCGGCAGCGTGCACACCTTTGTCGGTACGGGCGCAGCGCACGAATGACGACTTCTTAGGGTCTGATGCATTAGCCTTTGAGATAGCTCCAGATGCGACCAAAGCAGCGAAAAGATCGCCTTCGATAGTTTTCTGATTCTCGTTCCTGGAAATCTTCAATCAATACACGTCAAAGTCATAGTAGTGATTCAGAGAAACATACAGCTGCATGCCATAATATCCAGTCCCAGAATATCCCATCATGAGCGCAACCTTCTTCTTCGGGCGGCGCTCCTCGTTGGCAATTTCTTCCGCGGTGAACTCGGTCGCGTAGATAGGCGCCTTGACTTCCTCACCGTTTTCAATCTTCCGGCGCTTGGCTTCAGCTTGACGCTCACTGCGCTCTCTTTTATCTATGGCTTGACGACTTCCTTGGTTAGCCGCTGAGATCGGCGCTGACCAGGAAATCACGTAGCATACCTCCATGCTGACCTTCCCATATCGCGGTTCTTACGCCTTCCACCAGCTCCACCTTCTCTGCTTTGGTCGTCGGCCATTGTACCCGACTGAAGAACTCGAATAGCTCGACGCGAGGTTTGGACTTGTTGTGAAAGGTTCGAGGATTCAACCGAGCGGCCAATGAGGTGGCGATTGGGCTTCTAAGAGAAAAGACACCGGCTAAAGGGCGCGAAACAGCAAAGGCGCGCATGAAAACGACTCAGTAGAAAGACGAAGATCTTCGATGCGCCGCGGAGGTTTTTGACGGCGGAGGTCACTAGTCCCAATCTGGTTAGCTTGGGACTTTTCTGCCTCAGGCGGAAACACCTCTTGCAATTCGCGCAAGCTTTAGTTCATTCACTTCAGCTTTGCTCATTCCTTTCGCTCAGCGCCGACAGCGCTGTCTCATAGACTTCACATCGCACCGAACTGTGATGATGATTGCTGCCTTTCCTTGAACCGTTCATTTAGAAGCTTTGTCTTCCCATTCGACCGTCGTCGACCCCCAGCCATTCCGGCCCGCGAGTTTGCGCCAACTGTTGCAGAGATGGATCTTGCCAACACCCTCATCAGGAGCGTGGTGCGTGCCTTCTACGAGACTCGCCACATTCTAGTCGTTGATGCGCTCTTCTTGCATTCAGTGTACGATGCCCTCTGAGAGGATATAACGCGCGGGCTGATCTGACACACATTCTACAGACTCCATGCAGAGGATCTCGCCTTTCTGATGGGCATGCAGCAAAAGGATCTTCGAAAGCTGTGCGCCCGTTTACGAGAAGATCGCCTCATCGGAGTGTATGCCTTATCTTGGCCGTGCCGCGGCGTCAACAAGTGTAATTTGTTCAAGCTGACCTGAGTGACTTTTCTCACTCGCAGAAGCCAACGCTCCGAATTTCGCGACGGATCAACTCGCCCTGTGAATCGAGAATACTACTACATCCCGCTTCATCCGGTCATTGACGCGATCAAGTACAAGGTCTCCAAATTGACGTCCACGATCAAGGCGCAATACACCCCCAGCGAAGAGCGCAAGGAGTACATCTGCCTGCGATGCGGCACAGAATGGACCGAGTTGGATGTGTTAAGTTTAGTCTCCGAGGAAGGATTCGAATGTCAAAACTGCGGTGCCATTTTGGAACGAACCGAGGACGTCAAGGGCGTGGAGGGAATCGATCGTACCGGCCACGAGAAGAACAGTAAACTCATGGCGCAGCTCGACAACATGCTCAAGCTTCTAAAGCAGATTGACTCTGTCGAAATTCCGCCCAACGACTTTGACACTGCCTGGGATCACAAGGTTGAGGTTCCCCGCAATCAGCACACGCACCCGACCCGCCAGGCAATCTCTATACCTGCTAAGACACAAGACGTTACGCGCACCACGGCAAAGACAGACGCAGCCCAATTGGAGATCGCACTTACTTCCAGCGAGGAGAAGAGTGCTGCCGAGCAGGCTGATGAGGCAGCGCGCAAGGCAGCCCTCGAGAAGCAAAATGCCCTACCCCATTGGCATACCCACTCTACAGTCAATGCAAACAACGTCGGTACTACGCAAGCCAAGAATGAGGCCGGCGTCCCCGTTAAGCCCGAGGAAGAAGAGGACCAGAAGCCCGATCCAGATGCCTTGGACGACAAGGTTGCAGCCTACTATGCTGAGATGGAGCGCGAGCAAGCCCTGCAAGCCGAGCAAGACGCTTCGAGCGCCGAAGATTCAGATGACTTTGACGAGGAATTTGAAGACGTCGGAATCTCCGGACCCAGTGGTCCAGCCACCCCAGTCACAGGAGCTGGTCCTACCAGTGCTCCGACTCCTTCATCCGGTATTGCCGGTGTGAAGCGTGAACACGATACTGCTTCCAGCGCTGCTCCATCATCGACTGGAACTCCCACTACGCCCGCAGACGATGGACCCGCGTTGAAGAGGATCAAGACCGAGCCTGGCACGGAAGAGCCCATTATCAAACCCGATCCCGACGCAATGGCCGAGTCTGAAGTCAAGGACGAGGAGTCTGATGAAGACGAAGAGTTTGAAGACGTATGACACTGCAAACTGGGATTAAAGAGGGGGAAAAAAATATTTGTTTTTGGACCAAGACATTGGCGCTGGCGCTCGGAGGCTTTCTCATGGAAATCTTTTTTGTAACAACAACCTAAGCTATCCATGAAATTGGTAGAAAATGCTTTTGACATGAAAGAAATATAAACCAAATCTATCTTCTTCGATCAAACGAAATTCTGTTTGGATGGATCATAAAACGGCCTTCACGAAAGGAGGCTTGGGGGAAGACAAGTAGGTCGTGCCTTACATGTCATCGCTCTCGCCGGCATAACGGGCTGCTGCTTCCATCATCTGGGGGATAGAGGCACAGCTCCCGGTCAAGCCTACTTGTGCTCTCGTTTCCATGCAATACGGGCAGGGCAGCAGAACACGGTCAAAGTATCGAACAAGTGCCTGAGATAGGTTCGTGGGGCAATGGTAGGTCCTTCCCGTCTAAGATCCTTCGGAGTACTGAGCGTTCTTAGCTGTGTGACACACCTGAGCGGTGTTTGATGTCTTTGCAATTATAGTGTTCAAAAAATTTGACCATGCGCAGGTGGGAATATCGGAGTCCAGATGGCACATATTTGTCGGCTACTGCCACACGTACAGATAAGCCCTAGATAATAGACGTCTCTTCGCAGCAAATTACAGTGGCACAATCCAAGCAATGCATTTTGAACCGCAGCTCAAAGAGCCTATGTTGACATAAGGTCTCTACCCGACGCCTTTTATTGTAACACCCGGAACATATGGAAATATCAATGGCGGGCCCGCGTCTTTGGCCAACAGCAAAAAAACAACGCCTCCAGAAAAAAAAACACGCATTTCATGAAATCATAAGTGAGCTTGATATGTCTTCGCTGAACTTCAGAATTGATGGGGTTACCAAGAAAATCACGCGAAGGAGAAAAATAGGGGAATGAAGGCTAAGGAGAACCGACGACTCCCATTTCGGAGTCGCTGGCTAATGCAGAGGTTGCTTCCCATTCATCGGCGGAGGGAAGATCGGATTCTGAGGAGCCGGGTCAGATTAAAGCTTCGTCGTTCCATTCGCTATAGGGGCTCGTACCTGAGACGAGGTCGTCTTGGACTTCAATCGTTTTCTCTTCGATGGGAGCGAGGATTGCTGTGGATGATAGTCAGTCGGAATTCCGATAGGTCAATGGAAATACAGAGAAATCAAAAGTAGGGGCTCACATACCGTTCGCATTGTCGAGCGTCCGTCTATCTTCCTCGCTCTCTTCGTCAAAGTAGGCATCCTGGCAATGCTTGATGACCTCGATGATGCCGTCAACGATTCTAGATTCGACTTGTTGAACGTGGCTGTGGATGAATGACTTTTCGACTCTTTGAACACAGGAAATCATGAGATTGCGGCCAATTTGGTAGTATCGAGCCTCAGACTCTGTGGTGATATCATTGTTCTCATTGCTGAAAAGCAGAGTCTTCAGTATGTCAATGGTACCCTGGCGAACCGATCGATCATTGTCGATGAGGAGGGTCGGGGCCCAGCTAGGAATCTCATCTCGAACGATTTCCGAAAACCACTCTTCTCCCAGTTGTAGTCTCTCGTTGGATGTAGTGCAAATTCGGGTGAAGAAGTCGAGATGATCAACACTCGCGCGGCCGTCGATTGAATCAACTCCCTTCGCGACAAATCTGATCATGTCTGCAGCGTCGGCCTTCCCTGGACACCATTTGCAGAACATGAAGGTCGCCTCGAGGAATGGGATGCTAAGGTCAGCGGGTGACAGTCGCAAACCGACTTGCAGCGCTTTGATAATGTCATCAAGTAGCCCCGCTTGGGGTTCTGATTGTAACAAAGAGGCAATAATCGTGCATGAGGCCTTGGTGTTCCCGAAATGGTCATGTTGCAGAATTTTTTGCAGAACAGAGAGACTTCCGTCTTCATCGACAGGTCTGATGAACTTGTTTTCGGTGACGCTCAAAGAGTACATGGCGCTGCCCAACAGACGTCGATTCTCGTCATCTCGGACAGGGGAAGCGCAAAGTCAATCTTCTTGAAAAAGACTGCGCAGAGGGCCATCATTTTGACGTAGGAGAAGCGTCGGCCCTTGTCAATCAGTCTAATGTAGTTGGCATACTTGCTTCTCAGTCTCTTCCGGTCCTCTTGATCGAGCCAGATGATTTCTAGGCAGCGAACGAAGAAGCCGTTCTCGAGCAAGAAGTCAACAGTTCCAGGTGACACCGCAATCATTTTGAGCGGGATGTCGAAGTAATCTTCCCAGACTCGAGAGACGGTCTGAAGAGCAGGCCACAAATCCTCTAATTTGCGGACGATGTCTTCCAAAAGCCCGTCGAAGCGGACTTGCAGATCAATTGCTTCCTGTTCGTCAACACTTGCATCGTGAAGATATTTTTCGATCTTGCGCATGGCGTCAATGAGGAACATGACGCCTTTCTTCCGAACGTCCGCGTTTGGTATCTTAAGGATCAAGTTGCGCATCGATGTTTCTTTTTCTTGGAACCACTGAAGGACCTCGAATGCCGCATGTACATTTCGGGATATCAGGTCAGAAACCTCAGCGGAAATACCATCCAAGCATGGATGATCCTTGGACCGTGCAATCAGTTGCTCGTAAGTGTCAAGTGCAACTGTTATAGCCTTCAGCTCAAGCTCACGCTTTCGTTCAAAGTTGACTGCAACGCTCTGCACGTTTTGTAGCAGACCCTGTACAAAGAAAGCATAGAGCGGGTCCAAAAGACAATAAGATCGGATGGTAATCTCATTGTTGCCGGCGATGAGGCTGGCTAGTTCGTCGGGCACAGAAGCTCGGACTGGATAGCCTGGCTTCAACGGCCTGTAGACTTCTTTGGACGCCTCCATTTTAGACACACGCTGATAGAATAGCATGTAGGCGTTCCAGACCTTCTGCATGTGGCCACCCATTGTTCCACTCGGGCCCCCGAAGCACTGGTCTGCAATGGTTGCTGCGTCAAATGAGCTGACATCCGAGTCATTAAACTCGACCCATGAGGTTGAGGTTCCCGAGGCGGGTCTCTCTCGAGTGTACGAGTAGTAATGGCCCGATTCGGCCGTGCCAGTGTGAATCAAAACACCGACCAGTTCGAACATGTCAGGCTCGATGTGAGCCTCTGGATCTGAAAGCTGCTCAACCTTGTAGGGAGTCATGTCGATCCGATCCGGGAACTGAAATTCATCGTTGATCTTGCTTCGGGTCAACGAAACCATGTCGAAATCAAACCGTTTGAGATGGAAGATCAGATTATCGGGAACGTGTTTCAGACAAGCTCTGCAAATATGTCAGAAGATGAAAGTTGCTTGGAAGCTTCCGCATGGTCAACTTACCGCTTCACAGCATCAACATGGCGGTTACAGCCTGTGCACGAGTATTTGTTTTCTGTTCCAATGTCAGCAGGTGTCTGATTAGCAGAAAGGAGCTTTAACTAACCTCCTTGCATGATTTCTCCCTCGACATATGCTTGTAGACTCTCCTCTAGGCTGGCCTTGCCCTTGATGTCACACTGTATGGCAGAAAACGGTTCCTCTCTTTCCGAAATGTGGGGGCATTCCTGGGATTTGATCTGCTGAACGAGTTGACCGCCGTAGAAAGATCTGAAATTTTTCTTTTCCTGTGGATCAACGATCTGAGCCTCCCAACGGTCGAAGAGCAGGTTGTAGAACTCGTCGACATCCATCTGGATGGTGACATCGATTGCCTCGTTGTCGTATGTCTTGATCTGCTCGACAAAGTCTGTTGGATCCGTATGCTTCGTGAAGGTGTCTTGCATCATTGCGAAAAGCTTTTGAGTTTCTTTGAGAAGGCTCTGTGATGAGTCTGGATCCACCAGATCAAGCTTCAGCATGAAATCTCTGAACTCGATATTCATGAAAAGCTGGGTCATCAAAGAGTTCAAGTAACAGGTATTCGAGAGATTCTTAAGTCCCGCATACCCTGGTGGAGCTCGAATTATCTTTGATCGATCCCAACTCGAGTTTGGCCCGTAGGAAACATCTGATTGAGACTGGTATCAGTGACGTTGGGGCGGAATGGAAATACGGGTAAAACGAACCTCGAGGAACAACAGGCTCTAGCATATCTATAACTTGCCCAAGATTCACATCATTGCGCTTGCATAGCAGGCCAACAATGCTGTACAGCTTCTGGCGAGTGGGTGAATGCAAGACAGGAAGCTGCGGAGCCGTGAGGTTCTCTATGTCGGGCGACAGGTCTGGGAAGAGATAGATGCCCAGAATTTGCTCGGCGAGATCACTAGAAAGTCAGTCCAGGGTACTTGATTTCATTGATTCCAAGTTTTGGAGAACTTACAAGTCTCCCAGGTCAACGTGAGCTTTATCTGCCAGGTCAAGGCACAGCTCCAACAATAGAGTAAATCCATGCATCAAGGGATCAATTGTCTCGCGACCCACAAACTGCTACAGTTAGCAAAAACTCCATGCTGAGTGGAAGAATTTTCACATACCTCTTGGGTGCGGTGCCGGAGCATAACCATACTCCAATCCCTGAGATACTGACTAAAGATGACATCTCCGGGAGATTTTTCCGCAATTGCACGGAAGACCCAAAGAGCACTAGTAAAGAATTCTGCAGACTGCGAGGCATACTCTGGAGCCTTGGGGATTGTCATAAGGAAGGCATTCCAGACAGTTGCCAACATGTCTATTTTGTCGACGATTTCGGCAGGTGCCGGGCTTTGCGACTGGTCGTCAGCCTTCTGAGCCTGTTTCTGCGACTTCAATGGGCCACATGTTATCTTGATCCTCTCTGCTACGTCCACGCGAACTGATGAGCGACTTTCATTCAAAAGCAACGACTGGATCAACTGGTCGAAGTGTGCTTCCTGCTTGACAGCATTCCAGAATTTAGTATCCCGTGTTGAGCCGTCGATGAGAAGGGCGAAGGGGAGACGAATAAGTTTCTGGTTCAGAACGCTAAACGGAAGACTGGGCGCAGACTGGGCCATCGTAATGAAGCCCAAGAGCCGCTTCACCAACTTTGCCGGGTCCTGGACAAGTGCGGCGTCGTCGCTTGGAGAGCCATAGACGTTAAAGGCCGCTTGGAGGGATTCAAGCGCTTTTGTGGCGAGCCAGAATTTGATGGAATCATGGATCAGGGATCCGGCAAACTCATCGGCCATCAAGAATGCCACAAGTCTATTGATGCTGTGCGACGCAAAGTCTCGATTTGGAATCGCCTCTGTCGATTCATCGCGCAGGCAAATGAGCAGCACGTAGAAGGAGTAGAATGCGATGAAGGGTGTATCAAAGGGGAACAATGTCTTTTCGTCGATTTGCTCGGACCTCACAAGATCGATGATGCGCTCTGGAGGAGGGAACACGGCGAGGAAATCAAAAACCTGAATAGAGATAAATTTAGCATTGAGCGAGAGGGTAAAGCGTAATCAAATGACATACTTCACGGGCGACATCCTCCTTGAGCACGAGAAACTCGTAAATCTCGTCGAAATGTTTCATAACTTCAAAGTCGACGGATGTAAGAGAGTGCTGACCATTGTGGCGCGCGACCTCCTGGGCATCCGGTGCCTTGCGAAGAATGAGAAGTCCTCCTTGGAGCTTTTTCATGTCTCCCACAAGAGCTCCCGGATCTTCGAGCAGGTTGAGTCGCTGGCCACCGCAGATAGCCAATAACTTGGAGAAGCCGGTAAGACGGCAAAGTAATTCTACGAGCTCGGTCGCTGTCGAAAGACTGCCGATTTGCAACACCTTAACACCAGAGTGAGCATTGCCGTTGAACGATTGCCAGGATAGCTCGACCGGATCACCCTTAATTGGGTGTTCTGGAAGGCTCGGTGGAGATTCCCGAGGGCAAACGTATTGTCGGCGAGAGCGCAAACCGTGAAGCAATCGGTAGAGGAACTGGAGCGAGCGCCTGAATCGCAACTCTTCGGGGCCAATAGCACCATTGGTGATTTCTTTTCCCAACTCAGAATCACTGTTTGTGGCGTGTGACGGCTTCAAAGCTGCAGCGGAGTCCTTGAGTTGCTCAATGCAACGACCTACAATCGCAATATGTGTGGCTTCGACAGCAGATGGTGGTGAATTCTTGATGATTGGATGATCCAAGTAGGTTTTGATGGCATAATCTGTTGCCGCGATTTCAATGGTTCCAGGCGGGGATGTCAAAATGAAGTTCCAGATGCGATCCATTCCCGGAATGGTCACAACCTCATTGTCTGCAGCGGCGGGAGGCGGGTTAAAGCGAACTTGGTAAGTTATTGACATTTTCGTAAACGCAAGCAATTCCGGGGAATAGTCTTTCGGGACCAATTCAGGCAGGTATTCATGAATGCATCGGTCGAGGAAAGGGTTAGCCTTGGTGCAGTGCGTGAGAGCAGTGGACATCATGCCCCAAACTGACTTATGCCCATCCACCCCCAGTTTGGTTGACAGAAGAATATCATTCCAGAATGCTTTTCCGAGCTCGGGTGTGATTGTCTCTGGGGCCATGTCAACAAGCCGGAAGAGAAGCATCACGCGGGAAACAAGGCCATGGTGCGAAAATTTTTCGGCCAGGTCAACGTGATCTCCATTCACAGTATGAAGCAGGTCAGTGATTACCAGACGTGTCAAGTCGTACTTTTCGTCGAGCTTGTAAATCTCTTGCGCATCGTGAATAGGGATGAGAGCATTCAGCACTTGAATGCTGCCTGCCGTGAAAGCGTTCATCTCGGCGATGTCAAGGATACAGCGCTCATAGATTTCCGTCCGGTCTGTCCCGCTGATGCCTGCTCTGATGCAGCTTGCGAGTTGCCTGCTGCCGAGATCCTGCAATTTTGTCCTCTGGTCATCGGAGAGATTGTCCGCTGCAGTGCTTTCTCGAATGAGACGCACACAGAGCCACAATGCGACAGCATTCACGCGGTCGGGCCCGGTATTGTCATAGTACCCGGTCTCGCTGGGTTGATGATACATTCGACCGAGCAGAATATCACAAAATTCAAGCATATTGGCATCAAAACGTTCCAGCGGAAGCTTCAGAACTTTTTCGCAAATGTACAGCAATGCCGGTGACGCGGTAGAGTGCATATAAAGCGTGCGGGTGAGCATGGCTAACACCTCAGAAACGATCCTACTGTCCTGGCTCTCGGTCACAGCTTTCCAAATGACGTCCGTCTCCAGGTTTGTATATGAGCTCGCCACGACCAGGAACCCCACAATGTTGCTGCTGCGGCAGATCAGCTGAGGGTGAGATTCTACCCCCACGAGGTAATCCACGAACTTATTGCTTCGGATGAAACGAACCAGATATTGAATTTCCGGTAAATTGACTGCAGTGGCATTGGTGGAGATGCGGTCGGCCCAAATCTTCACCAGGTGTGATTGCATTGTTTCCACGCCACAAACCCGGAGCTCCATGCGGCCCTCCATGATGTGCTTCTTCAAGACACCAAGTCTCCAGCCCCATGAAATGATGTCCGTCTTGCTAGCACTGCTCGCACCTTCTGAAAGCTCAATTCCGAGGTCTTGTGCGATTCGATCGATGAATGCAGGGTCAGACTTGCAGAGCAACATGTAGACACGAGGTATTTGGAGAAGCATATGTTCAGTGTTCTCGCTTGACACCAGGGCGGATTTCTTTGTTACCCATTCTTGGTACTGGATGTCAATCTGACGGACTGTGTCGTAGATGACCGTTAAGAAAGATAAGTGGGCCGATGAATCAAACGTGAATTCCGAATTTGAGTCGTGTTGTGTCTTTTCCGGTGTGCAGTCGGCGACGCTGGTGGCGAAAACCAAGACAATCTTCAAGGTGCTCCATAAAACAGGAGCCTTGAGCATGGTTTTCAACAAAAGAGAAGTGTATTCTGCCACCACCGAGGGAGCGTTGATGGGGGAAATAAAAGACCTCGTGCGGATCCGGCGTACTAAGTCCACTGTGTTTATCATGTACTGTGTCTCTAGGGCACGATAGAGGGGAATGTTCTGTGATCCCAGCAGCCACGCGAGAGGTGTTATCCAGCGTCGGGCTGGACTGTCTGGTAGCTGAGTGTCTGGCTCTTCACCAAAGCAGCGCATGAACATGATGTCTAGGTGAATCATGTGGACGGCAATTTTGACATAATCCATGAAGAAGTCCTCCAGACCTTTCAACACATCGCTTCCATCATCGATAACGAGCTCTTGTCTAATGTCCGGATTAGCTCAGAGTAACAAACAACAGTCGAGGAGAGGATCGTACTGTCTGCGGAGGAGTATTTCCAGAAGAAAAGGTACGCGATTCCAGAATTCAAGGTCTTCAGTAATGGCAGGAGCCGTCAATTGGTCGAGATTCTTTGCGCAGTCGGCCATCCACACTTTTAAGGCAGCAAATGCCAAGGTATCACGAGGGTCGCCTGCTCACAATATCAGCATCAGAAGGTAAATTGAGTGGAATCATGGAATCTTGTACATCTCTCGATCACCGCGATCATGTATTGCAAATTTTCGAACGCAGATGCATTCTCCCGAACTGATGGGAAAGAGTCGACGGGAGAGAGTATGTCGTCGACTTCGATCACCTCAGGTTGTGTCTGGTCTCGTAGTGCCTCGTCCAGTGGCCTCCAGCTTGAGGTATTCGGATCCTGGTCCATATCCTCTAGCTCGGCGACTTCGATCTCAGGACTCTGTGCCGGCGAGGAGGAAATCGAAATGACGTCGTTCGGGTCCGCGTCGGGGTCGGGGATAGAGCGGGGTGAAGGAGAGTCGGGTTGAAGAGACGCGGGGTCGATGGATTCGGAGTCCATATCGTAGGTTGGTGACTTGACATTTATTGTCATCTTGCTGGGACGCGAATCTGGAGAAAGGTCCATGGCGGAGGCAGGCGCGGCCGGAGTCAGGCCAGCGTCGATGGACAAGCTCTCTCTTACGCGACTTCCACTGTCGAGACGCGGGCGTTTCCGGTGCCCCTCGGTGTCGGGGTCTTCCATCGAGCTATGAAGACGCGTGGAGTCGCTCACGGGAGTGCCAGGCGTGGAGTGAGAGCTCTCTGGCGGGGGTTCTGCCATGACATTTTCCTCACTTATTCGACTGCGATAATACGTTTTGGCGGGTCAAGGGGGTCTGAATCCTCGGAATGATCGGAGTGTATCAGAAGTATCAAATCCGAAGTGAAAGCAAAGTGAGAGATATCCGCCGCAGAGACATCCGACGTTGGCGGAGCGGTGGACAGCTTTTTTGGGGAGACGCGAGAGGAGATCGGTGACGTTAGTGCTGTGGAGAGCCCCGAACAGTACTTTATGCACGGGATCTCAGTCAGCTCTTTTCATTCCTAGGTACTAGATTGAATCCTTTCTTATTGATCTCTTACTTCTCAGTTGATCTTAAAATGAAGAAGCTACCGTCTATAAATTCAACGTTCCTTGTGCACGTGCCAAACCAGCTTGCAAGGTAAAACGGATATATATTCGCGGGCTGCAATACAAGCATTGAAGACAAAAGCATAAACTCGGGCCGATATTTTAGAGCGGGTGCCCCATGAAACGAGAAATAGTCTCTAAATGAATCACCGTGCACGGATCGACCATGCAGACCTTAGAAGCTAAAAGCGCAAATCTATCACTACCTCAGGGCCCCATGAAGGTCCACATCGCTGTTTGAACCAACCGTGCATACCCAGATCTAACGGCAATCCAGTCATCATGGACTTCATAATTACCTCCATATATTTTCATATGCAGAGCTTGCCTAGATGGAAGCGTAAAGCAAGCTTCTCATCACTACCTAGATATCATTCAGTCATAGACGTCTCAATTTTGCGAATGATCTTAGCCGGGTTTCCAGCAGCCACATGAAACGACGGAACATCCTACAAGTGCCACGTTCAGTACATTTTCATGCGAGCATCATATCTGAATGCCTGAAGGATATCCCGAGAAGAAATAGAGAGAAGAAAGAATCGAGAAAAACATACCTTAGTGACCACACTCCCCGCCCCAATAGTCACCCCCTTCCCAATAGTGACACCAGGAAGCACTATCACATTTCCTCCTATCCAACAATCCTCCCCGATAGTGATCGGCTTGCCCATCTCCGGCCCCTCAGTCCCATTCCTCAAAGCAGGATCCAATGGATGCGTCCCCGCAAACAAATTGACATTCGGTCCGAACATCGTGCGCGCACCAACAGTGATAGGACAGCTATCAATAAAAACACAGTTAAAATTGACAAAGACGCCTTCGCCCAGCGTCACGTTAAACCCGTAATCCACCTTGACGGGTGCTTCAATCCATGGCTCGTTTCTGAATTGTTCTTCGTCGGCAACGGGGTCGTCGAGTTGGGCGGGAAGTGGTGTTTGATCGTCAACGATACTGTTTACATGTTGGTTTATGTGCATTTGAAGTTTTTGGGTGTTGGGAATTGGTGTTCAATTGGTAAAGCAAAGCGCACTCACTCTCTCCATAGCTCGACTAGCCTTCGGCGAGGCACTTCATCCGTTTTATTAAAACGGTTGCAGGCGTATTTGCAGCGGGCCCGCGCTGCGACCAGGTCGGGTGTAAAGGCGCGGAAGAGCTCGCCGCGAAGCATCTTTTCCTTTTCGGTTGGTTCGGCCATGGCCAGCCATGCGAAATAGCACAAGAGCCCCACAGTCAATGTAGGCCAGAGCTAGAAGGTCTCGCGAGAGACTCCAAAGAGCCAACTGTCACCATATCGGACCAAGACCCGAGTCCCCGCGGAGGGCCATGCGCCAAGTGGGGACGGAAAGCTCCAAGCTTCAAGCTCAAAGTTCAAAGCGAACAATCCACCGGTTCCGATCTCTCGAGTATTGTTCTTCCAAAAGAAAAACATGGCTTTCCTATCGTTCATTTAAAGACGCTCGCTTCCTTGAAACCTTTGGTGCCTCCTGGATACATTCAAAATGACCTCCTCCTCGACCTCCGCCCAACCCGGCGACTCAAACATTTCATGGCCCACCGAGCGCATCCCTCAACACCCTGAAGAAGAATGGCACCCTTCATTCACATCGCATCGTAGCCCCTCCGTCTCTAGCTCCATCTCCAATTCAAGCTCCGAACCCCCCGAGATCGACCCAACAAACCTCCCCGCCGGCACGAGATCGCTCTCGGGAATCTCTCTACGCGCCTTCTTGCTCGGTACAAGCCTCGGCCTCACAACAGGCTTGACGCTATACCTAGCAATTCTCCCCACACCCTTCTGGCGCATTCCGTTCTTTATCGGCGCCCTCAGTCTGTTCCACTTCCTCGAGTTCATCGTCACGGCCCAGTATAATACGCCTTTCGCGACCGTCAAGGCTTTCCTCCTTTCTTCGAACGGGTGGGCTTACAATGCTGCGCATGGGTCTGCGTTGGTGGAATGCTTAGTTTCACATTATTTCTTCCCGGGACAATGGACGCTAGGCAGGATGCTTTCGTTCGAAGGGCCGTTTGGTCATGTGTCCCTGTTGCTTGTGCTGGGTCTTGTGCTCACGGTCGTGGGACAGGCCATTCGGACAGGGGCGATGGCTACCGCGGCGGGGAATTTTAACCATCACGTTCAGAGTGAGCATAGGTCGGGCCATGTGCTTGTGAAGAGTGGGTTGTATCGATTTCTGAGACACCCGAGTTACTTCGGGTTCTTTTGGTGGGGGCTTGGGACGCAGTTGATTCTAGGGAATGTGGTTTGTTTTGTTGGGTATGCGCTTGTGTTGTGGAGGTTCTTTGCGACCAGGATTAAGCGTGAGTCTCATCATTCTCCTGGAGAAGATTTTGAGAGGTCTGGAAAGTTTGGGCTGAGCTGACTTCTTTGTTCTAGGCGAGGAGGCGTTCTTGATCCAATTCTTCGGTGCCGAGTATGTTCAGTACAGGAAGGATACACCGGTTGGCATCCCCTTTGTTCGTTAACCGGATCGGAGGGATGGGCTTTGCCAATATGGCGCTTCAAGTTTAGAGATTATTCTCAATGGTCATAGAGGTGAATTGATTCTGGACAGAAGTCCTGGTATACGGTATATAACATGACAACGCTCGTACAATGCAACAAGGTCTGTGTTGATCACAATTTATGCTCCGGTGCCACTGCACCCACTGCTCCACTCATAAACGGTCCATTCTCATCGTCCGGAACGGCGCCTGGGGCTGGCTGGGCCCCAAAGAGGAGGAGTTCGCGCCCACCGTGGGTGCTCCACCAGGCCACGCAGCAGTGAGCTCGATCAACGTCCATTTCGCCACCGCTCAATGCTTCCCAGAAGCGGTCGACGCAGGCTTGGCGCATTCCGCGGTCTGGAATAGTGTTGATAAGCTCAGCTGTGAGGGGGAGCCACTCTTTGAGGTCATCGACACGGAGGAAGGAGAGTGAGTCAATCAAAGCAAGTATAAGTACCGCTTGTGCGGAGAGTGGCGGCGCCTTGCCTAGGTCGGGTGTTGAGCTGTTCTGTACTGTAGGGGCTATGGGAGTAGTTGATGCGTGGAGGGCTCGATCTCGGACTACCTCGAGTGGAATAGATGGAAGAAGTGGTTGGCTGTTCGCCAGTGGTGAAGGAGGTGCGGTGACCTGGATGACTGTCTTGAAAGCAAGACGGAACTGTCTTGCTGACAGATTTTCAGGAAAGACCTATGCAAGGTTAGACGCTTGGGATGAGTATGGAAAAAAAGGGGGTCAAACTTACTGCAAAGAGATTCTCAATGTAAAAGGGCAGGTGCTTTGCAGCTAGGTCCGCATTATGGGGGATGGCGAAAACGACTAGTACCAAGCTGTGGGCAGCTTCGAAGATCTCCAAGAGCAGGCTGTTTGCACCAGCCGCGAGGTATGGGAATGCAGCGGATAAAAGCAATTCCTCATTGGCTTCGGGAGATAGAACCAAGGGGAAGTGCTCAGCCACGTTCAAGAAGAAAAGGTCCAAACACCGCTCCACTGGATGGTCAGGAATCTGACCGAGGTCGCTGGGCTTGATGCTGCGCAAAAAATTCTCCGTCAAGTCAGGGTACTGTGAGAGGATATCGATGGCTGCTAAGAACACAAATGTTTGCTGTGAGGACGAATTTTGACCAGTGCGCGAGGAAATAAAATAGAGATTGCGGAGGATATGCAGGGATTGCATTGAGACATATGGCGCACCTTAGTAGAACTGTCAGTATTGAATGGGAAACGAATGAGCGGTACGACTTACTGCTGCCAGCAGCGAGGGCCGGATCATTGATCGTTCTCCCAAGAACAGCGCGAAGAACAATGATCACCGAATACAAGCAATTCCGAAGAATCTTCCATAGCGTAGGAATAGTAGTCTTCAAGGACTCCGGCTCCAAAAACTCAGCCTCCTCCGTTACATCAACCTCGGACAGTTTATTTTGCCGCCACTGAACCATCAAAGTGCGGACAAAGTCGGCCAAGTAGTCAACAGCCTGCGCAACTAGCTTCGGGTCCCGCACGTTTTCCACAGCATGTGAAGCAAGCCGAGAAAGTGGTCCCAATGCTGACACCAGAGGACGAGAGCCTATGGCAGAGACAAAGCCAAAGGTCGCAGAGTTGGCAGCCCAACGAAACTTCCTCCCTGGCACCTCAACCACATCCTTATCAATAGCGCCCAAGAAGTAACCCCCCCCTCAAGCCCCTCAGGCGAAAAGTAAGTCGACCTTATCATGACCGGTAACAAAAGGTCATAGTTGATCTTGCTCCTTTCCATATCAGACAAGAGCTCGAATGTATAATTCAATACCATGGTAACGCAATGTCCATCGACCCCCGCATCAGGGACCAGCTCCTCAAGCGCTAATCGCGCCGCGGTAGCCAGCGCCGACTCGAGCTTCGTCCGGATTTTCCAAGGGAGGCCCTGTCTATTCTGTCCCTCAAAACCAAGCAGTATTCCGCCCAAGAGAAGCATATGTCTCCAGCGCGGCGACTTATCATCCGCACCCTCCACAACAGCCTTCACCCATGCCTCACGCTCAATCTTTCGATGTCGTCCATGGGGTATCTGTGCCTCCTCCTCCGTATCATTCTGCAGCACCGCGATTGCAGCTGTGTTGAACACGCTGAGGATCTTGCGACAAGCATGTAAATCAACGGGATGATTCCACAGCGCCGGCGCCGAAAGCAGCTGCGACGCGAGCAAGGTCAGGTTCAAAGGGTTACCGAGGATGGACAGGAAACTGGTCGCGGTGGGAAGGAGACTGCGAGAAACAATGCATCATTAGCCGACAGTGGTTGCGGTGGAGTAACCCAGCAACAATATTCATCATACCCAGAAGCATCTTCAAAGCTGGAAGTCGCCTGCAGCGACCGTAACAAAGCAGCCAGGGATCGTTCAGTCGCCATATCGAGATATCCTTTATTGGACAATAGTCCTCAGGTCTACATAGCCCGTGGTGATGATGGAGGAAAGCGCGGAGACGGGACCGGGGCCGGAGACCCCAGACGCAGCCGAGGCCCGTGACAGCGGCAAACAATGCAAACTCCTCGTCATTCGGGTCCAACGTTGTTGATCTCCTGGCTCTCTTTTGTTCCTTCTAGCTTGACCATGAATCGAATGAGATCCCGTCTCGTCTAGCTGTAGCTATCTCAGCGCCGCAGCTTTGACAATGGCCAACAATCGCGTCCCGATCAATTACCAAATCCCCTCGTTCCCTTCGCTGTACGATCCTATTCCGTCGCATCACCACCAAGCGTATTATCTCTACTTCACGAAGGATATTTGGCGGTACACGCTCTTATGGACTTTGATTTTCTACGCCATTACGCACTTGCCTGTCGCAGCGTGTACGGTCTTGACCCATGGAAGGAACTGGAGTGTTATATGGCTGGTGCCGTTGTTCTATAGCGTCGTTGCTGGCCTAGAAGGGTTGTTAGCTGGGAGTATTGTTGGACTTGTGTTTGTGTGCCACCTCTGCAGATGACGAACACGTGGCTAATGCTTTGAAGACTCGGTGCGGTATATGAAGCAGGCAATTTTCGAATGTCGACGTGGGTGCCTTTGATCTGGGCTGGCGTCAATGTGATGGTTCTCATCTTGACTAGCTTTCCGATGCAAGGCGGATTATGAACGACTGGAAGATTTATTGCGCATGACTTCTTCCGACCTTTGCCAAGGTACGAGTGATCAAAGACAGCACTCCCATGCCTGGAAAAAATTTGAAAGCTGGTATCTGCTCCTATAATACACTGGAGAATATCGCAAGCGCCGTCATCCCGGGCCCGAAGGGCCTCACATGCTTATATGTCCGTTACGCCGGTCCCGCAATCCAAATTTCACATGCACCTATCCAACCATATCAATTGACTATCTGCGTCCATCAGGCATACCGCCCTGCAGACCAGGTAGACCGCCGAGCCCCGCTGCTAGATTTTGAAGGTTCATGTTGGGAGGCAACTGGATGCCTTGAGCGGCAAGCTGTTTCTGAAGCTGAGTCAGGTCTATGTTCATAGGCGGAGCTCCCATTCCAGGGAGCATTGGGAACCCGGGCATTGGCTGAGGAGGCGTTGGTGCTGATTGAGACGGAGGTTGAGACATCATTGCTAGTCGGCCAGGATCCATCCCGCCCATAACACCGGGCATCCCAGGCATACCGGGCGGAGGAGGCTGAGCACCACCGATGCCTGGAAGGAAACCTGGGGCATGGAGTTGAGGACCGCTTTGTATACCCGGCAGGGAGGGTGCTGCGTCAGGTCGCCGCTGGTCGACCAGGCTCTCGGCCTCATCCTGCATCTCCTGCTCCTCTTCATCGCGGGCCTGTTTGCGGCCAAAGCCACGATTCCAGGTACCTTGGGCCTCTGCTGCTTCTTCGCCGATATGGAATCGGTCTTTCATGTAACTAGTCTCGCCAGGTCTAGCCCGAGACCAAAATCGAGTGAAGTTGTCTTTTGATCCTGATGCAAGGATATGGCCTAGAGGGTGCCAGTCCAAGGACCAAATCGTAGCGCCGTGGGCATACTGCACGCGATGCGCAGGGTAAATCACCTGCGGCGGAGTATTGGCCGGATCGGGGCTGTCGTAGGGAGCCACGGTGGGCATCTGCCCAGAGGGTAGATTTGGTTCGTCAAGCAAGTAGTGGTACAAGGAGCCGTCTTCGGCACCGGTGGATATCAAGTTGCTATGGATCGGATGCCATGTCAACGAAGAAACGGGCTTGTCGTGACCACGTAGAATGCAGATATCACGCATCATTCGCAGATCAAATACCCTCGCTGTTTGATCTCGCGAGGACGTCGCAAGAAGGTTGTTGTTCACTCGCGAGAACCGTGTTGAAGTGACGGTGTTTTTGTGGCTGTGAAGAGTTGTTAAGCACCTGGCGGTGCGCGGATCCCAGAACTTGACCTGATGATCCTTCGACCCGGAGACCAGTAAGCCTTTCGTCGGGTGCCAATCGCAGGACTTGACATCCCAATTGTGTCCGGTTAGAATCGTGTCGCAGGTTCGAGAAGTGAAGTCGAAGATCTTCAGAGTCGTATCGTCGGAGGCAGAAAGGAATTTCGTGTCGCTGGGTGCCCATGCCAGGTCTCGGACAGCGTCGTGGTGTGCGTCGTCGATGGTTTCGACATTATTGAAATTTGGTCGCCAGTATTTGATATCGCCTCTTTGTCCACCCGAGATCAGCCATTCATGGCTATGTGACCATCCCAAGGATGTCACGCCTGCTTGGACCTGATCGTAATGCGCCTGTAAAGAGAAACGAGATTAGCCAGTGTCCGGCCATCCAAACATTGGACCACGCACATCCATGACCGTCTCAAAGTTGAAAGCCGTGCCATTCCACAGCATGAACTCTCCGGTATGACCTCCTGTCAACAGGCGCCGCCCTTCTGGAGTCCATCGCACCACGACAATCGGCTTCTTCGACTTTCCAATGGATTGATGTAAGTGTCGGACGGGGATCGTGTCGGCCGGGCAATAGGTTCGCGCGACGGGCGGAACCACCTAGTTTCACGTCAACCTCTGTCGTACTAGGGACCAGAAAAGATAGTGCGTAATACTCACATCGACCGCGAAGCTGGCGCTCGGTCGCTCGGTCTCCATTCGGTGCTCACCGCGGAAGCGTGGCCGTCGCGTCCGCATCCATTGTACCATGGACGAGCCATAGTCGGTCACCAGTCCTATGTGCGAAGGGTGTCAGTCAGTCTGCAGACCACAGACCCAGGGGACAAGATCCCATAGAGATCAAACATACTTGGTCGACGGGGCCCGACGGGACCATCGAAGTTCTTGTTAAACCTCCCGAAGGAGTCGCCCCCATTCTCGTCGTAGTAGGCCATGGCCAAGGGAATCTGAGGCAGGGGTTAATCACGTCGTGATCATGAGGGAGGTCAGGACCAGGGTTGCGATTGGATGCAGGAGCGTTGGGAGAAGAGTCGGAGCTTTGCAGCAATTTGGGCCTTTGGGGGGGGAGCTCCCGGCCCGTTGATTGGTGCAGAGGGTCGTGGATTACTTGCTCTGCGCTATGACATCCCCCGCCATTGCGTTATGCCTGGTCGAAATGTCCTCGGTACTTTTTCCTCCCTTTGCCATGTTAAACCGTCCTGCGAGTTCTTGACTTTCTTGAGTCATTTGTGTTTTTGGTTTCGGTGGTCCTTGTGTCCCGATCGCCCGCTCGGCCCGACTGACCTTCGCATTGGCTCCTTCACTTCTCTGAATCACTCAACACAGACTAGGGATCCCTGCTGCTGGAGATGACTGCGCAGACCGAGGCTCTGGCTGCTGCACTGGAGCATTCAAGTGCTTCAGGGATACCGAAAGGAGTGACCGCCAAGAGAGAGAAGAGAGAGGAGGTATCGACCGATCCCCCCAATGTTCGGAGACAAAGCCAGTATCGCCATGTTGCTGCCTACCATTCCAAAACGCGCCACTCAAGCTTGAGTCGAGAGTCCAATGTAGCTCCGAGCTTCCTTGGGTTTAGAAACTTGATGGTGTTGGTGCTCGGTACGCATTGATGCCGCGGGAAGCTCCGGAGGTTCGGTAGTACTAATGTCTGGTCACAGTGGTGATGAACCTCCGACTGATCATCGAGAACTTTATGAAAGTGGGTGATTCAGGGATTCTTTGCGCTGTGGAAACCCAAAGTCTGACTGATGTCTAGTATGGTGTTCTGATCTGCATCAAATGCCACGACTATCGTAAGCAGGACATCGTCCTTGGATTGATCCTATCCGCGCTGGTCCCATGCCATTTATTCGTCGCATACATTGTCGAATTGACTGCTGCAGCCGCGGCGAAGAACACCGTCGGTCGTCAGAAAAAGACAGACGAAGAGAAAGAACGCGACCAACAGGTCTTCCGCTCGGCATGGCACTACACAGCCTTCCTTCATACGGTCAATGCCACTCTGTGTCTTGCAGTGACCAGCTATGTGGTCTACTTCTACATTCATCACCCAGGCATTGGGACCATTTGCCAGATGCATGCAATCATTGTGTGGTTGAAGAATTGCTCCTACGCATTCACCAACCGCGACCTGCGTCTGGCTTTCCTTAATCCCTCGGCTGAATCGGGTCTACCAGACATTTACGCCTCTTGTCCCTATCCGCGGAACGTCACTCTCGAGAATCTTGCGTACTTCTGGATGGCCCCGACATTGGTCTACCAGCCTGTCTATCCGCGCACAGCATCCATCCGCTGGGCGTTCGTTGCAAAGCGCCTGGCGGAGTTCTGTGGGTTGGCAGTGTTCATCTGGCTCCTGTCTGCACAGTATGCTGCACCGGTCTTGCGAAACTCGATTGACAAGATTGCTGTCATGGACATTGCATCCATCTTGGAGCGTGTCATGAAATTATCCACCATTTCTCTTATTATCTGGCTTGCAGGATTCTTCGCTCTCTTCCAAGCCCTACTCAACGCGCTCGCTGAAGTGATGCGCTTCGGTGACCGTGAGTTTTACACTGACTGGTGGAACAGTTCGAGCCTGGGGGCATACTGGCGGTCTTGGAACCGACCCGTGTATCTGTTCATGAAGAGACACGTTTACTCGCCTCTCGTTGGCCGTGGCTGGAGTCCACTTGCAGCAAGTGGCATGGTATTTGCCCTTTCCGCCGTTCTGCACGAGATGCTGGTGGGAATTCCTACCCATAATTTTATCGGTATGTTGTGGCTTGTTTGAGAATGAGTCCGGACTAATTCATTCCAGGCGTTGCTTTTTTCGGCATGATGTTCCAATTGCCTCTGATCGCACTCACAGCGCCCTTGGAGAAGATGCGCGATCCCCTTGGCAAGACTATCGGAAACTGTATCTTCTGGGTCAGCTTCTGTTTGGTTGGACAGCCCCTGGGCGCGCTGTTGTACTTCTTTGCGTGGCAGGCGAAGTACGGCAGTGTGAGTAAGATGAGCCCTTGAGCAAATTTATTTTTCCTGGATTTACGGTGGACATCTCTGGTAATAACGACTTTGATACTCGCGTTTGGTTGGGATATTCTTGCATTTATGACTTGTTGGTCGGTGGTGGCCTTACAATTTCACTCGCTGGTCCGAATTTTCGTCCGTGGGTGAGCCGGCAATTCACGACTTCGTGATGAGTTCTCCTCTCCGCTTCTCTGCTTTTGTCGCAGATGCAAGCTCGCTCGTAGCACCGTCGAGGTAGCAATAGCAGTAAATCTACAAGCAATAGATGAGAATCAAACAGTGGGTGGGGTCACAGGATGTCAAGACAAGCTATTACAGGGATACCTGGCTCCAATAGGACACAAAAACGAGTCCACAACTCATGGCATTGACTGACCCGTTCCCAAGTCACGAATCCTGGGCCAGGAGCACAGGGTGGCAGTCGAACCGCATGGCAGACCATCGAAACAAGCACGGTTGGGGCTTGGGTCGGATAGATTTATGGCCCGTCGCGGGGTTTTCAATCCCGACCCCTTACCATAGAACAGGGAGCAAGAGCCGTATTTAAATCCCCTTGTATCCTTCGATCCTGACCATCTCACAATCACGAAATAATTTCAAAATGGTCGCCATCACCATCCCCTCCAATTACGGGTATGTTCCTGACCTGGGGCCCTTACCCCATGCTGCCCACCCCTTCCCCCCCCTTCCCCCCCTGTCACCCCTGTCACCCCTGTCACCCCTGTCACTAACACGGAATAGCGGCGTCATTGCCGTCGCCCTCGGCGTCATCCCCGTCCTGGGCTTCGTCCACGGCGTGATCACCGGCTCCTTCCGCAAGGAGGCCAAGGTGCCCTACCCCCACAGCTACGCTTCTATCGAGCAGTGCAAAGAGAACGTACGTCTTGATCTTCATGCCTCCCCATTGACCCTGATTCGTACTAACCCTCCTCATTAGGCCAAGGCCGAGCAGTTCAACTGTGCCCAGCGCGCCCACTCCAACTTCCTCGAGAATGCCCCCCAGACGATGCTCTTCACCCTAGTCGCTGGACTGAAGTACCCTCAGCTCGCTACTGGAATTGCGGCTCTGTGGGTCGTTTTCCGCTCGCTGTTCCTGTATGGGTATGTGTACTCGGGTAAGCCCCAGGGTAAGGGCCGTATGATGGGTTCGTTCTTCTGGCTTGCGCAGGGTGCGCTGTGGGGCTTGAGTGTTTTCGGTGTTGGGAAGGATTTGATCTCGTACTAGGCTAATGCTGGAATATTGTACTTTTACTTGATAATCAATTCCTCTCTCGGGCTTTGAACTTCGATCTTGAATCCTGACCGTAGGTATATGTCGCTCACAATTGTGTGAGTCCTAGGATGTAGACACTTGAGGCTCTTGTCCTGCGAAATAAGCGCCAATCCATAATTTGATGCTGCTAATATTTGATCCTTGAATCCCATCCGAGTAAGGAGAGTCGACAAGAGGCCCATAAGACCAATGACGACTGGATCCGCTGCATGGTTCAGACGCGCTTTCCTTCGAACGGGTGTGATGTCGTGAGATTTTGATAGACAACTGTCGACTAATGTGCTCATGATCAAATGGGTCGGCAATACAACCAGTCAACAATCACGTTCACTTGGGCAATCTGATAAGATGTTACGTAAATCAGCATGGGGCCAATTGGCTTCTACACCAGATTCAAACAGGATCTGTGATAATTGGATCCCAACTCTATCACCCGGTCATTAGTATATCAAATCAAGTGCAACTAGTTCAGTGCGGAATGTTGAAAATAAAAGTATGTAGACCTTACATAATGCATGAACCCTTCAAAAAGCAGAGAGCGCGGTCAAGATCCCCAGTGTACTGTGCTCCACTGAGGCGGTCAGAAAAAAAAGTTCCGCGTCGGCGACGACAACGCTCTCACTCCATTATCTACTCGCGACTTGGGTCAATTGGGGTGTACCTATCTTCCGAGACCGACAAATCACCGTAACACTTGAGAAAACCCCGTCTCAACACTTTGAATACTTCCTCCAGTCAATTTCATCCCCTCCCCCTCAGCCCCGCCACCCCCGCCATCCATTATGTCTTCCAAGTCGCAATTGACATACGGCGCTCGCGCCGCCAACCACCCGAACCCGCTGGCCCGCAAGCTCTTCCAGGTTGCCGAAGCCAAGAAGAGCAATGTGACCGTCTCCGCCGACGTGACCACTACCGCCGAGCTCCTCGACCTGGCCGACCGTATGCTCAGCACTCACCTCACTCAAGATACAAAGATACTAACGAGCTACAGGCCTCGGTCCTTACATTGCCGTGATCAAAACCCACATCGACATCCTTTCCGACTTCAGCCAGGCGACTATCGACGGACTGAACGCGCTCGCCGCCAAACACAACTTCCTCATCTTCGAAGACCGCAAATTCATCGACATCGGCAACACCGTCCAAAAACAATACCACCAAGGCACTCTCCGCATCTCTGAATGGGCCCACATCATCAACTGCAGCGTTCTCCCCGGCGAAGGCATCGTCGAAGCCCTCACCCAAACCGCCCAGTCCCCGGACTTCCCCTACGGCTCTGACCGTGGCCTCCTCATCCTCGCTGAGATGACATCCAAGGGCTCCCTCGCAACAGGCTCCTACACCTCCGCGTCCGTGGACTATGCGCGCAAGTACCAAAGCTTCGTGCTGGGTTTCGTGTCGACCCGCTCGCTGAGCGAGGTCGAGTCGACCGTTGCGAAGAATGAGAATGAGGACTTTGTCGTCTTCACCACTGGTGTGAACCTTTCCTCGAAAGGAGACAAGCTCGGTCAGCAGTATCAGACTCCTCAGTCTGCTATCGGGCGTGGCGCAGATTTCATCATTGCGGGTCGTGGTATCTATGCGGCACCGGATGCCGTCGAGGCAGCTAAGCAGTACCAACAGCAGGGGTGGGAGGCTTATATGGCGCGTGTGGGTGGTCAGTAGATTTGAACGAGTCGATGTATATAGAAACAGAAAACTACGAGTATCGGATACATGAATCACATGATAGAAATGACAGAACAATTCCACAGGCATAATTTGCCAAAGTGATTTCCTCTCACCATTTCGTACTTGAGATCATTTTGCAGGTGTGCCACCGTCGCGAACACCGACACGGACTCTTTCCGCGTTGACGTCTGCAGAGCACAGTCCGCTTACACAGATTCACCATCTCCTCGGACCCAACACAGACCTAGCTCCCTGCAAAAGTACATGATCCGCCATGTTTCAGGCAGAACTTGACCCCAAACAAACCCCTCAACTCCTACTATGGCCCGATGTTCCATGATAAGATAGACATCCAATGTGATATCCAACATATAGAAACAGCCCTAGCGATCCATAGATAGCGCCAACAGCAATTCTCTCCCGGCGCCACTCGTGATAAGCACCATCAAAGACCCCCAATCCAACCTGTTCTCGGCAACGACCCTTTCGGACCTACATCTGCACTCCGAATTAACATTTCATTCCCCCCGCCTCTCGACAACCTGGTTCGCCGTCTCGGCAAATTCGATAAGGATGGCTGTAGCTCCAACTTGGTCCAGCCCCCTATGTAGACATAGGTTGCCGATCTCTCCTCATTCCCCCTCCCGGTAAGAACCAATAGCGGAACCGGCCTCGGACAACCCCAGATAAATGATAGACGGGCTTATCGTGGGGAGGCCCACATGATCTCCTTGATAGGACGAAGTAGGGAGAGGTCGTGGTGAGATAACGCCACGAAAGAGGGTGTTGCACAGCGAGCTTGTATTTATGCTCTGTTTCCCCTCCCATCAAGGGTTGTCATACTTCCCCTCGCTCTTACTGAGGTCTTAGATCTGCGATCTACCCTTCGATTGATTCAATCGATCGACCCACCAAGTTACACCCTCCACCCTCTTCCAATTTCATGATGGAAGAAAAAGCCATCGGCGCCTCCTCGGCCGTCGATGTCGAAACGGCCAAATCAATGGCCATCGACCCGACGCTAGAGAAGCACGCGCACGATGCAGACGAGGCGATGAAAGCATTTGACGAACTGCAAGGTGAAGCGATCGAGTTGGACGAAGCGACAAATAAGAGGTTGTTGAGGATTATCGATTGGCATATGATGCCGATTATGTGTTGTATTTATGGGATGAATTACTTGGATAGTAGGTGTTCCTTACCTATCTAGGGACTTCTCATCTCTGTTGTCTGGCCTGGTCCGTTCCGTAAGGGATGGCGCACGGCCGCGGGAGGCGTTGCGGTTAAGGTGCTGACCGGGGGTGAAAAAAACAGAGACTACGCTTTCGTATGCGAGCATTATGGGGATTAAAAAGGATTTGAATCTTGTCAAGGATCAGTATCAGTGGCTGAGCAGTTTGTTCTATTTTGGTGTGTTCTGCGCCCCTTTCTTTCTCGTTTTGTTCCATTGCATCTGAGGACGGCTAGGCTTACTAGATTGATAGGATATCTGGCGTGGGAGTATCCCACTAACCGCCTGCTGCAGCGGTTGCCGTTGGGCAAGTACTCTGGTGCCTGTATTTTGATTTGGGGCATTATTTTGAGCTGTTTCGCGGCTGTTGAGAGTTACTCGGGGGCTATTGCTATTCGATTCTTCTTGGGGGTGTTCGAAGCGGCGGTTACGCCTGGCTTTGCGCTGCTCACTTCGCAGGTATGCTCGACACAATTCCAGAGCGTTGGATGGTTACTGACATTAATTGCAGTGGTACACGAAGAGAGAACAAGGTAGTCGCGTGAACATCTGGTTCAGCTTCAACGGTGTCGGTCAGATTCTTGGTGGTTGCGTCGCCTATGGGATCGCCGTTGGCTCTGCCAAACATGGATCTGCTATCGCGCCGTGGAAGATCATCTTCCTGTTCACCGGTCTGTTGACGGTCGCTCTCGGCCTGGTTTTCCTGTGGATTGTGCCGGATAACCAGTTGAATGCGCGCTGGCTGAAGCAGGAGGATCGTATTTTGGCTATTGCTCGAGTGCGCATCAATCAGCAGGGTATCGGTAACAAGCACTTTAAACTTTACCAGGTCAAGGAAGCCCTCCTGGACCCGATGAGCTGGGCGTTCTTCTTCTTTGCGCTCATTGCGGATATTCCAAATGGCGGTATCACCAACTTCTTCAGTCAACTGGTACGTCATCGTCGTCATTCTTGCCGTTGAGTTTTTCTTCTAACAGCCCCACAAGATCAGCAGCTTCGGGTTCACTGCAGAGGAGAGTCTGATTCTGGGTGTTCCAGGCGGTGCCGTTGAAGTTATTGCTTTGCTGCTCAACGGTTACATGTGCTATAAAACCGACCAGCGTATCCTTTGCAGTCTGGGCGGACTTGTATCCGCCCTGGTCGGAATCATCCTCATCGTTGCGCTGCCTGAGGGTAACAACGTAGGCCGTCTGATTGGATACTACATGACCCAAGCCAGCCCAACAGCCTTTGTAGCTCTTTTGTCGATGATCTCCTCCAACGTGGCGGGATATACCAAGAAAACCACGGTTGCCGCCATGTACCTGATCGGGTACTGTGTTGGGAACATTATCGGTGAGCCAAACTATGCCCAGTCCGTCCTAGCTGCACTCTAACTTAGCTTGCCAAGGCCCCCAAACCTTCCGTCCGAAAGATGCCCCGCGCTACGTCCCCGCTGAAATCACCATCATCGTTTGCCTGGCCGTGTCCATCGGCATCATGTGCTTCATCTTATGGTGGTATCGTAAGGAGAATGCTCGTAAAGCTGTAATCCAGTCTCGTCCTGACTACGTACGACTGGCAAATCAGGAGTCAGTTGCCTAATTTTCTTTTTCTTTTTTTTCCCCTTGGTTTGGGCTCAGGACGCACGCTAACCTCCAAATTTTGCAGGTGGCTCGATCTCACGGATCGGGAGAATCCTGACTTCATTTATTCGCTCTGAAAGCCGACTCTAGGATTGATTTTTTATTTTTTATTTTTTTTTCGCTCCGAGCTCCGAAGACCTGTATATAAGCTTATGTTGAATGATGAATGTTGAATGTTGACTGCATCTCACGTTTCATCTGTGCACGTTGTAACCTTCTCGAACCCTGATTCTTTGTCTGGTAATAGCGTTATTTGGGGTACAAGGCCCTGGAGACCCAGACCTTTGGCGGCTAATCAAGCTCCTTCGTATCTACTCGCACCTAGTCGCTTTATGAGTATTGAAAATAACCTCGAGAATCAAATGATCGGCGTCAACCCACGCGTGAAGTATTTGTGATGTTGGCCCCACCTCAAGGGGTCTCATGTAGCGCCGGACAGGACCTTGTGGTGACCTGTGATGCTGCCACACGGCGAGAACCGGCATGGGATACACCAATAAGCGCCAGACCTGGAACACAAACCCAACCCCTGCATTGTACTGCAGGGACACGGTCTGTGGGCGATAGAGGGTGATCCAGACCGTGCGTCCACGGTGACTTCCCCACTCTCCCCGCTAAAACCTCCCAGGAAATTTCAATGAGAAGCGGTGTAGCACTTTAAAAATGACATGCCCACCATTTTTCACCCCTGCCAGTCTCTGCTTTTGTCTATTAGATTATTCTCTCCTTTCTTTTTTTCTTTTCCCCGGAACCAGGTCATACCCGGTGAGGGCTCTCGGGGGAAGTATTGCCTCTGTATATAGATAGTGAACCACGGGTCCGACCTCCACACCATGGGACCTGCCCCTCACGTCCAGCCCTAGTTCGATTTTCCCAGTTTGGCTGCAGTTGGTGCCGAAAACAGTTTCAGAATGGCGTCGGTCACATGTCGTGGCGATCTTCACATGGATAAATTGGGTCCCTTGAACATCATCACCAAAATACAACCAACTGTCGAAATCTCCGAGAGATGCGTCGACTCAGGCTTGTCTCAGCCGTCTTCGCCTGAGATGGACACTCCAAAAATCAAGAGGATCGACCCGCCTAGTTACAGTCCAGAGTCACCCACGCACGCGGGGCCTCGTGCTTCCTCTGTGGCCAACTCGGCTCAGCATTCTCGGTCTGCATCTCGCAGCACGGCAAGGTCAAGACCGCCGAGTCGACATAGTTCATTTCATTCGACCAGACGGCCGGTTGTCACGGCTAGTATCGTCCCCGTTCCACCGCCAAGGACTACCGCGCATGAGAGAAGAGAGTCGCTGTTGGCTTTACACCGAGAGTCATGCCGTCTCTTCGAGGAGCAAGAATCGGCAGATAATATACGACCTACTCTGCAGCGGGCCCTCTCAACGACCTACCGCACCAGACGAGAGAGTCACACTTCATCCGATATAGGCTATTCAGCACCGCCCTCCCCGATCGCTTCATCCCAATCTAGTCGTCGGGACTACGAATACCGCGAGTCACTAGGCTCAGCCGCTGCGTCTCCTCCATTTTACCTAAGAGACCGCTCCAACACCCTTCCCAGCGGCACTTCCAGTGAACTCATCCACAGTCCCTCCGCCTCCTCCATGTACATCCCGCGACAGTGATGGAGTGGACATCAGACACCACCCGGCGACGCGAGTACGAGAAGATTGACCGCTCTACCCGTGGTGTCCGGGGACTCTGGCGCCGGGTCGCCCCACGCTGGTGCCACCGCGACTCGCGAGTGCCGTTCTTCGAGGAAGGGAAGACAGGTCGCGAAGGCAGCGTCCGTCGGTTCAGAATGGACTTGCCAGACGAGGAATCCAAGTCAGAGCGAGATCAATCCCAAGCACAGTTCCTTGATCTCCACAAGAACTCAGACGGATATGCACTTCGACGCTGGGCATATCGTCGATCGAAAAACTACTCCCAACTAGCACTCTCTCCATCTATACATCGCAATCTAAAAATGACACCATCATCCGACATCAGACACGACTAAATGATACCCGACGGATTTGCATTTGCATTGCATTGCGTGTGGCTTGCATTCTCATTCCTAAGCATGGCTACCGTTTTCCCTACCTGCTAATCATCCCACAGGCAGGGCTGGTCTCGTCTACTGATGAGACGCAATCATTTCATTTCCCGTTATTCCTATACCTGACTATTCTTTTTGTTTGCTTTTGCGTAATCATTGCATCGCGCACCGAGACTGAGATACCCCGTTGTCGAATTGAATTCGCTGTACATACGTGCGGACCTTTTCATTAACTATACTTTAGATTTCAGTCTATCGACTTTATCTGTTTGCTTCTTTTCTTATTGCCTATGTTGAAAATAATAGTACTGAGATCTCCATAGCATTCCGATATAATTGTGCGAAATAATGTTCCCTCTCCGGGTCTTTAACGTACACTGCAAATGAACCATGCCTCTCCCCCCTAACAACCAAGCAAGCCAAATTGGAATGCAAAGTTCTATTGCCTAAAGTTGAGCCCTATCGATAGATCTTAGAGTGCATTGTCAAGGATTTGGGCCGAGGGCATGCATGAGAATTGAGCCGCGGGTACAATACAACAACATACCTAAAGGGGCCATAATGTTGACAAAGGAAGTTCCCATTGCCAAAACGATTGGATGACATCCCCTAAAGACACAGCTCCTGTGTATCCTGTCAACTACATTCCACTTGCCTGGGATGCTTGAAGAACGTCAATAAAGAATGGTGAAAAGGAATCTTCGTGTCTGAGAGATGCGGGGTGGAACCGCCCTAACCGCAATAGACTAGAGCAAATCTACCTACCACCTGGGCTTGATTCCTGGCACATCATCTAACGAGAGCCAAACGAGAGAAGACTGAGCCCCAAGCGCCGAGATCTCGAGTCTCTGTCAAGTATGTCGTCGGCTTCTTTCTCGGGTCCTGTTTGCCCTGGGTCAATCTTGTGGAAGATGAAATTGGGTCGATGCCGTTCACTGGATCGCTTTACATTCAGAAGAAGATGCGATTGCTCAATGAGGCTAACAGCCTTGCAGAGATTGCTCGACGATGAAGATTGCAGTGTATACTACGATCTCGAATAGACATACTAATAGATTCCACAGCTGTGGGCGCATTGGCCATTATATTGTGGTGATTGCTTGTTTCCCAGACGGAATGACCGGCACCAACACAGCAGGTACGACGAACGACAGTTAGCTCCGTGGCTTCTTCAAGATCCACCCGGACTGGTCGGCAATTGACGGCGCAGTATCTAGGTCCCTGAATACCAGGGAGCAAACAAAAAACATCCGTCTTCGAATTTGATTACTCCGCCACGAAAAGATGATGACATATTCATAAAATGCCTCACCTGGGTAAGTCATACTCATTCACATATATAGTTGAAACACTCTGACGTATTATTTCAGCAAGCGGTGTCATCTAGTACATTTCTGACAAGGCCATCAGATTGGTTTAATTTGCCAAGGTGCATAGAAGCTATTAGTGCCAGACCCCGGTCGTGGCATCAGCGCTGACACAGTGTGATTTCGGAATATTTACTTCAAGTCCAAAGCAAGCACGGATGTCCATAAGTCCAAATTCCGCCCTCTCGAGCATGATCAGCTCTTCCGAACAACCTGTCCGCATGTCGAGGAATTTACGTGACGCGGACCCCGGATTGAAATATGTGATCAATCAGTGTCGGAATCCCTTTTGAGTCATCATGCAAGTCACAGCATCAACATGGACTTCAGCGAACGGTCAGTCCTTGATTCACGAGATTTTTGCTTGATTTCCATCAATGCACAACCGAGATGCGGTTACGGTCACGCGGCGTATTATGACTTGGCTATGTCTTGACGCGGCTGAAGAAGCGGAACAATCACGCATGAACCATCCCTACAACCGCAATGACGTTATCGGATTTCTTAAAACTGCTTTTTATGAGATTCTATCTGTTTGGCCGAATCACCTTGGCTGGCACCGACCAATCCCTCATTGCTTGATTGACGGGTAGGAGTCCCAAATATAGGGTGTTTTCATCGCCTTTTGCACTATCACTCGAATGGGCCGGCAAAGATCCGAACCGCCAATCCTCTTATTAAAGACAGGGGCTCATATTCTGAATGCGGACTACTTTAAAAGGAGCTAGTGACCTCTTCAGACCCAGAAGGTAAAAGTGGCTCCTCCCCGAGCAGGTCGAATCGGCAATCTTCCAGCTTTACCAATACAAGTTTGGCACGATTCCCACAAGACCAACGACCAGCTTGTCATCGTAAGTATCAGTAACATATGATCCCTTCTACCGGTACATTAGACTCGCTTTCTCGGAATCCTTATGCAGGGACTTCCCACATGGTGGACCGCTAGGTTCTCACTGCTGCACAACAAAAGCACAACAACGAGGCATCATGCCCACAACATTGCTAGCATGGGCTGAGCTGAACCACTTGTTCACAGTGGATCAAGCGGCTGCAGCCACGAAAGCTGGATACATCATCAAGCCAATCCGCAAGGGCCGAAGCGAGGGCATCATGTTCGGCGAGGATCAGACGACTGCCGATTCGCACGAGCTGATATCCACCATTGCTAGAGGAGGACGCTACAGCAAGCTTCCCGAGTATGTCGTGCAGCCTTTGATCCACCAGCTTTTGTCACAACACTTGCAGATGTTCGGCCAACACTGCCGAGGCCATGTTGTCGAGATCTGCCACATTGCACATGGCGTTCTCATAGGGCTAAGAGTGTGGCATGCAGGTTCTGCGAGAGTCTTCAAGTATCCAAGTTCACAAAGACTGAGTAATGGTTCCGGCTGATTCTCTGTTAAGGGTCCTGGGTTCTTAACTTGATTGCTACAGCCGACAGGGAACTGAAATGGTCTACATGACTGGCTAATGACTGTAAAGGTCACCAGAAATATCAAGTCAGCTTCCACGATACGAAATAAAGTGAATATAATAACTATTGTATGAAAGTTGGGTGGCATTACCTGCGTCGACGATGATCGCCATCGCACCGCAGCATTCGCCCCCACCTTCAGCTCTACGTAATTACCAATGCTGTCCATCATCTTGACGAGTCTCTGTTTGGCAGCTGTAAGCCGAAACTCTCCTCGTCGGTCCAGGTTCAATTTCAATCAATCCTGCCTGAGAATGGGATCCTCGTCAAGATCATCCCAAAACTCCACGAGATGATTTGTGGACGAATTTCACTCCATCCGTAAAAGGCAAGTAAGAACACCACAAGCCTAGGTGACTGGACAACTCCACCAAGCTCAGAAGCAGAATTTTCAGATACTGATGATCATGTTCACATCCTGGAATTAGTCTGAAAGTGACAGCTACACGACGTCAATGCCAAATTCATCTTTGTGTGTCATTCATGTTACACCCCACTACACAGTTAGATCGGCGTCATGTTAAGTCGGTACGAGATCGAGACCAACTATTCTAAAAGCCAGTCTCCCGGAATATAGTGAATGCAGTCAGGCTTGAATGGCTCTCAAAGTCATCTTAGTCAACTGTCCTGCGATAAACATCCGGTCATTTTAAGGATGTATTTGTCAATTCAGCTGCGGGTCGTCATAGCATGACCGGGCGCAGCTGATCGGCGTACCGGATGAGGGGCGACCTGGCCCTAGGTTCGTATTCGACGAATGCCCCGGGGAGCAGGGACAAATGCAGAAAAGATTCAAATTTGAATTTATTCTGAAAATTCTTTGGCAGCAGTCCCATGTACGCACGCATTGCATTGCAGGAAACCGGGGCGTCAATACTTTCCCGTATTACCATAAGCACTAATAGCAGCCAAAGCACTCGGATTCCGCATTTGGGAAGTCATGACTCGCAACTAAATGCAAAACCGTCGTGCCTCGTAACGAATGCGAATTCTCGGATTTTCGATGCGGAATTCCACCCCTTGCCTTGCGGGTCGGCTGAACATGGGGTGGATAAATCACCCAGCAGTCGGCAGGCGAGTCGGCAAATTTAAGCAGAACACAGGTTCCCCGGTGAGAAAATATTCTTACACTGAGAGAGCAACAAAGTGCTGACTGCCAAGGGACACAAGAATTAGAGGAGTGGTGCCATTGTCATTTACGCAAGGTTGCCTTGATTTGTGATGCCGCATCAATGCTCCAGTTCACGTCAAGCGCAGAGTCTAATTGTGTGGACACGTTGCCACCGAGGGTTCATTCAGCATAATCTTGCATACGAAAGGGTGTCATTCTCCAATGGAATTGCGGATACTTGGTATATTCCTGACTTACGTTGCGACATTACGTGCCAAATTGGGAAGTTTGCAGATGGACCCATCAATGGCAGGCCGATCAGTGTCCACTATTGCGAGTCGAGAACCTAGAATATGGGCATTCGCGCCATGTGCCGAGATTCAAATCTCGATATTCTCAGGACCGGGGATCCGCCCTGGAGTTAGTTTACCCGGGGAGACTGGAAATAGATCTTCAGCTAGTTTTGACTAGAGTGTATCGTAATAGTAAGGAATTATAGCAATGAAATGACACCTGCAAAAATAATCCGCAGTTATGAAGTGTCGTATATTCGAACCCAGCCCTCACCTGAGACGTATATGTCGGTTACTGTACGACTGGATTTGGAATCTTTGCTTGACCGGTGGCAGTATGGACAGATTCAAGCATGCTAGTGTAGTGACAAGAGCCGGAGTTTGGAACGGACGGTGGATCCGGAGGAGTCTCAGATTCAGCTCACCACTTTTTCCACATCTTCCATCTGACGCCCGCCTATTATTTCCCTCCTCCCGGCTCTTCAGGCCGAGTGGAGAGTGGGGGGCGCTAAAACTGTCGGTACAAACCTGTTCACTCGCTGCCCGCTCCACCGGACCCACCGTGCTACTGCACTTCACCTTTTGGACGAGGCCGATGGAAACAGTCGCAACGCCTCTCAGACGGACTTCTCCGGATCTAGTGTTGACAGGTGTTATCGTGAATGCGCATGCTTCACCTTGCGCCTCTAAGAAAGGGCTGCTGCACGGCTGCCGCAGAGTTTGGCGGGTTGTCCGAATATGCCATCGTTCGCACGGTTATTTCCGTCAACCAAAGGGAGCTATGCCGGGGGTTGATCTCGGGAGAAGCGGGAGCTAGTGGATACCTTTGCGTCAGATTATCCTCCATGGTTCATACATCATGTCACGATCGCCGATGGCTGGACCCAGGCATCCAACCCCGCGCGAACTGTGACTGCCATGATTGAGACGTGATCAGACGGGTCAGTGCCCATGCCAATCGATCAGCGATTCGTCCAGCATTGTCCACTAAGTGTTCCGAGAGCTCGCGACAATTGGCTACCATCGCTATGGTCCATAGCTCCGGCGAGCTCCTGGAGACACAAGGCTACGAGACACTACAGCACAAAATAGAGCAGAATTGCCAGCCAGCCATAATTCTGCACGGTTCACGTATCGGTATTCATGAAATATATCCTTTGACACAGCCTACCAGGCTTATGGTGGAAGGGCGGCCTTTGTGCACCTCAGCGGTGACTCCGAAAATTGGCTAGTCAATGCTTTTACCTGTGATATTTTTCTACTTAGCTTGAGTGGGCCTAATCTTGCCGCTTGTTCGAGCCGGCTACCAAATTATTTTGGGTCCATGAAGCTAAAGTGGATAGCCGAATGCTTGCCTATTGTCACAACAGTACGTCCTTTTCTGCATTGCTCCACGTTGGCCTCTCCACGTTCACGTCCGCCAGACTGGAATACGGGAGAATTACCACCAGTAGACGCCACTTGCTTATCGCGCACCTACCTGCAATTGCATTGCCTAAAAACTAAGATCCACCCTAGTGCGGGCGTAGCGGATGCGAGTTGAAGCCTTTAGAGATACTGAATGGAGGAACTGACGCCAGTTTGCCTACCCCCGGGAGTCTACTGCGTCTTCGGCCCACACCTGGTTGCCCTTAGCTTTGCTTTTGCAGCTGATCAACACAATACAGGCGGGAAGAGGTATTCTGAGTCCACAAAAGCTGAAGCTCATCTCCACTTCTCAATACTCATGCAGTAGTGAAGTTAAGTTCCATTACCACGACCATCGTCACCGGTCTTCGGTGTAAAGCGAAAAAAGAAATCAAAAAAATATTGGCAGAAATTCGTATTCCACCCTCGATTCTAGTACAAAAGCCTTCTTGCTCCCCCGACACACAACATTTCCCTCTTCTCTCCAGCTCCCATCTCCCATCTCCCATTTCATAATATCCATTCAGTGTGTTATACGCCTCTCTATAGTCTTATACCCGATAGAATTGCGGGTTTGCGTCGACTATTCTGTTGTTTTAAGAGCTGTTGCTCAGAGAAAGAAGCTATCTCCGAACCCACACCCCCTCCCCGCAAGATCTCTACACCTCCCAAGAGACATCCAGAACTGTCTACTGAAAACGTGACTCTCCCTGCCATTATAAACAAGAAGATCAGAACCAATTTGACCGAGTCCACACCTCTTATCACCAAAATGGCTCCCGGTCTCATCTCTCCCCTCCCAGGGAACCACACATCGTCTTTCTACTCCACAATGCCTGGTAACTCCCGACAGGTGTCCGGCATCTCTGCTATGTTCGACAACGACAGCATCTCGAACCATGGCCGCTCCAACCGCCGCGAATCTACCATGCCGCGGAAGTACAATGGAGCCGGGAATTCCCACATCACCAGTGTCGTACAGTCCCTTCACCGTCGTAGTGGTGATGAGCTTGGCGTTGACACATACGCCCTTCTGAACACCCGGTACCATGACATTCGTGATTGGATCCGGAACCAGCGTATGAGCCACCTGCCCGCCGAGGGAAGCAGCTATGACAAGGTGCTGGCCTGGGCACAATTGTTCATTGAGCGCCTGAACAAGTTCGATGAAAACATCCAAGGCTTTGCTGGAGATAGCTACCTTGCTGCACAGCTATCCTACGGTTACTGTTATCTACTGCTTCAGGTGCGTTCACAATCAGTCTAAGGGATTCAATTGGTCGCATACTGATGAGGTCTTATAGCTTGGCAAAGAGAACGCTCCGGCGCTGATGGTCTCCTTTGGCTTCTTCTACAGCACTTCTTCCACTCTGGTTAACCTCCTTGACCGGACCGAGCTGTTCGATGTCTCCCAAGATATCAAAGAGCAGCTGATCCTGGCTCTAGCCGACCTGGTTACCCTGGTCGCTAGCGTGTCCACCCACTTCCACCAAGCCATCAGTGGTCTGACTGATGCTGAGGTAACTGTCAATATCTATGACACCTTCCCCGGCCAGATCCAGAGCTTTAAGGATCGCTGCTCGAAGATTTCGGAGACTATGTGGCGCCACCAGCTCGCCAAGGAAAACATTGACACCGAGAAAGGTAAGCCTATCCAGATGCATCCCGACAACTCCAGTTGCTGATCTGAAATGTTTGAAGTTTCTGTGGTGAAGTCCGTTCGTGGCTGGCTCTCCCTGAAGACCGTGTTCTCAACCACCTCGCCGAGAACTCCTCTCACCTTGCTCATGAGCGTGAGGAGTTGACCTGCTTGTGGATGGGACATTATCTGACCCGCTTCCTGAAAGACAAGAAGCAGCATACATTGTCCTTCCATGGAAAGCCTGGCTCTGGAAAGACCGTCCTGGCATCCGTCATTGTTGACCGTCTCCAGGACCAGATTGGTGGCTACACCTACAAGAGTCTGTTTGTCCCCATTAATGCCCGCATCCCGGCGAGACTACTGCCATCTCAATTACGAAGACTATCCTTCACCAGCTCTTTGAGAAGCGCATTGGAAACATCCAGCTTTTGCATATCCTGGGCGAGGCCTTCGAACGTAGTCGCAAGACTACTGATGTCGCCGAGTACGAGACCATTTTGTGGACCGCTTTGCAGCGCTCTTTGGCGGCCGCTCTCCCGGGTGCTAAGGACTTGGTCATCGTTGTTGATGGTCTTGACGAATCCACCTGCAGTGAATCTACTCTGTTCAAGAAGCTCACTGCCGCCACTGTGGGTGGTACCAATGTGAAGCTGATCACCCTCGGTGCTGAGAAGCAGACTGGCGACGGGATCCAAACTATTCCAATCAGTGAGGAGCGTATCTACGATGATGTCTCTATTGTTGTGCGCTCCAACTTCCAGAAGCATAGCCAGATCTTCCGGGATTTGAGTGAGTTTGAACAGGAGGCCGCCGTTGACCAGATCACCGAGGCTTCTCACGGTTCCTTCCAGTGGGCTAAACTTGCCACGAAGAAGGTTTGGGCAGAAAGTAGCCCCGAGAACTTCCACAAGACCCTCGAGACTATCTTCAAAAGCCCCCCAACCATCACCGACTTCGTAACTTCCGCTTTGTCTTCTCCAGAAGTTGTGGAGCAGGCTAAGCTGATGCTTCTGTGGCTTGCTACTTCCGATCGCCCGCTGATGATCAAGGAGCTCACCACCCTTGCCAACATTAATGTGGAGAAGCAGACTGTGCTGAACGAGAAGGTTGAGCCACTGAAGGTCCTTCGGCCTTTGTCTTCCCTTATCTTCGTTCAAGACGGCCAGGTGTATCTCCGACACGCGCTGATCCGCACTGCCGTGTTGGATATCTTCCACAAGGGCAAGCTTGTGCCGACTATCAAGGATCGCCACCATGACTTCGTCACCCGCCTGTTTGTTTACATCAAGAGCACTATCAACGAGCAGCACTCTCCTTCGCTGACTCCTTTGGACCCTCACGATACTAGCTTGTTGGTACAGAGAAGTCCTCTGCTTGACTTCGCTGTTCGTTACTGGCCTTACCACCTGACCCAAACCACTACCTACACCACTGGTGGCGAAGGCCCTACCGCCAAAGAGTTCAGCAAGATATTCCCTGTCTCTATCACTCTGCTGTTGCTCCAAAACACTCTTTGGCAAAACATCTCTACCCCGACGCTGTTGACTTTCCAGACCACTGTTACCAACATGTGCCGCCATATCCTGACCCCCAACAACGTTGTGACTCTACAGTCGCTCATTACTCTGGCTATTTTGCGTCGTGATATTAACAGGGTCCCTGAGGCCGTCCCTCTCTTCTATGAGATCGTCACTCTTAGCAACACTTTGCTTACCACTAAGCACATTGTGACTATGCAGATGGCCACTATGTTCCTCGAGATCACCACTGAGCAGATTACCAGTAGCAAGACTGAGATCATGATCAAGCGCGAGGAGATTTTCCTAGTCTTGATCGAGACCTACAAGGTACACTACGGTGCTACCTCCGAGAAGGTTGTGACGACTCTTCGCGCTCTCATCGAGCACTATCGCTTGACTAAGGAGGAGAAGAAGATCCAGCAAATTATGATCCAGATCCAGACGATCACTGGCCAGTACGCGGGCGAAGACAACGACAACCGCGATCTCCACGTCCACCTTAAGCGCCACAAGCACCGTGGTGAGGGCGGTATCAGCTTCGTATTCGATGTTGAGGAGGATGAGTTTACCAGCGACGCCTTCGACTATGAGGCTCTGGTCAGGCTTGCTCAACAATATACCTCCGAGCGCCGGATCACCGAGGCCGAGCGGATCTACGTCGAGATCTGGCAGCGCGCCAGCAAGGAGTGCCGTACCCAGTACTCCGAGCATTGGGAGCAGATCAAGCTGAAGGCTGTCGTGGTCTACACTCAATTCCTTCAGACTCAGAAGCGTGAGACTGAGGCCTCCTCTATCCTGTCTTCCGTCTACGAGGAGTACCGCTCTTCAACCACGACTGTCACTGAGAGCACTGCTTCCCACTTCCACCAGATCGCGAAGATCATGACTGCTGTGGGAATGTCTGCTGCTGCTCTGACCATCTTCAAGAAGGTACAGCACCATTACCAGAGCACTAACAGCACTCAATCGTCTTCCTACTCCGAGGTCCAGCAGATGATCCAGCAAACTCAGCAACATGTCATGCAGTCGGCAAGCTCCTCTTCTTCCTCAACTGTGTCTGAGTCCGTTCTGGAGGAGATTGTCTACGAGGCCTCTAGCTCTAGCTCCAGCATGAGTCAGAGCTCGTTCACAGCCACATACACTCTGGTCGAGCTCTACGTTGGCCAGCACCGTTGGAAGGATGCTACCCGTGTTGTCAAGAAGGTCCTCCAAAGCCTCTGGCCCTCGCTGTTTGCTCCCTCTATCCAGGACGTTGTTCTGCCTACTCAACACGTTGAGAAGTGTATTGAACTTGCTGAGCGCTTCAGTCAGTGCTACCACTACCGCCGTCGCTTTGCTCGCGAAGAGAACATTCGTATTCGCGTCTACCATGCCGTCCGTGCTGCTAAGCCCGTCGATGATAAGATCCGTGAGCGCGTCACCGCCGAGCTGGTGCATTTCTACGAGCGCTCCTCCCAACTCGACCGCGTCATCAGCACCCGCCAAGAGATTCTCGAGGACTACATCAAGCATTATGGCCCAGAGCACCCCACTGTCATCAAGACTTTGTGGACCCTGGCTAAACTCACCCACCCTCGTCCTATCTCCGTGGAGTACTACCAGCGCATCATACGGGCCCTGAACAAAGACTCACCTCACTGCCACCCCGATGCCATCGAGCCTCTGATCATTGTCTTGACCGAGCTCTTCAACCAGAGCCGCTACACTGATGCCGTGCCCTACTACTCGCTATTGTTCACTACGTGGTTGCACGACCCGAAGAAGAGCCCCAAATTCCAGGACACCACGTTCGTTCTGGACTTCTTCACAAAGTATACTCAGTGCCTCCGCAGCGTTCGCACTGAGTACACTGTCATCCACAAGGTCACCACTGACTTCCAGTCCAAGGTCAAGGTGGTGTTCGGTGCTACCGCTTCGATCACCATTCAGGCTACCCTGACTCTCGCCAAAGTGTGCCAGGAGTCCAAGCGCTACGAGTCCATTGCTATCTCTCTCTACGAGGAGCTCCTTAAGATCGAGACTGATGAATTCGACCACGAGGAGATTCGGGCCACTCTTGATGGTATCTATGAAGAGCAGACTTCTATTGCCATCAAATCCGACTCGGTGTCCGAGGAGATGGTCTCCCGTGCTTCCAAGATCCTGCGTAAGCGTGTTACCACCATCCGCGAGCAGCACGGCTGGGCCCATGAGGAGTCCTTGTCTCAGTTGACTGAGATGGTGAACTTCCATTACAAGCATAGCAAGATTGAATCCGTGCTTGAGGAGCTCAAGCAGTCCACTGTGCACATCCTGTCCTCGGAGACTTCGTCGGTCGCCTTGGCTGCCGCTGCTGTCACCATTGCCAGTAGCTACATTGCCACCAACCAGGTCTCTAAAGCCACTGAGCTGTCCCAAGAGCTTTATCGCCAGGTGATCATGAAGGATACCACCAGGGTCAAGGAGTCCCAATTTGACCTTACTACCAAGGGTCGTCAGAGTCTGATCTTCCTTGCCCAGCTTGAGCATAGCCTTCGCCGCAGTACCTCGACCATCACCGAGATCCTGGCGTCGCTGACCACTGAGTATGTGTACTTCGAGGAGTTCCGCAGCCAGACTGTCTCGAAGACCAGCACCTTCCAGTCGGTATCTTTGTCTGCTTCTCGCTTGTACCACTTCCTGCTCCGCAGCAACCGACACAGCGTTGCTACCCGCGTCTTCGATAACTACGTTGCCTACTTCATTAGCACTGAGGGTGAGCGTATTAAGTTGACCGAAACCGCTCAAGTCAAGATCCTCCTGGTGACCATCCTGGACCATTTCAACACTCACCAGTCCTCAAACTTCGTGCGCTCGGTCGGTATCGCCGCCAACTACCGTGTTCTCAACCTTCTCGAGAAGAAGAGCTACGACCACGCTGCCGATCTCGCGATCGCTGCTTTCCGCTATATCTCCGCCCACGATGTCTACCGCACCCCTGCCATTGTCAAATTCGTCTTCACCCTGGGTGTCTTCGTCACCGGCCGTACCCTCAGCACTAAGCCTGATGCCGCCGCCCAGAAGAAGCTCGATGGCGTCTCCGCTGTTATCATTCGGGAGGTGCTCCGCACCATCGGCGATCTAAAGATCAATCTCGCCCAGATCGACCTGACCTACCTAAACATCTTGATCGGTCTCCTCGGAGAGCAAAAAGACTACAAGAACCTCGTCTGGCTCCTGTCTAGTCTCTGGAACAGCCGCAACCAGCAGGCCAATTGGTCCCCTGCCATCACCATCCAACTCGCTCGCCGCTATATCTTGGCTCGCTACATGGTCGGTGACGCCCTCAAGGCCTCCCGTCTCGCGGAAGACATCGTGTACAACTGCCGCCGCGTCAACGGCGCCCGTCACCACAGCACCCTGGAGATGTCCACCCTGCTGACCCAACTGTACACCGGTATTGCCCAGCAGTACCAGTCCAGTAAGGGCGGCCAGCACATGGCCAACAAGTACTACAAGAAGTCCGCCGCTGTGCATGAGAACCTTCTCCGTGTCTTCGTCGACTCTGACTTTGAGGACTTCGAAGATCGCCTTGATAGCTCCTTCAGCATGGATGGGTCTGCCGTCGACATTGACCTCGCCGACTCCTCTAACGGCCTCTCCTCGATTTCCGAGGGTGAGCACGTCCGCCAGCACCTGCAGCTCCTCAAGCTGTCTGTCCAACGTCTTGGTGATTGGCCCAAGGACTACGCTGAGTATGAGCGTCTGAATGCCGAACTCTTCTCTGAATTTAAGCAGGAGCTTTCTGGTGTCGAGGGAGTGGAGAAGTGGAACTTGAAAAGTTTTGGCTCCGGCAAGGCTGCTTCCGACAAGGATACTTTCAAGCTGGACTTTAGCTCTTGGGAGCTTGAGCTCCAGCCCACCGAGGAGGTCGAGGAGGAACTGTGAAAAGTGTCTGAATTTGCTTCATAAGAACAATTTGTCTGAGATGGGAGTCTACTGGGCAAAATTGTCTCTTTTATTGATGAATTGTCTATATAGCGTTTCTGTAAAATTTGCTCTGAATATCTTGATTTACTAAGGATTACATATTCTCGTTTAATTTCTATCTTTTCTGATTGTATTGGTACCTCCCAATGATTATGCTCTAATAGTACCTGGCCTAAACCTTTGAACAGTCATGTGTCACTGGAGCTGGTTAAGGGCAGTGAACGGCCAGGCTTTCTGTAGGAACTCAATTCCTGGAGCTTACTAGATAGTGATGCTCGCAGCTTCTCCATCTCCGGGAACAAGACGATCGCTCATCACTAAAATGTAGGTGTATTGATCCGTTAGATGCCGAAGTACACGTTCAACGAGATGGTTGACTGCGCTCCACTCATCTGTCAAATGGCGCTCTGCTTTACCTGAGCCTTGAAAATTGTATGGCCTTGTGATCAGTCTCGTCCGCAGCTTCGACACCGCCGCTTATACTATTCAATCATAAGCAGAGAAACAGACACTTGCAGAACAGGGAGCCAACATTCAGGATGAATGTTTTTCATGTCAAGGTCGCTGTAAGACCTGTGGATCTTTCATTCCGACGACGGTCTCAAGACAGGTAAATACGAAGTACCAGGCATGAGCCTATTGCGGTAGCTCGCATTTCTTGTAGGGAGTTTGAGGAAATACCTGGTGTCGGTGGACTCGCCCCCGATGTTCCTGGTGGTGGTAGTAAATTGTTTCAGTCGACCACGCCGCAGGCTCTAGATGAATTTTATGCAGCTTTGTTTCTCATAGTCTTGTTGAGTGTTGCTTTGGTCCAATGGCCATTGTTCGACGGGAGATAATCATGGATGGCCAAAGTTTGATTATTGTTACAGAGAAAGATTCATAAAGACAAAACATCGTTATTTCCTCGGGACGCCAGGCCGACAGATAATGCATAGAGCGCCGGGTATATCAAAACAAGACCACAAAATGCTTTTGGAGAATAGCTTTTTTCCGTAGCCATCTACACTCACAGGAGATCAAAGTCATCCAGCTTCTGCTGGTAGCGCATAATGTTGCGCTTGATCTTGCTAGAGTCGACCCATGTGAGGAAGTCTTCCATGTTCCGCGACACCAGGAATGCTGGGTCGGTGACAACCTCAGTTCCGACACGAATGTGCCCCTGCTCGATGAACGTGGCCGCAGCCTTGATAGTTTCGACCATGCCAGTGCGAACCATCAAAACGGCCAATCTGCGTCGGCAAAATGCAGAGACCGTAACCTCGCGCTCGACTTTGGACAATCCCGCACCCTGTTCGCGCGACTGCTTCAAAATACCCATGCGCCACAATTTATCCAGCATTTCTGATTCCATCTTCTTGCGAACAGGGTCGGAGTCTGGGTCGAGCTGAGAGAGCTTGTGGGCCAGCGAGCGAAGGGAACCGCAGAGAGCATTGTATTTGCGGTAGTCCATGGGATCTTGGAGAAGGTACCGTTGGCGGATGGTGTGCTCGCGGTGGTTGCCATCGGATTTGTACGTGTGAAAGTCGACCTTCCGGAGAAGTCTATTTCGAGGTTAGAGATTGTTTTTTTAGGTTTGCAAGATTGAACGCAGTAGACGCCGCGTGCGCGCGGATTGATGGAACTCACTTCTTCTCGTGATGCTTGAGTTCGCGAACCATCTTGACAGATTCGCCTCAGTTAAGAAATGAGAGATGTCGGCAAGCTTGCAACGTGTAGGACAAGTCGTGAAAAAAGACGGCGATAACGAAATTTGTTATCTGGGCGGTGTCATTCTGCCGTGCAGCGATCTGAATCACGTGATCGCAACTTGACCGAGAGTTAGCGACAGCGAAACGCCATTCATCTCGAAGTATATTTTATCTACATTGAAATAAGGGATGATTTGATTGCCATTATACTCAGTATACTGAACTAGATCAAGAAAGTTGGTGCGGTCGATTTGGGAGATGCAAGTGAATACTTTAGGTCGAACACAAGAAATCCTCAAGTAACATGGATCCTAAGCTACAACCCTAATCCTCGACTTCAGAGTTTCTGGACCAGAAACCAAGGACACATCTCAGACATTGCCTAATATCGCCTAGAAAGCTAAACTGAGCCCAAGACCAAGAGACTAATCACGACCTCCCTCATCAGGGTTCCAAGTGGCCTTCCAGTCCACAGCGAGGAACGGCCATCCAACGAGCCCATTGGTGAATTGAGTGTTACCTTCGATCTCCTTTGCATTCGCCTTCAGCTCATCGATATCCCAGTTTGCCCACAAGAACTTGCTCTTCAAGAATTGCGCTTCGGGACTCGCAAGCCAGACACAAAAATGAGCAGGCAGAGAAACTAAACCGAGATCAGCTTAAGAAAGAATGTCCCTCGGCTACAATGATACTCACCATGGTCTTCGATGCCAGTAGCTTTGACACCCCTCGCTTCTCTATTCATGTCAGTGTCCACGATCCCAGGCTGGAGATGGAAGATGCGAAGATTAGGATTCCCGAAAGCCAGGCAATCCCAAAGCCGGTATACCGCCAGCTTGGCGACCGTGGTACGCCGCAAACCCATCGGCGAAATTCACATGTGCAGCACTCGAGTTGATATCAATAGCTACTACATGTTCGGATGCATGGCGAAGAAAGGGTTGCGCGACAAACAAAGCTCCTTCAAGATTCTGCTGAACAGCTTCGAGGAGCCTCGCGCTATCCACATCCTTCACAGAACCCATGGGACCAATTGTAGCCGCGCCGCTGACCAGGATATCGATGGTCTTCTGGCTAGCAAAGTTTGAAAATGCGACATCCACTTGGCTCTGATCGGTGACATCAGTCGAAGCAACGTGTACTTCGACATTCGGGAACTTCTCTTCGATAGAGGCTTTGGTCGCCAAGAGGGGCTTTTCCCGGCGGCCAAGAAGAGCAATTCGAGAAGCAGCGGCCGAAGCAAAAGCCATAGCCGTCTCTGCACCTATGCCCGTGCCGCCTCCAGTCACAAGCACCGCCTTGCCTTGAGCAGAAAGTTCCGGGCGGGTGGGAGAAATCGATGGGTAGCTGTCTGAGTGCCATGTTGGAGTTGGGGATGGAAAAGGCGCCATACTGAATGTCAGAGGGGTAAATGGGATCTATCAACTGTTCTTTGAAATACAATGAAGTGATGATTGCGATGAGAATATTGCACAGACCGGCAGATGGCCATAGTTAAATATTGATCAGAAACCATCTGGGACACAATCTCGGAGTTGTGCAATTTGAAGAGATAGCATATGATCCTATCAAATGTTACCATAGGATCTTGAAATGCAAATAACTCATTCCAATGGTAATATTGATTAAATGAGAGTGTTTTTAGGCATGACGACAGGCGTGTCCTCCATGCTTTGGCAACTACAAAATGTCCCGCCCCGAGCTGACAAATTCTACCTACTTCAACCATCCGAATCAAGTAGCCCGAGACCTTCTTACTTCACCTGCAAAGCTTTTACATAGTTTGAATCCAGGTTGACATGTCCGAAAAAGAAAATCCCCCCCGAGCCTGTTCTTCGGTGCGGAGATTGCAACAAGCCGTTCGATAAGGGTGAGTGTTACTTCCCGCAAGTACTTTGCAATGCCGAGTCACTAATGGGTGTCGTTTAAGAATCCACTTTGAAGAGGCACGGATACTACTGTCGGTCTCGACAAAGTGGTGGGATTACCAAGCCTCACTCATGCATCTCTTGTGCCAACCGGAAACTACGATGCGACAAGACGCAGCCTAGATGTTCCAGGTGCAAATCCAAGGACATTGAATGTCATTACATCGCAAGACTGGCCAAAATTCCAAGGAAAAACAATCAAACCACTAAAGAAGCGGCAATTAAGTTCGGAAACGCAGGGAACCGATCCCCTACAACTCCTTCGAGCCTCAGAAATTACATCGAAACAAGTAACAATGATACTTCAGGTAGTGACACCGCGCTTGTCACACCAACAAATTCCGCGGGCATTGACGCAGGTCTTATAGACTGGAACCCGGAAATAGACATTGAAGAAATTTTAAACTCGGAAGTCTATGAGAATGTCCCAGGACAACCATCGCATGCATGGTCGTTGACTGATCACGGAATGTCGACGTGCAAGATCGACCAAATATGGACCCCGAATTGGTCTCTACCACAGCAACCAACGTCAAACCCACGGATCTTGAGAATGCGATTAGATTCAAGGCCCGGGTATCAAAGGACCACCACTCTCATCCTGCACACTCTGAAGTCATACATTCTAACGATGTTACGGAATAATTCACTGCCACCATTCATTCACCCCACTTTTACATCAGCTGCTTTCGATATGGAGCCACTGGATAATTGTCTCAACCTGGTACATATGATCAGTAGTGGAATGAAAGGGAGTCGAAAGCTGTTCTGGAGTAATGTAGGTGTAGAATGTGGGCGCCTGCGCTGTGAGGTAAGTTGAAACTCTGCCTACGTAAAAAAAGGTACGCTAAACCTGCAATAGCCTTGGAAACTTTCGAATTGGGAACTCCTCGCTGCTTTGCAAGCCATGTCGATTTATGTTCTTATCAAGTTGGATGAGGGGGAGACAGAGCACAATGACTTTGATTCATTGTTAATTGGTACCATCATAGTAAGTCCATTGCTTATTTCCGCTCTTGTCTTGAGTTAATGATGAAAATGAAGATACTGGCGCAACAAATTACTCACAACGACATCGCATGCCACTATCGTGTGGATCAGAGCTGGAAAGACTGGCTCTATGAGGAGTCGAGACGAAGATTATCGGTAGTTTATCGAGTCGTCAACATGCTAGTTGATTTCGAGCCTGCCGCATTGTGTGATCTGCCTGAGGACTTGGTCTTAGCTCCACTGCCAGCTAAGAAGGAGCTTTGGGAAGCGAGTAATGAAAGTGTTTGGGTTTAAGAGAGTGAGAATGAGCGAGAGGCGAGTAGTGACTTTGGGTTAGCGAAGAGTGGTGAGCTCGTGAGGCTTGGCGGGGATGGTAAGACTATATTGGTTCACATAGCTATCACATCCGAAAGTCCTCCAAGAGCTAGTGCGAGCTGGGAAGAGTGGTGTTCTGGGATGGATGGGTTTGGTGGCCTTGTGATGCTTGCTGCTTTTTTGGTCGGGTAACTGCGTGCCGTTAAGCTAGGGTAATTGAGACCTTAATGATCTTCCACATCGTAATATTTTAGACTCAGATTACATGAGCTTAGATTAGAAGTATGTTTCGCATTAAGGTTTACCTGATTCCGAAAGCTACTGTAATATGAATTCATAAAAGAGTCAAAGTTTTATTAGAAATTGCAAGTAGTTTCATGAGTCATATCGGGCATGCTGGCGAGGGGTCGTAAATGTAAATGCAAGAATAACAATGCAAAAAATAAGGAAATTCATTGAATCATGATTCACCCACGACAAGTCGGCTGGTCTGAGCGATCTTTTCACTCAGGCTAAAAATGTTCTGCGCACCCATAATGTCCAGTAGAGAGACTTCGGCTTTCAGCTCTTTAACGATCCAAGAGCGGAATTCCATTGCGACCAGTGAGTCAATATTTCCGAATCCGAACCTTTGTGGGTCGAGCTCTGTTGTTGGGATGGCTAGTAGGGAAGACAGTCGTTCAACAAGGCCGTTTGAGACAATGGCTATGGCGTCTTCTTTGCTGGATGCTGCAGTAAGAAGTGCAGCCGTGCTGATAGTCTTTTGTGTCCCTTTTTCACTCTTTTTGGCGATAGTTGTTGTCCGAAGATGCGTGAATAGAGCATAGTTGAGATATTTCGGTGATGGAATGCCGTTTTTCTCGCACATCTGAGCGGTTGGGAGACCAAGAACCAATTGTGACTGAGAAGGGGCATTTGATTCTGCCGTCTCGTGTCTGGAATTGATCAAGAACTCAATTGCGGCATGTACCTCGTCCTCACGCAAGAGTTCGAATAATACTGCGGTGTTCGTGGGCATCGAGTTTCGATTCTCCGCAACCCATCCGACACTTGAGACACTACCCAGGTTGATACTGGATGCTTTCAAGCCTTTGGAAGTACGAAATGCGGCCAGTGCATCTTGGAAGGTGTTTCCGGCTGCGTAGTTGGCTTGACCACGGTTACCGAAGATGCCGGCAACCGACGACAACATCACGAAGAAGTCGAGACTTTCTGGAAGGGTTTGGTGCAGGTTCCACGAGCCTTGAACTTTGGGGCTGATTGTGGCTTTCCAATCATCGAACGACATGCTGGCAAAAGCACCGTCCTAAGAATAACGTTAGCAAGGACTATGAATCGGAAGACTTGATCGACTTACTCGTAAGACCATAGACCCCTGAAAACACCCTTTAATTGGCGGCAATGTAGTCAAACACTCATCGACAACAGCGCGGAGACGATCTGCATCAGCAACGTCACAGGCAAAAATATGAGTGTTGCAACCAAAAGTCTCCAGGTCTGCAATCATCCCTTCGACCGGCTCCGTCACAATTCCAGTTCGTGAGAGGAAAATGAGATTCTTTGCACCACGGGAAGCCATCCAACGAGCCAGGCTGCGTCCCAACCCACCAAGACCACCAGCAAGTAGATACGACGCATTGCCGTCGAATTGATAAGGAGGCATGATATTAGGGGCAACAAGAATGGTATCAAGAGAATTTGGGACAAAGATAATCTTGCCTAGACTCTGATTATCTCGCAGAGCATGTATGCCATCTTTGATCTGTGTGAAATTCATGACTGTTGTGCGGTAAATCTGGCTGATCTTGCCTTCAAAGAATAACTTAAATGTCTCTGTCAACAAGCGCCGAACAAGCTTCGGGCGTCGTCTAATCAGGAGTGACATGTCGATGCTGGACACAGTCACATTGCGTTGTAGTGAACTGAGCTCGATAATGGTATCATTCCGAGATTTCTTGCCGGATGCCTCAATGAAGCGACCGAACGGGGCCATGCAGCTCAGAGACTCTTGTAGTGCTTCACCAGTCAGAGTATTAAAGATAACATCGACACCTTCGCCTTTTGTGCTTCTCATGATACCCCTAGCAAAGCTGAGATTGCCGCATGAGAAGACATGATCATCGGGAATGCCATACTCTGAAGTGACGAATGATCGGTCCTCAGGCTTTGACACCGTGGTGTAAATCTCGGCTCCGATGTTCTTGGCGTATTGAATAGCTGCTTGACCAAGATCAGAGGCACCAGTATGGATCAAGACAGTGTCATCCTCGCTGAGCCTGGCTATATCATTCAGTCCGTATATTACCGCGGTGTAGATCGAAGGCAGCCCAGCAGCGACTTCGAACGGAACATTTTCTGGCAACCTGACTACCAGAGTCTGATCGACTCGAGCCAAGGTCCGGAAACATGTAGCTTCCGCGCTCATGAAACTGACACGATCACCTGGTACGAGGCTGTCCACTGCACCGCCAACTTTCTTGACAATACCGGAAGCCTCGTTTGATTGACTGGCTGAACCGGACTGGGGGTTAAGGCCAACTGCGCGCACCTCGACCTCAACTTCCGTGTCGTTCAAAGAGGTCTGAAGGGAATCGCACATGATCCAATGCAAACCATTCGGTCCAGAGACAAGCTCAATTGGCTTTTCCAAATCACCGATTCTCTTCATTTTGAGTGCCAGATTGGAAGACTGCAGATTAAGAAAATTGTCTGCCTTCTCCCATTCACGCAGACGACCAATGTGAATTGTGTCATCTTTGAGAAGATATTCTGCATGGCGATCATCATCGTTCTGCTCCAGGAACTGTCGTTCAATGATCTTGCGAATGTTGATAGCCAGCGTAGTCGTGGAGACGCCCTTACAATTAGCGACTTTCAGTGTCACGATGTTCGAACAATCGGCATCGCGTTCCCAACGAACGGTGCGAAGTAGACCCATGCTCATGTTTGTGAACGGTTCTTCACCCTGATCGGGTGTTACCCATAACAGATTTTCGCTTTCCATCAGCATCTTCTTGAGAGAGGTGTACTCCGCTTCGTGCATTTCAGACACAAAGTTCTTCTCGAGGTCAATAAGAGAGAGATAAACAGCGTCTTGGTATGCCAGCCGGTCAAGCTGCGATGGATCCACTATAGTCACTTTCGGCGCTCCCTCTATTTGCGGAAACATCTGGCGAAGGACATTGATTGTACCTGCCGTTGTAGGTGATCCGGATGACAAAATGAAGACATTACGGACGGACTTGACTTTGGGTCGCGTGGCTGTAGAGACAATTATGCTCTGCCAGCTCAAGTCTTCTTGGGTCGAGCTCGGGTACTCGATATCAACACCGGAGAACCCGGACTCCGAGAGGATTTTGTTCCATTCGGTAGCTGGTATGTAAGGACACCATTTTCTGATAGGCTCATTGCCAAGCCACCATCCAGGGAGCTGACCGAAGACAAGGGGGTACCACAAGAAGTCCTGTCTGATGCCTTCCTGCATGATAAGCTGTCCACCAGGTCGAAGGAGAGAGCGCAAATTGCCAAGAGCATTGTGGAGATTGGCAGTGGCGTGAATAACGTTGCCCGCGAAGATCAAGTCGTACTTTCCAGTTTGGAAGCCTTGGTCGACAGGGCTTCTCTCGATGTCAAGGGATTGGAACGTCATGATGTCACTCCATGGCTGGAAGCGAGTTTTCGCCTTCTCAAAAAATCCTGATGAGATGTCGGTGAAGGTGTAGTGTGCGACACCTCCTTGGTTCGCATCTGGGTTGGGCGAAAGAACTTTCAAAACTTCAGCTGTGAAACTTCCTGTCCCGCCTCCAATTTCCAAAATGTTCAGTTCGGAGTACTGATGACGCAGAAGAGAGAGGTGGCTTTGAAGATGCTGTGGGAGATCGTAAAGATGGAGGCCTTCTTTGTAGACGCCTTCCATAACTGCATCCTCACCAAACATCAAGTGTAGAGGGTCGACTTCCTGCTGCATGATTCTGGCAATGTTACGACCCATGCGAGCAGTGATTGCTCCTTCTGAACTATGCGCTTCGATTTCATCAAAAATAGCATATTTCGTTGCATCATCTTGGGCGACCTGCTTGAATTCGGCGTAGGGAAGATGAATGATCTCATCACTGAAAAGCAGATTCTTTGTATGCTCCATCCAGTCCCAGAATCTGCGCAAATGAAGGTCAAGTGTCTTCACATCAAGTCCGGCCAATTGATTCAAAGCATCAGTCACATAGAGCATCGAGGCTAGCTGAAGACGCTTGATCCAGTACCGATCTTGATCAAAGTCATGATTCTCCACCATGCTGAGCTCGCACGCAGACCTTGAATTCAGGAAGTTCAAGTCTGGCTTCCACACTAGGGAAGTACAAAGTTGGCGCGCGGTGTTTTCCGCAAGACCGGACTCAAGGGGCGTCAGCTCTATCCCGTCCATGCGAATTCGAATATCATTGCTTGTCTCATCCATAATTCTGATCATGCCCTCGACTTTCTCGGATGCGCAAATGCTCACAGATGCGTGCCCGGTGAACTTATGATGTGGTGTGGACTTCACGCCTCCCGAAACCCACATGTCGCGAATGTATGTGGGGAGTCTGATTGTCTCTAAAGAGGACTTGTCGGTCTGATCCAGAATCGATGCAATCATCATATGGATCATACTGTCCATTGTCGCTGGATGGATAAAGTGGTTATGCATGTACTGCTTTGGCATAGATTTCGCGATGTCAGGGACCGTTACTGTGCCAGTCATGGAACCGAGCCGTGATCCACTTGATCGAACATTGCCCAGATTACGGAAGAGAGGACCGAAGTTGAGTCCGGATTGTCGAAGATTGTCGTAAATGGTATGGAAGTTCATTGGACGGGTGCATACCTCTTGAGCATGCTTCAAATCGGCTTTCCAAGCTCGGGATTCCTCATTTCCATCGCGGCCATCGTCGACGAGATCGAGCGACGATTTAAGGTCAACAAGGATATACCCTGAGCAGTGCTCTGTCCATTCATCGCTGGACTCATTGTATGAGCTGATCTGGAACCGGCGCCATGGTCTCGACTCGGAAGAGTTGTCTGCCGTTGTCATTGAAAGGCTGACTTCAATACCTTCCTTGGTATCTGGAACTATCAAGGCTCTTCTGATGGAAACTCGACGAAGCCGGAATCCATTGATCTTTTGGTCATCTACCAATTGACGAGAGGCTTCAATGGCCATAATGAGATACCCAACTCCAGGATAGACATAGTTTCCAGTGACCTAAAAGTTTATCAGCAAAGTAGACCAAATATACCAAATGGATCCACTTCAAGTACTCACCACATGGTCTCTCAGCCATGGGTTCTCATTCAATCGCACGAAATGCCTCCATCGCGGGGCATCCACATTCCAATCCGCCACAGGGGCACCAAAAAGGTCATGACGCGGGAATTTTCTTTGCCGTGTGTTCTTGCTGAGCCGAGTTTCGTAAAGGATCTTCTCTGTATGCTTGAAGACGTAAGGGGGTAGATCGACCAACATTCTGCACAGCCTCGCACGTGGTCGAGAAGCGATGTTTACCTTGTGCAAATCCACTGCGCAGCCATTAGCAGCCAGAAACCCAACCGTATTCAGCAATACATTGACACCAGAGTCATTGCGTTTGAGAACGGCAAGATATTTGATATCCGATCGATCTTTGTGCAGAGAAAGGGTCTCTTTGATGGCGCTTTGCAACGTCGAGTGTGGTCCGATCTCCACGATATGGGTCATACGATCGCCGGTATCAGATGACCGCATGTTCATTGCAGTGAGGCCATCGGTGAATTTCACGGGAGAGACCATGTTATCAACCCAGTACTGGCCGGGGAGGTGCTCATCCATAACCTCTGCTCCAGTGACGGTCGAGATCATGTGCACCACATGGGGTGTGGCCAGACGTTTTCCGCTGGAAATGCTGCCCATCAGTTGTAAGTACTCTTCAGAAATCGTGAGCATGTGTGCTGAATGGTAGGCATTCTTGACGTTCAGCTTCCTCGCGAAGACACCGTTGGTATCGAGGAGTTTCTTCAACGCGTCAATCATGACCTCGTCACCTGATACGGTGTTGTTCCTGGGGCTGTTGTAGCAAGCTATGATAAGCTCTCCAGGGGTCTGCCGGCGAACGGCATCGAGATAGAGCTCCAGTTTGGAGAACTCTAGTCCAACCGCCATCATAGCTCCATTGGCAGAAAGTTGTTTCGAGGAAACATATCCGCGGTAATATGCAGCCTTCCAGGCACCCTCGCGTGATATCTTACCGGCACAGTATGCTGCGGCAATTTCACCAGACGAGTGACCAGTCACACACTTTGGAAATATACCCCAGCTGGCCAACAGGTCAACGATAGCGACTTGGAGTGCCGTGCAGAGCGGATGAGCAATTTCAGGAAGATTGACCCGGGGAGACTTCCTCTCGGAGAGCAGTTCTTCTGTATCACGTTAGCTGGCACTTCGCCGGTGTAGAGAGGTTGAGAGTGCCTTACCAATCAGGGACCATGGGCTTCCCAACCGACGAATGTATTCGGAGGCCTCCTCAAGTGACTCCTGGAACACTGGATAGGTCAACAAAGCACTGCCCATCGCCTGGTATTGAGCGCCCTGTCCAGTGAAAACGAAAGAAACTTCTGGTTCATGAGTCGACCTGACAGGTTTGGTGAAATTTGATTCAAACAGGTTTCTAGCAAGCTCTTTCGGTGTCGATGCCATGACAACACTTTTCCAAGGGAATTTCGTTCGGCGATTCGAAAGTGTAAATGAGAGGTCATCAAGCACTCGGTCGAGGGAATTTTTGTGGCTCCTCTTACGGTCAAGGTAGTGAGCGTGCGCAGATGCGTTTCGCTTAACGCCATCTTCGTCAAAAGCAGACAGCATGAAGAGTTTGGGGACGTTCAAGCTCGTATATGAATCCCAGGCTCCAAGGACAGGAGAGAAGCAGAACGCATCGGTTGTGGGCGTGTCGACAAAGGAAGCGCTGCTAGCGGAATGATCGCTTTCATCGCCAGAGCTTGATCTACTGTGAGCCGTCTTGTTGTCTATCTGTGGATTTAAAGTCTTTCCCCTGAGCATTGAAAGCTTTGGTACGGTCATCGTTGTATTGTGTGTAGCCACGATGCGTCGTTGGTTGAGATAGTGGTAAGCATCGTCGAGAACACAGTGAGCATTGGTGCCCCCGATTCCAAATGAGTTGACCGAGATTCTGCGAAGACCTGGGGAAGGCCAAGGGGTGGTTTTAGTAGGAAACGCGAGGTTCCAATCCTTCGCTGGAATACTGGGATTCACCTTCTGCAGATCGAAGTTGGGTGGAATGATGCCGGACTCGAGAATGAGAACGGATTTGATGAGACTCGCAACGCCGGAACCACCTTCAAGATGGCCGATGGTAGACTTGATTGTACCGACGTACAGTGGCGTGTCTCTTTGGCATCGAAACGCTCGCGCAAGAGCACCTGCCTCAATGGGATCACCTGTTGGGGTGCCGGTGCCATGGGCCTCGACGAATCTTGTCTCCGCCACGTCCAGACCGGCTCTCCAATACACCTGTCGTATTAATCTCTCTTGAGCCTCCGCGCTTGGTACAGTGATCCCCGGTGTTCGTCCGTCCTGATTGACTCCGGTCTCCCGAATCACAGCGCGAATCGTATCGCCGTCTCTCACCGCAATCGACAAGGGCTTGAGGACTACTGTGCCTACACCTTCGCCCCGGGCATAGCCCTCTGCTCGTGCATCAAAACTAAACGACCGGCCTTGAGCCCCCAGCAAGCCATGGTGGCTCATGCCAATGGTCTCCACGGGATTCTCTAGGATACTTACGCCGCTGACAAGGGCCTTTCGAGGTGAAGTTAGTCCAAAAGACCCAATCTCGTTACAAGGAAAGCTTTGTTACCCACCATATTTGTTTCACGAGCCCGCAAGCTCTGTACCGCGAGATGCAGCGCCACCAGGCTACTGGAGCAGGCAGTATCAATGGTCATACTGGGACCCTTGAAATCAAAAAACCAGCTCACTCGGTTCGACAGAATTGAATTGGTGACTCCTGTGGGCTTGTACTTGATATTTGTCTCAGGATCAGAATTGAGAATGCCGAGGTAGTCATGATTGAATCCGCTGACAAACACAGAGGTGTTGGAGCCCAGAGCATCCGCTATGGAGATGCCAGAATTTTCAAGCGCATGGAAGACATTCTCCAGAACCAGCCGTTGTTGCGGATCGAGGGTCAACAATTCATTCCTGGTGATATTGAAGAAAGATCCATCAAAATAGGCAGGGTCCTCGGCGAGGAAATGCCCCCCTTGTACATGAAACTAGATTAGGCTTTAGCATTTTTGATATCTCCTAACTATATGGCAGGCATTCACGCACCGTGCCTCCATGCTCGGGATCTGGATGGTAGAATGCGGCGGCATTGAATCGTTCTTTCGGAATAGGAGACCAGGTGGATCGTGCCTGCAAAAGGATCTCCCATAAGCTTTCGGTCGAGGTGGCTTGGGGGAATTGCGTAGCAAGGCCAACGACGGCGATGGGTTCCAGAGCGTCCGGAGCAATCCCATCGCCGGTGACGCCATTGACCAGAAGGGGCCGCATGAGGATAGCAGACTCGGTGCCTTCCTCAAGTAGGAGGCACAGCCATATTTCTAGTCACGTCAAGACTCCAGAACTCCAGAACTCCAGGTCTTGGGGGAGGGGTTGATCAAGACGCTAGAGGTTCCATGTCGAACAAAGCACGAGCACCGTTTCTTTTTTTTTGGGCCTGATCAGCGCATGAACCGGAATATTCCCCCTCACGTGAAATGAGCCAGTCGTATTTCTACGCGGCTTTCTGGGTGGAGCCTTGTACAAGAAACCTCCTAGAGTTACGTTCAAACGGGCCCGAACCGTCGAGCCACAGGAACCAGCGTGTCGGAGTCTAGACTCCGATGTCCTGGGCCCCCGTCTACAGTACAGTACAGTACTCTGGGAGCATCCACGACCTGCGTGTCCGTTTAGCTGCATCCTGCAGGATCCAGCTGCCGATCCCCGGGGTTTACAGGTTTCTCGCTTCTAACGGCTGTCATTATCCCCGTCGATTGGCCAATTGCGTTCCCCTGATCCCTCGTCGTTATCCACATGGACGCGCTTTCGCGTTCGACCCAGTTCGCGTGGCCTCGCTGAAGGATAATTTCCAACTAAGGGGATCTTCCTGCAGGAGATCGTTGATCCCTGTCCATATATGGTTGATTTCCCAAATCGCCTTGTACATGGTGTCCATTCCAGACGTTGAAATTGAGTGGAATTGTAAACTACAAACCGTGGCTCCTTTCACCGCCAAACAGGGAACCTTTCCAGCCCCCCCTGGCGACAACATTACAACACACAAAGGATCGCTCAGCATCCCCCTGCTAGCCGCACTCTTCCGGCCTCCTGCCTACGGTGCACTACGCGCTTCCTGGAATATCAGCCCATGGATATCCACCGCCCATAGCCATCTAGGGAAACTCATTACCGTCAGTCTAGGGAACCTAACTCGACTAGGCAAGAGTTTAGGGACCGAACAACGTGGGAAGCGGGACATGATTCAAGCCAGACTCCACTTCGCTCTGTCAATGGGCCTCGGCGACCGGCCTGGTGTTTTATGCTTTTAATGCAAGGGGATTACCACTTGACTCAATTGTTTCTTTAGTTGCCCCTATAAATTTCTTTTGCGTCAGATATGCGCCCGTCATGCACCATGCTTATTTCGGGATCTTTCCTCCATACAGCTTTCCTCTTTCGCGAGGTCCCCGAGGCCTCGATTCTCCTGAAATAAGTTAAAGTTCGTGCCTTTCTGCACCGACCACCCGCCACTGAACGTGGTCACGATGCATTGGCTGATCGCCAGAAGGCGATCCGGTGCCTTTTGCCTTCGCATGAAGTTGCATGAAAGTATTCCCGAAAGACCTACATCGTGCAGCGTCCGTTTGGCGAACAGGTGGCCAGGATTAGTTCGGATCCGGGGTCCGACCCGCACGACGTTCGCTTGGGACCTTCCACACCGGTACTTTCATTGACGCACGTCCAGTGAGATCTCGGAACAGCGTTTGTACCGACTTATTTGACGCTGAAAGCATACTACGTAGAATTTGAGTGGCGGTCTATTTGGAATTCCGGATTTTAGCGGATCCTGATAGCGGACGAACCTCATTCAATGGAGAACCTGCTTTCGAAATCTTGGATCTTGGTTGGATATCGAGTATCCACCATGTGGAATGGCGAGCTCTGAGCTCTTTTTCTATTTAATTTTCTGACGCGCGGGGTTTGACAGCTGTGGAACCTAGCGCAGTATGGACATAATCCCGGAGGAGCCTTTTTGGTAACTCAACCCCACAGCCAGACATTCGGGACTGTAAACAAGTGAACGTCTTAATATCATTTTCTAAGAGATCGCATTGCCTCATGTCAGCTATGCGGCTCTCTAACAGCATACAAGTTAAATATACGATGTAGACCCAGAATCAAGCCAGGTTATATCCATTCGCTCCTCTGTCAACAGTCGGCTGCTTTAGTGCTAGTTCATGATATCAATTGACCCCTCTCTCATCTCCCGCGGGACGCCGGCATGGTAAACGGAGTACACCGTATCAGTTACGGGGGACAAAGGACCAGCTGGAGCCTTGGCCCAGCGCCCTCACCCACAAAAAAGTCCCTCATTCGATACTCGACGTCACCAATCCTGACCCCGGTGCCACTCACGACCAACAAATCAAACTTCCAAAGCAACCTCGCAACGGTCAATGAAAGCTCCATGATCGCCAGCTGTCGGCCGGGACAACCCGTTGCGCCCGCGCTAAACGGATGAAAACCCGTTCCTAGCGCGTGTCCTGCATCCAGCCATCGCTCCGGCACAAACGAATGGGGATCCCGGAAGACTTCCGTTCTGTGAATTGCGTACGGACTCACACCGACATTCGTGCCCGGCGGATACATACATCCATCGATAACAAGTCCCTCGCCCACGATCTCCCGCGGCAGGTGGCCTGGCGTGGGGGGTGAAAGGCGAAGGCTTTCATCGATGCAGGCGCGTAGGTAGGGGAGCGTTCCGAGTGGATTGCTATGGATGTAGTGGATCTTGCTGGGGTCCGGGAAGGTGGTATGAATTTCGTGCCGCAATTTGGAAAGGGCTAATGGGTGGTGCGCTAGATAGAAGAATGTTGCGGACAAAGCACCTGATGTGGATTGCGAGCCTGCTACCATCAAGAGAACACTTTCACAGGCTAGGTCACCGAGTGTGTAGCTTTGACCCGTTTCTGGGTCGCGGCCGTTAAGGAGGTATTCGAACATGTCTGTGCTTCGCTTTTCGGTGGAGATATCTTGGGCCCAGGCCTGGCGTCGGGCTTTTAGTTTTTGGAGGCAAAAGTCCCGAAATCTGCCGTTATCGTGGAGTGACTGGCCTCCTATTATGGGACCTAGTCTTGTCTTGAAAAGGATCCATCGCAAAATCTTGGTGAAAGGGTGATAGCCCAGCTGGATCGATCAGTGACACTGGCTGGCCGCGGGAAGAGAGCTGTTAAGACTCACAGATGTCCAGCCTGCTGTGGCTTTAGGAACAAGTCCAACAATTGAACGATCCCCATCTTGTGTTGTAAGTCCAAAAGATTGTCCATATCCTAGATCTCCCAGAATATCGAAGATCAAGTAATTGCACCACTCTCCCAGATCCACACATCTATCGCCCTTTTCCGCCTCAGCACCAAGACACTCTATCCACGTATCGATGAGATTACAAATTCTGGGCTCATAATTTTTCAAAGCTTTTTCGGAAAATGCATGAGACAGTAGTCGAACGTTTGACCGCGTGTCGACTTTTCTCCCTAGCCGTGAAGGTGCTCTCGAAGCCACCAGCTGAATCTCGGACTGTTTGATACCAGTCTGACTTGATCACATTAGACTTGCGTGACTTATAGATCGTTTCTATTGCTGATGTAGTATTAATTGAGATATGATCGGGAGTAAAGCGTACCACAGATCCTACGTGTCGTGAGTGATACGTTGCTGACAGTTCACTGTTGTGGAAGCAAAGATACCGTATTCCATGTGAAGGCTGTGAATCCATTCATGCCTGTCGCCCTTTCTCGCATGATAATAGTGCGGAAAGGCAGATAACCGGGCGAGGATGGGTCCAGGGTACCTTGCCAGAGTGCTGAAATAAAGTCGGTATAATACTGTGCTCAAGACCTGTAGCTCATCAGTTGGGTGTTCCAGTCTTGAAAGAGGTGACTCGCTAACAATTATGATGAAGATCCCACATATTCCTTGAAAGCCTGTTTGTAGCTCATGCATATTTCTAGGTTGTGGTGGTGATATGAGTCTCTCTTTCGCCTTGGATAGTCAGACGCGGGGTGGGAGTCTACGTATAGCCAAGGCGGTCGATAAGCTTACGGCATTCAAATAATGTGCGTTATGGTCTGTTTCATCACACGGACAAAAATAAATACAAATGATGTCTAGACAGTTGAAATGATCAATCGATAGCGGATTGACAAGCCAAGTTGTCACACTGGGATCAAGGGCTTGTGAATAGAAATCGAAAGATCTAGGTGCAAGTAAAGGGTACGCACTAGATCGAAACAAATCTCTACAATTTCCCCAGTCTCTGATCCGGTTTCATTCTCTTCTTTTCCTCCGTCAAAGCATCGACATAGTCTCGTCCAACACTCTGCCTCTCCGCCAAGCTCTTCTGAAGCCACTCATTGTGTCGCCTTTGGGGCCCCTCGGCCCAACGCTTAGACTCGGTAGCAAGGAAATCTGCGACATGACCCGCCACTTTGTAAAGGTTGTGATCGAAAGTCATGGTGTGCTCTCCATCCTCGATCACAACTTGCTTAACAGCGCCGAGTCTCACCCCTCCATTTCCTCCAACGCCGATTCCAGTCAAACGAAGCCTTTCTTCACGAACCTTCACGGACCCAAAGGCAGGCGAATTGTTTCCACCAACATATAGTGCCCAGGGCCGCATATTTGGCAACATATCCCAGGCTTTCTTCAACTCGGGTCTGTAGAAAACACCCCATTGTTGTCCTTCCGGATCAACATCGGGAACGGATTCTCGATCGGCGAGAGTCACATCAGCTATACCACCAGGCCCGCGACCAACGCCGTTCGCGTTCATTCGGCCTATCAAACCAACAAGTTGGTCCTTTGGCGTTGTAATGGCCCACTTTTCACCGTCCTCTCCTCTTCTTTCATAAACACCGTATTCTCTGAAACGTTCCCTCACGCTCCTCTCCCAATTTTTGGCATTATGCAATCTGAACAATTGGGTCTCCGCTTCTTTCCTCGTTGGATACACATTTTTGAATTTGAGAATCGCGTTTGCCCAGCCTATTGTCGTTCCCATTCCATATATCGGGTCAATGCCTGGTTCGATGAACGCAAGAGAGTGGAAAAGACTGGGATGCCAGTTCGACATGTGAAAAAGCTGATTGCAGCCAAATGAGTGGCCAAGTCCGATGATCGGTCTAGCCATTTTGTCACGAAAGTGGTTTATCACGCCCATGAGATCGCGTGAGTGGTCGTTCCAGGAGGGTTCGCAACCCAAGTTGTGTCGGTTTGCCACGGCGCTTTCGCCGATGTTGTACATGTCCGCGATCCAGATTGAATTAATCGTTGTTCCATTCTGTCGTGCTCTGTATAGTACTTCTGCAAAAAGAGGCTCGTAGAGCTCTTTGATGAATCCTACACCTCCTGACGCGAGGATGGTAATCGGAATAGTGTCTTCGTATCTGAACGGTTCGTTTCGAGGAATGTATTGTTTGACCGATACATGGACGCCTTTCCTATCATCGAATATGGCGCGCGGATATTCGCGGAACGGAGAGACAGGGACAAGGTGGGAAATTATGTCAAAAGGAAAGTCGGCCTCGAGAGGCGGTACACTGAAGGAGGCAACCATCACAGCAGTGGCTCATAAGCTATCGAGCAGAGAAGGAAAGTGAAAAAACGATCTTGCAAGATGGAATTTGTGTGACTCTAGTAGCAGCTCTTGTCGGCTTTTCTCCCCAAAGCTGCAGGTCAGCTTCACATGGTTGAGATGGGGTTGGTGTTTAGCCACGAATCGGACAATATAAGCGACGAAGAATTGGTTCACATCAACCAACTAAAAGATATGTGTGTCTATATACCCAAATTTAGTTGGAGAAAACCCGAAACTTTCGAATTTGACTGTCGTTTGTCTGCTATAGTGAACCTCGCTAGCCTCCAGATCGAAATTTCCCGTCAGCCGAGCGATGACAATGCCAAAGGCTCGGTTTTGCTGTCCCCCGCTTCACCATCTACCCATCGCGTCGCTGACCCCACTTCGCTCTCCCCGTCTGTCCTCCTTACAATGTCGCTCCCATCCAACGCCACAGTAGAGACTATTTCAGTCCGTCGACTGACTATCGACATCAACACGCCGTACAAACAAGCCATTGAGCGTTTCCGCTCCCTGGTGCCGCCTATCAAGCTGGGCGACCTACGCAATGCAACTAGCCCCGATCAAATCGAAGCAGTAGTTTGCGACACCGCGACAACAACCGAGTTTGTACTATTCACTGAATTTAACCACGGGCAATGGATTCGTCATTTTCCTCCGTTTACAACGACGCCAGAGACCGCTGGCGCCGGACGCGGAGTCCACCGCTTCATCTTTGGAAACCCTTTGTTTGCGATCACGATGATTCGTGAGGACGTCGAAGCAGCCATGCATGTTCCCTTGGACTGTGGCTTCTTTGAGCAAGCAGACGAATCGGCAAAAATGGTGATTTTGTTGCCAGATGGTCTCGTCGCCGGACACGCCGGTGCGGCTGAGAACGAGGCGCTACATGTGGCCGCGCTGGCGCTAGAGGCTAAGGTGTTCAAACTGGTGGAAGCTATAGCAAATTCCTAGGTTCGGCGGTCCATGTGAAAACTTTGAACTGGATTTATAACTGGTCCTTCAATCATCTACGGATATTTGCGTTGCTTCATGCAGTTTTCTTGGGCACAAAGGCCGATCCTCGCATCTTGAACTCAGGTGCTGGGCTGACGCCACCGCGGTACCATAACGCTTCATCGTTGCGGTTGAAGGACTCACCGTCTATTCGTAGACCAAAATTCATGTCTTTGGTTGCATCTTCTTCGACCCATTGGCAATCACGAAATGCGATCTGGAGGTCCTCGTAGCGAAACTTGCCGCGACCGTGGTAGTGTTTTCCGAGAAGGGGAATGATCGCTTTACTTGCAATCGGACTATAGTAATGAGGGATACGAGAGAAGAGGTGGTGCGTGACGTGGTCGGAGGAAATGTGGTGCATGAAATGCGTGCCTATGATACCAAAGTCGCGGTCAATGGTGGCCGTGGCACCGCGAAGGAAGGTCCATGAGTCTGCAGTGTACTTTGGCACTGACGGGTGCGTATGGTGAAGATAGGTGATCATCACTGTTGTGAAACATGCATCATTAGCTACAAGATCTGGTCAAGGGCCTGTGGCTCTTACCTATCCAGTGGTTTACCCATGTCCAAGGGACAATGTAAACCCAGAACAGGGTCTCGAAGGAGCCAAACACATGATACAGGTGATATAGTGCCGCAATTGTTGTCAAACATCCGATATCAGACAGCAAGATGGCCATCTTTTCTGACTCGCGGAACATCGCTCCCCACGGGTCGAAATGGCTGTGTCTCCAAGCAGACATACCCTGTTTGATCACAGCCGTAGGAGGGCACGTGATGTTGGATAAAATATACCAATTCCATCCAATGGTCTGCTGCAGTATAATGCGAAGGAACAAGACAAACGGGGCATCTTGGCCGACTTCTTCGAGCATCTCCGCTGCCTGGCCGATCTTCTCCGCATAGTCATCCCGTCGGGGTGGAACATAGTTGAGATCTTTCTCAATGTGGTTAGCATAGATGTGGTGACGACGGTGCGTTGACTTCCAAGAGAAGTATGGTGCAAGCAAGGCTGAGTGCAGAGTAAAGCCAATAAGGTCATTTAGAAGACCGGAGGTAGAAAAGCCACTATGGCCGCAGTCGTGGGCGATAACCCACAACCCCGTCCACACGACCCCTTGAGCGAACCCATACGCGTTGACCACCACATAGTACGCAATGGTCGACTGACTCACAAACTCGGTATGAAGCAGGTAATGGAGGCTACCGAGCAAGATAGCGGAGTAACTTAAATCGCGGGCGAGATAGAAGAAGGACCAGAAGAGATTTGGCCGGAAGCAATAGTCGGGGATGGCATTTCGAAGCTCTTGGACGGTTACTACTTTGTTGAGATGCTATGCAGAGAACGAACGTTAGCTACTTCAAGCATCGTAGGTTTCTCATCATAATGTGCTCCGATTTACTTACTCCGCCATCAACTAATTCAGTAGGATGGCATTCTTGCTGAGTTTGAAAACCAGTCCGTTCTTTCTCCATATTGATCAAAAGAGAACGAGAATGCCCGTAGTGATCAAAGACACAATAGACATACAGATTGCTCGTCGAAAGATATATCCTCCGTGCGGGGTACCACAGCGGACAAAAGTATCGGGTGAACTTGACTTACCCCATTGTGTAGGTGCTTCTCCAGTAAGACTTGTACCGTGTTCCTCCATCGGGAATGTCCCATTGATGCAGTCTACTGCATACTTAGCATGCGAGAAGGCCGAAACCGAGATATTTTTTATTTTTCGTTCTAGCGTTGTGCAAGCGTTGCGCATGTGTTGATTGGGTGGTGGTGGGAACTCGTACCGAGAGTGGTCTCGGCCCTGTCAGCCAAATCCACATCACATTCGTGGGGGGGCGTATCATGTCGAGGAGATATCGTGTTTGACTTCCACGCTAGGATGGCAAATTCCTGCGTCAGATGTGAATGGCCAATTTCGTGGGTCTGGGGCAGAGCTGCAGGTTTCTAGTGCTGAGATCAGAAACCCTGTGATAAGAAGGCCGAGGGCTGCTCGTGATCACATAGTATACATGGCATCTTGAGCTGTGAATGGTCCGCCGGTACCAATTAGGCACCTAGGCAGTGATCATGCTTATGTGGAAGCTATTGAGTGACCTGCAAAATCTTGTTTATCAAGGAGAAACATATCGAGAACCACATTTAGATGTGCTCAGACGTTTTTCTTGTTGAATGAACAAGTCAGTCGACGCCTCCAATTCCAATGCGGGCCCCCTCATTCCTCGTGTAACCTGAGAAGACTATTTCTCTGGAGAAACAATAACTCACATTAGTGCCATTACGGGTTCTGGGCTTACTTGTGGGGGTCCAAAACAGATGTTTGCCTTGCCACGTTACTCTCCTTGTCAATGTCCACAATCTCTAAAGCGCCAATGTTCAAATACCGCAAATTAAATCATCATGTCTCATCGTGAATCCACGTAATCTATCCTGCACGAGGATTTACCAATGAAATGATGCTTTTCCAATGAGGGAAACCTCTAAACCTCTCGCTTTTGCGTCAAGAAGGATATCCTCTGCCGCGTTCTCCGCCACCATGTAAGCTGACACAGCGTGGATAGTACTAGGGACGCGGCTGCACCAAAGTGTTCACAACACGAAGATCGGTCTCACCACAGACCCGAGATTTCCAGTCAAGGACAAGCATTGGATCCTCATCAGGGCCAAAAAGATAAGTACATGAGGCATGGTGACCCCGAGCCGTGTTCATGATACAGTTGGATATCTTCAATTGAGATGACGTCCTCTTCAGATGAACTTTCTTGACCTTGACAAGGTGGCTAAATATTCATCACGAGTAAGATTGGTTTCCTCTTTGTTAGCCTCAAGATCATTTGAAGAGCGAGAACCCACCAGTTTCGAAGTATTTTAAAACTATCTGGGGCATACGCAGCGGGTCACAGAGCTTCACGGAGCCCGCAGTTTTGCGCGGGCGTGCCTTTAAAATAGCCCCAAGCGGACTAGTCATAGCGCTTGATGAGACTGATGCAGTCACTAGGGAAGAAGCCGTCGAAGTTGATAGGTCCGCTGGAGATGAATCTGCCGTGACACGACTCGGGTAAGAGATTGTACAAACGAGGCTTGGACGGAAGTAAACAACACGGTTGCCCGGGCCGAGATCCTTTTACCATGACGATATGAAATGTATTAGCGCGTCACAATATCTCAAATTGGGAGATCATTGCAGCAGAGAAGCAGCTATCTAATGACTGATCTACACAGAAAGTGCACGGGTAGTACGAAGACGCTTGCGACATTTTCTAAATGGTAGCTTTCTTTGCCGAAGGGAGCTAAAGCTCGATGAATTTACCTCTTTGTCGACAAAGAATTCCAGGATGAAAAATGAGAAGGTCTTTTAACCGCTTGGCACCTTCTCGCCGGACATGACAACAAATGGTACAGAATAGCGAGGCTAGTGCAATGATTGAGAGAAAGATGATAGATTCGGCTACCATCGGCCTCGTGTTGTCGCACGCGCATGAAAAGCCAAAGCCTTGTCCTAGATCCCGAAGACAACTATCAACTCGGACCGATTTCGGCTTCATTCATGCTTGTTGAGTCGCCGTAGATGTGCCAAAATCCAGCACGGAGTGTCTCGGTTGATTTCGGATGTTAAAGCGATCTTCGTTGCCCCACAGCTTGCGGTTAGACTCGCCCAGGGTCGCTCGTCAAGTAAAGGGCGCGCGACCCTGCTTAATAAACCAAATGCCGATTATCTGCAACTTTCCAGGCCCGCCTATTGTGCTTTCTTTTCCAACAAAACTCAAGATGTCGCATGAAAACGAACGCCACCATATCGTCGCCATTGAGGCCCTTCATTACCAAATTCCAGATTTTGACATACCTGTGGAATACACCAAGGCTATCCACCGCTGGACCGAGCCATCAGAGCTTGTTGAGCGAATTAAAGATGCCACGATCGTTATCACTACAACAATCCGCCTGCCTTCGGAGGCCCTAGATGTTGCCGTCACTCCAAAACTTCGTCTCATTGTGATCATGGCGACCGGCACAGATTGTGTTGATCTAGCAGCAGCCAAGGCCCGAGGAATCCCTGTGTGCAATTGTCCAGGTTCAAATGTGGACAGTGTCAGTGAACACGCTATTGGACTTTATTTTGCGACGCGGCGAAAGCTTGTCACATTGCATAATGCAACCATTGCTGTGCCTGAGAGCTTGGATCGCAATACAGAATGGAAAATGAACGGATCGTTGCGGCCGAAAATGTCTAGATCGGACGGACTGGGCCCATTTTTGTGTAGCGATGAGACTGTCGCTATCATTGGATATGGTATGCTAGGGAAGCGAATTGAAGCCTTAGCGAAGGCTCTTGGCATGAAGGTAAAGATAGCCGAGCGGAAGGGGGTGGCTCCTCGAGGAGACCGGATCGCTTTTGAGGATGCCTTGAAGGAATCGACGGTTTTGTTTTTTGTGCTTGCCACGAAGCCCAGAAACAATCAACTTGATCTCGACGGCAGAGTTACAGAAAATGTCGCCTCACGCTTTGTTGATCAATGTTGCAAGAGGCGGAATTGTCGATGAGATGGCCTTGTTAAAAGCTCTTCAGAGCCGTACGATTGCAGGAGCGGCCACTGATGTTTACGCCATAGAACCTTGTGGAAGAGGAGATTCCCCTTTATTGAGCCCTGAAGCAGCTGAGTTGAACTTGGTTTTGACACCGCACCTCGCTTGGTATGCGGAAAGAACCTTGCATAATCTGGAAGCTACTGGAAAAGCTACAGTCGAAGCATGGTGTCGTGGTCAGCCTATCAATCTAGTCCAGTGATGTACCGAGCGGTACTCATTTATAGCCGTCCAAGATATATATTCTAAAGAACTCATTCTCATGATACACAAGTGGTCGTCGTTTTCGTGCGATAATGCCATGAGCTTTGGATAGATCTAGCATGAATTACATGCAAGTAAGTCAGGTCCCTAGCCAGAATATGCATGGTCCTGACAGGGAGTAGCGGTCGAGGATCCAAGGCCTAAGAGTCTCAGTCCTGACCACAGGCTTGTGTCGATCAGAGCTTCTCCATATCTAGCTTGAAGCAGTGGTATTTAGTAATGAGGACCCTGAGAGGAAACTTGAGAGAAGGAGTCTAAGTTGCCGAAGCAAAACGAGTCTATCTAGCCCGAGCACTCGTCCAACCTCTTCGATCGGACCCATCAGAATGTTGGTAAAATATACAGAAGATCACAGCTCATCCTTCATCTCCGCCGGCGGAGGCATCGGTCGACCGCTATCAGTAGCCAGATCGACACCGATCTTCTTGCGCCACTTCTCCCACAATGCATGGAAATCTTTTTCCATACCACTCTCCATCTCGTCCGGTAAAACAACCACATACTCAACGTAGAGATTGCCGGGCTCATCGTCACCCTCCCGGTGATCATGATCATGCAGCCCACCAACAGAGTACGACGGCATCCCCTCCCCCTTCACCGTCTCAACAGCCAAGGGCTGCACAACATCCCCCCTTTCCTCCCAAGCCTAACAATATGACCATCAAGATGCGTCACATTCCTGCTCCACCCACCCATCCAGGCCTCTCTCAAAGAAAGCGTCTCCTTGAAATAAAGATCCTTTCCCTTCCTCCTAAAGAAAGTCCCATCAGTCCTCTCCGTCTCCTCAACCCCCAACTCCGCCTCCTTCTCATCAAGAATCACAATCAAATCACCAGCAACCCAGTCCGGACTCTCATCAGCCTCATTTTCAAACACAAGCCGATGTCCCCGGTCCATGCCCGGCTCGATCTCAGCAGTCGTCTCAACACTTTTTCTAACAACCCGCGCCCCTTTACAAACCGGACACGGATTCTTAATCTGCTTCCCTTGCCCTCCGCACTTGTCACAAGCCATCTGAACCTGCTGGAACATGCCCGGCGCAAGCATATGTTTCTGAATCACCATTCCCCGTCCATTGCACCGATCACAAGTCTCGACCTTGTGATCCCGCGATCCCGACCCTTCGCATGCATCACATATTTGCTGCTTCTCAACCAGGAACGTGATCTCGCGACCCGTGTAGAAATCCCGAAGTGGTAATTGCGCTTTCACTTCCATGTCCGGCCCACGGCGCGCACCGGACGAGTGTCCAAAGTGTCCACCACCGCCGAAGAAGCGCGAGAATAGATCAAAGGGGTCACCGCGGCCGCCGGCCTGTTCCCCTTTACGATGTTGTTCGACGCCGGAGTGTCCATATTGATCGTAGATCTTGCGGAGGGAGGAGGTGGAAAGGACGTCGTATGCGTCTGCAATTTCGACGAATTTCTCACGAGCCGATTCGTCATTACTGTCGTGATTTGAGTAAATTGTGGGACTGTTGAGAGTGGGAGAGGACTCACGGGTTCTTATCTGGGTGGTACTTCTTGCTGAGCGTACGATACGCACGCTTGATGTCTTTCTCGGAAGCCGACTTGTCCAGACCAAGCACTTTGTAGTAATCTTCTGCTGCAAGCACAAGTACTGAGAACAGTACTACCGCAAGTGCGAGTAGCAGACGATTTATATACATCTCGTGGGTAGGCGAACAGGTCGCGTGTATTGGGAATCGGCGTCGGGGAGATTGTGTTTCCCGCTCGTGAGAGCTTGAGCTTCGAGAAGCTGGAGCAACGGGCGGTGGGGTTGTCGTGGGTGTTTATCAGGTGGTATTCATGAGCATTGGCGATCAGAGTATCCTCGATATTTGTTTTACCGCGCAATGGGGCGGATGAGGGTTTGTGCAAGTTACGAAGTCGCCGTGAGAAAGGGCCAGCTAATCCTTATCGGAGTCACGTGGGTTTATACATGTGCTGTACATGAGCCGCCTCATGTTCATTTTCTCAAGAACACGTTAGGATAAGGGAACAGGGTAGGAATAAAATCAATGATCTAAATGATGGAAATTCTGTGGTTAAAGTGATTTGAAGAAGAATGAATATTTCAGTACAGCGCTATTTGTTACATATGTGCGCCATCATGTCCTTCAAAGTAAGTTGATATCAATCGTAAATCATAAACGCAGCGTCGCAAAAATAGAAATGCGTGTTCTCTCAACGTGTTCCAGCAACGTCGAAGATATCGTTGCGCCAGGTCAGTCCCAGACCGTGAGTTTCATCGCCATCCTCAATCGCCTCCTGAGCTCGGGTGGCCTCGTCATGCCAGGTCTTAACAATGCTACCGGGAGCATAAATACCCTTGAAGACGCCAGACTTGGGTGGCTCAATAGCAATCCGAGCTTCAACGTCGGAGTCCGCGGGCTTCAATCGTGCGATCACGGCGCGCACAAATGTTCCCAAGTCCTCCGGATTGGCGATACGAGTGGCACGCAGACGCTCGCGGGCAAATATCAATTCCCGGTTCAAGACGTGGGCAGCGCTTACAATCTCTTCGGCGATTTTCTTTTCGAGGACTCGGCGGACGAGATGTTTGAGGAATGGCTTGGTGAGCCACAGAAGGAACTTCCACTTGCTTCGCGTGACCTTGTAGTCGAGCTTGTGGATACGCACTCGAACGTTGCGGAGTGTGAATATTTGCTCCAGGCTCCCGCGACCGACCTCTACCTCTAGGCTAATATCAATACCTCGGCGGTCAAGATAGAAGCTGGCGATGCCTTCATCCTTCATGTGCCAGAAGAACGTGTGAGTCTTCAGCCAATATCCGAAGTCCTGGGCACTTATGTTTAGACCGTGGGCTGTCACACTGAAGACAGTCTTGATGTCTGTTTGGGTCCGTTTCGAGTGTTTTTTGACAATCTCGATGTCGTTGCGGGTGGTGAGGTGCATGCGGTAGGGGAAGAAATGAGGAATAATTGACAGTACGGCCCGGCTCCAGGATCAGATTTTCCAGAAGAAGATCCATCTCGGGAGCCGCAACTTCCAGGCGGGGAATAGGCACATACTGAATCATGCGCAGAACGACAGGAAGGATGACATTGACCATATCGGCTGGCAAATCGGTGCCCTTGTCGTTGTATGCAGTCCATGCATCATGGTATAGCTTCGTGGTAGCAGCGACCAACTTGGACACCGCAGGATCGTCAGGTACCGCGCGTAAAGTCCGCTTGGTCTGTGCCAGGAACTCCACAATGTCCTCGCGGAGCCCAGACTCTGAGCCCACCTTTTCCGATTGCTTCTGTAATTCATCGAGCTTCTGTGGGGCGGAATCGAAGAACTCGGGATCGGTAAGCATTTCCTGCAGCGATGTGCCAACTTCTCCCATCAGCTGCTCAAATTCGGGGTCTTTGTTTGCGTGGCGCATAATATCCTGGAATCTCTTCTGAAGCTGCTCCCATTCCTTCGCACTGCCGAACCTGCGAAGCAAACCCCAGAATTGATCCACCGCTTGCTTCAGATCGGCATTAACCTCGACAGTCTCCCCAGCTGTCGAAGCCGTATCCTCGGCGGCATTTGCATAAAACATAGCATATCGCTGAACCATCTGCGCAAGCGTCGACACAGAATCCGAATAATCAGTCCTCTGCCTCAATTGCTGAACAGTTTTCTTCAGCCGAAACAGAAGCGTATCCCTCTCTCGGCCTGTAAAATGCTCTTTTGCACTCTTCACCACCTCTTCACCAGTCTGAGCAATGCCCTCCCCAGCAACCGCCGCAACCTGGGCAACTTCCTCCTTTATTTCCTCCTTTGAGACCTCACGCCCCTCATCTGCTCCCGCCCCCATCAAAGCCTCCTCCTCATTCTTCGAAGGTTTCACCTGCTCCGCGACCAGCTTAGATGTCTCAGAAAGCGACTTCGCAGTATCAGCAAAGATCTGCTTCCCAACTGTAGCGACATCATCGACGAACAATCTGAAATCCGCATTTGTCAACAGCAAGTTCCCCACCGTCCGAAAACTTTCGTATGCTATAATCCCCGCATTAGCCAAGACCCGTCCAGCCCGTCAATGAAAGACCCACCCGCTCTAGTATCAGCACGCGCCTTCACATGTGCGGCCTGCTGCGACACTCTATCCCCGTCAATCTCCACACGCGACCGCGCCACGTGCCACAGGAACTCCTGGAGCTGGTCATCACCATTCTTCTCCAGTAGCAGCTCGATGAAGGTAGTCAACCACAGTCGTGCGTTGCGAACGAGCTGACGGCCGTGGGAACCGATGTCCTGATTTCGAAGATTCAGGACGTCCGAAGCAAGGAGAGTGCGTAGGTTGGCGATTGTTTGTTCCGTTGTTGGCATGTACCCCTCGGAGAGAGCACGGAGCATCTGGTAGGAGTGGAGTTTCTGGTGGAGGCGACGCTGGCGCGAGGTGTCGTCCTCGTAGCGCGGGAGGAGGGGTTCTGTTTCAGAGGGCATGATTGATGATGGCCCTGGTTATGGGCTTGGGCATACGTGGACGTGTGGTTGAGATGGCGATGAGAATGGGGTTTGGAACGTGTGATGACAGGAGCTAGGCTTACGAGCTTACAGCTTCAAGGAGGGGAAGCGAGAACCCTGTTTTGGCGGCGATGACGACACCTTGGTCTAGGCGTCATTGGCGTGGTTTGCTTTTGTACAAGACTCCGGCTAGAGACGTCTAACACATGGTGATTTTGAGGAGAGGATTGGCATTGAGGGGCCAAGCATGTATATTTTGGAGCCCGGGACGGAAGTCGTTCAGCGATCGGCGGATCTGGGGAAGCTCTTCATGTAACCAACGCCCCAATTAGACTTTGCCTGGATTCGGTCGACATGCATTAATGCATTAATTCATTAATTCATTAATTCATTCGTATTTATTCAAAACCCATTCTATTTTCGTATTTGTTCTGACCGTTGCAGTAAGCTTGAGTTCATCCCCACCGTTTGCCTCTGTACTTCTAGTCCTTGAATTTGGAGGTCGACATAAAGACCATACCGGACTCAACTGTGTAACGATCGAAGGCAACCCCGTCAATACCGTTGAGTGTCAAGTCGGATCATTGACATGCCAAGCATGACTGAAACCACGCGTATATCTCAGCGCTAAGCCTTTTCCCCCCCCAACGGTCTCACCACTTCAACTCTGCAATGTAGCTGCAGGGAAACTAGGAGCACAGATCCAATCAATTGCCCCTGGCTTCCGAATTTTCTCAGTCTGGAACGGGAATCCACATTCGAAAGTCCGAGGGGAAAAAAAAAAAAAAACCGGAATAATGCTCAACGCAGGCTATGCTGGGAATAAAAATGGGCAGGCAATATGAGTTCCGGGATGTCCCCGTCGGCGACGGAAGCCATTCAGGAGGCCCGGACGGCATTGGCAACGCGGCCAACTCGAAACCACCAAAATTCCAATTTCCCCTTCCGTCGTCTCCGACGCTGGGCTTTTCCTATCGTGCCCAGTCCATCCGTTGGCGGCAGACTCCGCTTGCCGCCTCTCCGCTGGGCTCCGTGCGGACCTGGGACTTTGTTTCTAGAAGGCCAAGGCTTCCTTTTTGTAAGCTCGGAGTTTAGGCTGAAAGGTCTCCATCTCGGAGGATCCACTTCGGCAGTATCTGCGGCTCTGGAAGCTGCTTGAAGTGGAGGTCGATGGCTGGGTAGACCCAGTACGGAGCTTCTCCCCGGCCTCCTGAACCAGTCAGGGCCCGGAGGATCGAACGCCCACGCGAGTCCATCTCGTAGTTCGAGAATCTACCGTGTAGAACTCTGACTTGCAGATAAAACTCAATGTGCCCAGCTGTACCGTGTAGCTCGGCTCCCGAGAGGCTGATCGCCGGGCAGACAGGATAGAATGTACCATGTAGAGAGAAAGAGAGAGAGAGTGTGTGTGTGTGCACCTTGATGCACCTACAATATGTAACATTGTACCAATATCCCAATCCCCAATGGATGGTGTGATCTAGACAGTCATGGCCCCTCACCGGCCAGCCCTAAGATGCCCACAAAGCTGCAAACAGACTCCGCATCCCAAGTTGGAGTCACTCAGCGCTTCCCAACTCCACCCACGGCGATTCCAATCCTCCTTACTTGGATCGATTCCCAAAAAAGAAAAGAAGCTTTGTGAGGGATCCAGATTCCACTGCCGATTCACGAGCAACGGTTCGCTGCCATCACCGAAATATCCACCTCTTGGGTCCCCTTCCTGACCCCCATCCCTTCTTGCATCCCCGACTCTTCCCGACTCCAAATCATGTCCTCGTTTTTACTCAGCCTTGACCGTCCTTGTCCGGACCCGGTTATTTTTCACTCGGAATGTCTGGGATGATGTGCGCGATATTGCTCCAGGGGAAGCCTAGCCTGGGATCAGTACATAAAATCACTCGCCTCACGCCCCGTCTCTCTCGTTTCTATCATTCATCTTCTACCCCGACGAGTAAGCTACGCTCTCCGTCTGACACAATGGGTCGGTCTTCTCCTCAACAAAATCGTCCGGTTCATACGACTCCCTTCATGAACCACTCCACCACTCCTTCGTACGTCTCACCGTCGCATGATCTCGCGCGGTCTCTCGTGGTCTCGCATGGCCTCAAGACGGCCTCCAGAGATACCGGAAAAGCAGTACAGTCCACTGACACGCTTTCTAGAGATGCCAACTATGACACCGCCAACCCTGCCTACATCCGCAAATACCTGCGCACCTACGGCCTCACTCCCCTCGCTCCGAGAGCTACGAAACCCAAAAGACCCGTTGCCTGTCTCAGCTCGCCCTGAAGAACACCCCCATCGACAAGTTCCAGTACCTCAGCACTCTCCGCAAGAACAATGTCCACCTCTTTTACCGTCTGATCACCGACCACTTGAGGGTATGCAATCGCGGGCCTTGATTGGCCACACCCAGGAGGTAGCACGAGCTAACGAATCCCTGCAGGAGCTGACGCCTCTGATCTACACCCCCGTCGTGGGCGAGGCATGCCAGCGTTGGTCGGAGATTTACCAGCAGCACGAGGGTGCGTACTCTGACTCAATCTCAGCACGAAGATGAACCGGCGCGCTAACTCCGATATAGGCATGTACCTGAGTTGGGAAGATCGTGGAAATCTGGCTGCCGTCATCGCCAATTGGCCCCAGCCTGCCGTTGAGATCACATGCATTACCGATGGCTCCCGCATCCTCGGACTAGGTGATCTGGGCATCAACGGCATGGGTATCCCCATTGGCAAGCTCGCTCTGTACACGGCCTGTGCGGGTATCCGCCCCGAGGCCACCCTGCCTTTGACCCTTGATCTGGGTACTAGCAATAAGACTCTCCGGGAAGACCCGCTGTACATGGGTTCTCGCCGTGACAAGATCAGCCCCGAGGAGGAGCGTGAATTCTTGGACGAGTTGATGTTGGCTCTGACCGAGCGTTGGCCTGGGTACGTTCAATTCTCGTCTCGTATCCTCGTGTTATCCCGGAATCTCCCCGGGTCGACGGGGATCTGCAAGGTCCGACGCATGCTAACAGGAACTCAAATTTAGTATTGTCATTCAGTTCGAGGACTTTAAGAATCCTTTCCCCGCTCTGGAGCGTTACAAGAACAACTACACCTGCTTCAATGATGACATCCAGGGAACTGGCGCTGTCATCCTCGGCGGTGTCATCAACGCTGTCAAGCGTTCCGGTCTCGCCTGCAAGGACCAGCGTGCCGTGTTCTTCGGTGCTGGCTCCGCTGGTGTCGGTGTCGCCAAGCAGATTGTCGACTTCTTTGTCCGCGAGGGCATGACCGAGGAGGATGCCCGCAACTGCTTCTATCTTGTCGACACCAAGGGTCTCGTTACCGCTGACCGCGGTGACAAGCTCGCCGACCACAAGGTCTACTTCGCCCGCCAAGACAACAATGGCCAGCAGTTCAAGACCCTCGAGGAGGTCGTCGACCACGTTCAGCCCACCATCCTGATGGGTCTCTCCACCATGGGTGGTGTGTTCACCCCCGAGATTCTCCGCAAGATGGCCGATTGGAACACCACGCCCATCATCTTCCCCTGTCCAACCCCTCCTCTAAGTCCGAATGTGACTTCGAGACCGCAGTCAAGGCTACTGACGGCCGTTGCCTTTTCGCCTCGGGCTCTCCTTTCCCGACCGTGTCCTTCACCAACTCCCAAGGCCAGACAAACACCTACTACCCCGGCCAGGGTAACAACATGTATGTGTTCCCCGGCATCGGCATGGGTTGCATCCTCTCCAAGGCTGTCCGTGTCACCGACAACATGATCTACGCCTCCGGCGAAGCACTCTCCAAGGCCCTGACTGCCGAGGAAATCGAGCGCGGCCTCCTCTACCCCGACATCACCCGCATCCGCGAGGTCAGCGTCGTCGTCGCCCGCAACGTCATGCGCGCCGCCCAAGAAGACGGTGTTGATCGCGAGACCGCCCTCCGCGCCATGTCGGACAAGGACCTCGACAACTACATCAAGTCCCGCATGTATGATCCTCACACTGAGGTCCGCTCCCTCGAGCGCGAAGTTGGTCACCTCCTCTCCAGCCTGGGCAACATGACCCCTTTCTCGTCTGGCACCCCCACTGAGGAGATCAACGGAAACCCGTACAAGCTGTAAGACTTTTCTGTCCAGCTTTGGTTTCGTGTGTTCATTGCCGGCGCCTTTTCTTTTTTTTTTCTCAAAGTTGTTCTGATGGACCCAGGATCATTCCGTGAATTTGATCCATAAATATTTTCCTCTTTTTCTCTGTTTGGTTTCGAGCGTCATTTCGGATATGGATATGGATATTTTTTTTTTTTAATTTCTTTGGAATACCCTCATTGTTGCACCTTGGCTTGATGCCTTTGCATTTGGGATTGGATATCGATCGTGGAATCGAATAAAAATTGAATCATTTACTTTTACTTCACTCCACTCCTATCAAATCTTCTTTAAGTACCACTTTCTATGGAAAGACCAGCTCCCGGGTAGAACCGCAGCTGACTTGTGGAACCAAGCTACTTGCGACTAGTGCAGGGGCCGGCTACACTTGGTCCAAATATTTTTGCCTTTCCACCACCTAAGCATCCGCTTCACTCTCATCCACTGGCACTGTCGAGAACATAATGGCTGTTTATACTCCCGCATATACTCCCACAACGTTCATCTGGCTATGCAGGTAACTACGATTCTCCTTCACACCAATCCGTCCACAAGGGCTCTATCTTGCAATTTTACTAATCTCTCAGTACCCTGATGGTTCTGAATACTGTATCCTACATTGCTCAGCTTTGCAACCTACATAAGAAAAAAGGCAAAACGAGCACTACTCCTCTCTCTACCTCGTTTTTAATATCCTCAGTGCAACAGAACAGGTGAATTTGTGTCATTGGTATTCCAGCGATGTAGCAAAGAAATCCCACTCGTCCGGAGACCACTTTGCTCACAGATCTCGTGAATGGATGAATCTTTCCCAATTAGCGACAATCTGGATGCTATTTACTTTTCTGCAGTAAGCGACCTAGAGAACTCTCACCTTGTCACTCCAGCTCAGCTCAGCGCTAGAGCCTCGAATCCGTCACTAATATGTCCGCTTGCGCAGATACCTCACAAACGTCTCCTTTAGCCCACAATCATTGAGGACAAAACTTCGATATATAATTCCGGGGGCGCTGTACGGGTTATACATACTAATTCCTCTCGGTTTCGGTAATTCTCGCCGCACAATGGCGGAGATGTTTACCGCGGATGCTCCCCACCTGCTGCCTTATCTCAACCCCGCAGTTTCTGTCGGCTTGTATACATTTTCGACGCCAATAGTTCCGAGGAGGCCGGATTCTACCTCCCTGTTGAGCATCGCTGGTCTCGCTAGCCAGGCTATGGTACACGTTATCCTGGCTGTGTCCTGGGCTCTGATGGTCAGACCTCGGTTGGATCAAATTTTGACCTTCGTGTGGCCTGCTCTTATTATGTCATATAACTTCTTCTGGTGGCCTATGGTGGATAATACAGTTTTTGCTGTATTGCAGGGGAGGTTGCTTTGGAAGGCGTGCAGAGAAAAGAAGGTCGTCGCCAGTGAAGATCGGCATGAATGGCTGGATGGAGATGAAAAGGCAGAGTTACCAGGGACGGTGTGAGGTGTTCCACCATCCTACCAAGGATGCAATATAGGCTCACAGGGCGTCTCTTTCGATCGAACATGAGAATATTCAGCGGTTGGGTAGAACAGAATCAAACAAGTATTTCTTACATTTTGTATACCTATCTACTTCTGAAACAGTTACTGGAAATCATGAGATGTTGAGATACCAGATCATGAAAATTGAACAGAGTCTATTTGTAAGTCTCTCTCTACCTTACAAAGCACCGGGAAATCTTCCAGGCTTGGATCACTTCCGTCGGAGGAACTGAAAACGCCGACTACCAATACGCTAGGCATTTCACAGTGGAATAGCGCATTTCAGAGCCCCACTTGTGCCTGCAAAAAGCATTCGCACTGCACTCTAGATTGAACTTTGATCGGTCCAAGACCCACTGGATCATAGCGTAGATCGACTAAGAAGAACACGGCGGAATAAATCTCTCCGCATCGTGATGACTAAGAACCGAGGCTATTTTCGCCATTGTTCGAAGATTTCATATTCTTGTATATCTCCTTGCTCTATGTGACTAGGCTGTGTTCACTGCTCTTTAGAATCCTGTCTTTTCCGCTGTTCGATAGTCGTACATAACTTCGGTTTGTACGCCACAATTGTCTCTTTGACGGACACAGCTGCTCGACCCCTGTCCGATCTGCACCTTCAGTCCATATCGCAATCTCAGAGCTAGACTATACCTACATCTGCTTTTGAACCCCAAAGTACAGCATGCCTTCAATTCTAGCAGATCCCATCAAGCTACCATGCGGTCTCGTCCTTCCGAACCGCCTCTCCAAGGTTAGCATCCCCATCCATAAACTCCAACACCAAATCCGCGCAATTAGCATTAACAAACAAATCAGGCCGCAATGGCCGAGCAAATGGCGAAAACCAACACCCCTAATGAAACTCTCAATTCCGCCTATGAGCAATGGTCTCGCGGTGGCTGGGGCAGCATCCTAACCGGCAACGTCCAAGTCGACGTAACCCACCTGGGCAGCCCCTATGATCCAGCCCTCCACGGCGAATACAAGGGCCCATCTGACTCTGCCCTCGTCGCAGAGTGGAAGAAATACGCCGACGCATGCCAGAAGCATGGAACACCCGCAATCGTCCAAATCTGCCATCCTGGACGCCAGTCTTTCCGCCCTGCTGGTCGACGCGGCATCTTCGGACAGACTGTTGCTCCTAGCGCTGTGCCAATTAACATTGGCAATAGTATCCTTGAGCGCGTCATTGCATGCTTGGCATGGTCTCAGCCGCGCGAAATGAGCACCAGCGATATCGAGAAGGCGATTCGTTCATTTGTTGATACAGCCCGTTTGATGGCTGATGCTGGGTTCTCGGGCGTTGAATTTCACGGTGCTCACGGATATCTTATGGGTGGGTTGATCGTCGTCGTTTTGTTCCTTTGCCAGCTTTGATTCGATTCTAATATCATAAACAGATCAATTCCTCAACCCAAAGACCAATCTTCGAACAGACGATTACGGTGGCACACCCGCCAAACGCGCGAGGTTTATCCTCGAGGTCCTGCGTCAAACCCGCGCTGTCGTCCCTAAGGACTTTGCAATCGGTATCAAATTGAACTCGGCCGACCACTCTTCATCATCCTTTGAAGACACAATGACGCAAATTTCCCTCCTCGTTGAGGCCGGGATCGATTTCATGGAAATCTCTGGCGGGTCGTACGAAGACCCTCGAATGATGGGATATCCCGCGTCCAAGTCTCAGGCTCCTAAATCCGAACGCACCGCAGCTAGAGAAGCCTTCTTCCTTGAATTTGCTCACGAAGTCAGGAAGAGGCATCCGGATCTCGTGTTGATGCTGACGGGTGGGTTCAGGAGTCGGGCTGGGGCTGAGGCGGCGGTTAAGGATGGGGCTTGTGATCTTGTAGGTATCGGGAGACCGAGTGCGGTTGACCCAGGCTTTGCAGGCAGATTGTTGGATGAGGGTGTCAAGGACGAGGATGCGGTACTTTTGTTGGAAAAGGTTCCTACGCCTTGGTTCTTGGGGTGGTTGCCGAGAAATCTGATCGGAGCGGGAGCTGAGAGTGTGAGTCTTTATACTTTTATCTTGATGCTAGAATTGGGATATTTCGAGATCTTTGCTAACCGTTATGGCAGACTTATTATGCAGGCCAGATCACTCGGCTGGCAAAGGGGTTGGCTACTGTTGCACCGGCTCTTTGAGCTTGAGGGTGAAAATCTCTGGAGTCTGGGTCTGCTGTTGGGTACATTTTGTATAGAATATAATATGTCTGTATACCTATGTAATGTTCATAATACTTATAACTTGGTAAATCATTTCTTCGTAGGCCATTTACTGCCCGGGGACAGAACCGCAAGGAATTACAAGGAACCGTGGCTGCTTCCGTGTATTCGTAGCCCCAACAAGGCCATGCTCATCTTCACCTCTTGGCCGTCAACCGCCAGCCCACGGTCTGCCGTACCTCGAGCTCTATTTGTTGAATTTAACTTGACCTCTGGCACTATCATGCTGCTAGATTATGAACTATCGAACCTCCTTCTTTTTCGGATTTGTCTCTCTTCACAATTCATGGAGCATCTCAAGGATCTTAGATATCACATTTTTGAATCGCTCTCTAGGAACAGATCTTTCAAATTTCTTTCCTCTTGATCTCCCATTGCATCTAACCGCCGGCGTAATAATTCATTACCCTCCGTCAAAGATATGATAAATTTCGCCGCCTCCTCAAGAACATATTTCCGGGTATAGTTATGCTTCCCAAGCGCAGGGACAATGTTCGAAATATCTTGATACCCTTGCGCAATGATCTCCCGCCTTTTCTTTTCCGATCGACAATGACAAAGCTTCTGACCAGGCTTCTGCACGCATTTACGCTTCTTGGAGGGTGGCGAAGCGTGATTCTCAAGCGAGCTTGGCGGAGTAACAGATTTCCGCTTCTCAGAACCGGATGTGCTCGCGGAGGATATCGATCCGGGCGTTTCACTTCGGTATTGGCGATATCTAGAGACATCAAGCCCGTTCAACTGGACCGGATCGGGGTCTTTAGCGTATTTGTAATGATTCTTAAGTTCAGCGTCGTAATTGAAGTCGATGTTCACACTGTCGCATATAGTTGCCATGTTGCGCATCAGGTTCCGGACTAGGCGTTCCTCTGTCCAAGAGCCGATAGGGCAGGAGAATCCATGGTAACAGAAGCTGGGATCGGAGCCCCATTGTAGGCCGTTATCGAGTGGTAGGTGTCTTGCTGTACCTCTATTCTCTGTGACATCGTGGCCTAGGTGAGGTCCAGCGTCGAAATCGGGAGTGTGAGTCGCGTGTATGGCTGACATTGCTATCGACGTGTTAAGGAACGAGCTTATCAGGTCTTGTTTGTGCTCCCAGGCGATGTATTGGCACTTGCTTTTTTAAAAGGATTTAGCGGTTTAGGTGAAGTTTGGGGGATCTTGTCTCTGGTCATAAAAGAATCGCATATGGCTTCGGGGAGAGAAAATGACCAAAACTAAGTACTTGCGGAATCACCGGAGCCTAATATCCTAAAACGCATTGTTGAATGTCGATCCGTGGAATGATCGCTCCTTGCGAGGGCTTGCGAGTTATTAGGCCCTCGTCGTACGTCAATGCCTGAACACACCCGGTTATCAGTAAGGGACCGGGTGCATCCCGAACGCCCACATGTGCAAACTGCAACGTGGTTACTTATTGCGGCATAGTCATCGCCAACCTCCGCTTCGACTCTGGAAATGTTCTCCTCTATTTTTGAGTTTAATATGCTTCCCTTCAATCGTATCTCGATTGTTTTACGCTCGGGATTATCAGCATATATGATTTATAGTGTCACGTGAACGGCTTTGGGTGCGTTCCGGACATCGTGTTGCTCACTCTTTCCTTCCCAACACTTATGTGTCCCAGCTGGGAAGGATCAGAGCGGCTAGCACCAACTCAGGATATCTATTGACGCACTTCTGGCGATTTGCTCTCGCAAACAGTGGTTTCATGAGGCATACGTGACCATTCATTGCGCCTTGATTGATGTGTACAATTCCCGGCATGGGGCGGGGAAAGCAATGAGCTAGAACAAACAATCACCTTTTTGTTCCAATCCTATGTCTTCAAGACACCGAATCTCCAAAAGAGACACTCCCCGCCGGCGCAAAGTCTCCCTGGCATGTGAATCATGCCGAGAAAAGAAAGTACGATGCGACGGCTCCAAGCCGATATGTGGGCCTTGTGAACGACGATCCTATCCAATCGATCGATGCGTCTATAAACTTGAAAATGCTCGCTCGGCGAGCAATGACGAATATCTGAAAATACTGCACAATCGAATTCGGGAGCTCGAAGAGATCTGTTCTCAAAATGGTGTAGCTGTGCCTCCTGCGCCCCGAAGCGTCACTGATGGGGAGACAAGACTCGACGATGTCCTAGAGCCTCAGTCTGGTGCGGACCGCTTGAGTACGAAGTCTAGGACCTCTGTTGCTGTAGAAGGGCTACTGGGACTGGGATCACCCCCCCGTGGGGGCTGGCCCGCAGCCTTCGCTGGCTTCTCTTTCACCTGGGACAACCCTACCACCATTTCGTAGTCTAGCTACTTCCCAACCGTCTCTGCCCAGCAGCAGACCTTCTGAATACGATGGTACCACACCGCGGACAACTTTGGGCTCTTTCGATGCCACGCAACTATTTACCGTTCACCATCCCTCAATCAGCATGGCAACGTGACTGCCATGGGCGCGATATCTGTCGCAGAGGACGAGGCCACTGATGCGCCTCAAGAGCAATATTATGGCAACTCATCTACAGTATCATTCATGCGCCTCGCAAGAGAATCTATGCCCATCCAAACACATCTACAAGCTCTGAAGCGAATGGAAAATGATGCACCAGATGCTTCCCAACGAGACACGGGACTATGGAAAGACTGTAACGTCCCCACGCTGGGACTCCAATTCGATGACTTTTCTTTACCTCCTCGAGCCCTCGCAGACCATCTCCTTGAGTGTTACTGGGAAAGGGTCCACTGTCTATATCCATTCTTCCACCGTCCGAGCTTTGAACAGGCATACGAAAATCTATGGGGATCGACCAAGTGGCCGAAACCCGAACTACCCGAGCTCAACATTGGACTGGGCGGCTCCTATGATTCGGGCCCTCAGTCCATTGTCTTCCACTGTGCTCTCAATGCTATCTTTGGCTTAGGCTGTCATTTCTCGGATATCCCTGTCACAGAGCGCGAGGCAGCTGTGTACACATTTTTCCTTCGGGCGAAGCGGTTTGTTGGCCTTGACCTGCTAGATTGTGGAACTATTGGAGTTGTACAGACGCTACTCATTATTGCAATTTTACTTCAAAGCACACCGTACCCGATGCGATGCTGGAATAGTATCGGCGTTGCTTGCCGTGTTGCTCAGGGTCTTGGTCTACATGAGGAATCTTCTCAGCGATCTATCGAGCCACTGGAAAAAGAGATACGGCGACGTACCTGGCACGGATGTGTTATTATGGATATGTAAGAGTACCCTTTGCTGCATCGATTTCTTGAAAGAAATGTTTTACTGACATAATTCAGGATTGTGAGCATGACTTATGGCAGGCCAAGCATGACATCGCACATCTCGCCTGTCCCACTCCCTGGCATGAGACCTGCATCTCAAGAAGATGATCCATGCGAGCTGAGCGGACAACCCTAAGTTAAGAGCAAGACCAGGTTTTGAGCATGGCTAACCTGATCCACAAAAGATACATCAACCGCAGGGTTTGTCCTGATCATGTCATATTCTTGCCGCTCGATCCTCGACCAAGTAGACGCCCGCACTGTCGACGAGAGCTGGCGTAAATGTGAAGAAGTTCTCTCGATCATGTCTTTGTTCAGTGTTTCTGCGCGGAACTCGCTTCAATTCTTGAAAGTCACGCATGCACACATTGTTCAGAACTATACCGGTATGTCTTATGAATACGCGTATTCAGATGCTCGTCTAGAGACTTACATAAGAACCGGCAGCTCGAAATGAGAATACTGCACCTTTGAACCCGAACCAAACACAACGGAGAACAAGACGCCAACCTGGTCTTAACCTCCCTACTCAGTCTACAGGAAGCGAAGACCAAATCTCTGGCGAAATTGATTTGAACTCCCCGATCAACCCATTTATGAGCTGGGAAGACACAGGCCTAGGGGTAGGACAAGAGGACTTTGGGTTCCTAGGAAGATTCGACCTCCCAGACCTAGCAAGCTGGTTCACAGACGTTCCAGACCTATGATTCGTCTGATTCTCTGTACACAATTATTATAAAGCATCAAATAGCGTCGTATCAGCATGGCTCCAAAAGTTCCCCGAAAGATTCTCCAAAGTTTCAAAGTCAGGCATCCACAAGGGATCATTTTGATCCTGATCAATCCACGGCGCAAGCTGTAATGCCATCCTAACCGCATGATCCGCCTCATCAGCCTGATACGGCGTATTCCCTTCCGGTGCGAGTCCTTGCGGATTCGCAGGCGAGAATTTCTCACCAGCTGACATCCCAGGCATGGCTGTGTTGAGTGATACGCCCCCATGCTGCGCCGTCATCAGTTCGGCCATGTTTGTATTCCGGGCTGTTTCGTTGCCCTGAAGTTTCTCCATTGCGGCGTTGACCAGGAGTTCGAATGCGTCTCGGTATTTCTTTACCCATGCGGCGCGCTCACCCATGACGAATAGAACTGTTGAGCAGGCACGGATGTCATTTGACATTCGGACGGACCATACTTGATCTGTGTGGGTCCAGAGGGCGTAAAAGAAGAGTAATACCGGCCATGAAGACAGTTTGGACGGCTAAGAAGGAGTGACCGTATTCTAAAGTTTGGTGGAGGCGTTTGTGGGTTTGGCAGATTTCGCCAGCCGCGCGAAGACAGATGTTGTAGTACGGGTCTGTTATTGGGAGAAGGGGGAGAAAAGGTTGGATTAGGAGTCTGACGGCGCGGTTGTAGTGGAGCATTGGGTAGTCGAGGTCTGTACCCGTGAAGCGTTGAAGGGCGGATTCTTTCCATTCCTCAAGTTCGAGGTAGAGGGGGTCCATCTTTGGTCGAAGGGAGGAGAGGGGGCGGTCAGCCCGGTAGATTTTATGTTGGATGCGAGAGTCGATGCGACGGAGTTTGAAGAGGTAAATTGCGAAGGTCAAGGATGTTGGCTTGCTGTGTGGTTGGGGGTTTGTGAGGAGGGCTGGGTCTAATGTATCATCTTCCACATCTACTGGTAAGTCCAGATCGATGTGGCGATCGGAGATGCTGAAAGGACGGCCAAGAGACATTGATACAACCCGCTCGAGGTAGTAGACAACCCAAAACAAACGCCTTCGAATTTGAGTAGTGAACGGGTCCATGTTGATCTCGTTAGCCTTGCGGTGGAGACCGAGGTCGATTGCCGTTCGCATGGCCAGTCCGATCATATACCACATTCCGTGACTGGAGGCTGTGCGGAGGTGATATACCACGAGAAGTACCATTGCCTCGATGTTCTCAACGGAACGAGCTTCGCACATCGTTGGGACATACTGCAGTGCGAACGTATAGTATCGCTAAGAACTTGTCAGCCGGTACCCAATGAGATTTGGGAGAACGGACTCACCTCGGGCGCAGTAGATACGTATTTTTCGGTATCGCTCAGCCTGAGCATAGTCGCGCCAATGGCGTAAACCATATTTAGCTTGAAGAGAGCAAATCGATCAGGTTGCGAGAGCTCTTCACGCTTAGTCTTGTACAGCCTCTCCCTCTCCTCGTGAATGCGCCACATCTGTCGACGGTCTAGAAATGGGTAACGAGAGTGCAATCGGTGAAAATATGTATCTAGAAGTCTTGCTCCCATCTCATCGGATGGAGGCTCTAGAATGGCAGGCAAAAGCTCTTCCATTCTTCTGGGACGATCTTGGGTTCTCGCACAGCTCCCGGGTTGCGATATTCCAGCCGGCGCTCCAGAAGGATTTTGACTTGATCCAGCAGATAAAGCAGCTTGTTGTTCATGCATCCTGGAGATAAACTGGTTCCACACACTGGTCTGAACCATTTCGCCCAGATTGGCGGCTAGGGAGAGGCCAGAGCTTGAACCCACGTAGGCAGGGGCTTCGGATGAGCTTAGTGCAAGAAGACCTACCATTTCGCCCACTGGATTGGTTTCGAGGCCGGATGCTGTTTGGGGCGTTACTCGGCCTCCCTTGGGTGACCATGTTGCGCTGCCGACGTGCCCAACATTCTGGCTGGGGTTGGCTCTGGGCCTAGTTTGCCCTCGAGAAACGCCACCCTTTCTTCCAGAGCGCGTGTGTAACTTGATACTAGTCAGGGATTTGCATTTAATACTCATAATCGCATTCCAGGAAACTCACTCGTTCTCGCGGTCAGCATCTTCTCGCACCCTCGACTTGTCACACGTGACCCCCGCCTTCTGGCAGTTGGAGCAAGTTGGATATTCGTTGTCGCACTACATCTCAGGGATCAGGTTCGGATTCTCAATCAGGTCCATGAATGATGGACTTACTCTTTGTTTTCTCGTTTTGCAGCGGGTACACGCCGTTCTCCCGCGTTTACGGGGATTGTAGTCCTTCGACGCCGGACTGTTCTGTCTGGAAGACGCCGGGCTATGGGCAAGCCCGTACATTGTCAAAATGTGTTGCAAAGTCCACTCAAGAGTGCATCATGTCACTGCTCCGAGGCAGATCGGGGTGAAGAGGGAAGAATGTTGGGGAGAAAGTGTAAGCGGCAGGTGCTGCAATGCCAAGACAATTACATGCTACCCTCTTTCTACCACTACGCACACTGTTGCTCAATCTACAAGGTCCTTTGGTAGAATTTCCACGGTGTAGGATGATTCTAATGCTATGATTCTTTTAGATGAATATGTACTTTGTGGTATCTAACGCTATGCAGAGAAAAATGCAAATCAAATGCAATGAAAACGGCACCGAAGCCGTAGCGTGACCTTCATCTCTTCTGTGTTCTATTTACCCTTGATGGTTTTCTTTCGTGCCCGCTAAGTCTGGGTCAGCACGCGAGGGCGGCATAGAAGACTCCGCGAACGTCGACGTTGAGTGTCGTTTCTCTGCTGTCTCAGTAGACGGGGGCCTCCCGGCCTCTCCCTCGGCCCCAGGTTGAGACTCGGCGACAGCTGCCTCCGCATCCCTTTCAGCCTGTGCTCGCTTCTCTGCTTCGATCTCTTCTGGGTCTTTGACCCGCTCCAGACCCCGGTCGCGAACCAAGCAGCAAGCAAGGAAGCAGACACCGATAAGCGGAACTTGGAGGATGAAGACAGAGTGCGAGGCCTTAGAGTATGCGGTGAGAATTTCTCCCCACTGGGTATCTGTGACACTTGATCTCGATGGTAGGGTATAGGTTGACTTTGTCAAGTAAGAAAACTTCGCAGGAAGTGTCGAGCGCAGGGTTGCTTGCAAAAGAGCGGCCGAGATAGCCAGACCACACGCGCCACCCATACAGCGGAAAAAGTTTCGGTTGGAAATTGAGATGGCTCTCTGGGCTTTGGTGCAGTGTGCTTGCAATGCGACCAGAGTGGGTTGGAAAGTAAACCCGATTCCTGTGCCGGTAATGGCGACGATCACTGCGATGACAGCTGGATGAGTATGGGCATCGAAGAGAAGAGTCAAGCCGGCGCCCCTGTAGGAACTGTTAGAATCACACCAGGCATAAAGGAGACAAATGCATCACACTCACAAAGTCCAGAGGCCAAAGCCGACCCAGATAATCTCACCATAACGCTTAAGTCGAGAGATATACTGTCCAGAGCATATAGATGCGATCGACTGAAAGGTCACCATGGGAGCAGTCAGCGCTGCTGACACGATTGGTGACCACCCACGTCCATTCTGGTAGTAAAGTGGTAGGTAGTAGAGATATGACTGATAGACAGCTCCGAGTAGGAAACTCTGCAGGAACAGAGCCGAGATGACCTTGTTCTTGAAGAAGTGGACTAATGTCCCAGTCAGCCAAGGTCAATTCCGCCACTCTGAAGAGGACAACATACCTGGAAGCATAGGAAGTGCAGCCACTTTCCACTCAATGAAAAAGAAGGCAATAAAAGCACATCCCCCAATGACAAGCATACTAATCACCATCGCAGAGTCCCAGTTGAAATAAGACCCGCCGCCAGAGATAGGAATCAAAATAAAAATGATTCCTATAGAGGAAGCTAGAGACCCGAACCAATCGATACGGCGTAAATTTTTCCCAAAGCCATCCCTCCGGGCATTGTTTGGAATCAGGTAGTACCCCACAACAGCAGAGCACGCAGACAAGGGCGAAATCAACCAGAAGAAGCCGCGCCATGTCGACTTTTCAATGAATGCAGCAGCCAGGAACGGACCGATGATGTTTCCCACGCCGAGGGAACCCCCAGAATCCCCTGGTACTTGCCACGCTTCTCGAGAGTGACAATGTCAGAGACAATGATCATCGTGAGAGATGTGACACCGCCACCAGCAACACCAGCCAAACCGCGGAAGACATAGAACATAGCCGGACTAACTGAGAGTCCACAAATCAAATCAGCAATGCAAAGCAAACACAACGCTGAGATGTACACGATCTTTCGACCGAAGATATCTGATAGCCGGCCATAGAGTACCGTGAACATGGTATTCGCGATCAGAGATGAGGTTCCGGCCCAGGAAATGGTATTTGCCGCTTCTAGATCCCGGGCAATCGTTGGTAACGTGACACTGATTCCATTCTGATCGACCATAGTGATCAGTAGCGAGATCGCCAGACCGGTGAAAACTACCATCAATTGTCCAAATGGTAGAATGTTGGTTTGGTCGTGAAGGGCCTTTTCGGCCTCACGTTGTCGATTCATGATGGGTTTGAACGGATAATTTTGAAATGACTCGTTTAATTACCTTGGACGGAAGGCCAACAAAGCACATCGCAAATTCCAAAGTACGCAACCGATTGCGAAAGCCTGGGCGGAAGATTGCTCGGCTGGACGTTTGATCGTGGTACACACGCGACAGATGAGACAGATGACACCTTTGGAATGCAATTCGAGCTGGAGGCCAGCTCATATATGGATGAGGAACGAATGATGATTTTTTTTTTCAGTATGTTGCAGTCATTAGTGCCATCCGGCTCATCGGCAAGCGACCTGGGCATCGATTGGAGATTGTCGCCGCGCAAACAAGATTGGAGTCGGATATGACTCCGACGGTGTCGAAAAAGCCCTGCATTTTGGCCTAATCGACTGCCGGTGGGCGTCGATCCAGAAGGCGTCGGCTTAATTCCGCTTCATCGTCGATGTGGTTGGCGCACAGTAAAAATTGCGGAGCCGCCTCTTCGGACCTCCGAACGGAGTTAGTCATCGGGTTAAGTCTCACGCGACAGTGACAGGTCTATTTATTTGTGCTTTGACGGTTCGAGAATCCCATTTACAAGGAGCGGTGAAATTATTGAATGTGTGGAAGTCTTCGCTATCTATTTATTGAGTCCAGATCATGTAGGTGACTCTCTTTTTGGAAGATGCTGCTGCATCTGCTGCTGCATCGGACCTTCCGATACCGCAGATAGGGCGTGATATCAAAGCACAAACTTGATGCCAACCAATTTCTCGCTCAGATGGATCAACAACTCGGCAGATTTCACACTAATCGCAGAGGGTCCTGCTCTTGCGGATTGGCAATCACCGAGATACACCGTCGATAGATCAGAGACAGCTAGCGCATGATAGTCAAAGTCAGCATGGAAAGGGACTTGGATGATTCCTACCTTTCAGCGCAGGGTCATAAGCGGCCATAAGCATAGTCGCCGCACCTTGATCGGCGCTTTTCGATAAGTTGCTTGTTTTTGAGATAATCGGATCCGATATCATCAAAGTCCCGGCTCAGCCCAGCTGCTTGGATGTCAGTATCGTTGAAGCAACGTGCAAGCAATAAAATGACCGACTCACATCCAGGATGTACAGCGTAGGCAACTATTCCATAGGAAGCCAAGTGCCGACTCAATACACTGTGAACAGGAGCCTGGCTGTCTTTGACTATCCATAAGCCAGCCACCCATTATAGCCCTCAAGCGTTGGGGGCATCATACCTGCCGAGCATGAATCTACAAACGCACCGAGTCTCATTAGCGACAAGATCAATTGCTGGCGCTCATAAGGAATGTTCCATCCACAAGAGTCCTTCTCATTTTTTCGTCGAAAATCTGCAGAAAGCGAATATCAAATTGATCGAATAGATGAAATGGCAGCTACAGATCCTCTCCTTTAAATAATCCAATCATCACCTGAAACATCCCAAAAAAAGTCCACACGATACTGAAACGGCGACATGGAGATCAACGAGCAAGCCGCGAACGACTTCCAACACAGTCGAAGGCCATTCTTCTCAATCTCAACCATCGTGCTAGTGGATTTCCACTTCTAAATTTTCGAAATTAAAGATCAGATCTCGAATTTTCAGAGATAATGTAATTCGAGCTGCCATAATTTGTCTTGATAGATATGGAATCCTAGGCTTGCTGTGGTGTAGCATGTCCAAGGGTTATAGTAGGATTGCAAGCTGAGCTAGACAGCACCGCTCTCGAGCTGGCGCGGCTTGACCGACTCCCGTGCACATTTCTTTTTGAGGCCATGTGGAGTCGGGCTTGACTTTGCGGGGATGAAAAGGTCCAGTTCTGGTGGTCCCATGATTGACGCTGTGTATACTCCGTGGGGAAGGGTCGAATGGGATCCCTGAATTGATTGGTGAATAGTTGTAGCCGAGCCGATGGCTCAATTCAAGCTAAGTGAGGAGTCAGGCTTGGATATGCGGGCTTTCAAGGTCCAAGGTCACTGCTCTGGAATCTTCTGAACCCCGTGGCTGTAAGCTATAGAGGATTGAATGCTCCGTTTCAGCGGACTGGAAGCCTGGTCTCAGTGATTGCGTGGCCTTGAACTGGTTCCTATAGGACTCTGCTCTTATCTCACTCGGTTTAGGTTATAGGCTCAACCACTTCGTATAAGTCTAAGTCAATCGCCCAGCTACGTAAGTGATGGAATCCTGTGGGTGGGGAAGATCCGCGTGCACAATGTGGAGAAGCGGGCCCCATATGCCTGCTTTTCTCTCGAAAACAGGAATTTGGAGGACAGTCCAGGATTCCGATCTAGTTATATGTCTTAAGGCTATAGTAGCAATTAAACTCTGGGTGGGAACCGAATTGGTCCTAGTACCGTTCATCAAGTTCATGTCTGAAGCAACCGGTCGTAAGGGTAAGTGACATCAATTTCAAAGCGAAACACCATCATAAGGACGAAAAAAAGCCTATGAAAATATCGAGAGTCAAAGAAATTTGACTTAAAGTGGTATCAAGGAAAGAGGGGGAATCATCAACATCCAAACTCGTGTCTTGTCGTTATCGTAAGTATGTGAACTCTGGCATTATCGAGAGCTTCAAGCAAAAGTCAACCACGCAAAATTCAAACGTCTTGCAATTAATCCATGTTTTGGACATCAGTTGAGGAAAAGTCAGCCCAAATCGATAGACATGAAGCATATGCCTGAGCCAGCATCCTCTCACAGGCACTGACTTCCGGAGATTGCCATTTGATACTGCTTGCGATCGCGCTGAATAAACCTCAAACCTCTTGTGGCAAGCAGAAACGGGATCCCGTAGTTGCATGATCGGTACTTGAAGGTAACGCCCTAGGTATTACTCGGATCAATAGGAACCCCTAAGCCACCAGTAGCCCAAGCATTATGTATGTCGCGGGCGCTGAGTGTATTAACGGCAAAGCCACTATCTTCAGCAATCGTGTGGCTACCAGTTTGCGGTCCATTCTGGGGGGGCGGGACCTGGCTGTCGCGTGACAGCGCTCTGGTTTTGCACTGAGGTGTGAGGCATGTAGCCAGCTCCCGTGACGTTTCCCTGGTTGGGGATAAAGCTCTGATTCAGAGAGCCACACGTCGTGCAAGTAAATTCAATCTTGAAGTTTGTGAGCACCATTTGAGGGACACCATGGTCGCTACGTTGCGTATAGTCTGAGGGTTTAGGGTGCCCTGAAGCTGCGGTTGGTAGAGAAGGGCCTGCTGAATATCCAACACCTGGCTGGGATATCGCCATAGGGCGTGGATTACCTAGAAGAGACTGACCCTGGGTTCGAATAAGAGGCGTTTGTGGTATGTGAGATGGCCGTAGGGATTGGACGGGTCCTGGCGCGGTAGAATGAGTGGTTGGGGACTCGGTTGTATCCACTGAAGCATCGTCAATTAAAGACGGTTGCAGCGGCTCTTGCATCCAGCGACTCTCGGATATATCCCTATATGCTGGCCCTGCACTTGTTTGCGATTCAGGCTGAGAGTGAGCAGGTGAGTGTTGATCGACGGTGCTCATATCAAGATCTAATGACTGCTCGCCTTGGCTATCTGCTTGTCGTGGCTGCAATTTTGTCAATGCGCGCTGCGCTTGTCTCATAGAGATGTCATATCCGTGGTAACGCTTGACAGCGTCGACGACCTCCTGGCCTTTGATCCTTGAGTTCATATCGAATAGCTTGGGTATCTCACTGAGCAAGAACCGCACATGGGAGGCTTCGGAGCGTGCAGGGGTCATGCCTGCAGTCGCTTCACCCCGTCGGCAACTATGGTCGTCTTGGAGGCTGGTGATGTAGGTCGCGTTCTTGTTCGACCGACAGACCACGCGAAAGAAGCAATTGGCCCCAGAACGGCACCCAATAACCACGCTTTTCTTATTGCTTCGAATCACTCGAAGCTCCCAGTGTTGTCTGACCGATATACTTCGTATGACCGTCTTAAACTCCTCCAGAGAGGTAAATCGCTGGCCCACGTGGAGCCCCGAGTACATTTCCGTCATGTCGCCGGCGGAAACGCGCGCAGCCAGGGTAAAGATGCCCGAGCAACCGAGAAGCCAGTCACAGATACCCAGGCAGTATATTCCATCAGGGTGCAGTCCGTAAAGCGCAAGAATACTCAATCGCGAGGACAGCAGACAACGCTAGTCAAGTGGGAAGATGTAGGTTCAGCCGGGCATTCTCGAGTGAACACTGTAGCGAGCTATCAAACTCGGTCACAGCAAAGATATCGATGAATCCTTGGGTATGTATCGCTGTGGATCGTGGACGAGTGGAGTGAACGCTCCTCATTCCTCGATTGTCTGGGGAAGCTTAGAGTTAACGGGCGGCAGACCGCTCACCTTGACTTTTCTGATTCTCCTCACGTCACCTTTCAACCCCTCCCCCTACTCCTCGACTTCTCAGTCTCAGGCTTGAATTCGCCTGAGTCTTCCAGTCCATAGACCACAAATCAATGATGGCTTCCTACGGCCTGCTGGGCCAACCAGAAGAAGGCTCGTCTCATCGCAGCCAACTACCTGGCTCCCAGCTAACATTCCCGCAGATGCGCTCCACAAGTCACGCCTCCTCAACGTCGAAGAAAAGCCCTTCAAGCGAATCTCCAAGCGCCTACTGAATCCCGAATCTTTCATCATCTCACCCTCGCAGACCCTCACTCCACCCCGGAAGACGCTGATCCCGATGCGACCGCGGCAGCCGAAGCCCAAAGGCAAAAACGCCTCGAAAAATGGCGCCAATTCCGCGATGATGTGACCCTCGACTTCGCCGCTTTTGAAGGAAGCATCGCCCGCATCCAATTCCTCCTCACCAGTAACGAACAAGAGCGCGAACGCTACGCGACTGAGAAGATCCGCATTCTGGAGACGATGCACTCTGTTCGGGAGAACACCAATGAATTGCGCATACAGCTCGAGGAGGCCCAGAGGGTTCTCGCTATGCGGAAGAGCTATGATGAGCTTGCGGAGAAGATTACCAGTAATCGTCTGCTGAAGCCGCGGGAGGATCAAGAAGCGAATCTGCAGAAGCTGCAAATCGAGATTGCCGATTTGGAGAAGGAGAGCAAGGATTATGCAGAGACTTGGACGGAGCGACGCGAGCAGTTCGGTCGTATTGTAGAGGAGGGTATGCAGCTGCGCCGATTGATTCGCGATGAGAAGGAGGAGGTTGAGCGACGGGAGGGTATGCAGGAAGATCAGGACGGGGATGATGGCGACGTTGGCTCCAAGAGCAAGACTAGTGGACCTAACAGTCCACGTCCTGAGGATAGTGCGACGCCCTCCGGACAGAACCAGGATGAAAGCCGGTTAGGTGTTGAGAAGCCGGCTAGCAATGTTCGGGGAGTCTCGCCATTGCGGCAGGTGACTACAGCTGAGGTTATATCACCTGCGGAGGATACCAACATGGTGGATGAGGGTGAAGTAGAGGAGGGAGAGGAGTCGGAGCTAGAGGAAGGCGAGGAGCTCCCGGACGACCGCGAGAAGATGGATATCTCATGAAAATTCTCTACTCTACGCGTGTACATTACTAGCATGGTGTTTGGTTTACCGGGGCGTTGGTCATTCGGGTCTAGAATCTATGCATTTTGAACTGAGCTTTGAACTTGACTACTTTTGGGTATTTAAGACTTCCTATCCTAGGACACTTCACGCTCTGCGATCTTAGCCATGGCGATGGCTTCCTTGGCGGCAGTGATGTGCTCGACACTGCTCTCAGATCCCTTCTGGCCCTCCTCGGTCTGCAAGGGTAGTTTAGTGTAACGCATCCTGTATAAATTCTGCTGCGGGTGAACTCACGATGAGTTTCTGAAGATCAGCGACGGTCTCGACAATCTTCTTCTTCAAGGTGGGCATGACCTTCTTGGTCTCCTCCAGAGCCCGACGCTTTTTCAAATTAGTCAAAGGTCTCAAAGGAACGAATCAGTGACTCGACATGCCTCCTGTTTCAATACGTATTCCTTGTTCTCATCTTCGTTGCTCTCGTCCTTCTCCAACTTGGCAAGGCGCTCAATCTGCTGCTGCAGTTCACGGTGGTAAGAAGCCTCCTCCTTGACGAGACGGATGACCGAAGAGGTCGTAATTTCCAGCTGTGAGCGAGGCATTGTGTGGAATCTGTTTGGGGGTCAGTCGTGAGCTACAGAGAGCTGCATTTAATGTATGCGTGACGTCATCTTTCCCTCGAGAACATGCCGCGCTGGCAATATCACATCTGCTCGATCCTAAGACGTACCTTTTTGTTTCTTTCAAGTTAATTGATTGGAAATCCGATCACAGCAAATCGTGATATCAGAAGAGCCCCTCATGATCGTAATTGTTTGCTGTGTTTGCACAAGGGGTCTCACGTGCTTGGATCTCATGGATCCGAGCAGAAATAGAAGCTGTCTGACAGATTTGGGCGTTGTTGGAAGTAGAAGTGTGAATTCCCGCTCCTGATGCTCGCAAAAGACGCTCGGCGTTAATTGAACTTCGTTCATGTTATCTTCGCAACGCTCCCTTTGTGGTTTGACTACGACCCTTTTCAGCATTCGCATCCTGCTGCCCCTGCCCCTGAGATGGGCAACACTAGCGTAACTTCGGCTGTCCCTCTACAGTACAACTCTCTTGTAAAGTAATAGTGAGAGTCTGTCTATTAGACCATAACAGAGATGAATATATCCTTTTAAGGCTGTAAGATCACACCCATTGGACCCACCCGAAGCTCGGGGATCCGCCCTCCCGCAGCAACTTGCCTCACGGTGTCTATTGACTTCACTACACCCTGAGTCGAAGAGCTGTGTTCTGCCTCGTCCTCCAGTTTCGCTCTCATCTCTCAATGGGCCGTCTTCGTTGTTTCGAAAATCCTTCGGCCGAATTATTTACCATTATAAAGTCGTCATGCCAGCCCCGTCACTCAAACACCTGGCCACGGCCACGGCGATCAAACACGTCAAAGGTGAGCACATTAGACGAACAAGTCAAAGAACCCCTACTAATAATTTCCTCATCATGCAGCACTAAATGACATCGGCAGCCTCCCTTATGCGCTAGCTCGCCCGATCCTACTGAAAGTCGACAACCCGGAGAAATTGGTACGTCAGATTCAATCACTTACACCTACACCCCACAAAGAACTCAACCTCTAACCCCAATACACTTTTCAGCACGCCATGGAACTCCTATCCCCACATATCGCATCCGAAGACCAAGAAATATGGCTTGAATTCATCAAGCGCGACATCCCCCAATGGGGTACCTACGACCTACCCCAACGAACAAACAAGTGGTATGAAGTCTACTGCGACCTGCGCGAAATGGTCCAACGTTCCCTCGATGCAGACGCCGAGAAAATGAAAATGGCCATAGACGGCATCCAGTCTGAGCGCGCGAGGTTGACGCCGAAGATCATTTCGGGCACGAGGGCGAGACGAATCGGCGGCATCGGGCCTAGTTTTCGGCAGAGGGTGGTGAATGCGCAGCCGAGAAAGTCGACTATATTTACACCGCAGAGGAGAAATACAAGCCTGGCTATGCCGACGAAACATTTGAATACTAGGGCTAGTCAGGTGAGACAAGCACCGAGATCCTTGATTGAGGATCATCTGGTACCTGTGTCTGCGCCGAAGAGGGATGAGGCGAAGGCGCCTGTTGCGCCAGGGCGGGCGCAGGATGATGGTAGGGGGTCTTCGTTAGCTGAGCGCGAGGCACGGCTGAGGGCTCTGACTTCGGGAAAAGCTATGCCTCATGGCGCAGGGGAGATCCGAAAAGTCCCAGTCACCTCCAGAGAAGTGGGTTCCCCGGCTAAGAAGCCCATTCCTAAACGTCGAGCAACATCGCCGCCCCCGACTTCTTCCTACACGCCTCAACTTTCAGCTACCGGTGATTCTGCGTCTGATTCCACACCCACGAACGCTCCTCGTCCCGCTGTTGTTCGCAAGCGACAAGACGATATCTTCATTCGTCCGAAACGAAAGCGAGTGCTCTAAATCGTGATTGTCCCCTTCTACTCTCCTTGCATTGAGCGTTCTTTTCCATCCACTTGCACGTTGCTAGTGAACATGTTGCATCTCTTGGAGTCGGATCTAATGGGAATCCTCTTGGCTTGCATTCTGGCGTTCATGTTGGGATTCGACTTTAGGTCTGAAGTCATGGTTTCGTGTTATGCTGGACATACTTGAGAAATAGTTCAATTGATATTCTTCACCGGTTTTCTCACTAGACAAAAGACTCGTGGGCGTCTTTTGTGTCGGTATTATAGGGTCTTGAGCTCGTAGATTGGGTGTGATGTGCGGGGAAATAGAAGTGAGCAAGATGAAGACTGTAAGCCAGATCTAGCTGTTCCACATAACAATGAGCAGACTAGATCTTGTCGACGACCCATGAGCCCAAGCTTGGAATGCACACCTTTACATTTCAGCTCCGTAACTCATGTGACCACGCTCATGCGCCCATTTCCATCTCCCCATATCTCAAATGCAAAGATATGCGCCGGTAACCATCAATGTAACGTCATATTGCTCTTGCTGTAAAAGAAGGTGGTCTCTAAACGGCAAAACTGATTACGCATTGCAGCCACCACGCAGAGCGAGGACAAGGTGCAGCGTAGCTCCACCCTCGAGGTTGTATTCCGATGCCGTCTTGTCATCCGCCCTAAGACACATAGGTCAGCACGAGAGTTGAAGCAAGTAATTCAGTTCGAGGTGATATACATCTGCTTTCCGCCGTAGATCAGACGCTGCTGAACCGGGGGATGCCCTCTTTTTCTTCAACGCGCTCCTTTATCCGAGAGACCTGACATGATCGCGTTGTATTAGCTGCTGCCAGGTGCGGAGGTGTCCAGCATTCGGAATTTGACGGTCCCTGGCGCGTTCATGCCGCAAAGTAGTCGGTACTTCTCACCTTGTAGTCAGGCTCAATATCAAGCTCGATCTCCTTTCCGGTAAGGGTGCGGACTCTGCGATGGGTCCTGTGTAAGCGGGGTGTTTTGTGTTCCACGTCGGAGGTCCTCGATGATGCAACTGGAGGTGGGAAGGGTTGGGTCGGCAACGTACTTGATCAACATTTTGCTTTCACACTTTCGCTCTCGGTAATGGTTTGGGATAGAGAGAGAAAGGCTTGTCTGGGTCACGGGTGAGAGGGAGCTTGGAGTTCAATGAGGGTCTTGGAGCAAAGAGAGCCGCGTTGGCGGGGTTTTGGTGGGGCCCGTGGCCTTATTGCCTGATTGATACTGAGGGCGAAGCTCGAGGGTTCTCCTTTTCTTCTTGCCTGTTTACGTGGAACAGTTTGTAGTCAAAGTTTTAAGGAAACAAGTCCCCCATTTTTTACTTCACTCCAGAGATCGGATTTCCGATATACACTTATCGCTTCTCATGAGAGATATTACTTCCTCGCACTCTAATTGGCGGATTGAAGCCTCACAACAACCAACGAGTAGGCTTCTCGAGAGTTCAATGAATGACTAGTGTTGAGCTATTAGTATTTTTTTGTTTACCCTTTTGGAAATTTGAGTGCTATTTGTGCTGTCTGATATGGCCCGTAACTTGATGGTAAGAATCCAAGGCTATATATATCCACCAGCTAGCGCCACGAATGACATTCGCTACGCCCGGGCCTATTCAACGCATTCATAACTTGCAACTCCTCAGACAACACCACCTCACTGATTTTGTACCCAATTGACTCTCAGAGAAAATAAAATCAATAATGACCATCAAAGCTGCGCAAGAATTACCAGCAAATCCCTTCCAGCAGCTAATCACGGCATGCAAGAACGACCCGGTAAGCCGTGTTTGAGCCACTGATTGACCAACAAGATTGACGGTGTGAACAGATAGAAATCCAATGTGTTTATGAAAAGCATCGAACGAACCGTAATGCACAGTTCAAGGAACGTCTCCTGAATCCTGCCTTTCGAGAATGGCAATTTGATGAGATCCTGCACAACGTGCTTAAGGCTGAAAAGGGTCTGGTCGACTACGTCGATCCCAGACACAACCTTGGCTTCTGGACGCGGCCACCTCGTCATATACGAGAACTTGTCTCAGATATTCAGCGAGAAATTGCATCGGTAGCGGGCACTTGTGAGTTATTTTTATTCTTTGGGGAGGTTTCTATACTGATTCAATGACAGGTCTCTGGTTTATGCCTCCAGAAAATCTGCACATGACAACCCTTGAAATAGTATCCGGGAAAGAAAAGCGAGATGTCGATGAGGTCACCGCGTTTCTCCAAGCCAATGCGCCGCTACAGGAATTGGTGAACTACACCCTAACACATCGTGCTCGACTTGGACGCCCAGTCGTCAGCTATGATGCCTCTGCCCTGGCTTTGAGCTTCCTTCCTGTCTTCGAAGGTACAGAGAAGACGAATGAGGCTGAAAATCGGAGCTATTCTTATCACCACCTTCGCAGAGACCTCTACGACCGGGTCACCCAATCTGGTTGCCAGATCGGGGCCCGATATTGTGTGCCCTCGGCGCACATTACGATTGCACGATTTGTCGTTCCTGTTGTATCTACACACGAAGAAGAGCTAGCTGCGCTTGAAGGGAAGGTAGTCAAGCTTGTTGAAAGACTCGAGGACATCAACCAGGAATTGCGATCAAATGACTGGAAACGATTCGGAAACCCCTCACGAGGCGAGTGGACTGTTGGGCAAGAACAAGGGCTGGAACTTAACAAAGGAGTAGCATGGTATGGAACAGGCGAAAAGGTCATGATCGGTCAAGGACATCCATAGCCATGAGCAACTAGAATTGAACATCAATGGACAGAGCAGCCTGATCGGGAAATACCGTCCGTGCACATGATGACTCATCGACTTATTGGTGGTCAACCCCCAAAATGGTTTAGTGCACACCCGAATAGGGCCTAAGCGAACGAAATCCCACAACCCAACCATCCGCTTGAGACTTCTCCGACAAGCGACAACTCAACGACCACCACCCGCTACCCGGCAAGTCAGTCAAAATGGTAAGGCTTTTTGCTCTCTATGCTCCAAATCATGTGTCCTGAAGTCCCGGTCCCTCGAATCTCGTCCCGTCGATGGAGGTATTGTGCGAGCAATTTGATGTGTGTGTGTGTGTGTGTGTGCGTGGCCGAACTCGATACTGTCAAGGAAGACCAACGGAACGTCGCGAATACCACGAACGGCAGCAATCAGCTTGATACTTCTGGCGGTACTTGATCCAAGATTCGACGACTTGAAAGCCAGCTATAACGAAGCGCCAACCTGACCGAACGGCAACCCGAGGTGCGCGCTGTGTGTGCAATCGAGAACCCCAGGACACAAAAGAGGGCAGAACGTTCGAGAACCTGAATTTCGTGTCCATACGGCGCTGCCTGCGCACAATGAATTTTCGATACGGATATTACCTGCGAGCGACGTGACGGCGAGGAACCTGAGTTTCGGACTTCAGACACACAACTTGCATATTTGATCACTGCATGCACAACAGAAGCTTACCGATTTCCCGCGTTTAGGTCAACATTCCCAAGACCCGCCGGACTTACTGCAAGTCCAAGGAGTGCCACAAGCACACCCAGCACAAGGTCACCCAGTACAAGGCTGGCAAGGTAAGACCTTTCGATGAACACCAGCAGACTCGCAAGTGCTGATATTCCTCCTCTAGGCCTCCCTTTTCGCCCAGGGTAAGCGTCGTTACGACCGGAAGCAGAGTGGTTACGGTGGTCAGACCAAGCCCGTCTTCCACAAGAAGGCCAAGACCACCAAGAAGGTTGTCCTGCGTCTCGAGTGCACTGCCTGCAAGGCCAAGAAGCAGCTCGCCCTGAAGCGCTGCAAGCACTTCGAGTTGGGGTACGTCATGAGATATCCTCCGTTTTGTGCGGCTGATACTAACCTTCTTCTTTCTACAGTGGTGACAAGAAGACCAAGGGTGCCGCTCTTGTCTTCTAAGCGTTCGATTTCCTTGTTCGGCTTCTGGGTTTCCTGCATTGCACAAGACGCTTCGCTGCCTTTGTGGAGGTCATATGACGGTGGCAATGGAAAAATGAGATAGGAATTCATACCTTCAAAACACTCAATGACTACCATTTTATGAGTTTTTTTTTCCCTGGATCGTAGCTTTTTGCCGGTTGCTAGTACCCAGCCCTGATGGAACCGACGCCTCTAGCTTCGTGGTCTTGGCAGCAAACCTCGTGTCCCTAGACTGAGAGGTCATCTCCAACGACTCGGAGCGTGCCCGATTTACTCCGCATCCCCATTGTCAAGGTGTCTCGTTCCGGAAGCTCGAACTTGATTCCCATCGGCCCTGATGATTCACTATGCAAAAGATCTTGAAGTCCAATATCAGCGGTGACTTGCTCGTGTAAGCAGCCAGTGGTCATTGGCCGGCCTGGGCATACGACTACAGTATCAATCTATTTCTAAATGAGGCATGGTCAATGCTCATGAGAAAAAGCAAGAAACTGGATTCTATGCCGGAGTGCGTCTGCTTGTCAAGTTACTTGATCCCCCCAATCTGGTACTCGGGATCAATGTTCACGTCGAGGGTAACGCAAACACCAAAGTAAACCTATATCCACAACCACAAAAGTATGGCCAAGTAAATTAAGCAAGATCTCCGACCTTGACGAACTCAACGCATCCTCTCTGCCGTCATCAATCATGCAGATGGTTCTAGGCATGACTCGTCCGAATCATGGAATGCACATTCCGCGGTGCAGACCCCCGCAAACCCCCCCCCACGCCCAGCCAGTGCAGGAACGTTAAATGATTCACGCGATAGTGGCCAAGCCGGGGAAAATGGATGTGACAGGATCCTGGAAAGGTGCTGGAAGCCCCAAATCTCGTATTTGTCGGTCCCATTTGCCCCGGTCTTCCCCCGCATGCCCAGAAAATCATTGCCAACTCGGCTCACCTCCGACTTTTGATGGCTGGGCCGCTATTCTTGATGCAGTGTCACGACCCCTCGCGCCCTCGGACATTGACCGTGTAGATAAATCAGATGCCCTGCTCAAGATCTGCTCTTTTCGCTATCTCATTCTGATCTACCTTGAATTGCGATATCTGGGCGGTATCTAGCTCTCGTATTTCACCATGGCGATCTGGTATTCCTTGGGAATCGCTTTCTTCGCCGCCATCGGCACATTCTTGTTTGTATGTCATTCTGCTCACTTGGACCGGGGATCGACACCCGAGCTTTGATGGATGGCATGGCTAATTGAATCAGGGTTTCGATACCGGCATCGCTACGACTAGTGAGTAACCTATATCAAACAATAAGCCTAAAATATAGACTGATCACCATACAGCTATCGCCCATGAAAGTTGGATCAAGTACATGGATAGCCCCTCTAAGGGTCTCACCGGCGCTGTATGTCAAATCCATTTTCCACCGTGAGCCCAGGATAGCCGTGAAATAACAGGTATTTCAGGTAGTTGCAGTCTACATCGCTGGCGAAGCAGTCGGAGCGTTAACACAAACATTCATTGGCGACAGACTAGGCCGTATCCGCTTCATGCAACTGATGTGTATTATTGTGACTATTGGCACAGTCATCCAAACCGCCTCTGTCAATATCGGCATGTTCCTAGCAGGCCGAGTCCTAGCCGGCTACGCCGTCGGGTACGTGTCATCACAACCCCAATGATCATCTATCATCCAGCTGGAACAAAGATTGCTAAAAATCTCATCTAGAGGCCTCGTCGCCACAGTCCCAATCTACCTCAGTGAGATCTCCGATCCTCGCTACCGCGGCCTGATCGGTGGTATCTCAGGTTGCGGTATCTCCTTCGGCACGATGGCATCCAACTGGGTTGGATTCGCATGTAGCTATGCGCCCTACGGTCCCGTTCAGTGGCGTCTACCGCTCGGTATACAGATTCCTTGGGGAATTATCATGTTTATCGGGTTGGCGACGTTCATGCCTAACTCTCCGCGTCAGTTGATTCGAAGTGGTAAGATTGAGCTGGCGAGGAGCGAGTTTAGGAGGATCCGGCGCGGATTCGAGGCACATGAGGTGCAAGAAGAATTTCAGCTTATGCAGGTGCAGATTGAGTATGAGATGGAGAGGGAGATCACGTCTTTTAGGGAAATTTTCAAGTTGTTTAGACATCGGGTTTTGGTGTGAGTGTTCCTTTCTTTATTTTACTTTTACTGGGATCACGAGGCTTGACGCTGATTCGATTTTAGGTCTATCGCGGTGCAGACTATGACGAGTCTTACCGGTGTCAATGTCATCCAATATTATCAAAGTGGGTTCTACGTCTGCGCATACTTGATTCTTCTATGCTTGCTCATCATCTCGCAGCTATTCTATACAAGTCGCTTGGAATTGACGCGCATATGATCTTGGCTCTGGCTGCTGTGTACGGCACCATTGCATTCCTGTCTAACGCTGTCACTACGAAGTATCTGACCGATTCGTGGGGTCGCCGAAAGTAAGTGAAACTGATGCACCAAATGAGATCAAGTCCGTCTCTGACCGATACAGTATGATCCTCGCCGGTCTGGGCGGTATCGTCCTCATTGAGATCTATGCCGCCATTATGCAGATGGAATTCCAGAATACAGAGAATCATGTCGGCAAGGGATTCGCCATTCTGGGAATCTATCTCTTCGTCGTCTGCTACTGTGAGTTCTCTATCGAAATGTAATCTCGATCGTCGGCTAACATGACTTTCTCCAGACGGCATGCTGAACAGTACAACATGGCTATACGGTGCCGAGGTCTTGCCTGTTCGCTCTACGCAGCAAGGTGATGGGTCTCGCCGCTGCCTCTCATTTCATCGTCAACGTTGCCCGTAAGTAGGACAGAGTCTGTCATGAGTCCCACCGCTGACAGATTTCAACAGTCACCGAGGCTGGGCCTAGTGCTTTTGCCAACATCAAACAGAATTACTATTATGTCTTTGTGGCCTGCTCATTCTTCTTTCTCGTCATCGCTTACTTCTATTTCCCGTGAGTGAGTCCACCGATTGGCAGTCACATGATGCTAACATCATGACAGAGAAACCAAACAAAAGACCCTCGAGGAAGTCGCTGCATCTTTCGGCGACCGTGTCGTTCTGGCGGACGAGAACACCAAGGGAAGTGTCATCGTTGGCGAGGCGGATCACCTCGAATCGGCGGTGCCGAAGGGGCCTTGAAATTCAGGTTCTCGAGTCCGGTGGTTGAAGCCTTTGTCCGTTCGTACCTGTTTGTGATGCAATTATTTTGATTCGAAACTTGATGAAGACTCGTGAAGATTGCCAGATAAGAATTCGTAGCCTGAAGTCGCCCACCTTTCCCAACCAGGAAGGTCCCTGGGATTTTAGAATGCCACCTGATGTCGGCTGCATAAGTGAATTATGCCTTTTTTGTCAGCCACATCTGTAGAAAGCTATTAGTCGGGTTACCTACTTAGGGAGGTATATAGTCGGTCTCCCAGGGTGTCCTTGTTTCAGCTCTACCACAGACTATCCATTCGGATCTGTCCCTTGGCCTCTATACACTCCGCTTTCGGGGCCATCCCTAAAACCTGCAACAACCAAGACGGGTTCCAAGATTTTCAAAAAGAGAAAAAAGGAAAGAAAGAAATAACTAGAACCTCCCTATCCGAGAGGGTATCCAGCCGATCCGAAAAACTCTATCGCCATGTGCGATGATCCCTGTCACCGATGATCATCGCTCCATGTTCATATCCGAGAGGGTCAATCCCGGCCACAGAGCCATACAATGCTCGTCCAACGATGATCTGGAACATGCAGGCTGTTCAATCGGTTTCGGTCTGACCTCATCCCGACCGGCTATGTGTTTAGAGAGCACTCCGATTTCTCCGGGGTTCAGGAACACGAGGCCCGAGCCCTGGGCCCCGAGGCCTTGGTAAGAGCCGATAGTGCGCATCATGTTGGACATGATGCTCCATGTGTTGAATTGTGGTGCCCCTTGCATGATCTGCATTTGGAATTTGTATTTCCATCTGGCTGTGTCATTTGTGTTCGTGCTCTTATTTGCATGGGTTTGGTGTACAAGCTAGTGGGTGATCCATCGATTGAACCTTCAGATGATCGTGTGGAACCGGCTCAGGGCGGATCAGCCCTACTAGGAAAACTGTTGTGGCAACCTGGGACTGACTCTAGGGCTGGGTTCTGACGTGTCCGGGGTACTTATGTTAGATTGAAGATGAACGTGAAATCAGAATTTTCTTGCCGGGATGCATGCTCTTTTTTTTTTTTCAAGTGTGGCTGAGGTGTGGCATCTCCCTTTTAGCGTGCGATCAGCACGATCGCTTGGGCCCTCTGTGGCGATGTGCGCTGACACAAATCCGTGTCATCAGGCATCCACCATCCGATTGCCGGCATTCTTGTTTCCTTTCGAGCTTGACAATTGGCTTCTGTGTACAGGGTCCCTTGATGCGTGTCTTTTCAGCGCCCCGTTGCACCTTCCTATAGTCGAAGTCGCAAGAATATCAAAAGTACCTGCGGTTCATCGTTCGTGCCAACACCCTCTGGCATCGATTGTCGATTCAATCAAACCAGTATTTTTTTTTCTTGTTTTCTTTAATATATATTGATCATTCTAGCGATATCGGGCCCGTCGCAGTTGCACGGAGGACATGTTTCATCGGAAGGTGATGGATGCCCTGAAAAACTTAGATCCCCATGGACCCGGTAGCCTGTAGGGGCAAGCCTGGCGGATCCTCCGATGTTTTCTAGAAGGCCTTGGTGGCTCCACTTCTTCGGCCACTCCGCGCTAGTTGCGAATACCTGCTAGTCTATTTTGGAATTTCATGCTATAGGCAAAGAAAGGGGCGAATGGTGCTTCAGCGTGGTGATCCCACTGGGCTGGACCGTTGCCTCTTTCCGAAGTTTTTCCATTCGAGCCATTCGTTCCTAGATTAGTTGGCCATGACGCACACTGCTCACTTATAACTTTAAAGACTCTGGTTTTCCCCCCCGCCCTGTCAAGGTGGATTCTGTCCATTGTCCCAGAACCTTGATGGGTCCTTAACTTGAAGGTATCCGCTGATCACAAGCCTCGTTATCGAGTCCCAATTTTGCGTCGGGGTCATTTGCTGGCGCCTACATGTTTGTTGGGTTCAGGTTGCTACAAGGGAAGTCTAAGCATCAAGTGGACGTGATCTCTGTGCATCCCGGTGGCGCCGCCCATGGCTTCTGCCTCCCGGTTATCTGGGAAACGCCTGCCCATTAGTTGTCAGGCATGTCGAACACGAAAGATCCGTTGCTCGCGTGATGGTCGTCCATGCCAGACATGTGTACGACGAGGACTGGGGGCTGAGGACTGCATCTACCTCGGCCAGCCTCGACTATCATCCGAACAGACATCACCCGCAGATCCCAACGTGCAAAATGAACTGCTAGCACGCATTCGCAATCTTGAAAGCATGCTCCAGAAACAGGTCCACTCGCAGGCTGGAACGCCCGTAGCAGGCTCTCCACTGGGTCCTCCAAGTGTCTCTGGTAGCTTTACGGATTCTGATCTTGGTGCGGGGCTCGACACTTGGGGAAGTCCGATGTCGGGCAACGTGGGGACTCTCCACACCTCACCTTCAGGCCATGTGCGTTATGTGCCTCTTGCTTCGCAGTGGGAATCTGTGGTGGCTAAATGCCCCGCTGCGGAGTGCTTGCGGAGCCCTGACTCGGACATCGCAGACGACGACGATCTGCAAATCCCGTTCGCTCGAAATGGCAACATCTCACGCGCGGACCTTTTGGCTATTTTGCCGCCCGGTCGATACTGTGATACATTGAAGGAAGTATATTTTCGAGTTTTTTCGCCCGTAAGTTGAGAAGTGTATGTTGGTTACAGATCAAGGCTAAACATCCTCCAGGTCTTTCACATCCTTCATGACTTGACGTTTGAGGCCGAGTATCAACAGTTTTGTCACGACCCTGGCAGTGTATCAACATCTTGGCTCGCCTTACTCTTTGCAATGTTAGCTATCTCGGTCAGTGCACTTGATGATGACGACCCACTGTTGTCCGATCTAGGTCGGGAACGGACCGTAAGTCGGAATATCAAGGTGTTGTCGGCACGCTACCGATCTGCTGCCCTTCAATGTTTAGCTGCCGACAGCGTGATGACTCGGCACTCAATCAACTCCCTACAAGCATTGGTCCTCATCGGTTATGCACGCCTTCATCGTGGGCTACCTTTTTGGACATTACTTGGGTTTACTCGGCATGTCGCCATATCCATGGGCTGCCATATCGACCCAGAGAGGTTCATTCTAGGACCCATTGAACGAGAAGAACGGCGTCGAGTTTGGGCGGGTCTGATGATGCTCTACACAATTCAGAACACATCATTCGGAAGTTTAGATCAACAGTTTATCATGCAAGACGTGAGAATGCCAGCCGATGTCGACGACATCGACCTCCTCACTGGCCCAACAATATCCCTAACATCCGGCCCTTCATCCTCACCATCAGCTAGCCGGCCAACACAAATGACCTATCTCCTCCTCACTTTCCGCCTCTATAAAGTTTCCAACAAAATTTGCGAAACGATATTCACGTACCCTCAATCCCGCTTCTCCGTCTCCCAGCTCGAAGCTGAAATTGTCTCAATTCGAGAAATGTGCGACTCGCGCTATCAGCTCGACGCTGCACAGAACCCTCTCCCGGTGCAGCACCAGGCCAATCTCAACATCCTCTATAGCCAGATCAACCAACTCTTTCTTCTCCTCCTTAGGCCCAGTCTATGCCGGTTTCTCCAAGGCGAAGTCACGACGGAGACCTACGCTGCAAGAGCCAAGTGCATGGCATCCGCAAAGGCGTCTCTCTCAATCTTCCGAGCACTCTTGGGATCCGCCCAGTTCACGCCATATAAATGGTATACTAGTGGCCTAGGTAGCTTCCACGCCTTTCATGCGGCTGTTGTCCTCGCCGTTGGACTCATGAATCCTGAGAACCAGGCCGAGTTCGACGAGATCAAGGACATGTTAAACAAAGCTCTAGACTTGTTTGCTTCGCTCTCAGTACGAAGTATATTCTGCAGCAAGGCCGTTCCCATCATTCGACAAATTATGTACGTTCTTTGAACCCTTATGATGCGTTATGGGAATCGAACTGACCAATTTTGACAGAGAGGTGGCTTCAAACTATTATCACACTCAACCTCAAACCAAACTCCAACACTCCCAACCCCCGACTCAGACCCAAATTCAAAATCCTATGCTCACCACTCTTCGCCCAAATCTTTCTTCGGTCACCATGCATGAAAGCTTTGTCCTCTCACACCCGCAAGCTCAGTCCCCAGTTCCGACTATCGCATCGCCATCGAGTGATCCAAGTATGCAGTCTAGTTTTGGGGTATCGCTACAACCACAGAATTGGATCGGGCCGACATCTGTTCCTTGGGATACCCTAGGCTCTTCACTAGGGCAGTTCGGGTTTGACTAGTCGTCTAGCAAGGGGATTATAGCATGTGTGTAGCTTTTCGGGTTTCCTAGATTTTCGGGCTTACAATTCTGTAAGGGCGAAAATTCATGTGCGGGAGATTCTATGGTTCGGGATGTTATATTTAATGAGATCATGATGAATGAAATGTATCTAGTCCAAATCAACGCGTGAGACGCAGTATTAAAAATAAGTGCAGCATTACCCGCGTTCAAATATATGTCGATGGCTAAAGTTTAACGGGCGAAACATGCAGTCACGTTGCACTAAGGACTGGCGATTGACGTTAGCATAGGTCTCTTCGGGGATTTGATTGGCATTTGTATTTGAAAAAGAAAAGAAACTGAAAGGGAATGGTAAGCGCCCGGCGCATGGGAGAAAGTTGAGTTGGGGATCAATCGGGAACGGGAAAAAGCAAAAAAAAAAAAGAAACGTCAGCTACATGATTCGAACATGTGCGGGCGAACCCAATGCATTGCCGAACTGTGATCAGTTCAGTAGATAATTCTAGTGCATCGCCTTAACCACTCGGCCAAACTGACTTGTTCATGTATAGAGGATCGTGCATTGCGCTTATGATAATTGCATGGAAATGACCCCCAGGAGAGCAGACGTTTCTGCTTTTGTACGTGAAAGTAATTTGACCGGTCGCATTCAGCTGATGTTGACTACGAGACAGTAATTATAGATGTCTAGAATATTTCCGCATATTGAATTGGTCACTAGGGTTTACTGGTCCAATCAAATATGATAGACAAAGCACAAGTGTCAATATTTGAGAAGCAACATTCTACTCTAGTTACCCGTGCTAGTTGACTTAGATTCATCCCACAATCGTGCAGGCGAGGCTAGATGGTTGATCGGCATGAAAGCCATCACATAGGGCATGCTCGTCCATCCGCCGAAACGACCTTGATCTTGGCAAGCCTTGTCAAAAATTAGAGCCCTGGGCATGATCGAACTTGCCTGCCACTGGACTGGCGGTGGATTTGCACGAGCGAAAACCGCCCACTCTGATTTGAGTTAAAGATCGGCTCAAGATCATTCTTCAGAGTCGGCACAAACTCAATGTACCAAACAGGCCTGATCTCCGACGGCGAGAAATTTGTCAAAGACGTCTACGATGCCCTCTGTGCCTCGCCCCAATGGGATGAAACCCTCTTCATCCTCACCTTCGACGAGACGGGTGGTCTCCACGACCACGTCCCTCCCCCGCTGGCCGTTCGGCCCGATGACCTCACATACACCGAGACTGCGCCCAACGGTCCGAACTACACTTTCTCCTTTGACCGTCTCGGTGGCCGTATCCCCACTCTTCTGATCTCGCCTTGGGTTGGCAAGGGTTTGGTCGAGCAGAAGGGTAAGGATTCGAACGGAAAGACTGTGTCTTATTCAGCTTCTTCCATTTTGCGCACTTTGGGCTATCTTTGGGACTTTGAACCATTTACTCCTCGTGTTGGAGCTTCGGCTTCATTCGATCATCTTGTCTCGCACGGTCAAGCGTGATGATACTCCGACTGCGCTGCCGGAGCCGAATGCTTTCAAAGCCAAGCACTGAGTCTTTCGACGCGGTGGGGGCGCTAATTTGTGGCCTTTTGCTTAGGATATGCTATTACGCTATTATAGACGTATTTTCACGATTAAAAAATTTGAATGTAATCTTCGATTCGAAACAGCAGAGCAATATGTGTGGAGAGAGGTCACGAGAGTGAGCAGTAGGAGAAACAGATGAGAAGCCAAAAATCGAAGAGAAAATAAAATGAATGTTTCAATGTTCTTCATAATTGCAACAAGATTCCCTCTTGTCGAGACATGCCAGCCTTCTTTGGGGCTCAAGTCAACTGGAAGTAGCGGGGCGCATAAGAAAGACTGTGGCTTCGCCTCGGCATTGATTCGTACATGCAACTTTCCATGCGTGCCACTGAGCACCCAAGTTCTCAAGCGGCATTTATTGTTGGCTTTTAGGTCTTTCTTATTATTTCTCCTTAAGTCGCTATTGGGCCTCTATTCTTAGTGACTTCACTCGCCGAAGCTACAGGCTCACACCGTAATGTAGTAGCTAGCTTAGCTCGAAAATACTTTCGCCATTCATTTCTTTTCACTCAATATCGAAGTCTGTTCCCTAACATAGACGACTACGGCAACACAATTCCGGTTGGGGCCTCATAGGTTATCGGCTATGCTACAACTTCAAAACATGCCATGGTGAAATCTCTTCCACTCCACGTATCGCTCTTTCCCTGAAACACCTTCCCTCAACCTCCGATCGAACTCATCTTGAGCTCCTGACTGATCGGGTCGGAGTTTCAACCTGGAGGGCCATTCCTCGATGATAGTATGGGGTTCTTTCATCATCTCGCCGGAGGCCTCACCTGCCTCGCGGAATTCATGATCTTTCAAAAATCTCTACTATACCCATTAACATAATGTCTTCTCAAATAATGCAACGATGTTATATTTACCTGTCAACAATGTGGTCGTACGTTTCGACACGTTCTCGACCGACTCTAAATTTGATGATTGTGGGATCAAATCTGGAAGTCGCTCTCTTTGGAGGCAGATACTCTAGAAGTCTCCTTGTTTCTCGGCTGTTTGTAGTGAGGCCCCAAATTCTATCTTTGTTGGTCATGGTTCCTTCCACAGCGTTCATGAAAAGAGTAATGATGGTCGCATGTGGGTTTTCGACCGGCGTCTGAAGTAAGGGAGTCATGAGATGTAGTGTGCGGTGAATCCCCAGGCAGCTCGAATCCGAAATGTTTTACACCTACAGAGTGCAGTCAGTGTCTCGATCTAGAGAAGAGTCTTGGACCTGGTATCCTCAATATTGAACAGGTGATTGGTATACAAGTAGGGGAGGGATTGATCAGGCGTTGGTCGCTTATATCCATGCGACTGAAAGAATCATTGTCGAGATGATCAGGGAGGCAAGACGCGTCAAGATGGAGAAGCCTCAAGGCGATTGTGAAGTTAGACACCCGGTCAAGAAAAGAACGGAGTATTTCGCGTAGAAAAAAAAGTTTGCCGTAAATATCAGCGGGAGCAGCTTCGTTGGCTTGTTTCGAAGCCTGTTCTAAAGACCATCCGTTGAGAGTATCCGCGTTACCCTTCATTGGCTATCAGCTGTATAGAAAAATGTCTTGATTGATGTTAGTATACTTTCAAGCCTTTAATTATCCGGTTAACGGGCGGGTTTGGCTCGGTGAAATCATGACGCGGGAATCCAAAGGGAAGCAAAAGCCCGTTTTGGCGAAACTTGTGAAACGCGATTCGTTCGGAAGGCGGGAGACATGTCATGTATCGGTCACGGCGATCTCTTCTTGAATGAGCTAGGGTGTTGGCTGTGTGTTTTCTTGGTGCCTGCTCAGATGTCAAGCAAGCAGGCTTGTCGAAAAAAGGTTACAAGGCGATTCCACGATGATTGCTCAAGGACAAGCCTGGGCGAGCAATTCCAGAATGTTCATTTCTTACCCAAGAGAATTTTCGATGGCTTGTGCTTGATCTTCATACAGATGTCTTGAATTAGAGGTCGAATTCGAGTATGGAGAATGTCGATATTGGATTCTCGCACGAGAGCCGAGTACCAGAGGTGAATGATGGAATGAACCGCCTCGTCGGGATTCTCGACAACCAGTCCAATCAGAAGCAGAAACACATTACGGGCCACGATCAAAGTCTCTGTCATTCATTGTGACTTTTAGAGAGTTTTCATAGGTTTTCGGAAGTTGGGTAATTGTCTTGACAACGTTGCGAAGGTCCCTGAAAGCTATTTGTGAAGGTATGCTTTTCAGTTTCTACCAAATTATAAGACTCAAAATGCATCAAATCTACCTGCAAATAAGAGACCAAGATCTTTGAAAATGCTTCTCCTTCGTTCGAAGCCAATTTGAGAACGTCTCACGCAGGAACGTCACCCCAGAGGTACTTTGTTCCCCCAAAAGTTTCTCCAATACCATCTTTCATAAACGCAGGTGTCCTAGCTTCGAGAACCCAGGCTGGCTGCCAGGTTCCTTGACCAACGGGCGATTCGCATTCAAACCTATGTTGAGGCCAGTGGGACTTCTGACATGTTGTACCGCAGTACTGTGAGTAAAATTGCCCGTCAAACACACTACCATATGTAGGGAATCAGAATGACCGTGAGTGAATTGACTGCAATGAGATAACAACTTCTGCAAGTGGATCGACCTTCCTTCTTGCAAGCAGTTTGCTCGAGGCCCCAGTTGGCACACATAAGGCCGGAGGTAGTCATTGTTCAATTAGTTCTGTTTAAAGTGTAGATACAATTCAGTAAAGATACCAGAGACAATGGGAAGAGCTGCGTTGAAATATCTCGATATAACGGTAAGGGGGTTGCAAGATGATGGGAGAGGGTGAGATACATATGAGCTATCCTATGACAGAGAGTTAGAGAGATAGAAAGGATATGAGAAAAGAAATGAGTCCAGTTATTTGAATAGCCTGGCATCGCTTCCCCCTTATCTTCCTCCCGTCGTTATGATAAAGCTTAGAATTGACACGACATGACTCGCATCTATTATGCATGCGTGCCCAAGTATTGGTTGGTTGGTACAACACACATGCCTCTGCACAAAAGGGCGTGGAATTATCCAGTCAAAGAACAAGTTGGAACAGAACCTTGGCATCAGATTGTGGGAAAAGGATTAAAATCAAAGGATTATGGGAGGGTAGTAGTGGGTGACTGCTGAAGATCTGTTCGAATCGCGCCTAGGGATCTCAGGTACATAAAGCCGAAGATGGCTCTGGGACACAGTCCGTACATTGTTGGTCTTCCCCCCACGCCATCTTGTCAAGTGACCTAAATGTTAAGCTGGAAGGAACAGAAATGATCATCTCAATCTTCTTCTCGCTGAGCTACAATAGCATATTTCTTTTGTGTTTGGTACACTTGATGCTACTTACGCAAAATTCGTTCGACGCTGCACTTCTTGTAGCCATACCCCATCAAATGCACTGCCTTCGCTTTGAGAATCCTAAAATGACGTCTTGGGATACGGCATTCAATCGTATCATGATTTTGTCAAGTGACAGAACGGCCGATGACTTCAGTCTTTGGCAAAAGATGTTACCGAAGACTAAACCAAAGATAGAATGTTTCGGTTCAGAAAGGAATGTTGTTACGAAGAAAGAATTGTAGAGAACAACGATTGACTCGGTAAAGCCGACTTCTATCATGAGCCTATAGCCTATACATCCATGCTGTTTGCTACAAGGCGCATGGTTCTCATCTAGACGATATTGCAAGAGGGTCGAATATTGGATGGGCGCCCATAGCTTCAGTGCCATGGCGAGCCTGGGTTCATTCGAGAGGATTCGGAGAACACGACAAAGAAATACAGGCATCTCGAAAAAAAGCTATTGGCAAGATCCGCGGAAAATGGTGAACAGGACAAGTGTCCAGGCCCATTTACCTAGTTGCAACACATCCCGTAGACACGGGAGAGGGGGGGATACGTCATCCTTCAGCATAGTAGCGTCCGTCTGACCCCTCCATCACTCGTCATTTGTAGCCCCGACAAAGTAGAACGGCTGTCTCAGGAATGGCCCATTCCACACCAGCATGAATAAAAAATTGTTTGCATCAAGCTGTGAGAGACTCGAGGCCATATTCTAGTCCATAGTGTCGAAGCAGGGCTGGAATCACCCCCGCCTCAAGGTGAAGCCGTTGACGTCACTCGAGGCTCCGCTCGTCGGGATCGTCTTGGCCCATGCTGAATTATGAATGGCACTTGAAAAAGGCCGTCGCATTAACCCATCAGGCAGAATTCAGATATGGGAACGGACGGGCGCATCTCATGCAATGCAGGACAAGCTCCCTTGCGTTTCGCATTCTGTCAACCACGTTCTGAGCTGACTCGCAGACGACTCGCAGCGTGATCGGGGTAGGGCACAGGGCGAAGAGCCTCGCTGTATTTCATCGTGTCATTCAGGCTCCCTGTAGCGCCCGGTTTCTAGACTCCCGGGGCGTAGTTGCAAACACTGGGCAGCGGCCCACCGCAGTTCCGTGGATGCGCGCGGGAAGAATCCAAGGTTGGGGGAAGTACTGTAGAGGTCGAAGTAAACAAGTCTGAGCCACGGCACACCGTGTTTTTGCCACGAGTGCCCGGGCAAAAAGTAGCAGTCAAGTCATACATCGACGGCACTTGAAGGCCTTGAAGAAGTCGGTGAAATCAACTTGAAGAGCCTCACGTGGCTTTCTTTTCTTATCTACTTCACGTCCTCAGGTTTTCTTCCCCAAACTCATCTCAACTCTTGCTCTCCATTCTTGGACTATTCCTCAACTCATCTCTTTCATCTCCTTCATCTCCCCTCGACTTCCACCTTCTTCTTTTATCACGTTCAGCCTTACCGTTGCTGCCCAAGTAAATAAATCTGTGCTGCCTGCCGATCCCGGGCACCGCAGAACGAACTCGGGCTCGGCGGTTGGGCCTGAAACATCGGGAGAGCTCTTCGATTTCATTCCAGAAGAATATTCCCAATCGGAAGCCCAGCCTGATCCGCTGCTGCACTAGTCGATCACAGCCTCTTGACCCCACTCGCCCTGCGTCGCCCTGCGCCCCTCATTTCTCTTCATCCGCTTTCGCCCCCCCTCATACTTGCCCCTCCAACCTTTCCTCCTCTCTCTTAACCACGTACCATGTCGTACATCTACAGAGAAAGAGAGCGCGAGGACTACGACCGCCCGGTCACCATCAAGCGGTACGTGGTACCCTCTGAGGACCGTGAGGAGCGCCGCGAGTTCTCAATGAGCCGAGATGACTTTGGTGCCGACCGCGAGCTCGTCATACGTCGCAAGACGGAGCGCGAGGAGCCCCTGACTATTTCTCGCTACGAGCGCGAGATCGACTACGAGCCGCGCCGATTCGAGCGGGACTATTACGAACGTGAGTACATACAACCCTACAACTATCACCATCGCACGAGATCCGCAGACCACTTGCATCCCGGGTGGAACCTGGCCCCAAGGTACATTCGAGAAAAGACAGTAATAATGAGACCAGCCCGAGAAGCCGAGTACGATGTTGTCCGCCGCTCCGAAACCGACGAGGACCCTTACTACTATCACAGCCGCCGCCGTGTCCGCGAGTACGATGATCGCCGCTCGCGCCGTGAATTGAGCCCGGGTGATTCCCTCTCCCAGGCTAGCCGTCATCATAGAGATCGTGATGGCTACAGCAGTGACGACAGTATGGTCTATATCCGGAAAGAGACCACCCGTGATTATGATGACGACCACCCTCACCACAAGCGTCACCTCGCAGAAGGCGCTTTAGTAGCTGTTGGTGCTGCTGAACTGATGCGCAGCCGCAGTAAGCGAGAAGGTAAAGAGGTGAGCCATGGCCTTGGACGTGCTGCAAAGACCGCCGGTGCTGGTGCTCTAGGTGCTGTCGCTGTCAATGCTGCAGGTCACATCCGTGATTACTACCGCAGTAAGAGCCGAAGCCGTCATCGCGCACGCTCCTTTGACGATGATCGTTCGTACCATCATAGTCATCACAGCCACCGGAGCCGTGGCCGTCACAGCAGTCGCAGTCGCAGTCGCAGCCGCTCCCACTCTCATTCCCGTGCGACGACCCTTCTGGAGCTTGGCCTCGGCGCCGCTGCAGTGGCTGCCGGCGTCGCTGCTATGCGTAACAACAAGAACAAGGATGAACGCAAGAGCCGCTCTCGGACTCGTTCCCGCTCTCGCGGCCGGACCTTGAGCACAGCTCGCCCGGAGAACGATGATGCTCGCAGTCAGTCCAAGCGCCGTCAGCACATTCTCGGTGCTGGTCTGGCCGGTGCTGCTGCTGCCGGGTTGATTGAGCATGCTCGATCTCGTTCCAAGTCACGCAAGGGTGAGCATCCTCGCTCTCAGAGCCGCCTCCGCAAGGCCTTGCCTATCCTGGCTGCCGGCTTAGGTTCCGCTGGTATAGCTGGACTTTACGAGAAGAACAAAGCCGAGAAAGAGGGCAAAGAGCCTGTCAGTCGCGAATCACGCGGGTCAAGATCTCGTAGCCGTGCCCGCGGCTCCGAGATGTACCCCGATCCCGCTCGTGACTCGACTGGTTTGATCGAGTACGGCAACGATCCTGTTGCAGGAAGCATCCCCGCTGAGCACTACTACGGCCAGCCACCCGCCCTTCAAAGCGGTGCATACTACTCGGACGGAGGTCACAGCCGACGTCACAGCCGCAGCCGCAGTCGCAGCCGCGCTCCTCGCTACAGCAGCTCTTCTGGCTCAGACCGGGAGCGCCGCCGCAGCAGGAAGCATCGCAGCCGTTCCCGCAGCATCGCTGAGGGCGTCCTTGGTGCTACTGGGTTGGGATATGCGGCACACAAGTACAAGCAGAGTCGGGATCGCAAGGAAGAGCGTGAGCGTTCGCGTTCTCGATCAAGGACCCGTGAGTTCGCCACTATACCTCCCCCTGTTGGCCCAGCCAAAGTTGACCCCAAACCAGGATACGACCATGGTGCTCCCCGTGACCCGTACGAGGAATCCTACGATCCTGAGCCTTACCCCGTCTCTCCCCATGCTGCTCCACACCCACCACCTCCGGACCCGAACTACTACCCCCACGCCAATTACTTCCCTCCCCCACCTGACTCGACCACAAACTTGAACGCCACCTCTCAGCCCTACAACCCAGCAGACTACCCTCACCCACCAGGCGCCGCCCCTCCAGCCGAGCCTTACAGCTATGGTGCCGCTGGAACAGGACCAGAGCACTATGCTCCACGGCCCCGGCGAGCAGACGAGAATGTGAGTACTCCCACTGATAAGTACCACACGCGCTCCGGTGGGTTCACTGAACCGTACTCGGTCACCTGGCATGAATTGCTTACATTGAACTCGTGAATCTAGGTCTAAACAACGAGCCTTCCACCGTTCCGCGCTCCGGCAGTCAACCCCCACCCCCCAAGTCAGTGTCGTTCAACCTGACCCCGGAGGCAGAGGACAACGAAGACGCCGGGTATAACTCCGACGACAGTGACTCGACCATCCAGTCACGTTCTCGTCCTCATTATTCTCGTCGTCGCTCGTCGTCCGTCCCGTATCCACCAATAGCCCCGCCTCAGTCTCGTGAATATCATCACCATAACTCAAAGCAAAAACCCTCTAGTCATCACCAACCTTCGGAATCAGAATCAGATTCGACTGTTGATCTGCCTGATCGATTTGACTCCCAGGGTCGTCTTCTTAAAGAGAAAGAGGACCCGGCTCTTGAGACAATCGAAGATCTGATTAACAAGTTCACGCGAGTCTTGTTCTGATTTCTGAACTGGTTTTGGAGTTGATAGGAAGACAAAAATATTGATGTAATTGGGCGGTCTTTCTGAAGGATTTGTTTTTCCAATTCTTTTTTCGGCTCGTTTCTCTGCTTCCATCGATGCCCCCTGTATTGTCACGCCTGATGCCCTTTTCTTTTCATGATCACGTTACCTCACTCTGCTTGCTACTTTGCGTCACTGCCTTGATACTTTTTTGTTCTCTGTCTCTGAACTTCGATAATGACTCTATGCAGCTGCGATATGATGATGAATTATGACTGTATATCTTTGTTCAAATGTGTTTGTGTAGAGTTCGCGGTTTCCCTCGGATGTAATGCAAATGTGTGTCCAGAAAGAGCATCTGGAAGCAAGCCCGGAAGCGAACTGGCGATTTGCGGAAAGAGTATACACTAGCACAGTATCAGCAATATGGAGACGCAAACAACCTTCCAAATTTGGTAAGGATGAATACTTGTCGGCCCTACGCTTCTCGGTTGCTAACGAGTCTGCTAGCTAGAACCGGTTGAAGGACTACTTCGCTCCAACAATAAGCCCTACTTGAAACATTGAAATATCAAGTCAGAGCTAGGCTCACCTAGCCACAAGTCTTCCATGAGTTTCCTGTGTTGTAAGGTGATATAGATACATGAGGCAAGAAAAGGAAGGGTTGGCAGGATGCCAGGTCGAGCGGTCCAAAGACTGTTTCACTCAAGCTTGAATCAGATCATGATATAACATGGTAATTTCCGCATCCAAACCATCACCAGGAAGATATGGAACCATTGTACAGAGAAGGTTGTGAATGAAGAACAGAATGGGAAAGAATAAGCTGCACCACATGCTCCGGACTCGGAATCGGTCATGCAAGAGCCATGACGGGAAAAAGCAAAGCGTTGCAAATGGGTATACAGCGGGGAAGAGGTAAGAGACGGTGAAAGTCCGAGTCTGGAGAGGTCGGGTTGCTTGCTTTTTCCCATCTCATTACGAAACAAAGAAGGGATAGTGAAATGGGAAAGGGCTGTCGTTATGGACATTAATCTATCGCTAATGTTATTGCAGATAAAAAAAACAGGTTTCAGGCCGTGAATTGTCGTTGAGAAAGTCCCGATTGATGCTCGCGAGCATCGGCGTCCGCGAGGCGGAGGACGGGAGTGGTTGTCCTGGTGAAGGAGATTCGGACAGTTTCATTGTTTGGTAGGTTTTGAAGTTCTTCGGGGTCATGGATATCCTCGTCGGGAACGATCTTCACGCTTGAGCTGACAGATGCAGAGTAATAGTGCGAGCTGAGGGGTAATTGGTACTTGATAACACCGCGGACGATCAACTCGAATGGATGCTCGAGAACTTTTTCCCAGCGCTCAGTGCCGCCTTCTTCGGTTTTGTTACCAGGACGGGCAAGCCGAATTTGCCCCATAGAGGTCGACTGATGTTGTCCCCACGGAGACGCTTCGAAGGAAAGTGGCGAGTCAAAGCGGAATACTCTGCCGAGCAGCATGGATCGCGGATCGCCTTCGGGATCGGGAATGGGATCGGTGCCGTGATCAACACCGTCTTTGTCTTTGGACTTCTTCGATGCAGAAAGACCAGACCTTGCGGATTCCACACATTCCATATTGCCCAGGCATCGAACGATCTGAGTCAACTGCCAGCGTTTCCGGCTTTGCTCAACACGCGGGAACTGATCAAGTTCATCTTGGCCGTGTTCGCGCCAGAATTTGTCCGTTCCAACATATCGGCTCTTGGCGAATATGTTGATGTCAGTGTCGTCAATGGTCACAGGGAAAATATTAGGATTCACAGCTCGCACGTTAAGATCCAGCATGATTTCCTGCTCAGATGCAAGCACGTTTTGAATGGCAAGGACCTGGACGTCCAACAGGGTCTTGGTCGCGGCGATAACGAACGAGACGGCACCACCAGTAATGATGAGGAGTAACAGCAGAACCACAGCACATGACCCATAACGAGAGAAGAACCCGCGTTGGCGTTCCATATATTCTAGCTGGCGCAAGCTGGCGCTGCCTGGGCGTCGACCAGCGCGGCGGTTCATATGCCGCGCGCCCACCAATGGGGTGCGTTCATCATCCGCTCCTTCAGCGTCGAAATCAAACGATTCGCCCCCTTTTTTGTTGCCAATGGTCTTATAATTGGGCGACGAGCGAGGGTTACCGTTTCGCGAATGTCGGTTGACATGGCCCAGAAAATGTCGAGGTGATTTCATCCCGCTTTGCGGCGGATGAGGCTGCTCGTGGTCAAAGAGCCCAGCGTGTAGTATCCCGCCCCGGCCATGACGTCCAATGTGCTGGTGCCGAGGAGTGATCGTCCCACTGCCGGGGTTAATTGTACCGTTGCGGTTTCCTTCTGCATCTGCAGACTCGCCATCCATGCTGGGGGGCATATCCACGGGTCCCAAATTCGCTGTTCGTGAACTTCATGCTGCGCTTGCCGGTCACGCTGTGGGCGCCATCTCGGAGACCACCACGGGCACGACCAGCTAGCTGATCCACTTGGCTCGCCATGGAGGTGGCGCTGGGCGTTCGGGAGTGGTAGCGGGGTTGCCGAGGAGGATATGGGTCAGGGGGATTAGATTCATAGACAAATGTCTCATCAGAGTCAGAGACATCGGCCTCGTCCACGGCACTTGCAACCTTGGCTTCGAAGATATCCGCTTTGGTCGACGCGGGGCCTGTGTTCAGCGCATTGGGACGACGAGATTTTTTCTTTTCCTTGCGAGGCCGAATGGTCTCCGTTGAAGGCTTCATGCGCAAAGTACCTTGATCGGCGCGACCGGCGTTGCCTCGATCGCCAGACCCAACTCCCAAAGAGACTTGAGGTATTGAACTGACTGTCTCGGTCTCCACGATCATGTTGCGCACTGACCCTTCACTCGGCTTAGCACGGGCGCCGCTCAACGAGGTCATCGACCGCTTTGGTATAACAGTCCCAGAGGATTTGCCTATGCCAGTAGCATTGGGTTTATCTTCCTTGGAGCTGCGGTTGCCCCCGCTGTCACTCCCACTTTCTATATTTTGTCGTGAGGCTCGAGGGGTCGGGTCCTCATCAATCGTGTGCAAGCGTGAGTCGTCCGGGGTGGACGGCTTAGTTGCAGTCTCAGTTGACGGAGTTGATGGATTACTGGTCATCTCCTGGACTGTCTCCAGGGAAGGTCCTTGTCCACTGGGACCCCTCGTGACCGTGCGTGGAGAATTTCTCTCCGTCTTTCCACTCTCTTCCAACGGCAACTGGGTTCGTTTATGGGAGGTATTCGGTGGTGTAGAAGCTTGATCTGTACGACGATTGCCCGCCCATGCTGGCATGTTGGACTTTTCCGGGCTGAGGACATTGACTGGGGGCTCAGGCGCGGGAGGTGGGAGCTGTGTGTCGATGGGATGCGTAGGGGTAAGGGGTGAGGCGGAGATGGGCACAGGAGCTGCCGAGGACTGGCCGTTGGTGGATGATCGGGTTGGACTGCTTTTGCAAGATCGAGAAAGACCTAGGCTAGCGTAGGACGAACTGGCGGCCCGTGAAGAGCTTCGGACTGGGGAGGATTCACGCGAGGAGACGGCGGAGGTAGTGGTGGAGACGGAACCGGAGGTGGTGGTGGAGAAAATTGGAAGGAGCTTTGGAATCTGACCCACGGCCTGAGGTTGAGATTGAACGGCCAGACGTGACTTCTCCGCGACATCGCCCTCGCTGACCGTCCGATGCACAGAATCGGAAGTTGCTGCATACATGGCCAATCTGGATCGCGCAGAGGCGCCATTAAGGTAAGGCGGCCTCTCGGATTCCGCAGCCATGGACTCTGTCGAGTCAGATTGGACTGAACGCAGACTAGTCAGGAGACCCGCGAGGGAAGCCTCACAGTTGGGCAGGAATCAAAAACCGAACAGGGAATGGAAAAAGTAAGGTGTGACGCCAGGCAAGGAAAGGCTTCGACGGTGAAGAAATGAGTTGTCAGGATGATGATGTTGCGCAGGGTACGGATCGTTACACAGGTGATGGTGCAGGGAAGCGAATAGCCGACGTCCACATGCTTAGCAGACGGATAGACCGGGGTTGTATTGAACGAGTGAACGTCTGGGGTCGCTGCGGCATGCAGGCAGGGGTTTGGGTAGAGGGAAAGATCGAGGAGGAGCCAGAGGAAGATCTGGAAAGTGACGATCCAAGATAATCCGATCTCAGCAGCTTTGTTATCGGAAAAGCAAAGGCAGAAGCAGAAAGGGAGGCAGAAAAGCCAGAACGTCTAGAACGATGAGAGTCAACGTTGGTTGGCGGGAAAGTGAGATGGGGATCCGCCGATCCGGTTCAACGTTTGGTCTTCTGCTGACCTGTTTTTTCCATGAAACGGACGCCACGCAGTTTCTAGTCTTCTAGCGCTTCTCCGCTGCAGAGTCGGTGACCTAGTCTCGGTGCGCAGTGGTCAGGGCCGGTCCGGCTGAGCCAATCGTAGTGGCCCACGTCAGGGTCGAAGGGGCCTTGCACTGCAGGGATGGCACGCGGACACGGGTCTAGACCGTGGACCTGAGAATGAGAGCAGAGCCGGTGAAGGAGGAAAAGCCCACAGGAGAGAAATCACAGGGGGGGAGTAAGAAGTCAAGATGGGGAGGCGACAAGTATGTTTTCCACAGGAGAAACAGAAACAAGACGTTGGAACCTGGAACCCGGGGTAATACAGAAATACTGAACAGATCAATGACGCAGGCGGGTAATAAAACTAGGTCTACAAGCAGGGATATCCACAATACGCGGGTATCGCCAATACCAGGTCATGGTGACCTCATCGTTCACAGCGTAGTGCGGGTTTCCTTGCACACACACTGTATATACCGTGTACACCTCTCCTCAACCATGGGAAGAAAACGATTTCGAGTACGCATGCCAGAAACCCAGCCTTGAAAGCCGGGCAAGGAAGGAAGAAAAGAATCAAGGTAATATCCAAACCACTACGTAGATCGAGGCAGGCAAGATCAAATCATGTACCAAGGATAATCTACGGAATAATATGATGACAGCAGAAATGAAGGGTATTAAGCTTGATTATAGAGACATGCGACAGGGGTACATCGCCTAGACGATGTTGTAGACTCGTTTGGCAATCAAGAACGAGGCAAGACCGAAGAGAAACAGGCCACCCGTTACTGTATTCCGTTAGACTCTGAACAAATCCAACACAGAAAGTTTTATGGGGGAGGGGGCGACATACTTGACCAGAACCAATAAAGATTATCGATATCCTGACCCGGAACCTTCACGTTCATACCCCACATGCCACAGATGATGTTCATCGGCAGGACAATAGTACCCAGGACCGTCAGCTTGCCCAAGACATCTGCAGTCTGCTCCTGGCGCTCATTCATGAGAATGTTGATCTGCGCCAAATAGTTGGAGTGAGCACGAGACAGGATCCTAGACAAAAGAAAGTTAGCCGATTCCACATTCAGAGAAACTTAGAAAGGGAAATGAAGAAGAAAAACAAGAAATAAGAGGGGTAACATACTTCTCGTAATGGGTCAAGTTTCCCGTCATGGTCATGATATGATCCTGGATGTCACCCAAGTACAGTCCAATTTCGGACTTGGGCGCCACCTCCCACTGCTCATTGCACCGCTTGGCAAACCCCTTGACCACATCGGCCTTGTTGCTTAGCAGTCGATAGAGTCCCATGACCGTCTTGCGGCATTCACCAGTACGTCGCAGCATGTCACCAGGCGCAAAAGAGGGGAAGAGGCTGTCTCCAGAGGGATTTTCTTTGCTCGAGGAGTGCATCTGCATGATCATCTCGTCAATCTCGTCGACCTCATCCTCGATTTTTTGAATGAGGGGGCCGAAGACGTCGGTAATGTCATCGATGAGAGCGTAGGAAATCCAGTCCGAGCTTAGAATCAAGTAGTCCATGAGTTGGCGAATACGGCGTCGTACATTCGCTGGGTGTGGTGTTTGCGAGAAGTGGAAGGACAAAACACCTTCTCGGAACACGACCACGTACATATTAACAGGCTCGAGATAGTTCTCGCTGTTGGTGTCCTGTTCGAAGGTACGATAGTTGACAAAGTAGTAGCTGCGGAACAGCTCTACCTTTTCGCGCGCTTCTTGCATCATGATATCTTCTGCGGTCAGGGCGTGGATGCCGAAGGTTTTGGCAATCACCCGCATCTCGGCATCCGTCGGAGAGAGCACATCCAGCCAGAAGGTTGGACGAGGGCCATATCGTTTGGGCTTTGGAGGGACGTTGGAATGCGATGGTGATGATTCTCGTTGCGATCCTGGACCTTCATCACTCAGCACAGATAGGCGTGGGTGGACCCGAGTTCCGTTCGGGGCACTTGTCGGATGTGCATTTCCATTCCCATTCCTCATGTGATCCGGGGCAGGTGTTGCCGTGCCACTGTTGGCAGTTGAAGACTGTAAGTCATGGTGAGATTGCGAAACCCTGGTACCCATACGAGGAGCCCAGTGATTAGCACCGGGCTCCCCATGATCACCTTCAAATTCGTCATCGTCCGAAGAGTCCTCTAATTCCGGCGGGTCCGGAATGAAGAGGTCTTTGAAGCTATTACCTGGCTGAACCAACTCGGATATAGATTGAGCATGGATCGTGCTCTGGAACTCCTCGTTGAAATAGGTGAATCTAAAAGGCGCTTCTTCCTCTTCGCGCTTCCACGTTTTGTACTGGGGACGAAGGCGACCTTCAATGAGCACAGGCTCGCTGATCTTCTTGACTCGTAGATCTCCACTTCGTTCCTCTTTCTCCTCACGGCTCCATTCTTCAAGAACGGACAAATCCGGCCATTGACGCTTGCTTCGTCTTCGACGTTCGCCATTCATGGGCAGCCTCGGGCCTTCGTCTCCAATTTCGGAAATTTCGGTGGGGAAGCATACATCCTCCTGCACGGGCAAAGCCACAGTTCGGCGCCGCCGTAAGTCCGCCGGAGAACCATGGCCCGAGCGAACGGAAGAAGGCGCGGAATGTCGTGCAAGTCCACCGCCCTCTATGTCAATCACAGCATCGTTGATGCGTCCTGACGAATCGCGGCGGTTCTCCAGGGATCGCGCCAACGAGAAGTCAAATTCGGCACCCGTAACCACGGCATCATCATAATTCATCTCCGGGCCCAGTTTCGGCGAGCTCGGGATCGATGGTGGGTTGTTCACATCGTAGTCACGCTCGACATCGGGAGTATATGGTGGGCTATGGTGACCTCGCGGCGAACAGTGTGATGAGTCTGTCTGGCCGGACGCTCGTCGCTGACGAGTGAAAGTGCTCGTTCGTGAATCGGTTCCATAACGAGTGAGACTGGGGACATTCCCAGAAGGGGCGCGCATGAGTGGTGTCCGATCGTTAGTTTCGTCATCACTATCCCCGTCATTGTTATATGTTCGGCTTCCTCCAGGTGTGTTGCGCGACCGAGACTCATAAGACCTGAAGGCACCGGTGAGTAATGAAGGGCGAAACGTTGTGGCAGTGCGGCTCTCTCGCCGAGGTCGCATCATAGGTTGCTCACTATTTGTGCCGCAATGATTAGTGTCATGTTTCGTCCTGCACGTGTCTGGAGCTGTAAAAGAGTAAACATACCGATGGTCTAACAAGGCATCGCTCTCGATGCTAGTATTGCTCAAATTACTGCCCAATTTGAAAAATGACGAACGGTCCTTTGCTGTCGGCGGCTCGCCCTCCATCGAATCTTGAGCCCCGCCGGTCCCTGTGGTTCTAGTTCCCGAGCGATCATGAGAATCTTCCCGACCCGGCGTGAGGAAAGACTCCTGGCGATTGCGGCGTTTGCGATTGCGATTTTTCTTGCGTTTGGAAGCCTTGGAAGATTGACCACCGCCATCAGGCGCGGGGGACTCTAAGCGGGTCTCAGACGTCGTGGCCGGTGCATCTCCTGGGTCTCGACCGCCCATTGGGCCGTTCCCAGGCCTGCTATCAGTGGAAAGTGGGTAATCGCTGAGTTGGGGGCGCTTTCTCGGGCTAGAGGGACTAGAGGTCGACGGTGACATGCGCGCTCCCAAGCTGCCGAGACCGGGAGTCGGGGTCAGGGGAGGATCCATGATAGATTATCCTGTGCCCTGATCGATTGCGCGACGAGTCTTGTAAGCCGAGAGCGACGGGGCTGGTGTTGTGCAGAATCTGGCGATGAGGGGGGTCGTGCCCCATCAAGTGATTCGGCGGGACTTCCCTTCCGGAACCAACGAGCTGCAGGTGCAGCGTCTGTGTTGTATAGTTTGTGATAGCTTTGATCAGGGCGAAATGGTTATCGGCATGTTCGACGGGCAGATCAGCATTCGGGCACAATAGGGGCTCGAATCAGAGCTGGTGCTGGACCTGAAGCTGCTCGCCAAGAATGACGCGTGTGGCGAGCCAAGGTGGAACATCAGACAGGACCTTGAACTGGGCAGAGTGAACGAGAAGCTCGATAAGTAGACCGCATGAAACAGTCAGAATCGATTCGAGATCTTCAGGTTCGAATCGACGGGACAATGATAGGTGCAGGGAAGAGTGAGCAAGTCCAGCTTGCCAAGTTCCGAGATTCTCTGAGTCGACTTTGGTTCCATGGCTGCCTCCTTATCTTCATTGCCTAACGCGGACGATGAGGTCAGCAACTCTCACCATGAAAACCCTTCCTATACAATGCGATAGTCTCATTTTAGGCATTTCAGGTCCCTGCTCTCAAGGTTTCAATAGTTCTCGCTTCATGCACCATCACTAGGTGGGATTATCGGCATTCCAAGTCAACCTCCCTTGCGTCTAGGCCCGATCGCGGCGACAGTCTCCGAAGGTCCAAGGGTATAATTGAGTCGATTGCATGCTCATCGGAGTGTTTACCACGCTCGTTTGATGATGTCTGTAGCCTGAAAACTCTGCCGTCCCCATAGTATTAATCTCTCACTCACCCAGATATCTCCGTATTCAGTCACCCTCTCGTGGTAGGTGTACAGCTCAAAGCCTGGCTACAGTCGGGCAAGTAATGTAATAGAATTAAATGTAAACAAGTGAGCGTGAGTATTACACCAGCGGCATTTAAAGCAATCCAGGAGGGTCTCTCAATCTCAACCCTTGGAAAGGAAACAGAAAAATGTCTTGAAAGACCTCTATTGAGGCCTTTGGAGAGGTGCCCAGGATGATGATGAGATAGAGCTGAAGATTCACGTATGGAATGCCTGTGAAACAATCTTTTCTGGGAAGTTGTGCAAAAGGTAGCTGATGTCGAAAACGTAAAACAATTCGATTCTATTACATTGCCGTGCGAGAAGTACAAGTCATCACTCATCAGGCATCAAAGATAGTAAATACATGCAGCGGCCGTTATTTTGCAAGAAAAAGAACAAGAAAGCACAAAAGGCAAATAAAACTCCAAATTATCCGGGTCGTCAGTATCCGACGAATCCATACCCATTAAGGACGCCAAATTGTCATGTCCGGGAACATAGAAGATAAAATAGTCCGCGATGGGAGCAATCTGGATCTGAGTGTGACGCCTCAAATCACATTGCTCATGTCCATCGTAGACGGGGCAATAGAAGGTGCCACGCTGTGGACGGAGCGGGCGCCGTCAATAGACATGCGGTCACCGCTGGTCATTCGCGAGAGTCGCTTGTCTTTGCCCGGGCGGGCGATGAGCACCTGCGCAGGGCAGACGACGACTTCGTCGTCACCCTCACCGACATCGTTGCCCTTTTTGACCACGAGGGGAAAGAGGACAATACGTACGACAGCTTGCTGAGATTCTAATTCGTCATTGGAGCTAGTCTCGCCGCTGCGTTCGTTCATAAGAGAGGCGTTGAAGTATACCTGGCGGGCCAGGTCACCATTCGTGTCGTATTCGGGCTGGAGAGGAGGGAGCATGATATACTCCGCTAGTTGAGTGCGCATCTCCAGGGATAGCTTGACAGCGACACGAAGGACCTTGCGCAAGGAGTCGAGCAGCTGAGACTCCACCTGGGAAGGAGGAGGAAGGACTAGTGAGAGGGTGCCGAAAATCTCCAGAGCGACCGCTTCAGTGTCGCTATCGCGTTGGGAGGCAAACGCTGGTCGGTTGGACAACAGGGTCAAGGTGGTGGCACGCCAGCGGTGGACTGCGCGACTAGGTCCAACCTCTCCCAATTGCTTCTCAAGTGACTTGAGTTTTTGGCGCTGTTCCCGGTCCATACCGAACAAGTACCGGGTGAAAATATACTCCCAGACCATGGTCATGACAACCGACATGAAAACATCACGTCGACGAACACGGTCAGCTAGGTAAGCATCGGCATCGGAGCCATCAAGAAGGGCATTATCGAAGCGATCAGCAACCTTCTCATCGTTCAGCTCACTTAGAGAGCGGCAGCGACGGTGGTCAGAGTGTTTGGAGAAGCGCAGTACCCATTGTTGGACGTGACCACAGAGCTTCTGGCACGCGGCGTCGAAGTAATCCTCATCACGAAACACGAGGGCATTATCGGTGACGGACGCGGCGATTTGTTGTTGTAGCTCCTTCACCTTATCACGAGCCTCCTCAAGTTCTTGGCGAAGACGGCGCAATTCAGTATCCTTTTGCGCCAAGGCTGCTTGAATCTCTCGTCGGACCCGAGCGTCAATATCTGAGGCCAGGTCATTATGTTGCGAACGTAAGGTGTCGAGTTCGCGCGTGGAGGCCTCGCGGACCTGGGTGACTTCGGCGGCGTGGGCGGCAGCGAGCGCAGCATTGGACGCCGTCAATTTCTCGTTCTCCTGGGTCAAACGGCCCAATTCCATCTGAAACCATTCCACGGAGCTCTTTAGTTGTTCCACCTCGGCCTCTCTGTCGCGCAGATCGGCGCCACTACTCTTCAGAGCCCGATCGCTCTTCCGGCGACCGACGCTGGCGTTACGCAATTGATCTTCGGCCTCATCGCGAGCGGCGATGAGTAAACGATTTTCCGAGATGAGTTGGTCAAGTCGACCTTCGAGATCCTGCAAATGTTGCATGCTGCGGCGGCGACGGACACTAGGCGGTCGGCTGGGCGACCGCGGGGAATTAGGTGTCTCCCCCAACCCTCCTGATGAAAAATCAGTAAACACAAACAAAGCCCAAAATCATTAAGAAATCAAAATTAACTTACATAGACGTCCGACATATTTCGCAAAGGACGTTTGCCCTTGTCGGTGACGGGATCGTAAGAGGAGGAAGAGGGAAGCTGATCGAGATCGGAAGGAGGCTGGGGAGAGTCTAGTGCGCGACTTGCCGCCCGCAGATCGCTGCTAGTGCTGCGATTCGTGCGACGCAGCTTACCCTTGCTATCGCTGGGTCTCAGCACTGGCGCCCCCAGCTCGGGGGTTTGTAGCGGGGATTTTGATCTTTTCGACAGAGTATCTTGACTGGTGCTACCATTGCCACTCTTGTTCTCCGGGGTGGGCCACATCCTGCGCTCCAGTGCATTATCGGTGAATTTGCGCACCGGAGTCACAGGTCGCGGCAAAACGTGCTCCGGTTTGATCTCTAGACGGGGCGTGCCGGATCGAGCCGTGGTCGCCTTAGGGCCGTCCCCTGGTTGATGCTCCGCAATCGTGTCGAGTGGAGTCCGGGGCCGATCGTGCTCAAATGGCCCGAAGAGCGATCGCGGCGGAGATGAGTTGCTCACAGCTTCCACAGGCTGATCATCCAGATTCCAGGTCCGCGGAGTGTTTTGATGCTTCCCATGAATCACAGATGGCGATCGACGTAGTCCAGTGGAAGTAGCAGGAGCAACCTCCATCTGAGAGGGTAGGAGGTGGGGGTGTCGCGGGATAGATGTCTCTTCTTTGGTGGGAGCGGATGGAGACGACCCAAAGAGCATAGCTGATCGCTCCTGTGAACCAGGGTGGGCAATCGACGGAAATTCATCAGCAATAGAGCGCTCACCGACTACCGGGATATCTGACTCTGTGGATTGTTCTTGGGGAACATTCCCGACCAGTACTTCTTTGTCGGTAATTGTAGACATGTACTCCCTCTCCGTGGGCAGCTCTGAGCTGGTCTCCGTGATGTCTCTGGCTTCAGTGGTCGCTAGGGGTAGTGCCTCCAAGACGGGGATCGCGATATCGCGATTCGCTTCCAGGTCCGCTGCGGTCTCTTCCTCAGCACTATCTTTTACCGACGGGGCGTCTTTCTTCATGACTGAATGCCTGAAGCCAGCCCTCTCCAAACCAGGAAATAAGTTCGCGATCTTGGAGCCCCCGGGAGTGGTCGTTCTGGCAGGTGGCTCAGTCTCGATCTCCCTGAAAGTTGGCTCTTCCATGGGCTCTGGCTTGGTATCTGACGCTAGCTCGACCATCTTGTGAGGAGGTTCTTCGGAGATCTCCTCGACGAGAGTGGCTTGCTCTGATTTTCTCTTGGTCTTCTTGGTCTGCTTCTTGTCTTCCGTGCTCAGTGGCATAGACGAAGCATCCTCAACAGGCGCCTCTGCTTCCTTCTTAGCTTCTTGCAAAGCCTCGGGAATAGCAGACTCGTCAAATTCCCCGATGATATCTGTGTCAGGCACAGAAGCAACGGGCTCGGGCTCGGAGAAATGCTCATGAACAGCCTCTGCTTTGTCCGATTTGCCGTGCTCCCATTCAATCGTAGGGAACTCCTCCTCGTCTTGCTTGAGCTCTCGCGCGATTGATTCAGGAATTTCAGCCTTTGACTCTTTGACACTTATTTCCGGCTCAAAGGGAGCAAACGAGTCAGGCTCGATGGGAGCGTTGTCGGATGCTGGCCCATCCAACGCAAGAGCAGCCTTCTTGGCCTTCTTGGCCTTCTTCTTCGAAGTCTTGCGAGAAAGAGCTGTCTCCGGCTGCTCAGCAACAGGTTCAGGCGCAATGAAATCCACCTCAGCAGACTGTTGGATGGCAGGCTGAGGCTCAATGGGTGCAAGGTCGTGTTCCTTGGAGTTTTCAATCTTAGGCTCGGGCTGTGCCACGAAAGAGGCTTCTGGTTCAGCGATTGTCTTCAACTGAGGATGAGGAGCTGTCGTTGATTCTACCACTTCCTTCGAATTGTCGGAGATAAGCTCCTGAGCCAGCTCCTCTTGATGCTCTAAAGGAGTTTCGGCACCCTGCTTCTTCGCTTTGCGCTTTTCCTTCTTCGACAATTTCTTGGAAACAGGCGTAGTCTCCTCCGACCCCTGGGTTCGGCCTTCAACAGAATCACCAGAAACCTCGAGATCTGCCTCCTTTTCGAGTACCTGGCTTTGGAGCTTGGCTTCAATCTCTCCATTTTGTTCTTGTAGCTTTTCAGCGGAGAAATTTCCATCAAAGAAGTCTTCGGGACTTTGCTTTGGCTGCTCAGTGGGCAGTAGCATATCGAACTGGCCAAAGGTCACTGTGGCTTCCTCCTTGACCTGTTCTGGCTGAGATATCTCTGCTCCCTGGGTAGACTGTTCGGGCCCAGGAGCGAATGTTACTTCGCCAGCCTTAGGCTCAACTCTCCTGGAAGCTTCCACCGGTTCATTCTGCAGTCGAGACTCAAGCTCTGGCACAAGTTGCTTTGGCCCTTCTATGCCAAATTCCTCAGCGGGAGCAACACTGTCTGTGTGCTTAAAATCTGAAGGCTTCTGTTGCTTTGTTGCAGCTCCGGCAGCAGCAGCAGCAGTAGCAGCGGCGGCGGTCTTTTTCTTCTCTTTCTTGCTCATCTTTTTGGACGCGGTATGCCACTCCTCCTGGAGCTCGGGTATGGAGTCAGCAGCGGTCTCTTCAGTAGCCACCGAAGCTGGTTCAGTTTCTTCGACAGCCAGCTGCCCTTTAAGAAGGTTGCTGGAATCAGAGCCAACATGCTGGGACGCATCAGCGAGGGCCTCTTCCTTGGTTGACTCGAGAACTGGCTCGCTAGTTGACGTCTCATCGAGCCCGAGCTTCGATTCGACAGGCGTCTCTGCTTCAGTTGCAGCTGCGGCGGCGGCGGCAGCGGCAGCCTTCTTCTTCTCTTTCTTGCTCATCTTCTTAGAGATGTTGGGAAATTCCTCCGAACGGTCAACAGGAGATTCGGCAAGGGGTCCTTCCATAGAAACCAGAGCATCTGCCGTCTCTTCAGCCGCAGGTTCAACTGGAAGCTCAGCCTGCTCTGCTTCTTGAATGGCAGCTGGCTGTCCTTCCTCAACCACATTTGAGATATTCTGCGGCAAGTCGTCAACGTGATCCGTAGTCAGGACTGCTGCCTCGTCCGAGACATCATGAGATTTCTCTGCTGGCGTAATCACCTCCTCTGCCAATTGTGGAACAAATTTAGAGGTATCGGTGGGCTCAGGCGCCGACTGGGTCTCGGGCAAATCCTCGGCGGCTTGTTGCGCCAATAGGGCTTCGCGTTGCTGCTGCTTCTTCTTCTCCTTCTTGCTCAGTCTTCTCTCAAAGGGGGCTTCGAGTTGTTCGGTCTCGGCAGCAAGCTCATCCCCAGTGGATATGATTTCTTCCTTAGAGAAATCGATCTCTTCGGAAGACAGAGGTGCAGAAGGGATGACTTCTTCGGCTCTCTCTGATGAAACTTCGTCAGTAGGCGCGATCTCAGGCTCCTGATTCGGCTCGACTGGAGGTTCGGGAACTTCCGTGATCTCGATCTCCTTAGTCTCCGTCGTTGCTGGCACTTCCCCAGGGACCGGTGATTCTTCCTGAGTTTTGGTTTCCTCCTCTTGTTGTTGCTTCTGCTTCCTTTTTTTGTCCTTTTTCTTCTGTTTCTTGGGCACGGACGAATCGGAAACGTCTCCCGCAGTGGTCTCACGGTCAATAGATGCAGGGGCATCCGCTATTATCTCAGGGTAGGACTCTTCATCTGGCCCCTTCTGGACAACTTCCACTTCCTTAGACACTGACTCTTCCGTATTCATAATACTAAGTCCTTCCATTTTTGCTTCCTCCGTAGTCGTATCCTTCGAAATGCCTTCCTCCAAAGTCTCAACATTACCTTCAACATGGCCGATTGGGGTCTCCTTCACGATCGAAACATCCTCTTCGGGAACAGGCGTAGTCAAATTCTCTCCTTCTTGCGCATCGCCACTCGTCGTATCGCCAAAATCAATTGAACGCTCAAGCACGGATTGGGGAGGATAATCTGAAGAACGATTCTCTACCTGCGGCTGCTCTACCTGCGAAGACAAGAACTCATCAGTCGAAGCTACTTTTTGGGCCGGTGTGTCGGGCGTTTCTGTGTCGTGGGACTGAAGTTCTTTACCGTCATTCTCCGCAGGCGAGGGTGCCGTTACGGGTTCAATGATTTCCCGTGTGTCCGATTCTGGGGACGAATTCTCGACTTCGTTGGCGGCGGGCCAAGATTCGACGGGGGCAGTCTCGGGCACAGGCGAGTCTTGTGCCGCTTCGGCTTCGGCGGCTTTGTCGTCAGCATCGATATTCTTGGATTGGCGCTTCTGCTTCTTCTTCAACTTGCGGCGCTCTTTAGCTGATAGGCCATCATCGGCCACAGGCTCTTCTTCCTTCGATGGCGTCGGCTCGAGCTCAGCTGCAGTCTCAGTAGCGGGCGTTTCGTCTGTATGTTCGGGAGTTGTCTCGGGCTCGGCAGCCTTGGCCGTCTCAGCGGGATCGCTTTCCACTGCACCCGCCATCTTGCCGAGATCTTCAGTTTCAACGAGCTTAAGCGACCAGTCCTCTTCAATGACCGCCACATTCTCGTCACTTGGTGAAGAGACTTCTGTATCCTTTGATTCGAAAGCTTCACTGTCAGGTTGCTGTGTCCCCAGGGGCTCCTCGGTGGAAGGTAATGGAATTTCTTCAGTCAAGTCCACGGACTTTCCTCTCTTCTTGTCCTTCTTCTTCAGCTTGCGACGTTCCTTCGCAGACAAAGAGGCATCGGACATAGATTCAGTGGCCTCAGCACTCGCAGAAATCTCTTCCGCAGACTCAGCCTTCGCTTCAGGCTGGACTAGTGAGTCGGGCTCTGGCTCGTTGACCCTTTCCTCCACTAAGGTGTTTGCAGTAGTATGCTCCTCGGTAGCCAGGGCAGCTTCACTCATTTCCACAATAGGGGTATCGAGCTTGGTGACCTCTTTGCCTGCGGGTGCCTCAAGAGCCAGCTCAGCATCGACAGATACATCAGTCAACTCTTTAGGAGGGACGGCATCGGCAGTTGATTGATCCCGAGATTCCACAGTCTCCGCTGGGGCAGAAGATTCTCGTTCAGGGTGAGCTTCATCCTCAAAGGTAACGGACTTGCGATTCTTCTTCTTGTCCTTCTTAGCCTTCTTTTTTTGCGCAGCAGTCATCAGAGCTTCAGGCTCAGCCTCGACAGGAGTCTCTACTTCCGCTGGAGTGCCAGGCTCAGCTGGAGTCTGGGACTCAACAGCAGGCTCTTCAACGGCCGGAATATCCCTAGAAGGCCCTTCCGGAGCGGGTTCCTCAACAGGGAGAGGACTCTTAACGTATTCGGTCAATGCGGGCGTTTTCACAGGCTCAGTAGGGACAGCCTCGGCGGGGTCTTCTATGACTTGCCCTTCTTTGACTAGGTCGGGCTTCGGCTCCTCAAGACCCGTAGACTGGCGCTTCTTCTTGTCCTTTTTAGCCTTCTTCTTTTGAGCTGCGGTCATAGGGACTTCAAAATCGGGTGCAATCTCAGCTAGGGCCTTTGGCTCCGTAATCAATTCCTCGGCAGGGGCCGTCTCAGCGGGAGGCTCCTCTTCGGCGGCCTTTTCCGGAGCCGATTCCTCGACGACAGGGTCTTCAATCTTTGCGCCCGAAATGGGTGCTTCGGTGATTTCAGTGGAAACAGGCTCGGTGGGCGCAGGCTCAGTGGGCGCAGGCTCAGTGGGCGCAGGCTCGATGGGAGCAGGCTCGATGGGCGCAGGCTCGATGGGAGCAGGCTCGATGGGCGCAGGCTCGGTCGAAGCAGGCTCGTCCTCCTTCGTCGGCTCGGGCTGCAGCTCAGACTCAAGGTCCTCGAGGCCCATAGACTGACGCTTTTTTTCTCCTTCTTGGCCTTTTTCCTTTGCGCTGCAGTCATTGGACCTTCCGGTTCTGGCTCGGTTGATTTCTCGGGCTTGTCGCCCGGCTCTTCAACTGCATGGTCGTCTTTGGCCGCGTCTTCAGCAGCGGGCTGGTCGACGAAAGCGGAACCCTCTATATTGTCCGTGGGAGCAGGTGTTAGGACGGGCTCGACAAGAGCAGACTCCTCAGAAACAGGCTCAGCAAAACTTTCAGCAGGAACAGATTCAACGGGCTCTTCTATGACCGGCTCCGGTTGGGTGTCAGGTTGAGACTCTTCAGCGAAAGCTAGAGATTGCCGCTTCTTTTTGTCCTTCTTAGCCTTCTTCTTCTGAGCGGCGGTCATGGGAAGTTCAACCTCCTCTGCAGGAGCATCTTCCTTGGGCTCAGGAGCCATTGGCTCTTCAACTGCAGCATCCGAGACAGTGTTTTCAGGAACAGCCGTGTCACTCGCAGTGGGTTTGGGAACGACTTCTTCTTTAGACTCTGAGGCTGGCTCAGCTGCTGTTGGGATCTCTTGTTTCTCTTCCTGGACACTCTCGGCAGTAGGAGTATCGACTGGTGCAGGCTCAGGCACGGTCTCTTTGGTCACCAGCTTGGTATCCGTGGTGAGCTCAGGTGAAGGTTCAGATATAGTCGGTGCATCTTCTGTCAACGGGCCCGAGGCAGCAACCTTCTCAACATTGGCAGTGGCCTCAGCGTTAGACTCTGTAAGATCGGGGGCTGCGATCTTGGTCTGCGGGGCTTCAAGAGCTATTTCGTTCTCCTGCTGTTCTGGACCGACGTGGCTGACAATGTCCACGGATTTCTTTTGCTGCTGCTTCTTGGCCTTCTTGGCTTTCTTCTTCTCCGCTGCAGTCATGGGTACCTCTGTCTTTGCCTTGATAGCTTCGGGCTCCTCTTTAGAAACTGCAGACTCGATAGCCGGGGGGAGCTGTCTCCACGGCCGGAGCCGGAGTCAAGTCCCCTTCCTTGGGCTGATCGATGCTAAGGGGCTCAACCGTTCCTTCTTCAACCGGGATATCGGCTGGAGCCAACACGTCATTGACGGGCTCAACAGCTTCAGTCTCAGGAGTAGGAATAGGAACCTCCTCGTCAAGCGATTTCTCACTCTCGAGAGCAGTCTCAATGTCCTTAGGAGTCTGGATAGATGTGGGTTCGGAGATAACTGTAGCCTCAGCAGCAGGCGTCTCATCAGCGACAGAACTAATGCTCTGTTGCTTCTTCTTAGCTTTCTTGGCCTTCTTCTTCTCCGCAGCAGTCATAGGAACCTCTGGCCCAGTAGATACAGTTTCCGGTTCCTTCGAGACTTCAGGGTCTACCGCTTCGGACACTTTCTCAACGGCAGTAGCCGGAGTAAGGTCCTCCATAGGCTGGTCGGTGCCAAGGGGCTCAACCGTTCCTTCTTCTACTGGTACATCAGCTAGAGCCAACACGTCATTGACGGGCTCAATAGCTTCAGTCTCGGGAGTAGGGACGGGAACCTCTTCTGCAGCCGGTGTCTCAGCCTCTGAAATAGCTTCATTATCCTTCGGAGTCTCAACGAATCCAGCCTCGGTGCCAGGGGGCTCAACCGTTCCTTCTTCTACTGGCACATTAGCTAGAGCCAACACGTCATTGACGGGCTCAATAGCTTCAGTCTCAGGAGTAGGGACGGCAACCTCTTCTGCAGCCGGTGTCTCAGCCTCTGAAATAGCTTCATTATCCTTCGGAGTCTCAACGAATCCAGCCTCGGTGGTAGGAGGCTCATCAGCGATAGAGCTGATGGTCTGTTGCTTCTTTTTAGCTGCCTTCTTGGCTTTCCGCTTTTCGGCCGCTGTCATAAGAGCCTCAGGCTCAAGGGGGGCATCATCACTTGGAATCTCTCGCGGGGCTACAGCCGCTTCTTCTGCGGGCGCACCAACAGGGTCTTTGGCAAGGGCTTCTTCGTTGACATCTGGGACAGACATCGGGGCGAACCCTTCCTGCGGTTGCTCGGGCTCGACTGAAACCTCTTTGGTGTCCTCCTGAGGAGCCATTGCCATAGGCGTCTCTTTGGTAGCTGCAAGGCCTTCTGTGGTGATATCGACAGGCGCGACCTCGGGATCAACAGATGGCTTAGTGACCTCATCTGACTGGGTCGTAGATTGGGTCTCGACAGACTCCGACCCCGTAGGCTTCTCGTCGTCAGAAGTGGAAGAAAAATTCTGCTTAGACTTCTTCTTCTTGTCTTTCTTAGCCTTTTTCTTTTGGGCCGTGGTCATAGGAACCTCAGGCTCGACTTCAGGCTCTTCGGTAGTCTCGACAGCGGGAGCCTCTCCCATTTCCTGAGCAGGCTCAGTAGGCTCGATCGATTCCGTGGGAGCTACCGGTCCGGTGTCACCAGAACGGACAGACGCGAGTTTATTGACAGGAAGATGAGAGACATCTTTAGCCACAGGCTCTGTTTCAGAAGATAGCATCTCGCCACCAAGCAGGGAAGTTTGAGTGTTACTAGGCTCGTGAGGAGCTGATCCTTCAAGTTCGGAGGACTTGGAGACTTGCACTGGCTCGGGATCGGCTGACCCGGGCTCAGTTGAAATTCCTTCGTCGAAACCAAGAGACTGGCGCTTCTTCTTTACCTTCTTGGCCTTCTTCTTTTGCGCTGCGGTGAGAGGGATCTCAGGCTTGGCTATAGGGGCTTCCGTGCTTTCGGGAACTGTGTCAGATGGCAGGTCCTTGGGCTGGTCGGCCTGCTCCTCGACGGCTTCTTGGAAATTATCCTCTTCTGCCTGAATCTCATCACCCGCAGGAGTGGAAACAATTTCTTCCGATGTCCTGGCGGTCACCTCCAAGGCCTCAGGTTCTTCGCTGACTTCAGCAGGAGAAGGCCGAGACAAGTCGTGTTCTCGTACTTCGGGGACGGGCTCTTGAGGATCCTTGCTCACATCTTCAGCTTGAGGCGCTTCATTTGAAGGTGGTTCGGCAGTCTCCACAAGTTCGCGGGATTCGTGGAACTCGGGGTCATGTTGCTCACTTTGGGGGGTCTCCGGAACACTCATGTTCTGTGACACCTCACCTACCTGAACCGGGACATCTTCGACAACAGCAAGATCAGAAGGCTGAGTCACATCACCAACCTCCTCGATGGAAGAATTTTTCTTAACCTTCTTTTCTGCCGCTTCCTTGGCCTTCTTCTTTTCAGCGGCGGTCATGGGGACGTCAAGCTCAGCGGAAGCATCTCCAGTAAGCTCGGCTTGGGGCTCGTTGGCAACAGGCTCCACGGACTCAGAGTCCACAGGGCAGCAGCGACTTCGGGCTCAGATGCCCCCGCAGCTTCAGCGGTTCCAATGAGTTGCTCATGATTTTCGGTAAGCTCAGCGGGCAAAGACTCAGCTTCAACATTCCTAGAAACCTGAGTCTGCTCCATTGCAGGCACCGGTTGCACAACAACTGCGTCATCCAGACCAGGAGGAACAACTTTAGTCTCGAGGGAACGTTCCTCACCCTCGACAGCCTGTCCCTCAGAGGTCAATGGTTCAGAAGCCGCCTCGTTGGCCCTTTGAGATGGTCCCTTCTTCGCCTTCTTCTTCTTTTTCTTCTTAGAGGTTGATGTAGTCGTAACCTCTTCAAGCGGCTCCTCGGGCTGTGTTTGAGGCTCACCAGCTTCCGTCAGGTCAGGAACAAATTCCTTACTCAGGTCAACCTGAGGGTCCCGCTCTTCATCGGCAGTGCCAGGTTCGCCTAGTTCGCCACCGGATGCTGGCGTGGGAGCGCCTTCCTTGGAGACGGCTGCATTGACAATATCAGCGAATCCTCCGAATGGGCCACCTGGTGTTGGAGTATTTTGCTCGGGAGGCTCTGTGGATTCCTTTTCATCTGGAGCAGGCTTCTTGTCCTCCATGACAACAGCAGCGACGGCCGCGTCGACAACACCCGCGAAGCCGGGTCCGAAGTCGAATGATGATTTTTCTTGAGTGGGTGTACCAGCCTCATAATGAGAGTCGGCCAGTTGCAAGTCAGAATTTCTTGTCTGCTCATTGCCGTCACCGTCATTCAACTCCTTGGCTCCAATCACAGACCCCTCTGCGGAAGGGAGAGCCTCCATGGTAGGCGAGGGAGGTACATCTGGCAGCGAGCTAGGATCCTGAAGGAGTTCCGAAGGAGAATGGAATTCATAATGCTTTTCCTTCGTGGCGGCGTGGCCCTCTGCAGTGGGAGTAGCTTGCTGCGAGTCAAGTAGGTCGCCTTCGCCTTCTTCGTTGGCTCTTTCTGTTGAGATTGTCAGACCAGTTGGTCGACGTCGGTCAGACATGGAATGGCTGAAGTCGACTGCGTCCCAGCTTTGGATGGCGTCTTCGTCGTTGAGTGTTCGAAGGTCTTCCATTGATGGCGCTCGGGAGGACGTCTTGCTGGATGGGAGGGATGGCAATGGTTCACCGGGTTCCGCGGTCTCGCCCTTGGTTGCTCCATGACGCTCGACAAGCCACAGTGGACGGATCTCACGGGAGTTTCTGAACTCAACAGAGTTCAAACGGCGATGGCGAGGCTGGGTGGGTGAGCCAGGGGAGACAGTGGCTGCAGTGGGAGACCCAGTGGCAGGGACCGCCCGCGAAAGACCTGGGGATGTCGGGGGCCGACGGAAGTGTAGAGGTACAGCCGTAGGAGACTCAGTGACAGATCGGGCCATAGACGAACGACGTCCCCTTGGAGACTCGTCTCTTTCACGGACCGTCTCGGGCGACGATGGCCTGCTGAATGACCTCGGGGCTAGATCTAGGACTCGCTCAGCACCAGGGGCGGAAGTAGACCGGCTTCGAGACAGCTGGTGTAAAACCTGCCCTCCCAATGCTAGGCCAGCAGCCGCAGCTACTCCTTGTTCAAGCCCCGAAGCACCACTTTGGTCGCGCTCAGCCGCGGCTGGCATTTCGGGGCGATCCCCTAAAAAAGACTTGTCGCTGTCGTCATTATAATCGGAAGGTTTCGCGTCCTGGAAAACCCAGAAATGCTTAGTACAGTACTTCACTTGTTTTGGGTTATTGGTCTTTGTGCATTGGATAAGTCGGGGGTTGGAAGGTGAGACCATCCAGAAAACGGGAAAACTACATGGCACATAGCAGTGTACAGGAAGGCAGCAGCAACATGAACAATAAAGGAGATTCGAATATTATACCTTCTCAGATTCCCCACGTCTTCCCGAATCGACAATATCCTCGTACTTGTGTCGGCGTCGCTCTTCCTTCTTCTGTCTGCTGGATCTGTACTCCTCCAGGTTTGCATCACTGCGAGAACTGCGCATACTGCGGACGGATTCCTTGTCTGATCCATCATCACGCAGACTGTCTCCTCCACTGGAGCTGCGATGCTTCTTCTTGCGGCGGCGCCTTTCATCATCAACTCCAGCCTCGGACACGGCCTCTCGTGAGGGACGCTTGTCCACAGAGGAAGAGCGGGAGTTAGACCGGGAGCGAGCTGGTTCTGAGACACGCGAGCCAAAGAGACTCCTGAATAAACCACCAGAAGAGCTCTTTTCCTTCAGCTCCTTATCATCCTTGCTGCGCCGCTTCTCTCGTGTTTCGTCGAATTTGGCGGGGAAGAGGAGATGGATGCGGTGTCATCAAAGTCGCGTGATGATCTGGAACGATGCTTTCGCCGCTCGGACTTTTCGACATCATCAATTGAAGTGATCGCAGACCTGGCTTCATCGTCTACCGCCGAGAACGTATCACTGTCCCGCTTGGCGCGACGATGCTTGCGACGCTCAGATTTCTCGTCATCATCTGCATTAGTTATAGCGGATGCAGCATCATCGAAATCTCGGGACGACCTGGACCGATGTCTTCGGCGCTCGGACTTTCCGTCATCATCGAGCGGAGTGCTGGGAGATGTTTCCCGAGAAGATCTGGAAGAACGATGCTTACGACGCTCAGACTTTTCGTCATCCTCAAGAGTGGTTCTAGCGGATGCAGTATCCTCAAATTCACGCGATCTGGAGGAGCGATGTTTCCGGCGCTCAGATTGCTCAGTGTCCTCAAGTGGAGTGATAGGGCCCTTGGAATCATCAAACTTGGCGGGAGAAGATGCAACAGAAGCAGCATCGTCTAAGTCTCGCGATCTGGAGGAACGATGTTTGCGGCGCTCAGACTTCTCAACATCTTCAATTGAAGTGATAGCGGATCGGGCGTCGTCGTCAATGGCGAAGACATCACTTTCCTCCTTTGAGCGACGCTTTTGTGGCTTTTCTTCCTTGTCATCGATTTCATGGTCCTCAGCGGCGGGCGAGACAGCATCAACAGGGAAGTCGCGGGGGACATTATGAGACGACTCGCGAGGCAAATCACGAGCGAAGTCAACATCATTTCCGCTACGACGAGACTTCTTCGACTTGGTCTTGCTCTCGGATGCCCTCACAGGAGGAGCGGAGAAGACAGAGCGGTCGTCGTAGGGTTCGACCTCTCGTGAGTCGTTGAAATTATCAAAGCCACCAGGCATGGAGAGCACGTCATTCTCGGGAGAGCTAGGCATGCCGTGCTTTCCATTGAGCTGCTCAATGACCTCCTGGGCGATGGAGACCTCTCGACGTTTCGAGGAATCATTTTCTTTGCAGAACGACTCGGGCTCAGCGTAGAATGAATCCTTGTCAATAAATTGCTTGGGTACATCATCCTTGGACTTGGAGACATCAGGGCTCTCGATCTCGCCCTCAATGAAGCCATGGGGTTGTTCGGGTACCGGGGTCCACTTGGACGTTGGAGAAAATGTTCCTTCATCTTCTGATCCGGGAGGAGAAGTACGCTTGTGATACTTTGGGTCGTCAATCACAAAGGAGGGATCAAATCCAGCCGCTTCGGTTGCGGCAGCAACTGTGGCGGCAAACTCGATGTCGTCACCAAAGTCAGGATTGCTAGTCTCCTTTGACTTGGGGAGGTCCTTGGACTTTTCTTTCTCAGGGAAGTCGATGCTGATATCTTGGAAATCGTCAGGAGTGGGAGAGAACTCGGGTTCAGAGGATGAGGGGACATCGTATTCATGAGTTGAATGAGGTCCCCATGACACGCGGGACCCGGTTGTAGAGCGTTCACGTTTGGGTGACTCTTGGGGAGCTTCCCAGGGCTCTGAGCGAGGTTCTTTGCGGTGTTCCTCTCGGCGCTCTTCACGGACAACCTCCGAGGATTCATCCCGGCCCTTCTGAACAGGCGCTATAACAGGTGAAGCGGCACCGCGAACAGACCCATTAATACTGTGAGGAGGAGTAGGTTCAATGTAGTTAAGTCTTGGAACCGGCCACGGGAGATGTTCGCGATCTTCGTAAGGCTCAGGACCAAACTGGGGGAGATCAGTTGGTTCGTCCTTCGCCTCTTCCTTCTCGCGTTCACTTGCGGGAACAACCTCGATGATTTCAGGTTTGTCGCCGGACTCGTCAGAGCCGCGCCGGCGGGATTGCTCATTGGGGCTGTGCCGAACTTCTTCGGGCGCAAAGAACTCGGCGTAGTCGTCGTATACCTGGGCCGGACGAGGGCTGCGGCGAGGATGGGATTCCTCGCGGTAGTCCGTGTAGTCCACAGGCGGCTCAGGGGCCTCGACTGGCACCGAGACATCGGATTTCGAGACGATGGAAGATTCGGCCCGGCGCTCGGCACGACGTCGTTCACGGCGTCTTGAGCTGGCTTCAGACGCATCTTCCTCGTCTTTCTTGCTCTTATGGGAGATGATAGAGGTGGCAGCGGCAGCACCAATAGCCCCGATGGCGGCAGCTTCGACCCATTTGGAAGGATCCTTCTCCTTGTCGCTATCGCTTCGCCGCTTCTCATCATCTCTTTCCTTGCGACGACGTTCCCGTGTGCGCTCACGCTCACGTTCTTCTCGTTCCCGATCCACTTCGCGTTCATGTTCACGTTCTGCCCGTTCCCGTTCCCATTCCCGTTCCCGTTCTCGTTTCCGTTCGCGTTCGACTTCGCGTTCGAGTTCCTTACGTTCGCGTTCCTCTCGATCACGACGTTCGGACTCCAGTCGAGCCGATTCTTCTTCGCGATCAATTAACTGGACATGATCATCCCTGAAGTCCTCACGAGACTCCCTCTGACGACGTGTAAGACTGAGACGACGCTCGCGTTCTGCCTGCTCCTCCGTCAGGTTGAACGACACGGAAGCCTGGTCCTTGATAGTAGACCGGCGTTTTTGACTAAAGACAGAGCTCTCCTGAATGGGGAATACAGGAGAGGAGTTGCTTCGGCGCGGTTGGCGACGCTCAGGATAACTAACGCTGCCGGGGTTCCAGGACGCGTCACGAGATGCTTGGTGTGGATGTCCATTGCGGTCAAATTCGTTGGCAAATATGGGAGGAACTGCTGCCGGGTCACTGTACGCGGGAATAGATCCCGGTAGCCCCCCCCTGTGTGCGGTAAATAGCCTGGGAGACCGGGGTGACGGGTTGAGGCTGCTGTAGAGGGATGAGCCCAGGGCGCACGAGGGGTGTTTGTTCGTTTGAAATAACGGACGGAGTTGCCCTGCCAACATCGAAGCGGCCGGGATCTGATGTGGGAACAGGGTAGACTTGTTGAAGACTGCCAGCGCTACTTGAAGGACGGCTATCGCGGCGGCGGGCCACCGAGGCCAAAGCCGCACCTCCAAGAGCACCAGCGCCAGCGGCCAGAGCAGCCTTCCCATTAGAGGTCTTCTTGTCCTTCTTCTTTTGCTTCTTCTTGCCCCAGCCCCAGCCCCATCCTCCGCTGCTGGATTCGGAGCTGGAATTACTACTACTAGCACCGAAGGCGAGAGCGGAGTTGGCACTAGAGGAAGAATGGTCATCCGAGTCGGCATCTATCCATTCGTCGTCTTCGTTGGCAGAGGTACCATAATCAGAGTGACGAGATCGGGATTCTCTGGCGGTAAGAATCTGACCTGTGCTCCGACTGCGACCATGAGAATTTGCAGCAGCAAGAGCAGTCGCTGTGGCGCCCAGGCCCAGAAGCGCTGCATCCACATCTTCTGGCTTCTTGCCCTTTCTCTGCTTCTTCAATTTATTAGGAGGCTTCTTGGAAAACCCGTCGCCAAAGGCGAGATCATTGTCAAGCGAGGATGAAGATGAACTGCGGAATGAGAAGAAGCTCTTTGACCGCTTGGCACGTGTATTCCTGCGGTTCTCGGAGGAAGAAGTAAAGAAGGAGGTAAACCCTCCAACGGACTTGGCAGCGGGCCGGGATACATCAACAAATGATGAGCTAGATGAAGAATCCTTCCGGCGTTGAACCCGTGAGGTAGATCGACTTCGGTCTCGTTGTTGCTTCGAGACTGCTAGCGCGGCTCCACCCACTGCCGCGCCTAAGGCTGCCTCCTTCATGAACGATGAATGGCGAGATCGAGAGGAAGATTGGGAGCGATTGCGTTGAGAGTGCTTGTCCTCATAATAATATTCTCGTGGCGAGTTTCGTCTAGAGCGACGAACAAGCCCACGCGAGGTATAGCTCGTCGTCTCATCGTGGGACGATGTACGCTCTCCAGAGGGCCGGCCTGAGCGGACACTGTAAGAGTCATCAAAGTCTTTGCCAGCAAATATGGACTTCGCGGCATAGCCAGTAAGCACACCCGGAAGCCACGACGACGACTTTTTGGACTTCTTGCGCCGACCTCTCTCGTCTTCTGACGAATGGTATCGACTGAGCTTGTTCACCCTCGAGTTGCTACTACTGCTGTATCGGTCGGAGGAATGACGGCGCGCATGGTAATTATGCTTGCGGGGCGCGTTGAGGGAGGTGCTTTGAGGGTCAAAGCAATACCTGCACACGCCGATAGTCTCGGTATAATCTTCAAATCGGCCAACACCCTCTGGATCACGCCAGAAGTCCACGAACTTGGTCAGAGGACCACGCTGGCGGTGCTGCATAGCGAGAGCACCGGCTCCCACTGCCTGTGGGTAGTAGCCAGGGCCATGATGAGCAACGTGCTGCGCGTAGGTTGGCCCCGCATAGCCTGCATCTCCATTGGCGGTCGTCACGTTATTGCTACCAGATGCATAGGGCGGCAAACCAAATTGGGATGATTCTTCGTAATTCTGGACGTTGTAATGCGGGTGTTGCGCAGGGTTCTCGGGGTGATCATGGTGATCATGGTGATCATGATGGCTGAGCATGTAGCCCGCCGCTGCGCCAGCTGCTGCAACACCAATGCCAGTACCAACACCATAATAATGAGGAGGTTTGCTTGAACTAGGGGGGCTTGTTTGAGCCGGAAGGCCTGTTGGCTGCTGGAGGCTTGCTAGAACTGGGGACAGCTCCTTGTGAGTATGAATGCGATTGATATTCGTTTGTCGATGAATAATGCGACTCATCATGAGCCATTATACTTCCAATACCATATGTGGCGGCTCCCGCCGCTGCAGCAGCAGGAATGGAAATTGAAGAGGAAAGCTTGCTAGGTTTTGATGGCTTCGATGATGACGGCTTGCTGGTCTTCCCAGGCTTTGGGGGCTTGGAAGATGACCCAGATGGCGGGTTACTGGCCGAATGAATGGGTGTCGCATCGTCAAAGTACGCGGCTGCCGCACCAATCTGACCAAGACTACTCGGCTCGGGAGGGGGGTTGACCGACGGCGATGCCGCCATCAGATGTTCCTGGCTGTTCACGAGTGGCTTTTGCGGTCGCACACCCGGTTGCTCTGAAACAGATTGGCCTTGGTCTCCGTAGTAGTCCGCCGCGGCCCCGGCAGGATGGTAAGGTAGGTAAGGCTCCGCGGTACCAGTAGGGAACTGACCAGGGAACTGTTGTGGCACGTGGGGATCATAAAGGGATGGCGCCGAAGTGTGAGGCGGGGAAAAATTCGGTGCTATCGAATTATCGTACTGCATAGGGAATTGCGAAAAGCCCGGGGCCGCAATGTCGGCGGCAAACTGGGCGCCTGGAGCACTGGGCGGCATGGAGGTGGAGACGGGCGGCATGTAGTGATCTCCAGACTGCGTGCGCCTGCGCTCGCGACGGTCGCGCTCGCCGCGCTCACGTTCCCAGTCATCATCAAGCTCGTCTGCGGTACTTCGACGGCTCTTCCTCTTGTCGCGATCTCGGCTCTCCGATCGGTCTCGTTCGCGGCGGCGAGACCGAACACTATCCCGGTCGCTATCTCTGCGCTTTGGTGTTCGCTCAACGATGGCAGTGTAGGGGTCGATTGGGTCGGGCTCGGCCGTCACATAGGTGGATGCGACGGACTCGCCGGCCACACTCGCGGGTCCGCGCCTGCTGCTCGAAGCCGAGGGCTCGTAGGCCGACAAGTCACCCAAGCCGCGGTCACGGTCGTCACCCCGTGAAGATTTGCGGCTATGTGAAGACTTGGAATCGGTCTTGCGACGGCTCTTTGAGCTGGAACTGGTAGTGCTGCGGACGTCCGAGGACGACCGGACCCCGCCCATGAGGGCCTTGAACATGGTGGGCAAAGAATTAGAGGAATGCCCCGGCAGAACAGGCCACCATGTGGAAGATGAGGAATGTGTGAGGGGAGGGTAGGGCGTAGAGATCGGAATGTAGATGATAGGAAAGCGTTGTTATGTTTGTTTGGGGGAGTAAACAACGGAGCCGAACCGTGGATCTTCGTCCGAAGCGGAGCCTTTGGGCTGAACTGGTTGCTCCAGACGATCGGGTCCCCCGACTTCCCGTTTTGAGTTGATCACGATCTCAGTTTCGGATTGAATCAATGATTGATGACTGAAATGACACTTTGCAACGTGCAGGAAGTCAACTCAGCACTGCAGACAAAATCTGCGTGAAAAAGAGAGTGGCACAGGATGAGCTGTTCAGCAAGTGGAGCCAATCGAAGTCGCGGTGAAGGCCGTGCACGTGCCACCAAATTGACGGGGCTGGCGATTTCGTCACTTTCTCAAATCAGAGCGGTGTTTTTACTTGGGATTCATCACTATGGAGTCGGACAATACCAATGGGATGTCTCGCAGGTGGTACAATAGTGCTCTAGCAATTGAATGTATTGAAATTTACCCTGTTGTGTTTACTCAAGTTGGAAATGTGCTGGGCTTGGGTTACCCTCAGCTGAGCCACGCAGAGAATATATAACGCCCAAAGTCAGTCCAATCATAGAAAACAAACTAGGAAGTCGGCAAGGAAAGCCTTGCGACGGCCCGACCGAGAAGTTATATGATATGGCATGTCATCAGTAGGCGGCCCTGATTCATTCTGTCGGATCGAAAGAGCACTCGACACGAATGGTAGTATCCATGCGTCTTGAATTTTCTACTCGGGAGGGCTGCGCTCAGCTAAGTGATCACTCGCAAATACCACAATAGGAAATTGTTCTCAAAAGAACACACTCGGATGCTAATCTGCACGCATGAGACGCTCAAGCCGACACCGTAGCGAATGTTGGAACCAAAGAGGATACCCGCGGAGACGCTGCGCGATCCACCCAGCGAAAGTGGGCACCAGGACGTGACCGCTCTCCCCGGTAAGCACCTGACTAACAATGGCCTCTGCGACCGTCTCTGGCCACAACAGAGGATTCGCGAAAGTATCCTCGGGGGTCAGATTTTTGATGAGCGCCGTGCGCGTGAACCCCTGCGTCACCAAGACAGCGCGGACCTTCGGCGCCTGGTACCGGGTAACAAGCTCGGCGGCAAGTCCCTCGTGAAAAGCAATAGCTGCCGCTTTGCTGGCCGAGTAATCGACCATGTTCGGGGACACAGCGTATGCTGCTTGCGAGGCGATAGTCACTACCATTCCGTGGTTGCGGGCGATCATGTCCGGAAGGAATTCCTGTGCGAGCCAGTAGTGGGCGAAAGTGTTGACTTCGAACATGCGTCGTGTTTGTTCGGGGGTGGTGCCGAGGATGGTTTTGCCGGTGCAGATGCCTGCGTTGTTGATGAGGATGGTGGGACGTCCGAAGGATGCGCGGATAGATTGTGCGGCAGAGGCGATATCATCAACCGAGGTGATATCGCATTGATAGAAACGGACGCTGTTGGGTAGGGTGTCTGATGGCGGCGAGATATCCAGGATGGCTACTTTGACGCCGCGATCGCCGAGCAATTGGGCGACCTGCCGGCCAATGCCGTTGCTGCCACCAGTCAGAACAACGATCTCTCGGTTCCAGTTATACTGGTCTCTGTAGCCGTTGTTGATCGTCCAGCGATCTACCCACGCGCCGAGTCGACCGAGGACTGCTAGTAACGCGAATGTCCTGAGTACCTTCAGCGCATGGGGTCGCGACTCGAGGAGTTCACGTCCCCTCACTGTGTATTTAGCCAGAGCCAGCAGAGGAACTACCTTCCAAGGATCTAGGAATGTGCGCGAGATGAATTTGCCCACCACATCGGCCGTAAATCCTATTCCAACATGTCAGCCGCTGCATGCTCCAACCTCGTGGATCCGCTTACCTTCTTTGGAAGGCCATTTGTTTATCGGAGATACCATGGTTGAGGAACTGCAACTGTCCAGTGCGACCCGAGAAGTATTCACGGGATGTTTACATCAATGAGAGCCAGCTTTAAGCTGAAAGCCGCGATGTGTAGGCCAGTTCAAGCAAACTCCTGATCTACGGTGTGACTTGGTCTACATTATGCGGGGAAGCCGAGGTCCGCGCACAAAAGTGCATTTGATTCTGCATTGACCCAGCATAACCAGCCTGCGGCTCACTCGTACGCTCAGACTGCTGGGAAAATGAGATACGCTTATCCTTATGTACAGGACCCACTTCCCCAGATGCGGATAAAGTAGCCGTAGCTGCAGATGTGCCATCCCGGCACTGAGGTGATATCGGCAAATTTCACTGATCCGGAGGCAAAGGTCAACTTACTTGCTGTTGCTCAGCGACTCTGGCTTGTTGTGACATTGGATCTCCAGATAGTCTCGTCACATGCTACCATGAGTCTAGGGCATCTTTGATTGTTGATCAAAGCCGGATTGACCCACCCGGCTGACTCTGGTCTTGTGCTTATATCTCCAATGCCTATGTTTCTGTCTATGCCTTCTATAAAATCTCAAGCGACCGATATTATAATATAGATAAATTAGCATACACCCTTGATCTTCCAGTGTCAAACGCTCGTTGTAGACCTCTTGATGTGCCTTTGTCCAAGGTGTCCCTTAGCATGACTTCGAATCTCAAAATGATGCGTCTTGAATACATGAATCGGCTGTAGATGAGTCTTTGATTATTCGATGTCTTTCACCTTTGTTTTATACCCTTGGTGTAGCTGCTAGAGCGTACGTACCAGAACATACCATCCGAAAGTGCCCCCTCAACTCTCAACTATGCAGCTCGTATTTCGCAAAAATGCCAAAAAGATGTTGACTGATAACATTGAACTAGATACACCTCAATTTGATTCAGGAAACGGGATCACAACCCTAAGATCGCCTCAATGAAAGACCAACAGCCAACCCAAGCACCACAACAGGCACCACAACCTTGAGCCCATTAACCCAAATCAATCTTGTCCTCGGTCGCCATCCCATCATGCTCCCTAGCATCATTTTATCTAGGAAATGGCACCTCTGGAACATCCACTCCCAAGAAATCACACAGCGGCTCCCACCCATCGCAACTCAATACTTAAGCCTCTGCTCTGCCGGCACCCCAGCCCTCACATCAGAATAGTACCTCTCATACACAGTCTTTGAATTCTCCAAAACCTCAGCCCGACTTCGCACCCTAAGGAATCCAAAATGGATCTTTCGGATCGCCTGCACGGCCGGAACACCCATCAAGTATAACCCCAGGAACCCATTGATAGTCGACACAGGCTGAAGCACCACACGGTCGTGGATCTCCGTCTCGAAACTCGGTCGACTTTGGCTTCTGGGTAGGCCTTGATGAGCTCCCGCGCGAAAGGAGATGCGAGGTCCGTCACGGCATCATATCCGCCCCACAATGCATCCCAGTCGGAGCGAGTGCTACAAGTGTCATACTCTACTCTCAGAAGTGCGCAGTCTTTCCAGAATATGAGGGCTCCAAGAAGCCCTCGAAACCCTCGGCTATCAATTGGTGTAGTTCACGTCGGAAAACTCCCTGCGGCATCGGGATCATCGGGAATTTTACCCTTCCGACCGGAAGCTTCCCTAGGTCCCGTATTCCGAAGGTCCTACACGATGCGAGGGAAACGGGTGCTCTGTTGGCCTATCGTAAGAAGGCATTTCTAAGGATAATCATTTGCGGGGTACGGGGTAGACGTCATCCCCACATGAACGCCGACTGGTTCAACCCACATGGACCGACAATATTCCGATAGTAAAGATGGCTCGAGTACCTATATAAGATGTCTTAGTAGATCCATAAAGATCTGTCTACTGTTCTATATAATCTCTCAATATACACCATGACTGGAACTTCCCCAACCAAAGAGGACCACGTTGATGTCCTCATCGTAGGTGCTGGACCTGCCGGTCTCATGTTATCGACCTGGCTGAGTCGCTGCGGTGTGAAGACCCGCGTCGTTGACAAGCGTGGTACCAAGGTACATCGATCAAAATCACCACAGAAATTGAATACGTATTGACAATCACGCAGATCTTTAACGGACAAGCCGATGGTCTGCAATGCCGCACTCTGGAGATCTTCGACTCCTTCGATTTCGCCCACCGGGCTTGGCGCGAATCAAACCACATGATCGAGATCTGTCTCTGGAATCCAGATGAGAATGGCATCATTCGACGATCTGGTCGCATTCCCGACACCATTCCCGGAATTAGTCGGTTCCAGCAGGTTGTCTTGCACCAAGGTCGTATCGAGCGATTCTTCCTGGATGCAATGAAAGAACACGGCGACCTGACTGTTGAACGCGGTGTTCTCCCCGTGTCTTTTAAGTTTGACGAGACCAAAGCAGGAGATTTCAATGAATACCCTATCAGTGTGGAGCTTCGTACGCTCTCCGATCAGGAGTCCACACCCTCGCAACGCCAACAACATCACAAATCCGCCGATGGCCAGGAAGAAATCCTTGAGGACGGGCTGTTCCGAAGTAACTTAGTCGCCGATGATACAGATGACTTGATCCGATCGGCTGAAAACACCACAAATCAGAAAGAGCTGATTAAAGCCAAATTCATGGTCGGATGTGATGGTGCCCATTCCTGGGTCCGAAACCAGGTCGGCTTCAAGCTAGAAGGTGACTCGACTGATTATATTTGGGGCGTGCTTGACATTATTCCCATCACCGATTTTCCCGACATCAGGCATCGATGTGCGATTCACTCAGCCAGTGAGGGGAGCGTTATGGTAATCCCGCGAGAGAACAAGCTCGTTCGACTGTATATCCAACTACAGGCGACAGACTACAACAAGACTGGAAGCAAAGTGGACAGGTCATGGATCACTCCCAGTATTATTCTACAATCCGCCCAGCGTATCATGCACCCTTATAAGCTGGATTACACTTACTGTGACTGGTGGACGGCGTACCAGATTGGGCAACGGGTCGGTAACAATTTTTCGTTGCAGGAAAGGGTTTTCTTGGCTGGAGATGCTGTCCATACGCACTCACCAAAGGCTGGACAGGGGATGAATGTTAGCATGCAAGATAGTAAGCACTCTACTCATTGATTCTGAACTAGGGACTGACGCGACTAGCCTACAATCTTGGATGGAAGCTCGCGCATGTGATCAAAGGGTATAGCCAAGGATCGATTCTGAAGACTTATGAGTCCGAGAGAAAGCAGATCGCGCAGGATTTGATTACGTTCGATCGTCGCTTCTCGAGACTTTTCTCGGGCCGTCCGGCTAAGAATATCATGGATGAGGAGGGGGTTAGCATGGAAGAGTTTCAAAACGCGTTTGAGAAAGGCAACGAGTTTGCAAGTGGCATAGGTAAGCTTTTTACTATTCAGGACCTGCTCCCCTCAGTACTGACTTTCAGTATTTAGCGGTGAATTACGGTGGTAGTCAACTTGTTGCGAAAGAAGGCAAGATCAGCAGCAAACCACTGCTAGCAACAAAGATCGACATTGGGAAACGCATGCCGAGCTTCAAGGTGTTGAATCACGCCGATGCGCGACCGTGGCATCTCCAAGAACTCTTGAAAAGCAATGGTCGCTGGAGAGTCATTGTGTTCCCAGGGCGACTGACCGAGCCATCCAACATGCAGCGCATGCGGAGCTTAGGCAAACAGCTTGAGGCACCCGATTCGTTTATTCATCGTTACACACCGCCCGGGCAATCCATCGACAGCGTGATCGAAGTTTTGACAGTTCATTGTGGACCGCGCGCGGATATCGAGCTTCTGGAACTCCCTAACGCGTTCCATCCCTATCATAGCGATCTTGGATGGGATTATTGGAAAGTTTACGTGGACGAGGAGTCTTATCATGAAGGGCATGGGCAGGCGTATGCCAATTATGGTATTGACCCGAGCCGTGGCGCTAGTGTCATTGTTCGTCCGGACCAGTATGTCAGTTGGGTTGGTGAGGTGGATGAATATCAGGAGATGTCGCAGTTCTTTTCTGGGTTTATGATACAACAGGCTGCTGGGCAGGGCACGATTGACGGCCTGAATGCACCACTTGCGACTACACGACTATAAGTTGGGATCCATTTCAATCAAAGTCTATTTTGTATCAGTTTCAAATAAAGATTTTACCGTCGCTTCCTGATTGAATATATGTCGTCATCTCTGGTATGGTGTGTTTGATCTGATCGACCAGTGGGGAAGGAAAGGCCTTGGAGTTATAAACCCTCTCTCTCTCCAATGTGATAGCTTGCGCACTCATGATCTCTCAAATTTACGAGTCGGAATAGATGGTATGATCTAATTTATCTCTGGTCGTACCGTGGACGAGAAGACGTGTGGGACAGTGTGGCATTTATGATCGATCGATCAACGGTACCCCACCACACGCCACTTTGGCCACGTGAAATCAATCCTTCTATCAAGTGGATGGATTTCTACAGGAATGGGGCGATTCTCCCAGTGGACGTGAGATCAGGGCGTTTCTTCAGGTCTCGGAGGGAAAGTCAGGTGACACTCATCTCTAACGGCGCGCACAGGCGGACAAGGGGTAAGATGTGATGGATCGTGGGCGTAATGTCGCACCACTCGTCTCAATTCTGCCCTTTTCGTTTAGCCCCAAGCGGGGATGATTAATTCTGAATGTTGGGATGGGTTACTATTGGATCGGAGAGTTGTGTGAGACTAAGCGCTTGCCACCAAGTTGCCCATCTCTCTCACACGGTGGAAGCGCCGGCTCCAACATGAAACGGCGAGCATACGGCCCCTGAAAGTCGGGGTGTAGATGGCAAGTGGTATAAGACATCTTGGCTGCAGTCTGACGTGATGGCTCTGTTTCTTCCTTTTGGCCCCAAAAGGAAATTCATCAAACAAGCTGGGAAGATTCCATGATGAGTGTGTGCGAAGAACGCGTGACGGCCTTCAATGGTTGTTGATCTCTCACTTGTTTCCCCCCTCAACTCTACTTGCGTGGATCACACCGTATTGACCTCAAGTCCAACTCCTTCTTCGAGTCCACTTCTGTCGTCGAATGCCGCCTATGGGCGCGGTCGTCATGTCAAATACAACTGGGGCTGCGATGCAGTCGCGGGAGGTTGCCCTTGCTCAGGTAGCGCGCGTCATGGTCACCTCGGTCGTGACAGAGACTGTACGGCCGACTTGGGTATTCACGGAATCGGTTATTATCTATGAGAATCCGTCAACAGAGGATGCTTCTCACCCGAAGACCGCGACAAGTGACGCTGAACCTACCGAAACGTCTCAGCTACAGACCAGCATGCAGTCTCGACAAATAGATACTGCACTCCCAACTCCTGTTTCCACGATTGTGCCGGCTCAGGGACCGGCCACTGTTCGTACCATGGAAAATACCGCTTCTCACACTGAAGCCTGGGCGGGCTTCCAGGGGCCTTTGACCATTCAGACCACCTGGAACTCTGTGTCGACTTTATCCATCTCGTCGGAGGCTCCGAGTCCATCTAGCCCGGGGTCATCACTGTCGCCAACTTTGCTGACTAGCTCGCTTAGTGTACGATCGAGTGTACTATTGAGCACGTCACCGAGTACATCGACAAGCACAACAGTCAGCAAGATGTGGGCAAGCTCCTCTTCGGCTACAAAGCCGTCCTCTCCATCTTACTATCCAACACAAACGCCTTTGACCAGCCTAGGATCTGATAGCTCAGCATCAACCTCATCGTCTAGCACATCTCGTCATCACTCTTTGAGTACGGGCACGATCGTTGGCAGTATTATTGGTGGAGCAGTCATCGTGGCCCTTGGGATCCTGGCATGCATTCTCTTTTCCCGTCGCAAAAGAGCACTATCGCATGGAAGACAAGCCAGCAGACAGAGACTGTTACGAACAAGCGGATCCATGAGCTCAATCGAAGGACCCCACCGACGACGGTCCTCGCAACCTTCGCCAGTCGCTCCGTCTACAGGCATGACCCCCGCGCCGATCTTCCATCAGCGCAGATATTCAAATCCACTAGACAACCGCCCCAGCCCACCTTTCGGTCTTTCATATCCGAACTCGTCACACGACAGAGCATATCCCTACGGCGAGCCATCGAATAGCCCGCACGTCGACCCATTCGCAGACCCGGAGGATAACCCCATGAGCCGGGCCCTCGATCGCCGCCTCTCACCCATCATCGAAATCTCCCCACCAAGCCGCACAGCGTCCATTTACTCCCGATCCTCATGGGAAGCAGGTCCCAAAGTGGTCCAAAGCCGCGACTCTTGCCGATCTTCTCCATACAGTTGCACCGGAGCCACTCAGAGTACGCTCACCCTCGAGACACTTGGAAGTGGTTCCCGATGCCTGGACAGGCCCAAAAGTGTTTCCCGACGAAGCGACCCATTCGATTTGGAGCCGCCTCCGAGTATTCTCCAAAGGCCTCTTCATGGGGCGCATCATGCCAACCGCTGGGGTGAATGACTCTGAGCTTTTTTTTTTTGTATTCTTGTCCTCACGCGCTGCATACCCAACTGGTTCCCGGCGTCTCTTGTTCGTTCCCTCTGCGATACCCGGCTCATCTTACATTCACGATTGTTTACGATTGAACGACATACATGAAATTGTATCTAACTACTTTTAATGGGGACTCTATGTACGAGTAAACTGCGGCTAGGTTTCGGAGTCACCAGGAGTTTGCTCAAAATGCATTTATTATTATTCACCTATCACACATTACCTCTCTTTAAGTCGAGAGCTACATTAATCCCTTCAGTAGCCGCATTGACTTCTTTTGTCAAATCTGTCAGTCTATCTGACCCATTTTTCTCATCTCGACATAGAGTCTTCCACACCAAAAGGTTTAAAAACATAACTAATATGATTAATTGATATGAAGCGACAATATATTGCCATTAGAAGTGGTGTTTTTCCGTTTTAGTCTTTGACATTGATATCAGCTTCGGCCTTGATGAGCATCTCTGCCATTGTCCGGGACTTCCGCTGGATAGTCCAGTGGAGTGGTGTTCCCATTCTATTGTCTTGAGTGGATGAATTGGCCCTGCATCAATGAGCTTGGAGAATATCCTCGGTACCCATGCTTACGGTCTGGCCTCACAGCCAAAGCCCAGATGTGTATGATCCCATGAGTCAACACTTTGTCCAGAAGGAATCGACTCCCATAGCTGACAAATCCAGCTCCAAGATAGCTGGAGAGCAACATGTTCTCGCGGATTCACGATGCACATGCAGTACAGGTGCAGTTAACTCAAAGTACACAGAGAAGGCTACAGTCGAGTTGGAAGGAAACACCAGGAGTCTGTGCGTAAATGTTTGATTGTTGATTTATGTTTGATGATGAAACGAAGGAGGATGTGAAGCTTGAGTAAGCTCTTCCATCACAAGTTGTTGACTCTCTTCAGATGGCTGCTAGCTATGTATAGTTGTTCCTATTATCTAGTTGTACGCTCGGTTTGCTCTCTGCTTTCTTTCTTTCTTTCTGTCTTTCTTTCTGTCTTTCTTTCTGTCTTTCTTTCTGTCTGCTTCTGCTTATTGCGGCGGACTCTGTAGCTCCCTGCTAGGGCTGGCGGGATCTTTACGATCCAGTCTACCGCGAGACGCTACCGGGCAAGACAGATTTGAATTGCAAATATCATATCAATATACAAGACTTGCTTTTTCGAGCAACCGTTGTAGCCTTACGACATCATCGCTCACCCCAAGTACTGCCGCGCAGTAGAACAGCATACCTGCTATTTTCCGAAGTATTCAACTCAACTAGACAAAAGTACCTTTCATGTAAGATTCATATCGTCTATGACACCGTAAGAGTACATACATACACTGTTATCACGCAGAGAAAACAACGAACGCGAGCGCCATGCAACCTCATCACTATCACTCTCCACTCCAGAAACATAAGACCAAAAGTACTAAAGACACGTTCCATCTCCAGCCCCGAATCGCCATAGTAGTCATCATAGCGCCCACCAAGTGACGCGATTCCCCAATAATAACGAAGCCCACCGACGCACAAACGCCGAAATATGCACCTGTATCGCCGTAAAGAAAGGACCATGAAACCTTGACCTACGAACATAAGTACCGCCGCGCCGGACATGTTCGGGTACCACGCCAAATGATCTCACGACTCAGATGTACCCGACCCAGAACAGCGGGAGAAAATGTGATCGATCAAGCGTGATCTACGGACCCAGTACCAGAAAATGGCCCAGCTGTGGAGGCGCGGTTCCAAGAGTGTACTAGAGCCGCGCATGGCCCCCGTTGGAGAACTAATTTTCCGACAACGTACAAGGTCAAGGCTAGGAATGAAAATGGACGTACTCGAGTCATTTCGAAGCTACCGGACTTATGTTCCATCCGTTATGCGACAGAACGTCGCTGCTTTATCTAACTTCCTACAGCGTACTACGGGGAGATCGCGGATTACCGCTCGGGCGTGTGGGGCATGTTGCAAGAACGGAAGCGACGTCTCCCCCCGGAACTTTCCAGCGTACGGGGTTTCGCTTATCGTACGGCTTGGGCCTCCGTGACTCCCGGTCAGCTTCTTGGGTCCCGAGCTTGTGGGCGAGGAGGGGTTGGTATGAACCCTGTTTTGGATGTTGCAATATGGAAATTGATCCAGAAATATACATCCTGGATCTCTGGTGCAAAAAGTTTTAGAGTTTGTTGATATATTGGGATCTCAACGGATCGTGAGGGGACATGTCAAATAGTGAACCTGGGAAGGTCTGGTGTTAGCTCTCAACATGGATAGTGCGCTTGAGATTCGGTCATTGCTTCCCAAAGGTGATGAAATCTAGAACAGGATAGTCATCCGGCCTGAATATGCGCAAGATAGCCATGGATGGAGATGTATTTCGATAAATCGAGCTTGGGATCTAGTTTGCTCCCTCCTGGTTGAACATTGCTTTTCTTGGAAGCCTTTGAAGCAATTAAACCAGAACAATCGCCTCCTGCAACGGAATCAACAAAGTAATGTTTGCGGCACTGGACATGGTCACCCCGTCTGGGAAGTTCAGATGCCACCAACCGAGGTCTACGCATGGCTATCACCTCAAATCAGCACACCGGACCAACTACCTCGTTCAGAGACTGAGTATTTGAAATTTCCTTTCTAGCTCAAACCAGAATTATTCGGCGGTAACTATTCAGGGGGTATGGACTCAATAGCCGCTGCCTTGTTTAACTATCACGAGGTAGAAGGCGAACGTAGTTTACAGCGCTAGAGCTCGCGCGATGACCGAGAGTACTTTCTCATCACTTTCCCGAGACGCCCTGTGGCGCAGAGCCTTTGAGGTTGACAACGGGGACCTCGGGGACCTGGAAAACCCGCAATGGGAAAAGTACGTACTTTTGCGTACATCCTCAACTCCGTCCCTAGAGTTTTCGGAGGTCAAAACTGTGGAGGAGAAATCAACTCTGAGGGTGGGGGGGTGAAACACAGACCGAAACACACCGAGAATCAGCCGGGTGAAAGATCTGAATCGCAAAGATGCAGCTGGCTCCTTCGAGAAGGGGATTCTTTGCAGCTGGAGATGCAAGTGTTGAGCAAGCAATGACGTGCGTGCATCTGCGCCAGTTCCTGAAGATGGGCAGGAATGTGGGTGCAACTGTTCTTAGTGTGTCCGCGGCCTCGATTTGACTTTTTTTTCGCTGCTCTCCACTTGGGATCCTCCCACTGGGATCAGGGACGAGGCACTTGAAAAATATTGAAAAAGTCTGATTTTTGAATTTCTACACCGCAGGATGGGCGAGGGGTTATGTTTCGGTTCAATCTGCGCAAAGACTGCTAAGGTCTGGTTGGAATAGACCGATAGTGACGGTATGTCGTAATCCCGCGTTTAGAGAATCTGCAAGATCTCGAAGGTTGTGGATTTTCCTTGCATTGAGAACAGACCAGCCGTTCCTGTGAGCCTAAAAGTGGGTGTTTGCTTCCCCCTACCAGGGCCTGGGATCAAGGGGTGGCTCCAGCGTAAGGAGGCTCTTAGACACGCAAAATGCTCACTTGGCGATGAAAGAAGGAGGATCGCCATAAGTGACCAAGTCATCAGAATTGGAGTGGCATTATGACCGACAATCATACTAGATCCTAAACAAGATGAGTCCTAGTGAAACGATCCTGAAAATCAGTTCGAACCACATGGGACAAGAACCCACGTGGACGGCCCGAACGTTGCTGGGGTAGCATCATCGCCGTGCGAGGGGTCAGTTTTCACGGTCGCTGAACTGGTGGCAGGGGCCTCCAACTAAACAGCAAGTGCAAATGGAGCGAACCAAACAGCGCTCGCGAGGACCTGTGCAGTGCGATGTGTAGACCATACATCACATTTCGGCAGGGCCGAGACTGTGTTGCAGCAGGCAACACGAGAACTGTGCGGACATACAGTGAAAACACTAAGACTGAAGACCAAGAGATGATCTAGCTTACAAGTTTGTCAAGAGTGGACAGTCCAAGACCATGGGAATGGACCCCGGGGGGAACGGCCGATCCCGCTGTCACGAAGCTGAGCTCGCGTTCGAGGATCATTTGTGCCACTGACACTCTCTTTTTTTCAGCTGATCCTGATATTTCCGATTTGGTCGGTCTGCACAAATCAGAACCGGCCATCGCCGATGCTTTTTTGATACTGTCCAATACGCGCTATGAACTCGTCATTGGAATTATGGGCGCAACCATTAGACAGCGCACATTGGCCCGTCACGTCATGCCACAACGCTGGTATCTCCGACGTGAATGTGAATGGCCCCAGCATTCTCCATGGCCACACGGAGATTCCTCCTCCGATCAGCACTTAGACGGCGCCCTAACAGCGCGACACGCCCCCCGTGACAATCCCCTTGATTCGCCAGCGTGAAACACGGAGCTATTGTCCCACTGTAACTCATCGTCGAGGTACGAGGGGTACGAGGGGTACGAGGGGCATCATATCTATGTTACCTACGCAGGACTTTGGTGCATTCCAAGCCATGATGCGAGTCAGAAATCCTAAGGTGGCTTCGCGAAAACGAACCCCCTCGAAGTCTCTACATCATCCGCCACAGCCACAGAGATTTAAACAAAAGCAAAATGCAAAATATTCGTCGCGTGTCTCGAAGGCGCTGACGCGAGGATATTGAGACCTACCGCTCGCGGGCAATGCAGATGATCCTCCCTACAGTATATCAACTCATGCGGCTGTCCCGCATCAGTAATCAGTAACTCGTACATAGTAACCAGACTCCAACCAGGGAGGAAGGCCCGATTTCCAGATACGCGACACATTCCAGTCTCATGAACCTCCGACCCACATATCAATCACGTATTCGAAGCATTGAAGCTCACCTGCATGTTCAAAAAAAACAGGTATAGGCTCTGCTCAGAGCCAACTGGCTACGTATCCCTCACCATAGACAAAAAAAAAAATACACGCGTCACGGTATTGGAACATGTCGCGACTCCGTCCAAGCCCCCAGCCCACTCGCTTCATACCAGGAGAATTCTCATTTCCGGGGCAGTGGTGATGTACGGTCCATCGGGGAGAGAGGGGGGGCAACCCCTTGCGTAAGGCCTGTTCATGTTCATCATCAAAACTCTATCGTCGCTAGACAGTGTTTCATGCATGGCGTGCAGAGCACAGGGCAAGAGGAAATTCTTGCTCGAGGAATCGGCCAGGAGGCGCATTAAGAGAAAAGAGTGCTGGTTTCTGTCCTGTATGCAGGTCATATTGGCGTAAGAAAATCAGTAATCGGTATTATTCATTCGTGAGTGAACTCCGGCGCAGGTCCTAGTCCGTTTTGAAATCTGCCCGCTCTATGCGCCGCAGTGTACCGAGAAAAGTGTTTTTAATTTTGACGCCCAACGCGGTTCCTTTTTTGGGGGGAGACTTTTTTTTCTTGTTCTCTCGGTTCTTTCCTTGAACTAGGTGCCATCGGGCAGGATGCGCCCAACTGGACCCGAGAGACCGGATGGTGGTAACGGCTCGGAAAATCAGGACCCTAGCTTAGCTGTAATTAATCTAGTATTAATCTAGAAATCGGTGCTAACGGTGTTTTTTTCTCTGTCCCTTATTGTGAATACAATTGACGTGGCGAAAGTGAGTCTTATAAGTCACCAATGATATCATCGCAGCACAGAAGAAGCGAGACTTTTTATCATTGATGGAGTCTATAGAGAGGGGTTCTAGAATATTGTACCTCCGAGGGCACGTCAAGTCATCAGTCTGAAAGGAGCGGTGGAAATAATAGAATTGGCTTGCCTAGATGGGGCCGGGTCAGAACTATTGTACTGTAACCTGCCGCGCATGCGGGTATCATCGCCATCACGACTCCACCGAACCCGCCCTGAATCCATCGTCAATTCTGGATCGTGATCCTCGTCGTGGGCGGCTGCACATACAGTCAATTGTGAGGTGGAAGCGAGGACCAGTGCTCTGTGATCATGTGTTACTTGGGTTTAGAATCTCAATGTGCCGAGGGGAGAAGGTTGCAACGGTGTCTTTTCTTTTTGGTGATATTTTGTGCCACCGTTGCTTTGGCTGGTAACCCCTTTATCTGTTTGTGAATTTGATGGTCGAATCCTTCAGATTAGGCTCCAGTTCTGATATCATGGTTGGTGAAGGCCAATGGTAGGCGAGTCTCCGCTGTTACACCGCGGGTATGAAGTCATCAGTGGTTCCGCTCGGGTTGCGCTGCTGAGAAGCTATTTCGTGTTCCTTGCTGGCCGTTTCATATCGACGATGATTTGCGATCATGGAATTTGAACTATCTCCAGGTCAATTATATTTCAAGAGATGCACAGTCTAGGACAATCTCTAAGTACTGTCTATCCGACAGGCACCCGATATATATAGTCAAAGACCGGGTCATGACCAAATGTCATTGCCCCATTGGAATATGTGACCCCAATGGATTTCCATGCTTTGCAGATGAAAATGGCTTCCACGGTTGAGCATCATCCGCCAGATTGTTGTTTACATTGATTCTTTGTGGAGACTCCCGAGGCTCAACCCATGGATGAAGCTACGGGTCCCTGGCTGCAACCGTGGGCGGTAAATTACGAGGTAAGTACTCCGGGGTGGACCTGTCTTGATCCCAATTCTGAAATCAAATTTGAAAGTGCACATCCAGATGAACCACATTGCTGGGTCAACCACACATCTGTTGAACTGCCAGAGACTACATCTCTGGCAGCCGCTTTTGGAAGGGAGACGGCACGGGATTCGCCGAGGTGTTTTCGAGAACTTGGCCGATCTCGAGTTGTATCCACTTGATTTGAGAATCGAGAGTCCAAGCAAGTTCGCTCAATGCCCAGCGCCCCTTGCGGTGCGGTAATCGAACTTTGATCTCTTCGCTTCGCCCCGTGTGTAGGATCCCCGAGCCCTGATCGAGATGAGATCGGACACTTGATTAAGACGAGTGGACGAAAGTGTGAATCCTAATTGTCTATCTCTTGTAAGGTGTCCCCGAGGCCTCGGTCTCGGAAAGTGATCCCTGCCCTCCTCATGGTAAGTGCGATGATAGGCCACAGGATTTTATTCTGCGGAACACCAGGACGAGAGCACGGAGCAGGCAATGGTCTTGGTCTTTCTCGGTTGAATGGAGACGAAGCAGAACAATTTGACCAGCTTTGCCACCCAGGAAGACACGACAAAGAAGCAGTCTGTTTACCGTACCCCGTAAAGCAAGTCTAAGAATGCCTATGAAGCCAGATAGAAATGCTTGTATTGTATGTAGCATTGCACTTGCATTTGTATTTGATTATTCCAATTTCTCAAGACTAAAAGAAAACAAAAAAAAAAAAAGAAACACAAATCCCCGCCTGGACCCACCGTGCGGTCTGTCATGAGGCAAAAAAGAAATGGGAAAAGACCTGTCAACTCTGGCGTTTGCGACTTCATCAGGGACTGGACTGACTGGCCCAGGGACTAGGGGAGTGTACTGTATCCTATGAGTTAATCGAAAAAGGAGCGTCCCATGGAAGGGAGGGGCAAACACCGAGTCGATCCCACGTAATTAGGATGATAATCACCATGTTAGGCTGTACTTATGTTCTTCCTCTCTCTCTTCCCCCCCCCCCCCAGCTATATTCCCGCTCCCTCGCTTCTTTACCTTTTCCCTTTCCTTCCTGACCCAAACTGCTGGAACCTCGTTGTTTTGCTCGCCTAGAGGACCCGACAGCCCGGCTTAGCTTTCCGCTACACTCCTTCAAGCCCAAGGATCTGGGTTCCACTGGAATTCAGAGACTATCGACTTCTACAATCAGAGGTAATTCGACTGACATCGTTGATTGCTTGAATTTGAGTCCAGAGGACCCTATCCCCATCCACCCCATCCACCCCATCCACCCACATCCACCCACATCCACCATCCATCCGAACCGATACCCGTTACATACCAATACACGGTACCGCACGCGTACGGAGCGTACACTGGTACACGAGTGCTCAGATGCTCCACATTCACCTTCCCTGTACAAGCTTCCTTTTTTCCCCTCCTCGACCTGTGCGATCTATCTGATACGTCCGGGAGTCTTTCCATCTCGTTTCTTGTTTCTCGTCATTCTTCAAGGTTACTCTACTTTCGCTACCTTGGACTCGTTCATCGGAACTGACTTCTAAGTTTCTTTGTTTCTAGCTCCCCCCCGCTTCTTCTCAGAGCTTCCCAACTGGCATCCCGACCCGCACCCAATTTTTGCGCCAACACCCCGGCTCACCGATCTTGTAACCGGTGCAGCTAATTACACTCTGGACCTGGACGTCGACGTCGACCTTCTCGACCATTTCGACCAAGTTCTTTCCCTTGGTCTCGTCATGTTCTTCTAAGCGACTCTTTCAAGCTACATTGCTTCTGTAAACGGTATGCGACCTGGCATCACTGGGTGACGTGAGCCGAACCATTGCGCCTGACATCGAGTTCAGAACACTGCCATCTCCGGTCCAGGACTCGGATTCGAACTCAACCCGATGCAACGCATGCCACCTCCCGAGGGGCATCATATGCCCCCCGGTGCGCCTGGTGTTTACGACCATGGATGGCGTCCTCCATACCATCCTGCGCCCTACGACGGTCACGCGCCGGATTCCCGTCGTACCTCAACCGCCTCGGCACCTTTGCCTCCCCAATACCCAGTCAACCCCAACCGTGAACTCCCGCAGCTTCCTCCCTCGGGACCAGAGGGTCCCTACGGCCGACCCAGTGGCTTATCCGGCCCTCCCGCCCACCCGCCACAAGAGTTGAGCCCAGTGCACGCAAGTTATCGTCCGATGAATGGAACCCCACACGAGGCATCACCACACTCTGCCCCGCCCGACTATCGTGCGCGCATGAGCTACCAACCTCCCGAGCAGCCCACCCCATCTGAGTCAACACCAACCTCTGCTTCTCTACCTCCATCATCACAATTCATGACACCGGCGCCCCCGGCCCCTCCGGGCACGCCTGGTTCATATGATCCGGGATATTATCAGAATCCGGCTTACGGAGCCCGCCAGCGCAAGGCGGCGCGAGCAACTCAAGTCAGTCTTGCGAGCATGCTACTGTGATGATCGACTAATTTGAGAAAAACTGCAGGCTTGCGATCAGTGTCGCGCAAGGAAGGCCAAATGCGACGAGGGACGACCGGCTTGTAGTCACTGCAAAGAGAATAATTTGATTTGCGTGTACAAAGAAGTTCCTCCGCATAAGTCAGTGTCTTCCCCAACTGATGAGCGAGAAACAGAATACTAACGTGAAGTCAACGAAAAGGCAGGAGAAGACGGCTCAGTTGTTATTGGATCGATTGATGGAGATGGAAGACAAATTTATCGATCGTATCGGCAGAGTGGAGAAGTACCAGGCTGATCAGGGCCAGATTCTTGAACAGCTTCTGGGTCAGGGACCCAGTGAGACAGCCCGCGCGCTGAAATACCGCGCGGGTGCTCCCATCCCGCCTCGGGACCCGGTTTTGAAGACGGAAGCTCCAGCCATGCAGGCCATGCAAAGCATGCAGGCTATGCAGACGATGCAGCCTATTCAACCGGACGTAGTTGACGACAAGAGTCCGTTCTTCGGACAGCCGGTACAACCTGCACTGAATCCTAACTCTAGTTTTGACGATGTGAAGAATGACAATGAGGGAGAGCTTTCGATCCCGGTGGAGCATACAACCGCCGCACACAAACTTTTAATGTGGCCCTCTATCAAGAGACTCATTGTCCCCCACGAGTATGACGAGGACTACGTTATGAGATTGGAGGAAGAGCGCGGCCTTATCAGTGTTTATGGACAGGGCGAGATCTCGTCGACCGCCGATGACACCCAACTTCCTTCCACCCCGCTCAGTCGTGACGGCGGTAGCTTTGATGAGTCTCGCATCAACGGAGACCCCAATGTTCAGACAAGTGCAACGTCGGATCCGGTTGATGTTGATATCGATAGCTTCGGCCGGCTAAGTCTGGACGCGAAAACGGCTCGACGCTACTACCACACTTACCTTGAAAAGATTCATCAGCTTCATCCTTTCCTCAACAAGCCAGAGCTGGATGGAAAGGTGGAAGCTTTTATCAGATCATTCTGCCCCCCGGAAACATCGCCACTTCAGCAGAACTCCACTCTTTGCCGAGAGAACTCACGTCCAATGAAACGAAAACGTTCCCATGAAGATCTGCAGGGTATCCGCGGAGGGTCCGTGGACGCTGCTGCCACCTCCGTCCGGCCACGTGTGGGTCGGAATATCGACAATGCCATCATCCTGCTGCTCTTTGCGCTCGGTGCTATCTGCGAGACCAAGTCCCCCCTCTCCCGGGGCCCATTATGAGCAGACCCGACTATCTCGAGCAAACAATCCCTAAACCTCTTCCACCTATCGGGGCCCCTCCCGCTGTGAATGGCACCCATGTCCATAACGGTGTTCCCTCCCCTGCGAATTCAGATTCTGCTCTGCCAACATCAGCATCTTTCTATAACTCTCAGCTTCATTCCACGAGCCAGTCCTTCCCGTCCTCGGTAACTGAACTTCGAGCTCAAAATTACGCGTCAAAACGATCTATTCCGCATACAAGGAATGAGTTTGGTCATGTCAAGAACCTCCAGATTATCCCAGGCTTGGCCCTGTATGGTTATGCAACCACTATCCTGGGTCTTCTTCAGGGGGGCGTTGAGCTGGAGCATGTACAGGCAGGGTTACTTGCTGGACTCTATGCTGGTCAACTAGCACACCCGTTCCAAAGCCATGGCTGGATCTGCCAGGCTGCAAGAGCGTGCCAAGTCCTTGTTCGACAAAAGCGATATGAGCGACTCGACGATAACAACACCGTAAAGGACCTCTATAACTTTGCCTACTGGACATGCCTGCAATTGGAGAGTGACCTGCTCGCCGAGCTCGATATCCCCGCAAGTGGCATCTCTCGTTCCGAGGGTCGAATGGGTCTTCCTAAGGGAGTCTTCATTCCCATACCCGACGAGAGTGGCGCACCTTCCACCATCATGATGATGTTCTACTCGGCCCAAATTCACCTTCGGAAAGTTCTCAATCGAGTACACACGGATCTGTACAAAGTCGAAAAGCAGGGTCAAACGCGCTGGTCATCCAATGTGCAGGAAGCTCTCAGCATGAACCTCGACCTTTGGCGAACTAGTCTCCCCACTACCATGAGCTGGACCGATAAGGAACCGCCCGCTAAGGACATCAACGCTGCACGAATGAGGGCTAAATATTACGGAGCTCGGTATATCATCCACCGACCTCTGCTATACCATGCGCTGCACTATGGGCAGACAGGCGCCCGCGTTGGGTCCGTTGCCCAGACCTCAGTCGACTCACCCACAGGGTCTACCAACAACTCGCAAACACAGCAGATGTCACCGTCAATAACCCATACCGGCCAACGCGCCCCAGGCATGAGCCGGATCATGAGCAACATAGGCAACCCGCCCGCCGAATTTAATTCATTTGCAAACGGCTGGACCCCACCGACTGTCGCCCTGCGCGAACTCCCACAGAAACTCCGCCGGGCCTGCAAAGTCTGCATCGAATCCGCAATCCTAAGTACCACAGCATTCGACGGAATCCCCGATCGCCTCGTTGTGACCAATATCTTCGGCACAGCTCATGCGTAAGCACCTCACCTGTATCACCTTGACCGAAACCACCCAGTAGTGCTAACAAGACCCAGTCAGTTCGGAAACATGCTGGTCCTCTCCGCAACATACATGTCGAGTCTCTCCGAGCTCGTTGAACGTTCTGTTCTCGAGCGCCTCCTCAAACGCACAATCCGTTTCCTCCTTCGCAGCGAAAACATCTCACCCACTCTCCGAGCCGACGCAAAGATCCTCACCGAAATCTACAGGAAGATCTTTGGCCATGACCCCGTTCTCAACTAGCCTCGCATTTCCACGATTGTGATACCATAGCCCTGTTTCTTGATTTAGATTCCTGGTGTTCAGAGTTCAGTATTCCACCGGCGTTCACAACCCTTTCTCGTCACTTATCCCATTTTGGTCACCTTTGAATACGGGATGTGCAGGATGGGCCCCCTCCATTTATTTCACTATCCATTCGTCCTATCTGTCCACCGGGACTCCACATCCCGTTGGATATGGATATCGGAGAGTTCTTTTTCGACTTTGGATATTCCCTAGGAGTTGGACTTTCACTAAGGCCATTGTGCTTTTTGCATTGCGATAAACCATCGGTCTGAGATACATATCCTTTTCTTTTTTCTGACTTTTTTTCTTCTTTCTCATATTGGGTTTGCATTTTGATATCTCTGGTTGGTTTTGGTGTTTCTTTTTTTGTCTTTATATCTATTCCCAATGAGACTGCCAATGCAGATACCGATTATTGAAACTGAATTGAATTCGTCCTTGATTTGCCTTATCAGATTGTGGTCCCTGTAAATTTTAAAACATGCGTCGCACCTCGTAGGCTCGCAATGTATGCTACGTAAGACGCCATATACCATTTGGCTGATTCTCGAAAGTCCCAATTCCTGGGTAAGCAGGCTCGATTTCAGGAGATGAATGAAAATACTGGTTCGAGGCAGGAAAAATTCTGATGAATCTCTGGCGATGGAGGTAACAAGTTCTCTCCTTAGTGACTCACTTGTACCTGTGACATGGCTTCTTGGCAAGTGAAGACCAACATCAGTGCTATATTGAGGTCAATCATTGAGGAAAAGCCATAATCTACACTTTTTTACAGATTTTATACAGAGTTCCTGGTAGGGAAGCGGCATGGGATAGGACGACTGAGGGAGAGGTGGCCGGCTACACGGAGCGGATGTTGCCCCCTCGATGGAGAGAAGATCATACCTGTTTGCCGAGCGCATCGCATCACCTCAAGCACACCAAGATTTTAAGAGGCTGCGTGCCAAGGAAAACCCAAATTTCAGCACAGAGAGAGTGAACCCGATATGATCAGAGCCTTTCGCTTCGTGTGTGTTCGTCTTGTGCTAAGGCTGACACGAAAATCTCAAGTTAGTGATTGGCTTGAGCCTCGATCGTCTTCGGCAGCTTACGCCCACTTTTCGTTGCTTGTACCGGGCGTGGCGGTTTGCGGACCACCATAGACCCTGCGGCTGAAATTCAAATGTCCAACTATTCGAAACACCGTTAAATCAAGTGCTATTTGCCGATATGTTTTTTTGTCGAATAAGATAAATGCACCTGCATGAAGCATATCGGACCATTGCTCCGCCCTCTACTAGATAATCTCATCTATCCTATAAAATTATCCCCAGTCTCTACATCGCCACCGCAGAGATTTTCCTCTATTGCATCCAAGCTATCACAGAGTCCGAGGACTTTCACTCGTCAAGATGAGCACAGGCATGAACGCATATTTTCTTGAGGAGAATTGTGACTATACGCTCAAGAGTTGCAACTGGCTCGGTGTTGAGGGAGGTAGGATCGCCAACATCTGTCCCAACCACACTGGACACTAATATACTAGTACAGAAAATTGCGCCCAAGAGTACTGTAACGGATATCCATCGACCTCCGGCACCTGCCCAGGAATAGGACTTGATCCCCGAAACTGCTGTGGTTCTTCCAATGCAGCGACGTGCTTAAATACTTGGTACCACGGAAGCAGTGGCTCAACTGGCAGTGGTAGCAGCGGGGATAACACCAGCAACAACCCCTGTGCTAGTGTGGTCAAAGTCATCATTTCGTGTTCGACGGCGAACCCGAGTCTATTTCCTTCCGGATCGATCTACACCGCAGGGCCTATCGCCACTGAAGCCGCAAGCTGTCTGTGTTACGACTCCAATGGGACATATGACCCATCTTCTCTCGATGAAAATGCCAGTAAATGTGTTGCGTCGGGCAGTGCAGCTCATCCTACCTATTATCCCTATGCAAGCGTGTTGGATGGGTTCTGCTCCAATGTCGCCGGGCCTGCTAGCACCGCTGCCGCTTTGACAACCACTGCGCTGACAGGGCTGGGGATTGTCACTTCAGGTGCGACAGTTACAAGTGCAGCGGGTACTGCGGCATTATTACCTACTTCAAGCGCATCGACTTCAAGCCAGTCGGTAAGTCTTAAATTATCTTCTGTTTGTGGTGTCAACATTTGCTAAGCATATGTAGAAGAGCTCGGCTTCCAGAGTGGTAAGGTTTTGCAATTGATATTTTGATCATTCATACTGACTATTTTTCAGGTTCGGTGGAAATCACCACAACTAGCACTTTTTGGGGCTTCTTTATTGGCGTCAATCGTGATGTCCTGAGCGTTGCGATAGAAGGACGCGTTGTGGAGCGTGAAACTTGTCTTACAAGGACGATAGTATTGCTCTTTGTGCCATTTTGATTCTTTGACTGCAATCGTGTCGAAAGCTTCTTTACTACTGAATCGATAGCTATTGACGATATGATATGACGAGAGTGTTGTGATATGGGGCTCGTATTGAGGCTGTAGTGCTAGAAAGGCCCACCAAATTCAGGGTCATAGCAGGCTGCCATGTGGCGCTGAGCCTACCGAATGATCATGTGAAGGGAAAAAGGGTCATAATCAAGTTTGATAGGAGATCAACATCCAACTCGTATCCTGCGACTCGTCAAGACCTGGCGTTTTTGACCTATCGCTCACGTTTACCCTATTGTTTTTATCGAATTCCGTGGAGACACGGGCACCATCGCCAAAAATGGCCTGCTTAGCAGTGAATGACCTCGTTCCGGACTATTTTCTTTTCTTTTTTCACTAGGCTTCACAATAGATATCATCTCGGCTTTTGTGACTCTTAACGCCACATTTTTCCTCGTTAAGCTCTCGCTTGTCTTGTTATTTGCCCACCCCGTATTTCGTGAACAGTAAGATTGAGAAGCGACAACGCTGGCCGTGTTTAATTCGCGTCTTATTAAGCCATTATGCCCTCAGCTACACAGCTTCCTGGGATCATTGCTCTCTAACCAACACCACTATGATTTTGACTGATATTTCGTCCAGCAACGCTCGCCTTGCCCTGCGAGTCTATTTCTTGATAATTGTCGGCCTCATAACATGGCTGGCCGATGGTGTTTTGCAGTACAGAGCCCAGCTTAGAGTCTTGAAACATGGCAGCATTCGCGTCCACACAGCTCTGGGCTGGCTGCAGGGTTTCCAGCTGGTAAAATCGGTGTGGGATCTCCGCCAGCTTCCCGGCGGCGCACTTGGATACAGTGTGATGGTCATCTTATTCGCATTGTCGAAGATCACTGACTTGCTGACCGCGATCTTCGTCGTCCAAATTGAAGTGAAGTCACGGTGTCTGTTCGGGCAAGGTCTGGTCCTGAACACCACCGGACCTTTCTTATTGACCGCACCCCCGTCAAACGGAATGCCCTACATTGTCGCTCACAATGCTCAATACTTCAGTCTCAATAACACATGTCCCATTGGGATTTACGCCAAAGTCAACCAAGACTTCAATGTCTGCCCCGACGCACAAGATATTCTGGGGAGTTGGGTCTGTTCCACCGTCGGTACTCGAACATATAGCGCCGCTTACAATCAAGAAGCTCTAGCTGCGAATCTGATTGAGCAAGGTTTACTGTACGCCAGCCCCACCGCGGATTATTCTGGCTTCGCGGACGGCTATTACAACCACCTCGCGCTTTGGAGTAGCTCGACAGGTCTCGCCACCGAAAACTCCAACGATGTCTGGGACGTGCGCGCAGCCATACAAACCAACGCCTCCCCGTTCGAGGACAACGTCAATATGCTCGCCATGTCCTGCCACATGAATGCCACTCTTGCGGAGACCATAACGGGGGCGATGAATTCGACAGTGGCTCTTGACACGTGGAAGGCCACTTTTCAGGGCCTGATGTACTATGGCACTGGCACACGGTCGATTTCCGATCCAGCGCTTGAGCTGGCGATTCTTCTTAATACTATGACAATGGTACAAGGGGGCAATAATATTCTTCTTTCCATCCCGGCGCAGGATGCGGACCAGACACAAGGGTGCGTTATCTCAGCGACTAATGTGCCCTTGGTCATGGAGGCACTTGTGTTGATTGTTGGCGGATTGTTCGTCGGACTGGTCTTGTTGTCGATTATTTATGCTTTGAGACTACGACTCATCCGTCGCGAAGTGCGTGAGTCGCTTAAGTACCTGCCTGATGGGGTCATCGGGTGGGCGGTCAAGGCTGCTCAAGAGCACTGTGATCATGATGATCCAGATCCAGGTCAGCATGCGAGAGTCGAACGCCGAGATTTAAAGAATTGGTTGATTGGCTATGAGGGTGGGGAGGCAAGGCTCAGGTTACAACAGCATTGTTGATAGAATCTAGTTGTTGCTGGGAAGGGGGCAAGGGTTGCCATGTGTTGTCCTTCCAACACCTAATTCTGCCTAACTCTGATATTTATACCTGATTAGCCAGGCTTTGACCTGACTCTGCCTGACTGTTACTCATAATCACAAGTTCCTGTCATTTGCGTCTGTTCTGTGTATGTTGTGCCGTGTTGCTCTCCTATTCATGTGAGCAATTTCATTAAATCCTTCTCATGGGACCTCGATCAATCTAAGTCACGCTAAAGCTCTACTCCTTGTTCTAGCGTCAATTTATCGCTAGCTTTTACATTGCCAGAGAGGATGACTGATAATTGGGGATATGTGTAAGAGGAATGGATTAATGCTATGGGAGAAGTAGGCTAAGTAGGCTGTAAACATCCCCCACAACTATAGCACGGTGCATGCGTATGGGAGATCCCCGTACGAGTCAGTACCCTCCATTCTCGGCGTACATGATTGTTTTCGGGTTGTCTTTGGCCCGAGCGTCGGGCGACTGTCTGTTGTGGACGATAGTGACGCCGTTTAAAGGCATGATCTGATACCAGATAAGTCCTTCAAACGTGGCGTTCAAGAAGCAAAGGAGGTACATGGGGGATATGAAGATAGATTGCATATCAGAGTCGTGAGAGGTACTTGAAGGGGTTCTGTAGGCCTCTTAGTCATCCCAGTCACCTATCTCTTTGCCCTTGCGGCTATGAATTCCATCAAGGTTGTCTAGAATCGATATTTCAGAAATATATCTTGTAACACTTCAGAGAGAACGACTTCCGGGTCAAAACTGTGAATAAGATAGAATTCAGCGTGACAATGACAAAAAAACGACAAAGAAATATAATCGGTGGTGTTTGCACCACTACTTCCTCAATAGGAGTGGCCGCTGGCGCACTGTTTTCATTCTCTCTTCAAAATTCTCAGCCCATCTACTCTCTGACGCCGGTTGGAAATGAAGGAAGCCTTCGATATTCCGTTTTACGCAACTGACTTGACCTGTCCTCTACCAATAATCGCCGAGATCGAGGATGCCAAAGACATATCCTTGAAATACGGAGGGCGAAGAGTCGTCGGAGTCGGCCCGCATTTGGTTGTGAAGTTTGGTCTAGGAGTCGACCTGACCGAAGGAGTAAACATGTTATTTGTCCGGGAAAATACAAAGATTTGTGTTCCACGAGTCTTTGCTCTTTATTCAGATTCCAAGACTGGCAAAAACTTGATCGTCATGGAGCGTATTATCGGTTAAACACTTCTCGCGGCCTGGCCACAACTCACAGAATCAGACAAACAAGATATACTACACGACCTGCGAACGCACTTTGATGAACTGCGTCAGCTTCCATCTCCAGACTACTTTGGCAGTTTCGGCAGAAGAAAACTTCTGCATGGAATATTCTGTACAAAAGGACCAAACCCATCAATCAATAGGCCGTTCGATTCTGAAGAAAGCCTGAACGAAGCGATGTTGCGGAAGTAATCCTACAATGGAGGTCCACTTTACAGAATGGAATATCTTCGAAAATGCTTTCCTTTCGTATTCTACGACCACAAAGCGACTTTCACCCACGGTGATATGCAGAGGAAGAATGTTATCGTTTGCGAGAAGACCCAGCAAGATAAGGAAAGATCACGAGTCGTGTTAATTGACTGGGAGAAGTCTGGATGGTATCCGGTGTATTGGGAATATTGCTTGGCTGTTTGCTCGCTACGATGGGATGATAACTGGCCCCTGCGAACTGACACCATTCTGACGCCGTATGTCTCGGAATCTGCGTGGCTGCAATCATTGCGACTTGAATTATGGTCTTAAACGTTAGATAGTAATGAACTGAAACTATCGGGGCGTTTTAGCCAAAAATCCAGTCTAGTCCTTTGTTTGGCTACGTATAGCTGCATTCTCTACCAGATGATATTTCCTAGTGCTGCTACCAACACTTTCCTAGAAGAGCTCGAAAAGCATATGGTTCTAAATGCTGCAGGTCACCACCTAAACTAAACCACCGTACTGTAAGCTGTGAGAAGTCTTGAACAGGCAGTCATTATCCTATGCGTGTAGTTGCATATGGCGCGTTTCCCAACGGTAAAATTATTCTAACTCTCCATCCGGCTTGTTAGAATTAGCTGATTTTTATCTTACACTCCGATGTCGATACTCATGAGCCATATCCTCCGCGGTTAATGTTTAAAGTAAGCGTGTCTTACGCCTGTTACGAATCTAGCGGCCTATGGCGTCAACATGGATGATAATTTTCTATGCTTTTCAATCCCAGTAGCTCTGACGACACGCATATCTTTGGAGAAACGAAGCGAAAGTTTCACCCGAGGCAAACAATCAACTTTAGTGCTAATATACTCCGAGTGTGAGCTCAGTTCTTCGCATGCACGCTCCTCAGGGAGTAACAGACAGGTGTGCTTATCATCTCGGCGGCGCTTTATGCGACCCGTACGATCAATCAAATTAAGTGAACGAACCACGGGATTAGCGTTGTGTGAAAAAAGACAGTAGTCTCTAATTTTATGCCTGCGAGTAATCTATGATGCTATTGTATGAAGAGACTGGACGCTGTCCTCTCGAGGATCAGCATGATATGGATGGCTTAGATAAGACTGCCTCTTCCTTGAGAGTGAGAATCATATTCTGCCATTGCGCCTAAGGCTCCACTAGATGCCTCAGGTCGCGGTAGGTGTCAGATAGTTAGTGGTTCTGACAGCTCATAACCGTCGAAATAAGAAGTGCTTCCATAATCAGCGGCAGGAAGACCTCTGCTGTTATAAATCCCTCTGTAGGCAATTTAGATTGGTAATAAATGTGCAAACAAGACAAATATATGGAATCAAACTTCTTCCGGTATCCGTGATGGAATTCATGCCAACACGAAACAGATCGCCTAAAAGGCAATATATACGCCACCCGCTTGGGCGTACCCCATCAAAACCTTACCAACCCAAGTTGAGGTTCCTGTAATCACTTTTGGAATTTGATCAACGGGAATGAAGCTTTCATGGAGAAAAAATAAGTTCAAGTGAACGAACATCTGACTTTTTCCCAAATGACTGCCCTTCAGACCAAGATTGAAACTTCGAGGAACCACACTGGACCCTTTGGGGGCCATTCCCGCCCCATTGTCAAGAGATCTAAACAAGTACTAATTTGTAATTTGAGTTCTTTGAATCTTAAAGTCTTTATATTGGATTTGAAGACAAAGTAGTACAATTGAGAACCCGTAAATAAGAGAAAGTTGATGAACCAAACAGAACGTCAAAAACAGAGAGAATTAGACATTGAAGAGTCCACGAGGGTGGATCTGGGTCACTTTCTGAGAGGCGGGTGGAGGGCCTGGACTTTGGATCTGTGGGGCAGGTGAGTGCTACGTCTCAACGGTATCCTTCTCGAGGCAAAGATATAAGCCGTTACGCATTGAAAAATCTATACAGTTTATAAGACGTACTCGTCTGACAACATGGTGAGCCCACGTGGTAACCTAGCCTATCTATTCAAGAAGCACCAGAGTTCGATGAAGCTTACAATACGAGGTTTTAGGCAATACCAAATCTCCGTCACGCATATCACGCACGCGCTGGAGCCATAGGCGTTTCGTAAATTCGGTTATTGTGGTAAAATCGGGCGTAAGAAGAATGCCGGTCTGGGCAAGGCGGAGTATTCCATTACAGCGGCTGTTCTAATTGGTATGTTCGTATTGGCATGAAGAAAAGGCGGGCGGCTACATCCGCCTACCGAGAACGTTATATTGTAGATGCCTGAAACGCCACATGTGGGTAGGGATGTTTCTAACAAACACCCCGTTTAGTTACCTGCGGGATCGTTCCGGTTTTGGGGGTCAAAAAAAGATACCCACATTTACTATAGATTGGGGTTTTCAGGTCTACTCACGGATATGAGCGAGGTTTACTGCTACTCTGATGCCCGATGCCATGACTCGGTGAGCCAATCGGGACCGTGTGTGTAGAGCCTTGTCTAGAGCCTTTTTAGCATGGGTGGTGTGACGAGTGGGCCCACGGGCGTACAGTACTGTACTGACACCTTGCGTAGTCACTAGGCAGCTAGATCATCTCACGTAGATGAATAATCGCCGTCAATGAGTGCTTTTTTCCTCTCGTATCGGTTGTAACTGAATACAATCCGGATTGTCGCGGTGAACCCTCAGCCGTTACCCCCAAAATCCTTCCCAATAAAGTAAATGCTGGTCATGCAATGGATTTACGTGCAGAACATGAGCTCTATGTGGAGCCCTCTAGTGAAAGACGCGCGATCCTTGTTGGCCGATCATCAGCCTAATACAGGCCTAGTCTCTTTAGGGTAAATGCGGTGCGGAATTCAAATGATATGTCGAACCATCTGATTAGGTTAAACGCTAGAAACTTGATTGCCAAATTGACCCTCAACAATCTTTTGTTCTCTGCTGCTAAGTAAGTATAGTTATATAGTTAACTGGAGTCCGCTCCGCTGGCTGCCCGTCAACAGTGACCGCTCGGCATGCTCGATGATGCCGTCATTCGCAGGCAAAAGACGCTTACCCTGCAGCAAGTTTTGAAGAGCTGAACTCGGTGATAGTCTCCACTCTATTTCTCTGGCGGCTTACTTGCATTGAACAGGGGCACTTAGGAAATTTCTTACGTAGATGAATAATATGGGTCCTTTTCTTGGTATTAAAGTTCGTCAAAGGATGATGGCTTCCGAGCTAAAACCAGGCGGTAACCTCCTGTTTTCTATATTCCTTTTAGCATCGAGATCCTTTTCCTTTTGCCACCTATTCATCTATTCCCGATAAACCTTTGTATTTCATCTTGCCACTCCATTTCCATCAACTGGGTTCCCTGTCGTATCCTCAGGTCCGATTTACCCCACAATGGCGGCTGCACACCACGTTTCATGGTCATCTAGTGGGCTGCAGGGCACGTGGGCACTCGACTCGACAGAGAATAAAAATAAGCCCTAGTCTCATACCGTGATCTTACAGGGGCGTCCATCGGAAGGCCAACCGGATCTCCAATGTTTTTCCCCAAAGGCCGAACCATTGGGGTGCTTACAAGCGACAACCCTCTTGGCCAACCCGAGGCCGATACGGTAGCTTGCACTAGTGAATGCAACCACGGAGAAAATTGACTGTTTTTTGCCGGCTAATACGGCCCTACAATTTTTTTCATAACAGTATAGGCAAACGTCGGGGATTAATAAGTTACCCATGAGTGCATTACCATGGGGACCTAGTGATGGCGACTATGGCGTGGGCTGAGCGTGGGCTAGAATTGGGAGTGTACTGGAACCTTTGTGAGACTTGGCTGCTATGCGTCAGCCGGGCTTTAAAAGGGAGATCGACTACCTTGAGCACTTCGCGCATAGTAATATAATTGACTGAAACTGCTCTGTGACAGCTGATCGACTCGTCCCACTGTCCGTTCTGTCGGTTTGCTCGTTGCCTGCATGGCCATGCTGGGTGAGCCTCGATGCATCATGATCACGTCTGTCCTCCCAGACTTCATTTGGAGTTGCCTAAACTAATTCGAAGATGCCTTACTCTAGTGCCCCTGTCCTTGGCGAGAACTGGGCCAGTATCAGTGATCCGGTGGAGCGTCGACGGGCTCAAAATCGGATCGCCCAACGAGGATATCGAAAGCGTAAGTAGGCCGCTCAATGAGGATTTTACAGGGGGGGGAATAATACGCACAATTAGTTGATCATGATTCTAGGGTTACGCAAAGAGGAAGAGAGTCTAGCCCAGAATTCCCAGAAAAGTAGCCGGGCCAAAACTACCATTGAACCGGCTGCTAGGACGCCTCCTTCACCTTCCGACTCAAGGCTGCCCCAGAATCAGGCACCACAGCAAGCTGCTGCATCTACTACTCAACCTGCGTCAAAACAACGACAATCGGAATCATATCCATATCCTAACCCCCATCAACAACAGCAAACACCCCCCTCGTTGCCATATGATCTGCATCCGTACACCTCGCAGCTGGACTGTGTTGCCCTTACCGGAAGACCCTGGACTCCATCACTAGAGGAGGGGCTTGATCCAGCCATCTTTGATATAAAAACACCTGTCTCGGATTTGGTTCACTCCAATTATCACAAGCTGCCATCTCAATGCTTCCATTCGTCCACCAAGACTGCCCAGTTCTACTCGCCTCCAGCTCCCCCGCTGCTACCAAGTCCTCTTGGGACTCCAGAGAGCAGTAATATTGCGCCTAGGGGGGATCGAGGCCGCACATGGACACACAGCCTTGCATCGTGCCGCAATATACGGCAACGAGTCCGTGTTAGCGGTGCTACTCCAAGCTGGCGCAGACCCCACCCTCTCCGATAGCGCAGGCTTGACGCCCCTGCATCTGGCCGCATATCAGGGACACACCGGGATAGTACAGCTACTGCTTGCTAGCGGGCCTCAGCCTCATGATATAGTCAGTCAGCCCACGCGTACGGGGGAGACGGCGCTCCATCTGGCTGTGCAGGCCCACCAGCCAGTGATGGTACGCATATTGCTCGAACATTCGACGAGCTCCGTCAATAAGCAAGATTGGTGGGGCCGTACCGCATTACACATGGCATGTGAGTCGAACCAGTATGAGCTGGTCGAGATGCTGGTGCATGCAGGGGCACAGCTCGATATTCGCGACTTTGAAGGCCAGACTCTATTACATAGCGCTTGTATGGGCGCCGGTCTATAAAAAAAATATCCGGCCTAGGAAGGGAAAATTGTGTTTGCTTCCTTTTCTCTGATTCCTGGCTACTGTATCACACAACATATTTGGCTTTGTTAGACCAACATTTTGACCATAATCACGAATGCGCAATCACGCACTTTATTCACAATTGCTGTTCTAAACGGCATAAAATCAAGAGACTACTTGTACAACAAACTACCTCCGTCCTGCATTGGATAGCTGTACCCAATGCCCTCCTCCAGAGCCCCTCCATCGGAGGACTGTGCCCGCTGATACTCGGAATAGCGGCTACCTTTGCGGCTAGATGAGAGGTCGCGATTCTGACGCTTGCGGTCCTTTTCTTCCCGCTTCAGGCGTTTCTTCTCTTTGCGAGATACCTTCACCTTTTTGGGAAAGTCACTCTCCTCGCCTTGGAGATAGCGGCCCGGGTGCCAGATATTCCAAATGATCATGGCTCCAAACATAGGCAGACATTCGAGGCAGTAGAAGGGGGCCTCGTTGACAGTTAACGGGCTAGTGCCTGCGGTGTTGGTGTCGGCAAATTCAATCAGGCGGTAGATGATTCGTATCTATGTTCGTATTAATCGTGGGCCACTGCTCTATCAAAATGGAGGGACTTACCGTGATGCATCCTAATGTGGCGTACATAGCAAACACCAACGTGCGCCACTGGTTGCCCCGAGAATACTCACTATACCCCTCTCGCATACGCCGATGGAAGACGAACAGCAGTCCACAGAAACACACAATGAAGAACTCCTGTGCTGCAATACCAGCCGTGTAAATGTGTAGACCAATGCGGTTCATCTCATTACTAAAATCTGAGTCCATGATACCGCCGGTTGCTTGGATGATGAAGGAGCTATAGTGGGACAAAGAGCCAGAGTTAGCTTGTCGCGCGCCAGGAGGAGGGCTGAACGGCTCGTTTGGAGATTCGGTAGGGTTAAGGCTCACCTCACGTCCAGCCAGATGAAGATTTTGGCTAGCTTATCGGCCTTGATGCCTAGCACCTTCTTCTCCGGCACGAAGTAGTAGACCATGCGACCAAAGATCATATAGACAAAGGCGTTGACCCATAGCGGGGCCAGCAGCACCAGTAGCTGCCCGGCTGATGCCGTCGTTGACTTGGTCTGATTGATGGTTGAATAGGTGCGCATAATCAGCCCAATGCATTCCCACCAAGTGCCCACCACAATCACCCAGCAAAACTTTTTACGGTAGGCTACCGCCTGAGCGGAGTGAGCGATTGCAGTCAGCCCGAACAGGACCGTGAAGAAAATGGCGGCAGGACCGTTGGCACAATAAGCATATTGGGCATTCTCATCGGAGAGATCTAAAGAGGTCAGTCAAGTCCCTGATTTTCCTCCTTGGAAAACCTTACTGCAATGACTTGGCCAACCCATGACGACGGTCAATCACGGTATTGTCAGCACCGAGGAAGATAGATAGATAGCGCGAGCGGGAAGACCGGCACAGTAGATGAGCAAAAGTGAAATCCACTATACGGGCTGACGGCGGGCGTTAACATTTAATGATTACATGGCGCGGATGATCGACAAGTTTCAGGGCCGTGACTGGGGAAACTGCTGCCTGATCAGTCCGATCTAAATCCGGCCCCTCAAGGGCCCAAAGGGGCTTTAGACTGTGTCATCTTGCACAAAGGAATGGAGAGTCTGGGCTGCAAGCTCAGCTAGCGTTGCTGCACGGTGAGACGCTTAGGGCTCAAAATATCGGGCCGACCCACTCAGCAGATCCAGTCTGCTCCATTCTCCGACCTTGCCTCGTCGATGCGCTGAGATAAATAAAGGAATATGGCTGGGCTGGTTCCAGCGGTTGGCGCGAGAGTATGCCGTAGCCTAAAACAGGCTGCTAAATTCTGCCGCCATGTTGATCTCAACCGAGGAAATCCTACATCCGGCTGCGTTGTCGGACTCAACCTCTACAAGTTGGTCTACGCTGGAGCAACCATCCGCCTCATGCTCGTCCACAAACCTTTCGGGCAGCCAAATCCTCACTATCTCCTATGGCGACTTTGCACACACACTCTCAGTCACCACAGCGTCCTTTCCTGCTGCGCTCCAACTCCGCGATGACTTTCTCCATGATCTCAAGATCGCCGGTGGGGCCGTTCCTGTGTCCTCCTTAGTGGAGCTCTGGGCCCGCTTTATCGGCTTTACCGTTTACCGTCTGGAACGGTCGCCTGGCGGATTGGCAGACGACATTCGACACCTATTGACAATCGCCTTGGACACCTTCGACCGCGACATTCTTCAGCAGCGCGAGATTCATGGCGTCGTTCACGCTCTTGAAATCAAGGCTGACGTCCAGTCGGTCATTCTAGCCGCCTACGTGCGGGCCCGCCATGCGCTTCGCCGGGTCAGTCGACCAGCCGCGCCCTCAGCGCTCCTGACCGCCGCACAGGAGCGCAAAGCACGTCTCTATGCTGTATTTGGAGGCCAGGGCAACGATGAACGGTACTTTGAAGAGCTGCGTACGCTTTGGCAGACCTATCGCCCGCTGGTCGAGGACTTTATCCTGTCAGCGTCAAGCATGCTGCAGCGTGAGGCCCTTGAGGATGGTGTCAGTCGCTTCTACCACAACGGCATGGACATTGTCACCTGGCTTGAGCATCCAGATCGCGAGCCATCGTTCAATTACCTGATCGGGGCGCCTATCAGCATGCCACTGATCGGCCTGTTGCAGCTGGCCTGGTATCGTGTTGTCGGCCGCATCGTGGGCGCCACACCCGCTCAGCTTCAGACAGCGTTCGCCGGCACCACAGGACATTCTCAGGGCATCATCCCCGCCACCGTGATTGCTGTTGCGCAATCTTGGACACAATTTGACGCGTTAGCGCTTGACATGCTCCGGCTACTGCTAGCCATCGGTACCGGAAGTCAGGACCATTTCGCCGTGGCCCAGCTACCGCCGGCCGTCGTTGCCGATGCGGAAGCCCATAGTGAGGGCTTTCCGGGGCCCATGCTGAGTGTGGCAGACTGTCCAATTCCCCAGCTGCGCACCTATGTGGCCAAAGTTAACGAGTATCTCCCTGCGGATGCCCGCATCGAAGTGACTCTCATCAATGGGCCCAACCACGCAGTCCTGGCCGGACCGCCACTGTCGCTGCACGGCTTCAACGTCTGGCTGCGCGGTGTGAAGGCCCCTGCTAAAGGGGTGCAACATCGAATTCCCTTCAGTCAACGACAGCCAGAGATTCAAACCAGGTTCTTGCCCATTACCACCGCCTTCCACAGCAGCTACTTGACTGACGTCGCCTCTGGTGTACTAAAGCGTGTGGGCGCTCTCACTATTACGGGCGATCAGCTCCGTATCCCAGTCTTCTGCACACGAACCGGTGCTGATCTGCGCAAGTACGCGGGCAGCAATCTGGTGCCCAAGCTCGTCGCGATGATCACGACACAGGAGGTTGTCTGGCCCGTGCCGTACAGTTCCCAGGGGCTACCCACATCCTCGCATTTGGTCCCGATGGCGCATCTGGCATCGGAGCGTTGACCAATAGACTCAAGGAGGGCACCGGCGTGCGTACCATCCTCGCCACTGGCAGCTACAGCGCCAGAGCCGAGCTGGGTGATCGAAGCGAGTTCTTTGATTGGAACCCGGCGCCTCGGGGCCTCATATACGGCACTATTTGGCGTGATCGGTATCGACCGCGGTTAGTGCAAATTACCGGCGGTGACATCCTGGTAGATACCAAGTTTAGTCGCCTGCTAGGCTTACCCCCGGTGATGGTGGGCGCCATGACGCCAACCACTGCCTCCTGGGACTTCTGTGCTGCCATTATGCGTGCAGGCTATCATGTCGAGCTGGCCCTGGGCGGCTTCCACCAAGCCACCCAGCTAGAGGCAGCCATCTATGAGCTGCTTGACGCGATACCGGCTGGTCGGGTATCACTTGCAACATTATCTACGCTGCTCCTCACGCGGTCAAGTGGCAGATCCCGCTGCTGGCTAAATTGCGTGCGGCCGGCGTTCCCCTCGAGGGACTCACCATCGGCGCCGGCGTTCCTTCTCTTGATGTGGCTACCCGATGTATCAATGAACTTGGTCTACGGCACATGGGCTTCAAACCCGGCGCCTTGCCCGCTATCCACCAGGTGCTCGACATTGCCCGCGCCCACCCGACCTTCCCTATTATCCTGCAATGGACAGGCGGACGAGGCGGCGGTCACCACTCTTTCGAGGACTTTCATCAACCGATCCTGCAGGCCTACGACGCCATTCGTCGGTGCGAGAACGTGATTCTCGTGGCAGGTAGTGGCTTTGGCGGAGCCGATGACACCTTCCCATATATAACGGGTGACTGGGCCCGCCATTACAACCGGCCACTTATGCCCTTTGATGGTATCCTTCTCGGTAGTCGTCTGATGACCGCCAAGGAAGCGCACACTAGCCCCGCTGCTAAACAAGCCATAGTGGATGCACCGGGCCTCGATAACGAAGCTGATTGGGAGCAGACTTACTCAAAGCCCGCCGGCGGCATTATGACTGTGATCTCAGAGATGGGCGAACCTATCCACAAGGTGGCTACGCGCGGCGTACGGCTGTGGGCTGAGTTTGACCGCACTATCTTCCAGCTCGACCGTACAAAGCGCGTCGCGTACCTACAGAAAAACCGCGACTACATGATCCAGCGGCTGAATGCCGACTCGGTTAAGGTCTGGTTCGGCCAGGATGCCCAGGGCGCCGTTGTGGACCTGGAGGAAATGACATACACCGAGGTTCTGCGGCGCTTCGTTGCGCTTACGTATGTAGCGAGTGAAGGCCGCTGGATCGATGAGTCCTATCGCCAGTTTCTGTACGATTTTCTGCTGCGCGTTGAGGCCCGCATCAGCGACGAGGCCGCGAGAGGTGCAAGTAGTGATATTAGTCGTGATGACCTCGCCAACCCAGAGGAAGCGCTAGACGCTATCTTGGAGCGACTGCCACCCGCCCGGGACCAGCTTATCGGTACCCAGGACGCGGAATACTTCCTGCACCTGTGCCAGCGGCGAGGCTCGAAGCCTGTGCCGTTCGTACCCGTCCTTGACGAGAACTTCGAGACCTACTTCAAGAAAGACTCGCTCTGGCAGTCGGAAGACCTCGCCGCTGTGGTTGACAGTGATGTCGGTCGGGTGTGTATTCTACACGGCCCGGTGGCAGCGCGCTACTCGACCGAGGTGGACCAGCCAGCTCGCGAGATTCTCGATGGCATTCACCAGGCGCATATAAACTATCTGCAGCAGCGAGACCAGGCTTACCAGCAGGATGGCATTCCAATTGTCGATTGTTTCAGCCCAGAGCCTGCCCTAGAAACCTGGCGGCTGGAGGGGCTAGGCATTCATTGCGTTCCCGTTGGCAATACGGGTGCGGTACTGTATGAAATGAAGCCTTCGACTGGCTCGCCCGGCGCTTCAATCACTCCATCTCTAACAGAGTGGCTGGCAGCCTTAGGCGGTGCGAATGGGGGCTGGCGCCAGGCCTTTTTCCACACGGAGACGATCGTACAAGGCCGGGCAATTTGCGAAAACCCGCTGCGGCGGCTGTTCCAGCCCACGCGCGAGTCTTATGTGATGGTGCAACAGGGTCACGCGGGTCCCAAGGCAGATCCAATAATCACGCTGTTCGAACATCGGCCGCACTCCGAACCGGTAAAGGTGGTTGAGATACGGGTGGATGAGCCCGGCATCATCACGCTGGAAATCACAAATTACCGCAATGCTGGCGGCGCAGCCTGCGGGCTGCAGTTGAAATTCCAGTTCCGGCGCGAGGCCGTCTACGCTCCTATACACGAAATCATGGAGGGCCGTAACGAGCGTGTCAAAAACTTCTATTACCGGGTTTGGTTCGCGGGCGAAACCCCCGAGACATGGCCCTCGGTACACGACACCTTCTACGAATCGCAGTTCGAGGTAACAGCTGACTCGATTGCTGAGTTCGCCCATTGTGTACAGAATGCCAGTGACGCCGCTAGCAAGCGGCGCGGCAAGCAGTTGTCGGCACCGCTAGATTTCGGCGTCGTCATTGGCTGGGAGGCGTTGATGAAGCCGCTCTTCTCGTGGGAGCTCGACGTTGATCTGTTGACGTTGGTGCATCTCACCAACGGATTCCGCATCCCAGCTGATGCCGAGCCTATCCAGGCCGGCTACACGCTCGAGACCAAGTCGCGTATCAAAGCCATCACCATTGAGGAGGCTGGTAAGATGGTCGAGGTGCACGCGGACGTCTACCATCAGAACAAGGTCGTGCTGGAGCTGAGCAGTCAGTTCCTCTACCGGGGCCTGCACACTGACTGGGAGAACATGTTCCGCAAAGTTGATGAAGAGGAGATGGAGCTTTGCCCACGTACTCCAATTGAGATGGCTTTGTTGCAGTCGAAATCATGGTTCCAGCCCCTAGACCGATCCCTTGACCTGCACAACCAGACCTTGGTTTTCGTGCTGCATTCAACTTACCACTATGCAAGCAAGGACACCTTCAAGACAGTCACTACCTTGGGCGAAGTTCGCGTGAACTCGTCGCTTCCTGGAGGCTCCCGGCTGATTGCGACGGTAGAATACCGCGCAGTAATGTGCCGTGGCAATCCTGTCATGGACTATCTGAAGCGCCATGGTAGTCCTGCGCACAAGCGCGCCTTGTTCGACCAGCCCAGTCCATTGACTAACGGAGGGGCTTCTCTGATTCTCACCATGCCCCAGTCGAATGAGGCCTACGCTCACGTTTCCTGGGACTTCAACCCTATCCACGTGTCAGCGTCACTGTCGCGGTATGCCGATCTACCTGGCTTGATCACGCATGGCATGTACACCTCCGCGCGGGTGCGCGGTCTTGTTGAACACTACACCTGCGCCTCGGCCATTGGCGCTTTCCGCAGCTTCCACTGTTCCTTCACCAGCATGGTGCTCCCCGGAGACGAGATTGAGGTCATCTTCCAGCACATCGGCATGCTAGCGGGGCGCAAGATCGTCTCGGTCGAGGCCAAGCACGTTGCTCGCGGCGAGACTGTCCTTCGGGGTGAGGCTGAAATCGAACCCGAAGAGACGGCATTCCTCTTCACTGGTCAAGGCAGCCAACGGGAGGGCATGGGCATGCAGCTCTACGCGCGAAGCAAGGCGGCTCAGCAGGTTTGGGACTATGCCGACGCCTACTTTTCCGACAACTACGGCTTCCGCATCACCGAAATCGTGCGTAACGACCCCAAGGAGCTTACAGTCTACTTTGGTGGGCCCCAAGGTCGACATATCCGCGACAAATATCGTAGCATGACTCGTGAGAGTATCGCGGAGGATGGTAGCGTCCAGCTGCTGCCGCTCTTTCCCCAGATCGACGAGGAGACCGAGTTCTACACCTATTACTCCTCTCAGGGTTTGCTCTCGGCCACACAATTCACGCAGCCGGCCCTGACGCTCATGGAACTGGCCATATTCGCTGATCTGCAGTGGCGTGGGCTAATTTCGGAGCGCAGCTCGTATGCTGGCCACTCGCTGGGTGAGTATGCCGCGCTCGGAGCAGTAGGCAAGATCTTCAGTGTGGAGTCCCTCGTTCAGGTAGTTTTCTATCGCGGCCTCTTAATGCAGTATTCTGTTCCCCGCGATGACCGGGGGAACTCAGACTATCGCATGTGCGCGGTGGACCCCGGCCGCGTAACGTCCGGTGCGTATCATTCCGTGCATCCTGCTCATTGTTTTCAGGCTGATTTTTTTTTTCTCGCATGCTAGGTTTCGGGCATGAGGCTCTCCAGCTCGTGGTACAGACCATCGCTACGCAGACCGGCTCCCTACTGGAGATCGTCAATTTCAATGTCTTGAACTCTCAGTATGTCTGCGCCGGACAAGTAAGTGGCACGCCCGCTCCTTTGATGTGGCTGTAACTAACCGAGTGGGGGAACCATAGATACATGCGCTCCACTGTCTCACCGCGGTGCTCAACCACCTTCATGCCAATGGATCGTTGCCAGACTCGCCGGGGCAGATCGCTGCCCTGATAGAGAGACAAATCTCACAAGTCGCGCAGACGAAGCCACCCGCGGAATTAATCCGCGGCTGCGCTACGATTCCCTTGCGCGGCATCGACGTGCCTTTCCATTCTTCGTCGCTGCTGCCCGGCGTGGCAGGGTTTAGACGCTGTCTGCTAGACCTCATCGACAGCCATGCGTTAGATCTCAAATGTTTCGTGGGCCGGTATATCCCGAATCTGACGGCCCGACCGTTTGAGTTGAGCAAGGAATATTTCGAGCTTGTCTACAAGTTGACGGGTTCGGTGGCGCTCGAGAGCGTTCTGCGCGAGGTATGTCCATCTGTTCTGCTGAACGAAGATTATCGACTGGACGAATCAGCTAACACTGACCTAGTGGGAAACATACCTCGATCCAACTGGTCCCGATGGCCTGCAGAAGATCGAGGGCATTATTCAAGCAATGAAAGTAATCCGATGATCACATGCGTAGTAGCATTGCACTCGAATTTAGACCAAAATTCGGCTCTAGACTGTATCAATTTAGTCTCTATTTCTTCCCTTTCATGTATTTGGCGAATTTTTTCTGTTCCTCGCCCATTCGTATAAGTAAGACTCGATCGACGTGGCTGGTCGTTCTTGGACAATATCCACTTCCTCTAAAAAAAAGGGTATATAAACCACGAGGCCCTCTCTTTTCTGGCTTGCCCCATCTCTCCGTCCTTCATCGTCCGCCCTCTCTACTCAAAAGCAAAAGCTGCGTCGTTGTACTCATTCACTATGGTGTCCTTCCCCACAATCACGGCGCTCTTCGGAGCCATAGGCGGCTTCTTTCTCTTCGACCCGAAAGCCTTCCCAGGCCTATGGCATGTCGGTCTATCTGCTGCTTTTCTAATTGCTTTACCGAACATAACTGATGGACTAACCCAATCTAGGCCCGGATTCTTCTCGTCCTCGTGAAGCATCTGGTCTGGAACGGCAACCATGCTCTCACAGTGAGCCCGTCAGCAGCCTCTCCTGCCCCCCTCGACCATCTTTCGCCCCCGCACACCAGCTCTTACTGCTCTATTGTTGAGCTTGATATAAACATGCACAAATCCAATAGCACCTTCTATGCCGACCTTGATATTAGCCGCATTGAGCTCCTCCTCACTTTATTCAAAGACGCCATTACGCCGCTCTCCCCCCCGCGCTACGCTGGCGCCCGAAAGTCCCTATAGTCGTCGCAACCGGCGGAGACCTATCATCGCCGCGCTGGGAGGTGTTATGTGTCTTTTCCGTCGCGAGATCAAGCTCTATCAGCGCTACGAACTCGTGTCGCGCGTCCTGACCTGGGATGAGAAGTGGTTGTATATTGTCAGCTATTTTTTGAAGCCTAGTCGTCAGCCAGTAACGGAAATCACGGAAGACCGCATCCTAGCGTCGGCTGTTTCCAAGTATGTCCTCAAGCAGGGACGACAGACGGTACAGCCGACGGAAGCCTTGCGGAATCTGGGTCTTTTGGCGGGTGACGCTGATACCCAGGCTGCAGCCGACAATGCTGCTGCTGCTGCGCCCCAGCTCCTCCCTTTGCCACGCCAGGATGTGGTCGATGGCTCAGCTTACCTTGGGGGCGAACCTGACTCATGGACTTGGGCCGATGTCGAAGTGGAGCGACAGCGTGGCCTAGCGATAGCAAAACATATGACGGGCTTGGATGCTTCGCAGAAATTGGGGGCCACGGCGGCCGTGTTGGGTTGACAGAGTGAGAAACGTGGAGACTAGACGTGATGCTGTAGGGGCCGGAGGATTTGGCAGCAAATCAGTGTTAGACAGCTATTACGATAGAGTTGAATGCTAGATGAGCGTGCGCAGCCGGGAACTGGATGTTTCTCCTGACACTGCGTCTCTTGGCAGGGTCGTAAGCCCTAAATCTCACTGTGCAGCTCATAGCCGCACGCTAAAGCTGATCGAACACCGGCTCCACCGTCCCCTTTCCTCCGTCTTACCCGTTATGGAACTTCGAGGAACGAATACCTCCAGATGACTGTTCCTCACCCGTTTCCTGTCGCCCCACTCCGGCGGCTACTTGTCTTGAATCGGTCTATTCCTCCACCGGGCGAGGAGGGAAATGTGTAAGAGGTGAAGGGGAGAGATCGACAATCTCCATCCACGCCGTTTGTGCTTTGCATACGAACTTTGTCATGGCATCACGATGGCTTCGTCCCCGGACGACAGTTTGCTCTATTGATGTCGAGGATCGCTTCGGACCATTAGTCAGTGATCTTTGTGCCTCCGGCTTCGATTTCACCTGGTACTTCGAATCCGTCATTTTGACCCTGCCGGTGACGCTGTTCTTTCTCCTCTGGGCCCTCCCACGGATTCTTTCTCTCCGTCGAGAGAGTGTCAAAACCAAAGGTGGTTACTATGGCATTGCAAAGCTGGTCAGTCAAATCCTACCACGTCAAAGGGACCAACGCCAAATGACAAATATCCTAACTTAACCCGGATAACCCCTATTGGAAACCTCATTGACCGGGTTCATAGGTTGTATATACTCTCCTGGCCGTTATCCAAGTGATCCTCATCGGTCTCTGGGCTTCCCCCTTGGCCACAACCACTCGCGCCACGATCGGCACTGCTGTGGTGACGTTGCTGGCCTACATCGTGCTAGGGGTTCTTTCTCAGTATGAACATTCACGCGCCATAAGACCGTCTACCATCAACAGCGGGTATCTGTTTCTGTCATCACTACTTTCCTTGGCCGAAGTTCGCACCCTGTACTTTGTCGAGACAAATCGTGCTGTTCCCGCCCTTTACACCGTCAATCTCTGCCTCCGCGTGGCTGCACTCGTCATCGAGTCGATTCCAAAGACCTCAATTCTAAAAAGTGCCTACCAAAATCCTCCCCCGGAGACCGCTACGGGTGTGCTGGGTCTGAGCTTCTTTACATGGATTAACCCTCTCTTGCTCCTGGGCAGCCGGACGGACTTGACAGTGGCGCAATTGCCAGAGCTGGAAGATGCGTTCTGTGCGAAAGGGCTTGGACCCAATGGATTGGAGACGCTCTGGAGAAAAGGTAAATTTGTTGCTTGCGTACGGCGAATAACCTCCGCTAATCTCTCGTTGCTAGGCTCCAACTGGGATCAGCCACATAGTTTGCTCTGGGCGTCAATGCGGTACTATGCCGTACCTTCCTTGCTGGGAATTCTGCCTCGAGCCTTGCAGATTGGCTTTACCTTTGCCCAGCCGTTTCTAGTTGATGCCACTATCACTTGGGTCGATGCGCCGGATGAGTCTTACACTATGAGCCAAGGATATGGCTTGATCGGCGCTTTCGCTCTCACCTATATCGGCATTGCGGTAAGTAGTGACATATGGCCTATGGCCCTCCAGAATGGTGGCTGATCCGCGCAGGTATCCACGGCACTGGCTCAGCATCAGGCCTACCGGTTGGTTTCCATGATGCGGGCTAGCATGATCGACATGATGTTCCGTCATATTACTGTCATGCAGGACAGTGACATTGAATCCAACGCCCCGGTCACGCTCATGAATGCGGATATTGAGCGTATCTCTTCTGGTCTGCGGTATATTCACGATGTCTGGGCGTGCATTGTTGAGATTCCTATCGCCTTATGGCTACTTTGGCGCCAGCTAGGCATTGCAGGTATCGCTCCCATTGTTGTCGTGATCGGTGAGTCTCTTTACCCCGTCTGGTGGCATCTGTGGCTCATATCCTTCAGTGTGTATGTTACTGTGCATCCTAATCTCCGCCTTGGCTGGTCCGCGTCAGAAATTATGGCTGGAGGCTATCGAGAAGCGCGTAGATATTACCGCACAAGTACTGGGATCAGTCAAGGGTATCCGAATGGCCGGTCTGACAGACAAACTCTACAACATCATTCATACTATGCGTATTCATGAGGTGAAAATGTCCAAGCGCTTTCGCCGCCTTTTGATCTTAGTAGTCGCCGTGGGTAAGTTCTATATCGATTTAAACCTTCCATTCAACTATGTACTGACTATATCCTAGCTTATAGTAACTACTCTATTTCCCCTCTGGCCGCCTTCCTGATCTACTCACTAAACGCGCGGGGCCGGACTGACATAACGCTTACCCCTGCCCGAGCGTTCACCTCGCTAACGCTCTTCACACTCCTCTCCACCCCTATCTCTAACCTAGTCGAAGCCGTGACGGGCATTGCTACAGCCGTCGGCTCTATCAAACGGATCAACCTCTTCCTACAGTCTCCCGCCCGGGGCGATGATGGCCCTCAAAGCACCTCAACTGTCAGCTCCGAAACCCAGTCTACAATGATAGCCGCGGAATTAGAAGAAAAGAAAGTGGCAGACGTCTCCACTCGTGAAGCTCTATGTAGCTACGACTCTTTTCTAAGACTGGACTTTATCGCCCACGGCCGCAGCACCGGTTGGGAAGAGAACAAACAGAATGTTATCAACGAAGCCTCATTCGAGATTCGGCATGGGACCCTGAACATGATTGTCGGCCCTGTCGGATGCGGCAAGTCTACGTTCGCCCGCATGCTACTGCGCGAGACCCCGATTGCTACCGGAACGCTCCATGTTAAGGCCAGAGCTATCGCTTATTGTGCGCAAATGCCCTGGCTGACCAACCGTAGCATGCAGGAGAACATTTTAGGAGAGTCTCTCTTTGATCTGAGTTGGTACAACACAGTGATACAGGCATGTGCGCTGGACGATGATATTCGCAATCAGCCGAATCGCGATCAGGGCTTGCTGGGATCTGGGGCCACCACACTCAGTGGGGGGGCAGAAGCAACGTGTGGTGAGGATTTTTGTTAAAGGAGAAAAATGATAAGAGCTCGCTGACAAAACCGACGATGGCTGTATAGGCCCTGGCACGCGCCGTGTACTCCCGCGCGGAGATATTGATCCTTGACGACGTGTTCAGCGGCCTCGATCGCACGACTGAGGATGTCGTCTTCAATAACCTCCTGGCCTCTGGTGGACTCTTGCGTCGGACGGGAACAACTATAATAATGACCAGCAACAACGGTATGTTGAATGACTTTGCGTAATGCATGGGATTGAGGGCTAATCAAACTACCCTGCCAGTCTCCCGCCTCTCGTCCGCCGATCACATCATCGCCCTTTCCAAGTCCGGCACAATAGTCGAACAAGGCTCTTACAAAGAGCTGATGGTGCGTCCGGAGAGCTATATCCACAGTTTGTCGGTACCGGAGGGCAGCAGACGGACCGTGGAAGATGATCTGGAGATCACGGCAGTTGCCGACCCCAATATGCACCGACCACTTAGCCTGGCCGCCCTCGATCTCGAAATGCCGCCGCCTCAGGATGGACGGCGAACCGGTGACATGTCCATCTACTGGTACTATATTCAGATTCTCGGATTTTGGAGGTCCCTCATTTTCATCTTGCTCATTGCTTCCTATGTGGTGGGAATCACCTTCCCTAGTATGTGTTCCTCGAACTCGCATTGGAATCCAAAATACCATGAATATCGAGCTGACTGGATTAGCCATCTGGGTTGAGTGGTGGACTGCGTCGAATTTGAAACATCCGAATTCGATGCTTGGATACTGGCTTGGAGTCTATGGCTGGATTGCAGTGATGGCAGTGTCCACGCTCGTCCTGGCTTGCTGGTTCGTTTTGGCCCATCCTTTACACTAATATAATGGGGTAGTCATGCTGGACGCTGAGGCTAACATCTCTTTAGGCATCTGATGTCCAACTTAGTTGCCCGCGCGGCCAAGTCCATGCATGCCCGACTTTTGAAGAATGTTCTGGAGTATGCCCTTCTTCCCTAATTCTAGTCAGTCAAGGTGTCACTAACTCCGTCGACCAGTTCCCCGATGTCTTTCTTTCACGGTACCGATGTCGGCCAAACCGTCAACCGGTAAGCCCCCAGACTCTGCGCGGCAGAATGTATCCTGCTCGTGTTGCCATTGTCTCCTGCTCACGTCTTGTAGATTCAGTCAAGACCTCCAGTTGATCGACATGGAGCTACCTCTCGCCGTCCTCAATACCATTCTCACCTTCTTCACCTGTGTCGCTCAGATGGTGGTCGTATGTGTCTCAACCAGCTACATCGCTGCGACGATTCCGGCCTGTTTGCTAGCTTTCTATTTCGTTCAGCGGTTCTATCTCCGTACCTCGCGTCAGATGCGGTATCTTGATATTGAAGCCAAAGCGCCTTTGATCTCGCACTTCCTTGACACCCTTAACGGCTTGGTAACCATTCGCAGTTTCCACTGGGAGGCTCAGTACCGCGAACAGAACGCCAAGTTGGTCAACGCCAGTCAAAAGCCATTTTACCTACTCTATGCCATCCAACGCTGGCTGGAATTGGTTATCGCACTGTGCGTCGCCGGCTTTGCCATAGTACTGGTGGGAATTGCTGTCGCTACGCGGGGCAACCTCAGCGCCGGCTTCCTCGGTGTGGCTTTGCTGAACATTGTCACCTTCACGGAGAATCTGCAGGGCTTGATCATGCAATGGACCGTTCTGGAGACCTCAATTGGTGCCGTGTCGCGTATCCGCCACTTCGAGCGCACCGTCGAATCCGAGCACCAGGAGCATGAAACGATAGATCCCCCAGTGTCGTGGCCCGACCAGGGAGCCATTGAGTTCAAAGACGTTGTGGCCTCGTATCGGTACGGAATCTAACCCCTCCCAATGAGGTAGCTGCTGATATTTGAGGACAGAGACTCCTCGAGCAACGCTCTTGATCACATCTCACTCACAATCCGGCCTGGCGCCAAAGTCGGCATCTGCGGGCGCACCGGGAGGTATGATTGTCCCATTCTGGCGTTCTTGCTAGAGCTTGTCAATTCCGAGCTAATCAATTCGTCTTCTTCCCTCCAGTGGCAAATCATCACTTGTCTCCTCACTCTTTCGACTTATTGAACTGACAAGCGGCGCCATTATTATCGATGGGTTGGACATCTCCACCCTCCATCGCAACCAGCTCCGCGCCCGGCTCAATTGTATTCCTCAGGAGCCATTCTTGCTGCCCGCTTGCTCTGTTCGCCTCAACATTGATCCTGGAACCACTCTCGAAGACGATACCTTAATCCAAGCGCTGCAAAAAGTCCAGCTTTGGGATGTGGTCGAGACACTTGGTGGCCTTGACGCAACCATCACAGCAGAGACATTCTCGCCCGGGCAGAAACAGCTCATCTGTTTTGCACGCTCTATGGTGTGCCAGGAGGGCAAAATCCTCATACTCGATGAAGCAACTAGCAGGTGGGTTATGACGTCGTTCCACGTTGAAAATACATCCCAAGCAACTAACCGAATTAAACATAGCATCGATACCCAAACCGATGAGATCATCCAATCCCTCATTCGAACAGACTTTGCTTCGCATACAGTCATCGCGATCGCGCATCGCTTGGAAACAATTGTCGACTTCGACGAGGTGATTGTTATGGAAGCTGGGCATATTAAAGAACAAGGCCCGCCGGGGGTGCTTCTGGAGGAGAAGGGCGCATTTGCTGAGCTCTACTGGGACACTGGACGGGCTCCAAATCGAACACCACTGGCCTTTTGAACTCATTCTTTATCTCTCTGCCGGTCTAGATAGATAAGCCTTTATTATGTTTCTTGTGTTCAATTTTCGTGCAAGACTACCTATTCAGCTACCTATAGGAAGACATTCCGAATCAGCATCAAGATCCTTTGAGGTCACTGGAGTTTCTCAGGCGCTCTGATTTCTAAGTAGGCTTCCAATGGGGAACTCGTACTGGAGGTTAGAGTGGGTGATCATGGCTGAAGCCTTGTTTATCAGGTTCTGAAAAATAATAACATACATGAGCGGAAACAGAAGATTTGAAAAAAGAAAAACATGATAGATAAAAAATGGCTATCTACCTTACAATAAGAGTCTGGTACTGCACTGGACTTGATCTCGCCACCTCAAGTCGGTAATACGTAGAAAATTCCGTGCTGTAAATGAACGTGAGGAGACGAGAAATGGTAACATAAGGGCATTACGAGCACTATGCATATATTGCATCTTCAATATAATCATGACCTGACGACATTGTCTCCTTTTGGGTACCGAGACACGCGTATACTCCTCGAAGACACCTAAATGCTTGTCTGATCTCGATGAGGAATATATATTCTGGTCAGAAATAAGTGTTCTGCATGGTCTAACGGTTCTGCAGTACAGAAATAACCTATAACTTTAGGTTACATATATAGAGAGAGCCGCACGAAGAAAAATAGAATCTCAGATGGCGCCCATACTGAGAAAGGCAAGTTTTTCCCCTATGTAAGAAGCACTAGGAAGGAATCATACTAGAGCTAACATACGTATGTACTGCCTAAGGCACTATATCTACAGGTTCAATAGGCCGTAAGACGATTTACAGAGATAGCTTATAGAGCCCTACAGCACGATGGTCAGAAGGTAATGACTTGTTGCAATCATCATGGCAAGCGCTTGGACATGATGTAAGTGCTTGGCCATTCGACCGAATGTCCATTTTGCTTTTTGGCCTTCGCCTCAGTATATTATCTTTAGGCAAAGGTACACGATGATACAAGCGAGGCATGCCGGGGGTCAGAAAATCTGGACAAATGTAATCTAGGTGCTAGCATGACACTGAACCGGACCCTGGCGTTGTCAGGGGTACCTATCTTTCATCAGGAGCGTCAATCAAAATTCATCAATTTGCATTGCTATACTGGCTCTATAAACTTAGCCAGATTATTTATTTCAACCACATTAACTCCATAGTGTCCTGCAGGATGACATGTCAAACGTTATTTACAATTTAAAAGAATACTGCACAGTCGACCCTAAACTTGCTGTCGCCCTGGCAGTAGGATCCAAAAGCACCGCATTTTGCTGCGCTGGCAGATAAGGTGCTTTGGTCTTCGGTACAAACATGGTGTTTGTCACCAATCCATGGTGGAAGAAGCGGAATGCTTTGCGATAGCGCGTCTGGCGTTTCTTCCGGTACTCTTCGAATTCAGCCTGCTCCACCATGGCATACAAGTACCGTGGATGAACCACGATTGCCTGGGCGCCTTTCTGTCCGAAGCCAAACGAGGTGAGAGAGAAAGCCTTGAGGCCGCAGGTCTGGATGCTTCGATTGGGATAAACGATATACTCGTTTTTCTCTAAATTGCCGTCCACGCTGTCGAGATTGCGGTTGCCGGGGATGAGGCCGCTGTCGAGCACTTGTAGACCGCCGTTTAGCATCCATGCCCGGCAGCACCCTTGGGGTGTCCTGTAAGATATTTCTGTGAGATGGCGAAGAGCGGATTGCCCGATGTGCGACCGAGGTGTTTCATTTGGGCTTCCAGAACGGAAGCCTCGTTTTTGTCGTTCATCACTGTGCTAGTACCGTGAAGGGTGACGAAGTCTAGATCATCTGAGAAGGAGTTTAGTCAAATGAAAGTCGGTCAAGTAGGGAAAACGAAGACACACCTATGCCGAGACCAAAGACCGCCAGAGCACCTCGAATGGGCGAGATGGAAGTCTGGTTCTTCCAAAAATCATTTCCGAACGTATCCAAGGCTTCCTTGCGCTGGCGCTCGGCATCTTGCTTGACGAATTGAAGATGGTGCTCGTATTCCTCCCGGTGAATCTCGGGAATCGTGCCATCCTCGCCGGCCAGCTGGTCTTTCATACTCTGGACTTCCAAGTCGATAGACTCCTGAATCTGAGAAAATCGTGCCTCTAGGCGACGCTTGCGATATTTCACATCTAGCAATGGCGATGGGTACCGACTTTTGGCCTGTTCACGGGCATTGGTCAAAATGCCCTGTCCTGGAGCGGGCACCGAACGCCCGGCCTTATCACTGGCGGTGCCCACCCAAGCAATGACGCCCTGGATAGGCAAGCCAAGATCCAGCGCCAGTCGCGCAGATGTAATCACTTCGACGCCGCTTCCCTGTGACTCAACGAACCCGCTCCGGCTCTCCGCCGAGGGTCGCGACATCTCTTGGGGAAGTCTGCCCTTCTTTGCCTCAGCAGCCGCATCCGTAATTGCTTTCATATTTGCAAATTCTTCCGCCACAGGTCGGTCGAGATCATCATAGCCTCCGACTAGACAGATTTTCGCCCGACCGGTCATGATCGTTTCATATCCGGTCTCCAAAGATTCGACCGAGGTGGCACAAGCACCTACCGCAGTCCGAATGGGTCCGGATGAAGAGATCAGCAGCATGTTGACCCAGGCCGCAGTGGTGTTGATGAATGTCTCCTGCAGTATACTCTTTCTGCACATCTTTGTCCAGATATCGTCCCCGGAACATTTTCTTCAGAGACTGCATACCTCCTATGCCAGAGCCAATACAGTTGCCAAATTCCGAGACATGGATATATTGGTATAGCTCATAAGGCTCGGTGATTCCCGACGCGATTAACGCTTCGATTGTGCTCACCAAGGTGAAGAGAGTTCCACGGTCAACTTGGGTGACAATGTCGTCCGGGATGCCATAAGTGCGTGCATCCCAGCCAGTCGGGACTTGACTTCCCACGGCATGGTCATATTGTAAGGCTTTGGGGATCATCAGTACGGCCCCTTTCTTCAAATTGACAGCGCACCGCTCTCCCTGCGGCAGGAAATCAACATATTTCTCGCCGTGCTCATTAAGAAGCTGTTGCGCCACTTCAAGGGAGACCTCGAAAGGTGGTAGGTCTTCTTCGAGGACAATCTCTTGCAATACTTGTCTTTTCCCTTTCTCATACGAATCTGTGTCTGGTTCCACCAGTCTGATTCCTGTATGGGCTAGGATATGCTCTTCATAGCGAGCCTTGATGTCAAGATCCTGGACAGCCTTTTGAGTCTTCGCGTCGACCCACCCGGTGTAGTCTTTGCCGTCTAATTGGCCGTTATAGTGCGTGATCAGGCCCATCATCCAAGCCATTTCAACGCAGCCTTCTAGCGAGAAGCGTCCGGTAGCCTCCATCTGCCACCTGGTGCGAGAGTTGCCGAAAGGCCCTACCTCGGAGAAGCCAGTCACTACCACGACTCGATCGAGATTCGCCATATTAAGCAGACTTTCCCGTAAGAGTTGAACTTCAGCCGTCTCGTCAGGTAGCTTCGGGAATGTGAATGGAATGTTTGCAAGACAGGGCCGAGCTGTCTTCTCCTCTTTGACCTGGGAACCGAGAACGGCAAGCTTTTCTTCGGCCTCCTTTTCTCGAGTCAGGCTAGCGCGAAGTGCGCTTTGATCGAAGATGTCCCGGCGGACTCGATCCAGCGTGGCTCGGAGATTTGGGATGGTGTTCAGCCCCCCCGGTGAGATCGGCATACAGTGGCTGAATGTTGCATTGACTCGCCAGCTTGCGGGTCAACAGCACCAGAATGTAGGCTGCCATCTCCGCTGTCGAGAAGGTTTGCACGCCGTGGCGTTCGATGCCCGCGGCAACGATGTTGTTATCCGCCATGAGCCCTGTGCCGCGAGTCCATCCGATCACCGCGCCACAGATGGACAGATAAGTGGACCAGCTCTCCGAGTGCCACTTCTCGAATAGCGACTCGAGCGCAAGCTTGGACTCGCCATACAAGCCATCATTGCCGAATGCACCGTGATTGGGGGACAATGGTAAAATGACTTGGGTGGGTCGCGTGCGATACCCGCGGGCTTGCTTTTGTTTCTTGATAGCACCCAGCAGACGTAGTGTGTTGGTGAGCATAATCCGATGGGCGAGTTCGGAGCGTGAATCGATGTTGTCGATCTCTCGTCCAGACTCTGAGATGGCGGCGAAAGGAATGACATGGTCCAGATCCCACCCTAGTCCTGCATCTGAGAAAATGTGCTCTACAAGGCCGTCAAGGTCTTGTTGACTGCCCTGATTGAAGGGAGCAATAATAAGCTCAGAGCCTTTGGCACCATACTCGACATAGAGGTTCTGGTAGAAGCGGGTGGTGGACGATGAATAGCTACTGGTAGTGACGACCACTTTGGCACCGCCACTCAAAAGCCCTTTCAGAACCTCGGCATTAATTGACCCCATACTCACTCCTGTCATCAAGACGTACTTGTTAACAAAGGTTACCCCTTCGCTCCAAGACGATTGGACTTCGTCGCGGTATAGTGTGGTTAATGACTGGTTGGTCCGCCAAGATGACTGGCCACGAGTCGCAATTGTGATCGGTGCAAATATTGGGGCCTCGCCACGAGGGACTTCGCTGTACTTGATGTTGCCCTTTTCATCCACATCGGTACTGGGACCCTTGATGAACGCATCGTGATTGGCGGCCAATGGCTCAAATCGAGGGATATGAGTCGTCTCACACCGTTCCAACAGGCGATGCACAATGGCCTTGGCCTCAGAAGAGCGTGAACCCCAGAGCATGGAGTGACTGCCGGCCAGGTAGGTCATCATGCGCACTAGACGTGGGCTGGATCGGTTGGCGATGGCGTTACTATATTTGGCGAACTCGGCATCGGAGAATTCACCACGCAGGATCCGATGAAAGATGTCCAGGGTGTCTTGCAAGACCCAGTTCCAGCTCGAGTGGAAAATACGGAGCTTTGGGGCGGCCCAAAGAGGACGAATACCGGAGAGGAAGAAATCTCCCACCTCGGCCGCGATGCCGTCCAATTGGCTTTGCAGCTCTGCTGTTGCCAGTTGTGCCTTCAATGCTTCTTGGGCATCATGTCTCAGGTCTTTCCCTAGCAGCCGTGCATACAGTTCCATCAGTGACTTCTTGAGTTTGTCTTGGCCCTTCACCACGGCTCCGAGGGCTGCACTGTCCACTGGGGCTGAGACTATAACATTGGCCGTCGCGGTTTGAGCAGACGCCGAGAAATCCAGTCCGTGATCAGTCCCATATTGGCGCACAATATCATCGAAAAATGATTGTGCCTCTTTCGAGTCGACCAATCTGGATGAAGTCTGTGACGTGCTTGCTCGCAAGAAGATTGGATCCTGACGACCTGAGCTCAGACCCCATCGAGATTGTAAATAATCACGAACATCCGCACTGGAAAAGCCAGCAGGAAGCTTCTGTGCAAAAACCTTAGACACCAGGCCCGTGGAGACTTTGTGTAGCCGCCCAGAGAATGCCGCTGCCGATTGCAGCAGACCGGCCAGCTGGTCGAGTGGCATTTCCTCTGGTTTCTCGGGAAGCGAACCGAACTCGGCATCAAGATCTCCCACAATCTCATTTTCCATTGTTGATCGACCTAGAGAAGAATTAGTACCACTCTTTGGGCCTTGAAACGCTGGGAGGACAAGATACCGTTGGCTAAAGCCTTGATCGTTTGCTGCGTGTCCAATTCGCCATAGTTCTTTCGCAACTTGCTGGCAATAATAGCCACCAGGATATCCTTTGCATCTACCGGAGTGTCCGGGATGGGCGCGGCATTAGTGACCTGCGCTGAGGCGGTTATATCCGCCTGAACTTCAGATGGAGCCGTTGTTGGGTGAACTGTCACGGTCGCTGCGGCAGCCGTGGCCGCTTGGGTGGTAGGTAACGTAGCAGATACTCCGGTGCTTTTTTTGCTTTCTGCTGCTGCCACTGGAGCTGCTTCCAGAAGATATTGGATTTCTGGTGCGTTCTGCGCGTACGAGAGAAATCGTCGCTTCATGTGGCGGGCGGCATCATGGGATTTGAAGTATAAAGCTACGGTTTTCTTGAGCATGCCTGTGAGGACGTCTGCTGGCCCGATTTCGATAAAGCGTTCAACGTTATATTCCTTGAGAAAAACATCTTGCGTGGCAATCCTATCGAGCAAAAATAAGTTCGTGTACTTGGTCATTGTACGGCTTTCGAAGTGACAGTGGCTTACCATTGGACTGGGGACGCAAATTGATGTCTATAGTGTGCACCTTTGTGATCAGCGATTTGAAACTGTGACGGGATATTGCAAAAAAAAAAATTGAAAATCACTTACGCTAGCAACTCAACGAGGAGCAGATATGCCAATTGTCGCTCAACTTGGGGTTGCACTGTGATGGGTGACATTACGAGTCCTCAGCAGTGTCATCCACACTCATCCGCTAGGATATATCAAGTGCGCAGAAGATTGACTATCAAGATCGATCTATATGTCTCCTGGCTCGATCCTTTTGCCACGAGTCTGATCTTGTTCCATAACGTTCCGCCGCCGCCGGAACATTATGCAAGGGCTACCACGTGGTCAGCTACCAGGAATCAAGCCATGTGGTCGGACCTGGATCGGAATAACGAGGTATGACACTAGCTGCTCACCCTACATGATGACCCGACATGATTTGGTGGGGGCGAAGGCTTACAGGCGGAACTAAGTAAGAATTTGCGCTAACTGTGTTGGTGCGTCTAGTAAATCCTTGGGTCGGAAACCATCGGCAACGGCGACACAGATGCATAGAATAGTAGGCTAATACGAAGCTGATTTGATGTCAGACAACTCTGGTATCGCTTCCAAAGTCGTTGGGGCGTGGTTCAATCAATCCAAATGGAGTAGGGCCACTCGCTATCGAAGTATTTCTGCTGTTTTCCGTGTCTGGGTCTAGCACCATTTGATGTTTTTTTTCTATAATGACAGCCCGCATTCATCTTCCATTATTCTGGTGATCATTCATGATTCATGATGGAGGCAATCAATCGACTAGCGGAGTTTCCTGTCCTGGCTTTGGTCAAGATAGTTCCTCTTACCTTTTTAGCCTACGTGAGCCCTCGTACCTATATGCCTGCCTGTCTTTAGCAGAGTTGCATGCTAACTGCTCAATACTCAAGGTATTGGCCATTATTGTCTACCGCATATGGTTCCATCCTTTGGCAAAGTTCCCTGGGCCTGTTCTGGCAAAGGTTACAAATCTCTATGGCGGATACTTTGCTTGGAAGGGCGATCTACACGTGGACATGTTGCGCTGTCATGAGAAATATGGTGTGTAGAATACGTTGCAAGGCCTGCGCCAGTTTCATGCTGATATGCTCTGCGACAGGTGACGTCGTTCGATACGCACCCAATCGTATCCTCTTTTAATACCAACACCGGGTTGAAGGGTAGGTGATGTATGCTTCCTTTCTTACCCCTTCCAACTCGCTCACTGTATGTTATGCTGTAGATATCTACGCCTTTAGCAAGCAGTTTCAGAAGTCGACCGTCTATGGGGCCATGGTCCACCGAGCTCCCAACACCCTCACCCTCACTGACAAGAAACAACACGGTCGCAAACGCCGCACCATTGGCCAAGGGTTTGGAGACAATGCACTTCGTGGATTCGAGGATACAATCATGAACCTGGTGCGCGCATTCTGTGACAAACTGGTTCAGGACACTCCTGCAGGCGAATGGTCATATCCGCAGAACATGGCCAAGTGGTGTACGTCTTTCTTTCTTGATCGCATGGAGTAATTGATTGCAGCACGCTAATAATCGTTAGCAAACTACCTGACCTTCGATATCATGTCGAGCATCATTTTCGGAGAAACTTTCGATCTCATCGGCAGCTCCGAAAACCGTGATATTATCCAGTCCATTGAAGATTCTAACGTGCGTACGGGAGTTCTCTTGCAAGCGGGCGAATTAGCTACGCGCCGCCTCGACCGCAAACTCTTTCCTCAGGCCATTGTCGGCCGTAACTATTTCATCCGCTTCGTCAACCAGCTGCTCAAGAAGCGCATGTCAGCCAAACCCTTGAAGCGAAAAGATGTGTTTTCGTTCCTGCTCGATGCGGTGGACCCGGAGACAAAACAAGGGTTCACCCCGGCTGAGATTGGAGCGGAGAGTACCACCCTGATTGTCGCCGGTATATAGCTCCCATGCCCATATCTATTGTCCTTCTGGTCAGTGCACTCATCTGAAAAAATAGGATCCGATACCTCTTCCACTGCAATCGCATCCACCTTCTTCTACCTCTGCCGCTACCCTGAAGTCTACGAAAAAGTCAAGAACGAGATTCGCTCTGTCTTTGCCGGCCCCAATGATGTCACTCTTGGACCCAACCTCTCCAACTGTGTCTACCTCCGAGCTTGTATCGATGAGAGCCTCCGTATGTCTCCTCCGGCCGGCAGCTCCTTGTGGCGGGAGGTCATCCAGGACGGTGTCGTGATCGACGGGCACGTCATTCTTCGCGGCTACGATGTGGGTACCTGCATTTATGCCATCCATCATAATGCCAAGTACTTCCCAGAGCCATTCGAGTACCGCCCTGATCGCTGGCTGGATGAGCCCGAGAAAGTTCAACTCGCCCGCTCTGCATATACACCCTTCTCGATTGGGCCTCGCAGTTGCTTGGGCAAGGGACTAGCCCTGACTGAATTGACTCTCACCATGGCCTACCTGTTGTCCAAATATGACTTCCGTCTTGCATCTGGCACCGAAGAGGTGGGTGGTGGTTCAGTCTCTCAGGGAATCGGACGGCACCATCAAAAGGAGTACCAACTTCATGATCATGTCACGGCGGCGAAGAATGGACCAATTGTGCAACTCCGCGTACGCCAGTAAGCTATGTCAGTCGGCAAAAAGACAAATTGAGGGATACAAAAGGGACTGTATCGTGATAGAAGAAGAATAGACTACTTTCGCTCCTTATTTTCGCTACATTTGTATGTTTAGTCCGTCGTGCCTTGAAAGCTGAGAAGTCAGCCCCATACGCACACTTCATTTCTCTTGGTATTTTTTGACAACCACCGGATGAAGGAATTGCAGAACACCCTATAACGGCGGATCTGGTCTCTACCTCTTCTTGTCTTGTGTGCACTGGAATTATGTCGATGAAGTAGCTGTTTTGATTGGATAAACAGGAGCCTGGGCCACCCCTCCTTGGTCACTTGAACTGAAATTAACCCACGCGGTGTGGGATTCGGTCCACAGGCCTCGAGCGGGAGGAACCAATTTGAGGACAACAGACTGCTATCAATGCAAGCTTCCACTTTTTCTTGTTCTTCTATTCACTAAGTTGGGGGTGCCGATTAAATTGACCATTTTCACTAAATTCGTTTGTCAAAAACCACAAAACTCTATCTCAAGTTTTCTAGCCATCCACTCCATCCAGCACCTGCTTCACCTCAAAACACCATCCCCGTCCATCCTCACTATCGCCACGCTGAGTACCCGTCAGCTCTACATATAACTTCTGACAGACTGGACCGGTGGTCTTCTCGCCCGTGTAGACAAATTGGTCCCCATGCGACTGGTGCGTGATGGAGCGAATGGGGACCAAACAAGCGGCAGTACCCACGGCCATGACCTCACTAAAAGTCGACAGTTCCGCATACTTGACCTGATCCATGATTAACCATCAGCCTTGTATTTAGCGGCAAGTGAGGAGGTTGACAAACTAACCGTGCGATGCTCCACTTGATACCCCAAATCTTTTCCGATCGCCATCAGACTATCCGACGTGACGCTGTTGATAATGTTATCACTCTTTGGCACGACCAAAACCACCTGCTGCTTCTCCCCTTCTTGCTTCTTGATTTGGACACCCAGGAAGCCGGAGGTCGAGAATTCATCAATATCCTCCCCAGACTTGCTGTCCAAATGCAACGTCATTGGGAATCCCGCTTTCGTCGCCTTTTCTGACCACTTCATCACGGGCGCATAATTACCCCCGATCTTGGCATGGCCGGTACCCTTTGGGGCTGCACGGTCGAAGTCTTCCATAATCACAGCCGGGAGCGGCGAAATTCCGTGGTAACTACTGAAGGGCTGGACATAAACGCACAACATATACTCTGTAGGTGGTGTGAGGGCCAAGTGACCGCGAGATCCGAACAACACAGGCCGGATATACAAAGCTGCACCACTGGAGTGAGGAGGAACCCACTCAGCGTTGTGAGCAACGGCTGCATTGACAGCGGCGATGAAGTGCTCGATTGGTACGGGTGGGATGGACACGACGTCGGCCGAATGCTGCATGCGCGCGGCATGGAAGTGTGGGCGGAAGATTTGGATCTTGCCGCTACTTGTGCGATAGGCTGGTTGAGGATAAGAATGTCAACTCAATCACTCTGAACACTGTGGAGACAACGGGCAATTTGTCTGGCTATCAATAGAGCCCACCATCAAGGAGGCGGTACTGATGCTTGAGGGGATAGGAGATACAGGATGGGAGAGAGCTAGGTCATTCCCCCCACCCCGCATGTTGCGTACCTTTTAGGCCCTCATAGACCTGCTGCCCATAATTCAGGGCTGGTGCCAGTCCATGAATACGTAGATATGGATCAGTGACGAACTTAGGCGTCGTCCACTCGCCCCCTTCGACCGAATAGGTAGATTCTATGTGGCCATTGACTGAAGAGTAATAACACTGTCAGCTACATCATTAGAGGCATTACCGGTGACTGATGTCCAGACAGCCGAAAGAGTCAGGTAAATATCTCAAATTTGGCACCCACCCATGTCGGTCACGGCCAGTCCCAACTTAGTCCATTCTAGTTTCCTCACGTTAATGCTTAGTAGAGAGGAGACCGAAGCACGTAAACGGATAGGGTCACTTACCGACATCAGGCGCAGGGGCAGGAGGGAACGCCATCGTTATAATGAAAAGGCAATGTGAATCAATCGACAATTGGTAGTAAAAAAAAAAGAAAGAATTCACTGGCAAAAGCGAGGGGCTGAAGCGATAAAGTATCTAAGCAACGAGTTGTGCGATTACACTCTCTATCTGGCGATCAATACCGCGCGTAGCTACATCAGACTCATGCGGTATAGGGCTTTCTGAGTATCCACCGGTCTTGGGCAGTAATCAAGTCTCGATTCCAGCCACCGGAAACGATCCCGGAGGAAATCCCCTACGTGCAGGTTCTTGTGTCTTACGTTGCATACTCATAGCCGCGATGACTACAGCATCCACAATTTTCCCGCCCCATCCAGTGCAACATCATGCAGGATGAGCACCAGAACCCCGAGAAATTGAAATATGGCCCCTGCCACCCGTGGAGGATTCCGAACTTGATGATGTTCCTTTCGATCTTCTAGAAACAAGTCCTGGAGTGAGCCAAGTGTACCTTTTAGTAACAGTCGGAATGAATGGAATGGAAGCAGCAGCGTACTCCAAGAACTAGACACTTTCTCATTATTCTTACCTCATCAATCTCTCTTCACGATACACATAGCCATTTATAACCATCATACTGACAGACCACGTTTCGCTCAGTGCACACGGCCAGTTCTGATCGGTCGATCAGATATAACACCCGGGGATTATCGGTGCTTTTACTGAACCGATAGGATACTATTTTCAAATCCCATTACCAGCCCCCTCTCTCCAAATTAAGAGCTCTCATGAGCATAGTAGCGGCGGGATGCAAACCGAGAGTGAATGTCTGCTGTCCTTCTCCCAGTGGCACCATGAAGACCCGGCTAGTTCTGCAGGCTGGGAAGGCAGCACTGATAGCTCCCTGCCCGAGCCCGAGCTATACATGACCCTGTTCGGAGCACCGCAGGACGATCCCTGCTCCCACTTGAAGACTTTCTCCCTTGTATGTTTATGAGACCGTTTTCTCCTCCCTCCATCCCCGCCCGTGTTACTCTTCTATCTGTTCTCTCGTCTGCTCTTCCATACAGTGGTCTGCTTCTATCTTTCTGCCCTATTCCATCTTACTAGGGCACCAAAGACGTGACAAAGTACTGACCCCTTGCAGGAAGGATGCCCAATGTCCACTTCATCTGATGCCACACTCCCATCATATCTTTGCCCCTGCCCACCACCGACCCAATTTGATTCTCCTAACCCGTCTTCGCAATCACAATCACACCCTTCCAGCTCCATGTCCGAGCGACCGGACCACAGTCTCCTCTGCTGTCCGGCTCACGAGCGCATCGTTCATCTGCTACTCTCATGCGGCGCGGATGTCAACATTCAGAACGCGAACGGCCAGACACCGCTACATATTGCTGCTCAGCAGGGCCACCTTGGGATTGTACGGTTGCTACTGGCATCCAAATTCATTGATGTGAATGCTCAGGACCGATGCGGGGCCACACCACTGCATCTGGCAAGCGAAAATGGGCATGTCATGATAGTAAAATTATTGGTGGCGCACAATGCCCACTTGAATGTAAGGGCGACGAGCGTGTGACCTAAGGATTGTGTCTTTCTCCAATGTAATACCTAATGAAATGCCAGTAGGTGCTCAAAGTTGCATTTATTCTATAAGTATTCAGACATTCAAAATATATATTACTTCACCATGGGCCCACCGCCGACCTGTTTATTTTGGCGTTATGATTGAAAATAAATGTCCAAGTGAACCTCAATTCGATCTAATGCGAGGGAGTATTTCACATACATCCAGTTCAGCGAGTGCGACACACACCGGCCAATCTGGCCGGGGTTGTCTAGGTACCCTTCAGTAATGCCTGAGAATAAATTCTTGGAACGGATGGTGTGGAACTTCGGGCCGGCCCCGACGCTAAATACCCAAAGTACCTTTCTCCACCCGTCCACCGCCTCCTGATAGGTCGAGAGGAATGCAGCAGGCTGACTAACGGTGTGCAGGCCGGCTGACTCTATGTCTCCACCTCGTTCCCTCGACCCTTCAAATCATCCAGAGTTCCACAGAGATGTAAATTGGTCGCTGTCGATCGGTTTAAGTGACTACCCCGTGCCACAAGTATACTCTCTCTTCCGGCCGCCGCTTGAGAGATCCAGAGGAGCGATTAAGCCACCACGATAGACTCGGATCGCTCTCTGCCAGGGAGCCCCAGAGTGAGACGTGATCTGCGCGAATGCGATTCCAAAATTTCTCAGCCACGCCATTGCGCCAATCTGGTTGAGAAATAGAAAAGAGGGTGAGCTCGAAGATGCTTCCGTCGAGATGGCTTTCCTCAACAGACGCGGTGGTGGAGCTCGAAGCCCAGCCCTCCTGACGACCGGATAGCAAGGTAGGGGGAGAACGCCAGGGAAAGGATGCTCGCGGAAAGACGAGCGCGAGGTTATGAATTGTCTGTTCCGGTGATGGCGAAGTTGGGTCATGGTCAAAGTAGGCAGCGAATTCTCTGGATTCGAGCTGCGACAGGACCGCATCGATGTCAATGCCCGGACTATGGGTCAGGTGGCGCTGGAGGGCCGTACAGAGGGCCTCTTCAGAAGGGAACTGCTGAAGGCAATTGGCAGTCTGGACGGTCCGCGGATGACGCAGCATTGTCCAGAGCGTAGGATCGGGAAAAATGACATTGCTCAAGGCTGTGGCCGGACCCAGCATGATACTGGCTTCAGGGCCGAGTTCGCGAGCGAGAGTTTGCAGCGCAGTCGACGCGTCGGGGCCTGGCGGCAACAATGAGGGCTGGGTGTTGGGATATAGGAAAATACTGCGCAACGGCTGTAGCACTCGCGCTAGATGCACGGCGGCATGATGCGGATCCAGCACATACGTGCGAGAGTCTGCGGAAGAAGTGCCCAGCGCCGCCACGACCGGTATGGATCTGGCACGAACAGCGGACTCAATGCCCTGGGAAACAATATCTGTCACGCTGCCTGTATGGGAAGACTTTGTGCAGTCGGTTTCCGCGACAGCCGTAAAGATACCGGACGGAATAGGTCGTGTTTCGACATCGCGGCCCTCGAAAAGGGCGCTGAGCTGCTGGTTTACTGTTCGGATGCGTTGTAAACGATTTAACGGATTGGCTAGTCTCTCCAGTCTGGGATTTGATGCAAAACCCAGATCCAGATTCAGCTCACCATGTACGACAATCGGGAACAGGCCGACGCGCCGTAGAAAAGCCAGCGAGTCGGCGAGTTGCTCAAGCTGTGCCTGAGTAGTGGAGCCCGGCGACGAGAGCGCGTTTGGCCCTAGAGCGATCACGGCCAAAGAGTCGCCCTGGGACGGGTGAAACTCGTCAAGATAGTGCTGAATCTGCTGCTTCGAGTCAATGAGACGAAGCAGTCGCGTGATGACCGCGCGATTGATTTGTGTGCGGGATCGGTGTAAGCTGAGAGAAGCGGCAGAGCAACGGCCCCCATGTTGGGGGCCGAAAGGTCGGGGTCGACGCAGCAAACGAGCTAGCATATCGGACCACGGAGAATTACACCTATGCCAAGAGGTATGCCGGTTAAATGGGAGATGAGCCATGGGGCTGTTGCGGGTTGGTGATATACTGTTCTAGTGCTGACAATGGTAGCCGCACTCGTCTCCTGTCCCCACCCATCCTGGTGGGGCTTTCATCTTCCTTTCGCCTGACTCCACTAAGTCTGACAGCGACCGTTAATTTGTGGTCCACGAAGTAGAGGGTAAGCAGGGTATGGGGCGGGAGTTGCCGATGCATGCTGCACGGTGAGCTAAATACGATCGACTCCACTCGGCTACTGCACGATCAGCCGCTAAGAGATTCCTCAGGAATAAGCATCGTCTTATGTCTCACAGTACAGCAAATCGCCTCCTGCGGCGAGTAGTCCCCTGCAGTGCCGGGAGTCAGGAACGTGGCGACCATGCGGCCCTGATCTAGCCCTAAGCGGACGGCCCCATCGTCCATGTATCCCCGATGCCGGGCGAGGCCTTGGATAAGCAAGCGACAACATTCAATTACGGCCGAGTCCTTTTGGGTGACCGTTTATGTCAAGCGGCTTTCTGGCGATAAACCTTCGTACTCCCAGTCCAGCTTTTTGTCACTGTGCTGCCCGCCTCACCCACGCCCTTCACTCACCCGTCGCATTCTCCTCTAATGCTATACTCCTCGGGCTAATAATCAACATCTACCAAATACACCTAAAATATTCATCATGGGTGACTACGGCGAGGAAACTTTCGTCGAACTCAACACTCCTAATGTGCCATTTGAGCTCAAAGCTGGTGCGTCCTTGTTTCCCCTCTTGACTGACGGGATTCTTCTAGATGACCACCAACGAGCCGTGCCACTGGTCGCCAGCGGGCTTGACCAGACGCGACTTGCCCTGGAACTGCGTTCGGACGTCTCGGCCGTGGACTTGACAGATTTTTGCACACGTCACGGGGTAACTCTTCTGAGTGTGTTGAACGTTGCCTGGTCCTTGGTGCTCGCTGCATACGCTGACACCGACGTGGTCAACGTCCTATGCGTTCGCTACGCGGCCGGCGTACCATACGTGGGTTTTTCTGAGACCACAATCGACGGTGAAAGGACAGTACAGCAGACCCTGACAGCGGCCGAGCAGCAATTGTCAACAAGCGCGGCGGTCCCGTTGGCGACAAGTTTGGCCGACTTGCAGAACGCGACGGCCTTGAACGGCCGTCCAGTCTTTAACAGCATTGTGCTGTATTCGGGGAACGATAACCTAGAGGGGGCAGAGGTACGTCCACCCTGATATCCAGGAATTCCGCTCGTCCGGGGCAGATCCTATGTCAGCTGTAGCAATCATTAATTCAAAGAGGCAGGCCGGTGATTACATCGCCCTTCATGCGAGAGCCACGCTCAATAGATTGGAAATTCACTTACAAGCTCCCACCCACTTGCTCCCTGCGGCGCATGCCCAGCACTGTGCGGCAACCTTGAGTCATGTGCTCGGAGAGATTATCCAGCACCCCGACCTTCCCATCGCCAAAATCAATCTATTGAGCCTTGAGGGGCTGCAGCAGATTTCATACTGGAATCGAACGGCCCCTACCGTGGTTTCGCGCTGTCTTCATCAAGTCGTGGATGAGACAGCCCTGGCCCAACCTGATGCTCTGGCCATCGATGGAACCGATGGCCGCATGACCTACGGCGAGTTGCAAGCGCAATCAAATCGGCTGGCGCAGCACTTGGTGCAGCTGGGCGTCGGCCCTGAAGTAGCGGTGCCATTGTTTTTTGAAAAGTCAAAGTGGGCCATTGTTACCATGATTGCCGTCGTCAAGGCCGGCGGTGTCATCGTCAACCTAGATGCCAAACAGCCGCGACCGCGCCTACAAGGACTTCTCGCCCAGTTGCAAACCACATTGGTGATAACCTCCGTACAGCATTCTGGGCTTTGGGCCGATGAATTCCACGTGGTGGTAGTCTCCGAAGACTTCCTCAACCAGCTGCCCATAGTCGCTGGTGCCCCTGTTGCGGCCGTCACGCCGCATAATGCCCTCTATATCATCTTCACCTCGGGCAGTACCGGCACGCCTAAAGGCTGTGTAGTTGAGCACGAGTCCTTCCTGACAGCCGCCGCGCAGCATGTGCAGGCTGCTCATATTCTCTCCTCTAGTCGAGTGCTACAAATGACGCCCTACACCTTCGACGTCAGCATGCTCGAGATCTTCACCACACTGACTACGGGCGCGTGTATTTGCTTCTGCAGCGAAGAAGAGGCAGCCCATGGAATCGCCCACATAATAAACCACCTTCAGATCACCTGGACGTTCATGACGCCCTCACTGGTGCGCTTGGTCGACCCGGCTTCGGTGCCCACCCTGAAAACACTCGCCCTTGGTGGAGAAGGCTTGGGACGCATTGATGTGACCACCTGGGCCGACAAGCTACATTTGGTTAACGGTAATTTTGATTCTTCTCTGTTCATTTTTTGCTGACCCCCCGCTAATGCGTCGTATCCTAGGCTACGGGCCCAGTGAATGCTCCGTCGCGGCGACTATCAACGAGCCCCTGTCGCTCACGTCGGATCCAGCTAATATCGGCGTCGGATGCGGAGCCGTATGCTGGGTGGTTCATCCTGACGACCATGACCAACTTGTACCTATCGGCGCTGTTGGCGAGCTGCTTATTCAAGGTCCCATCGTTGCACGGGGCTATCTCAATGAGCCCGCGAAGACAGCCGCCGTCTTCCTAGACAAGGTTCCTGCTTTCGCTGAACTCCTGCCTCAGCCGCCACCGGCCCACCGGCTTTACAAGACGGGAGATCTGGTTCGCCAGAACAGTGACGGCACCCTCAACTTCATCGGCCGTAAGGATCGCCAAGTAAAGCTGAACGGACAACGTTTGGAGCTGGGCGAGATCGAGCAACGGCTCTCCCAGGATTCCCTGGTGCGACATGCCCTCATTGTACTCCCCAAAGAGGGTCCATGTAAGGGTCGCCTGGTGGCCGTTCTGTCCCTGCATGCCGTTCCTTACGACGGTCGGTACGATGCCATTGTCCATAGCCTACCTACAGAAGAATCCAAGCGCGCGCGGGGCTATTTGCCAGAGATCACAGCGCAACTGTCCACGCAGCTCCCAGCATACATGGTACCCACCTTTTGGGTGGTGCTGGCTGCGCTGCCCTTCACGACCTCGGGTAAAATCCACGGCGTTGCCATGACCCAATGGCTGCGTGAGATGTCCGAAGAGACCTACCGCGAGATTGCCGACGTCAGTGACGATGCGCCCGAGACTGGTCTGTCGACCGAAATTGAACTGCTGATGCAGCAGATTTGGGCCGAAGAATTGGGCATTCCTGTCGCAGAGCTAAAGGCCAACCGATCCTTCATCGCCCTCGGTGGAGACTCTCTGGCCGCCATGATGATCGTGGCTCGGTGTCGCCAGCAGCAGCTTATGATTTCAGTCCCGGATGTCCTGCGTGCTCCCAATCTCATTGACGTGGCCGCACGCACCACTCGGGCAGTTGCAGATTCATCTCAAGATGAAGAAAAGGAGAACGAGAATAAGGCACGTTCTTCGCCGACCCAGCGGATCGCGGACCTAAATGAGCCACTCCTGAGTAGCTGCGGGTCTGATTAGTCGCGACCAGGTGGAGGATACGTATCGCTGCTCGCCCATGCAGGACGGCATTCTTCTCAGTCAAGTCAAATTCCCTGGCACGTATGAGGTCCTTCGGGTGTTGCGAGTGCAGTCCACGCTTGATGCCGTCACCACCGTTGCCCGTCTGCAAGACGCCTGGCAGGCAGTGGTAAATCGGCACCAAATGTTGCGTACGATCTTCTTTGACGCGGCCGGCCAATTCCAGCAGATTGTGTTGAAGCAGGTCCCGGCCTGTGTACAGACTTACGAATGCTTGGACCTGGCTGACGAGCGCGCTGTTACCCAGTTCCTCCAAAATCTGCCTCCCCCCACCTACCACACCTCACAGCCCCAGCATCGATTGACTATCTGCCGCGCGGCTGATGATAGCATTTTCATCAAGGTCGAGATCAGCCACGCTCTGATTGATGGGGGCTCTACGGAGGTCGTCCTCCACGAACTTTCGTTGGCCTTTGATCACCAGTCCTTCTCGACGCCTCCCGCTCTGTTCAGCGACTATATTGAATTCATATCTCGCCCCCAGGCCGCCAATATATCACTGAACTACTGGGCTACGTACCTGGATGGCGTACAACCCACAATAGTGCCCATGTATCCCACAAAGGGCGGGCAGAAGCAAATCCGTTCCGTGTCGGTGCCATTCACGGATGCATCTGCATTGCTCCGATTCACTGAGGTCCACGGAGTAACCCTTGCGAACGTACTGCAGACGGCATGGGCTTTGGTACTCCGCGCCTACACTGACACCGACGATGTTTGCTTTGGTTATATCGCCGCAGGCAGGGACGTTCCCATCGCAGGCATCGATCAGGCGGTGGGGGTTTTTATCAACATGCTGGTATGCCGTGTGCGGTTGGATCAGAAGCCTACTGTTCTCGAGAGCGTTATGGCAATGCAGAACGAGTACTTTGAGGCGTTGCCTCATCAGCATACGTCCCTGGCCCAGATCCAGCACCGAATGGATATGTCGGGTATGTCCCTGTTCAACAGCATCGTTTCAGTACAAAAAGATGTGTCAGATCAGCCGCATGGCGAGTCGCTCTCCTTCCAGCCTCTGCAGGAAGATGATCCCACAGATGTAAGCTCTACCACCCGCCTCTCTCAAGACTTTCAAGGATCCTCTACTAAATATTGCTAGTTCGATCTTGCCGTTGCTATTCATGTCGGAAAAAAAAACGTCAAAATTGATATTGGGTACTGGTCATCGATGCTATCAGACGGCGATGCGGCCAATCTGGCAAATACTTTCAAGGGTGCCATCTCGAGCATCCTCATGAACCCGCAGTCGCCTCCCACTACTCTCGACCTGTTTACTGACGAAGATCGGGCTCAGATCTTTGATTGGAACCAGAACGAACCGATTGCAGCGCCTGGAGTTGTGCACGACCACTTCTACGCCCGGGTACAGCAGCAGCCTGGTGCGCCAGCGGTCTGCGCCTGGGACGGGGAGTATTCGTACGCCGAGCTGGATCAGCTGTCAGAGAAGCTGGCGCATCACCTGGTTCAGCTTGGAGCGGGACCCGAGGTACTAATTCCCCACTGTTTCCCGAAGTCGAAGCTGGCGACGGTCGCCATGGTGGCTATCATGAAGTCCGGTAGCGCTGGTGTGGGACTGAGCGCGGCCCATCCTCGGACGCGAGTTCAGGATATCGTCAAGAATTGCGCTGCCAACATTGCGGTTGTGGCAGCGCAAAATGTGCTCGTTGTGGAGGGTCTCATCGAACACATTGTGGTTATCGATGAAGACTTCCTGGCGCACCTGCCGGATCCACAACCCCACATGAAACTACCCCAGGCGCAACCCTGCAACCCGGCCTTTGTGTCATTCACTTCGGGCAGCACTGGTAAGCCCAAGGGCATCGTACTCGAGCATGGATCTTTGATTACTAGTATTCTCGCCCACGGAAGTAGCTGGGATGTTGACCAGTCGGCTCGAGTTCTGCAGTTCTCCGCCTACGCCTTCGATGCTAGTGTGTCGGACACGTTCACCACGCTGGTCGGCGAGAGGAACAGTCTGTATACCCCATGAGAAAGATCGAGTCGATGATCTCGTTGGGGCCATTAATCGACTGGGTGTCAACTGGGCATTCCTGACGCCGCGTGTGCTAGGTTTGCTATCGCCTGAGGCGGTGCCCACCCTCAAAACGGTCATTCTCGGAGGAGAGGCCATCTCGCAGGATGACATTGCCCGCTGGACAGAGGGCAATTCGCATCCGAATTGTCTACGGTCCGACTGAGTGTACCATCTATAGTATGGGAACCGATCTGCTCACTGCGGACAGTGACCCGGCGTGCCTGGGCCATGCAGTCGGTACGCGGCTGTGGGTAACACACCCGAGAATACCGAAAAACTCATGCCAATTGGTTGCACCGGGGAGTTGATCATCGAAGGGCCCTTGGTGACAAGGGGATATCTCAACGAGCCGGTCAAGACCAAGGCAGCCTACATAGAAGACCCGGTGTGGCTGCCCAAGCGTGCTATGGGTGAGCCACGGCGCTTCTATAAGACTAGCGACCTGGTAAGGTACTATCCCGACGGGCAGCTGCGCTTCATCGGCCGGAAAGACACGCAGATCAAAGTTCGCGGGCAGCGGGTCGAGCTAGGTGAGATTGAACACGCCATTCTCACGACCATGCCCAGTGCGGTGCACATCACTGTAGACTCGGTCAAGCTGCCATCTCAGAAACTCGTGGCCTTCCTTTATCTCAATACACAGTCTGCGGACAAGGAGCCACTGTTCATACCCTTGACCCCGGAGATGACTGAGCAGCTGCGTGCCTTGGAAAAGGACCTGTCTGAGACATTACCAGGCTATATGGTGCCCAGCCTGTTCATTCCTATCTCTCACATCCCCCTGACCATATCCAACAAGGTCGACCGTATTGCCTTGCGGCGTGCTGCGCTATCTCTTTCCACCGACCAACAGGAAATGTATGCGCTAGCGAAGCGTACAAAAGCCGCGCCAGAAGGTCCGCAAGAGGAGCATCTGCGGGACCTGTGGGCCATGGTCCTAGGCAAAGAGCCCACCTCCGTGGGACGTCATGATAACTTCTTCCGTTTAGGCGGCGACTCTATTGGCGCCATGAAGCTGGTGGCGGCCGCACGTCGTTCCGGCTTTGTGCTCAGCGTCGCTGACATTTTCCGGCAACTTGAATTGTCGGACATGGCCAAGTGTCTTCACCTCACTAATGTTGCGGAGCCAGTCGCTTACACTCCTTTCTCTTTGCTCCCGGCTGATTCGATGCAGCGGGAAACCTTGCTGGCCGAGGCGGCTATGAGTTGCTCGATTTCAAGCGACGCCATTCAAGACGCTTATCCTGCCACGCCCCTTCAGGAAGGTGTCTTTCTCATGTCAACGACCCACAAGGGTGCATATGTTGCCCCGACAGCTTTCCGCCTGCCGGTCGGATTTGATGTGTCGTGCTTCCAAGGAGCCTGGCAGGCGCTCGTCAATGCCCATCCCATTCTGCGAACGCGGCTGGTCACCATCGACGCGACCTCCTACCAAGTGGTTTTGACCCCGGCTGCCTCCTGCATAGAGTGGGAGAAGGCAACCTCGCTGAGTGAATATCTAGCGCGCATCCAAGCGCTGCCGGTAGTTGCAGGTGCGCCGCTGACTCGATATGCCCTAATTTCGGAAGGGGACTCGAATGTCTTTGTCTGGACCGCACACCACGCCTCGTTCGATGGCTGGACCATTGGACTGCTGCTTGACCAGCTAGCGCAGCTCTACAAGCATGACATGCCTCCCAAAATAGCAGCATCCTATGCCGAATTTGTCCAGTATATGCAGAAGGCTGATAAAGATGCCTCGAGCAAATTTTGGGCGTCACTAGTTCCGTCAGAGCCCCCGGCCGTGTTCCCTCGCTTGCCCTCAGCAGTGTACCAACCGACCGCCAAGGAGACCTGCTATCGCACCATATCGAGTCACGTACAGGAAGAGTCTAATTTCACCTTGGCTGTTCTACTGCGGGCGGCGTGGTCCATCGTACTCGCGCGCTATACAGACGCGGAGAATATCCTGTATGGGCTGACCCTGTCCGGTCGAGACGTGCCTGTCCCGGGCATTGAGCGAGTGATGGGACCGACGATCACGACGGTGCCTATGAATGTCCATCTGGATGGCGAGATGCTGGTTCAGACTTTCTTGCAGCAACAGCAGGATCAAAATGTCGAAATGATGAATCACCAGCACGTGGGACTGCAGGCCATCCGTTGTATAAGTCCTGCCGCAGCAGCGGCCACCGAATTCACCAACCTTTTTGTCGTACAGCCCCAGACAGACGAAGTCGAGGGCCTCAACGAGATGGCCAAGATCCCCACCGACATGACTCGGTTCGATCCGTATGCCTTGGTGGTCGAGTGTAATTTGGCCGACAGTCAGGTGCATCTGGAAGCCCGCTTCGATGATGCTGTCCTGCCCACAGATCGCATCCAGCGCCTATTAGGGCACTTTGAGCATGTCCTCAGTCAGCTCATCCGGCTCCACCCCGGCCGCCGGCTGCGAGAAATTGACGTCTTCAGCACCGATGATGAGCGGCAGATCTGGGAATGGAATGCTGCTCCCGCGAAATCCGAGAACATGTGTGTGCATGAGCTGATTGCCGAGCAGGCCCAGCGTCATTCAGATCACATCGCCATCGACGCATGGGACGGATCACTCACCTATAACGAGCTTGAATACTTTTCCTCGCAACTATCGCACTGGCTTGCGGCGAACCTCGACTTCCGGCCAGAGTCTTTGGTGCCGCTATGCTTCGATAAGTCTCGGTGGACCATCGTTGTCATGCTAGCTGTTGTCAAATGCGGCGGAGGTTGTGTGATGTTGAATCCAGATCACCCCATTTCACGTCTAGAGGGTGTCATCGCCCACACAGCCTCATCGGTAGTGCTGGCGTCGCCGGAGCGAATGGAACTCTTTGCTTCGGGGGCCGCCACCGTGGTCGCCATCAGTGAAGCGCTCATTCGTAGCTCGCCCGCACTCACAGAAAAGCCCCAGCCATTGCCATTGGTCCAACCGACCAACCCAATTTTTGTGATTTTTACCTCCGGTAGTAGCGGGAAGCCCAAGGGCATCGTGGTGCAACACAACAGTGTCTGTACAGTGGCTATTCAGCATGGCGAAGGACTGGGTTTCACGGGCCCCGGCCTGCGCGTGTTGCAATTCGCGTCGTTTAGTTTCGATGTCAGCATGGGAGAGGTCTTCGTAACCCTCATGAAGGGCGGTACGCTTTGCATTCCAACGGAGTACGACCGGATCAATCACCTGGCGGCTACTATCAACCGCATGCAAATCACATGGACATTCATGGCGCCTACGGTTGCAGCTTTGCTCGATCCCCGCGACGTGCCCGAGTTGCAGACGCTTGTTCTAGGAGGAGAAGCGGTCTCGCAGAGCTTGGTTGATCAGTGGGCGAGCCATGTCAATCTAGTCGACTCGTATGGCCCAGCAGAATGCACAATCTGGGCTTCGCATGCCAATTCCAGCCCAACTGTGTCGCCAGCCAACATTGGCCGCGGTATCGGCTGTCGGTTCTGGGTCGTGGATATCCAAGACCATAATCGACTGGCCCCTATTGGCTGTGTGGGGGAGTTGCTTATTGAAGGCCCGAATGTCTCGCGTGGGTATCTCAATGAGCCGGAAAAGACAACGGCCGCGTTCATTGAGAACCCAATCTGGCTTCACGGTAAAGAAATACCGCAATACAAGTTCTACTGTACCGGCGATTTGGTGCGATATAACGCCGATGGCTCCCTCAACATTGCTGGACGCAAAGACAGCCAGGTCAAACACCATGGTCAGCGCATTGAACTGGGCGAGATTGAGTTCCACCTGAGAGCCCACTCTGAGGTTGACGCCGGTATGGTCATGCTTCCCAAGGCCGGTCCCTGCCAGAGCAAGTTGGTAGCTGTGGTGGCACTGACTGACTTGCATCCGGTCGCGGTTGAGGGAGATCACGTCGCGCTTATTCACGAAGACCTCAAAACGAAGGCCCAGCCACGGATTCAGCAGGTGAAGGAGGAGCTCGCTGCGGTGCTACCCCCCTACATGGTCCCAACAATCTGGATTGTGGTGGATTCCATTCCATTGACAGCGTCTCGCAAGATTAACCGCATGCCGATCTCACGCTGGGTCGATGCCATGTCCGAAGAAACTTATCGCGCCGTGGTGGATATCGCGGCGGCGAGTGTGCATCTGCCAGTTACACAGCTGGAGAAGCAATTGGCGAATGTTTGGAGCCATGTTCTTAACTTACCCGTGGAGACCATCGGCTTGAACCGTTCCTTCCTCAGCCTGGGCGGAGACTCAATCACCGCAATGCAGGTCGTCTCGCGTTGCCGCGCGCTGGAGATTGAGGTGAGCGTACAGGATATCCTGCAGTCTAAATCTCTGGCTGGCGTCGCGGCTCGCGCCCTCGCTGCCAGGCCCCGCGCTGTCCTGCGCGAGGAGCAGTACGGAGTGCCCTTTGAACTGTCCCCCATACAACAGCTCTACTTCGACGAGGTAGTACGGAGTGAGGCAGCTCAAAATCATTATTACCACCAGAGTGTGTTGCTGCGTGTGACTCGTCCCATCTCGCTCTCGGAACTCTCCCGAGCCATCGCGCACATTGTGACTAACCATGCGATGCTGCGGGCCCAATTCAGCCAGCAGGCTGACGCCCAATGGACTCAACTTGTGCAGAGTCCAGACCAGGATACGACACCGGTGGCCTCTCACCATGTGGCGAACCGCGGGGCTGTATTCGAGATTGTCGAGGCGTCACATCGCCATATCGATATTGAACATGGTCCCATCTTCGTGGTCGACCATTTCGTGCTCCCTGATGAGGAGGGACAGCTACTCTCTCTTATCGCGCACCACCTTGTGGTCGATGCGGTGTCCTGGCACATCATTATCGGACAATTGGAGCAATTACTGCTGTTGCCCGACACCCAGCGCCCATCCCGGATGCCCTTCCAGAATTGGGTTCAGGAACAGCGTCAGTACGCCGAGCAATTGCCAATATCTGTGCTCTCGAATGCTTTGCCTGCGGCAAACCTGGAGTATTGGGGCTTGGAGCAGCTACCGACCTGGCAGGATGGTGAGGAGGTGCAGTTCACGCTCGATTCGAAGACCACTGCCCTCCTTCTGACTACCGCTAACACGGCGTTACGCACTGAGCCCGTCGACCTGCTTGTTTCTGCACTGCAACAGTCTTTCGCGAAGTCATTTTCTGACCGTGCAATGCCTACCATTTTCACCGAGGGCCACGGGCGAGAACCCTGGGATGCTTCAATCGATCTCTCGGAGACTATCGGGTGGTTCACTACCTTCTACCCTATCCATCGCCGTTTGCGCCAGAATGAGAGCTTCAAACACACTGTGAAGCGTATCAAGGATGCGCGTCGCGCTGTCGCCGACAACGGATTCGCATACTTCACCCAGCGCCATTTCAGCACTGAGGCTCGCAAGGAATTCGCACACCACAGCCTGATGGAAATCTGCTTTAACTACTTGGGCCAGGCGCAGCATACTGAGCGCGCAGATGCGCTGTTCCAGGAGGAGCCACTACTAGCAGGCGAGTCCCTCAAAAACATCGGCGACAAGATGGGCCGGCTAGCAGTCTTTGATATCACGGCCGCTGTCTCCCAGGGGCGTCTGACGGTATCGTTTTTCTTCAATCGCGCCATCGAACATCAAGAGCGAATCCGTCAATGGGTGCAGTGCTGCGAGACAGAGCTTCATTCTGCCGTAAATGAGCTCGCAGCCAGCGGTGTGGAGTACACCCTCAGCGACTTCCCGCTTCTACAAATCGATTACCAAGACCTAACGACGCTAACCACCGCGACCCTACCTGCCATTGGTCTCTCACTCACAGCAATCGAGGATATTTATCCTTGCTCGCCTATACAAGAGGGTATTCTCATCAGCCAGGCTCGACAGCCCGGAACCTACGAGGTACGCCAGCTTTTTAAAATCGTACCGCGCGTCGATATTGGCCCCGTGGATATTCCTCGCTTGCTGCAGGCCTGGCAGCGCACTGTAGATCGCCATGCTTTGCTTCGTACCATTTTCATTGAGTCCGTGACTGGCCCTGGAGTCTACGACCAGCTGGTCCTCCGCACCCACGCACCGGAGGTGCGGCGGCTGTCTACAAAGACACCGAGGATGATGATGTGGCTGCGTTCGTTCGGCGCCAAGCTGCCCCGGATTACCGACAGCCAGTTCCCGCGCATCGCCTGACCATATGTGAAGCCCCCGGGGCGATATACTGCCAATTAGAGGTCAGCCATGCGCTCATCGATGGCACTTCCATGGCGCTTCTGGTCCGCGACCTGGTGTCGGCTTATGAGAACAACATGCCTCCTGCTCCGGGGCCGCTCTACAGTGATTATATGGCCTATATTGCGTCGAGACCCCAGGGAGACGCCCTAGCGTACTGGACTTCGCGACTGGCTGAAGTGGAGCCCTGCCACTTCCCCGAATTAAATTCGAGCATATTGACCAAGGCGGCCTTCCAGTCACAGACAATTAACATCGACGCAGATGGCCAGCTACAACGGTTCTGTGAGTCCAATGATCTCACTTTGAGCAACCTATTCCAGGCTGCTTGGGGTCTCGTGTTGCGTGCCTACACAGGCAGGTCGGATGTCTGCTTCGGATACATGGCGTCCGGACGTGACATTCCAATGGATGGCATATACGAGGCAATCGGGCCTTTCATCAATCTCCTAGTATGCCAACTGCATGTCGGCGATGCGGTGTCGGTACACGATTTGCTTCAGGCGGTTCAGTCCGATTACTTGAACAGTTTGCCACATCAGCAAACCTCCCTGGCCTCCATACAACACGCCCTTGGGAAAAATGAGGTGGCGTTGTTCAACACCATTTTGTCACTTCAGCGCGAGCCAGCTCAGGGTCCACCTCCACAGGTAGAGTTTGAAATTGTCGACCAGACCGATCCAACAGAAGTAAGTTGGTTCTGTTTCCTAGGTCTCCCACATCTCCTACGGCCTTCATCCCCCGCCTTACCCCTTTCTGCGCTAACCACTGTCTACTCTGTTAGTATGACGTCGATATCAACATAACCACTAGTGATGAATTGGGTGTAGAGATCCACCTGACCTACCGGACGGCCCTTCTTAACGAGGCTCAGGCCGACAGCCTGCTGCAGACCTTCACTCACGTCCTGTTGGCCATGGCTACTAGGTCGAACCGGCTGGTCTCGAATTTGGATGTCTCTTCCCCGGTGCTTGACGCCCCTTCACAGATAATCCCCCAACCTGCGCCGGCGGTGGTCGACGCCTCCGTGTCGGAGCTGATCGCCAAACACGCCGAGCAAAATCCTATGTCGATCGCCGTGCAATCCGCAGATGGTCAGGTAACGCTCACCTATTCTGATCTCAATCTCAGGGCAAGCGCCCTGGCCGGTCACCTGCGGAACCTGGCAGTCAAGCCGGGTGACATAGTGCTTCTCAGCTTCCCCCGTTCACCCTGGGCCATGCTGGCCATGCTAGCGGTGCTTCGGACAGGTGCGACCTGGCTCGCTCTGGATCCTCTGGAAATTGCTCATTCTCTGAGGGAGACCTTATCTGTGGTGCGATCGAGCGTGGTTCTGTGCGCCGCGGACCACGCCGCCAGGTTTGATGAGACAGCACTCACTCCAGTTATCGTCGATGCGGCAGCGATAGACCAGGTAGATGCTGCCTCTGCAGTTTCCCAGCATTTTAGCTGTGTGTCTCCTACTGCTGCTGCGTTAGCCCTTAAGGACGGTGCCGACTGGGCTCTCCTGGCGCATCGCACTATCAGTACAGTTGCTTCGCAGCTCGGGCCCCTGGCTGGACTCGGTCCCGACGCTCGGGTGTTGCAATTCAACCCTGTAAATACGCCTTTCTATCTGGTGGAGACGCTGTATCCCCTGATCAACGGTGGTACGGTTGTCACTCCGGCTGAGGGTGCTAGCTTCACCGAGGCTATGCGCGATTCTCAAGCCAATTGGGCCATGATTACTCCAACTGTGGCTGCCCTCACCTACCCAGCTCAACTCCCGCACCTGCAAACTTTAGTGGTGGCTGGAGAAGACGTTGCACCAGCTTTGCTCAACAAGTGGCGCGATATAAAGCTGATCCACCCGGGCGGATCGACACATTTCCCCGTCTGGCTATCGCTATCACAGTCTCCAGCCAACAGCGTTTCTCTGCAACCATTGTCAGAGCCGCACCTCGCGCGGTTCTGGATCCGTTCCCCATTCAGCCACACAGCGCTGGCGTCGACAGACTGCGTAGGAGAGGTGCTGGTAGATGGACCGATGGTTCCCCAAAGCTATCTCCGAAACCCCAAGAACAGAATCATGGAGGGAGCCTCGTGGCTGCCTGGCAAGACCTTGTATTGTACAGGCGATCTTGGTCGTTGGACAGCCGACCAGCAGCTGTCCGTTGTCCGGTCTTCCCGGTCTATCCCCGGGCACGCTACAAGTCTTGTTTCGCTGGAGCATCTAGTACAAGCAGCTCTGCCGGCTACACAGCACTCAGTGCTTTCTATTATTCATTGCGGATCATGCGAGCAGGTGGCCTTGTTCCATGTTGATTGCAGCCAACAAATTCAGATGGCCCCCGCCCTGTTGCCGATGTCAGACGCACTGCAGCAGCAGTTCCAAGATTTAAAGGCATCGCTCCGAGAACATGTTCCTGAGGCTTTGCTACCCATATTTTTCTTCCCTCTCAGCAGCGTCCCTCTGACAGCGGACCACGATCTCGATCGCACGGGCCTGAGACCAACTGGTGGCCACCCTCCCGGAGCTAGCACTGCAGTCTTATCGTCTGCTCTCCGCAACAACAGCTGCCCGTCTCACGGCCAACGAGCAGCTGCTCGCTGACCTATGGGCGGAAGTCTTGCACCTGCCTGATCGTGGCACTCTTCGTCCCACTGACAGCTTCTTCCGCTTGGGGGAGGATTCCATCGGAGCTATGCGAATCATTTCCCTCGCCCGTAACCAAGGACTGGTGCTGACGATGAACGGGATCTTCCAGCGGCCCACGTTGGCTGATATGGCTCAGGAGCTACGCTTGCTGGCACCGCACGAGGATCGGCCACTGGAGCCATTTTCGCTGCTGCCCACTTCGATAGAATCTGAACTACTGGTCACTGAGGCCGCGCAGAAATGCAAAGTCGATCCCGCAACCATTGAAGATGTATACCCGTGCACACCGCTCCAGGAGGGTCTCATGGTCCTTACCAGCCAAGACCCTACTGCTTATGTGGTCCAGGAGGTTTTCCATCTGCCGGAAAGCGTCGACATAGCGCGGTTCCAGGCAGCCTGGGCGGCGGTCATCGCGCGCAGCACCATTCTGCGAACCCGCATCATTGTCACCGCCGAAGGTACCTTCCAGGTCTTGCTGCAGAAGCCCATCACCTGGGCTTCCGGGTCTGACCTGCCAACATATCTAGGTCGGGACGCAATTGAGTCCATGACCTATGGCCAGCCCCTGGTACGTTTTGCGCTCTTAGAGACTCCGGAGCAGCGATACTTTGTCTGGACAGCGCATCACGCCGTTTACGACGGGCTTACCATGCCAACCTTGGCCAGACAAGTCTCTGCGGAATATAACCAAGAAATTTATTTGCCTGAAGTGCCCTACAATCGCTTCATTAACTACATACAAGGCATTAATCCGGCCGCGGCCACTGAATTCTGGATGGCTCAGTGTTCAACTCCCGCGGCATTCTTCCCCGTCCTCCCGACGCGCTCCTTCCAGGCCTCTCCAGATCAAATCCAGATACACTCTGTCCCAGTGAGCCGCAGCCCGTCTGATATCACTCTGTCAACCGTTCTACGGGCGGCCTGGGCCATTGTTTTGGCGCATCGAACAGACTCGGAGCATGTCAGCTTCGGAGTGACACTCTCTGGACGGAACGCCGCGCTGGCCGGCATCAATCAGGTGCTGGGTCCAACAATCGCCACGATCCCTGTCCATATCCAAGTGTGTGAGGGTCAGTCGCCGTTCCAATTCCTACAGGCTGTCCATCAGCAGTCTATCAAGACGATTCCCTTCGAGCATACCGGGTTGCAGAACATTCGACGAATGGGCGATCAGGCCCGTGAGGCCGTTGACTTCCAAAATTTGCTTCTCATTCAACCTGGCACTACGCCGATAGATGAATCCGACTTCTTGGGCCTGACGCCTATCGAGCTAGAGAGCCACCAAGCCGACCCATACCCCCTCACGTTGGAATGTAATTTGTTCGAGAACCGCGTGGAGATCAAGGCTCAATTCGATAGCCGTCTCATTACCGAGAGCGAAATGAGCACTATCCTCAAACACTACGCGCGCGCTATTGAGCGCCTCCAGGCTGTGCAGGACACAACCACGGACGACGCCACAGAAGATACGTTGGACCCGTTGGGCACCCTCAGCCCCGAAGATCACCAGCAGATCTTGACCTGGAACGCCGATCGCCCTCTTTTCGTCGACTCGTGCGTGCACGAACAGTTTGAGGAAAAGGTGCTCTTACAACCCGATGCTCCCGCCGTCTCTTCGTTCGATGTCGAGCTCACTTATCGCGAACTAAATGTTCTCGTGGATAAGCTAGCGACAGAGCTACTTGCACGCGGCGTCAAGCCGGAGATGAACGTCCCTCTGTGCTTCAGCAAGTGCTCCTGGACTATAGTCGCCATGTTCGCCGTCATGAAGGTCGGGGGAGTGGGTTGCATGCTCAACCCGGAGCATCCCAGCAGCCGAATTCAGTTACTACTCAACGACCTCAATTCTAATTTGGTACTGTGCAGCCCAGAGTCTGCGGCAATGTTATCATTGCTGCTGCCACCTGGGGGTGTCCTCCCGGTGGATGGCACCTACCTACAGACGCTGCCACCGCGTGCGCCTCTGGGACTCCGAGTCCAGCCACAAAACGCGGTCTTTGTGGTGTACACGTCCGGCAGTACTGGCAAGCCAAAGGGCAGCATCCTTGAGCACCGTTCGCTGGTTACTGGCCTACGGGCCCACTGTACGGCCATGGGTATTGGTCCGGGCACACGCACCTTCCAGTTCGCTGCCTACACCTTCGACGTTTGCTTCGAGGAGATCATCGGCTCTTTGATGCTGGGAGCCTGTGTTTGTGTGCCCAGCGAGACAGAGCGCATGAATGCTCTGGCTGATGCGATGGCCCGATACCGGGTAACCTGGACGGAACTGACGCCCACTGTCGCCAGCCTGCTGCTACCCAGCAGCATTCCAACGCTGCAGACGCTGGCACTCAGCGGCGAATCACTCACTAAAGAGGTCATTCAGCGCTGGGCCGACGCAGTAAAGATCATTAACACGTACGGACCCAGTGAATGCTGCGTCTCGAGTACCTGTAATGTCCATACTGCCACCCTGCGTGATCCAAGCAACATCGGTCGCGGCCTGGGCTGCACCACCTGGATTGTTGATCCGGAAAATATCGACCGTTTGGTGCCTATTGGTACCGCTGGCGAATTGCTCATTGAGGGCCCTATTGTTGCCCGAGGCTACCTGAACGAGCCCGAAAAAACGGCAGCCGCCTTCATCACGGCGCCGGCCTGGTGGCCTGAGTCCTACCAGTGTGGTCGCATCTACCGCACCGGCGACTTGGTAAGATACAATGCCGACGGCACAATCAAGTTCCTGGGCCGCAAAGACACACAGGTCAAACTGCATGGCCAGCGTATCGAGCTGGGCGAGATCGAGCACCGCATCCGCAGCGCGTTTGCGGATGCTTCCCACCAGGTGGCAGTAGAAGTTTTGACTCCCACCGCGCGGAATAAACTCAAGGTCCTAACCGCATTCATCTGTGAAAGTGATGCGGTCTCGGAGGATGTTGAACATCTCTTGCTGCCACTTGAGGATGGACGGCCGCAACGCTTCCTTGCGCTGCAGGCTCGTCTACTTGCGGACCTACCACGCCATATGGTGCCGCAATTATTCATTCCCGTCTCCCACATGCCGCTATCGCCGGCGCGTAAGCTGGAACGCAAGAGCTTGCGTGCTGTCGGCAACGGGCTTACCCACGAGCAGCTAGCCGCATATGCCCTCACGCAGGTGGCGAAGACGGCGCCTACAACAGCAATGGAGAAGGCGCTTGCCGATATTTGGGCTCAAGTCCTAGGTACCAGTGTCAGTGGCGTCGAGGAGCACTTCTTCCACCTAGGGTGGAGACTCCATTGCCGCAATGAAAGCTGTTGCGATAGCCACCAAGGCAGGCTTGCCACTTAGTGTCGCCGACATCATGCAATTCCCGACGCTAGGTGCCATAGCCGCGGCGATGGATCGCGCCTCCATTGTGTGTGGGCTGGAGGAGACGACACCGGCACCCTTGAGCCTGGTTCCTGCTGGCCGCCTCTCCGAGGTGTTGGCCGAAGCGACGGCGCAATGCGCAGTGGCGGCCGACGCAATTGAAGACATATACCCATGCACTCCCTCACAAGAGGCACTAATGGCGCTAACCGCACGCGACGAAACTGCGTATGTGTCTCGTGCTGTCTACCGGCTGCCGCTTAATCTTGATTTAGACAGATACCGGCAGGCATGGGAGGTACTCGCTCGCCGCCAGGCTATCATGCGCACGCGAATAATTTATTCAAATGCCATGGGCCAGTCATTCCAGGTCGTAGTGCATGAAGACCTGGTGTGGCAATCCGGCGACTCGGTCCCGACATATCTCGCCGCCGACAAACTCACACCTATGCATATTGGCCAAGCCCTCATGCGCTTTGCTATCCTTGCCGGTACCATTGAGGATCCTCGGTCCTCACTTGTATATACGGCCCATCACGCCGTCTACGATGGTTGGAGTGAAGCCGCCATGTTTGACGAAGCCGAGGCCATCTACCGCCATGGCCTGTCTGCCTTGCCAACAGTCGTGCCATACAACAAATTCATTCATTATCTCACCACTATTGATGCCGCCGCGAGCGATCAATTCTGGCGAACACAGCTCGACGGCGATTTACCTGCTCCATTCCCCCCTGCTCCCCCTGCTACGGCGGCCTCAGCCCTGACTTCCCGCCCCAACCGCTCGCAGTCTCACGCATTTTCCATTCCTTCAAAGTCCCTCTTCCCCTACACTACTCCCACTATCCTCAAAGCCGCCTGGGCTCTTCTGCTGGAGCGCTACACCACCTCTCAAGATGTGATCTTCGGCCATGTGCTGTCAGGCCGTACAGTACCACTCCGGGGCGTTGCCGACATGATGGGCCCGACCATATCCACGGTTCCGGTCCGCGTACGCTTAGCCAAGGATGAAAGCACAGATTCCTTCCTGCGTAAAATGCATGAGCAGGCCCAGGCCATGGCGCCCTTCGAACAAATCGGGCTACAGCACATCCGCCGGCTGCTTCCCGCCGCGGAGTCAATCGACGTCGGCCACCTCTTCTTCATACAACCCCAGCTTGACACGCCAACTGAGGGCCTTGGCCTTGAGCCTTTGATAGACGATGACTTCGACTTTGAGACTTACCCATTGATTGTGGAATGCCAGCTAGCCACGGCCAACGGTCTCAATGTTTTGGTGAAACATGATGATGCCCGCATCGCCCCAGCCCAGATGACCTGGCTCTTGCAGCACTTTGAGCATCTGGTTCATCAATTGTGTCAGCAGCCGCGCACTACAGCACTTTCCGATCTCGCGTTGACAGGGTCTTCTGACTTGGTGCAGCTGCAACAATGGATGGGACCCCCCGTGGCGCCGGTGGCCACCACACTACACGATCAATTCCAGGCCCTGGCGCGTGCCCATCCGGAGCGTTGTGCCATCGACGCTTGGGATGGCCAGCTCACTTACGGTGAGCTCGACCGTCTCTCATTGGAATTTGCGCAAGAACTCATCGGCCTCGGTTTCGCGCCGGGCCAAACTGTTGGCTTGACGTTCGACAAATCCCGCTGGGCCATTGTGGCTCTTCTAGCCGTGCTCCGGGCCGGCGGAGCGTGCGTCCATCTTGATCCCCAGCATCCGCCTGCGAGGCTCCTGGAGATTGCCACAGATGTCGGGTTGGCCTTCATCCTGACCGCGCCGCAGCATGCCCATCTGGGAACCATGCTAGCAGTACGCCACGTGCTCGTCGTGGATGCCATCACTGCGTCCAAGGCTTCTAGCACCTCTAACAAAGCCCAGCGGCTGCCTGTTGTCGATCTCATGTCGCCGGCCTATCTGACTTTCACCTCAGGCAGTACAGGCAAGCCCAAGTCAGTGGTGATTGACCACCGCGCCATTCATACAAGCATTGTTGCATTTAGCCCGGTACTGCACCTGACACCTGACTCACGGGTGCTGCAATTCGCCGCGTATACCTTCGACATCAGCTACGCCGAGATCTTCGCGCCGTTGGTTATTGGTGCGACTGTCTGTGTGCTGTCGGAGCACGATCGTCTGAACGACTTGGCCGGTGCCATCAATCGGCTCGGTGTCAACTGGGCCTGTCTCACGCCTACCGTCGCCAGACTCGTGGAACCTGTGACTGTGGCCTCGCTACAGACGCTCGTTCTCAGTGGTGAGTGTCCCACCGAAGACAATCTGCGCACCTGGGTCGGCAAGGTTCCCACCCTTATCAACGCCTATGGCCCCAGTGAAGCCTCAGTCTGGTGCGCCGTCGGTCCTTTCACGCGAGTTGATGATTCCTTTGCCAACATTGGCCGGCCTGTCGGTTGTCGCCTGTGGATCGCCGAACCTGACAACCTGAACCGGTTGACGCCACTGGGCTGTGTGGGCGAGCTGCTCGTCGAGGGGCCCATCCTTTCCAAAGGATACCTGAATAACGAGCAGGCCAGCAGCACTGCATTTTGCCAGGATCTCGCCTGGATGCCAGAGATGCACTTCCGGGCTGATTGCCCGCTTGTTTATCGTACCGGCGACCTGGCCCGCTACCTACCCGATGGTAGAATTGAATACCTCGGCCGCAAAGATACCCAGGTCAAGGTCTACGGCCGTCGCATTGAACCGAACGAAATCGAGCATCATATCCGCACGCATCTGCATGATTACTATGCCATGGTGGACAGCGTGACCCTCGCCAGCCGCAACGACCAGAAGGTACTAGTGGCGTACGTCTACCAGGAGTCTGGTCGAATCCCCGACATGGATCTCGCGGCAATCGCCCGGCCCCTGTCGCTGGAACTTCGGCAAACACTCACTCGCATGCAAACAGCGCTGCGCGCACAGCTGCCATCCTACATGCTACCGACCCTCTTCATCCCCCTGCAGCTCATGCCCACTAATGCGGCTGGGAAGATCGATCGCAAGCTGCTCTCCCGTGCCGTGAAAACGTTCACGGACGCTCAGCTCGAGGAATATTCTCTACTGGTCCGCGCTGCGAAGCGCCCGCTCGAGACCCCGCTGGAGCACCGGCTGGCCGGGCTCTGGGCTGAAGTTCTCGCTGTCGACGCCGCCGCCATTAGCCCACATGACACCTTCTTCGGCCTCGGTGGAGATTCGATCATGGCCATGAAGCTGGCTAGTCTCGCTCGCAGTACTCAGCTCAGTTTGACCGTGGCTGATATTTTCAATCACCCAATCCTGGCCGACCTGGCAGCCTATATAACTACCCAAATGCCACCCACCCCGGGGGCAGAAACCCCTCCACTGGCGCCCAAGTCGACGACAGCGCCAGCTCCCGTGCTGAACCTCGCGCTGGTCGAGGCGCTAGCACCCCGGGTGGGCGTCGATCCTAGTGCCATCGCGGCTATCGAGCCCACAACTGACTTCCAGGATCTCGCGCTGGTCGGCCATCTGAGCAAGTCACGCTGGATGCTGAACTGGTTCTACTTCGATGGAACCGGCGCTGCTGATATCAAACGCCTCCGCCAGGGCTGTTACTCACTAGTCCAGCACTTCGACATCCTCCGTACAATCTTCGCCCACCACGCCGGTCAATTCTGGCAGGTGGTGCTCCACGAGTTGCAACCCTCCTTCCGCGTCGAAACAACTGCCAATCCCGTAGACTTTGCTCAAAGCCTGTACAATAATGGCATTTTCAATGACTTCCAGATGTCAAAGCCCTTTGTGCAGTTTGTGCTGGCCGTGCATCCTGACGGGCAGTCTCACCGGCTACTGATGCGCCTGTCACACGCGCAATACGACGGAGTGTCCCTGCCGACACTCTGGGAATCCCTCCAGCGCGCTTGCCAGGGCCATGCTCTTCCTGCGACACCCTCCTTCGCGCAATTTCTCCAAGCGACTTCGCCCGCTGACCTCACCGCCGCGCGCTCGTACTGGCGTACGCTCCTAGCTGATGCGCCGGAGACCCGCTTCGTGGCACACTCCAAGCCGGCCCTACGCGATGATTCCCACGAGTGCGTCCTCCATGTCACTCGAAGCCGCATTCCTGTCAACTCGCTGTCTCAATATGGCATCACGGCGGCCACGGTCCTGAAATCCGCTTGGGCGGTGCTGCTGGCACGTCTAGCTGCTTCTTCTGACGTTGTCTTCGGCCACACTGTCGCCAATCGCTCCGCCGCGACAGTTGACAACATTGATACCGTCGTCGGACCGTGTTTAAATGTGGTTCCGGTGCGCGCACGCCTTCAGCCAGGGCAAACAGTGCTGGAACTTCTGCTCGCACAGCAGCAACAGCAAGTTGCAAACTTGCCACGCGAGTCCCTTGGCTTCCGGCAGATCATCCGTGACTGCACGGACTGGCCATCCTGGACGCACTTCAGCAGCGTGGTGCAGCATCAAAATATTGAACCCGACCGCGCAGTGCTGCCAGGCCAAGACCAAGAGACCCTCTACGAACCTGGCTTTCTGGGGGCTGACCTCGACCTGACAGATGTTTCGGTTTTGTCGACCCCGGTGGATGATGGCTACGTTGACCTGGACCTACTCACTTCATCAGCGATCATGTCGCCATTCGCAGCGGAGCTGTTAATCGACCAACTCAGCGGCCTGTTGCGATCGTGGGCAGTGGCCCCAGTCGAACGTACGCTGGCTTACGAAAAGGAGACGTGCCACGCATTGCTGCCCCTGCCACATAAGGAGGTGCTTGCAGTCGACGGTGCAATGAAGAGCCCTCAGCCGACCTCGGACTCGAACGTCCGAGCAGCGGTGCTGGAGGCGTGGCGCACTGTCCTTCCCATCGGTCTTCAAACCGATGAAGGAAATGTGGACTTCTTCGAGGCGAGCGGAGATCTGGTGAATATGGCTCAGCTTGTAAGCGAGCTGCACGCCCACGGTGTCGGGGCTGGTGTGCGCCTGGAGACGCTTGTACAGCATTCTTCCCTGGATGCCATGGTCCAAGTGCTCCTGTAGTCGCATATTGAGCTGTGCTTTTGCATTGGGTACGTTATCATTGTCGTGAATTAATCTGTTACTCGTTCTTGTTGATTGCCTTGTTACTGCTCTGAAATATGTCTTCTTCATTTTCAGTCGCAGTTTGTTTTGTATATATTTCATTTTTGAATTAAAATTATCGAATCCTCTTTGTTTCATGCATTTTCAACCTGTAGACTATCTCAAATGTGCTTATTTTCCCTTTTCTCATGGGCCTGAGAACACTTTTCGAAGACTTTCCGGATGAGACCGGCTACGGATTCTGTCAGGACGACCTAGTAAAAGCCGAAGGCAATGACCATTGTGAAGTTGCCGCTCCTGGACAATTCAAGCATCGGGCTTAGGGAAGGGTTCGAAATTCTTCCGGGCTATCAGTGTCCCTTGAGAAGTGGAAGCTGCCTCACTCTATCAGTGTATCGGCTCAGGCTGAGCCGCTAAAAGGACCCAACGCCAGCTAACTCCATCCCCTTTCCCTTTCTCACCAGGTGATCATAATAGCAAGGCATCTAAAAAAACATCCCGATAGCAAAAAAGAATACCAAAGAGAAAATCATGAATTGGGATTTTACGCAGGTGGAAGACACCTACCTCTATGTAGAATCTTTTTTTTCCCACGAGACGCAAACCCTAATCTAGCCTCTGCGCAAATCGCATCTCATTTCTCCCGAAATCATGTACCGACACGACGTTTTTCAAGAATGGCACGCCTAGGATATTCAACACAATGTCCTCATACGCCACAGTCTCTGATGCCACTAAGCTTGACACACAATACCCATCGCCAGTTTGATAGATGAGATCCTGTCCATCATGGTAGAACGTCTGGCCCCCAATATTGACCCCAAAAATAGGGGCTTGCGCATCACAGTCGACAACGGACACTCCCAAGGCATGGTTATAGATGGCTGGCGGGTCGAACAAGGCGTTAATGGGATCTACAACTGCAGCTGGCAGATAACTGAACTCGTTACCGGTATCTGTGAAGGCCTGGAATGCCACATCGTACGTGTTCATAGTCTCCGCGGTTGAGGTGTGATCTCCCCGGGGTTTCGATCCAAATGTCACGCCAGACACGAGAATAGCCCAATAGGATCGGGTACGTTTGCCAGAGGTAAACATGGGCGGAATGGTGTCGAGAATCTCCACCGGAACCGTGGAGAATTTTGAGTCATAGGCCACTGGAGGAAGATCGCCTAGGGTGAGGTAGCCACCGAAGGTTAGGGTGGAGATGTTGCGCGGCGTGTGCGCGAGGGCAATACTGAAGAAGGGCTCTGCGACGAGCCCTCGCTCGTACATGGTGTTGAAAAGGGGGCTGTAAACTTTCCGATCGAACCAGAATGTCGAGTTGTCCGTATGGTTCCATGGGTGCGCGGAGGTGATGGAGGGGTAAGCGAGGCCCAAGACGCCGCTGTTGATACCGTCGCCCATCGGAGTGCTGTGGTCGGCGATTCCAACGGCTTGCGCGGGAACAGTGATGCCAGCTAAAGAGACATCCTCGTACGCCATGGCCCCGCAGGCAATGCCATTGCCATACTTCACGCCAAACGTCTGATCGGGGATAACACGGTAGGTGCTCGACGGGTTGTACGTCTGGGGAGCGTACCCACAGTCTGCTTCCGCGATCTCGAGATTGGTCGTCTCGTTGATGCAGGCGAAGCCATTCCTGACCACATATGTGTCACTGCTGCCGGTGTCCACAAGAAGCTTGAATGTCTGATTGCCGACATTCACGTCGACGTTAAAGGTCGTGCCATATTGCGCAGAGAGCAGCGAAGCGGTATTGCGGGATGCTGGGTGGAATGTCAGCGGAAGCGTCAATTGGACCTCTGCGACGAGTGACGAAAGCTTCATCTCAAGCGCAGCAAGACTGATCAACCGGGGATGAAATTGCCATGCCAAATTGAGGGGGGCTGACAGCTTGGCTTATACGAATCGGCCTAAATGGAGTTGCCTACTTAAGCTAGCTCCGCCTAATGTAATCCAGCGCCAACTCCGCCTAGAACTACAACTCTCTGCGAATTCGTACATCTTTTTTCAGCTATCCACCACCTTTGAACAATTTCGGGGTTTATTAGCCATTGTGACAATACCGATTTCATTTAGTTCTTGTCTAAATTCAGTTACTATAACTTCTTGGCATCGTCTCGAGAGTAATATTCCTTCAGAAAATCCGGAATGATTGTAACCCAGCCTTTGACGGTCCCTAATCCATGGCCCCATATCAAGTGGAACCTCAAAATGATAATCAGGGCTATTATTAATTATTGGTAAAAGGAAATCAAAAACGAATTTTCAATCACTTGATTGGAACCCGATATGTACTTGATTCAACTGCAGCATCGGCTCAAGCCCCAGAGCCAGCAAATACAGCCAGTGACGTCCCAATTAGTACTATTGGTTCTTCATGTAATCAATTATGAGAACTTTCAAAACCAACAGTCTGTGCAATAGTCATTAAATAGCCCTTGGGTTGACTAGAAATTGCTCTCAGGGCTTTGAACGAAGCAGGTGTTTCGCCTTTGTTTCAATTCTTATATGCCAAGGAACGAGAATAAGCTCCATCTTGGCGGCCGTATCCTCATCCCGCTAGCCCGACGAAGCTATAGGACTTTCGAGAAACGCTTTCGTAAGCTACGGAACTTTATGGACTCAACTTAACCGTGTCTCCCTCATCGTCACTTTCCAATAAGGCCTATAGGTGAAGTTATTTTGCAATTCACAGGATGTTGAATGAAGAAGGATGGCTCATCTCTTCATCTTTGGCCAATGATATCAGTTAAACACCGTAGGCTACTTGTCCAAAGATAAGTGAGGTTCCATTGGTTCTTGATTCTCAGACTATCTTCATCACCGCCATAAATCTTTGCATGCGGGTCAGAGAGTTGGCCCCCGTCACCCACTCTCTTCACCAAGGATTTGTCGTTGTCATACTCATTTAGATTGTTAATTTCAAATCTTAGAAGTGCCCACCAAATCAAATCCGTGGTCATGAGCCATGATTGTGATGAAGGCAAATTATAACTTCTTTTACTATAGAAGGCTCTCTGCCTGTAAACGTTTACTTCCATCTTTCCTGCGACCTATAAATAAGCGTGAGATTTCCTTCGCTTCTACCGCGACCACTGTATGTACCTGACAATGGGCCCACCGACAAGCATCGGATTGGGCTCTTCTTATCTGCGGGGACAGTGCGGGGCATGCATCCTCAAGTCGCTCCCAATGTCCAAGATTCCCCTGACCAAAGCGTTGATTAGATTAGGACGCCGCCCCTCTGATGATTCACAGTGCGGTAAAGGACAATAATAGTTTACTTACCTTGTTGACAAACCACGCCATTTTTATACACATATTGTTCCGCCTCTGTGGATTCTGTCGCAGCCGATAATCGGAGAGGACATCCAGAAGACCTGTACACAGTTGACCAGACTCTCGCTGGTCACTGGTCACCATACTAGTTTCCGACGTATCCCTGACAAGTTACCACCTATCGCACTACTGATCCTTACTGTCGAGGTAAGTGACCCCCACCACTGCATATTAATAGACGATCTCGTACGACGATCTCGTACACTAACACCTACCAGCTTGGCGAACGGTTTACTTACTTTGGCCTCAGTGGTCCAATGCAAAACTCCATCGCTTGTGTCGAGTCGACGTTCACCAATGAGTAATTACGTAAAGGGAATTCGTCCAACTTGTATTCAATATCTAGCAATCCCTATGATCCAGAGTCATATCTTCCCGGTGCGCTAGGCAAAGGGCAAGCAATCGCCTCCGCGCTCGGGAACTTTTTTAAATTCTGGGCTTATGCCTCCACCATCATCGGCGCAATTATTGCAGGTACAATCTAAATGTTTACGAAGCAGCTTGCAGCATTTTGGTTGATTATACAACCAGATCAATAGGTCCGCAAATTCAAAGCCATAACAATCTCTCTAGGAATTAACATTATTGGATTGACCATCTTGATTGCCACCGCAACGCCAGCCGGACTTCAGAGTAATGCTAGTTTCGGTGGCTTGATTGCTGCAATGGTCATTATTCGCTTGGGAACAGGTGGAATCAAGGCCAACGTGACTCCCATGTGTGCTGAACAATATCAAAAATGCACAACCGGTTCTGAAGACGCTCAAATCAGGCGAGCGGGTGATTATCGATCCTGAATTAACCGTGCCGCGACTTTTTATGTGGTTCTACTGGGTCGTCAATGTCTGATTACAGTCAATGTGGAAGCGAAGAAGTCTTTCTGGCTTGCATATTTGCTTCCATTGATGTAAGTTGGGAAGAAGCCATTCAATTTTCCCACATGCTCATGGCCGGTAGCGCAAAATTTCTCTCAGCTATCATCTTCTTATCCGACCAGAAGCGATATGTCAAGGTTCCTCCACAGGGGTCCGCTATTATCGATGCATGCAAGGTCTTGAATATTGTTCGAGAGGAACATAGTTTCGAAAACGCAAAGCCATCTGATCTGGAGGCTGCAGATTGTTTGAGCAAGTATCCATTTGCCTCTTCACCGCGCTATACGGATCAGTACGTCTCAGACGTCCGTCGAGGCCTCAGAAGCTGCGGGGTAAGGCAACCCTCAGTATTTCCACAGTATTTCCACAGGCCATGCTTATAATTACAGATTTTTTTATTCCTTCCATTCTATTTCGTTTGTTGGGTTCAGATTTGGAACAATCTTATTTCACAAGCTGGCCAAATAGCATTACACGGAACGCCAAATGACTTTCTGCAGAACCTAGATCCGATCGCCTTGTGTAATTTTATTCCACTTCTTGACTGTGAGTCCCAACCTGATAATATCGACAAAATGTCTACTCACGCTTGTACTTCCAGTGGGCCTTTATCCATTCCTTCGCAAGTTGAAAATCAACTTCAGTCCAGTCTGTCGTATACCTTCACCGAATTCCTGCTAGTCTCGATCTCCATGGCCTATGCCAGCGTGTTACAGCATTACATGTATATCTCTCCTGCAAACAGAAATACACGTCTGAATTCAAGCTCCTGCGTATATCCTTGTGGCTATCTCCGAAGCTTTTGTCATTGTGACAGGCTTGGAACTTGCCTTCACGCAAGCCCCGAAAAAGTGAGTCAATCGTCGCCCAAAGGATTCCCAATCTGACGAGATTTTACATCAGTCTGAGATCTTTCATCTCTGCACTTTTCAGGCTCATGATCGGCATTGCGGCAGCAATCTGCATCGGTCTAAGCCCAGTATCTCAAGATCCGTATATTGTCTGGATGTATGGATCTCTGGCAATTGTGGGCTTCGTAGCGGGATGTCTATTTTACCTGTGCTTTAGAAAAAGCGACTCGCTTGATGTGGAAATTTCAAGATCCGTCGAATCGATTTCAGTAGAAGGGCATGGGGCACATGTTACCCAGGTTGCCGATGGTGGCAAATACAATAAACCATAGATGTCAGACTATTGGAGTAGCCTACATTATCGCAGTGTCATCGCCTCTCAGGTTTCACTTTCTTTCTCTTCGCATGGCGACCGCGCAAGCAGTAATGAGATACGCCATAGTTTTATGGCTTTTCTTTCTGCCTTTTCCTTGGATGTCTCTCATGTTCCGCGAATACACAGTTCAAGTCGAACGCCGTATCTGCGCCATAATAATCTAGCTTGGGCTTCTCTCCTCGCCGAGCCAAACATAATAAAGCAGCTTCCCAGGATCGACCTGTCTGACTGTCGAGTGCCCACCTGTTGACCCATATCTCCAACTATTCTCCCACGCTGTGCCCAGTCTGTCGACGCTGGCCCGTGTGTTCCAGCCCGTTTGTTGCTGAATTTCTCGTAGAATGCGGACGCATGCTGTCCGCTCTACATCTATCACAAGACACTGACCCGCGATAGTAAGGAGTTGGACTGCATTTGCCCATGCGATGGAGCATCGATTCGCCAGCGAGTTCGCGACAATCTGGCGTGCGTATGCCTGTGCTTGGCAAGTCACATTGGGGCTGGAGAGCACTGAGAGACGACTTTCCTGCAAGCAAGGCGTGCAGATAGTGAGAATGAGAAAGGCAGTATGCAGCATTTGCCACGCAGCGGACACGGGACCGTTCAGATAACGCACAGATCTGAAGGGATTTTCCTCTCCATTCGGAGGTAGAATGCTGAGAGGTGAGCATACAGCTGGCGCTTGGTTCTGGTGGCGCACCAGCTCAGCTTCGAGCTCCTTCCATCGAGCAGTGTGAAGTTGCACGGCATGCTCGTCGGTGTCATCAGGGGTGCGACTCCAGAAATCGTGGACCATCCCGAGCAGAAAAACGACCTTTTTTTGCCATAGTTCGAGCGTCCACGTACCTGGGTCAGGGAATTCACTTCCAGGTATCCATTTCATGGGATTTAATGCTATCGGCTTGCCGGAACAGAGAGATGCAAGAATGATCATCCTGCAGTAGATCCAGAATGACTGTATATGAATATTCAAGTTAGTCAAATTGATCATAGCATTAAGAACAAGACATACGGCCTGTGCCAAACCACCACTCGCGCCATGCCAACCATGTATCTTGAGAAGATCTCCGGTTCCCTTGAGGTGCAAGCCCCAATCCGTGGCCTTACTCTCAACCATCTCGCAGTGAGCTACTAGCAGACAGCTCGCAAAAACCGCAGGATCTGGCCCACTATTCTGTAGCCGCTTGGACAGCAGGTTGATAGCCGCGTTGTAGTATGTCAAAGCCTGTTCGTGATTCTGGTGATGTTGTTCGTTGGCGAGAGAGTACTGGCGGGCTGCAACGGCTACACAGGCTAGTAAGACAAGCTCATCATTCAAAGCGAGCTGCGGCACGATTGTCGAGAAGTATCGCGGTGCATCGTCGAACATGTCGAAGCGCGGACCGATGAAGTCGACGTATCGCCAGAGAAAGAAAGCGTCAGTTGGATCGGTGACAGGGGCCGTGTGATCTGATAGCGCTGGCCGTGGCGACAGCTGCTGGTCTGATAAGACGCTCGAGGCCTCGTCGCTCGCTTCTACGACCCGGTATAGATCGGAGACCTCTTTTGTTTCGTCCACAAAGGTCGCTATTTCTCCGAATGCGTTGAATTAGTGATTCGTTCCCGCCGTGAGAGCCACCGTCGGTGGGTACTGCTAACCTGGACCTTCTACTGGTTTTGAGAAGATGAAGTCCTCGAGCAAGCCCCTGGCGGGTGCTTTGAACTCGAGCGCAGTGAAGGTGACCATTTGACAAAGAGTGCACTCAATCCCTTGTCGCTTGCATAAAGCACAAGGCCGCGATTGATCGCACTTGACGTGGCTCTTGCGGCAGTGCTCACAGGCTTGATGTCAAACGTCAGCGTTCTTGTTATGAGAGACAACGATATCTCATATTTCAATGCCTACCTAGCTTGGATCTCGAGCTAGGCCCTCGAACTTGTTTCGAGAAAGCTTCCCGAAAGGGCGCCATTGCAGAGTGCTGGTGGCGTAGGTCTGCCAGGATACATGTGTTAGATATTACGAGCACAGATCAGTCTGGTAGTTGCCCGGAATTCATGCGTGCTTTCTTGAATCCACCTGGGACAGAAGTGAACCGAATGCATGGACCAGCATTCATACTTTGGCCCGTGCGAAAGACCAAAGGCGGGGTCGAGTTCAAGGCATGCAAAAAGTTGGGGTTAGCAATTGGGGTTCGGGTTCGGGTTCAATTGAATTGGAAACCGTGACAGTGGCTTACCAATCACCGCACTATTCCAATCTTCGCAATCAAGAAATTCATATGAATGGGATTTCTATTTGCACATGAAATGACCGTCATTTTCTTGTTTCGCCGTGTGTATGTCATTGCTCGGCTAGTGGCTCGGTGCATGCCGAGCATGTCTTCTTGAATGAGTGCTTCAGTAAGCAATACCTTGCATTTAGTATCCTCATCATGAAATACGGTCATGAATCTACTTTTATCCATAGTTGGCAGCATTTGCTCTATCTCTTCTCGGTATCCGCCCTTCTGAAAATTTCAAAGTGTCCAGTCCACGCAGAGTGAGTGGGTGATTACTATGACCTACACCTGCCACCCTTCTTCTCATGCTCCGATTTATGAGGCTGCTTTTGCTTTTGCCCGTTGGAGCGTTTCCTGATATAGACCGTCTCGGTTGATTCGGTCCTTAATTGTGTTTTTTCGACCCGCGTCTCCTGGTCCGTCTGGCAAACTGGGAACCCGTATGACGACATAGCAGCCCCTACTGGACCGAAACAAGGAGAACATGCTCTCAGTCCGACGACTTCATGTCGTGATCTAGTACTTCGGCGATAGTGGGATCTTCAGAAAGACCAAGAATTCTCCGGGCTTCCTCAATGGGGATATTGTACGGCATCGTTTTTTCTTTCTTGACCGGGTCACCGCCCGCAGCGAAGATGACATCCTGGAAGCCAAGTTATTAGCTGAATAGGTCTCTTCATCGACTGCAAAGTTCAATCTTCACTAGGATTTTTGGATGGTACTCACAAGCTCCTCGAGACTTCTTTTTCTAGTTTCAACCAGGAAGAAGTAGATGATAGGTACGAAGCTGGCGTTTAGGATGGCAAAAATGATGTACTAGAAAGCCGTCAGGTTAGCCACAGACCACAATACAGGAAGAAACCGGCATACCGTCTTCCATCCAATATTCTGGAAAGCAGGTGGGATGATCATGACCACCACAAAGCAGAACAGCCAGTTGCCGGCGCTCGCCATGGCATTAGCCTGGGCGCGGCATCGCAGGGGTGCAATCTCGGCACTGTACAAAAACGGTCCTCCGACCCAGGCGAGACCAAAAAAGGTGTTGAAAAGGAACAAAAACCCAACAGCAACCAATTGGCAGGTGCGCGAGTCTGTGCTTTGCAGCCCAGCAATGATGGCAAAGCAGCAGGACATGCCAACAGTAGTCCACAAGAAGGCCCGACGGCGCCCGAGACCCTCGATGAGCAGCACGGATAGAATCGAGCACAGAGCATACTCCAAACCACCCATGGCAGCGATGAGGTGCGATGTGCTGGCGCCGAGGCCGAACGACTCCTGCAGTATCTTATTGGCGTACGTCGAGACTAAATTAACACCTGATATTTGCTGCGCTGATTGCATGAAGACTCCAATGGCGACACGGTGGAAAGTCTTGGTCTTGCCCATTTCCAGCATTTCTCGGTAAGAGAACGGAGCCATTTCAACCTGCGCCTCAAACGAGGCGATGATTGCCTCACGTTCATACACAAGTTCGGGGTGGCTGACAGGCAAGCCGCGAAGCTTTGACAGGTTGTATGTGCCCTACAGAGACATTACATAGTCAGCGACGGGTCTCCACCATCCAGAGGGACGTGGGTATGGCAAGCAGAGCACGAGACATACCTCCTCAACCAGGCCGTGTTTGATCAGCCATCGGGGCGACTCAGGAAGAAAATTGATGAATATGAAGACGATCAAGGCTGGGACGAGCTGAATTCCCAAGGGTGTGCGCCATTGTGCTTGACCCTTTACAAAAAAGAAGCCATAACCAACGAGCTGGCCACAAGCAACGCCAAAAGTCTGTAAGCCGCCCTCAATCATGACTAGATCAAGTCAGCGATCCGGCTTTGGAATACGACTGGGACGGAGTAGTATTGCTTACCCCAACGCCCACGGCTATGCGCTTTCGCACACTCAGACTGCCATGACGGTACGGTGGCAACCTGCAAGCCGAGCCCGATGCCGCTGATCACACGACCCAATACCAGCTGAGAGATTACCCAGGCACTGGTCTGTAATGTCCCGCCGAGCAGCATAAAGAGCATGCCGAACCAAACCGTCAGACGACGACCGAGGCGGTCGCCAAGGTCCAAGCAGGCGAGGGCACCGACAAGGGCACCAAGTTCAAAGGAGGCGATGACGATGCCCTGGACATTGGCGTTTTTCATCTCAGGAAAAACTTCCAAGAAGGGTTTTTCGGTAATGAGACCACCCTGTATTTGTTCTTAGACCGAGTGTGCCATGGGGAGAAAGCTGAAGAAAGGTAGTGTACCATGATGCTCATGTCGTAGCCAAACAACCAAAATGCACATGCTGCAATACCGGCAACGAGGAAGTTGAGCTTCAGACCTGACGCACCCATGTGGGTTGTGTATTTGGTCAATGGGAAAACAGCCATTTTCGCGAAGTAGAGCGCGAACGTGGTCCGGGACTTGTCTTTTTGGTCTTGTTTCGAGGTAAATGCGATTGATTAAGATCTAAGACATTCCCTGTAGCAGCAACTAGAGACTCCCGACCTTTGACTTGAATATATAGGTTTTGAGCACAGCATTTGACGGGCGTAGTCAATCGCATGCCAAGGTCTGGGGATTGAAGTTTCAATGGCCCCAGGAAGGCACCTAGCTCCGAGGACCTTGCCCAACAAGCCAGAGTGGCGGCGACAACGACTCGCAAAGGACCTACTATATGGGGTTGAATATCGCGGAAGGCAGTCATCGCCGAGAGAAGATCGCCGTCCTTGGTGTGGGGAAGCCAAACTCGGGCGCAACTTGCGGTCCCTAAGTGTGTCGGGGTCGACTGCCTTCCGGGGACGACCCTCGTAGTGAACACCGCACGCTCGGCCCCCCGCACGTCCACAGTTCGGGGCTTTCTCCACTTGTCCAGATTGACTTTGATAATTTCCAAGGGTTTTTCAGAATCAAAGGACCCCGCAAGATGGGAATGGGAAATGCGGAGATGGCAGTGGGACATGACTCTGTCTGCGGAAGGCAACTGAGCCCGTACCGCTGTTGAGGGTGAGGTAGAACGGGATTTTTATCGTGGTTCTCCCAGCAAGATATATAAGTATGCCAAATATATTATTGTGTCCATTTGTTCCTTCGAAGCAGAATCTTTCGCTTCATGACCTGTAGCTCAAGTTGCGCATTGCCAGTACGCTCGACCACACGATGCCTTCCGCTTTAAACCAGTCTTACGGTAACCCGCTGTAAGTACCTCTTTCACTACTCGATACATCTCTTGTGCAAAGAACACTTCGTCGTTCAAAATGTTGTGATGATGTGGCTGAATCTCCAACAGATCTCTGAAGGTCATTGGCCACAATGCAGGGACGTCCATGGATGGAGTCGACCTCGTTCATGTTCACTTCACCCAGGATGGCCCAACAACGCCGCTAAAGACGCAGCTTCTGCACTATGGAGAATACCCAATGCCTAAAAAACTCAAGGCAAGAGTCATGAGGCTCATCAAGGAGAACACTACGACGCCCGAGGAATTAGCCATCGTCAACATCCAGCTGGGTGAAGTCATAAGCGACGCCGTCAATTGGTTTGCGCAGAAGAACAAGTTCAGCTTGGCCACGGACGTCGACTTGATCGGTGGCCAGGGCCAGACTATCTGGCACTTACCGTTGCCGGAGCTCTTTGAAGGCAACCAAAGCCGAGCGCATCTTGACATGGCGGAAATTGCCATCATAGCCGCTAGCACTGGCGTGACCTCGCTTGGTAATTTCCGGGTGTCAGATATGGCTCTCGGTCGGCAGGGCTGCCCACTATTCGCGGCTCTCGATTCGCTCCTACTGAGCCACCCCACGCTCAATCGCGCGGTGCAGAACATCGGCGGCATTGCAAACTTTTCTATCTTACCCCGAGGTGCTGTCGAAGAGTGCTACGACTTCGATACGGGACCTGGCAACGTCTTCATCGATGCGGCCGTGCGGTACTTCACCAGCGGGGAACAGGAATATGACAAGGACGGTGCAATGGGCCAGAAGGGCAAAGTCGACCAGTCTGTTGTGGATAAAGTGCTCCAGGGGCCATACTTCGTGCATGATATACCGAAGACTACAGGCCGAGAGACGTTCGGGGATCGGATGGCGGAAGATATCTGCGATGAGATGCTGAACCGTTAAGTTTCACTCCTCTAATCGAGACGGGGTTTTCGGCTGACTGAAGGTGACACTGCAGGTGGAGCTACACCGGAGGATTGTGTTGCCACCATTACTCGCATCACAGCTAAGTCCCTGGCTGATGCCTACGAACGCTGGGGTCCACCTGGGGGCGTAGACGAGATCTACATGGGCGGCGGTGGATCGTTTAATCCCAACATCATCAACTATCTGAAGCAGCGCTTGCCCAACACCCGCATTGTTCCCATCTCTGAGATTGGGATTCCTATCGGCGCCAAAGAAGCCCTCGGATTTGCGCTACTAACGCTCGAGTGCTTCGTCGGACGACCCATGATTGTGCCCAAGAGGACCGAATCGGACCGTCCAGGAGTAGTCGGCCAGATCCAGCCGGGTCGGAACATGCATCGTATCCGACAGCATGTTGCTCAGGTGAGTTGAGCTTCCTATGACCCCTTATAGCTATGCAGGCACCGTACTGGATCATCTGACACTGATGTCGACGACAGTTTTGGGGAGACTTTCCCGAGGAGAATGTGAAGTGCACGACAGAGATGATTCTTCTGCCTTCTCTATGCAACACATAGGAAAGTCTTGTGGGAGCTCAGTCATTGACGACCGTCATCACTTTATACCTGCAAACAGTCATTGCTTATGCCACGATAGCAGCTGCACTCAACAAAATGCAAGGGCCTAGAGATCGTTAAAGATCTTTCGTGACTTTTACAGTAATTTCAAATTAAGTCGAGGCCACAAAACCTTGTCGGAACAGCAGAATTTGGTAATGCATATTCAAGAGTGCGAAGAGTGGAATCTAGAATAGTGCAAATATCTTCTTTACTTCTCATATTACTGGGTGGACATGATTACTTAGAGCTCCCTTTGGACCAGGCCGATTAGACTGCAATGACCTCATCCGGCTTATCGTGCATTTGTTGTGCCGAAGTATGATCCAAGAGTTCATACATGGACAAGGCCAGCGTGGCGCCATCTATTGAGCTGTGTGACTGCGCCCTCATGTGGAGCTCAACGAGAAGATGTTGCTGCTCAGGGGCGTGCTCAATTGTACTTGATGATCTAAAAGCGGCGAGGAGTGACAATTAAAGGTGCAGCTCAGTCTTTACGTGTAGATGTGCGTTAACTACGCTCTGCAACATTACGACAGAGCTATTTTCCGGAATGCCGGCATCTTTGGGCTGGACGATCTCAATTTGATAGGATTGTAGTACCAAATATGACAATTTTTTTCGAATGTGGCTTTCTCTTCGCTTGCCACTCTGGAAGCTCACTTTTCCTCCATGACAAAGTCACTTGCAATCGGAGAGGGTGTCGAGACCAGACAGTTACAAGCGACGGTAAAGCTATATGAATAGCAACCGATGTATTCTCAATACGTTTCCACGGCTAAGGTCTGGGCAGCTTTTTGTCTGATCCAGGGTGCATCGTGCTGATAATACCAGCGTGCTTTGTCTAACTAGTTCTTGCTGGGTGTCATTGAGTCTGGTATACCCCCCGGCCTTTACGCTTACACCAGTTCCAAATTCCACTCCAGTTTCCACCTCAAGCAGAAGCAGATTCTCTCGTCCGGCATATGGTATTGCACAGTGGCGGTATCAAACTCTTCCCATCTCCTTCAACTAAGGCCAATGCAGTTTTTTATTCCCCTGTATAAGTCAGCACTTCATGTGTCTTTCCGCCAAAGTCTGGAAACTCTACTGGTCTTTCTGTCGATTAGGATTGTTTACGGCTGAATCTTCCACAGCGTGCAGATAACCCCAGGAAACATTTGCTATGGCCATCCTTTGGCTGCGCAAAAACAACACAATTTCGAAAATAGGCTCATACGGTGCTTTTTCCGAGTTTCGAGACTTTAACGGATCGCCACACGTGGCTCATTTGTTTGAACGATGTTACGCAGTGTGGCCAGTAGCGCAGCTGGCATATTGAGCTCGGACATCCCCAAAGCGCCATAGTTGAAGAGGCTCTCAACGCAAACTTAAGCACTCGGTCCTCACTCGGCATTTCAAACCGTTTCACCTTTCTCTGCATAAACGTTTTGTGCCCTTCTCATATCAAAGGGTGTATTGTTTAACGAAGTCGATTCAACCACATACGACCATAGGGTGTGGAGAACAGGGCTTCCCGTCCGCTCAGCCGTACTTAAGCCACACGCCGGCAGGTTAGTAGTTGGGTGGGTGACCACCAGCGAATCCCTGCTGTTGTATGTTTTTGTTTTTGATTCCTTTTAGCTTAATTCACCCAAACTGGCTTAGGCTTACTTCAGACTACCCGACCCTACTCGAAAAAAAAAAAGTTTCCAGTCTCTAGTAAATAGTTGAACAGCATAATTCGAATTCCACGAGCGATAACTATTTGCGATCCACCGGAACGATAAAGACCGCATTTACTGCAGTGCACTCCAAGCGAGCGGGGTCCAGGTGCTTGCGCGGCCCGATTCCTAGTCGAAGAAGGTATCGGCATCCCGCATTACCGAGCTAGGCAGTTCCGAGCCAGGTGATGTCATAGCTCCGATTTAAATAAACACGCTGGCATTTTCAGCGAAGATAGGAATGAAATACCAATTCCCATTTCTTAAAAATGATACCTCGGCGGGCCTTGAAGCCATATCTGGCTGAGTTCCTTGGGACAGCCCTGCTCATTGTGATTGGGGATGGAGTTGTCGCCCAATGCCTGTTGTCCGACTACCAGTACGGCACCTGGTTGTCCATCAACATCGCCTGGGCAGCTGCGGTCTGCCTCTCCAGCTACTTGGCTGATCCCAGTCCGACCATCAACCCGGCCGTGACTATCTGCACGGCTCTCGTGCGCCATCGGCGGGACAGTGGAAGACCATTCCGGGCAAGCTGCTTGCGCAGTTCCTCGGGGGATTTGTCGGCGCTGCCTTGGTGTATGTGAACTATCGGTCGGCTATCAATGCTTGGGATCCCGAGTATACCATTCCCGGCGGATCGATCCTGAGTCCCACCGGTCACCACTCAGCAGGCATCTTCTCGACTTACCCAGCTGCGGTATTCGCGTCGAATTGGGAGGCGGTTTTCTCTGAGGTGCTGGGCTCAGCTGTGTTGATGTTTGGCTGTCTCAGTATTTCGGATCCAGCAAATACCCAGCGCTTCTCTTCTCCGCATCTCTCGCTCTTTCTGCTCCTGCTTATGATCGGTGCGGCATTGGGTTGGCAGACTGGCTACGTATGTTCACTAGAACCACACGTCATGATGTTAGTTATACTAACAAACTCGTTTTAGGCTCTTAATCCTGCGAGAGATTTTGGTCCGAGGATTTTCTCTGCTATTATTTACGGCTCGGAAGTGTTCACGGCGGCCAATTACTATTTCGTTGTTCCCCTTTTCGCCCCAATTCTTGGCTGTGTTATTGGCGCGATGACCTATGACGGAATTCTCTTTGAGGGTGAGGGATCGCGCATTGCTGATGCGCTGGACAAAGCTGAGGCTCACGGGTCTCTCCGATTGGACTGATTGATTGTTTTGAAAGTTGAACAATAATTTCACCAGAACAAATAGAAGGAGACAAGTGGGTAGAAGGAGAATCAGAGGTATGTATGTCTACTTGACTTATAACTTAGGTAAATAGATGTTACACGAGATTCAGCGGGGGCAGCTGAGCGAGAACTTTCATTGGCATTAGGTTGATTATGCAAACCTTGAAATCATTGCAAGGTTCCAAGGTTCAACAAAGCTTCCATATCAAGATTTCAAGGTCTCATGGATTCAAAGTCTGTTTGTGATTTGTAGAGTTGTATGACACCAATGTATCTGATGACTGCTTTTATTCCACTTTCTCTGGTATGTCCATTCTAAAGGTAGACATGGGATCAATTGACGTGATGAGGAGACTCATCGCTCGATGGAATACCCTCATCAATCATCTCCAAGCTTGGCCGCGGATGAAAAGTATTACTCAAGCTAGTTCTTTCCAGTTTTTCTTGATACAAACATTTTAGGTTGAGCTAAAATGCTCAATGCTCCATCGCAATGATGTCTGCGGCCTTTTCTGCAACAGCAAATACTGTGGCTTGGATGTTTCCACGTGGAATCAAAGGGAAAATACTGGCATCCACTATCCGCAGGTTGCGCGTGCCATATACCCTCAGGCGGGAATCAACAACACCGCCAGTCTCGCGGGGCATCATCGCAGCAGTCCCACATACATGGTAATGAGCAACTATACGTTCGCGGGCCAGTTCCCGGGCTTGTTCGAGAGTAATGTCAGGTGAAGAGTTTTGTAAGCGGCGGCCACCTGCCTTGAGAAGTGAGGCCATTGGCTCTGTCCATGCAAACTTCTCCAGCCAGCGAACATGGCGTGCGTGAAGCTCTAGATCGAGGGGATGAGAGAAGAAGCGCGGATCAAAAGTCGGATTTGCCATGGTATCAGGGGAGTTTAGATGAACACTACCGCGTGAGAAAGGTCGATTCAGGATCGCAACGATGCTCAAATAATTCTCGGGTTCGAGCATTCCAAAGATTCCCTTAGGGCTTGGGCCTTTCTCTGGCAAGAGCTGGAATGGTGCCAGCGTATATTGACCTGTAGGTTCATCTTCGTCTTCGAGGACGTGACGAAGCACTTCGTACTGTGCAGCTAGGCGAGGCGAAGTCTCCTTTTTCTGCAAATGCTGATCAATGATGGACTTCAGTTCGCTGTTTTCCTGGTCCGAGAGCCTCGTGTACGCAGAAGTCAGAGGGCAGATGCCAAGTGGACCTGCTCCTGATTCTTTCCAGGCTGACATCACAGCAACTGCGACTTCCGGAGCTCGCAGTGCCTCGCCGGTAGGCTGTCCATCTGCGGCCTCCCAGCTGAATGGAACAAACCCATGTTCTTGGAGATTCTCTCCAACGTTCTCGTTCTCCACTACCGGCTCGATGCTATGAGACCGAAGGAGAGAGCCATTCCCAATACCGGACAGTTCTAGCAAGTGAGGTGTTTTGATTGCGCCTGCGGCTAGAATGACCTCCTTCCTCGCTGTGACTATTTGTTGGACGCCATCCTTGCCAATGAAACGAACTCCCGTGGCAACGACACCCTTGTCACCCGTATTTTCAAGAAGAATGTTTTCTACCATAGCTTCTGTAATGACTCGCAGATTTGATCGCTTGGCCACTTCCTCGTTGTAGTATGTCACACCAGCATGGCTGCGCGTTCTGGAGGTGGGGTGGATACTCGCTGGGCCACAAAAGGCCCCTTTCGAGACACCAGACATCGGATCGCCCGTGATCGGTAAGTTGAGGTTCTCAAAAACCTTGGGCCAAGCGCCCAAGAAAGGTGGGAATGGACCATCACCAAATGAGACCTGGAGTGGACCAGAGGTTCCCTGGACAGTCTGATTGATATACTGCAGAGACAATTCCTCGTTGGTTTGGGGGGAAGGTGGAGTGAAAGTCTGGGACTTTTTGAGATAAGGGGAAAGCGATTCCCAGTTCCACCCCTCGTTTCCCAATGCCTCCCACGAGTTGAGATCAGCTCGGCTGGGGTAGATCACCATCCCAAGGTTGATGGCTGAGGAACCCCCCAGTGTTCGTCCACGAGGCTCGGCGAGGCATCGTCCATTTAAATGTTCCTATATACGCACAACAGTCAGTTCACTTGAAACACACCATGAAATTGCGGCCTCTCTGGAAGCAAAAAAAAAAAGGAATCTGTACCTGAGGGGGACTGGTAATACACCAATCAAAGTCAGGGTCGAAGTAAGTAGTCGCCGCAAGGCCAGGAGCTGCGATTCTAGGATCATTGAGACGGTTGGCTCCAGCTTCGAGAACCAGGACACTGATTGCGGGGTTCTCAGTCAAGCGACTGGCGACTACCAAACCAGACGTGCCACCACCGACGACAATGTAGTCGTACTGCTGACGGATTCCTTCAATTGAAGAGGTGTCAATTGATGACATGGCGCTTACGATTGAATCAGGAGTAAACAAGGGATATAATTGAAGTGCATTTGTGTCCTGCGAATAGTAGGGGGTACATATAAGTTTTAGTCAACAGGTGTTTCCATTTCAAGAGCATCACAAAACAGGTTAAGCGTCAATGAACTGACTGGCATGCTTCTGTCTCAGGAAGGTACTACTTACAGAAAGAACTGGGGCGCTTTTTACACGAGTAACAGCCAGGAATCTCCATTGGGTCCAGATAAGCACTATGAGAAGGCCGTTCACTTAGCGCATAGTCCAATTTCCGACGACATTGTCCATCGTTGCTTGAAAAGGGTTAGGGGGGAAAGATTGGCAACAAGTGAAAGTTAGCCCCGGGAGGAAACACCGGGAAGGCTTAAGCCATCTGGGACTACGGCACGTGCACCCATCACTGCCGTGAGAAGTTGGCGTGCGACTCGAATTTTGGCCCCCAACTATCAAAGGTGCCGCTTCTTCCGTCGGGAATAAGCTGGAGAACCACCAACGAACTTAATGTTCTGATCCACCCTTGCGGAAATACCCCCGAAGACTTTCCACCACATTGTCCCCGCTAGATTGAACGTGGAATTTATTTCCCTTCGCATAGAAATAGACAGTTCCCTCAAAATAAGCATGGCATGGTTCATCTGCCGGGTCCCTACAAAGTCTAGGGACAAAAGGCGTCGCTACTCTTCGTCATGGGGACTATCACCTATGCTCTGGATACGCCGTTAAGTCGGAGTCCAGTAGTTGCAGTGACTGTTCTCGGTGCCATTACGACAATAACCACGATTTTGCGGTTTGTTGCGCTGCATTTAAGACGAGTAAGCCTCGGGCACCCGAAGTATCTCATCGTCGGGGCATTAATAAGTCATCCTTTGACCCTGTTCGAACCATGAAATCTGACTTTCACCCCTAAGCAATTGTCTACGTGGACATCGCCATTGTGTTCATTCGTGAGTGTGCTTCTTGGCTGGTGTATCGTTGGTGCAATCTACTCACAAACTCTCAACAGTTACCATCGTTGGAGGCGCAGGTCGAAAAGTTACCGATACTGACCCGTCGTCGGTCATCATTACGCTGAAGGTATTACGAATAATCAAGACTTTGCAGTCCTCAGGACATGCTGACGACCTGAGCAGACAATCTTGCCTCTCGAAGCTCTATATGGAATTGTGCTGGGATTGATCAAGTCTTCTATCATGCTCTTTTACTTGCGTATCTTTGGCACCAAGAAAAGTTCTCGAATTAGCATCTTGGTCACAATGACTATAGTTTGGATGTGGGCAGTCAGCGTGATTCTGGAGACGTTTCTTCTTTGTCGTCCTTTGGCATACAACTGGGATACCTCCATTGCTGGGACTTGTGGCAATCGCAACGCGACATATGTTATTGCGGGAACGCTGAACCTGATCACTGATCTGATGGTGATGGCGCTTCCGATTCCTCACATATGGAAACTCCAGCTCTCACTTTCCAAGAAAATCGCTCTATGCGGTGTGTTCAGCGTGGGCTTGCTGTAAGTTCCTTGTGTTTGTCTGTGTGCAACAATTTCTGTGGTTGCAACGACTATCCCCTTTAATATGATATAGCTGACATTGATTCAAAATACTACAGGGTCTCAATTATCAGCATCATTCGTCTTAAGTCGCTGATGGATATTGACTTCTCCGACATCACATATTCGGTCCAGATGGGAGTTATGTGGACCACGATCGAGCCCGAGCTCGCCATAATTTGCGCAAATATGCCTTTTCTAAAAACCATCTTGTCAAGAATGGTTCCTGGTTTATTCTCAACCGGACGTTCCAAGCAGAGTGCTTCTGGTCAACAAACATTTGAAAGACTCGAGGAGCAGCAGTCGAACAATATTTATCCGATGAATCGAATCGGCCACCTAGCAGTTCGCACAAATATCTCCAGCGCGAATACTACGGAATCGCAAAGAGGCTTGTGCGATAAATATGATGATATCCTTGTCTTTTTCCCAGGGAAGTCACGAAGATCTTCAGTCAGAGGGGAACAACGGTCACAGAACTAATGCATCGGGCGGGATCAACGTGACCAAAAATTTTGTGATACAGTATCGTTCTTCAAAATAGGCAATCATGCCAACAATCGAGGTTCTTCTCTTCTATGAATAAAATTATTTACAGGTTGTAATTTGGCGGTTTTCCTGGACGTCACGTTAGCGGTCATTAAATAAGTTAAATTTGAGAGATTGACAGATATCAAGCGTAACATTCTCACGCCGCCAAAACAAAGCTTCTTACGCCACATATCATTGGGCCACAATCGAAAACCTTGCTGATCGATTGGAATTTAGTACCATGATGGAGAATGTCAGCAGTTCATGCAGCCTCATACCAGCCCCAGTGCCAAAGACGAGGTAGCTAGGCGGTTCAACCGGAGTCTGAATATAATCACATACGTCGGTTTTTGTGGGGGAAGCATTGATCATAATAAAGTTGTGTTAAGGCTCTTTCCAGCTATTTCTCTTACAAACTCGAACTCCATAAGTCGAGGTCTTGAGCGAAGGTAGTAGGAGAGCTCGCCAGGTATGCCCGAACCAAGTGTAAGTTCCTCCCTCATTGGCAACTCTGGCTTCTCTGAGCTCTGAAACCTCCCAGTCTAATTTTTTGTTTTCGCTCGGACAAAAATAATCATTCGGGCTGGAACATGAGCCCAGCCAACAGTTTCCGAAGAGAGGTTTTGTTTTAACATATCATCAATTTATTTACGAAAGCGGTAATCTAACAAATGGGGCCGTTAGTATAGTGGTAGTATGCGCCGTTCGGATTTTCATTTATCCAACTGAGTTCACTCAGTGTGATTCGGCGCGACCCGGGTTCGATCCCCGGATGGCCCCTTCGTCTAATTTACTCTTTTTGTTTTTCATGTCCATGGATTCGAAAACCTTCAGCTGTTCCAGCGTAATTCTAATCTTGTAGTTGAATTCAAATTGATCATAGACTGCTCAAGGAGTTCAAAGGAGAGCGTAGTGGACGAGAGTCTAATAAACCTGAAGTAAGATCCTGTAGCGTTGCAAGACCTTGCTGAAGACGCTGAGCTGCTTGGCCACGTCTCTCTGAGTCTCGGTGCATTAACTATCAGACTTAACCTCGAAGTAACGCATGCAGCAATACTTTTTTTTTTGAATTGCATACAAGTCTGAGTGTAGGTCAGAGCAAGCAAGGTTCATGAAAATTGACAACGCCCGTCAAGCTCGTCTGTCCTGCATTCTCGGCACTCGTCGGGCGAAATACCGACTAGGGGATTTCGACATGGCTCGAAGCTTTGATTGACTTGATCTTTTGAAAGCCGAAGATCCCTTCCTTGGCTACACTGCGTTCTAGGTTATGTAGAAAACGGATACCGTAAACCTCGATTGTATCGGCCTTTACCTGGACCTAAGCGACCCTCATGAAGACCTTTGTCGCCTCTCAGGTCTTCTGAGATCAGCGTAAACCTTAGGCTGTACTTTTGGGAGGAATATTTGCCTGGACGAGGTACTTTGCCCTTGCATTAGGTCTGCCACCTGGAAAAGCAGGAACTCACATTGCGAACTCAGTATCGACTACAAGTCCATGCATTATGCATTTCTATTTTGGTACTTTCTTTAGTCTTTGCTGGGACTTTACTCCGCAGGAATTAAGTAGATCGATCAGCCTCCAGCGACTGGAGACGATGGAAGAAGAGGTCACGCTTTCTTCATCTCCATCCGAACATTGACGCACACTCATGGTTTACTGTCCGCAGATGGGCTTGACATTGCCTCTCGAGATTTGTTTTTGTTCAGTAAACTTCTTCTACTGGTAAAACCGACTTGTGAGTCTCTATTTTCTCTATCATCATTTTCAGTTCGTGATTGATCTGTGGGCCACTACTTGAATTCGCGTCTTACTTGAAGCTCCAGGGAATGCAGTCGTAAAATACCGTCTAACGGCAGTTAGATCCCCGCGAGGAGGTTTCGCTAATATGCCGACATCTAGGTCAACTAGTGACTTGACGCAGTTTGGCACAGTGTCAACATGCGACCCGGGGGCACAACATGTGACCCAGGGCTTTCTTTTGCACTGGACACCTTTGGAGGCGCCACTCACTTGAATCAAAATCAAAGGTCGTCAACGTATCTAGATCTCGCACAGGTATCAACTGGAAAAAGTGACATTACTCGGGACTGGGAATGTGGTCTCAGGGCATCACGAGGGGATTACATTCGTTCCCCACTTGACAAAGTACCGCGGGTCCAACTAGGAACAACCGTTGTTCCTGACTCTTGTCTCCTACCACTCGCTCTCGAGCATGTTCATGTCGACATAACTTCTCATCATGTTTGGCTGGGGTCCTGGATTGGGTATGTCTTCTCCTCTTGGCTTCCTGGAATGTGGCGCCGTGTGCCCCTCATTGTCCACCGCGACATCAACGCTAACCCACTCTCTTCAGCCTTGTCTTCGGCATCCTCAGAACCTGAGAAGGAACGCACTCCTCCTACGGACGCTACACCCCTTGACTTCCCCGCTTACCATCTCCCCGATGTTGTCCCTGATGATTCCGGTTCGACCCTCCGCGACCTGTTCACCCAACTAGCCTCCATCAAGCGACCCCAGGATATCTCCATTGATCGCTTCAAGCCCCTCAACCTCCATATCGACTCCGATGTCGACGTCCAACAGATGTTCCCCGCCGACCCGGCGGGCTCATTGCCCCCGCTGCCCTGGAAGGAAGAACCGGAAATCGAATCCGCCGAGGAGGGCGAGGATCAAGCGCGCCCACTGATGAGCAATGGACTCCCTTACCCTCCCCGAGATCGATTCGAAGTCCTCCGCACCGAGTTGTTGCTTGATCAAGATGATACCTTCCGTGAGGTGGCTCGTCTACCACCCCGCGAAGGCCGGAGCCGTGTCCGCTTAACACAGTCTAGGAAGTTCTGGAGTGGCTTGGAGCGCATGGCGCAGTACTGGGATACAAGTATCGACAATTACTTCGAGCGACCCGTTACTTCGGAGCCGACGCCGCAGCAGACTTCTCCCGCGGAGTGTGAGGCCCAGGGTGACGAGATGCGGACCGATGAGTCAATCCTCGATACAGTTCATACCGACTCGGCCGACGCGATGGACGTGGATGGATCTGAGATGGACGCTGGCACGACCTCAAACGGCAGTGCGGCCGAGGCAAATATTCCTCATCCGACTGTGATGATGTACACGGGTCGCCGGGTTGGAGCGGGCACGGAGATGCCCGACGACGTACGGGACGACACCATCCGGTCCTTTATTGAGATGGCCGCCTGGCCTTTCGGGTGCCAGGTTACCGTCCCAACGTTACCGCCCCGCCTGACTGTAGGAAATCTGCTTTTCCCAGTGCGGCAGTCCTTCCAAGTAGCCCGCTCTCCCAGAGACCGGCAGATCGCACGACAGGGTATACTTGAGGGACCTGTCCTAATTGCGCAGTGCCGTGCCGAGACCACTTTCCGAGTTACTGGTGATGAGAAAGGAAAGGGAATTGGTGAGGTGTGTGATCTGTTCCGCGAAGTTGGCGGCATGCTTCTTGCCGCGCAGGAACGCGCTCGCGAAGGTGCGGCTGAGTTGCGGCCTGGCGAGAATAAATGGTGGACAACAAAGCCCCGATTTGGCGGTGCTCCTAATGACGGGATCCTCGATGATCTAGTGAGGAACGCGGGGATCCCCATTCCCGACTCCCTGCTGGGGGACAACTCGTCCGCCACAACCGCCCCGGAGGCGGAGACTGCTCGCAAGCGGCACAAGTTTGAACATTCACAGGGCTCATATTCCACGTCTCTGGCGCGTCGGCCTAGTGCCATGCGCAAGCTATCAAGCAGTGAAAAGTGGAAGATCCTGCAACCGGGTCCGAGTCTGTGGGATAAGCGCATGGTCTATCAGCAGATCGGCCGAGCGATGGACAGCGCTTATGACGATGTACACTCCCCCTTATCCCACTCTCCTATAATAACCTACTGATCTCGATTCAGGTGTACATGATCTCTTCAATCAACCACCACATCGCCATCCTGCACCTACGGGTCCACCGCCGCTACCTCGAAGTCCTCACTCAAGGCGACAGCACATACCCCACCGACTCTGACCCTGACCAGCCCTGGCATGTTCTCAAGCTCCAGCGCACCAGATGGTATGACCTGTTCGATGCAAATGACCGCGTCGAGGCCCTGAAAGCCACCTGGAGTCTCTTCCATTACCAGCTGCGAACGACTCACCGCGACGGTTGACCGTGAGTTGCATTCGCCGCACTTTTGCTTTTATCTCATCTCCACCTTTCATGGAGAAATTGATGCAGTGCATCATGTACATACATGCCCGAACGAGGGCCATCATCTGAGGCTGCGTCCTGCTCGGCGACGACTCAGCCATAGCAAGACTGATTCGACGTTCCGATTACTACGTTGTACATAGAACAGTAGCCATTCATCTTTCGATATAGATCGAATGAAGCATCGTTCATGAATAGACCACCGATTTCCTCTCTTGCCTGAAGAGTTCACGCGTAATGAGTGGCATGATTGACCCGTAGTTCACTGATTCTGATAGATTGTGAGAACATAGGTGAGACGCATCTATCATCGAGCGAACCCCCACGTATCATCGGGTCGGAGAGAACTAGGCGGAAGTCAATGGTGATACTTTTGCCCGCAAAAGTGGCACCGAACAATGAACTGAACTTGTTTCTCCGATTGCTCCGGTTGATGATTTATCGGATTCTACGTCGTCACGTCTCTACCTTGTCATTGTTCATCATCTAAAAGGGCCTAGGCGAACCAAATCATTGGGCAATATCTGTTGCTCATGATAAGGAAGTCGTTCAGTTCTACCGGTACGAAGAACTTATATGACCTATGAACCCTAGAATCGAATGGTCGATATCGTTCCAGCGGTGTGTTATCTTGATGTGTATCACTTGGCCGGGTCGACTTAGCGGGGCGGGGAGAGATTGTAACGCAGGTCTAGTGAGCATATCTGAGGTCAGAATCACAAAATTGTCCATTACCTAAATCGCTAGGTGAATCCTTGGTTTTTTCAACTGGGTTGATGGGTGTATGTAAGTAGCAGCTCTCCTGGTCTCAGGCGGTTGGAACATCTTGTCTGGGCATGACGTTTGAAACGACAATATATCCCCGCACCCTCGGTGATCAGCACTTCGACGTACGCCATGACATCTTGCGGATCTTGACATCAGTCCAGAATCTCTGATAAATCTCGGACATCAGTAGCACTCCCGCTGACATCTAAATGGACTTGGGATTTGGAATGGGCAGGTGGACTTCGCCCACATACAGGAAGGGTACAACTACAAAAGCCAGCATGGCAGTTGTCTGGGTCAGACTGGAACCTTGAAAGGAAACGATCACATTCGTAACAGACAAGCGCCGTGCCGATAGAAGAAGAGATTTTAGTTATTTTTGGGTTTGAAAAGAATTTCCTTTTGCCTTCTCGTTATCAACAAGAAAAGCTTGAGTATCACATCATGCATCTTCCTGCCCCCAAGACCCATTTCTCCATCGCTCCCAAAAGCCCAAACCCCACGCGAAACCGAGAAATGAGTAGGCGTGTCGTAAATAGAACAGGGTTTGTAGGAAGAAGTCGAAGGCCGACCTTTTATTTCGGGGGGCATCCCAGAAAGTTTTTTAAACCTCCAACCTCCGCACCGAGAAAAAACATCATGCTGGAGTGATTTACTCCTGGGTCTCGGCGACCAGAGCGTTGCGCTTGGCCTCAACACGCTCCGCCCGACGCTCACGGAGAGCCTTGTTCTTGGCACGCTTAGCGTCCATCTCCTCCTTGAGGACACGCTCACGGGCGCGCTCAGCCTTGGCCTTCTGGATCTGTAGTGGTGAAGACGAGTCAGTCTGGTTTCATCCTTCAAAGATTCGATGCAGGTGGGGTAGGTTGGCCCTAATCGAGGGGTGGAACTTACGTGCTCAACCAGAGCGCGCTTGTGCTTGAAGGTGTTACCCTTGCTCAAGTGGTACAGCTCGTGGTAAAGGTGCTTGTCGATCTTGCCGGCGGCACGGTAACGGACGAGCAGACGACGGAGGACACGCATGCGGCGCATCCAGAGGACCTGGGAGGGCATACGGGCGTCCTTGGTACCCTTGCGCTTACCCAGACCGCGGTGACGACCGATGCGGCGGGCCTCGTTGAGCTCACGGGCGCGAGCACGGGAGTGCATGGTGACGGGCTTGCGGATGATAAGGCCATCGCTGACGAGCTTGCGGATGGTCTGACGGGAGTTGGCGTTGGAGATCTCGTTCATCTCATTGGGGTCGAGCCAAATCTTGCGCTTGCCGCAGCCGACCACGGAGGCGGCGAGGCGCTTCTGGGTGCGAAGGTTGACCCTGGTGGATGGAAAATGTCATGGTCAGCCTGTGCACACAATCGACTCTCCACTCGGTTGTTTCCTTGCAGGCGTTCCCTGCCCGTCGGCGACAAGCTCGGTATACAGGCTTCACGGTATGTGGTTCTCGGGATGGTGGATGCAGGGAATGAGACTCACATCTTGATGTCGGCGTATGGTCGTTGGCGGATGAAGTTCTCGTAGCACTCGACGGGAAATCCAGACGGTGAGGAGTTTGGGGCGGGCCGATTAGCTAATGTGCTGTAAGCGAGTCCGTCCAATTTGAGACTTGGAGTGTGCTTAGGGCTGGTACCCTGATTAGTAATGGCGATTAGCCTTGTCTTGCCCGCGACAACGAGGAGAATGACAGTTTAATGGTGGTTGTAGCGGCCCTGGAAGGCGTTTGGAAAGTAAATGGTTCATTTTTGAGTCTCTCACAGACCATCCTCGTCCGCACAAGTCTCTCCCACCAAACTAAACACAATTGCGTGAAAGCAAAAGGCGTGTCAAAGCACGTGATCTATGGTCTGGTCTTCAGGTCACATGATCGCAGATTCTCAATCAGGAAGGGAATCTATGTATACACTGGAGAAGTGGATGCAAGGCCCTACCTAGATCCATCTTGATCTACCAAGCTACCCACATGTCATTTACAGTGTATAAACGAACCAAAACATATATATGCATAGCACTCCAGCCACCGACCAGAGCAGTATTAACATTCAGCCGTAACAACTTTTTATACGAAGATGAAACAATAAAAAACACAAGAGCCCAAGGATATCTCTATAAACATATGGAATGCGTGTAGATGCAACCCTTGGGATGCTCATCAAAACATATCATCACTCGTCGCCAAACGAATCATCAGTCAGATCGACCTTGCCAATACTCCACACTTCCTTTTCATCATCCACCTCATCCTGGGAAAGTCCAAGACCACCCTCGCCACCTTCAGCAGCCTTGCGCTCACGAGCCTGGGTAGCCAGTCGGATAGCAACACGCTTAAAGTAGTCCGACATGCTGCGCTTCGGGCCGGGGGGCAGCGAGGCACCAGGTCCGGCCATATACTTGTCGAAGACTTCGCTCTCGGAATCTTCCACGGAGAACAGAGACAAGAAAGCGGCTTCCGCGGCCAGCTTCACGGGGATGACTAGGTCGCGGACGCTGGCGAATATTGGTGGTGCCAGCATGGCCAGGTGGGGGCGTGTCAACTCGGGGTGCAGACGGCTCACCGTTCGGATGACGACAAGTGTCAACCGGCGAGTATCAGGATTGGCGCCGGGGGAATGACGGGCGATAGGGCCTCGAAGATGGTTTTGTGTGTCTCGAAGCTGTGATTGCCATCCGCGGACAGGAGATATTTACCAGCAGCGAGAACGCTGTTGTCGGCCACGTAGGGCTGTTTACATGTTAGCGACTTGAGTATGCGACCGCAAGAATTTATCAACTTACATCTTTGTTCGCAACACCCTGGCAGATAGCCGTGATGGTCTCCGTAGGGAAATGCTCCATTAGAGTGGCAGGGGCTTCCGCCAAGAGAGCATTGAGGCCAAGCACAGAAGCGTGCGAGTACTCTCCGTTGAGAATGCGGCTCTTGATAAGAGGCACAGCACTCGCCTCGGGGAGGACCTTGACGAGGGCACCGAGGAGGCGGGCGTTGGTCATCGCTACGGCATCATTCTGGTCACTGGCATCATCGTCAATCAAAGCCAGAATGGCTGTGCGAGATGCCTCGCTCATGTTGCCACCGGCTTTGCCAACAACCTCCTTGAGAGCCTTCATCATGGCATTCTTGACACCAACATCAGTGGTCTTCGATCCGGCGATCAGCTCAGCAATAAGCGGGTCGACTCTGGGTGTCAGAGTGATCAAGATACCAAGACCCTTGGCAGCTCGGTTGCGCAGAGTCTCACTAGATGGATCGGCCAGACCACGGGCAAAAGTACGCTGAAGCTGAGGCAAGAAGGGTTTGACGGCCAATGGAATCTTCTCCAGGAGCTTGTTGAGGGTGAAGAAGATGGCACACTTGATGTCTGTAGAACGCTCAGACACGACACGGATGAGAGGACCAGTGATTTGGGTGACGAAGGGCTTGAGTGAGTCGGAGCCAGTACGGTCAATGATATCGGAGATGGCAAGGGCTGACTGGGTACGCTGGTCGGGATTTCCGTTAAGCAGACCCTGTAAGAAGATCGGCAAGATGGCCATTATACCCTTGGGCAGACTGAAACCGGGTAGATCTGCACCAGGTACGCCAACTTGGCGCAAGATCTGGCGAGTGGGAATGGCCAGAACCTCCATCTCCTCCTTGCGCATGGAAGAGATGAGGCCACTGAGGGCGGCCCAAGCCGCCTTCACAACGTCCTTGTCCGAGTCGTCGAAAGAAATCAACAAGACGCGGATCAAGTCAGGGTGGTAACGCGAGAAGTCAACCTCAGCATCTGAGAAGAATGTCTTGAGTTGAAGAGCGGCCTTGGCGCGGCGACGGTGATCGTCGTGCTTGACGAGACCGATCATTACGTTCATCGCCACATTCAAACCATCATACTCATCCACAGAGCGTAACACAGTATCGAACGAAGTGCTGAGTTCCTCGCGAAGCTCTTCGTCCTTGGCCTCGATGATTCCATCCATGAGAGAGTTCAGGATGTTGGGCAGTCTTCTCGTCATGGCTGAGCCAGCAACCTCGGCCAAAGATGCCAGGGCTCTGGCATTGAATGCGGAAACAGGAGGTGTGAGCAGTGTGGGGATGAGGTTGGGGAGAATGATGTTGGCACGAGTTTGCTCGGTCAGGAGAGTCAGCAGAGCAGATAAAGCTTGCTCGGCATCCTCGTCGTTTCTCAGCAGGTGGAGAAGGTAAGGCAGAACCTGGTCCACGGCCTTCTTGCCCAGAATTTGCTGCAAAGCATCGAAGGCTTCGGCAGCAGCCTCTCGCACATCCTCGTCGTTGTCGACCAAAGCGACACGCACCGTAGAGATAAGAACCTTCTCGAAGTCCTCCAGACCCTCGGGGGTGGCAGCAGTGATAAGCTCACGCAGAGCAATACAGATACCCTGCTTAACATCCACATCGGGCGAGGTCTGAAGACCTTCCTCAAGCAACGGCAACAAGGTGGCCAACACAGACTCGCCAGCCTTCTTAATAAGGTCGCCGAGAGCGTTACTGGCAATAACCTTCTGCTCCATGTTAGAGGATCCGAGGCGGCGAATGATGAGTTGAGCCAACGTGGGCACCATATCCTTGAGGGTCTTGGGGGAGGCAACAAGGGCCTTCCAAACAGCCATGGCGGCACTCTTGACGAGACCAGAAGTATCGCAGCGGCAGATGAACAGGGCAGAGAGGACCTTGTCTCTCCTCTCCTCTCCAAGGACCTCCAACAGGGACTGGCCAGCCTGGGTTGCCTCTTCCTCCTCTTCTTCGGCATCGGTCTTGCCAGAAATACCAGTAAGACTGAAGAGAAGATCTCCAACCAGCTCGACGGAGCTGAGACGGATGCGGTAGCTGTCGTCCGCCAGTCCACGCTCCAACTCGGGAAGAAGAAGGTCGATGGCTTTGGTGGCGAAGTTCTTGACAAGCAGACGACCAGCACGAAGAGAGGTCTCACGGATTGACTCGATATCATCAGCCAGACCAGCAAGGATCGGGGGAATGATCTTGCTAAGATAGTTGGCGAAGCTGTTACCAAAGCAAGCGGGCAAGAAGATGAAGAGGGTCATGAAGCCTTCACGAACAGCAGGCTTAGAGCTGGAGACGTTCTGAAGGATGGTAGGCAGGGTCTCCTCGAGTCTGGCAGTACCCAGACCTGCAAGAACCTCCGAAAGGGCTTGGGCGGATCCAAGACGGTCGCCAGCGCCAGTGTCGGACTTGAGAGTAGTCATAAGGTTGGGAATGAGGTCGGGCAGAGCATCCTCTCCGAGCTTCTCAATGAGCGAACCAAGAGCCTTTGAAGCAGTAGCACGAGTGGTAGGAACAGGGTCGACAATAGCCATGTTGAGACCAGCCACGATGATTGGCAAGTGCGAAATCAGATCCTTCCGCTCGGTAAGATGAGCCAAGCTGCCAATGATCTGTGCAGACTTGCGTTTGGTGGCGGACCGGTCTCCAAGACCGCGCTCGAGAATACGCACGACAAGCGCCAGAGAGGGAGCATCCAGGTAGTGGACGAAGGACACCTTGATCAGGGAGTCCAGCGCTTCGTCGGTGTATTTCGTAGGGTCACTCAGGGCCTTCAAAAGCACGTTGACCAGACTCTTGACTTCAGGGTTGCTAATGACCTCTCCGAATCGCTGCAGACTGCGGTTAGCTGCGTTTCGGACTTCCTTGTGCGTATCATTCAGGACAATGGTAAGAGGCGGGATGATATCAGGCAGACTGGCAGCAAGCTGTTGCGGGTCGAGATAAGCCATGGCTCCGAGAAGGTCGCAAGCACCCTTTTGACTACGCCATTGAGTATCGTCCAGACCGTCGAGCAGTGTAGGAAGTATCTTCTTCACACCATACGAGCTGAGGTTCTGGAAGCAAGCCTTGGAAGCATCGAGACAGGCATCACGAACATCAATGTTGACGTCGCCGAATCCTGCAAGAAGTTGGGGTACGATCTGAACGACATAGGGCTCAAAGGTACGTCCAAGGACGAAGGCAAAGAGCTCGTATGCCAACAGAGCTCCCATTCTCTGGTGGGGTTCCTTCTTGTTCTCGGTGGCATCTGTTAACACACTCATGATTCGGAACTCCCGCAGTGTTGAGATACCCTTGCCAGCAACAATACCTGCGAGACCGTAGGCAGCACCGCGCTGAGTGGCGTAGTTCTTGACGTTAAGCAATGAATCGATCATTTCCTTGACATAGTCTGCCGTCTTGGGACCAGAAAGTCTGATCAACGGAGGCAGGCACTCTGACACAGCAGACTGAACGGTTTCCGAGGGAGTAGGGAGCGTAGCAAGAAGCTTCTTGACAACGATCTGCAGACGAGGGTCCTCGGCCTTCAAGTGTCGGGCCAGCGATCCGTAGAGCACGACGACCGCCTCGTTCAGCAAATCAGAGCTCTGGGCAGCCTTATCCGAGGTTTCCAGTGTGGTCTCAAAGAGCTTCATGAGATCCTCAACCTTTTGCTGGGCACGCTCTGCAATGATGGACTTGCCGCTCTCCTGCATTTGAGATCGGACAGAAGAGTTCTTGTCGACAAGTGGGCCTCTCTCAATCAAGAATTGAAGGAAAGAAACGATCTGCTCGCCTTCAAAGAAGCCAGTCATGGCACTGAATGCTAGAGCGATACCACTTCGGGGCTCCCAAACGTCGGTGTTATCAACCTTCTTGGGCATGCCATAAGCATCCTTCTCGGGAGCCTTGGGCTTGACCTCGTCCGAATACTTGGCCTGAAGTTCAGCCAAGATACTGGCGAATTTGCTCTTGTCGGTCTCGATTGCAGCAGCTAGGGCACGGGCGGCGGCACCTCGAAGTTGATTGTCCTTGGAGTCCAGATATTTCATGATCTTAGCGTAGGCCGTCTCGTCCACCTCCAAGGCGTTTTCCTCCCAAATAGAGTCTGCGATCACCGCGTTCTCTTCCACGTGATCGTGGCGGCTTAGCCAGATGTGCTCGGAGAAGTCAAGATCTGTCAGGTCGATTTCATCGTCGATCACTTGCAGAACGGATGTCCTGACAGAAGGTTCGGAGACAATGGTACCCTCCAGAAGAACGTTCAGTTCTCCACTGGTGAGATTGGGAGAGATACAGCGGCAGATATCAAATAGAGTATCTTTGATCAACTTGTAGTGCTGAGTGTATTTCTGCATAGCTGAGAGAAGCTGCTTGAGAACTTCAACGCGAGGCAGGCGGACATCAGCAAAGGAATTGGAGTGGAAGGATAGGAATTCAAGAGCAAGTAGAACTTGCTCGCCTTCGGTGTCACCCTTGACTTCATTGATTCCATTGCGAGTCAGGATTAATGAGATCAAAGGGAACACATAGGCGAGGGACGGGGTGTCCAGAGGACGCTGCTCAGATGCGAATCGCAAGCGATACAAAATTCTCGTGACAAGCTCTCCAAGGTGCTCCTTTTCCATATCCGCGGGCAGATTTGTGTTTCCGATGGCGCGCAGGGTTGCGATTCCCACAAATGGCCGGGTGTTGCCCAGACGCGAAGACAGCTCGTTAGCACAGACGATATACGCCTGGGACACAACATCACCGACGAACAGGCCAGCGCCAGCATCAGCAAGAGAAAGAAGGCAGCTTACGGCAGTATTGATCCACCCTTCAGGGTCATTGGCAGGACCAGTCGCAAGACCACGGATGAGGCCGGCTCCTCGTTCAATTCGCTTAACTTCTTGAAGGACTTCTCTTCGGATCTCTGCTTCCTTCTTAAGTTGAGCATTGACCTTGGATTGCTCCTCCGCAGTGAGCTTCTTTGTCTTCTGGCCCTTCTTCTCTGCCAGCTGTGCCCGGAGCTCCTCCTCCCATTTCAAAGTATCGTAATCCTTGGTGCTCTTGTTGAAAGTAGGCTGCTTAGACTTGCTGCTCAAAACATCAACAAAGACGGTTCCCTCGGGAGTTCGGGAGATTGCGGCGTCGGTGGCGGTAAATTTGGCAAGACGAGCGCCGTCCAGATCTTCCTTAATTTGCTCAACGAGACGGGGGATCATGACATCTGGAGCGACGAACGCCAGATCACCTGCGGCAGTCCACACAGCAGAGTTGACGAGCGGTACAGCTGACTGGACAGGGTCTGTGTTGACACGGACTAGTTGCTCGATGCACTCCGCGGGATGAGCGCGGACTAGGTTACCGGGATCAGTGCCGGTTCTTAAGCACAAATCGATCCAAGAAGCACTAGGGATCAACTCTTGGCGGCTAAGGATAAGCATGCTGATAAGTTGATTATCAAGATCGGGAGAAGGTCCCGCGGATCCTTCCTTAGGAACAGGACACAGGCCCTTCAAGACCAGATGAAGCAAACGCTCGCTCGCAGGTCCTGCGGAAATAGCAGCCGATTCCTTCTCTGCAGTGCGGAAAGACACTATCCAAGCCCACAGTGCGTCGATGATAATACGTCCGATGGATGCAACATCCTTGCTGTGAACTTCGGACAGGGTTCCTACGGCAAGTTCACGGAGTTTAGGAGACATGGAGGGTCCGGTAATGGCATAAATGAAGGCCTGACCCCAAGCAATCTTCGCAGAATCCTCAGCCGCCTTGAACTGAGCACTAGAAGTGACAGCCCCGAGAGCTCTCACGAACCATTGCATCTCAGCCTGAGATCCCACTTTGGAATAGGCCTTAGGATTGAGAAGGAATGAGGGCTTTGAGCCCATCATCATGGATTGCGATGCCTTCTCTTCCCACGTGGACTTATCAGAGCCTGAAACGTCCCCAATACGCTGGAACAAAGCCAGGAAAACGTAGGCGGAAGATAAGGCACCACTTTGGGCGGAGGGGAGCGGATTGGAGGCAACTTCTCCAAATAGATCTTTCATCTTCGAAATGAATTTGGTGACGAGGGGCTCAACCTCAGCGCTCTTCAAAGCACCAACATCGGATGTCCACAGCACTTCGCCAACATTGAGCTGCCAGATCTTCCGGAAAGGGATTCGCTTTTCAGAAATGCCTTTGACAATGGTGTTGATAATATCGTCGCTGACCTTGACGGAAGTTTTGATCAGGAAAGCAAGATGCGTGTCGAAGGCTCTGAGTTCTTCTTCCAGAGCGGCCTCGTTAGACTCTCGCGCGAAAAGGGGTCCGAATCCTTGGACAATCTCTTTCGAGACGTTCGCAGACAACGGAACAGCCGAGAGCGCCTGCGCATAGGCAATGCGATGCTCAGGTGCAGTGATCTTCTGTGTTTTCAATGGACCGATGATTTCAGTAGCGATCTTCTGGACCAAGGACTCGGTCTTGCAACGAGAGAGCAAGGATTTGAAGGAGTCAGCGGCACCTTGTCTCACCAGCGCATTGTTCGATTTCATGCTACTTAGAAGGTGTTTCGAGAAACGAGTCTGGACTAACTCTGAGAGGTCAATCTCTTCTGGTAGAGAGGAGCAGAAGGGCGGGATCACGCCTGTCAAGATCACCTCGGGTGCTCTTAGCATGGATTTCTCCATTGGAGGAACCAATTCGGTGGTCACATCTTCGGCGGTGACAAAGGAGGTAAAGAAATCGGTCATTCCGCCGGCTACATGGGAAGGCACCGCAGTCTTCGAGCTAATAATCTCCTTGACATAAAAGGCCAGAATTTCCTTCTTGCACTCCATAAGAATCGGCTCTCGGGCTGGCAGTCGTGCGCAAACTCCGGAAATGACTCCCAGAAGCAGCGCATTCTTAAACCCCGCCACTGTGTCTGAAGTCAAACGGCTGACGGATTGACGCACAGCATCCTCACCCCATGTCTGGTTGGAGAACACCGCGCGTAGAGCACGTCTGGTCACCCGGAAAGCCGATAGCATCACCGGGGGCTTGGGTGTGTGCGCGAAGCAATTTTCTAACGCCTTTGCATCCACGGCGATCAGGTCCAGAACACTGGCCAAAGGTGTGGCCTCATCCTCGCTAATCTGCTGCAAGAGAACGCAGCACCATTCCAGCAGAATGAACGCGGAGGTCGAGTTCAAGCCGCCCTTCGCTGCCTCGGTCTGCAAATTTTGCGTCAAGTATTCAAGGTGTTCTGTGGCGGCTGGTGCTCGGAGGAGGTTGCGGAGGCATTGCTGAACAGCCTGTCGTGATGGTCGATCAACGTAGCGGGGGTAAGTTTGGAAGAGTAGCACTAGGATATCGTGGTGGGATTCCGGAGACAGTTCGGATCCTACACAATGTCAATTTCCATCCTTTGACCGCGCAGAGTAGATTAATCTTACCGATCCTATCGCGGAGTTCTTGCAGGGCCCGGAGCCTGCGCAAGGTCGAACTCGAAAAGAGCGCGACCTGCAAGGGCTCCAGATCCCCCGGCCTGACCTGGTCCCATGGAATTCCATCCATGGTAGGTCAATACGGGGGAGGTGGTGGGTGGAGGAAGGAATTTGGTGAAGGTGGGCTAGGATCGAATGCTGTCATAAGAGTTTTGTGTGGGGACAAGAGCTGGTTCCGCTCTTAATCGTCATGTCCGCTCGACTTATTTCCCTTCACCACCTCACACACCGCTGGTAAGTCTCTCAATGCTCTTCTCTCCTTGATCGCCATGTTCGAATTCTTACCTGTGTGATCGCACGCAGATCCTCTCTATAATGCCGCCAAACAATAAGAAAAAGAAGAAGGTCGCGTCCAACCCGGCTCGCGGCTTCGCAACTGTCTCCGTGCCTTCAAAACCCAAAGCAGAAGGCACAGAAACACCTTCCACAGTGACAGGGGAATCGAAATCAACGCCGCAGAATGAACCGCAACTCGCACGTGCTGAAGAACACCCCGCCGTTGCGGCCACACAAGACGCCGCCCCCTCATTACAGGACTATTCGCCCGAAGAACTCGAAAAACATTTGGAAGAGGCCGAACTACAGATCTTGGTCGACAAATATGCATCGAGGTGCAAGAGCGATGGTCTGCGCCAGGCCACCAAGTTAGAGACCGAGAAGCGGGTCTTTCGACAGCAATCGGTGACATTGAGTCTTCTAGAATGGCTTCCGATCGAGATGCAAGACAGAATCTTGGAATTGGCCAGTACCGAGGAGCACGACTATCTCATTTCAAACGCACGGAATGTTAGCGCCAAGCAGGCTGGCTCGGAGGAGGAGCTCTACATGAAATTGTGGACTTTGAAAGAAACCCTCCTCAAGCTTGGATTCCCAGAAAATCGCACCGAGGAAGCACTTAAACATGTTCTACAATATTTTTCTGGGAACCCAACCAATGCCAGTCGCGATGTGGTATGGAACTTGGATGAGGCTCTCGAATGGTTGGCCACACATAGCGACAAGAAGGAACTTCCTTCCTATGTGCAGACATCGTCTCGACCACAAAAAGACGAAAACAGTGTGACATCATGGATGAGTGGTAAATTCTTCTCTGTCTTTATCGTAAGAACGAAAAGCTGATCTTTGGCAGAAACAGAGCCATCACGGTCCTCCACCCCCAACAAATCAAATGGAAACAAGCAAGGAAAGCCAAAGGCCGATTGGAAAACCGCAAAATCTGCGCCTCTAATCACTTACGACTCCGATAGCTCGATTGACCCCGATACCATGGTTCCAGAATGGCTGGATATGCAAACCAAGCTCTACAATTTACAGCCAGACCTTTTCGATCGTCCCGGTAAGGGTAAGAAAGGTCGCGGGCCAGCAGTAAGCCAGTCTGATGATCCCGACGTGGCAAAGCTTCAGCGAAAGATCGCAAAAATCGAAAATGATGTTCTTTTTGAGCGTCGCGAAGCTGAATACTTCTGGAAAGACAAGCTTGAGGAGCTCAGAAAGGATGCCAGCTTTGTTCGTCGTCCGCCTGAGAAAAAGAAAGAAGAGGAGACGCCAGTCGAGGAACAGCCAGCTATGCCAGCACTTGATGGACTCGATTTGAGTATGCCATCAATGGATGAGCTAGATGGCGACGGGCTCGGTGCCATGTTTCAGGAGCAACCAGAAAGCTCGGAGTCAATTCTCGGTCTTCCTACACCTACGACTGAACTCTCCACTACCCTTCGTGACTTTGGGAAGACTACTGGTCTCAGTCCTCGACGAGTGCTGGAAGAGACTTGCAAAGCCAAAGACTCGGCATGTAAAGTTGTCTATCGAGATACCTCCATATCGAGCCATCATAACAGACAGGCAGTCGAAGTGCGATGGTCCAAACCGCAGGAAGCTCCGTTCCCACTTGTTGTGGAGTCGATTACTCACAAGTCGAATGAATTTGCTACTTTTGTCTCAATGGATTCTTTGGCAACTCCAACTTCTCAGCAGGCAGAAGGATACGTCTCGACTCTTGCTCTGTTCATCCTCTTTCCTCAAAGCTCCAAAGAAGGCAAAGCCTACCTACGTTTGCCCGCGGTGTGGAGGGATCTTTGTACCGAGTTCTCTAATCTTAAAAAGACCCAGGAGGACGAGGTTGACAAGAACGCTATCAAAGACTTGAAGCGTCTGGTACAAGAGAACCAAGGCAGCTTCGAGGATGATGTGGTGCTTTTGGATAATTTCCGCAGGAGGAATGGTAACGGTAGTAAGCCCGGCAGCCCGTTGAAGGGTCCTTCCCGTGATGGCTACTTTGGCCTCGACGAACGACTGCAGGAGGCTTGGGCAGCAAAGTCATCTACCCCATCTTTCCACCGCATGATGCAGGGCAGAATTAGCCTCCCCATCTGGAACTTCAAGGATGAGATTTTGCACACCCTGGATACTCACCGCGTCATGATCATTTGCAGTGAGACAGGTAGTGGAAAAAGTACCCAAATTCCTTCTTTCATCCTCGAGCACGAGATGCTCCAAGGCCGTCCCTGCAAGGTCTATGTGACGGAGCCTCGTCGTATCTCAGCCATCTCATTGGCACGACGTGTGAGCGAAGAGATGGGAGAGAGCAAAAACGATGTCGGAACCACGCGTTCTCTCGTTGGATTTGCGGTGAGATTGGAAAGCAAGATCAGCTCAACTACTCGGCTGATTTACGCGTAAGTAAATGCCCTGCTACGGTCAGAGCTCAAGCTAACTTGTTTCAGGACTACTGGTGTCGTTGTTCGTATGCTAGAGCGGCCAGAAGACTTCCAAGATATCACTCACGTCGTTCTGGATGAAGTACACGAGCGTACCATCGATAGTGATTTCCTTCTTGTTGTTCTACGAAGACTGATGCAAAAACGACCCGACTTGAAGCTCATTCTCATGTCCGCTACTGTTGATGCTCAGCGGTTCTCAAACTACCTCGGTGGTGTCCCAATCATGAACATCCCTGGACGGACGTTCCCCGTGGAAACGAAATATCTCGAAGATGCAGTTGAGATGACAGGCTACCGTTTATCCGAAGATGACTCAAACGGCATTCTGGACGATGATCCAGATGAAGTCTCCGATTCCACCGGGGATGCTGCTGTCGGGGGTCTTCAGGCCAGTCTCGAAGGGTATTCCAAGCAGACTCGGGAGACCATTCTCAACTTCGATGAGTACCGTATGGATTACCAGCTAATCAAGAAATTGCTTCTGAGAATTGCTACCGCGCCTGATATGGAACACTACAGCAAGGCAATTCTAGTCTTCATGCCTGGTCTTGCAGAAATCCGCCGATTGAATGATGAGATTCTCGCCGAGCCGACCTTCCAAAGGGGATGGATAGTGCATGCTCTCCACTCCTCAATTGCCAGTGAAGACCAAGAAAAGGCTTTCAATGTGCCGCCTGAAGGCACAAGGAAGATTGTCATTGCGACCAACATCGCGGAAACAGGTATCACCATTCCAGATATCACAGCAGTGGTTGATGCAGGTAAAGAAAAGATGATGCGCTTCGATGAAAGAAGACAACTTTCTCGACTGGTCGAGTCATTTATCTCTCGCGCCAATGCAAAGCAGAGACGTGGACGTGCAGGTCGAGTCCAAAATGGTATTTGTTTCCATCTATTTACTAAACACCGTCACGATAAACTGCTCGCAGAGCAACAGACGCCCGAGTTGCTTCGTCTTTCCCTGCAAGACCTCGTTTTGCGAGTCAAGATTTGCAAGCTGGGTGAGGTTGAGCAGACGCTCCTTGAGGCCCTGGACCCACCGTCTCCTAAGAACATCCGGCGTGCCATAGACTCTCTCAAGGAAGTCAAGGCTTTAACAAGCAACGAAAGCTTGACACCGTTAGGATCGCAACTGGCGAAATTACCCCTGGACGTCTTCTTAGGCAAGCTGATCATTCACGGTGCTTTCTTCCGCTGTTTAGATGCCGCAGTCAGCATTGCTGCCATTCTATCGTCCAAATCACCATTTGTGAACACGATGGGCTCGAACTCGCAGCGTGATGCCGCGCGAAACGGCTTCCAAAGAGGTTTGATAACCATCATGAAATCTACACACAATGCCTCGCTAATCATTCTCAGGTGACTCCGATCTTCTCACCGTCTACAATGCCTACTGCGGCTGGAAACGCGCCAAAAGCACCCCCGGCTCCAGCGAATACGTCTTCTGCCGCAAAAACTTCCTGAGCCCTCAAACCCTCCAAAGCATCGAAGACGTCAAGCTCCAATTGATCGTCTCAATTGTCGACGCGGGGATGATAAATCTAGACGCCTCCCAAAAGACAGCACTCAGCCGGTACCTTCCCCTCTATTCCTTTCATACCATTATCATCAAAGACACCAAACTAACAAATTCCATAGAGCACGCTCAAGTAACCGCCAACGCCAGATGTTTACCATCCCTGAAGAACACGATCTCAACAGCACAAACGACGTGGTCATCAACTCGGTCGTCGCCTGGAGCTTCTATCCCAAGCTCATCACCCGCGAAGGCAAAGGATGGCGTAACGTCGCCAATAATCAGACCGTCACGTTGCATCCAACATCCATCAATAAACACGCCGACTACTCCATCAAATGGCTTTCCTATTACCATATCATGCAAGCACGGAATCGGAATCTGAACGCTCATGATACCAGCGCTGTTGATGATTTCTCTATTGCACTGCTATGCGGTGATGCTGAGTTCAAGGTACGTCTCCTTTCTTTTTTGGCATGAGACTCTATACCCCCGTCCTCCTCACTTTGATTTTCAAACTCTGAAAGAGAAATTAATAATCTGATTTTTAGTTATACTCGGGCGTCATCTCAATCGACGCAAACAGGATCCGCTTCGCAGTGCGCGACTGGAAATCTATGCTCGCGTTGAAAATCCTCAATTCCCGTCTTCGCGATCTTCTCGCGGCTACGTTCAAGAACCCACACAAAGCGCTATCTTATAAGCAGCAGCAGTGGTTGGATATTTGGCAGCAGATTTATGCGCAGGCTTGGAAGCGATGAAGTTGATTCGTTTGAAGCTAGGCATGGTTTGGTGTTGTGCATCTTGCATGGACTGTCCTGCATCAACATCGTTACATTTGTTGCATGAATATGGATTGTTTGCATTGTACTCTCTGTTTTGTGTGGTTCATGTCTTGATGAGTGTCATGATTGGGTGTGGGTACGATAGATCACTTTTTGCTTTTTCGTGGTGGCGCTATGATAGACTTGCATAGATGAGTGGTCTTTTTGCACAGTTAGGTTTGAGAATTAGGTTATGACTTCATATGCACCAATGTACAAATACATGTGAAGTCAAAGGCAATTTCCATTTGCCATTTCGTCCTCCAATGTATCTTATATTATCCGGAGTAGAATTCATGCCTGGAATAGTTGGAGTCATTGTGAAGGCTACAGGCCTACTTTCAAAATTACGCAATTGCATCGGAACAAGTCATCAATCAATCCATTGAATTTGCAGGCCAAAAAAAAAAAGAGAAAACCCAGGCAGACATTGTATATCGCTATGGTGTTCATACCCAAGGGGTAAAGGTTTCATGATCAATCATTACCATCATATCGTCTCTCTAAAACAGAACCAGAACACGGGCCATTTGAAACCCACGGTATGCCAAGAAAGACCCATTTTCTGACCGCACAACGATAAAATGGTGAAAACAGTAAATACTGAAAAAGAAAATACCAAAGCCAGCGCGATGTAGGAAATCGCACAAAATAGAAGAGATTCGTCATAGAAAATAAATATTCGTCACGTCATGGTCGTTAAGGCCGGCCTCAATGAGAGGGGAGCCGTTTCGTTTCGTCACTTTGCTGAAACTGGATAAAAAAAAAAAGGACATCAAACCCCCCCTTGAGGGAAGTGGCTGCTCGAATCCGCGCCAGAGATGAGTAAAGCCATTGCGCAAAAACCGGAGATATGCATGCCTCGATGAATGCAACGAGAGACGGGGAATTTTGGATCGCCCATAGCCGGAGTTCAGGCGAAAGCGGCGGAAAGAGGGATGCTAAGCTGGAAAACAATAATCATGATCGTCCGTGTCTGCGGCTTGTTTGGGTTTAGCCGCAGATCTAGTTCAACACAGAAACAAAACTCCGAGGGCTGAGGGGAGAGGCGTGACATGGGATCAAAGAATTCATCGGCGGCGGCTCATCACTCCTCCGGTTTTCATGGGCTGAAGGAGAGGAGCACCTCCGATGGGGCCACCGAGAGTAGCGTCAGTGATGGTCTTGCGACGCTTGCTTTCGTATTCGCCAGCGCTTTCAGGGCGAATGACGTCGTCATCTTCGCGCATGCGCTTGCTGCCCGAGCCGAGCGATCCGTGAACGGTAGTCGAGTACACAGGGGTCGACGTGGAGGCCATGGAGTAGGGATCCGATGCTCCGTTGGCGGGAGTACCACGAGTGTCACTGACCGCGTTGTACAGAGTCGTGGCCGCGGGTGGGCGAGGCGGAGTGTTATATCCAGAAGCCCAGTGGGGAGGCGGGCCACCGCTTGTGCGCGGCGTCATGCGGCCCGAGCCGTTCTGCTGCGGGGACCCGGTCATCTCAGGAGTCAACTGCGAATGCTCGCCGGTCAGAGATCCAACTGACGGATTGGTCGTGTAAGTGTACGAGTGGCGGTTGGTGTTGTACGCGGAGCCCTGGTCTTGCAGATATTCAGACTCCTGCTCTTGAACAGACTCGTTGCCTCCGTTGCCCTGAGAATACCGATCAGACTTCAATTCTGGAGTATCGGCCTCGGAGCCAGGAGCACGGCCAGTGGGAGGGGCCATCTCGTTCTTTAGATAGCCCACCGCGGGAAGAGGTTGCCCATAGCTGGACATGCCCGACTGGGTCATTGGCGTGTGCGGAGCATACTGAGAGTGGGAATGCGGCGCAGCTGAATAGTACGGCTTCGAGTTGTCATAGCCGGCCTGACTCTGGTATGGCGGCATTCCCTGCATATTGTTGCCGGGTGGAGTGGTGGCAGGAGTTGTCGGCATCGAACGCTGGTTGCTCAATGCGGTGTCAATCGACAACGGCTGGGTATGAGAGACTCCCGAGTTCATGCCCTGGCCGCTCCATTCGTAGGAGCTTCCCTGATTGGTCACGCCCATCAGGCTGGATGCACTCGCGGGGGGGAGCAGGGAAGGTGTTGGCTCGATCAATCCCTGGGCGCGGACCCATTGAGGACGGCTGAGACAAGTGCGAGGACATGGGGGTCTGCATGGCGTGGTGATGCAAAGACGAAGACTGAGGAGCGGTCGGGGTCCGCTGAGGGCCGGCGGGAGGACCTTCCATGCGGCGCTGCTGCGATTCCTGCACGACCAAGTTGGTCCGATTTTGGTTGGCCGGGTGGTACAGCAGACCACCAATGTTATGCACAAAGAGCGGATACAAAAGATCCGTGATCTTCTCTTTGTTGGCAAATTCCAAAGCGCGTTCAAAAGGAATCCAAACACCCTTGAGATGCATGGGCCCGATCTTGACCACGTGTCGAAGCTTCTCGCTCTTGAGAATGCCATCGCGGCGACCGCGAGTCATGCCCGCAACGTTCAGCAATTTCGTGCCGTTAATCATATGGTTATCTGTCCACTGAGTCAGTTTATATCGTCTGGAATTTGCGGCTTTGATGCTGACCTTCTCTGCGAGCCACACAAACACCCTTTGCCTCGACTTGGTAGCAGAGGCTGCCCTCGTCTTCCCAGAGAGTCGCGGTGACGCGGGGCTTGGCTCCCGGAGGCGCGACCTGGCCGGTGGGGTCATAAATATAGCCTTGCAAGGGGGCACCGGTATTGTTCCCATAACCCGAAGGAGCAACTGGGTGGTTGGTGACTGCACACTAGTAAGCAAATTTGATAACCACTCTTTCCGTTCATTGTCAACTCACCTGGAATTGGTAGCAATTGCGGATTCATCTGGCCGCCCATGGAACTTGAGGGTGGTGGGTGGCCAGTGGGCGGCGAAGTGACACCACTGGGATATCCATACTGCGAGTAGGCCGGGCCATATGAAGAAGCCGGCTGCAGTACCGGAGGTTGCTGATGGTAAGGATAATGCGACATGGCACCAGCAGTAGCACCTTGTGAGGCGTATGATTGAGCGGACGACAGATGGGAATGTACATCCATGTACGGATGAGTCTGATTCATGCTCCCGAGCGAGGTCGGACTGGGATAATAACCCTGGTGAGCGAGGTGATAGTCTGAATCCAGGCCTGGGTTGCTTAGATCCGCGGGTGGGGGGCTCCTGGGTTCCTGGACCGCTGAGACGCCCGACAGACTGCTACGGGCACTTGAACTGGCCGAGCTGCCAGAGGCGTCCTGGTAGAGTGCACGGGACGGAGCCTGGTTGGCCGTGGGCAGGCTGAGCGCGGGAAGCTTGTCGCCCGACAGAAGTGGACGTTCGGCCGCGTGGTGGTTGTACCAGGGGATATCAACAGGACCGCGGGTGTGGACCTGCGAGATCGACGGTAGCTCCAGCTTTTCGGTTTCACGGGAGCAGAGGGAAGAAAAGTAGGAAGAGAAGAGACAGAGAGGCTGTCGGACCTGAAGACAGGAGACCGGCAAGCCGTTTCAAGACTTTGTACTTGTTTGAAATGGGGGGGAAAAGGTTGCACTGCGTCGGGGGTTGAGCAGAGTAACAAGCAAGTAGGGCAGTGTAGGTAGCAAAGTCGCAAGTAGCAACAAGTCAGGAAAGAGACAAGAACCCGAGAGCTAAGTCATCAATGTCATGAAAATCGTAGGCCAATGCAGGTCAAATAAGGCCGCAGTTATAGAAAAAAGTATCAGAGGCTGGCGTGCAGCAAACGCATCCCTCTGCAGGTGAAGAAGGGGGAACACATAAACGCTGAGCCGCAGGACGAACGGGAAGATCAGTGGGCTGGATGACTAAGGGTAGAATGTGGGGGGGGGGAGTATTAAGAAGGCTGGAAAAAGGCTGGTTCAAGGGAAAATAAAAAAAAAGTGGTAGAATGCAGAAATCCCGGCAGCCTTTTGAGGTTTCTCCTCAACGGAAATAGTATCGAATCATGCCCGGTGGAGAATTGGGGGGATGGGAAGGGAAAAAAAAAAACACACTATGGGGGGGGGGGAATCGAGTCTGCCGCCACCAAGCAAGGACTGACTTACCTAAATGGAAGCAAGAGAAGAATCGAAATTCGAAATTCGAAAATAGAAAATGGAAAATGGAAAATGATTAAAGGATTCAAAAACAAAATAATAAAAAATAGAAAATAAATCAGAAGAAGAGGTTGAAAAAAACTGAAAATAAAAATAATAAAAATAAAAATAAAATGCAGGGACGATAGAGAGAGAGAGAGAGAGAAAAGAGAGAGAGGGGAAGAGGAAAAGACTCCACCGAGCTGAGGATCCTGGTCTGTGTGACGAGCAAAACGCTGATCGGCCGGGATAAGGCCTGAGGATCTGGTCGAGATTAATGCCCACGCACTGCACTCTAGGATAGCTGATGCTACTGGGCTATGGGGGGCGCTATGGGGCTATACACTATGGGTGATGGACTCTTCTGACTATTGACTTATCGACCCATACTCCCCGATTTACCCTACCGCAAGATCCCTTATGGTCGACTCCACTCCGAACCAGGGATGACTGCTCGGCCGACCAACACAATGAGGTTGGAGTCGAGACTTCGATCGACGGGGCCCCGTGCAAGACATAGCGCCTGCAGAGGACTAACCGCTGCACGGTCGATTACGAGGCGGAGGTTTCAAGAGCTCCCTAGTGCTCTTAGTGCTCATCCTCGGAGTGCTAACGCTGACAGGAGTTCTTGCAATTCTTCCAGTGTTTACCCGATCTCAGTGCTCCTAATGCCGCCCGTCCCCAACAACCCCACCATTATTTCTCATGACTCGTGAATTTCCCATGATTCATGCCTCCTCACGAATTACGGAATAGTTCCGAATTGAACCCGACCTGTCTCATCTTTAGTCCAGCGGCCCGTCGGTCCCCCAAAGGCCACGGCTATAGCCGCTCAGTAATGCCACAACCGACTTGCCCGTCTCCCAAAACTCACGAGGGTCCGTGAGTAGAAGCGCGTCACATCCAAGGGATGCTGGCGGTGCTGAGGTGGTGGGGGAAATCAGTGGTCCAGAGTGCACCACGAAACGGGTGGCTTGAGTCGATCAAGGGTCTGTTCTCTCGGGATCCCTGCCCAGTCCTACGACCGAAAAGTATGGAAGACCGCCTGGATTCAAATACTTCCAGGCCCCGTGATGCGTTGATAGCGGCACACTTTGAGGTAATTCCATGAGCTATGAGAGTGAAATCCAGTATCGTAGCCTGAGGGTCGTAGTAGCATAGCTCCGCCCTTTCTCTCCCTCCTTCTCTCTGTCTCTATCTCTTTCTTTTTCTTTTTTTTTTCACTCGTTAAACTCGCCCGCGCGTGCACGTTGGTCTCGATCTCGCGCTGGTAGCTCCCAAGGTACGTACTCTCCAGCAAGGGAGTTTCTTCGCCAGATACACCGCTACTAGCACACACACCCTTGCATCGATTCCGTAACAACATTGGCCATCTCTGGATCTAGTGTCGATAATTAGCGTAGATTATGGTTCTAAGGCGATCTTCTAGGGCAAAAATTGACACTGACAGGTGTCAAAAGACGACAGGGATAGGATTTCTGAATTGATGAATTGTGGAATGTGGCATATGGTATTCTGGAATAATGGATAATGGATAATATAAAACCTCGGACGTACAATACACTTTGGAGTACCGTGGACTCCGGTCTCGAGTTGACGTATCTCATCAATATCTAGGTACCGATCACCACTCTCACCGAAGCGCCGATTCATTCGCATCATTGAACCCGACTCTTTCCTACTCGGTCATCCTTCGTCCCCAATGGGTTTACGCCCAGGAGTGGCGTTAATCGGACCACACAGATCCTGGACAACTGAGGAGGAGGGGGGGGCCCAGAGAGAGGGCCATAGAGAAGAAGGGGCGAAACCGGAAAGAAACGGGGGTTCACCGTCCAGACCGTTCTGCAGAACGGAATCAAAGCAGAAGCTCGTCCTCAACCGGGGCCGAGATCCCTGCACCGCAGCTCGCTATCGACGGCCCGATACCCGCTGCGCATACGTGAAGGGATCCGCTTCCTTGTTGAACCCCCCTCTTTCACCCTCCCCGGAGCTTTGGGGGGCGCTTTGGGATGGGCGGGAGAAAGATCAAATCAAGTTCTGGTGGATCAGCACTAGTCACCGTGTGATTCTTTTTTCTTTTTGTTTTTTTTTGCCGTAGTGTACAGTATTCTTGTATTTTTTTTTCCCTTCCATGCCCAGCCCCCTCAATAATTTTCGTGTTTTGCTTTTCCCTTCAGTTCCTTTTCGGTTCTTTTTTTCTTTTTTTTTTTTTGGTCTCTTTATTTTCTAATCTCATATTATCTCCCCGACCATCGAGACGGGTCCTCCGGAAATAAGAAAACATAATTGCAAATTGTCAGAGCTTGGACCAGACCAATTCTCCCCCCCCCCCACCTCCCTCTCAAGTTCCCAATTAAAATCGATCCATCCATCGACCCACTAGCACACGGCCCCATGGAGCAAAACGGGTTGCGAAACCTCGGTGATGTATCAACTCTCACCGATATCGCCCGTTGAGCCATGAAGAGGCAAGGGGAAACATAATTAGATCGGGCGCTATCATAGCTCTAGTCATGATCATCTAGTCATCTCCATTTAGGGGCTCTGGAGACTAATATCGGTGGGATGCCCCCGGAAGATCCATTGTGATTTCATCATTGACAAATACCCTCGTTGGCTACGGAGTGGACCAAATGCCGAAGTTCTCGCGCTTTGGTGTTTTGGCGAGCTCCACTCAACACCTCCAGCAGGGAAATATCGATTCCGTCACCACCGATCGACGGGTTCGTCTGTACCTTGCAGGGACTTTACCCTGCGTCGTCCGTGCAGTGATGTGTCCCAGGTTTCACGGGTTCTATAAGATAAAGAGGTCAAGTGGCATTGCCATGCTCGATGCTCGATGCTTGATGCTCCGACGGTTGATGCCAGATCACGCTGTCAGACGTGGAACCCGTGGGAAAACAGTAAAAAACGCACCGGTCTATCACGGGTTGTGCAGGGATGTCCCCGGTCGATTTCGGGGGGGAGGAGAGGGGGTTGTACAATTGGTGATTGGGGGAGATTAAGCAGGACTCTTTCCCTCTTCCGTATTGAGAGCGAATGCCAGAGCGAGAGCGCCCCTAGCCCTCTGGTCCCGCTCCATCTGGGGCTATGGACAGCGCACTTGGCGGGCCGTGCAACCTGATTTAACCTCGCATTGCATTTCGTCCCGTGAGAGATCGACTGCACGTTCATCTTGCGCTCAAATCGTGGACCATTCCCTAGGCTTTCCGTCAGCAGTTAGCGCCCTTAGAACACGGAGTGTACAGTCCGGTGTAACAGCGAGAGAGGACAGCTGCAAGCGCCCGCCGATCGACGATCCGACCGGACAATGACTGGCCGAGGCTGTCACCACGTAGCCGACGGTGGATTCACCGCCAGTTGGCCCCTTGCGTGTGGACGTGGCACGATGATCTCAGTGGATGCCTTGATTTGGCGTGGCTCGTTGTTCGTGTTTCGTAGTTTCGTAGGTTCGTAGTCTTGGGCTACCTAGGAAGTATTTCATGGTTTCATGATAACCATTTTCAATAATCTCAGTTGTGGCCGATCTCGTAATTTCCGACTTCCAATTTTCAATTTCTCCTAACCCTGATCGAGTTCTGTAATCCACGAGCCATCGAGCCCTTGTGACGGGGGCCCACTAGGACCGAAGCTACAGTATCTTCCCCAAATAAATGACGATGCTGAAACTCCGGAAAGAATCCGATAAGGTGAAGTATGTGCGCGACATTCGACTAACTGCCACTGCCCCCGGGGAGCTTATGACGCACCCTAGTCCATCGGACTCCGCACATGCTCGCATGTACAACGATCGCGATGTACCTCTAAACCCCCATCCTAGTCATGTTCCAGCCTCGGCCCTCGATCTTCTGGGGTCATCCCCGGCCGTCACAATCTGCACTCACCGTCTCTTGACACCTGCCGAGCCCGATCGAAGAATGTGCAGCTACCGCTTCTCGCGCGTGGGGGACCGGCCACATTCTCGAAGCATGACACTTAACTCGCCTGCATGTCTTGCCCCTGTCCAGTGTGATTCGAGATCCTAGGAATGCGTTGGGGGATGCGTTGCACCCGCTCACCGCTGGTTTCAAGACATGAGAGCTTGTTCTTGTCTCGCTACAGTTGTCTCCTCGATCGAGGGATGGAAGTTGCGTGGCTTCTGTAGTTCTAGCGGCCTTCTTGATTTTCTTTTCACCGATCCTGAGATGTGGTTTCAGTGCGCGCATTAAGCTTGAAACGGGTGCGCCCTTGGTTACGACCGTGATTTTCCCACGGAAAATAACTTGCCGGTTGATCGTGCCGTCATATCTGCCTCCTCGTGCTGGGCTTGCGCTGCACTTGTGCTGGTTCATGCTGGGTGATGCTGGGGAACACTGGGTGTACCTTTTATCCCTGATCAGCTTAATGGCTGGAGATAATGCATTCATCTGCGCACGCCAGGTACGTACCAGCTCCGGCATAGTCGAGCCAGGGACAGTGTAAAATAGAGACTGTTACAGATCTGTGCAGAGATGCGCTCACGGATGGAAGCAGGTAGCAGGCTTCTAGAAGCTGGAAGCTGGAAGCCAGATGCATCTGAGGATGATCGGGCTGCCTCGTGCGAGGGTGCCACTGCCGACATCTTTAGATCAGTCTGATCTGAGCCTGCATCTAATGTACGAATTGAGAATGAACGAACTGCTAGACTGTGATTTTGTCTATATCTTAATATAAATGAAAGAAATGTGAGCTTTTGAAAATCGTGCGACTTGCATCCACATTATCATTACGCTACCACCACTTATGAGCTCTAGTTAGTAGATGGCTTGAGTCAGTCTTGACGCCTTTCTTCAGTTAACTGCGGTTCCAGTACTGATCATTAGGATCCATCTCACCAGAACGAATTCCAACCATCGTGTGGGTTCATGGCTATAGTTCATCTGGAATGTCGATAAGATCATCTTCTATCTTCTCCGCCCAGCTATATAAAAACATGGCTCACCCCGCACTCGATTCAACCAACAAACTCATGACCACAAAATGCAGCTTCACAGCCATCCCTCGATTCAAATACTACCTCTATGAATCACAAAAACAAACGCCCCTATTATGATGTCCAGATCTCGAATACGGGATCTACCCGTAACAACGGCACATACCAAGTCCCACGTGATAGCAACGACCCTATCCCGAACAAGCAAAACCAAAACACCGCAACCATGGTTCACGACCACCACTCCCAACGTCACTCCAACTTCCAAGATCGCAAGAGAGAGAGAAAAAAAAAGAGAAACCACCCCTCACCTCTAAGCCCTAACCTACCACACCAAAGACCAGCAACGTACAATGCCCGACCCGCCGAAATCCTCAACCGTCCCAGACCACCATCCCCACAGAACCATAGGATCTTCGACTCCTGGAATTCCTCTTCAACAGGGCACCAGCGCGCAGACGGAAAAGAGCAAACCATCACATGGAGGGACCTCCGTACCGACAAACTCGGGCGACAATTCAAAACCGGACACTGTGATGACTCGAGCGGGCCTTCAATGGCCTTTGATGGAACATGTGGATCATCGCCGGAGGAGCAAAAAGGAGAGTGGAGATGGGTTGATGAGGAGGAGGCGAAGCGCGCAAAACTAGGCGTCATGGACATTCGAAATTTCATGGGAGTTAGCAAGCGCAAAGCGCCTGCACCCGAGACTGTTATGGAGATCGAGGGAAAGAAAAAGAAACAGAAAGTCGATACCAGCCATGCTCTAGCATATGCACCGGTTCTCTCATGCTCTACGCCGATTTCTCCGTCCAAATCGCCCATCAATAGGCCGTCGAAGCCTGTAACCTCTACTTCATTATCTACTTCGACCTCAATCTCAACTGACCCCACACGTCCCCAATCGAGGATCTTCGCCGGAACAGCCGTCTATGTAAACGGCTCGACAATGCCGCAAATCTCAGATCACAGACTCAAACACCTCCTCGTTTCCCACGGCGCGCGAATCTCCACTTTCATGGCGCGCAAGACTGTTTCTCACATTATAATCGGCCAACCGGGTTCTACCTCCTCTGGTGCAGGCGGAGGATTATCAGCGAGGAAACTGCAACAGGAAATTGAAAGGGGTGGATGGAAGGGTATCAAAGTTGTGGGTGTTGATTGGTATGCTGTCTACTCGCCCGATTCTTCTTTTCTTTTTCTTTTTTTTTATGTCTAACGGGTTTCTCATGGCAGGGCTCTTCAAAGTATCAACGCGGGTAAACGGCTTTCCGAGTCGAGGTTTGCCGTTTTGAATATTGCGCCGCAAGGGCAGAGGAGTGTTTTGGGGATGTTGCTGAAGTAAATGGCTTCGTGGTATTTTGGTCTACTTTGTTTTTCTCTTATTTCTCTTTATTTCTTATGAGGTGGTGCATTGCATCCGGTGTGCATTGGGTATTGCATGGCATCGGCATTGGCGTTGGATTTTCTGCATGGTACAATTGACATTGGCGCTATGCTGGGTAAATAGTAGGGTTTTTGCCTGGCTCGGCGATACGATACCCGTTTGTTCATACATTTAGATGTTGAAATATATCCGAATTCTTTGCTTGATTGTTTCATTGCTCATTACCGTCATCGATCATGACATAGGTTCCTTATATATACAGTTTCAAAGGTTCAAGGCCAGGTGTGCCAACAGATATACAACGAATTGACCCCTAACGCCGGCAAATGCAGTGCTGTATGTGACAAAGATTGTCCGCTTTGAAAAAAGAGAGAGAGAGAGAGAGAGAGAGAGAGAGAGAGAGAGAGAGAGAGAGAGAGAGAAAGAGAGCTCAGGTGGGAAATGTTCCTCTTTTCAGACGAATGCTCCACCGTTCCCGGATCTATGATCCGGGTGATCACCATCGGGATTGGGAGAATCGGAAACATGCCGCCTCCATCCGCTCTGTCGTCGGGCGAGATAGATGGGCGGGGACTGGGCGTGGTGGTCATCGTCTCGGGCTTCGGTGGATGTTATCGAGGTGACACCCATGTCGGATGAAGCTGTTGAGGTGGATCTCATGCCTAATTCACCGCTGAATGCTCTTTCGTCAGGGAGAGGAGGAAGAGGATTGGGATTGCGGTGGGTGGAGAAGGAGGATGAGGAGGGTGGAGGGGCACGAGCGTGGGCTTGAGAGGAGTTGCTCCTAGTGCGGTTGTGGTTGCCAATATTTTGCCAGTCGTGCTCATCGACGGGCTCTGGTGAGGCTGCAGATTGGCGGCTAGGTGGTAGGTAGTACGGGTTTGAGACGTTTGCGTGGGAGTATAGCGCATGGTGGTCCTCGTATGCAGGGAACGCGGATGTGGACATGCTCGAGACGGAATCTGCTTTGGGACGGCTGGGGTGCATGGGCTGCACTTCGTCAAGGCCGGACTCGCTGGTTGACCAACGCTCCAGCTTCTCACCGAAAGTCTCTTCCTGCTGAGAAGCGCGCGAGTCACCCTTTACCAGACCGAGACGCTCCTCTTCAGTAGCAGACTTGCGCAAGTCACCACCTGAGAGATGCGACCGGCGGAGAATACCCCGAGGCGGACTTGCAGGAGGCTTGTGTGAGTGCTGACTGCCATTCCTGATTCGATTGAACATGGTGTTAAAGGAGAATTGGCGTTGCGCAGCATGAATCGAAGACTCAGAGTCCCGATCATCGGCTTTCTCGTCGGCCCAGTGGATGGATCGGGGTGTGTCACTGCGCTCTCGGCCTGTGGGACGGAAAGGAGCTCCCAGACCTTCGTCAGCAGCACCATGGTATTCAGTGTCGACGACACCACCTGTCATTTCGGTCATCGTCACCGGGGTATTGTTCGCGTTGAGGTATTTCTCGTCAGTTTCATTCAAAGAACGCCACTTGGGGTGAAGTACACTTCCTGTCCGCGACCGGAGGTCGCTGAGGAAAGAGTGTCCACTTTGATTGGTTTTAGGTCGCTGTTTCTCTTCATTGTCAGGATCGGGGAAGTGAGACATGCCCAAGGGGGGCAGCTGTTGCTTGAACGATGGCGAGCGCGGAGTGGCCGATCGAGACATGGTGGGTCCTTCACCAATAACGGTCCTCCTTCTGCGGATGCCATCCCATTCGATAATCTCATTCTCACCAGGGGGCTTGAGGAGGTCTTGATTCTTTTCATGAATAAAGCGACGGGCCTCATCAGCCTCTGCGTCCCGACGAGTAGTCGAGATGCGACGGAGGATGGATGCAGCGCCTCGAATGGAGTCTGCCTTGGGCTCATACTCAGGCTCTTCTTGCGCAGCAACTTCACGGATTTGATCCAAATCACCCTTGAATACGGCGGCATCGGGAACATCCTTGGCAGATTTGGACAACTGCAAGAGAACAACACCAGAGCAAATCTGCAAAAAGCCCATGATGACCGTAGTAATCTCGATCGCGGTGCCCTTGAAACCCCGGAACAATACAGCCGAAGCGACGATGGTGGAGCTGGTAAACATGACATAGTAAGTCGGAGTAACGAGCGCAGCATTGAAGAGATTCAACGCTTTCTGCAAGAATGTTAGCAAAAATCTCAAAACAAGCGTCGAATGAAAAAGAACAACTCACATTGAGATAAATAATCTCCGTCAGCAGTGTGCAAACCACAAACACAAACAGAACATAAAGGAACCAGTGCTTAAACTGCTCCTCGCCATTTATCTGAGCCAGGATAGCCGACCCAAGTCCCTGTGTCGCAACCACACTCAATCCACCGACTAAGCTGCAAATGCCGATATAGACAAACATGCTCTTCTTGCCGTATTTCGGTGCAACCCAGATGGCCGTAATAGCCGACCCAACCAGAATGACACCCCCATATGACAAAAACCCAGGGCTGATAACGAATTTCTGCATCTCTTGGATATCACTGACAGACGACTGCGTCGGCGCATTCATGGCAATCACCACGGATCCAATGATACAGGAGAAACACCCCACTTTCCCAACGAAACTGAGTCGTTCTTTCAGGAAAATCGCGGACAGAATGGTAGTGATGACCACTGATAATGCGCCAAGGGGAGTAACCAGAATGGCGTCGACGAAGGCATATGCGACGAAGTTGCAGATCTCCCCAAGGATCATAAGCGTCATTCCCGTCCACCACCAGAAATTTTTCAAGTAACCGTATCCCTCACCTGCTTCTTCATTGTATTTGACGTTAGCCTTCAAGAGGCCGCGTTTCTTCAACACAAACGAAACGCCGATGAATACGCCTGATGCGACGGCGAGTGAGATGCCGACTGCTTTGTAGACGGGCGGGCGGCCGGTGGAGTCGCGCGCGACGAGGCTCGAGGTATGTAGATTCTCCATTTTGAAGTGTCGACAAGGAGATCAAGACCACTGGCCAGCAGTGGGAGGGGGCGTCGCAAGGACGGAGTCGTCCGAAGACGTCGGCGACTACTGAGACACTTGTTCAGGCCAGTTTGCGGGCGCGTATGTGCTGACGTGTGTTGCGGCCCAAACCACAGATCGGAGTCGACGATATTTATCCAAGTATAAGTGTAATGCAGGGTCCGAGGAGTGTTTAATGCGTGGGAGCTCTGGAATGGTTCTGGAAATTCCGCGGGATTGGGGGGCGAAAAGATCAGCGCTGAGACGTAAGTGGCAGCGTGCTAGGCAACCATGCGATGAATTTCGAACAAAGTGAAGGTGAAATATGTTCAGACGCAGGAAACAAACACTTGAGAAAGACGTTGAAAGAAGAAAGAAAAGAAGAAGCAGAGCGTTCAGGAGATTAATAGAAGAATAGGGGGTTTGAAACAAAGAGGCTGGGCTTGTGGGGAAAACGTAGATACGGTTGTCACGGTAGGTCGGGGCTGCTTGTCCGAACAACACTTGTTACCTTGTGGTGTCTATTTCCATATTCTACACTACATTTTGCTGGACTTGCCCGGGTTTTTCTTTTCTATTTTTGGAATCTTTTTTTTCTCTTGATTTCTTACCTACTGAGATGATCAGATCTATGAGATTCTCCTCTTCATTACTATACACCACAAGCCCACCTCCTGAGGTCGTTAAATCGTCACATCATTTCCCATTAGGGATGATCGTCCCCTTTGCCATCCTAGACTAGAAAAGTAAAATCAAGAAAACAAAACGCCATCACACCGTGTTCCCGGTTCTTTGATCCTCATAGTTCACCATCATGAGTGAAGGGTATCCAGTAGAGAAAACACAAAATGAAAAGCAAAAAGTGAAAAAAAAAGCAGACAAAATTTTATCTCACGTGGTAGCTCGGCTTCCGTTGTCGATTCACGCTCGGCGGGGGTTCATCCACTGGATACGGTGGTCGGACCTTGCCGCTGGAGAGTCCTGGTGGCTGAGTAAATAGTGGCGCAGGCATCGGTACGCCTGAAAGGTCTTCCTGGGCGGGATAAGGGATCGGTGTCTTGGGAGGGATGGGCGGAGGCATGCCGTTGTAAGTCATGACCTGATCTCCACTTTGGCGAGGAGAACCATATTGCTGCGAAGATGGTCGTGAGTACTCATGGCTGGGACGGAATCCGCTGATTTCGCCGCTGGAGTGTCTTGTAGGCGACACAGGAAGACTGTCCCGAGGTGTGGGATGAGTCGGCAGTGAATCGTCCCCGGAAGGTGCAGTCACAGTTACGCCGGGTGACATTGGCGCAGGCCGGAAATACTCCATAGACTCGGCGGGAAGTTCAGCAGGGAGTTCGACTGCCTCCGGGTGGGAAGGAGGAGGGACATGATATTCGGATGTCATCGGAGCGACGTTGAGCTCTTCCCGCTCAAGATCGAAGGACATATCGTCCCGATCACCACCAGCGGCCGCGTGAGCAGCCAACCGCCTGTTCATGCGTTCGATCTTGGCAAACTTGACCCCCGCATCCAAAATCATCTTCTTCACCTCGGGCTTGGATAGATAGCGCCGCGTGTTGGTGCTGATATCCGCCAATCGATTCCACTCGTTCATGCCGAACTCGCCCACTCCAACTTCGACGTTGAGACGGTAGTAATTGTCAATAGGGACATTGCGCTTGGTGAGATTTTCCATCAACATTTGCTGGTGGATGTCTTCACAGCCCTCAATCTTCGTAATGAGACGTCGGCGCGCCTCCGCAAATGTGCCCCCCGCACCACCAAAGAAATCCTCCCACCATTCGTGGGAGCGGTTGTTAGTACCAGGGGGTCGACGACCAGTTCCAATAGAAACAAACACGCCAACCTCACGACCAGGCCACTCATTGACAACAGCTTCATCCAGAATCTGCGGCGAGGGGTTGTACGTTCCTGGGCCTTCGTCTATGAAGTTGCTCTGTCCGATCCGAATTGGCTTGAATGCAAGTCCGGTAGCCGAGGTGGCGCGACCAGCCTGCCAGATAGTACAGTCGAATTCCGGCGGAGGTTCGCGGCGAGAGTCGTAGGATCGCAATAGCACAGCCGGTCCATTCTTTGGTGTGCCCTTGTAAAGCGCAGTGACAGCACTAGTCGCATGTTAGCATTGCATGCGAGAATTGACGGGGTAGAACTTACGTCTTCGTCCGATTCTCTCGGTTATCATAGAGCAGCGCATCAGGGTTTCCCCAGCGCAGGCCATTCAGAAAAGTGGAGCCTCTTTGGCTTGCGGGGTATTGAGGGTGTGACGCGGCCGAAGTGCTGAAGCTGCCCCGACTCACCGATCGCTGGGGTATCGCGTTGGGACTGTAGGGAAGACTTGCGATAGACGATCGTGGGTCGGCAGACGGCTGATCATTCCCTTCTCCTTCGAAAACCGTGTGTTCGCGCACACATTCCCTGATGGCCTCTTCCAGTTTGGAAGCCTTGAAAAGGGTCGACCGATAAGGAATACCAGCAATGGTCTTGTCTGTTTCGAACACTTTGCGGGTCATGCGCACGTAGACTTCTTTGCAGGTTTCAAGGTCGAGTCGAAGACGTCCCAGCATTAGAGCGATCAGGCCGCCCGTGCCGGTACCTGCAATCAGGTCGAAATGGTCGCAGGGTTTGGGGATCTGGTCGCGACGCGGTGGCTTTCCTTCGCATTCAACGTATGTGCGATACATGAGTTCCTGGAGAATGATGAGCATGGAATAGCCGCGAACACCGCCTCCATCTGCGCTAGTTAGCTATAGTTCTGTACAAGGAAATCCGGCGCTTACCAAGAGACAGGATCCGTAACGGGGGACCCTTCGTGGTGTCCTTGCGGCGCAGAGTGGCTTCGTCCATCTTGACGGCCGCTGTTGGTGTTGGAGCGATTGATACGCTCTTGCTTTTTGTCTGCAGCGCTCCCGCTGCGGGGCTCGACGCCTTGTCGATGTCGCGGGACTGGCGCCTGACCGAGATCAGAGGGTAGAAGGTGAGAAGCGTGACACAGGTGCAACCACGAGCCAACAACTGCAGCGCAGATCTAAGTGTGTGAGAAGAGCCGAGGTGAGAGCTGAGGGATTCAGGCAGCGGCGTAAGAGGGGTACCCGGATTGAAGATTCTAAATTCTTGGCTGATCCAGCCACGAAGAATTGAGGGGAAATGCAGACTCTCAGGGAGCTGGTCGAAGACAGGAACACCTCGGAAACACAAAGTTATTCTTAGAAAAGCAATCCACTCGCTGTCGCTTTTCCATGGATCCCACTGAAGGTCAGGTGACGTGGCGGTGCATTGGGTTCTGATGTCACTGCATGTCACTGTGGCGGTGTCACGGCACAATCCAACGACGGAACACGCGAGTAGGGCTGAAGGTGGGTTCTGTCCCTGCAGCTTCCAAAGTCGGTAATTCCGGTGAACCTAGCGAGTATGGTTCGGACGGTATTGACTCCTATTTACATTTATTCAAAGTTGGGCACGAGGATGTTGGGCTCAACAACGGGTCGCCTAAACGAGCTTACAGTGTCAGCCAGCTATGATTGGCAAAGTATGATTCTTGTGTTCCGGTGGAGCGTAATCTCTCTCACCCGAGGTTCTACTGTGATGGTTCGGATCACCCATGGTCGCCTATTTAGAGGCGTTGATAGTCATAGTACATACACGGATCTCAATTGGTAAGACCAGGCCAATCTAGCAACCCATTAGCGTTCCCAGCTCATCCAACCCCGTGGATCCTTCCAAAAAAGGAGGAAGAAAACAGACAGGTAAACTCACCAGTCACCGTATGCTCCTGCCCACGCTTCACCACCATCACCTCATCCCCGACTCGAATTTTCTCCCCAGTACCCCGTCCAAGAAAAGAGTACCTTCCAAAGACAGGACTGAACCTGGCCCCCGTATCCACCCTTCTATCCTTCATCAACTTCTTCAGCACACTCCCTGACTCCCCAGTCCCCATCTTCCCAGTCCCGTAATCCACATTTAAACTCTGACATCGAACACAATTTCCCGTCAACAATAACCTCGTCTTAGTCCCGACAGCCAACTCCGTCCAAAAGTCTTCCTCAAAGGCATTCTCAGCCCCCGAAACCACAATATTTGGCCGGAACTTCGTCCGATCCATTTCCTCGCCTTCGGGTAGTCGCCCTGAAACATTGTTCACTGATGTCTCGGAGATAACCAAGAACGGTGCGCAATCGGCGAATCCAATTCTATCTTCCCGCCGACGGAGGCTCATCCAGTACAGTCCAATTAATGTACCCACCACAGCAAACATATTGAGGTACGTCTTCGTATTGAGTGCGGATGTCACGCCATGGACAATTTCATATCCCTTCCAGAGCAAACTACCGATCACATAAGTAGCCAAAAGTCCAATGAGGATGCCCTCGTTGTCGCGCGGGTCGCTGACTTCGCGCCACCATGTCGTCCAGATGGACTCTTTGTTTCGCTTCCGTGGCGCTAGCGTTCCTAGAATCTCTCGAGTGTTGGTCCCCAGATAGGCTAAGATCACGGGATATCCGAAACATGCACTGAACCACTCGTTGAACTCAGGTCCCATGTCGTACCCCGTCGTCGGGCTCTGGTGCATCGTGATGGGGAAACTCTTCATACTCTTCACTTGTTGGCTAGTCATGCGCAGTGGGATCTCAAGCTTCCGAGTTTCGTTGTTTGGAGCTTCCGCCGGGGTGTATGTCACTGTCAGTTTCCCGTTATCTGCTTCGTTCTTCGGGGGGTCGATGGCGGTCTGGAAGAGAGACATCTCAGGGTAGTGTGGGACATGCATGTTCTTCAATGCGGTTCCCTCTTCGGTCGATTCGACCTTGAGTAACATGAAGCGTCGATCCCATTCTAGGCCGAGGGGGGTGAGTGTGCCCTCTGGGACGGTGGTTCCTCGAAGCGACTTGATGGGGTACACGTAGAGCTGTTGAAATAAGTACATGAAGAGCCGGCGGCGTGATCGAACGGTCTTACCTGGCCGACTTTCATTGTCATGGTTCTATTACACTTGCGCTTTGAGGGCAATTAAGATGAATCACAAGCAAGAAAAGCAGGCATGCGGGGTCATAGATGAATCAAATAATCTTTGTTGGGGTGCTGCGCTTATCGAGGAGTCAAGTACCGGTTTATCGGTTCTACGTCAGTGATTGAGTTTTGGCTTCGCGCATCGCTTACCCGAATACAGCAATAATTGGAGAGCGAATTTGTATGTGTATAGTCTTATCATATTTCGTGTTGAATCATGCTGGGAAATGTACATGACGTTGAAAGAACCACCAAAGAAAAAAGGAAAGGGTAAAAAAGGGTTAGAATAAAGAGAAAGAAAAATGTTTACTGGTCCTTAGCCCAAGGCAAGCTGAAAGTGCCCACCCAATCCTCCACTTCTTGGCGGAGCAAAACAATCTCTGAGATCTCCTCGCCCTCACCCAGGTAATCATTGAATGCCTTTACGGTGCCGGGGTTCTTGGCGCCCTTGGCCTGCGCTTGCTCGCGCGCAGCCTTGTCTAGCTTCTGGGTCAGGGTGACGGCGCGGTCGACAATGTCAGCCACACGACGGAAGTCCTCAGGCTGGAAGCCGCGAGACGTCATGGCTGGAGTACCGAGACGAAGACCGCCGGGCTTGAGGGCAGACTTGTCACCGGGAACAGTGTTCTTGTTGCTAGCAACACCGCACAGCTCCAGCACGCGCTCAACGCGGGCTCCGTCAACGCCACGGTTCTTCAGGTCCACCAGCACTAGGTGGTTGTCGGTACCGCCAGAGACGATGTTGTAGCCGAGACCACCGTTGCTGGTGGATGCACCCAATCGCTCGGCCAGAGCCGTGGCGTTCTGCAGAACGGTCTTCTGATACTCCACGAAGGAGGGGGACTGAGCCTGCTTCAATGCCACGGCCAGCGCGGTGATGGTATGATTGTGGGGCCCACCCTGGTGGCCGGGGAAGACCGAGGCATTAATGGGGTTCTCGAGATCGTACATCTCCTTGTTGCCCTTTTTATCTGTACGACGAATGCCTTTGCGGTAGAAGATCATAGCACCACGGGGGCCGCGTAGGGACTTGTGAGTGGTGGTGGTCACAATGTCGGAGTGAGGGAAGGGAGAAGGCAGGACATCAGCAGCCACGAGACCTGAGATGTGGGCCATATCGGCCAAGAGATAGGCGCCGACAGAGTCGGCGATGGCGCGCATGCGAGGGTAGTCAATCAGACGGCTGTAAGCGGAGGTACCGGCCACGATCAGCTTAGGGCGGTACAGCTGAGCCTGCTTCTCCAGTGCATCATAGTCGATCAGACCAGTCGACTCATCCAAGCGGTAGGGCAAAGTCTCGAAGTACTTTGAAATGGCGGAGATCTTCTTGGTAGGGGTCTGGTAACCGTGGGACAGGTGGCCGCCGTGGGGCAGATCCAGACCCATAAGGCGGTCGTGAGTATTAAGAACAGCGGAGTAGGCCATGAGGTTGGCGGGCGAGCCGGAAAGAGCTACAAGAAAGGTCAGTGCTCTATCGCGTGCCGTTAGAAACCTGTCGACAACTTACGCTGCACGTTCACACCCCACTCCTCGGGGTTGAGACGGAAGGTCTCCAGAGCGCGCTGCTGGCAGAGACGCTCCGAAGCATCAATATGTTCATTTCCTCCATAGTATCGAGCCCCGGGGTATCCCTCGGAGTACTTGTCTGTATTGTGATTAGCACGTCGTTGATAAGACTTCGGCTGGAGAGATACGTACTTTGCATCACACTGCCGAGCGCATCGAGGACGGCCTGCGAGGTAAAGTTCTCGGAAGGGATGAGGTTGATGAAGTGCTTCTGGCGGTTTTTCTCCTGCAGTTGGGGTCAGTGATTGCTCCGCGCATAGTTCCAGCATGACGTACTTTCTCAAGGATGTTGAACACGGCAGGGTCGGACTCCTCCAGGAGGAAGAGAGAAGCTGCAGTAAGTGTTAATATTGAATTTCTGAGTATCTGGTAATCCATTGTATGCCACACTACCTTTTGCTGAGCATCTCGACTGGATGACGCTACTCCCCGCGCGAGAAGGGCTTTGGGGATGATGGGGCGAGCGGAGAGTGTGACGGCAGGGCGAACGCTCCCGAGGGAGAACCGGGCAAGGCGTCCACAGCGAGCGAGAGACATGGCGGACAGAAATTCACGATGTACTCGCAAGATAGGAAAGCGTCGACGCTTTATATCGGAACACAGCTTGCCAACCGTTCTCGGGTTCCCCGTTGCCCGCGGAAAGCGGGAAACCACACTATCCCTGATCGGGCTGACCGCCTCCGGCCGGCCCTTTTTCTTCGGCAAATGCCAGCTTCCCCTTTCTTCTTCACACAACTAAATCCAAGATGAAGATAAGGCGTTCAATCTGTGTCAGCACTCGTCGGTGACGGCCTTCGGGCTGGCACTGGACGGGCGCTGCTGAAAGGTCCCGCGCCTACTCACCATCCATTGGGGATCTTGTTACAATCGGATTGGAACCAAGTTGTGTTTAGACTCTTGATGTTGAGTCGCGTGTCGCTCTTGATCCTGGGACTCTACCAGTGTCCCGCGGTCGGGGGGACCTGAATGCTTTAGGAGGACCCGCTCCGGTCGGGTTGTAGACGCTAGATTCATCGGATTGCAGATTCACAGCCGGAATGTCCTCGGAAGTGTCCATGGCAAAAGGGTGGCATAAGCAGGACCACTTCTAAACCGGGAGGCTGCTCTCTCCTGTCTCTTATTTGGATGATCTCCGTCAAATGCACACTTCCAGCATGTCATAATACACCAATTGAATACTATTTCGCAGCAAATTTAGCTTGAAACCCCTTTTGGTCGCTCAGATTTCACAGTGCGGGCGAAGAAGCATGCGACATGGCGGAAGCGAGTGAAGCCATAGCTCACGCTGCTGTGCCTATGTTAGGTATAGGGATGTCAATATTTCTCTTCTCCGTTGAAACAGGTCGTGTGGCCCAGTGGAAAGGCGTCGCTCTCCTATTTCTTCGGGTCACCCGCTGGAATAAAGCGAAGATCCAGGGTTCGATCCCCTGCATGATCGATCTTGTTTATTTTTTTTTAAAAAAATATTTCTGTTTTGAAATGTTCCGAAGAGTCTTAGGTGTTTACTTTTTATCTATTACTTATTCTCATCCTGATTATCACGGTCTGGATATTGCGAGCTTTAAAGCACTCTAAAGCAGCAGGGGATTAAATGCTTTGTGAAGTAGAGATTGCTAGGTGAGCCGGCGGCTACTTGCAATATATATATTCCGACCATGAACTTCTATCTGTTCCGGTCAATACACATAAACAGCCTTGCGAAATACTTGGGTATCTGCAGCTGAATTTCAAAGTATCCAATTGGCCTAGTCGAGGAGAACGTCTGGATCAAAGCCTCTCAGGCGCCAAGCGAGAACACTTTGTTAACCTTCAGTCGATCTACCACCTGCAAGTCACTCCGCTAAAATAGAGTCGACTGCACGTGCAACCTCATTATTCGTTTTTCTCTCCCCAGAATAGAACGGCCCGTTACGACCATAACACAGGAGTGATAGACTTGAGGTGCTGTTATTTCCCCCCTCACTGGTCGATCCTGGCTGTTCCTTGCCGGATGCTTCAATGAACCCCACACTGCATTACGTCTGCAAGCGCTTTTATTACCGATTTCCCGAGTTCTTCAGATCTTGCCCATCATTGCATTATGGACCTCAATCCAATCAGAATGCTTGCGACTAGTGCCCAAAAACCATCATTGAAGCCCCACTGACGGGAAATGAGCTGGCGTAATACAAAACCCTCAGGGACCGGGGTTGGTTTCCGAGTCGGGCCTCGCCAAAACTATATCTTCACCTTCAGGCGAAAGACCAAGACGTCAACCCCTGGGAGCTTAATCTTCCTGTCCCTGTCGACGTGATATATTGGTCTGACTCGATTGTTATAGACATGTCTATTGCCTTTGTTTTTGTTGGTTTCAAATTGACGGGGACCACCATGGCCTAGACTAAAACTGACCAAATGCCCAGCACCAGACAACCCTCGCATCCACCGAACAGGAAAAAGATCAGAGTGGGCCATGCGACGAAACGGGTGTGCAGTGTTCTCACCACGTCCTGGGCTCATCTTTGGGACACGGGCGTAGGCGACCTGATTGCCCAGTGAACCAAATTTCCGGGCAAGGGCCACGGCCCCCTATTTCGCCCTAGTGCACGGGTACCTGAGTTCTGACCATGGTCTTCCCCCTATAAACACTCCATCGCCGGTTCCTTTCTCTTTCCCCATCCACATTCTTTTGATCATCCCGGTACCTCGTGTCCGATTACATTCTTTATCGTCAAAAGCCACTCGTTTTCGATCCGATCTCAGACTCAAGAACATTCCTCGAACTATTTTTTTTTCTTTCCAAACTCAATATGCGTTTCTCCATCGTTGCTCTTGCCCTGGCCGCCGGTGCCCTGGCTGCCGACGTCACTGAGACTGTCACTCAGTACACCACCTACTGCCCCGAGGCCACCACCATCTCGTACGGCAGCTACACCTACAGCATCTCGACCCCGGTCACATCACCATGACTCACGGTCCCTTCACTGTGACCCGTCCCATGATCACCCAGACCGTGACTCAGTGCAACTCCTGGTATGTCCATTCGCGATATGCGGTCTGCAGTAAACTGACTTGCCTAGCTCTTCCACCATGGTGCCCTCCTCCACCCCCATTGTCCCCAGCGCTCCTGCTTCCACTCCTCTGATCCCCAGCGGCGCTGGTGCCACCGGCTCCTCCGCGCCCTCCGTTCCCTCCGGTGCTGCTGCTGTGACTGCCTCCGGCTCCCCCGCTGCCTCCTCTCAGCCCGCTTTCAACGCCGGTGCCATCAACGCCGCTACTGGTGCTGGTGCCGGTCTGGCTGCCGTCTTCGGTGCCGTCGCTCTCCTCCTGTAAGCACCAGCTTTCAGCTAGCTTGCGATTGGGAGCGTTGAGATTCGCGGCATGAGCGTTGTCAAGTCGCTGCGCGGGGTCGGGTTCTATCTGCTGCACGGTCCTGGCTTCGCTCGGTTGCTAGTATGCGCGACTGCCGTAGGGCCAGGCGTTGGATGGCCGTGGGCTCTGGGTTTCATTTCTGGGTGTACATGTCTTACATGTCTTGTCTATGTCTTTATTAGATAATACATAATGTACCCTTCCCTGGTCCCCCTCGGGGTTGGGTCCTTTCTATTTTCTGCTTCTTGTCTGTTTAATTTCTGCGATAACCTCCTGGACATAACGTTTTTTCATTACACGACTTATTCTTTGATCTAATTGCTCTGTGTTAGGAACTTTCGTATTTAACATTGATTAGAGTAAAGAGAGTAAGACAGAAGAGGCCGCCAAATTACTATAAGCTCTCTAGTTCCTTCTGTTTCTAGTCCAGCGGGAGAAGGGACCCACCCGAATGCCGATAGTCCTCGCAGTCTTGCTTGAGAGTGTATAGCTGGTATCACTAACTGAATCGGTGGGTCTCTACACTTGACGCGTCGGCGCTAAGCCCCTTTTGAATCCAATCGTCGAGCTTAGGTGACAAAGGTCTAGCGCGGTATAGTAACAAAGCTCTTACCCACTCCTCGTATATGAGCTTTAGACTACGCGTTTATCATAATTATAGCCTAAAACTCTCGACGATATAACTGTTCGATTTAAATATCCCCTAGATATCTAGGGAATACGGGAGATATAAGGGAGATACACTTAAGGCCTATTAGGGATAATAAGGTAATAGGCCGTGGAAGAAGGTAAGACTAGAAGCACGGTGTATGCCAAGGTATTTATGTGGATACCACCAGACTTAGACACTAATCCTAATATGGAAGGCGGTCTCCCAAGTCTGGCGTCAGCTTTTTCAATTGTCGTGCTCAACTATTTCCTCCTTGCGTGACATATATTGCATGTGAATAACAAGAGATAGAGTAAAGCTGAAGCTCTGTGAGCTTAAAAATTGCAGGTAGGTCACCCACTACTTGTTTCGAGAATCTTAAATGACAAATGGAAAAACTTGGTTCCAGCAATTTCCCCAGTACAATTTCGCTCACTCATCGCTGATCAAAGATTGGTATTTTATTGGAGTGGCACCTCCTCTAGACGCCGATTTCCGAATTGTTCTTCGAGCGGACGGTGATCACGGCAATGATCCCGTCTTTGGGGTCGTGTGATATATGAACTACAGAGAACTAGGTAGCAGCTTCCGGGAGACAGACTCCGTGTATGTAAGAAGACGATGGAAAAGACAAAAAGGAAGAACAGAGCATCTCAAGAAAGAAAGTATAGAGCAGAATAAGGCATTTCTTGATATCTCGTACACAGTTCCTGGCATGGCATTCTTGAAAGGTTTCAAAGAGATCCGAGAAGATACACCTCTTACTCACATGGCTATTAACCTACCATCAATGAAGCTTTATTTCCTAACTTCTCTAACTCTAGACCTCACGCTTCAAGGCTATTCTATCTTCCAAGCATAACATGTCTCACAAAGAATCTAAAGCTTCGGCTTCCCAACCCTCTTCTCAAAATACTCTCTAATCCTTCCTCTCGCAACCTCAACAACATCCGCATCCTCCACAGTAGGCGGGACACTAACCACCTCGTCGTACATCCCCTGTACTGCATTCTCTACAAGTTGCCTCAAAACCCGTCTAAGCGTCTTGCCACTTCGCGTCTTAGGAATCATTCCTCGGCCCTGAATCATCCCGCCCAGTGAAGCGATGGCGCCTATCTGCTCGCGCACGAGTGCGTTCACTTCGTTGAATAGCTCTGAGGATGGTGTCGCTGGTATTTGTTTCGAGTCTTCCTGGCGAGGCTGGATAAATGCGAATGGAAGGTGGCCTTTGAGGGGGTCCGGGATCCCGACTACACTTGCTTCACCGATGGAGGGGTGGGAGAGGATGACTTGTTCAATTTGGCCTTCGTTTTATCAGTATACTGTTTTATTTCTTCTCTTTCACGTATTAGGATTCGAGAAGGGGATTTACCAGTACTGAAACGGTGCGCCGCAACGTTAATAATATCATCGGATCGAGACATGATGTGCACGTATCCATCTTCATCAATTAGACCGGCGTCGCCAGTATCCAGCCAGCGACCGTTAAATCTCTTCAGATAACCTTTGTAGAAACGTTCTTCGTCTTGGAAGAGACTTGTGAATGCCGTTGGGGCAAGCGGGAGTGCCAGTACAATGTTACCCATTGTTCCCGGTGGAACTTGGTGACCTTCATCATCGACGATTCGTACGTCGAATCCGGGCATGGGGAGGCCTGCAGAACCAGGCCGGATGGTGAGTGGACTGCTCGGTCTGGTTTTTGCGGGTAAGGCGGCGTGTGCATCCAGAGCTAGACCTGAGATGGGGGAGCCGGACTCGGAGGACCACCAGTTGTCGATGACCAGAGCCCCCCCGGGCGGCGTATTGGGACAGGAGGTCTTGGTACGTGCGGATGATACTTGGTTCGCTGCGTTCACCGGCTAGGAACAGGGCTCGAAGGGATTTGAGGCCGCCTCGTTGGCCTATTTCTTTTAAGAACTTGTCATTGGGGTCGTCCTTGCGGATGGCTCGCATTGCTGTTGGTGCGGTGAAAAGAGTATTCACTCCGTGTTTCTCAATGATTCGCCAGAATGTTCCTGCATCTGGTGTACCAATGGGCTTGCCTTCGAAGAGTACGGTCGTCGCGCCGACCAGCAGCGGTGCATAGAGGATGTATGAGTGACCAACCACCCAGCCGATGTCTGAGGCGCAAAACATCACATCTCCGGGCTTGATACTAAACAAGGACTGAATGGATAGTTCAAGACCCACAGCGTGGCCTCCAGCCTCTCGAAAGACACCCTTTGGTAGACCCGTTGTACCTGTGTTTTTCTATCAGCAACGTGACCGAGACGATCATGATTCAACCTACCACTCGTATAAATGATATACAACCCATCCGTACTCTTCACAGGCACGGGCCCAGCCCGAATACCACGGCCACGCGCGCTTTTGACCAGCCGCTGCCAGTTCCGTTGACCACCCAGTTTATCTGGATTGTCCCAGCGCATCTGGTCCCGCTGCCACACGATCACCTTCAAAGGCTTGAACCGGCTCGCCTCCACAGCCCCCTCCACCAAAGGCCGATACGAAATCGGTCCCTTGGCACCTTCAATCCCGCACGACGCCGTCATGATGGCCCGCGGTCGAGCTGCTTCGATCCTCTGTGCCAGGGACTTGGCAGCGAACCCGCCAAAGACCGCAGCATGGACGGCTCCAAGCCTGGTGATAGCCAGGGCTGCAATGAGTGCGGCTGGAATCATTGGCACTGCCCGTTGTCAGACAATCTATTTCCACTCTGCGGTTATTCATGGCATGCATACTGTAGATGATAACCACATCTCCTTTCCCTACACCTTCCTCTCGTAACACGCCAGCAAGAACCTCCACCTCGTCCAACAGCTGCGCATAAGTATATTTCTCCGTCGTGTGTGTCACCGGCGACTCCCAGATAATGGCCACTTGATCGCCCCGCCCACTAGCAACATGTCGATCCACACAGTTGTAGGTCGTGGAGATTTCTCCATCCGGGAACCATGACCAGTGTTCATGCTGCGTTCCGCTGGGGAGAGTCTTAGTCTGCCGCGTCAGCACTCGACTCGGTTTGCGGTGCCAGTGGAGCCGCTCCGCGTGACCTGACCAGAAGCTCTCTGGATCGGTGAGGGACTGTTCTAGCGCGACTCGTTGCGGGTGTGTCATGGTGCGTTGATGGTGATAGAGAAGCGCGGATTCTTAGCAATTCTTAATCCCTACCAGTACGCGAGGTCTCGGTTAGATAAGGAGGTACGATTGAACGGGGTGAATGCAGGGACTAAACCCCTCTGTAGAGATCCAGGATGAGGGTATGAATGCGGGGAGGAACTGCCCGAGGATGTCCGTGCTTTCCCCGCAATTTTGGGGTACTTGGCAGATACACGTGAAAGTTGCAGGCCACTGTGGACTGTGATGTATTTGCTGCGTAATGAGAGGCTGCCCACTCCGCCCACGGCTTGAGTTTCGTGAGCTACTTATTACGTTCCGTTATTTACCGAGATCTCCAAATACAGCTGGGTGTCAGTTGACATCTCGCATTTTCCCCCGTGTGAAGCATTGAGTTCAAAATCTTGTGTTGTCTATTTACTCGCGGAAATGGCTGGCACAAATTCAAAAAAATAATAATAACATGACAAGCTCAGTCGTAGGGTATCATATCGAAATGCCTGCTAATGCGCGACTGCGATCTTCGGGCTTCGTCGCCTAGAAGGGGGAGGGGTTTGGGGGTTTGGGGGTTTGTTTTGTTTGTGGCGTCGGGTGCTTTGAGGAAATGTAATGCCTCAATCATCCATCGGCCCGTAAGCTACCAATGTCCCAAGCATCAAGCGGGGGAGATATATCGGTGCCAAGGGGGGTTGCCGTAGATTCAGGATGTGGAATTCAGCAGGGGCCGAGTACCGCGAGTCCGGTGCCGGTGGACAGAGGTGCAAAAGGTGCAATCCAAAGAAAAGTTGAGATAGAAAGCGTAGAGGGTAGCTGCTCATCTCCAGTCTGCGATGGCGAGCGCAGCCGAAGACGGAGCACGATCGAGCGAAGAAAGAGGCCGCCGACGCCAAACGAGGTCGTAACCAAAAGACAGAACCATCCTCCAAATGCACCCGAGACCGACAGAATTATAGAAGAAAGGAACAAGGAGAATTAGGCCGTGGAGGCACGGATTACCTTTCTGGATGGACCGGCCTCACAGGAGAACACACTGCAGTCGACTGCGATGCCGTGTTCGGTCTGTCCGAAAAGGCTTGGGATACTCGGCCTCTGCGTTACGGTCGCGTCCCGATCCGAAGCCCGTCGGACGACGGTCCTGACCCCGGCCACTCTGTGCCTGCTGTCGCTGCTGCCGCAGCATGCGGACGACGTCATAAAAGGCCTTCTCGACATTGATGCAGTTTTTCGCTGACGCTTCGACGAATTCGCAGCCGAGCTCTTTGGCGAGGGCTTGGCCTTCTTGGCGGAGACGGCGCGCTCGACCGCCTTGTCGCTCTTGTTGCCCACGAGCATCACGGGCACGGGTAAGGGGGCTGCGCCCGAGGTGTTCATCGGAGAGGCCAGGTAGCTGGGACCGGAGGGGGATCCGGAGCTGGATGACTCCTTGACCATCTTGATCTGGTTGTAGAACTTGGTGATGCGCGAAAAGGAGGCGCGCGATGTGATGCTGTAGACGAGCACGAAACCTTCACCATCACGGATCCACTGGTCTCGCAGCGCGGTGTATTCCTCCTGGCCCGCGGTGTCCAGCACTTCGAGCATGCATGACTGGCCGTCGATGACGACTTGTTTGCGGTAGGAGTCCTCGATAGTCGGATCGTAGGTTTCGACGAAGTGGTTGAGGCAGAGCTGCAAGCTCCAGGGTCAGTCTCCCGTTGGAATCCGTCGAAGATTGAACCAACCTGAATGGTAAGGGCTGTTTTACCAACACCTCCGTCGCCCAAGACCACCAACTTGTACAATGTCATTTTCCCCGACATGGCGGGCACGGGAGAGAGGAGATATGTGTGGGAAAAAGGGAGCTCGCAACAGATGACGCAGGTTGTGTGAAGGGGGAGGAAAAGAGGGGGGCTCCAGTGTGCGAAGTCTGGTCCGGGCAGTGGCTGGAACTAAGTGGAGAGGGAGGGGTTGGTGGACTGTGTGGGATATGGGAAACTCTTAAGGCCATCGAAACTCCATTCCTTCCATCATTCTGCTCTCTACCCTGGTCAATTGCTATTCCGAGACCGTCTCGGGTACGTGGGACGGCAGGGGAGATTGTTAAAAAAAAAAAAAAAAAAAAAAAAAGATGCTAAGCCCCTCTACGGAGGGGAGATAACTACAGATCAGGAATCACGGACTAACTAAATATGTAAAGGGAAAATGGGAGTGCAATAGGAAGGAAAAAAGAGAAAGAAGGGAAAAAAAAAAAACAGAGAGAAGGCTCCATGAGATCATACATTCTCCCCCAAGGGCGTGTTGGCCCAATGCCCGCCCTAAACCAGGGCCCTCGACCAAGCTCTAGCTGTTTCTACCCTGCTTCTCTCCCCTCCTAGTCTGTTGAGATCTCAAAGTACCTATGTTCCGTACCTATGCTCTGGGTTCCATAGTCTATGTTCTATGTTCCATGCTCTGCGATCTAGGTTCTATGTTTCACGTTCCACGTTCTATGATTCTACCGATCGCAGAAAAGCCGGGTCCCCGGGACGAAAAGGGAATGGGGAACTCGCACAGGGCACAGTGGATAAGATGATTCCGGGCCCAGAGCCAGTCAGGGGGTCGAGGCGAAATTGGTCTCGCCTCTATACCACGACAGGAAGCTGCTTTGGCCTTGGTGGATCCCGGTCCAAGCGAGAAGGTTTTTCCTTTTCTTCTCAAATCTCTGAGTATATTCGGATATCGCACGTGGAAACCTCAAGTGCCGTTCGGCCTTCGGTTGCTGGTTCTTCATACTCCATTGGCGGCGTTTCATCAGCATCATGAACTGGTGAACTGCCCTCGGATGAACCCCCTATCGTTTCATCTTCCGTCACTGGCTCCGTGGGACTATCAAGATTGACCCTAGACAGTCAATCTCCTTCTGGAATGGTTCTAAGCCATGCTAGAACTGGACTAGAGCCGTCTCCTTTTCCTTTGGGTCCCCCCTCTTTCTTCACCTGGTCACCGCAGGGACCGGATACATGGAGAGTATGTACCGACACGTTGGGCTGGATGCCTCCTCGACAACTCGAGTGGTCAGGAGGCATCCACCCGCGGAACGGCGCGTGCAATTCCCGCTAATAGATCGTCCCCGAGAGTTACCTCGAATGAGTGCAGTGGAGCAGCCAAGTTTATTGTCTGGAGAGACGACACTTAATTTCCCGTTCTGCTGCCAATTGGAACCCGGCAGCTTCCCGGCTCTTCTCCGGCGAGCTGCTCCCTTAGTCCTCCGGCCGCCCCTAAGCTTGGCTCGAATTGAGACTCAAATGGTCCAGACTCTGGGTCCACGAGATCCCTCTCCTGACTGCTTCGCTCTTCGCGTGACCCCATCAATTCTCGATTTTCGCCTCCTATATGCCCCCATATCGTAGTGATGTGCTCTTTACATAGTGGCCATTTGTCAGCGATGTCCTTGTGCCTCCTGGTGTGATTGTGGCAGGAATCTCACCTCCCCAGGGAAATGGTACATGGCTCTCCAGCCGCGGACGTACCCGACTAAGGTGACGAGGAGCCAGAGACCAATCCTTTTCTTCCAAGCCAATAGTTGCCTTTGCAATTTGTGAACCGACCGGGGAGCCCTAGCGGATCCGCCCGTGCTGCTCGGCCGTGGGATGGAGGCGCCATATGGCGTTCAACGGCCCGCCATGGTCTCGTCCTGGTCAGACAGACATCCGCTCCAACTGGTCCTTGCTCGACTAGTCCGCTGGGCAGCCGTATCTCCATCTACCGGTCATGTACGTGTCCCGTCTCACGGCCCCTGGCATTGTCCGGGTGACATTGACGATCGACACGGCGGGTTCCGGTGGACTGGCTCTTGGGTGGACTATGTCAAAATTGGTCAATGGACGGAACCACGGGGGATGAAACTGGACATGATGTCAGAGGCATCTTCCCTTTGCGGGCTTGGTCTTTGGAGCTCACTTCCAGGGGCATCGATAGTGCTTGGTCTAGCCACACTTTTCTTTCGGCTTGACAGTTGAGTCCTGAAGGATTCAATTGAGCTGCTGTAATGACACTTTCCTAGGAAGGTCCGTCAGTATTTAATATTGGGAAATAGGGCGGACTCAAGCCACGAAACATGCCTGCGAATTGGAGAAAGGCTGCCCGGGACTAAGTCCACTAGTGTACGCGAGAAACGTGGAGGGCCATGCTCCAATGCAATTGTCTTCATTTGGTAGTTTTCCGCCATACGAATACAGGTTCAAATCCAGACATTCAATAACAGAGACCAGCATGATATTTTTGTCCGACTTTAATGTAGAGAACAGTTAAAAAAATTATGCATGTCGACGCGCACGGTACACTGTCATGCTGAAGTATTTCAATGCCCACCTAGGCACTCACTCGAGTCTCTTACTTTTGGTCAGTGTTTGATGTGTATGTCATTCATGTGGACAAACATGCCAAACTGGGAAAAAAGAAAAGCGAAGAAAAAAAAGATCACCCGACCGGGGGGTCGAACCCCGAACCTTCCGATTAAAAGTCGGACGCTCTGACCAATTGAGCTAGCCGGGTGAATCATGTCAATGCACTCCGGTTTTCAATTCATATAGTACAAATCATGCATCCACTTTAGTGAATTTTCTCTATCTTTTTCAAAGCAGTACACTCCATATTCGGATAATTAAACATTCATTAGTTTGTTGTTATACATACCTCGAACAGAAAGAGAGATACAAGCAGTAGAAGCTGTCGTTGAATTCGCGGCACCAAGCCACCACAATACTTGTCTTGTCTTCCCCCGTGGTGAAGTGGATTAATCACTCTTGGTCTTGATAAAAATACTTGAAAATCTGCTTATGCGAAAGCCGGTCGTACTTTTCATTGCTTTCTTATTTCAAATGTTTATATCAAATTGCAGGAGGAGGACCTTCCGGCTAGAGAATCGGCAAACTAAGCTAATTGGAGGGCGTCAAAGAGCCCAGGCGACGCGTCGCTTTCACCTTGACGTGTCTTTGATATGGCATCAGGGAGATTTAATGGGCAACTCGATTCCATTTGTGAGTGTGAGGTATAGAGGCCGAACGTCGTACATGGAATTTTCCATGCTCATTCCGCACACACGTTAACGATAAATATATTCAAGAGGATCCGAGAACTCAACACAACATTCTTGCTTTCGTGAAGAATGGGAACACACTCGCGGATCAACCAGTAGCATTTTGCTGTTGCTCGACAACTGAAAAGGTATATATTGACCTTCTCGCGTGTACTTTCCAATTAAAGGTGCCTACACATTCTCTAGGTATGACTTCTGAAGCGAGTACAACCCAGGGATCGGTTTGTTCATATTCGTCTGTCACAATCTCATAGTGAATGGTAGTAAGTATACTCACCAGTAAATTTAGCCATGCTGATCGCGGTAGCCTCCCATTCAAAGCCACAGAAACGCCGACCTTTAAATAAATGTACAAGCATACACTGCCCGCTCGATTATGGCCGAGCTGAACCCCCTGCCCGGTATATCTCTTAGTTCCCCGGTTCTCATATTGGAACACTCTGTACCATACGAAGCACGGTAGTATACCATGCCCTGTAATTTGGGCCTTGCAGAAATTTCACTGGGCTGCTTCCATAGCAGAACTGTGCATACTGAGTCACAAGCGGGCTTCCTTTGATCATTATTAAGAAGTGTCTTGATAGGAAAGCCTTGTATAACGTGAACCAGCGTCTTTCAATACTTTCAATACTTATGGATGCCTTTCAACTCAAGTCTGACACCAGGCCGCCTGGTCATTACACTTCGAAGCTCATATTTCACACATCCAGAGATCCCGTCAATCCATCAACCCACCCATCAAGTGGCACAATAAAAGTCTGAAAAACGCCCAGCTAACCCTTCAACATGTCATTCAAGTATCCAATCACCCTCTCCACCAGGATCCGTCTCGGCTCTTTTTGATCTGAATCACTCAAAGCATGCGAGGCACCAGGAATAACCATACTCCAAGGACTCCAGAAATGTGTACCGTCTGCATCCAGGGCCTCCTTCCACCGCTTAATCAGCGCTTCTTTGTTCACCCACGGAGGCACAGACTGGTCCCGACCAGAATACAGCACCAACAATTGCTGCTTCAGTAGACCACGTACCCCAATTTGTCCAAAGGTCTCTTTCAACCTCTGGTCGCTCAAATCTGAGCTAAATAGGTCGTCTTCGTCCGGGTTCTCAGGACTGTCTGGGCTGACCAGACTTAAGAACCGTCGGCTACTCACCGGCGCTGAGGTCGGGTATCCAATACGTCCCGTCACAGACAGAGGCACAACCGTGTCAACAGAGTTGTGATCCTCGTATGTGTGTCGTTTCGCATCGTCAACCGCTTTGTTATAGATCTTGCGCATCGTCTCGGGACTATCCCGCTCCGTACCACACTTGATCACCCACAAAATGCCCTCCCGATCCGACACAGGAGCTTGCATTATAGCACCATCAACCTCCGGTCGCATGATAGGCGTCCAATCCTTATCGAACACAGGATGTGTCGGTCGGGGATTCGAACAGTTGATGTAATGCATTACATCCTGGCTACCAGTCGAGTGGCCCATGATAACGACCTTGCCCGGTCCGAACTGCGGTGTCTTGTATTCACGAACGTAGTTGATGGTAAGTGCGATTTCGTCGATATCATTCCCTAGTCGGCCCATGCCCCAGCCTCCGTACGAGCAGGATAAAATCAGTCCAAAGACTGTCCATTCCGTTGGCTCCAGGGCTCGAACGATGTCGCTTAGATATTCGACTGTGCCAAGACCATCGCCTAAGCCTCCTACGAAGATGAGGGTGTGGGGCTTGCGGATTCCACCGCGCGTGTATTCGAAAGAGATCAGGCTTGGGGTCTGGTAGTCGGATTAGTCGGGTGGCGGGTTATGAGGGATAGAGCGGCTTTACGATGTGGTGGAGGATTCCGGGTTGGCCGCGGGCCAGGGAGGTTAGCGCCTTAATTTGCATGGTATGACTCGTAGAAGCTTGAAGACGGAGACCGGAGACGAGAAAGTGACATTCAAGGATTCGGAGAAAGCTGTCGTCAGATCAGATAAGGAGCCATCAGATAAGAAGTCCTGATAACGGGGCTTTTTCCATGTGTGGAATTAGGGCTTGCGGTGGTACGTGACAAGTACGCGGGTATATAGTCCGTCATGTTACGCCAGGAATTAGTTGACTTCGAGAGTTAGAAAAGCTGAGTCTCAGACTTGGCTGACCGCCCTTCCGATTAGGGTTAGCATCCAAGTCTGGCGGTTTCCCCCTTTAATACCTTGGCATACAACTTACTTCTGGTCTTACTTTCTTCCACACTCTACTCCCTTATTGCCCCCTATTAGCCTTAGTGGGTATACCTCCTTTGTAAGATATGTCCCGGATATCTGGTTAATATCTAGTTTCTTCTATTACCTTTTTTCTTATATATATCTACGTAGTACCTCCTATCTTTACTATTGATATTCTTACTATGTTACTTACCTATAGTCATAGATATCGACCAGAAATCTAGAGGCTATCTAGATATATCGAACGCTCATATCGTCGAGAGTTTTAGGTTATATTATTATACCAAGTGCGTAGTCTAAAGCTCACATACGAGGAGCAGGTAAGGGCTTGGTCACAATACTGCGCTAAGCCTCTTTCGTCACCAGAGTTCGAGAGTTAGATTCAAAAGAGGGTTAGCGCCAGGAAGCAGTTGAGTTCGAGAATTGGAAAAGCTGAGTTCTAGAATTGGCTTACCGCCTTCTTATTCAGGGTTAGCATCCAAGACTGGCAGTATCCACTTTAATACCTTGGCATACACCTCGCTTCTTATATTACCTTCTTCTACGCCCTATCCCTTTATTCCCCTTATATTATAAATATTGCTAGATATCTGAGGGATATCTAGTAATGTTTAGTTTATAGTACCTCACATCTTTATAATATATAGTCTGACTATTATTTACCTTTAAGAAAAGGTATCTACTAGATATCTAAGGGATATTTAAGGAGAGACTAATATAAGGGATATATACTAAGCTTTACTAAATATATACCCTAGATATCTAGGTTATTTCTAGATTTAAATAGGTAAGAATACTAAATATTTACTAAATATCTAGGGGATATCTAGATATATCGAACGGTTAGATCGTCGGCTATATTATTATAATAGAAAGTGCGTAGTCTAAAGCTTACATACGAGGAGAAGGTAAGGGCTTAGTCACCGTACCGCGTTAAACCTTCTTTGTTACCTGATCTCTAGAATTGGATTTCTAAAGAGGTTTAGCGCTGACGCGTCAAGTCTAGAGACCCACCGATCCAATTCTCGATGCCAGCTACCCACTCAGCTATACACTCAACGAAATGTTTCAGTACGGTTGGGTCAAGTCAGACACAGCACAGGAGGGGCTTTTAATTGTTTGGAGATTCTAGCTTTGATCTGACTCCTATCCGGAATTATCTGAAAGATGAATTTCACGTAAAATTTGCCATGAATTCAAGGCTGCATGCAAGGCAAGCCTTTTAGATTCTAATACGTGGAACGACGATTGATCTCTATTGTCATGTTCAGTTGACATGTTTAGTTGACATGCTCAGTCAATTGTCATGAGCGTATCCGATGTATTGAAGTAACAAGAATTTGTGCAATGCAACTATGCCAATTATCCAGAAACACAACATGACAGTTGCTGCACAGATACCCGCAAGGTAGTTGAAACGCGGAATTGAATCAGGTTACAGCCATAGGATTATTGACAAAACAGCCATAAAATTATTGACAAAATCCCTCAATGACAGCAGCCCATTTTTTCAGCCTCGCCTCCCAGGCCTTCAATCGTTCCTCATCCGCCGCAACACAGACAAATGTCATTCCAGCCTCCGTGTACGAGACAATACAAAGTGGACTGGGCGGCTGGGGGTGCGGGTTTGTATAGCCAACAACACACTCGGTACCCGCTAACAGAACCCTGTCAAAGTACTGAATATCGAGATGGTGCACAACAGACGAGAAAACTGGAATATTAAGGGACCAGCTAGTGCACTTGTTCGAGATCTCTTGAAAGCCGAGCGTAGCGTGACGGCTTCTTCGAGTAATTCGTCGCGTACGCCGCCGAGGAGGTCTTGAACTGTCCAGCCAGGCTGGAACTTGACTCGAATGGCCCTTTAATAGTAGATTGGTCCCATGACCCTCTCGACGTCTGTTAGATCGACGGTGCGACCTGATAAAATGCCTCCGAAGGTGACGTCGTCTTTGCCGATATATTGAGCTAGCACGAAAGCTCAGCTTGCCGTAAGCAGAGTGGCCATGGTTGAACCATCATGAAGACCTTCGTATCTCAAGATTTAAAGAAACTGCTGGGACATGTCGATCAGATAACTCACAAAGACCAGCTACTTCCACCCGCGCCCGGAGAATAACACCATGGTCCTGTTGCTTTGACCGAGGACATCTGTGCTTCACAAGACTCACGGGCTCAGACGTGTCACTGGTTTGCAGGGGAAAAAACGCTAGAATTGCTGGAGGCGCCATAGCTCCGGGCTTATTGAATCGAAATCAGGATTGAACAGGGGATCGTGAAATAGGAAGCCTGAAATATACTGTTAAAAAGCACCGTAACTGTGTAAGTATCCTCGCCATTGAATGTATGATACTGCATACTAGTTAAATATTCCTACTGTATACCCCTAACTCGGGATGGCGCCAGACTCTACATCTTCTCCCGCTTATGCTTATGCTTATTCCTGATCTAGCGTCAGGATTTACACTCTTACATTAGCCTTTGAGGACGAGGACATTGAGAACGTCGGAGCCTTGAATGATCTGCATTGTCACATCGAACACGATCCTATCACAGTCAACAAGATTCGCCGCTGCAAAATCTTTTACGATGATCGGCGAGGCTAGGTTTGTACCAGGGGCTTGACGCACGATTACGCTTCTTATAAGACACGGTCCCGAATTCTCTTTTATAATCTGATCATCATTCCACCCTGTACACTTGTATGGTTGCTGTTCAGACCCGCATAATTCATCGGCGCAACGATCGTCCCCCGGCACTGTCTGCTACGTCAAGGTAAAGGCCTGGACCCACAGGTGCATGGCGATTGCTGGATGATTTGGAAGAGCAATGAAACCATGTCTGCGAGTTCGGGCCCTATAGGGTTACCGGCTAGTTGACTTGCATCAAACCGAGCCAAGTTGCGGACTACCCCTCTGCAAGTTCCTATTAGAACTCTCCGATATTTGACTCGTATCGACTAGCCATGGCAAACTCTGCGCAATTCATGATCGTGAAGCTTCGCTTGCCTCATTCTTCTATCACGACGTATTACCTAGAAGGCTCGGGCAAGCTTCAGGATGACCATCAATTGCTGCAGCTGTGCAAGGACGAAGGAGCAGCTCGGCCGCTTCCTCAAGCCTTGCACAATGACGGGCTCTACTTTACGGCGCTGCAATCAGTGAGTCAGAAAACTGCAATGCCTGTGTCAAACAACACAGCTTGGGCCCGGACACATCGCAGCCCGTCGTCCATCTGTACCTGGGAAGGTTCGGCCCCAACGGTCGGCAAGGTCTAGCTGTACCTGTATGCCATTTTCACTGCACGGCAAGAAATTGAGACATTTCGTCTCCGGCTGAATGGCCTCAATGCCAAGACTTTGGCGTATGCTCTCCGGATCTCAATGGTGGCTATTGAATACCCGGCACCGGTCAGCAGCGGTACAAAGTATTCGCCAGTTCTGAACGAGCTGCTTATTTTGCGCAACGCCTTCTGACAGGGTGCTGCCTCGCCACTAGGCTCTCAGCCTATCTAGCTTCCTAACTGGAATCCCGGTTCTTCTGTCCCTATCCTCGACTATACCGTGGCCTCGACGGAAATTGTGCACCGTCATCCCCGCCGTGACCCCAAGCCCACTCCTGGAGAAATTGTATACTGTCGCTACATTCCCTTTCTGGATGAGTATTTCTCGCTCGTTGCGCTGGACTATCGCAACTCTGAACACCAGAATCTCTTCTATATTTGGTAGAATGACCCTCGTGTCGCAACTGGCTGGAAAGAAACCGGTACCCTGGAAGACCACCGCGAATATCTCCGCCGCCAACATGAAGACCCCCACACTCCGACCGTCCTCGGTCACTTCAACGATATCCCATTGTCATACTACAAAATCTTCTGGGCCAAGGAAGACAATGTGGGTGCACGCTACGCATCAAATGACTTTGACCGCGGTCGCCATACTCTAGTCGGCAACGACGCCTTCCGTGGCCCTCACCGTGTCACGGCATGGTGACCCAGCATGATCCACTATGGCTTCCTCGACGATCACCGCACTGAGAATATTATCGGTGAGCCCATGTCTACGAATGACAAGGCTCTCACTTACGACTACACCTTCGATCTGCACCAGGACCAGGTGATCGATTTGTCCCACAAGCGCGCCAGTCTGGTAAAGTGTACTCGCGAGCGCTTCTTTCAGATCTGTCCGTTTAACCAGGGTAGCCCGCATATCGCCGGTACCGGGCTGGCTTTTAAGCCACGCCTGTAGAGCCCCGATACCTCATTTGGATGATAGGCGTTGAATACAAATGGGTTGTTGACTTCTGCCTCTGGCCGATCTGTAGATCCAGGCTTTCTTTCTTCGCCGTTCTCTGCAGAAAAGGCTCTTACTCGGTGTTTAATGCGTCAGTCGATTCATCTATAAGATGCAACCTGAAACCGATGACCAATCCGCTGCGACCGAAATCTGAGTGTCATTGCTAGGGATGTCCCCGTATCGAAGGAAGCCTGTAGGTGTGCAAACTTCTGACTAAGATAAGGCCAAGCCATGTCCAAGCAGCGAACTGAAGAGAAGGACGCGACTGTTGTAGGTGGACCTTTCTGAGACCTAGCTGAATCCCATCCAACTCGTGGTGTTGGCGAGGAACTTGAAAGGCAGCATGGAGAGCATTAGTCCCAAATATGCGCTGCGCAGCTTTCCGAAATGCACTTATCGATAAGTCGCCTGAAATGGTACCCACAAAGTGGAAAGGCTATGCCAATCGTAATGGCTCAGACGATATCGGGGACAAGAAGCACAACATCGCGATCGGTCGTATTCACCTCGGTTCAAATCAAGAAATGGATGATCTAAGCAGGACGAATGCGCCTTGAGCCATTTTCATATTCTACGCCAAAGCGAAGGGCGACATACGCTTCTTGAACCCCATCAAGCTCGCCTGGGTGGGCGCCTCAACTCCCATCGCGTTCATCCCGCTTCGCGCACTTGCAGCTTGCTACTGAAGCTCAAAAATTGGTGCAATGCACCAATGTAATTGCTTCAGACATAGGGCGGGTATGGCGCAGACCAAGTGTCAGCCCGAGGCCCAAACTCAACAGAAACAGTCCACGTGCAATGGGCCGGTATCGCATCGACCTTGCTGGAAATGTCACGTGGGAAAGCAAAGATCTGACGAGACTTTCATGGAAGAGACGAGGCGATACGATGATGTTCTTTTGATGAACTCGTTTAGCAAATCTGGCTAGGCCCAGTGAACCTTCTCGTGCTGGAGCCGAACAACGTGGACTTCTTTGCGTGGATTACACAGCTGTAACCGTTATTTCCCAGTACCCTCCATCATAAGTATCTCCCGGGGGTAACGCATGCGATCCACTGCAAGAGCGTCAAAGTTTTGATTTGAGAACGTTCTTGGCATTCGCGGTAGGTCTTGGGCGGTGCGACATGAACAGGCTTACTTGGGTGCAGATCTTGTCGGAGATAACTTTACGACAAGAGCGTGCGCGTACGCAATTATCAGGTCACATTTTCTTCCCAGTCAAGCTAGCGCCATACAGGATGTGGGTTTGGTCCAATTAGAGGGAACCGAGGAAAGCCAAGCGCTGAAAAGTTAAATAATTCGCTTTTCTATCAGATTACAGGTAATCACTAGTCTAATCAGATCATCTAGGCTTCAGCACGTTCCGTGGAATGTGGCGTTTCGTGTCTGTGCGACAGAACACTGTATTACACTTACCGTTCCAACGAAACTGTTCAGGTCACCACGTTTGAAATCGATCTGCATCGGAGACACCTCAGTAGTCTAGTGTTATAAGCATGCTAGGTAGTGCAAATAGTGCCTTCGCCCAGAAGTGCTCGGTTGATCACTTTGTACTTCAGTATCTGTTACGAATTAGAGCAAAATCTATCTCACCTCAAGAAACACGGGACTATTAACCCGGAAACTTCACTGACCCAGGCATGAATCACAAGATCCCAATTTGAGATGAGTTCACACACCTTCAAGCGTCACTTAGCGCCACATACATACAGCGGTGTATCATTCCCAGCTCCACATATCATGTTGGTTGTCTTCAATCGGCCCCAAGCGCTCAATGCCATGACCAGTGAAGCGCAATATAAATTGGAGTCACTTTTTTCCTGGTACGACAGCGAGCCATCACTTTGCTGCGCCATAATCACCGGTGCTAAGACGTGCGTTCTGTGCCAGAATGGACCTGAAGAAATAGAACCAGGCCACTGCCCGTCGCGCAAACGGAGAGCACGATAGTCGACAAATAATACCTCAGTCGGGCTTTGGAGGTCTTTCACGCCGCCACGGCAAAAAAATCGGTCATAGCTGCCATCAACGGATTAGTTTTTGGTGGTGGGATAGGGATTGTCTCGAATCTGGACCTCGTGGTCGCTGCTGAGAGCGCGCGGTTTGCACTTCCGGGGGCTGAGCGAGGCGTCGTTGCCATGGCTGGCTCCTTGCCAAGAATTGCAAGAACTATCGGGCGACCAAGAGCCACGGAACTTGCCTTGACTGGGAAGACTATCACCGCTGCTGAGGCTAGGGAATGGGGATTGATTAATACTGTGACGAAGGATGGTGCAGCTGACTGTGCTGTTCTGCATCGGCTGGTTGTTAGGGCCGCCTTGGGATATGCCACGAATATCATCAACAATAACCCGGACAGCGTGATTATCAGTCGGGCGGGTATCTTAGCTGGCTATGAAGATGGGAGCGCGGAGAATGCTAGTCGTTTGCTGAGAGAGAACATGGAGTCAATTTTGAATGAAGGGGAAAGCCTTCACGAAGGCTTGAAGGCATTTGCAGAGAAACGGGAGTCTCGGTGGGTGAATAACAAGCTGTGACACAACGTAAACGTATACCGTTATAGTATCAGCTGGGTTTGTGCATTCTCATATCGATTTTTACCCCTCGATTGATACTTTCGAGGCCAAAGCGAGAGACGATGGTCTTTAGCCACCTCATCATATCATGTTATATTTGAGTCGATAGGTTCAGAAGCTGAACATCGGCGCTGCAGACGCCTTCAAAGCGGCCAAAACAGGAATCAACCTGTCGCATGGGCATCAGCCTGGGTGCACACCAATGATGGACGGCTTTGTGATGCAGAATTCTAGCTCCTTCAGCCGCTAATGTCTTCCTCCTGTATTATTGCATGGCCTTGTACCTAGAACAAGAAATCCAACTGAAATTGCTTGAATACGACGTTGGTTGCTCAACTGCTCGGCAAGCTCGACATCATCTGTGTATCCAGCCCACAAAATTCAATCGCGCCACTGATCAAATCAGATAATTGGATGGGGCAAAGACTATCAAGTGTTAACTCCACAGACTCCATTTGTGGAGCTTTAAATTCCGCAAGTCCTCAGGGCATACTTGCCGGCCATGGCGTGTACTCCACAATTCACTGGTAAGTGCCATGAAACAGGCTCAGGTCGAGACCCAACTTAGCTAATGCAGGTAATTTGCACCATATCAAAAAAGCAATCTCAACACCTCTGGTATTCGACCCAAGACTCTGATCGAGAGATATCATTCGCCAGAGGCTATGACAAATGGAGCGTTTTACTTCGTTTCCCCTCGATCTGTAGTTAGATAGAAAAGAAAGATAGAAGAACTATTGATCGTACTCATTTTCTGTAGGATTTTCCAGAATGTGACTATTCTGGAATTCAATGACCTCCAATTTGACTGTAAGATAGATGATGATCATTGCCCTTGAGAGACACTGTGCATGTGGAGTCGTAATACCAAGTCTATACACCGGGTTTTGACCGGTAAATAATACACCACGGAACCGTCTACAAGCATATAACAAGCTCCATCTCAGCCCCTTGGCAGCCCTCGGCAAGTGGAATCGGGTCAGGACAATTTGCCTACCTATCGGCCCTTTTTTCGTTGAAACTCCGTAGTGATGTTCTTGGCAGGTGGCTGTCACAAGCGGTTTGTGGCATTTCAGGCACACGGCTTCGACTCTTCCGCTCCGAGACCTCGTACCACTCGTTTGCCCTTGCTAGGCCAAGCCTCTGAGTCTTGGCTTTCACTTATCTGATCATCTCTCGGAAGATTGAGGAAGAACTCACACTAGCGCCCCAGGTCTGCTGGGGTCGCGTTTCTGGGCATTGAGCTCTGGCCGAATCGCCGCCGCTGCCTAGCTTTATAGTCACATCCCAACCTGGCGCCCCTCGCTGGGCGTGGAAATGCCAATCTTTTCCAGATTATCATGTCCTTGATTCTTTACGTGGCTTTTGTCGCGTTTACCGCTGCAAATAGATACTGCAGACCTCCGTGTACGCGTTGAAAGGCCATTCTTGTATGATGGTGGGTTCTTTACTGGATTCCCGCTCCTTCACTTGCCTCGGCCAAGGTTTTCCCGCTGTGCTCAGGGCTCCTAGATGCGTAAGATTTGACCAATTCAAAGGCTTGGCCTTCGGTTAATGAATCGGCCGGCCGGAGTACTTGGCAACGAAAAGCGCGCCACGCTGTGCAGGAGGCCGCCTTATGGCAGACTTTTTTTTTTTATTTCTTTTCCGGTGTCAGTCGACCTGAACTTATTTAGGCCGGATCCGCCTGTTCTTGATCTTTTGGCGCTCGATCTTATCTCTTCATTGAAGTTCCATTCCTGCTTCTTGGATATTCTGTGGCTATAAACGCTACAGTCAAGGATCTGTTCGTGGCTACACGTCGCTATGGCAGAACAAATAACCTCCCAGGAGGCTGATATCACCAAGACTGAGATGAATGTCAACATCGAGGGCCAGCAAGAGGAGAAGCCGGTCGGCTATGGCACAGATGGAGAGATGAGTCCTGAAGCTGTTCCGGATGAGAATGCACAGGACGGCGTGAGAAATAGCGGAAGCGATGACTCTCTCGTGGTCGAAGTCTTCGCTGATCATCGTCTACATTTGGTAGGTAGTCGTATCCTGGTCGCTGAGACCTGGTAATATACTAACGAGATGGTTGCAGTATGTGGCTACTTTACTTCAGTAATGCCTTTGAGGCATCGCTATCGTACAACCTGGATCCCTTTGTGTCCAGCGCATTCCAAGATCACTCGCTACTTCCAGTGATCTCTGTCGTGGCCAATGTGATGGCTGGTGCCACATACCTGCCGGTTGCCAAGATTCTGAATTTGTGGGATCGAACCGTCGGCTTCGTTCTAATGATGGCTATTGCTACCCTGGGAATGGTGCTCATGGCAGCTTGCAACAGCTTCGAGCTTTACGCTGCTGCGAACGTAGGTTTTCTAGCCACATTATTTGAGTGCCAACCCACAGCTGACAAGAATTGTGATAGATCTTCTACTCGGTTGGCTTCACGGGCATGATCTTTTGTATTGACGTGGTCACCGCCGATACTTCCTCTCTTCGCAATCGTGGTCTTGCCTATGCCTTGACTTCTTCACCTTACATTATTACCGCATTCGGTGGCCCAAAGGCAGCAGAGTCCGTATATGCCATTAACTGGCGCTGGGGATATGGTGCTTGGGCCATTGTTCTTCCCGTGGTAGCTACTCCCATGATTGTCATGATGCAGCTTGGTAAGAGAAAAGCGAAGAAGAGGGGACTGGTTCTTAAAAAGCCCAGCGGTCGTACTTGGACCGAAAGTCTGGTTTACTACTTGATTGAGTTTGACAGTAAGTCCATCACCTGCTCTTTGTTTCTTCATGTCCAGAGTAACAAGACCTGTCAGGCCAAAGGCAGTAGTCTGGAAACCATAGAGGCTGACTCAAACTTTCTTAGTCGTTGGAGTCTTTCTTTTGTGCGCTGGATTCGTCCTCTTTCTGCTGCCATTCACTCTCGCCGCTTCATCTGCCGAAGCTTGGAGGTCCGCCCATATTATCGCCATGCTGGTCGTGGGTTTCGTCCTGATCGTCGCTTTCGGCTTGTGGGAAAAATTCGGTGCCCGCCACCCCTTCGTGCCATGGCACCTCTTGAAGGACCGTACTGTAATCGGTGCTTGCTTGTTGGATGCCAGCTACCAGATTGCCTACTACTGCTGGAACTACTACTTCACCTCTTACTTGCAGGTTGTCTACAACACCTCACTTGCATCTGCCGGTTACATCTCGAGCATCTTTGACATCATCTCTGGTGTTGAGCTTTTTGCCGTTGGTCTTCTAATTAGCTACACCGGTCATTTCAAGTGGGTATTGATGTGGGGTGTGCCGCTGTACATGCTCGGTGTTGGCTTGATGATCTACTTCCGAAACCCCGGCTTCGATTTGGGCTATATCATCATGTGTCAGGTCTTCATTGCCCTGGGTGGTGGTGTTATTATCATTGGTGAGCAAGTAGCTGTCATGGCTGCTGCTGGCCATGATGATGTGGCTGCACTTTTGGCACTGCTGGGTCTGTTTGGAACTATTGGTGGCTCCATCGGTGGAAGTATCTCAGGCGCTATTTGGACCAACACCCTGCCGGGTATGCTCCAGTCGATGCTTCCTGATGACACTGTTGGTCAATGGCAGGAGATCTACGATGACCTTTCGTTACAGCTGAGCTACCCTATGGGCTCTCCCACCAGAGTGGCTCTTCAGTACGCCTATGCGGCTACCCAGAAGCGAATGCTGATTGCTGGTACAGCTGTCATGGCCCTGAGTTTGGGCTTCATGATGATGATCCGTGACATCAATGTCAGGAAGATCCAGCAAACCAAGGGCTTGGTCTTCTGATTGTCTACCTGGTTGTTGTTACGCTAGAATCTGCATGCTGACGATTGCCATACCCACTTTTGACATTTTTGGATTGAGAGTGAGACGTTTGACTTTTTACGCTTCTGTATACAACATGTGAGATATTTTGATTGAAGTCGTGGCTCGAAAGTATTTTGAGATCCGTAAAAATTAGAACAGAGTGAACTCGACTCGACTTTATGCATCGAAAATTTGTCCAGCTCCCCATCCCACTGCCGAAAGATTCCATCCCCTTCAGTTAGCCTATACTTGGTTACTCTATATACCCTTTTCGGGAGGAAGAATATCAGGCACAGGACCAACAGGAAGAATAAGCTCCCGATTGCCAGTTTTGTTTCCGACCGCGACTGCATAGCCAAATTTGTACTGCACGCAGTTAGCCTCCTGTCTTTCAACCTCAAAGGTTATTACACATACAATGTCAAAATATGTCGTCTCCTTGAAAGCCCCTCTCGTCAACTCCGACTCGTCATAGTAAAGTCTGCGGTACCAGCGATCAAGTCGCGGGTAGTCGTGTCTGATCATCTTTAAATTACACCGGAAGATCAAATAGTAGGCCACATCGAATCGAGCAATGGTCGTATACAGTCGAATATCAGCTTCGGTGATATTCTCGCCGAACAAGAAAGGCTGATTTCCCGGTTGGCTCAGGTGTTCTTCGACGCGGTCGAGTGCTTCGAATAGTGGGTAGATGTTTTCCTCGTAGGCAGCTTGCGTGGTTGCAAAGCCCGTTTTGTAGACTCCGTTATTGATCAGGGGGTACACCCAGGCATTCATCTCGTCGATCTCATTCCTTAGGTTTTCCGGATAGAATCCACCACCCGGTTGGCTCACTTCCCGTAGATTTTCGGGTAGGAATTCATCAAACTCGGTGTACAGCATGCGGATGATCTCGCTGCTTTCGTTATTGACAATCGTCTCTTTCTTCTTGTCCCATAGTGTCGGCACAGTATACCGTCCATCGTATGCGGGATCGGCCTTGAGGTATAGCTCCTTGAGGTATTGATACCCGTACAGGGGATCCCTTTTGGCAGATCCGTAACGGCCAGAGAAGAACCATCCATCTGGGCCGAGCTCTGGGTCCAGAATCACCATCTGAATCACATCTTTTAAACCTTTCAAAGTCCAGACCAAATTGGCTCGATGTGCCCATGGGCAGCCGTAATTGATGTATAGCACATAGCGATCCTTCTCAGCGGGGAAGTCGGATGACGCATCCCGGGAGACCTGGGATCGAAAGGACGAGTCCTTACGCCGGAAGTGACCGTCAGAATCGGCATGCTTGTAAATCTAGGTGTTCTTCCAAATTCACAGATTGATCAGAATTGGTGACAAGGTAATTGAACATGTATCGGAGGAAGCTTACTTGGTCAGCCATGCTTCATAGTTGCTTGGCGAATCCCGTGAATTTGACGCTCAATATACCCTGGCAGGTACGACACGAACCGAGTAGTGTAATTGACGAAAACTAGACCTTATATACTGATGTCGACAAGACAACTGACGACACATTTGTAAGAAACTAGATTCTGTAGCAGTCAGTGATGCGCAGACACGGGGCTGACAAATCCAAGGCATTCTCGGGCCGCGTCATTGGATCACACTCATCAACTACGAAGCTAGTAAGTTAGACACCGCGGAATATATCTCTCAATACATCTTCATGACTAATGTGGAATCATGATACAACCCCGAACCGCCGAGCCACCTCAAGAAAGCCCTCTGAGTTCGAATCAATCCAGAGATCCACAAAGCCATCCTTCTTGGCCTGCTCCACTTCATCAGCAGACCAAGCCTCTTCTAAGGGCCGCTCGACATAGATAGTTTGAAAGCCGCAGCTCTTAGCTGCCTGCAAATCCTTGAGGTGTGCGGCTACCAGGGCGCACTGCGAGCTTTCCAGCCCAAGCAGCTTGGCAGCACCGTTGTAGACCAGAGGCGAAGGCTTGTAGGCGCCGAAGTTCTCGGCGCCGATGAGATGTGTAAATGGTAGAGACCCGTGCCTTTGAAGATCCTCAAGTAGGGTCAGATTTCCATTTGAAAGGGTGGAAGTGATGAATCTCTTGTTTAATAGATCGAGCCCCGGGACACTGTCCGCCCAGGGATCAAGCCGGTGCCAGGCGAAGGTCAAAGACCAAAGCTCACTATCGGTGAATAATTTCAAGATGCCCTGTTGACGGAGTAGATCTTGCAGGGCAGAGTAGTGGTGCTGGTCTACCGAAACGAAGTCTTTGGATGGATCAAATGTGCTCGTAAATCTTCCGTAGGACAGCCGCCATTCTTCGGCGAAGCCGAGCCAATCCCCCTCGCTCATGGTAGATGCACGGTCTCGCACATCGGTCGGGATATCCCTGCCAGAATCCAACACTTGCTGGGCGGTGGTGGTCAGAGCTTTGGTTATACAGGTGCGCCATTCCACGACCGTGCCAAACGTGTCGAAGAACAGGGCCCGAGGAGCCGTCATGATGGGTTGGATTGCAGGTGATGGATCACTTGGACTAACCCGCGACGGTTGCAGCTAGGATAATGCGGATGAGACTCGTTCGGCTCTTGTCTACGACCGACTAGAATGTTGAAGAGTTATTCTTTTAGATCTATATATGGCAAAACTGCGTGCCGCTGGCTTGAGCGAACCGAGGCCAAACACCAGCCGCGGTTCAGGCTGATCGTTCTCCCCGCCCTTATACTCGACTCATCCACATGCTTCATTGACGAGTCGCACGAATTTATGACAAACCACCTATGTGTCAAGAGTGCACATAATCTGGGGGGGGGGAGGGCTCGAGAAAGTTGAGATGGAGTCTTGTGTCGCGGCGAATATTGAGCGACCTGGATTGATCAGTATCGACTGCAGACATTGTCTCATACTTGATCTATCATCAAGTTTGCTGGATCGTCATCCAAACCCTCGATGGTGTAGTTGGATATCACGTTCGGCTGTAATGGATACATATAACCGAAAGGTCACCGGCTCGATTCCGGTTCGAGGGAACATTTTTTTTTTTATACCCATCTTTCTTATTGACCAGCAATGACAACTTCTCGCGTGGTCGATAAATGGTCAATACGAAAAAATTTCCGCGATAAATTGTCTTCTCTTTATTTGCCTTCGCGATGAGATATCCGAGCAAGTTCATCGGCGACCGACCATTGTCCTAGATCTGACCGTAACATATTTTTAATGTTTCGGGAGGCTCGTCAAACCATGCTACTCACCTCTTTGACGTGTCAAGGACCATCATGGGCTTCCTCAACTCAAGCATGGCTGATTCGAAATTGGAATATATGCCCCCGTACGCAAGAGGGTACAATTTCACACAGTCAACCAAACCGCCTGGCATATTAGCCACAAGCTTGACGGTAGATGTCCAATGCCATACAGCAGTGCTCATTGGACAATAAAAAAGATTACACTCAGGTTTCGGTCGATAACCCGCTGGCTATAGAAGATCCAAATTTGATGGATGCCCAGGTGTTCAAGAATCAAATCATTTCCTCTCTAATACATTCGGCATTTAGCTTCAGTTGATACTATCACATCGGCCACCTGCTGTCAAGTCTCAATTCTCAGCACACGTGAAGTTTGATGAATTGAAGGAAATCGATCGCTGCCACCTAACACCCCCGATGGTCTAGTTGGATATGGCGTTCGGCTGTAATGGGATCTCATGTAACCGAAAGGTCGCCGGCTCGATTCCGGCTCGGGGGAAGGCTCATTCTTTTTGTTTCATATCTTCATTGTGGTGGGGGTTTCTTTTATTGTTAAATTGGAAAAAAAAAATTGGGAGTGCAAAAAAGAAACGTTCCCTCGAACCGGAATCGAGCCGGTGACCTTTCGGTTATATGTATCCATTACAGCCGAACGTGATATCCAACTACACCATCGAGGGTTTGGATGGAAGATCCATCGTAAATAACTAATATGATCCCCCACAAAGTTTTGTGGTGTGGGGAGTGTCTCCTAGCGTGCAAGAGCGTGCAAAGATCAAGTTACGAAAAGCGATGACATGGAAGTTTTACAGTGTGACATTGCAGCTTTTTTGATCGAACGAGCGTGCGAAGAATGCCGGTCGCGCCCAAGCATTCCTCGCCTCACTCTTACTCGAGCCAAAGCTCTTCAAACCCAGCTCCGCATGCACAACTCCCCACCTCCGTGCGCCTTTTAGGTTGACGACCGCATTAGCGTCCCTGTCAGAAAGATAGTCGAGGAGCTGACCATCAAGTCGATCGAATCACTTGTCGTCGCAGCGAATAGACCTGTCAACGGCCCGTGTCAGCTTACACAAACCCCTCCTCTCGACCCTATCAGGTGGGTCATGAGCCGGTGGTCGCAATGGTTTCGCGGAGATGCTTCCTGCTTCAGGGTCTGTTGCGCTTGATGGGCTCATCGCCAACGGGGCTGAGAGTGATGGGAGCGCATGTCACCCCGGCCCAGCGCGGTCTGGAACAAGTCAATTGGCGACCGTTTAATATTATTTTAGCCACGTTCAACGCTTGCACCCCGGGCGGCATATCCGGACTTTTGGAAATGACCTCTTTAACACGAGATCGCAAGGCTGGGGACCTCGTGATCGCGTACCAAACTTGAAGGGGCCGAAAAGGTGAAAAAAACAAAATAGAGCCGGTTCAGCTCATTTCGGGGGTAAATGGCTCTCTCTCTCTCTCGTGGTGGAGACTGATGGATCTAGCGGAACGGAGTCTCCGTTCTGACCCCCTGATTGAACCGTCGAACATACTTGGACCCGAGCATGGATAGCATGGATGTTACATGCTGCACTTTCCAAAAGTAATCAACTGGCGAGGATGTCAAACCAAGAGAACTAGGTCAGATGCACCGTCAACACATGAAACACCTTGAACACAGACCACTGGCTCTCGACGAAAATGCCCTGGACGAACTCTACGCAAGAGGGACTGACCATCGCCTGAACAGGGGAACGCCCCTTCTCAAACACGCTAGCCGCACGCCGTCCAATTTATTTGATTCGCCTCTGTTTAGTGTCCGGACAGGGCTCTGGCCTCCCGTCTTATTGGTGAGCTCCCAAGCTTATTTGATTCCATTCAGGGAATGGCCTCTCATCCACCAGGCCCCGCGCAATGACCGCAATCAAAGAAAAAAAGGGGTCGGAAAGGACCATGCAATTTACACAGCCGTCCGAAAAAGATCCGAAGGCGCAAGCTGAACGCCTTGTTTGGATCCATCCGCGCAGTGGAACCCTGAACCGGGTTTTCATCACAGACGAACACCTTCCCCATATCGCCCAAGTCAGGAAGTGGACATGACGATCCCAGGATATTGGCAAGCCTAGGAATCCTTTTCGTCTACTGTGAATCCGAGGTATCTCCAGACCCTCTTCGTTAACTTTCAAGCTCTTGGCCATGGAGCTCGTGGCTATGCAGCTTTTGTTTTGTTTTTCTTTTTCCAACACTGAAGCTTTGCATCCGTGGGGTTGGAATGGGGACCCAACGTAAGGCTGACCGGTAGATGTCAGCCTGTCAGACCTTTGAATTGCCTTTTCGCGCGAGGACCAAGAGGCATGAAGTTGGCCGGAACCCAGCGTTAGTGTCTTGGTTGGCAGCTCCCAGTGGATCCAAGTGCATCCTGGCTAATTGGGTGGATTTCTAGCTTCCCCATCCCCCCTAAAGAACACCCCTGGACCTCATTATACCCTTGTAGTCCGTGAGGACCATCGCATCCGACACGATTCCAAACATGGCAAGGCTAATTTTTTGACCCAGAGTAATCTATACACCCGGACAAAAGGCTGCGCGTCTCGGATCCTTGCCTTGTTCGTGATTCCGCAGATCGCAGGACATTCGTACCTTTGGCCCCCATACTTAATTGGGTCTCGAGCAATCGCGATCGGCCTTTCTCGAAGCCCACTGAGATCCCAGGGGCGCGTTGACATCTGACTTGTCTCCTCCTCCTCTGTGATCCCAAGATCTACCTCGTCTCCGTCATCGGCAAGTAGATTTCCGGGCCTCTGTGCATGTCGATACCATTGCCCTGGCTCTCCTCGCGTTCAGGCGTGCATTCCGCATCTTGCATTTGCATCCCGCGGCCGCAGACGCGTTACAGACTGACTCGTTCCACAGCCACTGGAATATTTCCTAGTCTTGCGCCCAGAACGCACGGGCTCGGGTCTGGCCTGTTCGCTTGACCAACGAAACACAACCTCCTTGTACCACGCACCTCTGGCCGGATGACTGAACCAAGGTAGACTCCAATTAATGGATCCGGCCGAGTCGTGCTCTGGTTAGCACCGGGAATCGAAGGCATCTGGGTGATGCTTTGACGTCTCAGCATTCCTCTCCAACAGATATGACGGATTTGAAATCCCCGGCTACCGACATGGCCCAGCCCTCGCCAGCACCATCCAGTACATCCCACGTTTCGAAGACGAGATCAAGATCTCGACCAGCTCGCCGCCGTCAAAATTCGTCCCCCGCACCCCCCTCCTCTCCTCCAGGCCTACCAACACCGGCGTTCTCGCCCGATGGCCCCAGCGATCTCGACGATGAGCTTCTCGAGGATGAGGGGCTTTCCCCCTTTGACGCCCGCCGAATTACGCCTACCCTCCATGCATCACTCGTCTCCGAGATCCTTTCCCTTCGACGAGAGATAGAAAACAAAACCAAGGCTATCGATTCCCTAGAACAGAGTTTGGACGAATCACGAACAGAAAATGAAACGCTGAGTGAGAGTCTGTCTCAGGCTACGCGCGATGCGCGGTCCTTGAAGCATCAGATCCAACTTCTGGAAGGTGGAACGTCATCAGCGATGACGGAATTGGCCCGCGAGCGAGACGATGCCGTTGAGAACATCAATGACGTCCGCAAGAAATTAGAGCAAACACAAAAAAGAGTGCGCAGCCGTGAAGAAGATACTGAGCGCACCCAGGTGCTATGGGATAGGGATCGAGAGAAATGGGAGAACGAAAGGAGGAATATGGAACGCAAGGTCCACGTGGTGGAGGGCCGTCTCAAGACGGTGTTAAATGAATTTGCGGCGGCTCAGGAGGCCAAGAAACTTCATTCACAAATAATTGAGAATGGCGACAACGCGAAGGAGAAGAGCAAAAACAGTGACACCGCAAGTGTGGCCTCCAGCAGCCAGGGCCGTCGGCGTACCAGCCTGACCAGCATGACGTCCGATGAGGGCGAGCGTAACGATTATGCTCGAGCCGATTATCACAACGTGCGATACTCGGTCATGAGTCTTGCTCCTGGTGCTAAATTTGAGTCGGGTCCGAATTTGGCCGAAGAATTGGACTTTGATGAGGCGGATGAGTTTGCTACCTCTGATGAGGAGCTGCCGGAGGAACGCCCCCGCTCAGAAGCATCTCATACGGTCTCATCGAAGGCTAGAAAGATCTTAGGTCTTTCTATTCAAAGTGTTGGGTCCTTTACAGCAGCCGAGTACCGAGCTTTGGACACGCCGAGTCCCACGAAGGTGCCAGAGGTATCTGCGGAGTATCGTGACATGGGCATTCAATACTCTCCCCCTTCGTCACCCAAAATTTTGGCCATGAAAGAGGACAACCTTGCTGTTGTGCGAGACGAGCACAAGGGAAAGACCCCCGAGATGAAGGATTCTGCGACACTCACCATTGTTGTCGAGATGGTATCGGCGTCAAGCCAGACAATAGGGGAGCTTCCAAGCCCTCCATGGACACCCAAGCTACCTGATTCTATATCACTGGCTCAAGATGGTGAAAGGGCTCTAGAGACAATGGAGATGACATCAATGTCGACACAAACTGACCCTATTCCTGAATCTGAGCCAGCCAAAAAAGAACAAGCCACCTTGTCACCCAACAGTATGCCGGAAGAAATGGACATTCCAATGATCGCTATCCATCCTCCAGGCTCAGAACCACCATCTCCCCGGAACAGCGTCGTTTTACCTCCCCAAACCAAGAATGTGTCTGTGCAGGCCAATTTTAGGCCGGTCATTGAAGGCCGATCTATCGCCATTCAGACAGAGGAGATCCGTATTGATACGCGCAAACTCCCTGCCAGCCTTCTTCCCTCTGCCATTCCAGACTTACCCATCCAAGCCGAAGCACGAGAAATTGTGTACCAACCATACAGACCGCCTGTACCTCCGCCACGGTCTGCCAAGCGAGAACAGCAACGTGCTAACCACCCTGAACGTCCGGCGAGACCACTGCCCGCACCGCCATCCGAGCCTATTCAAGCCTACCCAGGCAATAATGATAATGGTCCACTGTCAGATGAAGTGGCTTCTGGCATACGGAGACCTTTCCGGTCCAGCAGTTTGTTTGCCGGCTTTGAACAACTGAGCGATGATGAAGGCCCTCACGGTGAAGAGCGTGACATCTTCACCGATGACGAGCTCTTGAACAGACCATTTGCTGCATACAAGATTCGGCGCGGTAAACTGGTCAATGCTAAGTCGAGAGCCAGTCTAGATTCCATGGGTCTTCCTGAGATTGACGAGCATCTCTCAGATCCTGAATCTCGACCATCAGACCTTGGTCGTAGTTCTTCTCGCGCCACTCAGCGATCTAGCGCAACTCCCTCCAGCAGCCGTCAGCCTGGCATGCGTAAGATGGCCATGATCTCTAATGGTGCAGCGACGCACCAAAGGATTCGTCCCCGCAGCCCAAGCGAACCAAGCCTCGATAGCGGCAGTGCAGGATCAAGCATTGCTCCTCCATTCCCTGTCCCGATTCGACTAAGCTCACGTAAGGTCCCCTTAGATGGCAGTGATGGACCTCCCAGTCCTACTCGCTCTGCTGGGAGACATTTCTCGGACCGCGGCCGTGCGACGGTTGTCCGTCGGCCGACCTTGCGCCGAGTGCGATCTGCAGCTGCAATGTCAAACTCGGATCTTCCAGAGCAACCAGAGACCCTATCCTCCCCGGCGCGCTCGGCCGACTCGTTTGTGCCGGACAGTCCGTTCCGTGCACCTCCCATGCCATTTGATGATATTACGGCTCCATATGAGCGGCGAAATGCCCAAAACGAGTCTCACATCGTACGACGTCTTCTGCAAATTGGAATCATGAGCGCCATGAGCGCCAGGACTCGACTGGTGGCGTACAACCGACCAGCGTCGTGGATGCCATTGCGCAAACTATGGTCGGCGAGTGGATGTTCAAGTATGTACGTCGCCGTAAGTCTTTCGGTATGGGCGAGTCCAAGGACAGCTGGGAAGGTAAAAACCCAGACGAGGTATCGGCCCATATCACCAACAGCGGTGTGCGGCATAAGCGATGGGTTTGGCTTGCGCCATATGAAGGTTCTATCATGTGGAGCAGCAAGCAGCCAACCAGTGGACCTGCTTTGTTGGGCAAGAGTGGCAGGAAGTGTATGTTGACCTGTTATACTCGTTCTCATTCCCTCTCAACTGACCTTGTGTAAAATACAGTTACGATCCAATCCGTCTTGGATGTCAAGGATGACAACCCCCTACCCAAAGGCGCGGGCTCTCCGGCCCCCTTCAATCGCTCCATTCTGGTTCTGACCCCTCAGCGGGCGCTCAAATTCACCGCGCTGACCGTTGAGCGCCACTATGTCTGGCTGACAGCTTTGTCCTTCCTGAGCCATTCCTCCATTGGCCTGCACGAACTGGCCGCACTGCCACCCGCCCCGCGAGAGGAGGCATCTCCCACACTCCCGCAAGCTTCCCTGCGACGTAACCCGATCCGCGACTCCATTCGCGTGGCTAAAGGTCGGCCTCGACCCATGCCCAAGGGTAAACGCTCATTCCCGGGGACAGCGATGCCCGAATTACCACCTGATAGTCTGGACATGGCTGCAGATGCACCTCACGTCCCGCGCTTCTCCAACCACAACCGCAAGCGCAGCAACACCGCCCCGCGACCACCAGCTATCCCCACCATCCGTAGCTTCTCCAGCCAGGGCACCATGCCCTCGTCGCATAGCGGCACGACCATCGGTTCTGTCGAGCCACACTACTCGACTGGACCGCCTCCCAACCTTCCCCCCGGCAGCGGCAGCGGACGAAGCAGCATCAGTCGTCGCACTTCCGAGGCCAGTGGCCGTACCACGCACACAACTGCCAGTAACATGTTTGACATTGGCACTGTGCGCATGGAAGCCTTCATTGATCATCACGCGCAGGAAATTAACCGTCCTCGCGGCGCACCAGTTGCCCGCTCTCGACACACCCGCAAGAGCTCCAGCAACTGGAGTGGACCCGACTATGACGCACCTTCCATCCACGGCAGTGAAATGTCCTTCCGATCAGACCCCTTTCGCGGCTTTTAATCCTTCATTCTTCACCCGTAATTTTTTTAAATCAACACAATGGCGCTTTGCATGTACAGCCCTGCGATTCTCTTGACCCGACCTACATACTTCTACTTCACACCCTTTTTTCTCTCTCTCTCTCTCTCTCTCTCTCTCTCCCTCTCTATCTTGTTTTTACTTTCTTACATTGCTTGTTGATACCATTGTGCGAAAGATACCTATTCGAAGCAGTGATGGACTTGGGGCGTTGGATGCATTGAAACTTGGATGTCTACAAATATAATGTATATTGAACATATTGTCTCGTCTCGAATCACAGTAACAATGTAGAATGTACGTCTAGCGTTGTAGCGGGTATAAACATGGTTCTTGGCTGGCAACACGTTTGGTTGGGGCCTCGGGTCCCCCGTGCAATCACGGAAATTTGCCCCCCCTTTGACGCGGAACATGGTTGGTATCAAGAATCTTCTGGCGAGTCGGTATCCGAATCTTAAATCACAACTTGGCGGCTTCTTTGACTTCGCCAATCTTCAGCTTGGGGAGTACTTCTTCAAAACGGATTCGTTGTGGTACTGTTGATGAGTTAGCCGCTAGAATGTTCGATCAGGTCACAGTCCAGCCGTAGTCCGGCCGTAGTTGGATGTTTGATGGCTATCCAGTGCTCCTTTATAGGGTAGCCATCTGTACAGAGTAACAAGGGATATTCACCTTCCAGAACTGCTTGGACGCATCCTTGCCAGCAACGCGCTTGAGAATCTTCGCGCCGCCTGGGTGCTCGTCGATGAAGTTGGTCACGTCGTACACATTATTGTCGATGATAATGTACAAGCTCTTGTCGGCGCTGTTGTGGGAGGCGACGTCGGCGGGGGTGAATGTTTGCGACATGATGGCTCTTGGGAGTTGACAAGGTGAGGAAAGGTGAGGTCTAGTGAGGTCATTAAAAGTGGGAAGTCTGGGGGACAAAAAGGCGGGGCCGAGGTAAATTCGGTGCCTCGGAAATCACAAATACCTTCCTTCTGATTGGACTTATCTCGGTCAAATTTAGGCCGATTGATGTTTTGGATTTTACCCACATAGATGAGTTAGTGGTCTTTAACATGGTGTTGGGGTTTTCATGTTACAAATATCAAATATAGCCACACAAGTGTGGTAGATGACCCGGGTCTATACAGACACAATAGAAAATGCCACGGCCATGGTCCTTTACTAAGGTCTTGTCTTTGATTATGCCAAGAAATTGAGTAGTGGCTAACGAGGCATCTTGCTTCATTGAACTGGTAATATACATTTATCGACTTTGATTATCCTATATTCACGTTCGACTTTTCTCGCCTGCGGCACCAGTCCCCTTCGGCACTTTGCGATCCAGTCCCAGCGACTCCAGATCCTTCTTCTTGTAATAGTGTGGGGCCACTTCCACAAGCCATTCCGCTTGCAGTGGCATGTTGCTGCGCATGTACTCTTTGCTGGTCAGGACCAGCTCGAAGTAGATCACCCATCGAGGGTTGACCTCGAACAACGTGCTGGACGGGTGCAGATACACTCCCTGGCCTGTCTTGATGGTACGGTAGCTATCACCCCCGCGCTGCAGTCGTGCCGCGTTGGGGAAGAAGCCGGCGGTGATGGCCTTTTGGATCGGGACAATGTTGGTGGCACCGCAGGTACTGACGCTCACTTCGACGCGATCACACAGTTTGGCCAGTTGATCGCGAACGTCGCGAGCTCGCGTCAAGCTGCGCTGCTGCAGGAAATTCTCCTTGGCCCACACGACGCTAAAGTCTGAATCCACCCACTGGTTCCAGATATTCAGAAGTGTCAAGTGATCGCCTCCATCCTTGATGGTGAACCGGTTGCGAGCACTATCGGCGTGGATCTTCTTGTCCTTGGGTCGGAAGAACAGGGCGCTTGACTCGCCCAGCATTGAGATGATGGAGAGCACCTCCTCCACACATCCATATTTGTCCGCTGCGAGGATGGCCTTGGCCAACATTGGGTCTGTAGGGAACTCGGCCATCTGGCGACCGACCTTGGTGAGCTCTCCACGATCGTTGAGAGCCCCAAGTGCGTACAATTGCTCCAAGGCGCGGATGATTGTCTCTGCCGGGGTGGGTCCATGAAGTCAAAGTCAAGTAGTTGGTCGATACCCAGCGATTTCAACATCAGAATAACGCCATTCAAATTGGTACGTTGAATCTCCGGTGTGGTATTCTCCTCCAGCTCGTTGTAATACGCCCACTTAGTGTAAAGTCGGAAGCATTTACCGGGACCAACTCTTCCGGCACGTCCTGCTCGCTGGTTGGCCGAGGCGCGCGAGCACGGCGTCACCACGAGACTTTCCATACCCGTGCGAGGGTTGAACACATTCTCTTTGACAAATCCAGGATCAATCACGTAGACTATACCGTCGATCGTCAAACTGGTCTCGGCAATGTTGGTGGCCAACACCACCTTGCGTGCTTTGGGCGGCGTGGGCTCGAAGATCTTGGTCTGCAATTCTGACGGCAGGTTGGCGTAAATGGGACAAATGATCATCTCCGGTATTTTACTGCCTAACTTTCGAGCCGTCTCTTGTAAACTCTGCTCGGCAGCTTCAATTTCTTCTTGACCAGTCAGGAAAACCAAAATATCTCCGGGGCCCTGCGTAACATGGATCTGGAAGACGGTGGTGATTGCTGCAGCCAAATAATTGGCTTCAGGCTGCGACGTGTAGTGCACATCCACGGGGTAACGGCGCCCGGGGATGTTAAAGATAGGCGCATCGTCAAAATACTTCTGAAATTTCTGCGCGTCCATAGTTGCCGAGGAGATGAGCAGCTTCAAGTCAGGTCGGGCCTTGGCAATATCCTTGAGAAGTCCACATGCAATGTCGGTAGGCACTGTCCGCTCGTGGGCTTCGTCGATCATCAATGCTGAGTACTGGCCCAGATCTGGCTCCGTGAGCAACTCTCGAAGAAGCATCCCGTCAGTCATGTATTTCAAAATCGTCTTGTCGCTTGTATTGTCTTCGAATCGAATGGCATAGCCGACTTCGTTACCAATTCTCACGCCCATCTCCTCCGCCACACGAGCGGCAACACTCATGGCTGCTACTCGACGCGGCTGAGTGCAGCCAATCTTGAGGCCATCCTTAGTGAAGCCAGCCTCGTGAAGGTATTGAGGGATTTGTGTCGTTTTACCCGACCCCGTCTCTCCGACAATAATCAGGACTTGGTGATCGTGCACAGCTTGTATAATCTGATCTCGGAATTGATAAATGGGGAGACTCTTTCGAGTCTCTTCAATCGTGGCAGCCTTCTTCTCGGCTGCATCAACCTGCTCTTTGAACCGGAGCTGCTCCTGGGTCATCGGCTTCTGTGTGCCTTCGAGCTTGGTATCCATCACAAAGTTGATCTGTTGTGAATCATCAAACACGTATTCGTAGTCTCCTTCGTCGACAAATTCGGCCTTTTGGATTTGGGCCTTGGCTTTGGCTGCCTGTTCCAATTCCCATTCCTCGTGTTCTGTAACGAATCGCTCCTGACCAGCATCATCGCGATCAACATAGCGCTTGTATAGAGCATCCTCTTTCTTCTTGCGATCGATCTTGCCTTTCTCGGTGATATAATCATCGGGCATCATGTAGCCATCGCGGTGGTCATCGATTCGAAGTCGCTCCTCTGCGATGCGAAGAACTTCCCGGTTTCGCGCAAATTCCTCCTTCTCACGGCGGGTGAGATCTGGGTTCTCGCGCAGCTCGGCAGCTTCTTCAGCGACCTGGCGCCGTAGGAGTGCGAGTCGCTCGGTCTCACGCTTCTTCAAGTATTCCTGTCGCGACCGCAAGCGCAGATCCGGCATCACAGCAGCCCGCGCATCGGCATTATCGGCCAGGGCGCGTCGTCGTGCGGCTTCTCCCTCTCTTGTTCGGTCCTCCACGATCTTCTTGGATTTGTTGTCATCCTTGGTGGCCAGTCTCTTCGCAAACTCATCTCGCTCTCGAAGGTCCCGTTGGCGCTCTATCTCCTGTTTGGTTTGAGGGTCGAGGTCATCGGCGGGAGATGCGGAGCGTGGGGAGGCAGACCCGTCCTCAAGTCTCGTCCTTTTCGATGGAGATTCCGCAAAATCGTCCTGGTCGCCTTCGGGATACAGCTCTTCCTCGGGAATTTCCTCGTCACCCCATCTATCGTCAAAGTCCTGTGAGCCCTTCTTCCGCAACTTCTTCGACCGTGGAGGATCTCGGCTTTCCGCGTCTCGGCTGCGGTCGCGTTTCCGGTTGTCGTCTTTCTCCCAGCGACTACGGGCTTCCAAATCTCGCTTGCTCTTGTCCTGATCGCGATCGCGATTGCGGTTTCGGTCGCTCTCTCTTTCTTTCTCCCGGCGCCTTCTCCTGTCGCGCTCTGCCTCGACGTTGACAGGCCCCAGCGTGGATGCGGGATCCGGGAAATCCTCGCCCATATCGACCATGCGGTACTTCTTCTTCGATTCCTTGCTTGCAGGGTTCTTCGGTGTAGATGCATTAGGCTGACTGCTCTTCCCAACACGGGAGAAGAGCTGTCCGCAGAACGCACCGATTTCATCGGGACTGCCGTCGAGGAAGGAGACCAGCTTGTCTTGAAGAGAGGATGATGACTTGGCAGAGCTGGCTTCGGCGAGAACGAAATCAACCGCGATCGGATCTGAGGCGCCCGTTAAGCGAATCAATGAGTCCGACACGAAAGTCTTGTTGTCCATGTTGGGCGCGGAAACGCACAAGGCACAATGCTATAAGTTCGTTGAACGAAATTTTGGGAGTAAATTAATTAAGAAGCACGGCGCATTGTGTGTATGGAGAAGAACAGAGATTTCTCCCACCTCTTGTGATATGGTTGGGGGTTGCTCAAGCTCCGGGAAGTTTGGAACGGGATCATCCAGAGAGGATGGTTCTTGGGAGTCCTTAGGCATGATCAATCATCATTTCGTTGGTTATAATTTGAATAGGGTTAAAAGATGCCACGCCTTCGCCCCCGTGGCGCAATCGGTAGCGCGCAAGACTTCTATGAGACATCAGTCACTCAATGATATCTTGAGGCTGCGAGTTCGAGCCTCGCCGGGGGCTTTTTTTCTTACTTTTTTTTAGCTTCTTGGTTATTGTTTCTCGAGAATCCCAACGTCATCTGCCCATTGTTCCGTAGTCTTATTGGTCATTGGCGCTTGGTTCCATCGATCAGGGAGGCGAAAGACGTAAATAAATCATAATGATACTGGCTCTTCTGGAAATAAAGCCTGGGCAAGAGAGATACTAGGTAAGAACGACACCAAAGGCCGCGCCATAGGCAGGGTGGGGTTGAGCAGATGACCACTGTCACTTTCAAGGGAAGGCCAAAACGATGCATCTTTGAAACTGTCCATGTCAAGACAGCTCCGGTGGCTATGGTGTGCTACTGGCTTGATGTGCCACCTCGGGACGTGGTAACAAAGTGTACTTGGGAGCTAGGTGGAATCTTTTAGGCATATACATCCTATATTTGGGCCAATATGTATGGACTTCTTGTGAACTAAGTCGCTACAGATCTAGTAATGATAGTCACGAGGCGGGAGGCAAAGCAAATATATATCGATGCTCGTGAGAGTCCACCGGGACGCAAGCGCAAGTAACATGCAGAGAATGACCATGCCACGATTTCGCATAGTAAACACTGATGAAGCTTTTGATCTAGCAATGTCGATACACACATAATCCATTAGTTGTGTTCGACAGAGATACCCAGAAAGATGTCGATGATGAAATGAAGAATCAAGCGCGGAGGGCCCCTTTAAGATTATCCAAGGCATAGCACATTGCGCCTAAAACTAGCCCACACTTGGTCAATTGATATTGACTTACGAGCAAAGTTCAGAAACAAAAGATTGGGGATATCATTGGCACTCCGAGCTGTACACTGACATGGAATCAAGCTAGCCAAATAATAGATACACAACGCAATCAGATCTCGCTAATCCAACACAGCATGGTGCAGTCGTTCATCGTCACAGCCTTGGAGAAGAGGGAAGGAAAAGAAAAGAGAGGAAATGAGCAGACAAGAAAAGGATGGAGCGAAAACCATCCAAGGACATGCGACCGACCAGGCCGAGGCCATCATTTGCGCGTCCAGGGCCAAGAGACTCGGTTTGAAAGACCCACAAATACGCCAATTGAACACGCAAATGAAAAGCGGCAGCGGAGTACGAGAGCAAGACCGAATAGGCGAGGCCTTCGGAAGGTCCCAGTAGGATGAATCATGATACATTCGTGACACCTAGTAATGCTAGGCTGGAACAAAGGAAATGTGAAGTAAGGACGCCGCAAACGAGAGGCGAAATGCCACAGAACTCCAGGGTATTAAACCCTTTGTAAACTCCACCGGATCATGACGAGGGAAGGACAGATAGTCCGAAAAACTGGTAAGTAGCTTCACAACCCAAGAGTCTGGGATCAAAAAGCATCCCAGGGGGAAGTTCCCAGTTCATTAAAAAACACAAAGTGTGGCTTCGACCCGAGAAGCCTGAAAAAAAAGCAAAGAATCAAGGTCGTGATCCGAAAACATGAGATCAAAGATAGGAAGAAACAAAAGCTGCGCCAAGTCGTGATGAACGCCGTAAGATGACAAAGGAAAAAAGGGAAAACATAAGGCACGGAACACCCTCCATATGCACAACCAGCAGAAACGGGAGGATAGATTACACATCGATCATCTCAGCATCTTCAGCGAGAATTTCATCAGCAGGGCCCCAGTTGCCCTCAAAGATGGTGGCGCCGGCACGGCGGCGTCGACTGACAAACTGGACTCCATAGGTTTCCAAGATCTGGTCAGCTGTAGGTCGATCAATTGGTTCGGGGGAGATCATCCAGCGGACAATCTTGTCCAATGCCTGAGGGTGATGGGCATGGACCATGAAATCCGGAGGGTTGACGAGCTCGCCGCTGCGCTCTAACTGAGTTGGCTTGTCGGCACCCAACTTGCGGCTCGTCACAAACTCGTCGCCGAAGTCATCGTCACCTAGATCGAAGGCGCAAAGCTCTTCAAAAGAAGAAGATTCCGAAACAGGATTGCCAGATGCATCGCGGAAGATGCTGGTTTCCGAACTCCAGGTCAGACTGGGGACATCGCTCATGTCACCGTTACGAAGCTTTTGCCAGGACACTCCGTTGTCCGGTAGCTCCACATTGCCGGCGATTTCAAACATGATCAGCCCAAGAGAGAAGATATCGGCGGGCTTGTCAAACCGGCCCATAAGTATCTCCGGTCCGATGTACTCGCGGTCACCTTCCCCCTCGATGCCATCTTCAGCGGGCCAGCGTGTAGCCATTCCAAAGTCTGCAATCTTGAGCACACCCTCGAAGGTGACCAGGATGTTGGCGGGCTTCAGGTCAAGGTGGATGAAGCCCTGGTCATGAATTTCCTTGAGACCCAGAGACATTTCAAGGAGGATCTTCCAAATGCGGAAATCATCGACTCTAGCCTTGAGGCCAGCCTGAGCCAGGAAAACATCTAAGCTGCCCTCCTCACAGAATTCCGTTTGGATGTATAGATGACCATAGTCCTCCCAGCTATCCACGAAGGAAATGACATGGTCAGAGTGGATCAGAGTCTTCAAGATGTCCACCTCGCGGATACGGCGTTCACGATCCTTCAGGCCCAGGTAGGGCTGCTTGCTCTTCTTGACAGCCCAAACCTGGTCAGGCAGAGCGGTGGGCGACTTTGGACCACTTGACGGTAGCGAAAAAACAGAAGGGAAAGAGGATTCGTGAGGTTGAGAAACCCGATAGACCTGAGAGAATTCACCAGTGCCAATCAGCTCGGCTCTCTCAAAGCGTGATGACAAACTGGAATCAACATCGGGAGTGTGAAATCCACTGAGTTGGAGGCTGGGTCGCTTGCTCGAAAGCAACGAATCACGAGGGCCAGTTGGAGTGGCGGGCAGGCCTGAAATGCCCAAGTCAGGTTGAAATGGCTGCTGGTCATTTGGCACGGAGATTGATAATCCGCTCGGATCGGGAGGGAAGAATTGATCCCGAGGAGTGCGAGGTGAGGCCTGCATGAACCGATCGCGCAAGGGAGTCGAGTGGGAGCCGGCCCTGGCTTCGGACAAGCGCTCCAGGGGCGCGATCTGAGAAGTGGCAGGAGGGTAGGTGCGAGAAGGGAGGAAGGTCTGCTTGGTAGGGGTAGGAGGGAAGTCCGAATCATTCAAAGCTTGGCTGTCCTGACGCGAAGAAGGAGACTGAACTTGCAGCATGTCATCACCATCCACACTCACGACGCTGCCACGGCGCGAGGGCTCTTCAGGGCGATTAAAGGAATTGCTAAATATTCCCGCACCACGAGAAACTTTGGGCCGCGCTGACGAGAAAGAAGGATTAAACGGTGAGGGAGGTAGATCATCGGATTGCCGCACCAGGCGTGACTTGTCAAAGAGGCGCTCCGGAGCAGGATTAGGACCTGCAGTGAACAGATTGACAGGCCGCTTACACGGAGTGTCAGGCATGTTCTTGTTGAAGCCCGGCTCCTCCGCATTACGATTCTTCTTCGAGATTAATCCGGTCGACATGAACGCAGCCGGCAGTGGCTTGACCAGCTTGAAATTCTCGGGTGTTGCGAAAGTGTCAGAGCCACTTGAATCCTCACGCGTGATTCGGCGCACAGGAGCTGGGCGAGTTGCCCCAGCAGGTAAAGACTTGGAGAAATTGAGAGGGCGAGGTGGTCGCTCGGGCTTGGGAGCGGGTTCGTGAGTGGGCGAGTCATCAAAACTGGACCCGGATGAGGATTGTGTGATTGTACGCGAGAGAGGATGAGCGGCAGGACGAAGAGGCTGAGTAGCCGCACTGGGATTGATGCCGCTCGCATTGGAAAAGAGCGGACTCGCAGGCGCGGGGAGAGGTGAGAACAGGTTATCATGGCCTGCGTTAAAGGAGCCGCTGTCAAAGGACATGCGAGAGCGAACTGCAAGCGGAGTACCAGGCATCTCGCCTTCTTCAGCAGCCCTAGGTCGACCAAATAACGAGCGCTCACCCTGACGCTGCTGCAGGGTGGATCGGCGCAATGACGATGAGCGTTTGGGAATAGTCGCGAACGGACTGAATGGTTGTATTGGGGTCGGAAAAGGCGGAGTTTCACTTGCTGAAGGATCAGTGGGCGCATGTTCTTGATCGGTATCGAAGATACTGAATTCCGAAGTAGTTGGTGCATGTACACTGCGCCTTTTCGCGGAGGGGCTGCCACGCGAGGCCTGGTCCAAATTCATTATGCCGTCGCTGCGTTTCAATGGACTGACTGTGGCGTAATTTCCAAAGGTACCACTTCGACGCTTTTCGATGCGTGAAAGTGTGGGGCGAGGTGCAAGTGGTGTGTCAGATGGAGGGACGCTAGGGGTGAGTGAAAGGAAAGGACTGGCGCAAGTGTTGCTCTCACTTTGACCCATTAGGTCATCTAATGTGAGCGCGTTTTCCTCATCCTCAGCCATCATCATCGGAGTAGACTGAGTAGGAGTTGCATTACCACCGTCCGTTGACAATGTGAGAGCGCGTTTAGCCGGACTGCGCGGAGACGTCCGCCGTCGCATCACCGGCCGTGTGATTTTTGCACTAGGAGGATACGGAACCGCAAGAGGTGACTGTTGGCCCGACGAAGGGAACAACACAAAGTTATTCTGTGAGGATCGGCGCGAAGGAGAGAGAGGTGAGGAGATGTATGAAGCTTTAGAGGGTGAGACGTTGCGAGAGTTGAGGAAGAAGCTGGAGCTCTTGGAAGGAGAGCGCGACAGAGAGCGCCGAAGCTGTCGGATAGCGGAACTGGCATCGACGTGGTGAAGCCCCGAGTGCGATGACAGATGGAGCGTGCCGCCGGAGTCCCGGTGCGGCGAAAAGGTCGCAACCATAACTGGGGAATGTGAGTCCGCCGCGCAACAATCCCAAAATAAGCGGTGATTCAATCCGCGTGTAATGATCTCTGCCCACCAACGATGGGCCCAGAGATCACAGAACTAGATACCGATACTCTCCAGCAGATGCCTTTGTGAACAGGCTAAGTTTTTTTCGACGTCGGACAAGATGTCCCAGGATGAAATCACCAGGGTAACTCAAGGAAGAGGGCAGGAACGCTGCACTGGAATGCTGAGAAGGAAGGCGCAGCAAGTGGCAAAGTAGATAGCTTCATCCATGCATGTCGAGAGACAAGGAATTCTGAGGGTTCACTTGTTGTCTTCACCTGTATCGGTCCCTCCGAATCAGGCCGGGGAATAAACACGGACGCGCGCAAGTACTGTCGAGGGGCGCGCGGGAATGTTTCAAGTTCGGCCCACGGACATTCGGTGATGACCCTCAACACTACAGCCAGAACAGGGCGTCACTGGCGAGCAGAAGTATTCTTGATCCCGGTCGATTCAACCAAGCACAAAAGCGTAAGGGGCAGATCCCCCTCCAAGATTTGTCGAGAGTCTCACACGAGTTGGAAGGTCGAAAGAGGACTGGAATGCTATGGCGAAGAGTCGAACAGTCGAAGAGTCGAAAATATCGAGGAAGATCGAAGGGTGGGGGGGAGGAGGGGGGGGAGAGAAAGGAGTGGTCTCAAGGGAGATCGATGACAGGATTGTGAAGAATGGAGGTGAAAGTCAATGTAGAAACGCGCACGTCGCGTTGTTGATCCTCGATGCCGTGTTGGGTTTAGCGGCGGGGACGCGTCTTGACATAAACAAATAGTGGCTTAGTCAGATCTATACAGTGCAAGTCGCTGATATCATAGAAGGGTGACTCTCTCATGGGTTCAATAGATGCACCGGTCGATTATTTGCGTCACTACGACGACCGCTTGTGCGCGTGTGTGCTTTCTTTTCTTGATGTTCTTTGTTTTTTTTTTTTTTTTTTTTTTCACCTATTTTACCCACTCATTTCAATTCCCATTTCCAAATTCACACTCGGACCCTGGTCCGGGGGTCGCCCCTGCGGCCAGGCAGCCACAGCGTGATCTGCGCGTCAAATCTGCCTCTTCACTCTCGATGGACAATAGTCCATGCACCCGAAAGAGAAGACTGGGATTGCACTGGGCCGTTCGAGGGTCATGGCCCCACGGCCAGATGGCCATGGTTGCGACTCGATAGGCCACGCGGATTGCCCTTGCTTGAGTGGCTTCCACCCATGAGTCCCACTCGGCTCCTGGGGTGTTTTCATCTGATTCATCAGTTTTGCCCGGCACTTGCAGAAAAATGTGAAATTAAATGGGAAATGTTGGCTATTTCTGCAGGAATGGGGCGCACCGGTCCCCGAAAGAGGACACTCTCGTGTCTTAAAAAAAACATGAGTGAATCCTTGACTCGGACATCGCACGCCAACATTATGATTTATCGTCCCGGTCCTGGTGGGGAAACTGATGTGCGAGACTCCGACCATCCGCGATCCGCGTGGGTCTCCGCTGCCCCTCTGGTTCTATGAACATCCAATTATGAAAACGAACACATCCAACGCCAAAGATACCATAAAAACAATATATGCACAGGAAAGGAGATGAGCGGCCCGCCCGTGACCAAACTCTAATCGCTGAAATGAAACTGGAATGAAAATGAAAATGACGATGAACCTAGGGGACTAAACACAAATGGTTCCCGGGGCTGCGAAAGGGAGGAGCAAAGCCGCGCCCCGATGGGGTGGTAGTGGTAGTACGTGGTCTCCCTTTTTCCCTGGCTTCTCTATCTTTTCTACACAATCTCCGAGAATTCCACCATGGTGGCCATCTCCTGTCGCACTTTCTCAATCATCTGCTCTGCAGTGGCGTAATCGAGTCGAGCTTCAGAAGCAAAAATTCCAAAGTCCAACCGGTCATCTCGGATAGCTGCTTCTACATCGATGGTGGGCTATTGAACACGTAGGGAGATGCATTAGTGCCAGGGCTGTGGGGGATTGTGAGGATCTGTCAACTTACCATGAAGACATCTTGAATCGCTGCCGTAGATCCGACATGTACGGTTGGGGCTGGGCTCAACGAGGCTGCAGAGTCACCGTTGGTGTGCGACTGGTCGGGCTGGTCCAAACTAGATACCTGGAGGCTGGACAGCTTGTCGCGGCTAAGAGGCTTGAATTCTACACGACCGGTGGCGTCCGCGGCATGGGTAGACTCTTTTTCGGGCAGTCGCAGGAAGTTGACACATGTGCTGATTCGCACCCCGGTCCATTCGGCAATCTCTACGAGAGAGACGCTCGAATGCTGGATCATGCTGATCTCATTGATGTCATCTTGGATCTTTTGAGCGGCAACAAAAAGTGAGTCCGGATCGTGGCTGAGCTTGTCGCCCAGACGGAGCGGCACGATGTTGACTGTGGGAGCCATGAGGTCTGAAAGCCCCTCAAAATCGTGCGACCGATTGGCGAGATACAGCCCAACCACGAGCTGTCTCGAGATCTCCTTACTGTCCGCGCCCGCCGCAGCGAGGGTCTGAGCATGGACTCGAGCATAGACAGCCAGGAAGATCGATTGGACACTGAGGCCCTGTTTCTGGGCGGCTATCTCAACACAAGACATGTTTGAGACTAGACCCTGTCGGTAGTGTTGCTGAATGGCGTCAAAGCCACCCTGGCATTTGTCAGTTACGCTATCAATTGAGATCTGGCCCAGGTAGTTTTGCCAGAATTGCCGCCGGACATCCACCGGCGAATGAAACTGGTAGAACGCCACGAGTCGCGACATATCATGGAGTTCCGATCTTGATTCGGTCGGGATAGAGCGGCAAAGGAAGGCAAGTCTTTCCACCATGGAAGGCAGGCTTATGGCGTCATATAGTGCATGATGAATCTGCAACGCAAGCGCCGTCCCCTCGGACGTCTGGCAAGCATGCAATGTAGCTGGCAGCGCGCCAAAGGGCTGCTTGTAGTTGGGCGTAACAAGCTCATCAATGTTCCGATGCCAAACAACCGGGTTACGTACATGTTTCAGCACAGCCTGGACATAGGGCAGATGATGCTCTTTGTCTGTACGCAGGAAAACCGTCCGAAGAATGGGCGTTAGCTCGGCGAGACGTGCCCATGCACCGTCGAGAATATCCTGGTTCAGTTGTGATGCCAAGTACTGGAACGCAGGATAGAAGATGCTTGGATTCATGGTATGCACAGCAAGGAAATATGTTTGTCCACCAGTGGCAGGCAAAACGATTTCAACTTGATCAAGACCAATGCCATACGATTGGAGAAGTGAATTCACTTCGATTTCTTCAAGCGATCTCTCGAGGTAGCTGGCAACTTCTGTTGAAGTGAGCTCTGTATGGTGTTTGTTCGCCGCCAGGGCCATCTTCTCGATAGTGCCAGCTCTGAGCAGATCACTCACGGCCAACCTGATGGATTGTTTTTTCAGAAGCGCAACAACCTTGATAGCACTAATACTGTCCAGCCCGAGCTGGAAGATGTTCGCTTGCCTCTCGATTGAATCTGCGGGCACTCCCGATACAACGGCAAGGACATTGCAGATCTCCGACTCAAGTGAAGTCCAGGATCTCCGCCTTGCGGCCTCCTCAATCGTGTCGGTCTGGATAGCCTGTGAAGAGGAATCTACAGAGAACAATGTGCCGCAAATGTTCACCTTGTCTCCTTCAAAGCCGACAGTGTTCTGGGAGGGCTCATCGACGATGGATGTCAGGACTTTGCCGATCTGTTCCAAGAGAAGAAGTGTACCCGTTCCTCCAAGGACCTGCCCACTACAGGCCACACGAGCCAAGAGGTCTGCTCCGACACCTTCAATCTCGACGCAAATTGGATATTCGACGTCTGATGCCCCTCCAATGGACTTGTATAGAGCCATCTCTGGGGTGCCGTTTTCCGATGGCCTCTTCTGGTAGATGAAGAGAGTGTCAAACAATCGTTGAGATCTTGTACCGGGCATCGCGCGCCGCAATGGAAAATGCTGATACCCGGAAATTTCCAACAGGGTCTCTTGCACATACTTCACCAATTCCAGACGAGTACCATGGAGGATGACACGCATCGCCGCCGTGTTCATGGTTGGGAACATCATATCCTCAGAGCCAGTCACATTACGGCCAGAGAGAACAAGGCCAAAGACCACATCTAGTTTCTTGACATAGGTGGCTAGTATCAGTGACCAGCAGCTGACCAGAAGTGCTTGCATTGTAATGCCATTGCGCTTGCAGAATAATTCGGCCTTTTCGAAGGGAATTGAGAGCGTTTGCTCTGCACGATGAACGACTCGAGAACTTTCTGTGGAGTCTTGTCCTGACGGGAAGGTCATGGGCGTGCAATTGGCAAGTGTTGCTCTCCAGAATTTAAGAGCACGATCGCCAGAGGAGGCGAGAATTTGCTCCAGAATGGCGTCTGGCAGTGGACGAGCACATTCTTCTCCAGCGTAAGATCTGGCAACGTCCTCGTGAAGCAGATTAATTGACCAGCCATCGTAAAGAGCATGAGAAATTGACAGAACAAGGTATCGGTCCTCGCCATCTACAGCAGACGTGACAGTAAGAAGCGGCTTTCTGGCAAGCTCCAAGAAAGCCCTTGCACGTTGAGCTTTCATGATCGAGTCCATCGTTTCTCCATTCAACTGCACTCTCTGGAAATCGAAGGTATCTTCGCTGTGGACGATTTGGGCGTAGGAAGCGGAAATCTCCGGATCCCAGACTTCGGCAAAGGAAGTGCGAAGAATGGGATTGGCCCTCACGACCGCTCTCCATGCTTCTTGAAGCTTCGTGGCATCAACATGGGGCTCAATCTTCAGAATGTCGTGGTTGTAATAATGCTGGTACTCGGAGGCAGACATTTCGGCTATCATCGACTCTTGGATCGGTGTTGCTGGAAGGACTCGAGAGGCACCCTGTGGAACAAGTCCCTCGCGCTCAAGGAACTCTTTCAGGGTTCTCTCCATCTGAACTAGTAATGGATATGTGCCATTCTGTTCCTCATAGGTTGTCTCCGTCAATTGACCTGCCATACCCTTGACACTGCGGTAGCGCATGATGGAACTAACTGGGAGCTTGATGCTCAGCTTGCTCAATCGTGAGGACAATTTGATTGCGTCAATACTGTCGAGTCCTACCTCGAAAATGGATGTATCTTCTCCAATTGACTGCGCGTCTACTCCGGCAAGAGTTGCAATCACATCCCGGATTGCGCAAGCCTGTGTACTCCACTGGAATGGAGACTCAACATTCCCAGAAGGATCAAGAGACTGTTTTGGCTTCTCAATTTTTTCTTCGTTTGGTCGAGCTTCATGCTCTTTCATACATCCATCAATATGCAGTAACTGTTGTTGCGGATCCTCTGCAAAGTCAGACAAGATTTGCTTGAATGTGGCGAGGATCTGCTGAGCCGTCTTGCGAGACAACACATGGCCCTTAGCAGCAAGCGTCGCAGTAAGATATTCGTTTCCGTTTCGTACAATCTCAAAGGCCAACGGATACTCGTGCTGCGCTTCCGAGGCCGAGGGATGCCAAAGGCCATCCGTTGCTGAGTCAGTCCTGGAGTTCTCTCTTTGGAAGACAAAGAGAGACTCGAAAAGTCGCTCATCTGGGTTTTTTCCGAGCCATTTGGAAATGTCACGGAGAGCTGTATATTGGAATGGGATTGTTTCCACGTAGTATTCATGGCATCGCCGAGCAACGTCAGACCAGGTCTTGAGATCACCAAGCTGGACATTACTGGGGATGGTGTTGAACAAAGGACCAACGACATTGGCAATCCCAGGGACGTCAATCGTTCGACCAGAAGCAATGACACCGTGGGGAGGTACAAACGAGTAGTGTCGGTAAAAGGTCAATAGCCAGCAAGCGTGAAGCACTGCTTGCTCGGTAACATTGAGAGACTTCTTCAGGCGGGTCAGATGTTCCGTACTATCAATCCGAATGTTCTCCAAAATAGGGCCGTTGGGTTCATCTTCCGCCTTTGGCAAAATTTGACTGTGAAAATTTGCGAGATGTTTTTTCCAGAATGCCTGCTCTGAGGGGTCTTTGCAAAGGGGGCCCAGATGCAGAACGTCCAAGAGCCCAGGAGGGCGCTCCAAAGCCCTTGGGCTGTCAATATAAATGAGCGCAACCAGTTCAAGCAGAAGAGCCAAGCTGTTGCCGTCGTAAAGGGCGTGAAATATCTTGAGGTTCATCACTGACTTTTCTGGAGAGCTGATTACACCTACCTCCCAGAGCTGCGCAGAGAGATCTCCAAGACAAGAAATCCATTTCTCAACCCGCATTTTGTGTGAGATTTCAATTCCTTCCTCGGAATTAACCGTTTCTTGGAACCAAGGAAGAACACCCTTCTTCAAGACGACTTGAGCATAACCATCCGATGATGGCGAAAAGCGAGTTCGCAGTATTTGGATCTGGTCTTGAGCCTGGCTCCAGGCAATCTTCAATCTGTCCAGGTCGATTCCAGGTTCGAGCTCAAAAGTAAAGGACGAGCAATACAAGGGCATCGTGCTCGACAGGAAATGGTAGATAATACCCTCCTGGAGTGGCGTGCAAGGTGCAATTTGCTCAACATCCCCGTCGGACACGCCGATACTCTCCATTACAGAGTGCGAGTGCTTGTGTGCAAAAGCTTCTATGCTCTGCCTGGCGTTTCTATGGAGATTTTCCAGAGCGACAGCAGGAATCGTGGGTGTTTTGAGTGCCAGTGCCATCCCTGCAACATTAGGATCTGCATTTATGTTAGCTATATGTCACTATGATTTGGCGACTCAACTTACGCTTCATGATCAGGGATGGCTGGGCTTGTGAGAAGCCAGCTTCCCTGAGACTTCTGGAAAATGATATAACCGAGATAGAGTCAAGGCCAAGCTCGTAGATGCTCGACCCTGAAGAGATAGCGCCCTCAGTAGATCCAGTGAATTTAGCCAAGGTAGAGATGATCTTTTCTTCATCCTCACTTTTTTTGGACCGATCGACAGTCATAGACGTCAAATTTTGCAAATTCTCGAGAGAAAGCTCCTGATAAAAGCTCCTCAGGACTTTCATCTCTGCTTTGTTGTTCGCCGATAAAGGGAAACGTGTCATCGGGATGATATGTGTAGGTACCATGTAGCCTGGCAGATGAGTCCGACAAGCTGCCTTAATCGTGGACAGAAGCGCCGAACAGTTTTCGTCGGCACAAATTTCAATATTGCGAGACGTCTTGTCAGTATCAAATCTCGTGATAAATGAGACCAGCTGATCTTTGGACTGCTTTGGATGCTTGATGACTAGTGTAGCCACTTCATTCAACTCAGGAGTAGCTTGCTTGATGACTTCGTTGATCTCCCCGATCTCAAGCCGCTGGCCACGGAGCTTGACCTGGTCGTCTATGCGGCCAAGGAACTGGAAACTGCCATCGTGTAAGATCCGAACCAAGTCACCTGTTCTGTAAATGCGGTCTCCATATTCAAGTAGCTCTTGGAATCGTTCTTGTGTGAGCTCCGCGCGATTCAAGTACCCCTTCCCGACCAGGGGCCCAGACACGCAAAGCTCACCGAGTCCACCGCGTACGACTGGCGTGGTAGTGCCAGGGAGGAAAACATATGATCCCACGTTATCGAATTGTGGCCCGATGTTGGATGGCTTGTCGTTAGCGCGCATCCGTGGAAGCATGGTACACCCGATGGTCACTTCAGTTGGTCCGTAGCCATTGTAAATGACTCCATACTTGCCCCAAGCGTCGAGAATCTCTTGCTTGAGGGCTTCGCCCCCAGTGATGAACACTCCTCGGCACAGGGAAGGAACTTCATCAGGATGAACCAATCGGGCCAAGCTCGGTGTCAGATCGATGTGTGTAATTTGGAGCTTTTGGATCGTGCCCGGCAAATCTTCAAAGAGAAGATCTCGAGGACATGATGTTACACAAATTCCAACACTCCAGCTCCAGTATTGTTCAAGAACACTGACGTCGAAGTGGAACGAGGCAAATTGGAGCCATCGGGAATTTTCGTCCCAGTGAGGAGAAAACAGCCTCTGGAATGCCAGCATTGCCTGTACAGCATTGTCATGGGTGATCTCACAGCCCTTTGGTGTGCCCGTAGTGCCAGAAGTGTACAGGCAGTAGCACGTGTCTGACGGTTGAATCTCTCGTGAAAGCACCGGTGCAGCAGATGATAAACCTTCATATAGACCAGGTTCGTCAAGCACTTGTACATCAATGCCGGCAAGGCCCTCTAGCTCCGTCTTCCTTGCCTGATTGCAAAGTAGAATTTTGGTTCCGGAATCTTCTAATATGAATTGCTTGCGAGAGATAGGAGCACCGGGATCAATTGCCAAAAATGCGCAGCCCACTTTCAAGATCCCAAGTATTGCGATGGATGCTTCAGGGCATTTATCAAAGCATATGGCTATCATCCCACCGGGGACGACACCCTTGGCTTGCAAGAAATGAGCGATTCTGTTACCGTCCTCATTGAATTCACTGTATGACCATGTCTTCTTCCGCAAGCTGTCTGCAGTGGCACCGGTTGCAAATTCAAGAGCGGCCTTGTCCGGAATCTTTTGGGCGTTCTCTTCGACAAATTGGTGCAGTAAACACAATGGACTTGGCAGTCTTTGCTCCTTGGCTGGGGTGATAGAGAGCAGATCATCTCCAAGACACAGATAGTCGGTGGAATCAGACTCGGGTGAAAAGATAGTTTGTTCAAGCAATTTATCGTATTGTCTTAGAAGAGTCATGGCTTGCTCCTCAGGGACGAGGTCGCTCCTATAGCTGATTCGAATTTCAAGATCGGTAGACTTTGGGAGCAACTCGATAGACACGGGGTACTATGTACTTGGTCAGTATCTCTTTTCCTACTGCGTCATGTGAGTGCTGTGAGGCAAAGAAATAACATACATCGATTTTTACTGCTTCATCAGTGACATGCCAGTTCCCGTGTCTTTTCGACTTAGATGAGAATTTCTGGTAAACAAAAAGAGTATCAAAGAGTGGTTCATCACTACCAAGCCATCTTTGAATCCGCGCCAGAGGAGCAAACTGGTTCTTGATTAAAGATGAGTTGCTCATTAAGGTTCGGTCCAAAAGCTCACGGTTAGTTCCTTCAACACATGAAGGTGACGGGATAGTCACCAAGCATGGGAAGACAGCTTCCTGAGCAGCCGCAGAGAGACTACGACCGGAGAGAACAGTTCCAAAAATCACACTTTGCTCTCCCGTGTATGCAGCAAGCAATCGGGCCCATGATGCTTGCCCAGCTGCTTGCAAGGTGACACCGAGCTTACGACAGCGGTCCTCGAGCGTCCTAAGAGGCCACGCGCAGCAAATTGAAGTTTCAAGCAGATCTCTACTTTCCGTTCGAATAGGATGCAAGTCCGGAAACTTGGATGAGCGGACTCCCGATGCTAGCCCCTGCCAGAATTCTTGGCCGTTCTCAATTTGCCTCTGACTTTCAATGAGGATGGGTCCAAGTGTCGCAGAAATGGCAGGAGGCTTGCCAAGGGCCATTCCTTCATATGCTGCCATGGCATCGGAGAAGATCGTTTCTAAACTTTGTGCATCATAGATCGCATGAAGTGCAGCAAAATGTACCACATCGATCTGCTCGCCGGAGTCGATGGTGACTTGCCAAGGCGGGCGGTGGAGACTTTCGAGGACTTGTTTCCCTTGGATAGAGCCATTGGAAAGGAGCCCTGAAGTGTCATGCCAGGGAATGCCTTGACCCTCGCGGTATGTGATCATGGCAAATGGGTACTGTTGATCGCGCAGTTGAACAAATCCGGTTCGTAGCATTTCATGCTGAGCTGCAACCTTCGACCAAGCCTCTTTGAGTCGCACTCTTCCAGAGGTACTTCTGACTTGATTGCCATTTTATTGAAGTACATGTCGCCATGAGAATGGGTGAACAGTGCCAACATGCCGTTCTGAACCGGCGTGCAGGGTCGCAACGATTGCACCACCTGCGCAGAGAGGCCAAGCTGGTCACAGACAGTCTGTAGATGTTTACTCTCGAATAATGGAAAGTCAAACTCAACTTCATTGTTGCTCTTCTCGCTAATTTCAAGCAGCGAGGCAATCATTTTGATTGAGGCAGCCTTGGTCAAATTAGCATAACAAGTTTAGGCCTTTGAGAGTAGCTATCATACCTCAAGAATATCACCAGCAGAAATTTTGTGGCCCAATCTGCGAAAAGTACTAGAGATTTGAACAGCGTTGATACTATCCAGACCTAATTGAAAGATAGTCGTATCAAGGGACACAGCCTCTGGGTCAACCCCGGAGAATTTGCAGAGGATGTCCCTCAGTGCCTCTTCTTGGTACGACCAGGCACGAAGGGGTTCAGATTGTGTGGAAGTCATCTGGATTGAATTGACCTGAGAAATTTTGGTCGACTTGAATATCTGAAGTTTATCCTTGCCAATTGCATGTCTGTCAGAAGCCTGGGCTGAAGGGTATTGAGTAGTATGGTCAACAAGAGCAATGAAATCTTGGGCAAGTTTTTCAGCAGCCCCACGAGTGAAGTGTGAGACTTGGAAATGGAGGCAGATGTGAATGGCATTGTTTGACTCGTCAGGGATGACCTCGCAGATAAGAGGGAAACCCATGTTTCCTTCATCACGAAGAAGCTCCCAATATTGTGGATCAAGCTGAGTGTTACTAGTCTGAAGAATGACCAGCGTATCAAAAAGATGAGAGCCTCCATGAAGTACACGTCTTTGGATGCGACGTAAAGGGCTCAGTTGATGAGGCAGTGTATCATTATTATGCTTTTGCGAAAGCTTCAAAATATCTGCATTTGTCGAGTGCGATGAAAACTTGACTCGCACTGGTAGTGTATTGAAACAAGGTCCAACGATTTGGTCCGCACCATCAACAGGAACGGTACGACAACTGAAAACGTTACCGAAGCAAACATCAGACGAATCGGCATGTAGCGACAGGAGCCTTGCCCATGCAGCGTGGAAGACATTCAACGGTGTCACACATAACTCTTTGCATCGTTGCTTGAAGGAAGTGAGTGAGACTTTGAGGGTTATATTGGTCTGCTGCGAAGTAGATTGGTTCAAAGAGCTCTTAGTCTGTTCGGGGGTGAAATGAGACTTGGAGTCACCCCCGACAGGTATCTGTCCCAGTATTGATCGGAAGATTCTGAGCACGTAGACACCATATAATCAATGAACCGATGGAATTGAGTGGGTGCTGGCAGCTCCTGGCCAGCAACAGAGAGTTGGAGCTCATGTAGAAGCTGTGCAATGCCTTCTCCATCGTACAGTGCATGGTGAATTGACAACAGGAGATGTGCGCTCTGCGTTGCGGGGCTTATGAATGCAGTCAAGGAGTAGGGAAGGTTGTCGCCGCCGGGGATCTGGCACTTGAAGTCCGCTTTTCTCTCCTCAACATGTTGGTCAAGTTCGTCAAATATCTCGATTTCAGTCCAAGGCAAAACAGCTCGGCTCAGCACCACTTGTGCAAAGGCAAAGTGCTTGTCGTTAGTTGACCGGAAGCAAGTGCGGAGGATGTCATGTCTTTGCAGCATCAGAGACCATGCTGTTCTCAACGCGTTAATATCAGTGTTTACACGAAGCAGGAGATAATTAAAGTAGGCAGAGTCAACATCGGAATTGGAAGCCAGCATCGCTTCCTGCAGCGGCGTACAAGGGTAGATGCGGTCGACAGGTATATTTGCGGTATCAAATTCATCCTTGACTGCGAGTACAAAGGTCTCGACGAGCGACGGCGTCGAAATTTCCGCCTGAGGCTGCTCTGCTTTATGTCCATTTGTCAAGCTGGAAACGACTGCAGCCAGCTGAGCGACAGAGCTGTATCGTAGAATCGCCGAAACAGGGAGTCTTCCACAGCCAGCATTTTGTAATTTCCGCGACAAGGAAATGGCACTGAGAGAATCCAAACCAAGCTTGTAGAAGGATGTGTCTTTGCGGATATGCTGAATGTCAACCGCAGTGACCGCTGATAAAGCACTCGCAATAGTGCTTTCGATATCGGTGAGGGGATCATCAACTTCAGACACGTCGAGCTTGCGTGAGAATACTTCACGATCGTGCGCGGTCAGATGTTCGAGCTTGTTCAACAACTTGGCATTATGTCTCCGATGGACTTCGATCATGGGTATCTCATTGACAGAGACAAGAAGCGACGGGGTTTCGGAAGATGGAAGCTTCGTGGAAATATCAGCGAAGAGGCGATCTGTCAGCGACGCGAGCTGCACCCTGTCCAAATTCTTCTCAGTAGGGACCCAAAGTGTTGTCAATCGCCGCTGATTCATAGAAGGGTCATTCCAGACAACACTGCAGGCGTCTTCAACCAACTCTGACGAGATAGTGGCTCGATCGATCTCATTAAGATCGATATACTGGCCATTTAGTCTGAGCTGGTCACGCCCTGGAAGAAGCAAGATGGAGCCGTCGGCAAGTAGCCTTCCATATTCTCCAGTCATATATAGTCGGCCATGCTCAGAGTCCTCATTGAAACTTCCCGTCCCGGGAATATCGTGTCATGAATAACATTTGCCTTTCGAGTAATATTAGTCTTCAGTCTAGTATGCCAACTTCAGGAGACTCACCACTTGATCGCCACCGAAACACAACTCTCCGTATGCGCCACGGATAAGAGGACGAGTCGCAGTCTGGTCAGTCATAATCATGGCAAACGTCTTCGTGATCGGTATTTCCGTGCTTCCCGAGGATTCAGATGATGGGACAGTCGGATTGATAGTGCATATACCAGTAGCGGGATTGATGGAGACAATTTCTATCCCGGGAATGAAACCTGGAAGTTCCTGCCCACAGTCAAACTCAATGGTGGAAATTGAAAGAGTTGCCTGAGGAAGATGGTCACCGATTTGGTCGATGAGAAGGGCAGGAAAGTCGATAAGAATGGATGCCACATGGTCGATCTGTTCCAAGAGAATCTGCGCTTGTTTGAAAGGCAGAATAGATTCCTGGAAAGTGGCCTTTGCATGAATTTTGTCTTGCCTTGGCTCAAATTCAAGCAAAAGGGCAAACTCCAAGAACTCCGCAGCCCCAACTTCCCAGAATAAGTCGTGGTATTCATAGTTGGACCAGATGCTTTCTTGCCACACGAACGCCGTGTCGAACAGGCTCAGGTGCATTTCAATACCGGAGGCCTTCTTGATGTCTTGCAAAGGAAGGCTTCCATGCTCGAGAGACTTGAGATTCATATTCTGGATCGCCAGCAGGAGATCTGTTACATTTTGTATCTTGCAGAGATCCATGCGCGTGGGAAGCGTTCTAATGCATGGCCCCAGGATCGCTTCAACTCCTTTGACCGGCAAGGTCCGACCAGAGAAGACTGTACCGAAGACGACGTCATCGAAGCCAAGATAGGAAGAGAGAATGTAGCAGTATGCAGCCTGGAAGATGGTTTGTCGGCTCACTCTCAGATGCTTTGATGCATCGTTGAGTTTTGATACAGAGACCTCAAGCACGCGGGTAGCCTCTTGTGTTCTTGAAGAGACGTCAGTCTTCCCATGAAATTTAGGAAAGCTGGCGCCGGAGACACCTTGCAGTTGATCACGCCAAAATGTAGAAGAGTCGTTGTCGGATCCGCATAATTTATTTTCGATGAAGTGATCAGCTACGACGCTATATGCAGGTCTTGGCGGCAGATCTTTCCCAAGCAAAAGGCGATGAAGATCTTGTAACATCAACTGCCAGGACCATCCGTCATACAACGCATGATGAATTTGTACCAGTACTCGGATGCTTTCTTGTGTCTCTTTCAGCTGGATCCGAATAGGTTGAAGCAGATCTTGCTCCGCTACCAAAGGGAGATCGTAGTCAAACGTGTCGCACTTTAGAATCAGCTGCTCGTCAAGGATGTTTCTTGTAAAGCGAGCATATGAATGATCCTTGAGACCGATCTCCACGAATCCTGATCGCAGCAATGCATTCTGTTGAAAGAGCTTGACGAATGCGTTCTGAACAGCGGTGTAACTAGTTGAATTTGAACGTTTGAATTCCAATTCGATCCAATTACAGTATGCTTTGGCGTGTCGGACGGTTTCCAGGATCATCGCTTGTTGAATATGGCTACATGGTTCGATTCCGGACACTTGTGAGCTTAAGCCGAGGGATTCTATCTTTGCGGTACCGGCATCTGCAACCAATTGGCGGATTTTCTCAAGGCCTGCCTGGGTATGATCTGTAGTTTGCGTCTTCTCCGTGTCTTTCGCGAGCTGCCATAACCCCTCGACGCAATCAGCTTCCAACAGACAAGCGACGTCCGTATGAATACCAGCACCTAAAAGATGAGATGCAAGCCGAATTGCGGCAAGGGAATCGAGACCAGCGGCCACCAAAGACTCTTTTGGGGACAGCTTCCTACCAAGCACGTCGACCACACACGATGCGATGGTCTCTTCGATCTCGTCCCGGAACTGCTGTTGATCCACAGATTGTGAAGTATTGCGGAGACGGGCGAGATCAGCTTCCAAGGCTTTGCGATCAATTTTGCCTGATGGCAACTGGGGGAATTGATCGACCAGGACAAATTCGCCCGGGACCATGAATCGGGGTAACCATTGACGACAGATGTCTCGTAGGGCACGATCAGTGGTACCTTTGTCGCTGACGAGAACAAATGCAACCAAGCTTCCACCACTGACGAAAGCAACAGCACTTCGAACATCCTGGGCTTGGCAAATAACATGTTCAATTTCACCGAGCTCAATTCGTTGGCCTCGGAGCTTGACCTGACCGCTGGAAAGACGGCCAAAGCATTCGATCTCCCCGGAGGGCAACATGCGTGCTTTGTCACCGGTCCGGTAAAGCCGACCATATTGGGGACTCTCAACGAATGCCTTGGCGTTCTCTTCAGGTCGGTTGATATAACCCTCTGCAAGCTGGGGACCGCCCACGACAAGCTCACCCATCTCACCCAACGGAAGGGGTTCAAGACCCGAAGAAGAGTTGTCATCAGCATGTATAGACATAATAAAAGCAGAGACTGTTTTGAAAGGCTTGCCAATCAAGTTGACTCGGGAATTGGTCATGAAGTGTGTGGCTGCAGTACAGTGAATCGCAGCTTCGGTTGGTCCATACATTCCATGCAGGATACCCACCGAGTCCTCCGACTGACCAAATTCCTCCACGACATGTTTGGTGAGCATTTCACCAATTGTCAGCAAGACTCGCAAAAACGGCGCGGCTGCTCGTGTGCGTAGTAGCTCTCCTGCCACGGTGGGCGTCAACTCCGCACCATCAACTTTCATTTCGGTCATGACATGTGAAATGTCCAGCAGCATCTGCTCTCTGTCAGAGCCGATGAGAGTGGCTCCTCGCATGAGAGGGAAAAAAATCTCAAAAACGGAAACATCAAACGTGGGCGATGCAAATTGCAAAAACCGATTGAAATGGGGTATCAAGTCATGATGTGCAAGTAACGATTGGGTGGCCGCCAAATGAGAGACTCCAACACCTTTGGGGCGGCCCGTAGAGCCGGAGGTGTACATAACATAGGCGAGATCGCTTGGGGAGCTGTCCACCACTGGTTCGATTAAGTTCGAGTCGTCCGTCTCGTCCGTTACGATTCCATCCAGCTTGATCACAGCCAGCTGCTCGTCCTGGGGGATCCTTGTCGCCAGATCATCTCGGGTAATCACAACGGATGCTGCTACATCCTGGAGGATAAACTCTATCCGGTCCGGAGGTGCGTCAATGTTCAACGGGCAGAATGCTCCACCCGCCTTCAAAATTGCCATTTGTGAGATGTACAATTCCACCGACTGGGGTAAGAGCACAGGCACTACAAAGTTCTGTGTAGGATTAATCCAAGCTGCCGCAGCCGACAGGATCTCTGCCGCGAGTTTTGAAGACAGTCGATCCAAAGAAGCGTACGACAGACATTGAATGCTTCCATCCGCTGTCAGAAACTCAATGGCGAAGGCAGTGTCGTTGGTCTCTCTTAAAGCTAGCCTGTGAAGCAATTGTGGCCCTGGCAAAGTGCATGGGGATGGATTGGAGATAGACAAAGCAGGAAGCTCGGCGGTCGACAGTTCTACCTGAATGCCCGACTTTGCAACCTGTTCCTGTACAGTCTGCGTGAGCTGGTTTCCTAGCTGCTGCAAGAAGGCCTGGTCCATGCCTGCGGATGAATGCAACGTGCTCGTTTGGGAGGATCGGATCAATGTCCAGGTCAGAGAAGGGGAGGACACTGCGTGGTCCTGATCTGATGAATCTTGAATGATCACAGCGGTATGACTGACTGAGGTCTCCAACAATGCATCCGGTGCAACAAGATGGATCGTCTGAGCTCTCAAGTCTGCCTTCACAGGAGACCCGTTCAGTAAAAACACGGGATACTCTTCGGTTGTAAACGATCGCAATACAAGGGCCCAGCAAAGAGCGATCAAGTCGGCAGGCATACGGGAATGACCCACCGGGCATGAAAGTACAACGCTGGCAGCGCCGTCGTCGCCCGTGACGGGCGGAAAGGTCGTCAATACCTCCATCGGGAGATAGATATAGGATTTCACTTGGGTCAATCGAGCATCCTCAGATATTGCTTATCGACAGCTTATTGCGTGACCTGTGAGTGGCTGCTCGGACCCGATGAATTGCGACTATATGCAGGCGGGAGCCGCGAAAACAATGATCACGGCGTCTGCCAGCAAGGGTCCGTGGTATGAAACTAGTGAGGGAAGGGAAGAGGACCTGTAAAAAAGCGCGCGCAGATGAGGGGTTTCTCAGTCGTGGATTTCCAATCGTGGAGACCGATGATCTGCTGGTTGCCGACACCGAGACAAGCGCCAAAAAGAAACCACTGCGCCCAGCTGGGAAGCAAGCTCCGAGTGCGAGACCCTCCTAGAGCCTGATTCTCCTCGTTGGGTGTCTCGATATGTACCTAACTATTCCCGAACCCGATCGAGCCAACGGTCCAACTTGCCTCCGGATCTGGGAGGTTTATTGTGTATATTTCCCAGCCACTGCAATACCATGCTCGAGCCACAGCATGAAACGGCTCGATGGAATGTGGGCCAGAAGTGTATTTTCATGACCGTTTTACGGGTTCACGGGCTAGATGACGTACGTGATCTCCAAGTCTACAGTGTCATAGTTTCCCTACTGTCGAAAGTGTCTTTAAAGGGGGGAAAATCAATGGTATAGAAGATGAGCATCATTTGATGGAACGTTGGAAATCGTACGAAAAGAAAAAGAAGAAAAAAAGGCTGGACGATCGTATGTGGCACGACGCCCGTGCTCATTTGCAACCCCACGTTTCGGGAAATATCAACGAGCGTCGGAAAAAAAAAAACAAATAAAAAAATTCGAATCGAGAAAACCGGACTCACGGTGAAGTCTCAGGAATCTTTTCCCAGAGCCCCTCTCCCCACTTCCATGAATTTTCTCCCCCGCCAGTGCGTTGCCAAGCCACCTACGCCGTCACTGGTACGCGCACCTTGACTAGCCGGACGCCCTCCGCTGAATGTACTCTCTACTCTCCTACCCAATTATTCCGATGTCGGGCATCTGCGGGTTTAGTCTTTAGGCTTTCTGCTTCTTTCGTCATCGTGCTTGTTTTTGTTCATTTTTGTTGTTGTTGATTTTTCTTCTTTTTCTTTTTCTTTTCAGTTTTTTTTGGTGGACTTCCGCATCGGGAACCTGCAAGGTTGTCCCTTGTGCAAGGAACCTGTTGACTCGGTGGAGAACACTGTGTGTGTGTTGAGGAAAACATCGCTACTGTAAAAACCGAAGATATATAAGTTGTGCCGTGTCCCGGAATTCGCTTAAACACAAAACCCAGGATGGTGGAGACTGATTGATAAATGGAACCTCGAGTATCATACGCCCATCTCTCCTGCAACAGAAATCGCCCAGAAGCCGTATCCACTTGGTGACTTTTTTTGCGTGTTTTATTTCTTTTATCTGATCCGCTCCCGTAATCTGGTGAATAAGATCGCGCCTTGTCACTGGACTCGAGGCTTTCCATAGCTCCGAGAACTTCCCTGGTGGAACCCGCGAAACGTATCGTACGGCACGTCAAGTCGATTGCCCATTCGCCTCAAATCCGACTTTGTACCCAGAAACAGAAATCTCCGGAGAGTGGGACCTGCTGATGAGATCGGCTCGCTCTTGTACATAACTGACGCTCATTTCCTGAAGCTACGCTCGTGTGTCACAGTCTGCAGCATCTCAGCTTCTTGGTTTTCTGGCTCTTAGTTCTCGAGGCTCGGGCTCTACTTACCTCTTCTGCCTCTTCTCACTTTCATCCTCGACCGTGAAGTATGGAGCCTATTGCCCGAAAGTCTGAGGTGCCCTTCGTTGACACGCAGCCGCGTGGGCAGCATCCTGTTGCGCGCTCCCTGCTGCGCGCGGCACCTGCCGACGAGATGCACGACTTGCTCTGCGTGGGCTTTGGTCCCGCTTCTCTTGCAATTGGTATCGCCCTGCACGATGCCATTGACCCGGCCCTCAACCGTACTGCCCCGGTCGGCTTCAAGCCCAAGGTGTGCTTTCTTGAGCGCCAGAAACAGTTTGCATGGCACTCTGGTATGCTGGTACCCGGCTCGCGCATGCAAATCTCCTTCATCAAGGACCTTGCCACCCTCCGTGATCCCCGTAGCAGCTTCACCTTCTTGAACTACTTGCACAATAAGGACCGCCTTATTCATTTCACCAACCTGGGCACCTTCCTGCCCGCTCGTATGGAATTTGAGGATTACATGCGCTGGTGCGCTCAGCGTTTTGAGAACGTTGTCTCCTATGGCGAGGAGGTTGTGGAGGTCGTCCCCGGCAGCAAGACGGACGGAAAGGTTGACTTCTTCATTATCCGCTCGCGCAACTCCGAAACTGGCCAAGTTTCCTCCCGGAGAGCGCGCAAGGTCGTCGTGGCTCTAGGTGGCACGGCCAAAATGCCCCCCGGCTTCCCCCAGGATCAGCGCATCATGCACTCGTCCAAGTATTGCACCGTCCTCCCCACCATTCTCAAGGACGAGACCAAGCCCTACAACATCGCCGTTGTGGGCAGTGGCCAGAGTGCCGCCGAGATCTTCCACGACCTCCAGCGCCGCTATCCCAACTCCCGCACGACCATGATCCTCCGTGATTCCGCTCTGCGTCCCAGTGACGACTCTCCCTTGTATGTGTTCCCAATGAAACCACCTCTGAGCGAGACTTCCCGGTATACTAACCAAAAGTGAATCCCCAGTGTCAATGAGATCTTCAACCCCGAGCGCGTGGACAAGTTCTTCAAGCTGCCCACGGAAGAGCGCCACAAGCGCATTGCTACCGAAAAGGCCACCAACTACAGTGTGGTCCGCCTCGAGCTGATCGAGGAGATCTACAACACCATGTATCTGCAGCGCATCAAGAACCCCGACCAGACCCAGTGGCAGCACCGCATCCTGCCTGAGCGCAAGGTCGCGCGCATCGAGCACCACAATCTGGCCAAGCGCATGCGCATCCACGTCAAGTCGGTCGCAGACGAGCCCATTGAAGGCAAAGAAATCCTGGAAGTGGATGCCCTCATGGTGGCCACTGGCTATCAGCGCGACGCGCACGAGCAGCTACTCGAGCAAGTGCGTGCCTTGCAGCCCGCCGGCCAGGCGGCTTGGGCCCCCGGCCGGGATTACCGCGTCAGCCTTGATGGCAGCAAGGTCAGCCAGCATGCTGGTATTTGGCTGCAGGGATGTAATGAAAAGACCCACGGACTGAGTGACAGTCTTCTGTCCATCTTGGCAGTCCGCGGCGGCGAGATCGTCCGCTCGGTGTTCGGAGAGCAGCTGTCGGGAGCTCTGGTGCAGGACACCCGGTTGCGCGCCATGCTCTGATTAATGTTGTAATGTTTTATTTGAAATTACCTTTAGACACCCCCCCCCAGTCCCTGTTACTCTAGATTGTTGGAATTTAATGAATGATGCTCCAATCGATCCTCAACCCCTTCCAATAAGTCACTGGGAGGAGACTCTGCTGCCTGGTACTCTTTCTTTGATCACTAATTTTTTCTTCAACACTAATTAAAAAAAAAGACGCTTTGCACATGGATGCAGGGACTGCAGTGTGGAGTCATTCCCCCCCCCCCAAAAGGATATCCCAGAAAATGACGACCTTGGCAACTCGACCGGCTAGAGCTTGAAAGGGGGGCAATTTACCACATTACCACACCTTCACGTATTGCACTTGTACCTAAACCGGGTGAAACGCTGTCTCTGCCAATATTCCTTCTACGGCTAGAACTGGAAGCGACCACTACGCTGATCATGACCCGATCACGACAGGATGCTGACGGTCGCGCCAATTGCTCCGTAGCTCGGGCCCAAACCGAAAAGACGCAAACCCGAAGATCGTGATTAAAGGTCTAGATACACCGACGTACCTGAGATACACCGTTTATACATATGGTACACGCACCCGAGACATGGAGTGGGTCCAGCTGCGTGGCGCCATCAGATAAGTAAATTTCTTTTATCTGATCAGAATTCCGATTCTGGGTCCGTGGCGTCCGTGGCATGTTGCACGCGTACTTCGGTCCGTCGGTCTTGCATGCTCCGTCTGGCGAGACAACGTTCAGGTGCATGCTCTGGCCACCTTGACATCGGAACTGGGGGTCCTCCTGAATCATCCCGTCAATCTCTTACCTACTACGTGTCTAGCGGGAAAGGGAGTCTCCGGGCAGGTTTCTTCCTGATCTTTCCGGCTACCGGGGACCCGCAGGCGACTTGCCCGATAGGTGGCTTTTGAGCTTTCTCCCTCAAAACGAGACAGGTGGACTGTGCCCTAGGTGGCATCCGGGATGCTGGTTGTGGGTGGACGGGGGCTAGAACCGGTGAGCTCGCCAAGATGCGATCTTCGCTCACTCATGGGAGCTTGGAGGGCGCCTCAGCGATAGCGGATTGGCTTGCTGTTTTCCCCCTTCTCGGGATACCTTTTCTTGCCCGGCTCGGATATTCGGGATGGGCCAGCCAAAATGAAGAGGTGGGGGGAAGGGGAGAGCTTCAAGGGGTCGGATGGTTGTGGAGTCGGTGGACTCGGCAGCTGAGCAATCATCTCAATACCCCCAAGGATCGAATGGGGGCTATATCGCTGGGACGTGGCCGTGGGTCGGAGCTGGCAGCAAAAACGGGCAGTCTTCTAGAAGAGCTTAAAGTCCCCTGCAGAACACAGCCGCAGGAATCATCCGACGCAGGATGAACCACCACCACCCTGCAGGGCCGTACTATTGCACCATGGGCCCGGGAGAGAGACAGACACTAGTGCACGGAAGAAAGAGAAAGAGAAAGAGAAAGAGAAAGAGAAAGAGAAAGAGAAAGAGAAAGAGAAAGAGAAAGAGAAAGAGAAGAGAGAGGGAGGGAGAGATCGTTCATTAGGTAGCCGTTCACTGTACAAGTTTCTAAATGTAAAAACATGAGATAAAAACAGCAAATGCAAAAGGAACATGCCACGCAATGCAACACCAACGCTGCAATCATAGGTGAAACTTGGAACCGAAACCCAGTATACAGACATCATAATGCAAGGATCCAAAAGCCCGTGTTGTGAAGAAAGCTCATCACCACTTATACCATGTGTTCGGAATCGTCAGCTGCCACGCTGTGGTAGGCCCCTCCCTCACGAGCGCCGGCGTGCATGCGCATCGGAGTTTCGTACATGTCGTTATAGTTCACTATCTCACCACCAAGCATTGCAGCTCCAGATTCGCGCTTGCCAAAGATCGGGGCGGGGTCGCACCAGAAGTCGCGACAATTGCCTACGACCCCGCGAGAGAAGGGATTGCGGGGCCGTGTGGCCTGAGGTCCATCGCGTAGTCCATCGCGCGCAGTAGCGAAGAAGGTGTCGATACCCAGAAGGGATGACCACTGCTGGAAACAGCCGTGGCGGCGACGCGGGGCAGGAGGTCGTGCCAGGGCCGGGTTCGGTCCCTGTCCGGCGGCGGTGAGACCGGCAGCCTCCATCGAGGTCGTGCCAGCAGTCATGGCCGAGGCAAAGGCTTGGGAGCTGGGATAGGAACGGTCGATGTGGTGCCCTCTCATATTCTCGTACGTGGTCTGATTGCGCGAAACCTGGACGAGTTGCACCGCGCACAGCATCGTGACCCAGACCAACTGAAGAATGATCCAGACGTTGATAACCAGGGCGAAAGTGTCGCGAGTCACATAATCGCACAGAGCATCCTTGACAACGCTGCATTGGGCATTCGTAGATGGCAGATTGTTGATGTCTGCAACAATTAGTCAAGAGGATCATATCAATCGATCAATTGGAAAAACTCACAGCGAATGGTCAGCTGTACGAAGAGAATGATGCCAATTTCGAGACAAACAATATAGAGAACGAAGTGACGAAGGTTATTTGCTCCCACACAGTTGTCGATCCAAGGGCAGTGGCTAGGATATGGTCAGGGTAGGGCTAAAAAGGTGCAGGTAGAAGAACGTACTGGTCGTGCTTGGCGACACAGCGGCCGCAACGGCGGCAGTGCTTGCTGCGAAGGGGCTTTCTCGACATGCAAGGAACACAAAAGTTTTCTTCATCAAATTTCCATAATTCAAAGAGCTGGTTGACCATCTCTCTCTGCTGGTTTCTGCTGCTAATCTTCGGGACGTACCCCGGGTCTCCGACCATGGCCATGATATAGAAAAAGGTGGTCAGGATGTAGAAGACCGCAAAAAGAATGTTCAGGACGGGAGACGAAGCATAGGTCCCTAAACACCGTGAGTCAAGGATCAAAATGTATTCTAAATTCAACTCACCAGGCAAGACCTTAAAAGCATAACAAAATCCAACCCAGAACAGTGTACCTGCGAACACACCAGCCAGGTAAGGCTATAAACTGTCAGTCTCTCTGAAGACGTAAGGGTTTGGGATTGGAAGATATACCGTCTTTTGAAGGATGCGATATTCAGCGGGCCCACGATTCGCTAATTGCTGCGCAGCCCATTGCATACCAAACAGCGTCGCCAGAGTAAGTGGGACACTGATGAAGATGGCTAGGTTGCTGAGTATCCAGACAGCGACCAGAATGGTCAAGAAGGGCCAGAGGAAAAAGAATTTTGCCATGAGACTCTTGTTCTGAACCCAGCCAGACAATCCCATAGGCACAGTCTTCTGGTTGCCATCAGGCTCGTAGCCACGCTCATTAAGAGCGCGCGTCCAGATGCGCAAAGTGTTCATTTCCTGCGCCACAGTCATCGGAGATTTTCCGTCTCTGGTCTTTGCGAATCTGTTCGCACCGTATTCCAGCAGCTTCAAGACACAGGGCAGGGAGCCCTTGACCAAAGCCCAATGGAGCGGCGTCAGGCCGCCCTCATCCACCGCATTGGTGTTAGCCCCCCAGCGCAGGAACAGATCCACTAGAGTTGGATATCCCTTATAGGCAGCCCACATCAAGCCCGTGTGACCTTGTTGGTCGACCACGTCCACCGGGATTTCTTGGTGGAGCAGCAGAACGAGGAGGAACGCGTTTCCATCGATGGTCGCAAGATGAAGGATATTATAGCCTTGCACATCAGTCAAGAGGGGATCCGCCCCGTGGTTGAGCAGAAGGTTGACAATATAGTAATGGCACCGTTGCGCCGCCCACATGGCTGGGGTAGCCACCGACTCTCCACCCTTGGCGTTCACGTCTGCGCCCGAGTCGAGAAGAAACTTGCACATCGCATATTGATTGTTGATCGCGGCCCACTAATTAGAAATCAAATGGCCGTTAGCTATGGGTCCGATCGCGTGTCCCATCCCAAAGACACAACCCGCTGAAAGAGGGTAAACAAACATGTAGTGGAGTGATTCCTTCCTCATCGCGGTGATTCGCGGTCAATTTTTGAGTCGCGAACAGATTCTGCATGGCACCAATTTCTCCAATTCGAGCCAGTTGCATGATGTCTTCCCCAGGGGGATTGAACGCCTGGGCGCACTGGGCGCCACGGTCTTGAGTTCGACGTCGGCATTCGGTGGGGACGAGAAGTTCTTGTCGTTTGAGGACGTGGAACTGGGGTTTTGACCCGAGGGACTATTGCCCTTGGTCTCTGATGGGGGGGGACTTGGAAGACATTGGATATTGTCGTACAATAGAAAGCGGCGGGAGAGGACAAAGAAATTAGATTCGGGGACTTGAATGAATGTCGACCCCTAGTGGTACATGACGGATCACTATCACCAAGACACTTAAAATTTGGTAGACAGTGAATGTATGGCTGACGAAGTGGAAGGACAGTTGGAGTTTGGGGGGTCTGGGGATCGGCAGCGAAAGGGCGTGACTTTTTTTGGAGTCGGAGAAACGTTCGGAAGTTAAAGAGAGGAGACTAAACGCGCTATACCTCAACGCTGAACCGGTAAGACGCAGTTCTTGAGGACGAGCTCTCTCCGTCTCACTTGGAACTCTCGTAGAGAAAAGAAGTCAATGACTTTTTTGGCCTCAGGTTTAGCGACACGCACATGGCCGATTACTCAGCCACACAGGCAGCCGCATTCTACGAGCCTCGAGGTAAGTTCTAATAAGCCAATATTTAGTCACTTTGGCATTTTTGGCTGAATTATCTCTTGACCAAGTCCGATTATGAGCAGCCTTCTCATTGAAAGAGATCATCAGAAGTGGGAATGAACAAAGTCAGCATGTGGGGGACTGTTGACAGTTAGTGCACAAGAAAGTCAACGCTTCTTTGGGCTGTTTCGATAGTATTTCGCCCCAAACTTGTAGATGAGGCTTGGAAATGCCCCTTAAAGTTCCCACTCGAGGGAAGCCCAGGGATTCTTGGGTCTGGCTTGGGAGGGATACCTAGGAGTCTGTATTGTGATGATGCCTTGTAGCCAAAATTGAATAGACTCGCTGTCGCGCTCGTGAGGGAGGCTATTACAAGTCATTCAGGGGTCTGGGAGAGTCAAATTAGATCATAGACAGAGGGGCAAAGAGGGGAGCATAGGAAAGCGCGGATTCTTAGGAAGGCAGGATCTTGGGACGGTCACTCTCTCGATGAATGAGCCACATACATGACGGTAGAGAGAGTCCTTATAGTTACAGTGGTGGATCTTCATGACAGATGTATATTATACGATTGTATCTTCATTTGTGATCTTGTGAGATTTTATTTCCTCCATCATCATCTGCGCATCCACGCGCAGATCAAAGTTGGCCAAGAAACAGAAGCTGATCTCCAGTTTGGACAGCTCATGTTCACTGACTCCGCCCACTTTAGCGACTCGGCCATGTGGGTAGCTAAGATCTTCCAGAGCTTTCGTAGCCACAAGAAGGCCCGCGAGGACAAGCCGGTGCATATTCTTCGGTGTCACGCAAAGGACCTTCTCTGAAAGCGCCATTCTGGTGATGTAATGGCTTGCGGCGAGTAACACGGCTGTAGACATGGGACAATACCGATGCAGTCGCAGTACATAGTCTCGTATCGAGATGGGAGGGATTTTCTTTGAAAGGAACTTCCTGGAGAGCAGTGCCAGTTGAAAGGTTTCTTCGCGGGTCCGAACAGCCGCATCTTCCGCATCTCCGCAATGTAGGCCCACTGCTCCAACAGATGACCCTTCATCTCCTGATATATCACCCTCCACGGGCGTGGAGACGAATGAGTTCGGGTCTGTATTGCCAGGATTTGTCGCGAAGTAATTATTCAACTGCTCGACATTGTCGCATAGCCGATGTAAAGCCGTCTCTGGCGCAATGTCAAAAACCATCCCGGCTCCAGTGACTGGAGATATCGTGGTCTCTGCATTGCCAGCTGGGGAGCCCAATTTGAGCATGGATCGTGGGGATATTGCGCCTTGCGAAGCGCATTCGGTCTGCACCATGACGGCGGTCATGGCTGGAGGAATTTATTGCCTGCGGGGGTCTTCTAACGGGGTGGTGCAAGAAAGTAGAGCACACCCGGGCCTGAGAGGTAGACGAATACTCTCTGGGTAGATATCTCATTTTATGACACCAAAAGACGCGAGAGCTTTGTACTGGCGCGGCAGTTTCTGATCACGGCGAGGGATAAGATGCGCCACGATAAGCGAGCGGAGCGCAGCAAGAGGAACCGGTCAGCGGAGATGTAATCGATCGAGAATCTGTGAAACTTCTTGGGCTTGACAGCCTGACAGTGATTAACGTCGTATGCCCAAAAAAGCCACCGCGCCAGTCGCTGCGGAACTCACTATCGTCCAATCACCCCCATGAGCACCCCGGTCAATGGTCAATGCTGAATTCAAAGAAAATAAATGATGGAAATGGGAATCTCCAGAGACCCAAGATACTGGGAAGAGAGCGAAGTAGAGCAGGAGAAAACGAAGACTGAAAAGCAGAAACTGGGAACAGCGAAAACTACAGGGGCGGAAGATAAGGTGATCACTTGAGACCCGCTTCCGGGGGGGGGGGTGATACAGCCGCGCATTCTCCACTACTTCAGACCGGCTTCCACTTGGACTTGGAACCGTTGTTGAAAGGGTGGATATATTGAGATTACAACAAGATGAGAATTCATACAATGGCAAGTGAAACTCCCTCCTCCAACGCCGGGTATCATGGAATCATGCGATGACGCCAGCCATTTCAATTGTTGTTACCCGGTCACGACTTGTTCAAAACACGCTCCTTCATCTTGCTTCAGCAATTCGGCCCATAGGGACGAGAATTTCGCTCTCTAGTGCGCCGCGTGTTGCGGTTCGTTTCCGTCTCGACCCACAGATCATCCCGGACCTGTATGTCGTCCTGACGAGACTGGACCCGAGCGAGCACCTCAATGCCTGAATCCACGAGGCCGCCAAGTCCATATTGTACAATTCGAGGTTGCGTTCGAGGTGATTGCTCCTCAACATCAATGCGAGCGGTTCTTTCCTCAACGTTGCGATTCTCGCGGCGTTGTGGCCAAGGGGATCTCGCTCGAGGTCGCGGTGTACGGTGTACAATCGTGGTCGGTTCGAGTCCATTGTTTGGGCATGTATAGCCCCCCTGTCTCGGTAATCTGATTTCCAATCTTCGACTTCTTTCGGCCGACGTTGACGCGGTTGGCATGGGTGCTTCCACTCTAGTATATCGCCTGGTTGTGGTTTCTTGGAATGCACACGCGCTTTCACGATCGACCTGCTAAGCCCAGTAAGCGTGAGTCTCCCTCGAGCGTGTGATCTTGCGTACCTCAAACGTGCGGTCTGGTGAAGTCCGCCGTCCTTGTCGAAGTGGCCTCCGCTCAGCCACTATGGATACTTCTCGACGAGACCGATATTCTCGTGCTTCTCGGTTCTCTGAAGTCCTCAGGCGGTCATTGCCGGACCGGCGACCTCTTCGCAGCTCCGGAATGGGCTCTGAACCCATCCTAGGTAGCCTATATCGAGTCCTACGGGTACGACTTGCGTGACAAATGTCCGCTTCGCCCACATCTTCTGGAAGGTCGACCACAAATGCCCGTGCTGGACGTCTTCGGGGTGACTCTTCTCTTTCCCTTCTGTGGCCGGTCTCTTTTCTTGACTTGAGGACGTCGAGAAAATCCAGACCTAAAAGTAAAGACAGCCATTTTCTGGGTCGGACCATGCCCAGGCCTGAGATTAGCTCAGGGATGTATCTTTTTGACTCGTAGTACGTGTAGTTTGATGCCACGGAGTCACAGTCTCCGAGAGTATCGGATCGAGAGTATTCCGTGTCGTCAGAGTATCGATATCTCGGCCACGGTCTATAGCGGATCGGGGGCCGACGCCTGAGACGCCTTGGAAGTCTTGCAGGGAACGGATCGTCGGGGGTTTCCGAGGAATATGCGCTGTGCCTGCTACATGAATCGATCTCATCAACATCTAACAACATGACGGCAAGCACTAGAGCAGATCGAAGGGCAGAATTGAGATCGGAGGTCTCAGGCAAAGAATGCCTCGACATACAATGAGGCATTCGAGAAAGATATTCGACAACAGGACAAGGTCATGATCCACAGAGCTGATATTAGATGTTTCGTCGTCCTGCAGAGAAGACATAAAAGAACCGCATGGACAGAGCTGAAAGAAAGGTGAAACGAGCAGCACAGAAAGCGATGCCTACCTAAGTAGAACCCTCAAAGGCATGTGGTGACGGTCATAGGCGTGTCGCAGGTGATTTCTTTGGTCCGTCGCAGAGCTCAACCGTCCTTGTCTGGAGCACAGTATTGCGATTTTCAGCATGGGACGAGTCACTATGCAGAGCCATGATGAAGCACGAGTCCGGCTCCCGGATCTCGCACTCTTATAGACAGTAGTTGTTGGGAGTCCATTGTCGAGCGTAGTCTAGCGAAGGCAGCCGTGCCCATTGTGCGGGAAATTACTCTTCCACTTTTCTGTTTTCTGTTTTGGTTTCTGGTGTGGCTGATAGTCACAGGGGCGCAGCGAGTCAGCAGGGGGGATGCGGATGACAAAGTGACTCGAGTGGATGTCAGGTCTGGTATGTCTGGTTTATTACAGGACACCGGCTTTTCATAGCTCAGAATCTCTCTCTACTCTCGCTTCTCTACACTACACGAGTCTGTTGGAAACCTCCACCGTCACACAAAGTCCTTTTTGGGTATCAAGCGAGAGAGGTAGGACTTTGGCATTATCATTCGACATCGAAACTATGCGATCACATAAGAGAATCGTTACAGACTATTCCAAGTGCTCTGTCATTGTGGGATCTATTTACTGACGTGTATCCTTCGAATCGTAGAGATATCCAGTTTCCGCAGTTCAACCTTGTCCGCCTTGCGCAGAGAAGGCGATGGACGCTCGAAGAAACCCTCAATTTTCACGGGGATCGTAGACGAATAAAATGAGGCTCTTGGTAAACCCCCCCAGATGACATGGGTCCCGGTCCTTTTAACATCATGAGAAGTGAGCCGAGTGGGAACCGATCGCGATCTCCCGCGCAACAATGCGTGTCACAAAACCGATGCAGGCGGGACGGGATGGCGTCTCACCAGCCACAATGCAGGTCCAATCACGCTTGCAGATTCTTGTTGGTTGTTTGAAACCTTTCCGCATCAATGAGAATGACGGGCTGAAGTGTTACGAGGGCTTATGGCTGACATTGTTATGCTTCTATGATCAATGGCCCCTACGGACGTTTTGGACGATGTATCGGGTAGACTATTAGGCAACACCTAGCTCCATCGCTCAAGGAACCTATCCTGTGCGCTGTCTCGCTGGTGGAGTACTTCCAAATCGAGCCCTTGCACGCCCCTTTGAAGTTGGGTAAGTTGGGCCTCTAGCCCTGATAATGCTTCTGCTTGACTGGGGTCGCGTAATGACGTTTCAAAGAGCGAATCGGTCTGCAAGGAAGACAAAAGAAGCTGATAAGCGCTGTCCATCGGAGATAGCTGTGCCACCAAAGGTGATTCTACTGCTGCCCCGAGACTCCGTAATGTTTCCGACATGTGCATCCGCTTCTCGTGGAGTTCTCGAGCACTGCCACCCTCCGCACGTGGCCGCAGTACAGATTCGGGGAGAAGCCGACACGGCGCAGAAGACCCTCTAGAATAGGTTGTTCAGGCGCCGGAGCCGGGTTGCGACCGACCGCAAGGATAGCACCAGGCTGCATTGATCGCCGTCGAAGAGACTCCCGTCGAGAAGACGTCGGAGTCACCAGCATAATGGCTGCTTCGGCCTGAAACAGTGAAGCGAGCTGCTCTAATAATTCACTTGAAGATTCGCGTTCCCCGAGCTGATTCGTTAATGTCTGCCTGGACAAGGTCATATCGATTAAGATATCGAGTGTCTGTGATACACGTTGAGTCTAAAGCCATGAAACACCAAGGCAGGAGATGAATCTCACCTGTTCCAGCTTTTGCTGCGATGCTGCCCGACGTTGTCCATGTTCATGGTGAATCTCCTGAAGGATGGGTTCATGGTATTGTTGCTTCGTGGACATTTCGGCCAAGACCTCAATTTCAGGATAGAGAGATTCCAGTTCTTCTTCAAGTGCTAATAACGTGTCGTTCTCTACAGCCTCTTGACTATAGTCAGACATGCTCCATTGTATTGTTTCCAGATACAATCGGTCTAAGCGGTAGTGGATCTCTTGTGCAGTGGTCTCAGCCAGCATTGCACTCAGATCGGCGGTCCGCTTGACGGCGGATGCATCGCTGCCATTTGACTTGGTGCCGGATATGAGAGACTCTAGACTCGCAAGAACCTTATCATCTTGCTTTAGTTGAGCAGACAGCGAGGAGAGAATTCGTTTGTTTGCTGCCCCCGTTTTGTCCATCGCGTTTCGGAACCTCGTCTCTAGTTCGTCGGCAAGCTCGTTGGCCTGCAAAAGATCAGTGCTTTGTTTCCCGTAACCATTGAACATGGTGCAATTACCGCAATCGTTGTGTTTTGACTCCCAGCTTCATGTTTCTTCCGCAGCCGTCGGATGTCCCGACTTCGTTCTTGATCCAAGTGTCCTTGCCGTCGCAATTGGCTTTTGAGTGTCTCGCACTGTCGTGAAAATATTTCTGTCTGTTTCTGAATAGTATTGGTCGATGACTCGAGAGATTTGATCGCCGTTCGGATGTCGTCTTCTAGAAAGGGGCGCGTCGCTTTCAGAATGGGGTCGCGAAGAATGGGCTGGAGGAGACCGGTACTATCGAGCTTGTTATATCTTATTCATGATATCAGCTGCAGTTTGAGTCAAGCTCTTTTGACTTTGGGGGCATACAGGTGCAGTTCCTCTCTGGAGAGTAGAGTCTCTGGTTGCAGATGCCTCGACACCCACTCCGCATTGTTGCGACCGGTAGTCGGATCCCCCAAAGCAGATTCAATCACATCCTTCTTGGCTATGAGATTCCTCTCTTTCAATATGGACAGTATTTGGTCCGTCAGGATTCCGAACTCCATTCTCGGCGAGGTTGTCTTTCAAGCGCGTGGCGTGCGACACGAACGTGGAGCCTCGAAACCACGCCTTGAATACGATAAGCGATTAGTCCAGCTCTGGCCAGAGCTTCTTCGGGCTCCGCTTCGGAATAAGAGATGATGATTGCGCTCAGCGTCTCCCAGCGCCTTATTCTCCTTTGTCTACAGGGGGTTTCTTGGGTGATGTGGACCGGTATAGTCACGTGGCTGTATACAAAGTTCCCAATTGGGCCAGACTTCCGATTACATTAAATTCTCTTGTTTTGCAACGCTACTAGCGTATAGCACAGAAGTATACAGGTTTCACAGTCTAATTTGAGTCCGGCTGCTGGGATTTCATCTTATGACTGGTTGGTCGAAGCCTGTTCCACTCCGGGATAGTACCAGGATGTGACGGCGATGATGACATAGACGAGCACACACAAGGCTCCCTCCAAGTAATTGGACTTTCCATCTCGCAGGAAGTTTCCAACGACAAGGATTGATAGAACCAGGAGAACAACCATGAAAATCTCGAAATTGAGACTCATGTCCTTGTCCAGGCCCCAACCCACGATGACAGCGAGCGGGGCGTTCAAAAGAGCTGTTTGGATCGAAGGACCTAGGCAATGGAAGAGTGCAAAATTGATCTGGTTATCCCAGGCTTCATCCACAGCCGTGAGGTGCTCGGCAGCCTTTTCAACTAAAGGGACGAGAATCAAGCCCATGAAGTTGTCCGAGACGCCCAGGGCCACAATGTACTCTATCTCCTGCACGAGGAAGACGGCAGACATGCAGACACAGGTCAGCGAGATGACAATGGCCACGATGCACTCAAAGAACGTGAGTTTGGCCCTCAGGAGCTCCTGATCTCGGTCTTCATCTTGCGCTTCGTCCGACTCAAAGATCTCGTCGAAAATGGAGTTGTGACTATGTAGGTTGAAAACGAGATATCTAGCAACAGAAAGTCAGCTGTGGATACTTCCAACCACCCGGCTCTTCTAGACATTAGACTCACGCGAAGAAAGCAACGAGAAGGATAACCGCAGTTGCGCGGCTAATGGTCAGCGCATCCTGTTCCAATTGGTGTAGAGTAAACTCGGTATTGACAGCGCCTTTTAACGCAGTGTAGAAAGCGCTTGGGATTAACAACCCGAAACCTGCGACCAGCAACAGTCCGGTTCCAACCTCACTGACCGCCTCGTGAAACACTTGCTCATTCCGCCTGAGACCTCCAACAAAGAAACAAGTCCCCAGGCAAAGAAGCAAATTGGCCAAGATGGAGCCCAGAATGGCAGCTTGAATGACGGGTATTAGGTCTTGCTCAGCGGAGGAGTTGTGAAGTAAGACCATGAAGAGCACAATTTCTACCACAGCGCTTAACATCGTTTCCAGTAAGACACCGAGGACTTTGGGTAGCTTCTTAGCCAGCTCTCCACCTGCGAACCCGAGCAAGTTCGCGGAAGGCACCATGGCGATGTAGTTGAGGGTAAAGACCCAGACGTGAAGATCAGGACGCGCAAAGTGCATCACGATCGCCACCGGGACAAAGGGCCAAAGGATGTTCACCATCATTGAAGCTCTACAGACACTCCTGAAGCATACTCGAAGAAAGTGGAGGGGATGAAATCCCTTGCGGCCGCTCTCGCCGGCACTGTCGACGCGAAAAAGGCCCAGGACATAGCGATGAGAATGAGTCTTTCTCTCGTGAATAGGCAACATGGGACTTTCCTGGGGATCCTTCTCTTGCGGCGGCGCCAGGATTTCCCCACTCGCCTGCGGGCGTGGCCCCCTTGACGCGGAGGAACGGATGGAGCCCATCTCGCCAAAAGGACAGGGATGCCAGAAAAGTGATCCGACCAGAGATGGAAGATCGAGGGTCAGGTCAGAGAAAAAGCGAGGCACGAAGTCTGCACCAGGGAGATTCGACAGTGCCAAGGGTGCAAGAGGAGAGCCCAAGGCGACCGTCTATACAAGCGAAAGGAAAACACACGAGCAATCTGACGTAGCCAATCAAGCCAGGCATCCGGCAGGAAGATGGATCAAATGGATCCGATGGATCTGGAGGAGTCCAGGAGGTCTTGGCAGAAGCCACTGCCTTGACGCTGGAGCGATGTCGTGTAGATCTGTCTCTTTTGGCTCGATCGGGGTCTCCGGTGTTGCATTTGCTGCCCAGGGGAGACCCCAGCGCACCCTTGAAACAAATTCCTGATAAATGGACATCTCGACTGGAAACGTGCCAGATTGTATGACCGGCCCCATTGCAGCGGCTGTGGGGATCAGATGTGCACAGCCACAAGCTTGGCTCCTGCAGACGAAGCTGGCGGAGCTGAGCGGAGCTCTGGGCCCCCTTGAAGATGATCTTCACCAGAAAGGTCTGAGACTTCGACTCATTCCAGAGTTGATATAAGTACCATAGACACCAGAGGCAATTGCCATGAGTATCCGTCCAGGCACACCAGAAGAAAAGCCGAACAAAGATGAGACCCTTGGAAGTGTATCAAAACACGTCCGGCGAGACCCTCAACCCGATGCCCAGACAGAGAGAATCAACTGGACGCGCACTCAAGAATTCCTCGATCGGGCAGTATCTCCTCCCAGCATCAATATTCTGCCCAGGAAAGGTGGACCTTGCTAACGCGTAGATTACTGGGAGATAGGGCGTTGCCTGTTGCATTCTGCGTTTGGCATTTGGCCTTTGACATGGCTACATCATTGCATAGTTGTATGATGCGCAAGGCATGAGTTTCACAAAGCCTCGACTCAAAGACAATGGGTAATTACTGAACTTGAGACTCAACCGATAGAACGACCACGAGCGAAGGCGAAGACGAGGACCCACTGTTTGGCGGTTATCGTCGGGCGGGGCGAGCATGGCAGAAAAAGGTTGCGAAATCTTCGGAACCTTCCTTCTTCACCATTTCTTGCAAATTGGGCCCTTTACAGATCATGGCTTCGACTAAACCCGCTATCCCGCCCGTGGCGCTGGACACTATCACTCAACAGATTGGAAACACCCCTCTGGTACGACTGAACCGTCTGCCCCGCAGCCTGGGAATTGATGCCACCGTCTACGCGAAGTTGGAGTACTTCAATGCTGGTGGCAGTGTCAAGGATCGCATTGCCCTGCGCATGATTGAGGAGGCAGAGCGCTCCGGTCGCATCAAGCCGGGCGACACTCTGATCGAGCCCACCAGTGGCAACACGTAGGTGTTTTTCTTTTCCCCTCATTACGCATGCAATGTGCTTACTGAGTTTGGCAGTGGTATCGGTCTGGCTCTGGTCGGTGCGGTGAAGGGTGAGTTCAGCGTGGAAAATAGAATATGAATGCTTCAGTCCAGACTAACTTGATCGCGACAGGATACAAGACCATCATCACTCTGCCCGAGAAGATGTCCGCTGAAAAGGTTTCCGTTCTGCGGGCCTTAAACGCCACCATCATCCGAACCCCCAACGAAGCCGCCTTCGATTCGCCCGAATCCCACATCGGAGTCGCCAGGCGCCTGGAGAAGGAATTGCCCAACGCTCACATCCTCGATCAATACGGCAACGAAAACAACCCCAACGCCCACGAATTCGGCACCGCCGAAGAGATCTGGACGCAGACCAATGGCGAGATCAAGGCTATTGTGGCTGGCGCTGGCACTGGTGGTACAATCACTGGTATCGCTCGGGGTCTCAAGAAGCATAATCCCAAAATCGAAGTGATCGGTGCTGATCCCCATGGTTCCCTTTTGGCTCTGCCTGAAACGTTGAACGAGCCGCACATGAACGAGCCATATAAGGTGGAGGGTATCGGTTACGACTTCATCCCCGATGTTCTGGACCGCAAAATTGTTGACCGGTGGTACAAGACTGCCGACAAGGAATCTTTCCAGTACTCGCGACGCCTGATTGCCGAGGAAGGTCTCCTGGTTGGTGGCAGCAGTGGAAGTGCTGTCGCCGCATTAGTTAAGGCCAATGAGGAGCGCAAATTCTCCAAGGACGATGTCGTTGTTGTTGTTCTCCCGGATAGCATCCGAAGCTATTTAACCAAGGTAAGTCTTACGGATCTGATCTTTTTCCCTATTGATATTGACCGCTTCCAAGTTTGCGGATGACGACTGGCTGGCTGCCAACAACCTCCTGTCATCGTCTCCCATTGCGGACACTCCCACCCAGCAACCCCCGGTCTCCACTGATCCATTGGCCGGTGCGAAGGTCAGCGCTCTTCGTCTGAAGCCCATTACTACTGTGACTTCCAACATCCCGTGCGAGACAGCAATTGAGACCATGCGTGAGAAGGGCTTTGACCAGCTGCCTGTTCTCGCGCCCTCTGGCCGCAAGCTTGTGGGCCTGCTCACTTTGGGCAACGTTCTCAGCCGGTTAACACACGGCCGCGTGTCTGGAAAAAGCCCGGTGTCCGAGGTCATGTTCGATTTCTCCAAGATTCCGGAGGTTGTGACCGATCCTCGCAATGTGGGTGTTACCCGAGCTCCGTCGGGCGCCCAGACCAACGGAATGGATACCACCCGGGTGCACACCAAGCGTCGCCAGTTCATTGAGATCACTATGGAGACTCCGCTCAGCGTGCTAAACCGATTCTTTGAGTGGAACAGTGCTGCCGTTGTCACAGAGAAGGACGACAACGGCGCAATGAAGCCTTTGGCTATTGTCACTAAGGTTGATTTGCTCACGTGGCTGCTGCACCAGAGCAAGACCAACGACGCTTAGTCGGCTTTAACACCTATTACTTGACTTGCATTCCTGGCAGAACTTTGTTCCTGCTTCTCGGGTGGAGTTTCAACACTGGTTAATGGTTTGTCTTTTCTCTTTTGGGACCGGCGTTCCTCCTGCGTCAATCAGATGCCTAACAAGGCTCCGGTTGGATTCAACTCACTGTGGAATCTACATAGATTGTGCAGCGCGGGGTTATATCGCTGCACCTTTGCATAATATTCCATAGACTCGTTACTTTACAGGTGAAGAATATCAATCTGTGTCTCATGTGCTGCTTCCCCCACTCTCGGTTCGGGGAGGTGCTCCGTACGACTTACTCACTCCAACCTGTTTGGAGTCGCTGTGATCAGCAGGTGCTCGTTACTGTATTAAACATTTATAGATTATAGATGAGTAGAATTTCAGTAGCTAAGGGGCGTGGGCCTTTCACTGTACAGCGCCCCTGTCCATCTCTATACGACCTGAGAAAGCTGCTCGGTCCGCTCACACAAAGGGGAATCGGCGCTTTTGAAACAAGGTACTTCGAGGAAGTGTGACACGTCAGATAATGCTCACAAACACATACCAATCCATTCCTCCCAGCGACGCACGCCGGATCCGTATTCCTCCTGCGGATCGCCATTGACGGCACCACCCACGACATCAACCTTAATTCCCACTTGTTCAAGCAACTTGAAGGTGAAGATACCCTGGACATCGTCATCCCCCAGCACATCTTCTTCAGTCTCCAGTCCGGTGTCCATGCTAGCATCCATCAGACCCTTGGTCTTGGACTTGCGAATTCGATCAATTTCGGCTTCAAGCTTCTCCCGCACGGAGCCAGGAGGCAGAGATGTGAACAGATCCTGCTTGTTTGCAGCAACAAGGACGGGGATCTCGGCCTCTCGCTTGGTAGAAGACTTGCCCTTGCCCATTGACCGCTTCTGAAGAACCAACAAAACGTCATGGAGGTACGTCGCGGCGTCCCGGAGGTTGGCTTCATCCACCAAAGCTGCAGTATCAACCATGAACAGCAATCCCCGGATCTTGGATTTCACATCCTTGGACGAGGACATGGATTGAAGCTCCGCGATGCCCTGAGAGTTGCGTAGCTTGCCGTGGCCGGGAGTATCCTTCAGGCAGTACCTAATCGGATTCCGCGCGGCCTCTTTCAACGAAGGGTCGTTCACAGAGCGATACCGGTTCGATGCGGTGGGGACAGTAGGCGGCAAAGTGACGGAGACCAGCGTCGATGCCTGAGAAGTGTGCGTAAGATGGGCCTTCTTTGACGCCAGCGAGGACTTGCTTTCCAGCTGCAAGATACCAATTAGATTAATGGAAGACCTCCCTTTGATTGGGTAGATAGCATACCAGAGCTGTAAAAGCTGTTTTGCCGGCTCCGCTTGGGCCTAGGAGAAGGAAGTTGCATGATGACGGCGACGCTGCAGCGCGGTAAAAGACGACGTGCAGGAGCACCGGAATACCAAAGGTGATAATGACCGCAATAAAAATGGCCAAGGGGCTACCATTAAGCAGCTTGGTGGCGATCCCCGTCACGGAATCCCATCCGGCTTGAGTCGACATGGTGAGCTGATGTGGTAGGCAAGTTCCACAGTGTAAGTCCGAGTCAGGGAGATCACTACGAGGGCGATAGCACGGACCACGCCTTATCTTAGCGCACATCCTTTGCATCGTTTGCACCTTTTGCACCTTTTTCACCTTTTGCACCCGTCCCAGGGACAAGGGCGTTGGAATGGACAACAGAGTCTCGCATGCCTCGCATACCATGGAGATGGCAGGGGTGTCCCCCTTTGGTAGTGCTTCATCCTCGACATAGACCTGGTCCGTCTTCTCCCTCCCACTCCACTCAGCATGAGGTTCGACTGTCTGCTTCCAGCTCTCTTGTCCCTGTTGGGCACTGTCTCGGCTCAGACCTTAAGTGGACTGACATTTGACGGGCGAGACTCGGTGAGTCTTGTCTGGGCTTTGGATAGGGTGACCTCCGGGCGTTATGACTTCTACCTGTGCGCAGGCGATGAGTCTACAGGCTCATATGTAAGTGAATCGCCTTTGTATACTTTTATACTTTTATACTTCTAGACCACGGCTAATGGATTGAAACATGATAGGAAACGCTATTGCAAGTTATCAGCGATAGTCTCTACACCCCAGGTGACCTGGTCTCCTTCAGCGTTGACCCAAGTGTCGGTGGAACCGACCTGAATGCATAGTAAGGACCACCTTTGAAGCTCGAATTGAAAGAGGCCGAGTCTGACCTTTGACCATATTAGCTTCCTAAAGGTGGTTCCTTCAGACAACAAGGAGCAATGGTCCGGATTTACCTCCCATTTTACCCTTACTAATATGACGGGCACCTTTTCCACCAAGGTGTCCGATGCACTCAGGTCAATGCAACCCATCGAGATCACCTGGGCCACGGAGGTAGACACCAACATCCTCAAGGCCGCCGAAGGTGGTCCTTTTTACAACAGATCCACGCTCAGTAGTGACATCCATGACGAATTGACCACGTCTGTCCTACAATTTCCCACACCAACTATTCCCAATGAACTGGATCGACATGAACTGCGGAAGCGTCTCGGAATTGACCCGCACAATATCCCCTATGGTGAGCAGACGGGCCTAACAAAGTATGCCCCGATGCCCAAGAGGGCCGGAAGCACGATTGCGGACAAGTCGCCGACGCCTCAGTACCCGCCTTTCCCTTCTCCATCGCAACCACCTACCTTCCTGCTCCTACGGTCCAATACACGGACACTGCGTATCTGACATGGACTACCCACAGCATTGAGAACACGGTACGTTTTACTTCTTCATGTTCAAGAATTCATTAAGCTAATTATGGTCTAAAGGCTGCCCCTGCCGCTGCTCCCACACTGGACAAGAGGATGCAGGCGTGGCTCGAGCGTTGGAAGGATTAATTGCAATTTGCTCCTACAGCGTATACATTTTCCCCTGTTGATTTTAATCTTGGCAGGAGGAATTTTCTTGAACACTCCTTCCAAATAATCAATTATTCTTTAAGCTTGTCTCTGATGACTGGTATCATGTGAGAATCATGGATCATAGTGTGCTTTCCCCACCAATTCTATAGGCTGGGCCTTGGCTAGAGACTCACGCCAAAGCCGGCCTGAGTTTATTGATGTCACAAGGCTATCTTTGATGACCACCTTTTGTGTGCCATAGACACCAGCGGTCACTGGGACGATTTCGCTGCCTCCATCACTGACGATAGCGAGGGGTCAGCAGGGTGATATCAGTCCTGCGGGTGAAATGAGATGTTTTCATGCAATGCAACGTAGTCGCTCTCTGCATACCCAAGTAATGACTCAATTGAGTTGCTGCGGTGGCCCTTGATATGCGCAATCTCGATACTTCCGTAGTTCACTAGCGCACGGCCGACTTCCCGCGGCTCTTGGCCATGGTGAAGGAAGTCGCCATTCAGGGCATCTGGGTCAGGTCGTTCAACAACCACGAGCCGGACTGCTTCTTGCTGTCCGAAGTGACCTTCAACACCAAGTACTCCTGCTGGGAGAAGGCTGGCCTTGTTGAGAAGCAGTGCATCATACGCTCCTTGATCGATATAGATAGTACCATGTGGGGTGAGCCCGTGGAGCAACCAGAATGTCCGGGACTGAATTGGAGTATCGGATGGGAGGAATCGAGTGTGAAGAGGAGGAGCGGGGATATCCGCCAACTGGCCTGGCGAGATATCGTTTAAATCTGCAATCTCTCGTAGACTTTGCAGGTATTTCACAATTTCGTGAACGTTGCCCGGCTTTGAGCTCTTGGTGATGATTGTGGTCACACCAGCACTGGTTCCCAGCTTTGCGGCGACGATCTTCGTGCTCATGCCACCTGTTCCCAAGGAAGACCCAGCAGACGAGACATCAGCTTCCAGCGCTGAAATGTCAGAAACTACCTCAATAGGCTGGGCGTCGGGGTTATTGCGCGGGTTGGCAGTATAAAGACAGTCGACATCAGTCATCAGGAACAGATAATCGGCCTTGACTGTCGCCGCAGTGATCGCGGAGAGGGTATCGTTGTCGCCGAATTTGATTTCCTGTAAGTCTCGAGTTAGATCTTGAGGTCAGAAGATCATGTCCAACAAGGACGAAATGCGTACAGAAACAGCTAGGGTATCATTTTCATTGACAATGGGAATCACACCCATGTCGAACAATTGCTCGAACGTATTTTGGGCGTTGACATATTGTGCTCTCTGGTATCTGATTAATGAACGGCAGGAGCATTTCAGCGTCAAAGCTAGCCTTACATCTGCAATATCATTCCTCGTCAAAAGGATTTGGGCCACCGGAACTCGAAGATGCGAGAACAGATTATCCCACAGACTCATTAGCCGGCATTGGCCCACCGCCGCAAGCGCCTAACATCTCAATCAGCTCCGTTCTAGGAAACCAGTCTGGTTCAACATCCAAATTGCGAGTTCGCACCTGTATTCGGGGAAGGTAGGTTGGTCTTTCGTCCACGTCCATTCTTCGCAAGCCAACGCCAACTGCGCCTGAAGAGACGAGCACAACTCGGTGACCATCCTTGCGTAACTTGGAGACCGTTTCGACAATTAAAGTCAAGATCGATAGAATGGGCTCATGGGTTTTCTCATCAACAATGGAACTTGTTCCTTCAAGAAATAAATTAGCTGTGTTCCGCATTGAGTCACATTTGTCTCCCCGCACCGAGTTTAATCACAATCGTCAACCCTGAGGTCGCCATATTGCCCAAGCCAGTCAATCCAAGTGATAGTGGCAATTGGATCGCCTTCAAGCGTTCTGAAAGGAAAATAGAGAATTCCCCGCTCGTTGTCATGGAAGAGGGAACTGACGAATCGCGATTCCCTTGGGGAAATCTCCAATTTCTGCCGGCGGCGTCCGCCCCCTGTGGAGGTTTCTCACTTTCCGATTGCGCGCCTCCTCAGGTTGGTGAAATCAAGATGTCCGATTCTCAGTTGCCGGGTGCGACCGCACCGTCAAATGAAAAGCCCGATACCGGGTTCATTCCCGGTGATGATACGATGACACAGTTTCGCAACATCTACTCTATCTTGACGGGGAAAATGTCACCAGAGGGAATTGAGCAGTTCCGCGTTGCGCGAGACATTCGAAATGAAGCTGCTGACTGTAAGCGGTGTGATGAACAGCGTGACTACCTACTTCAATGGAGTGAGTTTCTTGATTCGAAATTGCTTAAAGCGAATAGGCTAATAATCCGTGATAAAGGTCCGACAATCCGCTTCCTCAGTGACAACATTCGGCAACTTGGCGGCGATCTTCACAGTCACAATATTTATTGCCGCCGCTGTACCGACCGAAAGGGCGGCGGGTTTGATCCCGAATATGGAATATTGATCTGTGCGAATGAGATGAAAGACCAGGGGCATTTGGAGGACACCATGGCTCATGAGATGGTTCACGCCTACGATCACCTGCGGTTCAAAGTCAATTGGACTGAGAACTTGCGACATGCTGCGTGTACAGAGGTATGAGCTTTGTTCTTCACACTGGCGCAGCGGCTCACACCGGCTAACCTTTGCTAGATCCGAGCCAGCTCGCTCAGCGGCGAGTGTAGATGGGCACGCGAGTTCTTCCGACGGGGCCAATGGAAGCTTACCCAGCAACACCAGGAGTGTGTCCGGAGACGAGCTGTCTTGTCCGTAAGGGCACGGCCTACTTGCAGGACGAGGCTCATGCACAGCAAGTGGTCAATGAGGTCTGGGACAGCTGCTTTAGAGACACTCGGCCATTTGATGAAATTTACCGATGATACCGACCCCACTGCGCTCTCCCCTCTTTACGTCCATGATTCCACTTAGCCTTACAACGGGTTACCCTCATCTGTACCATAGAGTTTTGAATGTACCATATTTGATTGGCATCGGATGAAAACAAGATTAACAGCCAAAATGATCCCATATCTTGACCGGCTTTACTCCAGAAAGAAAACGAAACCCCAACTCCGAGAATGCGGAAATACCCAACGCCTCAGTCAGAAGTCCTGTCATTCACACAGGAGACATCATAAGATAGACAAAAAAGACACCAAAACACCATTTGGTAATGCAAAGACAATTATGCTTTAGTGTCTTTGGAAGACCCCGAGCTCCGCTTTGCATCTTTCACGCAGTGCTTGACAATCCAAGGATGACGTTGGATCTCATCCAGAGGAATTCGCTTCTCAGGGTCCAGGACAAGGAGCTAGAGCCAGTCAGTACTATACTTGTCAACAGAAGTCAACATCGAAACTAACCTTCTTGATAAGGTCCCTAGCCTCCGGGCTAACGAAGGACGGCACGGACATATCAGCCCTGGTGATTCGGCGCTGGGTCATCACAGGCGTATCTTCGAAAGGAGCCTCGCCAACCAGGAACTCATATGCCAGAACACCAAGACTCCACAGATCCACCTTCTCGCTGTAGAAATTGTCTTGAGAGCCAGGTTTCAGCATCTCCGGAGGGAGGTAGTCGAGCGTTCCGCACATGGTCTGGCGTCGGTTGTTGGGGGCGTGAACACTCCAGCCGAAGTCGCTGATCTTGATTTCTCCATGAATACCGACAAGAATGTTCTCGGGCTTGATATCACGGTGCATCACATGCTTCTTGTGCAAGTACTTCAGCGCCGCTGCCATCTGTGCAATGTACTGCGCAGCCTTCCATTCAGGGAACCGGTGCTCTTTGCGAAGGTGCTTGTACAATTCACCCCTTCCAGCGAACTCGAGGATCAAGAAGATTCGCTTGCTGTCGTGGAAATGGCCGTAGAGCCTCAGGACGTTTGGATGACGAAGGTTACTCTGGATTTCGATTTCACGGCGGACTTGCTTCTGGACGCCGCCCTGCTGCAGCTCGGACTTGTGAAGCACCTTGAGGGCGCAGACAAAGCCCGAAGATCGCTCCTTGGCAAGGTAAACACGACCGAACTTTCCCTTGCCAAGGGGTTTACCGATCTCAAACATCCCGAGATGTAATTCCTTTGGCACAGATGGGTCATTCAGCGACGTGGACGTACGCTGATCTCCGTTCTCGTCCGTGTTGCGGGACACCCTTGAGCCCTGAGAACTCCTCGCAGGTGAGAGAGGAACGTTCATCGAGTTCTTGTTATCATTGGTGTTTTGAAGAGCTAGCTTCAACAGATGGGCCCGGTTGGGGTTGTTCATCTGGGCCGCACCAAGTCCGGACAGAGAGACGGCCGTCGACAGAGAGCCCTAAGACAGGTTAGCAGGCTGCAGTGTTGGGTTCAAGGGGTATTTCACCACCTTTTGCTTCCCATAAGTGCGGTCGCCTCCAGTGTCCTTCTCTTCCTTGACAGACAGGTGCTCGAAACGAGCTTCCAATGTCTTGGTCGCCATTGGGAGGATAGGTAGTAAAGGATGAGAGGTGAGGAAAAGGGAGAATAAAATGGATGTCGATAAGCAAGCGCAGTTTCAAAAGGCAGATTCAAGCCCTTGCAAGCATGATCAGATGGCGCAGTGTGGTTATCGAGTAAGTTCAAGAGTCCAAAGGAGCTCGGCGAGGAATGGGGTGTTTGGGGTCGATGGGTGCGTCTCCCGGGCAACGCTCTTCGGTCCGCCTCTTTCTCCGCCCGCGGGGCTCTATCGCCATATCGGCATATCGCTATCAGCTCGAGCTCTGCGACATGGTCTAGCATGTATTCCACGCCATTCACTGCGCCCAGGGCGCATGCGGCCGTTTCTCCGGAGAGCAAGAGACCCAATGAGATCTCGACTCATGGCTTTCGTATTTCCACGCAAAAGCAGCCCATTCTGAAAGCCGATCCCATTGAGGAGATGACCAAAAAACTCGGCATCGCCCCGCCGGAGATGATCTTTGGTGATAACTATGTGATGATCGAGCATCAGAAGAGTGGTTGGGCTATCAATTTTAACTCCTTTGATGCGCTGGACCTGGTGGACAAGACCGGGCAGTCAATGCTTCAGGTCGCATACTCCAAGGAGTGGCAGAGGAGCAGGTACAATGTTCCAACCTTAACTTATTGCTCTCATAGGAATTTCAAGCTGATGCTGGGTTACTGATAGAGAGAACACACATGAGGGGATTAAAGAGGTCGTCAAGCCGTTCGACTGGTCCTACAGCACAGACTACAAGGGTACTCTCAGTCCCAATGCGAAGCCGTTCGAAGAGACCACCAAACCGATCCCCTTCGACCTTCTGAAGCGTCCAGACCCAATCCTTTTCTTCGACGACGTTGTCCTTTATGAAGATGAACTGGCGGATAACGGTATCGCGATGCTGTCCTGCAAGATCCGTGTGATGCCGGGGAGAATGCTACTTTTGTCCCGTTTCTTCATGAGACTGGACAATGTCTTGATTCGTCTTCGCGACACTCGCGTTTACGTTGATTTTGAGACTCGTGAAGTGATTCGCGAATACCAATCTAAGGAATGTGAATATGAGAAAGTGAGACAGGTATGATCATAAAATCCCGAGTAGTCCTGCTTCTCTCGCTAACCCTTCCCAGATGCTTGCAGGTACGCGGGACGATATCCCGGCATTGATGAGAGACCCTAATAGGCTCTCCGAGCTGCTGCCTATCGTAGCAAAGCATTCGGAACGTGTTGTCCTTGATGCTTAAAGGTCTAGATTTTGCCGAGATCTTCAAGCGACGCGCTTAACATACGAAAGCAGAGTCACTGAACTTATTACAAAGCAGACAGCAAAAATGACTTGGCTATCTGAACTCCTCCGTGTTTCATTAAGAAGCTTATCCAATGAATAGACGAATATGAAATGACCCTTTTATGAATTGACTGCTTTTGGATGGCACTATTTTACGACCACGTCGATAACTTTGGCCGCCGATAGCATTTGCTCAAATTTCTTGAACCAAGATATCTAGTTATGCAGATGGGTTGGCTACATTGGCCAACCGCTGCTGTTGTGTAGCACTGGGTCTCGGAACGAATAGTCCCGTCATTGATCGCGGAGGCAAACGGTGCAAACGCTCCAGATCGCCGAGCGAGAAAGCAGCAGCTTCCAGGAAAAACTTCCGACACATCGCAAAATGTCGACCCCAAGAGCAACAACTTTTTGGACGCGGGACATTCGCAGGTCTCGGATTCAGAGCCTTCAGGTACATGCTTTCATACTTCTCACGCCCCGGAAACTCAGCGCTGACCTCCCATAGCGGTCCTTCACCCACCGCCTATCCATCTCGACTACGTCGCAGAAACCAACTAGCTGCAATGCTGCTTCAAAGTCAGCCTTGATGGCATCTACGCCATGGTCGCTAAGCCGTGATATGCTGTCGCGCTCAATATTGCCTGTTCGATCCTACTCTCAGGGATCTACCGTCTCTCGCCTCGCCAGGAGTGCCGTGGCCCCAGGCGCTTCAGCCGAAACCTACATTGCATACGGTATGACGCAGAAGCTTTTTGAGGCTTGCTCAATGCAGGCGGATTATAAGATTCCTCAGGCGTCTCAGAAGGGTGTGGCCGTTCCGACCACCGAATCCGGCGAACATCTTGGCGTTGGCGACAGCTGGTGGTATCGAGGTTCGTGAATGCCACATGAGACTAATGAATTCTGGCCAAAACCAGGGATTAATACGTGTTTCTACAGAGCTCGGCCTTGTTCCGACGTTTTCCACCTGGTCGCAAATCACATTCCTCCATATGTATCTGTTGACGGTCCGATTGCGCGCGCTCCCAACCCGAGAGAGCGTACAGACCTACTCTCGCCACCTGATCGACCATTTCTCACATAACGCTGAACACCGCATGGATGTTCTTCATGACCTGGGCAGCCGAACCATCCGGAATAAGTACTTGAAGGATCTCTTTATTCAATGGCGTGGTATCATTGCCGCTTACGACGAGGGCCTGATCAAAGGTGACGCGGTCTTGGGGGCTGCTGTCTGGAGGAACCTGTGGAAGGCGAGTGCCACGGGACCTGATGGCCAGGAAATTGACTGGACCAAGGTCGCGTGGGTGGTCGCCTATATGCGACGAGTCCTGTCTGAGATCTCGAAGATGGACGAGGCGGATTTGGTCTTCAGTCTGAGTACGGGAGACTTGAAAAGCTCCGGCATCTTTGGCTACTCTGCGCTTGATAAGAAAATGGCCGAGGGAACCAAGTAATCCCAGGTGGCCAAGTGTAAAACAAACATCCCTTCTCTTCAGCATTTTTGTCTTACTCTATGTACATCCCGTTCGAACCCTTTGCTTTACCAGATTAATCCAGCGAGGCACAAAAATCGATCACATTCAGCTCTATGCATTCAGGCTTTCTTTTTTGATTTCTCAGCGGAGCCTATAGTTTCTGGTTTTTGAATAGCATGGAAATTTTTCATTTCTTGCCAAAGAGGTCCTTCTCGACCATGCCACGGCAGATAGGGTGGTAGAAGTCCTTGTACTTCTCAAAGGTCTCAAGAGCGACAGGGCGGTTAATCTTCTGGAGATTGCGGAAGCTGAATTATGCACATTAGCATCGTTACCAGGGCTATCGGGGCTGGCAACCTTACAGAGGGCGGACAAACTTCATCCTTCCGATGCGGCCCAGCAGTTCCGTGGTGGGTTCGATAACACTTTCATCGCCAGCCTTCATGCCAACCTGGAAGTACAGGTTGGAAACTTCAATGTTCTCACTCTTGGACAATCCGTAGACCTCCCCCATTAGCTTTGAGAGCTCAGGGCGGAGGGGCTGCTCCCACCGCAGGATCTGCTCGAGGAAAACGACGATCTGGTTGGCTGTCAGACCTTCCAGGTCGCTCGCCTGCGGCTTGAAGGAGGAGTTGGGGAGCGTCTCCCATTTTTGAGCCAAAGAATAGACGACATCTACCAGCGAAGTATCAAAATCTGGCTTGGGGGGGCAAACCAGGAGTGTAGAACCACTTGTCCCAGTCCAAGTCGTTCAACAGCTTGGATGCCTCAGAATCAGAATTGAAGAAGTCGAGAATCGTCGCCTTGAACTCGTATGAATCCAGAGACTTCATCTTGAAGACAGTGAAGTACTAAAATCAAGTTAGCAAAAGACTGTCCCAAAGATGGATACTGTGGAAGAAGAAGGGGGGGGTAAGGCGGGGGTGGGCGCAATACGTGAGGAATGAACTTGTCAAACTTCGGCTTTCCGACCAAGTTCTCGAGGTGGAACAGGAAGTTGAACCCCTTCTCATAAGGAATGCTGGAGAAGGCATCGTCAGGATCCTTGCCCTTGAGATCGGTCACCAGCTTCGTGAACTCATGGTCGTGGCCGAAATGCTCCACGGAATCTGTCAGCGATTTCCAACCGATGATGGCAGAGAAGTGGCGATACGCCTCTCCATGACTGTCGAGGTTAGTGACACTGAGTAGACTCTCAGTTCATAAGAGACATACATTGCAGCCAAGATCTATGCACGAGTCAGTCAGAATGGCCAGGTCAAACATAGGAAATCACATACCCGTCGTTCAAGGTATACTGTCCAGCCCTCGTTGAGCCAGAAGTGCTCCCACGAGGCGTTGGTCACAAGATTTCCACTCCAGCTGTGAGCGAGCTCATGTGCAATGACATCAATGTTTTCCCGGTCCTGGTACCCCATGTTAATACCAAAAATAAACCTGAATCTCAGTTTGAGTTGCTAGTGAAGCGCACCTTGGAGATAATGCTCGGAGTCGCGAAGGTAAAGATGGGGTTCTCCATGCCGCCATAGGGGAAACTGGGCGGCAGAATAAGAACGTTGTACTCGCCCCAGGCATAGGGATATACGATTTTCTGCATGAATATCAGCATCAAAAGCAGGCAGCGCCGGGACTCGGTTGAAATACCTCGATGGTGTTGATGAAAGTTTCCGTGTCCGCCTCGAGTTCCCATTTACATTCTTCCAGCTTATCAGGGCTAGTGGCGACCACACTTCGGGGCCCAATGGGGGCCTCGGAGACATCTCTGTCACAAGGTCAGTTAGAAGTCTCCCAATGTAATAAGAGCGCGGTTCTTACCCGCTTGCGATTGCAAACAGATAGCTAGGAATCGGGACCGATTGATTAAATCGATACAGACGCTTTCCTGATTGGGGGGGTCTCCGACGAATCCCGAAGGGGCAAACCACTGGTCATGACCGGGAGAGGAGAGGTGATGTTGAAATCAAAGGTGCTCTTGACATCCGGCGTGTCTTGGCAAGGGAAGATGGACCGCGCGTGGATGGCCTGGCATTGCGAGACTAGCACTGGGTGAGCAAGAGGGTCTTGAAAAGGTACAGTCTTCCTTGTCACCTACACATATACGGATGCTTCTTGTTGGAAGTTTGGGCGGGAGTCAACCACTGGAGCGCGGTGCACTTCTCAGTGGTCTTCACGGCGATCTACCCCTAGCATGTCAGTGACTGAAGGGCAGGGCCACGAGGATATATGAACTAATAAGACCTACATCAACCTCAACGGTCCCATTGAGCTCCACCGCCTTGTCCAGGCAGATCCTCAACGGGGTTCCGAACGGTGCCAGCGATGACATCAGCTCCCATTTGGATGGCTGACCATTGACCTTCACGGAGCCGATGTCGAGATAGCTGGTATCCAGGATAATCTCCCGAGACTCGGCATCGGTAGTGGACTTGAAGCGGTGGACGACATTACCCACGAGCTTCTTCTGGTCGAACAGAATATCGAAATTGGCAGTGATGTGGGTGGAGCGCCAGTTGTTGTAGTTGCTCAGCGTGTTGGGATCACGCGGGTTAGTAACCACGGCCATTCTGCGTATAGGCGATGATTTCAGGGCTGAGAAAGATCGTGAGAGAGAGCGATGAAGTCCGAGCGGGGAGGGAATCATCGTTCCGCGTAACTAGCTAACCACGTAACCACTCTGGCAATATTTTTTTTTTCGGTGTTCCCGCCTCTAAGCGATACACGAATGCAACCCTTTTTGGACAAGTCAAGGAACTCCGAAGATAGGCCCAGAAAGGCAACCTGATTAGATCTTCTTTAGATTTTCGCCCCTTGATGTATATCTCGCGTTTCAAAGGATGCTTCAGATCATCGAGTTGAGGTGTATACTTCTTCATCCCCCCCAGTTGCGGCTGTCGCTCCGCTAGGGAGGAAAACAATAACATGTACCCCCTTTACTCTCTTTCGCTCTTGCCCCATCCCTCTCGCCTCCCCTACCCCATAATCATTCCTGGACCCCTCTTTTGCTCTCCGGGGTCACCTTCGAGGAATCGAACAATCGAACAATCAAAAGTCTTGGTGTCTCCCCGCATTCGACATTCCACCGCCCGGCAAACCCACACGGGCCACCCCTGAACCCGGGCGCGGGACTGCGGCCCCTGAACTCTTTCACTGTGTCGCCTTACGTGAGTGATTCCGCATCTTTCGACTTGTGCGGTTGCTCACTTTCGTTCAGTCATGTCTATTTCCGTGTGATAGATCTTCCTAGCATTCCGAATCTCTCCAAGCGATGCGTTGAAGCGCATACTTGCCAGGATCCACTCAAGTTCTCTTGACAAGCGCACGTTGAAGAATGAGTCAAGACATCCGAACTCGATTCACGACCACCGATCAATTGCGTCGAATCGTTTCGTGCGTCTAACGGTCTTCTTTGGGACTCTCTATCGTGAAATTTGGTCCCGGTTTCTCAATGCCTGGCTTCAATATTTAAAACAATCTGATACCGAGCTTCTTCGTCTTCAAAAATGCTACACCGCTCAGCCCTGGAAGATGAAGCCAGACCGTTCCACACCAGGCAACCCTCGGGCCCGCTCACAGAAGCGCCTTTGGCACCTCTTTCCAGCCGGCCCTCCTCTCGATCATCCAGGCCTAGCTCTCGCAATCGAATGGCCAAGTCTGGAGCCGTGACCCCCACGGGGCTAGGGGTGGTCACAGAGAACGGCCCCGAACTTCATCCTGAGAGTCTCAAAATGTCTAGCCCTATCAAAGAAGGGTTAGGTAGCTTGAACCGTTGGTCTCAGTCAACAACCTCGAGCAAAAGCCCTTCTGAATACACAGGCCACCGCCGAGGCAGCTCCAAAATGTCTATATCAGGTCATAGTCCTCACAGGGCCCGAGGGCTAGGCGAATTGCCCGAGTTGGACCTTCCCGAATTCAAGACATCTGATATCTTTTCCACCGATTCTACCGCCTCTCAACTTGATTTCTCGTACAATGCCTCTGGCCATATTTTCCAAAATTCAGCAAATGATCTGAAGGAAAACGCACGGTCCTATCAACCAGACTATATGACCGCTCATGCTAGTGAAGGCGCGTCTTCTTCGGTAGACGGAGAAGGCGAGGCAGACCGACAGCATGGCCAAACCCAAAAAGCAATGCTTTCGAAGGCCCTGCAAAAGGCAAACACAGCAGTTCTTCTTGATAACGCTGCTAACTTTGAAGGCGCTATGGAAGCTTACACCGATGCATGCCAGTTACTGCAGCTGGTAATGCTTCGTAGTAACGGAGGCGATGAAGAAAAGCTCAAACTACAAGAGATTGTATGCATACCTATTCCAGCGACATGTCACATCTATCGATACTAACTGTCTCAGCGCGATACCTATATGATCAGAATCACCGAGCTTCAGCGTATGGACTTTCCACTCCCAGACAATGCCGATAAAGCTCTACCTGAGCGCCCTATTAGTCAAGAATCATACGGTGAATTGATGCATTCATCCGCAACTGATAATTCTCGTGCCGGGAGCCAACAAAGTTCTGCGCACTCCAGCCTTGGTCTCCAAATAGCGACTGAAGAAGCGAAAACATTAACTTTCGAGACGGCACCACCTCGCCACCAGTCCCTGCGGCCATCTGCGATTTCCGGCAGATCGACTCCCCCCGAACGGATCCAACACCACGTATAATGGGCAGTACTTGGACACATCTGCTCAAGAGATCAATGAATCAACATCTTGGCTGGACACAATTGATGAGTCTGGCGCATCCTCGCCATCATCGGCGCATTCGAAGGCCTCTTCAGTGTATCTGCGCCAGCGCACAAGCCGTCGCATTAGCACTGATACGGAAGCCGAATTTGACGCGGCACTTGATGCAGCCGTGGAAGCTGCGTACGACGAGGGCCTTGAGCCCGTCTTTGAGTGCCACGAAGACCACAATGATGATGTCGTGGCCAATGCTCGCCGGAATATCGAGCTGGCGAAGCAGCGGGTGCGGGAAGCAGAACTTGAAGCCGAAGTCGCAATGAATCGTGGCCGTGAAATGCGCCGCATTCAGGAACAAAACATGGAGCAGGACCTAGAGCCCCACCGTGATTCGGATTATCTCGACGAGGAGGCAGAAGAGGAAGAGCGTCTTCTCGAAGAGATGACGAAGGGCTATGTTATGGACGATTTCGAGTTTGGTATCCAATCCAAGTCTGCTCTGCCTCGGGAATCTGACTCAAGCAACATATCGGGAAGGACGTGGGAAAGCTCAGCGGCGTCTAATATCACAAGCATTGGGGCGACTCTTTCCACTCTCACCGAGGACGATGACATCCTACCACCTGGTCAAAGACCAGACAGAATTGGTCTCCCATCATCTCCGCCTTCCGTGGCATTGCCTCCAATTCCGTTATCGTCAGATTTCCCGGCTCTGCCCGCTCAGAGGTTTTCTTTAACAAACCCCCCCTCCTCCCATTATGGGTCCGCCTCCCGTCCCTGGTGTGCGAGCCCGGAGAATTTCAAAGCGGGACTCTAAGGATCTCACAATTGAGACAAGTGCACGTCCTCGTGCAGACTCGAGTGCTTCGGGATTGTCCTTCTCAACTCCTTCGGCAAGCCGGCCGCCACCACCTCTTCCCAAAGACGATGTGTCCTCTGACGCCCCCAAGACTTCTATGACCGGCACCAGATCCAGCTCCAGCTTGCATCCTTCCAAACGCAATCCGTCAGTGAGCTCGTTTGTAGACCAAGCCAACCTCGCCAAAGCCCGAACCCACGAGGATGACGAGCTCGGGCTTCCACCTCTGCCTTTATCCGCACGACCCATTGGCAAGGTCCCCTCGGCCCCAGATGGTTTGGACAAGATCAATTCCGATTTTAACGCTTTCAGAAACCGCAATGTGTCTGTTTCCAACCCTGAGACAGCAACAGCACCAGCACCCGGCTCTCCAACAACCCCGTGGAGTGGTTCGTTCCCGGGCCTGGATACTCAAAAGGCCACCATGGCAGGGAGTATCCCTGTCATGCCTACCCCCACTGTTGCCTACTTCACGCAAAATGGGTTGCCTACGGGTGGTCTCGATATCTTGGACTGCAACATCCACTCCCCCTAGCGCCTTAGGCCGCCCGAATTCGCTAGTCGCTAATGCGCCGCTACCGTTAGAGCCGTGTCCGGAGTCTTTCCTTCTGCGCCCATTCTGGCTCATGCGATGTCTGTATCAAACACTCGCTCACCCCCATGGCGGGTATCTGTCCGCGAAGCTATTCGTTCCTCGGGACGCGTGGCGTGTGAAGAACATCAAGATCAAATGTCTCGAGGACAAAGTGTCCAACTGCGATCTTCTTACGGCGGCTCTCTTGAAACTAGCTCGAGTTGATACATATGACGCAGACGCCGTTTTGGAAGAAATGCAGTCTTTAGAGTCTGTTCTTGACCAGGTCCAAACCGCCCTGTCCAAGAAGCTGGGCCATGAGGTCGGAGTTCACACATCTATGCCTCTCTTTCGGTCGAATCCTCTATCGGATGATGGGGCCCACCCTGATCCTCCCCCTTCCAGGACCTCTGGAACTTCTAACAAATCATACCTCCCGACTTGGAAGCGATTGCGAGCGAAGACTTCTGGTAATAGTGCCACTCCGTCTGCTACTCCAAGCGCCCGTGAGAGCAACAAAGACAGTTTCCTCTCAAATTCTCTTCCTATGGCACCGGGCCCTACACCGCATGCGAAGCGTAACGTGACGCAGCTCGAGTTCTCGGGCCCGAGTGCCAATTACATGGGAGCCCTGGCACGTCTCTTCGACGCTGCTCAAGTGATAGGTACGGAAAGGTTCCGTATAGTTTTGGGTTTTTTCAGCGGTATACCGTACTAACTGTCGGAATAGATCAAATCGCTCAGCAAGTCGAAGATCCTGGACTCAAACATTCATCCTCCACCCACGTTGGTCTCAGAGCTCAGTACGCGACACGCCGCCGAGTTCTTCGGTTTCTACGTATGCCGTTTCGCTCTGGCCGATTTGGGTATGATGCTTGATAAGTATATTAAGCGAGGTAGTGAGCATGTGTTGATCTAAGGAGTTACACGAAGTGATATGACAGATTCCTCAATGTCCTCCCATTCTCTCTGTGTGGTTTTACTTGGCCGCGCCTCTATTCTTTGACTTCTTTTTTTTCGCCAATGTTGCTTGACGTTTTTATTGACTCTCCGCCATGTCTTTAAGATACCATGATTTGCCTCGGATATGATTTGAAGAACATACTTGTCACGAGAAGGACACTATACCTATCATTAGCTTCGTGCCTTGCAATCTACTGTAGACTATGGGTTTGCGTTTTAAGTCCTTTAGTCTACTGGGCTGGTAGACGGCGTGTATTGAACAGGGAATCTGCCTCGAGGGGGGGGGCGAAGTAAACAAAACAGACAAGCCGTAGCGAGAACCGCGCACTATGCGGCGGTGGCAGAGTTGCGCAACATGACAGATGGCAAGAGGGCCACGAAAGCAGCAAAATACGACGGTTCCGGCGGCACATTGGCAATGCTGCCAATGCGACTAGTCTTCTCTAGAGCCAAAGTCAGCAGCACCAGACAGCTCACGGGCCCCGTTTTGAAACCCCTGTGAAGCAGCAGATATATATTTCGATTGAAGGTATGGGGGTTCATGCAAGCATAAAGTCAAACCCTGGATCGAAATTACGTAGTGTATCAGTGTATCAATTATCAAGTCAAAGACAACAGGGCGGAGTGACTATAGAGATTCCGCTGGATTGAGGAGTTGGAAATACATAGCAATGTTCCATACATACCGGGAAAATAGTCAAATGCCTAGGAAGCTAAGCAGAAAAAAAAAACATGAATGGTAAAGAGTAGACAAGATACGAATAAAAAAAATATCGGATATACCATGGAACATATACGGAGAAAACAGAGAAAACAGAGAAAGGTTGGGGCTCCGCTTTCCACGTGGACGCGTCCCAAAAACAACTCTAAAGTCAAAAACATCGCGTTGCGCGGTCGTTGCTCCCCCCAATGCTCTGACTCTGAGTCCTCTCCCCAAGTTTTCCCTCTTTGTGTCCGGGCTTTCACCATGCCTCGACCTGCGCCTAAACGAAATAGATCCACCAGAGCCAAGGCTAATGTCAGTGCAGACATCGAAGCGCGCGATCCCGATGTGGACGCGTCAAAAGCTCCCGAACGCGGCTCTACCGACCCTCGAACCCTACGCAGTCAGACACCGTTGACCAAGAATTATGAGCAAGCGATTGACTCGTCGCCGGCCGAACGACCGGGTACAGGCAGTCGACCTGGCACTGGTAGTCGGCCTCCCACTAGATCTCGCGGATACTCGTCTACGCTTTCTTTGGCTGGGCGCAACGGTGATATAAGCTTGCGCGTGCCCGGTACGCCTGGCTATGAGAGTTCGGTACTGAGCAACTTCAGACGCCGCCCGCGACAACAGAGTATTCTCCAGATGATGCAGGCGGAGGATGGCTCTTCTGACCTCGACGATGACGACTTCCTCGGCAGCCTCAGCCCGCAGGATGAGTCGACGCCGCTGAATACTTCCAGAGGCAGATCATTACTAGTCAGATCGGCTGAAGATCCACCGTCGGAATCGCCTCCTTCGTCGGTCGGATCGCGCAAGCGCAAGCGCGCCGAAGACATTCAAGTACCTGGGTCCCCTACTGCCCAAGAGAGGGTCGAAGATACTCCAACTGCGACACCAGTTGCCCATGGGCATTTATCGCATATGTCAGAAGCCACACCTCAGCCTTTGCAATTCCCAGAGGTCTACAGTCAGACCATGGCACCCCCGGACAGTAGCCCTATGGGCTCTGTCGCCCCTCAGTCACCAGTTGCCGTTGCCGATGTCCATAACAACTCCGGATCTAACAAGACCAGAGATCCGACTCATCTCTCAACGGCGGCACTACAAAGCAGATTTCTACCACGACGTCGGCAGCGCCAACGCAAGCGCCATCCGCATGGCGGATCCGATGACCCTGTCGAAAGTGATGAAGAGATGCACGATGCTGCATCTGGCGATGAAGATGAGCTAAGCTACCTACCTGCAAAAGGTTCACGGCGCGGACAGTCTGAAAAACGCCAGCCTCTTGGCCACGCGCGAGAAAAATCAAAGCTCAATAATCAGAAGCAAAAGACAAGCAAGATCAAATCGGCCCCTGTGCCCAAACCGTCGGAGCCGCAGACGCCGGCCACATATTCGCGTGCGCGTCGCGGTGGAGAACTGGACAAGGAAAATGAAATGCTACTATCCTCACCTTCCTCGTCACCCTTATCATCGCCCCCTGAGTCAGACGCTCCTGATTCTGGTGGAGAGACCCTGCCTATGCGACGATACGTGAGTGACGAGCTTCGTGCAGCTGCCAAAAAAATTTGCCGAGGTCGATAAGTGGCAGATGGAGTTTGAAGAAGTCTCTGCATCGGAGATGCCAGGCAGTCCGACCCGTTGAAAGAATAAGTTGTATTTTGATGTATAACGAAAATGAAATTACCGGCGTTAGCCGCCTTGGCCGCATTCCAACATCTCGGCTGTTGAGCCCCGCAGCAATGCAACAGTAAATTTACTGCTTTTGCCCCGCTACCTACTCCGCAGTTTTCTGCGCGGCTCTTTTCTTTTCCATCCTCATCTGCCCATCATGGCTTCAGTCGATTCCATTCTCGCTGCCAAGTATCCGGCCAAAGCCCACGCGCGCCGTGTCGCGGAGGCCCTAAAGGCGCACGGCGATGCTGGCGCTATTTACCTCGAGGCACAAAAGACCCGTCTGATCGAGGATAACGATGAGGCGATGCCTTTCAGGTACGTTGATGGTCCAATTGAGCCGGCGTATGCTGATTGAAGATGTAGACAACGTCGTCCTTTTTTCTACCTCACTGGATGTCTTTTGGCCGATGCGTCGATGGCCTATGATATCAAAGCCGACCAGTTGACCTTGTTCGTTCCGCCGATCGACCCTGATTCCGTCATTTGGTCCGGTCTGCCTTTGTCGGTGGAGGAAGCTGCGCAGCTGTACGACGTTGACCGTGTACTGTACACCACCGACGTCAATGCCACTCTCGCCTCGATTGCCTCGGCTCACGGTGGAACAACCGTGGCCTTTGCCATCGAGGAACAAGTTTCCGAAGGCATCGAGTTTAAGGGCTTCGCCGAGGCTAAGCTGTCCGTCTTGAAGGACGTGATTGGGGATGCTCGCGTGGTCAAGGATGCCTATGAAGTAGCACTTTTGAGAAAAGCAAATGACATTACTGCCAAGGCACACATTGCCGCCATCAGGGCTTCAAGGACGGCCACCAATGAACGGGAGATGGAGGCAGCTTTCCTCAGCATCTGCGTCGCCAATAACTGTCGTGAGCAGTCTTATCACCCCATTTTCGCCGGTGGTGAAAATGGAGCTACCCTCCATTACGTCCGGAATGACGAGAGTCTGACGGACGCGGCAACACAGAAGCGAAAGGGTAACTTGTTGATAGATGCCGGATGTGAATACCAGACATACTGCGCTGATGTCACGCGTGTCATTCCTCTTGCTGGAAAGTTCCCCACGGAGACCCGTCAGATCTATGAAATTGTCTTAGAGATGCAGAGAGAGTGCATTGCGGTGCTGAAAGAGGGCGTCCGGTGGGACGACGTGCACGCATTGGCGCACCGCATTGCCATCAAGGGCCTGCTGAAGCTCGGGATTCTGCGTGGCTCCGAAGACGAACTCTTTGAGAAGCGCGTCAGTGTGGCCTTTTTCCCGCACGGCCTGGGCCATTATCTGGGCATGGATACCCACGATACCGGTGGCTATCCCAACTACGATGACAAAGATAAAATGTTCCGGTATCTGCGTGTTCGGCGCAACCTGCCTGCGGGCGCTGTGATTACGGTCGAGCCCGGCGTAAGATACATTCCCTGGACCCAAGACTAGATACGTAGCTAACGAGATATTAGATTTACTTCTGCCGCTTCATTATCGATCCGGTCTTGAAGTCTTCGGAGCTTGGCAAGTACATTGATGCCGATGTCCTGGAGCGGTACTGGAGCGTGGGAGGCGTGCGTATCGAGGATAACATTCATATCACTAAGGACGGTAGTGAGAACTTGACATCGGCCCCGAAGGCCATCGAGGAGGTGGAGAGCCTTGCTCAATAAGATGAGTGTAATTATGGAGACAGAATAAATGGATCTTAAAATTCGAGCCGACCGACATAATCGGACCGAGTCGCATTGCGCAGACTGTACAAGATTTTCCGTCCCCTGTGATATTGGGATTCTTGAATCGAGATTAGATGCCCCTTCGGAGGCGTTTTCGAGCGCTACCTCTGCCACTCGATTCTACCTCGGACTGATCGGTCTTCTCCTTTTCCTTCCGATCCAGAACCATAGTCAATATGTCGTATGCAAACTCAGGTACCTCGAAACAGAGATTTTTCCATTCTTTCTCAACCTCATGCCGCAGATCATGACTGCGGGAGGCCCAGAATGACGCGATGGGTCTACGTATCGTGGTGTCGTTCTTAGGAGTGTGGGTGTAGACGTAGCGGGCGTAGGCCAGCTCGCCGCTGGGAGTGCCGTTGACTCGGTGGATTTTGGTGTGCGCCAGGCTTTTCAGCGCCGGCAAGCCGAATTTCTCCGCTAGTGTGTAGATACGCGCATGTTGTAGGAGCTGTTGGCCGCTTGGATCTCTTCCTTCTGACAGAGTCTCGGTTTGCGGTACGGTGTAATCGCGGGTATACTGGAACTGCAAAAAGCATCCAAGAGCTTCAACGTTCTCATCCGGTAGTTCAATGCGCCGCTGGCCACATCTTTAGTATACCTGAAAGGTTTCTCAGAGAATGCCAGTGCTCACCGGGCCTGAGGCGTCAAAATTTTTCACGATTGCCGCAAGGAAAGGCTATTCCACGATGAGCTTTTGATGTGCCTTCAGAACGGTCTGTCCGACAACTAGCTCCACGATTGGCGAAATGAGTAAACTAGGAAACATGAGCTAGCGGTTCATCAAAGCAAGCGGTCCCGTTGCTATACGATAGCTCTGGCACCCTCGCCAAGGAGTGATGAGGAAAGCTGGTTGGGAGCATTTACTCCATAAATTCGAGATCAGTATGCTTCTTTGCGGGAGTTGGAGGTTCGATCTCGGGTTGCGTATCCGGGAGAAAGGCATCTTCCGTTGTTCTACGTTGCTCTGAAGGTGCCGGGCCAGAAATCGTGTCAATCACCGCGTCTTGCATGCGCCTTATCTCGACCTCGAGGGGAAACTGTTGATCTCTGTAATTGCCTCTGGCTTGTCGGCAATCGAGACTTGGGCTTGCGGTCGGTCCATGCTGGATCCGTAGGGGAAGAAAATTCGGGGGAGGGGGTTGGAGGGGTGAGGGGGCAAGATGGTGCAGCTTTTAATTGTGGCTGATGGTCGCTTCGGGGAATGAGTCGCACAGAGTGTCTTGGCCTGCTGATTGAATGGTACATTGGTATATCAGACTGCTTGAATGGGAATTCACAGTCAAAGTTCTAGTCCATCAAGTCGAGTTCTAGTCCCTATGTCACTCCATCACAGATTGTCCGATCCGGACTTGGTAACGTCATGTGTTTACATCCTTGCCACTGGACGATCCGAGGCACCCGACCTCCTAGAGCTATTCAAAGGTCGAGATCTATTCTTGGACTCTAGTATTGGGACCCCCAATCCTCGATGATCGCATGTGGGCCATGAATCAGGACAAGCAGGTGGATCTACTGCAAGGGCAGCTTGCTCCGACCCCCTCTAGCTCCGAGACCGAGACAGGCGAAAGAAGGGTACCGATCAAGCTCCAGGAGACCGACCGAGTCGGACAATACCTGCTCACCACCGAAGATGCCAACCTGCTGAAAGAAGTGCTCTGGCACAATGCGTACTTGGAGAGATCGGGAATGCCGGAGAAACGTCGCTTTCGCTTTCGAGACTTGGAATTTACTCGGCAACTCAGCACCTTGGATCGCCAGAACCCCAAGTTCACGTCCTCACAGTTCCATGGCTTTTTCACGCTTTTCTGGTTGGGAGTGGCCTTGTTGTTGGTCAAGGTTGCGGCTAATAACTGGCGAATCTACGGGACCATCTGGGGCAAGACCGAGATCATTCGGCTGATGTTTCGTAAGGATGTGCTGGCCCTGGGGCTGACCGACTTGGCCCTTTGCTTGTCGACCGTATTCTGTCTTGAACTCCAGCGAGTCATCCGGCGCGGAACCTTGCGCTGGAGTGGCCTTGGCTGGGTGATCCAGAATGTATAGACCCCAGCACCGTTTCCCCGGCTTTTGCGACGCCTGAGCTAACACGCGATAGATCTGGCAAACTGCATACCTTGCGGGCTTTGTCTGGTGGACATATTATCGGGACTGGCCTTGGACACATACCGTGTTTATAGTCCTGCATTGCTTGACGATGTTGATGAAACAACATAGTTATTCATCTTATAATGGCTACTGTCAGTGACCACCCTCTTCAATTATCATCGCATCGCTAACGGAGACCCTGCCAGTATCCGAATTGTACATCAAGCGTGGTCTGTTGATGACAAGACTTTGGCAGCTAGAGAAACAACTCGACCACCATTCATCATCTACCGGGCATGCCTCTGCAGTCCACACCGACCTCGATTCTGAGCTCACCCGCCTGGAGCGGCAGGATGAGAACCAGCGCTCAGCGGCCATGAGAGACCTTGATGGGACTCACGACACCGACCACCTCCTGTCGATTGCTGAAACCATCGAGCATGGCACACCTCTCGAGTGCTCACAGATGAGATCACTCAAAGCGCTCTTGGAACGGGAAATTGAGCTGTTGTCAGAAGGGCTCCGGGGTCAATCCTCATCTTCCAACCATTACCCCTGCAATTTGACGCTGAGCAATTTCTGTGATTTCATTACCTTGCCCACACTAGTCTATGAACTTGAATATCCGCGGACAGAGAGAGTGAATTGGGCCTATGTTGCCGAGAAAACAGCTGCCACCTTCGGTACCATCGTGGTCATGATTGTCGTTTCGCAAAATTGGATATATCCGGTCGTGATGTCGACCGTGCGCATGAAAGAGGAGGGGCTCACTGTACAGCAGAGGCTCCAGGAGTTCCCCTGGGTCTTAAGTGACTTGCTGTTCCCCTTCATGATGGAGTACTTGCTAGCTTTTTATGTAATCTGGGAGTGCGTGGTGAGTTGCTCCCGATTCCTGGATGCTTACGACAGATGTCACTAACCGTTGAAACCTCAGCTCAATGCTCTGGCCGAGATTACCCGATTTGCAGACCGTGGCTTCTATGCAGACTGGTGGAACTCGGTCTCCTGGGACCAGTTTGCTCGCGATTGGAATCGTCCGGTGCACAGTTTCCTGCTGCGACACGTCTATCATAGCTCTATCAGCTCCTTCAAATTGTCCCGGGTTTCTGCCAGCCTGATGACGTTCTTTCTATCGGCGTGTGTTCATGAACTGATCATGCTGTGTATTTTCCGGCGACTGCGAGGCTATCTGCTCTTCCTCCAAATGTCGCAGCTGCCGCTCGTCTCGTTGAGTCGGACACGCCTTATGCGTGGCCGTCGACTTATAGGGAACATCTTCTTTTGGCTGGGCATCTTCACGGGGCCGAGTCTACTTTGTAGTTTGTATTTGATTATATGACATAGAATGGAAGATACTCGATGCTCATGTCTCGATCTTCTAGCTCTTCTGCAGATGAGGAGCCACTCAGCCAGCCGCAATCCTCGTACCTTGAGAACTTCGTCGCTTACCTTGGCTATGTTATCTTGGGAGCAGGAGCTGGGGACGGTCAATCACGTTTTGCCGAGACGGGGTGACCCCACGTTGATCTTATTGTTCTTCCGTGACTTCCCCACACCCGGCGATATCCTTTTCTTTTTCTCATCTCGAGTTCCCACGATGGCATCCAATCCACCGGCGGCTTGCTGCACTGTTGGTGTAAAGCATGAAGGCGAAGCTCAAGGCCAGTTCCAACAGGTTGGCGATGGTGTGGAATTGCCCCTGCTCCAACCCCGAAGTATGACGGCTAATCAGCACAGTGGAGGCATACATCTCGCTCCCGGCTGATCACTCCACTACACGCGCCATTCTGCTACTTACTGATGTGATCGGACACCGATTCATCAATGCCCAGCTGATTGCGGATCAACTGGCAGCAAATGGCTACTTCGTTGTCATGCCGGACCTGTTCCACGGTGATCCGGTACCGCTCAATCGCCCAGATGGGTTCGACTTGATGGCCTGGTTAAAAGGTCCGCCCGGACATCTGCCTGACCGTGTGGAGCCGGTGGTGCAAACTGTGTTCCAGGAAATGAAGGCTAGCCTGGGCTGTGAGCGAATCGGTGCAATTGGATATTGCTTTGGAGTAAGATCTTTCGTCTATATTACCACGTCCTTGACGGTCGGGAGTCCTGTTAATTCTGTGGCTTGTAGGCCAAGTACGCTGTCCGTATGCTCCAGCCCGGGGGTTGTGAAGTCGCCTATCTCGCCCACCCGAGCTTCGTGGAGACCGATGAGCTGGCAGCAATCAAGGGCCCTCTGTCTATTGCTGCAGCCGGTCAGTTTCTGCCCTCTTCAAAAGTCTCCATCGGTCACTAACAAAGACACCCGAAAACATAGAGACTGACTCCATCTTCCCTGCCTCGAAACGCTACGAGTCCGAGGACATTTTGGCCAAGACGGGCCAGCCGTATCAGATCAACCTCTTCAGTGGCGTGCAGCATGGGTTTGCCGTCCGAGCTGATGTCTCCAAGCCGATCAGTCGATTCGCCAAAGAGTCGGCCTTTTCCCAGGCGGTGGCATGGTTCAACCAGTACCTTTAGGCTACATCGGTCTCTACGGCAATCCTTCCAGCGTGTAATCTTGGAAATATTCGCATTTTGGGCTAGATACACTCCCTTCGTTTGCCATATCCAAAGTAGAATGCACATGCATCGAAACTACAGGAGGCACGAACTAACATATTCGCAAAAGGCTGCAGCCATAGCCCTGTGGACAGTACCAGTCGCTGCATGGTCAGTAAAATATCAGTAGAATCGCAGATATGTAAAAGCGTAGTCGAAGACATGGGTCATTGTCACATCTTCTCGTGCGTGGCCATGAGGGAGCCTGCAAGCATGGTGAGTGGAGGGACACGTGAAAGTTGACCAGGTGAACGTACCGATGAAGGTGGTGACCAGGCGAGAGCGCACTTGGCAGATATCCTCGGGTACCAGCCAGATAGTGGCACCCATCTTTCTGGCAATACTGATGCTCAGCTTGGCGTTGGCATATGCCTCCTCGTCTGAGCGGCCAGGGGTGACCAAATCGTAGTCTACGTAGCTGCTCTTCATGCCGTTGAGCACATCCAGGAGGAACAGGCCAGTTCCAATGGATGGGTCCTTGAAGCTCCGGATTGTAGAGGACTGACCGCCACTCTTGGACATGTCATTCGCCCATCGAATCATCTCCGCATCAGTGATCTCGCGCTTACCCAGTCGCTGAGCGAGAGCAGACAAGGTTCTGGTGATATCCCGGCGCATCAATTGCCACACCAAACCGAGGGTCAGGGTCCGCTGACCGTCCGTGATATCGGCACCCTGCACTCCAACCAGAGAAAATCCGTGGTGCTTTCCAAGCTCGATGGAATAATTTGTGTTTTCCACCGCCTTGAATCGCATCAGCTCGGCACCCGAAGCCGGACGTTTGTTGACGTGTCTCCAGTTGACGCTGCCCGGAATGACCTTATCGTAGGCCTGTAACAAAATGTTTCCATCACGCAGGTCGTCAAACAGCGAGTTGACCGCAGGCTGCACATCCAACGAGTTGAGCCAGAGAGTGAAGACTCTTGCCTCGCGCTCACCTTCGGCGTCAAAGTCCTCAACCTCGAGTTTCTCCTCTTCGGTGATAGGATCAAGTCCGGGGTGAGTATTGAACAAATTGGCAACAAAGGCAAGATTGAGCTTCGGGTTTCCAGCGACCAGGGAGGTAGGGGTCAAAAATTTGCGGCAGTCCAGCTTCTCTGCGTTGGTGAGAACCTCCTCTGCGCGCTGGAGCAAGTCTGTAGTCTGGAGAGGTCCACGGGAGCAGACATCAGGTGCCAGCTGGTTCAAAAGGACCGTGTAGTTTTCACCATCCTTCACATCCGTGGAGAAGTTGGTCACCCTGAGATGGAAATATTAGCCACGGAATTCCTGGGGCAAGGCCTATATAGTCACTGGAATGGAGCCGGGGAGGGGTTGTCGGAGGAATTTACCGTTTATCCCATTTCGCGTTTTTGAGGTGGTAGTTGAACCAACGTAGCAGAATTTGCTCCGGGGGCAAGCGCAGGAACTGCTCCAGAGTCTCGTCTTCTTCCAAGAGTCGATAAAGCTCGGGATGCAGCTTGATATCAATCTTGCCCAGCAGACCACGACGAATGATCTGCCAGATCAGGCCTAAGATGAGGTGCTCGCGAACCTCGATAATGTCACCACTTCCAATGTTGACGACGGAGCAGCCAATGCCCTTGGCCGAGTTAATGACGATGTTATTATTTTCGGTCATGTGGAAAGCATTCAACTGTTTAATCTTCTTCCCGGCTTTGTTGAGAACACGTTCATCGATAGTATCCGGCACACTATCGTTGATCAACTTGGCGAGGACCAGACCGTCCTTGCACTTGTCGAACATCTCGAACGTGTCGGTGGGGAAGGGCAAGAGGTTTCCAATGTCCGGATCGCCGGCCAGAACGGCATTGATATGTCTCGTGAATTCGGTTCGCTCATCTTCGTTAATCGTGTGCGTAACATTCGCGGATGATCCTTGGACGTGAATCTTGCCTCCAACGCTACCCTTGGATACATGCCGAGATCCGCCAGCGCCGGCTCCGGCTCCAGCCTGGGCTCCTTGGATCACAGCCGCGGGGCTGGAGCCACCCTGGGCACCGGGAGCAGGTCCTGACCGAAGTCGCGACACCAGCTGCCACGCATTAGCGTTAATCCAGATGGAGGTGTTGGAGGAGGGGGGGGGCGGGGCTGTGTCGAGAGATGACCACCTACATCGATATAGTCCTCGAGCTCGACACGCCGGGAGCTGTCGAGGTCCACACCCTTCAAAGTCTGCCGTACGACATCATACGGCTGTCGCTCTGACTGTTGAGTCGCTTTGATCACGGACGCTTCATCGAGGTAGCCACGATCATCCACATCAAGTTTCAGGAATGCATCCTGGAGAGCGAAAATCTCGCCCTGGTCCAGCTGCGGAAACCGCCTAACAGGGACGGAGAGCCATGGTCAGTTCGTGCCATTGAAGGATTGGCGAATAGGGGGGGAGGGAGCGTCTCCGTAGACCACTCACTTCTGCAGCTTGAGAGCGTTCATCTCGGGATGGAGGGGGCGGGGAATGGAGGCGCAGAATAGATCCGAGCCTTTGCAAGGGGAGATGAAGATCGGGGAGGAGGGGATAGGGACTTTCCCTTAGATACAACTGAAGAATTCGAGCAACCGCGGAATTGGGCGCAAGAGTGCTGGGCAGTGCACAGATGAAGAGGCAACCGCGTATACACAAGAGGTGGGGGGGCTCCACGAGCCACAGTGTATTGCGCCCCCGTAAAGGATCTGTTTTTTACCGTCCAGGTACGTCTCGGATACTTCTCCCAGCACGTGTGTGCGCAGGTCCACAAAGTACACAGTTGGTTCCGCCCAGGCAATTTCCGTTACGAGCCGCTTACAGGCACTGTCTTTGGATGACGTCGCCACAGTCAACATCGTGTCCCTCTTCGATCTTGGTCTACATACGAATACGGCAGCATGCTTCGCCTTGGTTCTTCTATCGCACTTCACTCATTCTTTGACCGTTCTGTTCGCCCATCTACATGACTTCCCCATACCCGGTCGCGTGACGATGTCGAACGTGTACCGGAGTTTGACACTCTTTCGTTCACCTGGCAACACTGGATCCTGGGAAGACGCGCAACCATTCTTGCACTGTCGAACTCGTACCCGTCGCTCTAGATCGTCAGTTAGACTAGGAAATTTGGATTATCTGAATGGATTTCAACCTTGTGGGGGCCGTAGCAAGACATTGCGTGGGTCAGGCGTGTGGGTATATATTGCCTTGCTGATTGGAGCAAATATCCAACAAAAGCAAACTCAGGAGCTCGGAAAAATGCGAATTTGATGAATGCTTGCTCTCACGCTGTGGTGAATGTACCGCCGTAGCATAAAGACATGTATATATAACTCGACCGGACCAGACACTTTGTTCTGTAGTATTCACCGTAAGTCGAAGCTCTAGAGCGGAAGCGGGATTACATCATGCGGGACCAAAGCAATGGCACTGGACGCTTGCAGTACACTTGGCTTTGGCCACGGCCTTTGCTATTCCTCTGCTCACCACGTCCTCAAAACGTTATCTAAAATCACTCTGACTCAATTAATCTTTGTTCGCTCGACCAGATTTAGGGCGTACCCCTCGTCCATGGCCGCTGCCGACCAGAAATCGTTCTTGGGGACATTGTCCCCATGGAGTACACCGAGAAGTTCGACCCCTCAGCCCGATCGTTCACTAGGATCCGATGTCTTGCACCGTTCTCAAGGAGAGGATCACACTGTGACCCACAGGCACAGGCTGAGCCAGCGACACTACCCTTTCCGACTGCCCTCTACTGAAAGTGAGATGGTTCTACGCCGTCGATTCGCCGAAACGAAAGCCTGTCTTGATCGATCAAAAAAAGCCGGACCAGAAGCCACCTCCACCGCCGAAGAAGTTTATTCCGTTCTCTATAAAGGATTCGCAGGCTATTGAAGCAACCTTCCAGAGATTATCGGACGTCGAAGACGCCCCGGGACATAGCCCAAGGCAGGAGTCAGCACAACAAGTGCCAACCAAGGTTCCCGTGAACGAAGACTATTTGTTTGATGTGGATATCGAACAGCGAGAGCTCGGCCCGGCTTTTTGGATAGGCCCTGTCTATGAAGTTCGTCGGGGAACCTGGTTTTTCCAGGACGGGTCTGGCTTGAGGCCATGCGAAGAGAACCTGGCGACTCAGCTGGAGGAAGGATATCTCAAGTTACGACCATGGAGGACAGGTTCGCCCGAGACTAGGCATTCCGAATTGTCTACATTTGACGAGCAAGATTATAAACACAACCTACAGGGATTACAAGATCCAGGCCCAGCCAAGTCGCATGCCCAGCCCCAGAGTGGGAATGGATCGGCTGCACCCCCAACGGAACCCCAGCAGTACCGACTCTTTGGGGCCTACATGAATAGAATCGTCGCTTACCAAGATACTTCCACAGCCTGGCTCACCACCGATGACTTTATGTCGCGGGTCAGTACCACTGTATATCAGAAACTAGGCGGCGTCCCCGGGACCAAAGTAGTTCGTGGGCTGGCTGAACCTAAGCGTCCAAAGGAGACCTCCGACTCGAAAGAGTCAGAACGAAAGCTCGCTGAGAAATTACCAAGCGTCATCGGCACTGAACCCCACGCAGAGACCAAGAGGCCGAACGAGTCACTTCCGGTGGATGCATCTGCAGCTGAAATCACGACTGGGTTAGAAAGTGCAGAGAAACGGCCAAAGTCGACATTAGAGCGCCAAATGTCTTCGCTTGCAGGAGAACTGCAAAATCCGGCTGAGCTGGAGGAGCAAGCCCGTAGACAGGAAGAGCAGGAGATGAAAGAATTGAGAGAAGACGACAATGAAGATCGAGAGCGAGAGGTTGATCATTTGATACTGGTGACTCATGGCATCGGTCAACGGCTTGGATTGCGATTGGAGAGTATCAACTTTATCCACGACGTGAACGTGCTGCGGAAGACACTGAAGGGAGTCTACAAGGCCTCTCCAGACCTCCAAGCCCTCAATTCCGCTTTCGCGGACAGTAATGGCAACTGTCGGGTCCAGGTACTCCCTGTGTAAGTGAAAAATTCGCCAACGGGCTGTTCGAGAGAAAGAACTGACACTCCCATATAGATGTTGGCGCCATCTTCTGGATTTTCCGTACCGTGGGGTTCGGCAAAACCGTAAAGAGCTTGATTTGACTGATGCTGATGCCCTTGAGGATGATGCGTATCCCAGTCTAGCGGATATCACACTAGAAAGTGTCCCTGCCGTACGAAATCTTATCTCTGACCTGGCGATGGACGTTCTTTTGTACCAGAGCGGCTATTGTGAACATATTTCCAATATTGTGAAGCAAGAGTGCAACCGAATTCTCCAACTCTACAAAACGCGCAATCCGTCTTTCCAGGGGACTGTTAGCCTCTGCGGCCATTCCCTCGGCAGCGCAATTTTATTTGACATTCTATGTCACCAGCCTACTGAACCCGACGCTGCAAAACAGGGAAGCCAGCCGGCGGCTCAGGAGAGCGACGACATTGCGGAACAGCGAAATCCCGGTCGAATTGCACTGAACTTCGAGTGTGAAGAATTTTTCTGCTTAGGGTCCCCCATTGCTCTCTTTCAAATGCTGAAAGGGAAGACTATCGCTGGATATTCTCCTCTCCGTACGAGAAATCCCAACAGCACTCTTGGGGTCGATATTGAATCTACCGTACTTGGTTCCCTAGGGGCTTCTAAAAGAGACTCACGTAACAGCGCCAGGGGTGAGCTAGATGACAACTCAGCCATCATATCAGCCCCAAAATGCCGCGACATTTACAACATATTTCATCCCTCGGACCCGGTAAGTTACCGACTGGAGCCTCTCATCTCTCCTGCAATGGCAAGCCTGAAGCCACAACCCTTGCCTTCAGTCAAGAGAAGCCTGTGGGCGGCTTCAGGACAGAGCCTTTCCATCCTCGGTACTCGCATGGGCCAGAGTGTGGGTTCTTTGTGGACTAATTTTACATCCGGTGTGGCGAGCAGTTTGCTCAACCGCAGCTTGGGCTTGAATGCCGAAGATGTCCCATCAGTCCCTGGCTCCGGGGGGGAGATCAACAGATGCATCCCATGGGCATAGTCGCGCTCAGTCCGGCTCACCTCAAGATTCACATCGGGACTCCGAGGACCAATTACCTATCCTCATTGACTCCGATATCGAGACACTTTACGATGGGTTCCAAAGGAGCAGAAATGTCCACAGGAAAGATCGTGCTCGGTCCTCGGAGGCTGAGCCCGACATGGAAGCCGAAGACCAGGAGCGGAAATTGAAATTTGAAGACGCCAAGGTGCGTTCCCTCAATTCCAACGGTCGTGTTGACTACAGCATACAGGAGTAAGTAATTTTTAGACCTCTCGATATTTGTCAATCACTGATGCAGTGGAAATCGCAGAGGAGCCTTCGATATCTCGCTGATAGCCAGTATCGCCAGTCACCTTACCTACTGGGGGGACGAAGACGTCAATCATTTCATGCTGTCTCAGATGCTCTCGAGGAAGTCAAGGCATCGAAGTAAGCGAAAGCCTAGAAGCCCCGAATAGACAGTATTGATTGCTGGAGAACTAAGCCCCAAGAGAAAAGGACAAGATTTTCTCTGCGGAGGTTGATAGAGTCTGAGTAGGCGACTAGACAGTCCATTAATTGTTGCCCTTAGGCAAGATTACCGAGATATCCCTAGACCTGGTCATTCATTCAGTATTTTTTGGAACCTCTTTTAATCTTTACCTCCGGAAAATCTGGGCTTGAAGCTTCCCGTGGCTCGGCTGTAGTCAGCGGCGGTCTTTGCCTCTTGCGGACTAGCTCTCGGCTATGAAAACGACCACTTTTCCCTTCCCGCAAAAAACCTCTCTTTTCCCTTGCTTCCCACTTCGGTTCTCCAATCTTCTCCCTTTCAAAATGAATGATGAACTCCGACAGGTGTTGAACGTGTGGGAACGCACTCGCCCCAACAGCCCTATCTATGAGTTTCTTCTGAGTGAGGTAGAGATTTATGATGCCGAAAAGGGCGTCGTCCGGGCTCGACTACGAGTAGGCCCTCGTCAACTCAACTCAAAGGGCAGCTTACACGGTGCTTTTTCTGCTTCCGTGACGGATTGGGCTGGAGGAATGGCCATTGCCTCTTACGGATTGGACTCCACGGGTGTTAGCACGGATATTCACGTCAACTTCCTGTCTGGGGCCAAAGATGGCGACTGGATCGAGATCGAAGGTCGGGCCAACAAGGTCGGCAAGTCACTCGCATTTACCACGGTGACGATCTCTAAAAGGACAGACTCTGGGTTGACCCTTGTCGCCCAGGGATCTCACACCAAATACGTACGGACACGATGAGTACGGCCCTCGATGTGATGTTCGCGAGGTTCCTGCAGCATTGAATCCGTGCAAGTAGACATAGACCACGATCCCGCAATCTTCTTTGCATCTGGCATGACTTGCATTCTTCTTTGAATGACCGGATTCACTCGGATAGCGGAGAGCAACTCCATTCTGTTTAGCTTTAGATGCCTGGCGGCCCTATGGCAGCGGGGCAATTATGAATGGCTACATACGTACAGTTTTTCTTATCAATACTATTTCACATCGGATTCTTTGAACATGTCAACCCACATAGAGACGATCCAAGTCAGGAAGTTGGTTCACATACTCCGCCAAAATCATGTGAAGAGCTCTATGCGGAAAAGTTCCCGCACTGACCACCTCCATTCGACGAGCTCCTGGCCTCTCCTCCTCTTTGAATTAAGTCATGGATCTGAAAACTACCACCTTGATCTTCCCTAATGAGCTCTTGTAATGGATACATCCAGAGACGACGTGGACGCGCTCACCGAGGCCAAGATCGCGCCTTTGTGCTGGACGACCCCTTCGGATCAAATGCGAGCCGATTCGATGACCGAACAACGTCTCTCGACAGCGGGACTACTGCAAGAAGCGATAGAATTTGCCCTCGATTTCCTCTCGACCTCGAGCAACGAAAAGCTAGCGGTCGTGTTCGCCCTCCTCACCATCGTGACCTACATCGTACTCGGACGAGTCGGCCTTCTGTTGATCGGTGTTGCCCTTGGAATCATGTTACATGCTTCGTGGGAAGGGGCCCACAGCCATGGGAAAGAAGGGTCACATATGCCCAGAAAAAGAAAAGAATTGGCCCTCGAGATTTGCAAAAGGCTCTTAGATTGGCCCAGCCGCGTCAGTTCCGCCGAGCTTGAGACTCAGAACAGGGACAATAGCAACCCTGTCACCTCACCGGAAGACTTGTCTGCCGTGGACCTCGACTTTAAGACCTTCCGGCCAGCAACTGCAGCGGCGTTGAGGTTGCTCATAGACGCTGTCATTAGGGACTACGTAAAGTAAATACACACTCATCCCCTTCTCTACATGTCCGGACCCAGCTGACGAAAGTCTCAAGGTATTGGTACGAGCCAATTTTACCCAAGGAATCGGTTTTTCCAGGTTCCTGTCGGAGGACTCTAACCTATTTCATGACCACTGTCTCATCTCATCTTTCGCGGAAACGAACAGAGGATACCTTCTTGCAGTTCCTCACCAATTCTTCATCCATTATCATTGTGTTTTTGAATGAACTCGCTGCTGCATTTGCCGCTGGATCTCCCGCCGCTGAAGCCCAGGAAATTGTTGATCAATACCTCAAGAATGCCCCGGACAGCAGCCTCGCGAACGTTTTGTCAGAGGAACAGCAACGCAAAAAGCTCAATATGATCGCAGATGATATCTTGTCCAGCTTCCTCGATGCAAAAGCCTATGGCTGTTCCCCTGTGAGGGATTTCCTCCGCGAGATCTTCTCGGGAGTCATCTTGGAGTCGACTGTGATGAGCCTTTCGCGCCCCGAATTCATCAATGAGTGGATCATCTATCTCCTACAGGATGGCGAATCTGAAATCATGCACGCAATCGATGCTGGCGTCGAGGGGGCACGTAAACAGGGCGTTTCTACCCCAAAGGTCTCAGAGGAGACGAAGAGTGGGCTACCAGGCCCGAAAAATGACGCAATCGCTTTTCAGAATATCGATCAACAATCCAACCATACTGATAAGGCAACGGAAGAGGCCATCCTAGAAGCAAAACGGCTGAGCGCTATGATTGCATCTCAAGACGTACAGGGATCTTGTCAACAATTCGCCGAAATTTCTCAATCCATAGAGGCGCGTCAATTGACTGATGAGACAAAGAAATCATCGACGCAGCCTACGAAATCCACCCAACAACCGGAAATCTCAGCCCCGGCGGGCATGATGGAGAATCAACTGCTAACCACCGACTCGAAAAGCCCATCATCAAGTCCTACGTCAGAAGACGCAACCCCCTCTTTGGCCCTTCACGGTGCTTTAGTCATGGTGGATGACGATGGTGCCCAGAGTGAGAAAGGAATCATAAAATCACGACCTACGTGGGATTATCTCTTGCAGGTCGAACCACCGTCTACTCGCTCCACCGGATGGATGCTATTTCGAAAGTACTCGGACTTCCAATCTCTCCATGAAATGCTAGTGACGGTGTCACGTTTGAACCAAATAACGAGCTTCTCTGGACGATTTCCAACCTTGCCCGCCTGGAAAGGCCAAACCCGAAAGGCGCTTGCGCGAGACCTGGAGCAATATCTACAGCATGCCTTGAAGCATGAACTCCTTGCGGAAACAGACCGAATGCGGCGATTTTTAGAAAAGGACGCGGGAACCAGTGAGGTCCCCTCTGTCAAACCGGGATTTTCTTTCCCGAGCCAGAGTGCATTCGAAAACATGGGCAAAGGGGTCTTAGGAGCACTCACCAATGCCCCTAAAGGTGTGGCCGGAGGTAGCAGGGCGGTCTTCGACGGTGTGACCGGGGTCTTTGGAGGTGTTGGACATAGCAGAAAGCCAACAAATAGCGACCGGCTGTCCCATCATCAGAAAACGCTGTCACAATCAGAGCGGGAACTTCCAAGCAACTCTAGCTCCACGGGCGACTCGAGTCGCATCGATTCTTCTCCAGCGGAACATAGGCTGGAAGATCACTCGACCTCGTCTCGGACTAGCGAAGAAGAGCGCTCGGCCCGGGTCTCGCCGCCAACGATTTCCTCACTAGGCATGACAACGGAGGCAAGTCCGAAGGCACCACCTGTGAGTGGTTCTGGCAATAGTATGAATCAAGTTGTGAGTGAGCAGGATGCATGGACCTCGGGGTCGACACCAGTGCAGCCTGAGAACCGGAAATCGTTTGAGTCGATCGGCCACGTTGAAGCAGTTGAGGTCAAAGATGACTCGGCCTTGGCATTATTGAAGCCAGCGGACGAGACCAAGTTGACAGGGGAAACGGGCTCTGGCTCACAAGGCGTGCGCCGACAACGGCAACCTATCACCGCGGATGAGACTCAAATCGCAGTCGAGCTGATTTTTGCCGTGATCAACGAACTCTATACTCTTTCATCTGCATGGATTATTCGTCGGACCTTACTGAATGCCGCCAAAACGTACATTCTTCGTCCTGGAAGTCCCACTCTCGAGACAATCCGGGAGTTGCTGCAAAATTCCATGATCGAAAGCCACACCTCGGATGATGCCGTTGGAGAATATCTAAAAAAGCTGCGAGAGAATGCTCTGCCGACAGATGATGAGTTAAGGGCCTGGCCTCCCGCGCCAAGCGAACAGGAAAAGGCGCAGCTGCGCGATAAAGCACGTCGGCTGTTCGTTCAGAGAGGAATTCCCCAGGCACTGACAAGTGTCATGGGTGCAGCGGCCAGCCGGGAGGCGCTTGAGAAGATCTTTGACAGCCTACAGGTGCAAAAGGTTGCACGAGGGTTTATATTCTCCGTGCTTCTTCAGGGTTTACGGGTTTTGACACTGTGATCATTCGAAAACGAACATGTCGCTTTGAGTTGTTTGCGATGAAATGTGAGAACCCAATGACGTAGTAGATAAGACCTCTATAATCACCACGTGACACAACGCGTCTCTCTCCGCGTATCGCGTCTTCCTCACCTGTTGATCTACTCTACCAGCCGAGAAATTCCTCAATCCGGTATGACATCCCGAAAACGCTCTTCGGAATCTCAGGGGCTTGGTGAAGATGTTGGCGTGCATTTGAAGAGATCCAAGGTCGGCACCGGCGAGATGACGAGCAAAGTGGATACCAATGGAGATCGTTACTGGGAAATTTCCAAAATGCGCCGGGTGACCATTTCATCTTTCCGCGGCAAGAAGATGGTCAATGTGCGGGAATATTATGAAAAGGACGGCCAGGAACTTCCCGGCAAAAAGGTAAGCGGGAATCTGTTCGCTCACCCAAGTTTTGGCGTGATTGTAATTGCCATGGCACTCTACTAATTCGACATCTCCTCTCAGGGAATATCCATGCCGATAGATCAGTTCTCTGCTTTGATCAAGCTCCTCCCGGACATCGAACAGGCTCTGAATCAACAGGGCGAGTCTTTGTCTCGGCCAATATACTACGATAGCGCAGACCAGCCGGGTGACGATAACGACGAGCCGGGAAGGAGTGCCAGTCCGTCGAAACAGAATATTGAGGCCACGAGTGACGAGGAGAGTGAAGCCTGACTTTGATGTATTTGGCAACTGGCGGAGCGGAATGCTTCTGTATAGCATGTCACAGCCTCAGTACCCGTTCTGAGGCTACTGTCCACACCACAATTTTGTTCTTGAGCGTGATCTGAACTAGCCCTAGTAACATTAGTTCTTATTCACAATTCCATATGTTACTTCTTATTCACAATTCCATAAAAAGCTGGGCCAAATTTTGATAGTAACGATAAAGCTGGCCTTGCTTGCGGTCAAGGCTGTTGGTTTGGATACATTTGAAGAGCAGCCCAACCGGATCATTCGCGAAGGTTAGCAGAGGATGTCTCCAACGATCATCCCTTGAAGAACATAGAGAAGGGTTGAGAAGGAGTATCAGAATCAAGTGGTGGCGATGGCGCGCTCATAATGTCGCCTTGGTCCAGCTGTAGGATAGCTGCCGATCTACATGCTTGCTTCTTGAGTCGCTGCGTGGGTGGCAATAGAGCCACCACGCCAACTATGACAAGCATCCTGCTCGCGCGAAAACTGTGGGTGATCCCCAACTCGCCCCCATCCCCCGCCACCAGGGGTTCGAATGATGATCCTCTCACCCGATCTCATCTGGGCAGAATTTTTCCCCCCCTAGACTGATACATCTTTCCACCCAGACCCCGTGGGCATCCTGCGTGCGGCGGACCCAAAGGTTCTGGCCGCATTGAGCGTCCTCGCCTCCATGCAAGCCATAGGGATGATAAATACGACGTTCGGAAAGAATTGAAACCTGCACTGGAATGCGGAATTCTATATCCCGGACAACCCCGTCTCCACCGCGGTGCTGTCCAGCACCGCCGGAGTTAGTTCGAATGCTGAACTCCCGGAGCAAGACCGGGTATCGTCTCTCAAACACCTCGGCGTCGGTGATACGGGTGTTAGTCATGTGGGTGTGCACCCCGAGGTGCCTTCCCAGTCCGGTCCTGCACCGCTTCCGCCGGCGATCGTCTCGTAGTATCCAAAGCCTTTCTTCTCAGCCTCACCTTGCATGTTACCACCAAACCCGAATGTCAAATTGTTCGTATCGCCCTGGGAGGCAGCGCAGACCTGGAAGCATTTCAAAATCACATCGGTAAGGCGTTGGCTCTGCCAATTTGGGGAGTCAAGATCAGTGATCTAGATGAGGGGAACGGTCGAAGGAGATTATCTCACCGTCAAAACATTGCCTCCAACCACCGCTGCGGATTCGGAAGGAGAAAGAAGACTTCCAGAGGGGATTTTGACCTTGATGGGCTTCAGGCAACCTTGGTTCAGCGGGATATCTGCAGAGATGAGACACCGTAGACAATATATGATCGCAGAGTACGTGACAGCCTCGGGAGCATTGATGTTGCCTAGATTTCACCGTTAGCATAGATCCGACCCCCGTCTGGAACCCAACCGTAGACCTCCGGACCCGTCCCGTCAAAGTCGAAGACTGCCTCACCCTTCTCGGCGTCAATGGAAATCTTCAGTTGGATGGGGGTCCCATTATCCATATAGTCCACGGCGGTCAAGTTACTCGCAAACTTTGCGCTGACCTCTTTCAGCAAACTACGCACACTGAGCTCGGCATTATTTTGAATTTGCCGCATGTAGAACACAACCACCTGCTCACCGTATTCCTCGATCAAGGTGCTAATTAACTTGATACCTTTCTTATTGGCGGCAATCTGTGCTTTGAGATCGTTCAGATTATCAGCGAGACAGCGACTTCCACTGCAATCGGGATATTGGGCCGGCTCGGTGTAGAGCAGCTCCGTGATACGTTGCTCGTTGAATTTGCCTTCCGATACCAGTTTCTCGCTCTTGATCGCGGCCCCCTCCTGGTAGAGCTCCTTTGAATGAGGTGGCATGGAGCCGGGCAAAATACCGCCAATATCGGCTGGGGAATCGTCAGAGCAAATGGCTATCTCCAAAACCGAGTAACCTACCATGATGTGCCCGAGAGGCCACATAAAATATGATGTTTCCCTTGCTGAAGGCAGGCTCAAGGACTGTGATGTCGGGCAAATGAGTACCTCCAAATTCGGGGTGATTGGAGACAATTACATCGCCAGGCTGCAATTTGCCTTGCCAGATCTGGGCCTGCATTCGGACACACGTCGACATACTGCCCAAGTGGACTGGCAAATGAGGGGCATTGGCGACAAGTCCACCTTGCGCATCGAAAAGTGCACACGAGTAGTCAAGACGCTCCTTGACATTGGTGCTTACACTGGTTTTCTGGAGTGCACGCCCCATCTGTTCGGCAATGGCCATAAATCGATGGGCAAAAACACTCAAGAGAATAGGGTCTACCACGTCCATGCTGATTCGAGGAATTTTGGCATCCGAATCGCCGACCTCGATCGCGACATGAGTCTTCGTGAGAAGTGCCGAGGCCCCCGGAGTTATCACAATGGTTTGGGTGGCATCGGCAATAACGGCTGGTCCCTTCACTCGATCGTTAACCTGCAGATCATCGAGTTTGTAGATAGGTGTGTTCTGCCGGCCTCCTTCAAAGTACACCTGAGCAATTCGATACTCGCGACCTATGACATCCCTGGGTTTCGACTCTTGCAGCTGTTGGTCAATGGTCTTCTCGAATGGCTTGAAGCTCTTTCCGATCCCCCTGACGCGCACATCATCCACAATGATGTCGCGGTCTGGAAGAGTAAAGCCGAACTCCTGCTCATGCTGTCGAATGAACGCTTTGCCAAAGGCCCATTCGTCCCCTTCAAAGGAGCGATCAGCTTCTTCCTTGCTGGGCTTCAGAATCATGAGAGCAGATTCCGTGCCGCGGTATCGCATGTTCAAGTACTCTTCGAAGAGGATCGATTCATCGTCGAAGTCTTGCTCATGCAATCGTCTCGTCGATTTTTGCTTCAGTTGATCCATCTTCTTTGCAAGCTCCTGTCGCACTTCTTGACCGTCGGCCCATGTCTTTGATTCTGGCTCCTGATTTTCATCAACCACGTCGGCCAGAGCCATTCCATATGCAGAAAGCACCGATGAATATCGATGAATCAGAATTTGTCGAATACCCAGATTCTCTGCGATGGCTACGGCATGCTGCCCACCTGCACCTCCAAAAGTAGCCAGCCTATGCTTTGAAGTGTCATGGCCCTTTGCTTCGGTTAAAGACCGAATTGGTCGAGTCATTGTCTCGTTGGCGACCTTGATGAAGCCGAAAGCCACCTCATTTGGGGTCATCTGCTTATTTTGTCCACCTTTAGCTAGATCTTCATTGACCTCATGTGTCAATTGCTCGAATAGCCTTCGGCTCACCCGTTCATCCAATCCCTGATCCTCATTCGGACCGAAGATATGAGGAAAGAAATCGGGAATCAGTCTACCGAGAAAGAGATTAGCGTCTGTCACGGTGAGAGGGCCACTTTTTCGATAGCACGCAGGTCCGGGGTGTGCACCAGCGGAGTCTGGACCCACAACGAAAAGGCCATTGCGGTAGAAGAGTTGGGAACCACCGCCAGCTGCTACGGTGTTGATATCTAGCTGCGGTGACTGGATCGTGACTCCGGCCGTGGTGGTCTCGAAAACATGTTCGTAACGGCCGGAGCCGTACCTGCTGACATCTGTGCTTGTTCCACCCATGTCAAATCCAATAACGGGAATTTTGAACACCGGGTCGTATGAAGTCAGGGCATAGCCAACTACCCCGCCAGCAGGGCCGGACAGGATTGCTCGCAGGCCCGAGAATGAGTCTACGTCAACCAGGCCTCCATCCGATTGCATGAATTCACAGCGGGCGCCCCGGGCACCTTCCTGTTGCTTGACACTCGCGCTTCCAAGACCGCCCTTGAACCCTGCTTGGAAGACAGAGATGTATTTCTTGATCGTGGGGGTCAAATATGCATCAGCACAGGCCGAAGTTGCTCGAGGTACAAGCTTAATCATTGGCGTTAGCTGGTGACTTAGGCTGATGTGGTGGAAGCCGATTTCAGTTGCAACTCGTCCAATCAACGTCTCGTGGTCTGGAAAGGTATAGCTGTGCATGAGGCATACGGCGATGCTTCGAATCCCCCTTTGGAAGACTTCCTGTAGCTGCGATCTCACCAGACTCTCGGATGGCCGTTTCAAAATACGTACCGCCTCGGAAGAAAGACCTCGGACAATCTCAGCATCAGGGGTCTGCGCATCCATGACCTTCGTAAGATGACGTTGCGGATCCTCCGCATAATCCTCCAACGTAACTCGTTCATCCACCTCTACTACTTCCTCATACAGTACGTCGGGACGCTTGATGGCCAGATCGAAGATTCGGGGTCGCGATTGATTCCCAATTTGAAGGCAGTCACGGAAGCCCTTGCTGACCACGAGCACAGTCTTTTCTCCTTTATGCTCAAGCAGGGCGTTTGTGGCAACCGTAGTGCCCATGCGAATGCTCTGGATCAATGATGTATCGATAGTGTCCCCCCTAGGAATCTCGCGTCCTGTGAATCTTGAGAGGATTCTCCGGATGCCTTCAAGAGGGGCATCATCGTAGTGAGAAGGGTCTTCAGAAAGCAGCTTGATCACAATGTCTTCTTCTAGTCGGCCGCTTCCGGGATTTCCTACACAATCGGTGAAGGTGCCGCCCCTCTAGAGTTACCTGTCAGCGCAACAAAACGATTGGATAGGGCAATGGATTTTTTTCTCCTACATCGATGGCAATTCTGATTCCCCTCTCATCAGATGGCCCCATCGTGCTTTGGTGGCCTTTCCGAGTATGAACAAAGGGAATGGGCCGATAGAACGGGCGTCAGTTCCCCCGCAGGGTTTCTCTACGTCACCTGGGCCGAGAGAGAACATTGTTGAAATATGGATAAAACTAAACATATTCGAATCAAAACATACGCTAAGGCGTCCGAAAATTGAGGGCGGTGCCTGTGTTAGCCTACGAACATCCCATAGTCAAATGTCCGTCGCATCGTCAATGCTAATTAATACCTCTGGGCCGGCTTATCAACCTTCGGCCCTTGACGCTGTGGCGCTCCAATGTCGGCAGATGATCCAAGGGGCATACGACTCTACGAAATCATTCGATAAAGGACTCAGAATCCTCGGATTTCCGACCGGTCGTACAGGGCGAAGGTGAGGATGGAGGGTGGAGGTGCAGGGTGCACGATGCAGGGCATGGGAAAGTGGAATCGCTTTCATATTAAATTTGCGAATAAGACGGTAGGCGAGCGGTATTCACGGTGGAAACGCAAGGACGAAAGGAGACGATAGACGGGCGAGGACTAAAAGAAAGAGGATCGCTCGACGTTCGTTTCGGTGGTATCCGAGCTGCTGACCATGATAAATACCAACAGATAAGAAAGATTTGTCAAACAGGGGAGTTAACAGAGTCACTCAAGCACCAGCTAGAAGCAGCTGGGACATCAAGCCTCGAAAGCTGGAAATAAATGAAGCGCATGAGGGAAATCCACTATTTGTACGTGGGCTTGTGAAGCAGGAAAGGCTCGGAGTGGGCGCCAATTTGAAGAGCCTCGGACAATGTGCCTCATGGGGCAAGCGGATCGATCGACGAGGGTTCCCGGAATGGAAAAGGACACAGCTCGACTGGACGTGGCATTGAGTTGATCTACTCAGCAGTATCAAGCTCGTCATGAGCAGAGGGAACGGGATCCAGAGGTACTGTTCGCTGTGAGTACGACTTCTCGTCAGGTAACCGGATCATTGACACACCTTTCCTGTCTTCGCCATTGGGAACATTCTCTCCGTCATCCCGGCGCTCTCGGTCATCCTCACGTCTTTCACGGTCGTCATCGCGTCTCTCCCGGTCGTCCTTGACATCACGATCACGGTCGTCGGGGTGCGGGAGCGCTCACGGGAGCGTTCGCGATCACGGTCTCTGCGGTCATGGTCCCGGTCACGGATTCGATCATAATCACGGTCCCGACGATCGTAGTCTCGATCTTCGCGACGTTCGTAGTCTCTTTCGTATCGGTCCTCACGCCGGGAGAGTAGTCACGAGGGCGACGCGGTGAGACAGAGCGACCGCGGCGGGGTGAGCGACGACGTTCACGGCCAGACTCCCTACCAGAGTCACGGCCGGATTCACGACCGGATTCAAATCTCCATGATGCAGAAGGCGGAGTGCGAGCCCACTTGGAACGAGAATGAGATTGATTCTCTTTGAGAACGAATTTCATGAGAACATACCTCGATTTTCAGGAGGTCGTCACGCCCAATGCGCTTGTTGTGCATCTCGTGGTAGGCGTCGTCCGCGTCACGGCGGCTTTCGTATTCGACAAACGCGAAGCTAGAAGATGGTTAGAAATGGAAGCCGGAGATGTCGTGAAGGAGGTCATACAGGCGGCTCGATTGAGTACGCGGCGCTGGGATATCACAACGGACCAAGCGGCCGTAGCTGTTCAGAGTATTAGTAAGGGCGTGGTCGATCATGGAGATGATTGAGGTTGTAATGACATGTATCAGTGTAATGACCAATGACAGGTATTTTGTCTCTTGGCCCAAGGCGTTTGCGGTCAAGAGTAACGATAATCCATCACCAGCACAGACCCAATTGAATGATTGACAGAAGGGATCTCATCGTCGGTGCTCGGAGGAATGGAGGGGAGGGGGAAGGATCGAGAACCGTGGATTTAGTAGGGCGGATGTGAAGGCGGCACGTACCGTTCGAATTCGTAGGCAAGGTCGCGAGCACGGGTGCCATGGCCGAAACCAGTGACATAGAGGGTGGTACCCGATCGAGACATGGCGGAGTTGCAATCTATAATGGAGGTGAGGTTGAAAAAGTATAAGAAACAGTTCGCTACAAGCGGGCAAGAGAAGGAAGAAGAGAACGAAGGGGGAAAGAGGTGAGGAAGTGGTTACGGTGGAGTAGAAAGACCATAGACGCCAATGATGAAAGCGACGAGCTCACATCATCACGCCGTATGCGGTGTGTGACCAGATCAAGAGCCAGGCGGGTAAAGAAGAGGGCTGATGTATGCCTGATCTGAACCCAATGTATTCCATATTCAGAGTCAAAAATACTCTTGTGATCATATCATCGGAGGGCACTGTCCCCCTCGGGAGGTACCGCGTAGATGCTTGTCGGCAGTCGGGATAGTGATTTCCATCTCTCTTACCCACTGCATCTCAACACTCTCCTGTGACTTCTTTTTGAGTTCGCTGTTACTCATTGGTGTGTTTTTCTTCCCTTGCTGATTTCAATTCTTGCAAGTGTCCTCGAGAAAGGTTCGACAAGTTTGTTCGCCAACTGGATATTGTCCCCCCTTCGTCCTTCCCTTCCGAACCAGGCCTTGTCGATCCGACCTTGTGGAGACGTCAACATCTACACCAAAACGGCTGAGACTGTGATACCAATTATGGATCTGTAGAAGGCCCGCAAAAGACAACATACAATTTCATGGCCGGCGCGTTGCACCCGTTGATTCTCCGTCCTATCGTCATCTCGTCGCGTCGCTGATCCCATCTGTCTGCCCACTCATTCAACTTTGGTCCTTCCCTCTTGAGATAAGCCGCCCCTTCCACAGGGAGACGTGTGAAGTGTATCGTCGCCGGTTCATATCATATCCTATACTCAAGCAGACTCGGATGCGCCTACCGTCACAATGAGTCTCGATCGCCAAGATGGGTCTCAGAAGAGTGAGCTGGAAAGTACTACGAAACCGCCATTGCAGGGTCTACAGCTGCCCTCCACTTCCAGCCTGGTCGAGGTCAGTGAAATAGAAGGCTCCTGTCAAGTCTGATCGCTGACCCTTCAAATTCAGGACTCCGTCCGCGAACCGCCGTCATTACTGCACCGGACGAGGAACAAGCTAGCTGAACCCGTCGTGGCCGCATTCATGGCTGGTGGAGTAGCAGGGGCTGTTTCTAGGACTATTGTGTCACCCCTGGAACGGTTAAAAATCCTGCTTCAGATTCAAAGTGTCGGTCGAGAAGCATACAAGTCGTCGATCTGGAAAGCCCTCGTAAAAATGGGACGTGAGGAAGGCTGGCGAGGTTTCATGCGGGGTAACGGCACCAACTGTATTCGCATCATACCCTACTCCGCTGTACAGTTTGGAAGTTATAACTTCTACAAGAAAGTAAGTGGTTCTTACCTCTTCTGTCCTCAGAAGTTGAGGCTCGGCGCTGATTAGTCTGGGTGCAAGTTTGCCGAATCACCTGAAGGTGAAATGACTCCCGTAAGCCGCCTGATTTGCGGTGGGATCGCAGGAATTACATCGGTTACTGTCACGTATCCGTTGGACATTGTTCGCACGCGACTTTCGATTCAGTCTGCTTCGTTTGCCGAGCTCGGGCAGCGAGACCACAATCAAAAATTGCCTGGAATGTTCTCAACAATGGTCAGGATATACAAGACGGAGGGCGGCATGATTGCCCTCTATCGCGGAATTGTTCCCACCGTCGCCGGGGTTGCTCCATACGTGAGTCTTGAGTTTCCGTGTCCAATTGGTATACCAGAGCTAACAGAACGTGCAGGTCGGTCTGAATTTTATGACTTACGAGTCGGTGCGCAAGTATTTTACCCCGGATGGAGAGAAGAGCCCTCAGTCCAACCCGAAGATTGTTGGCAGGTGCGATCTCCGGCGCTGTGGCTCAAACTTGCACATATCCCTTGTGAGCTTGCCTCACTGTCCGTTTCAGGCTCCTACGTAAGGCTGACATTTTCCTAGTGATGTGCTGCGGCGGCGCTTCCAAATCAACACCATGTCCGGGATGGGATACAAATATGCCTCAATCTGGGACGCTGTGCGAGTGATTGTGGCCGAGGAAGGTCTGCGAGGGCTTTTTAAAGGAATTGGACCCAATCTCCTCAAGGTTGCTCCCAGTATGGCCAGCAGCTGGTTCAGCTTCGAGATGACACGGGATTTCCTCGTGAGCATGGGGGATAGAGATTAGTTTACAATATATCTAGACTTTTGCCCTCAGATTTTTACGCTTTTTGTTCAAATATTTGTATATATTCAAGAGAATGGGAAAGTCTCATGAACTGAAATGCGATGTTAGAGTAGACGGTTGCATTCCGCGATCATGCAGAGTCCAATCTCCTACCGTTCGCCGCTTCGCCTCCACATTTGCCACCCCGTGATGGGCCTAACGTGGATTATGTAATATGCTACAAATATCATGTGACTGTTATACCCGATTGGGATTAGTGTAGGGCTCAACCCACACACACCCGCGCAGCCGAAAGTCCTAGACCAAAAACCTCCTACACTTTCGCGACAGCAAGCTAACTCCCAGGTGTTCAATCCATATCAGCAGCCATGGGTATGTTCATCCCTACAGATCTCATGCTCTTCGTCAGATCATACAGACCTCGATTTCTGTCCCCGTCTTACATTCCTCAATGCTGACCACGTCGAATTTTCAGGTATCGACTTGGACCGTCACCATGTGCGCAGCACACACCGCAAGGCTGCTAAGAGCGACAACGTCTACTTGCAGGTGCTTGTGAAGCTTTACCGCTTCTTGGCTCGTATGAAACCCTTTCCCCTCGATCACCGTTTGCAATGTCATAAAATTTGGAGGCGAATCTATCCGGAGGCGAAGGGAAAAAAAGAAGCTGATTAGGGATTTTCGATAGGCCGCACGGAGTCCAACTTCAACAAGGCTGTTCTCCGCCGCCTCTTCATGTCGCGCATCAACCGCCCCCCGGTTTCGATCTCGCGCATCGCTTCCAACATCAACGAGGCGCACAAGGGCAAGACCGTCGTTGTCATTGGTACCGTCACCGATGACAACCGCCTTCTGGTCGTCCCCAAGCTCTCCGTCGCCGCTCTGCGTGTTACCGCCACTGCTCGCGCTCGTATTGAGAAGGCTGGTGGTGAGATTCTCACCATGGATCAGCTTGCTCTCCGTGCCCCCACCGGTGCCAACACTCTGCTTCTCCGTGGTCCTAAGAACGCCCGTGAGGCTGTGAAGCACTTCGGCTTCGGCCCTCACTCTCACAAGGTATGTTCACTGGCTTGGACGACAGATTAATCAAATTTGACCGGAACATGCTGACGTTCATGCCACGTAATAGAAGCCCTACGTCGCCAGCAAGGGCCGGAAGTTCGAGCGTGCTCGTGGTCGCAGACGCTCCAAGGGTTTCAAGGTCTAGATGACCTTGTGAGGAAAGTGGTACAGGCGTCACAAATGCGTCGTGGGCCCTTCGCTTGAATTTGTCCGGATGTCTAATTCGCCGAGTCTGGCCAGAGCAGTTGATTTGATGTACCTAAAGTGACAGTATGTCTTTGGTTGGGCTGGGTGATTCAGATTTTATGAATGAAGGGAGGCGCGCAAAAGAAAAATGCATCCGGGCTTAGTCCTCATCTTTTCTTACGACTGCGAAATGTTTCAAAAGAAAATACTCTTGTTTGGATTCTAGACTCATTTCTGTTTTCCCTTTTGCCATCCCATCGGCCTGGCCGCTACTCGGCAATAGACAGGCTGGTATGAAGGTATTGTCTTCCCCCTGGACCGTCATGGTAATCTCCTGCACTGTGGCCATTCCCTCGGATCAAGTATTTGTAGATCGTCAAGCCCTCCAGTCCAACTGGACCCCGGGAATGGATTTTGTTGGTACTGATGCCCACTTCGGTGCCGAACCCGTATCTCATCCCATCAGCAAACCTGCTCGATGCATTCCAGAATACTCCTGCGCTGTCGATACCGTTCATGAATGTGATTGCCATTTCCTTTGATTCAGTCAAGATAATGTCCGTGTGTTTGGATGAGTGCACGTTGATATGAGCCATGGCTGCCTCTACCGCCGATGCGGGATCGCCTGTTGACGAGACGGTCTTCACTGCTAACACGAGGTCCAAAAACTCCGTGTCGTAGTCGATTTCGGTCGATGGCTGTACTTTTGAGAGCTGATCGCTGGATAGTATGCTGGCCAACGCTGCCATCGATGCCTCGTCACAGCGCAGCGACACCCCCCTTCTCAATGAGTGCCACAGCAACTTTGGGGAGAATAGATTCAAGAATATCCTGGTGGACCAGCAAAGACTCGAGTGAGTTACACGCGGCGGGATAATCTGTCTTCGAATCCACGATAACTTTCACGGCCATTTCGGCATTTGCATCTGAATGGATGTAGGCAGAGCATAGGCCATCGGCGTGTCCGAGCACGGGAATCTTTGTATTTTCCTTCACATAGCGAACAAGCTCATTAGATCCTCGGGGGATTACTAAATCAATAAAGGAATCCTGGGCGAGCAGGGAAGAGACAACATCTCTCGTTTTGACAAGCTGGATCGATGAGACTGGCACTTGGCTGCCAGCAATGGCTTCAGAAACGACCTTGGCAATAGCCACGAAGGATTCCATCGACTCCTTTCCGCCTGTTTTTGTCAACTGACATTGCCCTCACAATATATTGTGGTGGAATGCAAGAGATCATACCTTTCAAGATAGCAGCATTGCCAGACTTGATGGCCAGAGCAGCAATATTCGCGATTACCTCTGGGCGGGCCTCGAATATGATCAACAAGACTCCAATCGGGCAACTGACTCTCTCAAGACTCAGTCCCTCATCCAAGAGGGTGCGTAGCGTCACTTTGCCGACTTATCACCCGTCGAGAATTAGCATGGCTCACAACGAATGGAAACGTATTGCTTACTAGGGTCATCCAGGTCCCGCACGCTCAAGATCCCGTCAAGCATATCGTCAAACTTGCCAGGCCGAGATAGATCGAGTCTTTTGAGAACGCTTTGATTCAGATTGCCATTCTTGACATCGCGTGTAGCAGCCTCCACATCCTTAGCATTAGCAGCAAGTATAGTGGCTCGATTCTTATCCAGAGCTTGGTGGAGAGCCGTCAAAGCGTCGTTTCGGGCGGAATTCGGAAGCGTTGCGAGGCGGCGAGAAGCAACCGATGCGCTACGAGCAACGTCAATTGCGGCCGACTCTGTCAATGACATTGTTTACGTCAAAAGGGGCAGTGCAGAGGGTGAAGTGGGGGCAAGGCAAGGCAAAGACACCTTGAAAGCGAAAGCTCCTACATTAAGGAGGATTTCGGATGACTCAGGCGGAGGGGCATAAGGCAGTGGGGCTTTTTCCCTTCTCCGCCTTGCAGTTGGAGCTTCACTTATGATCTACACTTGCAGTGATCTCCCTACTTTCCTCTTATTCTACTTTCACTCCTTCAACCGACTCCGTCTCGCATCATCTTCACATCTTGTAGCTTGGTGATCGACTTGAACACCACCCCTCAGCAATTCGTCAGTACTGTCGGTGTTGCCATCGTCAACATGGCTGCAATCGAGGCACTTGCTTCCGCCTCAGCGAAGTTGCAAAAAATCACCAGGTCGTCCGATAAAGGATCCGACGGCCAAATACGTGATATCGTTGCGCACTGCAGACATCTGCTCTCAGCCAATGCTCTTGACTCTGTATATCGTGATGAGTCTACGCTGGATGTAAGCCCTTGTCTCTGGTTCCTGGAATCTGTCACAAATTGACTCTAATTCCGGAGACAGCACTTCGATCCAGGGCGCGATTCTATCATCTATCTCCTTCTTCTCCGTCTACAAATTCAAGCTCTACAAGGGGAAGCCCGCGGGACGTTGCCATACGATCTACTACCCTCAGGAAGGCTATGGACGAGATCTGTGCGCTACTTGGAAATCTTCGATGCGATTCAAGTCCGATATACTGGTCAGGAGTTCCGGCAGGTCATTGAATATGTTGGACAAGCCTCGGAGGCTGCGTCAAAGGCATGGCTCTACCTTCTCAGTTATCGTTCCTTGACTAACACGTAATAGCCCTTGCTGGGTACTCGCCCAATAAGAGAAGCGATCCTTCGACTTGATCCATCATGTGCTGTCTTCACGTCCAATCATCTTCTTTTCATTCGGCTTTGTTTGCGGGCTAGGGCATATGCTTGCGCATTGCCCGTCTTGGACAAACATGTCTGCCATTTACCAGCTCTGTCGAGCCGTGCCCCTTCAAAAGTCTCTTCTGATCTTTTTATCACTGAATACTCTGGGTTGTCTTCTAAACTGACATACAGGGACTATCTGCGATATTTCCTTTACGGCGGAATGGTTTACATGGCACTGAAAGAGTGGCGCAAGGCATTGCATTTACTGAGCGTTGTGATCTCTATGCCTACAATGGGTTCTGTCAGTATGGTCATGGTAGAAGCCTACAAAAAATGGATATTGGTGGGACTGCTTGCCAATGGCAAGGTGGGCGATACTGATGCATCTTTTGATCCGCTTTGACTAACGATAAATCTCTCAGCTATCTCTACCTCCAAATGTGACTTCTTCAAGTGTGGTCAAGCTATATCAGTCGCTTGCCAAGCCCTACATCAGACTTGCTGAGACCTTTGAGCGTGGTGACATGAAGAAGCTGGTGACAGAGGTAGAAAATGCTCGGGAAATTTGGTCCATGGTCTGTTCCAAATCTCCCCTGCATCTTGTTAATAGTATTGCTAAAATTGCCATAGGATCGCAATATGGGCCTGGTTTCCCAAGTTGTGAATACGTTTTCAGGTCATGCCCTCGTCGGACTACGCAAAACGTTCGCTGCTTTGACTGTGACCGAAATTCTAGAGCAGGCCCCATATTTGCCCGCTGATACGATGGCTGCTGAGACATTGATCGCGTCTCTCATAATGTCTGGTGCGATGAATGCCGCTTTGGTGCATTCTTCGTCTCAGACGAGTGATACAATGCTGCGGCTTTCAGGTGAATTATCTTCCTCTCGATTTTCGCATGAAAGCCGTATGCAGGCATACTTGAGAAAAAGAGTCAGTTGATGACTGCACTCATGGGCAGTCTCGAGGAAATCAATCATGCTCTGGGATTAAGTGATGAATTTGTGGACAGCTCCAAGGGTCAAACGTGGATGACTTCCTCTGATACAAATCAAGGCCTGGTTGAAGATTATGGGCTCGACATGGATGAGGACATAATGGGGGGCTAAAAGCTCCAGTTTCACTCCTGATGATGTTTTTGGTCATTTGCTACTCTAGCCAGGCACCAAATCTCAATTCATTTCATGTATTCACCCGTGTCTCTTTTGATATTCATATTGTGACGCATGACTGTCTTGAGGGCTGAGGGGGAACGTGGTCTGAAGGAGCCGTGGGTCTAACCCGATTTGGGATCGAAGTGGTTTGTTTCGTAGATGCTCGTTTCCCTCTTTCTCTCTTCTTCTTCTTCTTCTCTGGTTTATTTACTTCTATTCATAATATACGAATTCTTTGTTAAGGAATAACGTGGTTATCCCTCGACATCCAGGTGTGGGTATATATATGGATTTGAGGATGTCGACCTTAAGGTTCGACATATTGTAAAGGAGATTGTTTGAGGGCAACATCCTTCCGCTTAGCCAACAGACCATTTATGTCGACCCTTAAGGTCGACATCCTCAAATCCATATATATACCCACACCTGCATACCAAGGAATAACCACATTATTCCTTAACATTCTTCGTCATAGTTAGTAATATATAACTAAACTCTTCTTTTCTCTTTCTTATCGCCTCTAGGTATAGTCTAGATACTAGATACCTTACTGTCGCTATCTCGCCTTATTAGTGATACCCTTTAATAAATTAGAACTAAATAAAAAAATCCTAAACCGAACCTTTACTAAACGTTACGATAGAATAATATTATAGCTAAAAGAACTAATACTTATATAAAGTCTAAGTTATATTGCTAATATAAGAGATATATTATACTGACTAAGAATCTTCTTTCTAATAAGAGAGAAAAAAAAAAAGATTAAAGAGAAGCTTACTAAAAAATAAAAGTTACCTAAGTTCTTAACCCTATCTTAGAACCTATTAAGATACTATAATATAATTAGCTTTTGTTGGGATATAAGGGGAAAGCTACCACGAAGCAGATCGTGGCCCCTTAAGTCCGTGGGATCAACCTTAGTCCGGCTGGGTCAGTCGGTGCCAGACAAAGGTAGAAAGTCAAAGGTCGTAGGATAGACTATAAGCAGATATAGCCTAAACGAAGACAGAACCACAGTCCTGAGGATCAAAGGAAGAAGGTAGAGATGAGTTTGGAAAGTGAAAAATGACTTCAGGAAAGTAGAACTGACTTGATTCTTTCTGCTAGAAAAGAAGGACATATTTATAGGCTAGGATAGCCTAGAAATGACGTCTAGAATGACATACAAATACTAGGCAGCAACATAATGAAGGTGGCAAAGAAGGGAACCGAAGAAAAGCCAAAAGAATGATGTCAAGGATCGACGGTTTAAGCCACCCCGAAAGCTTCCCCGCAGTATCTGGTTATGCATGCCCAAAGGTGGACCATTTATGCCTGAAGGCGGACCATTTACTTCTGAAGGAAAATGGTCCCGCCTATTGTTCGGGGGAGGGCCGCGGACCAGAATCAGAAGTGGTCAAAATATCATTTTGATAGAAGAAAAATATATGGTCACGTGATTAATATTTTGATAGGTCCAAAATTGGTCACGTGATCAATGCAATGCTGATCTTATATGTTGAATATAAGGATAGATCTTTCTATGTAGCATTGGTCCCAATAGCTTTAAAATTAATAACTTAGAGACTAAAGATCTTATTTATTAAGAGTTTCACTCTAAGGACTAATTCTAAAAAAAGTCTAAAAGAATATTAATAGCCTATAAGAATAATTAATCTAATATAAAGCTTATTAGACCTAGTAAGTCTTATAAATCTTTAAAAATATATATTTGGTAAATTTTTTATAAGCTAATAATAGATAACTTAAAGCTACGATTTTTAATCTAACCTAAAAGTAAGATAAGACTATTATTTATTATAATTTTATAGTAAATTTAATTTTTAGATCCTTTAATTCTTAGTATTAAGCCCTTAGAATATTTTAAATTATTAAGATCTTTAAGTCCCTAAAACCTATAATTATTTATTAGTTAAAATACTTAAAACTCCTATATTAAATAATAATAAGATAATTTATTTTAATACTTAGGCTATGATAATTAAATATAAGTTAGCTATAAATACTAATTATTATTGGAATATAGGCCAATGCTACATAGAAAGATCTTTCCTTATATTCAACATATAAGACCCAAAAACATCGATCACATGACCTCACCTTTTTTCTATCAAAATAATGTTTTGACCACTTTTGATTCTGGCCCTCGGCCGACTGACCAATAGTCAGTCTATTTACCCCCCCCTGAACGATAGGCGGGACTATTTCCTTTTAGGGGTAAATAGTCCGTTTCCTAGGCATCAATAGTCCGTTCCTTCGGGGGTGCCTTCGGGGTGGCTTAGACCGTCGATCCTTAATATTATTCTTTTCGCTTCTCTTCGGTTCCCTTCTTTGCTACCTTAATTATGTTGCTTACCAATATTTATACGTCATTTATATATTATTCTAGACGTTATTTTTAGGCTCTTCTACCTCTAAATACGTCCTTCTTCCCTAGCAGATAGAATTAAGTCATTTTCCACTTTCCAAAGTTATCTCTACCTTCTTCTATCCTTCTTCCTTTAATCCTTAGAATTATGGTTCTGCCTTCATTTAGGCTATATCTGCTTATAGCCTATCCTAGAACCTTTGACCTTCTTACCTTTGTCTGGCATTGACTGACCCAGTCAGACTAAGGTTGATCCCACGGACTTAAGGGGCCACGAACTGCTTCGTGGTAGCTTTACCCTTATAGCCCGACACTTATTTACTATAATAATAACTATAAAAAAAATAAGCGATATTATTATAAATTGTTACTAAAATATGGCGAAATATTTATAAAATAAATAATCTTATTAACTAAAGATATAATTATCGGACCCTATTCTATTTAATGATAATATAAATAACTAGCTAATCTAATACATAATAATCGAGAATAAACTAAGTATTAATTAATAAATAAGCTATTAGTTTGCCTTAGAACTAATTTATATATATATTCTTTAGGCTAAAGAAACTCGCCTAAAAGAATAACGAAATATTTATAAAATTATACTAAGATATTAGCGACCTTTAAATACTATTAAATTATCTTAAGAATATCTATAAAGACCTAAATATTAAAATATATATAGTAAGATAGTTATATTAGATCCGATAAGCTAATAAAATAATCTTTTTAAAGTTTTTATTATAATTAAAGAAAGAGTTTATAGATATAGATATCTTAGACTAATATAATAAAGTGAAGGGATAGATCCTTTTTAGGGTACTTAATAAGATAATAATTAATTTACTTATAAATTATAATATTCCTATTACTTTTTTAGCACTAATCTTAAGACTATATAAAATTAATATAAATATAAACACTCTTAATATTTATAAAGCTAAGTAAATAAATTATTTATATTTACTAAGAGTAAGTAATAATATAGATCAGACTTTAATATTTATAATAAATTACACTAAATTAAATATAAAAGTTTAATAACTAAGTAGCGATATCCTTAAATAAGCTTAGTAAATAACTCTTAATAAATTAAATAAATAATAAACTAAAGAAAAGTACTTATAATATAATAAATTAGGCTATTATATTATGAAATATATATTTTTATTTACTTAATAACTAAATCATTTATAAATTATAAATAATTTAGGATAAAAAGAGAAAAAATATAATACCTATATAAATAAGGCTAGACTAATAAATAATAGCGACGTAATATCTATAAATAATAATAATATAGCTATAAAGAAAGATTTAAAAAAAGAGTAGCTTTTATCCTTAGCTATAAATAAGAGTAAAAAGGAGTTAAAAAGCTACTAAAATAAGAGATATTATTATTCTTAGTTAACGCTAAAATAAATAAAATTTAATTTATATAAGCTTTAGTTAATAATAGTTAGTATTACTATATTATAATATAATAAGCCTTTAATTTAGTTACTTTACCTCCTATATACTAAGATATAACTATAAATACTTAATAAAGTAATACTAAATTAGTGCTAATTTACTTATATTATATATTTTAATCTTAATATCTATAAGTATAAATAAAATTAAATATTGATATATATTATTAGATTATAGAATAATAATATAATACTTAGGGACCTATAGCTATATAATATAAATAAACGCTATTATGCTAGGAAAAGATACCTAAATATCTTTATAAGATTTAGGGAATAAATAAGATACTAAAATTATATAAATTATATAATTAAACTTACTAAAGCGAAAATATTATACTATATATAGATTATAGTATTAATAATTAAAAAGCTCTTATAAAATATATTTAATAAAGAATATATATAAATTAGTAGGGTTTCGCTAAATAATATTAAAAAGCGCTATAACCTAAAGAGTACCTTAACCTAAAGAATAAGCTACTAAAATATTATTAATAATAATTGGAAGTCTTTAGCTAATAGCTAGCTAATAAATTATTATTTTATTAGTTAGGGATTAATTATAAAATTCTCTTAAAATATAATTAAAATAATATTAAAGAGTTATCGCTATAGACCCTTTTATAATATAAATAAGAAAAAATTACTTTATTTATAAAAGATATTAATAGACTTACTTAGAAAGAACTTTATATAAATAAGCTAATCCTTAATAACTATATTTATCTTATTAGTTCGGAAGCCTAATAAAGATATATAATTCTATATTAATTATAAGAGATTAAATAAGTGAATATATATTATAAAAAACTAATATTCTATTTATTAATCTATAAGATATTATAAAATATAGATTAAGCTTAATAATTTATAAAACTTAATATTATTATAGCTTTCTATAAAATTTATATATAATTAAGAAAGGAATATAAAATAGCTTTCTAAATATAATATAGACTTTATAAATAGAGTATTATATTATTTAGGCTAATAAATATATTAGCGATATTCTAAAGATATATATTAATTAAATCTTATAAAAATATCTAAATAACTTTATATTAATATATATTAATAATATAATTATGTATTTTAATAAAACGCTA